AGATACTCAGCATATTCTTTCTGACTAAACACATGTGATGGCTAGAGGACTGACCAAGAAGTCTATGTAAATATGCTTGAGCCAAACTGTGATCGTGATAGTGGGGTCTTTGATTGAATTGAGTCTGGGGAATCAAACAACTTAGAAACGGGAGAAAACAAACTTAGACAAGCCACCGGCTCTTTTTTCGCTGTAATCTAATGGAACCCACTTGCTAATTTTGAGGGCGAGATGAGGCTTAACGAAGCAGCATCTGATGGATAGAGAATCGAATTAAGCAGAGAAGGTACTATCAGGTGTGCCGTCCAGGTTGCACTTTGACGGCCGGGAATATTTTGAGGCGGGTTGGGGAATGCTAGTAGGTCCTGAGACATGCCCCTGCGACAAGGTCCAAGCTGAGTGGCTTAACCGCCTTGTCATTGGAACTGGAAGTCCACATCGCTCACCTTTTCTGATCCTTTCAAATCTTCCGGGGAGTGAGTGTGCCTGAGAGGCACAAACATCAGCTCGGACGGTCCGATCTCTGCAACCCAAGCCAGGATTTGCTTGTCTGTCCAAACATCCCCAGCTTCTAGAAAAGACGAAGATGTGTGGCTTGATGAAACAGCGTCCTAGTACGGTACCTCTGGGTAGCAGCCCCATGGTGATCGACAGGTCGTCAATCTCGGGTATCAGGACGAGCCAGCAAATGACGGACAACAAGCGTGATTTGCCATCAGCGCAAGGACTGTGTATCGGGAGGGTTACGTAAAACATGATAATTTCACTCGAAAATGTTGGTACCTTGAAGACCGTATCGCTGGTGAGAGCCTCTTCGAGACCCACGTAGAAACCCCAGCTCACCATGCGTGTCCAGAAGCCGTATCGACATAGTCGGGATAACGCTTGTGTCTAATAGGGTCGACATCGCTCAAAGCATAGATTCGAATACCGGAGGGTAATGATGATTCAAGATCTGGGAGAAAATCCCCAATCAAATCTCCGCTGGGGCCCTTGCGCAAAATCTGTTTCAAACGTCCCCTTTAGGCTTTCCGTCGTCAAAACGGGAATAGCCGTGTGGTTTAGCTCGAATAGTCCAGCAAATTAGCACGTTGTCAGCCTGTAGGAGGCTCGGCCGGAAGCCGTTCGAGGGATTGACAGGTTCCGATTTAGTGCGTGCACCTTTCCGACGTCGTTCCTCGTTAGGTGGAATGTGCTGTGCGAAGATTGCACAAGTGAACTCAAAATGCCAGCATTATTGACTTTTGACGGACTTCATTGGGAAGCGCTGTTCAGTATCTGACGCCAAGTACCCGTAAATTGAGGTATTGAGGCTTTCTTTTAAATTGGGCGGTCTTGTGGTGCTAAAAACTTCTCTAGGCTCAGTATGACATTCATAGCCGTTGCTGTTGCCAGGCCATAGCCGCCTTCGACTGATGGCTACGATCTTCCAAGGTCTTTGTTTGAGGAGCCACCATAAAGCTGTCGCTAGATTATATGGCTCATGTGTTAAGGGAGATAGGCATTCCGCATCATAGGTAAAGGAGGTATGTGTTGTAGCTGTATCCGAACATTGGACTGAAAGGAGTAGGTACACAATGCAATGCGTCGATATTGGCTCGACAGGTATTGGCCAGCATTGAGGGCTCAAAGCAAATTTTAGTTTTGTAGCGGTCTGCGACAGCTGGTCCGATTGCGTCTGGGCACCTATCGTTCCGTCGTCTGCATCTTTCATGCCTAACGTTTTAAGCAGGTCCTCTGGTGGCCTTTTGCATTTCCCATGCTTGGTCGCATCAGATTCACGGCCCAAGGCGGCATGGTGTTATTCCCGTAGCGGGCTGCACAAGGAGGAGGGTCGCCTCTATCATCGACTGGCTGTATCAGTGGGAACCCATGTCTGGTGGAGCGCCACTCCCATCATTGCTGCAACGAACGGGCGGGCCTAGCTGTCACACTATTGAATTGGGGCCCTACGTGAGGTTGAAGAAACACGAGTCTCAAGACGTCGGGTGTCGGGATAAGTCACCATGAAGCATGCAGACATAACCGTCTTGAAGAATTGTTGGTTGATGTCGTTGAAAGGATATTATCTGTGGAAAGGGACGCGAGGAAAGTGGGAGTTGCAGGTGTTGAGAGCAATTCAACAAGGGAAGTGCCCCCCCACAGTGTCCACATCTCGATACTGCCATCGGAAGGGTTGTTCCTGTATGCCAAATCGGGGGAAAGTGCCTGCGGGACCACAGTGCATTTCCCGCTTTGATCTCTGCCTCTAGGCATCTCTGTTCGCCCCATGACTTCAGGTAATTCAGCACACTAACACTAACACACAGACACACACAAACGAACAACCCAGCCCATAACTCTAATTAATACGCGATACATGACACAGTAGGTACTGTGCCTCGTGCTCAGCATCCCCGGAAAAGGCATTTTGGTGCTCAAGCCTCAAGGTCCAGAAAGCGTTGCCTAACGTGGGGGCCGTGTGGAACTAACGGAGGCTCATTGTGATAGGGCGAACACGACGAGCTGGCTAAGCAGAAGATGAGGATAAGGCCAAGCACGCCAATACATGCATTCTCAAGTATTCAATCTCATGGTGACGGTAAGTGAGGAGAGCAATAAAACTGCACCGTTACTGACAATAATCTATGGATACTACCACGCATATACGTCCCAACTCTGTCGCAATGTTCCAATGAGCTCGGCAGGCAAGGGCTTCAACCCTTGACCAGTAATTGTTAGGGCCTTGGCTTGACAATTATCCGCACCCATTATCCGCCTCATCGCATATTGCTACACCAAGACCAAGACCACCAGAGACATCTCTGTGCAATCCTCTGTTTAACCCCAAGAGGACCCAAGAGCCGCTCAGCGCAACTGGGCAGGTGGGAAAATAGGGTGTGTTTTCTACTCCGTGCTTAGGAAATAAAGCCGACTGGCGACGTGCAGTTATGGCATCACGGCCATCATTGCAGTACCACTTTGAAGGGGGGTTCAAGGACGCATGGTGGCCCTTTGTATCCTATCAGTGATAGTGACAGTGACGCTGTCCCACCTCGTCTCTGGAGCACGATGACGGAGATGTCAAAAGGTTCTCAGGGTCTTCACGTTCGTTTGGCCTTGCATGACGGCCTTCCTTGCCTATTATTGTACGGATACAGTTCAGAGTCATTGTTGCCCTTGTCCAGACGCCTACGGCATCCTTTCTAAGAGGGGCCACGACGTCAGTCGGCTACTATGTATGCTAGGCTATCCTGGATGACTGATGACATTTTGCTACCTTTGCCCGTACATGCAAGATGGGCAATGCCAATATCAGAGCCTGTGGGCAATGCCAGAGGGAAAAATGACATTGTGATGGCATGGGCATGCCTCTGTCGAAAACCACCCTAGCGTTGTCTCCAAAGGCTGTTTCAATTCCTTCACCGTCTTGCGTTCCCGGCGTTTCTTGTCTCGATTCTGAGTTCCACTCCCACCCGATAGCGCTGCTTCCTGACGTACCTTACGTCAGGGCTCTCATGGATAGACACCCTTCCGCAACAGGGGGCGCTCAGTGGCCGACGCCTCCCGCAGAGGTTTTGGCGGCTTTCGGTTCTTGTCGAGGTATCTGGTACGTCTCTGGGCCCTCTGTCCATCCTTGGCATTGCTTGTTGACGTGGGATCCCTGACCTTTCCCCATGACCAAGCGCACGACTCGACGACGCTGCCCAGTGCCCACATCAAGAGTCCACTCAGCAGGATGCTCGTTGCAATCCATTCCCACAGCACTAGACAAGCCCAAGCGGGTCTTTCGATACTGCCGTTGAGTGGCTTGAGGGACCCTCGATTCCCACCCGCCGCCCGTGTCGCAACAAGTCATCTACAGGCACACTTCCTTTTGGCTTGCAGACCCTGCATAAACCCGCCCTGTCTGTCAAGGTTGTCTACCTCAATTCCCAGCCCGGTACGTACTCTACGTAGCCCTCCCCTGCCTTGCAACTGCAATTGCAATTCATCTCAGACCCTCCACATCAGTGGCGTTCGTTCGTGGGCCAGCACTAGCAACCCTTGAACATTGTAGCGGGGGTCCCTTTGCAAACTGCCGTCCGTAGCCTTACCCACCTTCAATTCTGTTGTCTGCTCTCTGCGTTCTGTCTACCTTCCTTCAGCTCTGAGCACACCCCTCCTTTCTCACACGTCCTTCCTGGCCTGACCCCGTAATCTTGCCTGTCTGCCATCATCGCACCCCCTTTCATTGAACATGTTGGTGTTATCGAGGGTCCTGTCTGGGTGGAAAGTCAAGAACCGGACTGCTTTGTTAACAACAAGATCAATTCCATATGTAAGCAATTTACATCATCACTGTTGAAAAGGGAAGTGGCACTTTGCGCGCATGCTGTCTCGTCCATCTACATCATATCTGAGGTTGACAGGGCTCTTCCAGGATTTCTGATCAAATCTCTCGAAAACTCGCTGATCCTCTACTACACACGCTGCTTCACACCGCGGACGCTATTATCTGCGTGCCGTGGGCTGTCAAGTCAGGTCAAGTTTGTGGATTAGAGACTGTCTCCATCATCTTATGCAGCCCACAACCCCCTGGTTTGCTTTGGCTGCTTGGTCCTACGACCCTACCTCATCGCACTAACCCTGTCGCCTCAGCCATTGCGAAAAGACGTCGGCCTGCCGATCACTTAGACCAGAGTCGTCACACCTTTTTCTTTCAGAGAGACGGGGGAACTCCACTCTTCTCCCGCAGCCCAGCCCGTTTCCAGAGGCAGATTGACGCACGTCAATTCGCACCCAGACACTTAAGACTTCGCTGATCCCACCTTGGCCCCGACTCAACTCCCCATATCATCTCCAGTCTAGACAGGATCTTCTGTCTTTAATCTGTAACACCGACTTGGCTTTTATTCTAGTTGGGATCCCGCATCTGATCAACAAACCTTTTTTTCCCACACAACTACCAACCGATCTATGTTGATATTGCACATCAACCACTCTTCACCACATACACACTATCACTCTCACATACCATCATGACAATGACGCTCGATACTACTCAGCAGCGGTTTGGTCCTTCGTTGAATTTCGACTATTCAGCGCCTGCTCAACCGCCTGCCTTTTCCAACCCATGGTCCTCCACATCACCTCCACAGCATCCTCCTGCGGGAAGCAGCTTGTTTGTTGGTAGCCAGCCAGCTCTTAACCCACACATGATGGCCGGCAAGGCACCTCACAGTCGCGCGAGCACCAGCAGCACTTCTTCAATGGCTTCGTACGGAAGCGCAATGCCCATTCCCAACACCTCCGCAGGTGAGTTGAACATGACGAAAGCAATATTCATTCTTATACTGACCTTGTTATAGACCTGCTTAGCATCAACCGCATGCAAACAACGTCGGCTGCTTACGGAGATCCCAGTTACACAACATCCGCTTCTCCTGTCAACCATCAATTCGCGCCTACATCCGCTGCTCCTTATGACACCCTTGGCTATGCGCCGGCTCCTGTGCGCCCCCCACCTTTCGGTCTTGCTCCTGCCGATGATCATACCAGAAGGTTCTCTCAGCAGTAAGTAGCATCGTAACTGATTCTCGTGACCTTTCACTAACACAAAGGGCAGTAACATCCAGGATGAACGGAGGAGCTTCGCAGACGCGCTTGATGCTAGCCATGGCATGCTTGCCATGAGCCAAGAGACTCCTCGGCCCATCTATGGGGCGCGTAGTGATCGATCCTCTGTTGATTCTTACGGATTCCCCTCTACCCATTCTACCAGCTCATCCATCTCATCCAGTGGCAACTTTAGCTCCTACTACGGCGATTCTGTCTCCGACTATTCGACTGCGGGCTCTGATATTGAGTCTGTTTCGTCAAGGACTCTCCCTCGGCCTCAGGGCCTGATGGGATCTCAGATTCCTCCTGCTCCCCAATCGATGATGGGACAGTTTAGTTCCAAGGTATCATCGAGCACTCAGAAGAAGCATAAGTGCAAGGTCTGTGATAAGAGATTTACACGACCTAGTTCTTTGCAAACCCATATGTATAGCCACACTGGCGAGAAGCGTAAGTGTTGACCCCCTTAAGAAAGGTGTGCGTGTACTAACAATTAACAGCATTTGCCTGTGAGGTTGAAGGATGTGGTCGACACTTTTCAGTTGTCTCCAATCTCCGACGCCACCGAAAGGTTCATCGAGGGGATGCACGCTCCGAGGCTGGCTCCGAGGACCACCACTCGGACTAGACTGACAACGCAGTCACTCGAACGAGTCACAAACCAAATACGAATTCAACACTTTTCAACAGGAGACCAGGTGTTTCGGAGTCTAGCACCTAACGAGAGGCGATGCGACAACGGTCAATCGACCGATTTTACTGGCATTCAGTTGTCTTGTTTCATCCTTACAAAATTTTATTACAACACGACTTAGCGCGGCATAGAGAAATGGTCCAAAAAAAAGATGAGGAATCATGGACAGGAGCACGAGGCGGGTAGCAGTGGTGTATACGATTCGAGTCTATCGCTTATGGTGCATGGGGGCTTGTCCAAGCCCCTCATCTCGGGGTTTTATGGTATTTGGGTTTTCTGGGATGGGAATAGGCGGAGTGCTGGACCGACCTACCGATACCCTTCCACACGGCGTTTATGGAGTTGACCACAGTTTCTGGTCCTTTCGTTATTCAGGTTCAAGACATGCGACGTCTTGCGCTATACTTCGAAGCGATCGTTCATGTCCACAATTCAGGACAATGTTGATATTTTACTGATAAGGATACAAATTGCCTCGTAAGAGGGGTGGCCAGAGGCCGTGGGCGGTATGATATGTTTATTGGGAGGAATGTACAATTAGCTTCACATTTACAGTTACGATATACCCGGTTTGGAACTATGCACAACTTGATATGTTGATGATGGACCAGAGGGCGGAGAAGGTAGACCAGGGCGATGGTAAGATAGCAGGGTTGATGAGACGGGATGCAAACTCATAGAGATAGTGTGGTCCTACAAAAATCAAACTTCAAGTTTATCCACCATCTAATCAGGTCTATTGTGAACGCTGATTTATGTTCACAATGCTAAGCAGATACAAGATGCCGCACCGCTCACACTTCAGGTCGGCAGTTGTGTTTAGTTAGGCGTCCAGGCATAAATTCAATGGGATGGGCAATTGGAAGAATGCCATATTTTGCATGACTCGGGATGCAATAAGTCTAAACAAGTCAAGGCAAAAGAGCCATGGCAATAAGCGCGAAGGCGGCTCGTTGGTTTCTCACTCCCTCTCATCTGCCATGTCTGCCCTGGCCGCGACGTTACCGAGGAAGCTAATGGGTGGTTGTACAGTCACCGCAATAGACAAGTCAAATTCAATGTCAAAACCCCTACTACTCCGTACTCCGTATGGACGACGGCGATAACATGATGGAATAGGATGGAGGACCAGCACTTGAGACGTAGACGCGTAATACGGCCCCCTATTCCTTCAACCAAGAAGAAAAATTGCAGATTCCCCATACGTACCAAAAAGGAAAAAGCTTGTGGTTTTTTTGCAGCCGCAGCAAGGCGGAACTGGAGGACAAGAACAATGCAATTGGGTGGTGTTCTTGTCTCGCCCCTGCAACTCGTCTGTTATTGCCCGTCGATCATGCCTTAGAACAGCACAGTCCGGCGTTTCAAGTCATGTCTATCCCTGCCGGAAGAGGTATCGCTATCGACTTGAGGGCATTGTCAAGACCGGACAAGCTTTGTGGGGGTGGGAAGGGGGGAGGGAGGAAGGTGTTTGTAGATTAACTTTTGAATGGTGAGATTGAGATTGGAGATTGGTATTTGGAGATTCGAGATAGGGTTGGCTGGTGAGGACTGAGGGGTCTCTGTCCTTTGGGCCTTGATGAGCAAGGCTCAAAGGCTTGAATGCTCAAGAGCCCCCTCCCCCCTTTCGGAGAAGATGGTCCAAAGGAGAAATGGATGGATGGTAAGCATCGAACATTGAGCCTCGGTTTGTGACTTTACAGTTCCGGTTCCGTAGAGGAAAGGAATAAGTCAAGTTGTGATTTGAGATAGTGACTGTAACGGGTCTAGTTTGCGAGGGGTGGTAGTGTACACTCGGTACCTAGCCTACAGCCTACAAGGCCCTTGTTGCTTCTGAAGAAAAGAAAGAAGACTGCGCTGTAGAAGTCGACTAGAAGGTTTCTACTAGGGATCAACGCGAGATGAATTAATCTAATTTACAGAAACTATCTTCTGACATACCAATTGGCTAGCAACTTGAACTCTAGTGATCCCACGACACCCTCTTTACTTACACATTCACGTATTCTAGAAACCCACCTTCATTAATATCATCTACCTACCTGACTGACTTTACAAGCCCATTTCTTAGACTAGGTACCTACCACTTATCGGTCTCAAAGTGGAGACTGACACGGGGAATTCTCCATCTCCCATTCGCCAGGGTCCAATTCCTTGTTCGAGCTCCGATTCCGCCTTCTCACCCTTTCACTCACATCCTCATCCTCACCTTCATTCTTCGATGGCCCCCAAACATTCAATCCCTGCTGCAATGCAAGGCGCCCCCAAAATTTACCTCGCCTTGCCCTGTAACCCCCTTGTTTGGTTCAGTTAAAATCCAATCCCTCTGTTTTTGTGCAAGCCACGAACTGGGGGAGGGGGGGGCTTTTCAGAGAGATCTCAATTCAGCTCATGCTATGTTATGGAAGGAAGGTTGGTATTTTTATCACTAAGATGGTGGTTTCAAGAATCGCATAGTACCTACCTGCAAATGCCATATTGCTTACTCGACAGTCTGAACAGAAACGGCGAGGCAAGGCAAGTCTGCGATTATCGCTACCAGCCGAGCGAGGCGCCGTTTAAACGGTACATACAAATAATACCCGCTGTTCATGCTTTCTTTCTCTTACAGTTACATTGTGGACCATTCCTTCCACTCCATCTGTCCATGCTAGCCATGTCCGACTACGGCCAGGTTGGGCAATTCATCCTATCTTCTGGTCTGTGGCAAAAAGGACGCGCTTGCCTGGCGTGAATGGAACAACAAATACATACATACGGATGCTCACAACACCAAACAACACCGTTAATTAAAGGTATTCACTGCGGAGGCTGGGCACCCGAAACAGACGAGGGGCCCTGCTGCGTCTGCTGTGCCGTGCCACATGCCACTGACCTTCGTGTGCAGGTGATATGACGTTCTTGACGGCTGAGGTGTCAGCGCCCGGGCCACGGATCTCTTGAGATCCGGCGCCGTAATGGCGGATTCACGGTATGGGACTGGCCGACTTGTGAGACGGCGTCGACAACGGAGCTCCGGGGCGGTGCAGCAAGCTTCCTTTTGGTCAGACAAGAAGGGCTATTTACAGAAGGGCTCAAGTACATACTCCATACAGACGCTCTACTGTCACAAACAAGACCCTTGAGGCGAATCCTCTGTGTCATGCTCGAAACCCAATGTTTAGAGTGTGCCTAGCAGCTAAGCTTGTACCGGTATCGAAGTCACTTTTATTGCCTCCTTTTAGCAGCACACAGCATGAAGCCGTTGACCGCACGGCTGCTTATTCATCGCCCCTTGTTTATCCCCAGGTTTTGCATATCTGCTCAGTCAAATGCTGAACAGACAAAGAAATTGCCCCATATGCACTGTTCGTCAAGAAAAAAAAAGTAAACTCCGTATAAAACTCCGTAAAAAAAACTCCTGAATCGATGCAAAGCGAGAAGGACGGTGTCGCGGGCCGGATTATGACGTCGACGGAGAAATTAGGCTCTACATCCGCGTTTGAGATTCTGCCACGGTCTCTGCCTCTGATGAAAGCGCTGCGATGGGATCTTCAGGGTCCTGCTGTTCCAGGGGCTAGTACTGTTGAAGCTTGGGGGCCATAGTCCATGGATATCAGAGGGCGAAAGAGAGACAGGGACAGGGGTAAATTGCTCTCGGTCTCTTCCCTCGTTCACCGGGTGGAGAAACCGTAGTTATAGAGATTAACTAGTCGTAAAAGACCCATCACAGGTCGAGTCCAAATTATCAATCGGGTACAGACCAGCTGAGAAAAAGAGAGGGTCGGTCGGTCACTCCAGAGTGGGAATGATAATGGGGTGTGGAGAGGAGAGGAGAGCTCGTTTACACGTCGAAGCGGTCGCTGTAGAGTCGCAACATGGACTTTAACGCGAAACTTGTTTTCCCCTCCCTGTCGTGTTTTGCTCTTCGAGAATTTTGTGTGTTTGCATCTGAAGCAATACTGAGTGGTTAAGTTTCTGCATGATGAAATGAACTGCCTGATTGTCTTGAGGAAGTATAAAGCTATACCATTTTGAACCATCTGATATCGTATTGAGTACTAAGATAAGGTACAGTATATTTACTTTTGCTACCTGCGGTACAGTACAGTACATGCTAGCTGGCTTGGGTGAAGACACGAGCAACACAATACAAACGGATGGTATTGAATAGCCTCACATCTTTCACGACTCGCGTGAACCCACAGTATCATCGTTACGCTTGTGCTAGGTCTCGAGGGCGTTACATACTTTGTTGTTGCCGCGGCGGTTTCTGGCTTCTCAAGTCCCCATAGGTTCGAAGAGTGCCATATCAACGTCGTCTGAACAAAGGCTAGAAAAACCGTTGAATGTGTGGATCATGACGTCAGATCACGGTAAGGGTCCCGGCTCCGTTGCTGCAAAGACCCGGCCGAGCTCCACCCATCAGACGTCATCGAAATGCTTGTTGATTCGCTGACAGGGAACTAGCGCCTGCCTGCGCTTTCTATCTCTGCATGTGGGGGAAAGTGAGGGTGGGGGTGTTGTTGCCGAAAGGGGGAGTGATCTTAGGAAACAAGTTTAAGGTACTTTACAAGGGTGAAGGATGCACGCGCAGGGGGCTTGCGGGTTTTCTATTTAGTCTCTGATTGATGCCGGGACAGGGGTGGCTTAGACTCAAGTCTGAGCTAGGGTACAGTAGCCACTGAGCAGCCTGCCAGCCTAAGCCTGAGCCTGCCAGCTAGGTAAAGTAGCCAGCCTGAACACCTAAACACCTGAAGGGGAAGAAAAGATCGGGGACCCGGATGAGGTTTGTGTCTTGTAGCTTGCGTCCGGTCCTTTGAGCTAGACAAACTCTTTTCTTTTTCTTTATTCTGTTGTGCGTCAAGCCAACGATTATGCTGGCTTCTTCCCATAGGGTTTAGATCATGCTTTTATCTGCCTTAGCACCGGCTCCGTACTCTAAGAAAGAAATGACTAAAGTTTTGATACTATCACCAAATTTCTGTATCTCGTATTGCAGCGAAATTACCATGACACCCATCAAACACCAGATATCTACACTATACTACTCTGTGATGCCATCATTACTCGGTCACCTGTCGGACTAGGTCCCGGCAATACTACCTACTGTACGTGCCTAACGTACAGTGCCGTCTACCATCCAACACACCCTCACAGCCTTGCGCTGGGTGCTGGGTGTTCAAGTTCAACACAGCATCCTCACCATATAATGGGGCACTATGCTAAACGAGCTCCAATCTCAACTCAAGAGTCAAGACTCCAACCCCTCTTGCGAATAAGGAGCCTGTTTCGTCTTTGTTTTTTGCCACTCTTGAATTATTGCGAATCAAAGGAGACACAGCTAAAACCCTGCCTCAATCATGGACACTGTGATACTGTATACATACATCCTCTATCCTCATCCTCTAGGTACCTAGGTATCCTCTGCCGTCCCTCAGCCTTTCAAGGTTAGATGCTCCAAGTGGAACATACTTACTCTATCTATCCACGGATGTTTACATAGCCGCATTCCCTTGAAGCACTAAAACCAACGCTATGCTTCGAAGCTAGCAAGCCTCGCCAGTTAGCCAAGCCAAGATGAGAGAAGACGGCAGAAGGAGCAACAAGGTTGAGACACAAAACGAAACAAGGAAATTCTGGCAGGTTTGCCATAGTACTTGCACTCGCACTTGCACTTGCACTTACACATGCCAGCTACAGGCAATTGAACTCCCCTTACTAACGTTGACCTGGCCTTGCTTCTTTTAGCATTTCATATTTTTGTGGCTGCAGCAGTCCTGATAGATGGTGTCTTTCTCTGGCGGGGAATATCTGACGCCCTCTAAAATTACAGACTATCCTAAATCAAGCAGACCGAGTTTCGCTCTTTCCTCTCCCTTCCCCTGATGGCATTCTCAGCAAATGCCATCCCCCTGCTTTCGTTTTTTGTTAGGTAGGTAGTCGGCAGGCCTGACTGACCTGACTCGAGGGCGACTGTCTCTCTCCTTCCTGTCAATTTTCCTCTTATTTCTCGTCACCTGACCCTCCTGTAAGCTGACCAGACTAATCGCCATCCATCATCCACCATTTTCGCATCTCGATTCCTTTCCCCATCCCGGCTTCTAGCAATGATGCTCATTTGTTGTCCGTCGTTCACTACCTTGTCTTTTAGCAAATGCCATCTCCACACCTGCGACTTGCTACTCGTCCGCCAGGATGAGCAATTGAGCGGGGCCCTTCAGTTGGTTGCTCTCCCGTCCCAACATCCAACCGATGTGACGTACACTTGAGGAATACACTACAATATCACGGGCAGAACGGGGAAGCAATTGCCAAAGAGTGAGATGTTGTGCCAAATCCGTTCAATTTGCCCCTTGGCTTGCTTCAAGCTTCAGCCTTTTCGGGGAGATCTGCACGCCTCCTTCTATCGAATAAGCAACCGTTGCGGCCGCACATCACAAGCACCTTCGAATCGGCAGGCGTCAATTAGAAAGTGCAGGCGGCTCGCAGCCAATATCCCACCAAAAAAGCAAGCCCCAAAGCAAGACACCAACGGCATTTATGCCCAATGGCTTGCGAGAAGAAACCTTCCGACAAAACTCTGCCTGCTCTGAGACCTTACTACTGCTCTTCTTGCCTTGCTAGTTCTCCGGGAACGCAAGGCTTTGAGCCACGAGCCGGAGCTAAGACCAGAACTTTGCTTTGGTATACATCAAATAGCTTTAATTATGGATGCTCTGAAATCACCACCAGCAGAAGTGTTACTCTTGCATCTCGATGAACCTCGGCCAGTGTCTGGGGCCAACCACCGATTCCCAAATGCCACTACGGATGGCCATTCTGCACGCTCTTGGCGTATAGCAGCAACAATATCATCAGGGCACGAGGCCACCAGGTAGGTGGATGCCAGTAGTCTGGTCACCGAATGGGTAGACTACCTTGTTGTCCTTGGGAAACCAGCTCGTCAAGAGTGAACGCCAGGCGCTCCATGCGAAAATGATATCCCTTGCTCGCCATCTTGTCACACCCCAGTTGCATCTGCATCCTTATCACCTCTCCTTACGCATTCGTGCAGCAAAATGCATGCTCTAGACAGCACTGACGTGGGATATCAGAACGTGAAGCAAGGCAATACTGTACAATTCTCAGTAGCTAGGACCCAATCTCGAATCATGTACTGAAAGTGCAGTACGTAGCATCTCCACAGAGAACCCAAAAGGCTGTCCACGTGCAACAAGACAGATGGATAGACGCGCCTTTACTCTGAAGGGCAAAAGATTTGCGTTGGCTTCAGCCAGATTTCTCCTCTCTGTCTTGAGAACCACTCAAGGGCATGAGATGGAGCTTAGTGAGTGTCGATCACTCCGCGCCTCCCCCTCTTCATCGACCTCGCATATGTCCCCTCCTGGTATCAACAACTGCAATCCCAACCACATTTGGCTTGAAATCGCAAACAAGAATCTAATCGAGGTACAACTTGGCGACGGATTGCAAAGATTGGACGGCACGGGCCCCTCCTCCCCCTTACTCCCTCCATCTCTTATCCCCTGAGTCAAGACGAAGCCGACAGGAAGATGGGGAGATCCCGATGTGGTGAAGTCAGCATCTGCCGGAACTTGGATCAAAAGTTCCTCTAGTCTGTATGTATGAGCCGCGGGTCCGGGCGTTGACTACCGACGAGGCGCGAATGATCCCATCAGTGCATAATAGCCCAGTGGTTCCGTGATATCTCCTCATGTCTGCTGCGTGGAAGCAGTCACACGTGCGGTGTAGCAGCGGAGTCGTTGATATCCAAACACGATAAAGCCGTACCATGGCTTTGGGGATCATCCAGGGCCCAAGCGTTCGGTTGAGATTGTCCAACCTGAAGGGTAGTATACCACGTTCAATCCGCCGATGTTACTATCGGTTGCTGAGTCCAGTCTAGAAATGTTTGATGAGAACTCAGTCAATCGATCACCACTAAGCTAACACCTACCTAGCGAGGCTGTCAAAACTGCTGCCTTCGGATGATCGTCGCTTTTGTTGATAAAGTGAAACCACCAGCTCGGTTGAAGGCCCCAGTTCTATTATTCATCCCTGCAGCTACTACGAACACGCAGAGTCGGTGACTCCGCTGTGAGGTGAGGTGAGATGAGACTTTGAAATGAGTGCTACTCCAGTCTTGGCAAATCATCCGTTACTTGGCCTGGCAAATGGCCAACAGAGAAACATAGCTGTTTTGATAAAGGGGCTGGGAAGCAAATCAAGTGTCATTCACATGGATCATGAGACAAGAGATTATCGATTATCACTCGGTGCGAAGAGATTTCAAAAACACTCTAACCATTTTTTTTCATCTATCAAAACGCCCTGTCGCATGCAGTAACCCCCTTTCAACGTACAGCATTCCAGATTACAAGCCTCCCCCCATACGGAGTATCCATAACACGAATAATAAAAGTCCTTGGGAATGAACCCTGCTAATCCACTACTGAAATCCATATTCCATGACCATACAAACCCTTACAGCACAATTGCTAACTCCGGTCGGTCCATCTTGTCTTCGTCCAAGTTCGGGTAATATGGCACCATGGCGTCTGCCGCCTGAACGTAGGCATCGTTGTACAATCGCCAGTATGGAGTCCTGACCTTCCTTGCTGGGTGGAACAGACCTGCCCAGACGTAGTTGAGAACCAAGCCTGGTCCGACCGCCATACGAATGGCCTCAATGGCTTCCACAATACGGTCGATAACGTGAGGACTGGTCTCGAATAGATTAGGGTACAGGAGGTTGAGCAGATGCACCATGGCGTCCTCACATCCCAGGCCAACAACGCCTAGAGCAATGTGCTTGACGACAGAGGCTGCTGTCTGACGATGAACTTGATCACGATCGATAAGAGCATCTTCCAACAAGGGGGTGACCGCGTAGACGTAGTCCTTTGCCATCTCGCCAATATACTCAAAGAGGAACGAGAGTGACTTGAGCACCCCGTTTTGCACGTTGAGCTCGGGCACTCGGTACTCGTTCATTAGAGCTGGAAGAACGGTGAAGGGAGCACAAGTTTCGGCCACGATACCGATGGCAACGGCAGTGTTGACACGAGACTGACGCTCCTGCACGCGGAGGTTGTTTAGCAGAGTTGCCAACACATCCTGAGGACCAATGGCCTTTGCAATAAAACCAAACGTGTTGTTGGCAGCTCGTCGAATGCCCTTCTTGTGAGCCTTGAGCATGTCGAGCAGTTCAAAGCAGATTCGCATCCATTCTCGGGCGTTCACGCTCTCAGGTCCGCGATCAGCGATACGGCCAACTAGATCAATAGTGTTTTCTTGGACCTTTTCGTGACGGTTTCGTAGGATGGGAGTGAGTCGTGGAAGAAGCTCCTTGATAGGTGGCTGCATCTGTGCAATACCCACGACTGTGACGATGGATCGTAGAGCACCAAGGATAGATCCGAGAACTTCAGGATACTCTTCACCGAGATACTCGTAGAGCACAACGCCGAGCTTGCCCATAAGGGCATCCTCACCGCACTGCTTCATGACCATAGCAATTCTTGAGATGAGATCCGCAGCCTGTTGTCGTACTGTAGCCGACTTGTTGTTGAGTCGCCATAGGATAGTACTGACAACCTGGGGGATATAAGGCTTGCAGCGGGTTCCCAGTGCGTTGACAACAGAACCAAAGCCGTTCAGCATGATGATGTCCTCAACACTCTGCTCCTGGAACGCATGGAGGATACCGTCGATAAGTCGCTCTTCTAGGCGCTCACCAATATCCGCAGCACCCAGGCTGGCAACAATCTTCTCAACCGTCTCAACGGTCATCTTTCGATATGCTTCGCTCTCATCCTTGAGGTTGTTGACGATTCTTTCCACAATCTCACTAACTCCGACCTTTTGGCCAATATCGACAGTAGTCTCGACAACTTGTCGGTAGTTGCGCTTGTCCAGGGCCATTCTTCGTACCCAGAAACTTTTGAAGAATTCATCCAGGACGTGCTCCTTCAGGTATCCTGCAGTCACACCATCCGTGCCAGCGCATTGGGATACCACCTTGAGGACAACCTTCTTCATCTCCTCATCCGGTGACGAGAACTCACGTAGCAAGATCTCCATGATCTGGCTGGTATAGTAGTTGGCGTATTCTTCGTCCATTAGAGGAATGATGTATCCGACAGCCTTGAGGAAGCCTGCTAGACCCTTGCCACGCTGCTTGCGAGCACCAGTCCATAGAGGGTTCAGGATGTCATCGAAACTCTCGATACCGTAGGGGTTGGAGGCCTCGGCCAGCGCGGCAATAGCCAAACTGGTAACTGTTCTGACCTTTGTCTGCTCATCGTTCAGATTGGGACCAATGCATTCAACGAGGCCCTTCAGGTGGGGAAGCACGGCACAGCCCATCAAGATAGGAATTTGCTGAACAATCTTCACACCTGTATGACGAGCCTGCCATGACTTCTTGCTTCGGCAGACAGCTCTAAGGAAAGGCAACAAAGCAGGGATACCCAGGGCAGATGCTACAACAGCAAAGGCACGTGCGGTTGTGTTTCGGACGTATTCATCAACATGATCAATATCAGGTCGCATGGTGCTGATCATGGTAGCAAGACCAGCAGCCTTGCTCAGGTTTGAGATAATCTCACGACCCTCAACTCTTGCGTAGTAGTCTTGGTCAATGAGCAGTGGTTCAATGACGACCAGGATCTTGTGAACATAGGGGCGCACAAGGTCGTCAAGCTTATATAGAATTCTGTCAATGACCTTGACAAGCAAATGTCGTTCTTGGTCCTCCAATGTCTTCTCCATGAGTAATGGCAGGATCTGATCAAAGAGAGGGCCGGCGCCGAACTGTCTGGCATTGTCGGTAATTTGTCGAAGAGCAGTTTTTCTCATGGGCGGAGTACCGTTCTTGATCTTTAACAGCAGCCTCATAATCTTCCTCTCCTTGAGCTCTTCGACAGTCAGGGCGTTCTCGTCGGAACCGTCGGTAAGCTTTCCAAAGTAGGCCATATCCTCGGCCTTGAAGAATTGAAGATCACCGACTCCAGGGATTTCCGCGGGCATGGGCTTCCCACTGAGGCGTACCTGCTCAGGGTCTTGCATCATGAAGCCTGTTTGGGGAGCAGGAGTGGCCATGAGTTTGTGTGCTGGAGCGCGAACTGGCTCGTACCCAGGAGGAGGATCAAGGATCTTGTAGCCATCGCTCTCGCCAGGCAGAAGAAGGTCGAGTTCTTCATCACTGAGAGCCATGTTCCGGCCAGAAATATCGGTGCCGAAGGTTGTTGGCATAGCAGAGGCGGATGATGTGTGCACAGGAGTAGCCAGTCCTGCATTGCCCATGGGGGTAGCAGAAGGGGCTTGGTCCCATCGTGAGCGTTTCTTGGAGGCTTCAGCTCCTGGCGTAGGGAGAGCAGGCGTTTGATCCCATCGCGAGCGTTTGGGCTTGACCGCATCATCCGTCTCAGTCTTCGCATCGTCGGCGGGTACCGCAACGTCCCATCTCTTCTTGCGCTTTCGGGTAGTAGATGAGGCTTCGGTGGATTCAGCTTCGGCGCTGTCTTTATCTCCATCTATGAGCATGGGCTTGGCGTCACCGTCATCTTCGGTTTGACCTTCCTGCTTCGCCTTGATAGCCTGCAGCACGCGCTGTTCTTCCCTCTCGAGTTCACGAGCCTCCATAATCTCGCGGTAGCTGGTGCCGTTCTCGGAAGCGCCCTGGCCATCTTTGGCGAAGGCGTCGGCGCGCGTGGGAGTGAGGGCGCGATTGAAGCGGCGCTTTTGGTAATCTGTCTCGCGATCGACGATTCGGCCGCTCTTCTCTCCCTTTCCAGCAAGAATGTCATCCTCTTCGACACCATTTCCACGGGAAAATTCATCAATCATATCTCGCGACGCTGTGTACTGGCCGACTAATCGTCGCGTATTGTCGCCATCGCCCATCTCCTCGTCATCATCGTCACCCATGGGCAGGGACGTGCTGTATCCGGCAAACTTGTCGGGTCCATCACGTTCGTATAGGGTATTGTCGGCGCTGTCGGTCAGCTTCTGCTTCGTCTCGTCGACTCGCTGGTTGGCGGCGTCAAAGGTTCGCGAACCCTTGTTTCCCGCCGCGGCAGCATTTCGCTCCTGCTGGAGCTTCTTAATGGTCTCGAAATCCGCGTCAGACATTTTGTATTATGGCATTTGCAGCTTCATCCCGGTTCGAGAGGACAAGGGGCGCTAGGAGCGTTATCGTTGCGCATGGAGAGATGGATGTTTGATGGGTGGTCGCAAAATTACACTCTCCTTTGCGAAGCTTTGCTAGGTTGGGAGGCGATCTTCTCCACCCGAGTTTTAGCCGCTTGCTGAGAGCGTGCATGTGCCCGCCTACCCGAAAGGGTAATTAGTCAACAATGCATTAACACTTCAAATCCTTCAGCTTTTACGCAGTACTTTCATTTATCGGTCACTAAGAAGAGAGCATGATTTCTGAAGGGCATTGTTCAGATTATGGAACAAGAATGTAGCGCTATCGGACATTGTTCTATGGGAAGACCGGGCCGAGAGGTTGCTAAGCAACTTCACTGTAGAAAACCATAGCAGCCCCCAAGATAAATATACATGATGTGCTACATACAACACGCGTTGGGTACTTTCTTATGAAGTGCGCAGTCTTTTTGATCTTCGCATTTGCTTAATCTCCTCAACCCCTTGTTCATCTTTGGGCGTAACGATCGGGGTTTCTTCCTTCACCACAGTGTCGCTGTCTGTAATAGTGATCGTCTTCTTCGTTCTTGTCCTGGTATGTTCATCGATAGAACCGATCTCTATCTTTATCACAGTAGGCTCATCTTCTTCCTTCCTGGCCTGAGCCGCAAACTCCCTCAAGTCAGCGGTAAAGAGAACAGAATGAGCCCACCCGGCATATAATCCCCATAGATCTCGAAAATGATCCCCAACAGCATCGTAAGTGGCCTTGTTTAGCGTCTTGACTTTTGACTTGCCAAATTTGTAGTCTCGTTGTGCAATTTGCCAGACGTGAGTATCGACTGGTACTGCCTCCCCCCAGCCAAGACCCATGAGACATACGCAGTCGGCAACCTTTGGACCAACTCCTTTCAAGGAGAGCAATTGTTGTTGTGCCTCTTTATAGGATGCATGTTGCTCTTTTGGCACGGGTGTTGTGTTGAAGCCAGGAAATTCTGGATTTCGAAGGCTTTCCAACCAGTTATCAGGCTTCTCCTTGGCGACCATCCGTGCTGTTTCGGCGATGTACTTGGCTCGGTATCCGAACCCCAAGGCTCTAAGGTTTGTTTCCACGTCATCACCTATAAGGTCTTGGGGAGTGGGAAAGTCGTGGAAGGGCTCATTATCCATATGAGCTATGAGGGGCCCGTAATGCCGGCACAACTTGTGTACCTAATAGTATAATAAGCTTCGAGATTCTTCGAGTGTGAGTTTTACTAACCATTTGTGATATTCTTGTAATGTTGTTATTGCTGCTGCAGATGAAGCATATCAACGTTTCCCAAGCATCTTGACTGAGAATGCGAACACCTTGGAATTGAGGAGCTCTCTTGCGGAAATTGGAATCCGCAGCTGACCATTGTTTGTACAGAGGTTCAAGACTTGTATCCAGGTTGAAATAATGCCGTAAAAGAGCTTCAGTATCGCTTGGTGGCAACGTCTTAGGTTTGGGTGCTGGGAAGGTGACTTGATAGTGCAGATGAGTAGCATCCTGTTTCAGATGAAGGAGTCTCCCGTGTAATGTGCAGGTCCTGAAAGTGTTGGTATTTCACTTTGACTTCTAGCAAGATCAGGGGCTCACCATTCATGGTTAATCTTCTGCCATCTGAAAGACTGCCCACATCTTAGTGTGGTGTTGATGCAAAGCTCCCCTAAAGTGACGGGCAGCTTCTGCCACTCTGTTCTTCCAACAATAGGCATGGGGAAGAAGTAATTGAAATGAGCGAGAGTCTCAGGTTTATGAGAAACGCGTTGGATATGTGAGAATAATCATATAAGGTGCAAATTGACGTGACGAAGTCGAGAAGTCGTGGCGATTCTAAACTTTGGGTTGAATGATGTAATGGGGGCTACAGTTGCTGCCCATGCCTGTAGCCCCCTGAGACTAATAGGCAAGGAGACTACGCTACAGTGGGATACCAGAGTCTACAAAGGTCGGCCTTTTCTGATTTGGAGAAGAATGCCTAGCAATTGAAACACTCGAAAGGTTCTAAATACCTCTTTAGCTTATGTATTAGACGCAGAAAATCGCTTTGGATTTTGATTGAAGTATAGAAACCTGCAAAGCTACAGCCTATAGTTCTGGCCTTAAGATAAAATTTCTATTGGGTTTTTAGAACCTGAGGTCCAGGTCCCCATTCAATCCAACGCTAATCCAGATTCTGACTAACGCTGGCGTCTCCTGGCAAAAAAAGCTCCAGCCTCGCGCGATGCATGCCAGCTCTTTGAAATTGGAAACTCGTTGCGGCTTGAATCAACGACTCCGCCTTCCAAACATACACACTTATCAATTCTACAGACATTGGCCGATCTCTACAGTCGCTTGCTAATACTGTCATTATGAACGGCGACAGCTACTCTTCCCGAGGTAAGTTCATTTGAAACATTGTGGTTTATCGCGTCGCGTCGCTAACCCTTTCAACGCAGACGGGCGCAGGGGAGGCCGAGACTATCCTGTAAGTAAACTATCTCGATCTTGTCTTGTCGAGTGTGATTTGATCTAACATCGTTTAGCCCAGAGGTGACAGGGAAGATCGTCGAGACCGACACCGCGACCGCGACCGCAGACGATCTCGTTCGCCTGACCACCGAAGCCATCGACGAGGTGAAGGCGACGCCGATGCTTACTCTTCAAGCCGAAATCACCGTGATCGTGAGCGCGAGGATAGATACTCGGGCCGCGGTGAAAGACGGGGCGGCGAGCGTGGTGGTGATCGTGGTGATCGTGGCGAGCGTGGTGAACGTGGTGCTGAGCGCGGCGCTGAGCGCGGCGCCGAACGTGGTGCTGAACGTGGTGCTGAGCGAGGTGCTGAACGTGGCGGCGAACGTGAATGGGACCGCGATCGGGGATCATCCCGCCGAGACGCTCGACGCGACGACGATGAGCGACCCAGCAGGCGAGAACGAGACCCGTACGATGACCGCCGCCGCGGAGGTGGAGGCGGAGGTGGAGGCGGAGGCAGAGACCGTCGTGAGGATAGATTCCCGGCGCATCAAGAACGTCGCAGCGCCAGTCCGCCCCCCAAGAAGCGAGAGCCAACCCCAGATCTTACGAATATCGTATCTGTCATCGACCGCAAGCGTCGCTTGACACAGTGGGACATAAAGCCTCCGGGCTATGAAAATGTCACAGCTGAACAGGCCAAGCTATCCGGCATGTTCCCTCTTCCCGGAGCTCCTCGACAACAGCCAATGGACCCCAGCAAACTCCAGGCTTTTATGAACCAGCCTGGCGGACAGGTGACTAGTGCTGGACTCAAGGCAAACAACTCTCGCCAGTCGAAGAGACTTTTGGTTTCCAAGATCCCGTCAGGAACGACCGAGGAGGCCCTCATGTCATTCTTCAACCTTCAACTCAACGGATTGAACGTTATTGATACCACAGACCCCTGCGTTCTGTGCCAGTTCTCTAACGATCGATCGTTCGCAGTTATCGAGTTCAAGGATGCCCCAGAAACGACGGTGGCCTTGGCGCTGGATGGCATTTCCATGGAAGCCAGCGACGCTGCGAATGGCACGGACGGAGGACACCGCGGCCTTGAAATTCGCCGACCTCGCGACTATGTGGTGCCCGCAATTACCGAGGAAGTTGCCTACGACCCCGAGGTCGTCTCTAACATTGTTCCGGATACCGTTAATAAGCTGAGCATTACCAACATCCCAACCTTCTTGACAGAAGAGCAAATTATCGAGCTGCTCGCAAGCTTTGGTAAGCCCAAGGCTTTTGTCTTGGTCAAGGATAGAGGAACAGAAGAGTCCAGAGTAAGCATCTCAGTCTGTCATACATTGCTTTTTCTAACAGTCGCAGGGTATTGCTTTTGCCGAATATCAAGATCCTACTGTTTCCAATCCAACAGCGCTTGACACTCTTAACGGCATGGATATTGGTGGCAAGAAGATCAAGGTCAGCAAAGCAAGCATCGGTCACACACAAGTAGCAAACTTCGACGTGGGCATCACCGCCATTAGCGGTCTTGCTTCTCAGACCGCCAACGAAGTCGAAAGCAGCCGAGTGCTTCAGCTTCTCAACATGGTCACTGCCGAGGAACTTTTGGACAACGATGACTATGAGGGTATGTAGTCTTTATCCAGTCTTATGAATGTGTGCTAACATGATTTGTCAGAAATCTGCGAAGACGTCCGGGAAGAATGCTCCAAGTACGGCAAAATCCTTGATGTCAAGGTCCCAAGACCTACTGGTGGCAGCAGACAATCTGCTGGTGTGGGCAAGATCTTTGTCAAATACGAGAACACTGAGGATACAACAAAGGCTCTGCAGGCTCTTGCAGGACGCAAGTTTGCTGACAGAACTGTTGTGACAACATATTTCCCAGAGGTACGTTCATCTTCATAAGTTATGTGTTTCTCTCACTAACGCCATATACAGGAAAACTTCGATGTCGGCGCGTGGTAAGAGCTTGATATTTACCCCAGTCGGTGGTTAGACCAAGACACAAGTTGGTTTGACAGGGCGGGATTTACTATTGGTGTATGTTTAGGGAAGCAATTGAAAATGTAAAACAGAGGGCATGACAAAGCATTAGTATTTTTTTTAAATTCAACGACCGGTCACTAATGATCAGGCACCACACTCCATCGCATGGGCCTTGTCGTATCTCACGTCATGTCCGTGGAAGAAGTTTTCACAGATGGGGTCACTGAAAAGAGACGAACGGACAAGCAAGGGAGACAGGTTGAGAGGGAAATTGTGTTATATATACATATCTATCTGCATATACTAAGGGTCAAGATTAAGTGCGTACTTATTACTCTATTGGTTTGTTATCTGTAATCTGTTAGTGCCAATCCATCAACAGATAAAGCAAGTAATCATTGCATGTGACCATAGATCAGAAGTCCATTTAAATTCATTGAGACCGAAGCCTCTAACATAAGAGGTACCAGAAATAGTAAAAAAGTAATGTGTCATCATGTCGAGGTCGACAGGGCGGTGCGGATAGAAAGAGCAGAGAGAGATATTGACTTACCATATGATTGTTAGCAATTGCGCAAAGCAGACCGTCTTTGATCTTGCCTTGTTGTACTTGGAGGTTGATTGTATCTGGAAGAAAAGCTGAACCGCGAAGCAAAGAAAAGTAAACGCGACGCTCCACTGACACCGAGCTCGGACCACACACGTGACGCCGAAAAGCCGGCTCTGCCCTCTGGCGGTGGGGGCCTACAACCCAATCAGAATGCACCGCTCTGCCCTAACTAAGCGGTCTTTCTTCGCACCAGCCCACTAAAGACAATCTCTGAAAACTTTCAAACTCGAACAACTCCATTCCGACCTCATCCCAGCATCACGACCGCCGCCAAACCGACAAGATGGGCAGACTTCACAGCAACGGAAAGGGCATTTCTGCCTCCGCTCTCCCTTACTCTCGCCACGCTCCCGCCTGGTTGAAGACCACCCCCGAGCAAGTCGTTGAGCAGATCTCCAAGCTCGCCCGTAAGGGTGCCACCCCTTCTCAGATCGGTGTCATCCTCCGTGACTCTCACGGTATTGCCCAGGTCAAGCTTGTCACTGGTAAGAGAAAATTCGACGCAGGGTAATTTGGGGGCGTTCACGACGGCTAACACACAATTTGCAGGTAACCGTATTCTGCGAATCCTCAAGTCCTCCGGTACGACTCCCTGAACGAAAATTGGGTGTGGCGACGACAAACAATACATATACAATGGAGAAACACCATCTCCTTAATGCCTCTGTGCGGTTGAGACTGACAGAGTGATTTTAACAGGCCTCGCTCCCGAGCTCCCCGAGGATCTGTACATGCTTATCAAGAAGGTACGCCAGTCATGTCAAAATTTTCCCTTCTGTTGAATATCCCGCTAACTAAATGCAAAGGCTGTCGCCGTCCGCAAGCACCTTGAGCGCAACCGCAAGGACAAGGACTCCAAGTTCCGTCTCATTCTCATTGAGTCCCGTATCCACAGGTAGGTTCCAAGATATATCTCGTTTGGCTATACTAAGCTAATATTCAAAAGACTGGCCCGTTACTACAAGACCGTCGGTGTTCTCCCTCCCACCTGGAAGTACGAGTCCGCCACTGCCAGCACCATCGTCGCTTAAGCGGACATAAGAGAATGGCTGGTCGCTCTGGATGATAGTGACGGTTTCCCGGGTCACGGAGTTGGGGGACAATTTATGGAAAAAGTTGCGTTTAGAGCCATGATGCTTGTGCTCACCCTTTCTGGGAGGATCAACAGCGAAGTCAACTGCTCAAATAGAAAGCTCTTCGACCGCTGAAAGCGTGTGTATGCAATGAAGCATACTCAACACAGTGACGACAAAATTATTGAACCTGAACGCCATCTATCCCTATCGCTACCAGTTACCTACAATGTGGAAAAGTGATTTGATGTGATGTAATGCGATATGTCAAAACCTAGCCAGTTCCTTCCAACTCCTTAGATTTTTGAATGAGATATTCTCCTAGTACCCGGAGAGGGTCGCTCGGTCTGTGATACGGTTAGTAAGTGATGTTGAAACTCGGAACAGGCGGTATTCACTTGTCTTTTGCCAATTGCTTCATGCCTTCTAACAGCGTTCCTGTGACTTTGGTGTTGAGATATCGTCGTGTCGAATCGCCATGTGGGGGAGCTTCAGCGGGTATGTTAAGACCAGGATCTGGATGCGCAGAGGCAGCTCTAGATCCTTGAGCTGGTGTTCCTGTTCGTGCGGGAGCGGGACTGGGCGCATGAGCAGCTGGAGCAGGGGAAGACTATGTTACGTCAGTAAAGTACCTTTCAAAAGTATTCGAGAGAGTCGCAGCCTGAAAACAGCTGTTCAAGTAGAAGTCGGAAGTGGGTGAGGAGTTACATACTGCAGGCTGGTCAACAGGCGCATCAGACATCACAACATCCCTCTGTAGAGATTCTGTCGGGAATCCATTGGTAGCAGCATCGGCTGGAGCTGCAATTTGTGGTGTCTCCATGGTTGGATCGGCTTTGGGGGTTTCGTCTGCCATCTTTGAAGCAAGGTGCTGAAGGGTACAAAGAATGCTATTATTGCATGAGAGGAATTATGGTCGATCAAGCACTGTTGAAACGCGCCGGTTGATTATCGGATCAAGTTGGAAAGTGAAAGAGGCACCCGCGAGGTCATGTGCTTTCGTGTTGCCAAACGTGTCTGCCTTTGTCCATCGCGTCTGCCTGCCTCTTGGACCTTCAATACGTCAACGGTTTCTTCGTAGCCCTTCGTGAGCCATACTTTTTGTTTGACCTGATATGGCTGAATTCAAAGTATGGATGCATTCGTGACAAGGCTTCCAAAGCCGCAAAGTCAACTCCGCAGTCAAATTCGACCTGACTCACCAGAAAAGGAGAGGCCTTCCAAGCGAGCCAAACAACAGGGATCCCCAGATTCTGATAGTGATCATTCTCACGATGCACATGATTCTCAGAACAAGACGTCACCGACGAAAAGCATTGATAACACTGAATCTGTTGAAACTGATACTCAAAATGATGGACATTCTCGACCTACGGACATCGAAAGTGCATTACCTCCAGCCGCTGAAGGCAAAGAGGCAATTGAAGAGTATGAGGCGATGAAGTCATCGCAGGCCACTGCTGAAGATGGCGCAACAGAAAAACCTCAGTCTCGTTGGGTCAGAGGACAAAGCTCTATATATGTGGACGCCTTCAACCTCGCCCTTGATACAGTCTTGGAGGAAGAATCACATTTGTTCGATGAAAATGAAAGTGAGGTCTTCAGGCAGTGGAGAGAGTTGAACTACGAAGCTCAATACCTGTATGTTGTATGCCAACGCTAAATGACCGACCAAACTTCTCACATTTTCCAGATATGTTCGTTTATTTCTGAGAAAGACAGCATCGTGGCATCGTCATAGTCGTCTTGGGTATCATAGCGATATTTCAGATCTCGAAGCAGCCATAGCTACCCTGCAGTCGTCTCGTAAACTACCACAACATACCACTCTCCAGACACAAACTCCAGTTTTAGGCATCAAACTTGAAGAGTTTAGCTTGGGAGAGACATTTACGTTTGCGGATGCATCGGATGATCATATCAACTGTGTGGAAGAGGCTGCCTCGCAACTCAGTTTGGACGAACTGAAGGATCTGGCAAAGGAAGCCAAAACTCAGGGGCGTACCAAAACAGAGCTCATTCGTTCACTTGTGCGGATGAGCAAACAGCAAGCCGGATTAATGTCAGTTGGTCTTAGCAGACACAACAGCCGTGATTCGGCTTGCGAGGATCAAGAAAACAGAGATGCAAAAGCGAAACCCAAGGCAAAGCTTCGTCGGGAAGACTCAAACCGAGAGCAGCATTTTTTGACCAAAATTCTTGCTATACTCGGGCCTTGCATTCGACTATCGCCGTCACCCTTCAAGCTTTTCGAGCGTGTGCATCTCGTGTTTTACCGATCGACCGAGTGGACGGAGAAATCACTCACTACGATTATTCTAGCCAAGATTGCAAAACGCCATTTCCCCGAATATATTGTCTGCCGAACCTCCACTATATTTGCATCACGCTTACATTTGCTGGAGTATGAAACTGCGATCCGCATGGAAGCGGAGGTCGACGCGTGGGAGTTTAGTAGTCCCACAGGAGAAGAGGGCCTCAGAATGATGATTGACATATTTGACAAAGTTTACCCCAGATGGAAGATGTTGGTTGAAGAAGAGCAACGCAAAGAGCACACTGTATATGAAGCGGGCGAAGGAGCTTATTTGAGACGGTTCACGCCCGGCCATTCGTACACGAGAATTGTTCATAAAGCGGCTCCAATTTTTGGAAAACTTAAAGAACACCTGCGAGAGCATCAGTTGCTCGCTGAACTTCTCAACCAGCGATTGTTCCACCCAGCCAGGCGAGGTGGCTGGTATCAGCGAAAAGCTCTACTGGAAGAGCATTATATGCCTGTCTTAGATCCGAGCCCAAGATACACAGATGTTGAGCAGCAGAAAAAACACTGGAAGAGAGTTGCAGTTACTACTTGCGAAGCTGGACTACAAGATTCAGACTGCCATCTCATATTTCACTTCGACCTGCAGAAACGGTTGGTAAAGTTAGAAAAGAAACTGCGCATACCACGCCGTTTACAACACGATTTTGGTCACGTCGGTTTGCAAAAGCCTATCGAGCATACAATCGAAGGGATACAAATCAAGAAGGACATAATCGTCAAGCCCGGTCGTCAAGCGTCAACAAAGACCATATGGTTTGACGCGCTAGACTCGCAAGAAGAGTGCAATGTCGAAGCGATGTGTCTGAGCCAGTATCGATCAGAAGGATGGAAAGGATACCACGCTGAGGGTGGGATCATTCGCACTCTCTTTGCATACCTCTTTTACGACGTCCTCTTCATTTACATACCAAATGTGTTCCAAACGGCTTATCAAACATGCCCACTTGACCTACATACAGACGCCTTCTACCCATCCAGGGCATCTGAAATCAACCACAGGCTTGTTGAAATTGCCAACGGAGAGGCGCCAAGGCTGATTCGTGAAGTCTGGGATCGAGAGCACGAGAAGAGGACAAGTGTTGTGGGCCTCAATTGGGATTTCGAGGTTGACGATCTTGTGGAGCTTGTAGAATGCTTCGAAGGCAGTGCTCTTGCGGCAATATGCAAGGTGATGGCTCAGGAATACAGGCAACGCGGCGGAGGCATTCCGGATCTGATTCTGTGGCGCACTAAAGAGACACTAGAGGATCAATCCACAGAACCCGGCAAAGCGAAGGGAGAGGTCATGTTCTCGGAGGTCAAGAGCGCAAACGACCGATTGAGCGATACTCAACGGCTCTGGATCCATGTGCTTACAGGCGCAGGGGTCAAGGTTGCGCTTTGCAATGCCGTAGCAAAAGAAGTGAGGGAAGTGGATTGAATCCATACTCAGGACTCTTGCATACGGGCTTGAGGATCTTTGGTGATAGTGATATTCAATCACAATCAAGACAAGACACGTGAACAGGGATGGACGTTCCCTTGAAGCTGAGATATGCGAGTTCCAAACTGCCCTGCAATTTCACCATGCGTCTCTAGTCTAGCCAAGCCAGTGGCGATCTACTTGTTCTGGAAAGTCTATATCAGGATACGAGCAGGGATGAGTCGCAAACAACACTGTAATGGACTCGTTTTGGTGTTTGAGCCAAATTTAGCAATCGCCAATGCAATTTGGAAACACGATCAAGGGGGCTTGTTCCACCCAGCAGGTCGGTCAGAACGGTCTCAAGCTTGTTTCTAATCTCAGACTCAGGGCTGAGGATCCCTCTCTGGTTTCAGATAGGCGGGAGGCGTTGACTGAGCATGGTAGCCAATGACAGGGCGGCGCGGGAGACGGTGTGATGCGCAAGTTAGGCAGGGTTGTCACATCACCACATGCGCATCTCGTCACTGGCGCTCTCGGCGGGTTGGACGACTTATTGGGCTATGTGGGCTGTAGCTCCAGGGCCTGTGGCCTCTCAGAAACATACTCTCCTGTTTGCCGAGCACGATGCCACGAGGAAGCGAGCTTCAAGGAAGCGGAAGAGTACGCGGGGTAGCTCGGGCGCTTTTCACCAGTCGGGCTTGTGCCATGGGTAACGGGTGATAGTGTTCCAGCGCCTTGGTCACCTGGATGACGAAAAGTGATGAGTTTGGGCGGGTTGGGCGCAAAGAGCCCAAGCTCAGGTTCAACTCTGTTGATGGTCACAAGTTTAGTTCATCAGGCTTGTGTACGGTACAGCAGGAGACTCAAGTCCTTTGGTCCCAGTTGGACAAAATTGGGAACACGCGTGCTACTAGCGCGCTATATCTCGCAGTAGCTGGGTAGCATGCGCGAAACAATTGACAAGAGTAGAAACGAGAGCGAGAGGGGAGATGCAGTTGCAGTTGCAGATTGCAGATGCACCTGAAGCAACGAGCTACGATATGACACGACGCGACATATAGTGCAGGCATTTTCAGTACAGACGGGCGAGAAACGACGCTTCTGCATGTTGCCATGACCTTCACCCTCAATTGAACGTCTGAACTCAACTCGACTCGACTCAGAGAAGCTCAATCCTCACAAATGCAAATGGTATCGTTGACCCACAGCCCTGGGCGCTTAGCACGCACCCAATCATACCAAGCCGCCCTCCATGGTGGGTGATGGGCTCGTTCGGCCTGGCCAATTGCATGCTTGATGCCCCATGGCTCGGCGCTTACAAGCCCAGCTTATGGGGCTTCCTGGTTCCGCTTGGACCAGGATCCTGGGTTCCCCCGTAGAACAGAGCCCGCCGCTTTTAAGTCTAAGTCTTTCTAGTGGCTCAAGCCAGGGGTGATGGGCTATTGGGACCGACCGGGGGGGCGTGCCGGCCGTGTGGGAGCCTGTGATAATTATGGCAGGATGGTTTCTAAGTCCAGCGGATTCTTTGCTGTAATCGCGGTGCAGTAACAAGTGTAGTGCCAGGCTCTGGCGGCACGACAGTGGGGAGAGAAAAAGAACTGGCAATGCTGGCTTATGCCGTAGGCACTTGCTTCTTGCGCCTTTTCCTGCCGCTTTGTGTGTCTTTCTGCATACGGAGTACATACGTCCCCATTCTGCGACTCAAAAGCCGGCCCAGTGGAGTATCCGATTCACGTCTTGCATTTCATCACAAACACAAAGAACCAAAACAAAGAGCAATAGCTCTCTCTGTCTCTATCGTGTGTTCATCCCCCATCACTAAACACCCCTAATGCAAATCTCTCCAAGGGGGCTTGCCATGATGATCTCTTAGCTCTGCCTAGCATGCCCTTGTAAGCCAACCTCCAGTCTACCGGGAACAAGGGTCTATCCCATGACTTGGAAATAAAAGAGAAAATAAGACAGAACGGGCGGGGTCTTGGAGGTGATCTTCTAGCTGGCGGCCTGCGAAACGGCCGTCTCTGCGACCAAGATACACATCGAGGATATACCCGTCGCGCGGCCTGTTCTGGCGGCCATGGCAGATCCATTATAAACAAACAAACAAACAAACAAACAACTGTTGAACCAAACAAGGGATACGAAACTTACAGAAATGGCCAGCTGTGCGAATAGCCCCTCTTCCGCTATGTAGTCTTGGCTCGTGTGATCCATATGTACTCGTCAGTCGGTTTCTTCATCAACACAGCATGCAATAGAGTTGGTGTTTAAACAGCCCATGGCTTTGTGAATTTATTTTGAGTAACCGAGTTACCACAAGCTGATCGTACCCCTGATATACGGGGTCACCGACGCTCAAAGCGTCCTCCAACTCTCTCATTCACCCCACAACTCTGTTGGAGAGTGCCTTATCACAGGACTCCTGCTGTCGACTGCTCCCAAATTCCTCATCTCTGCCTTCCGCATCCAAACTTCTCCACAAATGTTGGTATCGTACTTCTTGGTCCATGCTATACCCCCAGGGAATCGCACATCCAAGTTGATAATGAAATTGTAAAACGCCGTCAAACTCCTCGACCGTACCTCCAAAACAGCCCCAATAGTGGTCTTCCAATTCTGACTCAACTCCTTCCAAGGCGTATCAAATAAGTGTTCGTAAGAGAATGACTGAAGGATAAAAGGGCGACAGTTTTCGCCGCCAGGTGTCGAAGGCCTGCTCCAATTTTCGCCTTGTGTTCTGCATCCTCGTCGTTTTCGGTATATTCTTGGTTGCAATGCATGTCTAAACAAAAGGAAAGTCGTAATGTGTTCGAAGGATCGTTAGAAGTTAGGTGTCCGTTGAATTGAAGATAGTTTTGCGTGTTACCATGATGCGAAGGAGCATATGGTTGCTGACCTAATGGTCTACTCAACCTTGCGTCTCTTTCCCTTGGGCGCAGGTGCCATCCTGGGTGTATATGTGACGGTCCTTGTCACCACCTCTCTGATATGTCGCACACTAGTCCGTGAGGTCTTTTGCTTCTTTTCCATCAAGCGTGCTTTGAGAGCAGCATCCCAGTCAAACACTGAATGGACTGGTCTGGCGCTGAAAGGTGATCGAACAGTACTTGCACTCATTGGCGAGTCCATGTTGGACACACTGGGACTCGGGGGTACCTTGAGGCTAGGGAAACAGGCAGGGCCGGTAGGAGGAGCAGACATGGGCGTAGGGCAGACGAAGGGGCTTGGAGGCATCATAGGAGCCGTTGCTGGAGGGGTTGGGCGAGCTGAAGCCTTGGAGGTTATGCTTGAAGCTGAAGACGGAGGTGTGCCCTCACGCTTGCAGGAAGCATCGGTTTCCTCGCTGGTTGCTGTGTCTGGGAGCGAATCCGGAGTTGTCAGGCCAGAGCTCGTGGCGGGAGAGTTGAGGGCCATGGCCTTGGTGAGAAAGTCGGTATATGCCATAGGCGGGCTGATAGGCGTCTTGAGAAAGTCCGGATCAGGCTTGAACGTGAACGAAACAGCCGAGATTGGAGTTGCCGACGTGATCTCGGAGGGAAAGGTAGCGGTGACGGGAGTGGTAAGCTTCCCCAACTTGGGTTTGGCGGTAGGCATGATGATGGTTGAATTAACCGTGAATATCGAAGTCAACGTTGATTATGGGCGAGTTGGAAAGTTTGAGCTAGGTTGATTTTTATGAACCAGCAGCCGGATCCCAAGAAGTAGGAATTAAGAGTACAGGCAGATAGAAGCAGCGAGTGAACAAACTGACTGACTGACTGGAGAAAAAACGAAGGTCAGAGGGTAGAAGAAAGGCAGCACTAGATGATTATAAGGAAAGGACTGCGTCAAGTGTTTGGCGCCGGAGGATGAAATTGGAAGAGGTGGGCGCTTGAAGACGAGAAGGGGGTGTGAAGCAGTTGGAACAAGGTGGAGTTATGACGGACTGGGAGAGAGAAGGGGTAGGGGTGTGTAGAAGGAGATAACCCTGAGCAGCTAAATGTGTGGATATCGCACGGGATACCACCAGATGGGGGCCGGGCGCGTGTGCGAGTACCAGACTACCAGGCATAAACCGAACGGCCACCACTGGAGCAACAGCAACAGAAAAGCAGCACATGTTAATAGAGGAGCGACTGCGCGACTACGGAACACCAAAACAACAGGCGCGTGCTTGTATTCAGAACTGGTGCAGAAAGGGCGGCAACTGCGCAAGTAGCGACTTGGACGAGCCAGGGAGGGGTGTGGCGGCAATCAATGCTGCTTTGCGCTGCTTGTGCTGTTCTGCACTGGCTACTCAGTACTTTGCATCGATTTGTGTTGCGCCCAGCCAGTATCGTCGCCTGTGCAGCCTGCAAGCGTGCAATGCGAGGATGTGACTGCGCTGTGGTCTTAGTGGGCAACGATAGCTGCAGTATGCTTGACAATGTCACTCCATCTCTTCCAGTCTTTCGACTGCCTAGCAGCCGCCAATCAACGACAAGGCGGGTGGTGCACTATGTTGGTGACAAAGAGAAATCAAGTTGGCTGTGTCAGGCTGTTGGTAACAACTGTATTCCGTACCACTCTCGTGTTGATGGTGTCCTGGCAGAACGAACGCGAGCCAAACACTCCGATCAATATCGTGACAGAGATCTTGTGAACAAACATATCCGGCAACTCAGAAAGTAAGTGCTAGAATGGACTTGTTGGTCGGCGGCTCAACAAGTCTGACTTGATGGTGGTTGGTGGGCAGTACTCCATAGAAAGGCGCTGTGATGGGTGTAAGTTGTTAGAGCCCAAAGGTTGACGGGGATTGGCTGGTTTTGGCGGTGATAGTCGCGTTAAAAGCAGCGGCAACAGCCTACGCCAACTCGAGAATAGGAACAAATGTCTGACAGGGGAGCGGGGGGGCTGTTGATTCGACGGTGCAGGGGTCGAGCAAGTGCCCTGAGAGTTTAGCCTCTTGCTATTTTTTATTCTCGAATAGCCCCTAGTCACCTGTCATCCTTGCTGAAATGGCCTTTAAGCGAGCTGTTTGGTCACTTAAGCCGTTGCTGGCGCCGCGGATGGCTTCCCTGGCCCAGATGGTCGGTGAGGAATGTGATTCGACCAGCGAAACCAAAGCTGGGGGGGACGACACTTGAGCAGCTTGTCGGCTTTTCGCAAGCTCACCAGTTTCACTGGTTTGGCTCACGGCGAGCCAAAGTACCGAGCGAATAGGATCTCGGCCATGGTCTTTTCCACGATTCTGACAGCGATGAGGTAGGTTCGGCGCTGGCGAGTAACGGGTGATGCCTTGCAGTTAAATCTTTTTGCTTGCAGTTCTTACGAGGATAGTGCTTGTTTGTCTTTGTGCTTCTGGGTGCTACTTCAAATCAATTGATGAAGGAGAGAGGAGGGTTTTTGGGTTTGGAGGATAATTGCAACTCGATGTTGAAATGGCAACTCATCATTGGTTCCTGTCGTAACTGCCTTCATCCTTGATCTCGATCAAAATATGGGAGCTCAGAGCTGGTAACAGCTCCCAGCGCGACTTCCATTGGATCAATTGTACACTATCTCGGCGAATTAGAGGTAGAATGCCCAGGTCCAATGAGGAGTTGCCTTCGTAACTGCCAACTATCAGAATAAGGTAGGTACTAAATTGAGATACGATGGAAGTCTCCGTCATGAACATCGTCTTTCTATCAAGTGCACTAATCAATCACCACCAATCAACGACTCAAAGTTGATAAGTTACGATGCATCGACAAAGCAAGCATTGGCCCCTTAAGGAAGCTTATACACGGCCACTGAGACCGACGTAATGTTTTGCAATACGACGCGCGCGCAAGTAAGCATGCGCACGTCGCCATGTTGGGGTTACATAAATCTATTTGCGAAATTCAAGCGTTTACGAAAACAAGTATGAGGTTGGCTTCAGTATATCGGCCTGGTCTGGCGACATGCGACAGCTAAAGTGAGGTGGCCAAGGGCAACTCCGTTGGAAGAAGCGCGCGTCAATGCGAGGCATACTTGTTGCAGCTGCTCTAGATGGGTTGCTTGACCAACGGGCACTAGACTGTTCAGTCTTCTCACAAACATATTGTGTGGCAAGCTCATTATTGGCTCACGATCTATCTCGTGAGTAGGCGCCGTCGGTCTTAAACGGCCAGCCCATTTGCTGCAGAAACATAGCGAGTTATCTTGAGTATTTTGTAACATTTATCGCGGTCTTCAAGCCGCGCGCTCAGGTTTGTCCCAATTGTATGAGACTGGGGCAGAGACAACAGATGGTGGTCCCGAAATAGCTTGGTATGCGCCCGAATTTAATAATGGTGAAACAAGTTTCGTGTTATGTCTTTTTAGGCTTTCTTGAGAACTATCTGACAGTAGAGCCAGATACCTAATTATTTGGTTTAGGTTCTCACATAACCAACCACCCATTTACCAGTATGACTACGGTTTGCGCATATTAACAACGTAGTACTGATACCGGCTCCCGGTCAGCAACATTGGTCTCATTATGACTATTAGCAAACGACAATATCATTGTCGACTGATTTACGGAGTGGCATTGCCCGAGTAGGCAGCATGAGGGTTTGATATTGATATAGGGTAGTCAATGTGGCAGGTATGGCGAAATAATGGGCAAATCTATTAACGCTCGTCATGTGTATTCGACATAGTGAAGCTTAATTGTTATATGACAAACATACCCTTTTTCATCGAATAATGTCCATGAGATGATGAGAGATTGTTAAAATATTGTGATCTTAAAAACAATTCGTCTAGATAATCATTGCACATGACATGTTTATGGTTGGTAAGCTTCATGACACGCCACATACATAATGACGCAGTACTCTTCAAGTCACGTAATATTCATATTCACCGCCTAGAACACGATTCGAAATGCACTGTGTGCGATATAACCCGTACTTGCTAGCTTATATTAGAGACAATGTAGTGTCTTGCTTATGTTTTATAAGAAACAATGTTCGATTTAACCACACCACAATTGGCAGCCTTAAATTGATCATCTATGCTGTCGGGTCTGTGCAGGCCAATAACATTATAAGAACGAAACGGTAGGTATTCTTAAGCTACTATGTAGATACCTAACTTGACACAGTGCCATACATGATGAATAAGATATGAGGGCAAGCTGCATTACTGTAGCAGTCTGAGTACGGGATACAGTGTATCAGACTCATTAATCTTCAATGAACCGAATCTGAGCAGCATCAAATTCCATGACCCACCTGGCAACCGCGCCTTTCCCAGTTTGTTTTCTTTCTTTCCTCCGTTCTCCAGTTCCTGTCAGACATTCTGTCAGTCTGCCTGCGCCTGCCTGGATTAAAAGTCCCTTCAGCTGTTTCCCTGCCCACATATTCCGAGTTAGCGAGTGTTGTTGCCTTCTCTTCTGCGCCGTGTCGCGCCTTCCGATCCAGCCCCCCCACCGTACCGTCCCGCCTTCCCGCACTTGGTTTATGGATGAGGCGAGGTGGACATTGGGTTGAAGGCCATAATATCAAGGACCACCAACTTCACTTACCTTACCTAACATACAGTAATTTCTCTCATAACTTCCCTCAATCCTCAGACTCACAGGACTCAGATCCCCCCCCTTTTTGTTCATGCCCACTTCCGAGTTTATCACCACGGCTACCCAACTAATGTACATGTACTGGTACTGTATCCGTACCTGCACGTCCTTGTGTCTCGTCCTAGTCCATACAAACTAGCGGGTTTCTGCCTACCTATGCCCGATTTAAAACCCCCGGCTCCGTCATAGGCACCCCTCTTGGCCTCACTTGACTCTGACTCGACCCTCCGTCACAAACTCACTGCCCACTGGAGGTACCAATCGTACCGTACTTTCACTTTGCAGGCTGTCTATACCACCACAGTACATACCTTACCTTTAGTCACCCGCCATCAAACGCCAACGCCACCTTCGATTTCTGCTCCTCATCCTCAGACATCCTTCCACACTTGGCTTCCCCCCAAGACCTCCCTTAAACCGTCACGATTCCCCCCACCACGAGGAAGCGGAAGGCTGCTGAGGCGACGATTACCTCTGCCAACAGAGACGAAGTACCCAGCAAGAGAGTCATCGCCTCAGCTGCCGTTGCAGATAAACACGCCCTGCCCCCTACTCCAGTCACTACTGCCAGTATCCCCATGGATTCCGAGGAAGAGTACATGTCGGCTCTTTCGAGCGACGACGAGATGATGCAAGACGATAGCGGCGACGAGATGTCAGCAGGCGAAGGTACGATTATCATACTCCCCTAAACTATCCTCCATGAGTAATCATGATAGGTACTAATGACGTTGCCATCACAGACTTTGACGATGAAGATTTTGACGAGCCCGACCCTGATTTTGGCCTGGTTAAAGACGCCGAAAAGAAGAAGAAAGCAGCCCATGTGGTATCATACAAAGTCTACGAACCGAGCGATATTCAACGCCAACAAGATGAAATGATTGCCGAAGTCAACATGATCCTAGATATGCAGAAGCAGGACGCAGCTATCCTGCTTCGCCATTTCCGATGGAACAAGGAACGCTTGTTAGAAGATTACATGGACAGACCAGAAAAGGTCCTGGAAGCTGCTGGAATGGGTAGCAATACAGCTAGCTCCCCGAAGCTCGAAGTTATTCCTGGGTTTACCTGCGATATCTGCTGTGAGGATGAAGAGGGACTTAAGTCATTTGCCATGAAGTGTGGTCATCGATACTGTCTAGACTGCTACCGACACTACCTCACGCAAAAGATTCGCGAAGAGGGCGAGGCTGCCAGAATTCAGTGTCCATCTGACGGATGTGGTCGCATCATTGATTCAGCATCACTAGATGTTCTTGTTACCTCAGCGCTGGCGGATCGATATCAAGAACTCCTCAACAGGACATACGTTGAGGATAAGGACAATTTTAAGTGGTGTCCTGCTCCCGACTGCCCCAACGCTCTTGAGTGTGGTGTGAAGAAGAAGGATTTGGGTAAGATTGTCCCTACTGTCGAATGTCGATGTGGCTATAGGTTCTGCTTTGGCTGTCCGAACCCGGATCACCAACCGGCGCCCTGCGAGTTGGTCAAGAAGTGGTTGAAGAAGTGTGCCGACGACTCGGAGACCGCTAACTGGATCTCGGCCAACACCAAAGAATGCCCAAAGTGCAACTCGACTATCGAAAAGAACGGAGGCTGTAACCACATGACGTGTCGAAAGTGCAAGTATGAATTCTGCTGGATGTGCATGGGACTATGGTCTGAGCACGGAACCAGTTGGTACAACTGCAACAGATACGAGGAAAAGAGCGGTTCCGAGGCTCGGGATGCGCAGGCCAAGTCGCGTACATCCCTTGAACGTTATTTGCACTACTACAACCGCTACGCCAACCACGAGCAATCGGCCAAACTGGACAGAGATATTGCACAGAAAACAGAAAAGAAGATGGTTCAGTTGCAAACTGCCTCTGGCATGTCTTGGATTGAGGTACAATATCTCAACTCGGCCTCCCAGGCCCTACAAACCTGTCGACAAACGCTCAAATGGACGTATGCCTTTGCTTTCTATCTCGCAAGGAACAACCTAACAGAGATATTTGAGGACAACCAAAAGGATCTCGAGATGGCCGTGGAGAATCTATCTGAGATGTTTGAGAAGCCGATTACGGAATTGTCTGACTCGAAGCTCAAAGTCGATATCATGGACAAAACCTCATACTGTAACAAGCGCCGTGTTATCCTGCTGGAAGATACGGCCGAGAATTTGGCAGCTGGTACTGTTTCCTCATAGCTCTCCCTTTACACGCTTTGGCGCATCTAGTTTTCGATTAATTACTAATATTGTAACCTTAGGTGAATGGAAATTCAATCCCGATCTTCTGACCGCCACTACCTCTGCTCCTGTCAACCGTCGCTGAGAGAATTATGGGAGTTGGTGCCAGAGTTGTCCCTCAACTCATACAAGAACAGTATTATTTGTTCTTACGCCAGGGGCGATGGAGCCAACTACCATCCGGCATTGTGTTTCAAGCCGATGGTTTAGTTAATGGCCTGCGAGAGATTTCTAGATCTTGCGTGATCATTCAAGCCGGATAAGTCTGGTACACGACCAGATTGCATGGCAAGGATATGCAGAAGGCAAGGTCTTGCTTCATGCCCGGTAGCTGTCGCCTTGTTCCACCACTTCGCAGACCTCTGGCCTTTTGTCCTCATTTCACACCACTTGTTTTTACTTATCATTTCCTACACATTTCCCATTATTGCCAGTCATCATGAACGTCTATCTCTGGATGATAGACAAGGCAGGGGATTCTGGCGTTGGCCCATTCTGGAAGGCGTTGGCGCGAACAAGGGACTGGCTTTTTGGTTGTGCTGCTGGAGCTCGGAAGATCTCGATTTATAGACTTGTTATGGCATGTTGTTTATTGTGGATGATACGGGTTATGAAATTCAACAAGCGGGCACGTAAACGAGAACAACCATCATATAGGGGTTTCTTTCAAATGTTCAAGAATGATTATTGTGTAGCATGCTGCTACATATCACAACGAAGGAAAGAATTGGTTAAAAAACACTGTAACAATCGCTGTGACGGTGATCGTCCAAGTCCTTGTATGGAGCTTAAGTCCAAATTGGGTATTATAAAACCTCGGTGGCAACATAATATTACCAAAACGCCTATCTAATATTTTACTCGATCCTCCCCAGTCTTTCGTTGTTCAATACACACTAGTTCCATAATACTCCAGTTACATCCATAGTCTGTCTTCGTACAGTTTAGCAACCAATGCCGCAGCTATAGTATAAAAAGAAGAAGAAAGAACAAAAGCAAGCAAACGCCCCATAAATGCTATATTCATTATGTAAGTCCTCACCCGGACGGCCAGATAGCTGCTAGGACAGACGGAGGCCGGAGCGAAGTGCAAATAACTCTCAAGCGAATGCAAAGCGTGATAGGTTGAGTTTCTTTGGTGGAAGGTCGATTTCATCCTCATCTTCGCCCTCATCTTCCTCGTCACTAGCAGGAATGATCTGGTCTTCGCTGCCACACTGGTTGAGTTGTGCAACTTCGTCCAGATTGACCTTGGGCAAGGGCACAAAAGCTGGGTTGACGGGTACACCAGAAAGGAATTGCCTATCGATACTGTTGCGTGGTTTGGGCAGCTTGGGTGACATGGGGGCGTTCATGGCACGGGCACCGAGACGTTGTAAGGGTGTCATGCGAGAGGCAGCGGTTGATGGGGCAGTGGACGGAGTGGATGCTGCGCTGAAGACCGAAGAGCGTTGTGAGGTAGTCGAAGCAGGTGTCTCGGTTGATTGAGAATAAGAGAATTTGCGGATGTCTGTTCGAGCGGGAGTGGAAGAGGTTCGTGACAGAGACGCAGCGGATGAAGGCGGAGGCATGGATTCGTCCAGGGATGACATAGGGGTCTCATCATCCTTGGCAAACGAGGCATGGCTCTCGCTGTCTGCAGTTGTTGAAGTCTCTTGGCTCTCCCGTTCTTCGAAAACCGACACAATCTTCTTGGCCTTATCAGCGGGTTTCCAACCATCAAAATCAGGCAGAGCCATTAGCGCTTCGTCAAGCGAATCGTCCGAAAGTAGGTAAGCATCGCTCTTGGCTCGCCGTGGGCTCCTCCGCGGTTTAGGTGCTGGGAAAAACTTGCTCTTTTGCGGTAGAGCTTCATCAGATTCCGTCTCATTCGTGTCACACAGGCGCGCTTTCTTGGGTGGCCGGTTAGCTGGATCAGATGAGATGGCAGAAGAGCTGGAGTCAGTGCCAACACCAGATATGCGTCTTGTGGCAACGGGATCCTCGATGAAACTGTTGAGCAAGTTGGTGATAGGCTCAGTACGGCGACGGTGAAGTCTTGGAGATGTGCGGGTGCGGTTGTCTTCCGGCCTGCGTGAGTTATTCGAAGCGGGCCGAGTTGATTCATCCAAGTATGGTCTGGGTAGAGGAAACACACGAGGTACCAATCCTCCCCCGGTAATCTGTGAAACTCTTTGAGGATCGACCTCAAAGCAGTTAGGATCCATCTCACCCATGGGTATTCGACTGTGTCCTTTGAAGTATGAGTTGATAGATTTCATGTCTGGTGGGGGCTGATCGACGGCACCAGTCGCCAGTTGTGAATGCCTTCTCTTGGATGGCGTTGTAGAAGTGACAATTGATGTCTTCGTAATGGGGTTCATGTCGCCTCTCGCAATGGCCCGCGCGAGCTCGGGCTCTACGAAGGCACCGATAAAGGGCATCTCCTCGGCAGTGCGAGTTCCATCTAAATCCGTCAAGTGGACCAACTGACATTTGGTTGGGCAAAACACCCATTGATGCAGGAAGGTTAGTTCAGCCTGGTAAAACTGCGTCAAGTAGTTCTCGGATACCCGCTTGCCCTGGAACTGAACCATGCGTACTATCCGTTCGGGCACCTTGGTCTTGCGAAGCATACGATATGCCGTTTTCAACCCTACGCCTGGAAGCCCGTCCAAGTAGTCACATCCGCTGAAGATAGCCATCCGTCGGAATTCGGTGTCAGACCAGCCGGTTAAGGAGACCTCTCGACAGGCGCAAAAGTCTTTGCGATTGATTTCGAAACAATTGCCATACTGGTCGAGCTTGGTGAGAAGCTTCTTGGCGCCGAAAACGAGTAGATCCGAGTCGTCAGAAATGATGCCGTTGATGAGGCCCTGTCGTTCGAGGTAGACAAGTTGCGCATCGGCTTCGTAGGGGGCCACGACGTAAGGAATATCGAGCTTCTTGAGCAATTGGATCAAAGCGGATGCCATCTCGGGTGTAATGTCGATACACTTCTGGAACTCTTGGGTGGCCTGGGCCGGTTTCCCGGCACGTAGCAGTTCCATCGCAGCCTTCTTCTTCTCATCTCTCTTTTTGGCACGACTATCCTCTGTAGCAGCTTTGCTGGGTAGGTAGTCTCCGTCAAATACCATGTAAGGTGTCACACCGAAATGGCGAAGCATACGAACACGGTTCATGGCAGCGTTGAGGTATCTAGTAAAATGGTTAAAATCGATTTGTTAGTATATAAGAGCCTGCATGGGCTTACTTCTGAGTCGGCTTGTCTTGGCCAAGCTCTAATGCACAGCAGTAGGCGGCACGATGAAGCCAGCCATACGCGTCGACACCGAGCACTTGGCCATTGTACTTCTTAAGCTCAGTCGGCTTCTGGATCGACTTGAGAAGAGGGAGAAGGCCTGTAATCCGGTCAGCATGATATAGGATGTTTCGTTTGAGTATGATGTACCGGATACACCCATGTTGAATACTGAGCTGTGTTGATGATGGTGGCGATAACAGACAAGGGAGCTCAGCACTCGCAGCCCCAGTAGGGACCTGGGCAGCTATAAGCTGGCAGAATTTGTTATTGCATGCGTCAGCAATGGGGGATGAGAGTTTGCTGTAGTGAACTCTGTTGTGCTGAGATTTATCAACGCGTCGAAGAGTCGATGTGCACGCGGTAGAGGATCGTGCAGTATGTATTGGAAATCGAGAGCAAGGATGTTTAAACCGATAAAAGCAGGGGAACTAGACGCGACAGAACACGAAGACAAGCAAATCCGCAAACAAATACAATTGACAATCGTGTCGAGAGGCTCAAGGAGCGGTCCAAGGCCCAAAAATTGGTTGAAGTCGAGGTGGATATTTTGCCTGAGGTGATCAAGATTAAGCCTTAAAGCAAGGTCGAGGTCGAGGTCAGACGCCAGGTACGTGAGGCGAAGTACCTTCCTATTTCCCCCTCCACTCTAGGTACTGCCCCAGCTAGGACGCGACCCCCTGAAGATTGATGCTGTTTAATGGGTTTAGGCGCGTAAATTGGCGCGATGCTTCCATTCCTCGGACCACTGAAACCCCTGAAAAAGTCTAGCCTAGTTCCCGTTACTGGACATTTCCCCAGCAACTTGTAACCCCACCGTGACACTGTCTACCAAACCTTTTATGCCTTTGAAGATGAAATCGTCATTACAGCTACGCGCTACAAGTATATTTAGACTAGTAAAGTGGACTCTCTATTGGCTTTACATTTGCCTGGTTGAACAATCTTAGAGGAAATGGGCAAGAAACAAAGCCATGATAACCGCATGTAGTCATGACCATGGATCTGTGTTTATCTTGACTTCCAGATTGGGTATGATCCAATCAACAGCGACGAACACAACAGTCAAACAACCTACAGAGTATGAAATGTAAGCACTTCCATGCCATGTAAAATATACCTTAGGTTAGTACCTACCTAGTTAATTATAGAAGCAACACCTAATTCTTAAAGCAAACCAAGAATCTGTCAAGGGCTACTCTCAAAGCCAAGTCTTTAGCCGACATATATCCGCTACTTTACTGGCTCTCATACCGTAGTGGAGCACCAAAAGCTTCCAGACCAGACTGCAAAGAAAAAAATCCTTGCAAGTCGCAGCATATCAAATACAGTTCTACATCTCACAAGCTTACAACTTTCACTCACATTTCTCGACAATCAGAAAGACAAAATGCCTTCCACACTTCAAAAGACACGCAAGCAAATCTCCAAGAAGAGAGGTGGTGTCGTTGACTCTCTGCATGAAAAGTCTAGAGACTCTATGCGCCTTCACAAGGCGGGTATAAGAGATCAGCGTATTGAGAGGCTGGCTGCTTCAAGGAACAAAAAGGAACAACCATTAGGTCAGTACATCTCAGACAAGTAACCCATTTGACTACACTGTGTCTAACACCTCTCTAGTTGAACGCTGTACTTTCTTTCAACATGCTCTGCGTCTCAAGGACCGAGAGAATAAGGGTGCCCCAGACATTGATGAGGTCAAACGCATGATCCACAGGTATGCATTGTCGATGAGTTCATTTTTCTTAAATACTGACCGGTCTCAGTTTCGTTCACCAGTATGATGAAGAATACAGCGCGGCAAAAAAGAGCCGTCGTCCTGGCCGACCCGCCAGCGTAAAGGAGGATCTTCTCAGGGCAAAGATTGATATGCTTGAGGAAGAGTACAAGGGTGGCTTCGGTATGGTTTCTATCTTATTACGATTGTTGAACTTACTAACATAGTGCCAGTTATGCCTGATCTACTTGAAAACTCCAACGTCAACGCCCTTCATCTCTGGGAAGGCTCTTGGTCCTATCTCACTCACCTAAAATGGTGCAAGGTCAACAGCAAAGGTCAAGTCAGACCTACCAGCTTTCCTTCAGGCGGCACCAACTGAGCGCCCTACGCAACAAATCTTCTTTACAGCGACAGTTACGGTGCCAGTTAGATGGTCTTCTCATTGGACTTCGGCAGAACACTCAACCATTCGTATCATCTATGGATCAATTGGTCTACAAAGGACCAAGAGTGGCGAGACTCACGGATTCCACGCTTAATATATGTAGCCCCGGAACTTGGAGACCAAAGTATAGCCTTCTCGGACAGATGATGAAATACCCTTAAGCTACCTCAAATAAGCAAACGTCCATGCTAGCTACTGTCAGCCTTATAGAAAGCAGCCTCTGTCTAACCCCACGAGTCCGCCTGAGTCATAGGCTGCTCCAAATAGTGGCCATACTTGAGTAATGACTTGGCAAGACCACATCGAAACCTGGATCGGAGGTTGTAGCGACAAACGGCCTCTTACGGCCTGTTCACTTCGGATTTTGGATTTTCAGCTGTCAAGCATACTGGCTCTTTACACGGCATGGTTAAGAAAGCTGTTTGGTAACATGATACAACTCAGGGTCCAAAACCATTTATATACCCATAATGAGACATGAATTGTTAATTTCTCCAATTTGTCACATACTGTTTTATTTATCAATTTCCAATCTGGTTCTTAACATACTCAGGCCTGTACTTGCACCTTAAGCTTTCTCTACCACGTGATGGAAATGCCCCGCTTTGGCCCGAGAGATCGTCCAGTCTGGGTCCATCTCCAAAAAATTCAAGACGAAGCTTCTGCATTGGAAGCTTCTATTATCATCTCTGTACAACATCACCTCATTGCAATTCCTCCAAAACCTCGCGTTTCATTCTTGTCACCGGATACGCCCTACTACCCAATATACCCAATAACTTCCCAATAATATAATCACAATGTTCTCCGCCCGCAACGTTGCCCGATCGGCACCCCGCGTCGTCTCTCGACTCTCGGGCGCCGCTCTGCGACAGACCGCCCGCCCCAGCGCCTTCATCAAGGCCTCTTCTGCTCTGCGACCCGCTCAGTCTGCTTTCTCTACCACAGTCTTCCGAAAGGCCGCCGAGGCCGATGGTGAGCTTCTCGCTAAGCTCGAGAGCGAGATCAAGATCGAGGAGGACATGAAGGCCAGCGAGCAGGACCCTGCCAGCATTAAGGACTTCCTGAACAACAGCGCCTTCGAGCTCATTGACACCCCTGGCCAGGAGGTTGTCAAGCTTACCCGCAACTACGGCGAGGAGAAGTAAGTTTCAGCATGCTCAATTACGTCTTCAGACCATAACTAATGCTTTGCCTCAGGATCACTATCAGCTTCTCCATTGCCGATATCACCAACTACGACCCTTACGCTGAGGAGAACGCCCTTGAGGACGAGGGTTTCGAGGATGAGAGCCCCCCAGGCAGCCAGCGTAGCGCTCGCGCCAACGAGGAGCTCGACGAGGAGCTTGAGGATGACGCCGAGGAGGAGAACGCCGCCCCCATCAACCTCTCCATCGTCGTCGAGAAGCCTGGCAAGGCTGCCGGTGCCCTCAACATCGATGCCACCGCCCAGGACGGCCAGATCGTCGTCGAGAACCTCTTCTACTACGACGACGCCAAGGTCGCCAAGGTCGAGTCCCCCGACGCCGCCCAGAAGCGCGCCGATGTCTACCCCGGACCTCCCTTCGGCAGCCTCGACGATGACCTACAGGTCCTTATGGAGCGCTTCCTCGAGGAGCGTGGCATCACCCAGGCCCTCGCCGTTTTTGTCCCCGACTACGTCGATGTCAAGGAGCAGCGGGAGTACACTCGGTGGTTGAGCAACGTCAAGGCTTTCATCGGTACTTAAGCGATCGACGGGTCGAGTCAATTGAAAAAGAAAAGTTTCTCACAAGAGGGCAGAGCAGGGGAGTCTTCGGTTCAGAAATGATGTATTAAAAATAGGAATTGCCACTCTTGTTGTACTATAGTTTTAAGATCCATCGAGGTCAAATGCATGTCACGATATGTGTAACGATATGATGTTGACGTTATCTGGCGCCCTCTTTATTGCTGTGACTTAGATGGATAATGAATGGCTACTGAGGCGAACAAGACCTTCACATCACCCTCGGTCAGTAAAGTGGTCTACAAATTTGCATTGAAACGAGAATATCTTGCTATTTAGGTCAGCAATAATCCCAAGCCTCAAAAACTCCCACAACTCCAAATAACGAGTGCGCAAGCCCGCCATGCATCCGCTCCTGGGGCCCATTGACTTATGATATAAAGACTGCCCCGTACTACTCTCCGGCGCAATGAAGCTCTATCCCAGATGTGTCTTTCTGACACGGAAAAAGTCCAAAAGAAATATACTTCGCATGACAGTCCCAACGATTGAGTTCTTCCGCAGTCCCTTTGATTGCTCATGACTGCTGACCAAAATTGCGTGTTATACACGACACAACCGGATCCCTGAAGCAGATATAACCATTTACATGACGTCCTCAAGGGACCAGTCGCCCTTCTGTGCCCTCTCGAGGACCTCGCGGCCCTTGTCGGTGAGGTCAGGCTTACCATCGTTACCAGTGACATGCTTGAAAAAGACAGGCTGCCATGTTTCTTTGTTGGCCTCGCGCTGGCGGGCCTTTTCACGCTGAGCTTCTTCCAGTTCAACTTTGACCTGTGTGGCCTTGCCGTATTGCTTGGCATGGATAGCATCTGTGACACCACCCCAGAGGGTCAGGGACTCATTGGGCAGCTGCTTCTCCTTGGGAGGGATAATCTTGGGCGCGACATTGAGAGGCGCAATGTCGATAATTGTGTACTGCTCTTCAACTGGTACAGATTTCTACTGCTAGTTAGTTTTGTAATTTCATGAAACGAGAGGTTTGTACTCACAACAGGTCTGGGGCCAAGAGTGAAAACGACCTTCTCCTTCCATGGCCCGCTCAACCGGGCGAGGACATCCTCTTCAGGAACGTCCTGAACCCTAGACTTGTCATCATTCTCAGGGTCGTACTTAAAAACAACACCGTCGATCTTGTTGGTTGTGCGTCCCAACCAACCCTCCTCCACGTAGTGTAGGATGACCTTGATCTTGGTCTTGGGGCAGGTGATATATGCGAACTCGCTGACCGAGACACTCAGAGCTCCGCGGAGAAGACCACCGAGGTGCGCAGCCGGGTGCGTAAGTTGGTAGGTCTCGCCGTCACGCTTGTCGAGGGTGATGAAGATGCCCATGTTGTGCTCGCCAGGGAGGACCTTGACGGAGGTGCCGGTGAACTTGGCAGTGATCTGATCGAAGCCACGGGCAGTGATACCCTTCTCGGGGCAGGTGACGTTGAAGGCGCTCACGGGAGGATGGTGAGATGTCTGCTCCGTAAGATAGGAGACACGGACGAGCTTGTCGTCATTTGCAGCGCCATGCTGAGGAACCGAAAGCGAAACGGCGGAAGCGTTCTTACTGCTCTTGGCGGAAGCCTTCAATGTCGAAAGACCACCCTTGGAGGCGCCATTAGTTTGCTGAAGGCTCGATGTGTTGATTTTCGGAGCGTTATCCTCGGTTTCCCAGTTACACTATACTGCAGTCAGCATTTCTGCCATCTGTATTATCGCATGCTCTCCTGCGTGGCGGTGAGAACTGAACAGTTTGACGCACCCTGAAGAATTCGCCCAAGCACGAGTTGTAGGGCTTGCATGGCCTTCCTTTGGCGTATTTCAGATCCTTGGTCAGCCAGAAGCGCACGACTTCGAGCATTCGATCCAGAGGATCGTCGGAAGTGCCCATGGCAACGAAGGCATTGGGGGCATCGATATAGGTCCAGTATTCCAGGTTCGGGGTAGGCTCGAGCAACTGTGACGGCAGCGAGAATCTAACTGCTGCCAGGTCTGAAACGCCGATAAACCTATCGTCGCAATTAGCGGTCAGCAATGAATATCAACAATAGGGTCATCCATCAATTGTCTATATCGCAGATTCTTGATTTTGTTTGATTCTGCTTTCCACTGCTGACTCCGCATCCGTGGAGCGGAGCCAACTTCCGATCTCGCAGATAGTGGCGATCTAAGCGGTGGAAGCTATCGTGGGACGTCGGTGTCGCAAGCAAAAGAGGGTGAATTTCTTACTTCTTCAAAATCCCCAGAAACGTTCGCAACTTGGATGTATCGCTCTGCGGCTCGTCAGGCGCGTCGACCGTGGGTGGCGGTGCCGATGACGACATGGTCGATGGTAAGCCTGGGTTGACTTGGAGAGAGGAAGATGCCTAGACAGTGAAGGAAGTACGGCGGTGGGCGGGTTCTGTAGTCTAGATATTGCCCCTGGTGTGGGAGAGGAACCACACGCAGCAGTAGTTGATGCGATAAGTTGTGCAAAAACCTTGGGTTGATAGAGTAGATATAAGGGAGATAATCCTGACGTTCTCAAAAGGGTTGAAGGATTTGGGAGGGGGAAGGAGGGATGAAATAGGACCCTTGGGTTGCAGACTGAGTCGCAAAAGTCAAGAAAGGAAGCGGGTGGTGGTGACGTTTTTTGGCGGGGTGGGTTTCTCTGCCTCTTCCTCTAGAGTCCCCCCAAATTGTTAGCAACTACACAGGTTGAGTGACGCGAGGTACCTGGTTCACTGGCCTGTCCATGCGGACACATCAGGTACCGTGCGTCCTGCCGTGGTTCTAGGCTCAAACAGCCAGATTTGCAACTGGAACGTGCGTCGACGGCTCCGAATTGGCGGGGTGGGACGAGAAGAGAAGTATGGAAATGTTGAGATACAATTCACGAGAAAATAACATAATCAAGAGTTTAGTTTTATCAATATATTAAGTATTTGCTTGAGTTCCAGAAGAATATGCATACTTTCGATCCTAACGTCTTCTTCCTCTTGCGAATGACTGCTGCATTACGGTTGGTGAGATTTGTGCAACACATCTTATGCACCATGATCGGCGCATGGATATGTGGAAGTTCAACCACTTGACTTGAAGCGATATAGCCTTTTTTTTTTCTCATCCCAAAAGTTAGGCTGCCCAGTGGCACAAAGCTTAGACAAGCCAATCATCGGCGCACATGGGCCGAGTCTCGGGTTTGAAGTCTTTGTCCATTCGCCCATTAGGCCGTTTCGAACACTGATCTGATAGTATTAATAAATAAAGAACGCAACTGAGCTTCAGCGTTGCATTGGATAAATCGATTCTTGTCAAACAATGCAAGCACGGGGCCTCATTGAGCTGGGTCAATGGTGTCAGCTTACCCTGTCAACTGAACTGAGGTGTAAACATGTTTGCATCCCGAGATCAATTGCCACGATGGCTTGTGACTGGATAGGTACCTACTAAGTTAGGTTGTTAGTAGGTTGCTAACACATGGTTTCTATGCTCAAGATGGTGTCAACTCACATCAAGCATTTGGGATTCCTGCGCAGATTCGCAGATCAACTCGTTGCGCATGGATTTACAGATCAAGAGGAACCGAATTCGTATCAAAAGTTTTGATTTATTAATTTTTAAACCCGTCGACCGGAGTCTTTCATGTATCTTATTTGCGGCTCCAACTCCGTGCAAAACCGCGGGCCATTCTTGCCTAGGTAGGATATCTCGGACGAAAAAGAACAATGTAACAAATAATAACGAGGACCTCGAGATGAAGGAGTGAAACTGAAGCTCTCCAGCGCTTCCCGGTGACATGATTTCAGTCCCCGTCGGGTGATGCCTTTATGCCGTGTTCCAAAGCCTCGACATCTCATGTACAAAAGATATGTACTCCTCTGCGTGTGCAATAGATACACTACCATAGTAGTGCGCCGCTTCCACCTGGCGGATGCCTTTTCGCAATTCTAGTAAATGCAGTCAAAGTACTCCCCACCCCGTTTTACTTAGTATATCCAAGTTAAAGATATAAACGCCCCCAGACTCCATGTACATTGATTCCCCTTGGCTCAAATCGAGCTTGATCATGGCGTCGTTTTTTTGAATTGTTTGACGACCAATAAATGCAAAAGTGCAAGAGGGGAAAATAGGGGAGGAAAAATAATCATAAAATCATGAGAAAATATTATGCAGAATGGACAACAACGAATCATTATTGCGGCTCGGAGTTAACCCAAGCATTGTCATCGATGAAGGAATCCCAGGAAGGCTCCTCGGCATAGTTCTTAGTTGGCGTATTGAAGTCACCATTACCCCAATTCATCGTGTCGGGTACATCAGGGTAAGTCTCGCCGCCAGGAAGCTGGTTGTTTTCATCTTCCTTTTCCTTGAAGAACTTGGTATCATTGTCATAGGAAAAAGTCTGATGAGGTGTCCATTCGCCGTAGTAAGGAGTGTTAAAGCTTCCGCTTAAATCCATGCCACCCATCAACATCTTGGCCTCGGCTGGTAGCTCTGAAGTAAATGCGGAATCGCCAGGGTTGAAATTCTCCATCATGTTCGATGGCTGAGGGTTTCCAAAAATGGAGGTACAGCGGGACCGGGGAGTATCGGGATGAGATGCTGAAGTGGGAGTGAACACGGTTGGTGACATGGCAGCGTCGCTTCTTGACTCGGCAGGAGACAAGCCGGCGATGGAATGGTTTCGCTCGTCGTGTCTGTTGATCTGCTGTTCATAGTTGACGGGCTGGAAGTTGGGGTCGAAAGGCTGCTGTTCCATCGGGCTCGTAGCGTGGTTATTTTGAGTCTGGGGTGCTGAGTAACCTGGTGTCGACCATCTATGGGACATTGACTGGGCTTGGCGCTGGGCCTGTGGGAAGAATTGAGCGAAAGTTGAGTTGATCTCGTTATTCCTCCAGTCTGCTTCGGTGGCCGATAAAAGCTGTGACATGGCAACACGATTGGTAAGGTAGGCGTCGACTCTCGCGTTGAGAATAGCATTGTCTGTTTGCATGTTGGATTTGAGAAGTCGGTAGGAACGAGGGAAGTCGTCGTCTTCCTCCTCGTACATCTCCTCCTTCATTACGATCTCCTCAGTGATGCGGAAGGCCTTTCCTGTTCTCTTCTTGTGGATCTCACTGGCCATCTTAGCAGACTGGACACGGGCTTCAATGCTTCTGTCGGCTCGCCTTGAGGCTGCGATGTATGCTCGTTCCTGGTTCTCCTCGTGGGATCGCTCAGTCTGGGAAAATGTGTTAGTCGGGATTATTCTGCCAGAACAGGGAGAATAGGAAATAAGTGCCTTTACCTTTCGCGCGGGGGCAGGCTTTGTGTTGGGGCCACCCATGTTTGCGACGTCAAGTGATCTCTTGGGCATGTTGGGCGTTGGGATGTAAGATAATTGATGATGTATTTATACAGTACTCTGCGATTTGACGATGGGGCGTTTTATGTAAACTAGAATGTTTATTGTGTATGTAGCTGCAATATGATCGGTGGTATCCGTCTATCGAAGGTGGATATGCGGAGAGACAATAAGATAATAAAGTTTTGATAGTAGGGAAGATAGGATATAGATACTCGATGCCAAAGGAATATCAAATTTGGATAGAGCTGTGAACTGCGGTATGGCTGGCAGTTATAGATAGGTACTCTCTTAGTAGACGAACAACTTAGGTTAAATCGGTCCGAAGAGGGGTTGGTTGTGGCTTCCTTTTATAACGACCAGGTAAAAAAGCAAACCCGAGGAAAACAACATGCTTGAGCAGGTTGCAGACGCGGGAAGGGCATGTAGCTCGATCCGAAGGCGATCCGACGAATTGATCGAGAGAGTAGTTATGACGATCGATCTCGATCAGAAGCTCACTGTTAGCGCTAAGCACAAGGTACAAGTACCGCCCCGTATCGAACATCGAATCCAGTAACTGTCCAGTGGGTTCCGCATTTTCCACAACCCACAACCACCCACAGGCTACCACGGGCTACCACGGGCTGCACGGGCAAGCAGCCCGCACGCATGGAGGCAAGCTACAGGCCAACCCTTAGCCTGAGGTCTGTCCATGGCTCTGCACGCCCCCCGGTGCTGCTCCGATCAGCCAGTGGTTGGCCTGGGACCCTGAACACCCCTGGAGTGAAGCTTGCTTGGGTGATTTCCCCGCCCATGAAAGCCAATCACAATGACCGGAGTTGAGGAAGTTCGAAGCAACCTACCTGATCTCAAGACTCTAGGTAGGGGGTTCCAAAAGATCGAACCCAGGGAGTGTCCCTGGCTTTGGAGATGATGTTCTTTCTTCTTCTTTCTCTTCCAATTTCAGGGTCAATTTTAAAAGTCAAGTTATTTATTCACAATGACTGCATTAAACTCAACATCCCGGCAACAGTCGTTGATAGCTTCAATCCACGAATCAGAGGATTAACACCGAGCCAAGCATAGCCTCCCCCAACCTTGGCGAGAAAGTTGTACTGAGAAAACTCAAAGGATCAAACTCGCACGGAAACTAAGTTACCTGACGCCTCATAAACTTCCAGGCGGCTAAACAACGCCGGCCCTAGCAGATTACAGTCCACTGTCTTAATTACTAAACAATCTGGCAGTTGTGATGAGATCCTACTAGGCTTGTGATCGCTGGAGACGGCCAGCCTAACCCTGCCGCTCACTCGACCGTGCCATCGGTTTATCGACTTCTCCCAAAGGTTAACCATTCGACCACAATCTTGACATGGACTTCTATTCATCCGACGGTGTGTCTTGTCCGAGGGACCCCAGAATTCCAATCACAAAGAAGAACCCTTGGGCTGTGCTGCCAATACGACTCTGCAATTCTGACTCTAGCTCTAGCTCTGGCTCTAGCTCTAGCTCTGGCTCTGACTCTGTGTGGTCTGGTGGTGAACCCTGCCATTTTATCATGCCATTCTGCTCCTGCTGCTGTTGTAGGCCTGCTTGTCTTACTCAATCGATGGGCCTGGGCTTGTCCTGGCCTGCATCAATGCATACTGCACCCTTTTGCTTTGGGCCGGCAACGGGCAACCATATTGATACGCTTCTTGTTTGCCGTAGTCTACCAGCTATACAATGTCAATGTCCCAATGCTTTCCTTGAGCGGGGGTAGTTTCTATTCGGTGGATAAGACTTCCTGTCGCTCTGCAAGACTGCAACCCCATCAATATAGCGTGACGCGTGGGCTAGGTAGGTCAAGCGTTTTCAGACTAGGCAGTCCGTTGTCAAGACAGCTCTGTCGAACCCATGTTCATGTTTCGAGCGTCTCAGAGATCGCGATCTCAAGTATAACCCCAGCTAACTAACTCAAACACAACAATCTCTTGTTTCAATGCAAATTTGCTGGGGGGCTTTCTTGTCTTATTGAATATCGAAGCGGAGCTTGTTTTCCGTGTAAGCGGCACTATCAAAGATCAACCAACAACTCAACTTGAATGGGACGAGGTTAGCATAGGTAGAGTGTTGCCATGTTGGGCACCGCATTTGTCTACCCTGTTTCCTTGTTTTCCATTCCCCTTCTCTTCCTGTTCCCCAATTGGGTCCTTCCAGCTGATTCCGTTCTGTGTTTACCGCAGTCGCACTCCGTACTCGCCAAAAACTGCAGCTTCCAATCCCATGCTAGGCCGTCTGCATGCCTACTCCCAAGTCAAGGGTGCGTGGCATTGCAAGTGTGGTTTCTCAGCGCCACGGCATGTTATGGCAAGTAAAAATACGTGCCATGCTCAGCCGTTGGCGGAACTCAATGTTTAAGAGCCAATTGCGTAAGAGGACAGAGAGAGAGAGAGGACAGCAGAGCAGAGCACGTACCGGGCCATTCCCCAGGAAGCTGGGGGGACGGATCGATTGATTGATCGTTTCTTTGTACCTGTACCTGTGCCCGTACCCGGCGCACGGCAGCTAAACCCACGATCCCTTGAAGCAGTTGTCGCATCAGGGCATCGTCGGGCGTTTGTTAGCTGCGATGGACAGCGTCTCAGGGCTGAAGCATCGCCAGGGCTGGGAATCGCAATAATCGGAGTCCCTTTTAATACAGCCGAATTCGTGATCCAGACAGGCGGAACCCTTGACAGGGAATCGAGCGGAGGTCCGCCAAGGCCAAGGTGGATTATTTTAAAAAAGGGGACGGGCCTGTCGCCTGTCGGAGAAGAAGCAGAAGCTAAACTCCGAGAGATCAAGAACGAGGGAGATCTTTTGTTCGACTAGAGTATCTAGCTCGGCAGATTTCTTAGGTCATAATAACGAGCTGCTACGTAGTTCTCTGAAGGACCAGAGCCAGAAAGCCATAACCATACAGCATTTATTTGAGTCTCTCCATATTGGACAAAGAGAAATAGAGAGAGAATGCTCGATAATCATCACCCATGACGAATGTTTCGAATCACAGTCATTCGCTAGTGAGATCAGATCACCAGAACCGGATCTTGGTTCTTTCTAGCGCCCGACAGGTCTCGGCTGGCCGTGAACTGGACAAGTATAGCGCAGGTGCCAACAGCCAGCCACGCTGAGCGGCAGAGCAATATTCTTGCCAGGAACGCAGCCAGAGTTACACGTCAGTGACAAAAGCCGAGCCAGAGCTATTCACGCCCGGAGCTGAGAGTGAGAGCTTGTTAAGTTAACGATTTACGACTTCGCGACACACAAGAAAAGTGAGCCAAAATCGATCTTTGGAACCACGCCAGAGCTAGCATCTCACAAGTGGAGATAAGAGATGGGAGCCCAGATGGGAGATGGTTTCTGGAGGGGTAGAGCCGTAGAAAGAGGGGCCTGGGGGAGAAGTCACTTCTTTATCCGAAAGAGTACCTAATCAGTTCTTAATAAAATGCTTTTTCTTGTCTTTTGGTCAAAATAAACCACCCACCGCAACCTAAACCGTCCTTGGTCCTCGTTAGCAACCAACCACAAAGCCTGCTCATCCTTCAATCTTCCCAGCTCATCCGATACCACCTTTTCTTCGATTTGGGTGGATTTATTTGGTTGCTGTATCACGATCGTGAACAGAAAGAGAGAGAGAAAAAAAACCAACATGGCCTTTCTTTGTTCTGCTTAGACCAGATGATTTACGATAGCTGAAGCCAAGCGGGTAGACTGTTGCAATTTCATAGCTCCAAGAAACTGTGGTCAGTCGGTAGAGACCTAGGTACGGGCCAGTGCAGCATGCGCCGTGGTTACCATTGAGCTCAGGACTCAGGTTGTGAAACCCTGATCAAGATGTGAGATCTGCAATGCTACAGTATCAATATCCATACCGATACGATAGATGTTTTTCAGTCCAGAAACTGTGAACGTGAGTGTGGGCCGACAGCGTCTGTCTACTACCGTATCGACTGAGTAAATACAGCACGCCTCATGGATACCACTGTGGATACACAGACTAGAAAGCTACAGCTCTAAGTGGCTAAGATACCAAAGAGGGTGGCTTAAGTCAGCAGAATTCTTCTCTTATATCCGTGTTCTATCCAAGCGAATCAATCGGGGTTATAATTCGCTAGTCCGTGTATCCACAGTGGTATCCACGAGGCGTGCTGTATTTACTCAGTCGATACGGTATGTATGTGTCTCTCATAACAAGCTCTGCAACACTGTATTCAGAGTCAGTCCATATTCAGTGTCAACCATGGGCTTGTTTCCAGTTAACCTCACACTGGCTCTTGCTGGTCTGTCACCGTCTACGGACCTTTCTGTCCGGGCCATTCTCTCCGGCACGCATTCCCCTCTACCTAGCATGTTGGTCCACTCCACTGTAATCGCGGTACACAAAGCTACAAGCCTGCTCTAACAATTTCCCCTGGCCGCATGCACGTCTCGGCAATCACGCTAATACCATCCGGGTCTTGATTACTGCTCCCTCTCGCCTTCTCATCTTCGGTTCCGCGCCGGCCTCTCCCACGTTTTGTAATACATAGAAGCCACTACATTCCCCACTTCCCTTGCCTTGGCTCGGCACAAGCCACATGTTGACCATGGGAATCACAGGCATTTCTGTGTAGATCTTCAAACATTCCCATTCTTACTTACGAAATTCTTTTCAACTATGACGTCTCCCGCACGATGAGATTGGTTCCCGAGTCTAATGTCCCTGGAGAGCTAAATCTCTGCGCTATCTCCAGATCCGCCCAAAGGGTCGGTCGCAGACGTCGATATGATATCAACGCAGCGTAAGGCAGAAGCTCGTCAAGACCATTGTTAACATTAAAAGTGTTCAGGACGTGCCGCGTGAAGGATTGGTGTAGAACAGACACTTTCCCTACGTGCTTATTCGTTGCTAATTGAGATCTACCCCAGAGTATCACCAATGTCAATTCAAGCTCGAGGTTTACCGACTCGTAACGAAACCGAAGGAGAAAAAAAGAAAATACCGAGTGTCTCCTGCTAAGGGTTGCCGCCAACGCAAGTTCCCGATCGTGGCGATTTCAACAGCGGGTCTCCTGTCTCGTCTTTTCTCCAGCAAAATGCAACCCCGAAGCTTGCAAACTCTTTTGAATCGCTGTCGAGTTGATTTGTAATGCCGGGATTACATCAATATCGCCGCAACAATTGTAAATTATCACCGCTCGCTTTCGCTTGCGTGCATCCCCAACCCCAGCATGTCTTGCAGCGCAACCCTCCAGGGGCGACACAAGGTTTCGCAGAACTTAGTGTATCACATGGAGTGCGATTCTTGGTCAGTCTAGTCAGTGACCACTCATTAGACCATTCATACGACATGCGCGACACTGGTCGTGTGCGGCAGATGTTGGCGGATAGTGTGTTAGCAGAACGGTGTTGAGGCAAATCGGCCACGGATAGATTGGCGAGATCTAGGGTCTCAAGTGAGTCTTGGGATCTTCAATCTTCAACCTCCGTTTGACTAGATTGATGGATCCTAAAACTCGACTCATTATGATAGAATCTAGACGCCATTGAGGACAAGGTTGGCGTCGGCAGCGAATCTGAACCCTCTGAGCAACCACATACATAAGTCGGGCACTTGGAGATCTCGCCACCAACTCAGGTGTTCCTCCGATTCATTTATTCATTAACAGGACGATGGTTATCTAAAAGAAAAAAAAGCAAGCAAGGGGGATACCTGCGAGGACGGCGTTGAATCCTTCCGTCTGCTACAGTGTATCCATAGCTCGGAGTGAGACTGTCTGTAGCTAGCTACATTACCGTGCAGCGTAAGTTTGGCTGATGAACGTGACCTCATTCGCCAGTATTCTGACTATCCATCTATTGGATAGTAGTAGTATCGCCTGTGATTTTCTCCTTTATTAGACCTTTGCGTACGCATGTTGGTATAGAGTGGGCTGTGTTGGATTCCTACATTGATAAATCGATAGTTGCGAGAAGGGTTTGAATACAATACCACGTGCACACTGTAATAAACTCATCTTTACCACTGAGAGACAAACGAAAAGTGGCTGTGAATCTTGTTGGCATGAGATCGGACTTTTGAAGTGCGTTAAACATTTAAGGTTATTTGCCTGTTGATTCTTGAACCGTGATATCCAATCTGAGAAAATGAGAAGACAAGACAAGAGAAATAGAGGCTTGCGGCTACTTTGCCGGCAGTATCCACGAGTTGTTGCGCGAGGTAGAAGCCTTTAGGCTTGAAAGGGCATCTTCCCAGCCATTTACTTAAAACCCCGACCTCGAGCATTGCGCTCGTTGCGAGGGCTCAGTGAATATTTTTCACTTCAGCCCTCACTGAGGCTTATCGTGATATACGGAGGCTTCATAGTTTAGGAATCTGGGGTTCGTGTTCGGGATCGCACAGCCGCGTTCATACTTTCGGGGCTGGTTTGTCCGTGAGTGGATATCGTGAGTTTCTCTGTAAACATTGCCGGAATGACCCGATTCACGTACGAGTGAGTTCACCTCCTGATGTCCTAAGGCTTGAGAACTTGGCAGGCTTCGTTTCGGAGTTGAGGTGTGGCGCTCTTTTTGCATCGTATATGCAGTCTCTCGGAGACTCTGTCTCAACCCTTCGGCGGAATACATGACCCATCATAAAATGAATTAGAAAAAAGTGTTGATACCGGTATTGTAATCCTCCAGTGAAGTGAGAAGTCCCCTAGTTCTAGAAACATGTCGAATGTTGGACACACTGACAGCAACTCCAGGGTATGTCCCATGCAAAACATGGTCCAGTACGAACCTTGAGGAATATTTCGGCCTATTATACGATATGTATTTGTGAGCTACCTATGTGTATGTGTTAGTAACTATTTTGATCTTATGGCCCTCGGTGCTAAGGGAACTCTGAAAGATGGCTGAACCACACACGTGGTGCACGGAATCCTGAGTGACTTAAATGCCCTGAGTCTGCGAGTTACTCACGTTGCATATTATTCTCCACGGACTAAGAGCACAACAAGATAGACACGGGATCATAGCCATATTGAACACTACAAACGCAGCAAGAGCAATAGAGTAGATGATACGAATCAGTGTCTAGTTGAACTCAATCGGTAGATGTTGCTGAAAAGACACAACGACGGAAGCACGAACGACGAAGAAGGCAAAGGAGACAGTTCAACTCAGTCAATACAAACAACATGATTATCTTGGTTCAACTCTGGGTATCTATGACCACTGTATCTCTCTTCCTCAGCATCACCTATTTTACTCCTCGGCCTCCTCATCTGCCTTGGCATCATCAGTCTTGCTCTTCTTCTTTTTCTCCTTTTTCTCCTTTTTCTCTGTCTTCTCCTTCTCTGTCTTATCTTTCTTGTCCTTCTTCTCCTTCTTGTCCTTCTTCTCCTTCTTGTCCTTCTTCTCCTTCTTGTCTTTCTTTTCCTTCTTGCTCTTCTTCTTTGCCTTCTTCTCCTCGTCATCATCATCTGCAACTACCTCGTCAACATCCATCTTGGTGTCGTCTTCAACTACAGGCTCAGCAACGGGCTCCTCGATGGTAAGTTCCTCAATGGCAGGCTGCTCGAAAACGGGCTCTTCCACAGCCTCAGGAGCAGGCTTGCGGTCGGGCTTCTTCTCTGCAACCTTTGGTCCACGCTGCGGCAGGCTTGAAGGAATGTTGGCATCAACCTCCTTCATCCATAGCTTCCAGTCCAGACGGCGGGTCTTCCACATATCACCCTTCCAGTTGCGCCAGACACTTCTACCCATCCAGCTATCTCGTAGCTCTGCTTCGTGCTCGCCCAGTCGCGCCATGAACGCCTCCTTCATGTGGAAAGGAATGCTTCGCTCCTTGCCTTTGCTAGGAACCTCGATGATGGCATTGATGAGGTTGTGGCCGAATTGCGAAACAGCGAGTTCGTGTGTATGAGGCAGAATGGCGCTCGCGATGGACTTGTGGAAGGCAGGGTTGGAGGAGGAGATGGACAAGGCGGTAGTAAGGACGGTAACGGTGGGCATGGAGGTTGTTGCAAGATGAACCAGAGTAGCTGGCTCGAGAGCAAGGAGAGACTCTTGAACACCCTTTGTCGGTCCAGAAATGTTTAAGAGTGTGGTGAGGAGTTGTGCTCCGTGAGACTGGATTGCGTATTCGTTTTTGGAGAGTTGCTGAACATCCTTCTTCTTCTTCTCTTCGTCTTTCAGGCCACACAAGAAAATAATCAGGTCGGCAGGTGTCTTTCCACATCCCTCCTTCAGCCCCTTGTTGAGTTTCTTGATCTCGTCGTTTGCGCCACGGGCATTACATCTCTCGAACAAAGTTCTGAGAACGTTGATTCTTGACTTTTCGACCAATTGGGGTACGGTGGGCGCAATCTTCTCCACGGCCTGTACTAGGTCATCCTTGCTAAGGCGATTTAACACTCGAATGGCAGCATAGGAAGAAATGTCGTTTCGGACATAACCTTCTATTCTGGGCAGGAAGATGTTCTGGTTGAGAGCCTTGAAGATCTTGCCGGGGGAGTGTGTGATGAGTGTTTCGATAAGTCGTGAGCCAATCTGGTCGTAGATCATGCCGTTGATAAACTCGGAGGCTTCTGATGAACTGTCATATAGCGACTTGGGGGCACCAGGCAATAGCTGGAAAAGTAGAGTTGGCTGTTCAGACTCGGCCTTCTGCTCGCTCTTGTTGAGTGTCAGGTCGAGCTCGAGGAGAAGCTGTAGAGTGGGATTTCCAATAGGGTGTCTGGCCAGCACTCGAAGGGCGGTGGCATCCATCCCAGCCGTGGAGTCCTGGATGATCTTCTTGGTAGCCATAGAAAACGATTCAGGAACGGCTCTCAAGCCCTGGTTGGCTTCGTCTGTGGCTGCAGATCCAGCGACAAAAATTTTCTCCTTCTTTTTGCTCTTGACGAGACTTTTCACTGATGCGTCCTCCAAAGGTCGACCGGCGAGAACGAGCAGGAGCACGCGCAGAGTGTGTGATGCGAATCGATCGGTGATAAGGTAGGACAAGGCGCCTTCTAACTCATCGAGTGTCGCGAGGAACAGTTCCTCCATGGAGCTCTCAGGCTTTTGCGCATCTACACTTGCACCCTTGGTGTCGAGCACAAAACCAGATAGCTCCTGTGACACAACGCCGGCCGAGCGCCAGAAGAGAGCCTCGCAACAGTGGCTTGCGAAGCGGTGCTGTACAAGAGAGAGAAAGTGTGCGGCAAAGGCATCGAAGAGGTGCTTCTTCTGGGCGGTATTCGACAGTTGGATGAGGCGTTCCATCAGTCGCGAGCATGACTGACTGCTGGCTAGCTTGAGCTCCTTGCCCTCGGCCTCCTTCCAGACGTTTTCGAGAAAAACATCGCGGTCTTCGGTCGATGGGAATTGGTTGAGCTCTAGCAACTCGTCAGCGCGACGGAAGTATTCTTGCTCTTCGTCTGCGAGCATTCCGAAGAACTCCTTCTCGCCAATGCCGTTCTGCTCAAGACCTGGGCCATCTTGCTCGAAGCCATTGTTGTTGTCGTCATGATCATCGTCTCCAAAGGTGCGCTGGCGCTTGGTGTCGTTTTCGTAGACCTCTTGCTGTTCGGCCTCTTCGAGTCTCTTTCGCTTCTTCTCCTCGCGGCCAACGCCACGTCTTGTTCTTGGCTTGGGCATATTCAATTAATGTGAAAGATGGTTGATCTATGCAAGTCGAGAGAAATTTTGGCGGGGCCTCAGATACAGGAAACTTTTTTGGAAAAAAGCTAGGCTAAGACCGATTAGGGATCATTGATAAGATAAGCTCACTTACACCGTCAGATCAGATAGCATAAACGACGCCATTTTGATGTGCAGGAGACACAAAAGACACAAAACAATTATGCCAGAATATTCAATTAAGCGTTACTTGAATCTGGCACAAAGTTAAAATAAGACATTTGCAGTACGTACATGCTAACGATGTCTCAATTCCCAGACCCTTGGTACTTGGCGTAAGCACATGAAAGCAGGAGCTTGCATATATATCGACAACACACAAAATTTTAATTAGACAATAACACAACTAGAAAACTCCCTAAGTTTAGGTCTGAAACGTTAGTCATTGGCGAGGGGCTGTCAGGAAGAACAGCCTCACTTCGAGTTCTCGTACATGAACAGTCGACTGCTCAAGCGCCGCAGTCGTTACTGTAAGCGTACGTCCTAATGCAAGGTACGGACTCACGGAGTATTACAGTGAGTCAGATCGCTCGGACGCAGCCAACTGAACCAGTATGTACGAGGTTGGTATTATTGTAGTATCTTAGTACCTACCTACCTAGGTAGCTTAGAGGGATGGAATGAACCAATCGGCAGTGCAAGCGACTACTGCGTAGGCTTGTGTAACAGAACCGCTGAGCGTAGCTTCGTCCAACAACAACATAAAACTACCTAAGCGCCAAACTATCGATTAAACCTTGTATTAACCGGTAATAACGGGCGTTGGGGTGGAGTAAAACCCCAAGTGCTATTGATTTATGACCTATTTTAGATGAATGCATACGCTATGAACCCGTATCAAGGTGGTAGTCGTCGCAGTCATTTCATCCCTCAAACTGACCACGACGAGCCGACAACTACCTTAGTACCTAGGTACCGACCTATTCACCGGTTAGATGTCCTGGCACGGGCCTTCTCAACAGAAGTAACTACCCACTGTGGCGCCGGGGAGTCTGATCCCGAGCTCGTCATAAAGCAACATATATTTCCATATTCACAGTCCAAGGCGGCCTAGATACTAGGCCTAGTACTTTTCATCTTGTGTTCAATACTGGGTGTCTCAATTCATGGACTAGCGAGACTCATACTTGAGCTTTTGAGCCCCCTTGGCAAGACATTCTTACAAAGATGTCGCAGTCAAGTTGACTCAAGCCTTCGAACTGTTGAAGATCCATCGTCACAGTCCCAATGTCTCTCCACATCCGTCCTGAAATTAATAGCAAAAGAAGCAAGAAGCAAGACCCGCTAAGCACCAAGACTTTAGCGGCCTTCCCAGACGCTGATCAACTACTACTCCACCGCGTATCTGACTTGAAACGACGACGCATGACCACTAGCATACGACTTCAAGCCACTGGAACTCGACAGAATCCCAAAGTCATTCATTAGCTGAAGTAGCAAAAGAAGCTAGAGTCATAACCCTGGCATGCTACTCATGATACCATGGCTCTTGTCTGCAGCAGTGTGGATTATAGTCCTTTCCGATCCTTGTCAAGTCATATCTCATATGAACTTCTCAACAACTTTGCTTCTGTCAGATTATGAGTTTTCGAAATGGCTTAGCGATGTGGAAGATTAGTTTAGGGGCTCTTTTGAAAGGATTTGACCCCGAAAATTAGTATAAAAGCTCAAGCATATGGGCACTATATCCTCAAATAAGTTCCTACCAAGCTTACAAGCCTAAAAGACTACCAAACAGCAACCGTTAGCACTCTCTTTAACACACCAAGATCATTATGAGCCTCACCAAAGAGCACGGTCTCCAGGATGAGTTGATTGTTCCGATTTCTGACACACCTATACCCGAAAAGCCTAAAGTTGTTTCCATACCTGTTAACAAATCAAACGGTTCAGAGGCCGCTGAACGCAACGAAACCGAGCGCGATGGCCACAAGGGCAACTGATCACAGCCTCCCGGTCAATCCGTCTGGACATCGCTCTTCGAACAAATCCACCAGAACTTTGAAGAAGAACAGAAGAGGCGGATGAGAAAAGAAGAAGCAGAAAAAGGAGAGCCAAACAAGGTCCGTACTAAGCGTGTGTCGAAACCCAGATATTCTGATTGTTCTAATCATCATTCTGTAGGTCAAAATTGGTCATGTGAGGAATATGGCAGGGAAGCAGCATATGGCTTTGGGAATTATTTCAAAATGAGAGGGTGGTTCGTGATGTATGGAATGCTTTATTTCGCAGGTTTAAATAGGCTTGAAAGTAGTTATATGGTCAAAAGTTCATAGAGAGGACAGAAAAGCTTCAATATCGGAAACCTGCTAGGATTAAATCTTTTCCGTATTATTCCAATTCGCAAGTAACCACTACAGGACGGAATCTGGCCTTATTCAAGTTGTCAACTTTTAAACGCGACAGCCGCGATATACGCAGTAGGATCTGCTGTACTTCACGACCACGTGGTTTGCGCGTTACAGAATTGGGCAGGGCCTTTTGTCAGGACCGGGGCCAAGGTACAAGCCTGTAGTTACATGGCTGGTACGGAGTACATCGGGCAGAATTCCAGATGTGACTTATCGCTATGACCGCCTCGATCTCCGGCAGCTGCACCAATGTCGGGCAGCTGACAGCGCCGATTATGTACGTTGGCTGCAGTGTGATTGCTTTTGCTGGCATAGCCCGGCTGCAACCACCAACAATCCTGCATCTTGAGCTCATGTCTGATAAACATGTATCAACGACGAGGCATCCGCATTTGCGGGGTGGCGATTGTGCATAGTGGTGGTCGAAGTCGCGATGGTAGTGGTAGAGATGAGCTTTGTTGCAAGTCGACGGACGACTCAAGTGTGCGTAGTTGTGTTGGCAGTGTGCAATGATGTGTGTGACGAGCCTGAAGATAAATAGGCACCATGACTCTCGTCAATTGAGTCCACGAAGGTTGATCTGAGAATAAATCCAACAAGTCAGCAAACAGGTTCTCAGTAAATTTCTTGATCGCACTCTGTCGCCATGTCTTCGTATGAACAGGGAGAAACAAACGATGGCCATTCCGCAAGCCGACAAGCCATCGAACTGCCAGCAAGAGACGGGGCACCACATGTATCAGGTACAGGGCCCCTGTGTATGGCGATGCCGCTAGAGGATACTGACAATGCGATCTTGAACTTAGATCTAGAAAGCCAACCAACAGGCGACAGTATGAAGTGCTCATCTATACGAGAGTTGTTAGGTGCTAACACAGAATAGGATCGGACGGAGAAAAGGGGTGGATATCTATGTGTCGGCAGCAGCAGCGCGATGTGAGGCTCATGGTAGCACCCCGCTTCATGGATATACATGCGCTCTGCACCAGATCCCGAGCGAATCGTGTACTGACTCTATACACGGAGGTGCGAAGAGCAATGGGAGCTGGCGAAGATGTCGCAGAGTTGTCCAAAAAGCTCGAGGAAGAAATTGCAGGATATGGTGAGGCCAACAGCCATGCTACTTGCATACTTTTTGACGTACCTAAAAACTGATCAAGTTGCAGACCAACATGTGCATCAAACAAGCCAGATCCTTGCCCTCAATCAACCCAACAACATCTTCTTGAGACACCTCTTGGGATTCTTCAAGAGTACTTTGGAGGACGAGAATATCAGCTTCTTCGACGAACCGATCAATGACTGGGTATCGCTCTCTCAACATGACAGACTAGACCAGCTCATATGCCTTGTACCTATCCACAAAATCGGGCGAGTAGTATTTGTGAGTAAATCCCCGTGTGTTGCGTATGCTGTGACAAGTAATGACACGTGGTAGAGACCATTTCTGGCAGAGAAAGAAAGGGTGGGGAATAATGATTTGTATCACTACAACGAGCAGGGTATACGGGGTATTATCTTCACTGTATTCCTAGGCATCATTGCGGTGTTCACGTGTGCCCCAGCTGCTATTCAGTCGTTGAATGTTGAGTCAGCTACTGGTGAGGTGGCGGTTTATCTGGTGTTTGTGATCGCGTTTGGCTGGCTCAGCCACGGACTCATCCAAGGCTTCGAGAAGCTATTGTTAACATCGCTCGCCTTCTCTGGACTCATGGCAAACTTACTGCGAGGCAACAAATAGGTCGCGATGGTAGCATGATGGAAAGGGGGGGGGAGGATGATGATGGAGAGGAGCAGGTCGGGTCGGGTCGATGCCGATGTCGATGTCGAATCTTGGGGTATTGCCAAGTGTACTGTATATAAAGCTGTAGATGATTATTGGACATTCGTTTGGATCAGTGCTTGTCTCAAAGCGACTTCGTGTGATGTCAATTGTGGACAGGACGCGTATAACGATTGCGAGTTGGGACAGCAAGTCACGAGAATTGGGAAGAATATTGATATAGGGGCATCACTCTTCCAGATTTATGAATATAAAAGTGATAGTAATAATAGTGGTAGCGTAGATAGTAGGTAGTTTCCCTGGATCATGATTTTTGGAGTAAAGGTTGGTTTGGAAGGGTGTGGATGATGGAGGTAGAGAGAAAGGAGACAACATGTGGGAAGGTGCCAAGTATCCTTCCAGTGAGGCTCTAAGTGGGACGGACTGTCCAAGGTACGGATATTCCAACACGAAGCAGACGCCTTAACCCAGGCTGCCCTGGGTTTAATTGCAATTGCCTTCCAAGAAGGCAATTGCGACATGTAATCAAACCCCGGGAAGATAGTCCCTCTCGACAGTTGAGAAACACAGGTAAGGTACTCCGTAATCAACATGATCATGCCCTCGATAGAAACTCCATCGCCATCCGATGCTTACCCTCCCGCCCATTGTTCCTAGTATCTCTCGCCACGGTCCGGAAACAATTCTTGTATGCCCTATTGATGTCACACGCACCAAATTGAGCAAGTTCCTTATATATAAGGAAAGCAGCATATCCAAGTTAGCGAGGGCTGTCAAAACGCCCTTGACAGCATCGGGGGGCGTCAACGTTGGAGGGAGTTGACGAAGCAAAAGACCGTTGAGATCATCGTGAAAGTCATTGCATGCTCAATCAGTCCTGGTGCAGCCAAGCCGTGCACTGTCAGTTGTATCCAGGGGTGATCCTGGCGTTTGCAATTTTGTGAAGCGCAGTCGGAGGTCTCGTCCCTACAGAAACCACAGTGGAACGGAGTACTTCGATACCAATTGGTCGTGACTTTGTGAAGATAGCAACCCAGCACTCAACAACTGATTAACGCTTATCTCACAAGCGTGAACGAGTCGTGAAGATCCATACTGGCACCAAAATGTTTGTACTGCGTGGCATCGTTAACAAACGCGTTGCATTTGGTTGTTTCGAGGCCCGACGATAGGTAGGCATGGGCTGTCACCCTCCTCTCTGCCACCATGGTGGGCGGGCGACCCGTCACTCAGACGAGGCAACAAAATGTTGCCTTGTAGCTCAAGCAAGCGGGGTGGCTGGGAAGAAGTCGAATCTTCACAATGCTGGAACCTTCTTCGCTACCACCAGGGGTCCTTCGCAATTATCCTCCCTGCCATTCCCTCAACAGAAACGGCATTGGGCTAACATAGCGAACTGGCGAGCATCCCTGACGGTTGTCAGATGGCCAGTGCTATTGTGCTGCAGCGTGCACCGCGACGAGATGAGAACATTCCCTATCAGGGTCCCAAGAATCCAAGACGAAGACCGCATGATTTGGCACTCGCCACAGGTCAATACGTCAATTGGATTTCCCCAGCCTCGTAGGTATCTTTTGTTTCGATTTGGCAAGGCGCCCAATGTGACTGACCCCGGGCTGTCCATCTTGACCGCCATTCTGTGGCAGTTCGAATCGTACCAGCAGCATTCGGGCTGAGGTTAACGCAAACTCCGAATATTCATTAAGACATCATCAGAATGATGAAAACAAAATTGAGCACCGAGTTTTGGATTCTGGGGCGCAAGCTGCTTGTTTTTAACTCATCACTTTTCCGGGGATGCCTGACGATGCCCCAATACCGAATACCGTGCCCGTGATGCACACACTGGAAAATGGCTGCGGCAATAATCAACGGAAAAGTCCGCATCGTCGAGGTCGTTCAGTAGCCGCCGGGTTCCAATCGTCAGCCGGCTTAGGATGTGAGCATCATACTTATGATGACTCAATGCGAGTGATCGGTTATTCCTGTCAAGTGCTGGGAGCTGGAAATCGCTTTGCTGTCGGGCCAGTATGGCGAATTTTGCGAAACGGTCGCTTGATGTGCTTCGAAGTTGTAACATGGAGCATATCATCAGTGATTGCAGAGGATACTCACCTTCTCTGGCTCTGCCAGTTCAAGTCACCTCCTAAATACTCACAAATCACGTCGCTTTAGCAATTGTGTTAAGAGCTCAAGTCCGAAAAGAAGTTTGTTCATCACATCGTCAAGGATACGGATACTCAGGGGCTCATAAACAGAAGTTCCTTGGGGAATCGCACCGAGCTGGCTTCAGTGGGCCACGCCAACTCCAGAGTGTTCAGGCGCCTGTTACTCTAATAAGAAGCACACCAATGGTGGCAGGAAGAGTGCTGCAGGACCAGCTGCCGAGTTTCTCCAAGATCTTGTGAACGTGAGTAGCAATAACCGCTATGTTCATTCTTCAAGAAAAGCAACTTTTGCAGTCTTCGTGGCAGATATCTTCTAGTTAAGGTAAGTCGTATGGAGCCGTATGGGGCCTAGGTTTGCTGGGATGCGACTGGCTGGCTACCTGCTGTCTCCAAGTTTACGAATACTACTAATACGAATAACTACAGAAGGCGTGTTCGACTCTGTCAAAGAAGCGCCTACCTTAGCTATTCAGATTGTACTAACGTTAGTAGCACTTCATAACTGGAAGGTGTCTGCGATAATCCTGAAGCGATAAATGGATATTGGTTCATCGGGCCTTCTTTTTGAAGAAAACCGCCATGGCCTCCTGGCTTCCCTTGCCTGACAGGGACATCGTATATCCGTAAGTGGGAGCCTTCTGCGACAAGCGATGGTACCTGAAGGCTCAAAACAATTCTGCTTGACGTGCTGATAAGGCAGCCCGTGCCTACTACCCAAGTACCTATCTGAACACCGCTCCTGGGGTTTCATGACAAAAATGGCCTACTAGGTGCCTTTGCGAGTTTGAGGTTGATTGGGAAGCCCCTAATAACCTATGCCTCGGCCGGCAATTTTGGACGGTCAACACACAGACCGTTATTAATGTTGCGCCTGATCACCCGACCCGTGGGTAGATTAGTAGCTGACCCACGACTCCTGGCACCTAGGAGCGAATTCAACTTCTTACGGGGAAGCTCCAGCTTTGGTCCAGTCTTCCAGCTTCTTGTCATTTCAGATGCATAGCCTTTCTCCCATTCTTCTCAAGAGTCGGGCAGCATCATGATTGCCATGGGGCATCGAGTGTTTCGACCCAACATCAAATATTGGCAGCATTGATGACCACATGTGTTATTTACCCACCCATCCATCCATAACAGCTTCAATGCTTTTGAGGCCATCCTGTGGACGCCTTTTTCATCATCACGATGAGCAAATAGTCTACGTCTAAAGATGAAGCAGTCTCCAACCTTACAAAGGGCGGTGAATGTCGAAGCCAGTTGGTTTTGCATATTATGAGGCTCAGCCTCATTCACGTCACAAGATGGTGTCTTTGAGAGGCCGGCTATCTGCGAATCTCTGATCGGTGAAGCCAAAACGGGAGTCAACACCATCTTTTGTTGCCTAACTAACACCCTCGTGAGTCCAAAAATATGAATCGCCCAATGATAAGTAGAACAACATCTGCATCCGAGGTATGAGCATCACGTACATCAAGTGTCGAGCAAGTACTCTGCTTGTATCGTGCTTGTATCGCGCTCGTTGGAGCGGTACGGCCCGCGAGCCACAACTATTGGTCCAAAGGGGGCGGAAACAAGATATTGCCGAGATCATAGGACTGCAGCCTCAACCATGATTCCTCTGCTAGCTGCATATGGTATGCGATGTGGTGCACAGCCCAACTTGAGCCGCAACGAGAGGCCAGCTACGCGACAAGTGGAGGTGTGATATATCCATCCAGACTGATGTTCCAATACAGCTCTTGGAAGGCACGGCGAGAGACAGAGAGAAATTGCTTACAATGATGTACACGACACACATGCTGTTGGTCATTGTTGGCTGTATTGAGGATATGCGCGGTATTAAGCGCAGCCGCCCAAAGCCTGAAGCGTTTCCAGCTGTCTTCCATCATGACGGCTGGCGGGTCTATAATTTTTAATGTTTACAGAATCAGCTACCTGGCTTCGATGAGCTCTATACATGGTTTTGCACTGGGATCAGTGAATAGGATAGAACGGAGAGTTGATGACCGATAACTAAGAGGCTCGTGTTGTTTCTTTTGCGGTGGGTGAATCGCCCGTCACAACAGCTAGCCATAAGTTCCATTTCTATCATTTGGGCTATATCGTACTCACATTTGTCTAAGTTATATGATAAGAGACTTTAGGGATCAAGAGCCAACCGATTTGATATTTAGCCAACTGCGTATGAATCCATCCGAATATAAACACTTGATGCTTTCTGGAGAGAATATAGACATCTATAAATCTCAATTACGCGGAGTAGAGGCTTGCCATAATCAAAGACAAATCAACTCAGTGATTGTATTCCTGTTATTGCTTCCATCCGCCGAGCTCTCTTTGTTCTGTCTGGGAGCTCCTTTATATAGCACACTTAGACTACCTAGGTACTACTCCCAGCTGGTCCAGCTACCTAGTTAGGTACCTAGACCAGCTCCCCCGAGTCCGTTTTAGTGGGTCTTCACATTGGCCGTGCTCCGACTAACGGACGCTACCTTGCGGTGCCGGTAGCCCAAGCGACCCTTGAATTTATTTCCCCAAGCTTCAACCATCACAATAAACATTCACATCCCATTCCACACTATCCCTCGGCCAAGATAAAAGCACGAGGAGAGTGTTCATTATGTCGGCGTTACAGCGCTCGCGATCAATTCGAAAACCTTCTTCCACCACCACAACAGCCACTAACACCCCGAGTCCCTCAGATGGCTCACCGAGTCGTCTCCCCGTAAAGCCTCTGACACGAAGTGCAACAGCATCCACCAGCAATGCGAGGACTTTGAGGAGTGGAGCAACAGGTCTCTCGAGAACGACTTCAGTCAGACAACCGGCCAAATCTGCAGCCCCTGAACCCGTGAAGAGAGAGACTCGATATCCTCCGTCAACAACAACTACCAGGACGAGACCAGCGGTGAGACCAACCTCGGCAGATGGATCGTCGCAAGTTACGAGAAAGGCCCCAGCCCCTACGCATACTCGTGCTAAGAGCACAGCTACTGCATTGAAAAGCACCCCTGTCTTGCGACCGCCTTCGTCGGGTTCATCGGCTAGCAGCACTACTACTACAACCACAAGTCGCACACGCTCGTCGACAACAGCCAACGCCGAGAAGACGTCGGGCGCTGCGCCTCGCCTCCGACCGGCCTTCTCAACACTCCAACAGCACTACTCACCCGCAAAATCCTCAGCGCCTAAGCCTCTGACATCGACGTTCCTCGCACCTCCTTCACCATCCAAACTACCCGCCAACGTCGCTGCATCCGCCGAGACAAGCAGGCTACAGACGGAGCTATTGCAGTTGCATATCCTACATCGAGACGCACCCACCGTAGACGCTGCATGGAGAGCCAGTGCCCAGCGCAAGCTCGGAGATCGATTCTCACAAGTAACTACTGCTAGCAAAGAAGTTGACGACCAGGAAAAGGCCGAGGTGGAGAGGGAGAATGTCCTTGCTCTTCGCAAATGGGCCGTTGGCGGTGGTCTGGAGGAGCGCATACAGATATTGGACTCAGCTATGAACGGTCTCTGGGCTTTGGAGGAACCCGGTGGTCGATACGCAAGGGTTGTTAGGCGCTTCGAGCGATGGGTCGAGCGCATGTGCGAAATTGAAGAGGCGCGCCGTGAGGGTGGTGCTTTACTACAGGAGAGCGATGTGCTATTCATTGGGGAACTCGATTCTGCCTGGAAAGATGAATGCACTGGTTTGGTTCGACGATTGGACACCTTGAAGAGACAGCTCGACCAACTGGGAGACTTCGCTCACGACAACGAAGGAGATGCAGATAACACAGAACGATCAAGTCTGCAACGCATGGTGGAAGGATCGCGAGAACTGGTTCACGGAATGTTGACGGAGTTGAATGTAATGGAAGACATCGAGCGCGATGCGCTATCGCGAGAGGACGAGTGGATTGAGAAGATGAACCGAGATGAGGATATAGATGATACCCCAAGAGCTGGAGCGGTTTGGAGAGTCGTGTAAGATGGAGGACTGGTTAACGACAGTTTGTGCCTGAGTTTGGAAATATCATCAAGGCAGCGTGCGACGTAAATATCAGCAAGATCATAGCAGGCGATTCATTTTCTTCATGTAACGAATAGACGGTTTCCTTATTGTGTCCAGTACAGAGTTGCTCCGCTACATCAATTTCATGATAAGTAGAATATGCTCTTCTATTTATTCTCCCTTGTTTGCGTTTGCATAGAGCAGTCAGATATCAAGTCAAGCAAACATTCTGCAGCTCGAACATCAAGTGTTTGAGTCTCCGACTCTAACTCGCAAGGAAAATGTTAATATTTATTTGGATTTTTGGTTGCAATTCGTATTGCAATGGTATTTGAAAGTTTCCCACCTCATAACGAACGCTCCTCTAATGGTTCCCACAACAAGAACGAAGTGTCATCATATATAAAATAGCAGTCATAAATAGTAGATAAGGATTTATCAAGCAAGTTTTGGGTGGCAAAGTAGCATGGCCGTCTATGTCCGTAGTGTATTTCGAGATGTGATCTGTTTCGCGGCGACTTTGATGCTCCAGTTCGTGAGACATCGTCCAGCTACCCCGCGATCTTCGCATGATGCCAAACTCCACCTTGTGCGACAGCATTTGACGTGGTTCTGCATGACAATGGCAAGTGAGGCTACGGCGAAATAACTTGGTAAGGTGCTTGGTATTGAAGCTAGCTTGGGTGGTGGCATCATAGGAAAGCCCTTCGAGGGAAGCTGACGCCTTCGACGGCAGGCTCGTCGACGAACCAACTGCAGCGCTCGCCCGTACCCTCGTTAACAAGGGTGCAAGGAAGCCCACCTTCGGTATCGAAGATCTGCTTCATGATATCCTTCTTGCCGCCGCCAGTAGCGACAAATGCGACGCGAACGGCGTGGTTGACAACGGGAAGAGTAAGTGTGATGCGCTTCGCAGGAGGCTTGGGGGAATCGTCGATGGGAGCAACCCAGGCATTGGCCTCACGGAGGAGCTCATGACCGGGGAAAAGAGAGCAAGTATGGCCGTCAGGTCCGCATCCGAGGAGGAGAAGATCAAAAATAGGCAGACGGACTGAGTCGCGGCTGGCAAAGCTAGCAACCAGGGTTTGCTCATACTGGTCGGCAAGCTCCTGCAGGTCGTTCAGGTGTTCAGTGTTGATGGGGTGGACGGTAGGCTTCTGGTCCTCGGGAATCTTGTTCAGAAGCTCCTTCTTGAGAAGGGCATAGTTGGAATCCTCATGGTCGAGGGGCACGGCGCGCTCATCAGCAAAGAAGATTTCCCAGCGGGCGAAGTCGACGACATCGTTGGGACCGGAGGATGGGGCCAGGAGGGCCTGTGCGAGTGTCTTGGGGAGCGAGCCGCCAGAGACAGCGACCTTGAAAGCACCGTGTCGAGCGATACCGGCGGCTTGGCTCTGAATAACATACGAGCGCAGGGCCGAAGCGAGGGCGTCGACGTTGCGAAAGGCGAAGAGGTTGGGCTGTGTTCTACCCATCGTGAGGTTGTGGTTGTAGTTACGGTTGTGGTTGTGGTGGGTTTGCGAGTTTTTGAAGTTTGCAGTGAGGTTATGACGATGTATGGGGAGATGGAGAGATGGAAAGTGACGAGATGGGGAAAAAGAGAGATCAGAAAGGATGAGTGGATTTTTCGTGGAGCTTCGATGGGTCCTTTGACGCTTGACACGGGTGGGAGAAGCGGGATCAGTTGGTCAAGGGGTATAAAAGAGACAATCAGTCAAGAGATAAATTGTCAGGATCTGGTTTGGGTTTGGACGTTGTGGGATAGGTAATTTGACAAAATGTTACTGTAGCGCTAGAACCTGGGAGGCGGGGTTCCATGGAAGGTGCGACGTTATTGGGTTAGGTAGCTACTTCGTCATCGCATTCCGAGTGGATTAAGTTTTGGCAGGAGAAGTGAATGGAGACGGAGGAAAGCGCCTTCCTGCGGATACCGAGTAGGTAACAGAGAACAAGGACTTTACTTTGGGCGGAAAGTACAGGGCGGGGAGGGATGGGAAGTGGGTTCACGATAGCTTCTTAGGTAGGTACCTCAAGTTTCGTCTTGACGATGAGGTGATACACGCACATTGGTACCTAGCCTATGCTTGTCTCAGGTACAGCAAATGATGGCTATGATAAGTAACAGTGACGTGCCAGACAGTACAGTAGCCTGTCTTTTGACTTTCAGGCTCTAGGCTATCTCTATTGTGTTTGGTCGACTTTCTTTTGCCATGTTTCTAGATAATGCACGTCTTTTTAGCCGCGTGCTCTTGCAGTTGCAGCTGCGTCTTTACAAAAAGCTTATCGAATTATTGTTTTATTCCAGGGCAGTTAACAGCTGTCAGGTTACTCAGTACCTAAGGTACTTGGTAGGGTTATAGGCTGACCGTTTGATGTATAAAAGTTAGTAGCGTTTGTAATGAACGGTGTTATCAAACATTACCAATGAAACTAGATGACAGATGGGCATAGAGACTACCTATTGATCTCAAAGAAGAGATCTTAAAGCATACCAGATCGAGCTGCAGTGGGCTGACATGTGGTTTTGGTTGCTGACGTGCTATTGAGCCCTACATGCTCTAACCCCCAGCCAAATAGGCAAGTCAAGGTAGCATCACCATTGCCGAGTGGTGACACAGCACAACATGTACAGTACCGCAGGGTCTCCATGCCTTGCTGTCAACTTTGGCTCTCGTCTAATACTTGATGGCCCGTTGGTCTGACATTGCGTACCTACTAAGGTACCGAAGCATTCATCCACTGTCGTAGTAAGCATTCTTTACAATTATGACCAATAACAGTGTCTGGAGTAATTCCGCCCATGCCTCCGGTAGTTTCGTGGCAAAAGTCAGTCGAGGCACAAGATGTAATTACCCATTTCTGAATCCTGATATACCTCGTAAGAAAACGACAGCAACATCCAAGTTTAGGGGAGTATAAACTTAAAATCTATGGATTATAATTTAGAAAGTATGTGCCTGGCTTGGCAGAGGGTTTAACTGACAGTGGTTTATGACGTAGTTAGGCCCGGTAGAGGGCAGGCGGGTTTAAGCGCGCCGCTAGCAGCCTTTGCGGTTTATACTTCGTATCTCTAGTACTGGATTGTCTCGGCCAAGAAAGAAACGAGACGGGGAATAACTATCAGAGGATACGACTCCGGGCTGCTCGGCACGCTGAGCGCTAAGGGAATATGTCTAAGTAGGGTATAATAAGAAAATGACCTCTACCTCATCATTGATAAGACGTAAAAGATGTCTTCTAATGGCCTCCAACAAACCAAGTACGTTCTAGACTGTGCTAGGGCAGATGCCGGTGAACCCTTAATCCCCTGAACCCTGTCTCTCCTGCCCCTCCAACGGGCTGACCCCTCTAAATGTTTTCACCCCTCAACTGTCTAATACAAGGGTAATTAACTTACGGATATTGTTCCGTTGAAACAAGCAAAAGCCATTGAACCCATCCGTGGTGTTTCTTGAAGTATACTCCGAAAGTTCAGTATTAGAACATAATGCAGGTCCCATTCTCAATGACAGACTACCTGGAAAATCTCCCAGCTCTCATGTGCCAGCAGGTCTACTACTGCTGGAAATCATGGTGTACTAACAAACCCAGTCACTAAATATGGATGTTGAATATGCGTTTAAAGGACACTTGAACAAATTTTCCTCATAATAAAGGGGCACTGTGAATCAATACCCTTTCAGCATATATCATATCTTTACAGAGGCTGAATACGTAAACATACCATATTGTCCTACACTGTCTTTTTGTAACTGTAGAGTCAATCTGGGTGCACCAATATCATTATTGCGATGCAACAGCAAGCGTGGTCGTTGACGGTAGACTAACCATCGCCAAGGAAGAGGCTCCTGAGTTATCAAGAACAGTACGATTGGCTGCTTCTCATGCAGTCCACCACCAATAGATTGTTACTAGCCCAATACAGCTAGAATCGGCTGAACATAATCCGAGGTGAGTCGTTGAGCCACATAGCAAGACCGCCCTAGGGTCATGATCGTAAGACGAACTACAAGGACCCCTATCCCTATAACAAAACTTCCCTGCGATTACCCCGTTTATACGTTACAAAATCTGACAGCTGCGGTTGGTCGAATAAAATGACGTGGAGGGAACTGGAAATCACTAGGTACCCGTAGTTCCCACATGTGGGACGTTTATTTTTTTCCTTTTTCTTTTGGAGGGGAAAGGTGATATGGTAGGGAGGGATGGAGGGGAAATAGAGGGGTGGAAGTAGAAGAAAAAAAAAGCGTTTACGTATTGTACCTAGAATGGGATGGACCCTGGCGATCAAATCATCAACCAAATTCCAGATTCCTTCCTTCTCTAGCTTCTGAGTGGTGATCACACTTGACACCTGACACACCGCACACTTTTATGTGACCGGAACCTTCGCTCCGACAACCAACGACAGCAGCAACAGCAACAGCTACTTGTATCTGGGCCTGGCTAAGCCCTGTTTCTTCAGGAGCCTTTCTTCTTCTTCCGACCAACCATTCGCCAGAATCGCTTCCCTGTTTTTTCTCTTCCTCGCAAGGACCATCAAGATTTCAGGGTCCTTCCGAGAATCCCTGGCAGACCCAAGCAGAAAACAATAACCAAGCCTGCCGCCGCAGAACAGCCCGGACTAATATCACGAGTCAAGTAGCGAATCGCTGCGTCTCACTCAGATCCTTGACTTTTCGACCCTTGCTTGTCTGGCATCTGGCAACTCGACGATAGTTGTCGTCACTTCTAGACTTCTCTCTCTTTTTTCAAGCCACTCATTGTTGGTTGATACAACGGTCGCCCGCTATATATTCAGCCAATACCCGGACCGACCCTTTTTGTTCTGTAGGGCTCCCCCACCAAGCACCAAGACTTGGTCTAGATCTCTTGGACCAGCTTTTTTCTCTTTCCTCTTTACCACTCACCACCTTTTCCAAGGTTGTCCATGTCAACTTACACAACTGTTCACAGTTATTGGCTTCAATTCAAATACACCACCCAAGTACAAGTACAAGTACCTGCATCTCAATATGGACCCGACAGCTCGGAACGAACAGCTGTTGGACAGGCGATCGCAGCTCACCGAAGGACTCTCCAGCCTGCCCTATGACTTGATACTTTACCTCGACCGTGCCGTAATCTACTCGGATCTAGCGTATCCGGACCTCGCAGCTGGCGATGCCTATCGTGCACTTCTGCTTTCTGATGAGGTTCTCAATGAGGGTTTCGAGTATCACGAACAGGCCTTGGAGTCTCTGCAGATGCACACGGCAGTTCCCATTCCAGATGTTCTCGTCCATGGCAACCTGCCCCAGGATGACCTTCAACCCAACGACCTTGGCTCAGAGATAGAAGACGAGTCGGTTAAACGTTTAGCCATACTGGCTCAGGTTCGTGCGTATCAAATCTTGTCACTGAACCTCTTGCTCTGCGGATCACTCCAGAGTGCTGCCAGCTTCTGTCAGCGTGGTCTTCAACTATCACCATCGAATCAAGAACTTCTCGATACTAAGAGCAACATCGTAACCGTTGCCCGTCGAAGACTTCGCCGCGATGATATCGACATCGATTACCCTAACCTTCCCGAGCAAGGTCTTGTCCGTCGCGAGGTCTATCCCTGGAATGAGCATGAACCTGACCGCTTCGCTCCGGAATCATTGGCGGAGCTGAACGAGCACCTGAGCGTTATGGCACCTAAATGTGCTGTCGAAGTTGCTACCTTACCTGTACTATTAGAAGGGGCTAGTAGCACTGATGACTACGAAATCATCCCCACTTGCAAGCAGCTAGGCGTATTTGCTAAAGAGGATATCGCTGCTGGTGAGGCCGTACTTAGGGAATACTCACTCCTTACCGCCAACAACCGCTTAAAGGACTCGGTCTGCGATGCTTGTAGTTCCGAATTACCTCCACTGGGCAGTGAGAATGAGCCTGTCAACTGCCCAGAATGCTACGACACAGTGTTCTGTACCCAATACTGTTTTGAGCAGGCCATGGAGCGATATCACCCAGCAGTTTGCGATAAAGACGTCGATGCGATTGCTAAAGACCCTGACGCATTTGAAGCGGACCACACGCTCTATCTCCTGCTGCTGTCCCGTATCCTAGCCATAGCAGCACATGAGGAGGTGAACCCCCTAGATGTTCGCGAGGTCAAGTATATCTGGGGTGATTTTGTTCCAACTCGAACCAACGAAATCAACGCCTCACCAAACGCCGGCCCACCTCCTGAGTGGACGCTTCCCTTCTCCTTCAAATACAACATCGAAACGCCACTCCACGTTCTCGAGAAAATGGACATAGACATCTACGACACACTGGCTGAATGCGACCTTTGGGTGCTCAACACATTATACGCCAAATTTCGCGGTACCGCATCCGCTCGTAAAAGTCATCGAGACGGTCGCCCTGATGTTGCCGCTGTGCACCCCTATTGGTGTCTCGCAAACCACGACTGCGACCCCAACGTCACATGGGAATGGGGTGGCCGTATGGTCCTCGAAGCCAGAAAAGAGCGAGTTGTGGGTGGTCGACCAGGGGGTATCAAGAAAGGTGAAGAAATTCTCAACCACTACTGCGATGTCGACCTCCCCGTGCAACAGCGGCGAGAGTGGGCGAGAGGAAGTTTGGGCGGCTGGTGTATGTGTAAGCGATGTCGCGATGAGGCTGCAGCTGGAGAGAAAGAGCAGGCCTAAGAGGGTTTGCCGTTGATCAGGTACATATAAAGTGGCAAGTGTGTTTGTTTGCGCCCTTCGGGGATGGGTTTATACAAAATGGGCGGATTTGGTTGTAGCGAATACGAGCATATTGAGTGTTAATCCTGTGAGCAGGATACGGAGTATGCAGTTTGATACACTGTTTGGGGCCTCAGATATCATATAATAACGAGGATAGAACAAATAAACGGAGTTCTGATGTTGGAGTTATAAAAAGATGCTGCAGAAAAGTGAAAGGTTTTCCTGGGTCCCAAATGGTATAATGTTAGTATTTTGAACATGCCAAGTAAAACATGATCACAATAGAATATTATGACTCTCGGCTATTTTCATATAGGTCAGGTGGAACATTGTCGACTGCCAAAAGCCTCGGCATAATCGTGAATGATAATCCTCTTCACTTCCTTGCAAGGACATCAGAATGGTCAAACATAGGCAGGCAACATGTAAACTCACAAACGATGCTCTTCTCATCACGTCTTTTGATAAAACTTGCTTCTATTTGTGTGTAAGAATCTTACCTCGGCTGCTCAGGCAGCGGTCGAGGTCCCCCTACAATCTGTCTTCGGCCAGCCCCAATACCAACTGATCCCTTGTTCTGACTATCTCCGCCAGTATAACCAGCCCATTGCCCAACATCCCATCGACCGCCAATGCCGCCGCCAATGCCCTCTACGCCGTCATTAGAGCGGACCGCAGCAGCCGTCTCCTTCTGTGCATCTTCCCACTCGCGTTGTCGTTGCCGCTCCATCTCCATCTCACGCTCCAGCAGTGACTTGGATGCCCAGCCGCCAGCCTTTGTCTTGCTTTGGCTCTGTGCGCGACGCTGGTCCTCGGCATCGCGCTCAGCTGTAGCACCGAGCTCACGGGAGTAAGTTGTCTGGGCCGGTGGTGGCGAGGGAGCTGGGTTGCTTGACAAGAAGCGATCGGTACGGCTTGGTACGGCCGGCGAAGGCTTTGGTGAGTATGTAGCAGGATCCGGCAGAGGGCGACTGCTAAGGTTTGGTGACTTGACCTGAGGGAGGGCCGCAGGGTCAGGTAGAGGGCGAGGTGATCTTGAAGGTAGTGCAGGGGCATTGTTTGCCTGTAGAGGCTCCCTGTTAAAGGGGGACCGAGTTCGAAGAACCTCTCGTTCGTCCCTCGACCAAGAATCGGAGCGTGATGGGGGACTGGACACCAGCTTGGGTTTGGGCTTAGGCAAAGGCTTAACCTCAGCAGTTCCGTGACGCTGTGCTCTCTCTTGGCGCTCTCGCTCATATTCGGCTTCGCGCTGTCGAGCGAGCTCCAACTCTTGCTCCAGCTGCTTGACGCGGTTCTTGTAGTCGTCTTCCGAAGCGCCATCCTGTTGCGCTGCTCCTTGATCGGCCCTGTACTGGCTCAAGAATTGTCCAGTCAGTTTGGAATCACCACGTCCCTTCAGAGACTTTCGATCGTCGGCCAGTCTGGCTTCGGCTGCTTCTTCCTCCTTGCGTCTTTGCTCCTCTGTCAGTTTCCACTGTCGTTCCTCTTCCTCCCATCTTCGCTTTTCTTCTTCAGCCTCCTGACGCTCCTGCTCTCGTAATTGCTCCGCCTCCTCTTCCCATCGGCGCTCCTCCTCAATCCGTGCGTGTTCCTCTTCCTGGGCTTGCCGCCTCTCCTCATCCTCAGCTTCTTGGCGAGCACGCTCTTCCCCATCCTTTCGGCGGCGCTCCTTGTCGGCAAGGCTTGGCACGCGGGGGCCGGCATTAGTGATCTGCCGCCTTCCACCAAACGAGATACCGAGGTTGCCCTGGCTGGCACCTCCCAGATAACCGTACTGGGCGATGTTCCAAGCTGGCGCAGTCGTACCTTCGTGCTCCTTCTTGCTCCAGCTGCTAACGGCGCTGGGAGATTCAGGTCCATTTCGGGGACTCTTGGTAGGGCTCCATCTTCCTGAGCCGGAATCGCCAGTTCGGTGGGGCATGGCGGCAGATCGCCCAAAGGCGGGTGACTTGTTGCTGGTGACAGATGCCCCGCGATCGCGTGTTCCTGTAGGTGTCCTTGGCCCTGTTCCTTGCGGTGTCACGGTTTCGGGTCGGTTCTTGGGTCCAATCGACGTAGGAAAATTTCGGGGGTTAGCAGCATGAGCCGCTCTGCTGAATGCGCCAATACACTGTAGAACTTGTGTTGGGTCCTTTTGCTCAAACAGATCGACGGTGAGGAACGTATCGTGCTGCTGGAGATTCAAAGGCGGAGACTGGCAGGCGCGCAGAAAATGCGAGATGTTTTCCATCTGTACGAAAGGCATGGATGACTTCTTGAATCGAACTCCGGGAGGAGGCAGAGCAAGATTGGCGAGCCTAAGAGTGGTGTAAGTCCCGCATCCATGATTGTCCAAGGATAGGGACGACGTACCTGCAGAGAGCCACTCCATCTTTGAGTCCTTCGAGGAGATCTGATGACGGGAGGTTCTCCCCTAGAATATCTTCAATCCATGTACGAGCTTCGTTTGCAGCGGCAGGTGTGTATTTCTCTAGGCGCATCTTGCGCAAGTCTTTGTCGAGTGACGAAACGGACGCCATGATGACGAGTTCGCAGTCGAATTATGAGAAAGAAGTAGCTCAATCACTTTAAGGGACAGGAAAACTAGAATTCTATCTCGACTAGCACGAGTTGAGAGTTGATGTTGCAAGGTCTTGGACCTGGAAACACCGCGTGGTATTGTCGCAAGCTTCAAGATTAGGTAAATGAGGGGTGGGGTATCAAGTCGCAATTAAAACAGATGAAGCTATCTCCATGAGTATTCCTCAAGAGATGGACTTGCAGGTGACGAGTTCTGGTTTAGGGAATTAGGAAGAAAAGAACAGAAGAGTCCCGGGTATCCGAAGGTGAAAGTGAGGGAGGATATCCAAGGAATTAGTACCAAGTAAGTAGGCGCCTTAGTATTGCTCCAGGCAAGATTGGGCGGTACGCACCCAATACCAATACCGCCCTTGTCTAAGAAATGACGTGGATTGTTTAAAGGTGGCTGGGGTGCAGAAACGGAAGCGGGCACGGTGGCTGGTGCATCATGACGTGGCTGTGTATTTGTCATGGATTCAAGACTTCACCAAACCAATTCGTCGTTTGCGCCCCTTCCATATTCTTTAGGTCGCATTCATACTCACAACTTGAAACAAAAAGCGCAATGGCCACAAATCAGATTGGCCCTATTGCGCGGGCGTGGTACAAGTGGAAAGCCCTCCGCTTACCGTGGCGCAAACGGTTCCTCGTGGGTACGTTGACATGCTATCCATCTCCCTGTTTTGCTCTGTTCTCCCACTTACACAAACCACCAGGTTTCGATCTCCAGGGCAACACCTACTGGGAGTTTCGACTTACACGAGGCGCCGAGAGTAACGAGCGCTGGCGGAGAATTGTCAAATATCCTCGGTCAGCACATTATTCCTCCGTAAAGGTTAGCCCGCAATGGCATCAATGGCTACGACACACGCGCGAAGACCCTCCGAGCGTTGACGAGCAGCGGGGCGATATTATGCGCCGGGTGAGGATGCAGCAGCTCGCTGCCGAGGCGGATGCACGATGGGAGGCCAAGCCGAGGATGATGGACGCACCACAGGCCGCACCAGCACCATTATTGTCTTCAGTCAAGGCCGGTCCACTACAGCATGATGCTGGTAAGGGCGAGCAGACTGATACGACTGCAAATAAGGTTGAGGATAAGGTTGAAAAACAGGATGATCCCTGGGCAAAGGCCAAGGCGAATGGACCAGGCGAGACATGGCAACCTGCTGCTTGGAGCCCAACGGCAACGAAGAAGCGTTAAAGCTGGCATGACGCCTAAGTCCACCAGCTTGCCCTGCCAAGCCAAAGAGTTTTATCAATTGTAACAACACTGTACTAGAGCATTAAAAGAAGTTACGAACCGGACATGGAAGAGATATGTCGGATTTCATTATTCATTATGGTTATGTGCAGGGGTAGTCTAAAATTTGTACAGTATCGAACAATAAAACTCCCACAACCTATTGCCGTTTTCATGACTCCATTTCCTGTGTAGCTTTTAAAACTTCCAACAAAACCCGAATTCTTTCTGCTGAGTTGGTAAGGATGTCTTGAGCAAGAACATCAGTTTCGTCGCTTTTCATCTTCCCAGTACGCCGCTTCTTTGCTTTTGTTTCCCGAGCCATTATGCCCTTCTCAACAGCCTCTTCCAACTTTTCGGAATAAACCATTAAACCGCAAGCCCACAGAAGCTGTATAGCATCCTCGACAACTAGTGATAGTTTCGCGTTGTCTTCCAGCGCCACCGTATTTGCTGGGTGAGGGACAAAGCATTGCTCTAACATAGGTAAGGTTAAACACCCCTGGGCATCACCTTCTGGATCAACCTTGGAAGGGTTTTTGTAAGAATTTGGTAATAAGAGGTCGAATAGTTCTTTAGCGATGGTGATGTGCGCCTCCGGTAAGAGGACATTTGGTCGCTGGCATGCAAAAAGAGAAAACATAGGAAGTGGGAGAAGTTTGAGAGAGGCGGTATACTCTTCATATAAACGATGAAGCTCGATGGGTTTTCGGAGTGACCACGTTACTGCAGAAAGTAGCTTGAAAAGGCGCAGGCGTACGCCTACAGACTCGACTAAGCCTGGCGCATGTGCTCCAGCTGTTCCAAGCTTCCGTGTGTCTTTGGGTTTTTGAGGTGTCGGTGGCTCAGAAACTCCCGAGGACATTGACTCCTCATCGTAATAATCGCCAAATTTGTCGTTTTCCAGGTCGAGCACTTGCTCCCGTTTTCGTTTCTTAGACTGCTTGCGGGGTCTTCTGGGTTCTTTGTCGAACACTTCTCGGTAGGCCGATGATGATATTTCGCTTCCGTCTGCAAATAGGGCCTTCATAAATCCTTTAGCCCCATTCTGCCGTCCATTTTGTTGATCCATGTACATGACAATAATAGAATCACTGCGTGCTGTACGAGGTAGTTCGCTCTCCGGGCCATTTGCTTGTTGTGCTTCTTTATCGCGTCGCTCACGTTCTGTCCAGTCGGCCTCCAAGACGTCCAACATCAAATCTAACCAAACTTTCCAATAACGCCATCGCTTCGGGTATAAGACACTGCAGTTGAAGGCCCAGCCTAACGTAGACCAAAAGTCTTGTCCACGGTTCCATATGCTGCTTTCGTTGGCGAGTTGACCTTGAAGTCGTTCGTCGTCTCCGTTCGATTCTACATCGGACATGTCGCTATCATTTCCCTGTGCATTTTGGTCCCATCGACGTCCCCAGCGTGGCGCGGAACTGAACTGGAAGGCTGTTCTGAAGTCGGCATTGATGGGACCGACGATGGTGAGTAGATTGCGCAAATAATCTAGGGCCTGCGAGGAAACATCGAGGCGGTCTTTCTTTTCTGCGCGTGTGGTGTGGAGTGGATGTATTATTAGAGTGTTTAATAGAGCGAGGTGACTAGCAGGAGGAACGGGGACTGGTCGCTTTGTTGGTGTACGTCTGGATGCGCCAGAACCAGCAATACTATTGAGGAGACTGATCGCGGAGCTGTCTGTTAGGGCATCAGATAAAGTCCCATATCAAGAATAGTGCGCGCGGAACATACAGAGTTGTTCTTCTAGAAAAATCTGGCAATGTGCCCTCAAGTCGCGGGGCAACTGTCGCGCATCGCGATAGGGACAAGGGTTCTCATGGACGGGGCTGCTGGCAGCCGTGGACTTGGCATCATGCGCCGTTACGAAAGAAGCCGGTGACGAGAGACAGGAAGAGGACGACGCCGTTGCCATTGCGAGTTTGAGGGCCAATACATATGTGAAGGCTGAGGTTTGAGTAAGTAACGGGTGATCAGGTGGGAAGCTTCGGGATGAAAGAGGGCTGAGTTAGAAAGTCAAAGAAGCAAGATGGAACCAATTTACGCGGTTTGGACAATCGAAGCGCGCGTCTATCGAGAACCGCGTGCACTATCAATCAGTGCTTGATGCTTGCTGGGTTGGGGCAGCTGGGGGGGTTGTGGTACCTGAGCTTTAGCAGCCACAGCCTAAACCTAAAATCTAGTCGCACTGGGTGAAATTAGTGACGCCATCAACTGGAATGGTAGAATTAGAGGAGCCACTTGCAATCCACAACTGATATTTCTAGTGCCTTAGAAGTTGCATGTGAGTGAGACATGACGGGAGTAACAAGAGCAAAAAGAATGACTCTTCTCAATATGGGCAATGAGAAAAAGAAAGCTGACAAGACTGGGATTCGAACCCAGGCCCCTTTCGAGACTGCGAATCGTCACTAGTTCTAATCGAACCTGAACACAGCGCCTTAGACCGCTCGGCCATCTTGCCTTGGTTGCTTGTTACAGTGCAAGTGACTGATGTGCAACATCAACCCCCAGTGAGTATGCTCAGCATGCAACATCTTCACTTGCACATTGATCATCACGTCTATTTTACTCAAACATGTTGCGAACCTATATGACACGATAGACATAGTATCCGTGACTCAAGTTAACCTCTGTCATTATTTTGAGCTTCTTGTTTGAGAGAAGTAGTACTCCATAGCCTTACAAGATAAACACATGTCTCAAGATACAACATCTCAATATCATCAATGCCTTTCATGTAAGGTTACTTAATCTCATTAAGAACGATTTGTACAGATATTAATAAATTTAACAACAGAGTGTTTGTCTATCCTTGTTATGCCTCTGCTTGTACATTGATGGATGATACTGGTCAACGCTGGTGTTCAGGGACCAATATAGAGTAGGAAAGTCATCGTGGCATATTTCTTTAGGTGGGGATTTTGAGATACATCCGAGTCGTTACCTAGGTAGTTGTAAATCAAGTCTCACAATAGCAACCGTTTGTTGCCAGTTCTAATACTCAAGATCAACTTGGACTCGTGACAGTGTCCATCAGTGTCAAGAGGCCATAAACAATGCTTGCTATATGGCAGTCATGGAGAGCTTGATATAAACACACACTTTGGAAGTTACTGCTGCCTAAACTTAACTTCTCCCCTATAGAGTTGCAGGTTCCACGCAATTACTTTTGCTTTGCCCGTGCATGAGCCTTGCGCCCACATCAACGTGAGGACATATTCATACGCCAAAACTTTACTCACACTCAGCACCATAGCCTTTATAAAAAAGCAAGCACACCTCTCAGAGCTTCCATAATTCTCCCAATTTCGTCAAACTATCCAACTTAGGTCCAACACCGCTATCTCTTCATATTTTCGCAACCGTGCTTTGACAAAATGGTCGGTTACACCCAAGGCCAAGTTGGCCTCTCAGGCACATCGAGATATGTCGAAACCATATTTAGCAACTCATATGATCATACTCAGGATGGCCGTGTTTTTGAGAGGGCCTTGAAGTGGCTGGGTCCCCGGGCAATACCCAATATCACCCCTTCGGTCTATATACCTGCACCTATGCCCTTACCAGCAGTTGAAGATATCGCAGACCCTACTCCCGAAGAAGCTGGAGACTCCTTAAATCCTCTTGAGTCAATAGACGAATCGCTGTGTGATGGGTATACCAAAGCTACTCCCGTCAAACAACCCAGATCAAGACAAGAAAAAAAGGCTTTTCGAAAGGAAGCGAAGAAGATATCGAGAAAAGAGAGACTTGCCAAAGAAGCAGAACTTCGAAATTTGGCCGCCAAGCCGCAGAAGCTAGACAAGAAAAGGAAGAAGAGCAGGCGGACTGCAGAATCAAAAGCAAAAGCAGAAGCAAAAGCGCAAGTCTACGCAGCACCTCTGCCTCGCGACATGGACATGAAGCCATTCCCAGGAAGGGTGTTCCAGTTACCGAGATATGAAAGCAAGCATTTTTCTTCTCAACTTTGCGAATGCAAAGATCCCGACATACTCACGCTGTGGACTGATGGCTCAATGTCTGGTGATGGCGAACTCGCTGGGGCTGCGGTTGCATATAGAGATATGGCTGCTGAGGATAAATCACGCGGGCGACACTGGAAGGATGTTGCTTGGAAAATTGACGGGTACAGCGGGCATATTGGCTGTATTGAACTCTCTGCCATTGCCGGAGCTCTCGATATCGCTATCACCAAAGTCTCGCAGGAAACGGTAAGCCCTATACACTCAGTCTTTATATGCTCGGATTCTTTGGAAGCAATCGGGAGATGTCAGAATATCAGCCGTATCCAACTGCCTCCTCTAGATTCGCTAGTTCACCAACGAGCACAGGAGTTGGTTGCTTTGGGAGTCAGCCTGTCTATCGTCTGGAGCCCGGGTCATAGTGGTATCCAGGGCAATATTCGCGCTCATATTGCCGCTGGAGCTGTAACAAAGTCGGGTCGATCAGATGAGAAACCTGAGAGGGTCCCATATCCTCCCACTGTTAGCAATATTAGAAGCTTCACCATCTGTCGCATGCCGTAGATAGACATGGCGAATTAGACTTCTTTGAGGATGAATGGGATTTTAGTAGCTGTTTGCTTGTACATATTTAGACATTTTGGGCACACTACTCTCGAGAGAACAGTATCCGAGCAGTGAAAGGGATATAATGTACAAATGGACGCACTCATGTGCTATGAGGTTTAAAACCAATTAATGTGTTCGTTATTATCATAATTTTGTGATGTAGTTCCGGCCTCCATCTCTGTCCTAAGCATCATTATGTTCAATTATGCTGCCCAGTTACAAGTCAAAAAACACCTTTTTTCAAAGCTGGAAGAACTTTACAATCAGCAGACTGAACCTCAAACATTCAATTCTGCAGTTGATTTCTTGTTCTTCTCCTCAAGAGTTCCCTGGTCCAACTCGTGTTCAGTCTCAAACTTGCGGTCTAAGCTCTTTGCCTTGACACAAATAAAAGACACCACAAGTGCAACACAAGCCAGCAGAGTCATGACTAGCCAAACCATTCGCAGACCCTTGATGTATCCGTCGATGATTGTGTCTTTCATGAGCTGCATGCTATCAGGAGACTTCTTGATGACCTGGACCAGCGCTGAGGCATCCTTGGCCCATTCATCGGCCTTGGAAGCGAACACTGTGCTCTTCTCAATTTGCTTGCGAAATTGGTTCTGAAAAGTAACACCCCCGATGGCAACACCAATGCCTTGCCCGAGAGACCTACAGAATGCATACAGACTGGCTGCGAAAGGTAGGTCGGAGTTGGAAGCGGCAGCTTGGGCGGCAAATGACTGGGCTGAATAGAGGATACCCAGTCCAAGACCTCCAGTGAGGTAGATAAGCACCCATCGGATGGTCTCGGTGTCTCTATCAAGTAACATCATCAATCCCATACCCAAAGGTACGAGGACCCATCCGGCCCAGATAAAGGGTCTGTATGTGCCCGTTTTGGCAATCAAGAGTCCAACCACGACAGCGGCGGGAGCTACTGTACCAGTGAATGGCAGAACAGCAACACCCGCAGTGATAGGTGACGAACCTCTAATCTCATGATATAGAGGGACGTAGTAGACAAGACACCACACGATGGTACCATGAATGATGGTAGCAAAGTATGCAGACAGGGCTGTCAGGGAGGTGAAGAGGCTTGGTCTCAGAAGGGGGTCACATCGGGAGTATTTCCTGCAGAACTTGATGTGAAACCCAAAAGCAACAAGGCCAAGAATACCAAAGATGAGTGTGATAACAGTGCGGGGGTTGCTCCAGTCATACATAATACCACCTATAAGTATTTATTAGCAATATTCCCAGACATGATCACGTCAAAATCTGTACTTACCCCAGCTCAGAGGAATCAGGAAACTTGTTAAAGAGCCAACAAAGATGATAGTTCCAATCCAGTCAAACTCTTTAATCTTTGTATTGACCGACGCATCCTCCTTACGCTTGATGCGCATGGTGATAGGGATAGCGATGTAAGCAACACCACAGAATGGCAAGTTGATCCAGAACAGCCAAGGCCATGACACCTCAACAAGGGCGCCGCCAATCAAAGGTCCAAGAATACTACCGATCGCCCAGTTGAGAGAGATGAGCCCGAACCATTTGCCTCGCTCTCTAAGACTCACAAGATCCGTAGCGATAACATATGTCAAAGCAAGGATACCACCAGAGCCAAGACCTTGTAGTGTTCGACCTCCGAGCAGTATAGCAACGTTCTTTGCGAGGGCAGCCATGATGCTACCGCCCGCAAAGACAGTTACGGAAGCAAACAGGGCAGGTCGGCGGCCAAAAATATGAGATAGAGAAGCGACAGGAGGTTGAATGACGGTCGAGGCGAGGAGGAAACTGGTGCCGCACCAGAAGGCTTCGATGGCTGATGCTCCGATATCTTCTGCAATGGTCTACACGTTTCTGTGTTAGCAGATATCAGTGGCAGGTATTATTGTATGTTTCGAACTGACCGGTAATGCAACACAGATAATTGTCGAGTCAAGAGCAATAATGAAAGTGACAAGGCATAATGTGCCAAAGGCACCGTAGAAGCGCCATCCTCGAGTTGTGCTTGCGGGAATATCCTCATTTGCCTTTGTATGAATAGATGGAGGACCAGAGGATGATGAAGGGTCTACTTGAAGGACTGTATCATGATGGTGAGAAGGGCCTGTCTTGCTCTCACTGACGTTGATATCGACAGGGGAGTGGACGTCAACTCCATGGTCAGCCATAATGGAAATCCAAAGATATAGTGACTGCTATGCTCCTATCAGGACACTAGGAAATATGATTGAACGGCGATTGGACCTCACTATTCAATCTCCTCGAAACAGGACGCAACCTAGCTTATAAGAACAGCAAAGAATAAGCGGGAATTGTTTTACTTTTGCTACCTGCTCGCCATGCTCTCATCATCGTTAGCCAGCCCCAAGAAACTCATAGTTCCCCGACTAGATATGCATGAACAGCAAACAGCTCACCCCTAGGCTACTCAGAAACTCTCATTTCGGGGGCAACGAAGAGAAAGGACCGCATCTTACTTTCTTGAGAATGCCCTAGTGACCTAAAGGGGGTCCAACGACTTCTGCTCCTCCTATCTCAGGTCAGTCCAGTGCTAGAACTAGTGAATTCTAGCATGGATCATAGCCTGGAGTTACCCTCACTTATCTACTGAGCCTCATCGGGTGTATCAGCCATGTTGGCGACCGCCACTTTGCCCTATCAACGCCGTCCCGCCGCTAAACAGGGACTATTGAAAGAAGCAAGATTTAGATAACCGATCTATGATGGTGTGAAATGGGTTGAATTATGTGTACTTTTTACTGTGAAAGAATCAACTGTGTGTTACGGCATTACACAATTGAAGCTCGAGTATACACGATCTACCATTATAAGCCAAAAGATGGAACAAAGTGACTCAAGCGCTGAAAGATGAATCCGTATTCGGATCCGAAATCTCACTCCAACTTATCCAAATCAACTGTCAGCCCTACGGATCAACGCCACGGGTCTATCAATCTAGACCACTTGCGATCCTAGCGCTTCCATCATCGTCGTGGGGCTCTGCAATCCCAGCTCTCGGCGAGGCCGTGGTTTCGTATCTAACGCCCGAAAGCAATGCACGATGAGGATGATACTATAATAAACAGAACGATACCCACTTCGAACACTGAACTATTGACAGAGTATGCCTTGCAAGAAGATGGGGGTGTCGGTTTAGTTTAAGTTGAGTATTCATTTTAGGCTCAGTTCCCTGACATCCATTTCAAAATGTTGATGCGTATCTGTGATAGGTGAAGAAAGTTCACTACTCAGTAGCTGATCCAGGGTATGAAAGTAAGAGAAGCCGGTCACAGGTTACGGTGGGCGTGCAATAGTTCTACTATTCCTGCAGTTCTCCAAGAATTAAGCACTTTACTCGATCACCAATGCAGATATAATATGGGACTGGAAATGCAAATAGAAAAGTAGGAGGGCAACAAAGAAGCATTCCCAGCCCCAGGAATTGAACCTAGTCCAGCGCCCCCTTGCGGGCACTCGTAGAGTGTGACCAACGCCCATGCACCATTACACCATGCCGGGTTGTGTGTGTGATGATAAAAGGCGGTTAATGCCATATAGGTGCATTAGTATTCACGGCGAGGCATGGCGGAGGATGTTGACATGGGATGAATTGTGATATATATCGTAGTCGGTGTAGGATAGATATAGGCAAACATTATCAGCGTAAAAAGACGTGTGCAATTCCCTGTCTCTTTACGAGACGTTGATTGATGGCATTGCAAATTACTGTCTTGTTAGACACGGTCGCAAGGGCAGGAAGAATGAAGCTGGGTGGAAATGCAGAGCACGGTTTGTAGACCAAGAGTAAGTTTTCATCCCGCAAACCATCTTTGCAAGAAACTTTGTGACTTGTGGAGGGGGGATGTCTCGTCTATATATACTTGCACTTCGGCATGGAAGATCAATTGTCCAAGCAAGTCATTGGCCTGAAATCCTGCACGAGTTCTCCACATGATACTAGGATGCCAAACTGATTGGGTCTGATGGTTATACCCTGTCTGTTATGCCACCGCATGTGTCCCCACCATTCATACACTATCTCGGAGAGCTTCTGTGACTTCGACAGATGGTTGTGATTTTCTCGACTCCCCCGATCTGATGACGGCATGGTAAGATTAAAAGTAGAAATTAAATATTCCCATTGAAAGTAAAGATGATCAAGGCTTACGCAGGCATGGGTCTAACCCTGACCGTTATGATATTCGCCTGGTGCGGCTCACTTACATGGTTTTATAAAGAAAGCAGATGTCTGTGAATAAAAGAAGGCAATTGGCTTCTTGTATCAAAACTTGTTTTCGTCATTGATTTACTAACGCAGCTGTCCCCTCTTGGATGCCGCAATATTCCTATTCCCCAAATTGCCGTGGCAAAACAGCAAACATGAATCCCAATTTTCTTCCATATCGTAAGATCAGACCAACTAAATGGACGATATGTCCTCCTTTCCTCCTTATGTCTCCTTTCCCAACCTAGCCTGGCAAACTTGCGGCAGGCAGTAGGAGTGGTATCGGTATCGTTCATCTTAAAATAAGCAACATCGCCCCGCGGTGTCTATATCTTCCGTCGGCCTATTCTTCATGACTGTGAATATAATACATGTAAGCGTGAAACAAACTGAACAGTGAATATTCTCTAAACGCGACAAAGAAAAGAGCGTCATAGTGACAAGAGCAAGTAATGTGGATATGATATGAAATTGTTTATGGCGGCAAAATACGACGAACTCGGTGGTGATAGTCGTGAGAGTTATGGTGGTGGTGGCGGTAACATTCGTGCTGGGTCAATTATGACACTATTTGTAGATTGTCAACCATACGATGCAGGTCATTGCCGCTGCTATTGAGTTTCTTGAGGCAGTGCTCGCAGATTCGTAGATGGCAAAAACTGCAAGTCCACCGATCCTCAACATCTGACTTGTCGCATGTCTGGCAAGTTAATGGATAATGTCGGTTGGTTCGGCGGTTCATTATCTTGTGGCCGTGATAACAAGCAAAGTGAGATTTCTTCAGCGGTGGTGCCTTAAAGATGGTACCCTCTGGTATGGGAAATTCTGACTGTTTAGGAAAGTACGCCGCTCTCGGATCAGGTTCCTGCAGAACCTTCATCTCGGGATACAATGTACCATCTCGGCCTCTGTAAAGGGGTCCTTGGGAGTCAGACGGTACCAGCCTCAGGTCGTGCTCAGCTCCCAATTGGTGGGGCGGAGCGTTCGATCTCACGGACGAATGTCTTGGTGGGAATTTATTAGACACTTCTGCAGGAGGTTGAAACTGATTAACCGCAGTATCACTGCCAGAAGATCCTCGACTTCCTGAACCTGTGGTTGAATATGGTTGCGATCCAACTGGGGGTGATTCGTTCTTGAAATTTGGTGATCCAGAAATTGGCTTATCCTTAACCGGGCTCGGAAGTTTACCAGCAGGAATAGCCTTCCGTGTGATGCTTCCAGAGCTCGTTAACGGTTCTAGAGTTTGTTGTTGGGGAGATATCTGGGGGATGTCGCTTGGAAGCTCCGGAGAAACCTGTGCAGTGGGCTCTGGCGATGAAGCGGGTGACAGAGGCGATACAAAAGAATCAACAATTGGTGTTTTTACATCTTCTTTCTGATATTCAGGTGTGGGAGGACGGTGCGCTCCAGGTCGTGATGCCGAAGGGGACTTTCCAGTGTCGCCCGACGACTTTCCTCTGCGATGAAGGTGGAGCTTGTCCTTGAGGCGGTTGAGCTTGGAGCTATTCACACCCATTGTCGGAGTCTCGGGTGCCTGCTCAGAAACTGGCGTCTGCCGGATATCCTGACCAGCAGGAACCGTTGCGTTGGTGCTTCCAGGCTGCCAGTTTGGTGTTGTGGATATCTTGAGCCCAGCTAGAGGAGGCTGTTGGGCCTGTGGTGGCGCGACAGCGGACTGAGCTGCAGCGGTCGATCCGTGGCTGGAAACTAGCTTTAGGTCGGGGAGTTCGTGGCTCCGCTCAACCTTTGAAGACCTGCGACGCCAAAGTTGAGGTTGCTGTGGCTGTTGTGATTGCGACGACTCAGAATTCAGCTCAGGTAGCTTATTCTCTGGAACTGGTTTCCGAACCGGTGCAGGAGTGGCTGGAAGGTGATATTTAGTGTCTTTGGAAGGAAGTGGTGGTGGACGAGTATTGTTGACAGGCAACTTAGGAGCATCATATTGGTGCTGTTGTGGTTGCTGCTGTTGCTGGGTGGAGGCACTAATAAACGTGCCAGTCCTTGTGCTGGCTGGTGGAGCTTGGTGGCTCGACGATGTGTTTGCCTCACTCTGACGAATACTGCTGTTGGCTTCGTAGGGTGACCTGACTAATGATTCGCCCGATGAGTGTGAATAAGCTGACAGGATACTCGAGAATGAGTCTGTGGGCGATAGAGGTGATGGAGGTGATAATAACTGCTGCTCGGGTTTTTGAGGTGGTGCTGGTGGGTTCGCAGACAGCTTCCCAATGGGCCGGCGTGGGATAGCCATTTTCGGCGGTCCGGACGGAGGAGTATTAACTGAAAGCAGATGCAACGGCGGCAGTGATGGAGGCAGCGGTTTCGCGTTGGCTATACTAGTTGAACGCGGTGGTGGAGGAGGAAGTTCTTTTGCGGGTGGTAGACGAGGGGAAGCTTCCTCATAATAGTCGTCATAAAAGCTTGGGTCGTCAGGCCCTGGGACATCCGGAAGAGCTTTAGACCAGCGGGACGAGCCAGTTTTAGGCGGTTGCAGAGAGTTTGAGCTCAACATGGTAGCCATGGCGAAACAAGAAATGTCGTGTCAGGCAGGAGAACAGACGGTGTAAGCCTGGTAAGGGGATGTTGTCAAACTTGAGGCAAGTTGATGCTGGTGAAACCGGGGGCGCAACAGTAGAGCAATGCAAAAAAGGCTGGTAAAAAGTATGAAATGCCAGGCCCTGGAATCTTTTCAATAATATGGGAAGGGGATCACGGGCAGGCCACCCCTCGAGGGAGCATCCAAACAAATTCAAGTGGGGGGAAGGGAGAGAGCGAGAGAGACAAGTGAAACCGGCAGAGAATGGATCTTGAGGTTGATATTGGGTCAAGTGGGACGAGTTTTGGGTGAGAGTTCACAAGGCAATCAGTGCGTGTGAGAGGTGATGGAATAGAAGAGGTGAAACAATAGGCGTTGTGTGAATTGAGAGTAGGTGGTGGATGAAGAGAAAAGAAGTCCAATTCGGTACTTGTCAAAGAAGAAACAATAGAAGTAAACAAGAAAGAAAGAGTGACTGATGATGAAAGGCGAAAAAAGAATTGAACCAAAGGGAAGGAGGCCTCGAGTCGATCCGACCCCAACTTTCCTCTTGGTCTTGTCTTAGTATTCTGTCCTGCCTACCGTGTCCTGCGTGTTTACGTTGACCCTGCTTATTATGGCACTTTTTTTCACTACGAGCCTAGGGTTTCATCGAGAAACTTAGCAGCGCCGTCTTCAACTGGGGGGCAATCTCTGGACCAGGCCGTTGGGAACTAACTTGCTGCGCGGTATCCGTGGGATCATGCAAAGCAAAGCAAGTATAAGACCGCAGAGAGGGCATGTACAGGGACTTGGTTAGCTCTTGCCTCGGGAAGGGCGGAGCGGAGGCTTAGAGTGGCTTACGCAGGCTCTTTCTACTCTGTAACTACCTATGGACTGGTCGCCTGTGATTAGGCCATTCTGGGGGGGCGAGTGTGCATTGCTGGCTGTGGCTCGTCGAGTTCTAGTACATAACATCCCGCAAACAGGGGCCTACTCTTCTTGAACTGGCTGAAACAACCAGTATTAGATTGGATCTCCGTCTGGTTTTAAGCGGGGAACTTGGGTTCACTGCAGCTGAATCCACGTCACTACGTACAATAATTACTGCCCCTGCATTGATTAAACTCCACAGGCGTCAGGCATTCATTAATAAATTCGGACGAAAAAATAAAACTCAATTAGATGATTGTATGGGAATTCAATTTCGATGCCGTGAATTAGTTCAACGGTTGTTTTGTTAAGGTTTACTGACCTCGTGTTAACGGATAAACGGACTGACGGTGTAATACCTGCGGCTTGTCTAGGCCTACGTTTGTACTACAACAATGCATCTTCTTGAGGAACTCTTTCACTGTAATACCAATAAGCTCAAGATGAACGGATACCCGCATCTCTTCCTCGTGGCCCTCTCGTAATATGCAAGCAGTTGCTTTTCCCCTTCACCTTGTCCCTGTCCCACCACATGCTTGAGTAGTACAACTAAGTACTCCGTACAGTCTGTGAACTTGACTCAATGGCAAATGGCAAGTCTGTCTTCCTCTCCCTCGATCTCATCAAGAGGCATGTTTAATAATAGTTAATTTCTCATTCTTCACTTCAACATCTATCTTGCATATTATAATAAGTAGAAACTCTCTAAACACTCTCACATTACAACAAAACGCCACTGTTAATTCCAAAAAAAGAAATACTGCTCAATGACCCGAGGTTGCATCAATCCTTGCTACTGATCGTCCAAGTCTACTAAACGCGTCACGTCTTTTTCCTTGTGGGTGCAGGTTCGGGGCGATCGATTATCCAGTGTCCATGCATCTCCACATCTAATTACACACTACAGAACGACACACACTCCGCCCTGATTAATCCTGCAATGCATTGTTTGGAAGCATCATCCAAGTCTTGGTAATAACATTATAGAGATCACACTGTAGGCTTTCAAGAGAGAACCGGGTATTACACGATTGTGTCTCTGCTCTTCGACGCGTTAGGTATTCCCCAACGAAAGTCCCTGTGATTCTAGCCCGGATTCGTCTTTGGCTGTTCGTTCGTCTTGGCGGATCAGCAATAACCCCAGTCTTGTCAAAATTGGCCGAATGTTCCATGTTTCAGATCAATAATATGACGAACACGCTTAAACACGCCATTGCGCTCAACTCTCGCAAACATTGCTCCTTGGCTTGCCAATGTGGGCGAAACAGGGCATGGCCGCATCGATGACTTAAAATGCATAAAATTACAATAATGGAATCAATGCGTCGTCTTACTGTATCTACGGAGTAATCTTGGACTATTCCGCACTGAGCATTGCCAACCTTGTTGAAATCGCTCCTACACATGGCTCGCTTGCTTATTGCCATAGGGAGGTGGGATTATACTAACTAGTCATTCGCGAATCTCCTTATCGAATCGCCATAACTAAATCTATGATTGATCAATGGCGCGCCAAGGTGTGGAATCCTCCGCTGGCTGACGTTAACTTAACCACCTTCGTCTGACAGAGGATGACTTGATAGTCAATGAGTGGTCTCAAACTCCAAGGTTCTCGTGGTACAGGCTGCGCAGGAGACTCGGGATATAGTGTTGGAAGTTGAATCAGTCAGTGTCCAACAAGGATAAATTCCATACAGTACTCGACTAGACGGACAGTCCAATCTTGCATATATATTTTCTTCGCTGGATCAAGCAACCTCAATCATGTCTCTTACACTCCTCGTCTCTGCCTGAATGGGCACTATCTGTCCGGCTGGGCTGTGTGATGGCTTCTCAAGTCTGACTCTGACTGACTATCGATCAAACACAGCCTGTAAGCAAGAGTCGATCTCTCGAGTATAACAATGCCATTTCCACCGTACCCCAGAATTGCATCTCTCTTGCAGTTCTATTCTTTTCCTATATATTTACTTCTCGGTCATTAATAAAGCCAAAATTTGAGTCGGGCGAAATACCGTTTTCAGAACTCTTACTCTACTCGCCAATATTCTAATAAGAACGATGCCCTTCCTTCCGACCTCACACGAGGTTTCTGAGACTTCACCTCTTCTATGTGGCAACGATGATGACCGTGTCAATAGTGGTAATATTGAGAATGGCCAAGTCCAAGGCGACGATAACTTGGTGGCAGTGTACACCACCAAGCAGTTGAATCTGCTTCTTGGAGCTGTCGGCATTGGTGTATGTAACATTTTCGATACTCCTACTGTTGGATCAACTTTTGTACTTACACAGATCCCTAGATCTTTCTAGCAGCTGCCGATCAACTTTTAACAGTCGCAACCTACGGTCGTATTGGCAGCGAGCTCAATGCCCTCAACAACACCAGTTGGATTGTTACTGCGTAAGTCAACTGATTTTGTATAGTATAGCAAACGATTAAGAGCCAAAACTAACATTTGATCAGGTACTTACTGACCCTCACAAGCTGCCAGCCCCTGTATGGCAAACTCAGCGATATATTCGGCCGTAAGGCATGTTTGCTCTCTGCCTATATCATCTTTGCTCTTGGGTGTCTCGGCTGTGGTCTCGCTCAGTCAATGGCCCAGCTCTGCATTGCGCGCGCCGTGGCGGGTATAGGCGGAGGAGCCATGAACTCACTGGTCGCCATCTTACTGAGCGACCTTGTTCCATTGAAGGAACGCGGTGTGTGGCAGGGGAAGGTTAGCATCCTTTACTTTGCTGGGACTGCTACGGGAGCTCCCCTGGGAGGATTAATGGCTGATTCGGTCGGTTGGCGATGGTGAGTTCTTTGAGGTAACAACTAAGCTTTCTTATGAACTAACTCTAGTTATTAGGTCGTTCATTGGTCAGGTTCCTCTGTGTTTCGTGGCTTTCATTGCTGTCTACTTCGTTCTCGATATTCCACCCCCAGAACAAGACCACTGGCTCGCCAAGGTACGCAAGATTGACTTCCTCGGGTCGTCCATCCTCGTTGCCGCCGTAATCGCCCTCCTTGCTGGCCTAGATTTTGGCTCCAACTTTGGCTGGTCACATCTTGTCACCGTCGTGTCTCTATCCGTGACACCAGTGCTTTTCGGGCTCTTCGTCCTGGTGGAAGTCAAGTTTGCTTCTCATCCATTCGCTCCTGGTCACATCATCTTTGATCGTGATCTCTTTACGTGCTATATGGTCAACTTCTTTGCAGTAGCGGGACAGACATCGGCAATATTCTTCTTGCCCCTTTACTTCCAAGCCGTTCAGGGTCTGAGTGCCACTAAGAGCGGTTCGCTTCTTGTTCCAGGTATGATTTTTGCTGTGATATCCTCGATCCTAAGTGGATTGATTATCAAGCGAACCGAGAAGTTCTACTCTATTATGATGCTGGGATATGCGCTAGTCCTCTTCTCCATCATACCCTTAGGAATATCGGTCTGGCTCCGATGGACCCCCGGAGAAGTTATCGGCGTTGCTCTCATGTGTTTTGGATCTGGCTCTGGTACGTGATAAAACCCTTTATACTTGACCATACCGCATTACTGACTTGACTATCAGCATTCGTAACGACACTCATCGCCCTACTTGCCAATACCACAGTCGAAGACACCGCTGTTGTCGTAGCGTGCTCTTATCTCTTCCGGTCTCTCGGTTCTAGTATTGGTGTCAGCACTGGATCTGCCGTTCTTCAACAGATGCTCCGAATTCAGCTAGCGGCTCGACTTCCCGATGGAAAGGAAGCTCGTGAGATTGAGGAAAGGGTGCGGCAGAGTCTTGACTATATCAAGGAACTGCCACCTCATCTCGCTGAACAAGTTCGGTTGAGTTATCAAATGGCGACAATTGGAGCACTTGTCGTGACGTCTGTTTACGTCTTGGCGTCGTTCTTGATGGCGTTTTGGATAAAGGAGAAGCCTCTTAAGCGATAGACAAGAGGAAGCTCGAGGCGGGTATGTAGATTGTCTTCAGTTTGTATTTTTTAAAGACAATATCGAATAGTACTACAGAGGGTTGGCAGTAATCCTGCTTAGGAGATTCAAAATCCAGGACATGAAGTAAACAAGTTTCAACGGAGTTCTCTCATGATTTCATTCCTTTTTGCTTCGTGCCAAGCTACTCACTCACTCAAGCTTACTCAGGCCGACTTCCAAATAGTTCCAACATCGATAACTCCTCTCCTATTCATCGCTTCATTCATTACAAATAGGATATAACCTTTCGCATGAAGTCGCTCTCTTCAAGCTTAACAATTTGAACTGCCGCTTTTCAAGGTGGGGTTACAGCAGGTTCTCGCTTGTCTTGTCATTCTCACCCTAATGCAAGGCACACCCGTAGATCCCGCTGATCAATCTCCACCTCCACTACACCCTCTATATTGTATCACCAAACCTTGGAAACCAGTATGATAACTTAAGATCAGCTTCTGCGTGGTATATCAATGGAGAACAGACGCATTTCTGGGGTCTTGAAGAAAATACCCCGTAGTACACTGCCTGTGACTGTCGTTGGAAGATGGAATATCTAACAAGCTCGTCAAGCAAGAGTAGACTGACTGATCATCAGATCTTGATGAGTCCTTTTGCTCTCACTCCTATATCGCAGCTGGTCCTTCCATCAGAACCTCTGTAACTGACTATGATGCGTAAGGTTATTCCTCAGGGAAGTTACTACTAGTGATGTATCCTAAAATTACCTCAAAGTGTCAAGGCAGCATCATCTAATATCACTCGACTTTTAACAGAATATTATCCTCAGAGTACAATAAACTAGCCAAACCTTGCAATTTTTACCGGTTCTCGGTTAGTAACTATGCACCAGTTTGGGTTTGAGTGCCTCTTTGATTGAAATTAGTCGATTTCAAGCTGTCCGGTCTGAGGTACAACCTTGGCTATCTCGCTAGGAAGGGAACGGTGAAAGCCAGAATCTGCTTCAAACAAACAGTTAGACTTTCTGCAAAGTGGGACTTCCGCAGTACGTCAGTGGATTTCAACGAATACATAGTCCAACGCAGCGACTCTTCTAGGTGTCTTATTTCATACACATGTGTCCGATATCGATATCGGATGATGAAGTATTCGACTGTTCTACTTCCCTCGAAATACCTACGGGCGCGGCGAGTCTTCTTGCGTTCTAGACTAACTTCCGGTGTCAATGTTACCGACGTACTTCTTTTGGTATTTCCTGGGCCTTCTTTCGAGCTTTTACCTGGCCGATCATGGCCCTCTCTAGGTTTCCTACGGGTTTCCAAGATGGGGAGCTATCGACGACTGTCTATCGCAGCAGAGTTCAGTTTCAACATGGTTAACATGGCCAATTCAAGATGTGACATTGTATACGTGTATTGTGTATTGTTATAAATCTCGTTACCATTCAATCAATGATGCTGCTCAGAACCCCCCATAACGCCATTTCTTCCGTGGGTATATATACAGCCATGCAGAGATGCGGATTAGACAGCCTTGTTCCAGAGTCCGTCCCTTCATATTTTCTATCGACTTTCTCCTCCCATGCTATCTCCCTATTCCCGCTGCCATCTTGGTTCTGACAGATCGGCTTCCTGGGAAACAAGTGGCCCATCGATGCTCCCACGAGGAGTGTTGCCCAGCAGAGCTTCGCGGTCCTTCTTCTCCTTATCCGTCTTGGACTCCTTGCCAGCAGGCGTGTCGTCGTCCTCTTCAGGAACGGCTACCAGGCCTCTATCGCTGGTCCAGCTCGCAGCTCGGCCGCTGCTGGCTCCCCTTGGGCGAGTAGGCGCAAGCGTCGTTCCAGATTCTTGCAGCTCGCCTTGGGCTCCGGCGTAGCTGAAATCTCCGCTGCCGATGCGGTCCTTGGTGACGGAGCCGCGGCGGGCTACGTAGTCGTCGAATTGGGTATCTCGCTTGTGGCTGTACACGCTGGGTGTTCGCTGGACGGTACTCATCTCAAGGGGCTCACGCTTGGAAGTAATGCTGGCTCGAGATGATGCAGAAGAGAAGCGCTTGTCGGTGGACTGCCGGGCGTATGAAGAATCGCGCTCGAGGTCGTCGTTGAAGCCATAGGGCTTGACGTTGACGGGGTGGGTGTAGTCGTCGTAGGCGGAGAGGCGACGGTATCTTCGGACAGAGTAGAAGACCAGGATAAGTGATGTGATGCTGCGGCAGCGGTGTCAGCAGAGCTTCTGGTGGAGGTTCGCAACGAGGGAACTTACATGAAGGCACCGTCTAATCCAAGAGCCACAAGAGAGTAGTGCTTGTCGTGCTTCTCAGTGTAGATGACGACATCAAGAGCAAGAGTAGCAATTGCACAAGTCAACTTGATAATATGCGTAAACAGCATTGTCCATGGCGTCAAGGACTCTGCAAAATATTTGGCGATTTCAACGAAACTGCACAGAGATGCGACAAACCAGAGCGCTACATTGGTAGCCTCCCATCTATCCAAGTGTTAGTAACTCCAACCTAATACCTAGTATAGTTATTTCTAGACCAAGCAGAGCAAACTTACACAATCTCGATCATGGGATCATCATTCTTTTTGTTGTCGTCTTTGTTCACCTTCATGCTGTCGCCCAGTCTGTAGGCGAAAAGGCCCATCATGGCCATGCTCAGGCCGAGCTGGAGGACCCAGGTAGGGATGAGGACCATGGCACGCCATTTTGCGCGGTCGAATTGTGCCTGAGCACGATGGTTTCCACTGATAAACATGTCTTTTTTCTTGTTTTATTTTGGTGGTTTGTGTTATGGTGCGAGGTTCTCTCTGTGGTGTCTCCTAGCTGAACCCAAGCTCCAAGTTGATGGTGTTGTTATCCGTCTCTTCCCAGAGTCTTTCTGCTCAATGGAGGTTGGTAATAAGTGGCCGTTTCTCATACAGATGTTTTTATCGTAAATAAGTGATCAGTGACCCTGTCATAAGACTACTGTGGTGTCCAGTTGTTGTCGTGCTGGTTAGTCGTCGTCTTGCGTACGCTGTGTTCTTGACGAAACCTCGAGGGTCCTTAATAGTCAAAGGATCATTTAGCCCGTCAGCACCTCTCTTTTGCAGGAAGAGGAAGAGGGGAGGCCCCAGCCTTTTTATTCATATCGAGTACTCCGTAAACTACAAGCCCAGGCTAACTTATGCCATGCAGCACACAAACAGTCACTTTTGCACTGACTGCCCATCCCCGCAACCAGACACTCAGCCCTCTTGGGGGATTTTGACCTTGTCCCAGGGATGATGAGCCACCGCCTCCACTATCGTGCAGTTTCCAGTGACGCCTTTTGCTGGGAATTGGGCTTAGTGCTGATGGTGGGAAAAGGGCTGCGGCTGAGAGGAGAGCTTTGCTGACGCCCAACAGTGGACAGCTCAGAGGAAGAGGGGACTTTGTAACTGCCCGCGGGTCAGGGCTGGTATTTTGGTGGTTCGAGGGATAAAACAGACTTTGATTCTTTCTAATAGCTCTGTTTACCTCTTCTTTGGAGTTGAGTCTGGTTACACAGATAGATTCAATAGACCAAGGTAGACTCAGCCATGGCTTTCAACTGGGCGTTTTCAGCTTCAAGCCTCCGAGCTCCAAAGGGAGAAGTTGATCACCATAACATTAGCGACCGGTTAGCCGGCCTGGTCCCAAACTCAACGGCCCCTACGCTACGGGGACATTTGAAGGATCGTCCCAAGATTTGACGCCAGGGTTAAGCGCGAGGCTACGCAGCGCTCTAGGCTCTGAAAAGAGGCATATTACGGCGCACGTTCTGGGCACCCAGGGCACCTAGCCATCAATCCTCGCTATTCCATCGTCTCGGGTCCCTCAACCTGGTCCATATCTCGAAAGCGGCAAGGCTGATTTGGGGTTTCATCGGACCAATCTCCACAACTCGCCCTGCATGTATGGATATGTGTGTATGTAAATAGTCACGTTAGCAGACGGAAAGAATGTGGTGGATGAAAGACAATCCTTCCGGTTTACGGCTATAGCTGTTTACTATGGTAATTAGTCATGATCTGTTCCCGCTCCAGTGGTTCGAAGGAGTCAAACCATCAGCATCGCTAAAGCAATGCCTCGTTCATGACTTCATGCTTCCAAGGTTCAAGTGAAAAGACGTGGCTGTAGCTTTCGAGTGGGGGCCAAGAACTAGGATGTCAATGATTCACAAAGAGGAGACGAGGTTGGTCAACGGGCTTCAACACCTCTCTCCACTCCGTACCTACACCGTAGGTCTTAGGTCTTAGCATGAGCGTGAGATCATGAGATACCGAGAATAGAAGCTTTTCCCCTCGCTGTCAAAATCTGGGAACATCCTCTTGGCTGCATCAAACTCCTCCCCTGCGCCTCGATGCTCTCTGCCAACGAGATGGTCTATTCTAGCCACGGCAATGTGTAGAGCTTCAACAGCCGCACGCCCAGAACAGGCACCAAAGCAGCTTTTTAGCCACAGCGCGTCAGTGTTGAGGTAGAGGTCGCAGACCCCCTCCAATGACAGCTTGTTTGTGACATGGGGTACTTGATCTAGTCCAGGGTCTGTGTGGTCTGACTTGACGGGTTTTCAGGGCCCGCAAGGCTGATTAGGAGGGGGGTCGATGATATGTACTGTGAGTTGCGGAGTTGCAGAATATAACTTGATGGAGGATGGCTCTGAACATGACCAAGCTCAAGGCTAGTAATCTGGTTAGGTATGGGGCATCTAGACCGCCTATCTAACATGAGCCTTTATAACCGAGTTCCACTACCATATATGCTCAGCTAATGTTGATGAGGAAACAATCAAGTCGAAACGATATTTCTGCTCTGAAGCGACGAAATATGTTTCATCCATTCTGGGTATCCTTTGCGGGCTGTTCTGGCCCCCACTTTCAACATCGGGAGCGGAGGATGATAGGGCAGCTCGCATTTCACCCTGTCGCATAGGCGACCTGTGTGAGCTGACAGCTCTCATAAGCAACAGAACCGCTGAAGCGAGATATTAAAATAAGATAAAATAAACAAATATACTATATCCGTAGCTATGGTGATTTATAAATGGCTACAACACAGTCATTTGGTATTTAGCCTTAATCTCACAAGGGTATCACTATCATCTTCGAAGATGACCGTGTCAAAACATGGTACCATGATTGTGATTCCACAAAGGCTCAGTCCTGCGACGTGAGCCATCTTTCCATTTCTCGAACATTACATCCTATTCTGTACAAAGGTATCCATCAACTCCATCTATCATTGTTGCTGCCTGAGGAAGCCCTCAGCCACCAGACTGTTCCTCCTTCAAAGGAGGCAACCGTCCGTCCGTTCATTACGAGGTCTCCCCCAAACTCAGAGCGGTTGCTCTAATTATTGCTCCTGGGAAGCATCCCGCTTGTTCTGGGCAATAGCTCGCTTCTTGTGGGAAACTTCACGCTTCCTCTGCGCGAGAGCTCGCTTCTTGTTCTCGAGGTCTCGCTTCTTGGCGGGCTGGAAGACCTCAGCGGAGTTGAACGCGACAACCCTTCCCTCGGAGTTTGTCATGGCTGGGACATTAACGTCGACTCGTCGGACTGTGAGATTAGGTTAGATGAGGTGGTCTTTTGACTAAGCCTGTTGGTTACTACTTACCAAGGCCGGCTGAGGCGGCAGAAACGAGAGCGACCAGAGTAAGAAGAGAGAAACGCATCTTGAGTGATTGAATTGGATTGGATTGGATTGGATTGGATTGGATTGGATTGGATTGGATTGGATTGGATTGGATTGGATTGGATTGGATTGGATTGGATTGGATTGGATTGGATTGGGGGTGAGTGATCGGAATTTGAGCGATTGAGTGTAAAATGGATTTGAATTGGGAAAACAACAATTAAGATGTCGACCGGCGACGGGAATGAAGAATTGAATGAAAGTTGAAGAGATCACGACTTGATTGAGATATCCTGAATAAGAACTTCTCTGATCTGGCTGGCAAGGCTGATCTATTTGTACCAGAGCTCAATTGATGAACCAGCTGCGTCTTTCTCAAATACAAATACTATATCAGCCTGGTTATGTCCAAAGCTTACGAATCTCGAGACGCTGGCGATAGTCATGAGACGTGTTTGAGAAGATCCCGTTGCCGGCATGAACATCTAGACCGTCAATCAGACTCGGATCTCCCAGCAACCGTGGGGATGCACACGTCAACCAAGGCATCATGCTTGTCAGGATGTCAACACTTTTACTGTAAGCATCGATGTTCAATTACAGTACGGCGCTGAAACGTGGAGGCGAGTGGCTGTAACCAAGGGGTAGCTGATCAAACAGGCGGCAGCTCACCATCCGGTTGCAAGATGAGACTTGGCTTTGTATCAAACTACCCCAATATTCTTCTACTGCCCTGTACAGGAGGAACAATGATTCATCCGATCAAGAGTTTATCTTTCCAATGTTACCTAACGAGTCTAGCGAGTATAATAAACTCGTTTGTCTTGAGACGGTGAAATTGATCCATGGCAACCCCCGCTGTTATATCCGCCGGGATAATCGTGGGGTGGTGCAGGCCTAGGGAACTAAAACTTGGAGCTTCACTTTAGAGAATAACTAACGAGCAAAGCTTCCCTCTTCTGCCCGTAAAACACCTATTTTAACGTTAGCCCAAGGCGATGCTTTAAGCTGCATTCGGACCTTAGAGCTTCACAAGCTTCAATCTGTGCAACTATGTTCACCTCTAGCGCCCCAAACCCCACACTCATGACTCTATTGCTTGAATGGTATTGGTCTTTTAAATGTTTGTTTATCGCTGACGCCAGTAACTACCGGTTGATATCCGTAGACTAGGTACCTAAACTAGAGTCCCACTGAACTGAGCTACCCCTCCATGCATGACTCCATTTCAAGCTCGCTCTACTACGTAACCTCTCCTCTCCTCTCGTCCCTTCTCTCCTCATTCACGTTCTCTTTCCATTGCCTTTACGTCTGAAAACGTCTGTTCGTGTATGCTCTTGTTGAGAGAGGCATAATATCTCGTCGCTTCCGCTTACTTTGCAACCGGTCTGTCTCTAACCAGCATCCTGACCATCCCAATCTATAGCTAGAACTCCTTATCAGATGGCTACCAAAGAGCACTGCCTCGTATGCTTCGAGGCCCTTGACGCTCACCTTAACGGTCGAAAGGCCCTGGCTCTGGACGAAATCTATGAGTTGTCCGCCCCTGTTTCAGAGTCAGGCCCAGAGCTAGAGCTCACTGCTCCCAAGGCTCTCAACGATCCCAGTCTACGACATCTGGCACCTAACGCCAGCGCCTCATCCTCTTCTTCTTCCACCTCGCTCGGTGCTTCGACACCCGCTACAAGTACCTCTTCTCTGCCCATGCCCCCCAGCGCCGCCCCGTTGTTCGTAACATGGAACACCATGGACGATGACGAGCCTGTACTCCGCGGCTGCATCGGCACATTTGAAGCGTTGGATCTTGACGAAGGCGTCGCTGAGTACGCTCTCATATCTGCCCTACAAGATACCCGCTTCTCTCCCATCCAAAAGTCAGAGTTGCCCACGCTGCAGGTCGCAGTCACGCTCTTGACCGACTTTGAAGAGGTCGATGACGCTTTCGACTGGGAGATCGGCGTCCACGGCATCCGCCTTTCATTCACCGACCGCGGCCGCCGGTACGGCTCCACGTACCTCCCAGACGTTGCTGCCGAGCAGGGCTGGACCAAGGAAGAGGCGCTCTGGAGTCTCACTCGCAAGGCCGGATGGACTGGCAGCCGGGGACGCTGGAAGGAGTTGAATCTCAAGGTCACGCGCTACCAAGGCAAGAAGACGACCCTAGAATATGCCGAGTACAAGCAGTGGCGGAAGACGATTGATGCGTGAGTTGGTAGTTAGAGAGGGTAAGATGATGCTTCTAGACCTAGAGGCCCGGCGTTTATGGCGATACGGGGATGATTCCCTGATTGACGTTTTTTCTCCTTTCTTTTTGCTCAAGAGGTAGAGCTGGGTTTGTAAACACTCTCATCCAACAGTGAGCTATATGCAATAAACTTTATGATTGATATATACTCGCAGGGTTGCCTGCCTTTAGGAGTGCAGTGAGCTGCTTCCATACAACCACGTCACTATCTATGGTCCATCTGCAACCTCCACAGGAGACCGTCACAAAAAGGCAGCAAACTGTCTCAACTTCCAGTGTCGACCAGACACATCTTCAAATTCAGTACACTAATAGTACCTAGTCTATAAGCATGGCCTGCTTGTGAATAGGAAGCAGCAAAAACATGTGTGTCAAGATTGATCATGACAACCCCTTCCTCAGATGTGACAAAATAAAAAGAACAGTGTGCAGATATGACTCCCATGATGGCAGATTGGTTCGGGCTCTCTTATCCCTTCCCAGAACAAAAGCGCATCCCTCTGTAAAAAATCCCAAGTCCAGACGCCGAGGTATCCCTGGTATATAATGATTTTGAAGCCTTTAAACATCCCTCCCGACAACGACGACCCATGCAACCTTTCCCGCCCATCCCGTGTTTTGATTTTTGTCTCCCGCATCAGCTTGTCGCCGATTTCCTTTACCAGCACCGCAGACTCTTCCAAAAACCAGCATCCTTCTTACCTCCCACATGATCGCCCTGAAGAGTCGGCCCTCGGACTCCTACGGCGCGCTTCTCGTTATCGCTATCGGTTGGTAGAGGCGTAAGCGGCTTCGTCATACCGCGAGCATTCTTTCCTGACTCGGGGCCTGTATCGCCTAGTCGTCGTGCCTCGACCACGCGGCGCACAACAAGCGCAAAGGTCTCCTCGATGTTCACCTCCAGCCGCGCACTGGTCTCCATGAACCCGCAGCCGTGCTTTCGCGCCCACTCGAGACCTTGAGCTGCAGGAACCTGTCTGTTCTCTTGCAGATCGCACTTGTTGCCGGCGACAAGCTTGACTGGGGGGACGGTGCGCGAGCGTGTGTCATGGCCAGAGCGCAGACCGGCGCGGCGTGCGCGATCAGCGTTGTCCAGGCGGGTTTCGGCCTCCATGTCGATAAGCTCGTTGAAATGCTCGAGGGCGTCGAGGGAGTCTTTGGATGTGATGTCATAGACAAGCAAGAAGGCGTCTGCGCCAAGGTTTGACGAGGCCCACATGCCTCGGTATTCCTCTTGGCCGGCCGTGTCAGTAAGAGAGAGGTGATAAGTGACGCCGTCGATGTTGCGCGTGACGCTGTACGAGTCCTCTATGGTCGGGTCGTAATCCGACGTCCATTGCGAGCGGACGAGGCGCAGTGTGATGGAAGACTTTCCGCATCCGCCGTCGCCGCAGATTGTGATGGATATAGGAACTGGAGTTTGTGTCGGAGCCGTCATTTTGGAGGCGCTGTGTATACCGTGTATGATTTTGTTTGTGGAAAGAGAAGAAAAGTTGTAAATGTGCTACTTTTTTGGCTACGCAGCTCGAGCTGTTAGATGATCGCAAGACACCGAAACGCGCCGTTTGTGGAGAAAAGTAGAGGAAGTTCTAGAAATTGTCTAGAAAACGGGCGCGTTGGAAAGACGTGTTGTAGTATATTTTTAGCGAAAAGGCTAGCTTTGAATTGTGCTGGATCGGTGTTGGATATATCCGTATGTGCCGTCTGGGAGATTTGAGATTGTTTGGGTAATGAATAGATTGGTTGGTGGCTGACGTAGTATAATCTCGTATCGTGGATCGTGGTAGTCGTGTCTCGTCGCAAGCAATATGCAAATGCAGATACAGGCAGTTGCAGCGAGGGGCGTGTATAGGTACTTGTATGAGGACAAGTTATGATTGATATGAAAGTAAGGATTGGTGCTGTAACGTAACGTAATGCAATGTGATGTGATGTGATTGTATAAGAACTTTTTGGGGGGAGGGGAGGTCCGAGTTTCTGGCCAGATAATGACAATGGCAATTACAGTGGGAAATGCATGTAATGCTTTCTTTTCAGCTCTGTTCAGGAAAGGGTCCGGCAGTCAGTTATTTTGGGTAATAGTAGAGAAAGAGGGGCCTCTTTTTTCTCTCTGTCTTCTTCTCTTGTCCTGAGACAGCCCAGTCCAGGGTGGGAAAATATGACGAAGGGGTTCAATTGATGTGTATGATTTTGTGCAGAAGCAAACAATTGCTGTTCTCCCTTTTTGTCGTCTTCTTTTTCTTTTGTGTTTCGTCTCTGGTAAACGAGTCTTGTGACTGCTTTTGGAGGGTTGTTTTTGTGTCTGAAGGAGAGAAGCTTGTTGTGATAACTGATGACGGTGAAAGGAGTGACACGACGTGATCAAGAAGTGGGATGTCCCGTAAGTACCTAGATAGGTGGACAGATTGATAGATAATGAAAATGAAAGAAGAAAGAAGAAAGAACAAAGGCAAAAGACAAACGGGATTGGAAAAAGAAAAGAACGAGTTTGTCTTTTTGCCGTTCTCTTACTTTTTGCTTTTGCTGGGGGTTTTCCTTCCTCTCTCGCTTCAATATACCATGGTAGAACCCTTGTTGCGGGAAAACGGCTAAAGGTGCCGCGTCGAGGTTCAAGACAAGGAAGACAAGTATTAAGTCCCAGGGCCAAGCAGACGAGAATGGGATAAAAAGGTGCTAAGTTCAATCAAGTTGTTTAGTCCCAGGTACCCTACGAGCTAATAAACTCTGGTTAGTGGGATATACGGGGGGAAAGGACCCAGAAACCTGGACTTAGAGAAAAAGGTGGATAGAGCCCGGGGGTGGCGAGTTAGGCACGTTGGGCCAGGGGGCAGTGGGCAGCGGGCAGGGATGTTTGAGCGTTTGTGGCGCTAGGTTATTTGAGGTTACAGTGGGCGCAGGGGTAAGAGAAAAAGAGAGGGAGAACTGCAGCTGGTAGATGCATAAAATAAAATAAAATAAAAATGGTATTAATGTATTGGACGATATGGTTTTGGGCATCAGTGAGCTTGGGGGATTGACATTGCATTAATAGTATTGGGCGTTGGGCATTGCTTTAGTGGTGATCATCTCTTCTCCATCTCGCCTCTGTTATAGATAAGTACTTGCATGTGATAGATCTACATTTTATAGGATGTATCAAGACATTGGGCAAGCAGAGCTTCGTCAAATTGAGTAGAGACTCCTTAGATGTGTTGTCCCGAAAAGCTGGTACGCAGTGACATGATACGGATATAAACCGACAATTTACAGGCACAAGGGACGAACCAGTCAACCGCGTCAAAATCAGGGGCACTCTCACACTAGACACTTTCTCTCTCCCACAACGCGTAACACAACACCCCTCAATCATCCAATGAGATATCTCCCATACTCCGTACTCGGCCAAACAAAGCTAGGGAAGTAAAGTATCCGTACCTAGGTAAGTAAGCTTTTGGGTAGAAAAAACCAGACGAGCCAAGCTCCAAGATTAGAATTCCCAACGGCCGAAAATGTGGGGGAGGAACGGGCTTTTACAAGCTCCCCGAGACTGAAAGGCGATACCGAGGAACAGGGTTAATTGTTGATTTGATCATCGCAAGAGATTCCCAACAAGCGAGGGAAATCCTTTTATCAAATCCCAGCACGCTGCAGTTTACCAACTGCGAGTATGTACGATGTAGTTGCAGCGGATGTGGGGGGAATATGCAGCTTGATTGATATGGAGTGATGAATCCATTCATCAAACCCAGCAGCATAATAATAAGCTTGAACACAAAGCACAACAAGCATAAAATAGCACAATTTACAAGCTAATCTCTTCGGTTTGGTTTTAGACTTCTACTACGGCAACGCTTATCGCGTTTTTAGCCTCTCCCGCTATCGGGCTTGGTACTGCCGTTTGCCGTGGGCTTTGATACTTGCAGGCTTCAGATCCAATGTGACCATCTGTGCATCCATGGAGGTGATACAGTAGCAGAGGTGTGATAGTGATGAAATTTGAACTGCCTCTTTTGTCTCTCCAGCGTTTCTCCGGGTTGGCAACAGAGTTATCGCCACTTCTCCTCTTCTTCTTCTTCTTCTTCCTCCTCCACACTCAACAGAGTTATATCCAATCTTATGGGATTGTATCTACGGATACGGATATCCATCCTCGTACTTGATGACCCGCAAGGTTTCGGCTCTTGTATATCTATCTTAGCGACCGGAATTGACTTTTTCGGCGCACGGACAAGACGGGACCGTTCTGAATAAATCATCCCATCATTATCACATCACGCCAGGTAGAGTTGAGAGTTTGGGCCGGGAACCTGACACTAACGTTCTAATATTGATGTTAACTTGGAACTTGGAGAGAGGGCTCGAGCCCATCGTATTCTTTACCAATAACCACATCCTAGACAATTTTTGGTCATCAATGCCGACAAAATCTCACTTTTTTGTGTTTCAGATCTCAGACTCTGTAACCCTCCTCCTCCAACCTAGCTCCCCATACAAAAAAGGGCAGCTCGAGTTGGTTGGTGTTGCATGATGGCGCGATCACGGGAAGCCAACGTCAGACAACATTAACCAAGAAGGGTTGGGGTTGAGGATTCTACTACGAAGTAGGTTGGTTCAGTTCAACTGGTTTCAGTTTTGACTGACGGAGAACTCCAGAGGCAATCCAGACATTTAGTTAGCACATAGACCACGTATTCCAAGCTTCTATTCGTTAACTTAGTAACCTACACCCTTTACATTGTTCACTTGATTACTCGTCGGCCCGGCTACTTTTATATGCATGTAAACTCGCATCTCCAAACCTCAATTGTTTACTTCGGCTGCTGACGTTAGTGGACTAACCCTCCGGAGAAGACTCGGTAGAATGGAAAACGGAGAGTCCCTCTTGAATGCACTCAAGCCACGAGTCACGAGACATGAGCAATTATAGCCTCCAATGATGTGGCCGTGAAACTTTTTCATGACTCTATTATTCGTCTTTTCCCGTACATTTTAATACTTCTCGTTTTTCTAGAGAATTGCTACATATCACAAAGATAAAGAACTGTTTCATTTCCAATCATTCCAGTTACATATCAAAACTTCAAATCTTTTTCTCCCTTCTTCCGATCCTAGCCGTCATGACCGTAGCCAGCAGCCGCAATGGGAACCCCTCCACGGGCTCCCTTCATAGGGCTGAAGAAGTAGACGATGTGAGCTGAGACATTCATTGGCCTCGTGACACACGACTTGATTGGTTCGCTGACGTTACATCACACAGCTCATCGATGCTGTGAAGGGTCTCATTGTCCCCTACATCAAAGCCGCTGACGATGCCGCTGCAGAGCGTGCTACCGGCGACATCGCCCCCAGCTCCTCCGGGGCCAAGAACAACGTTCTTGTGGACTTTCAGAAGCCTCAGGAGCTGGCACAGCGCCTCAAGTTTTCCTTGCCGAATCAGGGTCAGGGCAAGGAGGGTTTGCTAGAGATAATCCAACAGGTCCTGCAGAACAGTGTCAATACTTGGGACCAGGGGTTCCTTGATAAACTGTATGCAAGCACCAATGCGGTATGCCACATTACTCAAGTACTCTACGAGATCGCCAATTTACTTACAATACACTAGGTCGGTGTTGTGTCAGACTTGGTTCTATCCGTTCTAAACACCAATGTAAATGCCATTGCCCGTCATCGCTATATAACAAATAACTAACGTCCTGCAGCTACATGTCTTCCAGGTCTCCCCCGCCCTCACAGTGATTGAGAAGGCCACAACAAAGACACTGGCGCACTTATTTGGCTTTGTCGGGTCACGGGCAGGCGGCATCTCGTGCCAGGGCGGAAGCTCCTCAAACTTGACTTCTCTCGTTGTTGCTCGCAACACATTGTTCCCCGAATGCAGAACCTCTGGCAACGGTAAGCACGATTTCGTCGTCTTTACAAGTGCCCATGGTCACTACTCGGTCGAGAAGAGTGCTATGATATGCGGCCTTGGCTCTAACAGCGTCTGGCCTGTTCCTGTCGATGAGGCCGGATGCATGAAGCCTGATGCCTTGAGGGAGCTGGTCCTCCGTGCCAAGGCTGAGGGCAAAACGCCCTTGTATGTGAACTCCACAGCAGGAACAACTGTCATGGGCTCATATGAGCCTTTCGTGGAGATCTCCAAGATCTGTAAGGAATTTGGCCTATGGATGCATATCGATGCCAGCTGGGGTGGCCCTGCAATCTTTTCGTCAAAGCACAAGCACAAGCTTAACGGCGTTGAGCTGGCCGACTCCCTGACGGTGAACCCACATAAGATGATGAACGTCCCCGTCACCTGCTCATTCCTCCTCGGCCCTGACATGAGCATATTCAACAAGGCCAACAGCACCGCTGCCGGGTACTTGTTCCACACCAACGAAGGCGATGATTTCTGGGATCTTGCCGACTTGACACTTCAGTGCGGCCGCCGCGGCGACAGTCTCAAGCTTGCTCTGGCATGGATCTACTACGGCGCGGCAGGCTTTGAGAAGCAGATTGACCACGCCTTCGATCAGGCTGCGTACCTGGCCAACCTCGTCAAGCAGAGCGACAATTTTGTCCTTGTGTCACAGGATCCTCCTCCTTGCCTCCAGATCTGCTTCTACTACGCGCCTGGCAGGGAGTTATCTGACGATAAAGAGGAGAACACACTCCGAACTAAGACGATGGTCGAGAAGATGATTCTTCGAGGATACATGGTTGATTATGCCCCAGGACCCAAGGGCAGTTTCTTCCGCGTTGTGGTAAACTGCCAAACTCTACCGGGAACTGTTGAGGGCCTTGTCAAGGGCCTTGAAGAAGTTGGACGAGAATAGATATACTATAAGATAGATAAGAGGTGGAAACTGGGTTTATTTGGATGGCACAAAACTACATTATATATGCATGGTTATACAACTGGCAGGTAGATCAAGACTAGAAACATAAATAATATTATATTGGTCACAAGACTTATGAGTGTCAGTTTCAATTCGACTGTCTACAACTAGATACCTATGTTGCCATAAATTGTATACATTAAAACTTTCGGGTTACTTATGTACAGGTTGGTTTAAGTGTATTTGATAAAGGGGAAATAAGTAGAGTTAAGGTTTCGGGCATTATCAGTATTTCCACTCTAGGTAGTCCAAATTCCCTCTTTCTCGTATATTTTAGCTGGATAGGTACGTACTGTGTGTGACCAGACAAAAGTGCCATACAGTCTCACACAAACAACTTTTTAAACATCCGGATTTCAATCACTTGGGCACTCCAAATATACTGTACTAAAAGCATAGATCGGCTACTGTAAGATGTAAACAAGGCATAAAAAAAGAGTAACTCAACTCGAGAATTTGGACATGGAAAGCTTGGTGTAGGGTAGCACGCACGACAAGCTTATCGATACTGGCTCCACTGTTTTATGTCTACCACCCTCCAACGTCACGAGCATAACATTCTCATTTTCATATTTTTAACTATACAATCACAATGCCGCCCAAGCACATGACAGCGAATCCGGTGAAGCCGGCGCGACATCGCGCCGGTAAAGACATAGGTGTAGAGTCTGATTCCGACTCAGAAGCCAGCGAAAACGAAGAATCCGTCGAGCCAGCTCTCCCTCCGCCGCCAAAAGCTTCCAGCGCAGGAAAAATATCGTCAGGCAACCTAGGAAAGGTTGATCTCAATGCGCGAAGGAGGGAAGCGGAGGCTGCCGAAGAACGGAGACTCGCCAAAGAGAAAGCAGAACGTTTGGCTGCCGAAGAGGGCTTCGTGACGGAGGAAGAGGAAGAGAGCGAGGAAGAAGACGACGATGAGGAGGAGGAAAGCGAATCCGAAGAGGAAAGTAGCGAGGAGGAAGCCCCCCGAAGATTGATGATTCGACCCAAATTTGTACCAAAGAGCCAAAGAGGAACAAAAGACCCCGCGGAGTTGGAGGAAGAAGCACGACAAGCCGAAGAAGAGGCCCGCAAGAAAGCCGCCGACGAGCTCGTGGAAGAGCAGATCAAGAAAGATCTCGCAGCACGCTCAGCAAACAAGAAACATTGGGACGACGACGAAAACGAAGAATCCGACGTGGACACAACAGACGGGTTGGATCCAGAAGCTGAAGAAGCAGCCTGGCGCGTCCGCGAGCTGAAACGCCTGAAGCGCGCTCGCGCTATCATCGAAGAGCGCGAAAAGGAGCTCGCAGAAGTCGAGCGTAGACGTAACCTGACGGAGGAAGAGCGACAGGCCGAAGACGAAGAGTTCCTCGCGCACCAGAAGGAGGAGAAGGACGGTAAGGGCAAGATGTCCTTCATGCAACGTTATCTGCACAAGGGAGCGTTCTACCAGGATGAGATGAAGGCTGCTGGCCTGGATAAGCGAGACATCATGGGGAGTCGCATTCAAGATGATGTGCGCAATCGTGAGGCCCTCCCTGAATACCTGCAACGGCGTGACATGGCCAAGCTGGGTCGCAAAGGCGGAACGAAGTACAGGGATATGCGCACTGAAGATACAGGTCGATGGGGTGACATCGGTGGCGGGCGAAAGAGAGATGGACGCTTTGAAGAAGACGAGCGCTTCAAGCCAGATGACGACCGCTTCCGACGCGACGAGCGAAGCGCTGGTGGTGCAAATGCTATTCCTCTCGGCGATCGCAAGAAGGACGATCGCGGAGACAAAGACAGCGGCCACAGAGATCGAAGAGATAGGGACTCGTATCGCTCAAGAGATGATGGAGATAATCGACCAAGATCACAGTCACGGTCACGATCGCCGCGGCGCGATGGGGATAGAGATGATTACCGACGTCGCAAGCGAAGCACGTCGCGCGACGATGAGCGGTACGATAGTGACAAGAGACGCAAGGTGGACGCCAGGTAAACTATGGCCTGGTCCTGATATAGCATTAATAATACCCAAATCTGTTGAAAGCTCTAATTCAACTAAACCACCACCACTTGTGCTCTATCCCCCCCTTTTTACATGTCTCGTTAGATTACATACAGCTTTGTATCCGTCCCTCGCTCTACTTTATATCCTGACAATCTCTACGCGAGCGCGGTCGAATATTTGATGACCCATCATCGAATCACCGCTTCCACTGGATACTGTGGGAGGATATAGTGTCATACGCGCATAGGTACCTGCGCCACGACGCTTTGAGAGGTAGCCGGGGTTGATAAGGAGAACACTCTCAACGACCTGGAATTCAGTTAGTAACAAGTTTCTAGATTCATATCAGGCAACTTACCTTTGCGAAAGGGGGCAATAAACTAGGCACGACCATAACATCTGGTCTGACATTTACCATCTCGCCCAGTTCCAGATAACTCAGATCAAGAACCGCTCCCGTAGCCACACCCTCTTCGGTACCAGTCTTAGGTAGCTTGGAGCGATCTGTAGGAGGGAAGAGAGGGAAATAGTGTCGCTGCTCAACAAGGTATCGACACAAACGGCTCATGAGATCAGCGCCCGGTTGCGGTCCGCTGCGAGACACGAGTTCCTCTGCTCGTAGCTGCGAGAGGACGTCCTGCGATGAGACACCGAGAACAAGTTCGTTGATAGAAAGGGTCATGGGGTTTGTGACGATTCGGACAACCTTTGGGAGACCAAGTTCCTTACGGGGGATAGAATCTTGAGGCCATGAGACGTGTTTTGATAGGATGTCTCGGACGGAGGGAACGAGGATGATGGTGATTTGGGGGTTGGAGGATGCAAGGCGGTTAAAGGCGGGGGCAACAAGATACTTGAACACAGTCGCCATGGTGGCTGTGTCAGGGTCAAAGTTTGCGTCGTCAGGAAGATCGAAGTCACCCGTCGCAACAAGGGGATGGTCGATATCGAGAAATGGGCCTGTTAGGACAAGCGCATCTGCATAGGTATCGCCTGCTTGACTGCACAGCGCATGGAGAGGCTCAAAATCAAGATTGTCGTCTGCTGTGTAAGGACCAGAAGCGTACATAATGTTCAAAGGTGCAGGCTCTGAATCTTCCTCCATCGCATCGGGGCCTCCACGGAACCTCTCACGGTGTGCCTCAAGCGCAGAAGGCAGCGAGGCAGCGCTAGGAAGTAGAGGAACATCGAGAATCTCCATGACGACGAACTCGTTTCCTGAGGCGTTGGTGCCTCGGAAAGCAACGATCTGGCCGGGGAAGAAACTCCAAGAGCGGACGTTGTCCATCTTCAGGGGTACCCTTAAACCCATTCCCGTTCGTCTCGACGTCTCCAGCACCAGTGAAGCAGCATTGAGTTTTCCCTCTGGTGAATCAGAAGCAATTCGACCAACAGCCACCACCTCGGTGGTACTCTGCGCAACAGCGCTGCCAAATTCGCTCTCATCGATCTTGTGATGTTCCTGGATAAGGGCCATGAAGCTATCGATCCGATCGTCGAGAATCTCACTGGCTTCGGAAAGTTTCATGGCCAATGGCTTGTATGACAGCTTCTTTTGGTCGGAGGCCGCTGTGAGTTTAACTCGGGGTTCTGAGAAGGGCGCAATGGGTGGTTCGGCTGCGTTAAGACGGTCGTTGAGTATCTCTACTGTCTCTCCAGGGTTCGCGCGGTCGGTGAACGACGTAGGTCTGTACAGTGTTAGCGGTACTGAAGCAGTCGGTGAGATAGGAATACATACTGAAGTCCATTTAGAGACTTGAGTTGCTCATTCATCCCCGTCGCTGGCGAGCTGGTCAAGCCCTTTGGTGTATCCAGCTTCCTCTTAACCGCACTCCCACTCGCAGCGCCCCTATTCAACTTCGCCCCCGAAGCCGGCGTGCTGGGAACAAGCCCATCCAACATCCCAAAGACATCTCCGCCTTTTGCTGCACTCCTCTGCGTGTTGGCGACCTTCCTCTCCGCCTTGACCTGCACTTTCCGATTGCTATTTTCGAGCTCGTCCTGGATGCTCTGCTTAAGATTACGAAGCGCCTCAAGACCCAAGTCCTGAGCATCTATATCGAGCTTTATGCAGTATGATTCCCACTTGAAGAAGAGATCCTCAGCTGAGAGGCCGTGGAGGCGCATGATGGATTCGAGCTCGCTGAGGACATCGGGCTCAAGCGGCTTATGAGGGGAGAAGCGGGTTTGGATGTCGTCGGCCATGATGGGCGACGAATGGGTATCTCGTGAGGCAATTGGCGGAAAAGGAACAGTTTTGGTGTAATCTGAAGACGTAATTTGGGTTGAAGAAGATCGCCTTGATGCTGGTCAGAATGTTTGGAGGGGCCTTGAAGTGGGTGCGATTAGACGCGTCGTATCACAGGTAACTAGATTTCAACCGCGTTAAGTGGGTGATGGAATACAGTGCAAGCAAGACAGTGCACACACGGCTCGCATAGTTGAGAATGGACATCACATGAGAACAGCAAAAGGAGGTAGGCGAGATGGAATTTAATTTATGCAATTGTATTGAGTACTGTATCATTGCGCTATTCCGTTGCAATTCGCAACCAAATAGGCCATGTCGTAGCCACTAACTATGAATGTATCGATCATATCCGTGCTCTAACTTAAATAACAAACGCTGTTGTCTTCATATCGTTGTGAATCAGCCAAAACGCCTTCTATCCGTGCTTCCCAGTGGTATTATGTTCCAAAAAAAACATCGTGTACCGTCATGCTCTTGATGTACCTGTTGACCAACAGAGCTGTAAAAAACTTCAAACACGCTTTCGTAAACATAGTCCTACTTCTCCTTCTCCTCAGCTGTGAGTCTTTGCTGCTCCATTCGGCCCCATTCGGCCCAGACATTATCTGAGTCATTATACGTGAAGCTCAAGGAACCGTCTTTGGGAGGAGAGCTTGGTATGATGCCGTCTGTGCTCAGGAAATGACCAAACTCGGCCAGACTAACTGGGTCTGCATCCAGCAGAGGAAGACTTGAGAAGTCCAAGTTGCTGTTACCCAGGTCAAAGTTGGGCTCCGAGAGTAACTGTGTGATTGTTCGGCTCAGGGGGGTATCAAAAACACTTTCGAGTTTGTGCTCGAGGTTCAGTCGCGGGCTGCGCCTAACGCTCGCAGGACTTCTGGTAGGTGTTCGTTGCAAAAGCGCTTGCTGACTAGGCGACAACATGTCTCTGACAGATCGAAGAGAGCGTGAAACGCTGCGTGTAATGGGTCGGTGACTGGGTGTTGGGCGTGTGGGGGTCTTGAAAATAGCTGAGTCGCTGTCACCCTTGCATTGGGGCGGAGGTGTAGAAGGGCGAGCTGTTGGGCTATTGAACAACGCTTCAATGTCATCATCAACAGTGTGATCCTGATAGCCCCCATTCTCCTTGCCGGTGACATCCTTATTCTGCCGGCACTCTGTTATCTTAGCCGCATTGGAGTTGATCTCTCCTAGCGTCTTCGGTGTTCCCTCCTTACGGGGTGAAGGGAAAAGAAGACGTCGTGTGCTTCCAAGTTCCTCGTCAACGTCCATCTCTATGGGACTTTCGGCTGTTCCAGTTCCTCTAGAAGCTCTGGAATGGGTTGATCCTGGGACTGACTGGCTCATACTTTTAATATGACGCCCATCTTCTGCTAGCAAATTGAGGACGTTTTGCATGACGGCAGCTTCATCAATCCCGTTATTCATATTGCCAACCTCAAATCTCTTCGGGGATGATGCCTCTGCCAAGCCGAAGGATTCTGTGGTAGGAAATGCCTCTGAGGTAGGGTTAGGCACCAATGTGCTCTTGGTACGGGATCGCTTCGCCTGAGACTCAGGTCCTGCAGATGCTCGCTTCTTTCGGCTTTGACCCAAATGCCCAAAAGCGTTGTCCCATTTGTCCTGAGGACGATGGCTATGGTACTTGGTGATCCAGATGCCACAAGGGTTGCAGAGAAGCTTCTCTGCCCACTTGCTGCGATCGTCACTAAAACCAAGAGTTTTCTTGATGAGCCTGTGAGATAAGGGCTTCTTATCCTCGTCTCGTTTCAGGATCTCAATGGCAGTGATTCGTCCAGGCTTTTCTGAGTACTCTACATACTGTGGGATTCCGTCATGCTCCTGCACCCAAATCTTGCGCCAGGTCGGGGTCTCGATGGCACCACAGTTGGTGCAGAACGGAGGCATCTCACCAGCTGCAATCGCCGACTCTAATCGCTGCTTGATAGAGTGCTTCTTGACTAGGTTCTTGTTCGACTTGAAAGGTGGAGATGAGGGCATCCGGGGAAAGTCGCTCTGCGGAAAAGGCGCCTCAGGGAGAGTGGGTAGGAGGTTGGAGATGAGATTCATCTCGGGTGGTCCGACGGGATCGCTGGCAGCTATCGTTGCACGAACGTGTACTGACTTTGAGCGGCGGAGACAGGCTGGAATCTCCGTGGAAGGACGGGTTGGCTCGACTACCATGGACTGAGAAAGGGAAGATGGCCCAGCAGGCTCGCTGGCTGGCACACAGGGAAGAGCTAAGGCTCCCGCAGACTGTGATCGAGCGAGTTGTCGCGGAGCGCGAGGCTTGGGTCCGACGGTACTAGTACTTGATTTTGAAGCAGGTATAGATCCTTGAGCAGATTGGTTAGTTTCAACGGAAGTGGTGGGCTCAGAAGAACTAGAAACGGCGCGCACTAATTCAAAGAGGTCATCCTCCATTATCTCAACAGCTTCGTCACCTTGAGACTGAGCAGCATCTTGTGGTGAAGGTGCAGAACCAGGGACTGGGCTATTCTTCTCGACAGCATCTGTGGTGGGAGGGGGAGTTGGTGCGAGTTTTGGTGGTGGGTTTGCTGGCCTTTTCTGTGCGGTGTTTTGAGCTGGCCGGGGTATAGGTATTCTCTTCACTGTTACGGGCTCTGATGGAGGGGGGCCGGCTGGAGTAGATGTTGGTTGAGGCGTGTTGATATTTTGGATATGGATGAGACCCTCGGCACCATCTCGGATCATGAAGACTTGTGTAGGGATACCGGAGCTGTCCACGTCCTCCGTCACCTTCTGTGGTTGAGGTTGGCTATAAGATTGGATCGCCTTGGCCGGTTGTAAGGCAGGCTCATCAAGGAGGTCGTCGGTTTCGTTCTCCATGAAGCTTGATGCTTGACGTGGTAGCGCAGGCATCGGTGGTAGAACAGGGCTGGAAGGAGGCGGGCTTGACCGCATGAAGGAGGCCGTTAATGGTAAAGGGGGAGAAGAACGCATATCTTGTGGACTGTCCTCTGAGAAGGCTGGGGTCTCAACAGACGATGCAGGAGACCGACCATCCTCTTGACTTGGGGACAAGGCACGAAGAGGCCTCGGAGGAATTTGGCTGCTCAAGGTAGCACCCAACTCTTTTCTCATTGATGATTCCCTCCGAGGCTTAGGTCCTTTTGGGCCACCCTGAGCTGGAGCGAGTAGGGGGTTCTGTTCAGGAACGGGCGTTGGAGCTCGGGGAACTTCTTGTAGATGGTTCCCCGATACAGTCTCATTGTTTGAGTTGACAGGTCGGAAGTTTCGAAGAGATCCAGCGGTACTAGCGGTAACACGTAGCGAATCTGGACCAGAAGTGAATGGGTTTGGAGCGGCCTTCTCAACCTTGGTCGGCTTAGCTCTTTTCTTGGCTGGCCCTCCATCTTCGCCTTCTGTGCCATCTTCATATCCCGAAGTATTTCCTTCAGCAGGCTTCTTTCGGGGCCTACCGCGAGGACGTCCTGTTGGCGGCTTTCTGCGAGAGCTTCTACTAGAAGGTCTTGATCCAGAGGCTGTGGTAGTTGTCGTCGTTACTGTCGTTGTTGTGGCCGCTGCTGAAGTGACCGGCATGGGGGCTATTCGCTGAACATCCGAACCTAGGTTTGCTTGGATGGTGGTTGGGTTGATTGAATCTCTTCGTTCGTTTGTGCTTGGTGGAGGTCCTGATTGGGACAAGGCAGGGGAAGCTACTCGAGACACTTGTGCCTGGTGACCAATCTGAGGATTTGCCTGGATGAAAGAGTTCCACTCAGCAGCACCGGACATCATGGCCGAGTCGTTAGATCGAGAGGGCTGTATGGGAATGGGTTGCAAGGGAGCAGGCTGTAGAGGAGCATGTTGCATCTCCATAGGCGACATGTCCATAGTTGGCTCCGGTCTTTGAACCCTGCCAGCAGCCGAGAGCTTAAGCTTGACTTCTAGTATCTCGCGGTTGCCTCCTCCAAAGACAGCGAGCAAGTTTTTCGTGACACGCCCAGTGACCATCTTTGGAAAATGGGCACCCCAGTCACCACGCATGGTTTCAAGCGCCCATGACAGCATGCCTTGTCCCACCAGGGGGGTTTCTGGTTCTGAATAATCAGATGCGTAGATTGCGAAGTCGCCTTCGCCCTCCTGATTTAGGAGCTCGGGGCTGCATTCTGTGACTGCCTGCAGGCACGCGCGAAGGTCGATAATACCGATGGAGTTCTGGTCGTCGAGGGGAATTGTTTGAACAAAAAGCGTTTGCGATGAACGGGCGAGGCAATTGACTCTGGCCTCCTTGTCGAATGTATAATGTACCTTGACTGCACATCAAGTTAGCAAGATAACGAACGACGAGAACGCAACGGGGGTTGCATACGACCCATAGGTCTCACTTGGACACCCGTTTCATTGTCATTGTTCTGCTGCATCGTCTGACCGTTGTGGTTCCAGCCGCCTTGAGGAGGATTGGGCATTGGTGAAGCCATGGCGGTTAGTCCCCTGAGGGGAGAGGTCAGAGATGGCGGACAAGATAATCAATCGCTAATGTAGTCGTGGTATATGTTGGGTGTGGTGGAATTCGTGTACAACGAAGAAGAAGGTATTGTACAGGTAGAAGAAAAGAAGCAAACAGGCAAGCGAGATGGTAGAGTAGAACAGTGGAGATTTCAATGATGCGTGCCCCGTAGTGGGGAGGTTTAATATGTTTGAGCTCGTTGGCAGGGACGTGATATCAAATCCGGGAGGCGGGCGTCATGTTCGTGACGCGCTTTCACCCGCCAAATTCGCGTCGTGATGCGAGGTGGATCAAGTTTAAGTGCGTGCCGATTGACTTGCGTGCTGGCTAGACAACGCGAAAAAAAAAGAGGAAGGTTAAAGTGGGAGGAAGTAAGGATGATTATGAAGGGAAGAGATTGGTAGAGGTAAAAGAGGAATTTCTATCAAACCACAGATTGAAGTAGCGATATCACAGACACAAGATCTTTGCTGTTGTCGTGTTATCGTGCAGCTTCAAAAAGCGTGTTACACCTTAATGCTGGATAAAAGATGGAGGGCTGCCGTGTCACTCAAGTGGTTAATGCGCCTGAGACCCCTGTGGGTTGTAGTGGGCTGCAGTGGGATGGCGGTGATGGATGTGAGCTTAGCGTGACCCACTCTTACTTTTTCAGACGGGTTGAGCGTGTCCGGTAGATAGTGGGGGTTGATGCCGGCCGGTACGGAGCGGTTACGGAGGACGGTCCTGCGTTTCTTTCCAGGTGGGGCCGATGTCTTCTGCTTCTGCTTCTGCTTCTGCGTATCCGTAGCTGACTAGCTGAAGTGTCACGTGCTCCGCGCTTCTAGTCTTTGTTCGTTTCGATCTCAAAGTTGTCGTACTTCTGAAACGGTACGTATCTTTCTAGTTGGTTATCAACCGGAGTCTTTTCTCAGGCCCTTTTGCTTTGGCCAACCTAGCAACTGCCGACTGTGTTTCGATGACGGGAAAATGGTCAAGAATGAGCAAGAGCAAAGAGAAAGAAAGGGCGAAGATGTTCCGTCTTTCTTTCAGAGGCCTTTTTGGGGTGGGACCTCGTCCCTTTTATATCCTCGCCCTGAGCCTGAGGTCATCTTTCCCATGAGTCGGTCTGATGCTCTGATGCCTACACGATATGGTCTTCCACACGGATATCATATGGATGACAAGACGATAAGTTCTAGGTGTTCCCGTTACTCTGTTTATCTCCACCATCTCGTACGGTTGCTTGCCTTGACGCGTCGTGTCTGTTCTTGTCCGTAGTTAACTCCGTCTGTATAACTTGAGTTGGTGTTTGTTCCTAGGCTTTATCCAAACCCCACCCAACCCTCCATTACATCCCCTAAACTGCCCCTCTTCCTCTACAGCCTTTTGTAGGGTCGTGGGCTGGAATGAAGGTTTTCAACTTTCCTTTGATCTCTCATCGCGACTAATCTTGTGGTTTCGGGGATTATACCAACCCCACCCCAAACCATCCCATTCGCCACTATTCATCCATAAGCATTTTTGGCTTTCATGAACACAGTTATGATGCTTTATCACACCGGTCAAGGAGTTTTACCGCCATTCACAATTTCCACACGCACCATCAATGTCGTCTTGATATCATCACATTTTCATCTATCAACACACGCACTACATTATTTGCATATCGTAGTGACTTCTATTTTTACATATTATCCAAACATTGCTAGCATGTGTAGAATCACAGTCGGCTTCCTGGTAGCGACTCATCCTTCACCCACACAGCCTTTCCTTGGTCTGTCACCGTGGTCTTGCGTGCGATGATTTCCTTGGTAATATCTGAGATGCCCTGGCGACCGTTGCGTGAAGCGATGATCTCGTTAGCCAGCTCCTGCTGGGTGTAGGTACCTCTTGAGAGAACCTTCTCAATCTCCTTCTCGGAGGGCACACCAAGTTGTCGGTGAGGGTATTCCTTGAATGTGCGATCGGTGAAGAGCCTCAGCTCGTTCTCAGAATTGTACTCAAAGAAGGGCTTGGCCACGTTGGTACCACCAATGGCCTCCAGAGACTCAGGCTGCCACTTAGGCGTCTCCTTTCGGACGAGGAGGGCCGACACACCCTCGGTGAAATCGGGGTGCTGCATGAACTTGGTAGCAATCTGGTGCTCCCTCTTGAAGGTCTCAGCGATATCCCACTCGCCACCAACGCGCATTTGGCGGAGAGCCACGTGCACAGCCGTGGGTGATCGCTTCTGCAGAGTCTTGAGCTGCTTCTGTGCCCACTCCTCTGTGGGACCCCGCTCAGCCTGCAAGGCAGCAATGATCTCGTTGATGGAGTGCTTGTTGAAGCATCGGTCTATTGCCTGGCGGATCTCACCGCTTAGTGTCATGGGCTGATCATAGGGAAGGCCTGTGCTGAACTCCTCAAGTGTCTCATTGATGAGTGCCAGTCGCTCAGGCAGAGTATCGCTGTCACGGAATCGTAGTTCGGCCAGACGGGCCTCGAGGTCGGGCAAGCTGGTCGAGTGCAGGTAGTGGGTGGCAATACCGGAGTAGAATACGTTAGGGCCGGAGAGTCGCTCGCTGGTCAGCGCAAGGTAAGTTCCGACGGATCCGTTCATTCGAGGAAGGAAGAAAGAGGCGCCGACATCGGGGAAGAATCCAATCGTGGTCTCGGGCATGGCAAAGACGGTCTTTTCGGTTGCGATTCTGAAAGGAGCATGGGTGCTTAGACCAACACCACCACCCATAGTGATACCATCCATGAACGCGATATAGGGCTTGTTATATGTCGCAATGTAGTGATCGAGCTTGTATTCGAGAGCGAAGTACTGGGCTGACTTTTGCCATCCATCGGGACTCTCCTGGTTCAGTTTGGCGAGTGCAGCGACGTCACCTCCAGCACATAGAGACTTTTCACCAGCACCCTTCATGACGATAATGTTGGCGAGGTCAGACTTTTCCCACTCAACCAGTCTGGGCACAATCTTTCGGATCATTGAGGCATTGAGCGAGTTGAGCTTCTTCGGTCGGTTAAGCATGATGGTTCGCAGACCATACTTGCTCTCGAAAACGACATCGTTGGGTTCATCGCTGCGTTTCTCTTTGATGTTGGTCGCCTCGGCGGAAAGCTATGTGACTCCCAATTAGAGTCATGTACCCAGCGAATTGAACATTTTCCTGTCCTCACCTGTCGAGCGCCGAGCGAGGAGCTCAAGACCTTTGATTGCTGAACCATGTTGAAGCTTCTTGGTGAGCTCCGACTTCCAATATTGACTGCGGCACCAGCTCGGACTGCGAAAGTTCGGAACGACATTATATTAGAAGAAGAATTAGCGATGCGCACATGCGATCGACATGCGCATCGAAGACGAGAAGGAGGGGGTATAATATGGCTTTTGGAGTATTGTCCGAGGTCCGCGGCAATGCTTTTTCAAAGCCTCCGCATCAAACCGTCTAGAACCAAAATTGATAGCAGCCACACTTTCTGCTGTGGGTAGTGGCACACTGGAGGGATGGCTGCTAAGCCAGGGACTGGCGTCACCTGACCAGTCATGAAGCGTAAGAGAGAGACCCACTTGACTGTCCAATCAGCCACTCTCTACCCCAATCGTCAACTTTTCGAGCTCTCTGAGCTTCAGCCTTGCGCGCCGCATACAACATTCTAAACAATCACCTATTATCATTCAAGATGTCGGACCCCAAGATCCAGTATGTAATGACCTAACTCGTCATTCTTGTATCATAACACTAACGAAATAACTAGAGAGCTCCTCAGCAAGCCGCGCAATGAACTCACGTACGTGCCCACCGATACTTGCTGTCCGCCCAGCCCCGCGACGGTTTAACAATTGCTAACATGTCTGTCTCTACAGCGAGTACGAGATCGCCCAGCTCGAGGAGCACGAGTTCTCCGCTGGTCCTCTATCCATCCTCCAGACTGCCGTGCGCTCGCACGTCCAGGTCCTCATCTCCATCCGCAACAACCGCAAGCTCCTAGCGCGCGTCAAGGCTTTCGACCGACACTGCAACATGGTGCTGGAGAACGTGAAGGAGATGTGGACAGAGACCCCCCGGTTAGCCAACGGAAAGAAGGGTCGACCGGTGAACAAGGATCGATTCATCAGCAAGATGTATGTCTTTCTCGCAACAGCTGCCAATGCCCCCCTGTGTCATGTGGCGGTGACACGATACTTGAACCGAATTGCTAACTTTTTCATAGGTTCTTGCGAGGTGATAGCGTTATTCTGGTTCTCCTAAGCTAATATTCCCTAACCGTCATGATCTTGGAGGGGTGAGGACTTTATTTTGAGAATGGGATGTTTTGTATGTCTTGAGGGCAAAGCTCACAGGGACTCCATAGGCGTTAAAAACATGATGATTTGCGCATTCGACTCTTCTTTATTATAACGTACTTTGAATATTCGCACACTACTAACATGCCGCATTCGCTTGGATTATACCTTGGTTGATAGGATCAAAACCGAGAGTAATTGCGTTCAGCCGCTCAGACCGAGGAAGAAGCTGGCGAGTCCCCAAGCACCAGGATCGGGGACCTCCTGATACCCACTGCCTCCGATGTACACGGTTCTGCCTAGACTGGCTTGCATGCCTTTGGTCTTATTGGCCCCTTCCAGCGCAGCTTCAGCAGCCTTCTTGACATCTTGTGTCTTGTTCAACACCTCCACGAACGGGTAGAGAGCGTCAACCAAAGTACGGTCGCCAGGACGAGCAGGAGTGTACTTTGACAGTGCATCGCTGCTCTGCTTGAGGGCCTTGGCCCAGACTTCAGGAGAGGCAGTACCAGGTGCAAGCTCACGAAGAGCCTTTACCAGTGCGTTAAGGAAGATGGCATACAGTGCACCTGAAGTGCCGTCCATGGCAGTCTCTACGATGGTTACGATGGAAGTGAGATCCACAACGACGTCGCCACTAAGAGGGTGCTCTTCGATGTGTTTGAGGATTGCTACATAAGTTAGTAAATGGGTATTGAGTGGAATTTGTCAGACTTACCTTCAGCTCCTCGCTTCAAACCAATTCCACAGTCACCGTCTCCTACCACTGTGTCATAACGAGTGACTTCGGGCTCAGCGTCGATAACTTTCTGTAGGCCATTCTTCAGGGCTGTCTGTGCGGAACTAGCATCCGTCTTGAGGCCACTAGACTTGATATCTTCTGTTGCTCCAACCCGTTCTGTCCTTGTGTTGGTGTTTTTGGCCTCCCAGGTGCTTGTTTGAATAGGCGCAGACCATCCAACGACTTCGCTGGGAGCATCAAGCAACTCAATCATGCTGGGAGCACCGAACTCAGGGGAAGCGACGTTAAGAAGGGATATACTGAAGCCTAGACCGTTGAGACTGGTCATGTAGGTACCGCTGAGTATCCTCACAGGGCGAATGCTATACTTGGACTCAAGTTGGCTTGCGACCTCTGCAGTGATACCACCCAGCTCGAGAACACTGACTCCTCCTAGGTTGTTAATCATAAGAACGACTTCTTTAGAAGTGACGTCGACAAATGCTCGATCCTTATCGGAGGTATCAAGTAATTGCTTGAGCATCTTACTCACGAGGTCGGGCAATTCGACCCTTTCTCGTCCAGAGCCGGGCTCGTTATGGATGCCCATTCCTAGCTCTACCTCGTCTGCTCCAAGACTGCCCTCGGTATCGACTTTGCGCCCGGGGACATGGACATGTTCAAGACTGGCGCCCACGCTGACGAGATTGTCTGCGGTTAGTTGGGCGTATTTGGCTACCTGGTCGAGAGGTTTTCCTAGAGCGGCGAGTGCACCGGAGATCTTATGAACGAGAACGGTACCTGCGATTCCACGACGACCGACCTTTCCGGCCTTTGCGCGACCAACACCAACATCGTCACCCACAACGACCATCTCCACATCGAGCCCCGCAGCCTTGGCCTTTTCAACGGCCATGCCAAAATTGAGGACATCACCGGTATAATTCATGACAGTGACCAGCACGCCTTTGGACGTGTCAACGCGAGAGGTGATGGCGGTGCGTATTTGCTCCGCCGAGGGACTGGCGAAGATTGTTCCGGCTACTGCTGCGGAGAGCATGCCCTGGCCGACCATACCTGCGAAGGAGGGCTCATGGCCGGAGCCACCACCTGAGATGATGGACACTTGAGGTTTGGCATTAGAATCAGGGCGACGGTAGAGGACCTTGAAGTCTGGGTCTAGAGCGAGTGATGGGTTGGTGAGAGTAAGACTGTGGAGAGCTGAGGAGACGAGGTGGGTTGGATCGTTAACAAAGTGTTTGGCTGACATGGTGACGAAGATGAAGATGGAGAAGAGATGTGGTTAACCAGGATTAATAACTATGTAGATGAGAGAGACGGGTTCTTGATTAAGGAAGAAAGCTATCAATTGAGTTAAGTTGTGAGTATCTGGGCTCTTTTAAGTATCTTCTGCCAAGGCAATCGTCATTAATGGACAGTCAGGCGAGGTTCTGTTGGCCACGATGGATGATGGGCGAAAGCAAGTGACGGAGCTCGGGTGGGGGAATCGCGGGGTTTGCAGCGGGGTCGGATCCGTGATGGCCGGGGTGCGGGACGAGTCACGGGGGATATCAACCATGGACATGGACACTGGCATTGGCATTGGCTGTCTGGCTTACGAAGATACTGGAGTTGCCTGGTGTTACTCTGCCTGATATTAATGCATACTGTAATGGACATGCGGTGCCTTGTCGTGTTGTCATGAGACTTGGTAGGAGGGGGGCATGTCGACAGACGATGATGGAGTTGTTAATCATCACGTGTGTATCTTTTATGATATGGGTGTTGAAGTTTGTTCAAGTAATTGTTTGGGTTGGAAATAAGTTCATAGATTCAATCAAGAGACAGGTTCAAGTTGGCCTTGTATAACTGTTTTCCAGGCCAATGGTAGCTTTGTAATAAGTCGCCGTAGTAAGTGTGGAAACCATACCATTGTGTCTAATGCGTAGTGTCCAATAGTCTCTGAAGAACGCATCAAGCAATGTAGAAGGTGCTGCTTTTCTATCGAATCAAAACTTGAGAATCGCCAAAGGCCTGGAGGATTTGGCTTCCTGTTCACAGCCAAATCATGACTGGGGGCTACTATACAGTATCTGAGATTATGTATATCTCAAAGATTGTCACAACTCGCATTGACAATTGTAAGGTATGAAGTATGAGTTTTAAAAGTCTTTTGAGATTATGTAGATCATCCCCCAATCATTCACTTCATCCACGTTCTGTTTTATGAGCCATAGAGTGTAAGTTGTGTGAAACACTACAATACAATCTAACGCTATTACCGCGACCAACCTAAAGATACATTTAGCCTCGTCCTCTGAAACGGTAGGTTTTAAGCATGAAAACAAAGCTCGTTACGGGTAATAATTAATAAAAAAGGAACTCGTCTTCTTTATTACGCGGCCAAGGATGCGTACTCTACACTCGGTTAGACATTAGTTGTTCACACAGGGGTATCATGGCCCGTTCCCACATTAAACCTCCACTAATACAGTGTCTAGAGTGCCCAAAAGATTATTCCAGAAATCCTTCAGTTGAATTCTCGCACGGGAATAAAAACGAAATGTCAAATTTCCCTCTCCCATGTCGAATTGATTCCGGTTTCCGGCTTGGCTGACTAGCTTGACGATCCATCCAATGGCCATTTCGAGTGATATTCTGAAACGCCTGCGCCTACTTTTGACTCCCGCTCTGTATTAGTGGTTGATGTTGACATCTGCTCTTCAGTCTCGGCCGAATTAATACAGACGCTCCATAAGTTTTCATAGAAAACCCGCTCTTCAGGTCATGCAGAATAGGGGATTGAGCCCACGATTGGGTCGTGCTGGTCTTGGAGCCGCATTAATTCAGGAACAACTGGAGCACTGTTGAGACTTGAGACGATCATAATCAGGTACTGTACTTTTAGACTGTGCATTACGCATTACGCATTGTACTTTGTGTGTACCTGTATTAAATTCAGATGAAGATTCCGTATTATCGTTGTTCTTCAAAATATTGTCTTGTCTGTCAAAACCCCCTGAAGATCCACGATCGGGTCGGATCCTTGCAATTGCTAAGCCTCAAAGCCCCCGAACCACGAGCGGTTGATGGACTCTTGCGGTGATAATTTCATTTCTAAAAGGGTCCCCTTCACCCTTCACCCTCTACCCTTCCTTCGCCTTTCAGTGGAGTCGTCGTTGTTACGCTGACGTACAAATCGCCCGAACATCAAAGCGACTATCCGTATGGCCTTGTCCATGTCCCATGCTCACGAAAAACGGGGTGCGTATAGGGAACGGTTCCCCCGTCTTTGCCATGCCCAATTTTAGATGAAGGGGGATGGATATTTTTCTCTTTCTCTTCTCTTCTTCTTAGATATCCATATCCATATCCATCCATACTCCTTCTCTTATTCAATCCTTCTTTCTGTTGTGTTTGATCACTCTCTTGTTTGTAATCTACGTGCTTGGTCGTCAACTATCGCCATCCATTATCAATTTACTTGCTTGGCGTCGTGTCTAAGCGGGATATACACGAACCAGTCTTGGCGTAAAGCAGGGTCTAATTCATCTGTTAATCCCGTCGTCTTTTGTCTTGGTCCTCCCAAGCATTCTGGTTCAACTGCCAAGATGCACTCATTACTTCGATCGGCTACAGCCGTCCTTGGCTGGACGGTAGCTGTCAACGCCTTCGACGTCACATGGACTGACAAGAGTATGCTATATCGCTGCTGTCGATAGTACTATATAACTGACTGATTGTCGTTAGAGTCCATTGAGAAGGCTGCTAGCCAAGCCGCTGGTGGTTTGGTAGCTTGGTACTCTGGAGACCAACCCGGTGATACACCAGGAAACTTGCCAGACCCTTACTACTGTAACTCTCTCATAACCACTCAACCATCACAATTCACTGACTTTCAAAAGGGTGGGAGGCTGGTGCTATGTTCGGCACTCTAGTTGACTACTGGTGGCTTACCGGCGACGATAAATACAACAAGATCACAAAACAAGCCTTGATCCATCAGGCAGGCCCTGATGGCGATTACATGCCCGACAACCAAACGATGACAGAAGGAAACGACGATCAAGGCTTCTGGGCCATGGCCGCAATGTCAGCAGCAGAGCATCAATTCCCAGATCCTCCAGAGGACACGCCTGGGTGGCTCGCCCAGGTTCAGGGTGTTTTCAACGAGTACGTCAGTCGCTGGGACGATGAATACTGCGGTGGTGGTATGCGCTGGCAAATCTTCAAGTGGAACACTGGTTTCGATTACAAAAACGCCATCTCTAACGGTTGCTTCTTTAATGTCGCCTCTCGCCTGGCGCTGTATACAGGCAACCAAACTTACGCCGACTGGGCCGAGAAGGTCTGGAAATGGCACATCGAAGCTGGCGTCATCACCGACAAGTTTGCAGTACAGGACGGTGTTCACATCGGCTCTAAGCCCTCCGCAAAGTGTAACGATATCGATAAGACGCAGTGGTCCTACAACACTGGTATTTTCCTTCACGGCGCTGCCACCATGTACAACCTCACATCAAGTGATGACTGGAAGAAGCGCACCGACGGCCTTCTGGACGATGTTTTCAACAGATTTGTCAAGAACGAGATCATCTACGAGCAGTTTTGCGAACCCCACAAGCAGTGCAGTCAGGATCAGCAGAGTTTCAAAGGCTACCTCGCCCGATGGTTGGCCGCCACGACGCAGCTGTACTCCTCTACCAACGACAGGATCATGAAGCTCCTCAAGACGAGCGCTCAGGCCGCCGCGAAGGTGTGCACAGGATCTCCCGCGGAAGGATACAAGGGCGCCGCAGGAACAGCCTGTGGCTTCTCCTGGACGACTGATACATTTGACGGCTCTATTGGAGTAGGACCCCAGATGAACGCCCTCTCCATCCTCATGTACACGCTCGTCGAAAGCGCCAAGGGACCTGTCACATCCAAGACTGGAGGAACATCCAAGGGAAACCCCGGCGGTGGAAACACAGATTGGAACGACGACGACGTTGCCAAGCCTAAGCTGAAGGATATCACAACAGCTGACAAGGCAGGTGCTGGTATTCTGACGTTACTTTTCTTGGCTGGTGTCATTGGAGGTGTTTCTTTCTTGGTTGTCGATTTTTAAAACGTGCTATGAGGGTATGGCGTTATGGAAGTGATTTTATTACGTGGTATAATACTTTTATATATTTACGGGCGTTGGGAATTGTTTCGAAATGGATATGGATACCTCATCTTTATTTCTATCTGGTGTGAGAGTTGAATATTGGACTGCATATCGTACTTGAATAACTATCTACCACAATACACAATATCGGTGCTAGTTTGTCAATTATCAAATGGAATGAGTTGCAAGCGAGCACGTATTTGGAAAACCACTCTGACTTGTATGTAAAGAGAAATATTAAAATATCAGTTATTAATAGGAAAGTATCTTGAAATATCCAGTCATCGCTCATCAGATCTATCCCAGTCTATTCATTACGCCCCCAAATCCCAATCAGTGATCAACGATTGTGTAGCCCAGTTACTCAATCTCCTTCATGTTCCCCTGCTCATCTCTTGCCATTCTCGCGTAATGAGTCTTCAACAAAGGCGTATCAGCGCTCACAAGCGTGTTCGTCCATCTCTCCTCCTCCTCACCAACAGGTGTCGTCCTCACTGATGCACGACCCATCATCACAGGACGGCAGTTGACGTAGACATTCTCGTACTCACGCGCCGGTACAGAGTATGTCTCGTGGAAGACGCCGATGTGCTTGAGCTTGGCCTTGTTGATGTAATCCCAGCCTCGGCGGTGGACTTCCCCGTGGGCGAAGCGGTGCAGACTCTCGAGGTCGCGGAAGTAGATGATGTTGAGAAGCGTGTTATTGCTGCCTCGGTCGTCGCCCCTCCATGTTGACATGCCGAGCATGCCAAATTCATCTCGGTGCGAGTTGAGCTCCTCTTGCATGTCTGCGAAGAACTTGCTCATGCGATCCATACCTGGCGCGGCGAGACCGAGAGGATGGTTGATCTGCATTCCAAGATGGAGGACCACCACGGAGTTTGCTGCGGGCTTCGAACCAAAGGTACCAGAGGCGAATGGGAGCTGAGCGGTAGTACGTCCGGGAATGACGCCTTGGATGTATTCATTTGGCTTTGTGGTGCGGAGTTGAAGAATAGTGGTGATAACGGAGTTGAGAACGACGGCTGCAGGTGGTATGACTGCCCATCGCATAGGGAGAAAAGCGCAGAGGACAAGCTGGACAACTGAGCCTAGGACTATGATAGTTTGAGGCTTGAAGCAGTCTTTGAGCATGAACTAGATGATGTGTTAGTACTGTTCACCTATCTAAATAATATGGGTAACTTACAGCTGCACCAGCATTAGAGGGATATGTCAGTGGCTTGGAAGATGTCTCCAGCTTGGGTTTAAACTCGGCGTTCTTCATGTTGAAGATAATGTATAAAGACTGATATGATATGATGATATGCTACGATGATGATATGATTCAGGCAATGGTCATGAACAGGTGAGTTGAGTACCTAGTTGTGGTTTGATGATAGAGACATATTCACAATTGAAGGAGATACCATGGACTCTATATAGCTTTTCAACTTAAAACCACTGACGCATCAAAGAGCAACTATGTAGCGAATGCGACTGCGACTGCGATCGCGACTCGCGGCTTCGCGGTCTAGAAACAGCCACGCATATGCATGCACTCGACGATGCTATCACCTACGACATTACTTCCGAATCGAGGCCCACAGGCCCTTAGTTAGTACTCGCACTCGCTTAAGCTAAGTCTGGGGTATGCAGTCCGAATGGAATAGTTAGTCCGACTTGTCCACCTTCGGGCTTTTTTGACCCAAACAGGGATGTCCTTTTCTTCTCTTCTCTCCAATTATTGAGACTATATTGGCAAAGTCGGTCTTTGAATACGAAAATGCCGCATCACTTCATTTGACGTCCTCGCTCTGTTCGGTCTTTTCAGTGAATGCATTGACAATTCTCATCCTTCGGTATTATTCGCGTCAAAGCGGGCTTGAAATTCATCCGTGTAAACTGCAAATACCTGCTTGACATACAAGACAATCCAAGTCAACTGGTCATTCTATCATCCTGCACAAGTATAGTACGGCGTAGGCAACTTGCATCTCGGTCTTGGGGACACTAAGCGGAGGTTGAACTTTTATAAGAAGTTTGTCAACGCCGCTTACCTAACTGATAATCCGATTGATAAAGCTGGCCGCGAAATCACCCCGATCAGTTTATGTGACGAAGTACTGATATATCCCAACTACACACAACACATTAGCGGCCTGCACGTAGGCACAGGTTACATATGCCAGGAAACGTAGTTGAGCCGCATGGAGCCCTGATCTCTCCAAGTGCCGCACAGTCTCCACGTCCAATATCACGTCCATCTCCACAAACGGCTGCTGCCCCTGACAACAGATCGATTTAGCAACAAGCCAGGTCGATCTGGAGCGGCTAAGATTCGATAAACCCAAGACACGCCATCGTCTTAGACTCTGGAACAGACAGGGTTCTGCTATAGATCAAACGGCCCATCATGAGTATGTCGTACCCATGAATCGACACTCTAAAGTGAGTGTCTCGTGTCAGGAGTATGAGTTGCCAAGAGCCATTGCATTGTAATAGTGTTTCAAATAACTTAAATAATATTGCGAATAGACTAGAATGCGACGATTTCATAGTCGTCACTCATGAGGCTCGTCTCACTATCATAATTCCAACACCAGAAAACAAACACAAAAAACAGCATGTACACAGATATCCCGGACGAATCGTCGCAAGAACCCATACACACCCTATGCATGAAAAAAAAAAGAGACAGTCCAAGGAAACAAGAACAGAAACAGCTCTCACAATGATTCAAAATCAACCATCAAAACATGCCAGCAACTTGCAGCCAAATTATGAGCAAACTCCTCCCGGGGCAACCGAGCCTCTTTTCTTTTTCTTTCTTCGTCGTCAAATACCGGTCTGATACCGAAACTGTATGCGCCTGGCCAATGTATGAAAAATAATTTTGTGGAAATCGCTTCAAATGTATGTTCAACATAGTCTAGATGCGTCGCGGAAAACTCGAGCAAAGAATTCCTAAGCGGTGTTCTCCTTATTTTGTGACTGGTGAGGGTAGTTGGGGTCGGTGAGTGACTTCTCCCACTCATCCATCAGGTTTGTCGCTGTGCGTTTGATGTTGCTGGGTGAGAACTGGTTGACAAGATTGGGCAGAAGCTCTTCTAACTTGGGGGAGAGTAGAGGGGTCTCGTAACCGGTCGACTTCTTCTTACTGCGGAAATTAGTATTTCTCATTTACACAGTCTTGACACCGAGGGACGGTGATGACTTACGAGGGCGAGTCCGCAGGTTCTCCCTCATCCGAAGTAGCTGACATATTATCCAGTCCGCCGCTGCCAATAGTAGATCCACTCCAACGAGACGTCTTGGAAGAAGAGGCCGGAGAGTCCCAGTTAGACCAGTCGTTATCATCCATTGAATCAAACCCAAGAGGCTGCCAAGAGAAAGACTTGTTCTTGGATTTGGTTTTACTCCGGGCAGGCATCTCGGGTCGGGACTTTGACGTTGTGGCGGTTGAGGTAGTTTTTGTCTCCAAAGTCTCGGTGGTCTCTGAATTGCCATGGGGTGGCTCGAATACTGTGCTGACTTTTGGTCGCAGAGGGCGATTCGGTCGAATCGTATCCTGCGTTCGGGTGTTTTCGCTAGTACTGTTGGAGCGAACGGGCTGGCCGTTGATGGGCTCATCTCCAACAGTAATCTGACGGATATCCTCGACGAATGCTCGAAGGCCTAGCTTAAAGTCCTCGACGATCTGAGGAACGACCGGGCCACCTTGTTGTGAGCGTGGTTGCCAGGAGGCACGCTTTGATAAATGAGGGTTTGTTAATTGAGCGGTCCTGCGCTCTACAGAAGGTAGTATGACCTGCTCATGCTCGTGATCGCGATCCTGATATAGTGAAAACCCTGCGTCTGGTTTCGCCGGCGACAACAGCGATAGGGTTCTTGTGTGTCCACCACGAAGGACTCTTCTTCGGTTGGGGGTCGTCGGGGATGATTGAGCTTGATGCAATAGTTTCCTGCGGTCTGAGTCGACACTTCGCCTGACAGATGCGCCGTCGTCCTCCGAAGGCAGCACAGGGCTGCGATATGCTTCAAAAGGGATAGGGTCGCCCTTCTTCTCTTGTGTAGTCCACTTCTTCTTGAGCGAAGTCAAGTCTGCTTCAGCACGCAATAATTCCTCACGGAGTTCGAGCACACGTCTCTCCTGGGCGGCAATTGCGATAATAAATTCATTTGCGTCAGCGGGAGTGGAAACGCCAGAGTCGATTGGGGTCGGAGGAACAGATGACATGGCAGAAGAGGTTGGTGTTGGTCGGGATGGGTCGCTCGTAGGGGGTGCAATTGGGAGAGTCAAAGAGAGTCGGTTGACCTGACGGTTCATGCTGGATACACTTGACTTGGCACGAGCATGTCCTCGTCTGAAAGGGATGCTATTGTCCTTTGGGGCAGGCGGAGGAGGCATTGCGACTGTTGAACTCATGCTGCCGTTGCGGTTGTGCGAGGAAGAATTCTTGTGTCTCGGTTTAGACCCCTGTGTGAGGTCACGAACGGGAACGAATCTGGGGTCGACAGAAGCAGCGATAGCGACAGCGGGAGTAGAAGTAGCAGTGGCAGGAATTGTCGAATTAGGGGCTGTCTCAGAATTTGAGTTGGAGGTGGTGGGATTGACTAAGTCTGAAGGCAAGCGGTCGGCAACTGAGTAGCGTCGACGGATAGCTTGTTGTTGCGAAGCCATGTCCGTTAACTCGTAGGGATGCAACTTATTGAAGAGTAGGGAATGAAGGCCGAGCACTCGTCGGCGTTTATGCAAATGAGTGGCTGGAGCTCTCAGGGCTCTGCGACGCCGCAATCTAGCAGCAGCGACAGCAGCAACAGCGGCCCTAGCAGTGAGCGCTCTATGGTGAACCTGTGTCAGATGGCGGTGATCATCGAAGAGAGCGAACGAGAGACGATGGGCGGCGCAGAGTTGAAAGAGAAAACCGGGCATCAGAATAAGGAGAGAGAGGCGACTCGTTCAAGGTGATAGGTGAATTGTGGGTGGCCTACTCCGTAGTGGTGTATCAAGTTTCGCAAGGGGGATGGCGCCAGCCGGGGTGGGTTTGGGTGGGGAGTCCACCAATGCTCAGTGGTTGTTGTCGAAAATAGAGCCCTGGAGGCGCCCGGTAGCACGACCCTAGATCACCTAAATTGGGTAGAGCAACGGGGCGATATTCAGGAGAACAGGAGCACCATTGGAAGTTGGGCCAGATGGTGCTATCGGTTCGACGGCTGGGGCTGGCTCTGGGCCTGGGCAAGGCGCAGGAAACTCGCGAAATGGGAATGCCAGGGACGACGTGAGGCTTGCTGGGGTCGGATGGAAGAGACCACAGGAGATTGAAGAATCCCAGTAAGGGACAAGGTGACGTTAAGCGGATGGGGCGAACTTGGGATTATGCTGATAAGGGCCGTTGAACTGGGCTGGGGAGAATGGATCAATTGTTGTTAGGGAGTGAGACTGTTTGGGAAAACAAAGACAGGAAAGAGTGTGGTGATGATAATTAAGGAAAAGAGGACAAAGCGGTAGCGAGCGAATAATCCCGAACAGGTGCTTGCGGGATGCAGATATGGAATGTTGAAAAAGCAATGGAAATGAGTGCAGATGCTGTACTTAGTACTCTGTGCTGCACTGTGTCTTGTGTACCTACAGTTGATTGAGCAATTCCGGGAGAAGGCCTGGCCGCGTAAACAGTATGATGCTGCTGCTGATCCTGGTACTGGAGACAATGATCCTGTAATTGACAATGTATCCGTAATGCGTGTAATAATCGAGGGGGCATGAACTGGATCATGAATATAATTGTAGGGTACGGGTCATGAACTGTAAGTGCTAATATGACAGGGTCTTGATATGGGGGACCTGCTTTGTTTACATATGCTGCCTCTTCTCTTAGATCGAATGGATACTTGGGGCTTGGGCATCCGTCAACAACTCCATGCCTTGCAAAACCGACCCAAAAAGTTGGAATTTAACGGCCCAACCCGCAAGTTTTATTCAAGACGGTGACAATCGCACCACCTGACTTGGACGACCAGCTGTCGCCGCCCCGTTTGTGCGGTCCGTGAAAGCTCAACGCTTTGCCGGTAGTGGACCATGACCAAATCCCCGGTTTCCACGGGTTCAACCTTTCAAGGACAGGGTTATACGAACAGATGGTTACTGTACATAGATATTTGCTTTCCATCTCATCTCATCTTCCATCTTGTTTCTGGCAGCTCAACCCTTAGGGCCGAAACTCATCTCTCCGCCCGTTGCTCCCCTCATCTTCCTCTTGACAACGGACAGACACGTCAAAGTTTTGACAAACTACTGCAGGCTTGTGCGTTAGATCGTTTTTCCCGTTAGGCAAAGAATCCCACGAAGCACGGGCATCAAGTGCGTCTGCATTGCCGTTGTCCAGACAGATTCTCGATCTCTCTTATCGATTATTAGCTCATCGGTTCAGAGGCACTTTAGCACTCTAGGCACTTTAATCTGAACTGACGGGAGTTTGTTGACCATGGTGGATAGTTCGGCTCTCGTGACCCTGTCATCAAGGCTCAGGGAGTCAGGGGTCATGCGTGTTTGCAGCGGACCTTGCATAAATGCAGGGGTTGGGAGTAATTAAGCTGAGCATCGGTGTGATTCTGCACGTGTTAGCCGAGAAGTGCGCGTGAATTGCGTTCATAAGGATGACTTGCGTAAACGTGAAAAATATCCACTTACAGACCGTATATTAAGCATTATCGATCGGAGCTATTCTTAGTTGCTGTCATTTTGATCGTGGAGTTTGGGTTGAAGCATTGCTGAGCTGTGGACTAATACGGATATTCGAACACGAGTTTGGGTTCAACTGGAAACTTCATCAAGAATAGTTGAGAATGAATAAAAGAAACGATTGTATGAGCCAGCTACAGAGTATGCACGGAAGAATTAGATATTTGGGATGTCCTATCGCCGTGTAAGTCGAGTGAGATGTGCCTCCAGCCGGATCCATAGCGAAGAGTCATGTGATCTTCGCGTCAAGCTCGTGCCTGCTCCCAGCTGCATCCATCGCCAATAACCTAAGGCATCACTTTTTACTGTGGCCGGAAGCCCACTACCTACTAACCTAGTTGACTCCAAGCAGAGCGAGAATGCCATCATTTGGTCTCATATGGTGACCCCGTTGCCTATGCTGCTCCAATACATGAACAACCAGTTCTTTCGCACAGGGATATCTGGGTTCCGATATCATCATTCCGTTGTTCTTTGTCCCTAGTCTTGCGATGCGATGATTTCCCAACATGCCTCTCCCATTTTCTCTAGTCTGCGAGTTGCTTGAGCAATCTTACGATCTCTCTCTTGCCAAGAAGAGTTGTTCGAGTGTCGTGATAAAGTGGTTTACTCGGCATCGCAGCCACGTTGATGCTCACGATACTAGCCTCTCGGCTCTCTTATCGACATTACTCCCCGATAAGCGAACTGACCGAGTTTACTGCATTCAGGCTCCCAGTCTTGAGAGAATCGTCGGTCGCGCATTCTTCCTTGGATCATCACGAATTGTAGAATTGGCGCAGTACCGTCAGCCGGGCTCTGGTGTTGACCTAGCAGACTGCGTATCTCGCATTCTCACCGTAACTGTAAGACTGTCAGAGAAGTTAAGAGCATCCGGCTGACCGTAGCACAGCCAAGCCCTGGTTACAGTCAGAAGGACCTTGTTACGGTTGAAGAGATTGACGAGCTTCTGCATTCACTTGCAGCAAAAGTGAAATGGAGTTCTCCTTCCATCCGTGCCTCTCAGGCCAGCCTAACTCCAAGCAACAGAACCGATGTTGAATGCTTGTACAGAAGGTTGAGCGCAGTAGAGGCCAAATGGTTCACGAGGCTTATTCTGAAGAACTACCAGCCTTTAGTTTTGGACCCGCATCTCATATATCGACTTTGTGACACGATTCTCCCCTGTGTTTTGAAGATTCAGGACGATTTCTCTACAGCGATTGGTTCTGTGCAAACTATACGAGGGAGACTGCTGCCAAACTCAGGACGCAAGACACCACGTGAACAGATTATGAACACAATGAAGCCTCAATTAGGTGTCAAGATTGGACGACAACCTTGGATCAAGGGACGCAGTATCAAACACTGTCTGGATATGGGCCATGGGCGTATGAGTGTTGAAGACAAGATTGATGGTGAATACTGCCAGATCCACATCGATCCAAGTAAAGGAGATCGGTGCATACAAATATTCTCAAAGAGCGGCAAGGACAGCACAGAAGACAGAGTTGCGCTTCATGAGTCAGTTCAAACTGGAATAGATGCATGGCTTTTGAAGCTAACCTTATGGGTAGTACTATACTGAACTCACTCAGAATTGGACAGCAGGACGCCAGAGTCACAAGGGCTTGCATATTGGAAGGGGAGTTGGTTGTATACGATGAAACAGTATGTACAATAAATCTTACCTCACTCTGAACCGATACTAACACACAACAGCAAGATAAGATATTACCGTTTCATAAGATACGGAGGCATGTGTCACGAAGAGGACGATTTTTGAACACGGAGCTGGACTCCCTGTAAGTCTGTATGAGTTCGCAATTTAATATTATACTGACTTTCTAGGCCCGGACCACAAGAACACCTAATGATAATTTATTACGATATAATGCTTTTAGAGGATCAGTCACTGATCAATTTACGTCATTCGGAAAGATTCAAGATCCTGTCTAGCCTTGTTTGTTGTCGCAAAGGATGGGCTGAACTCGTCCCACGCCAGGTCGTCGATTTTGGCCAGGCTCTTGGTGCTTCGACCTTGCGCAAGATCTTTGCCATGACCATTTTGGCTCGAAAAGAAGGTCTAGTTTTGAAGCCAGACGAACCCTACTTCGATTTCGCAGATCAGCGTCGAAAGTTTTCAAGCTGCTGCATCAAGCTAAAGAAGGAGTACATTGGGAACTTTGGAGATGTTGGCGATTTCGCAGTTGTTGGTGCCAAATATGATCCGACAAAAGCATTGACGTACCGAATACCTGGACTGAAGTGGACTCATTTCTATATCGGCTGTCTTGACAACCGGGAAGCAGTAAAGAGATGGAATGCTAAGCCAGAGTTTACGCTCGTCAATGTCGTGGAGTTGAACGAAACGATGCTAAGAGAGGTCGTTATATACTCCAGCCCAGACCCTGTTGCTCCAGGGGATAATGACGCCCTCACTTTCAAACTGGCTCCTGGGGTTGAGCAAGGGTCACCTCCGACGGTAATATTCACTAGGCCACTGGTATTTGACCTGAAATGTTTCAGCTTTGACAGAGTGGGAAACACTGGCTTTTGGAGTTTGCGTTTTCCTTCAGTGACCAAGGTTCACTTTGATCGAGATTTTACGGATACGATATCTTTTGAGCAGCTGCAAGCACTGGCTAAGGATGCGACAACTGCCACCGAGTTGGAGGATAGTCAGGAGAACCTGGAATGGATTGCAAAGCTAGAAGCAGCTGACCCGCGCGGCATAGCTGTTGACGCCGTCAGTCAGTTGACAGTGACAACTATGTCAACACCTTCACCTCGAAAATCAACACAAAACACCAACCCCACGTGGTCTCCTATATCGCCCCTGAGAACAAGACCATCGGTCGGTAACACACATATCACTTGTCACGAAACTTCTGGAAGTGCTCGCCCTCTGATATTACCAACCATTGTGGTTGCTACCCCTGGTGATTCTGTGCAAGCTGCACCGTCACCAACATCAGCAGCTCTTGTGCCCCAAGCGAAACACAAGCGCGATCCCCCCCCCCTAGACTCTGAATCATCACGCAAACGCCAGAAACCAGACACAGATCCACCAAAAAAGCACAACAAACACTCCTGCAATCGCAGAAATACTTCTCAGTCCCGCAAACCCCTTGGTGATATCGATGACAACTCACAATCTCAATCCGTCATGATTCCTTACGCTGCTGAAGTCGTTGTTGATGAGGACTACGGTATATCCGAGGATCACGATATATCTGGGGAGCCTGTAATGGATCTAGATACTGTTGCGCGTCCTGAGCCTGAGCCTGAGCCTGAACTCGAGACCAAACCGGAGCTCGTTCATATCAAACCTCACACGGTAGATGTTGGGATTCTGGGATGCGCCTTCGTTGGCGCCCAATGTAGACTGTACAAGGCGGTAGTTTTGGTTTCGCCAGGACTTCTTCACAAGCACGAAGCAAAGGCTTTACTTGAACTCCACGGTGTTGACCCGGTCACCGATGTTGGCGCATGGCTCGAAGCCGAAAAAAGACGCAGTCACAAAGAAACAACGCCCGAGATCTCGAAAGTTTACTTTTTGTGCGAAAGCGACCAGCACACTGAGTTGAAACCTCTCCTCGCCAAGATCGAAGACATTCACAATAACCCGCATTCTGAGAAACACAGCTCGATTGAGGTTTACGACTGGCGTTTTCTTAAGCACCTCACGATCGAGGAAGACAATTCTGTTGAGGACAAGTATTACGATGGGTTTTGCCATTCGTGGCAGCGTTGGTACATCGGGTCTGTCTGAGAGAGGGGAGGAAATGAGAGAAATGAGACATGGTTCATAAAACGCGATACCCGATGCATATTCAAATCATGCCATAAATGAAAATGTCCTTTTTTTTGGATTATGAGAAAGGGATTACTCTGAAGAAGACATCTGCTTCTTACGCCTCTCCAGAGAGGGCCTTTTATTCAGAGGCATAAGCTTTTTCAGCCATTTATATGACCGAAAGGCTTAAGGCCAGACTTATAAGGGCATTTAAATATAATTCCAACAAGCAAGTGTGCTATAGCTATGACTTTTTGTCGTAGAGATCGCCGTAACTCTCCTTGAGCCTCATGAACAAGTGCTCGTCCGCCGTCATGACCTTACTCGTAGCATACGGGTTCTCGCTAGCTGCCCCTTCTGCAGGCACAAAGTTCTTGACCCTTTCACTAGGCACAGGCTCAAGGGCTACCGTTCCAACAGGATGGCAGAAGTAAGCGATGGAATATCGTGGACCAGTGCTCGTCTCCCCTTCCACTTCACCACTCCCCTCTGTTGGGAACACAACTCTATGCAGAGTGCTGCGGAACAGACCGTTAGTCCAGTATGACAAGAGGTCACCGATGTTAATCAGGATCGGTGGACTAGGGTCGTCTTCAGTGCCAGCTGGGCACACAGGAACAGGCGCCCAGACGTTGTTTTTCTGCAGAACCTCAAGTCCTGCTTGGCCCTTGAGACGGAAAAGAAGAGTGACACTGCCATAATCGGAATGAGAACCGGCGCGGACATCGTCCTTGGAGTGAGCAGTAGACTCGGGAGGCGGATAACGAAGAAAGCGGAGGATTGAGCTCGAGGCTCCCTTGGCTGTGTTGTGCGCCGACGAGAAGAAATCATCGACCTGCTTAGTATGAGACCATGTTATGCGATTTTGTTGTTTATGAGATGACTTACACCAAGACCCAGGCCAAGCAGATAGAGGAGCTTTTGACAAAGTTCATGACATGAATCAGCAAAAGCACTTATCTGAGGTTCGTCAGGAACTAGATCAGACGGAAGAGGCTGTTGAGCTTTTCCATCTGCGAATCCACCAAAGTTGAAGGCCCTGGCATTGTTGTGTTAGTGATAGACTGGTGGTGCAGGCGGTGCATGGGAGATGACCAACTCTTTAAAGTCTCCAACCTATTTGCGCAATAAATAAGTTTAGTACTATTCAGAAATGCAAATGGGACTTACTTACCTTTTGGTTCTTTGGATCCAAGGTCTCAGAGTGCATGCCCGACCAACCACGGTTGTTGGTTTGGATTGTGCATCTCTGCTTCTCATCTACAGGGCATTCAAATGTCTTTTTGACCTATTTTGATGCTTAGTAACTTGATTCATTTAAAGGACTGTTTGTTTCTGTGGCTCACAAGATCAAATGCCCCATCGATGCTTTTCGCTTCAATATCACGGCCCAAATTTCGGATGTAAATGAAGCCATGCTCCTCGGCAGCATCAACGAGCTGTCGAGCTATTTCTTTTTGATCGGCATCTAGAGCAGAGATGTCGATAAGTGGGATATTTGCCGTGGTCGGTTCCATCCCGAAAGGTCTTCTAAAATGGTCTGCTTTGTCCTTGAGAGGGTATCTCATAATTGTACTTGATTGTGAGAGAGTTTGGGTATATATTGCAATGCTGTGGTAGAGGATAGGGTGTATGCCAATATTCAATACAATCCCCGGACAGACTGAAATTAGATGATGAGACGATTGCTTGATGACTTCATCTGATCTCTGATCTAATAAGTTGCGCAGAAGCGTCACCACCCCCGCCATTGGTTGTTTGGCAGCTCAGTGTAAGTATCTCGGGTTTGTTCGGTGATTGCACCGCCACATCCCGGACAACACCAACACCAGCCACCGCCACACTCACGAGGGCTACCCGCCTCTTCTTTCCCCCTGGCAGTCATGGATGGCCTGAGCGGTAGGATGTCCCCGTCCCGCCCGTAGGTTAGGTAGGAAGTACCTAACTTAGGTAGGCCGTGTGTGGTGTGGTAGGCAGGCAGGTACCACCGACAGCCTGTCCCTGCCGCTGTAACTCGCCAAACTTTCCTGTCACGTAGCCCCCAGTCTAGACTAGACTGGGTCGTTAACTTCCACCAGCCGCCCACGTTTGAAGCTCAAGATACCTTCAGCAAACACGCCCCTAGTCATTCAAACGCAAACGAGCAACTTGTCGTTTTCACCACCACCTACGTGCCTGCTCTACGGCCCGTCGTCAACTCATCAACCTCCCTAGACCTGCCCCTCCCCGGTCAAGGCCACCTACAGACAGCACATTACCTGTTGTACTCCTTTCAACCCCGCCATATCCCATCGACGTCCTCGCATCGTCGCCAACACGTGCGATTTCAGCTTCCGCTTTTCGAACGAACGACCGAATCTACCTACCTCCGACACCCTTCGGCTACCAAATTCCGACACCGGGACCATACATCGCAAGGGCGCCTGAGCTGTTGCGACCGTTCGAGATGCCATGTGAGTCTCATTTGTGCGCCTGGGGGCAAACTTCAACGGGAATCGATTGTGTCCCAGTCTTGCATGGCGCTTGTGAAGCTTGCAGCAATTTTAGCAAGCTAAAAGAAGAACTTCTGCATAGCTGTGTTAGCTTTTATGGGCTTTGTTCTTCACATGGAGAGCTAGCAGACCATTTACAAGCTCAATTGCACTCCTGATCTCGTTGACAGGTGATATCAACATCTGACCGAAGTGATGGAGATGAGACCATAGTTCAGGACTGTTTGCGTTGTTTTGCCCCCATGCGATGCTCGCAAAGGTTGCTTTATCTTATGGCTTGCGCTAACTTAGAAAACAGACCTTGTCGAGGATTCCTGGATTAACGACCAGGCTTCGTATGTGCTTTTGCGACTCGCTCTCTCGCAGACAACAATGCTAACCGAAAGCCATGTAGCACGCACGATATCTCCGAGCTTCAAGGATGCGCCATCGCTGTTGATGCAACCTATTACCTCGCTCAGCTCCTCGAGACACCTCCTGCCCATGAACCTCTGTTGTCAGCGTTAGGCGGCCTTACTGGGGTCGAGGCGCACATAAAACAGAACCTTGATCTATGGGCGAAATTCGAGATTGTTCCTTTCTTTGTTTTCGACGGCCAGTCCGTGACCGGTCAGGATGACATCACCTTGAACCGCGCCCTCAAGGCCAACAAGAAGACAGATGAGGCCTGGAAGTTGTACTCTGAGGGGGCCGCTGAGGAGGCGGTGTCAACTTTTGGTACCAGTCCAGGTGGGTGAACATCAGCTCTCAGTATTACGATCAACCTAACGTGAGACCATGGCAGGCGCTTTTCGCATTCAGAACCTCTACCCATTGCTTAAAACAGTTCTCAAGGACCGCGAGCTTCACTTCTTGGTTGCGCCCTACGCTGCATGCGCCCAGGTACGTTACTCGAAAGGACTCAATTGGCACTTTTGTTCTAACAGAAACAGCTTGCTTACTTTGAGATGGTCGATTCAGACCAGTGCTCAGGCGTGATGGGTTCTCAGGAGCTTCTTCTGTATCCCGTCAAGGACTCTGTCATCCGATCGTTCGACTGGGAGGCCAAGACCGTCACTGCAGTTTCCAAGAAGAAGGTCATGCGCAGCCTCACGCCCACTGCTAGCGAGCCTAGGTTCATTGACTCGTTTTTGATGGCCGGCACATCTTTTCTGCCCCCTTTCCCTGCTCTGCTGGATGGCTCAATGTACTCGGACTACAACATCTCAACTGCTGCTAATCTGTTGAGGACTGCGGAGAACAGCGTCGCCACTGCCTGCGCCAGCTTTAACGATATACTGCAAAGCAATGATGCTGACTGGCTTGACAAGTACCGCAAGGCAAGAATGGTCGTTCATCACTTTGTTTACATCGCTGAGAGCGGTGAGATCCGTGTCAACGACTATGAACATCTGACTAGCGACAACCACGAGTACCTGGGTCTCCAGCTCCCAGCTGAACTATTCCACTATCTCAACATCGGCTTGGTCGGACCTCGCCTGCTGGGTAATATCACTCACGGACAAGTCCTCATCCAGCCGACTTTGGACGGAGTCGCCTCGGATGAGTACAAGAAGTTAGTCACCGACATAATAGTGCCTATCAAAGAACAGGCTCTTTCTCTGTTGATTCCCAGACTCCACCGCGGTATTCAACACAAGAACATCAAGGTGCGCGTCTGGTTTGATTCTAAATACTCATACAGTATCAACCACCGCTCTGTCAATCCTCCCCCATCATCAAAGGTTGCATCCTGGAATGTCAAGGACGATGATCTTCATGAGATTTTCCCAGAAGGGTTTGCAGGCCCTGTGATGCTGGAAGTTTTGTCTCTCGTTAACTCCGATTTTGTGGCAAAGACATTCTCTCATGGGTCCATCAAGGGAATTGACAGCACAGACATGGTGACTTCAGTGGCCATTTGGCGATTCCTTCATTTGAGAGGGTATGCTGATGATAAACACCGACTAACACAGTGGGGTAATGCTTTGGCAACCACCCTCATCAGCCTTCAGGATGTTGAAACGGCCAATCCTGAGGTGACTGGCCTGTCAGAAGCAGCCCTGCTCGCTTTCGAATTGATCCGAAGTGGCCTTTTGACAGGGAAACACACTGAAGGTCAGGCGGGTTTGCCCCGCAAGGGTTCCTATGAGGAAAAGGCATCCCTCGTGCTGATCAGCGAGTGTGCGTCATTGTTGAAGCTTCGACATCAAGTCTACGGCTACACTGGTCCTCTTAACAAGAACCTTCTGAGCTTCTGGTCCATGGCTTCAGCAGTTAGGGAAGCTGATCGTGATCTGATTGAAGCTATTGTGGCATCGATGTTCTTGTATGGACAGTCGAAACGAGAAAGGGATGATGAGCTGGATATTAGTCGACGGTAAGATTTCTCTTTGTCTCTCGCAATACACAGTACTAACTTCATGGCAGTCTGCCTTTCCAGCAGGAGCCTGATATCGGCCTCGGCATTGCTATACGGACTTTCTTTGACGAAGATGAGGCTAGTGAGGACAAGGAGGGTCGATTACAGCGACTGGAGGAGTTCCCTAAGACATTCGTGCCCTTCGCCGAGTCTTTGACTGAGGACTTCCGAGTTGTGCGTGACTTCATCGACGCACTGGCTAATGGCGTGCAACTGCTGGGCGCGGACGAACTACGGGAGGAGGACAAGGACGTTTGGACAAAGGCGCAGACGTACCTTGCAGCGCGACCTTTCTAAAGCATGACTTCAACTTGAGGCAAATCTATGGCAGGTGTTACATTATAGTCATGCTTGAATGTGGCCTCATCTGGGCCCATACCGTCATGAAGACTTAGAGGCATTGGCGCAGGCGGCAAAAAGGTCAGGGACATAAAAGTTATCACATTAGCAGAGGTGTCGAATGAGTTGCCCGCAGGACTTCTGGGGATGAAAGTGGTGACCAGGGGACGTCGGAGCGCTGCGTGCGGCAACATGCTATATGTAAGGCGGCTTCAAATGCCGTTGATCAAGCATACGAGATATTCAAGCAGATATAGCCAAGCTGTTCCTCAGCATGCGTACTATATCAAAGATAGGAATATCGCGTGCATGGCTCAGACTATATCAAGTTATTTTAGATGTGATGTGAACATTTGCCCAGGGGTCACGTTACATGCGATGGCTTTACAGCGAGCGACCTGTGAGTGACTAGCAATTATATTGACTCGAGCTAAGCAGCCCCTTTGTCTAGATTTAAACTAATATTATCATAACACCGTTACCAACACAACACTTCGTAACCATCTCTCTAAGAGAGAGTCAGGACCATGGGCCCGGCCATGGTAATATCATCAGACAAAAGACCCTCAATAGGCCCAGCGCTGGTCAATGTGACATAAACAATACCAGCAGCGCCCTGAGGAACCTCACAGCCTTCTCCCTCGGTGAACGCGGTGAACTTGGTTCCTCCGGGGAGAAGACCGCCAGAGGTGAAGCCGCAGAACTTCGCACCAGCTGCGGCTTCAGAAGCGAGCTTCACCTTGGTTCCAATGGCGACAGCCTTGGCATCCTGGCCCTCTGCCATGGCCAGAGCGGGGAATGCTTCGATCTTGAGGTTGGACCCTTCGGGGCACGCCTTAATGAAGGGCGCGGCAAGGGAGAAGACGGCTCGGGGACCGAGAGGTGTGTCCAAGGGCTGGGGAACGGCCTTGGCCTGAGAGAAGACTCGGATGGCAGTTTGATGGCGGGCTTCGACGGTGAGAATTGCTCCGGCGGTGCCCAGAACACCGGGGTCCGAGAGTAGTGGTGCGGCGCCGAGGTAGGCTGATACACCCACGCTCTCGAGGATAGCAGCCGTGGCAACCATGGCAGCGGGATCGGCAGTGGCTCCTCCAAAGTCGTATGTGCACTCCTCAACGGGTGTGAAGCCGGCACCGGCGAGGGCGGACTGGAGGAGAACCACGTGAGAGGCCTCGGTCTTACCAATGGCCTTGATATCTGCGAGTGTGCTGTCCGAGAGGCCAAGGGGAGCGAACTGCTCATCCGAGATGGTGAGGAAGGCCTCGCGGTAGAATGTATCCTCGAGATGTTCCAGTGTCAAGGCGCTGTAACATGTGTCAGTAAGTTGTTGCGAGTTATCGAGCTGGGAGAACTTACAATTGGAGGATATCGAAATCGTTGAGACCAGCTGCAGCCGCAGCATCGTTCTGACGCCTGGAGAGATCGTGGTATTGGAGTTGGCGTTTGGTAAATCTAGGGCCAGAGGGAACCGCCAATGCCGTGCTGGCAAAGAGGCCGAAGAGAATAGTCTTAATAGAAGCCATCGTATATATATGTGTCGTAAAAGTGAGGGAACGTGTCGGACCAGCCAGCAAGGAGAGTGAGTAATGAAGGAGTATTAAAATAGAGAATATATATGTAGGTATATAGGTCTCTGGATTGAAGAATCGAAGGGTAGTTGAAGATAAATTATCAAAAGCAGGCCAGCGCTTATTGAACGAGTGAGTAGAAACGAAATGGACAAAACTGTCTTGTTGTAGTGTAAGTCAAGTCAAGTCGGATCGTAAAACATTTTGGAGGCGGATACCACGAGCTTTAATATCCCAACAGCAACACACAAACACCAGGATAATCATCTCGACTTTTCGCTTTTCACCCTTGCGACAGCTTCCCAGCGGCATGCACAGCATCCGTCCAAGCCTAGGGGCTCCTCCAAGCAAGGCCCTTCTCATTGGCGCCAAGAGAGGGTGATGTACAGGAAGTCTAGATAGCCGTGTTTGAACATGATTCCCCTTCAAACGTTTCCGTGTCCGCCCAGTGCGCTTAGCCGCTTACGATAAATCCGGGATGGAGAATCTGTAGATCTGAGACGTCAAACGGTGAAGGCTGAAACAGTCCCGAGATATTGGCCATGTGGTATATCTCGAATGTAACTCTGTAGCCAAGAGGATGAAACGCTGCCCCGAGAGGTCCCCCTCATTATTTGTTCCTTATAAGCCCTACTCGGTCCGGTCACCGCCCGAAACGCACATGATACGTATAAATCCCTGCAAATAAGCTTAAGAGTTTAATAACTAGTTGAATATTAACGTTATTTGAGATGCTTCATTAAGCAAGTGCTAAGGAATATGTGAGATACAATTGATAGTTACCGTTAATCAAGACAAGGCCAAGGCGGCTAGTCAGTAACCGGCAATCAAAAAGGAAATTCCATCAGCCGTTGAAACTATTAAGGATAACCTTAATTCACATAGCATGGTCAATACCTCAGCCTAAAGACTTCTCGTCACATAAACAAAAATGGAGTTGGCCAAGAACAGCAGGACACCAAGCATCAAGCACAAAAGACCATGAATCGTATATGCCTCGAGCAAAGAGCAAATGATGAAATTACCTCCGCTATGTCTCCATCCCGTACTACCTCCCTAAAAGTCCAACTCCTTCTGACAGTCTTCTTCGTCGCTGACAATACTCATCGTACTATGATAGATATAACCTTTAACCTGATCCTTGACTAATCAGCCTAGGCTTCAAACCTCCTCCTACATTGTCCTCATTACAATCGCCAGCTAACTTTTATTGCTCATTTTACAGAGCATAAGGGTTCAGAGATCGGATGGTCAGGCAACTACATTTTCGGTTAGCACATATTCCTTTTCTTGTCAACAAATGTAACTTACGGTGGGCTCTTGGTGAGGTCAGTCTTCAGAATCACCGGCACCCTCTGCATCTCAGTCACATCCTGAATATAGTCTCCGCCCTCCTCGCGCAGCGAGAAGAGCTTGAGGTACTTCTCCTTGTTGCTGAGACGAGTCTCAACAGACTCCGCAACAGGCACCTTGGAGTCGGAACGGGTGCGGTGGAGGTTGCCAGCGTTGGATGAAGATCGAGCTGGTGAGCCAGGAACGCTCTGGGTAGGGCGTTCGGCCAATGAGGCTCCAGCCATGGCCTCAGTCACATCCGAGTTGTTATCGTCATCATCGTCGAAGAGCGCGTCGACATCATCGGTAGAGATAGTGCCGGTGTCGGTTTGCTTACGGGTAGCCTCCTCGCGCTCCTTTCGGACACGTTCAGCCTCCTCAGCCTGGCGCTGAGCGGCGATAGCGTTCGAGTGTCGGATGGATGCGGCGGCCTTAGGTCGCTCATCCTCAGGCACGAACGCCGAGCTGGTAACACCCTTCTCCCAGTAAAGCTCAAGAACACGCTTCTCCTTTCGGAACTCAGCCTTCTTCAAAGGAAGCTGATCGCAGTGAACTCGCTTTTCGAATCCCCATTCAGGGATGAGTACGTCGAACGCCGATTCGTACACGCACAGAACGATACCCTCGGCAATAAGATCGCCGTTGGCCTCCTGACGCTTCTTGTCCATTGTCCTGCAAGACTCAATGTGAACGCTCTGCTCCTGAGCGTTCTGGGCAGAATCCTTCTTGGTGTTGCAAGACTCGGCTGTCTTGACCAAGTTCTCCAAGTCATCAGTAAACTCAATCTTGCCCTCAGACAGGACAGCCTCCAGTTGACGGTGGACAATGATGTCGGCGTAACGTCGGGTGGGGTTGGTAAAGTGAGTGTACAAGGGGAGGTTTAGAGCATAGTGAGGCCATACTTGCTTGCTAGTCTTTCCTGAAATGAAATACTTGGCTCGCTGCATGGACTTGACGACAAGCGTCTCCATACCCTTTCGTAGATCGGGATCGTCAACCTTGAAGAGGCTGTTCTGGAGAGCGCCGCTGCCGGATGAATCGATGTCGTAACCAAGTGCGGTCATACGCTCAACGAAAGTCTGGAGTCGGCGAGGGTTAGGGGCCGACTGGCGTCGCAGGAAGGCCTTTTCAGGAAGTCCCTCAACCAGGCGCTGTGCCACATGAGCGTTGGCCTTGTGAATCAACTCTTCCACAAGCTCGAGGGCCTGAGTTGAGTCAAACAAGTTGTCTTGAACAGGGTCGTTCTCATCGTCAAGTTGCTGCAGCAGCCTGAGAGGAGCGATTGGCTCGCCGCCTGCGCCAAGACGGTTTTCGCGGAACTTTTGCGAAACAGCGTTGAGGATCTGGATGGTGTTGACAGGAACTGCTGAGTTTTTGTACTCTGAAGGGTTGGTAAGAGCATCGTCGATATCATCGAGAGAAACCTTGCCAGCACTCTTGACAATAGAACGGCCAACCCAAGCGTCACCTTCCGCGACAGATCCGGTGTGGGGGTTCACACTGAAGACGACCGACACAGCAAGTCGATCCTGTTCGGGAGTCAAAGAGCAAACCTCGGTGGACAGCTTAGGAGGCAACAATGCGCAGAAGCGGTTCTTGAGCTGAACGGAAGTACCTCGCTTCTTAGCCTCACGATCCACAAGGGAGTTGGGCTTGACAAAGTGAGCAATGTCAGCAACGTGAACACCGATCTCAATCTTGCCATCGGAACGAGACTTGACATGGACGGCATTGCCGAGCTCAGCGCCTCCGTTGTAGTCAATTGTGAAGGTAGTTTCATCGCGGTAATCACGACGCTCAGCAATGGCAGCCTCATCCTCCTTCTCAAGAGACCAGTCCTGAAGACCGACGCTACGAAGGACGGCATCAGAAAACTCGTCCGAAGCAAAGTTGTTGTCGCGGAGGAGAGCATCGGTCTCAACCTTAAGATCACCCATACGTCCAAGCTGCTCAACAAGGGTTCCGAAGGGGTGGAGCGAAGTGATGGGCCAGCGCTTTATGCAGGCCACAAAGATTCGATCCGCATAGTCCTGGTGCTTCTCGACAAAGTCGCGGGGGGCTTGCTCAGTGGGGATAGCAATAAGGGGTACACGCTTGTCGGTAGGCTTGAACCAAACAATCTTGGGCTTCTCCTGCTGGCGAGGCTCGGGGTGGCGAGAGTTGCTGCCTTCACGGGCAGCCCTCTCAGCCTCCTGCTTCTCTTTGGTAGCTTGACTGCTGGGGCGGAGCAGGCCGAGAGTACCGGAAAACATTTGACCAGCAACACGCTCAACGACGGCGACAACATGGCCGGCGTACAAAGGCTTCTGCTCGTCGTTGATTTCCTCCTCTTCAACAAGGAGGAGACTCTGGCCCTCAACTTCAACGTCATCGTTCTTCTTTTGGGTAGGGCGCTGGCGCAAACTACCACGACGGCGGAGTCCACCCTCAGGAGGGTTGCTGTCGTTGTTGTTGCCCGAGTTTTGGTTACCTTGATTGGTGGATCCAGATCGGGTATCAGTGATATCCTTGCGCTTCTTCTTCTCCTCCTTCTCGCGCTTCTGGCCCCAAACTTCATCAACATCCAGAAGCTCGATGGCAACCAGATCGCCCTCAAGAGCACGGTTTCGGTCCTTGCTACCGCAGATAAAGATATCAGCATCAAGGAGGCCATCCTGGGTGGTGACATAAGCATCGCTACGGTTCTTCTTGTTGACACGGAGGATGCCGGAAACGAGCTGGCCATCAGCCAGAAGAGCAGGGAGAGAAGCCTGAGGAAGATAAGGTGTGAAAAGGGTCTTGCGCTGCTGTTGCTGCTGCTGACCACCCATCTGACCAGCATGCTGGGAGCCCTGGAGACCCATGAATTGCTGACCGTTCATCTGGGCGGCTTGCAAAGCCTGCAACTGGTTCAGCTGCATAGGGTTGAGCTGCTGTCCGTACATCTGGGGCATCATCATCTGGTTGGGCATCTGCATGACTTGAGGCTGGCCAGGGTTAAACTGGAAACCTCCCATGGCAGAGACGGATTGGCTCATGGATCCGCGAGATCGATGACCAGGCTGGAAACCTTGGTTCTGCCCAGCGTTGCTAGGCTGATCCTGGCCCTGAGTCTGAGTACGCCAGTTACCTTCAAAGTTGCGAGATCCGCTGCGAGCGTGGCCGCTACCGCGGCGCTGAAATTCGTTACTCTCAGCGTTCAAGCCACGGCCACCACCTCGTCCATTGACAGCCATGCTTTGGCTGCGACCATGACCACCACGCCCACCGCGGGTAGATCCCTGAGCAACAGGGACATCAAGGGCACCGCCAGAAGAGGCCTTGTTCTCATCACCAGGGGCAGGAGAGGCGGGGAATGAGAAGTCATTGGTGGTTCGCTTCTGTTGGGCGATTTCGGCAGCCTTCTTGGCGTCGGCGAGGGCCAGAGAATGTCTTCTCTGATGACCTCCGCCGGCAGGACCACCACGACCGCCCCGGCCTCCAGTGTTCTCGCGTTGAGCTTGAGGGGCTTCGAAGTTGCCGAAGCCAGATGCAGCAGCGCCAGAGGAAGGCGCGGGGGGGGGTCCCATGCCCATGTTGGGGAGTGCCGACTGATTACGGCGATGTGAGAGTGGCTGAGTAGGAGGAGCCATGTTCTGCTGAGGCACCTGGTTGGGGAACTGGAAAGCAGCTTGCGACATATTGGGCATTGGCTGCAAAGGATTGAACGCACCACCGGGGCCGATGGGCTGTCCCGGAGGCACCATTCCCATGTTCACATATTGCTGATGCGTAGCTTGAATCTGCTGTTGCTGTTGCTGCAACAGCTCAATCTGCTGCTGAATGGCAAGCTGCTCCACTAGACAGCAATGTTAGTACATTGACAACGTGGCGACTTAGTGGGCTACGATAGGGGCATCGTGTCTGTCATGGTTGTCAAAGCATAGAACAATTACATGACAGCTGCAAATCAAAAGACGAAGCTTTCGATAACGTTGCAGTACAATACATATAGACAACAATAGAGGCGGTATAGTTGAGGAATCGTGGACTTACTTCCAGGGTTAGCAAACATGCTCATGAGTGGTGTCAGCTCAGAAGGGCTTCGGCGATGGGCAATATGAAGTCTGCGCCCAGTAGGCCCAGGGACGCCGCCAACCTGGGGCTGCTGCTGAGGAGCTTGCTGTTGGGATTGTTGCTGCTGCTGTTGCTGCGGCTGCTGCGGGGGTTGCTGTTGCTGTTGCTCCATGTTGGGCAGTTAAGAGCACTTGGAGTGTAAATGTAGCACGTCGAAGTTCGTGGAGGATGTGTATCAAGATACAGCTAGTTGGATCTGATGTCGAAAAGCGTGGTGTAAGCCGAGGATGGGCGGAATGAGGATAGTGTGAACCTGTTGGATAACGGGCAACGGATGAGGCGAATTGCGATGGCGAATGGCGATGGCACGGCGGGACAATGTTTGCCCAAAAGGAGGGTAGACGAGCTTGCGCTGGGCCAAGGAGCGTGATTTGGAAAGGCGGCGATGAAGAGGTTGATGATGAGACGACTAGAAGTGAAAGCCTGGATGAATGGAACAAGATTCCAACTCCTGGCAAGAGGAAGAGAGACGAAGGTAGGTAATGGAGGAGAAGAGGAACAGGAGGGATGGGATGAAGAGAGGATGGGTGGATAGATAGAGATAGTTTAGCTTCAATCAGGTGGAGAGCAAGTGAAGTGGGATAGGTAGGTACGACTGAGGTTGTACCTTCTGGGCTAAATTTACTCTACCTCGACACGGTAGGTAGGGTCGCCATGTACCTTCCCTGCAGCAAACGGGCAGCTACTGCTGTCCTTCTCGTACCGCTGTGGTCAGGTCTCTCTCTAGAACCTCTCCAGTCCAGAGCCAGGCTAGCCCAACTTTTGGAGGGGGGCAAAACACATGAATCTGGGTCCATCACCAGCTTAGGTGCTTTCCATGGCGTCCGGGCAGCTGGACCGGGGGATTGGCCTTGAAGCCGCCTAAAGATGGGGTTGGCCGCTGGTCTAACGTAGCTCTAGCAGAAGCCCCCCGAGAGCCCCTAGCACCCTAGCACCTGAAGCTCGCACTGACGCCGGCTGACTCCGCTAATAGCGGGGGTGCTATCTCCTAGGTAAAGACCTAGCCATGGATGAATGTGGATGGCTGCAGACTGCGGGCAGACTGCAGACAGCTGGCACGGCTGAAACTACCAGACTCCTTTCAAGACTTTAACCTTAATCAGATATATCAAAATATGTTGCTATTACTTCAATTCACCAACTTATGAGGATGCAAAAGCATTCAAACTCGTTTTGATGTGTTTCCCCCGAACAAAGCTGGCCACTTTAGCTCACAGGCAAGGGTGATAAGACGTACAGTACTACCACCCCAGCTTAAGATTGGCCGTGCTCCATGATTCAAGGAGACGATCTTTCTCGTTGTGGCGTCGAGGGATGAAGAAGGGCGTCATCAGGAGCAAGCAAAGTGAAACTCGATAAACAGAAAAGGTCACTATTCAAATTTGCAGTGAGACAGTATCGTACTCGTCGTGGAACATATCGCGATACTCAATCACGACTCTTATTCAAGCTGGTTGATACATATATACGGGCAGCTGTGGCTGCACTATGATGCATGGGAATACTAGCTGAGCTGTCCAAGCTGACGCCGTTTCCTCTCCCCTGGATGACCCAAGCTTCAACGCCCCCAGACAAACTCATCCCAAGCCATCTCACCTTTGGTACATGTCTTCTTTAAGGTACGTTTTACACCTCAGTCGTCCAGAATTACCGATATCATCAAACAACGTCGAAACTGGCTCCCTCCCTTGGATGAAAACCCTTGAGGTCAGGCATTTGTATTCCCTTCATTTACGCGTCCACTGTCACACTTTCAAAGCCCCCCGGGCCTCTTAAACTAACAAGGCCCCTGTGATTGATCCAAGTGGTGATGTTTAACCGTATCCGCCTACGCTAGGGGCGACGAGCCCCCTGCTTCACGCCATGGTATGGATGCACGACCGTAGGGGGTCACAATATGTTGGACGTAAGAAATCAGCTGCAAGATATTATATTATTCCACGATATAATAATTGTATTTACTATATTTTAATGCGAGTTTAAATCTTCAACGTAATTTATACTGATATATGTGACAACCTATTTGAATAGGAAACAATTACTCTTAATATGTTTACCATTACAAAGTTGTACGAATGGGTAATGGTATATGGAGTCTCGCGTCCCTACGTCTGTGTCCCCCCTGAGGGGAGAATCAAACCTCCCAAAGCTCAGGTCTCCCTGCGACTCATGGTCGAGCTTCGCACGCTTTGATAAAGCAAGCATGGAAGAGAACCAGGAAATCCGTGTGCCAAACGTCATCGAGGGGCAGTTCATCACATCACTGACGCAAATATGGTGGGCTTACATTCGCTGAGTGATCTCATCAACATTCCATCATTTCTTTTGCTGCGGTCTGTCATTAATCACTTTGAGTATCCGTACTAACATTTAGATATATCCATATCAAAGCCGAAATACCTTAAAGCGGCCGACAAAAAAGATTAGCTAATTGTCTTCTACTATGTTTCAAATGGGGGGAAACAACCCTTAATTTATTCATTTAAAAACAACCTGACATTGATATACTTTCCTTGGTTGGGTATCAGTGATGGATCAGGAACTGACAGAGTGTTCTTTCAGTCGCGTCTTATAAACTCCAGCGCGTTGTCGCGTTCAGGAACAATCTTTGTTTTACTTATAGTAGTTTAAACACGGGCTTTTTTCTAGAGCTAGCAAAGCCCACAAGCTGGTTCTTGTCAAACACGGTCTTGCTCTTACAGCGGGTTGAGGTTGGGATGTGTACGCTTCGCATGTCACACATAGAGTTTCAGAGTGCCTATCAACTTACATGCCCTGTCTAGCAGAGCCATCAACCGATTTGGACTTCTATCATCCAGGACAGCCCAAAAACGGCATCAGTGGCTTTGGTTCACTTTCTACATGCCTCGAATAGAGCTTAATTGAGGCACCTTACACAAATGGTGAGTAACGGCCCGGCCCACGGCAGTGAATCACACCCATGGGTGTTCTAGATTCGAACCACCAAGAATGCAACCCTTCAGTCGGACTACTCCATCGTGCCTCATCTTGTCTCAAAGTTTCGGATCAGCTGCTTCAGTATCGCTTGGCCAAACCAAGGACGACAAGCATCCCCAGATATTTGATTCATGCTGTCTACTTTTGACCCTAAGGCTATGACCACTATCCCCATTGTGGACAGAAGACCGCGCTGTCGGTTGTGTTTCTTATTCGGAGAGAAGTTTCGCGTCTTTGTTTACCTATTCACCCTTTATCAAACAGAAATTTGGCAGTGTCGAAGCCATGTTTCACGACGCCATCTCGAGCTATTCAAACCGAGTATCAATACGTAACCCAAATGCTCTCTGGATTTGTGGCGCAAGCTCCATGTGTGGCTGGTGTCGGGGCTTTGTTCTAGCGGACCGAGATCTGCCAACTTGCATTGGTAAAAGCGACCATGCCATATTCAGTTAAGGCAGCTTTTACACTGCAGTATGTACCCACCTACAATGCTTTGACGGATCGACATCCAGCCTCTTGTAAAGGGCTGCACTATCACAGTTCAAAAACATCATCTTAGGTTCTGTCAACGCCAGTTCAGAACTCAACTTTATATAACATTGGCGCGTCGTCAAGTTCCTTTCTGATACCTTAAAACTCATCTTCGCGATTGAAATTCGAGAATCTCGAGGCCCATTCCAGATGCTATCTCGATAATAGCGAACCGACAGACATTTGCTACCCAACATGACATTCTCCTCGCCAACGAGGCGGAGTCAGTTGCTCTCGAGCCCCGAGCGAAACATTGCCGCGACCTTCCTTCTTGATACACGGAATAATGAGCTGAATCATCGAGATGCTCTGGCGGCAGCTCAATCAGAGCATGATCGCGTTCGTCAAGCGGCTATCCGAGTCTTTGAGCTCCACGAGCTCCAGGAACAGCACAAGCGCATCGTTGCTGAAGAGCGCAAGGAGGAGGAGAGGCTCAAGGCTGAAGCAGCTCTGGTCGCGGAGGAGAAGAGGTTACGGGAACTCAGGGCCACGGTGGTCCCGCAATTACCCCCAGAGCCGGCGCCACAACCACCTCCGGCCAAACCAGAACCTCCAAAGGCAAACGGAGTAACTCCAGTCAAGGATTCGAAGCAGCCCGAGGTATCCACGACGCCTTCAACTGAAGTAAAGAAGCCTGCTCCGGCACCAGCATCTGCTCCCACGAACACTGGGCTCTTTTCTCAAGCCAAACCGAGTAACCCATTTGGTACTACACAACCATCCTCACAGAATCCATTTCAAAAACCAAATGGGCCTACAACACAACCTCCAGCTCCAGCTGCTACAGCGACTCCTCAGCCTACAGTCAAGCCTACTGCGCCAGCCGTACAGCCTGTACAGCCCAGACCGGCTCCCACCATCGACCGATATTCCCAGATCCATCAAGAGCTCAAGAAGCTGCGCAAAGAACTGGCAGCGCAGTCAAAAATCGCTGGCTCACCCCTAAAAGGCAAACTGGGTGCTGCTCGACGAGAAATTCGTGTAGCTATTGGTCAATTGACAGGCGGAAAGGGAGCGAATGCTCAACCTGTAAGTCAACCCCCAGCCTTTTAAGAAAGCCCCTAACATCGTTCAGATCAACAAAATCACTGCAGCCCTAAAAGAGGCTCTGGAAGGTCGAATCCCCAGTCCCCCAATCGACGTCAGCAACTTTGTGGTCGATCAAAGAGAGCCTGTGGAGGGATCTATGAACAACGATGCCACGCTACCCTCGCTCTTCATATATCTCATCAACATCTGCGCCAAGGGTATTGTGAACCAGTTCATCAATGAGGGCGGCGCAAACCCCAAAGCCGCAGACCCTGTTGGTGTCTTTGCGGCCCATATCTTTTCTACCAAGGAGTTCCAATGGCGAGGCCAATCCTTAGTCGACATCCTCATGGCCAAGTATCGCATAGTGTGCCCTGTCCTATTCGGTCACAGGGGCAGTGACAGAACAGAACGTGGTCGTATGGCCATCGGGTGGAAGAAGGATGGGCCGTCGTGGATCACTGAGCAAAGCCATAATGACAGGATGACCGGCTTAGGCGCCGGCTATGCTTCTTTGTCTCTGAGAGACTTTAGCAAATCATCCAAGAAGAACCCTTACCCCCCTACAAACTACTGGAAAGCGCTCTCCTATATCGTCAACTCACCACCCAACGAGACATCAAACACCCAATACGTTGTGCTACGGTCCATGATTCAGGGCCACGAGCAACGCTTCCTTAACTTCTATGGCAACGCAGCATTGGCTGCGTTACGACTCGCGCTTATCGAATTCCCAAAGAAGGCACCTCAGAACGCCACGGCTGCTGGCTCCCTAGCTGCTCTTGCGGATTTACTCAAGACCGAGTCGGGACTGATTTTGGTTTAAGGGCAAGAGGCCTTGTTATACGGAGAAACAAATCATAAATCAAACGAGGAGAGTCGAGGAACGACTGTATAAGGCGTTTGCAGGATTGAACATCGCCCTGTCATTGCAAGATGTCCTATCACAAGGCATAAACGACTGGGTGATACGGCATGTGTTTGATGAACTTTTTAGATTATAAAATGCTGTTGGAGTAGACAATGGCACTGTTGCTCTCTATCTATATTCTAGTGTACAGATTTAAACAGAAAAAAATAAAGAAATTCCCGGTCGATGCGTGTTAGCAGTCGTAAAAGTAGTTTCCCAACCTAAACTCCTATTTCCCAGATATAATAGTGTCGTAAATGCTCTTAACAAAGGAGCTTGTACATCCATTTCTTAGTCCCCATTAAACATGCATTATATGATCAGGAGGAGGACCAGGAGCACAATGAGAACAAATATGAGGACAGCTATACAACAGCTGCTGTAGCGATCCTCGTTCTGCCGCATCACATGCCCCAGCTTCTGCACACCTACCGCCAACCGGCTCTGGACGCGATCGGCTATATTATCCACATCCTCCAGCATCTCACGCTGCTCCTCGAGCTCCCTTCCCATATCATCCGCCTGCCGGCGCAGGTTGCCCACTGTCTGAAACACGCCGTCTAGATGCTGATCCTGCTCGTGCATTATTTCCATCTGCTGCTGTTGCTCGAACTCAGCGTAGTTATCGTCACCATCGCCGTCAATGGCAAACGCATTCGGGTCGGGCAGGTCGCTCGCGTCCACCCTCTTGGCAAGCTCATCGTGCATGTCGTCAATCTCGCCGCCAACTTCTTGAACCAGGCGCTTTCGGCGCGTGACCTCGTGGGCTGAGAGGCCGAATTGCGCAGGTTCAGATTCGACGGCTTGAACGGACGCGACAAGGTCGGCTAGGTCGTCGGCAAGGGATGACAAGGCGCTCTCGAGCTCTGAGCGAGCTGAGGCAAGTTCGGGCGAGCTAGCATTTGTGGACAAGGAGCGAATTCGGAGATATGAGGCGAATAGAGGCCGGGTGGTGGCCATTTGGTTGAGGACATCTCTGCGTGGTGGTTAGTATCAATAGCCAGACAATGCGATAAGGGTGAAGCCGCACTGTTGGACCTGGAGGAAGGGATCCTCATCGTTGGTGGAGGACATCATCCTGACAGTGGTGAAGAAACCATGCGCATCAACAGCGATGCGCTACAATTCAGTATGACTTTGCGATAATGTGAAAAAGGAATGAAGCCAGGTGTTTCAAAGTACCGTATCTCGGAAGGCTGCGACATTGGAGGTTCGAGAGATGACGTTGCATGGACCCTGCAGGTGAGCTTACCCGGAGCCCTCGGTGAGAGTTTACCGGTACGTACCGCTTTACCTCACACCGAGGACTCACCTACAAATTCTATTCGCACACCAAAATCCAAGAAACGATGGATGTGGCTGGTAACTCTGTGAGGACTTGGCCAACTCCATATCCTTGAGAGGCTTTCATGCCGGATCTAAATCACTATTCCTTACAAATTGAGACCCCGAAGCTTTTGTCGATTTATCTGGCTCCCTTCTTCAGCTGCACGAACAAGACCCCTCACCAAATTAAAACACCAAAACTTGTAGCCGCCCGTTTTCAAATAGTCAACATCTATACACCAAAATTCGAAAGTGGATATAAATTGCGGTATACACAATAAATACCAACATCCGTAAGCATACAAAACATAACTCTTGCTAGTTCTTAACTCCTGACCAACAATGCTCCAGGGTAACTCACACAAACACAAATCCAAGATGATACCTCAGAAACCATTGCCTTTCAATGGCGACTTCTCGTCACCAGACGAGTACATTGATGAACTTCTCAAGTTTGTTCAAACGTCTGAGACCTTTCAGATTCTTTGTGGTGGCGTCCATATTCTGGACTTTTTCACCATCGAGCCTGGTCTGTTTCATTATGCCATACCTAAAGAATGGCATCCATTTATTCTTGAGTGCAGTCTCATGGAGTTCCTGGATCTCCTCATGCGAGATGATCTAGACAACCTCAAGTTTGAAAGAGAAAAGCCACCTGCGAGTCTCATTGATTACATTCGAACAGTCCGGAACATTTCACTTGGCCGGTCATTTGCTCCTCCTTCAGAGAAACTGCCCGTTCTGCCACGCTCAGTCGCTATTGGGATGAATGTTAAAAAGACTCACGAAGTCAGCAACTTTGCTGACTACCTTGCTCGGCTTTCAGACGATATCAGTGAGCAATACGGTAACGAAATATCACACTACGTTGACTTTGGAAGCGGCCAGAACTATCTTGGTCGAGCCATGGCAAGTGAGCCCTATAACCGGCATGTAGTAGCTGTCGAAGGACGAGAGAACAATGTTACGGCAGCGAAAGGGCTTGACATGTCTTCCGGCTTGGCTGTCAAGCCAAAGGTCATGAGAAACAAGAAATTATGGGCAAAGATTTTGGAAGCACGAGGTCCCGAGGGTCAAGACGACCCGGAAGCGTTGGCCAAGGCTGTCCGTGAGGTGGCAGGAGATGAAGCATTCGAGTTCAGGCCCGTCAAGGAACTCGAAGGAGAGTACACAGTAGAACAAGGCAAGGGCTCTGTTCAGTATATCTCAGGTCGACTGGACAGTGGTGATCTAGGCGATGTGATTGCCCAGATCAATACTGAGAATGAGTCTCCGACCGAAAAGAAGGATCTGAGCTTGATGGCCATGTCTATCCACTCTTGCGGGAACCTGTCACACTTTGGAATCCGCTCTCTGGTTCTCAACCCAGATATTCGAGCAGTGGCTATTGTTGGATGCTGCTACAACTTGATGACCGAGAAACTTGGCCCGCCAACCTACAAGCATGCTTTCTTGAGGCCAACCCTTCAGGCTGTCAATGGCAGACTCTCTCGGGAATCAGAAAAGCACGACCCACAAGGATTTCCGATGAGCCAGAAATTTTCAACTTACGAGGGAGATGGTGTACGATTGAACATCACGGCTCGCATGATGGCTTGTCAGGCGCCGCAAAACTGGACCGAGAAGGAGAGCGCAGGATTCTTCTCACGACACTTTTATAGGGCAGTTTTGCAGAAGATATTTCTTGACCGAGGCGTGGTAAAGAAAGTGCGGCACACAGACGACCAAGGAAAGCCCCAAGAGTCTACTGCAGCCTCCGATAAGGATGACAGCGAAAGCCCCTTTAACATCAGCACCAATCCTGTTATTATTGGATCACTCCGAAAGGCCTGCTACGGATCGTTCAAGTCGTATGTCCGCGGAGCAGTGGAGAAACTCACGACCAACAACGATTACAAGCAGTACGCCGAAGTGATGCAGGAGAAGATGGGCGGTATGACAGACGAAGAGATCGAGCGATACGAGGCTCTGTATTTGCCACGAAAGAAGGAGCTATGCGCTGTCTGGAGTCTCATGGCATTCAGCGCTATGGCAGTTGAATCGCTCATTGTGTCGGACCGGTGGACGTTTCTTCAAGAACACGACGATCTTGTCCGTCATGCGTGGGTCGAGACGGTGTTTGACTATGAACAAAGCCCAAGAAACTTGGTTGTTGTAGGAGTCAAGGCTTAAGCGATAATTAAACTTTCAGCTAGGTCGTAACAGGAATGAATTGAGTTGTGCTCCAGTACGTGATGCTGGAGTGCAGCGTTCGACCTTTCCCACATTCTTGTATCCTTAGAGGCCTAACCAATAGACATGTCCAGTTGTGATACCAAAGTTCCGAGGTCAGACTTTGCTGAAAAGGTATGGAACAAACTCTCTTTGCTTTTTGGCATCGGCAGAGCGGGAGAGCAACGTTGGCAACGTCGGCTAAGGCGGTTATTGGATGCATGCTGGGCGTGGCTGGCTCCCCAGACAAGCGATGTCATGCATGAACCCCCATCCACTTTCTCCTCGACACTCCATGTCATTGTTGGAAGCTGGTGACAGGACAGGAAGTACATACGCTGATCAGCGGCGTAGAACAGAACGGCCAACGCCACGGCTTTAGGAAATTTGTTATTCCGAGTGACATACCAATATCTTATGCTCTCCAATCCATGGTTCTGCTTTCAACAACATTCTAATTTGCATTACGATACCATGAGGTGTCACTCCCAGATCCCGGGAGCCTTTATCACAGCCCACTTGCGGATTGCTACATACGCAGCGTTTCGTCCCACAAGAAGCGGGACGAATACCCCTCTTCACTGATAGGCGTTAATATGGACATGCATTTTTAAGGACTGCCGACGATAACCAGCTGTGATACGTAGGGCCTCGTTTGATAAGTAGTGACCTGGCAGAATCATGGGTTGCCCCTGCAAGCACATTGTTCGGCAGTCTAATGTCGAAATCGGCTGGTCAATTTCGTCATAAACCCCTCGGTCAGAAGTGACGACGTGACATAGGCTGCGTCACTCGTAGCGGAGCAGTCGGATAGGTAGGCAGAACTATGCAACGATAATGATATGCCAGCAGAAGGTCATGCCGTGAATCACGGGCTCATGGTGCCATACAAAAGCCATTGACAAGCACAAGCGCAACAAGGGGATTAGAAGCCACCAGGTCCAGGGCCTCTAAAATCTGGAGCATGGTGCGTGCGCCCGCTGTAACGGCAACTGTTGTGGGGTAACTAGGATTCACATCACCCGACCCCGACCCGGACGGTAGCATATTAATCAGAAAGTAGGATCTTGAGAAGCTGTGTTGTCGTCAACATACCGAGGTGAGATACAGTAGTTTGATGATGACCGAGCTTAGACGCCTGCAGAGGGGGAGGGTCATACCGACTGCCTTGTTTCCAAGTATGATTGGCAACGATCCATTGATTGATTTCTGTATTGGGTTTCTACAACACGGGATTTGAGGCGTAACTAGTTGAGACGTTCGGGCATCATGTCACTTTCTTGTTGGTGGTGGAAGTGAGGTGGGCTGATAAGGTGGGCTGGTCCAGGGGCAGCTGACATTGGAAGCCCAATTCGTATGCTGTAGTGCGATGCAAATTGAAGTTTGTATGCGAGTTGGCGGCGAAGCCATGGAGGTTATGGAGGTTATTGTCGTCTAGGGCGCACTGATCTAAGATGGGACGTAATGCCATGATACACGAAAGCTGGGGTTTCTGAGATATTTCCGAGAGTGGACAGCCGCAGAATCCTGTAACTAACGCAACTAGGGTTCGTTTGTCGCTGTAATGTAGGTACTGGAAGCAGACGTAGAGAGACTTGACCTGAGCTGGGGATCGCCAAAATGACGAGTCTGAAATGTGACGTCTCCAAGGTGAAGAAAAGGGAAATTTCCAAGTTCTGTGGAAGAGGATGGGCAGGTGATGGTGAAAAAAGGCAAGGCAGGTGGGTGTTGTTCGATAACCAGCACCTTCCACAGACGAGGTGATCTCAGACGCATTGTTTACCTAGAAGGCAAGTGCACCTGTTCTAAGCGAGAGAAGCTTGAAGCTCACCTCATTCACTTCACCAACATACCAACATACCGACATTAGTACCTAGCACTTCTACCGTCATCTCATCACCTTAGCCTGATCAATGGACCCAGGCTCACGGTTCACCTGCTTACTCAATGGAACCACACCACGGAGGAGTTGATCTTGCACTGAAGCCGCAATAACTACGGAACACGTTTGCTAAACTGGACAGGGATTTGGTCAACATCCCCATTGACGCTCTGTTGTACGAAGCTGACAGTGAGGAGTCAATTCAAATCTGATAAGGTATGCGACCTGATACACGACAACCCTCAGCTAAATCCCAACGAAAACTAGTGCGCGGAGGACCTACTGCTGTATAATAGCGTGATGTTGTGATGTTCAGTGGCCGTTGTTCTAAACCTGGCCGCGTTCAAAGACTCTGACCACCTGTCTCACCTTGCACCGCGTCAGGGTCCTTCCTCATCCTGTCCCGATCTCTCCAGCTCAGTCAGGGATGGACGCCGGATGGTATCTCATCCTTGTGCCCTGTCGTGTGCTGTTCCCCCCACGCACCAGCTTCGCTCTAACAAACGCTCTAGGCCCTGGACCTATCAAGATGCCTAGTCTAACTGTCACAAAATTTACCTTCCCATCTCAAGGCTTTCGTTACACCCTCTTCTGGAAGAGGAGATAGGCTCTGGATAATAGACCAGTTATTAGAGAGGGAGAGCATGGTTGTCATGAAGCGTCACAGTACACGATCTCGGCTTCTTTCTGCTTTAAAGCAACTGCCTCAAGCGTTGTAAAAGGCAGCACAATTGGATACTTCGCCCTACTTTCGGTATGCGCTTCTCAAGGCCACGTCGTGAAACTACCTCAGCAGCAACCACGAACGCCATCCGCGCTTTTCGGCCTCTGCCGTACCTTGACAGAACTATTGTGTCCCTGTGCATCGGGCATTGTGTGGAGATCTGCAAGTAGGCAACCTCGAGCAGTTTCCCTGATGCGAGCCTGCCTATCTCCCGTGGAGAGTGTTGATCGTTGTGTGTCAACGCTGCACCCTGGAATATATCAAAGACAACATCGAAATATCACTTACTCAAACCAGGACAAGCTAACAACCAGCTGATGACAGGGGTTCAAAAGCCAAGTCACTGGCACAGAGTTCAGAGTCAGTGTCCTCATAGTGCCAGCAGTCAGAATAACCACCCATGCATAATTATCAACGTCGGTGCCGTCATAGCCTGACTCCGCCAGCTCAACTAGTTCCCAAAATGGCCATGGTACCAGACCTGGACTGAGACGGCAAAACCCTGCCTGCAGGGCTGGGCTCGATCGAGGGACGTGCCCTTCCCGTTTGGTTCTAAGATAGCGAGACTTACAGCGAAGTTACTCTGAGGTAAGATCAGGAAGAGAGTTAATAACGTGGGTTTACCCTTATCGCGCCCTCCATTGTCCGGTCTGGACCTGCATCCAATTATTCCTCGATTTCCCTCATTGCACGTTGTGTTGCGCAACCTTATAAAACTCTTCACACTCGAGTCTTGTTTGCACACTCAGAGCCAAATCAGAGTTTACCGGGTTTACGGACATTGGTCGCCTCTTTGTTTCTTGTTTCTTCTCCAATCTTAGCCCAAACTTTCCAACAAACAGTGAGACGACGAGAAGGCATACTCATGATCGGGTCAAAAACTTGGTTTCAACATCGTATCTACTTATCGCCAGCTTCAATCAGCTCGACTCTGCCGCGGACGACGAGACTGCATTCTGTTCGACCTTGTCTTTCCCAGGCCCCGTAGTACAACGAACCGGAGCCCTCTCAATGCTAGCCGTTCATCATGAACGCCCAGGTATCCTTTCTTGTAAGCGTTACAACTTTATACCTTGATATTATGAGATACTATGGCGCTATTGATAACAACGCTGCCAATCTTATTTTGATTCTAATGTACTTTCTAGGATGGCACCTACACGCTGATCCATATCCCCCTCAGCCTTTACTCGACCTTGCTCCAGCCTATCCTCCGAGTGCTTCTGCCACAGTCTCATGGTGCGGGGGGTTTACGCGACTCACCTGAGTATGAGTTGCAGGGACTCACTTCTGATGGCCAGCATGGCTTCCTCAACATCAGTGTTACCCCCCTGGAGTGCTCGGTTGTGTGCCACACCTCATGGGCTCAGAATGTTTTTGAGCCAGTTCTCAAAACACTTCCGCGCGACGTTGCGAAGAACGTGTCCGTTTCAAAAGAATCTTACATGGTGCTTTCAGTTATCAGCGCTGGAATTGATGCAGGCGGCCGTGTGATGGAATTGACATCTCCGCTGGCTCTTGCTGGCATCCCCATCTTCTTCATCACAACTTACTACTCCGACTTCATTCTAGTCCCGACCAAGGAACGCGAAAACGTGGTTAAGTCTCTCATAGCAAAGGGATTTGAGCTATCCGACAACGAGTCCAACTTCATCACTTCTGCTGCCAATAGTCAAAAACAAGGCATCGGAATGGCCGCATCCTCTCCGCCCCATGAAGGTCTCCCTCTCAATGTTGCTGAACTACAAACACGCATCTTTGGTACACTTAAGAAGAGACATGTGGCTCCTAGTATTGAGGAAGCACTCGAGTTGGTGCAATGCTCTGGTCGTGAAACATCACAGCTTGCAAACTTTACCCATCAACGCCCTTCCATCAGTCGACATGCAACCGGAAACGGTCGTCGACCAAGTTGGGCAGATAACGTTGACACGAAACTATATACATGCATTATCTCAGCACTTGTCTCGCAACCTCGATTCATGTCCGTCACCCTGGCTCAAGACGACCCTCCCTCTCTCTTGCTCGACAAGAACCTACTCGACATCTTTGGCGACTCGCTTGTTGGAGACACCGACGCTTGCCTAGTACCGATTTTCTTAGATCTCAAGACTCTTCCTTTGGAGGCCACGGGTATTGTATGTGGTGTTGCTGGTATTCTTGTACAGGATTCGCAGATTGCGGCAAGCTCAGAGCTGTCATACCTCTCAACAGCGCAAGCAGGTGCTGTGATTCTCTCTGAAGAGCAAGCTGTTAGGGCAATGGGTATTTTGAAACCCTTGCTTAGTGAAGAGCCCTAGTATGCACACTCAACATGAGGTGCATGCGAAGGAGAAGGATGCCATATTGCTGTAAAATAACGAAATGCTCATAAACTGTGAGCATTTAAGGAAAGGCGTAATGGAGGTAGCGTTTGTTTATGCCGAGAAGCCGGGCTGTGAGGCTGATGTGTAGGAGAATAAGTGTTTTCTAGATATTCCATGAATTGGCTGGTTGGGGGCTCGGATTGTTTTTCTGGTTGGCGTTCTCTGGGTACGTGCGTTTGATGTCCATATTGATACCACGATAGTGTAACACTCGTTCGTTGATGCTGTGTACCCGCCTGTGCCACGTTACGTCCACGTGCGAAATCCTTCTTGTCTCTCTCTCTTTCGTATCAGATGGCTCACTTTCCTTTCTTCTTCTCTTGCTTCTCCTCCTTCACCAGCCCGGCCTTGACAAACCCATCCCTTGCCACGGCGTTGATGAGCGCGAACCTTCTAGGCCCCAGCTGAACACCGCCGTACCACCTCGTCACCACCACCATGGCATCCCACACGTCCATGACCTGCATCAGATGCAGCATCCTGCCCCCCGCAGCAGCCTCACCGTCGTCGTCGCAGTCCTGGAAACTCGCCGCCCCGGGACCCCGGATCCGCCACGCTGTCATGTTATGCGTGGCGCCCCGGATGCGCTTGTCTGATGCCAGGAGGAGCTGGACGTAGTACCGGGCCTGCTCGGGCGATGTCACGCGCGCGACGTGTGCTAAGAATGTTGACTTTGACTCTGTGACAAGGTCGGAGAGAATCCATTCTGGCGGTGGAAAGTCTGGTTCTTCCTCGTATTCTTCCTCAAGAGGAGAAACAGTCTGCGGCTGAGTTTCTTCCGGCTCAGGATTTTGCTCCTCCGCACGACGATTAAACTCCTCCACTGCGTCGAACAGACATACCAAGCCCTCCTGAAAGACTTCACTCACTGCATCACGAAAGATGGCCAAGTCACGAGCGCCAGCGCCCTTGACGCCGCCCGAGCTGTGGTGCGTGCCGAGGATAGTTGGGGGTTTGGAGGGGTAATCCGAAGGAAACTTGAGACGTAGCGAGGATGCGTCGCCAGGGAGTTTGAGAACGAAGACTGAAGGATCGTCCTCTGATGGAATGAGGCTGCCGTCGCCGTAGATGGAGTTGATGGCTTCGACTTCGTCTTGCAATTCTTCGGACATTGTTCGGTGAGTGAGGGGTTGCAGTGAGAGGAATGTAAATATAATGAGGGGTGACTGGTGGTTATGAAGTTTATAATGAGTAGCCGTATTTTGGTCAGCAGTGTTTTGTTTAAAATACTAAATATTGAAATGTTAAAAGCTTCTGGTCATGAGTATGATAGTCTAATGGTCTTTAAATCGACGTTAATAACTTGCATGAAGCCCCACATCAGCTCATCCTGACCCACTCGACGCATTCACATTGCAAGCGTATCATACTCTCATATTTCGAACAAATTGATATTGAGTGAATACACTATACTACGGGGCGGCGCAAACAGTAATCGAATACCGGCCATCTTCTGACCTATCCCCCAATATGACGATCATCTATAGCTTCAAGACAGAAATAACCAGCAATGCAACGATGGTCATATCTTACTCATCCATGACAGATGCAAATTTGTCCGTCATAGTCTGTTGAATCGCCTCGTACTAGTAAAACTGTCAGCATTTGTACATCTTGGGCTATGGGCTAGCAACTAACTCTCTTGGAGACCACTTCCTGTCCATCGGTGGGCACCTCGAACTTGAGTTGTCGCAGCTTAGCTTGCAACTCGGAGGTAGCCTCTCGCACCTTGGCCCAGCTCTGGCCCTGAGCAATAACCTTCTGGGCCTCGTCGTGGAATCCGACCATAAGCTTCATCATCCATTCTGTCTTCCAGATGGGGCAGAACTGGTCGTAGTCTGAGTAACCGTTCTGTTGCAAAAAATCCTCCTTGATCAAGCCTGCGGTGTCCAGTGTAATCTTGTCAGGGTCGGACAGAGCACTCTTTCCAACAAGCTGCACAACCTGGTCAAGCTCCTCGGAATCGGAGAGAAGCTGCTTGATGCGGTCACGGAGTCGAGGGAAGTCGGGGAAGTTCTTCTCGTAATACTTATCCAAAATGTTGTTATACTTGCTGTAAGAAAGCGAGGTGTTGATGGAAGGGAAATGTTTTCGCTGGGCAAGCTTTTTGTCGAGACCCCAGAAGACCTGCACAATACCCAGAGTGGATGTGGTGACGGGGTCGGAGAAATCACCACCTGGGGGACTGACGGCACCGACAATACTGACACTACCCTCACGCTCAGGGGAACCAAGTGTCTGGACACGACCGGCTCGCTCGTAGAACGAGGCAAGCTTGGCACCAAGGTAGGCGGGGAAACCCTGATCAGCAGGCATCTCTCCCAGACGACCTGAAAGTTCTCGAAGAGCCTCAGCCCATCGGGAAGACGAATCAGCCATCATGGCCACATCGAGACCCTGGTCGCGAAAATATTCGGCAACCGTAATTCCTGTGTAAATGGAAGCTTCTCGGGCTGCGACGGGCATGTTGGAGGTGTTGGCAATGAGGGTGGTTCGCTTCATGATGGGCTCCTGACGGCCATCAACCTCGATGGTGAGCTCAGGGAAATCTTTCAAGACTTCAGCCATCTCGTTACCTCGCTCACCACATCCAACGTAAACGATAACGTCACTGTTGGAGAACTTGGACACAGACTGACTAATGACAGTCTTTCCACAACCGAAAGCACCGGGAATGGCGACGGTACCACCTTGGACACTGGGGAAAAGGGCGTCGAGGACTCGCTGGCCGACAATGAAGGGCTGATCGGCGGACTTCTTGTCGTTGGAGGGACGGGGCACTCGGACGGGCCAGGACTGCATCATGGGGTACTCGGTCTTCTTGCCATCGAACTCAACCTCGAGAATGTTGTCGACAACGGTGTACTCGCCCTTGGGGGAGATCTTGGTTACGGTTCCTCGGGCGCGAGGAGGGAACAGAATCTTGTGGTTGGGAAGGAAAGAGTTCTCGAAAACGGAGCCCCAGACATCACCGCCAGAGAGGTGGTCGCCGACCTTGACGGAGGGTGTGAACTCCCACTTCTTCTCGCGGTTGAGGGCAGGGACGGCGATACCGCGGGGGATGTAGATGGACTCGGCCATCTTGGCAATGGCCTCGAGGGGACGCTGGATACCGTCGTAGATACCGTTGAGCAGACCGGGACCGAGCTCGACGGACAAGGGCTTTCCGGTACGGGTGACGGGGTCACCGACCATGACACCAGCTGCGATGAGACGATTAGCTTGCTATTCTTGGGGTGTTACTATGGATGGTCGTACATGTCTCCTCATAAACCTGAATAGAGGCCTGGTCGCCGCTGATTCGGATAACTTCACCAACGAGGTTGTCGTGTCCTACTCTGACCTGTAATAGTGTTAGATTAGAGGGCGGAGAGTGATGACGGTGGTAGATGGCTGCAACTGACCAATTCGTACATGGCAACACCGATCATGTCCTCGGCGATAACGACGGGACTATGGAGAGTCAGTATAACATGTTGAGTACTGGCAATATAGTTCTGTGGAATCTGTTTTGCGCTCGTAGAGTGAGGGATTCGGTAGGTACTAACCCGGAGATGGAGTAGATTTTACCTGCAGGATAGTGTTAGCGACACCGCAAAGCATCTTGAAACATGGGTTTGTTAAAGCATACCGGGCGTGAATCCATCGTCGTCGTTGGTCTTGCTGCTGTTGTTAGCAGCCTTTGCTGATTTCTGCAGAATCCAGCTGTTAGCGTCAAGCAGTAAAAAGGGTTGACGTGCGCCATGTCGTTGCCCCCGAGCATACAAGCTTGGGGGAGGTCGGGAGAGGAATCAACGCACAGGAGCCATCTTGGGCGGCGAAACAGGCGCGTGATTAAACTGGAGGTCAGACGAGGTAGAAGAAGACGGCGACTGAGGCCGGATGGAAGGCGATGTCGAACCGGGGGAGGAGTGGGACGAAAGAGGCGGTCGAGATGGAGGTTGAGGTGTTGATGAAGATGGAGATGGAGACGGAGATGGTGGTGGAGAGTTTGGCAGAGGCACTTGACGAGCTACATCCACCAACGCTAGAGCAGCTTTCCCAGCTCCAGAGTGGAGCCAGGATGATGACGATGCTTTGCGGGTGGGGTCTCGAGCAGCCCCAGCGACGTTAACGTCAACGTTAGCGGACGGCGCAGGGGCTTTACCACTGAAGCTCCCGCTGGAACGACGGCTTGCGCCCCTGGAGCTGGCTGGAGAGCTTACGCCCGGGCTGGTAATGCCTGTGCCTGTATTGTGGTCACTGTCGCTCCCTTGATCTGGATGGCTGCTGTTATTGTCGTCGTCTTCGCCTCTTGCGCGGATGAGATCCAGCAGAGACGGCCTCGCTCTAAGAGTAGGACGGATGCCGAGCATAAGCTTTTCAGGGAGTTGACGCCTTTGTTCACGGCAGCGCTATAAGTGGCATGGACTGAATTGAGAGCTGTGGGGAGACAGTGGAAGCGTGGTGCTGGAGTGTTGCTGATCCAAGGTAAGTTGTATGTAGCATGTATGTAGATGGGGAATCTATCCCTAACGGGTCATGCAGCTGAGATCTAACTTGACAATCTGGAACAGGGAAAACGGAAAACGGAAAACGCTTGGACGGGAGGAGGCTACTGTAGGTACTACCGATAGCATAGGTAATCTCATCGGCACAGTGCAGTGCAGTGCATGAATCTATATCAAGGGAGGGTTGCCTCACCACCTCAGGCCTCACCCTTTCAACTGCAGGTACACGATAAGTGAATATCTCGACTGATAACATGGAATAGACTTGAATACCACTATGTAAACCATTGAATCCTTATACAATTCACACCCTCAATTCGTCTTCTTGGCCTTATTCTCCTTCTCCCAGTTCTCCCCCAATGCCTTCACCTCCTGGTTAGTCTTCTCAATCCATCGCCTTGCACCACCCCAAGGCTTTCGACCTCGACCTGTATCAAATAGCCTGTAAACTGCAGGCACCTCAGTACCGTCCATCAAAAGATTGTAAAACTTTCGGTCGTTCCACCAAAGCTTCCAAGCCTTTCGAGTGAAGCACCCCAAGTGGTCTGTCACTCCTGTGCCTGCTGCTTGGTTTAAAAACTCATAGGTAGCCTTTCCATCGATTCTCATTCCCATATGAGGAACTGGACCCTTTTGGAGAAACTTGACGATGACCTCATATTGTTTATCGATATCCTTCCGCCTCTCTTCTTCAGAGGGAATAGGGTAGCTTCCAGACCACAAACTCGCCAAGGACATGGTAACAAGATCGTACATGACAAATGGAGGCTTCATGATGATCACGTGGCCGATGAAAGCCAACGAGTCTGGAAACTGTTCTGACATAAAACCATGATAGAGACGCGCAAATTGGTTGTTCTCGTTATAATACTTGGCTGCCCTGACCTTCTTCAGATGGTCAGGCGCAAAGGCCGGGTCGGTAGGATCGCCAGGACCTTTGATGGCGGAAAAGTCATAATCATAACCTGAGCAGAAGACGATGGCATCGATGTCTTCTAGAGCTGTACCGTCAGTAAGGGTGATCGTCTTGGGTCCAGTGATCTCCTTGATGCCGAAGACGGACTTGATGTTGCCGTTCTTAATATTGTCCGCAAAGTCGTCTGAAAATAACGGAATTCGATAGGGGAAACCGTCAACTGGTCGAGCCTTGAGGAGCTCTTTCAAGTGTGGCCACTCCTTATCTCGTGTGCTTGTCAACATCTTGGTCATGATTGATGGAAAGACATTGGGCAAGAAATTAGCCACGGCTCTCAAGCAGATGCCAATACGGCGACTCATGACGTGCTCAAACGCTTTGCCCTTGATGACTCTAGGGAGCTAAAAGTGGTCAGTGTCTCAAGCTCTGGATATATCCTGGAGTAGGTGTTCTTACAACGAAGATGGTGCCTCGATGGCTGGAATAGACCTTGTTGGCTCCAGCCCTCACCAAGAACGATGTTGAATCGACGCCAGTTGCGCCAACGCCCACGACAACCACGTTCTTGCCCTGGTACTTCGAAGCGTCCTTGAACTCTCGTGAGTGCATGACATCCCCGGCAAACTTGTCGAGGCCCTTGACCTTTGGAATATGCTTGGTATTGAGCATACCTGTGGCTACAACCACACGACTAAAGGTCCTGACCTCCTTGACGCCGGTCTTGGTGTTCTTGGTAGTAACTGTCCACTTTTGGAGTTGCTCATCGCGTTCTACCCGATCTATTGAGGTTGATAATTCAATATGTGGGAATAGGTCGAAGTGTCGGGCATACGATTCGAAGTACTTCTCCATATCCTTTTGAGGGGGGTGCATAGGGAACTCTAGCGACACTATGAGCTACGACTGCGGTTGCATGGTGATATACTCGACTCACCGTCAGGAATTGGAAAGTCAGTGATGGCACACTATAAGTCATTAGCAATGAGAACCGCAACCTCACAGGTGACTCGGGACTTACACATTGCTTGGAGGTGTTGAGCTTCGTCTGTGGCAAGGCAGTCGTCTGCTCGGTGTTATGCGACGCATGCCATGTTCCACCAATGTGTTCCTGTCTTTCAAAAGCTCTGGCATCAAGACCTTGCTCTCGAAGGTTCTTGAGTGCCAGGAGACCAAGTGGTCCTGCTCCTACAACGCACACATCGGAGCCGAGTTTTTGATTATGTGAGGAAGCCATGATTCAGTATGGAAATACTTTCTCAAGACAACTTTTTCCAAGACCTACAGAAGGGCGTGTGCATGCTCTTTATAACTTATCTCTTAACCCTCGCTGATCGCTTATAGCCTTGTCCGGAGCTCTGGATTTCGGCGTCTAAGAAGCGATCGCGCTTAGTGCTGACGCTTCCTGTCAGCTTTTAGAACAGTAAGGGGGTTGCAATCATACAATCCTCCAAGTAAACTGTTCAATGTCTATGAATGTAAGCCTGTAAGACGCCGATAGAGTGCTTGTGTTGAAGACTGCGCTGCTCACTACGATGTGTCCGATAAAGTGTCCGATCTGACATCTACAAAGACATGAACCGTAAAACCCACTTTGTTAAGTGTCCGGTGTAAGTCAACACTGCCAACTAGGTTAAAGGTGGGAAGAATCCTTATGTATTGTCATGGGTGTTGGCATCGCAAGACGGGCGTTAAGCTGGAATCGTTCACGGAGAGTTCGGCTTTGATCACCACCTTGACTATGAGCAATTGCACTTGTATGAAAATTTCCGATGAATCTGATGAAGATAAAAACCAGACTTGTTTACTAATGCAAAGAAAAAAGGCGTTGGCAGCAAGCTGAGAAACGGGCTATCCATAGCTAAATGATGAGCCTATTTCACTTCGTCTTGGATGTACTAAATGTAGACCTGGAAATACGTTTCCTACTGCTGTGCTTACCAGATAAGCAGGCGTCCATATATGATAACTGGACCAGTAGACTGACTTAGTGCTATAACCCTTCTGGGTAAATACACGATTTAGTTATGCAACCTGTCGTGGCCAGCCTCCATGGAGGATGTTATCGACCTATGCAAGATATAGCAGTTACGAGAGGCGTTCTAATTTCTAATCTGCCTAAAGCAATTTACCTCATCTCCATATCCATATGCACATGATTAACCATGCAGTTTCAAGTTCAGCTCAACCAACATCTCTTGCAGCATCTTCAAGACACCCTCTTTAGCTACTAATGCAGAGAAGGTCGCTTGTAGAACGGAAATACCACACTCATCCCTCTCCGCACCACTCTCCATTCTTGTATGGCATGAAGAACCCAGCGTGGGTACATCACATCCATCCTGACTTCTCGCCGCCCGCAGCATACAGATCTGCGTAGTCCGGCACTCATCGGTACATTCTGGCTGAACCCAACCCCTGCTGAGGCGTAGCATATAATCATCGAAAGCCGTTTGGTTCTTCTCAAAGACTTCAGTGATGTTGTGCCAGAATGCCGCGCTAAGTTCGGCTTTGGGATTTGTCATGGGCGGGTTCGTAAGCGGGCCGTATGTCTCCTTGGCTGAGTAGTACTTTTTCCACACGGGACCTTGGGTTTGGTATGTGGGAGATGTCATGTCAGCGCTGTAGGTGGTTATGTCGAGGACTGCAAACGTGACAGGATCGACATCGTAGACGCGGAACGAGGGCATGCCCGACGTTGGCGTGAGTGAAGGGCCAACGTATGATGTAAGTAGGGCGTTGCTAAAGGTGTTGTTGGGAGCTTCGCTGTAGGTAATCTGGAAATGATCTCTGTGAGTATGTCCGAAGAACATAGCCGCGATGGTTGCGGAGTATCGGTTCACTATCTGGTTCAGATAGTTCGACTGATCATGGAAGGCATTTCGGTCACCAAGCGGCATATGTCCTATGATGTAGACGCGCTCGCCAGCTTTCTCAGCGGCGTGAAGCTCTTCGACGAGCCAATCGATCTGACCACTAGGATCACGGAGCATCTTCTTCTGGAACAGCCAGAAGTTGCCACGGTAGTATAAGTTTGTGTTGAGAGAGATGACGCGCAGATTGCCGTTGGGATACTTGGTTGAGTAGGCGCCTATTTGAGCTGCTTTAGAAGCGGCTTCGTGGCCGATCCAGCGACCCCATGTCCCAGCCAGGAGATCGTAAATCCATGAGGACGAGCTGCCAAGGGAACTAGGTTGATAGGCGTTTGTGGGATGGGCCTCATGATTTCCAGCTGTCCCGTATACTATACCCAGGTATTTATCCATATGCTCATATGACTCGATGACTTGGATATGTTAGTTTGACACTGAGAATAATTTCATAATACTTACTCTGATGTTCGTTGTAGTCCCAGCTGGTATTCCAAATCGAATGATCGACGACATCTCCGGTGAAAATGGTGAAAGCAGCATCAGGAACCAGCTCTTTGATTGCTTTATACATGCTCTGTTCGAGAGAAGCAGGAGAATCGCACGTGTGCTCGCCATAGGGACCAGCTGGAGAGTCAGTTCTTCCAGGCTCATCAGCTTCTGAGAACGGCCTGCAGCATATAGGCTTGCTGCACTCTGCACTCGACCCCTCCGTGTAGAGTTGGTCAACATGAATATCAGAGTAGTGAACGACCTTGACAGGGTCTCGTCCACTTGGGACTGGGCGCTTTCGTTGAAGATGATCAGGTGGCATAGGAACGTCCCACTCCTCCACGGCTGGATAGGCGCAAAGGCCTAGGAAAGTGACACAGAAATGCCGTGCAGTCTTTGAGCCGATGGCGACATTTCTCAGCGCCTCAGCAATAATCGGCCCTTGAAGCTCGATAGTTCCATCGCAAACGTCTGCGTCTTCAACCTGAGATAGTTTAGCCAGAGGTCATACTGTAGAGGAATTGAGTGAGACTACCTTCGACTTTTTGCACACATTTTGAAGTGTATTGATGAACGTTCTATCGCCCAGATTCGCAAGATTTTTGAAGGTCAACAACAAGCCCTATACCATAGTCAGCGTTTGTTTTTACAGTCCCAAGCGTTAAGAGAACTGCTCTTTACCTGACATCCCGAACAAGAAGAAACGCCTTGGATTTGCTTCCATATTCGATCTGCCCAATCATTGGTGTACAGCGTCTTCTGATTCGCATCTACACCTTGAAGGGCAATGGCTGGCCCGTTTGTTCCGAGAACGCCTGCTATGACGCCAAGGTATGACAGCAGAGTTATTGATAAACGCATGCTTGGTGCGGTGAAACAAAACAAGGCCACTTCTCAAAAGTGACGACTTGTAGTGTAATTTGAGTAGTTGAAGAATAGAAATAAATAGGAATAAGCTATTTAATCGTTTCCATCACCAGACTCGCTTCTCAAGTGACTACCCCAGAGAATGAACCGATCGTTGCCCGTCTTAGACCGTTTCTCTCTGAGAGCGGCCTAGAGGCGCCACAACAACCACCACATGACCCAATAAGAGCCATCATCCATATTTAGGCACGTTTTGGGGATAACGTCACCATAGAAATGGCCGAAATCATATTAGAGCAAGCATGGTGTATGAATAAAAATAGGACATACAGGAGATGAGAAGCACATAAATGTTATCTCTGCAGTCTGATAATACTCATCACAATTAAATTGACTTCGCTATTCTTGATATGCGCCTATTGCATTTGACCATGAGAAATTTGACTTATTCTTAACATCTATTCATGCACCCTTTTCATGTCTGTTTCGTTAGACTATCGTAATATACAAGAGAATATACAAATGATTGAGATAGTTTTCGCATTCGCGCCATCAATAGTTATACACGGAGTTCGCCGCTCCATTAAACAAGCTTTTTAGATACCATCACCACATACAGTCATGTAGTTGCTTTACTCTTTCTTTTCTGTCGAGTCCTTCTGTTCAGAGCTCTTCTGTTCAGAGGAGTCCTTCTTCTCAGTCGAATCCTTCTCCTTGGGCGAGTCTTTCTTCTTAGACGACCCCTTCTTTGATGAATCCTTCTTTGATGAATCCTTCTTTGATGTATCCTTCTTTGATGAATCCTTCTTTGATGAATCCTTCTTTGATGAATCCTTCTTTGATGAATCCTTCTTCGTGTCCTTTCTCTTCTTCACAGAGACCTTCTTTGTCGACCGATCGCTGTTCACACCTTTAGGCATACGTCGCCGTTTAGAGACCACGTTACGCTCCCATGCAGTTTGAATACCGAGCTTTGCCTCCCTCTCTGACATGGTCGTCCTGAATTTCCTCCCAGCCGCAGTGCGTTTGGGCAGAGTTCCTCCCCACATAGTGTGCCAACTCCTGTCGCGATTCTTGGGGGCTACCGATAGTGCCCTCCTGCGACGCCCCTTGAGCTGGTTCAAGATTCTCCACGCCCGCTCATTTGGAAGTTCTGTAAAGGTGTACTCCACGTCCCACATAGGCTCTTCTCCCAGCCTATCGCTATCAACGCGTTGAACCACATGGCCATCGACCTTGTTGAGGACTGTAACGTAGACACCGAATATTTCCTTTTTAGGCTTTGTGGAGTCTTCCTCGGCAGGTTCAGCTCTTTCTGTCGACGAAGGCAGGTCTGTTCCGGATTGGGTGGTATTGACCTCGTCGACCTCGTCAACTTCGCTGCTCGGCTGTTTCTGGTCTTGCACCAACCCTGACAGGACTCGCTCAAAGGTTCCCAAGTTCTTCATTCTGTTGTCGACGCCCTGGGCAACCTTAAGGATGAGATCCGTGAGAGAAGCATCAGTATAACTGTCGACAGTCGATGATGCGGCGTTTCCACCATCACCATCCATCTCGACAGGTGCTTCTTCCACAGCTCCGCCCTCAGCCGCAGTCTCGTTGGCTTCAGTCAAACTTGCAGGCGTTGCCATATCCGATCCGGTAGCTTCAGCTTCGAGCTCTGACTTGGCTTCCGTAGAAGATTCACTAGCTTCAACAGGAGACCCAGCAGCACCCTCCAATTCCTCTACTGCCGGGTTCGTCTGCTGGGTGTCGTCAATTTCATCGACAACCTTGTCATCCTTCAACTCCGCGGCTAAAGCCTCGACAAGTTCGGTGAGATATGTGTTCCTCTCCTGTTCAGACTTCCCAGCAAGCAGGCCACTCTGTTCAAGTGCTTGCTCAATGGCTTCCCTCACGCTCTGCAAACCGGCAGCGTCATTCTCCACGGTCTGGTCAACCTTGGCCATCATCTCATTCCAAGACTTCTGTCGTTGGGTGTCGTCAATGGACGCTACCTCTGAAGATTCCTCTGCGTCGACCTCCTCATGCTCAGATTGAAGCGCAATGCCGTCTGTCAAGTCGGCATCTTCCTTCTTGTTCTCATCGCGTGACATACCGAGGATCTCCCTTTCTAGCTTTTCAACGGTTGCTTTGCCCTTCTCCTGTGTCCGCCGCATTTCTTCCTCACTAACAGGTTCGGCAAAGAAGTAAGTGAGAGGAGGGTCCGTCGGCCGGGTTTCGATGTGTAGTCGAAGTGACTGCTTGGGGAACCGCTCTGACGCTTTGTTCAGGAGCTCGTTTAGAAGTTTGACACTGGCTTTGAATTCCTGATCTCCGAGTTTACGGTTCATTGTTCCATGGAGAGCGTTGTCCATCTCTTCGAGACTGATATACTGGAAGCCAAATATGCGTTCCGTGTTGTGAAAGGCCACAAATATACCATCCATTCGTCCCATACGCACTTGTAAAGAGTACTTCAGAAATGCTGCTCTGATCATGTCATAGTACTCCCGCTCGAATGATTCCCAAGTGCCGTAGCGATTGCGAATCTCGTAACCAACACCCTTTTCGTAATCCCCTACATCCATTCGAATGGAAACGACTGCACGAGTTTTCAGATCAAACATTCCAGTGCCAGGAAGGCGTGGATCATGAGCGTCAAGCTGCGAACGCATCATAAAATCACCCATAGTAGTATAGTGAAATGCTTCATCGGCATTCTTCTCCTCGTCGGAAAGCTCATGCGAGCGGGTTTTCCTGTACTTCTCGAAATGAGGTTTCGGTAAGGTAAGAAGCTTCTCCATCGATTTTCCGAGCATGCTGAGTACACTTGCAGTGTCAAACTCCTTGTCGGCATCAATGGCATACACGCCATCTTTGTAGCGAGCAAACGCCGCAGCAGGACCTCGGGTTAGTGATGTGTATGATTCCCACTCGACCTTGAAAGAACGGGATAAATGTTCGAAGTTGGGGCGTCTCCAGCTTGATAGAAGAAAGTGGAAGTGGGCTAGCATGGCTGTCATGCTTGAAGTTGAACCACAGTACTTCATGTGATACTTGGCAGCGAGATCTGTCAACCGAGTGTCCTTAGAAGATGTTACATACTCCTTTAAAGCATCGAAATCAAATTCCTTCACAGGCATGATTGACCCAAGGTATGGGTCAAAATTGTAGGTTCGAGTACGCTGGTCTTGAAGCTGGTAAGGCCCGTGGTTGAAGAGAACTTTGTCCAGATTGTAAGCAAGATGAGGTACCTTATGCGCGAGCTTTTCGACTGGCTTCATTTTCAAATCCCTGGGAGTGATGGTGTGTACATGTGGCGTGGGCTTGGCCTTTGGGTCGACCTCTTCACTGGAGGGTTCGGGTCCTGTCTCGCCAGTCTCGCCAATCCCGAGAACGTGTTGACCATCATGGAGGTAGGCAGCTGTCGGGTCCCCTTGGGATCTGTCCAAGGAATTTGAGGATTCTGTAGCCCCTGCTTGTTGCAACTTTTCTCGAAGTGATGTCCAAACACTGGCTTTTTGGCCAACTGCCTGTGATGATTCTTCGCCTGCGTTACTTTCTTCAGTCGTTTCTTGCGCTACACCAGGGTTCTGAGCTTTCGAGCCCTTGGCCTTCGAGTTGGCCTTCGAGTTGGCCTTTGTGTTGGCCTTTGTGTTGCTGGGCTTGGATCCCTTCTTCTTCTTGCCCTTTGCATCTTCGACACCATAGACTCTCCGAACCACATCTAACGTTTCGTTGAAGTTGGGATCATTAGATTTTGGTTTGCTCGTAGCCTTCCGAGAACCTTTCACTTTCGCTTTGGCATCTTTTTGGTCTTTCACTTCGTCCGGTATCTTAGCTTCTTTTGCCTGCTTCTCGATTCTCTTGATGCTAGACTGAAGTTTCGCTGAAGAAGCCTTGAGACGCTTCCGAACATTTTCAATATTGTGTTTAGATTCTGCTGAGGTCTTCGAGACTTCGTCCGGGTTGGTCTCGGTCGCAAACGATCGTGAGATAGTACATTGCCGCGGGCATCGCATATAAGGTCGGCAGAGGTGCGCAAAATTGACAGGAGCACCTACTCCACGACGTACGCGAAGCATTGGGACTTCTTTGGCGAATTTGGTCAACACTGAGAAAGTTGATCAGAATCCATTCAAAAATCTGGTGGGCAAAAGATGCTCCAAAAAAATCACTTATCGAAGCATCAACGACTTCGGCAATATCTCGGATATGGTGCTTTATACGGGCACGTGATTGGCCAGCCATATGTTCCGGGGAGCGGCTTGAGACCTCCACGAGGTACTCCGTAGTCCGTACCTTACATCACTCGTCATTCTGGACCCTCCTCCCCAAGCCAAAGGTTCAAAGACGACACCACAAAGCGACACTCTCCTGAAGCGCAATCTCCCTCCCCACGGATTCTATCCGATAGTCATGGGCGCGAGTGACTCAAAGCTCGTTTTCAAACGGGGCATCTTTCGCTTGTCAGAAGAACGACATATTCCAGCGGATGATGCCTACTGGACTTCTGTTCGTTACCTACTCCACCTTGTGTCTATCACCAGTGCATGGCTTGTATGCTAATATGTTACCTCATAGTTTTGGGAGCTCCCCGAGTCCTCCGAAGACGTCTTTAGCCTTTTTACGCCTGCCGATATACGAAGAACTCGCGATCGCGCACTCGAGAACCTAGAGACCCTTATCCTCGCTGTCACCTCTCGTTTATTCATACTACGTCATCACCCATCATTCCCTGACCCTGAACTCGCGCCAGAGCGTGAGGCATTGAATTGCGTTCGGGTTTTGACACGGATCTTACCTTACCTGTACGAGAAAGAATCTCTTGCCGATTGGGAGCAACAATTCTTCTGGGCCCAACGAAGGAAACGGACTAGACAGGCTGCTATTGCAAACGAAATCCTTTTTGACGAAGCTCAGGAAGCTGAACGAAAGGCCAACACCGCCCAATTCGAAGAAGTGAAGCCACTTGCGGAAGAGCTTGTAGACACCTTGGTGGACCTGCTATTCTTCTCTGACTTGACGTTACCTCGGCAACAGAATGGACGGCCCAAGGTCAGCTATGCGATATGGCAGAGTGGTGTTGGCTGCAACACAGCTGTCGCAACAACAAAAGAGTACGAGAGCAATCGATCAGAGATATTGCGACTGCTCATGACCCTTGCTGGTCAGAGTATGTATATGACAGCTGGCGTGCTTCCGCAGAATGGCGTGCGAATGTTGACCCATCTGTGTGCTTGTCCGGACAAGCAAGTCGTGCTCTCAATGCTCTGCTCTTTGCTTAACACGGTTCGTCACCACGTGCTTCCTCATTTCCCAGGTATACTAATTTGTGCTCTCTTAGACGTTGAAGTATAATCCTGCAACATGGCGCGTACCATACAACACCCTTGTCTTCAAGGATAGCAAGCAGATACTTGTGACATACTCTCTGCACTTCCTCTTGGTACTTTTACTCTACCCAATTCCCGAGAGCCCATCAAATCCATCGCCGAAGAACTCATATCGCCACTTCTTGGGTCGACTACACCGAGCTCAAGACTTCCAATTCATTGTTGATGGTATGACCCGGATTCTAAACCAGCCTCTTCAAGAGAAGTCGTCGTATCTTCCCGGATCACAGTCCTCTGGCCACTTTGCTCCTGAGATCCTAATGCTGTTCTGGGAGATTCTGCAATGTAATAAAAGATTCCGGTCGTTTATCGTGGACACTGAAAGAGCGCATGACTTTGTTGTCCTCGCCCTATTCTATGCTTTGGAGTATAAGAATGATGCTACTAAGCAGGGAGTTGTGCGCATGTGCGCTTTCTTACTCCAAACCTTGAGTGTGGAAACCAACTTCGGCGTCAACTTAAACAAGTTCTTCGAGGGACAAGAAAGCTTACCAGTAGCTATCCGTGTGCCGGGCTTCAGGGGAACTTACGCCGATTTCCTCATTCTTTCTATCTATAACCTGATCACAACAAGTCAAGGGAAGCTCTCGGCGATATATCCAGCTCTATTGGCGGTGATCAATAACATCGCACCTTATCTCGAGGGCTTGAGTAGCACGAGCAGCTCAAAGCTGATGCAGTTGTTCTCCTCCATGTCATCGCCCTCGTTTCTACTTGCGAATGAAACTAACCACACCCTTCTCCATTCGCTTTTAGAGTCTATCAGCTCGATCCTTGAGAACAAATACCGCAAGAACCCCGAACTCGTATTCTCTATCCTGAGAAATAAGAAGAGGGTTGAAGCATTGCGCTCATTTACACTGGAAAGCGGCCAGGAAGAGATCGAGAGAAGAAACAGGAGAAGAAAGGATTCTGCGCAATATGTTGATCCACTTGACTCTACGTCCGTTCGCAGCTCAGTCGACAGCTTGAGGAGTCCAAGCAGTGCTCACCCGCGGCACTCCTCCCTGGAAGAAGTCCCAGAAGACGGTGCCTTCGCGATTGGAGATGATGATGACGACGACGACGACGACGACGACGATGATGATGATGATGACGATGAGGATAGTGACGATGAGGAACATCAAGCAACCCCTGCGCGCTCAACATCAAGTGACGCCCTATCTCGAAGATCCTCTACACCGAATGTCGAGGATGCTGTCCCAACCCAACTGCGAGGAATGTCCGAGAAGGCTCGCGGTAAGATGCCAGCGGGTGTTCCAAGTTTCTCACGACAAAACAGTACAACAAGTTTGGGCGGGCACTCAATATCCGGGCAATCGTCAGCCGGCGCATTTGAACCATCGGCTCACTGGATAGACAGTTGGCTACACGAATTGCCACTACACACAATTCTAAGCATCATTCAACAGGTGTCGGCTCTCTTGCCACGCCAAGAGCTTACAGCCGACACGCCATCACGAGAAACACTCCGACGAATTTCAGGTGTCGAAATTCTTGGAATCGAGCCCTCACCCCCTCGCGTGCACTCATTCGAGTGGTCTCAGCTTGCCTTGGGCTGGTATGAGTCTCTGTTATGGGGGGTCATTTTTACAAACGAGATGCAAGTCTCAAGGGGAACAATGGGTATCTGGAACGGTACTTCTATCAAGTTGTTCCGAGTACAAGAAACGGCCCCAGAAGGTCCGACTCTGACCTCACCTCGAGGTGCTGTTGATGCAGTTGGCAGCAATATTGTTTCGCGTATAGGTCAAATGAATCTTCGAGGCGGGCCACCAGGGCCACCAGGAAGCAACCAGCCTCCGCAACGGAACGGTTGAGCATCAAGTCACGTCAAAATTAGCCGCTTGCTCGGCAATCCAGCGTCAAAGTTCTGGCGACTAATCCTGGAGAGGAGAAGCTCCAGAGCTAACTAGAGACTAGAGACTAGATGAAAATCGGCTAGATTCATGATCTTCTCCCGCTGGGTTCCAGTTTCATGTAGGATTATGAGAACAAATAGTGCATCAAAGGCGGGATAGTCTTACATACAGGCGTCTAGGTATGGATAGGAGTCAATGGATAAGACACAGTAATTTTTGCACAAGTTTTGCAGGTATTATGCCTTGATTCGCGGTCTCGACTGTTCTTTTATGCAATCTTGACCACATGAGTTGTTAGTCCTCTTTGTCTATCCAGCTAATGTTTCACGGTTCGACTCATGTGTACAACTCAGATGTGGCGTGTCGAGATGGAGGTGGCTAATTTGGCCAGGACCAGCCACAGCCAACGGCATGGAGGAGACTCCCGTATAGACAGGTCCAGCCCAGTTTGGTTCCCTGTTTTAAAAAGCAAAAGTTGGCAGAAGCTGGCAAACAACGTGATTTGTCTACACTGAACGCGGGTTAAAGCCACGTCTAATGCCTTAGAGTGATCATTTCCGAAGCCTGCCAGGGGGTGACTGAGTGCTGTATGCACTGTTAGTGTGCACAGCCACCGCTCACTGGGGAGATCTACTTTTATAGCCAATCACCAGTCGATTCGGACCATTTCTGCCGTATCCCCCATGCGCTAACGCCACAGCGGGTATCAGCCACGTAAGGGTCTGAGGGTCTCTTCTCTTAGTTCTAGCAGCTATCGCGACAAGGGTCTTAGGTTAAGGGTGGGTGTAAGGATGTAAGGGTCCTGTTGTTTTTTTCTGGCCGGGTTACGGAAGCAACTCAGCTTATTGATGCTGTGCGAGTCGTATTTTCTTAATTTCTCGGTCTTTTTGCCCTTTCCCATCTTTAATTGTTTGTTTTGCACTGTTGCTAAGACTCACTCTGCTCTTTTCGGTTGTTGGTGGAACAGTATACCTTTGTATTGTCACATGAAGTAGTTGAGTAGAGTTATTTCTACCAATACAATATCAGACAGATCATGTCTCAACAACAACAACCCGGAGAATCCGGCGAGGAGGTTCAGCCTTATCGCATACGTGTGAGTAAAGAGGTACCTCATCCTGCGACTGAAGAACTTACTGATGAATCAATTATATAGATATCGAGCAAGTATCTAGACATCACGCGTCAGAAGTTGGAGCTTACTCGGCTGCCGCATGAGCCGCGTTCCAAAGACTGGTGGGAGCCAAAGCCCCAAGTCGAGTCTTTGGTAGACTTCTGGTAAGTTGAAGCCCAGTCTTTCAACAATGAAGCAAAGCAAAGCTTATACAAGCTCAGGCAAGAATCATTCTCGTGGCATGATCACGAAGAGGAGCTCAACAAGACTCTTCCTCAGTTCAGGACAAGCTTTCAGACCTCTACTCCCCCAACTCCTGTCCGGATTCACTTCATACATGCTCGCTCTCCTCACGCCAATGCTGTTCCTCTACTATTGATACCCCCTTTCCCTTTGACCAACTTGTCGCTTGGTCACCTTGTTCAACTACTAAGCGACCCTGAAGATGCTGGGACAACTCAGCCGTTTCATGTTGTCATCCCGAGCTTGCCAGGTCTTGGTTTCAGCGATTCTTTACCGGCCAATACACCTCCAATCTCTACGACGTCTAAGCTTTTTGATGATCTGATGAGAAGACTGGGTTATGAGCACTACATTGGTAGCAATGCTGGCTCTGCCTCAATATCTCCTGCTGGTATCGACTGGAGACTGGCTAGACATCTCTCCCACCACTTCTCCGAGTCTTGCATAGGATTTCATTTTATCGCGCCTCCTTTGACATCTCCCACCATTTCAGGCTCAGCGAGCGAGTGGTTGAAATGGAAACTTGCTCGACTATTGAGCTCCCCGGTTCTGGGTTATTCTAAAGACGACCTCTCAGCGACGCAGAAGCAGAAGACACCACAACTCAGCAAAAAGAAGTCCGCCATCAACCTGGGTCAAGCTACCAATAGCAACTTTGAACCAAACACACCGTCATATGCGCTGTGCGACTCTCCTACTGGTCTGCTCCTCTACGTGCTGAAGATACTCCGCACTCTTGGTCCCAAGAAAGAACTTACCCAGAAAGACATCATTACTCTTACTTGTCTCATTTGGCTGCCCGGTCCCGAGGCTGCTCTTCGCTACTGGGCCCAGTGTGCGTCAGAAGTTGAGCCCGTGGAAGGAAAGAGGACAACTAAGAAGCCCAAGGTTGCTATCACTGTGTTTATTGGCGACGACGAGCAGGGTGAGCAGCCAAGGACGCTGCCCCGACCTGCGAAGACGATATATGCCTGTCCTGCTTGGGCCAACAAGGAGTACCAAGTCTTGCACCTGCATCGCGCTTCTGGAACACCCGGTTTCCTGGCTTGGGATCGTCAAGATGTGATTATGGAAGGCGTGCGAGGCCTAGCAAAGGCCATTTTGGAGAAGGACAAGAGGATGCAGGTTGCGGAACAGCCTGGAGCGATCCTACAAAGCCAACTCGAGGTGCGGGATGGACAGATAGCCCAAGCTGATCTGTCTGGAACAACAGTTCAAGACCCCAATGCCAGCCCGGGCGAAGGGCCACCTAAGGCTATTAGTCCCCTCAGGCCGATAGAGGATGAGAACCAGCATCTTGTTCCTCCACCAGCGGCAACGCATAGGGGCGTTAGCTCGTGAAAATAGGAGGGGACGAGATATAAAGATTTGAGATGGTTTATGACGGAAGGGAGTGGAGGAACATAATTCGATACCACTTTTTGGGTTTACTCTTTACATGACTCTTGTCACTCACTATAATTATTATTGAATCTCTTAGATACCACAAATTGATGACATTCTTACTATTCATACATGTTCACAAAATTGGTAAGGGTGAATGCAAAGGCCCATAGTTCTTTTATTTTACGCCGACTTCGATAAGTTAGTACTGATATCGTTATTAAAGGAGACTCAAACGATAAATGGCCCATGCTGAACAGTGTTATAATATGATGTTTATGGAAGTTGACTTTGGCGGGCGGGAAGCTCCCGTCAGGTACTGGACTGTACGTACCCACCCAGTGCGTCGCAATGGTGAACCACCTCACCTAAGGTACTAACCTAGGTAGCTCCGACCCCTCGACATCCAGCTTCCATAACAACAACCTCGATTTTGTGATCAACGCACGCCAGACTTTCGCATATACGTTTCCCAATCATAGCTGCACTCACCCTATACACAGTTCTGTGCCTAGCGACTATGCGCCTCAGAGCACTCCGTTCCTCATAATCGCCTTGCCATCTCCAACCTCACCATGTCGAATCGATACGACCGACCTCCTCCCTCCCGCGAGGGCAACGGTTATGGAAATTTTGGACGCTCCAACGATGATTATAGACCTGGCTACCAAGATGGCTACGGAAGCGAACGATATGCCACGCCGCCCGTAACCCAGCAGCCGCGACCACCGCCCAGTCTTCGACAGATGTCCTCTCGATCACGGGTACCACAAGTTCAAGCTCAACCGCCGGTGCCTGAGACTTATGCCGCGCGACAGATCACCGAAGTTATAGATCATATCAAGAAAGAGTGGCCTTCGATGTGTCAAGACGATTGCGTTCCGGTTCAGCTGTCGCTACAGCTTCTCGATAGAAGCTCGGTTGGTCGCGCCCATGATTACGGTCAATTTCAGCAATCGCATAATTATCTACAAGAGTCCCTCAAGGGTATCGTCCACGAGCATCATCAAGGCTTTAACAGTTCGATTGGTACTTTCCATAAGATTCAAAGCAGTATCCAGCAGTCCCAAAAGCGAGTACGTGCTTTGAAGGAATCATTAGCCAGTTCTAAAACGAGTCTTTGCGCCACGGACCCAGAATTGAAGAAGCTTTCAAAAACATCACAAGAGTTCGATGCCCTTGTTCAAACGCTTAATGAGCTAGATGATCTCCGGGCAGTGCCAGATCAGCTGGAGGCAAGAATATCTGAGAAGCGTTTCTTGACAGCTGTGGAGGTGCTTCAAACTGCTCTTCGAAAATTGCGAAGACCCGAGCTTGACGATATCGGTGCTCTTACTGAACTGAGGAGCTATCTCGCGAATCAAGAGACTGCCCTGATGGACATTCTGGTGGAAGAGCTGCATGAGCATCTATACCTCAAGTCGCCATACTGCCAGGAAAGGTGGCAGAACCTGGCTAAGACACAGGGCGCAGTTACAGAAGGTTATTCTGACATCAAGCCCATCGCACCATTTCACCTCGTTCTTGACGCCATCGACATTGATAAAACCGTCAGGGAAGACCCTATGAAGAACCCTGAAGCCGATACGTTCTACTACGTAGGACTGTTGGTAGAATCTTTGAATAGATTGGGGCGACTGCAGAATGCTGTTGAGACTCTGAAACAAAGACTCCCAGTTGAGCTTTTTACCATCGTGAACGAGACTATCAACGAGGTGGATCAAAGACATCCCAGCTCATTACGTGGAGGTTCGATCAGAGGCGATGGACTTCACGTTTATGGAACTCGCGAAACACAAATGCGAGCAGATGTCATTTACGATCTTTTATGGTCGCTATATGGCAAGTTCGAGGCAATCGGAGAAGGCCATCGTGTATTCCACGAGTCTATCAAAGTTCTTATTCGACGTGAGGGCGCTGGTAACAACAGTGCTCTCCTCGGTAGCTTCAAAGAACTCTGGAATCTTTACCAAAACGAGATCAGGTCCTTACTGCACAATTATGTCACAACAGACGCCGACGTCTTCCAGTTCGATTCACCGAACCCCGGGGATACTCTTCACGGCAAGAAGGATGTACGAGAGCATCTTTTCAAATTCTCTGAAGCCAACACAAAGTCTGTTGAAATGACGAGTGAGTATGATGCTCTCGATAACATCATCCAAGACGCGGTCCCTGGACTAGGGTCGCGGAAGCAAGACAGAAAAGGACGGAATGCGCCAGAGGGTGGAAGAAGAGGAGGAGGAGATGGGGGCTTCGGAAGCAGTCATCAAACAACAGGCTCGTACAAATCTCTGGTGGAACCTAGTGTTTTCAACATGAGCTTGTTACTACCACCGACGTTGGTGTTCTTGCAACGACTCAGAAGCATCGTGCCTCCCGGTTCAGACCTCGCAGCAAGCACGCTGACGACGTTTTTGGACAATTTCTTGGTCAATGTTTTCCAGCCGCAGTTGGACGAGACACTGGCCAAGCTAAGTGATACAGTCTTTGGAGAAGCAGACGCGTTTTCTCAAGACCCGGCCTGGAGCCTGGTGGCACGTCGGCCTGTGTTCCGAGGAACGACGGCTTTCTTTGAGGTCGTGACGGCATTCTGTCGGATGCTGGGCACGATCCCTCCAGACCAAGCACTCAGCTCTCTTATTGTTACTCAAATGATGCGATACTACGACCGCTGCTTCAGCTGGTTCAAAACACTCGTTGTTAAAGCACAGGACCAGGCCACAGAGATTAGCAACGAAAATCTGAGGGCATCGGCGCGCTTCTCCTTGGATCAGGGAGAACTCCAAGAAACGATGAAGAAGCTATTCACGTCGGACGAGATGGACTGGGAACTAGCAGAGAAGGAGATTCATCTTTTGATAGAGGTTGCGAACGAATCGCCACTAGATTCAGGGGATGTCATTCAGGATAGAGATTCAATCTCATCCCTCTGTCTCTTGTACACCAGCATGAAATGGCTTGCCGTTAAGATTGCTGGACTACGGCAGATCACGACGCACGACACGGATACGTCACGACAGAACCTACCACGACACTCAAGCCGACGATGGACTCTTATGAACGACCCGGGCAAGACCACTGGTGAAGAGGGACCTGTGTCACTGCCACTGACGCAGGAGACTGTACAGTAAGTTGCGCAACTTCATGGGTGAAGGACAACACTAACAGACGACCAGGGCGTTTGACAGCATCGTGTCATCTTTCGAGGAACTTGCAGGAACGGCACTATTAACCCTCCACATGGAGATTCGCTGCCGTATAGTTCATTCGTTGAGCATTGCATTGTCACCTAGTGTGGCGCCTTACCTGCTTGACCAGGAAGTAAGCGAGCCTGATCCACAAATTCTGAGCCTCAATTCAGAATTGGTATTCCTTGATGAGACCATCGTGAGATATCTTAGAGAGAAGGAGATTGCCTTCATCAGGACGGGTCTGGGTCTTCTCATCAACTGCTACCTCGTAAGCAACGCATGCAAGGCATCGCCCATGAATGACAAGGGCTGCGGACGCATGCAGCTCAACATCCTCGTACTGCAGCAAAATCTGAAGAACGTGGAAGAAGGGGTAGACCTTGCACGTGCAGCAAACTACTTCTCTCTATACGAGCAAGGCGCTGATGCTATCGTGGAGAAGGCGAAGGAGGACAAGGAGCAGCAGCGGGGCACCAGCGCGCAAGACCCGGATAACTTTTCATACGATGAGCTCAAGGCACTCGTAGAGCTTTGCTACAGTGAGGCCATGGCGAATCCTGAGCGAGGTATCGCCACTGCAGCCAAGAGGCAGATGCAGGACAAACTGCTCGGGCTGAGTGAGCACATGTGGCAGACATAGATAGAGTATGGCACGTGGTGCATCAAGTGGTTGGTTTCAACGGAGTTGAGGATTGGCTTGGGATGGGGATGAATAGTAAATGTAAGTGATGATTGGATTCGGGTGCAAGGTAGCAGCAGCGATACATGATGAATGGTTATGGTTATATCAAGAGTGAAACCAAACAAAAGCCGGTTTGTGTGATTGTCTAATTGTTACAATGAATCAATTCCATTTCAGCAATCAAGATCAATCATAGAACACCATGAGACACACATTTGCTGTCAGTCGCTGCAAGCAGCCGCAGCGAACCACGCTGCATCCATGATAACACAAGCAAAGACGAATAAGAACAAACTCAGAATCTCATGATGAAATGTCGTGAAACAGAAAGATACCGATACATGGGCATAAGTGGTGGCGTTGCTATTCAACGTTACCCAAGTGCGGGGGAGGGAAAGTAATTTCTAATGATAGTCTCTTATTAAAGATGGGTAGATGAGATCGGCGTGAGGCAGCCCAAAAGTGACAAATGTCAGAACAGGATGATGATAGGCGGGTTGTATTTGGTATTATATGCTATGCTATTGTAGATGCAGGGGCTAGAGGGGTTATTAGATACCTATGTATGCCATACTCAGTAGATAACTTGAGCTTGTTTATTGATGAGAGTGATTGCGATCATGTATGCGAGAAGTTGAGGACGTTTAGGTAATTATTCGTGACTACGGATACCTAGGAGTCGCGGAGTTCACGGATACAGTAGCTCCCGTATGTCAAAGTTTGAGCCTTTGGATTCAAGATGAGATAAGGGGTAGATCATGGGCCAGGACTAGGCAGTGGAGATTGGTCTAGAATGGATCTATCCATGGGGGGAAGTTGTAGCGAAAGGATCAAGCATTGAGATTCTCAAACGGATGCGAGATGTCTTTATTTAAGGCCATTTTCTCTTTCGGAAGATTTGTGCTGTGTTATATTCATGGATTCATATTTTGAACATGGATACTGAGGTATTGGCGATCGATCAAGTTTCTCCACCCAGCCATGTGCAGATACGTAGGTATGGATATCAGTGAATATTGCGATGCTGGTTGTCCATCTTTTTATATCGTCATCCGTTCTGCAGTATCCAAGTTTCAAAAGGTCGCCTTTAGTCAGACCCTTAAAAGCAGAAACAAGCCACGGCTTCCATCGTCCATTGATATCCTGCACAATACTGTTATTTGCGACTACAAGCCCAAACTGGAGGGCATTTTTAAGTTGCCCCTGAACCTAATTCAAGGAGCGTGCTATGTAACGCCCCATATTCTGCTGGCGGGAGCGGTACCTTGCAGGGCGCTCTTCTTCTTGTTTAGTCCCTTAGGTTATGGCTTATGCATGCCCCCCTCCCCCGTGGCCTTCACCTGGGCCGTCTCAAACTCGACCCGGGCCATGGGATGGAGTTTAGGGGATAGGCCACGGGGGATGGAATGGAGGCTGGAGGGGTCAGGAGTTGTATAACGGGCGGTAACTAAACCGCAAGTAGCGATGGTCAAGTTTATGATGTGAAAGAAAAAGCCAATTGAAAGAGTTGACGTTGGAAAAGCTATTAAACAAGTTGAACTTTGGCTTTTGACTTTTGGCTTTTGGCTTTTGGCTTTTTAATCGCCGAAAATCAAGATTGATGATGCATATGCCATCAACTGTAACTGCAAACTACGTCAGGTGGTCAATTAGCTACATCCTCTCTAATTATTATAAATCGCGGAGCTTCTCAGCCTCTCCTGTTGGTCCCCTTTCCTGCGCAATTGCCAACTTTTATGCTGAATGGGCCTGCCCACACCCCCTTTAGCAGCCACTCAGTGTTCCCCAATGTTACAGTAGCATAGGTAGTCTAGGTCCCGTCATTATCAGTCCAATGGATGGGTATCTGGGCTGTCAGCCCCTTATCACTTCCGCCACAACCTGCCCTGAGTTGTCGGGCGGCATTTTGCACTCTGCACTGCAGCGACAGTGGCACACACACATACTGGAGGGCTCCACTACGCGCAACCTGGACCAATTGAAATAGTCCATCTAAGGTACCTCTTGGTTGCCTTGGTTAAATTCAATCAACAACAAAACAAAGCCAACCTCTTGTCTTCCATCTTTTCCCTCCCATTTGCGCCAACCTTTCTAACAAGCGCATCTCAATACCTTAATACTGTGGCTGTTTCCATTCCATCTTCAGGGTCCTTTATTCACTTTTTCCCTTAAGTTTGACCTCTAACCCCCCGGCCCTCTTAGTCCACCTCCTCAAACTATCCTTCGAGATTGCAACAACGGTACCTATTATTACCTCGCCTCATCCTGGGCCTCTCCACTATCTGTGCTGTCGGTAAGGTACCTTACACGACAGTGGAATAATAAGAGACCCCACGCGCCTGAGCGGAGCAGCCCCAAAGCCACCTTTCCCTCCCTCTGTAGCTCCTCTGGCTCCATAGGTAATCCATTTGACTCGTTACCTCTAGGTTCCCCTGGATTTAGTACATTGGTTGGATTGGACCAGCAACTTCGGGGCTTTTTGGACTTTTCAGTGGACGTCAATCTTCACTTTCCAGATCCTACATTATCAACCCATCAAACTCAAGTTACCAAAACTCAAACCTGTCGCTCTCTTACTTTTTTCTCGCTCGCTTTCTTCATTTGGTCTGCTTTGCTTTACTTGCATCGCCCTTACACTTACTTTTTAATTATCAATCGGCCACTCCTGTTGCGCTTTTGTGTTTCTCCTGTCGCAACCAAGCCCCTTGGCAACCGACTCTCATTCACCCTTTTTCCCGCGGTCTTTGGGTATTGAACCCTTCAGCTGCTGCCGCCACCATGGAAAATTCGTAAGTTTGAAGCTTTTACTCGACCTCACCAAATTCGCATGTCGCTAATGTCTGCTTCCAACAGTTTCGGTGCGACCATTAGATCTTTCTGGCATACTATGACCAGTTATGATAGACGTACGCGGCTTCCTAGTCCCCATCGCAATACCTCGAAGCTCATATGCTAAACAACCCCTAGATTCATCATTCGATTCCCCTTACAGAACTGGTCGCCATGTCCCGCTCCAGAACGGCGGTCGAGGTGGCATCATGACAGGCGTAGCAACCGCCTCCGATTCTCGAAACGATGTCTCATCTCCTTACTCCGACGAAACCGGTCGAGCCTCTCCCCTTCAACCAGACGGCACCACTTTTGCCCCCACGGGCGCCCCTTATTCCCCTGGCTTGAGGTCAATGAGCGCACGCAATGCTAGCCAAGGCGATGGCTTCGAAGTCCAGAGCCCTGGCGACGTCCCTATGCAAAACTTTTCCGACGGCCTTCCACCCGCTCCCCCAGTTGCACATTCTTGGAGGCGCATAGATGCGTGGGCCGATGAGAACTACCCAGAGCTTTACGATCAGCTATGCGAGGGTGCCACCAACAACGATCTGAACGACCTCGAGCATCAGCTTGATTGCTCTCTTCCCCAGGACGTCCGAGACTCCCTTATGATCCACGATGGCCAGGAGCGCGGAGGAAACCCAACTGGAATTATTTTTAGCCACATGCTGTTGGATTGCGAGGAGATTGTGCAAGAGTGGGAGAACTGGAGGACCGTCAACCATCAGTACCTGCTCGAGACTTCCATTGCCAAGCCCTCCACCCCTTCCAAGGCTTTCGGCGGCAGCAACGAGGCCTCCTCTTCCAAGCAAGGCGGTGCGGCTGGTAACAACCCTGGTCAATGGAGACAGGATCTTCTTTCTCGCCAGGACTGTGTACCTCCGAATGCTGTGCAAAAGGCATACGCTCACACCTCTTGGATCCCTCTGGTTCGCGATTGGGGTGGCAACAACTTGGCTGTCGATGTTTCGCCCGGTCCTGGCGGTCAGTGGGGTCAGATCATCCTCTTCGGTCGTGATTACGATACCAAGTACGTTGTAGCTCGCTCTTGGTCCGCCTTTCTGGCTGTTGTTGCGGACGACCTCAACAGCGGCAAGTGGTACGTGGACGAAGAGACTAATGAGCTCAAGCTGCGAGAGTTTAAGGAGACACGGATTGAGCCCTCGTATTTCAGCATCTTGAGATGGAGAATGGATCAGAAATACGGACGACGGGCTGCTTCCAAGCGAAGGTCGATGGGTCCCAAGCCCAGCTCCCCTCTCGGTTCCCGCTCTTCTTCGCCTTACAGCAGCGGTGGTGATAACGGTGAGGGCCGAGGCCGATCCATGCAACGTCTTAGCGGCTCCTCTCCTTTGGCCAGCCCTCGACCTGGGCCTGGTTACGGAAAGGCTACTCCCTTGAGCAGAGTAACGGAGGAGACACCAATCCCTGAGCTTGCCGACGCATTTATCCAACCCGAGAAGCTCGTAGAGGTTGAAACCCCTCGGCAGAGCCAGGACAGCAAGACACCCAAGGTCACAACCAGCATCCCTCGTGTGTCATCCGACCTTCTCAAGGTGGAGGAAGATCCCTCCCCCAAAGCAAATGGCAAGAAGCCCGAGGTAGTGGACGAATCGATGAAGACGATCGAGATTTAAGCACCGAGCGATTGGTAGTGTATTTTGCAATAGAGGAAAGCACGGGGACTGGCATACAGGGACAATGATTGCATGAGACTCATTATTATTTACAACTTTTTTGGCATAGGCCCCATGTGGAGGCGGCTCTTGACAAAAGGTACACACACATTTGGCGTTAAGGGCGTCGTGAGAAATACGCAAGATTCCATGATCCTTTCTATGAGAGGCAAACTTTATTATTTTCTTCTTCCCCTTACTCCCACGAGTACGATGTCTCGATGGAGGAATCGCGGGAAACAGCACACAGGCTTTAGTATATTATGAAAGCTTTGTTTATCAGCCAGGGACGACGTGGATAGGTGGTTGTCTGCGGATAGTTGGGGTTGCTGGCGCGAGGCAGCTCGATGAAGCCTCTCATGGAGATAGGATTGATGGTAATCATTGTATGAATAAGAAATCACGTTTCGGTTCACTTTTGGGATAATCATTGACGCGATTGATGTGATGGAGGTGTTGGGTGGTCCTTTTGATTGTATGATATATTGATATGACCTTGCTTTGAGCATTTTGGTACAGGGTAACGTCATCAGCTTCAAATTAATTATCCAATAAATAAATTAATTAATATTTCAGCTAGATTGCAAAGTAATCCCTAGTTATGTCTATCTTCCAACACTCTCCTCAAGCTGTTTTATGAAACTACATAGAACTCGGTGGAATTTAAACAAACTCTGCTAATTCTATAAAAATTCTACATTGTCATTTAAACTTCTCAGAATAAAATCACTTGAACGTCTACTTACGGGTTAAAAGACATTAAATAGACGTTATTTACCTATTTTTCACATTTTTCTTTTAGTAGTCTATTTGAAGTAAATGCTAGATACTGAAAAATGGCATGATCTATACATTTGTTTTACCAGTATTCATCATTTCAACGTTGCATCTGAAATCGATCTCTGCTGATTGATAAGAATCTTATCAGGGGTTCGACGATCACCACCAAAAGATGATCCTTCGCTGCAAGAACCCCACAACCAAGACTCTTAGAGCTATTTCGTGCGGAGCTCGCCGGGACCGGGCTTAACAGGTCCTTCCCGTACAACCGTCAAACTTGTTTCTTCATTCTGTACAACCTAGCATCTCAATGGCTTGAGTGTTTCTTCCGGAGCTGAAAACATACAACTCACTCGTCGATATATCAAAACTTGGCCCTCATACTATCAGTGACGCATCCGCCATGAGCTCGACTACATCATCGCGCCGTCTTCGAGTCGGCATCGACGTCGGTGGGACAAACACAGACGGTGTCCTTATTGATCCCCTGGAGACTTCACGACCTGACCGTGGAATCATCGCGTGGCACAAAGAACCAACTACAACCAACCCAAGCGTCGGCATAAACAATGCTCTTACTACGATGCTCAGCTCTGCTTCCATCAGTCCCCAAGAAGTCGCGAGCGTGACGATAGGAACCACACACTTTGTTAACGCCGTCGTCGAAAGAGACGCTGCGAGATTATCTCGAGTTGCTGTTATTCGTCTTTGCGGGCCCTTCTCGAAGCATAACCTACCATGCGTCGACTGGCCTAGTGATATGAGAGAACTTATTCTAGGCCATCATGCTCTTGTAAAGGGTGGGCTGGAAGTGGATGGTCGGCTGATATCCGATATTGATCAGGACGAGATCAAGGCCCAGTGCTCGATCATCAAGGACAAGGGAATCAAGAGCGTGGTGGTCATTGGCATCTTCAGTCCTATTGATACCGTGGAACTACAGGAAGAGCGAGCAGCAGATATCATCAGATCTGAAATCCCTGGATGCGACGTTGTGTGCTCCAAGGAGGTCGCCAATCTTGGATTCCTCGAGAGAGAAAACGCCGCTATTCTCAACGCTTCTATCCTACCCTTTGCCCGCAAGACTATTCGATCTTTCCACGAACCTGTCAAGAAGTTGGGGTTAAACTGCCCTGTGTTCATTACCCAAAACGATGGCACTGTTCTATCTGGTGAACTTGCTGCCCGCCTACCGATTCGAACTTTCTCAAGTGGCCCTACCAACAGTATGAGAGGAGCTGCCTTTCTGGTACAGGACGAACTCGATGAAGCTATGATGGTGGTGGATATTGGCGGGACCACATCTGATGTTGGAATTCTTTTGGAGAACGGCTTTCCTCGCCAACAAGCAGCCTACAGTGATCTCTCGGGAGTGAGGATGAACTTTTCCTGTCCTGACATCAAGAGCATCGGCCTTGGCGGGGGTTCCATTGTTCGAAAAGACAACGGCGTCTCGGTTGGGCCAGAAAGCGTAGGGTACAAGCTTACTAAAGAAGCTATTGTATTTGGTGGAAAGGTCCTGACTGCGACGGATTGTACGATACTTGCTAACCCAGACCTGAAGATCGGAGATCTAGCGCTTGTCAAGGACGTTCTTTCAGAGGAAGAGCTTAAAAAAGTCAACCTCGTTGTCAAACAAAAGTTGGAGAAGGTGATTGATACAATGAAGACGTCACCTCAAGATATACCAGTCATTCTGGTTGGAGGCGGAGCTGTCATTGCCCCTGATGAACTTAAGGGAGCAAGCAAGGTCCTCAAGCCGCAGTGGTCACAGGTTGCCAACGCTATTGGTGCTGCTATTGCAAGGGTGAGCGCTGTTGTGGATACTGTCAAGTCGACGGCTTCGCAGTCAACAAACGAGCTGCTTGAGGAAGTTAGTCAAGAGGCTATTGAGAAGACTGTCAAGGCGGGAGCATCGAGATCGACGATCAAGGTTGTCGAGAAAGAGGCCTTGCCGCTCCAAGTAAGCTATCAACGAATTATGCTTGGGAAAATGGCTAATAGTATTGCAGTATATTGCCAACAAGACTCGGTTTGTTGTTAGAGCAACTGGAGACTTCGACTTCTCTAAAGAAAGCGTTACGACGGAAGTGCAGGAGACTTCTGATGAATATCAAGATATGGATGATTACGAGAAGAGCACCAAGGAAAAGGACTCAAAGCGCAAGGCAAATGTGGAAGAGGAGTTTGATATCCTTTCATACCGCCCCGATGTGAGGAAACGAACATGGTATTTATCTGAGACGGACGTGGCGTGGATCGCAACGGGTTGTTATATTTTAGGCACAGGAGGCGGTGGTAGCCCGTACGGACTCATGATTCGGCTTCGAACCCAGCTACGGAACGGAGCTGTAATCAGAGTCGTCAATCCTGAGGATCTTCCTGATGATGCTCAAGTTGGCTGTGGAGGAGGAGCGGGAAGTCCAACTGTGGCAATTGAAAAGCTGGCGGGCGATGAACTCCTCGAAGCACAACAACATCTGTACAAGATATGTAATACGACCGCTACTCACATGATATCGGTCGAGGTTGGAGGAGCTAATGGCCTGAGTGGATTGTTGCTTGGATCGAGCGATCAGATGGACATTCCTACTGTCGATGGAGACTGGATGGGCCGGGCATATCCCACGAAATGGCAGACGACACCTGTGGTATTCAAAGAGAGGGAGACTATCTGGTCGCCAATTGCTGTCAGCGATGGGAATGGCAATGCACTAGTTATGCCAAAGGCATCCTCTGACGAGGCTGTCGAGCGCATTATCCGCTCTGCCCTGAGCGAGATGGGGTCTCAGGTCGGCGCCGCAGATGCGCCAGTCACAGGAGCAGAGACGAAGCGATGGGCTGTCGAACACACACTCTCTCAGTCGTGGAGAATAGGGAGTGCCGTTGCTCGAGCACGAAAGGAGAACCGCGTGGACAATGTCGCTGAGATCATCATCGATGAGTGCGGTGGTCCCGGAGCAGGCAAGGTCCTGTGGAAGGGCAAAATCATCGGCGTGGAGAGGACACTGAGGAACGGTCACGTCTACGGCGAGTGTCTTATCGAGGGAGCTGATGTTCGAGACGAAGACAATGCAGCTCCTGGAGATAACCCAGAGCAAGAGAAGTTCAAGGGGGTCATCAAGATCCCATTCAAGAACGAGAACATCGCCGCCATCAAGGTACGCCCCGACCGCAGCAACGAGTGTCAGGAAGATGTCCTTGCCATCGTCCCCGACCTTGTCTGTGTGATCGATGCACAGAATGGAGAAGCGGTCGGAACACCAGAGTACAGGTATGGATTGCTCGTTGTTGTGCTAGGGATCGCAGCGAGCGATAGATGGACTGGATCGGAGAGGGGAATCAAGATAGGAGGACCCGAAGCGTTTGGGTTTGAGCACTTGAAGTTTGAGCCTCTGGGGAAGTATTTCAAAACGAGGAGTGTTATTGATGAGTATGATGAGTCTACAGTTCTGTGCAAAAGCTCAGACAACGAGCCAACAAGAGATGTGCAGTAGATAAATAGATTATATGAAGGCTATATGACTTTATATAGAATCTTATAAACCCTTAAATGGAGGAAATTGTCAGAACCTTTGTATACACACTGTAAGTAGATAGAGTCTGCGGTCATGGGGAACCACGTATTTAGCTGTATTAAAAACCCCACAGCTTTGACCACAGTTTCGTAAGAGTCGCTCAAACTGGCATGTTTATGTTTCGGTTGCTTCAAAAGATAGTCTACGTTGTCATAAGTTCAAGATTCGTGATACCCAGGACCTCAGGGGAAAATACAACACAGGATGTAAGGTATGTTAGACATTAGGCTTTCTTTGGCGGATCATCTATTATACAAGAGGAGTAAGAATATAAGAAGAACAATATTTTAGAACAACCTTTATTAATACTTATGGTGTATTTTAGTTAAGAGAACATCTCATTTAATATTTATCTTTTGGTCTAAAGATATCTCAGTGGAAGACACACGGCCAGTATTTTATTTCCCCAAGCCAAGGTGGGCTTAATGTTCGATCAAGGTGAGGCTTATTCACCTTGGTCTAAATCCGGCTAGCGTTCTGCTGCCGCCCCACCACCCCATATTACTTGACCTTGACATCCCGCCTTCCATCATGGTTCTTCCATCTTCCAAAACACCACCACAGACTCATTTCACTGTCGCAAGACTCTCACCATAACATCACTCACAAAATACATATTGCTTTAACCTCAAATCACCATGGGTTCTGTTGTACTCCCCCATCTCAACAGCGGCTGGCATGTCGACCAAGCCATCCTCTCAGGTAACCACCCTCCACCATCTTCCCCCAAATCACATATTAACAAACCTCTAGAGGAAGACCGTCTCGTCGTGATCCGCTTCGGGCGCGATTGGGATCCGGACTGCATGCGCCAAGATGAAGTCCTCTACAAGATCGCCGACAAGGTCCGCAACTTCGCCGCCGTCTACCTCTGCGACATCGACCAGGTGCCCGACTTCAACCAGATGTACGAGCTCTACGACCCGTGCTCGCTCATGTTCTTCTTCCGAAACAAGCACATGATGATCGATCTGGGAACCGGTGACAACAATAAGATCAAATGGGTGCTCGAAGATAAGCAGGAGCTTATTGACATCTTCGAGACGGTGTACCGAGGTGCCAAGAAGGGACGCGGTTTGGTCGTCAGTCCCAAGGACTACTCCACACGCCACAGGTACTAGTTATGTGCAAGGAAAAATCTTTGGAATTCTGGGCGCGGAATAGGAGTTGGATTTGTTTTCTTACAAAGTGGTGCTAATCATGATTTTATCACAAATGGGGGCGGAGGAGGGATAGCGACATGAGGCTTCTTAGCCCAAATCGAGAAATGATATTACGACACAACAGGTGCTGTCGAGACAGTTGCTTATGGATCAAATGGTGAGAATCCTAAGTGCCTTTTTTTGAAACCACTTCTGACACAACCTGATAAGATCAAGTTTGCTGTGGCTATAGTTCACACTGCGTTATGCTGTGGAGCTTTGCTGCGGCAGACAGAATGTAAGTGGAGGATACTGACCATCCTAACCAGTGTAATTCGTAGGATGACTCGTAAAACGACCGACTTAAGCCTAAGTTCGTAGTTGTTCCTTTCGTGGTGTACTGAGCAACTAAGCCTACTGATCGCGTGGAGCATACGTAGAACTCATAGACCTCTCAGAATCGATGGCAAAAATTACAATTACAGTGGGTGTGCAAAAGGTGTGATAACGTCTTATCTTTTCAAGTTATATAAAATACATGTATATATCATGTTTCTAGTTGGCTCATTGTCGAAGCCTTTGCACAAGACTGTACAAACCTCCAAGGTCGAACGGGTCTCGACTCGTCACAGCAGATAAATCCATCAAAATGTACTTGCAAACTCGCATATTAGTAGTGGGAAGCCATCTCCGTTGTGGTTTTATAAAGAACACCAATAAATATCGCTAGTCGTCGCTCGCTCAATACTTCTCGCAGCTTCATATCACACTTCCCCTGTCGCAGACCCAGTATAAAGTTGCCTATGCCTGTGGTGTGCATGAGCTCTTCATTACTCCCAGGAAGCCCAGGCTGGACCTTCATGACGTGCAAGTCACCATCCCGTCTCTCGGCCGCAGCGACTGTGCCTGCATATGTACCCGTGCCGATACTGAGAGCCATGTGTCCGAACTTCTCCTTGCAAACCTGCCCAATGCTGATCTCTCCTTTTGCCAATCCCATACTCGTGGCGCGAGCTTCACCAATATGGCTACTATGTACCCATACAACAGCCTTAGTATCTGTACCACGGTGTTGAAGTATTCTCTCCAGAGTCTCAGACATGTGCGCAACAAGTAGGTTCCATGCCTCATACCGAACTCGGTACATGGCTTTATAGTAACTCTAGGCATCTGTAGATGTGTTAGTCACTAAAGAACATGGTGGCTGACCAGCTGACTTACCTTTGACGATTCTTGTGTTTTGTACTCCGCTGTGAATCTATTCTGTCATGGTGAGCTGAGGAGTATTCAAAGCGTTTATCCAAGAGGGGCTGAAGCATCGCAACAAATCACTTTCCTGCCCCTAAAAAGATTTTGATAATGGCTCTAGGCCGTATTAGTGAGGATGTTCAGCCCAGTCCATAAGCTCTCCGTGTCGATCCTTTGCAGATTGTGCCATGTTCAACGGTTTCCAGATAGTTGACAACAGCCTTCATTGAAGTCACCATTGAATAGAAATCCATCCCACACAAGCCTACGGCCTCTTCCTTTGATCCAGAGTTATAAGACTGCATCCATTATACAAAGTCGTGAACTTCGGTATTGTGCCACATTCACGTCGGGAAGCGCAAGAACGCTGGTTATCTACCCTCCTTCTCTACCGTCTGGGTAGCCTCCGCTGTGCCTTCACCCGGGCCTGGTCGGTGCCTGTCATATCGGTCTACATGCTCGGTATCAGTCCAATCTGCTTCGACTGCAACAATGTTGAAACCGTGTTTCGCTATCATGTACTTTGTAATCTCAGTGGGTACCGAGTAAAACTCGGATGTAACATGGGAGGAGTCACCGATAAGCAACACTTTGCAATCACTGCAGCTGTCGACATATTTCGAGATTATCCCTGAATCTTGAGATACAGATTTAAAGGGGGTAGCGTGTGCTTTGACTTGTTCAATGGTTGATAGTTCTATGTTGCGTGGCTTGGTTTGGGTTCGAGCAGAGGTTGAGGAGAGCCTTGTAAGTGACCCTGGTTTCCCTAATGATGTTACGAGGACTGTAGTTAAAGATTTACGATTTAGACCGGAGTGCCCACGGGTAGTTCTTACTTTATATGAGTGGGACAATGTCGTCCTGACTGAGAATTACTCAGGCTGACGAAGTTGTCCACGGACGATCACATCGCATATGACATCATGAATAGTCACAAGTTGTGATTCGAGTAGGTGTAGAACATTTCTGTCTTCTTCTTTTCTTGGGAGCTCAAACCGGAGGATGATCGATTCTGTGGACATGGGACTGGACACATTTCTAGACACAACAGCCCTCTTTGTGTAAGTCATTGCAAGGTAACGCCAGACCTGGTTGAAGAGTATTGTCAGCGTACTATAATCACAACTCCGGAAACAGTTCCGGGTGATGATCTCTCACCTACTAACTAATGTAACGCTATCAACACGGAGGTGGCGATAGCTTCATAATAACAATAAACGAATAATATCAATGGCTCAGCTGCGAAGACTGCCACTGGTACAGATGCTTGATTTCTGGTTCAATTGGCTTTGCCTAACACCTAGTACCTGCCAAGACAAATCTCTCGGTCGTAAGACAGTCCGAATCAATGGCGAACGAAATTTGAAAGTGATGCTCAAAAACGGCTAGTCAGTTGACAATACAAGTTAGGGATGAGGCATCAAACGTGATATTCCACTCCGATTGATCGATGAGATGCAGGATGTCTACTTCAGCATAAATCAGCTTGAGTATTGTGCAATACTCACTTACTAGGTACGCAATTCTGACTCAACGCCTCCTAGACATTTAAATCGTCAGCTTTTAAATCTTGTATCCCAAAGATTTCTATCATAACCTTCCTCCTTATTCAACAGGGCAATGTAAGCACTGTAAGCAAGGGCAGAGACAGAAGTCGACCACATGCTGCAGAAAGGTTGCCAGAGAATGTTCAATGACAGGCGATGGAGGTGGGTTTTAACAACAGTTTCGGGTGACCAGAACCTGTTATAAACGATGATATAGGGGCCATTGAGTTATATTGGGTATTGAGGGCATGCGTACGTATCCGAGAAAAACCCTTGAAACGCTCACAGAGCTATTGGGAAATAACTCGTCCATTATGGACGGCCTAATGCTTCCTTACAGCAATTATAGCTGAAGAGAAGGCAATTAAGTTTGGCCTCTTGAAACCTGGAGTAACTCATGTTGTGCGTACTATGAGGCAATGGGCTTGTGGAAGGGGTCGAGCCTGTTCGATTCGGTGGTTCTTCGTTAGAATTCGGGTTATGAGTCGATTCTGCTGTTTAGCTCATTGTGCTACCCCTGCATTCAGAAGCGTTGTTAGTATGAAATCATGCATTGTTAGAAGTTAAATCGACTTAGCCATTCCGGCCATGTACAGACACAAGAGTATAGTTACTATAACAGCAGCCAGGTGCACCAAGGGATTCCCATAACAGGCGAGATCCTAGGAAGCTAGGAAGAACTCTCTTTCGTGGACTTATGCAGGGCCAGAGAATAGTGTCGAATCCAGACATAAGTATAAATGTTGAGTACGTTTGGGTATGTATAAGTCGACCCTTGGTTGTCGAATCGGATTCAGATACCGAGTATGCTATGAAATACTCGTTCATGTATGCCTAAAACATATGGCAAAAACGATACCGGAAACTAACAGTTACGACTTCGTGCTTCTGGAGGCATACCGTCAGCTCTTGTGTGATAATTAATAGAACCTGTGAGTTTGTTCGACTTACTGGCTTCATGTTGTATTTGACAAGAAATGGAGGCTGTAGCAGCCTGAAGATCCAAAGGAACTGAAACTGACTCGACTTCTTGTGGTCCCTTTGTTGGTTCTTTATCGTCCAGAAGCCATGGGCATTGGTTCAAAATGCTTCGGATAACAGACCTCTGGTAGTAGGATGGTTCCCTATTGTGATTCCGGTGGTTGCATTAGGGGTATGGAACTCGTGATAACTAGACGTTTGAAAGAGTCAGCTGGCGATCTGTAGAGCACGATTCAAAGCAAATAGGATTGATCATTCCATACCAATACAATAGAAATAGCTGTTAAGGGCTTCTAATGCTTGGACCTAGACATATAGTATTCGAGTGGCATGCTCGACATTCTCTCATCTTTTCAGGCCCACCTCGTGATGACGGTTCAGGGGTATCAGCCCCTTGACGATACAACTCTGGGCAGTAACTCTCTGGTAATGAAGTCCAGCTTGGAGCCCCGGCTGGTATTCAAGTTTCGGAATAGGTTTTTGGGAGTTATGAGCCAATGGACCTGAAGGTCTGGTAGATATGAAAGAGGAGGCAGAACTGGCTCTCCTGAATACTAGCTATATTCTGCATCAGCGTTTTTGGATCAAGACTAAACCAGTTCCCTTTCATACCAACATTCAGGAGCTAGTGATGCTTTATCAATGCGATTGAAGTCTTGGGGTTGCTCGAAAATAAGTCGGTGGTTGCGTACCTTCTCAAGAGAACATAGCCTAGTAGCATAGTGTCCAGATTTGATTCCTCACATTAGCCATCTTGATCCGGAGTGCGACACGAGAGCACGAAAACATCAGTTCGTCCTTGAGCTAGACCGATCTCTTTCGTACTCGAATAACAGGCAGCGACGAGCCAAGAGATGTTGCGGAGGCTGAGGTATCGTAATTTTCCTCAGCTGGGCATCGCCCCAAGCCGTCCCAAGTTTCTGATAGGTCATTGATGGACTCGTCTTCGGTACTGGGACTCAGCCAGCTGATGGTGCTTGTCGATGTACTTGACGCGCCGTTCAGGATGACAGATTCCCACATGGTCCCCTATACGAGTAGCTGATTAGTGCTCGGTTTCTCATGCCTGACTTGTACTTGTAGATGGAAGATACTCACCTCTGAGGCTATCGTCGAGTTTGAAGGGTAAATGGAGGGGTATTGTCGAATATCCTCTCGACATCAAGGTTAATTAGGAACCTGAGGGTGAAGAGACTGGCATTCTGTGGTTTCTCGAAGGTTCAGCAAAACTATCAACGATGGGAGCAACGTAGGACCGACAAATACAACTGGACTCTTCAAAGAGGGAATGTACAAATGAACAAAGGGATGCCAATGAATATGAAGTTTTGTGGTTTGGATGAGATCACAGCCCGGGTATTCGAACGATGTTACAGGTATGTTCTGCTATAATTTACTGGCCTACCTACAGTAGCCCCTCCTGGCCGGTAGAAGACCTACCTGTGCGAACAGCCGAACAGCGGGGACTTGCACGCTGAACCAACACAAGTAAAGCATCCAGTGCCAAGACGAACATGTACGACACTTGAAATCAGGGAAATACAGATATTTCCTCTTAGCTATCGACTTCCAAGCAATCCTGCTACAATGTCGGCTTCCCTTAGTTGTTCAAATCCCAAACTGGCGCCCTTTGCGCATTCAGGGGTATACCCAGCCAGGCAGCTGACGAAACGAATCTTCTCTTGAATAGAATAGATGGTGAGCCATTTTCCTGAATGAACTTGTGGTACATGAACTCAATTGTACTGTCTAGTTCCCCTTCATGCACTCGGCCGAATCGACATCCATGGACTGCCCCATGCCCAGCTTAGATCGACGCTGCAGGGTCCCCCATGTAAAAAGATCTACCCTCAGACAAAACGAGACTTGGCAGACCCGATCGAGCAGGCCTGTCAACTTGGACCATAGCTACTAGCCAGGGGTATTCTCATCGTTCGATAGGAGGATTCTTGAGACTCGAGCCAGTAGATACCACCGCAGCCTTTGCTGGCAGTTCACTGATGGAAAACCAATGCCGTACCCTGATTCTGTTCTATATGCCGACTGTCAGAAATTGAGATTTCTGGTCTCGCGTGAAGAGATGCATGGACGGTTCTCGAGGATGCAAGTGCCACTGTACCACTGGATCTTGTTAGATAAGATTTGGACAAGTAAAAGGAGATCTTAAGATCGTGGACTCGATGACGAGGGTATATGAAGTAGGTTATCTGATTTTTCATATGATTTGAATGGGTAGAAATCAAATGTTCATTGTAGAGCATCCCCCAGTGAAGAAATCCTGCTTCAGAGCCCCAGCGCCTAAGATGGCCCCTGCCACCCACCACCAGCATCAAACTACCTCACCTTTGTCTTTGTCAAAATCTTGAACAACATCACCGAACTTGGAGATGTTCGATCTATTTGTTCTGTTTTTTACGTTCTATCAGACTCGCAAGCTTGCCTCCTCGATCTTTCCGCCGTACCTCTGCGATGGAAAGCTGCTACTTACCTCTCTTTCGACGATCTACGGCACCTGCGACATGAGATTTGCTCCAGCAGATCTACCGTCTGTCTACTATATGTACCAGGTCTTCCAGATGAAGCTACTCACTTCTGCAGTCGCCATCACGAAAAAGCCCCCTTCACGAACGCGAGACTCCTCGAAGACGAAGCGAAACGACGAAGTTACCGCCACCCAACGCCTCAAGCATGTCGAGATATCATTCAAGGGTAAGCAAGATCGATACTCGATGCCACAGAGATGTAATTCCCTTTCTGAGATTTCTTTGCCGTCCTTGGCTAACGAGTGGCTTCGCAGATTGCTTTCCTGCGCCAATCGACCTCCCTGCTTTAACAACGCCCAAGAAGCACAGAAAACCGAACCCTATCATCAGCTATCCTATAGGATCCAATATTCAGTATACCTTCCTTCCAAACGGCCAGATCAGCGTTGTGGCTGCAACGGCGGCGAAGCTTAGACGTTACCAGTAGCTTTCTCCTACCCACGATCACGAAGACCTTCAGAGAATGCTTAGTTCAAGTGCATATCAGTCTAGAAGAGGAAAGATTCATTGTAAATCTTCACATTGAGGCAAGAAGGACGCTGTCAAGGCCCAGGGGCTTCTTCTGGAGATCAGGGGAAACCACGACTTGGAGAATTGATCTATGGCCTGTATAGCGAGTACAAGGCATGAAGTAACCAACTTACTTAGATTAAATGCCAATTTGAACGTCACCCCTGAAACGTCAAACTTGTAAAGTCTAGGTTTGCGCTCTGGGCTGCAGTGTGTGCATTACGCCACCCAGACTATCAAATTACACGATTCGAAGTGAGCTAAGCGCCATGATGCAAATACAATACTATCTGAAGTGTCTATAGAGTGGATGAGATATGAATAGTTTGCTGTAGCGTGTCTCATTGTGGATTTCTGTTCGAGTGGCATCGGCCATCAACCCCTGAGTCGAAATCATATTTTGTCGATTTGGAGAGAAGAACATCGTATGTCCTCAGTAAAAGGCTTCAAATAATACACTAATGCATGTTTGGCAGCGGGATTAGCGTCTTGGGTGCGGGTTGAGCTCCCCACTAGGCAGTGATGGGATCCATGGGTCCATATCAAACGCATCGATATGGGACCTGTCACTGGCAAATTTCACCACAACAAGGCATGCAAAGATTTGGAATAAAGTATCGAAGCATCATATACATCTATAGAATCTATTGCGAAGATTTGAAAGTCCAAATGTTACTTTTGGTGAAATGAAGGGCTGTACTGGGATGCGTCGGAATACTACAAGGAGGGGAACTAGGCTACCATTTTACAAGACGATCTACAATATGAATTCAGTTCAGCTTCCATTAATGACCAAGTGACATTGTATGAACTGCTAGTCTACCTAGGGGAACTCCACGAGCAGTGCCATGAAGCATTAGGGCCAGCACCTGTAGGGGAGTGTCAGGGACCATGCGTCACTCCCTGAGGCATCCCATTCTGTTAGGGCATATACCATTCACTACCTAGTTACAAGGAATATTCTAGAGGACCTTAGGCAATTCTGTTTGTGTTTGGTGCTGTGGCAACCTAGCTCTCTTGTGGTGGTGGATATCTTTCTCCCGCCCAGGCGCTTCTCCCCCTCCTCTGCTTTTTCTCCTCCACCACCAAAAACATCGAGATCCGACGCAACACATCACATCGTAACGCGTTTTTCTCCCAGAGATCTCCTTTGGTTGTCTACATCTACATCTACATCTTCATCTGCTTCACCCTCTTCATCTTCATCTACTTCTTCTCTTTCTATTCCATTTCATCCCTTCCCTTCTATCATCCCCCGTCACAGGATTCGCATCGTCTCCTTTGATTTGCTTCATATCATAAACAACAGAAGCATCACTTCGTAAGGGCACTTCAGTGTCTATATTTTCCCTTTATCCCACATCGCTCTCTCATCCTACACACAACTTCTCACAATTTCCCTTTATTCATGCTGGCTGCTTGATCTCACATAAACCACCATCCACCATGTCGACCGATCCAGCTGGGACGCCAGGCACAGCTGCATCAAACAGCTCAGCTGTTCCGAACGCATCGGCCATGACTTATGGTCAAAATGCATCACTCAAAAAGATGCCCTGTGAGATCCTTCGCATGATCGCCAACGAGCTTGGTGAACGCGAAGTCAACAACGGGATGTACCATTCATTTGGAAGTCTCGCCAACCTCATCCTTGCTGTCAAGCCAGCAAAAGAAGTTCTCGAAGAGTATCTTTACACAGAAGATCTCTTGTGCGACACCCTCAAGGGCTTCTTCATGCCCTGGAAAGGAAATGATGAACTTGCAGTTGCAGTTCTCTCGAAATACCCTGAGGCTCTTCTAAAACTTCACATCGACACTCAGTTCACTGACACTATTCAAAACAAACCAGCAACTTGGACTCTGCTTCATGTGGCAGCTACCTTTGCCCTACAAAAGACGATCATCAAACTGCACGAACTGGGTGCCCTGTACCAGGATATCGTGGGTTTCGCCCCCGTGCTGGGCGATGACTTTAATCAGATTCTGAAGTACCATACCAGAATCTCCCATCATCCCCTTTTTGGTCACCTTCAAGCGCTACGCTGGAATCCTGGGTTCGCACCGTTTATCCTAGGAAACAAAAAAACTTATATTCTGCTGGCCAGACTGTGGAAGCGGGAAACTTACTCAGTCGCAACGTATCATTTCAGATACGTTATCATCAACAAGCCTACTGACTACCCAATGACTCTGCAACATCTGGCAGTACTTGGTGATGACTTGATATCCCTGAAGTGGACGAAGTATGCAGCCCAGAACTACCCGTCGGCGGTTGAAGCCCCCGGTGGTGAGACTAGAGCTTCCGTCTTACATGCTGCCTTGAAAGCTAACAACAAGCCGGTGCTCGAGTTCCTCCTCAAGAACGGCATTGGCTTTGGGCCCCATTTTGTCGACACCGATGGGAATAACCCTTTCCATACCCTTATCATCGAGGGTCTAAAAGCAACAGACGCCAAGTCGCGAGCGGAGTGGCGCAAGTTGAAGGACGTATTTTTCAACACTGTGCCTCAACTTGAATGGAACGTCTTGATGGTCCAGGCTCAGCATCCTCGTAACTCTGCTCTACAACTCGCTATAGAGCACATCAGAAACAACTGGGGTGCCTCGAAGGGCGCGATCAAAGAAATCATCGACCTTGTCCTCAAACAAGAGATGATTCTCTTGAAGAAGTGGAACATGCCCCCCAAATCTCTCCTGGTAAACCTCCCGAATGCAGACGGCGATACTCCCCTGAGCCGACTTGCAGACATCATCGACAATCGTGAGCAGGCCATTAGCAAAGCTCACTGGAATCTCTTCGACGATCTGATCGAAAAGCATGGCGCTGACATCAATCTCGATGTCAATGCCATCTTCACACCAAAGTCGTACCGACATTCCATCGCAAACCAGGTACACAGGAGGGGAAGGTTCGTGGGCCATGTCTGCGACATGTTTGGCGAAGAACATCGCGCCGAGATTGACGAGACCTATCCCATCAGCACACCCACCAACATGGACACTTACGGGTTCCATGCGCACCAACTCCCTCCTGGCAATCCGCTGAATCTGCAAGTGCCTTTCAGCTGGCCACTCTTGCCAGTGCCTCCGATGGTACCAGGAGTGGCCAATACCATCGTGTACCGGGAGCGGGCATACAACTATGCCATCACTGGCGATCCCGATCACTCTCCGCACTTTGCGCATGTTCTATACCTTCATAGACCCATTGCCGCCGCTGCCAACCAGGCCCCTGCTGCCGCCTCTGCTGCTGAGGCCGCCCAGGACGAACGAGACGAGACTCGGGCCTAGATGCCAATCTGGCAGGCCATGTACTTTTTGGACCCAACGACTCCTGCCGCGAGACCGACCAGTTTAAGAACACGACGCAGGACGGTCTGCCCTTCGGGGTAGAAGACAGGATTGGCAAAGGGAGGGAGGGAGGGAGGGTTGGGGAGGTGACTTTTTGGTTCGGCACGAGGGATAGGAAGGTTGGGGGTATTTTTTTGGGGGGAAACCCCGGTAATCATGTATAAGTTTTGTAATGATGTATGAGTTTTGTAACATTGTATGAGCATTGCTGTGAATGTGTTCCCTGTCTATCACTGTGGGTGTAACGACTGAGCTGCACCAACAGCATAATGCAGCAATAGCGATGTCAAAGGCCACACACAAGGTCACATTTGAATGGCGCAATCGTCTTGTCAAAACGAACTGCTTCATCAAGACTGGTCTCCTGCCGAACAAGATAACACTCGATCGGAGGTGGCCGACTGCCACTGACTTTGAACGAAGTTGACTGTAAAGGATAGCTTATCGTGAGATTGTATGTGTTGATAGGGCCATAGTATTCACATATGAGTGACCCAGACTCTTGAAACCTCCTCGAGATCAGCTTCCTAACTGAGCATCTTGATAAGAGATCTGCAGCAAAGATCTACAGATGCTAGGTGAAGGATAGTCTGGGGCTAGCACTGTAAATGAAAAGGTCATGAGACACATTTCCCAGATAAGCAACACCCTAAAAACAAACATCCACGACATCGTCTCGAAGCACCTACATATATCTTTCAGCCTCATAATACATTTTGATTTCTATCTACAATATGACAAGGGAATATTCCAAGTATAAGCCAGAAAATAGCAAATATCTCAGTCGTTTATGTCCCAGCTAACATCTCTCCAAGACAAACACACATACCCTAAACATCCTCCTCCCATCGCCAAGCCCTCAACCCCAACCCATGTCCCACATCTCGGACTCTCACTTCCCCAAAAGGCAGGTTTTCAATGCCTCCGAAGCTCCCCACACTCAGACAGCACCAAATACAGAAGTTCCGCGCGACGATCACCGGCACTACTTTCTTATCAGCGTGGGAGCATCTCAGCCTTTAACTGGACCCTGAGCTTTCTCATCCCCAGCCCCAAGCGGCACTTGGCGAAGATTAAACGCTGGGCGAAAGGCCTAGCAAAAAACATGGCGATCTGCTCGCCTATCACAATGCCTCGTGCCCTGAGAGATCAGCGGTGCTGATTGCCGATATGGGAGCGTCGGTCAACGTGAGACGTGAGGAGACGAGAGAGTCTTGCTTCATGCGCCGGCTTGAATTGTCCAACTGGGAAGGAGGATGAGGTGTTTGCTGTGATAGTGATGGCTTGTGTATCCTCGGAGAATTGGAGGGGATCTCGGAAAGAGCATGTCTTGGGGGTTGAAGAGTATAAAGATGCCAGTGTAAGCTGTAGCTTGTCTAGGAAATCCTCGTCGGCTCATCTCTCCTCCTCATCTCACTCACTCATCACTCCTCTTCAACTCCTCTCTTCTCAAACTTCTCAAGATGAAGTTCTCCGTCGCCATCCTCCTCCCCGTCGCTGGTGTCCTCGCCGCACCTACACCTGTAAGCTGGCCTACCACTCCCAAGCCCTCATCACCACATTTCTAACATATATCTAGCCCGGCATCCCCAGTGCTTCCAGTGCCCGAACTCTCCTGAGCGGCCTCACTGTTGCTGCCTGGACAAACACCGGTACTTACGACAGAGACCTCTTCCCCCACTGGGAGACATACGAGGGCGCCTGCAACACTCGGTGAGCACAACCCGTTGGAAGGAATAGAACAGAAGAATCCATGTACTGACGAGTTACAAGCGAGTATGTCTTGAAGCGCGACGGTGTCAATGTCGTAACCAACTCAGCTTGTGCTTCTACTTCTGGCACCTGGAACTCCCCGTACGACGGAGCTTCGTGGACACTGGCCAGTGATATTGATATTGATCACATGGTTCCTCTGAAGAACGCCTGGATCGTAAGTTCACCAAGATAACTCAACCTCTACAATATACTTGCTCTGCAGAAACACCAACTAACAACTCCCAGTCCGGCGCTGCATCCTGGACAACAGCAAAGCGAACCCTATTCGCCAACGACGTGACAAGGCCTCAGCTGTGGGCAGGTAAGTCAAGCCTCTCCCAAAGGGACCAACACCAATAGCTAACACACGATGCAGTCACCGACAACGTCAACCAGGCCAAGAGCGACAAGTCTCCCGATTCCTGGAAGCCTCCCCTGACGAGCTTCTACTGCACCTACTCCAAGAGTTGGATCCAGGTTAAGAGCTACTGGCAGTTGACCATCACCAGTGCCGAGAAGACTGCTCTTAGCTCCATGCTTGACTACTGTTAGATGAGGTGACGAGTGACAGGACGAGTACTTGGGAAATTGAGGGATGAAAGATGAGTATTGTATATACGTTCTGAACAAGATAGCCCAGGTGTTTTGTTACCACCTGTAGCAGGTTATAGTAAATACACATTTGGAAAAACACAACTTTTGTCGCTTACCCTAGTTATAGCCGTGGCTTCACGTCAAGTCTGCACTCATCAACACCGTTGAAATAACCCACCCCAACTCAACATACACAGCATAACTCAGTAGGCGGCAAGTCTCAAACGAATAAAAATGATCATCATATTCAGTGACATACTCATATATCATCGAAATGCCATTGTAAGAAAGAATATTAATTGTATACACATCCAAATATTTAAGGCATTACTTGAACACCACATCTTCTCCCACCTCATCAACCCCACGCTCTTTTTTTATACACCGTAGAATTCAATATTATTCATAAACCGCAAACGTCTGGACCACCAGAGCTGCGTAACGGACCGTGAGAAAATAAAGTTGTAAAATCAAAAGAGACACGCCAACACCAAATATGCACTGTACGTTAAAGCCCGATGCCCGTGGATGCTTATTCATACATGGATCATTTTAGGGTCTCAGAGTCAGGTCTCCTTCGTCCTCGCTGCTGACATCCATGTCACCCTCACTGAGTTCACCTCGCGCAGCTCGTTGCGCCAGGTCTCTCTCGGAATAGATTTCCTGCTTTCGTAACTCGGCCTGTCGGAGGCAGTCGACGTATGTAGTGAATTTGACGATTTCTCGAAGTAAATATGCGCTCTTGCGCTCCCAGTTAGCCATAGCCTTCACAGCGTTGCTGCCTCTAGGGGTAAACGCCAAAAGCATGGGGCTGCGAAGTCGGTTGTGCGTCTGTAGCTCTGCCTCGATACCCTTAACATAAGCATCCAGAGTCTGAAGCTGGTCTGCTTCTTGCTGATTGCTGGGCCGCATGCTCTGCGTTGGTGGTGTCCACTCTGCAATGTGAATGCGGTCGCCTGGCAGCTTACCACGTCCACTGTTGTTGGTGAAAGCACCCGCGACATGATCGAAGCTCGAGTTGCGGAAGCTGCCGCTGTTGACGCTGGATCTTCGGCCATGTGCTGCGCTGCTTCCAGGACGAGATGTCTTGCCCGGGGCCGTCTCGTTGATGGCTGATACCAAAGCATTGTTGACAATGGCCTCACTCCATCCGTACTCGATGTTACTTATGCCACCAGTCAACGGATGGGTGCTCAGTCGAGCGCTCCAGTAGTTGGCTGTAGTAACAAACTCCTTGCAAATCTCGGGTGTGCCAACCTGGAACAAATGAACAGCGCCGTTAGGTAGGCTTAGAGCCCAAACATGAGGCCGAGCCCGAGAGTATCCTGGTGGTGGAAGGGCGGACGCTAGAGTCTGTCGGAGGTTATAGCAGCCCAGATTCGTTGCATTATCTTGCCAGTTGCCACCACCAACGATAGCAGGACCATTGCGAGCATTTCTGCCCCGGTTTCTCGCACGGACAGATTTGTTGGGCTGGAACGAGAAGAGATTGAGCTGTCCCTTCTGGATGACAGCAAAGACCTCTGACCAATTTCTAGCCTTGGCCTTCTTGTCCACGCCATCCAAGTGATGCTTATGAGTGACCATTCCCTCCTTGACCCACGGGGGCCCGGCAAGCTCAAGAGACTCATCCTCGAGTAGTTGAGTTGCGGGGAGATCCGAGCTCATGATGGACGGAGCGCCATCTCCATAAACTTCCTCATCCCGAATGATAGCCTGACTCAAGGCATTTGCGAAACCAATTGATTGCTGGTAGTCGTTGCGAGGGAGATGAGAACCAAAGGAATCCTGCGAAACAGAAGTCTGAGTCCTTCCCAACGAGTGACGACTCCAAGTAGCCGAAGATGCTGTAGGACTCCACAATGAGTTTCCATCATCGAAACTGGTACGACTGGAGGAGAAGCCATTGCGACTCATTGCAGCACGAGATCGACTCTTGGATGTCCACCTTCCTGTCGTGTTTCGACCATTCTCGTTAATGCGACCGCGAACAGATAATTGACTCTCCGAGGGAGCCTTACTAAGGACACTGGGAGATCTCTTGAGCATTCCCATCACCGAGAGACCACTGTTGGTTGGATGCAAGTTGGCGTTCTTCTCAGACTCGGCACCAAACAACGGCAGTCGTTCCTCCTTGATGGATGTGTAGATTCCCTTAAGAACAGTTTCTATCTGTTCCTCCCACGCCTTTCTCGTGCCTGAAAAGGGTGTCTTGATCAATGGACCACAATCTTCGATACCTTCGGCGGGCAAGGTGCCCGAGTCTGCACGGGCTGGTGGTCTGAAAGAGTGCCTAAATGACCTTCGATCCTGCTCAGGAGGGTGTTCTTGGTTATCGTTTCCGTCGGGGAGAATGCTTGGGCGGTGGAAAGCATCAGGTGCCGCTTCGTCGACGGCCTGCAGAATGGTCGCCATGGTGTTCTTGATGAACTGACTGCGGGTCATCTTATGCTCGATATCGGCCATATGAAGGTCAGTGTTGAGCAGCATGATTGAGTAGCAGATGGTGTGGATGACATCTATCAAAAGTTAGCTTAGAAGGTAAATAAGTGTCGGTTATGCTTACCAGTCGCTTTGAACCCATGGCGAGGGTTGCAGTCACACCATCTTTTGGAAAAGGCCACCAGGATGCGATCAACCTGTTGAGTCTCTGCGCGGAAGATCAATCGTCCACAAACTTGTCTCAGAGCTTGGACAATGCTCTGGTTGGTAAAATCGTAAAGCTCCATGTAAGCTTGTAGTGTGCGTTGTCTAATTGGACCTTCTTCACCCATAAATGAAGCAGCCTTCTCCTTTGAGATGAAATCCTCGTTTCCGTCGTAGATCTTCTGGGCCTTTTGACGGTCATCCTCAGTCGGATCACCGATGACAAACTCAGGCTCGTCAATTCCCTTATTCTTGATAGCGTCAAAAGTTCCGGGCATCTTCGGACTAGGGTCCGCCGAACTTTCAATTCTTACACTAGGGGGAGCACTGAGAGCAGACTTATAATCTGTACCGGTTGAAGCTGATCCTGGACTAGAGGCTCGGGCTCCTTCGATGGGCAGTGCCAAGTTGGAGCGGCCGTGCTCATCCTCCGAGTCAGACTGTTCAGGCTGCTGGGAAGACTTCCTCGACCTGGTCTGCTCTTTGCCACCTCGGGGAATATCTCTAGCTGGAGTGCTTTCAGGTTTGGATTTGGACATGCTAGCTAGCTTTCGGCTCGATAGTCCACGCTCCTCCTCGTTGTCACTCATTCCATCGAGGTTGAGGAAAGAGTTGTTCCGTGACTCGAAGGTTTTGGTAGGCCTCTCGGGTGGAGGTCGGGAGGGCGTCATATCCATGTTATTTCGCTTGTCGAGTTGTTCATCAGACCCGGAACGGACAGTCCTGATCCTAGCATTGGGGCTTGGCGAATAATCAGGCGAGAATTCTCTCTTATACTCTTCTCTATCTTCGGCCCTGTCATCTCGTTCCGGGGTCATGTTTGATATATCGGCAAGTGGGGATGGCCCTTGGGGGCCAGGTGTACCTTGTGGATTTTGACCAGATCGGAGATACGGATTCATAACCTTGCGTAAACTGCTGACTGGACTTGGATGTGGTGGGAAATTGCCATCTCTTTCCTGGGGAGCCAAGTTGGGCACAGCTGTGGGCACAGGTGCGGTAGGCATTGTAGGTAGCGGAGGTGTGTCTTCAGTGACGGACTTCTTGCGACGGCGGAAGAATGACGACGGCTTCTTTTGTAATGTAGGATGATGAGAGTGTGATGAGGATGTATCGCGAGAAGGTGGCGTTGATGCGTTACCAGCCACCTTGTTCTCAACGGGAGGATTCGATTGTGGTATTGGAGGATTTGTTGCTTCGACGCTGTTATGTGAGTTGTTACGGGATGAGCCAAACACCCTCCTGAAAAACCCTGGACGTTCCTTGACGGGTGCAGGTGCATGTGTTGCAGGCGTTGGGCCGCTGTGCACGGCCGCCTCCTTTGACTTCCCATAGCCGACGCTGGGTGCAGGCGCCGAATCGAGGTCCAATACTGGTACAGCAGGTGTCGGCTCCCGTGAAGTAGCAGGTTTGCGTCCCGATACACTTTTTAGTGAGCGACTGCTGCGTTTATGATCAAGTGTTGGGAGCTCAAGAGGTGCTGGCGGCATCGGTGGTGGGATGGTCGAGGGTTGTACCGACATCGTAGGGATCGACGGTTCCCGTCGTGGGCCTCCCGGCACATTGGGGGTCGGGGCTGCATCGTATTCATCGTCGATGTAACTATTCGGGAACTCGACTCGAAAGGGGGGAGTTTCGACCACTGGGGGTTGTGATGTTGATGGTTGTTGCTGAGGACCATAGTCAAAACTAGCAGATCGTCCAAAGCCGCGTCCGTACCGCTGGCTTCCAAGAACCTGAACATAACCAGCGTCGACACTGGCTGTACTGCTGCTCTTGCTGCCCGGTTTTCCCCCTCTTGAATGCATGGCTCTTGAGCCTGCTTTGTGACCTTCGCGTACGCTATTGAGGCGCGGAAAGCTCGATTGGAAGTTGGAACTACTGTTACTTCGTCGGCCGCGGCTTGATTTACGGCTGGAGTCGTCTGCACCTTCTAGGTCTGAGCTGTAAGAGTACTGGTGCCCAGCGGGTCGAGGTGGTCCTGCGACAGAAGTGGAGGCTACCCAACTTCTGGTCTGCTCAGAGGCGACGAACTGCGGTGTTGTCTCGTCAAAGGTATGTGAACGTGAACCGGGTGTGGATGATGGGCCGTACTTGTCGCTCAATTGTGCCATGGAGAATTGGTCGAGAGACATGAGCATGTTAGCCACAAGAGAGTCTCGGGTAACGTTGCGAGGAGAGAGCGACAAGTCGTGGGAGTCGCGATGGGCAGTAGATTTTGGTAGGCGATCGGCCATATCTTCCTCGACAGGAGTAGCGTTCTCTAAGAAGGACTCATGCGTGTGAGCCGGCAATTTGGTAGGCGCCCGATTGCTGGTACTGATATGGGTATTGCGCGACGACGACTTAGACTTAGACTTGGACTGCGACGAACGATAATCTGAGTCCTGAGGAGGCGGCGTCCTAGGCTGTGGAATGGACTCTCTTTCCCTAGGCAGTGGCGAGGCAAGGGATGCAGTGTTTGTGTTGATATTCAAGTCGGTATGAGGCCGACGTCGAGTCCTACGACGGGCATTGTCGTGAGGAAGAGGCGTATTCGAGAATGAAGGGGACGACATATTGATTCGATGGGGGCCGTGTTCGTAAAAAGGGCTTTTTTCCCTCCCCAGTCTGGCTTAGACTTTGGGACTGACACTGACTTTGGCACTTCTCAGCTTTGTCGAGCTACCGTAGGCACTCTACTCTCACCAGACCGAACCAAGCCAATCTGAGAATGCGTAGAGGCAGGGCTAGCTAAGTTAGCAAAAGAAGCCGGGCTTCCGCATGGGTCGAAAAAAAGCCACGCGCGAACGACTGGGCCAGGTGGGAGTTGGCGGTTGGCTCTTTGACGGGACTGGGCCGTGGAATTGTGACGTGACAAAGTTGGCGAATGCTAAGAATTTCGTCTGTTGACGGGGCCCTTGGAGGAATTTCAATCTAGCAGCTGAGGTGTCTGAGCATGGACGGCAAGTACTGTAGGTACCTCTGGGTTTTTGGGGGGACCTGGGGGGTCTGGCGAATGTACCTGCGTCAATCACCAAAGAACAAATCATCCCGTAGCGCGCTACATCCACTATTCGAAGGGTCCTATTCGTCGCAAAGTCGTGCTTCAAATTGTTGTCTACAGGGGGGATGTGTCCGGAAGGAGGGGCGACAGGGGTCTTTTAACGCAGGGGGGACATGTTCATTGGTGTTGATTGCCAGCAGTTGAGTTGGTTGTTGGTGAACGAACACCTGGAAGTACCTGGTACGAACTGGGGATACTCAACGTCCACTGAGAACAAGAATGCTGATGAAATGTTTGGGGGAAGAAGGGTATGCACATGAACCTATCCGTCCAAGGTTGCACACATTGGTATGCTTACTACGGTATCTATGGCTTATCTTAGGTCCAGTTCTTGTATCATCAATCGAGTTGCTGTCCTCGTGAAGCGCTGTTCAAGTACTTGCCCGTGTGTTTGCGTCGTACTTGTATCGGTACTGTAGAAGCACCAGGCTTCGGGTATTTATGACACCTCACTTATAAACGGTACTAGGTTAATTAGTAGGTACTGACAGGTACCTCAGTAGAGCTAACTCGTACTGAATGCTGGTTGACGGTGGATATCATCACCACAACCACCTGAAGATGAATCTACTGCTACGGAGCAAACCAATAAACCACGCAAGATACTGCAGGACAGACGGACACATACGCAGCAAACTGTAGCTAATTGATAGTTACAGCTGCATCTGCACTGCAATTACTATGGCACGAGACGATTCAATTCTTGCTTTAACTAAAAACGCCAGCCCGAGACCGTCAAACACTTACCATGTTGGTGTACGCTAATCCCGCCGGTCTAAACTCCAATGAGGTCAAACTTATTGAGCCAAGCCATGTTAATGTTAGGCCCTCACTTAACAGAGAAGGATTCACAAGAAAAATGGATAACAAAACCAGCCCTGTCGTTGCCGAGTCAGTAGGGAAAGTCTAATATAATCAGCCAATGCAATGCTCCGAGTCAATGGAAAGAAAGAAAAAAGAGAACTAACCAAGCCAACTCAACTGCAAATCATACACAACTTCCCCGGGCTTTCAATTCCCTCGTACCTTTTGAGGAGAGAGAGGGTCTGTTGTCTGTCCCAGCAGTCTGGGCTGGGCGTTCAGGCAAGGTATTCGGGCAATAGAGCCAAGGACCCTGGAAGATAGCAGGGGAGCCTCTTTTTTCCCCTTCCTCTCTTCCCTGTCGTTCCCATCTGCGCGTGAGCATCTTCATCTGCCGCGGCTTCGGCAGGATTGCCTAAGTCGTCGGTGAAAGGGGGAAAATGCAGGGATTTGTGAAAGCAGTCCTTCCAGAATTCAGATCAGCTCGGTGGATCATGGAACACGGTTAGCTCCTTGCGATACCATGTGGGCAGGACTCAAAACTAGGCTTCGAGGAGTCTTTTGGTTGCATTTATGACAATGGCATTGCTCACGGGTAGATGCTGCTCCGAAATATCCGCAGTGAGTATTTATATGCATGTATATGCTACTTCAATGATGAAACCAATGATTAGATGTTGTGAATGTTTATAAACAATTCACCTGCTCCCTACTCCGTAGATCCTTGCGGATCTGATCTGATCATTAAAGTTATGTTTATGATACAGTGGCGTGAACTCAATCTATGTACAAACAAGCAATACATTCCCTGACTATTAATATATCTGTAGAGTTTCTTGGTCTTATAGTATATGAAACCAGAGGCAAAAAAGCATATGACGGTCACCTAACATTGTTCAGGAATAGACCAACTAGACCTGAAAGACTAGAATTTGGTTCTCCCTCGGAGTGGACATGTTTCACTGTTGGTTTGTAGATTCTGTTGCGGCTGCAAGGTACGTGAGACACTGTGTGGGTAAAGCTGTTGATTGGCAGTTTTACGGAAGTCATTTTCCTTCATTATCGTCGGTCGAGAAGATAAAACGAACTATTGACTGCTTGACATCTTGTTTAATTAACACAAAATAGTCTTGACTCGTAACTCGGAAGGTTTAGGTGTTACAGGTCTTGGCTGATGCATCCACGAGTAAGACCATGGATTGAAGAGAACACCAAGCCTCCTGTCCTAGCCCGAGAGCACACAATCACGATCACAAAGTCTGCTAAACCTACCTTTGCTCCGTCTTGCAATAGTTATAGGCTGGTATGGCAAGTAGCTTTATCATAGAGTTTTATGCAGTTAAATCTTAAGATGTAGACTCTAGCACGGTTCCTGCATTTGACTTCCTGGTGGTTGAACGTCGATTGGGACTGGCAGTCGGCACCTGGCCGAGCTTTTCTTTGATACGAGGCTTCACGATCAGTCATGAATGAACTGATTTTATAATTCATCATACTATTTCCCACCTCGAAACCTAGCCCAAGGACTTATGGCTCAGCCATCACCTCCAGTCGCCGGCTACTGCTGATGGCTTGCAGTTTGTGAGTAGTAGAAGTTTCGGAAGATTTGGCATAGATCTCAAGGTCGGAGCTTATGTAGCTGGTGGTTAGTGGAAAAATAAGCCGAGACCAAGATTCCAGAGATTGTCTGCCATGATTGAGAGGCCTGCTGTTCGCGTGAGACAACCCATCATCACCAGATGGACTGGTCCTGTTCCCGGGTTTCTTTGATACAAAGGTATCATGCCGGGCTTATATACGGGACTTATCTGAACCACGAACTAATCTGTCAGTGAACGCATAATAACTGAAGCCCAATTCGCTCACCCTCAGCTCGGCATACAGCCTCTTCTCGCCGCGAGATTCTGAACCCGTCTTTGCATTCTTTCGGATAAAGGACAGTCGTGTTCAATATTGACGTTCGAATCCACTGTCAATGCATATCTGGTACGAATGTTTTCTCTCATCACCTATCATCAGGTTAGCGTTCCATTGTCATTGTAAGCTGCTCGATACAACTCATACGAGTGATAAATATGACTGAAATTTTCGGCTTCAAATCCGGGATTTGGAACAACTTTTTCTTATTCTTTTCAAGCCGGTCTTGATCGATGTGTCACGAGTGATGAACAGTTTGATGACATTGTTAGAAGAGAGGATGATGGTCCAAAACAGGAAACTTGAAGCCCAGTGACAATTTGTGGGGATGTATTTTGAAGAAAATAGCCTGCCCAAGAGACTAGCAAATGAGGAAGTGCTAACCGCCATGATATGCTGGCTATTGCGTCAGTACTTTGTAAGGCTTCATAATGAAGAAATAACTCAGGGCCATTAATAAAACCAGACCAGTCATGAAGGATCCTGTTACACTCTGAGTTGTGACGAGTTTTCTCTGTTTCTTTGTACGTATTTGCAATGGTTCTGTTCAAACATCGTACCTAAAATGGCATCTCTAAGCACCCCCAAATGATCCACATTCACAGATGGAGGGTCCTTCAAGTATGGGGAAATGCGAAGATATTGACCCTGCCCTGCTTTCTTCGTCTTTGCTATACAACTCTCTTGAAATGGAAAGACGAAGCGCCAGATCAGCTGCATGAGAATGTGAGGCCAACTGTAACAACCATGTGTTCAATCTTCCTCTGTCCAGGTTCATTTACACTTCCTCCATAACCTCATCAATTATATCACGCCATGTGCTCACTCGCCGCCTCACAACCTCTCACGAACGGCCCAGGTCCTATAATTGACGACAAAAAAACCATCCCCAGCAGCCTCTTCAACCATGCCCAGACCCTCGAGGCTCCTTTGCCAAACCCTTCTCTTCAAGTCACCGCAGATCACAACCTGAAGAGGGTCGATGCGCCTGTATATGCGCCCCAAACCGGCGAGGTCCTTCTTCATGTCAAGGCGACTGGCATCTGCGGGTGAGATGACTAGCCAAACTTGCAGCCAGATCAATCACTCACAACTGCGAATAGCTCGGATGTTCATTTTTGGAAAACAGGGTGTATAGGATCCCTTGTCTTCGAGGGCGATTGCATCATTGGGCATGAAGCCGCGGGTGTGGTGATTCGCGTTGGTGAAGGCGTTGAGGACCTCAAGGCCGGTACGACAATGAGCCAAAGACAAGATTTACTATTGTACTTACACGAATGGCAGGTGATCGAGTAGCTGTTGAACCTGGAGTTCCCTGCGGACATTGCTTCCTGTGTAAAGACGGCCGATACAACCTCTGCGAAGATGTTAAGTTTTCAGGCGTCTACCCTTATGCTGGTACTTTGCAGCGATATAAAGTCCACCCTGCCAAATGGCTTCACAAGTACACACACGTCGACCCTATTGTACGCATAGAGAAACTCACATATGACTAGACTCCCTGATAGTGTCTCTTTCGCTGAAGGCGCCCTCCTCGAGCCTTTGAGCGTCGTTCTCCACGGCATAAACTCCGCACCCATCACCCTCGGAACACCGGTCGTTATCTGTGGCGCTGGCCCTATTGGTCTTCTAGCCCTTGCCGCTGCGCGAGCTTCAGGTGCTCATCCCCTCGTCATTACTGATATCGAGCCCAAGCGACTAGCGTTTGCAAAGGAGCTGGTTCCTGCTGCTGTGACGTATCAGGTTGATATGGCCAAGAGCAGTGAGGAGAACGGCAAGGCTGTTAGGCAGTTGTTTGGCGAGACAGAATATGTTCAGCCTAGGGTTGTGTTTGAGTGTACGGGTATCGAAAGCAGTGTCTGTTCAGCCGCGTATATGGTGCGTCGCGGGGGTGTTCTCATGGTCGTTGGTGTCGGCCGTTCCATCATGAACAACCTGCCCTTTATGCATTTATCTCTTGCTGAGGTATGTTATCAATGTGGTACTCGGAATACATGCTAACTGGGATGGCAAACAGATCCAACTTCGATTTATCAACCGGTATAAAGATACTTGGCCCGCAGGTATCGCATGTATTGAGGGGGGTTTGATTGATGTGAAGAAGTTGGTTTCGCATGTTTTTCCTCTAGAGCAGGCACTTGAGGGCTTGACTCTATCATCTGATCCTAGGAATGGGTGTATTAAGGTGCAAATTGTCGACGAGACGGAGACGAGTTATTTCTAGATGATATGACATTAGTTAGGTATTGTTTATTGTGGTGTTGATCATGGTGTATCTACCCTCAGCATGTTCGATATCAGCGGGTCTTCATACGTATATCAATATTGAACATGCCTTCTGTAAGTATTGGTCGATAAAGTAGTGTCGTATAAAATCCGAGACGTGTAAGTGAATGTGTCGTGTGACTTTAGTGTATGTATACTCGACGGTTGCTCCCGTCCCATGATACAAGGATTCGATTAGTGGAGTTTATTTACATCAGCGGTTGAGGCACTGAAACAGTTTCACTCGTCCACCGCCACCTTTAACGGTCCTGCACCACAAGAAGAAAACCTATACATAGATACTATATGAAATTATGCACCCTATTCAAACTGTTATTCACATTGTCGAATGCTCAATATGTTATTATTGCGACTCTCATAGCCCAAGCCTTTTACTCCCCGCGCTTACTCTTCCGTCTTGGCTCCAGTTAGTTAGGCTCCTTAGCCAAGACCACAACCACTAAGCCTCAGTGACCCCAGTACAAAGTTGGTGTGATGACGTCGTATTCTTCATCGTCAGGGGGCCCATGGACGCATCTGACATGCCTCTTCGCCTTCTTACTCGTCGCTGCCTGGGCCAGATCTGCGGATGAGGGTGTCGAGATAGGGCTTTTAAGGCTGGAAAGAAAGGCTGAGCGCTGGGCTCCTATATAATGACTATGCGATGCCCACTTTAGGTAGGTAGGTAGGTATTGCTCACAAGAACACAAGGCAACTTCGTCTTGTATGGAACGGTCGTTAATTCTTTCCTTTTCATCACGCGACACTAGACCTCCTCCTCAGTTGTCTCGTCTTGGCTCTCACTAGATACCTATAAACTCATATCTCACCAACTCCGCCAAACTTGATCCTATAACGTTGACCTATTTTCAGTTTCTCTTCGACGTCCAATGGCAACTTTTTGAGCTTCACCGACTCGCTCATCAAGACCATGGGCGCAACTCAATTCTACCGCTCTCAAATCGGTGAGGAGTCTGTCATCGACTACTCCCATACCGACCTTCCCTTCAAGCTTCTTGCCAAAGACATCTACTACTTCTGTGTCTACATATGGGCACTGCCATGGATCGTATGGCCCGTGTATCCTTTCAAGTCCAAGGACTTTGACGAGCTGTACCCGTCATCTCAAAACATCTTCTGCATCGTCGTGCACCTTGTCCTAGTCATCCTTCAGCTGGGATTTCTACTAGCATTACCATTTGCTGTAGTCTTGCCAGTTTGGCTGGCGGCAGCGGCTATCGCTGGTTTTATGACGCTGAACTGGCTGCTCTGCAAGCTTCTGAATGGAAACCAAGAGACATATACGTCAGACGAGAAGTACGCCAAGGCCTTGCCCGAGCATGCTCATGAGCAGTGGGTTTTCTTGAACGGCGTTGCTGTTGGGTGCGTCATCTCCTATCTCTTGTATATCCTATATACTAACAAACCTCAGAGAGCATTGGATGAAATCAAATCTCAATCGATTGGCCTTGACCTTTGGGCGACCTATCCTAGGAATCCACAATCAAACTTCTGGAATTCTGTTCGATGTTGTCGAATGCTTAATCCAACGAAACTTTGGCTACGCAACCGGAGATGTCAGAATCTGCTTCCGACTTCTCAAAGACATCTTATACGATGAGAGCAAGTCCAAGGTCATATTCGTGCTTCACTCTCAAGGAGGAATCGAAGGCGGCCTCGTTCTCGACTGGCTGTTGCAGGAGTTACCGCAGGATCTCATGTCCAAGCTTGAGGTCTACACCTTTGGAAATGCTGCAAACCACTTCAACAACCCCCATCGCCATAGAGCTTCACAGACCCTATCTCGCCTCAAGCCTCTCTCCGCCATGAGCACAATCTTGACCGAGTCCTCCTTCGACTCCCCTACCAAGAGCCCCCATGAACCCAAAGATGGGCTTAATATCAAGACTCGCAATCCCGTTAGAAAGGAGTCTTCCAGTGTGTCAACCCGATCGATTTCAGCTGCCAAAGACAGATGTATCTTGCACGTTGAGCACTATGCGAATAGTACAGATTTCGTTGCTATCTGGGGCATCTTGCACTTCGCCACAAACCGAATGGAATCCCGAGAACTTCCCAGATTCCAGGGAAGGCTGTTCTCTCGTGCAGACGGCCGTCACGGTGGGCACCAAATGAACCAGCATTACCTCAACGCCATGTTTCCTCTGAAGACAGATGCCGAGACGGGAGAGTATGTGGGCGCCGACGAAGACAACGAGTTCATGAACGAGATCATCAAGGTCGGCGAAGAAGGCAGCGCCTCCTCCAACGCAAGAGAAGCTTTCGAGATATCCTGGGCTGGAACCCAGGGATTCGGATCTGGCGATGCTTCCACACCGATCGAGGTGCATGGAATCTCAAACAAATTCAAAGATGTAAACGGCGAGCATGATATTCGCGTAAAGAATGTCAGCCGTCTCTGGAGCTACCGAAATGGTCGAAGCCCAGTGGAATTGCCCCCCATGTTGGTTGCCGAGAATGGTGTTCCTAGAACAGCTACCTTATAAGCGCCCCAGAGAGAGTTTGGGATAAGGTTTTGGATAGTATGATATTGTATAGTCTACTGAACGATGGCACGAGGTATTATGATAGTTGAGTGTTAACGAAGCAGAACGAGCGTTGGTTGACTTGGATTTCTATTCTTTTAATGGTATTAAACACGTCAAGGCCATGATCGGCCAAGTATGTGGAATCGAGTACGTACATTGACCCATCGAACACAGCAACTTAAATGTTTGAGTGTTACCTAAGAACAGCGATACATAAACCAAACAAGTATTTATCCACGTCGCCAACTGAGATGGCGACTCTCAAAAGAACGTAGGATTTATGTATTTACCCCAGGGTCTAATTCTGCTTATTTCATACATCCACATTCACCACATCTAGTAGCTCCAGGACTTCCGCCACAAACTCTACAGTTTGCGCACATGTTGGTATATAATCTTCGTAAGCCCAGGTAATGGAGATACAGCCCAGGGTACTATGAGTCTTAGCTCTCAAGGTCCAATAAAGTATGCACATAGCTTACCTGGTTTAAAGTCTATCTGGGGGTTGGAAACACGAAGCACTTGGAGTTACGTTGTGCTTTCGTTGCAAAGGCTCTTGATGTAAGTCCTCTAGTATTCATACAAGCAGGTAAGATTCGAGATGTCCTGGAGAGGTCATGAGGAGAATACAGTGGCTATATACCAATACTATTAGGCTGAATTGTTAATCGCCAGCTTTCTGCCTGATATCTAGAACATGTAGCCACGACTTTTCCCACTTCCCCTCACTCGTGAATACAGCACTCTCCTTGCTATAATCTCAAGACGAAGCTTATTTTAAAAGTAGTACCCTCTACATAAATTGGTATTATTGATAGCTTTAGGGTCTACATTTTATTAAGAATTGATCTCTATATCAGATTCTATATATAAGTTTTCATTTTCACATAAAAAGTCCTGTTCTAAGCCCATTTTTCTCAAAGCTCCCGCCTCAATACCGCAGGCCGCCCATAGCCATGCCCGGATGGCGGAGTGTTGGTATTTCTGCGTCTCCGAACCGCAGTATCTTGATCCTCGAGATCACCTGTGGGTCCGGTGATTTCCAATGGATACACAGGTTGACTATTACTAAGATGGGACTGTCCAAACTCAACAATATGCCCATTGAATTTTATTCCTCCAGAACCAGACCTCACCATCTCTGCGCTATCAGATGACAGATCTGGCCTGGGGGCAGAGGTAACATCCCGTCGAGCAGCTCCCTCAGGATTCCATGGTCCTGCATGCCGGAGCTGCCAGGCTTGATAGCCAGAAGGTATGTTGTCGAAGCTGGTGGTGGGATGTCGTGGCGATGGCTCTGTGGCTGTGACTGAAGGGACACGACTTGCCCAGCGGGGGGCTGGAAGATGTGCCGCTGGTGTTCCTGATTTGGACGACGAGTTGCGTGTCATTGGCTGGGATGAGGAGTCGTCAAATCCTGAAGAAGGTGGTCGGAGGGTGCTACTGGCAATACTGCCAGGTGAGGAAGAGAAGACTCCACCAGTGGAAGCGGTTCGGCGATGAGACGAAAGGTTTTGTTGATAGTGGGACATAGGTCTGAGACTGCTGACTGAATTGCTGGTGATGGGTAGACCGGGAGCCCAATCGTCGATTTCCGCATCTAGGGATGTATCCGAGTGTCTTGCCCGCGGTAGAATCGGAGCAGGGTCTTCGTGGAGCCAGTTTGCATTGGCGATATCCATTGATGGAATCGAGGCGGCCCCCGAAGAGCCCCCCATAAACGGATTCTCAGAAATGCGTTCCCGGCTCGTTTCTCTAATCTGCTGTTGCGGGGGTATTATTTGATCTCTGTATGCCGGTGACGATGCCCTATGAGCGGAATGTGATCTTTTGCTCACAAACTGGGCGTCTATCTCTTCATACTCGGATATTCGTGGACTGTGCTGGCTCGAATAGCTTCCCGCCATCCTTTGTTGTGATGTCAACTGTCCCTCCCCGTCGTCCTCCTCATAGAAAACCGGTGCTGGGATTGTGCTATCGTAAGGATACGGTGCATCATTATCATCCTCCAAGGAAGGGAAACTAGTTCGTAGATCCCAGGGAGTCTGTTGCTCTTCCTCCTGATTGTCGCTATCCGCGTTCGAAAAAGAGCTGGACAGAGAAGCGCTGTTGCTCTTCTCAAACACAGACACATAAGGACCCCGTACCCATCTTCCTTCAGAGTCCGTCGTCATTGAGCGTGCCAAGGTACGAATCTTGCCCTGGATGTCCCCAAATCGACTTTTCAGTGCGTGCTCAACAGCCATGAGTTCCATAGTTGGCTTATCGACTCCTTGTATGTGCTTCAAGATCCTCCGGCAATGAGTGGCGTATCTCCTATAATCATCTGGAAGTCCCATCTCCTTGTTGTTCTTGGCCCGATTATCAGCGTGGTCAAAGGATCGAAGGAAGACAGCTGCAGCACGCTCAAGCCAGAAGTTGTATTGGCCCTCTACTTTCAAAGCCTCAATGAAGAAGCTCTGTACTATGCCATGGATCTTGAGGACGTCCAGGGGTTCCATAGGTCTTGCACTGGGTATCTCTCCTGGGGTACCAACAGATGAGACATCCTCAATCTCATCACGCTCGATCAATGCGAATGCTATTAGAACGGTAAAGGTCTTGTTAAGACTTCTTTTACCCATCGAGTCATGGGTGCGCACCGGAGTACGCTTGTCGAGGGCTTTCAGACCTGTAAGAGTCAGCTCTGTGTTATGGATACAAGACTGTGAACAAGACACACCAAGTGAGAGCAACTCAACCGGAACTCGGCCACCGAAAAAGCACAGCAAATACATCAAGTTTAGTGCTGCCGTCTCGCCACGTTCCTGTAACTTCTCTCTTACAGCTTTGTACGCGCCAAGCCCACCTGCACGAGGCCGTTTCTTATACGACCGAATGTACTTGATGAGTGGCTCTTTGGTAGCTTTCATCTGGCCGGCTGCAGCATGTATAGCCAGAGGTAAACCTTCGACCAATTGGACCACTTCGAGTGCTCGGTCAAGATCTTCCTGTGTCCACGGTCTCTTCTTATCCATCTCCTCTAATAGTAGCGCCTGAGCGTCATTGTCAGCCATGGGGCCTAGTTCGAGCTTCTGAGGGTTATCGAAGTGATGGTTCCCTGAGATGGATGTGTCGGTGGACGTTAGGATCATACTCGAGTTTCTTGAATCGGGTATACAATTAGTGACGTTAGGAGTATCGTTTAGAACACCGTCCAAGATGAGAAGCCAGTTCTCCGAGCGGTCGAGCCAATCTACGACCAAAGGTATAACCTTGCTCGGATTTTGAAGAGTTGTCTCGTCCTGGACTTCAATCTCAGCTCGAGAAATAGCATACTTGGCGATCCTCAAGAATCCATCTTCGAGATCCTCCGGTGTTTTGGCACGCACCCAGAACACTCCACCAGGATAGTCGTGTCGATGTTTGAATGCATACTCTCTCGCAAGATGTGTCTTACCACCTCCAGGGACCGACCATATAAGAACAGCCGAGGTTCCCTGATCTCTCCGGTCGATGTCCATGAGCATACCGTGAAGATCCTCCAGCTCCTGCTGTCGACCTCTGAAAAGCGAGTTTGGTCGAAATCGTTCTGGGTGGACAAATATGGTTTCGTGCTTTGTGAGCTGCGCCAAAGTTGACTTTTCAAAGACTGGCTTTCCTCCTCTGGTAGATACACCAATATCTCTTTGGGCAGGTCTCTGATTTTCACCCGTGAATGGCGACATGAGCTCATTCGCTTTTGCCATGGCGCGGGCTCGTCGCTCATCTTCTTCAGCAAGCCAGCGCTCTTGTATCGCCGAAGGGGCCTTTAGAATCCATTGCTGCATAGTGATGGCAATATTGCGGAATCCAGGTGAGCTCATGCCGTCGAACTTGCACATACTCGAGTGAGTTGCTTCTATTCCGTAGTAAGTCACTCCAGGTAACTGAGGCCCGGCTGAGTTTGCATCGACGACAATGATTCTACGATCATGGTTAGCGGGTTTTCAAGTAAGATGAGGGAAGAGATATAACATACTTATGGCCTTTGATGTCCGTCTTCTGGTTTTCACGAACCATGTGAATCTCAAAGCGCTGATAAATATCCAAAAAGTGACTATTAATGTTTGCCAAAGTTTCGTTGTCCTTCTTAAGCGTCTTGAGAAGCACCGACTCAGAATCGAAGAACCGCTTTGGAATGACGGCATCGGACATTGCTTGCAAAATGAGACCCCAAGTTGCTGCATCTGATCCTACATGAGGTGTCCCCAAGAAGACAAGTCCAAATGTCGATACGAAAATGGATCGAAGGTCTTCGAGATGGGGTTCGCGAACATCCGATGAGTACAGGAGAGCTCTCTTAACGAGAATGCCACCCAGGCTGTGGCAGACCCATATGATGGGGTTTTTGAACGTTCCCTCGCTTCTTCGATGGAGAGTGAGGTTCGTTATGAGTGACTGCGCATGTTGGTGAATGAAGTTATCGCTGGCTGTTCGGTCATTTTTCTTTGAATAGACGTCCGCATTGTACCCGTAGACCATGATATTAGCATGTGCGCCTTTGAGGGCCAGTGGCAGCAGATCCAGCGGCCAGAAAGTCCCGTTCTTTGCCGTCCATGTTTTATCAGGCACTCCGTTTAGGCCGTGAACAAGAACAATATCGATTTTGGCTTCAGGATGTGTGTATACCGCTGTTGTTTCATAGCGGTTTATGGAACGGTTCTCGGACCCCTGTTTAATTAGAGTGTCAGTCAAGAGGTTATTCTGGGTCGCACTGAGAGCTGGAAGCGCGTAATTACCATGATGTGTCGTAGAAAATGGGGAAGCTCGATAATTTTGGTGTTGCTGCTATAGACATTTGGGGGATACCTAAGGGAAGGAGCACTCAAGTGAGGGCGGCTACCCAGCTTATAAATAGTTCATCGAATCAAAACAAGGCTGATGATAATATGCGCTGCCTAAGACAGGAGTGAGCAGAGCAGTCACACTCTGAAACTTGGTACGAGACTTTGGTATTTCAGCTGTAACCCGTAATTCTATTTTATTCCCTGGGCTGAGTTATGGCGCGTCCAATATTTGGCACCCGTCACAAGACTCTCGATGTCGAAACGCTGAGTCAATTGGTGGCTATCAGGGCGATGCATAGATATCGTGGCTGAGTCTTTGCCCGGCTGCAGGCAGCCCACAAGGCTTTTCTCATCGGTTCAGCCGAAGGAGCCTCAATATTCCAGAGGTATGAACTTTTTCAATATTGGTATGTATATGATTGGTAATTATTTCCTGTCTCCTGGGCGTATTGCCATGGGGGCCAACGAGCCTCATCATGTCTAAAGCACCAGTGCGGAGCGAGAGGGTTCTGTCGTTGCTTGGCCTCTTCACATAACTGGTCAGCAGATATAGACCATTAATAATAAAGCCCGTTTTCTTTGGAACTTTAGGTACTGAACCATACTACCAGGACTATAGGAGTCCTATACATTATAAATGCTTTTCAGGTATATACGAATATGATTTGTCACTCACCCTATACCACCGTCAGTCCTGAAGCTGAACTTTTGACTTGCTCTTATACCGTTCCTTATGGAAGCAGTCAGCTTTTTATGCCTGGTGAAAATGTCTCTTAGTAAGGAAATAATAAATACTTGTGGTGGTAGTAATTAGAAAATTCCCGTCTTACACGTTCTTACGGTTCCTTGCTATGTTCATGCGCCAGTTAGGAAATCCGTTTAAGTGTGCTGTGAAAAACGCTACCAAATGCACAATGATCTGGAGATGTTATTTATCCTCTTCGCTAGTACGGTCCTTTCATTCTAACCTATTTAAATAGGTATTATACGTAGTTCATGCTGCGGAAACGTCGTGATAACTCGTCAATAAGACTCTGAATGGTACAGAAACCCGTTTTGATGAAATTGAAACGACTCAACACCATGATACCAAGCAAGACATAGTATACATGAGTTTCCCTTGCTCGACCCCTTCCGAATTTACCTGAAAGCCAATCTCAACGAGGAATAATTCGTACCATGTCTTTGTATAGAGCAGAAGCTCCATGCTAGACGACCATCTAACCCAAAGCTCCATTCCCTCAATGAAATTCATTGAGTCCAGGCACGCACATGGCTCCTCTACCCATACTCGGCGAAAGGACAGCGGCGAAAAAAGCCATTGGCAAGACACCGTCTCAACGTCCAACCGTGACTTTTGCCAGAAGTCCACGTGGACACCTGGTCATAGCTGGGTTGAGTCACAGAAGGCCAGTCACTCCTTGTTGCCCGGCTTGGAAGACTAAAGTGTCGTCTAGACGGTTCTTTTTCAAAAAACGAAGCCTTGTTTTCAAATAGTCTTGTGATTTGTTTCTTCAGCGCGGTATGTGTTTCCCAAGAATTGTCATCTTGACAACCAAGCTCGTAAATATCCTGTTCGACCGTCACTCGATTTTGTTTGGCCAGCCAGTTTCATTAAATTTGCATACTAATTGACCACTGTCATAAGTGGTGTGCCGTTCTGATACATGTGCTTCTTTGACGTATGTTGTGAAATCAGGCTTGTTTATCGAAGCTCCGGTATGTTTAAGAAAGCCGCTGGCCGTATGCTCACTCAGATCATGCTGTCGTATCCCACAAAGCTTAAGTCCGCGGCGCAAGCATAATAACATACTCCCTTGTGCTATGACCAAGCTGTATCATATCCTTATCTCTAAGCTCCAGATACCTGCTATCAGGGATATTGTTGTCGTTCAGCTTAGTCCCGTTAGCGCTCTCCAGATCGATGAGATACGGCTTGACCTTTCCAATCTTGTCGCCATACTCATTTCTCTTTTCAACGTGACGGAACTGGATAACTGCATGTTGCTTGCTAATGCTCGGGTGCTCCGCAGGTAGGTCCACAACTGACATCTCCCGGCCGATGAGCCAGCAGCTTCTCGCGCTTAAGTCTATCGTGTCGACGATGTCTTGGCCCTTGAAGATGAATAGCTTCCAGATATCTCGTGGCGATGGCTTGCGGGCCTCGGAGGGCTCGTGGTATTTGAGTGTGATTGTTGTGCCGTCCGCTTGTGACACAGAGTTGGACACTGCCGCCAGGACACCCGTTGATCCAAAGTTGGGCTTCTCCTTGGGCTTCTCCGGCTCTTCACCGGTGGTAACGGCGAAAGAGTCCGCCTGAGATGGCAAAGGACCAGTTTGTCTTACAGGACTACGTTTTGCGACCCGTTTGTCATCTCCATCTCCATCGTCGTCGCGCGGTCTTCGTCGTGAACTCTTATCATCGCGTGATCGTCGGCGTCTATGTTCTCTGTTTCGGTCCCTATCCCGGTCTCGGCTCCTCGATCTTCTTCGTGAAGACTCTGGTGTCCGGGAGCGTCTTCTGTCGCGTTTGTCGCGTGATCGACGACGTTCTCGGCGTCCGGAGTCGCGGTCTGGATGTTTTGATTGACGGTCTGTGTCTCTGGGTTCCTTGTCTTCGTCGTCGAAGCGCCTCCGGCTAGGCCTGGTTCCGTGTTCCTCGTCAGACGCCATTATGTGAGATGTGCGCTGTAGGAGTAGTAAAAAAAAAGAAAAAAGATGCAACCAAGATGACGCAGCTGAGATGCAAAGCTAAGGTAGATCTGCACGACAGCATGGAAAAGTGGACTATGAAGTGAGTGGCTGATGCGCTAGCTGGAACAGGCATAGAGTAGTGGTTTAAGCACGTGGAATTGCGCTTGCACATGCCAGAAACAAAAAAGTTGATAAAGTTCCAATTGTCATAATATCAAAGATAACTGAATGGATCTGTTCTAAACTACCAAATTTTACTGTGAGGTAGGTGTATCATCGCTCATGCGCCGCCATTGTACTCCTATAAGCGCAGTAGCTTAGATTCTGCTGCAAATCCCCAGAAAAACAAAAGTTAAAAAATCCCGCTGCGGATGTCAAATATCATCTCCCAAAAGCTAAAGTCCGTGTCCGTGTCCGGCGAGTCAAAATGTATCATGAAAAGTCATAAGCTGCTGTAAAGGCCACAATCCCGTTACATGGCAGAAGGAATAGCCATGACGGTTATTCTTGAGCCATTGTCGAGATATGCTTCGGCATTGGTGTTGAGATCCTCGATGCCCTTTTTAGAGATAGTGAGACGCTGCTCATCTTCGTCCCACCACACATCGTCGCCGACCTCGGCGTCGCCAGGGACCAGCAGAAGCATACCCTTGTTGCTACCGAGGGCGATTCTGCACGACGAGTCCTTCACAAAGGTCTCGAGGAAGGGGACGTCGTAGCCCTGCATCCCCCGCAACGGTCCCCCGCTCTCTACGAAATCCCTGATCAAATTGCTCCGCTCGAGGCTCCAGAACTGCCGGAAGTCCTCGGGCCGTGAGAAGGCGTCGACGTTTGTGAGGAGCTCTAGCATGCCCGCCATGCCGTTGAGGACGGGGCTGAGGAAGTGGACGAAGGAGTTGAGGATCTCCTCGCGGGAGTACTTTGTGTTTATCTCTGTTGTCAAGGCTGGTGACATTGTGTGTAGGAGAGTGAGAAGGCGTTCCTGGGAGCAGGGCTGTGGTGTCCGGACGTGGTAGGCCATGGTCAGGAGGGAGATGAGAGGGAAGATGGAGGACATGGAGGAGAGAGGATCGGAGAGGGTTGCGATGCTGTCGATGTAGATGGCCTTGTTAGGCTGGTTTGTGAGCAGCTTTGAGGGATGCATGTTGGCGTTTATGTTTATGCTGTGATGGTGGAGATGTTGTTTGTAGATATCTGACTTGGTGTTGAGATATGTCTGTAGACTATCGGGGTGTATAAGATGGATAGGTAGTAAGTAGTAAGCAGTGAATAGATATTGTTTACTAGAAAGATGATGGACTAAGATCTCAGCTTCTGGAAGGACATGGCAGACTATTTCAATAAAAGACATAATCCATTCTAAGCGTAGTTAGCTACAAGAGAAAAAAAAAGAAGCGCCGACTGGCCCCTCCCTCTCTTAGAACACCATCCCATCCAAGCCATGCCCATCTCCGTAGTCTCCGTTTGGCATCCATTCGTGGTGTGTAAGTGAGGTGAGAGGCGCGAGAGGCGAAAGGGGGGGCCCAGCGGAGCGGAGTGGACAGAAAGACCCTTGATAGTTGTTGATACTACACTGCAGGTCTGCAGTGCGCACGCCCTAACTACGTTAGTCCCCTGAACAGACAGCGAGGATTACCCAATAGAGTCACTCATGATAGCAAGGTGGTCGATTGACAGGGCTCCAGGCCCCCACGAGACTCGCGAGAGAGACAGAACCACGCATCGGGTAATTCCCAGCTTAGGCTTGGACTTGGACTTGGACTGCGAGTGTTTATTGACTCAGTACGGAGTACTCAGTGGGACAATGGCGTGCCTTGCGGTGCGGGTCGTTGCGTCGCGCGTTTTCCTAGATGTCCGCCTGGAGATTAGCGCACAGCACAACGCACAAGCCCTCCAGCTCCACTCTCTCTTTTTGGTCTATGAAACTTGTTGAGAGAGAGAAAAGAGAGGCTTCTTTCACATGGTAGCACTGCAGTCTCCTACAATACTTAGAGATTAGATGAGATGAGATGGGCATGGTTACAACAAAGATACTGTAACTTACACAAATAGACGTGTCATCAATACACAGACACACATACATACACACACACCTAAGTGCTTGACGTGTTCCAGGATTTCAAAGGTTCTGTTGATATCGGGGAAATCGAGCCTTGTCCTGTCTCAGGTTCGAGGCTCTCTTGTGACTGTTTTGTTATCACTCGGGCCTTTTTTTCCTTCTCTTTCCCTTCTTTCTCTGACCTAAACTGCTGTTTTCTTGGCATGGGCCTGAACCTAGGTGTGTCTGTCTGTCACTTTTATCCCCCCCCCTCATGCGCCCAGTTGATGTTCTTCATGTTCTTCATGTCCAATGTTCAACCCACCATCATAGGATCAGCTCCCCGTTGTCTCCGCAGCTTATGCGCTTCCCAACTTTTCTACCTTAGGAAAATGTACATATTCTTCTTCTGTCTCCTTTCGTCATGTCGACAACTACCAGGAAACCTGCAAAAGACCCCCCAACCCCCCACTTACAGCGCGTCCTGTGCCCTCCATTTCTTTTTGGCGGCGCTTACTTTGCGGGGGATGGAGAGAAAGCCCACGTCCCATATCAATTTATCAGCCTCTGCTGTGACTTAGCTTGGGCTCTCGCTCGAGTCTACGTGGCTCCCCAGAATCGACCACCTATACCATTCAACCTGTGTGACTATCTTGTTTGATCAACTTATAAGCAGCTGTACCCCGAGTATACCGAATATCAAGAGGATCTGCGGCGTAGTCTTTGGTCAGATCCCACCTGTTCGGGTTCCGTAGCTCACTCGCTCACGTTATTCTCTTGCCATCTCAGTCTCAATCTCATCTTTTCCTACTCTCTCTCTCTCTCTCTTTCGGATGCAACGCTCCAGCCTGTCTCTGTAAATTATGTCATGCTGCATCCCTCGGCACGTACCGCTGAAGGGATCTTGATTGGTTGCGTTTGCGCATCATATCATTTATTATCAAACAGGGCCCTGGATGCCCTCATCACAAAATCTCCTGACAGCTGCGGCCCTTTTCCGGGTACGCCAGCAGAAAAACAGGTGATGGAATCTGAGCTTTTCGGTGTTATTCAGATTGAAAACTAGATCTCGTGTAGATCGCATGTTACTTCTGACCCAAATGGCACGACTGCCGCAGAGCCTCATTTAAGTTCTTTAATGTGAGTTAGGGAGTGTTTAACGCTATGCAGGTCTCAATTGTTATAACAGCTTAGCCATTCTTGTATAGCACTGCGTTTGTGCCATTGGTGCACTATAAGTCTTTATCTGGCATCTCCTGAGTATTCTCATCACGCATAGATAAGCATTCTTGCTTCGTTGTCACAAATGACATCTAAATACCGTGATTTTCTCTCACTTTTCTAGAATATCCTGACTCTGCGGGCCGACTTCCCAAATATCTGGGTCTTGAGAGTGTCCACCTTTTTGCCCTACTTTTTTGTCCCTATTAAAGCGGACCTGAGCGTTAACGAGCAACGAGCGATAGGCGATATGTAGCAGTATTATATATGCAGACATGCCTTATACCCTGAGCGTTTCGTCTTCTTTTAGTTCTAGAATAATAGCATTCTTATCATAGTCTTTCGATTCTAAGGTCAAGTTACATTCATCCATTTAGTAATTGTTTGACTTAATGATATTGACGCTATTGCGTGGGGGTTAGTTAATAGCCTGCTCGGCACCAGCTGCTGACTTTTCCGATGCATTCAGTCATGGAAGAGAAGGGTCTTCGGTTGCTTGACGATCTCGCAGATCCCTAAGAGACAGCTTTTGTAGGTTGTTTCACCTACAGATCGTCCATTGCCTGTCGTGTTGCTGTGTCTGTGGTGGATCTCAGTTGCGTAAGTGAGGTAGTGAAGCTATTCCTCATACATTCGTCTTTGATCAGCCCTGCAATTGTAGCAAATCTTGACCACGTGTAACTCAAGAGACTTTCCTCTGGCATATGTTAATGCACCAGGAACAGCCTCACTCTTCACCGTTTCAAAAACCTTCAGGACTCATGACCGAAGAGTCATTCGGCTCGGCTCGGATTTGATCTCCGCCGTGACGGTGTTTGTGCTAACAGCGAGGACAAAACAGTTGTAAGCGCAGAAACAGAATATACTCTCTTATCAGCCTTGCTTCTTTCATTCATAACTCTGGATGAAAAGTCTGAGTATTCACTTCTGTAGACGCCAGCTGGAAGAAATCTAGTCACTTATACCGAATGACCCAGCCGGCTTACTAGCCACAAATTCACATCATAGACGGGACAAGACTTTACTTCAGCTCCAACCGTGAACTATCTCTTTCAGCTTCCAAACTCTTCTGCAGAATCTCAATCTAATTTCATATAATGGAAGATACTTCTATCATTAACTTTTCAAAAATGAATCACTCGCTTGAAAGATATTGTGAAATCAATTACGTCACTAAACTACCGCCATGCCAAGAGCTATATCGTCTGTAACACTCAACCGCACTTACACAACATAAAGATAAATAAGCTTAATGTCTACCATTGACAACAACCCCGAAAACTACGCCCTGTTCCGGGATTGCCTCTCTACCACTCTTCTGCAGCCCGCCCCCTCGGCCCCGGACCCGCCCAAGCGCCGTCGGCGAAGAAAGAACTCCGGCGCTCCGCCCGTCACTGCATCCACCCCGGCTCCGAACCCGGCCAAGGACGCCGAGGAGCTCGCCGACTTTGTAGATTACCTCGCGACTGAGATCTTCGAGAACCTCCCAGACGAACTACAGAACTTGGACTATCGCATGTGGCGTGACGATGCGGCGTTGCAGGAGCAGTACTCTCTGCCGCTCACAAAAGAGAGCCTCTCTGTGCTAAACTTGCCGCCGTCTGTTGTTGAGACACTGACGACTTACAACCTCATCTCTGCTGATCCCGACACTGAATCACATCTCCCGTCCTCCTCTGAGGTATTCCTCCTACCCATCATAACCTCGTACATCACCCCCTTGATCGAGCCACCTCCCGCCACACGCGCCACACGCGCCGACGCTTGCGAGCTGTGTGCCCGATCGTGGGTGCCCTTGTCCTACCATCACCTCATCCCCAGATTCGTGCACGAAAAGGCCGTCAAGCGAGGATGGCACCGTAAAGAAGATCTGCAAAATGTTGCGTGGCTCTGCGGTGCTTGCCATCGCTTTGTGCATAACTTCAAGACCCACGAGGAGCTTGCAAGGGATTACTACACTGTTGATTTGCTCTTGGAGGAGGAGGAAGTTCAACGCTGGGCTGCATGGGTCGGCAAGTTGAGATGGAAAGGGAGGTAGATTTTGTGATTACGGTGTATGAATAAGGAGCACTTGAGCGCATTATACTTGGCATGTCAAAGTACTGGGGCTGTTCTAGTTATTCAGACCATGAATACAAAGTAAACACACTCTCAACGATGACTTGATCAGTTTTTCGATTTTGTGATCATTATCATATGCTCAATCTTCATTCTGCACATATAGAGTTCAACTCTTAAGAGACAAACTAACCCTCAAGCAGTTGACTATGCAAAATGTTGTTATTATGCCATTTACATGAGTCGCTTGAACCACAGTCTAGCTCAATCATGGGTCTTCTTATAGAAACACAAATGGGCAGATACTGCTGTACTGGAAATCGATATGAAGATTGATGTGATTTGACACACCACTAATGTCCTCAACAAACTCTTTCTTGGCTTACATGGACTCGACACGACCGGAAGCTTATTCTCATGCAGCTTGACTTGTTTCAGCTTCCATAACCCTTTTCAGCTTCGGATTAATACATATACCCTTATCATTCAGTTTGTTGAGAGGGTCTAACCACCGTTGAGAAGTTAGACCTGGACGATAAGAACGGCCGGATTCGTTGAGCCATTCCTGAGGTAGCAACTTATCTCAAGACGCACCTCAGTAACATAGGCAACTTATTTGCTTCTATATGTAGCATGCAGTATTACACAAGCCTCAGCATATCAATCGTGATCCTCCTCAGCCAAGCCCGGGCATCCCTCCATCTCAACATCAGGATACGCCATTTTACACCAGAAGCAATACTGATGCTTCTCCCTCAGATACTCCACCACCCGCCTCAGCCGCTCTCCAATCTCAAGCTCGTTGAAGTGATCCAACTCCTCATCCTCTTCATCCAGATCCTCAGCTGTAGCGTATACTGTGTGACCTTTTCCAAGTGCCCTTTTATCATCTGCATCCTCCTGGTCGTCCTCGTAGGTGGGTAGTCGCGAGAGTGACTGCTCGAGATCGTAGCGCATGCGGCGGTCACGCTCTGCTTCTTCTCTGTGTCTGGCGAGGCCGCGATATAGAAGCGGCACAGACTTGAGAGGGCGTGATGAGATCGATACGGACTTGTCTGCTTGATCTTTTGCTTTTGGTATTTGAGGATTGGTGCCAGAAATTTCCGCCTTCTCATCGTCCATTCTTTCTACTGTGCGTTGCGCCGCAAAGAACTGCTTCTCAAGCCTGGCGTCCTCGCGTTCTTTTCTCACGCGCTCGCGATACTCGTCTGGGTCCATCTTGGCAGCTTTGATATCTCTCTCCTCAGCTGCCTCTCTGATCTTGCGCTTCTTCTCATTATCCAAACCAATACCTCCACGATCATCCTTGACGCTGACCTTGATCGGTTCAGTCCGGCCAGGCGCATTGCCTTCTTCTGTCTTTTTTCCCAAGCCACCACCCGTGAAGCCCATCTTAGCCATCATGGCGAAACCCTTGCTCTTTTTGGCTTTTGCATCGTCTAGCATTGACGTAGAGAGAGCTTTTTCTCGCGCGATTTCTTCCTCCTCTGCGATCTGCTCTTTCGATTTGATGACACCTCGTGCGCGTGCTTCGCGCTTGAGTCGTTGGGTGCGCTGTAAGGATGTCTCTTTTGCGGGTGTTGGGTCGTCAAAGGACATGTTCATGTAGTCATCCTCTTCTTCATCTGGTGCACCTGCCTCGTTTCTCTGTTCATTGCTCATCGTTGCTATTATATGTCGGTCGGCGAGGTATGTGTGTGGTATGAGTTAAGGATGAGATGGAGAAACTTTGATCTTTTCTTATGAGAATTGGAAATTCAATGTTGATGTTCTGGGGCTGGTTTAAGGATATGACAACAGTGGGGTCCACTAATTTTAGCGATTCGATTCTCTATGGAAGGCGTTTAAGTGTCAGGTTGCTTTTGAAGACATCACTCAGGTATTGTATTCCACAGCCCTTGCTTCCTTTTTCATCACATTTTTCAACCATAATAAAATTTTCGGCATTGGATGAATGTATTTTACTTAATATGCAGAGAAATTTCGCATTGGCCCCTACGAGATTAGGCACAGTAAGACGAGCCCCCTGCCAGTATAAGCTGTGCTCTTGATAGCCATGATCAACTCAAATTAACTACGATTGACAATGCCACGATATTATTTCGAAAGAACTCTACATTTTCGATCTAGGAGTGAGTGTTGAAACGTATGGGTTGTTCGTGATTACCAGCCCCTTGACAGGGCATAAGAAGTACAAATGAAGACATATATTGGTATCCTAAGCCCGTACCTACACCAGCGCATCCTTTTACCTGTTGTTGTTGGCTCTCTTTCTCGCAGACTTCTCCCTCTCGTAAATATTCGATTCGCGACCCTCCTCGCTCTGGATCTCCGCAACAAGACGCTTGTACTTCTTCTCGTACGCCTCGTCCTTGGCCTTCTTGACCCGCAGCTTCTCCCGCGCCATGAAGTTGGCATCCTTGCGGAGCTCCCGCATGGCACCCTTGCGCTCCTGCTTGTGCTCCTTCTTGAGCTTGGCCAGCTCTGCGCGCTCGCGGTCGGGGTCGTAGTGCTTGGTCGGGTCGAAGGTATCCTCGAACTTGGGCACGTACGTCTTGATCGCTAGGGGGAGGTGATGGTGGAGTTGCACGTTGCGGCGCGATAGTTGTGCAATATTGAGCATGCGGTCGAACTTGGTCTGCAGCTTCTCGATCCTCTCGTTAAAGGCGGGAGGCAATCGAGATCGACAAGCCTTGCTACCGAGGTGCTTGAGCACTCTCGCAGCTTGGCCGAATGTCTCGAGGAATGCACTCTTGCCAGTCCACATATCCGCTGTAGCTTCCAACACTTGAGCTGCAGTGTCGAGAATAGCAACCTTTCGAGATGCTGCGTCACCCTTCTCAGGCTGTTCGTCAATGCAGTCGGAGAAGTTTAGTTTCCGCAACTTTGTCTTGCCTGCGGCTTCTGTACGAATACCAGCGGCAACATAATGATCAGGATAGTTTCCGAGCTTCTTGGAAGAAGCAACTGGCGCCAAGGCAGAGAGGGTGTTGAGAGAAAAGTTGATGATCTCGGGAACGTAGCGCTTAGCAAGCTTCTGGTAGCTGATGGCAAGGATTGTAAGATATGTGCCAATAGCGTAATGGGCAAGATTTTGCGGTACTCTTTGGCCAAGGTATCGGGTAATTGTCAAGACAGCGGGGGTAACAACTTGGTGGAAGTGATCGGAGGTAGGGAAGATGGTACCAATGGCAGTAAGGAGAACCAGGTCTCCAGTCCCTAACGCCAAAGAGCGAGATGCGGTCATCTCCTCAAGGTTCTGACGGAACTGCTTGCTGATCTCAATAGGAAACATCTTTGCAAGAGAGTGGATGTGTCGGACAATGTTTTCCAACACAGTGAAGGGAGCAGAGGTTGCAGGGTCCCATGGTAAACAGATGTAGTCCACCAGAGCAGCAGAAAAGTTGCCAAGCTTCTCCTTGTTCTTGCTGCTGAGCTTGGGGTGGTAGAGGGCACGGATTCGTTGGACAATAGTAGGGAAGGACTTTGCCGGGTATGGCGCCAATGTGGCCTGTAGTTCCTCGCAACTTTGAGGGCACTCAAAGGTATAAGGAAGGCCCTTCTCGTCACCCTTCTGGATTGCTGAAGCTTTCGTTGCTGAGTCGGCGTCGAAGACAGGATTTCGGCTCTCCTCCTCATTGAGGAGACCTTTGGTAAAGTCGTCCTCCTCTTCGGAAGCTTCGTCATCAGATCCACCCTCGATATCTGATTCCTCGTCACTGTCAAGTAGCTCCAAGTCCGATCCGCTAGCCACAAGGTCATCATCGATAACGAAATCGTCTTCGTCTTCGAACCCGAGTTCTGTAGCAGTAGGACGAGCTCGAATACCGTCACCAAGGCCATACTCATCCTCTTCGTCCAGTTCCATCTCATCTTGCTCGGTCTTCTTGCCCTTGTTATCGACCTCGTCATCCTCGCTGTCGCTGACTGATTCTCCCCTCATGCGCTTCTGGCGTTTGTCCTCGAGCTCCTTGAGCCTTGTAGACTCCTCCGCGGCCTTTTCATCCTCAGTCTTGGTACGGTCCGCAGGCTGAGCCCGCTTATCCTGGGCCAACTTCTTTACTTGAAGATCGAAGTTCTTCTCGAAAGCGTCTCGGTCAACACCAGCGATAGTTGATACTGCAGTACCAGCGGTCTGAGGTTTGCCAGCAGGTTGGCTGTGGTGCAGGATGTATTGGATGTTTTGAAACTCCTTGTCGAGCTGTTCCCGGAGTTCTTCGTCTTCCTCCTTCGCAGCTTGTCGCTCATACTTGTAGTGCTTGGACTTGGCGATAACCTCTTCCATGACCTCCTTCTTCGTCTTCTTTCGCTGCGGCTCATCGTTTTCGCTATCCTCGCCGTCACCCTGCGCCACCAAAGCACGAACGCGCTTCAATCTCTGTTGCTCACGCTCCGAACCGTCGCTATCGTAGTCCTCCTCCAGATCATCCTCGTCGAAATCGTCCTTTTTGTCGAAAGAAAGGGACTTGCCCATATGGGTCAAGCTCATTGAAGGCTCGTCGTCTTCCAGGTCGAACATGGAGTTCTTCTTGTGACTTCGTTGCTTCTCTCGTGCGAATCGTTCGAGCATCTTGTCTTCGGGGGCCATGGTGGGATCATTCTCACCAAATCGACGATCGAGGATACCACCGACTTTGTTGCGGCGCTGCATCTCAACTAGGAGGGTTTGTCGGCGCTGTTATACCTGGTCAGTCGGCTGCTTCATCATGATACTGCTAATGCTGCTCACCCTCTCCTCGCTGGCTGCTTTAGCCTGACCAGGACGACCCTTGATGCTGCCAGCAGTCTGTGTAGGTCGATTACTTGTAACTTCGAACTTGGGGCCCTTAGCATGCTTCAGATCAAAAGGATTGAACTGCTCTCGAATGCCCTCCAACACCACTCCCCTCTGGAGTCGCTTGGTGTTGCGAGTGCGCTCATCCTGAGCATTGCGTTGCCTTTGCTTCTTCGACTGCTGAGGGCCGACGATTCCTTGCTCTTTGAGGGACGCCTTGAGGCGTTTGAGCTGGGAGCCGGCCATTGCGACTGATAATTTGATGCTGCTGATGTGCAACTTAACTTGCGCCTGGGAACGAATGTGGATTTTTTTGAGATGGAAAAAAAGTCTTATCGTTATCAGTGCATGTGGGGCACCTCCGACTTACAGCATTACCAGTAGACCCTCTTGCTCTCTCACTACGTGGTAAACAAACCTCTTCTTCGATATTCAGGTACTACTAGATCAATCAATTTGAAGACTACGAATAGTGAAAGTCTTGATATACAACTGCCTTGATTAAAGAGTCCATTCATTGTATTTACATGGTGTGAATTCTTTATGAAATATACTGAAGTGAAGTGAAGACTCGCCATGCATGCGCCAAAAGATGGGCCTCATAAGCGGGAAGTCTAACCCACTTCGGCTTCTCCAAGGCGGTATGAAGTGGCAGATCGCCTTACGTCAGGAGCTGCTCTCGGGTAGGTGTCGCGATTTGAATATCAACATCTAACAAAAGCATGAACTCGACAAACAGATTTAGTCAAGATGGGATGGGCTGACAGCCTCCTCACTTTTGCCCGCGATGAGAGACTCGTTCTCGTGACCTTGGGTCTCGCAACTTTTGGTGTCGTGAGCACCGTGTTTACTGCACTCACTATCATTAGAGACGACAATGAGATTCCCCCACCACAGCCAAAAACACAATACATCACGCAAGACACTGAGGATTCATTACAGCTTGAAACTTTAGAAAAATTACTAGATCACCCAAATTATTCTATTCGAGAAGTCGCGATCAAGATCCTTTGCGATCGAGCAGTCAACGATCCTGAGACAACTCACTCATTGTTGTTTGGTATTACTCGCCCAAATTATGACGAAAGAATGCGATGCCTTCGGGCCTTGGCTCTGCTTACTGGGCAGACTATTGGTGAGGACGTTCAAACTTAACTAAGAACACAGCTAACTATCCCAGGCCTGGACGGTCTCTCCAAGTTGAATAACCCAAAGGCCTATTCTGCTCTCGTCAGGTCTCTAGAGCTTAGTCTAGATGACGCTGAGCGACCAAATCTTACCGACAGTCACTGGGATGAATACTACCTTCGCGATATGGCCGAAAGGTTCTGCCTTATGTTCATTCTCGAGCTTGTCAACAAGTACGGCGCCAGCATGCTTGTCAAAGCACGTTTTGTAGAGAAGTGGCTAGCAAAACAAGAATGGGGCGACACCCCAGAAGAGAGACGTCGCAGCTTCAAGGACTACATGGCCCTCAAGGCAAACCGGATCGTTGAGATCGTCGATCGAATTAAGGAGTCTAGACGAGGCCTCAGAGCACTGGAAAAAGCTGGATTGATAGATAAGGAGAACTCCAGAAGGAGAATCCGGGAACTGCCAGATCTGATTATGGAGATTGAGGAAGAAGCCAGGAACCTTCCGTTTGTTGAACCCCAGGTTACGCGAACAAGGGAGCACTCAGCGGAAGAGCAACGGCTACGACGACAACATCGAGAGGCCATGGTTCTGAACGATGGAACTCGACCATTGGCGCGCGAAGACATCATTGAGAGAGAACAGAGCTCTCCGGCATAGTTGTTAATAAGAACTGATACCCACGGAAGGACTTTCCGACCATACTTTAGTCAAAAGCGGTGCTTCAACTTCGAATGGTTAATTTGAGGTAATCATTGAAGCCTATCACAAAACGGGTGATATTGAGCCCGATAGTACTTGTCAATGTCACTGTATAGCTTGGAAGAATAAATTCACTATCACGATCACGATTCAGAGCTCAGATATGAAGATGCTACATGCCTCAGTCACTTTGCTACATATTAAGGGCTGGTTTCCAAATCAAAAACTCCAAACTCTTATCCTATCATATCAACCTTTCAACCCCTTATTTGCCATAGTACGACTGCACATCTTTCTCTGCCTGGTCACGGCTCGCTTTAAGAATCTTGAGCAATTGAGCCCCGGCTCCTTGCGAACCACCCTCCCTAGACTGCGTTGAGGGTCTAGCCTTTGCCCTACTCTGTCCGAGTCCTTTCTCGTTAGCATTTTTGGATCCCTTCTCAACTTGCTTACCTGTAAAGCCAGCTTTCTCCAGTAGAATCTGGGCTCGGCTCTCTGGGTCAGTCGGAGACTTTGGTTCGTCAGTTGGCCTCTCTCTTTGGATTAAGCAAGGGAGAGTTCTCTGTCTTTGACACACATTCTTTCGTAGAGAATCCATTTGAGATTCATCGACACGGGGCTGGATCTCATGATCTTCACCCGGCCGTTTCCCTGGCTCTCTTTCTCTGCCCTCGACTGGCGACTGAGAGAACTTGCCGATTCGAGTTGTCCAGAAGTCGTAATCACTGCCCAAACCAAGAAGCATCAAAAACATCCTCAGCATGTTCAGGTCACAATGACCTGATTCTTGACACTGCAGTACGGTCGGTATAAATACCCCCCATGCTTCAGGAGTAGCAAGATCTGCGAATTGGAACAGAGATACCATTAGCTGGCCCCATCGAAGAATCAGTTCAGGATCGAGAGTCCCTTCGAGATAGCGGAACTCAACAGTCCCACCACGTACCTCGTTCGAAAAATTGGGCGAATCCTCAAATTCAGAGATCCTGATGCAGCTTCTTCCGTCGAAATAGTCGGGCTTTAACCAGCGCTGAAGCTCGACTACAGTGGTGGTCGCCCACAGCTTCTTCAAACAGCCCAAAACATGACTATCGACAATCTTGTCGACCGGGATGTACTGTTCAAAGTCACTGGATACATCAATCCTTGTCCATGAGTCCATGAAGGCGTAAGATAAGGTGGAACCTCCCATGAGCTGTTTTGTCCAGCGGTTATTCCTTCGTTCTGGTTGACAAAGACGGTAAATCATATTCTCCGCACAATACATAAGAACGCTGATTTTGCGCAAGAGATGAAGCGACAGAGGCTCGGTCCCCTTGGCCACATGGATATGGAAGCCGCATGATCTGGTCACTGCCAGCCTGTAATTGTTTCGAAGAATGCCAACCATGTCAAGAGCCTCCTCCCAACCCTTTGGCGTGTCTCTGAGAATAGGACTTATAACTTCTAGGCCAGCCAGCTTCCAGTACCCTGCCCAATCCTCCCAAGGTGTGAGCGAGGCATCATCCAGAATGGTCCAAGTTTGATGGGGAGGCCGGACGCCGCTTATTGGAACGACTCCATGCTTGCTGAGCTTGTTTCTCCATACATGCGTTCCCCACTCAACAGAATGGTCTTGCAACAGTGTCAACAGTCCCTTTGATGAGATGAAATCCGCGACATTGGCAGCCATCTGATGGAAAGATCCACTGCCGATCTTCCTGTCGTCTTCTGGATGGGGATCGGACCATTCGAAAGAGTCTGAAAAGTCTATCAACGGAGCTGACATGTTATTGGAGTCAATCGGTGAGCCGGATACAGGGGACGTCTGTAACGTAGTGATGCCTTGCGGCACTGCTGGCATATACATTTCAAGTTCAATACCAAAGGAATAAGTGCTTCTGCCTGTGTTCTTTTCAGAACTCTCCCAGTTAAGAGCTCTGAGTGCAAACTCGGCAAAGGGTGAAGGAAGCGAACGGGTTGAAGGCCAATGTGGACTTACAATTGGCCTTGACTCGTCGTGGGCTAGAGTACTTTTCACTAAAGGCCAATCTTTAAGATCCGTTACCTTTAAGGATATCGGCTTCTTCTTATAGTAGTCGGAGACCAGGCTCAAATTGTGCTGGGTGAGAAAGTCGTAGATGTCAGAGGTATATCCGAGTCCAGGATATGCTTCGAAAAATGATATGTGAGACCTACCTAGGCAGAACAGAAAGATCTTTACGCACAAGGCAGTCCAGTTGATTATCTCATCGAAGTCAAGACTTCCGCAGTGCTGGTTAAAGTCGAGAATGAAGTGTTTTGTAGCGCTCTCAACCTGGAAGCCATAGGCAGGCCGTGCTTGGGGATAATCTCTGATGTCTTGAACTTCGACATTCAAGAGATGAACAAGACCTTCGATTGTGTCAGCGTTAAGGATCTTATCAGCTCCATGGCGATATTTTGCCTGTTTCAGTTCTCCGGGATGAGGGAGAGTTTCCAACGGGCGTCGGTTAGGGGAAAGATGGTTATTCCAGGGGTCCTCAATCTGAATACTGGAGGCCAGCTCTGTTTTCAGATGAATAGGATAGTCTCTTACGAGGTTAGTGTATTGCAGACCGAGGGAAGAGAGAGCACCGGGTCCACAATGAGAAGGATGGATCTCGCTCAATAGAGGATCAGCCATCCAAATCATAGATGCAATGGCCTTCAGTTGGTTGACATTGACGTATAATCCTGCAAGTCTCACGGTGACCCCAAGACGTGTCTCCGAATTCGCAACAGTGAGAAAGTTCTTGTTAAGGATGCCTATAACATTAAACAGGCCCGTTTCCAAGGTGTGTGTACTCGCAAGGTACTCGGGAGATGTCAGTTTGAGGCCTACCCATTCGTAGTGGTTAGACTGGTGTTCTTGAACAAGTGGATCGAACTCAACGGTCCAGGACTTGAGCTCCTTTTTCTGGATTTCAATCTCAAGCTGCTCAATAGCCCATTGGGCTCGGAAAAGATGATGCTGGTCTGCAACTTGGCGATTCTCGACGTTCTTTGGTATTTTGGAATATCCTGCAGGGGGTGTCTCGAGTGGACGGCCTGAACGATGTGCGAATTCGGGAAAGGCATTGTCGCTTTGATAAGCCTCTCGTTTCACCGCGAGGAGAAACCCGAGTTTCGTCTGAAAATATACTCTTGGGGAATCCATGGTGTCCACTAAGTACCTGCCTTACTTTTCTATGTCGATTGCTTTGCCAATGAGTTGGATGGACGGAACGACAATTAAGTGTGTCTTCGGGCTATGCAATGCTAAAACCTTCAATAGGCGTGTAAATGATGGTGAAATACAACGACATGGAGGATTCCAATCAAATCATTATATAGTAATGTGAAGCCCTTTCTATCTCGGATGATTAATTGCTTGTTCGAAGTTTTGTATATCGAGCACTTGCTCGTCTATAGGCACGGCCCAGAACATGGACACTCGTTCAGCGGTGGTCTTTATCCATTGTCTTGTTCTTGATGGATGTTCTTGATGTTCGTAAATAGATCAAGATATGACGATTGTATGCTTCATTTTGAAGAAAAGCATGTGCTCTATAAATTTTATCATGTCTATTCATTCGCCGGCTCCTCAGCTTTGATATCCTTCATCTTTTTCAGGGGCTCCAGGCCGAATATTTCATCCGAGTTCAGCGCGTTGCGACTCTCAGTGACTTCGCCGAACAGAAAGGCATTTTTCTCACGGCTAGCGCTGTTAGACATTTTCTTTTTGTGTTGCTGTGGTGGTGACTTGGCAGATGAAGTCGATGTTGATGATTGTGGAGGTTTAGATTCGTCTGGCTCCAACATCCATGAGAAGGATGATTGAGCCAATGTTGATCGAGTCGGTACAGGACCTGGGCGTGCTGGGGCTAATGAATTCGCAAGCTTCTTGTCTTCAGGAGCAACTATGTCCATACGATCTGGACTTGAGGGACGGGCTGCTTCGTCTTCAGGCCCTGGCTTCGATTCTGTTATCTGCAGGCCAGATATGTTCAGCCCTGCGGGTGCTGCTGATACTGGCTCTGGATGAACAATAGTGGTCTCCGCCACAACCACCTCTTGAGGGTCCTCTTCAGTTGGTGGAGATTGTAGAATTGGGACTTCCATCGAAGAATCGTCTAAGTAGATTTTAACAAACTGGACCTTGGCTGCTGCGATCTCGATAAGCTCAAGGCTCTTAACCTTGTCGTCTAGGCTTGAAGCAGATATCGACTTTAGGTTGTTAACCGTTTCGTCAAGCATGGCGGCCAGATGTCGGTTACGCCTTTCCAGTGCTGCGAGACCTCTCCCCGCTTCCTCATCGCCTACTAAGGGGTGCGGAGACCTGGGTGCAGATCGCGCCTCGTTAATGTTGCGTTTGATTTCTCCCATGGCGTCTCTAACTGCTTGGTTAATGCCCAACTTTTCACCTCTCTCGAGAACTCCCTTGGCGGCTCCTTGGATTAAGGCTTCCATTCCACCCTGCTGCTGAATGAAGCGTGAAGGGGACGAAATTTGTGATCTTACTCCAGGCCTTTGCTTGAAAGAATTGAACCCGCGAAAGCTCGGGGTATTTGTCCGAGAAGTCTGTGGCGGGGAAGATACAGCGGGCATCTTTCCGGAGTATTTCATGATCAAAGATGAGCCCCCTGATGGGCTAAGATGGTCCCTTAGATACATGGCGTCGTCAACAAATGTTTGAGGACCGTGAGGCCCAGTTGGAGGAGGGTATTTGAGAAGTAGTTGAAGGCAGACAGAATAATCGGCTTCCAGCACTAGAGATTTGTCAGCTATGAAACACGACTTGGACAAAAAGCTTACAATCCCATCGAATCCGAAGTAGCATGGCAACGCAAATGAGGTCGATCAGTTCCAATGTTGGGTCAACCGCAAAGATGGTATCCCAAAAGACTAAGAATTGCTCAAAAGGGAATTCCCTGCTGAAGAGTAACCGAATCCACCGACTATTCCAATATTAGCAGACACTCTAGCATGAATAAATAACAAGACTGACATGAGAAAGATCTGTGGCAAGATTTCGATATTGGTGAGGTGGGCAGCAAGCTCCGGGTCGACCTTCTGGAGACAAACTTCATGAATGAATTTACTCCGCTCGACAATAGCAGAGCTCTGTTCTGGGAATTTAGATGGCTGTAAAGGAGTTCCTGGTGTCGCAGCGATGTCCTTTACTTCGTAAAACGACTGAGCGCGCTCCATCAGCCTCGAAAAAAGGACAAAGGCATCATGCTCGATGAAGGAGTGATTGAGAGTCTTGACAAGGGCGTCATCAAGAGGGATATCTTCTGGCAACGTCGATGGATCCAGTGCATCCTGCTCGATAACATGTAGGATAGGCGCAAGCAATTCATGCATGCCTTGTCGGTAACCGCCTCGCTCAGGGTGAATTTTACAGTATATAAACAGAATATCCAAGATGATCGCCTGTGTTATGTCGTCATGATAGGATGCTTCATCAGGTAGTCGTTGCACATCTTGCTGGATCTCAGCTCGAACAATCTCATCTTGGCGAATAGTGTTCCAAGGTGACTTTTGTTTGAGTCAGTTTACTGTCCATCTCTGAGCTTAGATAGCCTTACAGTCGGATCCTCCGTCAAGGGGTCGATGTTCAGCTCTGCAAGGGCTTCTGGGTGCTTGATATACTTGAGAAAGTGGTCACGTTGCTCGGTATAAAACTCTCTTCCATTGTCAAGGACCTGAGACCAGCTCAAACCCTCGGCAGCAGTAGAGAGAAGAAAAGTCTGGTGTGGTAAGCCTAGTTGATCAAGTGGCCAATGATGGAAGGAATTGGCTCACCTTCCAGCAAAGAGAACGACAGCCCGATATACATGGGCTTGAAGGACCGTTATATCGAACAGCACGTCGTAGGTCGCCAAGATGTGCGCCTTGGGATTGTGTCTCACGCCATCTCGAACTGTGCAGAGAGGTTCTGGTCAGTTGATTCGAGGGTTTATATCTCGTGGCTGATAGGCGCAACCTACAGCGACTCTTCCAGAGGTCTCATGATGCTCGGCGATACGGTAGAAAGCTAGATTAACGGTATCGTGAACAAGGGCTAAAACGGGCGTGTCCGAGTGGAATTGCGAAGTGCTGTAAGGTTGATGGCGGAGGATAGACGGAAACCTTGGCCTGTCGGCGCTCCAGGTTCAATTGGGTTTCCGCCTCCGTACTTCGGCCCCACTTTCTCAGGCGTCCACCCCGCTGCACCTCGTACTCCAGCAGGTCCAGGACTGATGATGACCCCCGGGGCGCCTGGAAGCTCAGGGGCTGACCGCCAACCAAATAGCATCATGCCAACGACCTCGGGTTAACCTTCAAAATCCGCCTGCTCATCTCATCAGCGGCTTTCTCTTTACGCCTCAACACACGCACACGCCCTCTCTCTCTATATACGACATATCTCGTGACTCGTGGCCAGAGTGGTGCCTCATTGGGCGCTCCATCATGTCTGCAGATCTCTTTGCCGAGTTCAATAGTCTCTCAGACAACTCAAAACCTCCAACCCAGCAGCAACAGACTGCTCCTTTTCAACCTCAAATTCAGCAACAACCGCCACCTCCAAAACCTCTGCAGCGCACTGAGACAAAAGATCTCTTCGACCTTTGGGGCAATACCAACAATGCCTCACCAGTGAATTCTCAGCCGTGGCCTACTTTTCAATCTCAGTCAAGTACTCAGAATGCATGGGCAAGTGCGCCAGTCCCGTCCAAGCCGGCGGAGACAAATGATGAAGAAGATGATGGATGGGGCGACTTCGAGGTAGCTGCACCTTCGCAGACTGCAGCGGTTAATGCGGCGCCTATTCAGACCCCGAGTCCTGCGCCGGTTCCTGCTTCGGCTTGGGGCTCGCCTGCAGCTGCAACTCCAAGCTCAGCAAATCCATCTTCCATACCATGGCCGAAGATGGAGCCAAGCTCGGCCGCTACCGTAGCTCAGCGAGCACCTGGTGTAAGGCAGCAACCGCCAACTAGGATTGTGAGAGCATCGACGATGGACTTGCTATCCAACAGTCTCGTTGATACTGGGTTTGCTTCACAGAAATCTACTAGCAACCCGAAGGTTCAGCCCTCGGGACTACCATCACAGCTTACGCAAGAATGGGGTCAAGCAACAGTTAGCCCAGAGCCACAAAACCAACGAATGAAGGCCAAGCTCAAATCTACTGCACAGAAGGACCCTAGTGTCCTCTTTGACGCCGAGGATTTTGAACTTCAGGTAGCTGAAGATGATGAAGAGGATGACGACGATGATGATGAGTTTGGGGATTTTGAAAGTGTTCCTCCTCCGCCTGCACCAAAGGTCACCTCTACGGCTGCTGTATCGAAACCGACACCTCCTCTTCCATCAATGGACCTTCTCTCATTAGATGAGCCAGCCCCAGCTCCATCGCAACAGGCCAGAAAGCCGCCGCCAACACAGCTTCTCGGATCTCTCGCCTTTGGAGCCATTAATACAAGCTATCCCCAGGCGCCGAAATCGCCATCTTTTCATGATCGCAACCCATTCCCAGAACTGGCTATCAAAACACCTACATCTGCAGAACCCAAAGAAGTAAAGAAACCTAAGGAGGAGACTCCAACTACAGCGTGGCCATCCTACGAGAGCCCAACAGGAAGTCTAAAGGATTCCAAACTGGCCAACACCAAGGAACAAGACGAGGAGTGGGGTGCTTGGGATGATTTTTCAACGACTGAAGGTAAAAAGGCGACTACCAGCGCAAAGAAGGCCCCCGAAAGCTGGGACTGGGACGCTGTTGATAATGTCCAACCGTCGTACAATGAGTCCCAGGGGGATGCTCCTCCACCGATCAACGTTCCACCTCCGTCGGTCATCCTCTCTGCGTTTCCTGATCTACTGAATTCTGGCAACGCCTTGTTCAAGCCCATGTCGGGCCAAAGCACGTCGATTAAGCAGAGAGTACTATCAGACCCTAAAGCTGTAGATTTTCTACAAGGCTATATCTTACTAGCCACAACAGCGGCGCGCGTAATTGCTGGCCGTAAACAGCGATGGCATCGGGATAAGATCCTGGCTAAGAGCATGTCAATCTCAGCTGCGGGGAGCAAGGGCATGAAACTCGCGGGAGTCGACAAAACACAGGCTACACGCGAGGATCGTGAGGCTGCAGACATAGCTGCTGTTTGGCGCGAGCAGGTTGGTCGCCTGCGATCTGCAGTTGCTGCGGTCAAGTCGGCAGATAAGGGTCTGTCACTTAAGGTTCCTGAGATTAGCGAAAACATGTCAGTGCATACAGCTAAGATGGTACCAACAGCCCCTAAGGCCTGTATCATCTGTGGTTTGAAGAGAGAGGAGAGAGTAGCTAAGGTAGATTTTGAAGTGGAGGATAGCTTTGGGGAATGGTGGTTAGAGCACTGGGGACACAAGGCGTGCAAGAACTTTTGGATAGAGCATGAGCAAAGGCTCAGACAACGGTAGAGTCATTACCTATATCAAACCAAATACCATGACATGTTCCTTTTCTGGCAGCGGATGGATTATACGTACTCACATACCCGTTATTCTGTCGCTGGTCGACACATGCGCTCAAATTCACTCATGGCAATACACAGGATGATATACATTACACGACAGGGACTTGAAGTTGCTGAAGAGTGACACTTGGTGACTTATGCGCTCTGTACGCTGCTGCACGCTGCAGCAGCGTTGCTCCACCCAGTTGTGGACTTCAAATGGCCAATCGTGGAAGACGTTGGCTGCAGCCAGGTGATATAGAGTGTAAGCGTCACTTATTAGACCTGATCACAACAAATTCGTGCTTTTGAGTGACCAGCGCGAGAGAAAAGCATTGGCTGAGGATTGTTCATTCACTGCAGATTGACAAGCAAGCCAGCACGTTGTTGACGGTTGCGGGGTTGAAGCGTTGCACGACATTGGGGACGAGGGGATGCCGATGAAGGGAAAAGCGGAGAGATAAGTAGCTGGATAGAAGCAGTATTAGAGAATTTACAGAGTACATGGGCTGTACGGCTAAAAGTACATTTCAGTTGACATGGACGACATGGTGTTTTGATATTCCACAAAGCTAAAGCTGCAGCTCCATGGTTCAACGTCACGGGAAGACGGCCAATGAAGCTGCCAAACTTGACCCTTGGTCTGCCATTGGATCTTGACTTGTACCGCCCTACGGTAGTACGGTAGACCGGAGATTCATGGTCACAAGAACCCTCATCTCTATGGTCTTTGACAGTTTTGAATCTGTGGATGGAATTGTCAATGGAACTTAGTTAACAAACAATATGCGGCGCAGATCATTGTGGGCGTTTAACAGAAAGTCCGTGTCAATGCTCCGTGGCCCACTCCGGGCCCGTGTGGGTGTGATGAAAAACTCCCGAGTGACCAGGTTGCCAGGGGGTATGAAGCTTGGCCACTTGAAGGCGTGGGACAGTCAGTATTTCTCATATCCTTGGCCAGACGATCGAGTCTTCATGTATTCCCTAGCTAGAATCTCAGCACAAAAAGATGCCAGAAACTTGGGATACATACTCGAATGCTCGCTTGTTTCCAAGAGTGGATTAGTGGGATATGTCAAGGATCCTGGTCTTTACTCCTTACATCGTGTTGATCGTCAAATGGAAGATATCTTGACGGGAGAGCTATCCATAACCCTGATAGCGTGAGTGCTCAAATGTAGAAGCATCTCGGAAAGGAAGCAACATCGTCTGCTTCATGCTTTCTTGCGAGCCTCTAGCGGTAGCCTTGTGGTACATACACTCACTCTGTCAATCCAGATCGACGTCTTGTTAGTTTTGTAACTAATTACCAGGAGACTTTGAGGAATACTCAAGCTCATCGAGAGAGCTAACAATATATCCGCACAAAGCCGGGGCCGGACGGGGTGCATGGGTGGGTATTGAAGCTCCAGTATAGAGTACTTCTGCCGCAAGTATTTCTTCCCCTCATCCTATGGCTAAACCCACGTAAATCTGTTGTTGCTCGGAACGAAATCGAATTAAGATACTCCCAATTTAAGTACTTCATCGCTTCGGAGGGTCACAACATCCTCCTCTTTCCCTTTCCTTCCCCTCCATGTGTTGCTCACCCCTCTCCACTTACGGACGGGCTGCTGCTGCCACAAGAGACAAAAGGCACGGTATCTGTACCTTAGTGCAGGTTGGCAGGCAGGTACTGTTGCACCGTTCTTTCCATTTATTGTTGGTGGATGTGGTCACTTGTAGTTTCTAGTGCAAGCCAGGTCTGCCATCATTAATTGGTTACTTGCCTAGGTAGGTACAGTAGAAGGTAGAAGAGCTTGTAGGTAGCTCAGGTAGCCCATCTTCCTCTTCTCTCACCTCACCTTTTCCTCACTCTCACCCTCACTCACCACCACCACCTCTCTCTCTTCTCTCTTCTCCTCTTCTCTAACTTCCTACCTTCCTCCCGCTCATCACTCATCCTCCCTCTCCATCTAACTCCTGTCCCCCGCCTTCGCTGCATTATATCAGCTGTTGACGCCTTCTCATAAACCATACGCCTCCCGCGTATCGTTCAATAGCCCACCTTCCCGATCGCCTCCGCCTCCGCCGCCGCTTTCTTAACCGGAGTGCTCGCGACCCTTGACCCCGCTATCCCGCCTCGCGTACATACACCACCGCAGAAAAAAAACCACACTGCAGCACCTCCCCATCTTGCTACCCCCGCCTTCTCCAGCATACTTCAACGTCTTCGCAGTATCCCCCCCCCCCAGCGTCGACCTCAAGGTTAGTCAAATCACTCCATCTACTGTGCGATCGACCCACGAGGGCGGTGCCTGTTACTATGCTACAAGCATGATCGTGCCATATCTTTCTGCTGGTTTAATTGTGCGCTGCCTATGAGGGACGATCGCCCACCGCATGCTTGCGCCTCCAAACATCCATTCATCTTACACAGCTCAAAGATTATATTCTGACTTGACTTGCAGAAACGTTCAGACACTCCCTACTTGTCTGACCTCCTTACTCCGCCCCATCCATCGAATCAATACTTCTTCTACGCCCTTCACGATCTACCTACCAGCAAAGATGTCGGCTCCTCAGGATAACATCTCCGGCAACGGCAGCGACATCCTCGATCAGATGGACCAGCTCAGAATGGAGGACCGCCTTGGCCCTGACGGCGAGCCCGCCCCTAAGACGGACGAGGAATACGCCCAAGCCCAGCTTACCCTCCGTGCGATCGTATCCTCCAAGGAAGCCGGTGTCATTATTGGCAAAGGCGGCAAGAACGTCGCCGATCTCAGGGACGAGACTGGCGTTAAGGCCGGTGTCAGTAAAGTCGTGCAAGGTGTGCATGACCGTGTCTTGACCATCACTGGTGGATGCGACGCTATCTCTCGTGCCTACGCCATTGTCGCCCGCGCTCTGCTCGAGGGTGCTCCCGCTATGGGCATGGGAGGCGTAGTTCAAAGCAACGGTACTCACCGTACGTTGAATATCTTGTTGAATCGATGAGAATATCAAATTTTGCTAACATAATTTATAGCCATCAAGCTCCTCATCTCTCACAACCAGATGGGCACCATCATCGGAAGACAAGGTCTCAAGATCAAGCATATTCAGGACGCCTCAGGAGTTCGCATGGTCGCCCAGAAAGAGATGCTCCCTCAATCTACCGAGAGAATAGTCGAGGTCCAGGGAACTCCCGAGGGTATTCAGCGCGCTATCTGGGAGATCTGCAAATGCTTGGTTGATGACTGGCAGCGAGGCACTGGCACCGTCCTCTACAACCCCGTTGTCCGTACTCAGCCTTCCACCAGCGGAGGTACTAGCGGTGGAACAGGATTCAACCAGGGCTCTGGTAGAAACGAGTATGGCGGTAGCCCCCGTGTCATGCGAACAGGCAACGGTGCCGATTTCAGTAACGGCAGCTCAAGGCCATACACCCGCCGCTCCGACTCTGACGCTGCTCTTCGGGGCCCACCTACCCACGATGAGAATGGCGAAGAGATCCAGACTCAGAACATCAGCATCCCCGCAGACATGGTTGGTTGTATCATCGGACGCGCTGGTAGCAAGATCAGCGAGATCCGAAAGACATCCAACGCGCGCATTTCTATTGCTAAGGTGAGCCATCTGAATCGGATTATGTGTGTGACATGACTGACTCTATGAATTACAGGCACCTCATGATGAGACTGGTGAGCGCATGTTCACTATCATGGGTACTGCCAAGGCCAACGAGTCGGCACTATTCCTCTTGTACGAGAACTTGGAGGCTGAAAAGATGCGCCGAAGCCAGCTTCAGGAGGCTGAGTAAGCAACTGGTGATTGTTAATCTCATTGAATTTTGCTTTTTTTTCGTGTCTCATGACTTTGCTGAGGGTTGGTTCTGGCAAGGCGAACTGGGACACGACCAGATCTGACTTGCCGCAAGGCTCTCGTTTTCTCAAGGACGATACCAGACGACAGCACTACGAGCGACCAAATCCACTTGTTTCGCCCCATTCCCATCCGCCAAAAACGAAATTCATATCCCTCAACCCCATTTCCTTCTCCCGATTCTTGTCATTCTCATTATCATTGCTCCATCAACCAGGGTTCTACCTGTGCCGATTTCGGCTCAAGCCAATTTGGCCCCTCGTCGCCTCCGAAACAAAACCACCCTCTTTGTGGCCCGGTATATCGCTTTAACCTCTGTAGCATACCTTCTGTATCAGTTTTGCTCAACCGTGTTCCTGGCGGAAAGTCATCTGTTTCTTGGGAAATGGTTTCATGGCTATGAGCGGCATGGCATAGTTCTCCCTCATGGCTCTTGAACCCAAGTCGGCACGGTCCGACATGGCTATGGCTTAATGACATAAATTGCCTTGCACAGCCGGCAAAGATGAGAATAGCGCAGTCTCTCAGAACCGTGAAGGGCACATCGCGGTTCCTCTACTCAATCTCACCTCACTTCACGTTACATTCCCCTCTTTCGCCTCGCACAACTGTTTCTATCTCTTACACTCCGTGGATCCTGACGTTGTCACGCGACTCACGTCCTCTCTCGTCTTATCGCTCACATAATTCCCACATCACCTATCGCTCTCACATACCCCCATGACATCACTACATTGACTCACCCATTATGTATCTTGTTCCTTACGCTTCTGTACCCATCACAGGGTGACTCTACATTCCGTATCGGAATATGAGATGATATTCTCAGTAGGGACAGATTTAGCTTGGGCCAAAGAGCCACCAAATAAAATCGAAATTATGAGCATATCTATCTCTGCTTGAGTTAAAGTGAGATGAAATAAATGATTGATTTTCAATGTGAATAGACAGGTCATGGTAACTGAGGCTGGTGGAGCAAGCCACTTGATGGACCCTGAGATGTGGCTGAAGGTTTATGGTGGGGCACTTACTGTGTCTCATGGATTGAATTGAAGCCAACTTGTCAGTTTCATCATGGCAACTCGGGTTGAGTAAATTAACCATTTTCCCGGCTCCTTTTTTCACTCTCTCCATCCCTTCATCCTCTCATTAGCACCAGATTCTAGACTTTGTTTTTATTTTACTATATTGTACCCAGTTGTTTTCTACATTAAATCATTTCTTTAATCTGCGCCTACAACAGTTCTAAACATGGCGCGTTCAAAGCAGCCGGCCATCAAGCGCGAGCCGTCGTCCGAGTTCTTCAACAAATCGACCGCAACATGGGAGGAAACCCATCAATCGCAAAAGAGCTCTTCCAATGGAATCATTGTGAAGATGGTCGTTGATGCGACGCCTGCTTCGGCGCAAGATGCTGGGCTCTTGCAGCTCGTCATTGCGGTTGCGGGCATCTATGCTTCCTTGTAAGTCGATCCTCACAAGGTTCATGGACTAAGTATTGACTCTGTCGTCGCGAATAGCCTCACTTGGGCGTATCTCCAGGAAAAGCTCACCACGAAGCCCTATGGTCCCGTCGACGCCCCGGAAGTCTGGCACTTCCCTGTCTTCCTCAACACCATCCAGTCCGTCTTCGCTGCCATCGTAGGCGCTGTCTATCTCTTCGCCTCGACGCCTCGCAACGCCGCTGTCCCTCCCGTCATTCCCTCGCGCCGTATCCTTGCACCTCTCGCCCTAGTCGCCGTCACAAGCAGCCTCGCTAGTCCGTTTGGCTACGCGTCGCTTGCGCATATCGACTACATCACGTTCCTCCTTGCAAAGAGCTGCAAGTTGCTGCCGGTTATGTTCCTCCACATCACCGTCTTTCGCCGCCGGTATCCCTTGTACAAGTACCTTGTCGTCGCGGCTGTGACCATGGGCGTGGCTGTCTTCACCCTGCACTCGGGGAAGAAGAAGGGTAACAAGGTTCGCCCTGACGACGCGAGCACCTCGTGGGGTCTATTGCTTCTTGGCATCAACCTCCTGTTTGATGGCTTGACGAACAGCACTCAGGACCACATCTTCCAGACCTTCCGACCGTACTCGGGACCTCAGATGATGTGTGCCAACAACATCATGAGCACTATTGTTACCGGCGTTTACCTGATCATCAGCCCTTGGTTGGTTGCCACTGGTCTTGGAGAGTGGTTCGGCATGGATGCTGCTGGTAACGTGGGTGAGCTCAGTGCCGCGTTGGACTTTATGGCCCGATATCCTGCTGTGTGGAAGGACGTTCTCGGCTTCGCTGCGTGCGGTGCTGTGGGCCAAGTGTTCATATGTAAGTCTTCTCCCTCCACCACACTCACTACTCATGACTAACCATACGTTCAGTCTACACTCTTTCCACCTTCTCATCCGTCCTTCTCGTCACCGTCACAGTGACCCGTAAGATGTTCACCATGATCCTGTCAGTCCTTGCCTTCGGCCACCGCCTCACACAGATGCAGTGGCTCGGCGTTGCGCTTGTCTTTGGCGGCATCGGCGTCGAGGCTGGCATTGCGCGTCAAGAGAAGATGGCCAAGGAAGCTGCTAAGAAGGCTCAGCAGAGCGGAAAGAAGGAGCTGTAGATATGTGCTGTCCTTGCTTGGCCTGCGAGCAATAGACTACAATGCAAGTAGACTTTTATAGAGAGCTTAGGGTGGGCCTGTCAGATTGATGTACATAGGAATGATTGTGAGAAGGCGTTTAGAGGAGTTTGGAGCTATGTGAAACAGTCATGGCTTTAGTACATATACAGAGTCAAGTATATATAGCTCTCCAAGAACCAAGCGGTCTCTAGAGGATTCTTCTGGCATTACATCACATGCGAATCATAGGGATCAGAGTATGTTGTGAGAATCCTTGATTGTCACCTATGTGATTCCCCCTGTCGCTGTCTTGCTGTTCAAGACACGTTTACTTCCTAAAACGCCCTGCCGCCATAGCCCAAGATAGCAGCAACTCGTCTTTCCCATCCCCTTTCCCAGACTGGGTATTTGAGCCATCCCAATATATTCCCGGGGGGTTTCCATAACCCATACGCCACTTTCCGTTTTGTTGTCCAAAAATAGAACAAAGCGAAACCAGAAAAAAGAAACTAAAACAAGGGTGACAAGACGAAATGTCTTTGTCTATATTACACTAGGTCATCGTGGATCCATTCGACGCCATGCGCTGTGCATTGCTGGTGATTAAGAATAAAACGAATGTTTGTGTTTGCAGATCGGGGGGTAACGATTGGATGAGACAGGTGACAAAGAAGATATATTTGTTATTTGCGTATCGTCGTGCGGCTGGTCAAGAGACCGTCCGGGATCGAGGGTCGGATCAAGTGCAGTTATGTGTCCGCCGTATTGCTAGAACGCCCTGAAATGCTGTATTCACTTTGTTGAATAACGAGTGCGAGGTAGATGAGAGAAATTCCGAACGAAGGTAGTCGTCAAGCTTCCCTTCTGTTGAAAGTGCTGCCCGTGCAACTTTGGATAATATTGAGGTCAAACTTCATCATAAAAGATCGTCAATTGAGCGGATAATAGGTGCCTCGCCCTTTGTTGGTGGACTTCTTGGGTCAGCAACCACTAGAGGACTGCCAAACGTTGAGAAAGGGTCGCGGGGGAACATGCCCGCTCGAGGAGAAAACAATCCCTGGCCAGGAGTGGGAGGGCTTTCGACGAAGCGCATACCCGCGACCTCAGCGACCTGATGAAGCGGGTTATTCGTCATTGTTTCAGCTCTGGGTGATAATAGAGCATTGTCCTCTGGGTACGAGCCAGGAAGACTTATTGTTCTCGGCACTGGCACAGGGTCGAAATTCATTTCCGCAGGTGCTGGGTTGAAACGTGGGAATGACATGGTCTGGAATCCCATACTCGATTGAGACGGGAATCCAGGTGAAGGTGGAGGTTTCATAGTAGAGTCCATCGAGGGAGATGGAGCCAAAAGAGTCGGTGCCTTACCTTGGCTTGATACGGGCCTCTTTGGCAGATCACTCAGCTTGAAAGGGTCCAAGTGCTCCGTAGGCTTTTGCTCAACTTCGTCTTTCCACGTGCACGTAGGTGGAGCAGAAGCTGGACCAGGTGAAACTGGGCGTGGGCCAGGTGTCGAATTGCCTCGAAGTCGGTTCGGGCTCAATTTCAGTTTTGACTCCTGCGATTCCTCGTTTTGTGTCGGGAGAGGTGCGGTCTGGGGTTCCTTGGGGCCCATAGCGATACCATCAGCGGAAAGTGTCAGTCTGTGTTTTGAGGAACTTCGGCCAGGGCGGGGGCGATTTGAAGGCACGGCGGGTCGCTTTGTTGTCATTTCCTTCTGGAAATCCTGCAACGAGTACATAAGCTTCATGTTGGGGCTGATCCATTGGCTCTTGGCTTGAGCAGCGTAGTAAGCATCGTTGACAGTAAGCTCAGGCTTCTGGAAAAGACCATAGGCAATAATCAAACTAGCAGATCGGCTTGCGCCCTGTTGACAGTGGATAAGTACACGCTTGCCAGCCTTGGTCCGGTTGTCAATGACATCGCAAAGCTCCATCAGATCCGGAGCAATATCGGTGTTGTGGTCCCAAGGAATATGAATATACTCTGGCTCCTGGAACTGGAATGCCTTTGGTGTTGTAGGCGTCTCAACCGAGTCGTCACCTTGGGGGTACTCCCAAGCCGTCATGAAGCTGGCTGTAGACATACCAGTGTCTGGAATCGGGCTGTCAATGCCGGATATGGGGCGTCGCGTTGACCCCAATGGCGATCGCGAATCCCGAGCCGCCTTGCGGTCTTCAAAGGGGTTGCTAACTTCTCTAGCGCAGTTAATGACGACGTCAAAACGGGCTGCCTCGTCAGCTGTTGGTTCCGAATAGAGGAAGACATTGTCTCCATAGATGGCAATTGGACCGTCAGGATATCCTGGGGTCTTCATGTCCTCGTTGTTCTCGTTATCACGGTACGGATCGTCATCTCGGAAGGCCATTTGAGTGCGAATAGGCGAGTCCGACTCCTCCTCGGTAATTGCAGATTCGAAAGCTGGCTTCATGCTGACCTTGGTAGGTCGCAGCACCTCAGAAAGACCGGATTCGTTTCGCTCCAAGACCTTGGGGAAGGTCATGCCACCCGGCGGGCCAAAGCTTGCCGACTTGAGGCCGAAAGACATGTGAGGTGAGGAGGAAGAGTGCTTCAGAGCTCGACGCTGGAGCATGGGCATGGCTGGCGAAGGAGGAACCTCTAGAGTGGTCTTGTGAACCAGGTCGGAAGTGTTGGTCTTGAGACTCAACTGGCTTGGCTTCCGTCTCACGGCAGGAACCGGAGGCTTGATAAAAGATGGAGAAGAAGGCTCAGACATAAGCGAAATGTTCGATGTTGAAGTAGTGACAGCAAAGGGAGGCTGAATAGACAGGCCCTTCATGTTGCGCCCTCTCCGAGGGGAGGGTGATGTCATGGGTCGCTGTAACCGGGGAGGCTCGCTCAGCATAGTACTGGTGGTTGTGTTGCTGTTGAGTCCGAGGTTCATGTTGGTAGAGAGGTTACCGAAGCTTGTAGCTGGGAAGTTGTTGAGCGGGATGAGATTCATGGGAGAATCGGGAGAAGACGAGGGAGACGCATCTGAGAGAGGCGAGGAGTCTGTTGTAGACAGCGTCGTGGTGGGCGAGGAGTCGGCCGATTCCGAGGTTTGTGTTGAAGTGCTGTCATGGTGCTTGTGAGTTGGGTCAACGGGCATCATGCTAGGCCCGAGACGATGTTGGTGAGAAGCCATCATGCCAGGTCGCTTGGGTTCCAAGTCGACAAACTTGGTATCCATGAGTGTGACAGTGTCCCGGTCGGCCATTGTCTCGGCGTCCAGGTCAAATACTGTCATGAATGGCGGTATTTGGTCCTCGTACACTCTTCGGTCTGTAACTGAAGGCATGTTTTGGTGGTCGGCTATTGGTACAGTGAATCTAGCTAGATATTTCGAGGCCAGTTATGGTCTCGCTGGCTGCGTTGATGGTGATGTTTCCAGTATTCGCTCAGGGCGTTGAAACACAAGTTGGTTTCCACCTGGGATAAGTCGTGTTGAAATTATGTGTATATGTGTAAAGATGCGTAAAATTGAATGGCAGGTTTAAAATAAAATAAAAACAATCTGGTAGCAGAAAGGAATGCTTTCGTGGGTCGCGGTGCGATCGAGAGTAAGTCAAGTCGGTCGTTCGTTGGTCAGCGCAGCTGATCTTGTCGCTGAGCTTGCCAGATCCAGATAATAATGGTAGTGGGCAGTGCTCGGCAAACGCACGCAGGTTACTCGGCTTGTCAATGAGAGAAACGAGCCTCGCAGTTTTGGACGATGGGGGGGAAATAAATGGTCTTGATGAGAAATAAATCGCGAGTTGGGGCGATAGAAGCAATCGAGAAAGAAGCTACTGGTGGTGCTGCTACTGTCGAATCTAGCGAGTAGCAGGGAGAATAAGGAACGAGCCCAGAGAAGCAGTGAGACAAAGAACTGGCGCCTCGACGATAAATGTAGCGGCAGGGCAGGGCAGAGCGGGCAGCGAGTGGCGCTGTCAAAGTCGCGAGATCATTATTTCCCTTTACTAGGGAGACCGAGTCGTCGTTCGAGGAGAGGTTATATCAGTATCAGGCGCTTGGGTCTGGTCTAGGAGAAGGGCAAAGGGAAGAAGATTGAAATTGAAGATCAAAGTGAGGAGAGAAGTGAGAGAGAAAGATGAGAGGAAGAGTAATGAGTTGGAGGGGAGTGTGAGACAGAGCGAGGACGTCTTGGGATTGGTTTGGATTGAGTTTAGCTCTGGGGGAGAACAGGTTGGGGGGGCGTGAGTGCAAGAGGCGCTACCTGACCTGTGTACTGTACGCGTACGGCCTAACAACACGGTACACAGGTGCCTACCTACTTCCAGGCTCCTCAACACCTCCATAGCTACAGGGCCTATATCCGTGGGGCCGTCAGCTGCCCTGCGGAGGCTCAGTGCCCTGTAAGAAGGAGACCGAGCGCCGACATAGCAACGGCGGCATCTAAAACAATTATTGAAGCACCTTGATCCAATCCAGTCGCAAGCAATTCAGAGACTGACTGCACACGGCGGCAACTGGTTTGTTTTCGTTGTATGAAACAAATATCCGCCCTCAACAAGCGGTAGTAGAGATTGAACATGACCATGACCATGAACATGAACGCGATACGCCTTGTTGCCGCGGTCATGTACATGGAGAGTAAGTGTTCTGCACGAGAGGAAATTGTTAACTATTGGAAGTCTGCAGGGCGTAAGATCGATCGGCTCCAAGAATGGCACAAAGAATCAAGAATAGCATACGAAACATACACTAGTGTTGACGATATACTTGGAAGCTGGTTGCTTACAACAAGCAAGGTCTCCCTCCTGCAAACCCAGGTTCCCCAATCTAGTTTACGGTTATAATCTTAAATCGTCTTGACTGAAGCTGTGAGTGATCACGAGTAATGAGTGAACTGAATATCGCCTCGACTTATGACTGGCTTGATCGAGTTCTGCCTGTTATGTCACTCCCTTGCCAATAGATGAGTCCAATAATCATGGACTCCAAAAGCCAACGGTGTCCAATAGAAAGCAAGAGACTCGGATTTGCAAAAGAAAAGACGCCTACGGATACTCCGTACAAGATCGATTTCTAGACCCAGAGCTGCTTGCGAAAGCTGTAAAGACCCAACTAAACTCCTGGAGTGGACTGGGAGTGAGTAATCCCATCCATGGATCTCCAGCTCTCGCTTCACAGTTCTGAGGATGAGCAGAATGGGGCGAACAGCTTCAAGGGCGCTACGATGAACCACTCACAGCTCCTCTGGGCCATTCCAAGTTAGCCACGGCCGTGGAGGCTGCGTCGTGAGTGGAGGGTTCGCTGCACGAAACGCGTCCGGGGTCCTAAATATAGACCTCGCGCAGCACTCTGCAGCTCTGTAGCATGGAAAGCGCCTACGGTTAGCCAATCACGTCTGTCAGATCAAATTTGGGACTTGAGAGTTGCAGAACAAGGGGGGGGAGGGGTGTGAAAGGTTTGCCAAACCACACCGGGGCAGGGTCGAGGATTTAAATTTAACCTGATGGCGGAGGTATCTCCTTGGCTGCAGCAGAAGCTGCACTGTGCTGACAAGACCATTTATTGCTTGCGCTTGATCGTGTGCGGTCACCATAATTTGCATTGCGATGTTTAACATGACGGGAGTTTCGGGGTCGAGGCTAATCTGAGATCTTAACAGGATTGGGAAGTGATGGGCAAGAGAAGGGGACTAATAAGTCGCTGGTCAATCAGGAGTTAGAAGACAGGAACACGCTTTTAAGATTCCAACGTTTGGTCTCTATTCGCACCTACAAATGCAAATCCGATACCTTTTTTGTCTTTCCAGCCTCCTCAACTCAATTCAATTTCAATCCTCCGATCCAACGTCTCCAACCTCCTGCTATCTGCTATGCAGCACCGCAGCTCTTCATATCGTTCCATAACTCAGCTGGTGAATCACTCGTACCTACCTATCCGTAGACTGCCAAAAGGCAGTTGTCGTCTCAACTCTGCGAAACAAAGCCCTGGTGCACGCCACTCCGTAACGCCGTCGCCGGGCCCAAGAGAGGGAAACCCAGTGAAAAGCCTGGCCCTACCCCGGCCCGCTGTAACCCCGTTATCCGTGATTTGGCCATCTGCTGGCGTCACAGGTGAACAAGGGGTCCTCTGTAACCTCTCTGCAACTGCACTGCTGCTGCACTGCACCGCATGTAAGAGAAAGGCGGCTCACGTCCAGGGCCTCCAGGGCTGCGTCCAGTCCAGATGGAGGAGAAAGGGGTCTCCCCTGTTCCTCCACCGTCGACTAACGTTACTGCGCCTGTCGGCCGTATGGGGACCGGTCGTTCCCCCCAACTAGGACTGTTAGAACTTAGAAGAAGCCTAGCTATTAGCACCTAAGTTACTCCGTAGGTAGTTGAAGCAAGTGACAAGAAGGAAAAAAGAGCCCCAGAAAGAGTGCACTGGCTACCGCCTGGCCATGGCGGCTGTTGCTCGCTGGCCGGGCAGCAGGGTGCCATACAGGTTGGATACCTACCGATCGAAACACGGGCATCCAGACTCCAGAGGCTGGGTTTCTCGCGTGGCCTTTGTTTGGGGTTAAGTCGGGAACTGTTTGGTCACGTTGAAACTGAACTGTCAGAGGAGAGGCCTCGTGGCTTAGCCTCATCCTCTTGGCTTGGTCCCTGAGCGTGCGCCACTGCGGCGTCTTTTATGGGTCCACTTTGGTATATCCATTCTCGGTCTAAAGAGAGATATTGAGGGATGCGTCAACTATGAAGAGGCCAGTGCAGTGAAAAAGCACTTCTTCTATGTAGATCGATCATCTAAAATGCTATTACTGAGCAGCTAGACAAGGACTATCGATGTTAAACTGGTGGAGACAATATTGACGACTTAGACTTGTACAGGCTTCTAATACGAAGACTTTATTTTTATCCCATCTGTGAACGAGATACTTCTGTCAGTGAGTCAGACTATTCTTGCCACTCTCCTCCTTGCCCTGGCTTTTATGGAGTAGTTCGAGCTGCAATGGGGGATGCTGTGTTTGGATCCATTTCCCACAGGTATGCAGAGCATGCATTCCCACAACAGGTTCACGTTATCTCCATTCATCCACATGTACGGATACAGAATACAGAGTATGGAGCACTAATAACTTACTACGTAGTGCTAACACTGCTACGCTTTCAGCCACCATTATCCGGGCCATGTTCAGAAACAGACCGGGCCCATACTTTTTCTCTCTTAGAGTCTTATTAGCCTCCTTCTGACGGCAGATCAGAAGCCGCCAAGCTCCTAAAAGAGTGGCTCACAGGTCTGAAACCCCTGGGCTAAGTTAAGGAATGGGCAGCGGGAAAATCTTGAGCCCCATACTGGTTTCAGCTTCTCGACCGCTGAGTCGCTGACCAACGAGCGAATGACCACCTACCAGATGCAGCAGATGAAGGACAGGAGAGAGAGAAAGAGAGGAGGAGGAAAAAGAAAAGAAAATAAGAAAAGAAAAAATCAGACCGCTAGCCGCATACCTACCTACCTAGTAAATGAAAACGATGAGATTGGCTGCTTTACTGCTGCACGTCAAATTGCCCGGGGTCGAGAGGTGATGATTGCAGCCCACATGGCTTGAAAGATCATATCGAGTCCCTTTTTTTAGCTTCTTCTTTTTTCAATTCGGCTTGTGGCCTTCCACGCGCTACTTTGTACTAAACGGTGATCTGTAATCTAGGTAGGTACGTACGTAGTACTCCGTACTGCTATAAGGTAATTACCTACTACAACACACGTCAACCCCTGTAAAGATTTTGTCCACTTTCTCTCTCCATCGTCCTCCTGCCGTTGTGGGCAAGTCCCTACGTAGTAAGTCCCATATTCGCCTCAGGCCCTCAGCGACAGAGACAAAAAGAAATTCGACCCGTTCCTTTGGTGTGGTAACTGTGGTTCACCTGAATGTTGCAGCCGCGGATCCTTCTCACATTTAGAAATTAGAATGCCACCTTTTTACCCAAGATGAGGCGGGTCTCGATCTGAAACGAGACTCTCTCCCCATCCATCCACTGCAGGGCCTTTTCAGACCTCGCCCTCGGCTGCTTTTACGCAAACACCAACGTAACACTCTCTTGATCGTCAGCATCAGCATCATCATCCCGCAAAGTCCTGCGTACTCCTGTCTCTCCCCCTGGGATCCGGACGCTTAGGCTTTAAATGCTTGGTTCCAGTGTCAACGTGGCTTTGTATAGCCGCGACTGCGCTTGTTTCGTCGTATCCCTTTGCTGTGTTGCCGCCGGCTGAGCGTCTGCCCAGTAACAGAACACCCAGGCTGTTACTCGCCTATACCCAGCCTGTCCTGAGACGAAAATATCACACATTCCTGCCAGAGGAACCCTCATTCTCGTCCCTGTATCACGTGTCGCTGATCAGGATCATGAAACGAGGGCTTTTAATAACATAGGTAAGGATCTGTCATATACCTAACCGATTGCTCCAATGTCTCCGTTGTTTACATTTTTCTTTCTGAGTATAGCTTCCACTACCTCGGTATACTATGGGTCTATAGTATCAAATGCCGGTGACTTAACAGAGGACTGGAGTTGTTGAATACATCCTTGTTGTAAAATCGCTAGTCATGGCTTTCAGGTGAAACAATATCATGGTCTTAAGTCGTTCATTAAGACATCACCAGTCCTTATTAATGATTGCTTGGCCTACTTTGAACTTTGATGAATGGGTCGTTTACGTCGTATTGATCGGATATTCCCCAGGGTCTGATGGTATCATCTGGCCGTCTCTGTATTCCCTGCTGGTGTGAGTAATAAATGACGAGTCTTGGGTGTCCGCTGTGTAGGGATATCCAATGCAGCGATAGTTGTTCCGCGCAAGGGTATTCAATCAATCTGTTTCAGGTTCAACGGAGAGAGGTTCGGACGTACAGGGTAACGTAGAGAAGGCACGCGATCTCTTGGGTTTGTAGGATTCGGATAACACTCGAGTTTTCAATATGGGGTTTATTTGAACTTGCTGTGTTTCCTTGATGAAGATTTTGTTCGTATCAAATACGTTTCAGGTCTGGTCAGGAACTATGGCATAGAGTAGTTATCAATCAGGTGTATTCGACTGGTCATTCTGGCTAACTGTTGTAGTGAAAGTCTGTTCCATACATCTATCTCATGTCAATGTTCTGACAAACTGTCAATATGATAGATGAGAGCTATTCATTTTCACTACCTGGTCTGTTTACATATAGATTTACCCCAATCCTCTGTTGAATAGTATCTACGTGTGTAAGTGAATGCCCAGGGCGTGGGTGAGCTATCTATCTCATACTTCCCTTGACACCAAGACTGAAATGTCCGAATCTTGAGCAACAGAACTTTGCGTAATAGCATATTTTGTGGCTCTTGACGTGTCCATCTAATTATTTGATTTTGAACTGATAGCTTATTATTCAAATGTTTGCCCGAATCAATACTCAGTCGAGGGAAGTGGTATGAGTTCATAAAACAAATAACGTACCAGTATTGCCATAAACACAACTCAAATTGGTATTGGACCAAGCTTGACCGATCCTCGAGTTACTCTACGTTAAGCAAAAATATTTCTTTATTAACCATGTCCGTAACTAATCTGCCTGACTATGTTCGTTGCCGAAATAGTCGTTGCATGTCGTTGCATCGTGATATGTCTAGGGTAAGCTACCTACCCTATAACGACTGCAGTGGAATATCATATATCTGCAATACTTGGAACATGAATTGCTTTTCCGTCGTATCGAACATTGTTTCAACGAACAACTTACTATCATGTCACTTTAGGAGAGATAGCATGCTCAGTTTCTCAATAAGGGTCAACATGAGCATATCACAGAAAAGTGTCAAATCACACCTGGTCAAACTACACACCAGTATGACAATGAACTTGTGCTGCAAAAGAAAAGAACGATAGCGTTGTTCAACTGGTTTATCCCTTGCTACGAGTAGTTAACTTTAAAATTAAATGTGTTATTCCACACGCTTAATTACGATTGTATCAGCATGCTCGAAAGCTGTTAATACGTCTTAATGCGTCAATGAAGCAGCTAAGTCTATGAACGTGGACATAGTAGAAAACATCCAAAACGCGTTAGAATCCTAGGCAACAGAAACAACTTCATTCTTATACATAAACCGCGTTCTTTATAATAGAGTGACTTAGGAAGTTCCGAGAATGTCCATGATATGAGATCCAGGCCTTGCTGCACATCGATCCTGATGGACGCCAGTCAGCACTTCTACATTTTGTTAAGAAAAAGGTATAAATCAAGTCTACGAGTCCATTTATGTCAACAATACAGTTTACCGTGTTCGAGTTGACTGGGAAATATAATAATTGTATCTGTCTCTGAAGCATTGCTTAAACAGTACCTATTTCAGGATAAAAATTTGGACGAAAAAGGGACACCCAACTAGACAAATAGAGTCTAAGACACAACGCAGAATGATGTGTTATCACGTCCATCCAAAGAACCATAGGTCAGTAATCCGAACTCTGGGCCTCCTTTACCTCAAAGGTAGACGTGCAGGTTTTGGTGAGGGTCCTTCGGAAGCACTAAAAAGCAAAGCAGCAAAAGAAAACAACTCGAGTAGCACCACGTACCAGGCTACCAGGTCATTGCATTAGTCTAGTTGCACAATCTAAACACGCCATTGAGCCCTTGGTTACATGTATTTATTTTCTATTTACGGATAAAATTTCTTATGAGAGGACCTCAAGTTAGCGGGCAAAAGGTCTTGGTAAAACCATCAAAAGCAAAACTTCGGAGATCTGCATAGTTAGCAAAACGGCTAGACAGCCTTCTTGTTGCAGAAACAATAGGCGAGTGGCCGTTTAACCGACATACGGCACAAAAACGTAGGCCAATGCGGATTCTAGGTGTTGAGGGTATTCACAGCATGGGCAAGGGGATATCCTTGCTCGCTGGTAACCACCACAGCAACAGGCGACATGGCACAGAGATTGAGGTCAGACTTGACAGCAGGCAGTTCATGTCGACGGATGGCACGGGGATTTGTTCCTTGGCCTGTTTGTTGACAGTTATTACTATGTTGAACTCCATGTTACGTTGTAGGGTCCGATATGTATCATGCTAAGAGACACTTATGCGAGGCGAATGCAGCACTTGAGATTATTGCTATATAGTCTGGACAGCACAGACCAGACAGTCGTCTATCCATCCGTAATGTTTGCTGTCATCCCCTTGACATTGCGTCTAGTCTAATTAGAGTACAAAATGTCAGTACCGCGGACGATGGATGACACCCATCGCACGATACGACCCTGGGGAGAGCCTCTGTTTCAGGCAGGGATAGGGGATAAAGGTCGTGAACTTTACTGAGGCGGTTCCCTTTATCGCGCAAGAAACACAAGGAGACGACGGAAAGATTAATGGCTCCCTGGGGGGCACTATTCCCCGTTCAGCTCTCTAATCCCAGCCTCTCCTCGGGCTACGTCGACGAGACGACCCCTGCCAGCCTTGGAAACAGGGATTTGGTTATCCTTTCCGCTAGTTATCCTATCTTTCAGGTCCGTTTAACGTTAGGCCATCGGAGCGGTTGACTTTCAACGGTGGCCTATGCTCACCCGCTAATAAATGACGACAAGGGATGTGAGTTGCATTCCGAGAGTAAGTACGGATAGACAAGAGAGATTGAGATTGGGATGGAGAAGGACATGGTCAGAGGTCCCCCTCTTTTTGAGTTAGGAACAACCGTAGGAATGGGTCAAACGTCAATTGATTAACTGAATTATGAAAGACAGGATGAAGCTTAGGCCGCTGTGGGCATAAAGCTCGAGCGGCCCGTAACCGTGGCTTTGGCTTTGGCTTTGGCATTATAATCATAATAGGAGAGTAAAGAAAAGGGGCAGTTCAAAAGTGTCGTAAGCATGCATGGTTTTTATTACTTAGCAAACCGTTTCAACGAACCAGTTCTGTACTCTTGTCAACTGCCGAGGGAGGGTGTCTCGAGGCTCGTGGTGACAATTGGGCTGTCCGGCAGGAATTTGGCTGTAACACAGCATCAAGAATGTTGATGAACGAGGCCATTCATTTCTGAGTTTCCATCTCTACAGGGGTAATTCGGTTGCAGATCCAGTTTAATTCCCCCAGCCTCTCCCCCATGCCCATGTCGAGTCTGTTCGCTTCTGCGAGAGACAAAGTGATGTGCTTTTGCTCTGCTGCAAGTTACTCCGTAGATACAATACAATTGGATAATTCTGGATCACTTTAGATGGGTTCGGCCTCGTTTGTGAGAACTGCATCCACTTTACATAGTCACAGTCGCAGGGTTGAGTCAGTTGAAGCCCGCAAACGTTGATGTCGTCCGTTGAAGGGTTTCAACGCCATAGCTTGGCCGCATTTGAGGATGTGAATTGAATATGATGATGGAGAGGGTCTTAATTGCCCGTCTTATAAACAAAGTTTCCACTGCTCCATGATATGACCTCTCTATCCTCTCCATCCTGTCTTTCTCTTAAACCCCCCCTGTTTGGTTTGCTTGTGTTGGATCGAAGTAGTCCACTGTTCATGTATAAGCCCTTGTCGAGATCTTCTCCTCTCCTCTCGTTCTCCAGCCACAGCATCAGACTACAAGGTATTCTTCAAACCTTGAAGGCAAAGGCCCCTCCTCATTACTCCATACGCTGTTTATCTTTATCCAGCCTTGGCTTTTACCTGCTTTTTCCCCTTCTCTTCCTTTACTTCCATTTCAGTCTTTCACTCCAGCTTCTTGTCCTTGAACACGTTGTCTAGGTCCCATCCTTTCCCTCTCTATTGGGCAGATTGGGCATAACTGTCCCCTCACCTTCACCGACTTCACCTTCTCCAGCTTCTTCTCTGCGTCACCTGCTCAATTAATTCCCGCGGTTTCAAACATATATCATACATAATAACATATCGACGACACTGGACCCTCGGATTTTCCTCCTTGTTTCCTCGTCGACCTTTGTCTCTTTCTGTCCGTTTCCGAGGAACCAGTTTCAAAACTCACACGGAACGCCTACACAGGCCCTCTCGAGTCAAGAGTCAAGACAATAATAGGCATTCTGCTGTCTTAGCCTATTGTTTTCTACAAGACAGCCAAAACTGAGACGACCACTACCGCATGCATTCATCTTTAATAGCTACTACAGTACGGCTTTGGTCATAAGGTACTCGGTTTAAAAAAAAAAGGCATATAACCTCAATCAGGACTCTGGGCGCCCCCCCTTACACGACAGTTCGCTGCGACAGCCTGCAAGATTTTTTCCTGCTGTTTATTCGACGTCGTATTTCACAAACTGCAAGCAAGCACCTGCTAAGTTACTTGCTGGGATGCTCTAATGCTCCGGCGCCGAGACCATGACTGTACAAGGCGGTTTCACCAGTGCGGGCCAGCAAGGCCCTGACAGTCAGCACCATCAGGAGCCTACTGCGAGTCTGGACTCAGCTGCTCAGCAAACTAATGCTTCATCCTCCCCATCAACTGTCATCGCACACGCCGATTCACATCGACAGAATCACAATCCTTCCAAGCTGCCCGCCTTTCGCTTCGCCGACCGCAGAAGCAGCAGCTGTGGAAGTATCCCGCTAGCTAATAAGGGTGGCCCCCTGTCCATTAGTAGCAACCCATATACCCATAACAGAACCCAGAATCTCGATTTGAGACACAATAACAAGGACGATCACAACGGCGACTATCTCAGCCATAAGCCAACGGCGACGTCGAAATTGATATCGAATTCGAATTTGAATTCCACCTCAACACCAACCTCTCCTCCCGTAACCACTTCCCAGAGCGAATCAGTGGCGCCCCAACCATTGTCGTCAATTGAACCCTCGACTATCGCACCCAATCTCGACCCTAGCACTATTTCTTCCACTCCAACTGTCTCACTTGCCCCGAGCGCAGTAGCACCCGAACCAAGAGACCCAGCCCCAGTCCCATTGGAAGCCCCAAATAGCGCTGCTAGTGGATCAGTCACTGCGTCCGACCCTGTCCCAGCACCGGAAACACTCGCAGAGGCGACCCATTCTACCAATTCTCACCCGACAACGCATCACCGCGACGAAAAACACGCTGTCTCTGCATTAACATCTACGCCTGCATCTGCGCCTACAGACCCATCCACGAACACAAGGCCTACGTTACTCTCCAGAAACCCATCACTACAACCCAGCGAACCCAAGTCTCCCAGCGACACGATTACACCACTGCAATCGCGAACTCATTCTCGGACGTCTTCGGTTCAACCATCGTCATCGGTGGTCCATCTTTCGCCTGGGGTCAAGCGTCCCGCATCATTCTCTGACGCACATGCGCCTGACGCGCTCTCCCCGCATCCTGCTTCTTCAGCACCCAAGACTCGGACTCGGCGACCGTTGGTATCGCGCAGATCGACAGCTGGAACCTCTTCTAGTGGCCCGCCACCTTCGTTAAACTCGGAGCGCCTTCAAGCAATCGAGGCCGCCCAGGAAGGTCAATTGACCTACCCCTCCTCATCCGACAATTCACCAAGCCATTCGCCGTCCGGCCAACGCGAATTGATTTTGCCCAAGACGTTGTCCAGAACCAACTCCGATGAGAGACGAGGGTCCGTTTCGCAGCGCCCGCCCGTCTCATATCGACCACCTCTTACCACCACCAGCAGTACAGAATCATCATCCTCGACTGCTGTTCGCGTTCCCCCGATTCGATCCTTCCGGTCCTCAGGCTCTCGTAAGAGTCTCACTCTCGACATGAATTCCAGGCCGCGCTTCCACGACTCTGGAGATGAAGTCGACGACACCAACCATGACCGCACTCTGCGCGCCTTGGAGGGCAGAAGCGACGACAATGCTCTTCACTCAGCGCCACCCTCCGCAGGTCGACGCGGCGCCTTCGATAATGAAGATACTGGCGACGTTTTCCTAAAGATTGCCAGGGAAGAGTCTTCGCAGCGCCAAACAGACGAACAGACTTCCGAAGACAATCGTAGCGTAGTGGTAAGTACCTGTTCTTCTGCTCCTACATTTTCCTATCTATTTTCGCGCGTCGCATCATGGCCTGCGCTTTGATGCGATTTTACGCCTGGCGCATTTGCCGTTTGTTTGCGCAAAACCTTTTAAGCCCCACACAGGTCATTTCTGCTTGCTCAGCCGGTTTACGGGCCTGAAGTTGAATGTTGTCTATCTTTCAAGTCCAAAGCTAACCGAACTACCTAGTCTCGAGCAACACGATTTACGCATCGACGACCGCTTTCTTCAGTGGTCCCCCTACACCAACCTAACTCACCTCCCCGGGTTCGACGTCGGCTTTCTGACCAAAGAGACACCTCGCGCTCACGCTCAAGAGGCTATGAAGATGACAGAGCGACAGAAATATCTCGTATGTCTACGTATCGCACAACACTACGTGAAAAGGCAGCATCGGCGCATCCTGGAGAAGACTCGGGGCGCATGCGAAGTTCTACCTCAACTATGCGTCCTTCACCAGTGACACCTAGATCGATCATCTTCCAAGAACCCAGTTCTGAAAACTCGCAGTACTCTCGCCGAAGATCCTCCATCACTGAAAACAATGCAAGTGGGAGCCGGAGCTCTACATATAAATTCTCGGGATACGGCAGCCACAACAAGACATATAACTCGTCACCACTTATCAAATCTTTCGATTTCCAACGTCAATCGAATCAAGAAACTGGCAATGCGGCGGAAGGAACCGAATCGACTTTGTCGAACACTGCCCCCTCCACGGTATGGGACGAACTAGACGACCTCAAATCAAGGATTCATCGACTAGAACTGACTGGTAAGCTGCCTTCGACTTCCGGCGCTGCAGTATCGAGATTATCGGACGAACGACCACCGACCGCGACTACAACAGCAACAACTATGTCTTCCTCTCCTAAACGACACGATAATAACCACCAGAACCACGACGCCGTTAGCACCACGTCCTCCCATCACCGAGAGTCGCATTCTATCCTTCAGTCAGCCCTTGCTAAGTCCAGGGTTCTGCTCGATACCCAGATTTACCAGGCTCTTGAGTCTGCTGCTAACGATGCTATGGCCCTGGCCTCGATGATGGGAACACCCGGCCAACCTGGACCTATTTCTAGCGGTGCCAGCACTATTGGCTCGAGCGCGACAGTTACCGATCGTCAGCTGAGACGGAAAGCGGAGAGTGTTTGTCGCAGTTTAACAGAACTTTGTCTCGCATTAGGTGAAGACGTTACTCAAACGCAGAGGCCGCGACAATCCATCGAAGTGCCGCCCCCCACTCAGAATGAGGCGCCGATTACACCAACAGTCAACAAGACCTTTTCTGGGTTCGCTCAGCGCAGGCAGAGCATTGGAAGAAGCGAACAAAACCCAGTGAAGGAACAGCTCACTAGCCCGAGAACCATGTCCAAGTTTGAAGAGCGAAGACTCAGCATCCTTAATGGCAGCTCCCTGCCTACGTCTCGTATTTCGAACTCGATACCATCGACTCCTATCGAGCCGATGGCGAGTAGACGCTCGTCTCTCCAGGTGTCCCGGTCTCGCCGAGCTGGCACCGAAGAGCCAGACGATGGCAGGAAATCAACACTTATGTTAAGAACCAGACGCGCGGGCACTGAAGAACCCGATGAAGGCCGCAGGACCTCTCTATTCGTCCGCAACCGCAGAAACACTGTTGGGGAAGATGCCGAAGACGAGCCGAGATTCCACACACCTTCCCGGGCGCAAACTGATCTCAACACTATTCGAGTAGTGACACAAGATCAGACGCCACAGCCACAACCAGCTGAAACTACATCGGCGATTCCACGCCGACGCTTCGTTTCATCAAATCTGGGTGCCTCTCGACTGGCAACACCATCTGCAAACACATCTACCCCTCCTCGGAGGTACATGGAGAGATCTATGGAAAGACCTACTCAACAACAAGACCACACTTATAGTGTAGCTGACAGGCTTGCTGAAGAGCGCGCACAACGCTACACTTCCCTTGGGCAGACAACCATGATCAACCGAACCGGCAGTATGATCAGAAGGCCCAAGCGGGATAGCATTGTATCTGGCAACCCCTCTACAGCTGCCGGCAGCTACAGATAATGCCAATGACCAATGATTTTGATTGATTTTACGACTGTACAACTATACATTATGCTTCGAGCGCAGGACGTCGTTATCTTCTTTTACTTGTTAGGACAGGAGGCACCTCACCTTTTTAATTCCCCCTTTGTTCCGCACATGATTCGGCTTGGCGATTCATGACGAATGTCAATGGCGACGATTCGCCGTTCTCGCTTGGCGTATATACACTGTCCATAGCTTAAGCGCATTTTGCCAAAAGCCTGAAAGGAAAGCAGTATCACGGTGTTTGGGGAGTTGTCTTTTTATTTTCATTTTCAAAACGGCACACCATGGGAATGGCCACGTATGTAGGGAGCAACAGCCTGTGTGTGATGGCTATCTGTTTGATAGCAGGTGGATTAGCAAGGGGGATACGGAGCATCAGGATAAGCATTTGTCTATTGAGTTAGTATAATGTATGACATGGTTTGATCGCGCCAGTTGCGATCTTTGACGGTTGACTTTACTATCATGGTATGCATAACTGGCTATAATAAGTGCAATGTGATGTAATATCATGACTCCTCGCCAATGCACATTGCGAAGGTGACCTACCTTGCCTATTGCTAACTTGGAGGCTGAGTCAGGCCGAAAAAATGCCTACCTACCTAGTACCTTAGTAACTTAGTTCCAGGCAGGTACAACGCCTCAAGGTTGGGCTCCACCAGCGGGCTCATAAGAATTCACAGCTTGTCAGTGAATGAATTGCCAACTTATGTTTTCCATCCTCACACAGAACATAAGAACCGCATCTTATCCGGTCGTATTTTCAGGATCCCACAAACCATTTGCTCTCGCTTTCTACAACCCTTTGACTATATCCCAACCATTTCACCACAGGGCTTCTTCTACACCCCGCCCACGCAACATCATGGCTGATACCACTCAACAAGACCATTTAGATGTGGAAGAGAGGATGCAGAGCAGAACTTCTAGGCCAAGGGGAGATAAGGGACGTGGGAAAGGCGGCGGCGGCGGCGGTGGACAGGGCCGAGAGGTGCAGGTTTCAAAGGCCCTGTCTAAGCTCTTGAGGCATCAGGCGGCTAATGCTGGTGTTCAACTCGACGATGAAGGCTATGCGACGTTGGACTCTGTGGTAAGTAATCATATCTCAGCTGTAGAACTGGGAAGAATTTGTCCACGTTCCATAGACGAGTACCCAAACTAATGCATTCAGCTTGCGTGGGGTCCATTGCGATCTCTAAAGGTCACACTTGAGGACATCCAAGCCATCGTCAGTTCCAACGACAAGCAGCGCTTCACACTCAAACCCAAAGACCCCTCTCTAGAGACTCCATCTAACTCATCTGCCGACTATCTCATCCGCGCCAACCAAGGACACTCTATCAAACTTGAGTCGGCAGCCCTTCATGCGCCCATCACCATCGAGGCCGGCAACGTCCCACAGCGAGTCCTCCACGGATCGTTCTTCTACTTCTGGCCAGCCATCGTAGAAACAGGAGGCCTAAAGCCCATGAGTCGTACCCACGTGCACTGCTCGTCGGGAACACCCGAGGAAGGTGTCGTGAGCGGTATGCGTAAGGACGCAGAGCTCATTATCGAGGTTGATATCGAAGCGAGCTTGAAGGATGGTGTCAAGTGGTGGTTGAGTGACAACGGAGTTTTGTTGACGGAGGGTGATGAGCAGGGTATTTTGGGCACCAAGTACTTCAAGTCAGTGACAGGACGCAAGGTTGATATCGGGGTGCTGTGGCAGGATGGAGAGTGGGTTTCTGATCTTCCAGCTGGATTGAAGATAAGTCCGCCGCTTGGCAAGGGGTCTCGGCGAGGTGGTGGACGAGGGGGGAGGGGAGGTAGACGGGGCGGTTCATAGAGCGTAAAAGACAGATGAAAGGCCTCTATTCGATATAGAGACGATACTGAATGTCAATCCTATTCCTATGACTACTTCCGGTATAAGCAACACCTTGAGCAAAGAGGCTTACGATATCCGCTTCATCAACCCCTGCGATACCAATACTAGCCTTATACAGATCCAATACTCGCAGCTTGTTCCTCCCTGAGCTTCTCTTCCTTCTGAAGCCACTCAAGCACCTTCTCTGCGACCAGGTCCTCCGCTTGCTCTCGTCCAGCAATCCCAGTCACAACGCCCATACCCTCGGGGATCCTCCCGTCGTTTCTAAAGACAGGGCGTCCCATCCAGGTCTCACCATCGTCATCCACAATGGTGCTTTGTTCGATGTAGTACTCCGGGATTCCAAAGCCCAGGCGCTCGCCGAGAACAGCAACGCGCTCACGGATGGCTAGGCTTTGGGTGGCGGTAGTTGAGGCGGCAGTTGAGGCGGCCGTGGTTGAAGAGATAGGAGTCTGGGCACCTGTATCCTTTGAGGACGAAGGACCAGCTGTAGATACACCGCCATCGCAGGTGTCTTCTTCAGCTTTCACCCTAGTATGAGAAGGGGACTCCTGTGTCATGGAAGCAGATCGCTTATTTCCGCGAGATGACGGGCCTGCCCCCTGGAGGAACCTGAGTGCGTGCATGGCTGCAAAGTTTTTGGCCTTTTGCGCCTTCTTGAAAGACGGTACTTCTTGACCTGCCTCGTAGCCGTATCCCTCCTTGGGGAACGATTCTTGTTTTGAGGTGATAATGCAAGTGACCCGAGATCGCGGTACATTTGTGCCGTAGACTTGCAAAGTGAAAGTCTCCGGAGCGAATATCGGAAGGGGTAACCTGTTCTGCTGGCAGTATTCTAGGAAGCAAGCATATTGAGTTAGTTGCGCGCCTTGTGGCTTCACGTTTGGATTGTAACTTACTGTTCAGTTCGCCCACCCATTTGTCTTCAACCTCAATGTCATGAACGAGATCGATGAGTTGTGAAATGGCGATGATCTGCTGCTGGTTAAGCTGCGCAGGCCTTCCGCTCTTTTCCTCCTCAGCCTTTTTTTCGTTGGCGAACTTGATGAGCTGATCCCATGGGATACCTCCGCTCAGGGCCGCAGAGGTTTGATTCGCCATGACTTCGTATATATGTGTTTGTACAATGTGAGGATTAAGTGCCAATATCTGGGTGTTTGTATGATGCGAGGGTGAAGTGTGAAAGGCCAAGTTAATTGAAGTGGGTTGCAAGTAAAAGGGTAAAGAGTGAGGAGTGGCTGACTCCCTCTGTTCTCGATGAAATTTGCTAGTGAAGAAACGGGAGTATAGCTGCGCTTTATGCTTCATAGCAATAGTGAAGCCTTGCCTTGAGTTGGAGGAGGGGGATGCCTCTTGGAATATCGCAAAAGTGAATTACAACAGGCCCTTGATAGGGCAGTCAGGCTCCATCTACAAAGCTTCTTAACTTGGCCGGCCTCAGTTATGAATTGATGCTGTTGGTAGGAGAACAACAAGAGTAAATGATTGGGCTGTGTATATCAAAAGTGCATTGCATCCGCCCTCGTTTCAAAGTAGGTGTGCTTGCAATAAGACGATTGAGTTGGTTGTTGCTGTAGCTGTGAGGGGTCTGCAATAATGGCCAACTTCAGTGGAGCAAGGCTTATTGGGTTGACTGCCTTATTGTACAGTACAGCCCACGCCTTTAAGATAAAATATACGGATATAATCAGGCTGAAAACATGAAAGCGCTTGATCGATCAATTGTTTTGTTTGTATTGGTTACAGATAGGTCCAACAACTGGTCGACCCACCGGTCTTTCACAGGGTATCTACCAACATCTGAATGCAGAATGCAATATGTAAAAACTCCCCTCTTGTCTGCCTCACGATTAAATCAACTGTCCCCATCCATACTATACTGTGGCAACCCAAGAACCACTTAATCCTCAAAGAAACCACCCTCATCACTATCGTCATCGTCGCCCTTAACGGTCATCTTTACACCCTGGCGCTCCTGGAGTCTGCGCTCCCTGCGGTTTTTCGGGGCAGCCCCTGTCTTGCCCTTGGTGTAGGGCGTAGGTCTGGGTTTGGCGGGCTCTGGCTTGACCTGCTCCTTTGGCTGCACCTTCGAAGTCGCTGCAGCCTTGTTTGTGCTTGTCGACTCCTTGTGCTTGTTCAGGTGGCGCTCTTGTTGCTTTCCTTCTTGTGCCTCTTCAGCTGGGCGTCTCTCCCTCAGGGTTCGAAGCGCATGGGGACCATTCTTCATCGCTCGTTCGACCTCTGACCACATCGGCGGTCGTTCTGTATGCAGCAAACCTCTGTGCTTGAGAGGTGTGTAATCGAGCTTGTCGTCGTCCTTGTCTTCCTCGTTCTTGTCTAATTTGGTGTTGGTGTATAGGCTGATGTAAGGTTCGGCGTGGGGAAAATGCTGAGTGTATGCCTCATCCACTTCGGCAACATGCAGATCGCGCTTCAATCCCTCGATCTCATCTGTTTCTGTAGTTTCCGTCTCTCCAATTTTCTTGCGCAGCTGCTTTACTAATCGCGCTGCCTTCTTTCGCTCTATCCATGCATTTTTATTAGCAATGTCTTTCACCCAGACGAACCCAGACCAAACATACCAAAGAAGCGAACCATGTGGTATTTTGTAATCATTGCGCTTCGTAGCCTCTGGAAGTTCTTGTCTGAGACTGTGTTCTTGAGTGCGCCCAACTCTCGCTCGAGATCATTGCGAACATCGGCAGGAAGGTCTTGGTTTCGGTTGAGGAGTCGCTCGATCGTGCGCGTTCTCTTCTTGGCCCATGTTGAAGTTCCCTCGTTCGGTCGATGCTTCGACTTGCTGCTGTGTTTGTGCTTCTTGGCGCCGTTGAACGATCCGCGCTCTCGAGGTTCAGGCGAGCCAACCTCTGAGTAATCTCTTTTTTGCCCCATGACTGAAGTATTCGAACCTTTTAGAAGTAATAGCGCGCAAAGTTGGCACTGCAAAGAAAGTGTCCAGAGAAAAAGATAGTAACACGAATTAGAAGAATTAGGACATGGTCAACTTTTTTTTCTGAGCTGGCGGGGACTTGATGCAGCGCCGGTACCTTATCTTATCTGGTGTCCCAATTTGGGGTAGCGTGGACGCTCCTGTGGGGAAGGTCCGTTCCTGGGAGATCGATCATCTAAGCTCAACTCCATCCACATCCATTATTCAACAATACATTATCTACTTACACCATCAATCATTGTTTGATGCCAATGGCACTAGACTGTAGCCAGCTCTCTTGGCAATAACCTGTTTATATGCAGAGTCTGTACTGGTATATTGTTACTGTTGAACCATTCTCAAAAATTGGGTTAATAACCTGTAACGCCCGACCGAATAGCTCTCATCTCAGTTCTCTACCGCATTTAGCTCTGAGATACAGTCGTCGCCCTCATCTCTGGAAGATTGGGGCCACTGTATGCAAACAGCACCTGGAAATATACGCAAGATAGTACGACAACATTGCCTTTGAGCTAATTCGCCTCCTCCATCATGGACCGCCCCGAGCCAGGGCTTGTTAAATGGTCGTCCAACCCTTCCTACGACAACTTCATTCATATCAACCTCCAGCACCGCGTTGTTCAGGTATACGAACCAACTGGACACGCAAGAACCGGAAGATTCGACTACCAGAAACTCACACGCCACGATGACTTTCCTCCTCTCACAACTTACGATTGGTCACCTACCAACCCCGGTCTTCTCGCTGTTGGAACTGGAAGCGGCGTTGTGAACTTGCTAAGAATCGACGATGGGTCCAATGCGTACGTTGAGCTGGGTCTAAAGATGTCCCGCACATGCCAGGCTGTTGCGTTCAACACAACCGGATTGTTAGCAGTTGGCCTTGACCGAGTTCGGATGGACCAATGTCTTCACATATGGGATGTCAATCGACTGTCTTCAATGGATAAGAACACAAAAGGTTTCCCTTCAGATGCAACCAATATCGGTGATCCGAAAACCCGTCTAGAACCTAGTGTTTCTGTGTCGAGTATTAAATTCTTTGAAGACAGTCCTCAAACTCTTGTGGTTGGCATCAAGGCCCAGGGCCTTCGAATACACGACCTCCGCGGTACGTTCGAGAACAGAATGAAAACAAGTTTCCGTACTGACCCGGAGCCTTGATAACCAGACCCTAACAGCATTGTCACATTCCAAACGAAGTGCAACAATAACCTTACAATTGATTATGCTGACCAAAATTACTTTGCTTCATCTGCTCTCGATCATCCTGGTGTAATGATATGGGATCGTCGGGCAACGTCGAGACCTGTGGCTTCTCATGCATACATGCAAGCAATCGAAGAGGACGAACTTCCATGGGGTGGAGCATTGCGACTGGACCAGGTGATCGAAACTGATTCTGACCCCTTTCTTGCAGAGGGAAAATACTCTCTCGTTCGCTCGCTCCGTTATTGCCGCGATCACCGCGGTCTGCTTGCTGTGCTGTCTCGTACCGGACAACTAAAGGTATTGGATACTAATAAAGAAGTCCCTTCATCTAGTTCAAGCAGTCCAGAGCTTCTTCAGGTTCAGAAATCATACGAAATGGATGTCGCGTATGTTGAAACATCGAGGAAGAACGATCGTATAGTTGCCTTTGACTGGGTGACATTGAGCTCACCAGTGCTGCGTCCGCGACTACTTGTCTTGCGAGCCAACGGAAACTTTGAAATTTTGGAACAGCCGTCTCAAACCTCAGACCACGTTTACAAGCTTGTGCCTTGGAAAGCACCGCACCGCGGACTTGAAGGTAAGTTATGATAGCGATCGAGTTGCTTATCAGATCTGACCGTGTCCAGAGGGCACTCCATACCGTAGTATTATGCAGTTTGAACCATCACAAGCTCCAGATATCTTAGGACCTTTGCTCATTGAAGAAGCGCTATCAGACATGCCTTTGTTCGGACCAGAGAGCGCCAGTATTCGAGCGGATACAGAGGCTGCACTCAAGGCGAATAATATGTCTACGGTGGTCATTGAAGATGTCGGGGCAACCACAAGACCACTACCCGAGGCTTTTCACAAAGCTTCCACCGTCGCTCCCAAGATAAGGGCTCTGCGCGCCTTCGTGAGGGATGAGTTCCAGGCACCGAAGGGGATAAAACCACGCGCTGGCGATACAAAGATTGTGCAGAGCGAGACTAGTGAGATGTCTCTGGCCTCTGACAGTTTGGGCTCATGCCGAGAAATCCACGATGCCTTGCTAGCTTCGCTGGCTGAGGCTGAGGGTCTACCCAGGGAAGCACAGAACGTGCTTGATCATGCAATGCTGTTGCGCGCTAAAGAGAAGTACCTTTTTGACGCTGTAGCAAATCGAGATATCGTGGCAGACGATCCATGGGTCAAGTACATATGGGACTGGGTTGCAAGTAAGTCCCTATCTTAGCCTGGGATAATTTGTCATGTAGTTTATGGTGCTTACTTATCTTTAGCTGCGGAGGAGAATGCTGACGACGGAGGCATGGTTCTTTCAAATATTGATCTCAGTTATGTGGGTGTACACTCGATATGGACAAACTATCTTGGTAAGTGAATGGTATCGACCTAAGAGCCTCAGCTGACACCATCGTAGGCCGTGATCCTTCAACCAGACTACCCCCGGGCACAGCACCTCCTGATCGATCGACGTGGGAACGCATCATTGCAAGTTTTTGCAAAAAGAATCGCCTTCCCAAGTTCAATGGGGCCGCTACCAAGTGGCCCGCCCATCGTCAGCTCTGCCTCGAAGTATGTGGCTGGGGCGACTCAGAAAAGCATGACCCTAAAGGCCGCAACAGAAAGGCAGATCCAGAGTATCCCACTACCATTCACACCATGGCTGCTGCTCGAGCGCTTTTTACAGGCGACCACAAAGAAGCTATTCAGATCCTCAAAAAGGCTAGCACTGCGCACCCTGAACTATTGTTTGTGTCTCTAGCTCTGCAGCTTATGGGTAGTGGTAACAGCACACCCGCCAAAGAACAGTTGGACTTTGATGAAGCCGTAGCGTCCAAAACCGACCCATATCTTCGAGCTATATCATCTCTCATCGCGACTGGTGACTGGGCGGCTATAGCTAACCAGCTGTCTCTTCCATTGTCTGACCGCGTATACGTTGCGGTACGCAACTTTGACGATGATCATCTCACTAAATGGCTCAACGAGCAGATTACCCTGGCTATAGCAGACGGAGACATAGAGGGCATTGTTCTCACAGGCATCACAGAACCTATGGTCGACATTTTCGCCCGCTACATCCAAAAGTTTCATGACGTACAAACAGCAACTCTCGTTCTGTCTATCTGTGCACCTCGGTATATAGACGACATCCGCTGCCGAGCATGGCGCAACGCATATCGGGTACTTCTGCAACGCCACAAACTCTTCTTCCAGCGCACAAAGTTTGACGTCGAGTCTACTAAGCGTTCCAAGCGCGACGGCATCCCAAAGCTCAAGCCTCCTTCTCGTCAAATCGCCCTCCGCTGCGTCTTCTGTGATGCTGAGGCATCCCTTGCGAACCACGCGAGTCACCCACCGCATATGGGCGGTTCCTCTGCGCAAGCAGCTTCGGCCCTTGAGTCACGTAACCCGCTTCTCGCAACGAGTATCAATGCCGGCGTGAGTTGTCCTAACTGTGGTCGTCATCTTCCACGCTGTGTCGTCTGTCTTGAAATCGTTGGCGTGCCGCGCTCTGACAAACCCGAGGAGAAGAGCGAGGCCAAGATGGCTGGGCAGTTTCCGACATTTTGTCTCCGCTGCGAACATGTTTTGCATCTTGATCATGCCCGCCAGTGGTTTGCCAGGCATGTCGAGTGCCCGGTGCCAGAATGTCGATGTCGCTGCAACTTCCGTGCGAATCCGGAGTTGAGTTATCGTTGATACAAACTTGGGTGCCGGTTTCAAGTGGAATAGGGGTCAACTGACGGACACTGCAAAACTCAAATGGATTGGAACATGTTGTCGATCGCTTCCTGCCTTTGGATAAGAAAGGCCAATATACATTTTGAATATCGATAATCATGTCTATCTTTGATTGCTCCTGAATTGAGGACAGGCCACATGCTTCATCTTTTGCTTCTAAATGTAGGTTGCACAAATTTCAAATACCTAGAAACAACTCCCGCCATTTCCCTTCCCTGTCCTATCACGTTCCTGAAGAGTCCGGTCGTTGTATCCTTCACGCCGGAATGTTTCAAAAAAGTGTTCATCCTTGCCTGGCCATAATTGCACCTGATAATCGAGTAGGTATCGTTGATCTCTTCTATCTCGCCGCGATCGCTCCATGCCAACCACATCTAACGCGTATAAGAAAAAGAAAGAAGAAAAAAATAAGGTCTCCAATCCAAAAGTGGGGTTGTGACCAGAATGAATATGGGAAAAGAGCCACTGAGTCTTTTCGTAATTGGCATCTCTGCATGGGCAATGTGTTGTTTGATTTTAGGCATATGCTCATTAGTCGGCGGTAGCCTGGCACCAAGGATGCTCTAGCACTTGGTTGATGTCGTAGCGTTTAGCAACATCGCGGTCCAACATGCAGCGGATGAGGTCAATGCTCTCTTCGCTCAGAATATAGGGGATACGCAAATCGCGGTCCATGATCTCGTCGATGCTGTAGAAAGGATTCTCCTTGTAGATAATAGTGTAAAGGAGAATACCGAGTGCCCATACATCTTGCTCTGTACCCTTATAAGGCTTGCCAGCGAGGACTTCAGGAGCGGCGTAATCTAGTCACAAGTTAACACATTGCAATATGTCTCTAGTTAGGGATTTGCTTACCAATTGTTCCTACGAAGACATCAAAAGGACCGCTCTTGATGTACGCAGCACTTCCAAAGTCGATGAGTTTGATGTTGCCTTCTCCGTCGAGAATCACGTTTTCATCCTTGATGTCGCGATGCACCACTTTAGCTTTGGTGTGAAGATGATGAACAGCATTGGCCACTTGGACGAAAATGCTGCGGCATTCGGATTCTTCCATGTTCGTTCGTAGTTCGATGTAGTCGAAGAGGTCCATACCAGGTAGTCCATGAGGGATCATCTCAATGTAGTAGTTCACGTCATCCTCAAAGAACCCCTGCATCTCAACGATGTTGGGGTGAAGTAGGTCAGGTTTGCGCAAATACTCCAAGACATGAACTTCAAGGGGAACAGTACCGAGCTTCCTGTCTCTTGTCCAAGTATCCACGAGAATACGGCGCTTAGTGACATACTTGAGCACAATCTTCTTGCCCGATTGTTTGTGTCGGGCGAGCTTCACTTGACCATAGGCGCCTTGGCCCATCTCCTCTAATATCACATAGTCGTTGATGGTCTTCTTGTGAGGCGGCTCAACAACCTTTGGAACTGATGTTATCTCTTCAGGCTTGGGCTTTGTTTGTTGTCCCGTGAACTTAGCAGCAGCATTAATGGCAGCATCCTTCAAATGCTTGGACAGCGAGCTTGCAGCCGACAGCACATTCTTTCGGGGTGCCTCATCATCCGAGGCGATCTCTAATGGAGTATGAGCTGGAGTCTGGCCAGGTGATGGCTGGTGAAGGGGTGTAAGAGCTCCAGGCCGTGTAGGACTATCGAGGCTGAGATGAGGTTGGCTGCCATGGAGATGGCGCGAGTAAGTAATCCACAAGGCATACACTATTTCTGAATGGGTCACTTCGAAGGTTCCCTCGCCGTTTTTGTTGGCGCTTTCTTCATCACTGCCTTCGAAGACAGTCTCATTCACCACAAGGGTCTTCTTTTCACTCTTCACTACGCGCATCTGGACATCAACCTTCAGATCGGATCCATCGCGATGCTTCGCGCTCAATCCTGCAGGGTAGAGGAAAGCAGACGCAGCATCAGGTCTGTGCTCTTTCAAGGCAAGGAAAGCCGATGCCTTTCTGAAACGATGCTCAGGAACAACCATACCGTCGAGAAGCTGGATACCATCCTCATCTATCAAGGAGTCCAGAATATTGTCAAAGTCTGGGATCAGCGCATTGATTGACATACCGTCAGCCTTTTCGAATCCAAAGAGCGCTCCGCAAAAGGCCGAGTTTGAGCTTCGAATCTTGAGGGTTTCTGGCTCAACCACAACAATTCCGGCCATGTGAGGGAATGTCGAAACGCGAAGTTCTAGCTTGCCACGTGTCTGCTCGATTATGCAAGGCACATTGACCTGAGGAGAATTGGGGCATGTGAAATATCTTCGCCTCGTAGCCTGAGCAAAGTCGATCTCTCCTGTGTTAGGGTCTATACCTTGGCGAGGTATTCTTGGAATGAGTCTCGCTATGTCGAATCCGGTAGCGACTGACTCGAATCCCCAGATGGGCGAGGTAGATCCTGAAACCTTTTGAACAATGCCGTCTTCGTCCAAGGTGATGTAGGCAACATCCTCGTGAATCTCCTCCATGACCCAGATCAAGCCGATTTTCTTCTCCTTGACCCAAAGACTAGCAGAACCAGTCGCACCGTTGCGCTTTTGGATCGGAACAACATCACCACAAAGCAGTACCCCTCTGGATGAATTAGTCTGATTATGCCCGCCACCTCGAGTTTTCGGGGGGCTAGGGTCGCCGCTGTGAACCGTTTGTGCACGTCGTTGGGTGTAGCTGCGTGGTTGGGTTCTTGAGTTAGGCTTGCTCAGGAGCTGGGCTGTTATCCCAGATTTCCCATTAAGCAATGCCGATGCTGCTGAAGCGGCAGGTGTTGTTTGGCCCGACTGTGCTTGGGTTTCGCTAAGCTCATCGTCGGCTTGTTTCAAAAGCTTTCTTTCTAACCATGACCTCCTCTCCTCCTGAACAACTTCTAAAATGCCCATCTTGCGTACCTCTGCCTTTGTAACACCAAATACTAGACAGGCAAGGTCGTTTGCTGCGATAATGGTCCACGGAGGTTTAACTTCTGTTGTAAAGATTGCCTGAGCGGCAGGCACCCATCGGTTGGTGTGACCGTGTACAGAGGGGCCTAGCTGAGTAGGGAAGTTGGCTGCAGTGGCGCTCGGAAGCTGAGCCATGGATGGAGAGTTCAATGGTTCCTGATAGATAGGCTGGCCCGCTAAAAATGGTTGAGACATGGTGTCCATCAGTTTATCTTGAGCTGATACCGCTGTGATATCGGTCATAGTCCGTTTCAAGGTTAATGTAGGTCGGGCAGGTGCAGGTTTGTCTCCCGAACGCTCGCCTGTGATTTTTGATGCTGCAGTTGATTGATCTGGAGCATGAGGAGTCTCCGAGGCCGTTGGCTCTAGGTTGTTGGATCGTCTTGTTGTCTCAACCCTGGAGTGTCGTGGAGGCGAAGATGTTTGACCGGGGCTTGCTAAATCCGTGCTAGATTTCCGAGGGTCGAATTGCTTCTCAAAGACGTTTTCCTGAGATATCTCCGCAGGACCGGACAGAGGAGCTGGTGTATAAGAATCGTCGGGGTTTGGCAGATTTCCAGCTCTGATTAACTGTGCCTGAGCAAGCAGGTCAAGCATATTCTGTGTTTCTACATCGCCGCTGACTCTTGCTTGAGCACTTGCAAGAGCTGCTTGTGACGAGGTCATAGGAAGTCCCATGTGGTCTTTCATAAACTCGATGGATCGCTTGAGAACATTTTGCCGATTGTGTAAGAAATCCTCGGACTGGTTGGCGAATGAGAAAGAATGTAAAGACTCGGATGGGAAACGAGAGAGGTCGTCAGCGAAGCTGGGAGTTGAAGGGCCACCAGTCAGCGACAGGCTGCCGGCGCTGGCAGCCATGGCACTCATGGAGGTGGAGCGGGATAGGGCGGCAACGGACGGGCTTCGCGAAGAGGCTCGAGATCCTGGCAGTGTCGGATTCCTTGATGGTGGACGTTGCTGTCTTATTCGTCGGAGGCCTGAAAGACCTAAGCCATGCTCGTGATCAGTCATGATGGGAGACCTGCGGTGGTTATGGTGGTCAGCAAAAAACAGGACCATGTCGGGCGCCACTGCTGAGCGCTGTGACGCATGATTCCACTTGACATACCTGGCGATAGCTTCAAGGTCAGCGGCTGCCGCTGCCGCCGCGGATGCATCCAGAGACATGCGTGCTCTGCTTCGATCTTGCCCTGACGAGTTTCTCACAGCAGCCAAATTTCCTGTACTACGGTTTTTCGGCAAGGAGAGCGCCATTGGCAACTTCTCGCGTCCACGTTCATCATCTCCCGTGTGATTGTCGGCTCCTAGGACGAAGGATCATGGTTAGCTAACGGCAAGAGACAAACTGAAAGTAGTGCCAGGCTGTAGGTAATACCATGATCATTTTGTCCTCCATGCATCTGTAGCATAGTTGGAGTAGGCCAAGGACAGGCCGAAACCACAGGTCAGGTCGTGAGGGAAGGGCTGCGAGAGGCCTGCTCTGAGTATGGCGGGGTTGAGGAAGAAATCTCGGTTGGCTCGATTGCCCAGAATGTTGATTAAAATTTGAAGACTAGCCGGTAAATCTCGAGAAGGTCGTCTATTGAGAAATATCCAAAAAAGAAAATACTGAGGGGAATTCTAGGGCGCGTAACTACGTATGTATGAATGTCGGGTTATCGGTATTTCAGGGTTGGGTGTCGAAGGGTGACGAACGAGACTGGACTGTTCGAGGACAGGATGGGGCGTATCGTATTGCAGGGCTGTGTCTTGGCTTGTGACCTAAAACACAAAGAAAACTGACGTTATAAGTCGAGGGAAATGCCGAGAGGTCGAGTTTGAGAGGGTACAGTAGGTCTTTCGTAGGGATAGTAAGGATACAAAAATAGGAGTGATGATGTTCCAAACTAGAGGTATGCGACGTGAAGAATAGGTAGCCCTCCAGAGATTCGATTGTCAAGAGGTTTATTAGAGGTAGGTAGGGAAAGAGGATGGATGTTGAGCACCCACAACCCAGGTCACGGATGGAGACTTTGAAGCGGGTTTGAGTTTGAGTCGTTATCATAGGCTGTTCTCAAGGCTTGTGAAGTCATCAGACAATCTGATTGGCAGGGGTAGGAACACCAGCCCTGGAAGACTCCCAAAGATGCAGAAGGGTTACAAGTGCCAACCGTTGTAATCCAGATTGAACCTAGTCCGATGAAACGAATGACGCCAATAGTTTTTAATTTTAATCTCTGCTGCTGTATAATCAGATGTCAGATGAAATAGAGTTATGTGAGTGAGTCTGCGAAGGGAGACAGGATACTCTTGAGTCTCAAACGAGCAAATCAAGCGAGTCTTGGTGTGTGAATGACTTGTAATAAATCAATTTGCTTCCCAACAACTAATTGCCTCGGCCACAAGTTCGCCAGTATAAAAATCATCACAGCCGCTAAAGAGTCATTCGTTTTGCAAAGTATTGACAAATGATCCATGGAGAGATTTGATATTTAATATAGATTCTGGCAGACTTTACTTGACTTCTCTTCCTAGGTACCCAGGCAATAATAGTTAGGCAGCATAAGAAGCATGTGAATCAAGAAAGTAGTTTCGCAAATCCAAGAACCTACCCCTTGTTACCCCTGGTAACTCAAACCTTAGATTCTATGCGCCGAGTATTAAAAGAAAAAAAACTTAAAATTCGTATGCAGATGGTTTGCTGACGTAGTCTAAGTAGGACTGGCTATAGCGTGAGCGATATACCACTCGATTTCTAGGTATCTACCAGGATATCCAACCTCAAAGGATCAATGGAAATACGAAATAAGAGAATATAGTTAGATAATCCGTCTGACTATGTACGTAATAGGATAAGAGCCATGAGCCTTTGTGTGCTTCCTATATGGCCACGTGGTGTTAAGCTCAAGAAGAAGGACTCTTTGAACCATGCGAGACTTTCTGCCAATGATCTTATCTGGATATCATCCTGCCAAGAGCTCATGATGTGAAAGTTTGATCCACCAGGAAAGATGGACACAGAGGGCAACCTGTCATCCCCTATAATAAATGGGTGCATATTTAAGGATGGCAAAGACAAGCTCGTAATCGATAGATAACCATATTTGAGTTTTCTGGTAAAGTTGCCATAACTTTGTAATATGATACAAATCGGATAAAGAGTGAGTGTATCATGACTCATCAGGTTGGCAATTATGAACCTTGGATGATATACCTATTCCTGTATGTATAAACTGCTGGTTTTGACCTCCTTGGAAGAGGTTATTTTACTGCTGATATCGATGAGAAATTTGGAAAGCCTGGGCTTGAAAGAAAAGGAATATAAACTGCTAGGTATATATTCACATTCATAAATCGAGTATTTAAGGCGAGGAATTCGCTCAATCTCATACTAGGTACACTTATCTATGCAGGTGCTGGATAAGAACTACTGTCAGTCAGTCAGATTGATTGTAGATTTTCTCACAACCTACTTGCTGTTGGCTGCTCGTATACCCAGTTGTTTTTGGTAGAGGACGAGTGAACAACCTCAGCTTCACTAACAACTTGCTCATCCCAGCGCTGATTGAGAAAATTCGCCCAATACGTAGCTTTCGCAGAAAGTGCGCTTGAATTAACAGTGTTTTGTGTATCCCAATGTGAATTTTGACCGCTGGTGTCGAAATGATCAAGACCAATATCGACAGGTGAAGTGTGACCGAGTCAGACGATCAACCCGGCCTGTCAGCTCTCCTGTCATGTCTCATTGGAACACAATCACTAGCTGCTTCCGTAACCACGCGACACTAGCTAATAAGACAGTGTGCTTGGTGGTTGTATCTACAAAGTGACTGTTTGATAGACAGTTTTGATATCTATCTATGGCGCCGGCAGATGACCCTGAAAGGATGTCGGGCTGTTATCAGAGCCAGGGAATGATACCTGGTGATCGCAATAGCGCAAAGCCAGCCCTACGAAGGGGGCACATGAACAGTCCCGAGAAATCTCGCAATTAGACACGAGCGCGGCAACCGATCGGTCTCTCACGAAAATACCACAATTTTGCATCCTCAACGTGAAGTCTCCAAAACCAAAACGATAAGGAATCGGGCGCGATAACAGCCCGGGGCAGAATAACGCGGGGTTAAATGGTAGTGATGAGGGGTACCTAGGTACTTATTCTCCCTTGCTTAGTAGCGGGGTCTTTCCCCAGGCTTTTTCTTTTTGGCGATGGAGGGCTGCTGGGCTGGCCCAGTGCTGACGGGCGAAGCTGAATGAGGAAGGAAACAAGACGAGGCCGTTGGGCTGATATAGGTACAAGAGAGCGATCTACCCACCAAGCAGAAGTATTGGAAATACACAGCCTAAGAGTCAGCACCGTTCTGTAACTATTTGTTGAGGGCTGATGCTGCATCTGCGAATATTCCCTCAGTGGCCAGACGCCAGAGGATGTTCTGACCGCCTTCCAGAATATCCAGTACGTTTAGTCAGGTCAGTGTCCGTACATGCGGAGAAAGTTGTCCCCTCAATGGTTGGTCCGGCCTCCCCCAGCTAAATAAAGGCTAAAGTAAAGGTGAGGCGGCTGGACCCTTGAGTCAGGGACGTTTTCCCATCGTGCTTTGGTACGGGTTGGACGTGCAGTAGTTTGAGGCAAGGTCCCTGGTTATGGATCTACTGTGTGGTGCCATCTGGCTGAAGCAAAACGGTTGGCAGTGATTAGGTCTCCTGTATAGCTCAGTTGATACAAGTTTTCTTTTTCTATGTCTCATGAGTTTGTCTCTTGTTGTTTCTGGTGATGATCAATCAGCCCGTAGACCAAGCTTTGGCATCAAATATATATATACATCAGACACCAACGCGAGAGATATGAAAAAGCGCCACGCGGACACACGAGGTGTCTCCTCCCCGGGTTTAGCGAGGATGCATGAATGGAAGAGACCAGTGGAGGAGGTGGGGGGGAGAAGATACAGTGCTACACACCAACAGGACCCCTCAAGAAGATCCCCCCCTGAAGAAAAAGGGATCCTGACAGAGCCGAGAGCTTCTTGGTTGTAAATGTGCTCACTGATTGGCTTCCGGGTCACCGTCCCGTTGGGTTATTGGGAGTGAGAGTCCGGCCGAGGGCTTGTCATTGGGGAGCTTGTCCACTTGGAGTTATTTTGGCTTTTTCCTCACCTCGTGTATCCCGCAAAGTCTCATTCCAACCAGGCTTCGCCGAGGAGCTACAATTTGAGCTACTTCCAGAGTACTTTTTTGATACTAATGCCCCGGCGCCCAGAACTTCGCCATCCGGGCCGCCAAAAACGAAAGAAAAAAGGGCCCTGCTAGTCGTGCAGAGCGATCTTCCCCGCTGTATGGAGTATGGAGTACGGACTACGGACTACGGACTACGGAGTGCCAAGTGGTAGCCCGCACGATAAGAAGAAATAGTGGGGGGTTTAGCGTATAGTCTCAGAGCCCAGAGTCCGGGAACAAGGTCCTAGGAAGGGACCTCAACCAACTGGACCTGACTGTACTGTGCTACTGTATGTAAGGTACTCGAAACTCTGAGAGATATAGACATAATTGGCATGTCACTTTTTGGAATTCACGGGCAATGTTCTAGAGCGTCGTTTAAGCAAAAAGCCTCAACCGACCTGGGCCGTTTCCCTCATATTCTGCTTCCCTGCTCTTGTCCTTTGTCCTGTCTTGTCCCCTTCTGTTATTCTTGTGTTTGTTCTTCTTCTCTCTTGGTTACATCAAGGACTCAAGGTCATGCTCATTCTTTCATGGGCATGTGCCCTATTCCTTATCTTCAACTAGAAACATACCTACCTCCAATTGCTTCAAGTCCTCAGGCCCATAGCCCAGTATAGCACCTACTGTACGACGAAACGGCCCCGCTGACCACCCCCCCACCACCCTTTCCGAGTCCCCCGTCGTCTGCTGATCCCCTCGGCTTTCCTCCAAATATTCCATTTGGGTGAGCCAGCTTTAATACTGGACCTTGCTCTTCTTTTCTTCTTAGGTCATCTTTTTTTTAATCGACATCTTCTCTCATCTTTTATTCAATTTCGTTCCCTGTTCTCCATCGCCCTTGTCTGTTCTCGTCTTTGGCATTCGCATATATCGACATCCTCCGCTAGCCATGAAATAAGAGAGACCCTGCATTATCCCCTGCCGCCAGCGAACAGCGACCAGCGAGGACTCCATATCATCCAACCCCCCACTATCGACCGGCCGATCAGACGAATACAACTGTTTAGCAATAGGCTCTGCTTGTTCTTCTCGAGAATACATAGCTACGAGATTCAATATCTTGAGCTCTTCCACCGAAACTAGACTTACATCCTGTCGAATCCCAATTGGAACTTCTCCCTACTATGGAGGTACACGAGATAACTTCGTCCGGCGCTCCGAGCCCGGCTCTACAGGGCGTCTCCACTCCAGCGCCGGACATGCCGGTCAAGGGCAAGAACCGCCATCGTCTGCTTCAGAGAATCCAGCGCATATCGTCAACACCCTCATTGAGCAATTTGCGTCGCTCCAAGTCCGTTGGCAGCCGTGGAAGCCCTTACGGCTCACGAAGCACCCTCTCGTGTGTCAGTCTCGCGGCCACTGGACCGCCCCAGACTCCCTATAGCGCCCGTACATCAACCCCACAACCTTCGCCTCTCGGTCTCCCCAGCACTTTGGGTTCAACTCCCCAATCTTCAGGGGAATTTCCATTCGACACTCCCGGTGGCTATTTGGCTATCCGTAAAGTCGAAAATGGCATCCCAATCACAACCCCAGGCACTGCTCCTCTACCATCCGAGTTTCGGTCCAAGCAGGATCTACAGATTCGAGTTCGCCCTGGTGTAAAGCCTATCCAGAAGCCGCCATTCCATTTTTGGGAAAAGATGCCCAATGAGCTTCAAATCCACATCTTCTCTTTCTTCCAGCCAAAGGAACTCGTGCAGGCATCTCGAGTATCCAAGACTTTCTATAAGGCCTGTTTTGATGGTCAGCTGTGGACATCACTTGACGCTTCAGAATTCTATCGCGAAATTCCCGCCGAGTCGCTCGCCAGGATCATTGTTGCGGCTGGTCCCTTTATCAAAGATCTTAACCTGCGAGGATGCGTACAGGTCGAGCACTATAAGCGAACTGAGGTCATTGTCAAGGCATGTAAGAACCTCATGAATGCGACCCTGGAAGGTTGCCAGAATTTTCAAAAGAGCACGCTCCACAGCTTGCTGCGAAGCAATGACAAGCTGGTCAGCCTCAATCTCACTGGGCTGACTGCAGTTTCCAACACCTCTTGCAAGATCATCGCCGAATCATGCCCTCAACTCGAGACCTTTAATATTTCCTGGTGTGGCAGGGTAGATGCTCGGGGCGTCAAGGCAGTAGTTGAGGCTTGCCCCAGACTGAGGGATCTCCGTGCTGGCGAGGTCGGGGGATTCGATAACGTTGCGACTGCTGAGGCCATTTTCAAGACAAACAACTTGGAGAGACTGGTTTTGAGCGGATGTGCAGAGCTCAGCGACGAAGCTCTCAAGATCATGATGCATGGTGTTGAGCCTGAAATTGACATCCTGACCGATCGACCTATCGTCCCGGTCCGAAAGCTTCGCCATCTAGATCTTAGCCGCTGTGTCCGGCTTACAGATGCAGGCGTCCGAGCTATTGGTCATCTTGTGCCAGACCTTGAAGGTCTACAGCTCTCCGGCTGCAAACTACTAAACGACGACGCTCTCGAATCTATTCTAGCATCTACTCCTAGACTAACACACCTTGATCTCGAGGACCTCGAGAACCTCTCAAACTCGATCCTATCAGAGCACCTCGCCAAGGCTCCTTGTGCAACATCGATCGAACATCTATCTCTGAGTTACTGTGAGAACCTTGGCGACACAGGAATGATCCCGGTAATGCAGACATGCACGAACCTCCAGAATATCGACCTCGATAATACTCGAATCAGTGGCCTTGTCCTCGCCGAGGCGGCAGCAATGGTCATGAAGCGCTCTCAAAGATCTACCGAAACAGGAACACGACCGAATCTCACACTTCAGATGGTCGTTTACGACTGTCAAAACGTCACATGGACAGGAGTTCGTGAAGTTCTCTTCCGAAACACTCAAGTCAAGGCTGTCGCAGGACAACCCGGCCGAGTCAGCTACCCTACTGAGATGATCGGCCTCAAGTGCTTCTACGGCTTTCAGATGACCGTAGATGAGCATCAGAAGCGGGTTCTTCGTGGTGACTTCGCATCTGCCGGCCGCCTAGAGAGGAAATGGGCAGACTATATGCAGGCCACCGAAGAAGCTGGCATGACAGGTTCAGGCCATAGAAGACGCAGGCGCCGAGCAAGAGAGGCTCAGGCTCTCCATCTCGACGAGGAGGACAGCGGCGTTGGTCCCACCGGTCGTCGTAGGGCACGCACCCTGGGCTCCTGCTCTGTCATGTAAGCTTTGAACATGATATATATGACACAATAAGCGACTGCACGCCAATATGCACAAGAATGGTACACGAACATGATGGGAAGGAAATTTCTTTTTCTGGGAGTATGGGGTTTGGATAAATGGACAGGTGTTCAATTTGGAACGGAATGTTTTTGTTTCTCACTGGGTATGGTGTTGAGGTAGATCGGGGCATTTTCTTCTTCTTCATGGCGACTCATGTCATGATAGCAATGTGCACTTCATGTGTATCAAGCATATTGAACGACGTTGTGTATATTTGTATAGACAGTCAAGTACATTGGGCGTAAATTCAAGAGAGCATCTACAATGCTATCACGACTTCTCTGTGGTAACACATCTTCCATTAGAATATCTCAGTCACTGTTCTCTCACCACGAAGGGATCTCCACCACCGCGAATTCCTGGCCAACTCGCCTTCTTCGCCCCCTACGATATGCGACCACTTCTGCAAGAACTCCTCCGTCGCATCCCAACTTCTAGAATCCCAAGGGGTTCCGGTGTGTGCCCCAGTAACACTTCCCCAGCAAGTCAAGTGATTGAGAGAGTCGTGAAAAAACTCATCCTCGTCGATGTCGTGCATGTGCTTGATGATGTTGTCCCTGATATCCTTAAAGGGGATCACATCAATGAAAGGGTGATGGTTTACAACGATCTGTTGCCGCGTTGGCCGCAGGTCAAAATGCATTGTGCGAGACACACGTTGGACAGATGTGATGATAGCCTCCGAGCTAGGATCTGTCTCTGCATTGTGCCTATAAAAGGGCGAGACAGCGTCGTCAGAGCAGTACATGGAGCGCGTTATTCCTAACGCAAGACAGTTCTCTAGCATAGCGCTGATTATGCAAATGACATCAATCTGAAGATTGTTTTTGTAGGGGTCTGGGATGACGGGGAGGAGAACTTCTCTCGAAGTATTGGGGATATGAAGCGTAGGACAACCACAGTTGAAAAATAGGACTGCTGTTGAGTTCTGGTTGCAAATTGGGCTTACTGTAAGCCATTGATCGAAGTCGTGAAAGAACAAGTTCGAGTTCCACGACCCAATATCTGTCGTTGAGTTTGATACCAATGTCCCTGTGTTGGTCTGGAGATATGAGGGATTGATGGTCTCAGCACCAAGACCGTCACTAATGAGATCGGAACCGAATTCTTGAACTAGCCCGAACGTGTCAGGGAGAGGCCCAGCATTGGTCCCTGAGGCATCGGTCTCTTGCCCTGCAGCACGACGCTCGAGCTCCTCTATGCGCTTCCTCTGCTTCTCCCCTGAAGATGGATCATGTCAGCCACTGTCCGGTGCATACTGCCTCGGTTTCGTTATATAAGAGGGATAGCATGGCCAGCCCATCTCTCCGGTCTAACTTACTGTAGGTCTGTTGTGCCAAACGGTTCTGCAAGCGTCTCTTCTCTGGATCCCGTCGGACAACTTTGCTCTTTATAGCCAAGGGGGGTCCATTTTGGGCAGCTTCACTCGCATTTTTCGAGCGCTGAGAGGCTCGCGTACGTTCTTGAACCATATTTATCGACCAGAGTATCTTTTCTGGGCTTATTGCTATTAAGAATCAGTGGGTAAGTTGAATGTATTGAGTGAGGGTGTCGTGAGGCATCGTGTAAGCCATTAAATTGGCTTATGGCTGACATCAGCCACAAGTGGGGTCAATAATCTTCAACGGTTTCCTATTTCAGACTCCCTACATATCACAATTCTCCTACCCTGGAGCTGTTGTAAGCTTGATATTCTTCGAGGTATGCAAGATGCTCGGTTAGGATTGTGATCTAAACCACATGGGACGATGTGGAGTTCCATGGATATCCATGGGCGTGAGTGTAGCCTTGATACCAAACTTTTCGTTACAATTCGCAAATATTGTCGTCAAGCTTAGTTGAGGCCCTTGTCTAGTGTTTGTTAGATCAATCATTCACGAAGAGCAGTCCGGACTTGGCCCACCAATCGCAGCTGTTCACCACCTAGGTACTAGTTCTCCAATCGGTCCTCACATCCACGCGTCATTCAAGCTAGCTGATATGAAGCTTTGACTAGGGATTGGACCGGACGAAATAATGCGGCGGTAGCATAGCAAACTACCTGTAGTTCTGGCGCTATTGTTTACTTACCCCGCTCATATCGTTGAAGATTCGGGCTCAAACTATCCGAAAATGGGGTTTCAAAACGGCTTATTATTTAATTATCCCGTGGCCTATCTCATTGGCACATTGCCCCTCTCGCCTCGTGCCCGGTGGTATCAACAACGGGCTCCGGACTTTCGGCAGCTTCTTGACGATGGGGCGGGAGTGTGGGGCCGGGCCGTTCAGCATGTGGCCTACCGAGGTTCCGATGTCCACCAAAGCCGTAGTTTGTACCACTTTTTGACGGAGGCTTTCCAACAACACAACAGAGACTTCAAGTCACTCAATAGTCGATACTTCCAATTTCAATCACAAGGCTACATAGCTGTAATATGTCACTTGAAGTCATCTACGTCACTCGCCATGGGGTAAGTCTCCTTTAGATTTGAATATACTCCGAACTATGTTCGGAACTGATGTCTTTGTTTCGGTGTTGACATAACGGCCCTTTCTCTCTCTAGTTCCGATCCGGCTGGAGTGTCGACCCTTTGACTGGCGTCTACTCTGCCTTCATACGGTCGCCCACAGGTATCCCCGCAGATCCGGCTCTGACGTCCCATGGAGTTTCGCAGGCAAAAGAGATGGGGATGCATTTGATGACTCTAGATCCCCCCATCGATGCCATCTATTCAAGTCCCTACTATCGCTGCCTGCAAACGATAACACCGTTTGTTGAGCTCAAGCAACAACAACTGAATGGTAAATCAAGCATCCGGGGTTCTGCGACCGCCACTGTCTGTCCAGAATACGGAATAGGCGAGTTCTTTGGGGCAGCGCCATTCGATCACCCAATCCCAGCCTCTCCCAAGCGACTCAAAGAGCTATTTCCAGCTTATGATGACAGCTACGTGCCTGTTATAACGCCTTCTAGAAAAGGCGAGACGATCAACGACCTGTATGAGCGTGTTGCAACGGCTGTGCAAGGCATCATCGACCGCTGCGATGCAGACGGAAAACGTGCAGTGGTGCTTTGCACCCATGCAGCCGTTGTCATAGCCTTGGGCCGTGTTCTCACCGGTCACATACCTGACGCCGTCGAAGAAGAGGACTTCCACGCCTTTACTTGCGGCTTGAGCACGTACCGCCGACGGGACATCCAGATATGCTCAAGGTCGGGTCTTGGTAAGTTTGTTTTTAAAGGGTGTCAAGTAGCAAAGCTTGGTCCCAGAATGTTGACAAACATCTTAATAGACGAATCCCATGCGTCCATAAACGAACGCAACTCGCTAGGAGAGTGGCAGTGCATAGAAGACAGTGACTGTAGTTTTCTAAGCTCTGGAGGTGAACGAGGCTGGTGAGTTCGCAAATATTTTCATCTGATTGCTCTCCATTATTACACCGTCTTGCTTCAAATACCCCATTCGTCATAGCTAATTGCGACGCTAACTCGGATTTCAGGAAATTTTCAGGCGATGAATCGTTCCCGGGAACTGGCTCAATGTCACAAGGGGATATCGATTCCAAACTATAGAGCTTGTATTCGAAAAAGCACACCAAGTTATTGGTAGCCATTGCGTAACAAATCTCATGCCCGGCAACTTTACTCAATCGTCAGTAATATCGAAGACTCGGGGATCCATGCCATCGCCGCGACAGAGCCTCAAACGGCAATTTCGCGGATATGCTCGGAGTGTTGAGTCTTGGTGATACATCAATTATCGAATGCTCTGGATTTATGATCTGAAACCGCTCAAACTGCTTGTGTCGTACGCATGGTCCTTGTGCTAACCGAAAGAGTTAGTTATTGCCGAATGCACCCGTAAGATCAAGCAAGGACCAGAATGAGAGAGATGGCGGCCGGCAATGAATTGCTTGTGTATTCCCGTCATCCTATGGAGTATTTCTGATAGAGTTATGCAAGGCTTCCACTGCAATGGACCCTTGACATTCGGCAAAGCATGCTTCCATCCGTATGCAGCAGCGGGAACCCTGGTTCATTGCCACGATCGAGGCGTGTTCCCGTAGCCAAATATATCTAAAGCCAAGTATCCATATCTGTAAATGCAAAGGAAATCGTTGACAGTCACTGTCGCGAGTGTTGACTCCGCGGCCTGAACCTGAGCCATTGGAAAATTGACCTATCAGTATTATCGAATTGCAAGGGACTTTCCCTTACATTGACTGCATGAAAATTTCGACATCCCCATCTGGTAGCGGGCTAGGCCCGTAGTGAGAAATGACAGAATCGCTTGACCCTTGTCCTGAGCCGATCGAAGTACGGTAGCTATTCCGAGAGACCAACGAGGTTGGCGCTAAATTGCGTACGTACTCCGTACACATCGCAGACACCTGTCCGAAGACTGCGCAACAATCTACATGGAGAATGGTCCTCGTGGGAATTAGGCTATCGATAGCGACAAGGATTATCATACCAACAATTGTTTCTTTCTAAAGAAGTTAGGAGCATTGCTTACCTTTTGTCTAACCGTCTACTAGCGCCTCTGGCAAGCAACCAGAAAAGGGTCCTCGATAAATGGCAAGCGTGTGTTAACAAGGTTTGCTGAAAGACTGAAAGGACTGTGCTCGGCGTGTTCTGTGCTGTATGGTATCAGCTTGTGGAGGATGGCAGGGGTCGAGGAAGAAGAACACATATCTGTACAGCTTGACAGCGTCTAGATGATTGATCAGTTGGGAAATAACATTCTTTTGAGATGTTCTCCATATATCCAAGGCAAGGAGACTATTAAACCAGGAACGGCATTCGCGACATAGTGCGGTAGGTGGTTCGGTAAAAATGGGGTATATCGTCCTAACTCTGGGTGAATTTGCCCGCAGCTCAGTAATTGAAGGAAATATCAAACTGCCTAGGTACCTACCGCCAGACGTTAGAAACTGGGTAATATTTCTAGCCACAGGAATTTGGTAGTTCGAGCCTCAGGGTCTGATTAGCAAGATAGGTACTCCAGGCTGGCTACTCGTCAAGTAGACTTGTGCTGGTCATAGCAACTCAAGACGATAGTCTGAGGGAAAGGTGGAGACAGTGGAGGCTGGGGTTTGAGGAGGGAAGAGAGAAGCCGATTTAACAAGGAAACATCGGCATTGACTAGTTAAATGAGCGTGTTAATGATGGGGTGCGTGGCGTCCGATGGCTTTAGACTTGTATTCTCTCTACCGATGTATTGAAAATGAGGTGCTTGGACAGGTCGATCTAACGGTTGATTGATGTCGTACAACATATGTTAGTAGCGCGACAGACGCCAGGCGCTTGGGTCATGTGCTTGTGGTTGAGGTAGGTACGATACACGATACACGATACACGATACACGATACCCGATACTCTAACCAATTCCTGTTTCTTCAGCACAGGGTAAGTGCTCCCTTGAAACTCAAGCTAGGAAGTTGACAACATCAAGTGGAATGGAAGCCACGAAGTCACAAAGTCTCACAAGAGCGTCATCACCGTTGATGCCTTAGGTTCTAGATGAAACAACTTCCCTGCCTTGCCTGCCACTCTCGTGTCTCGAGTTGACCCGAAGTCTTGACCGACGTTGCCCTCGCAACTTCTTAAACCATCATCCTAGTTCAATATCTGTCATCTCTCATTTTGCTCGACTCGCGACGACGACACAACGACAGTACAATGTAAACCGCGACACCGCCTCAAACAACAGGCACCTTTTTCTGCATCTTCGACCGGAATAGGATTGGCAAGGTGTGGTTGGTCGCCCAATGTGCAGCGCCCATTCGCCGCGTTGGCCAAGGCAATAGCAGCAAAAAGCAAAATTGTCATCCATTGGTGACACAGTTGTCTCCCTGACTGTGGTTCTTGACTCCTCACTCAATGAGAAGCCGATGACGCCCAGCCGCATGCTGAAGGCTTGCTGGGGTCATCACGATACCATGACGGCGCCCGAGACGCTATTGCGCGCCTATACTGAGTTCAGTCGGGCCTGAGTGGTTGCTGCAGATCTGGATATGCTGCCATCTGCAAGCAGCCGATTATGATATTGTAGATTCTATCTCAATGCAAAGATACATCATATTTCGAATTTCTGCTGAATAAGTCAGAAACAGTAATGCGTCGATCTGCTTCCACACCGAGGAGCGATCTTCAACGCAGAATTTATCGCCACAATCAAGATCAACTCGGGCCAGAGGGAACTACGAGAACCAACAATGCTGAATCAAAAGCCTCTTCTCGGAATTGTCGATAACGGATGCTGTCTTTGTGCCTTGCGCTCCCCACACTGCAAGCGTGCCCTCCCTCACAGCATGAGAGCCCGAGATGACCTGCGTTTGGCATCATCAATACACATAGGACCTAGTCGACTGTCCTTGCACACCTGCAGGGTTCGCTGGGAAGAGATGACTTATCGAAGCTCGACTTGGACCGGCGCAGATTGCTGGAGATGAGCCATCTGCACTAGAGCGGAGCAAGAGCTCCCACACGAAATACATGTCAGATGTGACAGTATCCTCACCCTCCACGTACCTTTCAGTTTTTGTCCGTTGTTACTTGTTTTTTCCTTTCTTTAGCATATGTACTCAAATACACATACCCATGCACACCGCTGCTTGGGCAAGACGCTTTTTTTGAGCTCTTCATCCTTTCATCTCCCACCACGGCAGGCAAGTTTCTGCCAAGTAAGTAAGTGGCCATCGATGCAGAATGATAGCACCCCCATTCAAGCCTTGTTAGCTCCTGCGGATGCAGCATAGCATCATTGGTTTCCCCCATTGATTGGCCTCGTCAATTGCAAACCGTTTGTACCCACTGAGGCCCGAAGCTCGTCTAGTCTGGACCATGGGTTGACGTATATGCGCAAATATTTCTAAGTCACAGTGTTGTTGCCGGATGCCATGCGTAGAAGTTGTACGCGGGCAGCCGAAAATCATATGCTGAGTCGATCGGGACTCATACAGCAGTCGGCTGGGTGTACAGTAACCTGCTGTAATCACATACGTTTCGCGAATAACACGTCCAGCTTGACTGGCACCTGACCACTGGTTGTCCCAGCGGAACGGTTGAGGCGCACGCTACAGCCTATTCCCAACTGTGGTGCATTAAAGTAAGCTAATATTTCGAACAAACACATTTTTTTTTTAAACGGAGGATCCTGTTACTCGCGACAGCGAGAACAACAGCGGATTGGCTTAGATGGCACACACACCAACACAGTGGCAACCCCGGCTTGCTATCCCCGGTCTATTGCGTCCTGCACCCATCTCGAGTGAGATCTGGTTATGATCTAAATGACCAGGGTTCGCCCCAGACAGTGCAAATTCGGCTTAACGCGATCTGAATTGAACGGCTCGCTAAATAGGTCGTGGTAGTCTAACCAACAAGAGACAAGAGGAGCCGGGGTACCTTGATTTCAGTCTTACACACCCACAGTACTCAACAGTCCAACCTTAATAGCTTGACAGCTCTGGTAGGGCATGTTGGCTGTTGGAAGCAACAAGGTTCTGTGGCTGGGCTACTTAAAGAGTTGTTGGCTATCATTGTCTTCCTTTTGAGTTGCTTGCTTTAGTTGTAAAAGCACAATAAAATACTGAGATGTGCGCTAAAACAGACCTCGTATGCGTACCTTGTATTATTAGGGATGGGGTACTCCGCTCAACTACTCTCCCTTGCTTCCACGCGATGCGAGCCTCTGAATGCTTGGAAGTAGGTAAGTATCTACTCCTTACACTATGGTTTCCTTTGAGTGTATTCGCATCTGCTTTGTGTTTGTTTCGGATAGGATTGGCTTTTGGCCCATTTACTGGATGATTCTTCCCCACGAGAGATCCATAGCTATCCTCATATGTGTAGCCAGTCTGGACTCTGGAAGCATCATCTACAATGCGCCCTCTAACGCTCCACCATTGACAGCAGATGAGTTAGCCCGCAACAAAGCATGGTAAAGAATGATCATCCGGTTGTGGGCGGGCGCCTACACGTGCTGACAGAAGGCTCCGACGCAGAAGTGGCGCTCTCACTCACATCAAAGTATCCACACGAAGCTATCTTTATGGCCGCAGGTACGGATATAACCCCGGTTGATATTTTACTTCTTCGCTCCACCCTATCTCCTCTGATGGCGGGGAGGGTGTCCCCTAAATGAGGCGTTTTGCCCAACGCTAAGTCGGACTGTTAGTAGCGTCTACTGTATCTACTCGAGCAGGGATGGCACACATGCCCCTTCATAAGTCGAGACAATCACTTAACGAACCATCTTCCTTTTGATGTTGGCTCGACCACTGTCGGTTCGCGTCCCGGAGAAAAGAAGAAGAGGATTCATATGCTAGTAGAACCACCAAACATTTCTTGGACCTACCAACAGATCGACTCTCGACATATCGCCAGTCAACAGTCCACTACAAGAGAGCCAGTTCCCCTCTCATCGGGTTGTTATAGCTCGACGACCTGCCCGCATTTTCAACATAGTTCTCGCACAAATCCTCCCTTCTTTACTTACGTCCCTTTCCTCGCCCTTCATCCCTTGCTTAAGTCTTGTCAACCAAGACGGATCTAGTTTCGATTCGCTTCTGCCCTTCTGCCAACCTCCAAACCTTTCAACCGACGTCTAACGCCTCCCTGATAATTCTTCAAGAGGCGAACCATTTCCACCTGAATCATAACAAAACAACTCTGGATCATAACAAAGAGCCAGAACCATTTACATCGTCCCGTTTCCTTATCGTGAGACGGTTGTCAACATGAGTATTCATCCATTCCTCAGGATGGAGGGAACATCTGAAAGACCCTTGGGACAAGTTCCAAACCCAACACACACCTACCAATGCTCAACTCGGCCCCAAACCCCACCAGGCTCAACCTCAGGAAGCCCTCGAGTGAAGATTGAGGGTAAGTTTTTGGCTTAGTCGACCTGCTTCGGATTTCCACTACAGTAGTAGAAACTAACAAGACTGCAAGAATTCACAATACTTCCTGGACTACACAATGTCACATCACCTCAAGGGAACACACCCACAAGACTCCCTAGTCTAGGAGAGTTTGACCAAGGAGTAGAGGCCCTCATTCGAGCGCATGGTACTGCACAGACTTGCTCCCCTCAATCTTCACTCCACCGAATCGCCCGTAACCCAACTGCTCTTGAGCCCCTGAGAACTATTACTCAACCTCAACCATCGTGGTCATTGAAAGACCGCTCAGCCGATGACTCTGCCAGTAACTACCCTGTGTCGAGGAGGGGGACCGTCACCAGCACCAGCCAATACCCTATCTCTCCCGACTATTGTCAACAATCTATTGCAGGCAGCTATGGCAACACAGACACATATTATGGCTATGCTGCCAGCAGCCCTTCTATTCAAGGTCTCCCAAGCATGAGCTGTTACCCAAGCCCACCACCGGATGGTGGAGAGGGCCGACATATCAACCAGAAGTACACGACAGAAGAGGGCGACTACATCATCTACGCCTGGCACGACAAGAAGATGAAGTGGCTACGTATCAAGCAGGAATTTGCTGCCCGATTCGGAAGGACCCCCGAACGTACCGTTCAAGGTCTTCAGGCCTGGTACTACCGTATGAACCAACGCATACCTGTCTGGGACCAAGATGGCTGGCTCTGCTTCGACAACGAAGACGATCTCGAACCTCAACATGTCAGCATCAAATGTCGTGAGCGTGACAGCCAGGACAAGCCCACGGAGCCCCTTGGCATCGCCCAACGATACCCAGAACGAGCTATCCACTACTCCTGGGTTGACGCAGAGACCAAATTCAAGGCCCGAGATTGGGGTACGTATCCTCTTCCTATGCATGGTGATGATCAATAAGACTAATGAGGCTCATAGCTAGCAAGCGAGGTTTGCAATACCGCGAGAGGCGAGAGCGTCGTCGAAGAAAGGAGCAGCGACGATTGAAGTTATGAAGAAGTGAAACGATGGCGCCACCAACCTCACAAGGCCACTAGCAAGTGGACGCTTTGGAATAGACCAACAGCGAAAACATGGACGAAAACGGAGTGACCCCAACCACTGCCCTGACGAAGCGATTTGCTTTTTTACTTTACTTTACTTTTCTTTTCCGACTCAAGATTTCTATATCACGCCTCTCGACACGACCGAATTTCCGACGACACGAATATCATGTATCACATGCCCGTATCATACCCTGAAGCATGTAACTAGCTCTCCTTTGTTATTTACTTATATTTCTCTGCATATCCATGCTTACTTGCCCCTTGTACACGCTTATATAAGTGCCGGGGGGAAGACAGGGTCCAGTAGAGCTTGCGTCGAGTAAAACTCGATATTTAAAGGGCTAGGCGTTATGTGAGCAGGACTACGAGACACAATGAGCTACCAGGCCTTACTGTTACGTTGTCCACAATTTTGTACTACTACCTAGACAGATCACGATGAACTACCAGGAATAATGAGAGATGGATGGAATATGAAAAAGACGGCATTCAAGGATGTTAGTCATGCCGTAAACTTGACTTGTTAATATGATGCAAAATCTACTAGATCTATCTACCTTTCCTTAGTACAAATCTTCTATGTCGATGTCTATTGTGATTACCTTGGCGTTTAACTACTACAATAAGCTTAAGCTTAGTGGAGATGCCATCATATCTCAACTTTGCAATCCTAAAGCCACCATCCCCGCTCTCCCGCCGTCATCTGTACACGCACACGCCAAGGACGTAAGTCAACCCATTCGGCATTCGCGTCTGTGGTGATAGAGCGAGGGCAAACATGTAGATCCTCTAGCGGCTGAAACGGGCGACGCCGTTAGCACAGGGCTGAAAGGTGCGGATGCTTTCGAGGGCATGTATTTCGACGACGGTGTAACCAGGCGTAGGGCAGATGCAGGTTTCCCTGGTCTAAAACGGGATGGGAAGATTACGATCCCAGTCCTCGATATGCTTTTGCACACATTGGGAAGTGCGTTGAGTTCCTGGCGCACAAACCAGGAGTGTCTCGAAATGCAACACCTTATTGTCCGTACCCCCTCCTCCGGGGGCAAACAATCAGGAGTCTTCCACTGCGTGACGGGCTGTCCGTGTCTATTCATTCGAAAAAACAATGGTGAGCCATGCCGGATTTGGATCGTTGATTGTACTGTACTGTTGCTTGTTGCTTGAAATGCAGGTTCGGCTAGCGTGACGAATGATGATGGTGCCACGCCTCCAGGGGCACCCCGTTGTGGCTTGCACGATCTGGCGTCCTAAGAATAAGAGAATAAAGAATTGGAATGTACAATTACACACTGTCTGTTGGTGGCGTTGATGGTTGACGACAAGGCTGGGGACTCCACGCGTTGAGGCTTGGCCAGGTTCCATTGTCGAGTTGCTTGCTGCTAGTGGGCTGAAAGCGTTACGCCTCAAAATCTTTAGACTAATTCAGTCTACCCTGCGCTGCGCTGCTCTGTTCTATGCGAAAGCACGGCTGCGTTTCACATAGGTCCTGATACGAGCCATGGTGGTATCATCGTCGTTGTTGATATCGAGTACCATGTCATTGTCGCTTTCGTCAAAGTCTTCGTTGTCAAACTCCTCGTCGTCGGATGCGTTCCCGTTGCGATAGCCATAGGCATGGCGCCCGTATTCGTCGTCCGAATCCACCTCGTCCTCTGGGTAGTCTGCTGTGTAGTAGTTTTCGGCTGAGAAGTTTGCCTCGTTAGTCTTTGATCCCTGAACGTCTTCACACTGGGTTGTGTCGTCCATGGACGGTTGAGTGACTCACCGTTCTCATCCTCGTCGTCCTCGTCAAGCTCATCGTCTTCGTCACGTTCAGGACCGAAGAACAAGTTACTCTCTTCCTTGCCGTCGAGAACCAACACGCCGACATCTGTTGGCGCCACGTTGACCTTCATTGCATGCGCGGGAACACGAACGTATTCCTCGATAACCCAGTCGTCATCGTCCTCCATATCACTCACGTCGCCTGTGGTCATGTCCACGTCGTTGGATTCCGTGTTGCTCGTGGCTGATTCTGGGTGACGCTCCTGGTATCTCTTTGCTGGAGCTTTAGGCTTGAATCTAGCTGCCTTCTGCTTCTCTTGCTCCATCTCTTGGAGATTGGCGCCAAGCTCTTTCATGACCCAGCTGTTCATGTCTTCCGCCATCTTTGACAAGTCCTGATTATGAGGGTTCATGACAGATGTTGGTAGGGCAGTGCGTGTGTTGGGGCCAGGAAGAGGAGAGTTCTGCCTGCTCCTCGCTGCCGGCTTCTTCAGGCGCCGCTCCTCCTGTGGTCGTTCTTCCGTGGGCCGCACTTCAAGGTTGCCGTCGGCGGGCATGGCAGCGGTTTCGTTTTGTTGGACAGACGGTACCACCACTGATGCCTGGATAGATTGGAGGACCTTCGATGCTCGTTGACTGGCCTTGGCACGGCTTCTCTCGACAAAAACAGCAGGACCGTAGCGCGGCTTCTTGGTGAGGCCAGTGGTGGAAGGCTGAGCTGTACCAGAAGCCATCATCATCTTTCTTGATATATGGAAACGTCGAAGTTCAGAGGCTTTGGAGGCATCGGCGGGCTTCGCATCCGAGGGAGAGGTGACGTCCCGGGAGGTGATAGCCTCCTTTGTCTGGTCTGCATCATTGCCAGGGCTGGAGACGTGAATGACGGGTTTGGCATCACGGAAAGTCGAGGCGGGAGCTTCTATTGTTGGAGACTGAGGGCCTGGATTTCTTCTTTGGTAGACCCAGTTGCTGTCATTTCGATGTCGTTTTGCGCCTTCGTCGAACTCTGGATCGAGTTAGATATTGCAATAGCGAATGTGCAGTGAAAGAGATAGCATACGAAGAAAGGTCACGGGTGACTCGTCGTCACGTTTGCGCTTCACGCGAATGAGTTGAGGTGGAATAGACATGGTTTCTATCTGTTGCTGGTGGTGCACAGTCTATGTCTATGTTTCGGTAATGAAGTCTGTAGAACGGTTGGCAATCAGAGACGGGAGTGCAGCTTTTATCCGTAAGCACTTCAAAGCCTGTAAATCATAAGCGGGTGTATCGCTGAGATTGCGCCGTTTGCGAACGAAGGTGTTTGCGATAAGCTGCGAACGAACGATGAGGTCAGAAGTTGCTGGCTTTTTTTCCTCGTTAATTTTCAGTCATCCACTTTCCGCAGGTGGAGCCCTGGGCCCATGAGAGCCTCCGAGAGGTGGATCCATGGTTCATTTAGTACTGGTTTTAGTGAGTAAGATAGTTGTCGATGGACAGGGACATTGAGCTCTGGTTGTGTGAATTGACTGAGAAGCTCAAGAGGATGACGGTAACAAATTAATAAAATCACTCAACATTTGGATAAGGAGGTGTCTCGACAATTTGAAGTGGTTCATTGTCTTGAAACACATTGAGCCTAGCTTAGCCTTCTTAGGTACCTAGCTCTTGGATGCAACTATGGTGCAATGTTGAGCTGTAGAGTGGGTACATGGAACCGTCAACGGAAAGGAATCTCCTGAATTGCTGGGATACAGCGTCCATTAGCCAGTAGAGATGAGGGGATGCTTTAGGAGTCGTCATTACTCTATGATATATCGCAGTTTGGAGGTAATATTCAACCAAGTGAAGTAGAGAAAATTCGAGGCCTTTCCATGAATTTGATCCATCATGATAACGGTTGGAATGCGGGGGCGCACGGTTCACTTTAGCCCTTAGCACATGCATGCCGTGGTACAAATCATCCCCAAGAGCTGCAAGTTAAGCCAGCGGGTAGTTACCGATACTTCCCTTGCTCACTTTTGTTTGACGTGCATGAAGTTTGCACATCTAACTTGGATATGACAATATTTTATTTTGGTTTGTAAAGTAGAGGATATCACTTTCCACTCATTGTTGTTCGATGCGACTCAAGACTTCAATCAACTGAGCTATGGCTGATCTGCAGCTACCAAACAAGGCACCAAAGCTAATTGGCACACGGCCCAGAGAGACCCGTCGCTGCAGATCGTGATTAACCCCAGATTCTGCGCGTGACCTTCAACACCAAAAAGTGAGGGAGGCATGAATGTGTGCAAATACTATATATGAGCACGTAGTGACATCAACAGGATAAGCTCTACAACAATTGTTTTTTCTCTTCCAGTAGCACAAATTGGGCAATTGCGATTTGCTTATCTGTACCTAGTCACATCCTCTGTATTTCCCCTGCCTACCTAGTAGGTAGTATCTTACCCCCTCCCTGATGACGTCCTTGGCCTCAATCTTTGGTGGCACTAAAAGTGACCTGTAAAAGTAAAAGGAAAGGAAAAGTAAAGCAGTGGAATTGTAGGTACTTACTCACCCAATCTCACGTGTTTGGTCCCAACGGCATTTTCCAACGCCTTGTTCTTATTCTTGCTCTCCCTTGTCAAGTCGAATCGAGTCGAGTCCTGGTCCAGCCATTCATTGATTGCCTCACCTTTCATCCTCTTTATTAGTTATTACAAACATCATCACCCTACTCAACTCTGTGGAATACCCAACCTTGACCTCTCAGGGTTGGCGAGGTGTAGCATTGGCCTGTCGTCATCCCGCTTTCTACTTTCTACTTCCAACTCCCTACTCCCTACTCCCTACGACCTCCCACCTCCAAGCTCCAAGCTCCTCGGATTTCCCTCCCTCTCCCCGTTTCCTTCTCCTCACCCGCCATAACCTTACTTTTCGTCATCCTGCACCTCACATTAACTTATCTCCTTTAACCTCAAATTCGATCTCCATCTTTTTACTTTCTCTGCACGTGTTGTCGCATCGTCAATGCGCCGTGATGCTGTCCTGATCCCTAGATCATTATCGACAGAGGTACGGGTATCCCTGTTCATCGTTCGATTCTCGCGCTCCGAACCCAAACATCAGAGCATCAAACGCCAACCCAGTGTTTCTTTAGAACCTACGACTTACTTTAATTACGCCTCGACGCCCTACTATTCTTAACAGTTAATTCATGTACGTCCGGGCCACATTTATGTCTAACTGTGGTTACTCACGAAAATAGTGTACCAAACCTCACCATGACGTCCAAAACGCCTTTCACAGTCACCTACAAGAAGCCTGGGACTTCACCTCCCATCTTTATTGCGGGCTCCTTCTCCGACCCCCCATGGGAACTTCACGAAATGGATTGTACTACTAACCAAGATGGAGAGCATACTTTCCAATCCAAACTCATGCTCGAACCTGACCAGGATTACCAATTTAAGCTTCGCATAGGACATGATAACTGGTGGGTCCTTGCCGAAAACTATCCCACTGGTGAGTAGTTCTGTCCGATCGTTTCGTTTCGAATTCTCTCTAATATATAGTAACAAAGCAACCGATGACTCCGGCAACGAGAACAATGTTGTACGCGTACCCCACAAACCGGCAGAAGAGCAAGTCGCTCCAGCTGGAGCTGACACGCCGGAGATCAAATTAAACCCTGCTACACAATCGAACTCGATTTCCACGGAAACACAGAATGTCAACGAGAACACCGAGGAGACCAAGGCGCCGTTATTGGTACACCAATCATTAAGTGACACTGTCGAAGAAGACACCGTGGATAACAATGCACCATTATTGGCGCATGAGTCCCTAGGCAACGATTCCGATGAAGAAAGCGGCGAGAACGACAATGCACCACTGTTCGCACACGAGTCGTTGGGTAACGACACGAAAGAAGATGACACAGATGATTTCAAGGCACCTCTTTTTGCGCATGAGTCCCTTGGAGACGATGCCAAAGAGGACACTGAAGAGATGAAGACACCTCTGTTTGCACATGAGTGCTTGGGTGCTTATGATATCGAGGAAGAAGCTGAACACGACGTAGCCCCAATTGTAGGCAGCAGCCCGAGGCAAAATGGGAATGCCCAATCGAAGCACGACAAGGTGGCCAATATCGACGTTAACGACCCTACTCTCGAAAGCTTTCCCTCTGAACGGGGTTCGATCCTCGATGCCATTCGGACCATTCAAACCCATCTTGGAGAAGACCAGACTCACCTCGATGACATCCCCTTATCCCCTCGTGTGGTGTCGTCTAGAAGAACTAGCCTGGATTCTAATGATGACTTGTGCTTATCGCCTGCGAATTTGAGCCCTACAGTTACTAGGAGACGAGACAGCAGACCTTCTCACAGTTTCGGAAGAACACGATCGGCAGTATCTCTAGGTTCAATAGAAGAGGAACCCAAGCCCTCCGCCAGCAAACGATCGCGGGGACCTCCCATTGTGTCTCTGCCGAATCCCAACTCCAGAGGAAAGATTGTTGGCCAGAAGTCACCCCCTAGCGAGGAAGACGAAGCTGTTGTAATGAAGACCTCTGAGGTAAAGCCCAGTGCGAAAACCGATAACGAGTCACCATCTCAAGTTGAAAGTTGTGAGGCCCAGGCAACCCACCAAGACAAGGCCCCCAGTGCCGCCACGACCGAAAAGCCCTCTGAGGCTGCAGAGTCCCAGACGATCGATGACCAAGCCGATGACGCTCCCTCACTTGACAAACCAATGGAAGAGGAAACTCTTGCTAGATCTGACTTAGACTCTGTCTCCTCTCAAAAGGAAATTCGATCTGTCCCGGATTCGAACAACGAAAGAAAGACAAAAAAGACAGCAACTGCGGCTGCGGGGGATTCATCTGGAGGTCCTCCTCGTGGGAGTCTAGTACCCATGTGAGTTCCCCAATAAGTGACAATTTAAAGAGCACCACTGACAAAAACAACACAGGATCATCACAACGGGAGCCCTCGCAGTCGCTATCGGGATAGGATGGTGGCAGGCTGCTACTGACCACTAGGAAGAATAACAAATGACGTGGATGGAAGATTCTCATTCTGGGCTGGCTTGGGTAGATTAATAAGGATACGGACAAGGCATCGATCGACAATGCGGGGGTTGACGACAACTGCATGAACCAGGGAATGAAAGCAGTGTCAAAGAACGGTATAGCGGTATAACTAACCTGTACGAGGCCTAGGAGCAACTAGGAAGCATATTTATTTTGTTGGCATGAATATTTGACCCATTGTATGAATTAATACAACTTTCCTTTCATCAGTAGTTAATAGCTTTCTATTAAAAGGGTATGAATTTCACATGCTGGCATTCATGGTGGGGATGTACTTAAATGAGAGCTAGGGTGGCGGTACCTAGGTACGTATCCATTATAATCGGTGCGAACCCTCCGATGGCCGACTTGAACAAAAAAAAAACTGCACTGCCAACCAGATATCGACAAGATTTATTGCGATAACATACTTACTCAATTAAATCATACAATAGCCGTCAACATGCAGCGTATAGCGGCGACCTCGATATGTTCGCTTTGCATGTTCACCTCTCGGCCAGTTACTACAGTACGGACGTCGCTACAACCATACCTTAGCCAACGCTTGGCCTCGCAACATTTCAAGCCTCGCCCCTCGCGCATGGTTCTCTCGGATCGAGTCGACCAAGCCCCTGGTTCTCGCGATGACCGACGAAGACGCCGAGACGCCCCGGGTCCCTTTGGGGGGATGAACAGAACGGTAGCCAATGTAGACCCCCGCCGAGGAGCCGGTCGACAACGTGCAGTGCCAGGAAAGGATTCCAGAGGAGGGAACACAAGAGAGAGGGACAGGGACAATAGGAGAGGAGGAGCAAGAGATGGAGACGATCGAAAGGCGCTCAAGATGCAAAGGGCCTTGGCTACGGTTTCATACGGAAAGAGAACAGTTATGAAGGAGTCCATGACCGATTACGATTCATTCGACACCTTCGATCTCATCCCCGCCCTCCAAGTCGCCGTCAATGAGGAACTCTTCAAGGGCATGGTTGATATCAAGCCAACGCCCGTACAGAGACTTGCAATTCCTGCCTTGTTAGGGCAAAGGAGTCCTGAAGATCTTAAGAAGCCTTCAGAAGAGATGAGCTCATTCTTGTTGGCTGCTGAGACTGGTTCTGGAAAGACTCTGGCATATCTGCTACCAGCTATCGATGCTCTTAAGATGGCCGAGGCCGATGACCCCGAAATTAAGGCCTACCGTGAGCGATGGGAAATCGAGAAAGCAAGACAATCGCAAGGCAGCTCGAAAACCAAGCCGTTCGACGAACCACATCCTTCAATGGCCCGCCCCAAAGTTGTCATTCTCGTGCCTACAGCGGAGCTTGCCCATCAAGTCACAAAGGTGTCCAAGGCGCTTTCGCACGTCGCAAAGTACAAGACAGAACTTCTATCATCAGACTTGAAGCCACAGCAGATCCAGCGCAACTTGTACGGACCTAGAGGAGTCGATATAATTGTCTCGACGCCTCATCTTCTCGCGTCCATTGCCGACTCGGACCCCAACATTCTCTCACGCGTATCTCACTTGATTGTCGACGAGGCGGACTCCCTTTTCGATCGCAGTTTCGCTCCTGTAACTACCAGTATTATTGAGCGAGCGATGCCATCCATGAAGCAGTTTGTCTGTTGCTCTGCCACCATTCCTCGAAAACTCAACAACTTCCTCGCCACCAACTACCCCAAGATGACCCGAATCACCACCCCCAACCTCCACGCCATTCCCCGACGTGTCCAACTGGGGGTTATCGATGTTTCAAGGGAACCATACCGCAATAAGAAGGATCTTGCCTGTGCCGATGCCATCTACTCCATCGGCCGTGAGTCCGCTAGTCATGACGGCCCTGTCAAGGGTGAAGTTGACGTTCGCCGCATTATGGTGTTCGTCAATGAGCGTGAGAAGACCGAGGAATTGGCGGCGTATCTCAAAGAAAAGGGCATTGTTGCAGAAGCCCTCCACAGAGATACTCCCGAGAAGCGCCATGGCGAGGTCCTCGAGACCTTTACATCTCCCGAACCTCTTAGAATCCCCACGCCGACAGTTGCTTCCAAGGGACGGTCTCTCGCCAACGTGAGAGTCTTGGTTGTCACAGATTTGGCTTCAAGAGGTATCGATACTCTTGCGGTCCGTCACGTCATTCTCTACGATGTGCCACACACAACCATCGACTTCATCCACAGACTTGGCCGTGCCGGACGAATGGGTCGACGTGGCCGCGGTATTGTGCTTGTCGGCAACGATGACAGAAAGGATGTTGTTGCAGAGGTCAAGAACAGTATGTTCAGAGGACAGGCTCTGATTTAATGTTTCCATTACATTTCACGCACCATGTACGATAAAAGATGAATCATTGGATGGGTACTTATGTACAATAACATAAGGTAGGCATGAGACTAGATAAAGTCTATTTGCAAAGACGGGTTAGGACTTGTATGAATATTTCCATAGAGGCACTGAGCAATATCCAAACAAATTATGACTTGTTTTTGATTAAAATCATTTACAGACAGTAACACCATAACAAAAATATTCAAATCGACATGAACATCCTCAATAAAGTATGAATTGAGCGGCTCTGTCCGTGCCGATCTCTGACCTCAGAAGCTCTTAGGCTCTGGGCCATGGGTCAAAGCGCTGAAGACGGGCCATTTTTGGCGATCTCCAGTTCCCCACCATGAAAGACATCCCGCCATTGATTGGTACGTACCTCCATTTGTCGCGTCGCGTTATCGTTGGCATGTTTCTCTTCCGCACAATATCATCATCATAGGTTATCCCATCCTCTCCTCCTACCCAGAGCCAACCCCCCTTCGAGTCCCCCTCGAACCGCCCTTCTTTGAAGTCGCAAAGGGAATCTCGATCGTTCTTTCTTAGAACACCCTTTACGCGACTCAAGGACCGAAACAATTTATTACAATGCCTCGAGCTAAACGTGCCCGTCGTGCGCCTGCACCATCTGCAAAAGCTATTGCACGATCACCCTCACCTGACGCCCACGACAGTGGTGATGACGAACCGCCTCAACAGAACAAGTCTCCTGAGAGAGGCCGTAGACGAACAACGCGATCTTCAGGTGCTCGCACCAGCCTTGCCAACGAGCAAGATGTGCTCGCAGCAAATCGACGTCGCGACGCGGCACTTGATAAGCTTGCCACAGAGGATCCTACTTCCACAGCCAGTAACAACGTTAAGGATATGGACTCTGGCAGTTCAGTTGAGGGAGGGCGACGATTGACAGCCACGCCGAAGCAGCGAAGGGACACGACAGGGTTGGATTTGGCGGATAGCGTGTTTGGCGACCTCGATACCAGTTTTGGACTCGATGTTGATGACGATGACGATACGCGCCCAGGGCTGCGGTCAGCCGATGCATCCTCACTTAATTTGAGCAATTTCAAGCGCAGACCACGTCAGTCGAGCATTATTGGACGCAACGACCCTCCCATCCGGCCCAGCAGCCGTGGTGGTAACACTCCTAGTATCAGTTCGACACTCCAATTTGGTGCCTTCAAAAGACGCGCGCGAGAACCAAGTATTCTTGGAACTGCACGAAAAGCCCGTCCAGAGGAGAACGCTGCAGGACAGGAGCCAGATTCTGAGAGCGAGGATGAGGACGAAGATCAGTTCATGCCTGAAGCTGAATCTACACCCGTTAACAACCGTCGGAGAACACAGCCTCAAGCTGAAATAATCGAGGTTCCGGCCTCTATTGAAGTCCCAACTTCTCCTGAAGTACCTACAGGATCGAAGCACAGAAAAAGGAAGAGCGAAGACGCGCTTCCAAGTAGCGAACGACCAGAAAAGATATCACGAATTGAGAGTGATGCCGAGGAGTCAGAAGAAGAGGCGGGCCCTGCACCCGAAATCATCGACTCCGACAATGAAAGTGATTCTTCCCTGTCGGATCTTGCCTCCCCACTAGGACCTTCGCCTGTTCTCAGGGATCGGCCTGTTACACCTATTAATGACGAAGAGCTCATGGCTCTCCCAGTCAGCAGCGACTCAGAAGATGTGAACTGGCCTGACATTCATACCTTGGCCAAACGACGCCGAAGACACTCTGTCACAACCCCTATTCGCGCCGATAACTTCTCCGATGTTTCCTCGCCCCCATCTCTTACACACTCCCCTAATTATGACGAGGTACAAAAGACTCGAGGACGAGCTGCAAACAAGCGAAAAGCAACTTCGCCTAAGATTACAACTGCCGACTTGACAAATCTTCTCCCAAAGCGTCATTACCAGAAAAAGCGAGATCCTCTTGGGCTGGAGAGCGATGAAGAGTATGACACGTCAGGCATTGGGGAGAATGAGGATGAGCTCTCATATCTCGACGGCCGGGCTGCGCGTCGAAGACGGGGCGGACGAGCGACAAGCCGCGGAGGCCCAAGTCGGCCAGCTTCGCGAGGTGGACGTATGACACAAGCTTCCAAAGGGAAACAAACTGCCTCGGGAAAGCAAGCAGTGCGTAACGCACAAACTTACTCTCGCCGGTCATCGGACAAGGAGAACGAGAATGAGAATGAGGAAGGCAGTGGCGATGATGAGGAGGATCAGCACGAGAACAGCCGCTTCCAGCCACTCCCTGACGACACTTTCGGCGAGGGAAGTGCCGAGAACGCAAGCACACCCTCCGCGGATGAGCTCAGACAGGCAGCGAAGAAGTTCAAAGAAGTTGACAGATGGGAGCTCGACTTTGAAGAGGTTACGCAAAGTTCGTCACCACTTGCGCGGTGAAAGCAAACCAAAGCATGGCAACTGGAGCATCGAGCAAAGCGAACGAAAAGGAACAAGCGGGCGTTAGGCGGTCCAGGATCGATTGTTTTTAAACAAAACATTGAGAGTTACACGATTGGGAGTAGGATTTGGTCATTTTATGAAAGTCTGAATGATGTCTGTTTCGGGCTTGTATTATACTGCACTTGTTCGGGATCAATGGGGTTTGAGGATTCCTCTGGTAGTTGGGGCAATGGGCAGGGTAGGATTGATGGGGGATATAGCGTAAATTCTTTGATGGCTTTTTGATATCAAACTAAAGATTTTAATCCGAGGAGTCTGATCCCGCATCTTTAAGTTGCAAGAGGAAATTTGCCTTAAACTCCTAAAACGCCATGTCCTTGTATTGTTCTTTTCTATCGTAGCATTTGGATTTCATGCACTAGGGTTAAGAGCCTCTGCCCGATGCTCTACCAGGGGCAACAACGGAGCAAGGACGTTGGGATCTCGCAGTGCGATAGTGATATCATCGGGAAGTCTTCCTGACATGAGCAGTTTCTGTGGTATTGGGTTAGCAGTTATGTCGTCAAGGGGTTTGGCTTCTATGGATGCTGCAGTTGTGCCCCAGACTTACTCTCTTAACATTCTCGTAAGTTTCCTCCTGCGCAGAATATTCGCGAATAACTTGGTCAGTCTCAAAGTCAACATAGACCCGTGTGTCACGTATCCGTAGAATAACGTTATCCAAGCGCATAAACAGCCGGCATAGCAAAAGCATGCGCTTCTCGTGTACGCGAACTTTGACGCTGAAGATGGAAATGCCGTTGTCGTCCAACTCGCTCTCGTACAGCATAACATCGTCGAAGAAAAGAATGGGGTCTCGACGTTTAAGCAGTTCAATGGGAATTTGCTTGTCCGTTGGCGCAAACTGCTTAGCCGATGGGTCGACACTTCCGGTGTATGTCGTCGAGTAGCTCCAGTCGTAGGGCTTCACAACCTCTTTGATACCCTGCGTAGTGCCCTCCCGAGTGCTCTCCCAGTCCCGCGCGTATGCGACCTTGAGCATATGACGATCTGTCTTGTCAACGGCGTCGAGGGCGTCCGGTGTGTTGAAGTTCAAGGACCATCCCGAGGGGACATGATCAATGCCGACAATGTTATCGCCAAAGATCATCTCAGGCATGGGAATGCCAATCTTTTCGGTGAGCGCATCGATGGCGCCGGCCTTCGAGATGGGAAGCTTGCGGGTGGATATACGGAAGCGGCCCTGCTTGTGTATTGTCGTGGCCGAGGCAAGAGCCTGTGGCTTCGGAAAGGGTTCGTTGGGGTCTGTGATGTGGTTCTGATGCATCTTGGCGGCTACGGATAGGAGCTCCTTTCTTTGGGAGTATGAGGATGTCAGGAGAAAGGTGAGACTAAAGCGAGAGAGCTTCTGTGGTGGTGGTGTAGTGGGGTGGGGGAGTAGCGGGACACTATGTCATGCACCCCGCAGCGAGTATTTGCAGTGTAAAAAATCCGATTACTTCACCTCCTGTATAGTTTATTTAAGATGATACAAATTATAATAAACTCATTTACTACATGGAGTCTTATTACTGTTGGCAATACTTAAAGAATTGAAAGGCTTGGGCTTGTCGTAAGATTGATGGGGAAAAGAATATAAATAGTCTTGTCCGTATACAATCTTGGTTTGAGATTGTATATAAAGGAGTCGAATAATTCTTTTTTATTTTTAACTTAATGCCTAGGTTAGTAGGTAGTTTCATATAATGGAAGTCGCATGCGGCAACTGAACTCCTATCAAGATTAATACTCATACTAGCCGTACGCACAGCAGCTGGTTTTTCCTCCTTCATCAACCAGCTCAACATAACAAGCAGTAAGTCAATCAAGCGCTGGACCCCTACCCCTCGGTCCACATCGCTAATCTCTTTATACAAGCCTCCATCTGACCTACCGCCGGGTCAGAGATGCCATCATCAACCACCGAGACCGGCAGAAGCTCAGCCGGCAAAGGGATGAGTTTAGAACTAGAAGAGTTCTAAAATCAATAGATTAAACCTCGGGAGAAACGATTCAAAAACACACCATCACAAACGCCTTGAGGCTCTTCCAGGAAGATGTCACCAGCATCAACAAATATATCGCCATCATTGATGGAGAACTTGAACAAAAGCCAGTAAAGACGGTATCCCCAATTTTCAGTACAAAAGCACTGAAACAAACCCCGGCCGATGGCACTTGTTTTTTGTCACTTAAACGACGGAATGTCATCAGCATGATCGAGTAAACTCTAGTAAAAATTACGAAGCTTGCCAAATGCCAAAAACTATAATTTGTAGATATTACCTACTAGTCCCTGGGTGTAGCAGATTAGTGATTGATCCTATATTTTCTTTCTTTTATGTCCTGAATACTGGAAGAAATTATTTGTTTCTGTAACTATTCTCTATTTGAACTACCCTACATCATCTGACTCAAGATCAGAATTAAACCGATAGAATATTAAGGCGAATCCAACCGTAAGATAGAAGCTTGTGAGATATAGCACATAGCAATCTTTCATCTAGGATGTACTAGGTATCCTCAGCTTTCTCTTACAACTTTCCCAGGCCATTTCAAGGGTCCACCTCCACTTAAACCTCCACTCCACCCAACCTCCAGGAACCCACCGATAAGCTTTCCTTATCAGTTCCCGCTCCATCAACTTTTTTTCCTCTGCGCATTCAAAGTTGTCCAGCCCGCCCTCAAACAAACCCCAACATCAATACATCACTCAAATACCCACACGACACCGACACCATGCGCCCTCTTACAGAAAAGGAAACCCAGACTCTTTTCGAGAAACTGGCAAACTACACCGGCGGCTCCCTCAAGAACCTCATTGCGCCCCTCGACGACTCTCCCAACCCTGATCGCTATGTCTTCCGCCTCGTTCGCGATCGTGTTTTCTACGTCCGTCTGTCTATCGCCAACCTAGCTACTTCTATCACACGCGAGAAGATCCTCTCTCTTGGAACCTGCCTCGGTATGTCATTATCTCAAGCCAGAAATTACATGTAGTACAATGTCTAACCGCTCAAAACCTTCACAGGCAAGTTCACCAAGTCGGGCAAGTTCCGTCTGCACGTCACAGCCCTCCCCATCATCGCCGAGCATGCCCGCTACAAGATCTGGGTCAAGGAGAATGGAACCATGCCTTTCCTCTACGGCAGCAACATCGTCAAGGCGCACGTTGGTCGCTGGTCTGAGGACTGTCCCGAGCACCAGGGAGTTGTTGTCTACAGCATGAACGACACACCGCTCGGATTCGGTGTCACAGCCCGCAGCACTGCCGAGGCCCGAAGATTGGACCCTACCGGTATTACCTGCTTCAGGCAGGCAGATTGCGGAGAGTACCTCCGTGACGAAGACAACTTGTTTGCGACTGGCTAGAGTGGAAGATGACTTTGCTTCGTCTGGCGTTGGGGCTAATTTTAATCATTCTTTGGCGTTGAGAGTGAGGGAAAAAAAAAAAAGAAACTTGCGGCCAAGTCAAACATGCTTGGGTTATTTGGTAGATTGGTAGATTTCATCATCGTCATCATCAAAGCGCTGTATATGTTGAAATGTATTCGCTTGCCCCATCTTGTCCGTTTTTAAATCCACCTTTTTGATATATCATTCCATTACTGTACCGTTGATCTCCCGAGCAGGGCTCACAGGCCTGCTGTCTCTCTTGAAGAAGCCGACATGTTGTCGATGAGCGACGTACTCACTATCAGCATAACCGAGAATCTTCTCGATTTCCACACTCTGCTTCCCCTTGATTCGCGCGATCTCAGCAGCGGCATAATTTACCAAAGCTCGACCAACCTCTTCGGGGGTCCCCTCCCACATCTTGCCATCAGGTCCAGGAGTCGACCGTCGCTTGACTGCCACGAGCCGTACAACTTCCTGCTGGGCAAAGTTGCCTTCAACATCAACGACACCGACCGGGAGCAGGCCAGCCTTACCCACAAGAGCCTTGTAAGCCCCAGAGTCAATGTAGAGAGTGCCGTGAGGGTGCGGGGTGTGAAGCAGCCAAAAGTGACGGTCCCGAATAGGATCATTGGCAGGCACGAAACGGGTATGTAGAGGGGGCCAAGGGGCACTACCATTGGATGACGTGGAGAGGGTCAGAGCTGATGCTGACCGGGACAACCCTTCAGCGCGTTCATCTGGACTTGGAGGGGTGTTTCCTCTTCGTATTGACTCGAGGTACTTCACAATGTTGAGTACGTTTCCAGGATTGGAGGACCTTGTAATAATGGTGGTAACACCAGCCGAGGTACCCAGCCTGGCAGCAATGATCTTGGTGCTCATACCTCCAGTCCCAAGGGAAGAACCGGCACTGGAAACTGTTGACGGTTAGAAGTGAGGCATAACATGTGATTGAACAGGAAACTTACCATCAGCTTGCAGTGCCGAGATGTCTTCGACTACCTCGATAGGCTTGGCATCTGGGTGTGTTCGGGGGTTCTTGTCGTAAAGACAGTCGACATCTGTCATCAAGAACAGCATATCGGCGTGGATCATGGCGGCAGTGATAGCAGAGAGAGTATCGTTGTCACCGAACTTGATCTCGGAAACGGCAAGAGTGTCGTTTTCGTTGACAATTGGAATGACTCCTTGCTCTAGAAGTGCGTGAAAGGTGTTTTGGGCATTGAAATATCGAGTTCGCTATGGGACCATTAGTACAGCTGCAACGGGTATCATGGAGAAAGGAAAGCCAACGTACATCTGCTATATCGTTTCGAGTAAGGAGAATCTGAGCAATTGGCTGCCTAAGATGAGTGAACAGACTATCCCAAAGACTCATTAAGCGGCATTGGCCGATTGCTGCGAGAGCCTAGAGCAATTGATGTTAGTCAATTAATGACACCGGTTACTGTAAGAGACGTTCAAATCCAACCTGTAGCTGTGCGAGATGTTTGGGCCGCTTCTCGACATCCATACGTCGGAGGCCAACACCGATGGCGCCTGACGAAACAATAACCACTCGGTGGCCATCTTTACGGAGCTTCACGGCGGTATCGACAATGAGAGTCAGAATTGGTAGAAGTGGTTCGTGAGTCGTTTCATCGACAATAGAGCTTGTTCCTATACGAGGGCCGGGTGTTAGTGGGGGATGAGTCAAGCTTGGTGTTGATGTTGAAAGTTAAGACTCACCAAGCTTGATGACGATGGTACGAGACTTTGTCCCGTTTCCTCTCATGTCTGCGAGATTTAAAAAAGAGAGAATATGTCAGTTAATGCCGCTTCAGGGAAGTGATATAATGCATGTAATAAGGACAGACGCTTTCACATGCGTTCGCTTTTCACAGGTAACGCAGAAGCGAAACACATATATAGAGACAAATTCAGCGCAACAGATTCTCTTTCTACAGAACAATTCAAAGAGTGAAGAAGCAAAGAACGAGGAGAAAACTCGACAAGAGGAAAGAAAGGACAATAATGCTTACATTGAAATATGCTTTCGCTCGTCATTTTTGCAGGCGCCCTTGTCGCTGTGAGAGTGAGTGTGGAACCGTGTAAAGGATGTCTTGAACCTGTTGATCCTGGGAAACGTTGGTCGATAGTCAAGGTGATTGGATATCGGGTCTGGGGGAGTCGCACATCGGAAAATGAGCGGCAACTCGGTAAGAGCTCCGATCAGCAACTTCCCAACTTCCGTAATCCCCATTTTTCTTCACCTCTCACATTTCACCGCCTTTGCCCCAAAACGGAGCTTTTGGATGGCAGAACTTTAGGTGGTCTTCAGTGTCTCCAGTGCAAGCTCTACCTAAATGCTGAGGTTAGGACCCGTCTGAGAAGGTCAAAAGAGATCAATCAATTCATGATTCATTTCAAATCAAACTGCGAATAGCTTTGTCGACATCGAAGGCCTTGAGTCTGCTATTGAACAAGTCTATCGTCAACACCTTTTCAAAATGTCGTCCAGCTCGACAACTCCTCCTCCGGCTTCAAGCGCTGCTGCTGCTGCGCCAAGTACCTCAAATGCAGCCCCCCAGGAAATCAAGAATGACCCTGCAAGAACCGGTTTTTCTCCAGAAATGTCATGGTGGATGAACTACTTCAAGCAGCTCTCGGGCCAAATGACCCCCGAGGGCCAGTTTCACTTTCGAGAGTGGAGATACCGCGTCCATGAAGAGCGAGACTGCAAGCGCTGCGAAGACGATCTCAAATGGGTTTTCACCTACTCCCCTGTTGTGCGCTTCATGTCGGAGAAGATTCAAGCTCTCAATGGGCGAATAGATGCTAGCAATGTATACTGCCGTCGTTGTGAATCGCATCTTGAACCTAATGGTCAGGTCCTTCGCCAATCTGGAGGATTCAGCCCTGATCACGGTATTCTGATATGTGCTAACGAAGTTCGAGATCGCAAACACCTCGAGGACACACTAGCGCATGAGATGGTGCACGCATGGGACACTCTGCGGTGGAAAAATGTCGACTTTATGGGTAAAAAGGACTTGAAGCACGCCGCGTGCACCGAGGTAAGTCCAATCTCTATGTCTCAAAAAACCACGATACTAACTCATCTCGAAGATCCGAGCTTCAATGCTCAGTGGCGAGTGCAGGTGGACTCGAGAAGCTTTCACTCGAGGAAACTGGAAGTTGACACAGCAATTCCAAAACTGCGTCCGCGGGCGAGCCATTCAGTCCGTCATGGGTCGAAGTACGTGCAAGGACGACGTACAAGCAGCCAAAGTCGTCAACCAAGTTTGGGATTCTTGCTTCTCAGACACGCGGCCCTTCGACGAGGTCTATAGATGATGGGTAGCATGCTGCATAACCTTGTGTACGATATCAGAGCCGGGCGAGGGGCGCTTTTAATGAAACATAATGCCTTTGTTGGATACTCCGATACTATCAATGATACCCTTTCAATATGCTGAAGCAACTCTTCGACTCAGTTTGGCAATTCCCAAATGATGCCACAAAAGAAACCATGTACTCCAACTGATGCTAACGGCCAGGCTCCGCCGTGGTTATTACAATTCGATCGCCAATAAACGCCTTTCAACCCTTGTCCATTTGTTCATATTATTGCTTGTCATTAAATCGTTATTGCCCCTTCTCGCGGTTGGAGGCACGCTCACCCTTGACGCAGTGCTTGATGATCCAAGGATGTTGTTGAATCTGCTCAAGGGGAATTCGCTTCTCAGGATCCAAAACCAGTAACTTCAGTAATGTTAGTTAAGCTCTCGTGAGACAAATATGGGAAGGGGGCAACATACCTTCTTGATGAGGTCCGTAGCCTCCGCGCTGACCCACGTGGGAATGGACATATCAGCGCGAGCAATTCTCCTTTGGGTCATCACTGGCGTGTCCTCGAAGGGCGCTTCACCCACAAGGAACTCGTACGTCAGGACACCCAAGCTCCACAGGTCAACCTTCTCGTTGTAGAAGTTGTCAGAAGTGCCGGGCTTGATCATCTCTGGGGGGAGGTAGTCAAGAGTTCCACACATGGTCTTTCTTCGGTTGTTGGGGGCGTGCACACTCCATCCGAAATCCGAGATCTTGATCTCACCGTGAATGCCAACCAGGATGTTCTCGGGCTTGATGTCTCGATGGATAACATGCTTTCGGTGCAGGTATCGTAGTGCCGAAGCCATCTGAGCGATGTACTGGGCGGCCTTCCATTCAGGGAACCGGCTCTCCTTTCGAAGGTGCTTGTATAATTCACCCTTGCCGGCAAACTCAAGAATCAAGAAAACTCGCTTGCTGTCGTGGAAGTGGCCGTATAATTGAAGAATGTTGGGGTGTCTGAGGTTGCTTTGAATTTCAATCTCTCGTCGGACTTGCTTCTCGACTCTGCCCGCCTGCAACTCGTTCTTGTGAAGGACCTTGAGGGCGCAGATGAAGCCTGTCGTTCTCTCTCGGGCAAGGTACACTCGTCCAAACTTGCCCTTACCTAGAGGGCGGCCGATCTCGAACATGCCGAGGTGGAACTGCTTGGGGACGCTCATTTGTTCGGGCAAGGTAACCGATTTGCGTTCCTCGGAAGCCTCATCTGATGTCCTTGAGGAAGAGGGGAGGGCCTTTCTGGTGGGAGATGGAGGAGCAGGATTGACTTTTCGTTGAACGGCCTGTGATGGCAGCATCACAGCGGCGTTGGCATTGCTGCTTTGCGACTGAAGGGCGACCTTGAAGAGGTTGGGGCGAGAGACACCAGTAGTGGAGGAGGAGATAGTCTGCTGATGTTAATGACTGATACATGATTGTATTGCAAAAGCAAACATACCTTGGACTTGCTGTACAGCTTGGAGCCGTCACCGAGAGGATCGTTCTCGTCGTTGACAGACATGCGCTCGAAGCGCGCTTCGATAGTGCGGGTAGCCATGGCTTATAGGACTGAAAGGGATAGGCTGTTGATGTTAGTGAAAGGCGGACGTGGAGTTTGAAGAAAGACGACGGATGGATGTGTGCCTTTTTGAACGGTTGCGGTAGCAGTGCGGTCAGGCCCGTCGTCTAAGCTGGGGTTAGTTAATACAAACAAGGTGGTTGCCAGGCAACGTAGGCCGAGAACGGTCAAGCTGGATTGCTTGGGGGGGATGCGTCGGATCGGCCCATTGAGCTAGCCATCGTCAAAATAATTAATGTAAATACAGCTGAAAATAATTCAGGATTTGCACAAATATCTTCATTTAGAAACGGAGGCAGTTTGATGCTGATCAGCCGCGGCGATGAACATTAAATGACGTCCGAAAGATAGGCTTTTCTTAATGGACCACACGTCCAATCAGATGTATGTTCACCTTCAAAATACTATCTACCTACCTACTACGTATTTCTATATATCTTTACTTTTGCGCCGGTGCGAACGTCATAGGCAAATGTCATGCTACTGTTGCTAATTACTTATTTATGTGCATTGAGAACCTGGTCGTTGGATGACAACATCCAGGGACAACCTTGTGTAGTTGGTCAAGTCGTACTTATCAGGTGCGCAGGCAGTATTCATAAAGGTATGTTATACATAACTAGTGTTTCAGGTTCACCATATAACTAGCTGAATCGTTCCGTAGTTCAACTTTTGGAACCTGGTTAAAGATTACAAGTAATATCATGATCAAGCATCCATATCGACGGCACGTGCTGGCCCAGCCTCCACTGTCAGAACCTTGGAACGATAGGTGGTCATGGCGGGGAACCTAGAAAATGTCAGTCATATCTTCCCTGAACAGCTCCAAAGTACGGTACCAAAACAGTTCTTTTTAGGGTATCAACCACCAGAATTGTCGAATCAGCGCTTAGCAGACACCAGAGAAACTGGCAAAATTTCCCCCACCATCCACAGCTGTCCATAACGAACGTCTGAAGTCGCTGGGTTACTACGGGCTTAAAGCTTGTGACTCATGCCCCTCTCCTCTAATAACGGACCTGACTCTGCCTTACCCTACGACTTTTCAAATCCGGTTGGATGAAGCCAATTCGACTCTTGTCACTATCTCCTGCCTCACTGCAAACAACAGTATCAGCATCTCCAGCGTCGCCCTTATCAAGGCAGCTTAGTTTGTCCCGTTTTGGTCCCGGGTTCCGGTTCACGGCCTGCGCAAAACCACCCCGCACTGTCGTCGACTCCCGCACTTTTGCGACCTCACGACCCCTCAACGCTTTTCAACTGCAAAAGTCGCAGAAGCGCAACAAAATCGCCATGACTTCCAGCGCGACCACCCTTAAGGGCCAGCCCCTTGACAAGGCCATCCTCGAATCTATCCTCCGACGTCGCATGTTTTATACCCCCTCTTTCGAGATCTACGGCGGTGTTGGTGGTCTGTTCGACTATGGTCCTCCTGGTTGTGCTCTTCAAGCAGCAGTCATCAACGAATGGCGTAAGCACTTTATCCTCGAGGAGGACATGCTCGAGGTTGACTGTACTGTCTTGACTCCCCACGAGGTTCTCAAGACCAGTGGCCACGTTGACAAGTTCGCCGATTGGATGTGCAAGGACCCTAAGAACGGCGAGATCCTACGAGCCGATCACTTCGTCGAGGCCATCCTCGAGGCCCGACTAAACGGTGATAAGGAGGCCCGTGGCCAGAAGGTAGAGGATAGGGAGGAGGACCCCAAGAAAAAGAAGAAGAAGGCCAAGACCGAGGCTGTCAAGCTCGACGATGCCGTTGTCCAGGAGTACGAGGAGGTCCTTGCCAGAATTGACAACTACGGTGGCCCCGAGCTCGGTGATCTCATCAAGAAGTACGATCTCAGAAACCCTGCCACTGGAGTTCAGCCCGCAGAGCCCGTTTCTTTCAACCTTATGTTCCAGACCACTATTGGTCCCAGCAGCAACTACCCTGGCTACCTCCGTCCCGAGACTGCCCAGGGCCAGTTCTTGAACTTTGCCAAGCTCCTCGAGTTCAATCAGTCCCAGATGCCCTTCGCCTCCGCCTCCATCGGCAAGTCATACCGAAACGAGATCTCCCCTCGTGCTGGTCTGCTGCGAGTGCGTGAGTTCCTGATGGCTGAGATCGAGCATTTCGTCGACCCTGAGAGTGGCAAGAAGCACCCCCGATTCCACGAGGTTGAGGACGTTGAGCTTGTTCTTCTTGACCGTGATACCCAGCTGTCTGGCAAGACCACTACCAGGACTGTCAAGATTGGCCAGGCTGTCAAGGAAGGTCTTGTTGATAACGAGACTTTGGGTTACTTCATTGCACGAATCCACCTGTTCTTGGAGAAGATTGGTGTAGATATGAGTAAGCTGCGATTCCGCCAGCACATGGCCAACGAGATGGCCCATTACGCTTGCGACTGTTGGGACGCTGAGCTTTTCACCAGCTCTGGTTGGATCGAGTGTGTTGGTTGCGCCGACCGAAGTGCCTACGACTTGAGCGTCCACGCCAAGAAGACCGGTGCTCCCCTGGTTGTCCGTGAGCAGCGAGAGACCCCTCTCGTTATTGAGGAGTGGCAAATTGATATTGAGAGGAAGAAGTTCGGTCCTCAGTTCAAGAAGGATGCCAAGACTGTGGAGACAGCTCTTCTCGCTACGCCACAAGAACAGCGAGAGAAGCTTGCCAAGGAGTTGAGCGAGAACGGCAACATCACTCTCGAGGTCCCTGGTGTCGGTGATGGCAAGGTCCAGGTCAGCAAGGAATCCATTGCCATCGAGTTCCGCAAGAGGGTTGAGAACACTCGCGAGTACGTGCCCAACGTCATTGAGCCCTCATTCGGTATTGGCCGTATCCTCTACTCCTTGATGGAGCACAGCTTCTGGACTCGTGGCAGCGATGGTGGTGATGAGGCCCGCGGTGTAAGTGCAACCTCTATTCTGTACGTATGTGACAAATTACTAACATTTCAAAGGTTCTGTCCTTCCCTCCTACTGTGGCCCCCACCAAGGTCCTGCTTGTTCCCCTTTCTTCCAACGCCCAGTTCAAGCCTCTCCTTAAGCAGCTCTCACAGCGTCTGCGTAGTGCCGGTATCTCCAGCCGTGTTGACGATTCGTCCGCCAGCATTGGTAAGCGATACAGCCGAAACGATGAGCTTGGTACTCCTCTCGGTGTCACTATTGATTTCCAGACTGTTCAAGACGGCACCGTTACCCTGCGAGACCGTGACAGCACCAACCAAGTCCGAGCTGAGCAGGAGAAGATCATTGATGCTATCAAGTCAATTGTGGATGGCAGCAAGAAATGGGCCCAGATTGAGAGTGAGCTCCCCAAGTTTGAGGGTCAGGAGGTTGAGATTGCTGCGCGATAAAGTAGCAGTATATAAGTTCGGCATACACAGCAAATGTAATATAGATGTCACAGTGACAGCCACCGCCTGTTCAAGTTGTGGATGTCAAGGCAGGGGTTGAGATTTACCAGATCAAATCCACGGGTTTAAAAGACAACATAAAATAGTATGGTAGGGTAAATGAAAAATATGACTCTTGTCAGAAATGTCGCCTCTCCATGTGGGCATATTCACAACATGTTTCCTCACCGAGGTTTATGTTGATTTGTCTCATGTTTTGCGTTGCTGTATGCTAGGTATCTATTGATATTGGGACCCAGAGCTCGCCTGAATTTCCGATAGAGAGCTAGAGCTTGGACTTCATAGACGCAAGTGGAGGCCCATTCAGCTGTGTGTAATACAAATAGAATGGGTTAGAAATTCTAGTCTAGCCCGTTGTTAGAGTGCCAAGGATAGGTTGAATGCTTGGGGGATGATGTTTTAGGTGAACGCAAAGGCTATGGAGGAATCAGACGTGAGGGTCTGTGCTATGTATGATGAGTGTGAGTCAAGGCAGATATTGATATCTCCCTTTACTTCGTACATGCGAGCAAGACAGAATATGATCCTAGACATAAGATTAAAACTGTTGAGATTGCATTGTAAAGATGGGGTTTGTTGCTGAGAAGAGACGTTGATTATTTGCGAAGTTGACGGTTGGACAGGGTTCTGACATGACAAGGAGACTTCACCACCAGAGACCTACTATGATATCCGTACGAAGCGCCACAACTGGGGCATTCTCTTAAGTCAATTGACAGTATTTTAACTACCCTTGGTCATCTCATTTACATGGGTCGATTATGACGAACCTTAGTCAAACGCCCAGATGAGTTTGATTAACGAGGAGGCTCGTCTGGTATGGGGCTCTTCAGTAGCGGCGGCTATTTGCGCCATGGGTTAGCGGAAACCTTGTACGGAGCAGGATATCTTCGCTTGACAGCCATAAAGATCGTCATAATTAAAGCTTGCAACCGAGGAAGTTGACATGCAGAGGTTTTAGAATCCAATAACGACATGATATATACCACAAAGTTTTGAGTGACGAGTTCTTTGTTACGAATCGACAGTGAGTACTAATGAGAGAAAGCAGTATTGTGTTCATATTGCTAAGACACGGCCAACTTTTAGGCTTTGACAGACTGACACAGATAACATGAGAGATCGAGACGCTGCTAATGGTCGCTGCATGAGGAATGGAGTTGCGTGGCAAAGGATGCTTGAAGCGCAATAGGTCATCTTGGGACCAGTTCATCGTTTAAGGGTGGACAGCTAATGGATCGTAGGAACGTAAAACTGTTGATCTGCTTCGATACAGACAAAGCATTATCATGAGTTGAAACTGGCAGATTTAACTCGGAAACAACATGATGGAAACGGATCCTGTAGAAGAGTACGGATATCACTCCTCTCTAATAGATAAATCCCAGTACTCCGTAGAGAGGGTCTAAGTTAGTGACCGTAACATCCATGGTTACAGGAGCGAGATTTGACCTCGGCCACTGACGGCCCGGGCCATAGAGTGGCATTTCCTCCAGGTCTCCATGGTTGGCTCTCAGGATCAGCGCAAACAAGGTGGGGCACTACTATTAGGTAGTACCTAGTATTTTTCTGCAAAGGTATTTGCAGTTGAGGCTAAGATGAGCTGAACCCCTCCCTCTCTTGACGCTATTGCTGTTGCATCTTCATTGGTTGATGAATAGAATAGCAGAGGAGAGGAAGGGATAACATACCTACCTAGGTACACATATGGAACAGAGTACAGAGTACATGGCTGCAATATACGAGGTTGGAGGATTTGTTTTTACTACTGCGGCTCTCTGAATGGATCTTATGCATGTTTAAATGTCCCCCAGGCTGGTCATTAATACCGCCAATGCAAGCAATCGGACCTGGACCCCCCCCTCATCTTCACCAGTGCCATGATCCATATGCATTGTAAATCCAGGGGTCGACGGAAATCAACCCCGACTCCACAAGCGTGTTAGGTGCCTTACCTGAGAATAGGTAGCATTGGAGCCCAGCTGCCCAGCCAGACTGACTGACTGACTGACTGGCATTGAGCATTACTACCGCTGGCTACGCTCCATACTTGTCTGTGAATAAGAGCCCAAGTCTTGTGAGGTCCCTGATAAGTTACAGCAAGTGACTGGTGCGGGCAAACGCCACTGGAACACTGGAACTGCCCCGGCCCTCTTCGTCTGACACTTTTACGGCACGAGAATACCTCCAAGTGCTGGGGGAAACTAGGAAACTAGGGGTCATCTATGCTCCTTCCCCACCTTTCTTCGTTTCCTCTCGACCTCCTAGCCTCCTTCTTCTGTTTCTGTCTGTTCCTGTTCCTGCTCCTGCTCCTGCTCCTCCTTCATGTTCTGTTCCCTGGTCCGAACTTGGAAGGCTACCCGCTCATCCAAACCCACACCCTAGGCAGGCTTGACCTGGCCTTGCATTCTTATCCATAGGTACCTTATCCCGTATCCCATATCTATATCGCCTTCTGCTTTCTGCCTTCTGCCATCTGCCTGTTCTACTTGTTCTTCTTCCCTTTAACCTCTTCAACGGCAACTGCTCTCGGTTCTGTGGCTTCTGGTTACGTACTCGTTACCAGTTGTAAGTAAAGTTGCCCGCACGTTTAATAGCCTCTCGTTCCCACCGAGAAGCTTTCTTTGTGCTGTAGCGACGTGCGCCATCCGTCATCCTGGCAAAGTGCCACTGGAGCCAACGCCGCGCACCTCCACTTCCGAATCTACCTACGGAGTACCCCCAGTACTTTGTCGCCGTCGCTGAGGACCTACCTACTATTTACCTACCTCGCCAACCCCGATTTCTGTTCCTGACCGCTGCTCCGACACCCTTTTCGAATACATGACCTCTTCTTTTAGTCACTGAGAAGGCCTTTTCTTGCGCCCAAGATCAATTTCTCTTTGATCTTTGTTTGAGTGCGCTTAAATATTGTCGACAGCAGACCGCCCAGAGCCCCTGTGAGCGCTCCTGAGTTGGTCATTTCTCAGAACAGCCCACCGCTCGCCATCAGATCTCGGAGCCAGCAAGCGTACGACCCGCCATATAAACTGCTTCCATGTCATTTCAGACTGGCTTATCTTTTCTAGTCACCGTCAAAATATTACTTGCTGCGTTCTGCAGCAAAAGTAATTCAAGATGGCTCAAAACAGGTATGTTCCTTATACCTGCTAGATGAGGCTGCATTTCAGCTCAACGGGGCGGGGTGAAGGCCGCGGGCGATCTTTGCATGTGTTTGTTGACGTTGGAACTCAATCCATCGGTCAAACTTGAGCATTTTCGGGTCGTGGTGCCTTTACCTCGATGGTGCTGGTATCTACTTCTTCAGGGGCTATCAACTTAGTCCCTGAAGAGGGGTTACTACACTGTCAGCAACCCACCACAAGGCATATATCAACCGCGACGAGATCGATAACTAACAGCATGCAGTATGTACTCCTCCGGGCAGTTCATGAATCCGGGCCCTGCGCCTCGGCCTCCCAACGATCGACCGCGTTTGAACCTAACGCCCAATGCCAACCTTCCAGGAAGCATGGCCAATATGGCTATTTCGCCCATTCGAAGTACCGCGACCTCGACGTACACCGGCTCGACTATTTCGCTCCCGATCGCCCGTCAACAGTCCAATAACACCGATGGTCTAGGCGGGGTCGCTGTTAAGAAGGAGGGCTGGGCATCAGTCAAGGAGAGCAAGAATTTTATCCAACCCTGGAAGCAAAAGTACCTAATCCTCCGCAAAGAATCGCTCGATTTTCACAAGACCGAAGGTGGTAAGGTTTCATACACGCTGTACCTGAGGGATGTAGTCAACGTCGGACGAGTCGAAGCCGCCGGCACTATCTTCGAAATCAAGCGCAAACCCGATGGTTCGTCTAACAGCCCAGGAGACGATGACGGTCAAACCAAAACCCTCCAGATCAAGGTAAAGAGTGACGATGATTTGTACGAGTGGATTGATTTTATCTATGGTGCTTGCCCAGGCATGGGTGGAGTTAGCAACCCTACTAACTTCTCTCACGCCGTGCACGTTGGTTTTGATCCCAAGACTGGAGAATTTGTTGGTTTGCCTCCTGAGTGGTCGAAGCTCCTTAACTCGTCAGCCATCACCAAAGAAGATTACGAGCGCAACCCCCAGGCTGTTTTTGAGGTTTTGGACTTTTACACCGATCTCGCTAAGAGGGCCGAGAACCCCAACCAGTATCCCAGCCTGACTCCTACTCCTCCTGTTCAGAGCCAAGGCAACAAGCAGCTTGGGTATAACACTGGCGCCTCTGTGGCACCTCCTCGACCCGCGCCGCCAGCTCCTTCGCAACGCCCAGGTTACAATCCTTCTCCCGTTCAACCTAACCCCAATGCTCCTCGCCGACCTGCCCGACCCGATGAGCGTCCTGTTCAACAGGACCAGCCGCAACAATACCAGCAGCGCCAGCAGATGCAGCAAATGTCCCCCAATTACGTTTCTCAGGACACTCTAAGAGAGGAGCAACGTAAGAAGCAGCTGGACGCCCAGAGACAACGGGAGCGCGAGATCGAGGAACAGAACCGGCGTGATCTGGAGGCTTACAATGCTTCTCTTCCTAAAACTAAGGTTCCTCTTGCTCAGCAGGAGATCGGTGGCGGTTACAGCTCATCACCCTCTCAAGCCGATCGCTTTAACCCCTCACGAGCAGCTCCTCCTGCACCAAAAGCGGCGCAGCAGCAAGGCGCTCTCCGAGCACAGAGAGCTGCTCCTTCACCCCCAACACCGTCCTCCCAGCGGCCAGCCCTGACTTCTCAGTCCAGCTCTGGTGCTTTGAGAGACCCCACCCAGGCGCAGCGAACTCCTCGCAACGATAACGCCGCTCCTGGTTCAGCAAGCGCACCCCGTTATGCTAACGGGAGCCAGTCATCGCAGACTCGACAGCCCCAACAACAGACCCAGGCCTCCCGCTTGCCAGCTCCTGTTAAGCCTCTCAATGTCGCTCCCAAACCTAGCCAACCTCAGCAGCAGGCTGATGGTGTCAAGGCCGCAGAGGCCGCGTTGACTGCCAAGCCATCGCCCTCAGAGCGCAAGCAGGACGTTAGGATGTCCACTATGTCTGAGAGCGAGGTCATGGCCAAGCTCAAGGAGGCTGTCTCCAAGGACGACCCCAACATTTCGTATTCTAAGCAAAAGAAGATTGGACAGGGTGCCTCTGGATCAGTCTACGTTGCGAAAATCAAAGAGACAGCCGTGGGTATTGCCCGCGACGTCCTACGTGCCCAGGGCCCACGGGCCCAGGTTGCCATCAAACAAATGGATCTCGCACATCAACCTAGAAAGGAGCTTATTGTGAACGAAATCATGGTTATGAAGGACAGCCGGCACCGCAACATTGTCAACTTCCTAGATGCTTTCCTGCGTAACAACAACGCAGAGCTCTGGGTCGTTATGGAGTTTATGGAGGGTGGTGCTCTCACTGATGTGATTGACAACAACCCCTCAATTTCTGAGGAGCAGATTTCAACTATTTGCCACGAGGTATGTCTTTTCGTTTACCTCTGTCACATGGCCACAACTAACAGCTATAGACTTGCCGCGGACTGCAACACTTGCATGCGCAAAATATTATTCACCGTGATATCAAGAGTGACAATGTTCTACTGGACGCTCGCGGAAATGTCAAAATTAGTAAGTTGATGGGCAACAGTAACAGAGTCTATAGTTCTAACATGTCTACAGCCGATTTTGGATTTTGCGCCAAACTCACAGAGACAAAGTCAAAGCGAGCCACCATGGTGGGAACCCCCTATTGGATGGCCCCCGAGGTTGTCAAGCAGAAGGAATACGGCCCTAAAGTCGATATTTGGTCTTTGGGTATTATGGCTATCGAAATGATAGAATCCGAGCCTCCATACCTCAACGAAGAGCCTCTCAAGGCTCTGTACCTCATCGCGACCAACGGAACTCCTCGGCTCAAGAAGCCCGAGAAACTCAGCAAGGAACTCAAGGCATTCTTGTCGGTCTGTCTGTGTGTAGATGTCAAGAGCCGCGCCTCAGCCGACGAGCTCCTGGCCCACGACTTTCTGCGCCACGGTTGCCCGCTGGCCAGCCTGGCGGACCTCCTGACTTTCAAGAAGCACGCCAAATAAAGGGCCAGCACGAGGATACTTCAGGAGCAGGCGCTCATACTGCAGCTCGGCATTTTGAATGAGGTTGAAGCATGGTGACACATATATTCCCCCAGATGATGTTTTTTCTCTCTTGGCGTTTTCGGGCGAAAGTTCTTTGGCATCTCGCACTTGGCAAATATGTTGCGCGGTGTAGACATTTCTACACCTGTTTGGCGGCAGCTAGTCATGTTGTCCAAGAAGTCTCACTACACGGTATCGATGATGATGACATGCGATGAAAGCTCAGACAAATACCATACCCAATGTACTAGGAGTCGGATGATATGAGAGACTCATTGAAACCTTTAGGCTGGATTGTGTGTCTGTCTTGGGCACGAACAGTGACATTTTGAGCGCAATTGGGAACTATCAGACGCAAGAGTCACACTGAAAGAGCGTGTCCAAGACGATGATCTATATAGAGAAAATGAAAATCGGGATGTTTCGACCACGCCCTGAATATCTATTATACTCACATGGTATATGTTTCTGGGGAACTTTGACATTTACTCTGTACGTATAATGACTTCTAACCTCCGGAATTGGCTTTGGCGTTTATCTTTGAGTTTGCACTCTGCAGATCTTTGAACAAAGACACAACCGTGGGCCTCTCAACCAAAGGCCGGGGACTGCGGGCCGTTATCTGAAACAGGGCTCAGAGTCCGTAACGGTACTTGTGCCTACTGAACTGGGGGTTCTATGGTAACATCTCTGATAAAAGTAATGGTAAGGGGGAGGAAATGGTCAGAGTTGTGTTTCGAGACGCTCAGGCAGTCTCTCAGCTACCTTGCTAAGCTTAAGAAGGAAATGAGTAGGTCATATGAGATGCACCGAGTATCACGACCATAGGTGGGCTTTTTTTTGTCTGTAATAAAGAGCTCCAAAACACTTGCTTTGAGAATACTTGAAAGGCCAACGCTATCCGACATACTGTGTGTCGAAGTTAAGAACAGTACCGAGTCGAAGCCTCGGTTCTTCCCCTGTATTCTTTCTCGATGCCGATACATATGTACGGGTAGGGGATGAAAAGACAGGGGCAGTAGGGCTTGTTTCATCGGCAAGCTAATAGATCCTCTGACAAAGCGATATCGAGACGTGATTGGTTCTGCTACTGGTAAGGGGTCAGTAAGAGATGGAGAGGTGTCATGAATGCAGCCAATGAAAGTTATGCTTCTAAGGGAGCATGAAAAAGAAAGAGAGTTGAGCTGTGAGGTTATCAAGAAGGGAAGATGAGAAGACGAGAAGGAGAGTGTAAGATCGGTGAACTAGGTAGCGAATTATATTGGCGATGTGATTGAAGTTTGATTCATTGCCAGATTTTTCGTTTTGACTGGATCATGTCAGATCTTGGTGCTGCTGCTTCGTTATGTCGGTGTCTGTTGGGCTCTTTTTCGGTTTGCTCTGGGCAATGGCGACAAGTAGATACTGGTACATGTAGTAATTAAGGGATGCATTGATACTCCGTACATGATGCCATTCATATGCTATACTGTCCAGGATAGGTAGTGACGAGACTAAGAGATACATATGTGGCTTGGCAGCCCCTTTCATCCCCCTTCGAAGTCAAGATACAGCAAGTGATGTCTGGTTCAGCGGTTCCGAGGGCACAAACTCAATTGCGGACTTTTGTTTGGCAGACCGATGCACGATGCCGCAAGTCCTCGGGTGCACGCCGATTCATGGATACAGCCCTTACTCAACTATCCGTATGGAGTATCCGAACTGATTATAGAGGAATGTGTGGAGAAACGAGGTGGACACACAACCCGAGGAGAACAAAGCAAAGAGGCCAGTAACAATTCCCCAACGTTAGTCAATAGGGGATAAGGACACGAAACCTTGATTACTTCCGGGGACTCTGTTACAGACAAGGAAACGTGGTATCGATTTGAACACATCCAATTAACCATCAATCACGCTGGGAGGACTTGAGATAAATCATTGGAGCCTGTCCATGGGACGACTGAATCTTTCTAAAATAAGCCATTGTGGGGGAACTGGGTTTGAATCTACATGCCTCGTATTCGACGAGGCACTACTGCCCAGAAACAAGAAACATTGTCTGAGTTTCGTCTTTCAACCTTTTCTGCATGGGCAGTCAGTCTATGATATCGCTAAATAGGCATCGAACTTTATTAATTAGCTATCGTTTCTTCGCTTAAACCAGCGATACGGCACATCGCCATTGTGGTCAATAAGGTTAGTACCTAGGCAGGTAGTTTAGGATTTACAATCTCCATCAACGTAGTCTTGCGGGTTTGTATCAATTCGAATAAAAAATCCAACGATGCGTTACGTGACGCATACGAACGCGTATACAGCCCTGGCAGGAATGCGCACAGCCTGGCTACGGACTTCAAGATCACCCGCTCCTATTATGTAGGTACCTACCTAAGTACTAAGGTATGGAAACGTCGAGTTACTGTACCTTTGGTGGACTGTAAAGAGCGAAGCCCCCTAAAAGAAAGACTGTCCAGTGACAGCTGTCCGTTTAACTGACGGCATGCTTCTCCCGCTACTTCGTTCTTTGTCTGTTTAGTAGTTAGCAGGGCAGGGCAAGAGCAAGAGCAACTCGGGCTATCGGTACCTTCCATTGGGTTAGCAGGTCTGCCCAAGCCCAGGTACAGGCTCAAGCCCAGGTACAAGTACAGGCAGGTACAGGTACAGGTATAGGCTAGCGGGCAGTGGAGGCTGACGGGCTAAGAGCCAGGGCACCTTCCCTGCCTGTCCGCGCCCGTCTTCGAAAGCTACCATGGCCCTTCTTTCCCGTTCTCCTCCTCGCACATCACACTTAACACATCGCACATCCCTACTTCTACCTTCTACTCCTCCTTCCCACCCCCCGTTTGTGCCCCATTCCCCATAATCGCGCGCCTCGTCCGTCTTCTTCTCCAGGCCCAGTCAAAAAATCTTCCTTTTTTTTTGTACTTCTTCAATGAGGCCTGTATATTGATCGTATCTTTGTTTGTGCCCTCTTCCCCCGATCCGATATAGTCCCCTTATTACATTCCCTATTCTTTTTTTGCGCCCTCTCTCAAGCCGCAGGCTCGGACGACGCTGGACGACCTTTGGCCAGATCCAAATCCACCTCAATTGCATTGCATCTTCGTTTGAGCAGCAAATTCCTTCGCCCTAGTCGCCGCAGTCCCTCGAAATATTAGAATCTCGACCTGTTCTTGGCTCAGGCAGGCCTTGTCCTATTCCACGAGCAACCTTTGTAATACCGGCGGTTCCTGGATTTCTTCTTGTTCGCATTGCGCTCCTTAGATCCAGCCACCGTTTCTGTCGAATACGCTCGAATCACCCTCGGACGCTTCCACGTCGTCATCTACCTCTTTCATCGATCGAGGTCGCCGAAAAACAGCTACTAGATTGTCTCAACCACTATCCCAACTTAGGGGTTGTCTTTTTTTCGCTGTTAGAAACGGCTTAAACGTGTTGATCCACTAGGTGATCAATCACTCTCCACCGAGAATAATAATCAGCTATCCGGCCCGACACTTGTTTGTGTCACCGTCTCATGAGGTCGGCTAGATAATCGATAATGTCAACTTCTAGATCCGAACACTTGGCTCTTGGCTACGCCTCTCAGTCTGGTAGTCAACCTCGTTCTGGTTCTCCCTCCGCCAGCAACTCTCCCATCGACCCCCTTCCGCCTTCTCGTTCTCCATTCGGCTTGCCTGGTGGTCTCAACCCTTCAAATAAGATGGCGGGCAATTCGCGATCCGGGGCTGGTTCTCCGTCGCACGAACTCCCTGGCTCTAGCCGTCTGTTCTCTAAGAGGTTCGTTCGTCCCCAAGCTGTGTTTTCTTACTCGCCCCCAATAGCGGGATGTCCCTTTCCTGGTTACTGAACCAACCATATGTTTGTTCGACCATGGCGCTGACATAGCATTGTCTCACCTCACAGAGCTCGTGAGATCCAGGCTCAAGAAGGTGTTTCCGGTATGCCACTCTGGGGCGGCCCTCCTACGAGCGGCAATTCCACGCCGCTACGCGAGAATATCCCCGAGTCCCCTACCGATGGTTTCCCAGATTTTGCTCAGCTTCCTACACCGGATTCGATGCCTCAGGCGAGGCGTGCCCGCGCTGGCACAGTGCCCTCTCGATTCTCTCCTGGGGGTGCGGGCAATGGCGTTGTTGGTATCCCCGGCCTAGCTGCCAAGGCGAATAGACCCACGCCTACTCAGAGTCCTTTCAAATCCCCTTCCCCCAATCCGGATGGCCAGGAGAATCACTCCAATAGTTCGACCTTGCTTTCTCGTCTCCGCGCCGGCTCCATGCCTCAGAGGAGCCAGTTTGCCCCCATCCCTGGTACTAGCTCACCTTTCGGTCCCTCAATCTTCAGCAGCTGGAACCCTACAGGTGGGGGACGTGAGAGAGCTTCTACCTTGGCCAGCATTGCCAGCGTTGGCTCGAACGGCCCCAGCTCTCCCGCCCAGTCTCAATTCTCCAAGGAAGGAGGCGGTGAGTCTGATGTTCATATGAGGACTCTGGATTATCTTGGTCTGGCAGAGACACCGCAACCTCCTCGTGCACAGCTCGCTACTCCTTACCTGGCCAATCTCGACTTTACCAAGCAAGCCAGCCGATTCCGATCCTACTCGGTCAACAATAAGGACAAATACGCCGATGACGACGATGATTATGATGCCGAGATGCCCTTGGACCCCCAGTACGTGGCAGCTCTTCAGGATCAGCTGGCCGCTACTAACGCTGCTATCCACAATCACAATCTGGCCGTCCAAGCTTTTGCCAACCAGGCATCAGCCAACCGTCCTCGTGCTCGAACCGCTGGTGTCTTGGATACCCCTGGAAGTCGTCTGATGAGAACCTACATGTCGGGCAACTCCAATCTGTCGAACAATGTCGCCGCTGCTGAAATTCGACTGCAAGACGACAAGGATTACGAAGATCTTCCTCAGGCTGTTGCTGGTATCAACCTTGGCAGATCCAACAGCCGCAATGCTGGCCTTCTCAGCGCTGACGAGCAGGGCCTTGAGGGACCTACGAGCGCACTCTGGTTGGGCAGCATTCCCACCTCAACCACTACCTCGACTCTGATTGAGATGTTCAAATCCCATGGCCCCATCCTGTCGGCTCGAGTGCTTACTCACAAGAACTGTGGCTTTGTCAACTTTGAGCGGGTCGAAAGCGCCATCTCTGCCAAGGCCAGCATGAACAGCAAGGAGATTTTCCCAGGGGCCGGTCCTATTCGTATCAACTTTGCCAAGCCGCCCTCTGCTTCCAACACTCCTGGTCATGACGGCGTTTTCCCATCTCCTAGCCCCGATCCATTTGCCAAGGGTCAAGATAGCGCTCAAGGAACCAATGTCACCACACCGGCTGGCGAGACTGCTCCCAGCACTACGTCCACAAATGCGGCCCCCAAGGCTCCTACTCTGCGTGAAATGACAACAGATATTCTCGAAATTGTCAAGCAATTTGGTGCTCCCGAGGAGGACAGGTTCAGGATCTCTCGCAACCTCCAGTCGGCCATTCAGTTCAACTCATTTGTTGAGGAAATTCCTCCCATTCGCGAGCCTGCCCACACTCGTGTCCACGATGCACCAAAGCTTCGGGACATCCGCAAGCGAATTGACAATCAGAGCTTGTCTCAGGCTGAGATCGAGAATATTGCTGTTGACATGCTTCCGGAGATTGCCGAGCTTTCGTCCGACTATCTCGGTAACACTGTGGTGCAAAAGCTGTTTGAGCACTGCTCTGACCACCTTCGCGATGCCATGCTGTCTGAAATTGCGCCTCATATGGCCGAGATTGGTGTGCACAAGAACGGCACTTGGGCGGCCCAGAAGATTATTGACGTCTGCAAGACCCCTGCTCAGATGTCTCTGATCGTTGAACACATCCGCCCTTACACCATTCCTCTTTTCCTGGACCAGTACGGCAACTATGTTCTCCAGGGCTGCCTCAAGTTCGGCGCTCCCTACAATGACTTCATCTTTGAGACCATGCTTGCCCGCATGTGGGATGTCTCACAGGGCCGCTACGGTGCTCGAGCCATGAGAGCATGCCTTGAAAGCCACCATTCCACCAAGGACCAGCAGCGAATGCTTGCTGCTGCAATCGCTCTCAACAGTGTGCAGCTGGCAACCAATGCCAATGGTGCCCTGCTTCTGACCTGGTTCCTCGATACCTGTACCTTCCCTCAGCGTCGCACAGTACTATCGCCCCAGCTCGTACCTTACCTGGTTCATCTCTGCACCCACAAAGTTGCTTATCTCACTGTGCTTAAGGTCATCAACCAGAAGGCGGAGGCAGATGCCCGTGACGCTATCCTCCAAGCGTTGTTTTTCACTCCTAACGACCAGGTTTTGGAGGCCATTCTCAAGGATCACCAGTGCGGTGCCACTCTTATCTTTAAGGTGCTTACCACACCCTTCTTTGATGAGTCTATCCGCAACCAGGTTGTCGAAAACGTTAAGAACGTCCTTATCCGAATTAAGGCTCAGCCTAATCAGGGCTACAAGCGCCTGATGGATGAGGTTGGCCTGTCGACTCGCAACGCTGGGAACAACCGTGACGCTAGCACTCATGCCGAGCAACGCCAACGTCCATCATCGAGACAGGCAAACTCCAGCGGTCACCCCAACTCTGCACACTCCAACAAGCCTTTCTATAACCCTATGAACCAGCCAGCTAACCCTCCCGGATTTGATATGCCCTACGGCGGTCAAAGGAACGAAACTGCAGATGGTGGCGTTTCTGCATTCCCTCAGTTCAACCAGGGTATGATGTACAACGCACCTGGCGGTCCAATGCCCGCCAATATGCAGCAGATGCAGTACCAGCAGCAAATGATGAGCCGCGGGCCGCCGCCCATGAACTACAACTATCCCCCCATGCAGGGCAGCTATGGTGGTTTCAATGGCCCTAACCCTTCGGTTGACCAATACCGCCAGCAGAATATGCCCAACGGAAGCCCTATTCAGCCATCTGTTTCGCAGATGCCTCAGATGCCTGCTGGCCAAACCCCATTCGCACCTCCGGGCTTCGGCATGGGAATGGGCAACTACGGCTACGGAAACATGGGAGGCATGCCCAACATGGGATACATGCAGCAGGAGCAGGGTAACCCTAGACGAGGCCGCGTAAGACAACCTCAGTCTCGCAATGGGCAACAAAGAAGAGGGGGCTAATCAACTTATTCTCAGAGATGATCAAGACGACTGTAGTTTCGCGCCGATTCAGGAGGCTCGTGCCTTTGTGAGACGGACCTTTCCAGGAATTCCCCTTTTCGGGTCAGTTTGAGCATGCGATGCCAACGCAGGTTGATGTATTGTTTGAGAATTCTTGCTTCGGATACCGACGTCACAAATGCAGCTACACATATCTCGGTGGACGAAAAACGGGATAGACTTTTCACGTGCGACTTTGGATGCCTCTTCGGCTTGTTTCAACATCTACCCGCCTTCCTTCTACTTCTTGCGGGGCTTACCTCAGGCAGGCCTTGAAAGTTTTGGCACCGTCAAAAAAGATTGAGGAGCAGGACTACTTCTACGATTGAACGAACCCGGAAAACATTTAACAAAGAAAAGAAAATACTTGACGATTCTTGTTCAAAGCGAAATTTGGCTCTTGGTCTGTTTATCTTTCTATAGAGTTCTTGGTAGCGCTGCTTGTGACGAGTCTTTTTATATGTCTGTGTCACCCCGACGTCAACCAAGATCAGCGAGATGATACTAGGTTTGGGTGAGAATTTATGGGTGATGCCAGGGATTTTCACAGCCTCCGTGTGTAGACTGGGCTATATCTACAGGCCATGACTCACGAAGGATTGTTGTATATTAAACCAAAAGATTTGCAGAGGCTCGCTGGCGTATCTACGTCTTGTAGCCTTTTACGACTTAGCAATTGATGTTTTTTATGGAATTTACTTGACCTACCCCATGCATGTGCAGCCTTTATAGATGTTTGTTGGGACCGGCTAAGAATTTTATGAGTCCTGGCGCTTTGAACTCAACGCATGAGCTGCTCCATTAGTTAGTTAGGCTAAGGGTGCGATTCAGTCACATCAAGGCGACATCTGGTTATCCAGAACTTCAATTGATTAGGGATCATGTGTCTTATCTTCTGTTCTCTTTCGCTACCAAGTACTTGTGTCGCTTCCAACTCTGTACCCCTTCTGGGTAGCTGAATCGACCAACGCCCCCTCCTGTGGTGTCTCCCGCCTACTTTTAACTATGGTACAATGAAGAGCAATTAGTGCAGCGCGTCCGGGTTGCTTGGCACCCTACTGCCCGCTCACTTCCCGCTACTGAGGATTCGCCCATATGGCGAAACACGGGTCATTTCGTGCCTAATATAGATATTTGAAATTGAAGAGAAGACCGTGGGAAGGGCAAGAGCGCAAATCAGATGATGATGACGATGGGGTGTTTGGTGAGATGGTTGGGACGGTGGCGCTTGGGGGATTGTGGACATCTTGAGTAACCTTGAGGCTACAGTGCCCTGAATAAAAGATAGCAATGACAAGGAAGAATCGATCAAGGCAAAAAGCATCAAGGTCATCTCTATAACCATGGTTCATGATTCAAGTAGCAGAAACCTCCATACTCCGGCGATCCGTAGTCAAAAAGGTTGCGAGAAAAGAAGAGAGATAAGTAGTAATTGTGTAGGGTCAATTGCCCGCAAGCAAGGCTTTGGAAATTCGTACAATGGTCTAATTCCTCAAAGAAGAAAGCGGAATGGGGGGTAATGGTATAGTTAAACGAAGTACCAATCTGGATGCGATTACTGGAAATCATGATTACTCTTTGGAATTGATTAGAGTAGGAGCGCCGAAAGCAGACTTTTTCAGTCGAGGTCCATGGAACCCTCGGCGTGATCAATGGTGGAGGGAGGCGTAGGCTCTGTGACAGGAGGCGCCGTAACCTTGTCGAGCGGTTCGGCAATGGCCGAGTCTTGGGGGGAAAGGATGCTGGGTATGGCATCCTGGTCAAGCATGGTAGCGATAGCGGTAGCACTGGTAGGCTCACCAAGAAGGTGTCTTATACGTGCGCCCATGGCATCCATCTGAGTAAGAAGAGCGCGCAGACTGTGTTTATCGTTATCTGTCAAATGACCAGTCGCAACGTTGGCGGCGTCTGTCTTTGCCATGAGCGATAAAACGCTGGGATCAGCGGCATTCTGAGGATTGATCGTCAGTAACGCGTGCAGAGATGGGGTGAGGGAATTGCCACGACTTACCAGGAGAGCCGAGACCAAGTGGTCAACGCCATCAGACTTGCGCTCCTTGAGGCTGGTCAGAGTCAAAGCCAACTGCATTTCATCTACTGTTCGCTGCAACTCGGAGCCTGCGATAGGACGGCTTGGGTCCTTTGCAGTAGTTGGAACATACGACACCCATCTGGACTCGTCATGACGGGGGCCATAACCAGCTCGTTGGCGGCGTAGCCTGAACAATTGTTAGAACGTGAAAGCCATGCAAGAATTGACTATACTCACTGCTCAATGAAATCAAGCACAATGCCCTTGGCTGGAAGCTTGTAAGCTCGGCCAAACGAATCAGGATCTGGCCAGCCAGATTTGTTTACAGGCTCGGGCTCAGGCTCATCACTCCAGTCTACCTCAATATGCCCGTTGTTCTTGATACTACGAGGAAGAGACGGAACTATAATTGGCGCTCCTTTGATCTTGCGGAAACGGTGAGCAGGTGCCAGTGGACGGACCTCTGCCATTATCTCGTCAGGATGCAGAGGACATCGCCAGTTTTTCAGGACAGGTGGAACGGCGAGAGGAGGATCCAAGCAGTCAATATGCCAGTAGAACGGACAAATGCTGCAAGGAATGATGGCTCGCACATCTGTGGCGGGTTTTTGACACCCATGGCAGATTACTGCCTGTCCCTCATCACGTTGCTTGAAGAAGTCTGGTACCTCTTCATAGCCATTCTTTCTCCTGAAGTATGTGTTAGTATATTTAGATATGCAATTCTTGCGAAAGCTGCTACTCACTTTGTCGACTTGAGAGTAGTAACCTCTTCGTACTCGCCGTCGGCACCAGCCTTGACGCCCTCAAAGCGGGTCTGCAATTTCTTTGGGAGGCTGAAGGCACGAGGAATGCTCTTCTCCAGGTTGGTAAGAGGAACAGCAAAGATACCCTTGAAAGGCGGCATTCGGGATGGGTATTTCTTATACAAGCACTCATTGCAGAACCACTCATCGGGAAGATGGTCTGAGGGTATCATGCCCACGCATTCGAAGTGGAATGACCTGGGACATCCATCGCAACAAACGACATCGCCAGCAGCACCGCAAGCAGAACAATCTTCATCATTATCCGACGCCTAAAAAGGGGGTGAAATTAGTCAACCGTGGCCATGTCATATCATGTCGCGCTGCGCTGCGCTGCGGTGCATTTCACGTTTCAACGCGTCCTGGTTGCTGATTCAAATGCTGGGGGCTGGCTCGGAAAAGCGGATCTTCGGGGGCCACCAGAAATTACCCCGTTGGTGATCTTGGCCCGACGAGACAAGACAGGCCAGGCACAAAATTGGCCACCATCTGGTGAATTTCACAGCAAAGTCCGTGATGCTTCAATCCAAATCCGAGGTGCGTTTGCATGTTCAAAGAGGGCAGATAGACAGTTCACAAAAACACATACCTGGTCTTTGGCCACGCCATTAGTTGAAGGGGTTTCTCCCAGAGGTCGAGGCACTCCAGCAGCAGTTCCTCCTCTCTTCTTCACAGGCCTAGAAATGAAAGCATAATTAGCATCTGATGTCCGAAACAAACAGTGATGGGATAAAAGGACGTGGTGTAGCCATCACCAAATCAAGGCTGTGCCTGGTGACCAAGACGAGAGCCAAGAGATGGAAAGCATGCGTAGGCTCTCACGCGTCCAGTAATCTCTCAAAAGATTACCACCAAGTTGGCATCCAGAAGACAATGGTGATGGTTTTTCTGATGAAGGCAACGCCGCTGAGGATGGGCATGATGATTCGGGTGTGACTTACGATGATTTGACACGAAGGCCAGTTCTCGGCTTCTTTGGGGGGCGTAGCGTGGGTGTCGCAGCCCGTGATCCGCCGACTGAGCTGTCCTCACGCTGGAAAGACCACGCAACAGGAGACACGGCAGAGTCGACCTCATCGTGAGGTCTCTTGCTTGCCGACCGCGTAGACCTCGTCGTCGTCGCAGAGGCGGCAATGGATTGACGCGTCTTCCTCGTTGACTTTGCAGGAGTTGTGAAGGGGTCCTCGTGCTCGTCTCCTCCTCGAACAGAACTTTCATGGGCGGCGACACTGTTGGCAAACTTTTGCGCATCGCGTCTTCGATCCCAGAAGGAGTCGTCGGTATCAGGCACAGTGGCAGCGTCATCGGCTGGGACAGACGATGCCTTGTTCTTTGCTGTCTTTGACTTTGTAGGCAGGTTGGGAAAGATTTGGGCAGCAGAAACCCTTCCTGGCATAGTGGCGTCGGCACTCACACTGATGGTCGCACTTGCGGGTGCATCAGGGTTAATTTGATTATGGCTACGGCTGTTGGTGATAATGTTGAGGTCTGAGGTGATGGAATTGGTGTGATCTGGAGATGATGGTTGCTGCTTAGTGGACGTAGACGTAGACGTAGACTTGGTCTTAGGCTTGGTCTTGGTCTTAATCTTGGTAGTAGCAGACTTATTGGCCTTGGTACCAGCACCACTGGCACTGGCCTTGGAGGCAACTGATTTGCGGCGGCCATTGATTGGCCGAGGTTTTGGCGTCTCACTGGAGTCGGGTCCAGGTGGTCCAGGTGGCCCAGCGCGACCGGTGCCCCCTCGACGGACTGGGCTGGGGCTGCCCATGATGGCCTCAGGCGACGACAGGCTGAGGGCTGATGAGAGGGAAGAGTCGCTGGATGCAGAATCTCGCCTGTTTCTCTTGCGAGAAGGCGTTTGTGGTGGATTATCCAAGGCCATTTTCCGTGGTGAGTTGCGGGTTGAGTGAGAGTGAGAGTGAGCCTGAGCCTGAACCTGAACCTGAACAAGAGTCTGAGTTGGTGCCAAAGAAGGATGGGAAGAAGAGTGAGTACGAGAATGCGAAGTCTTTGCCCTCTTGGCAGCTCGTTCTGGAGTTTGATGGTTGTTTTCTTCTTCTCTTGCTTCCTCTTGCTCTTCCTCTTCCTCTTCCGCCTCTTCCTCTTCATCAGCAAAGTGCTCGTCTGAATCCTCCTCCGTCTCCAAGTCTGCCACCTCAACAACCTCCTCTACCTGGTTGTGAAGCAGGAGTTTGCCGTACGGTGCTGCCTTGGGCTTGTGGGGAGTGAATCGGCTGTTGGTCGTGGGGGGGATAAAGTAGTAGCAGCCTTGGTTGTCCTTTTTGCCCTCTCGTTTTTTCTTCTCCATCTGTTTGGAAAACTTTCGCATCGTAGCCTCATCCGCTGTTTGGTTGAAAACGTCCTCGAGCATGGCAATGAATCCCGGATCGCCAGATTTCTCGTCGTAGAGAGTCCGCAGCGCCCAGGCAGTCGGATATCGGTAATGTTTAAGAGCCTCTTCCACTGCAGCCTCGACAACCTTATCTGTGAATTCTTTGTCCTCGGGTTCCACAGGCTCAGCTGCGTGAATCGTTGCCTCTGCGGGCACTGTCTCTTCAACCTCCTCCTCCTCCTCCTCGTCCTCCTCCTCCTCGGCGGCCTCTTCAGGTGCTTCAACCTCTTTAGAAACTAATTCCGGTGTCGTCGTGTCTGCCTTGGTCTCCGTCTCTGGTTCTTTGCGCTCATTCACCTCCTTTGCTTCCTTTGTTGTGGGCTTAGTCACGATGGAGCTCCTGCGACCGGCTGAGGAGCGTCGCGCCCGCCTTCCCAGAGATGCACGACCTGATTGACGTCGCTTCGGTCTGCTTGGATCGTAATCTTCGTCGTTCTCGTCGTCGGCAGCTGCTGCGGCGTCTTTGAGAACAATAGATACCCTCCGTGGCGGTGTAGGGGGTAGAGCCATAAGTGGAGGGGAAGAATCTGCCGCTCTCGCCGTAATCTCAATATGCGCCTCCACCTCGGCCTCCGCCTCCGCATCCACGCCCACGCCCACGCCCACATCGACTTCCATCACTGGATCGCTCGAGGCGACCTGCGCCGCATTTCTGGCAGCACTTGCCCCTGACGGCCTCAATATAATCCTCTTGACGCCCGAAGTCGTCTCAGAGCCCGTCTTCTTGGGTTTGGGCAGGCTCCCCAGGGGAGCCATGTTCTCGACGACTCCATATCGCACCAGGCCATCATCCTCGAAGCTCGCCTTGCTCTGCACGGTGGGCTCTAGCCAGCGCTGCATAAATGCCCTTGAACCCTCGGTCGCCCCCTTAGACGCGTCGAGTAGTCCGTTCCATTTAGTATTTTGAGATTGCGCGGGACTTGAATAACGGGATCGTGTTGCGCGGGTATTTGACGAGATCATCGTGCCGGCCTTTGGCTTGCCTGTCCTGGTGGTGGTCTGTCTCCAGCTGTCTGCCTGCGTTGTGTGTGTGCCAGTTACCGCGGGACGGGGCAGCGCACCTCTCTAGGCCTTTACTAAAGGGATACTTGGTTAGCAACGAAGTTCCGTACACAAAAATAGGGGATATTTAATTTTTGTACTTTTCTCTTGGACAACAGCATGAATTACAGCTGTATCCAGTATTATCGCGTCGTTTCCAGGCTCTGAACGCGAGTTGTTGGGTTGAAGAGGGAGTGAGTGAGTGGGTGGGTTGCGTTTTCGTTTCGTTGCAGGTTGAGTTAAGACTCGGCTTTTACTTTGGCTTTGCTTTGCTCTGCTTCTTTGCCTGGCCTCGCCTCGCCTCGACTTTTGACTTGACAGACCCAGTGTCAGTCAGTGAGCGTCAGTGCATGCATCGGAGCTGACGGCGCGGGTCGGACAAGGGACAAGCCTACAAGGGGGGGTCAAGGCAACCTGGGACAGAAAATGAGTCCTTGCCTGGGCTGTCACCTGAAAAGTGAATCAAATATGGTCCAGTGGCCCAGGATGGATGATTGTGGTAATTGGCTGCTTTTCTCTCACTGTATTATTACTGTTCGGTAATTTCTAGGCGGCAGTTCATTAGGTACTGTCAATTAACTATATGGATCCTCCATCCCCTCACTGTCCTTCAGTGCTTTCAACTGTCAATAGCAGCAAAGATCACCTAAGCGTTCTCCCTGAAGGAGGCCCGGTCTAGCAAATCTCATTTACAGGCTTGGGTCGGGTGCTTTCATTCATCTTTCACCCCAATTTCCGTTCCCTTTCATCTGTTGTTATTCACTCCAAGAAAAAAAGAAAGAAAAAAACATATCTTCATTCTCTCTTATTATTGTCTCGTCATGGTTCACCTCATTCGTCTCCCCACTCCCCGTGGTCGTAATTTTACCTAAGCTTTTGTACTAACAACAGATCTCTCCTGTAAGCTCTTTGCCGAGCAACCACTCCCTAACCCACACACTCACTCCGTTAGCTCAAGCTCATCATGCTACTACTGTATATGATGTCCATGTCCAGTACGGATAGTAACTAGATTGCAACCGTGGCTCATAGGCTCTCCTCCGTCTTTTCCCGTTTTGACCTCAAGTTACTTAGGTTTGCCGAGTGTCGATAAAGACGTCGACTATCATATGCTTGCAGTTGACTTCAAGTGCGTCGTATAAAAAGGGGCTGGCTTGGCTTGGCCTGGTCACCTCCATATCTGCTGCACCTGGGTTGCTCCAGTCGTGAAGCCACCAACGTGACGTGTAGATGATAAGGATGGCCAAGGCGATTGTCAGCTCTGCGCAGTCAATACTGTGTGCTTGGATAATTAACCCAACAGTCCATATCTTGCGTCAACTTGCTGGCTCACTCTACTCACTGTAACTCACTTGACCTACCTACCAAGGCAGCCACATCACCAACGGCTTGACAATTGTCTGACTCTCTTCTCTTCTCTTCTCTTCTCTCCACACTTCGCTGCCTTTCTTCGTCACAAATCATGTGCAATCAAGGGGGGGGTCTGCGCCATGGGCGGGCATGACAGCAGGGTGATTCACGCCGAGTCAATACTTTAGAAACCGACCCCCTGGGCGAGCCTAGCACCATCGTTGGGTCTCTTCAAAAGACTTCGTTCAGTCACGTCCGCTCTCTGCAACAATCGCTGTCAGCTCCTCAAGCCTTATTCCCCAGGCAGTGCATCATCCCACGCAGATTGAGTCGAGCATTGCAAGCATGAATCACAAGGACATCCATGATTGATCAGTATCAGGCTATGTTGGACTTCTATATATCTTGCTGGCCGCGCCATGCCGTCTTATCAACACGGTAGATATGGCTTTTAGGGTTCAGTTCATCCCTCGGCTTTTCAACCGTTTCCAATGGAGTATTTCTCCTTCATATGGTCCATCCAATAGTTGTCAGGTTGGCGGCTCAGATGTCGATATACATCCTGTTTGACATGCTTTTTGTGTGTCCATCCTCGGGTCCTTCTTTGTTGAACAACTCTTCAACGCGTCCTCTCTTATTGTTACTTTTAATTTACTCTTCCTCGCCCTCCTTCTTGGCGGCCTTCTTCTTGGGCTTGGACTTCTTCTTGCCAGTGTTTCGGGCCAGAGGCTGCTCCAGAATCTGGAGAATCTCCTCATCCTCAATCTTCTTGTCGGTCTCGTACCTCTCGAGATCCAGGGCAGGGGGGGCACCCAGCTTGGTAATACCGTTCTTGGTAATGGCTGTGCAATGTGTTAGTATCAGATATTGCGACAAATCCTCTTATCGGGTGCGATGCTACTTACCAAGGGTTGTAAGGTATCGGGCAACTGGGGAGTTGTCCTTGTCACCGACGAGCTCGTACTGGCGGAAGACGTTGCCTCGGACACACTCGACGACACCAGACTTGGCATCACGCTCGTCCTCAAGCTGTCGCAAGCTGAAGGGGAAGGTACCGAACTTCTTCTGGACCTCGTTGAGGATCTTACGCGAGGTAGGTCGCTTGAGGCCGTAGGTCTGGTTGGTGCGGCGATGGAGAGTGGCACGCTGGTCAATACTCTTCACCTTACCAGAGCCCAGGCTGACACCGACCTCGACACCCCAAACCTCGCCAACCTCGGGGACACCCTCGCCCTTGGTGCCTTCGGCAGGAGAAAGGATAATCTTCTTGCTGCCCTCGATCTCGTTGTGGTCGAACAACCAGGATGTGGTGCTCTCGACGATGTTGACGTCGTAGGTCTTGGCAACCTTCTCCAGAAGACTGGTGATCTTGGCCTGGGTGGGAGCCTTCTGGGAGGCAGCCTTGGCCTTCTCCTCGTCGGTGCCTTGGGTCAAGAGACCAGGGGGGACCATCAGTCGCAGGAGAAGCTCGTTGACGTAGTAGTTGGCAAGAACCAAATCGGCAGTGCGGCCAGTGACCTTCTCGCCGGCCTTGTCCTCGGAAGTAGCAATCACGGTGTCACAGACAATGGAGCCGAAACCATCGATCTGGGCACCAAGCTGGATCTTGATAGCCTCGCCATCCTTGATCTCGGTACTGGCCTCAGCCTCGTCGGAGGTGAGAGGAGTGTAGGGAGTGACGTAGGACGAGGGGGAGACGGTGGTGGGGTGGGAGAAACCTTTAGGTGGTGTCAGCTATGCTATGTCATGCGAGTGAGTTTCGTGTGTGACAAACCCTTGTTGATCTTCTTTCCTCGGTAGACCTTGGAGATCTCCTCCTCGAGAAGCTTGTCACCCTGTTGGCAGATATCGACAATTTTGGCGCCAGGAACGACAAGCTTGGAGACCTCAGCAAGGACCTTCTCAGAGATCTGAGCAGCGGTCTTGTACTTGGTGAGGGTGTCTGGGTTAGCCAGAGAGTAGTCTAGGCGCATGTGTCAGTACAGGTAGAGCTCAATGCAATGTGTTTGTTTTGGTGACAGAGAATGGTCATCGTGGGGCGTTGGCGTCTGATGACGAGGGCATTCGCAAGAACTGGTTGTTGTTTATGGTTATGGCGGGGCATTCATTGAACGACGAAGCAACGAGGGGAGGGGTAGCAGCAACGCCTAGCAGTGCAAAGCTGTAGGGGACCTTCTGTAGTGACAGCTCGTGGACGTGTAGATTCATTTCCGATAGTCAATATAACTTACCGACGACTTCCTTGTTCTCCGACGACATGATGGGCAATATTTCGGTTGACTCGTTTGGTATAAAAAGGTGAAGAACTGCAAATACCGGGGGAGTGTGGATGAAAGCTCGAGCAAGTCAGGTCAGTCAGTCGCACAGAAGAGAGGGAGCGCCAGTGGATTTTGCGAGCAAGTGGGGATAGATGGAAACTGGAGGGCTTCAACAGCAGGGTTTAGTTTGCGTGAAGCGTGAAGCGGGAAGAGAGGGGGGGAGGGAGAGAGACAGACACCTTTTCAGTGCGTAGGCGTGTGCTGTATTTATCCGCCAGATATACAGTAATTGTGTTGCTACATCATATGAGACATTAAGAGTTAACCTCGTATTCAATCCCATCTGCTCTCTGCTTTCTATTATCTGTTCTCAGTAGTCTCGTGGCCCAACTGCAAGTTATAAGTGAAATATCCATGTCGTGTGGGCGTCTTTGTGTGCGCAAGCAAGCGCCACATGCTGCATCCGTCTGGAGGTTATGATCAAATGCAGTGGGTTAGTTCATTGATTATTCCAGGAGCTATACCACACTGTACCGTAGTAATTCAGTCTTTCTATCAGTTATCCATTCCCTAACTAACTTTTAGTTTATTCACCTTTACTCACTGTTAGTAAATACTATTCTTCTCAACTCAATATCAATATCCATACATTAGGTTTGGTCGGTGTTGAGGGGTCAGTAATAAGTGCCCTTGCAATCATGACTTCATCCAGCCCTAGGTACCTTTTTGTCTTAGGCTGTCGGTCACTCCCGTCTGTCGGCACCCTCTTTGCGGTTACCCTACACTGTTCACGTGCCCTTCGATCCAGGAACCATCAATCACCTCGGTGCTCGAATGATACAAGTTATTGTTATTATAAGTCTTGCTTTGAATTAGCCTGTAGTTCAACGGTTAATTTAACTGTCAAGTGATCTATTAATCCGCACTGTAATAACTCTGCTCTACGTGTTTCGACAACATAATGACGTTCAAATCTTAAGACAACCCAGTCCAAACCCTCCACTTGTAAACTGCATACTTTAGTTACACCGAAAGTTAATGATAAACACAATATGTAATAAGAGAACATTCAACTGTACCACATGGTTGAGTTTCCAGTGGAGATACCGTTATGTTTGGCTGTAGCTTAGTTGACGTCCAAACACACGGTGAAAACGAACAAAACTCAATACTTACGATAGTTTCAATGTCAACGGATCAGCGTGGATAACATAGATTAGTGCAATACAGGCAGATATTGAATGCTACAACATAACTATGAGTTTGTCAAACATACTTAGATTGTTCACGAGAACAGGTACTACCTAGTAACAGATATAAACCTGGGTGACAAGCCACAAGCATGCTAAAAAGCGTGGCGCAGTCAGGTAGAGGTACGCACCATGTCCAGAGAATAGCATGCCTTCAAGGGTATATCTACTTCCAGCCACAGAACTTTTGACCGATTTAGCTTCCTGTCGCGGCGCGGCAAAACTCTCCCAACCTGCGCCTGCACCTGCACCTACATTTGCAACTGAACTTAACAAATCCTCAAGCATCGCTGCCACGCGCCTTTTCAACCTTAAGCCTTTTACCCCCAACCACGTCACATCCACCCTCTCACCGTATACCGCAATATAATCAGGTACATATTCAACACATGTTGCGTACCGAAGATACATCTCTATAATAATACTTTGCCCATCATCCCCCCGACGCGGCCGTTCCGCTGCGCCGCGACCCGCGACCGCGATCCGCGCCCCGTAACCCTCTCAAGATGGCTGCTCAGCCATCCGCGTCCACGTCTACGGCGCCGGCAACGGACCCGGCCTCAGGCTCCGACCAGGGTGCTTCTGCAAACTCCCCGAACAATATGCCGGTGCGCACAAAGGAGTCATATGATAAGCTTATGGTTGAGCGATTCATCACTCGCGATGCCATCGCCGCCGCCGCGCTTGGTGGTCAACTCGACCAGACCCGTAGAATAGTGAGCGATACGCGCGATAAGATTCAGGAGTATCGCCAGGTTCGCACCGACTTTCGCCAATGGTTCCCCTCATCAAGGCTCTACGGCGAGGGCTACAATGGCTTCGCCAATGGATACACAGAAAACCAAGGACCTTCACGAATTATCTATCCCTCCCAGAAACCTCGACCTGGTCAACGGACGACACCTCCTCTCAAGTACAAGCGCAAGGATATGCTCAAGCAGGCTGAGCAGCACGAGGAGCTGGTACCTTTGCGATTGGAGGTTGAATGGGACAAGATCAAGCTGCGCGATACCTTCACTTGGAACCTGCACGAGAGACTCCTCCAGATCGAACTATTCGCCGCACAACTTGTCGAAGATATGGGTCTGAAGCCCCCTGCATCCCAACCGGTGTATGAACAGGTTGTGCATCAGATGCGCGAACAGCTCAACGACTTTTACCCGTTGGTATACTCCGAAGACGATGCGCTTGATCCCGAACTGCCATACTCAGCCTATAAAAATGACGAGATGCGAATCCTCATCAAGTTGAATATCACAATTGGTCAGCATACCCTTGTTGACCAATTCGAATGGGAAATCAACAACCCCTCCAACTCACCAGAGGAGTTTGCTACCAACATGGCACGAGACCTGTCCCTATCAGGGGAGTTCACAACCGCTATTGCACACTGTATTCGAGAGCAAGTCCAACTCTTCACAAGGAGCTTATATAGCGTTGGACATCCCTTCGATGGGCGTCCAGTTGAGGACCCTGATCTTATCGGCGCATTCCTCCAGACCCCTTTACCTACAGTCTTCCGACCTCAGCAACAGGCCAAGGAGTACGCACCATACCTTTATGAGCTCAGCGAAGCCGACTTGGAAAGGAACGAGACGATATTCTCCCGTGAGCAGCGACGACAGAAGCGATCGATCAACAGACGAGGAGGTCCTCAACTACCAGATCTGAGAGAGAGGCAAAGGACCATTCGAACACTCGTCGTTTCGTCTGTCTTGCCTGGAGCTGCTGCCACGATTGACGAGAGTCGGTTGTACAAGAGGGCTGCTGGCCCCAGAACGAAGCGTGTTGTACGTGACGGAGAAATCTCAGACTCAGATGAGAGCGACGACTCGGGCCCCGAATCACCTGCCCCGTCACAAATTCCAGGCGGCACTGCTCGAACGCGCGGTATGCGCGGAGCTGCGTCGGCAGCCCAGCAGAGAATGGCCAACATTGGCCGATCGGAAACCCCTGAAATCAGTTCCATCTCACATCATCACGAGACAAGGACTTCCCGCCGATTCAGAGAAGAAACAGAAGAGCCTACACAGATGATCGTGACACTCAGGCTTCCGCGCGATAAGCTGAGGCGCTTGATGAACCGTGACTATTCCGACTTGAGAGCACCATCTCAGACACCCGTGGCTTTCCCACGAGCACCCAGCTCATCTGCGGCAAGATCTATGCCTCCACCGCCTTCTACCCCGTCAAACGCCAATCCTCATGCGTCCATGACACCCTCTTCGTCTCTCCCGCCAGGCCAAATAGGCCGACTACCAGCCCCTCCCACGGTCCCCGGGCAACAAGCTTCGATTCCACAAGTAGGTCACCAAGCCTTTAAATAACGCGGATGTCAACATTCGTACTGACACATATTTTTCTTCAGCCCCCGCCCCCTGAATGGCTCGTCGCCGCCCTAAAGGAATTAGAGAAGACGTACAATCGTGGCGACAGGTTCGAGGCCATGATGAAGTACTCTTTCCTTGACCCTGTGACAGAGTTGCCTATTCAAGGTCAACCATTGCCTGAAGGTGTAAAATATGCCTGGCTGCCACGCATCCGCTGCCTTGACTGCACAACTAAGCTCTACACACCTGGCCCAGAAATGACAGTTAAGAAGTTCGAGGCTCATCTCGAGTTCTCGGGCCACAAGAATGCAGTCGCTAGACGTGTAGCAATGGAGGCGGCTAACTCCTAACTCATGTTTTCACTACGCAAGCGTTTCCTAGGCGAATCGCGAATCAAGCAGTTTTCAACGGCGTATCTCGCTGCCATGGGTTCGTTCTCGTGGGCTGTATCTTAATAGACGACAAACCGGCGTTGCTTTTCACCTTTCCTTTTGACAGATTTTCTTTCAAAAGACAAAAGAGTCACAGGGTATCTTTTTATTTGTATTTTGTACATAAAGCCTCAAGTTCAGAGACGGAGAGATTGGAATGATCGGGTTACGGGGTACGGTGGAATGAACGAATGCCTTTTCCTACCTACAGACAGGTTGATCTACCCATTTGGAGTCTTGGTACGAAATAATTAGGCGCTGTGCAGCTGGGCTAGGACAAGGAGTGGAAGGAACATAAATATTTAGAGCGTTTGCCTGTACCTCCAATGCTTTATATGAAACCTTGGTACCGTCTTCTCACCATTGACTTGCTTAATCAAGCGCTATCGCGTGACACTAGTTTCAACTATAATGAATGATTTGGTGCTATTGATAAAATCCCATATGAGAGGGTATACGACAATACAATAACATATACAAGCCAAAGACTCCCTGCCCAGCATCGATAGAAGACATACTCCCCTCCCATTCGCAACGCGTCCTCTAGGAACGCGGCCGCTCTTGGGCCTATATAATAGAGAGAAACGCCGTAAATATCCCCAACAGAACAGGCGTCATTTCAAAAGACAGGTAGGTCCCATGTTTTCGTCCTCATTCTTTCTCCCTTCCCCTTGATTACTCATCGGTATCAACATCCATATCTTCTGCGTCTTTGCCCCGTCGCGATCTGGTTGCTCTTGCTGGTCGCCTTGTCTCGGAGGGAGCGCTGGCCTTGGCAGTTGGCTTGGGAGCAGCTTTGCCCTTTACTGTGGTGATATCTTGCCCGTTGGACTCAGGCTGCTTGGGCTCATCTTCCTTTAATTCGGAAGCCTTTTCGTTGTCTGAATCCTTGTCGCTCTCGGCTGCGTCCCCATCATCCTCCGGCGCATCCGAAAGCTCTGACTCACTGCCCTGTGCCTGCGAGTCGGACTCACTGTCGTCGCCGTATTTCCACTCGGTGACCCCTGCTAACATCTCTTCCTCATCCTCTTCCTCACCTCGCTCAGTGTATACAGACGCCTTGTGAGCTCGACCACTCCGTCGGCGTTCAGAAGGCGGCGGCGAATCCTTAGCTGGCCTGGATTTCTTAGGTCTCGAGGCCTTCTTTGTCTTGGGCGTCTTGAGCTTTGGTTCTCGCTTCTCTCTGATCACTGTTTTGATTTGGGTCCTTGCCCTCTTTGATGGTGGGTCCTGCTTCTCGCCCATTGATTTTCGTTTCTAGCACCATATGTTAGCAGTCGCTTTTGCCGGTGGAGGAAATAGATACAAACCTTTTTGCGATCAAGGGCTTTTAGCAGGTCATCCAGCTTCTCATCTAGTTCTTCTGGCATATATTGCTTTTGTGCAATCTCATGTGCCAAACCGCTTGATGGCAAAGTCTGAACGATTCCAGTGGGCATGCCGACCTTGCCTGGGTAAGCTTGGAAGATCCAGTTCTTCCTCTCTTGCCATTTGCGTGTGACTGCCATAGCAATATCGGCCAGTACATACAACCGCTCGCTAGCATCGGGGTTGAGTGCATCACGCGTTTGCTTGACTCGCTCAGCATATTTGTAGATCAGCGATATGTTGTCCTCCGTTGCGCACGTGTTAAGATAGAAGACGAAGTAATTGGCAAAATCAGCCAGGTCATCGATATCGGAGCTGTAGTCAGGATGGTGAGCGAGTAATGGAATGAAGCGGCTCACCATGGCCTCCAGTACTCGTGTTTTGTTGTCAGCAAACAGTCGTGCTCGGGATTTCAACCACGTCTCTACACGGTTCTTGAGTTCTGCCGAAGGCTCAAAGGCAGCAAGGAAGAGCATTGTGTAGAACCTTGCCCGTATACGTCCCTGTGTTATGTAACTTTGTAGCTTCTCCGTGAAACGACGACGGACTTGGAGTTCTGTGTCTTGGACAAGTTCGGCGAGCTTGTTGAAGCTACTGGGGTCAAATTCATCATCATATTTCTTGACAGTGCAGAGCTTTAAGATGAGAAGCCCAGCAAGGAGCCTGAGACGTTTTTTGTGAGCCAATGGGGTGTCCTTGACTTTACAGAACTCTCCTTCTGAGACGACGAATTCTTTCAAAAGTTTGAAGACAATCTTGACTCGGGACAGAGCATTCTCATCGTCCTGGTTTGCGAGTGCCTGGTTGACCAATGCCCTCATCGAGAGACATTTCGCTTGCAGCTCCTCGTTCATGTCCTCATCCTCAACCCATGAGATATCAGGCTTGTCATCCTCCGTGCGGACTTGACGCAGAATTTGCTTGATCGCTAGATCGTTGATGGTGTCGTCAAAATCTAAAGTAACACTCGGTGCTAGACGCTCCAGCTGGCCCACTGCAGACAATCTTGTCAGGAAATGAGGTGAACCGTACTTCAGGTCCTTCATGACTCTCTGTAGAAGAGTAGTTGCCGTGACTTTGCTCTTATCATCGTTCTTGGCAAGCAGAATGTTGACGGCGTACTTGGCGCTTCTAGCAGGAACACCATACAAGGCGTAGTCCATGAGGACTGTGACGAATTTCCGGTCATGGTTTATGTCGTCTGGGTATCTCTTAGAATAAGATGAATATGCCTTGAGAATATCTACCACATTTGATTCGTTAGGCTGGCTCTCTGACGGAGCTTGACTAATGATCTCTTTGCGGAGGTTTGCTGAGTGAGCCTTGAAAAGATCAGGATTACGCTGTGAAATATCGTTCAAGATATCGTGCGCAACAGCGGAGAATCCTGCTTTATCACTCTTTGAGTAATCCATGATGGTAGCAAGGTGGCTTCGGTTGAACATCAGAGAACTGGAGCGGTACAACAGAGGGATGAGCGTGTCTAGACAACCTATGGCTGTAGGATTGCCCTGGACCCTGGTACACAACTCACTGATCGCTCTTCGAACAATGTAATACTCAGTATTAGACTCAATGGCAAATTTGACAAGCGCGTAGGAACGGCGGTCATTTAATCTGGCAAACTTCTGCAGATCGGTGCGAACCTTTAGCGGATCAGGGAACTGGCCGCCAATCCACTGGTAAGTCTGGGTGAACGCTGCCTTGACCTTTTCTTCATTTGCCTCGATAACACCGCCGTTGTACGCCTCGCATTGCTGGATAAAGCTTGCGACAACCTTGGCAACCACAGGTTGACGAGCCTGCATATGAAAGAAGGCCTTTTTGGCTGGTGCATCCAGTGACTTCAGCATCAAAAGAATTCTCTCGGCGCGGATCTTGTCCTGGTCCGCTTGACTACCGCTACCCTGTCCTCCCTGTGACTGCGAGGCCGCCTTTGCTTTTGCACCCTTAATAGCCGGGTACTTCAAGGGAATCAGGCACTCGAACATAACGCGGTCCAGAAGAATGTTGAGATCTGGGTCGTTGGCATAGAATGCATTGATGATTCGAGAGGGCACCCCGCCTAAGCAGAATGTGACAGCCTCTTGACCGTCAGCAATCTCACCAGCACCGACCGCCCAAAGTTTGCTGAGCAAAACCATGGCATCGACACGCACAGTAGGCTTTCGATCACGACATCGATCTGCCAAGCTGGCGAATATGGAACCAGCCTTTTCTACACCCCCAAGGGCACCAAGTTTCAGGACGATATCACGGAAATCGAATAACTGAATCGCCCGTACAGCAGCCAGCCTGACCTTCTCTTCGCTGTCGTTGAGCTTGTCGCAGAGCGCCTTGATGAGCTCGCTCTCTTCTTCACGGCTAAGGCCAATGCCTCCTGCAGATGTGGAAAGAATGTAACCAGCTGCTGAGACCCAAGCGGTACGAATAATACCCGTCTTATCATTCCTTCTTCCAACGAAGTTTCGATAAGCGGCGTGATGAGTCTGGGCAAAAGACTGAGGCGAATAAGGCTTCGTCAAGACATTCTCGACGGCGGGCGCTGGAACATCATCTAGCAATTTCAACGGAGGATAAGCCGCTGGATCTAGTGTAGGAGGAGGTGGCGGTCCCGCTGCTCCGATGCCTGAGATCATATCGCCAATTGTTTCCGTAGCGATTTGGCGAAGATGAACATTGTCGGCAGAGAGTTCCGCCTCGATTTGTGGTACCACGTTGAGGAGGATGGTGGGTGCTGCTCGCCATAATTCGCGAATCAGTAGATGGGCCTGACGAAGACTCTTCAAATCCGCTTCAGATGGACCCAGGGTAACATCCTCGTCATCGGAGTCGTCTGCTTGCCGGTTCCCATTGGCTTTGGTCGCGAACCCTGAAGCATTGAGGATGACATCGCTAAGATATTGGCTCACGTAGCGAGACATTTTATCAGAACATCCGTTACAGATATTCTTAGCCATAACGTAGGCTGGTGGCTCAGTTTTGATAAGAAGGTCGGACTGGTTTCCATTTTGTCCCTTGTGTCGGTTCCCCCCTGGAGGCGCGGCCCTCAGGAACTGACTGATAACAGCGTCAACAACCGAAGCCGATACGCTAGTAGATTCGTCAATCAGTTGCATGAGCATCTCTGTCAGGTGAAGTTCGACATCTTTGGCGACTTGCTCCTCAGAGGCGGCTTTGGAGCCAGATTTAGATATGTCATCGAATGTGGATTTGAAGAGCCGCAGTAGCAAGTCGGGGGCGTCGGAAACTTCGTCAATGAGCAAGATGCTCTTTACTTCGGTTAGAGATGTAAGAACGTATTTGTGCTGGCTATCATATGGATTCGTGGGATTATGAAGAGCAGGCAGAATATCCTTAATAAATAGCGAAAACATCATCTATGGTGTGTTAGCATTCGCGCAGACGCGGACGTGTGACCATGCCAAACGCACTTTGAGTTGATCATCAGAGAAGGGAGCGTCGGGGACGCAGAGTCGTAGAATGTCTACCAGGCAGCATGCAGTGTATGCTTTGACACCGCGATCCTTGTGCTGGAGAAGGTTGCGATGTCCCAGTTGCTTGGCGACCGTTTGGAGAGACTCAACATCGGTAGCACCCTGATCAAGCTCTGAGAGCTCCTTGGATAGTTTGTCGAGTCGCTTTATCAAGGTGCCAGTAGGAATTGGTTTGGCGGGTCTCCAGGAAAGCTCTTCGTCGAATTCAAGCGCGCGCTGCTCGCCTTCCTCGTCGTTCTCCGAAGCCTGGTCGTGATCGTGTTCTTCATGTACATGTTCTTGCTCTTCTTCCTGTTCCACAACCTCATCTTCCTCCTCCACAGCGGCCTTCTCAACGCGCCCGCGAGTACGCGCCATTATGCGCTATTGTGTAAATTGCGATTTGAATGCAGCGACAAGTCAGAGAGAAGAGGGCTCGAAGGCGCACTCTGTGTTTATATGTTGGCAGACGGTGTCGGCGTTGGTGTCGGTGTGGCGGTTTCGGGTCGTGCTGGGATACGAGAAATGGTGGTGTTTAATAGTACTAACACGGTATCGCATGCGCTCGCTTGCTGGAGTAAATGCCGGACTACTATACCAATGAAGGAGCCGCCTGTGCAATGCTTCGGGGACAGGTAGAATTGGACTGCCCAAAGACGATAACGCGATAGCGTCTTGAGAATGACGATGAAAGATAAGATTGAAAGAAGGCCAAGATCAAGATTTATGTCAAGGTGGGAGAGGGAGAGGGAGAGGCTCTGGTGATAAGCGGAGGCGTGTTCCGTGTGCGCGACGCGACCTTACTTTTGGGCTTCAGGCTCTCCACTCAACCTACCTAGGTACTTCTACTTCGAGGTGAAGGACCAGGAGCGAGCTTCCCACCTAAAGCAGCTAAGGAAGCTAAGCCAGCGGAGTCCAAGACAGGGTAGCTGTCGTTGACCAATAGGAGCAGCTGTCTAGCTGTATGCTCTTAGTGAGCTAATGCTTATGGCTAGCTGCATAAAGTCCCAACCTCAAGTCATTATTAAGTCATCATACTCGACTGGTTGTTTGGAATAAGAGCCCACGTCATTTTTGGGCTAATTGACTTATCAACTTATAGATCTTACCAAGATTATGGAGTACCTAATCGATTAGACGACGCGTTTTTCGTACATCGTCTTACATGCGTCTCTGAGTATACTTCCAGCAGTCTCACGACGCCAACCCATGACTCTATGTAAGCTGTGACGAATGCAATATACAAAGCTGCTATTTCTACTTGCAAGCTCTGATACTGTGCTGCATTGGAGCTTTTGAGTGAGGTTGGGGCGTGAAGAGGGTTCATAGATGGACATAGGTAGTGCTGCGCGGGTATGCACATCTAAGGTGGCTGCTTAAGATCGACTTAACATCCCTTGTAAGTTCCAAACAAAAGGTACTCCTAGGCACCGAGTTTGAAACGTTGTCTATTAGACAATGGTATGCCCTGGAGTTAAAGCTGGGAAACACATGGAACAGTATCGTAGGCACTCCCTGAGTTTTCTTTCGTGTTGCCATTACCTGTGTAGAGGTAGACATCTGTGCCTTGCACAGTAATATGGCTATTGAGAAAGCTCACCTCTTTGTCAGTGCTGAAACTCCACCAGTTCTTTTGCTTTGAGGTGACAGGAATGCACATGCACAGCATACAAGTATAGGTCGTGAGAACATGTGATACTTGAGTCGTCCCATCCTAGCCGTTGATGTACGACCATGGAAATGTTTGCCTCATTTCACCGCGAGGCGACATCGACACACAGAGCCTCCTTTTTGTGGTTCCGTACCTACTTGAGGGTTCCCTGGCGGTTTCGGTCTGGAGCAATTCGGGATAGTTATCTGTAGTACAAGTTTGGCCGCAATGTTTGTCGTGTGTCAAATCCTGTTGCGGTCCTGCAGATGGGAAGAACGGGGCAATTCAACTGGCCGCCTATGAAAGGGGAATTCCCGTTGGTGGAAGCGGGATATGGTGTTGCGTAGGTTCTCCCTTGTAGTGCTGCAGTGCTTTGGATGGCAAGCAATTCTGTTGAGTACAAGATAAACGGCTCCTCCTATCAATGATACGGCGTCCCTTCTCCTTCTTCTCTTGCTTTCTTCTTCTTTTCTTTCAGCACGGACGGCACAAGGCTGACTATTCACTCACTTCTATCTACAAAAGCACAACCGACTTTCGTTTGCAACTTGATAAAGGGGTACGAAGAATACTAACCAATTCTTGTAAGTTAACAATGTCAAGTGACCCATTCCAAAGGCTTCTTTTATATACACCAGAGATTTGCTCCCTTCACCTAGCTACCTGCTATTGACTTTGCTCAATATTGTTCTGTGCAAATGGAGGTATGGCCTGCAAGTGTTGAGTTTGCCACTGGCTGCCAGCTGCAGACCAGCCGTCAGATACGTCCTTGCCCTAACTCATCGCTGCCTGGCTGATTCACTGCCTTTTTCTCTCTATCACTTCCATTCTTTCCTTCTTCACGGAGAAAATCTTCCCTCCTCCTTTGCTTATTTCCTTGAATCACCCCCCGGCATCGCCTCCCCTCATTCACTTCCTTCCGCATCTCTCGCGTCTCGCCTCTCGTTTTCAGTTCACTCCTCCACCAAACTTCGTTACTTCAACATCTAACATCGTTTGTCTTTGAAGCCAGCAAAGACTGTATTATATCCACACGATCGGTATGTTCACACTATTTTCGCTTTCCTTCTCGCGGCCTGGAGTATCGGTTTCGTCCTGCAACATCGCGCTCCTGACGAACCGCGAGTGCATCATCTCCTGCTTCTAGTATCTTGCCTGCTAATCGCTCCATAGTCACTTTGATTATCCAGCATCTCTCACTATTACTCTGATCCAAGTATGTCAAGCACTATTGGTACATATGTCTCAACTGACCGCGCTTCCAGTGGCGACCGTGATGGACCCCGAGAAGGGCGAGGCGACTCCCCGAGTGTCCAAGATCAACAGGATCAAGATTTTCTCCAACCTCAAGAATATTGTTGTCAGCTCTATGCTCGCTATCTGTCTTCTTGCTGTCATGTTTGGTATGGGTGTTCTTGGTGCAACCTACGGTACGTTTTCCTGGCTTCATAGCCATGGCGATAGGCGATGACTGACCAACCGGTAGCCGAGAAGAAGCTTTCTTCTGAAGATTCGGTCACCATTGTCGCAGGTCCTGAGCCCGATCATGATTATGCCCTGGCCCGCCGCGATGAACCTCTCGGTGCTTCGTACCCTATCTCGTATGTACCAAACACACAACACTACAACCTTCTTATGTACTAACTATTTGGCATAGGACTAAGACTGCTCTGTCCACTCTCTACAGTGTTAGCTACTTCCCCACTCACGAGGTGGTAACTGAGGTCGAAACTGTTACTGGCACCACCTATGTCACCGTACCCAATGAGGTTCATGTGTCTGTTTCTGTCGCCACCATTGAGAGCAGCTCCGAGTACTGTGAGATCCAGGTTGTCACCATGACTGAGAGTTATACTATCACCATCACCCCGGATGGAGAGTACTCGGCCACCTCTGATGCTCTTCCTGAAGCCACTGTTACTGGTAACCCAGAGACTGTGACTGACACCCAAACCGGCTTCACTTTGACAAACCCTCTACCTGATGCCACTATTTCTGGTAACCCTGAAACTGTCACTGAAACCCAGACCGACTTCAGCCTCACCCATCCTCTGCCTGAAGCTACTGTCACTGGGAACCCGGAGACTGTGACTAACACTCAAACTGACTTTACTCTCACCAACCCTCTGCCTGATGCCACGGTTTCTGGTAACCCTGAGACTGTTACGGATATTCGTTTGAGCTTCACAGTCCCTGGTATTCACACTACCATCACCATCTCAGATATTTATCCCCCTGGGCAAGATCTAAGCACCATCCAAGGGACAGTCACTAGTCACAAGTCCCTCACGACCATGACCGTCACGGAACCATGTGACGTGTCCCTTACGATCATCACTGTGACGGGACCATATGAGAAGCCGTCCTTCGATGTGCCTGTGGTGCCTGTAACGCCGACAAGTACTTGGACCACGACTGTCTATGAACCTGGCACACCTTGGACCTCTACTACGACTGTCCGGGTTCCAGTCATTGATTCTCCTCCCTATCCAACGACGAACAATACCACGATTCCTGGTGTCTCCGGCACCATCCCCTTACCCCCTGGGCCTTCTTCTACTACTCCCGTCGCCGTGAGTATCTCTGCTGGCACCAAGAAGCCCGAGCCTCGCGGCTGGGGAGGCACAAGTGGCACCACCAACCTCAGCTGCACTATTATGCTGGTAGCGATCATGATGTTTGTCCTCTAAGCTCGAATAGAAAAACCTGCTCGTTGTAGCATCGTCTTGGGGGAAACGCTCACAGAGAATTCGGGTCTAAGGAACACTTGTACAAGCGTAAAGTAATCACACTGGGGAATGGGAGTTTCATCGGTCGGAACTGGTATCGGACTTGGTATGGAAACTGGAAATCAAAACGAAGTGAGCTGCAAATCTGCTTTTGGCTTGCGCTGTGCTGCATACCTAGGTAATGAATGCGGTGACGTCGGGTGCTAGGTATAGATCAAAAGTTCAATAGCGCAACATGGCTAAATGGCTACATTAATTTCGATAACGAAGCATTGGTCCTGATTTTTGAAGGGCATCGAGGTTTCATGTCTGTCAGATAAAGTGATGCGGCAAAAGTATATTGACCAATATAATCAAAACTCTTATTCCATAATGGGTAGTGCAGCTTATAATAAAACAAGGATATCCAATTTCCAACCCCTTGCCCTTATCGATACTGAAGCATTATCCTAAGACGCCGTGTTGGCCGATCTCTATCTAGAAGCAGTCCTACTAGCCCTTGCCTTCCATGCATTTTTTATGTCACCGGCTGCTCTGTAGAGATCCTTTTCTGATACTCTATCCTCAATGCTCTGAAGCACACTCTTCGTTGTGGTGATGTGGTTAGCTTCGTTCTTGTCATCGCGGAAACGAAGGATGCGCCATCGTCCCTGCTCGTCGATATTGCACTCTACGACGCGCCAATCCAAGGGGTCGTTGAGAGACTTCAGAATCTCCCACTCCTCCTCGGTAATGTACACAGGATTGAAGTACTCGTATTTTTCAGGGCCGTTGCCGCCCGTATACACATATAGGTCGGCCTTTGGAACGCTGTCGTAGTCGGTGAAGGGCTCGGCGATACCTTCGCGACGGTCCGCTTCGGTAGGCTCGACTGCTGGGAAGAATAGGCGGAGGCGGCAATCGATGGTGTTTTCCTCCGGGGGCTTCCATTTCAGGATGTGGTTATCGGTGCCGTGCTTGTAGGGCGTGGTGCGACAAGTAAAAATGAGACCGTCGTTGCCGTGCTTCAGCCGAGGCAGGATCTCTTTGAACATCATGTCGATGGCGTAGGCGAATTGTGGCTTCTTCATCTCGATTATGAAAGGTTGAAACTCTAGTTCCTGGGGAAACTCCTGATAGAGCCTCTTGTACGGACGATAGAATCTCTGGTCGAAGTATGCAAGTCGCTTGTCGAGTGTTCGCTCCATGAGTAGGGCACCGTCTAGCACCAGGCAATCGAAGACCAAGAACACGGGAACGCGCTTCTTGTCCGCGTTCGTATCCCAGACCAGCTCGCCATCGATCAACGTGTTTGTGTGGAAAGAGGTCGGGGAGGCCTCGGTAGGACAGTGGAAGAACCTGTTGGGGATGTACCAGAAGTCATTTTTGCGATCGATGAGATAGTGCGCCTCGTTTCCGCCCTCGTCGTTTGTCGAATAAAGAAGATATCTGATGCCGTCGGACTTCTCAACAACGTAGTAACTGCAGAGGCAATATTAGCTAAAGCGCTAACTTGCCAAGCTTCAAGAGCTTGTCTTACTCGTGCTGGGCAAGCTCGTCAAGATGCTGTCTCGCAAAGCTCACGGGCTGGGCGCCAGGAAAACCAGTCGATGATCTCTTAAGAAGACTGGCGACCTCCCTGCGCATGTCGTGTAATAGCTGGCCTTGAGCTTTGATGCCTGGCTCCGAGAGGGAGACGACAGGCCCTTCACCTTGATTGTCCATCGCGATTTGCTCTTGGCAAGGATGCGCGAGGGGGGAGTGATGTTGTTGTTGTTGCGACGAGAGTGTCAGTGCTCTTTATAATGGTGTTATCGATAAGGCAACGAATGTCAACCAAGGCACCCATGGGGGCCTACAACATGAAATTTATCTACCTATCCGTACCTATTTGGAAGTTGGTAGCATTCTTCTGGAATGCAAATATTCTCTATAGTGGCTTAAACTTTTTAGAGATTATTAAACCTCGGATTTGACTTTGCGCATCGGCAATGCGCAGCTAACGTTGTCGTGAACATTGAAGACAACCCCATTCACTCGATCGGGAGGCTTGAGTACGTATCCAAAGAAACCCAAAATTCGACCAAAATCCTGACAATTGTAAATTAACCTGATTGTGGAAAATGAACTCAATTAAAGCAATGCCATAGGTCTTTACTTATTCATTTATTATAGCTGTGACACTCTCAGACAAACTTGAGTTGTTGGTAAGAAGTAGCCTGCCACATATTGTATGAACATGGCAATAGCTATATAACGATCGGATCGATAGTAGGACTGAAAAGGGTAGTTCGTTTCACTCCAAACTGCCTGAATAATCACGTACGGCTACAATATGGCGAACATAATGGGTGATGCATGATGCATAATGAGGAATCCTCGAATTGATAAATTATAATGGGAGTCTCGCACTCCACTCCGATCTTACCTTCTACTGCTTTCAAAACCATTCAATCAATAGCCGAAAATAGTGAAAGAAAAACCTACTCAATACTCGTCAATCTTTTCCACCTCTGCACGAGCTTCTTCCCACTGTTGCTTGCTCTTCTTTGCCCATTCGATTTGGCTTTGTGCGTACGCGAGCTATGAGATAGTTAGCACTTGAGCATATATTCGGTATTGCAGATGATAGCTCACCATGTATCGTCGCAAGTCATCCTCCTTATCCTTCTGGAACCGTTTCATATCCTTCAAAACGCTAGCGCTGGCCTCTTTGACATCTCGCTCTGAAATAACTTGAGCCTGCTCCAGTTGGCCAATACTTTCTCTTGTCTTCCCGATTAGATCTCGACGTGTTCTCTCCGGATCGACATCAACAACCCCCTGTACTGCATGTCGGATGGGACCAAAGATCTTGTTCGTTATCGAGTTACCGCTTGGCATCTTCTTATGAGAGGGCGCACTCGTACTCCTTTCGGGTAGGCCTTGACTGGCAGAAGGCGTATGAGAAGCGAAGTCAGAGTCGATGGATTCGGTATCCTCCTGGCTGCTTTCCCGCCGTTGATGAGAAGATGATTCCTTCAGGCTTGTTGATCTTTTTGGGGGTGGTGAAATCTGTTGGCTACTAGATAAGTAATTCTCGATTCTTCGGGCTTCGGCTTCGCTCTGCTCTAACTGATCGAGCAGCGCTCGCTTCTTGTTCAACTCTTCTGTAGTCAAATCTTGCTGAACACGCTTAAGTACGCGGTATTTTAGCACGCTCCGAACAACGCCTGCGAATTGCGCATGTTCACGCATGGGCTCAGCAAAGCTCGCGCCTAGCGATCCTGAAAGCTCCTCTGTTGCGATATAGGACAAATCAGCTGCCTGGCCTATACGCTCAATTGCAGGTCCGAGTGATGGCGCCTGCTCCGAAACTGCAAAGGCATTGTAGACAGACCCCAGCTCACAAAGATCGGCGGCCAACGATGAAAGATGACTGAGAGTTCGGCGGTTTACTTTCTCCATTGGACCGGTCAAAAGTTGCTCGAGCTCCTTGATCGAGGATTCGTATGAGATGAAGTAAGGGTCCAGTTCCTGTTCGCCAAGATTATGCCCCTCAGGCGGGAATCGGCCGAAGGCATGAGGTCCTGCTTGGATATGACCTGAGCTGTGATCGTGGTTGGTGCCAGCCACTGTTTTCAGCTTTGCCGATGCTGCCGGGACTGGTAGGTAGTGGTGGGCGGGAGTTGGGTTCGCAGGGTTCAGTGGAGGCGCTTTCAGAATCGACTTGGGAATGGATGCCACAGGGTGAGAGTGTAGGACCTCACTCTAGTCTGCTGTTAGTAATGATAACTGCGAATTGCCAAGGTCGACGTACCCAGCTAGCATTGGGGTCGAGAAATCGCCACCAAACTCCGTCTGTTCGGACCTCGTCCATTCGCCGACAGCGATTGAGAAATACCGCCAGCATACGCTTTCGAAGATCAATGATCTGCTGATCTTGCTTCGCATTGGTGGGGTTTGCAGCATAATCAGCCATGGTGTGCTTCTCGGGAATGGGGGGAATGATGAGTGTAGGATGAAGGCGTGTCAGGGCGTCGCGAAGGGAAGCGAACTCTGAGTACCGACGGCGCACTTCAAGGTCCTGTTGTGAGGTGATCAGTGGTATACTCAGAACAAGTAGAGCTGAAGAGACATACACCAGTCTTGATCGTGTAAACGATATATCTGCCACCGCTCTCTATGCTCTTACCGGCATCTGTAATGATGATGGACAGTTTGGGGTTCTCGTAGAGGATTTGTTCGATTCGACTGTCGTAACCTCCAGGCTTGCGCTTGGGGCCTGCATCTTGTGACAAGTCTCCATCGTCATCGCTACCACCATGCCTTGCGCTGTGATCAAATTGCCTATGATCGTCATCGCTTTCGGAGGTGGGTGTCTGAGGAGCCTCGAACGGCTGATCTGTAAGGAAATCGTAAGTATCAAAAAACATATCTTCCTCGTCGCTCGAGGGAACGGGTTGCATCATATTGCCGCGGTTTTGGTAAAGCTGAAGGGGGATGCGGGTGTCGTTGACCTACAATTACGAGTTGACGGCGAGGTCGGATTGATAGACGACGATTGCGAGTCGCGCCTGTCAAAGCTGGTGCCGTACGGGTTATTGTCCTCGTCGTTCCACATGGCGATGGTCTTGGGTAGTTTGCTAAGGCAATCGCGACAGCTGTAGCGGAAGGAGTGTTTGCTTGAGGCAGTCAAAGTATTTCGCGCGGTTAAGCTGGAGCCTGGAGTCTAGAACTGTCGACTGATGGTGGAGGATGAGAGCTTCAAGCGTAAAGTACGTAGGTCGGTCGTTGCTAGCGGGGGAGGGGCAAGCATGGGGTCGAATGGAGTGATACGAAGGTGGATGTGACTGCGCTTGTAGCTTACACGGGCAGGACAGGGCATTCAGGGTTATCGCATTCGTCGAATGTGCAATATATGCAGAGTGTAAAGTGCCGTAATGGATGTCGTGGTCGGCGGTGTTGGCGGATAATGGAACCCCAAGGTTTAGTTAGAGGTTAGTAGTGAGTAAATGGGGGATAGGATGACGTTGAACGGGGCTGGGCTGAGTTGGCCAAGGTTGGCCTGGTGTCATTTTCTCTCCATACAGATTAGTTACAGAGTACGGAGTAGAGTGCCTGCTAAGGTAAAGTTCATAAGCGGCAAGGGCCCCCAAAGCTTTCGAAGGTTTTACCTGTTGTGGAACCTGTTTCAATGAAGATCTCATGCGGGAGACTTGCTGGGATTAGCATGGGCGCTGCTTTTATCCCCGAGTCAAAGATAACAGTACGTAAATACAAAGTGATACTAAATTTCTTATTAATACGTGAGTGCATAATTAAGAAAGTACTGGCGTACATTGATTGATTACAATTTGTTTAAATTATCTGTCTATTAGCAAACTGTTATATGTACTTACCCCATATACTAACACTGCCCGAGTACCCATCTACACAACTGATTAACTCGAGGTACAAGATTGAATAATACCTAGACACGGTATATAACAATAAAATCAAAAGGAAATCTCTTGCACCAATTTAGTGTTCCAATTGACCGTCACTACCAACGCAAAACACAAAATCTCCATTAAATACCCTACAGGTTGTGCTCTAGCTACAACGATGGATTGCCGACTCAACATGATGTCCAGGCCTTCAAATTGGCATCCTAAACTTTCCCAAACTGATATGGAGGTAGCCAATCCTCTGGGCGATCCAATTAGACCTTGGTAGACTCAAGACACCCAAGACACTCAAGACTCTCAAAACTCTCAGACTCTCAAAACCACGTCGCATATCCAGAGTGTGTTTGTTGTCTCATACATGGAATGATTAATGTTCTCGCTGATGCGTGGGCTGTGGTGCGGGGGGCCCAGCATTGCTTTCGGGTCTTTCTGCTAAAGATCCAAATCTAAAAGAACGAATTAATACCAGAACAAGGTAGAGAAGAAAAAGGATATAAACTGACGTGTAGTCTAGAGCAGATCTTTTGACTTCGCGGTCTCTGGCATTGCATTGCTTGATACCTGGGTAGATGGAGGACACACTGTTTCCGTGGCGAATCCTGTGGGAGTGTTAGCACTACACATATCCAATTCTACGAGAGATCCTACATTGATGCAGAGTGCTGCTGATGGCTAGTACATTGGTGTCCGGTGATTGCATCTGGTGTGGATGTACATAGTCTTTTGGTAGGGCTGCTTGCAGACAGACGACTGCTAGATACGAGAGAGGCATGACTCTCCGATACGGCTGTACTGTCTGTAGCTGTGGAATTCCCTCCTATGTGTGATTCGCTAACATTTTGTCGCAAATCACCGCTTGCAGCATTCGAGTGTGAGATCGTATCATAATCATCACTGTGCACTGTGGCTGCAATGGACACGGGTGACTGAATTCTGTTGATATCTTCTGGTTGGGTATCATTGCTCCCTGATGAAATGCTTGGAAGATCCCTATTTCTGTGATGTTTCTGGTCGTCGTGAGCCGTACCGCGGCCACCCTGTGCAGACGGCTCTAGGCGACTGAGCTGTGAATTTCTCTGAGAGATCTCTGATCGTGTCTCCAAGGAAGTTTCAGTCTCAAGTACGGATTCGGTGTCTACCGTCGAAGCTCGTCCGATAGGCAGTCCAAAGGCTCGACAGACACGTTGGACCCAAGTGGGTTGGCGAGGGGTCAGATTATACGAAGATGAGACCGATGCTTGAGCTGATGCGTAGTAAAGAGTGGAGTCGTTAGGGTGGCTGCCATGATGGGTACTTGAGTGATAAGTAGGCTGAGGATAACCGTATGCCATTGGTTCCACGGGGATCATCATGCATATCGGCTGCTGAGGAATAATAAATGGATGACCCTGGGTTGGCACTTGAGCAGCTAGGATACCTGGTCGGGTATAAGGAATCGGGAGATAAGTGACTCTAGAACTCGGAAAACTCGGGACTTGGGGTAGCTGGAAGAGAGGGATAGGGACATTCTGGGTAGAAGAATGATTTTGCAATCTTCCTCCTTGTCGAGGTGCTTTCCGCTTCTCATTCATGGTAATTCTTCCGAAAACATACATCCACACAAAAAGAGCAACCATCGTCACCGTGATGACACTTATGATGATACCAGCCTGCTCGGCCGGTGTGAAACAATACCAACCACTGCAGTGGCTATAATGTCGAATAGAGAGGTGGTTTGCTGGCGAAGCGGCGGCCTGCCACTGAACGGGGGCCATGACCGCGTGGTAGAGCAACTCGCGTGTTGCGTTCTTGAGTATCTGCTATTAAAATAAGTCATCGGTTAGAAGATTAACTTGAAAGAAGAAAGAATACCTGATGTAGAGACCGAGCTAGCTGTAGAGATGTCGTGATGCACCGTGTTGCTCATGGTGGTGTTGAAGAGAGAAGAAGAAGAAGAAGTAGAGAAGGAGGAGGAAAGAGAGGGGAAAGTGCGAAGAGGGAGGAGAAGGAGAGATGCATCTAATGTGAATGCTAGAACCGAATGTTTGCTAAGAGCGTGTGTGATGGCTGAGATATAAAATGTAAAACTGGTGGGCAGTGGTCGCCAGCTGTTCGACCGATTACCCCCTAAAGCCTCGAACCAACTTGGGATTCATCAAGGACCACGCCGGGGGCCATTGGTCAAGAGCTGAGAGAAACAGAGACAATATAGTCATATCTGAAGAATGGACTATGGAGATATATGGATGATATAGTGCTGCCGTATTGCAGTGGTTTAGATGATGCAGAAGACCAAAATAATCGTGTGAACACATACACTCGGCAATTTCACAGCATTTGGGGGAACTAAGGACGATATTAGGGGCCTATATAAAGAAAGCTTAAATAATAGTATAACTGAGTTAATCATTATAAGACATGTTCTTAATAAAGATTGATGAACACACGTAGTGTTCTTTGATATTCTTGTATGGGCCTTCGAAGGGGGGACTGCATATAAGCTTATAAGCATTATCATAGCTCTACCTCACAAATAAACATTCTACATATCTTAGCAATATAAAATAGACACAAAAAGGGAAAGAGAATTTGGGAGAGAACCTCAAATGGCTTAGATAATTGCGATATCTTCGGACAATATCTGATTAAGGTCAATTTGGTGGTTGATATCTTGTAAGTCGTCAGCCAATCAGCGGAGTGGCGTATGGCCCACCTCTAAAGTACGTACCGCACCTCGAGAACGCAGCTTCTCAGATTCTCTTTCATCTCGTTCTTGCGATACAATAAATCGAACACGCCAAAACGTCTCTGCGCTACCATCACCATCCTCCTTCTCTTTGCCAACGCATACCCAAATTACATACAAATTCACTCATACCCTACGATTGATTATGCTGCTTGGTCTTTGAACCACTCGATGAGCTGATTCTCCTTTAACTCGAGGCGCATTGTTAGCTGCTCTGAGCGACGCGTTCCTCGACTCAACTTTTCGCTCCCGAACGAATACCGCAACTCCTTTATCCCTACACATCTCCTTCAACCATAATGTCGTCTTCACAAAACGGCACCGCAAATGGTGTCAACGGTGGCACCCAGTCTGGCCCGGTCAGCACCCGATTTACCGATATTCCTTCCGCTATCGACATTCCCGTGCAGGGCGACCAGGAGGACGAAGCTGTCGAAATCGATCTCGAGGATCTCGTCGACGACCCTACCGAACTCTGTACTCTCTTCGAAAACGAACGCGCCGCCAAAACTTACTGGATGACGGTCGCTCTAGCTTATGCTAAACAACACAAAATCGACCATGCCATCGAGATGCTCCAGCGAGGCGGCAGTGCCATCCAAAGCAACAGCTCCAACCCGCGCGATAAAGTCAGCATGATCTGTTGTCTGTGCTGGATGTACTTGTGGAAGAGCAGAGAGGCTCCCCGTGTCGCGCCCGAGGGCGTACCAGCCTCCGAGGCCAAGACTAAGGAGTACTACCTTCAGCTGGCAACGTCTTCCCTAAACGACGCCGCCCGACTCAACCCATCGTTCCCGCCCATTTTCCTAGCTCGCGGTGTTCTCCTACTTCTACGGGCTTCCCTGCAAGCACCATCCAAGACAGCTGGAGGCATTGGCTCTGAAAAGCACGAGCTTTTGAAGACTGCTGTCAAGTCCTTTGACGACGCTCTACGAGTCTCCCAAGGAAAGAACATGCTTGCGCTAATGGGCAAAGCGCGCGCTTTGTTCTCGATGCACAAATATCCTGACTCGTTAGCAATCTACCAGGATGTTTTGCAGAAGATGCCTGATTTGGTTGACCCAGATCCTCGTATCGGCATTGGCTGCTGTTTCTGGCAGCTTGGCTTCAAGGACGATGCCAAGATGGCCTGGGAGAGATGTGTCGAGATCAACCCTAATTCCAAGGTCGCCAACATCCTTCTTGGCCTCTATTACTTGGATGCGAGTGGTCATGTACCAGTAAACAGCGATGAATTTCTGAAGCTTTACAAGAAAGCTATGACGGAATACACACAAAAGTCCTTCAAGCTTGACAAGGATTTGCCCCTTACCTGCTCTACTTTTGCCAGCTACTTCTTGTCTAGAAAAGCGTGGGGCAACGCTGACAAGCTTGCACACAAAGCTATTCAGTATACAGACGTCAATGCCATTGCCAGTGATGGCTGGTATTTGCTTGCGAGAAAGGAGCATTACGCTGGTGATACTGAACGTGCGACAGATTACTATCGGCGTGCTGATGAAGCTCGTGGAGGAACTGAGACAGGCTATCTCCCTGCCAAGTTTGGAGTTGCCCAGCTGTCCGTGCTCAAGAACGATCTTGGAGAAGCTAAGCTTCGTCTCGAGAAGATGATTCAACAGTCCAAGAACCACGAAGCAATGATTCTTCTGGGTACACTGTACGCCGAGGAAGTCTTCGCCAACCAGGTCAGCGACAGCAAGGAGGACAAGTCCGCTGAACTTAAGAAAGCCATCACACTCCTTGAGAGTGTTCGCAATGCCTGGAAGGACCCCAAAAAGACACTGTCTCCCGATCCATCAGTTCTCCTCAACCTTGCACGTCTGTATGAGACGGACCAACCCGATAAGGCGCTGCAATGCTTACAGCAAGTTGAGCAGCTGGAGCTAGACCAAATCCCCGAATCGGAACAACCCGAGGACGTTACAGACCCAGCTGAGGTCAAGGCCGCACTTCGCAAGTCTCTCCCGCCTCAATTGTTAAACAACATCGGCTGCTTCCACTCGCAAGCCGGAAAGCACGAACTTGCCAGCGACATGTTTGAGGCCGCCCTTGGTGCTTGTATCAAAATTGGCGAGAAGGACCCTGAGATGGACACAGATGCTTTGGTATCCACCATCAGCTTCAACCTGGCGCGAAGCTATGAGTCCCGAGGCCTTACAGACAAGGCCGTTGAGGTGTACGAGGGTCTTCTGGCCCGGCATGACGATTACACGGACGCTCGCGCCAGACTTGCCTATATCAAGCTTCGCAGGAACCCGAACAAGGAGGGACCCGACGCTGTTGCCAAGTTGTATCAGGAGAACAATACCGATCTCGAGGTCCGCGCCTTGTACGGCTGGTATCTTGGTAGGGTTCACTCAAGGAAGCGCACAGCTAACCTTAACGAGGATCCCGAGTTCCGCCATTTCAAGCATACCTTGCAGAACTATGACAAGCATGACAGGCACGCATTGGTGGGCATGGGTAATTTGTATCTCATGCATGCCCGAGAGATGCCTCGTGGATCGGATTCAGAAAAGCAAAAGCGAAGCGCCACATACGGCAAAGCCGTTGAATTTTTTGAGAAAGCTCTGTCACTGGATTCAAAGAACGCTTACGCTGCGCAGGGTGTTGCCATCGCTCTTGTTGAGGATAAGAAGGACTACAAGTCGGCGTTGGGTATCTTCAACAAAGTGCGAGAAACTGTCAAGGATTCTCACCTCTACGTCAACCTGGGACATATCTTTGCGGAACTCAGACAATACTCAAAGGCCATTGAGCACTATGAGATGGCTCTCTCTCGAGACGGAAAGGCCAATGACCCAGTAATCCTCGCGTGCTTGGGTCGAACGTGGCTAAACCGTGGCCGGACTGAGCGCGATGTGGATGCCTATGGCAAGGCACTTGAGTGTGCCGCAAAGGTACGTTATATTATTACATTTTGATATTTGAATCGGACTAATTGGGAACTCTTAGGCTCTTGAAGTTGCCCCCGAACAGGTGCACTATAAGTTCAACGTTGCTTTTGTACAGATTCAGCTTGTCACATTGGTTCAAGGACTGCCAGAGAACAAACGCTCAACAGAGCAACTCGAAAAGGCTGCCGAGGGACTTGAGGCTGCTATTACATCATTAGACGAAATCGCAAACCATCCTCAGACTCCTTATCCTAAGAATGATGTTGAGCAGCGTGCCAACATGGCCCGTAATACATTGCGCAAGCAGCTTGAGCGAGCCATTGGCAAGCAAAAGGAGTGGGAGGAGAAGAACAAGGAGAAAATACAAGCAGCCAAGGAGCAGCGAGAGCTAGAGCTCCGACATCGTGAAGAAGAGCGTCAAAAGATTCTGGATAAAGAACGTGAGCGACAAGAAAAGATCAAGAAGGAGCGTGAGACAATTGCTCAAAAAGACAGAGCTCTGGCCGAGAAGCGAGCTGAAGAGGAGCGTGCTCGCGCCGAGGCCGAGATGACGACCGACAGCGAGACAGGTGACAAGGTGAAGCGAAAGCGGAAGACTGCCCCTAGAGCTTCAGGGGAACCTAAACCCAAGCGATCAGGAGGAAAGAAGAAGAAGAAGAGCGAGCGTCAAGATGACGAGTCTGAAGAAGAGGAAGAGCGTACCAAGAAGCGCCGCCGCCTTACAAAGAAGGAGTCGGCCAAATACAAGTCGGCCGAGATTGTTGTGGACAGCGACGAAGAGAATGGTAACGACGACGACGATGAGCTTGAACGTGCTGAGAGAAACATCGACCGAGACGAGACTCCCCTGTCTGAGGCTGATGAGAAGGCCTTTGAGGACGACGACAAGATGGACGTCGATGATGGTGCTAACCAAGGAGGTGACGACGATGAAGAGGAAGAAATCGCACCACGCCAACAGCACAAGCGAGCTCGCCGCGGTCGTGTCGTCGACAGCGATGAGGAGGACAACGACGATGACGAGGCGTCTGCACGAGCCAAGAGTGCATCGGCTGCTGAGGATGATGAAACTCGTCTGGCGGCAGATACCAGTATGGTGGAGGCCGACGAAGACGAGGAGTAATGGGGGTAACACTTGGGTGATTTAGAATGTAACTTTGCTAATATACGCCGAAAAAAGCTTCCCAACCAGGCTGGGACTGTTTGTATCATAAGTTAGATGGGTTTACATTAGGGCATTGGGGTCGAATGGGAAGCGTGTTTATTCTGTAATTGTCGTTTAGTCATCCTGTCACTCCGTGGACGTAGCCGATTCTTAAAATTAACAGTTTAACGAGTTGTGGTATATTACTAACGTGAATCTACATTTCTTCGCGTCTGCATAACTCCTCACACCTTTCCCCAGCACTTCAGGCTTTACGTATCCTTCCATTTCTTCCCAATTCTTTTTATATCAAGTTGCATTTTACACACCAGAAACATCGCCTACACCCTTTCCATCCAATACAGACCGGGGATTGTAACAGGAAAGCTCAAGTAGTTGTTATGTTTAAAAAGCAAAGACCTGGTCAACAAGCTTGCTGACGGGGCGGGCCTTCTTGAAGCCAAGGCTCTCAGTAGCCTTCTTGAGACCGCTAATCATAGGAGGAGGGCCACAGAGAAGAATCTTGACATCGTCGGCAGGCTTGGGGAGGTATTTCTAAATCAAGGTCAGCTGGTTGAACTTCCCAAGCTAAGAGCACGGGTACTTACGTCGATCATGTCGGCAGTGACGTAGCCAACGCCACCAGTCCAGCCCTCCGGAGGCTTGTCAAGAACGTAGTGAATGCGGATGCCGGCGTCCTGGGCGGCAAGAGCGTCAAGGTCCTCCTTGAGGAGAATGTCCTGGGGGCTAACGTTGGCGAAGATGAGGTCGACCTGGGTCTTGTCTCCAGCCTCTCGGCCACGAACAATAGCGCGGACGACCTGAAGCATGGGGGTGATTCCAGTGCCACCAGCGATCATACCAAAGTGTCGGACCATGTTAGGAGTGTAGACGAAAGCGCCCTTGGGGCCGCGGACCTTGATAGTCTGACCGACAACGAGAGAGGCCATGTGCTTGGAGATGTTGCCCTGGGGGTATGACTTGATCAGGAGGTCGACGTGGCCAGGCTGGTGATCACCAGAAATGGGAGTGTAAGAGCGGACAATCTCCTTGGTGGTGCCATCGGGCTGGAGGCAAGGAGCACCAATGGAGATGTGCTGGCCGATAGGGAGACCGAGGATGTGCTTGGGGCTGGGGAGCTTGAAGCGGTAGCTATCGCGCAGTCAGTATACTGATCCGAAGGTGTTGGATTTTGGTAGGCGCGTCGGTGGCTTACATGGCGACATTGTGCGAAACAATGGTCTTCTCCTCAAGCTCAAAGTCCTGGAAGACATCGGGCTTAAGAGTCTTCTTGACCTCTGCGATTTCACCAGGTTAGATATTGTTGAGGACTCCACACGGTAGCTGCAGTGGAAGCAGGGTATTTGGCACGACTTACGAAAGGCCATGAAGTTGTAGATGCCAAACAAGACGGCAATGAGAGCGGCATAAGGAGTCCACTCCTTCTTGACAATCAAAGTGCCGACAACGAGGAGCAGACCAGGCGCGTAGACATAGTCGATGTAGTGCCTCGCGAGAAGCGAGCTGTTGTCGGGAACGGGAGAGGACATGGTGGAGCTTTGAGTTCCCCGCCTTGGAACGACGCGATGGGATTTGTGAGGTGAGCAATTGAACCTCGCAAATTGAGCCCAAATGAGGTTGCACAAGAGTCTTATTCTTGTATGCCCAGTCCGATTCAAGGCGACGGTGACGGGGACGGGGGAGAGGGTGGGTTTTGCGGGGTGGAAAAGAAGCTGAGGCCTTTGACGGTTTAAAGGAAGAGGAGGAGGGGAGCTCTTGCTGTTGAAAAATCCGAAGGCCGGTCCCGCTCCGAAACCATTGAGGAAGATGGTGCTACTTTTGGAAGGCGGTGACGAGTTCGGAGTGGGCACGGTGGGAAAGACCGTAGTTACCGTCTGCTCCTACCCAGTTCGTCGAGCAGATCGATCGTTGATGTTTGCGAGACTTAATTGGTTGTTACCCCAGAATATGGCTTCTAACTCCAACTGTGGCGGTGTGGTTATCTCGGTTTCTGTCTTGTTATGAGCCGTGATCGAGCAATATTATAAGATACTACCTAGGTAGGTAGTGAATGAATTCGATGGACGACATGTAGTCCCGGGAGCACGCCTTGTTCTCTATACCTTGTCGAATTCCTTTGGTACAGATCACTACTATCGATAAGTAAGGTACGCAGAGATAGTAGGCCGTGAGACTCGTTAAGTTTAGTAGTAAGTGTGGACCATAAAGCTTTCTTTTCATGTCTGGTCAGTTTACCTACCTGCTGTGGCGTGGTCTGTCTCGTGGCTCACATCCTAGCGAGATCTAGTGGTTTGAGTGGGAATTCTTCCTCGGGCTGAAAGTGGTCGTTGCAACTACCGTACCTCGGAAAGCTCGATTCCGAGGTCGATGATCAACAGCATAGGTAGGTAATTTCTGCTGTGTTCGGAACTCAACTTGCACGATCTCACTTGTTCAATGGAAGAGACAGACTCTACACGTGATAGTTGTGTTATATCCAGCCAGCAGACACCTGTTAATACCACTATGGACTCCTACTTGCTAATTCCATCAAGGGAAACATTCTCAAGAATAAGAGGTAGTATGCATAAGATATAACTTCCCTTCTACTTACCTTGGTACAAATTCTGGCACACATACAATATTGGCGAATGCCCATACTGCCACGTCTAGAACGCAACAGGCCCACCTAGCAGAGCCTCAAAAGCTTCCGTTCCAGCGAGATACCTGTCTAGAATATGTCATGAGGTAGTAACGTGCTCAATTAAAACGCCATGAGTTACCTTATGCTATGAGGCAGGGAATTAGACTTCTAGTTGTCCTTCTGGATATACCAATAAGTGTCAGCCCCCCTTTCAAGCTTCCTGCATTGTTGGTCGTGAACAGTTCACTCCTATGTGTGACTTCACAACTTCAAGTTTACAATATTGGCCTGTGCCACAAATCCACTTCTTGGCCGGTATTTGCTGGGTATAAAGTCAACTATAAGCCATGATAATCAAGGTATGAGAATAGAACCCAATTGGTTATGCTGGTGGCGTTCAAGCCCAAGGTGGTATTGATGAAACAGGTGGGTTGTGCAAAGAACACAACCTCGACTACCTACTTTGGTCAATATCCGCACATAATCAAGGGTAGTAAGTAATCAAGCGGTCAACGAGGAATGACAATTGAGAACCCACAGGGACGGAAACACCATGGAAGACCGTCGTCACTGCGCCCGGAAACGGTGGGTGAAGGCAACTTTTATTAGTCTGGTCCCTGAATTTATATAGCGCAAGTAATTGTCCGTGAGGCATGGATCTTGGTGGGGCGTTGCTTTTCTTAGAGCACGTCGAGACGGCGTCGTTCGTGTTGAGCATCGATCAACCCACATGATACATCTGAATTCAAGGTCAGTCTTCAAGGGTCGCTCGGTACATGGGGGTTCTGTGGATGGGAAACCACAGAGCTAGGTTGTTTCTGGAAGCGTAGATTCGATAATACGACCTTCGCAGTCATGCTGTGCCATAGCTATACCTTGGCGGACTCGCCGGCTATCGGCTTGATGTGCTGACCAAATTCTAAAATGCTGGTGGATAATAAACACACGGTTTCACCACGAGACGCCATGCCGTCCATCACCAGATTGAAAGGGGCTTGTGGGCTTCATTTTGATAAATCGAAAGGAAATGGTTAAAACGCAACGCCTACAAAACATGCGCAATTACCCAACCTTCAGCCTCCGAGCTCGGCCTCCCAAGCCATGTCATAAATCCTGTCAAAGATTGTCCAGATGGCCCAAGATGATGGACCGTTCTCGAACTTCCCAAGAGAGAGGCGGGAGCACTATCATGGTATCTGATCTTGCCCTTAAAGAGAACGCTGCGTCGTCTAACGTCAACTAGCGGGTGGCTTGGATGCACGCCAATCGCAAGCTCCAAGGCTCTGTTGCGCTTTGCGACTGGCATGGGCTGTAGAAGCTCGTAAGGGAACACAGCGTCCGGCAATACGGCAGATAAGGACTCTGTAGAGTTTGAATCCAATGCACGAGATCCTCTTGGTAGAGTGTAGTGCACAACAGTCGGGATAGTCATGATCAAAAGCGGCACGAGATCATTGAATACGATGCTTATACGTGTATACTCGTAGTCTACGAGTACTGAGAGGAAAGGAAGGATTTAAGACCGACCTAGCTTGGCCGGCCAAGGGCCAGGGGCCAGGGCAATGGACAGCTGCTCCACCAACTTACGAGTACAAACAACATCTCATGTGCTGAATCTTATGGTCAGCGTGATTCTGAAGACGCAAATTGAAGCTTGGCTCAAGGTAAAAACTGACTTTTTGTGTGGACTAACAGGTCTATACCTACCTAATAAGCGGCCTGGCGTGGTCGAGGCCGGGAGGAAGAGGGGGGAGGGTGGGTAACGGCCAACGGGCCTGAAGGTGGCCAACTATCGTGGGTTTGAATCAATTGATTGACGAAAACAGGCGGGACTCGTAATTACTGACCACGGCAGCTGAAACAATGATTTCAATTTGGCATTGAAGTTGAATTTGGTCTATTGACTCTATTCAGCAGGGCAGGGTACCCCACGCGGTTAATATTTGGCCTTGTCATGGATAAAGCCAACAGCCGAAATTATGATGGGTTTCAGCATTAACATTTAGTTTATCATGGCTGCCGGTAACCACTGCCATCATGACCATGGTCATGATCACCCTGCGCTGGGTTTCTTGGAAGAAGTACATACCCATCTGCGAGTGCAGGCACTTACTTGCACCCCAAAACTCTGCAGTACACTCTCCACGTAGTAGAGTGAGATAATATGCATAACAAACAGGACTGTTGTTCTATTCGTCGTCAGCTTCAGGAAACCTTGATTCACGCCATCCACCATCTGCAGATTCTCTCTCTACCTACTACTTGAATGTTGTTGTCCTTTTTAGTGCCTGGCGCTGGTGCCGGGTTACCAGCCTGAGCAGGGGTCCTTGTTGCGGCTATAATCAGTCAAGGACCAGTAGCGAGAGAGGTGACGAGTGTGCACCTTTAGGTTGGTTCATCCAATTGGCTTTTCTAATCGAGATCTAATCTACTATGCGTTAGAGAGAATTTGGGCCTTGCCAGGATTGTTTCTTGAGGTTGAGTTGCTTGGCCAAGTCCAAGTTCCAGGAGATGGAGGAGGAGGCTTTTATTGGTTTTATCCCGCTGGGTGGGCTGCAATAAAACTTCGCACACATTAGAAACACTGCATGATGAATGTTATACATGTAAGGACGGGTTTACCACACAAGAGGATGATCAATCTCATAAATAGTAGACTAGACGGAGATCGTCTGGTGTAGCTCGCTTAGAAGGCTTATCAGTTAGTATAGGTAGGTAAATATGGATGGGCCGTTATGATGCTTCCGCCGTTGGAGAGATATTTGATACTTACTCGGTGGAGCTTGGGTAGCTGCAAGTGCGCAACGCCATGCACGGGCAGCTCCATGGCGGTCCTCCACTAAAACCCCCACTGGCCGCAGCAGTCCTTATGACGACGACAATTGAGAAAATGGCTGATGCTGGTAGCTCGTAGCTCGACAAACAACCCGGACCCGAACCTTTGAGTCTGGCCATTCTCTCATGGTCTGCACTGTTGCTTTTTTAGTATTCGTAGTTTGATGGGCATGAGCATGAGCATGAGCATGAGCATGGGCCTAGACATGGACATGGACATCTCTCTAGTCTTCCATTTTCCTTCCTTTCATTTCGAATCTTGATTTTTCCCTTTTTCTTCCTCCTTCCCTTTCTTTCAAGAGATAATCCTAGTCGACTCCTCACATTCTATTCTTTTCTATCCATCCTGACCTATTCCCCTCCTCTGTCAAAGCCTTAATTATCTCCTTCCCCTTCCACTTCCCCTTTGATTAGCGGCCAAACTTGTTATTCACACTCGGGCAGCTCTGTGGTCAAGACATATCACCACTGGTGGTGGCTCTGTTTTTTTGCTGGACTTTCTTCCAATCTCTCTCCTTTTCCTACTTCCTTGGCCAAGTCCAAGATAAGACTTGTCTCTCGTTCCTCTTAAACCTTCTCCATTACCCTCGTCCTTGTCCTCGTCGTCTCCGGGACTACCGGGTCAGAAGCTCATACGTACCTCGTATAGTGAAGCTCCCGCTCACCTTGACAGCTCCAAAAGTCGAACCGAACCGCCTCCTGTTTCTTTCCGCGCTGCGTTGCTGGGCATCGCCTTCACCTTCGCCTTTGCCCTCAATCCCCCTGTGCTTGGCAGTTTATCGGCATGCCTGCGATTCTGCGATTGTGATCTAGGTCTCACATGCTTCTAATTGAGTCAACTCTCGGACTCATCACGACGTCATTCTGAACATTGGTCTCATTAAAGCCATTCATTCATTCATTCATTCATTCATTCCCGCTCCACCGATCAACCGACCGAAATTTCAGCTCACGCCGTGATATCTCTCTTCAAGTCTTTCAACTCTGCACCTATTGTTCCTCTTCCAAGGAGTTTTGTCTTGCGTGACTGTCTGCAGTATCTTCCAAGTTCATCTCCATCGCCCGAACGAACGAACAGTTGTACAGTACAATAACACTCCGCCTCTTAAGCTCTAAGCACATTCCTCGGCCGCCAAACGCAAGCCCAAACCCAAAATAATCGGATTCAACGATACACACGAAAGTATCAACGCCAGCCGCACCCACTTCCCGCCTCAACGTCAGCACATGCGGGGAGGTACTTTCAGTCTGATTTGTTCGACCTCGCTGCAACATTCGCATAAGTCAGTTGCCGAAAGCGCTGAGACATCTAGACGTCGAGGCGACCCTGTCACCCAGTCTCCGCGGTTTCCGTCTCAATACCGGCTTCGGCCTCTTTCGAAGGAATCCTAACTTGTTTTCACCTCGAGAGTTTGGTGTCGTGTGCATCCTCTATTTTGGCGGCATGCCAGGCACCTATACATCTTGAATCGTCCTCTAGGTATCTTTACTCCTAATTTGAGGCACTGCGAATTATCGAGCCCTGAAAACCTACCAGCGATTCTGGTCCAGGTGCAACTACGAGACCATCAAGATGAACTCTGAGAAATGGAAGAGGATGACTCTTCCCACCCTCAAAACGACGCCCCCTGTACCAATTCCGAACGAGGGGACGAAAGGATTCGACAATGGCGACGGAAAGAAACCACGCGTCTTTTCAAAAGCGCTTCGTTCTCTTAGCAATTCATCGATGGAATCCATGTCGCAACCCACGTCTCGAAGCTCATCCTCCATGCGGCGCCTACAAAAGACCAATTCCGGCTCAGGGTCCATGATCGATAGAATACACCGTCGAGTATCGATAGCGTCGCCGATGAGCGCATCCGCCCCTGAGTTTCCTTTGGCTGGCCCTGAAGTGCCTTATTCATCGATGGAACTTATCCAATTCGGACCTCTCAAGACCGATGTCACGCTCCTCAAAGCTCGCGCCGAATATTTGGTTCTGACGGATACTTGTTTAATCAAATTTGCTGGTGTAGAGGGAGCGAAAGCTGCTTTCACACAAATCAAGTCAAGCGATGGAACACTGAAGCCGAACACCCACCACTCTACGAGTAAATCTTCATCTGATATACGAATGGAAATCCCTTTGCGGTCTATTGTCGGTGTTTTTAACGAAGAAGGCTCGAGCCCTCGATTCGGCATTGAAGTCTGGTGGTTCTCTCAATGGCCAAAGTTGGCGTACTCCAGAGCACACTTGTTCTTCATGCTTCCCAAAGATAGGGATGACTGGCTGGCAAATATTCAAAGGGCTTGCAGAATGAGCCATAGAAGGTCTCCGTCACCATCCTTGATACCTAGCAACCTGAAAACGAGGATCAACCATATCGTGGAAACCACAGAAGTCGACTCAAACGCCAATACCTCCAAGACAGTAACATTTCCCGTGGTCAAGCGTACGATAGGCGCAACCCAAAAGACCAAGTCTGATGAAGAGTCTCAGCATTTTGTGGACGGCTCGTCGTTTTATATCGTCATCGGGCCAGCCATGCTGTACTTCATTGAGGTTCTTAAAGCAGATTACACAACCACCCCTGGAGACCTGCGTGTCAAGGTTCAGTCCTATGGTACAGTTTCACTGATTCGATTTCGAGCATCCGTTGCGTCGCACGAGCAGCGATTTGTCATGAGCTTCCGGTAAGTCGCAACTAGCCGTCTGCCTTGTTCCTGGATACTAAGAAAGTCGTAGTTTGCCGCTTGGTCGTGAAAACAGGCTCGAACTTGCTAGTGTCCATTACAGACATGTGATCGAGGCTATGACCAAGGTCGACCGAGAGCTGAAGCCCATGTGGCCGCAACATTTACAAAAGGCCATTTTCGATATTAAGGGCCTCCCCCCACCACTCCAACTAACCTCTGGAAACGATTTGGGAGGACTGGAGCGAAGTTTGCATGCCTACTGCGCTGCCTTCAAGGTTCAGGTTCCGAGATGGACTATTGAATGGAATACACCCTCGCAACCAGCTTTCCGCCTCTTACCTCCAGGCGCACAGCCATACTCTACGTTACAACTACTTGCATTGTTTCGAGCGCTGCGCTACAACAGTTACTTTAAAGAGCTTTCCTTCCGAAACATCGATCTATCTGGTCTTGCTGGGAAGAAGGACTACTCCCATTTTGGAGATACCATCGCTTACACATCTCTCAACGGAGTCAAAATTTCTGAAGAGCATTACGACATTCTGATGCAGTCTTCTGTCCTCAGTCAGGAGATGCACGCTCTCGCGTTCTCGTCCGAGTCGATCAGAAGTATGGATCTAAGGAATATTTTGGGCCCACGGAGCACCATAGGTCGCTCCAAGGACCCTGAGGGTTCTCGCAGAGTCAGCTCTGAAGTTCTGCGACCTATTATACTATTGCTGAAGCGTCAAGCGTGTCTTTGTCATAGCATCACTATGTCGGGCAACCTCATCTCACCAAGTGATGTCGAGGAGCTAGCTAATCTACTCGTGCTTGATGAAGTGTACATGAAGAAGCTTGACCTCTCCAATTGCGGGCTGGGCGATGAGGGTCTTACCACCCTCTGGACCGGTATTCCAGGCCAGGGCGCCAATCTCCAGCATATCGACACATCGGAGAACCAGGGCACGGTCAAGTTCGAGATTATTCGTGACTCACTGAGCCAACTTCAGGCTATAAGAAAGCTGAACATCGCTGGCAACACCCGAATTCCTTATGATGTTCCTTTGTTTGAGGACTATATATTGAATTCATGGTGCCTGGAGGAGCTTGACCTGTCCGGAATTACTGTAAGTACGCACGTCTAATGGCTTGGCTAAAACTAACATGATTATAGCTCAATGGTCCCACTGTTGATATCCTGACCGGATACCTAGCATCGCAGAGCTCCGAAGGCCTCCGAGTACTCCGCCTGAGTAAATGCGGTCTAACAGGTGCTCAAATAGCCCAGATGTTCTACGCGATGGGCCAAGCTCGACAAATCACACTATATATCAATGGCAATCGCCTGGACGAGGGCATTGATGATTTGTGTGCCGTCATTGGAGAATGCTTTGGTCCCTGGGGCCTCTTTGTGCAGATGGTTGAGTTTGCTTTGGAGTCCAACTATATCAAACTATTGAAGGCCTTGACAACCAACCAGACGATCGAGTGTCTGAGTCTTGCTGGTACAGCCACCCCTGACTCAGCCAGCGAAAGTGCCTGCCGAGCTATTTCTGATCTCTTCTCGCAAAACCAAACCATCAGATTCCTCGACCTGTCGGGCTTTGACGCCAAGTTAGACGAAGGCCGTCTTGGTCGGGGTTTCTCCAAGGCACTCAGTGGGCTCCGATTCAATACGCGGCTTGAACACCTGCGCATACGAAGTCAAATGTTGAACGTCAATATTGGAGACCTGGCTGAAGCCATCTCCGCCAATAAGACGCTCCACAGCCTCGATTGCGAGGGCAACGATTTCAATCTCTCCAATTTTCGGCATCTCGTGCGACATCTTAAAGACAGTACGACCATTCGATACTTTTCGGCTTTCTCGGATCGTGATCTGGCTCAGACAATACAAAAGTCGGTGGATGGTGCTGTAGCTACAGCAACCTCAACACGCAGACAGTCCATGATTTCAAAACTGCGACACGAGAAGGTCCCCCAAAGTATTAGCGATCCACTTACGCAGCAATTGCGAGAAGGATGGGAGGATGCAGTGCGAATACAACAGGAGGTCCTCGAGAGGAACCAGCTGTTGTACCAGGAAGGCGAAGATGGTCGCTACGATCCCGGCCAGGACGGATTCTTGCTTTGCGATGGCGAAGAGGACTTTTCCAAGGCATTCGGCGGGCTGGCGCTACGAGCATTCGAGGCGAAGAGGGCCATGAATCGCCGCGCATCCAACCCGTACTTGAATAACAGGAGAGCCAGCATGATCTCGCTGGGCCCAGCTCGACTTGTCAGCGCCGAGCCAGGCGCCAGAGTGTCAAGATCTTGGTCCAGATCGTACTCAATTGTCTCGAGTGAGGGAGGGATCAGTGCAGCTGAGAGCCCAAGTACAGGCTCGGCAGTTCCTACACCACCTGAGCCTGAAAGCCCAGTCGACAAGGAGTATCACATAAACAATCAGCAAGACGGGCACGACGACACCCTAGATTACGAATACAGCTTCGCGGATCCTCACGATACAGACTTTGGGCTTGAACTTCGAGCCCATCGGCGATTCTGGAGCGATGAAGCTGGATGCATCGAGGAAGAAGAGCATGGGGCGCAGTTTGACGAGCGGCGCGCGTGAGATGAGGTAATGAAGTCTAATGGGTAAACACGTGAGATAAAGGTGGCATTGAGGTCGACTCTTTTCCGATCATTCCGGAGTTTTTTTGTTGTCGTTTGGCATCGTGGTTTGTGTACGGGAGCTGGCGTTGATGGTCTTGGTATTATTATTTATGGTTCCGTTTTTGCGTATAAGTTACTCTTGATACCCTTCGCTAGGTAGTTTATTGTCTAGATGAGTCGAATTCCATATCTTCACATGTCTCAGATTAAGTATACCGCGTACCTTGCAACTCAATGCAACCTGCAAGTGCGCTTCGTCATGATACATATGCGAGTATCCGCTGTAACTCAATAAGCGTGATAAACTCGACAAGCAGTTTAAGTTGGCCTTGGATTCATTGCCAAAAAGTTCCAGATAGGAGGAAAAGACCGCCAATCCTTGTCAGTTTCCAGGAGAGCCTACCTAAGCCTAAGCCACCTCAATTTGCTTTGGGCTTCCATTCCCCTGTAAAAGCCCACAGGTACCTTGGCGGGCCACTAGAAGCGCTGCACTCCCGACTCCATGGGGGACGCCTCCACTAGCGACCTGCCCAAGAACGCTCGTCATCACGTACGAAGCCACTCGTTCACACTCTCTTCACTCCTCCATCCTCCATCAACACATCTCGTGGATGCCCTCTGTCCACTCCACAATTGCCATCCGAGGGCCCAACAGTCCTTTAATATTGTATTTCTCATCTTTTTACTGCATTTGTTTTTAGCTTTAGTATCTACCGCGAGAGCTCCTACGCTCCAGAGAGCAGCTCTCGGTTCCTCGCAACCCCCCGAATTTAGCGCCTCCTCGACCCCCGAACAAGCTCTCGTACGTGGTCTTGGGAATAAGGAACCAGTCCACAATGTACTCCAACTCGAACGCCTTTCTAGGCGGTAATAGCCAACGACCTGGTGGCCAGCAGCAGCAATATGGCGGAGGATCGTTTAGTAACCTTAGCGCTGGCCAGCAGCAGCAGCAGCCCGGCCAACCCAGTCCATTTGCGCCTCAGCCTACGGGCTTTGGACAACCTCCTTTGCAGCAGCAGTATACTGGGTTCCCAATGCAGGGCCAGGGTCTGCAGCCGCAGCAGCCTCTTCAGCAGCAGTTTACGGGGTTCCCAGGACAGCAGCAACCGCAACCTCAGCAGCAGCAGGGCTTCCAAACTGGTGCTCCCGCGATGCCGTCGATCCCGCCTCAGTTTCAGCAGCAGTTCCAACAGCAGCAACCCCAGCCAACTAGCTTCTCTGCTTCGCCTCAGCCGGCCTCTGGGCCCTCCAATCCACCCGCGCCGCCGGTGAAGCCTCAAGCTACCGGTTTTACTGAAATGGCTGCGTCTTTTCAAACTGGTGGTGGCGCAAAGCCGCGAGGTCGAAGAGCGGAGAAGTCGCAGCCCAACAAGATCCCCAATATCCGACTGTCCTTTATCACGGCACAGGATCAAGCCAAATTCGAAACCCTTTTCAAGTCTGCTGTGGGAGACGGCGGAATGACAATGTCAGGAGACAAGGCTCGCGATCTGCTTATGCGATCAAGGCTCGATGGCGACGCTCTATCGCATATCTGGTGAGGATCCTATTGGCATACCAGATTCGCGATTATCATGGTTGATATTAACATTTATCACAGGACTCTTGCTGATACCACTCGTGCTGGCCAGCTCTATTTCCCCGAATTCGCGCTCGCTATGTACCTGTGCAACTTGAAGCTTACTGGCAAGCAGCTGCCACCTAACCTTCCCGATAACATCAAGAATGAGGTTTCGAGCATGGTTGATATCATCAGCTTCAGTGTTGCGGACGATGGCGCCACTGCAGCTGGTGCTCCTTCTACCCCTGATATCAGGACCAACACGGCGACTCCCCCAACTATTCAGCAGCCTCAGCCTCAGCCCCAGGCTTCGAACGCCCAGCTACTCCAGACACAGATGACGGGATTTCCTGGACAGCAAACAGGATTTGGGCAGCCACAGGGCTTGCAAAGTCAGCAGACTGGCTTCCCCGGCATTCAGAACCCTCAGGCCACAGGATACAACGGCCCCAGGCCTCCAATGCCGCCTATGCCTACGGGCTTTGGTCAATCGCTGACTCCAGGTTCCGCGGGTGGTATGGCAGCTCCCCTGAACGCTCAACCCACAGGACGACCTGGTCAATGGGGTCTAGTCAATGCTCCCGCTAGCGGTCTCCCTAACATCGATGCCCTCCAGGCTCAGATGATGCCTCAACAAGGTCGAGAGGCTGGGAACTTCACAACTCAGGGCCTCCAAGGAAACGCTGTCATTCCATGGGCGATTACAAAGGAAGAGAAGACCCGATATGACTCTCTTTTCAGGGCTTGGGACGGTCTTGGTAAAGGATACATTGCTGGTGACCAGGCTATCGAGATCTTCGGCCAGAGTGGTCTTGAGAAACCTGACCTCGAGCGTGTATGGACCTTGGCCGATCACGGCAATAAGGGGCGTCTTGATCTCGACGAATTTGCCGTCGCAATGCATTTGATCTACAGAAAACTGAATGGTTACCCGTTGCCTAACAATCTCCCTGCCGAGCTTGTCCCTCCTTCGACTCGAAACTTCAGCCAGTCTATCGGCACTCTCAAGTCAATGCTTCACGACGAATCCGAGTTCCGTTCCAAGTCTGGGGCCGCCCTGCTGCCTCAGAAGACAGGCGTGAGTTATATGAAGAACCGCTCGTTCAGGGGCGCACCCGCCGGAGCCGTCGCTGGTCGCAAGGATGCCACAGTCTTCAAAAACGAAGATGAGCAATTTGGATATAGGTCTAGCGCCCGCCGTAGGGTTGGCAACAACTCTCCTCGACCCGAGTCTCCTGGATCTGTTACTTCGAATGACGAGTTGACCATAGATCAACTCAAGAAGAAGATTAAGGAGAAGGAGGTTTTATTGGATGCTATGGATTTCGCTGATGAGAAGAACCTGGAGGAAGACGACATCCTTGATCGTCGCGACCGACGTGAGGCCGATGAGCTGTATCGCCGTATTCGTCGCATAAAGGAGGATATTGATTCTCATCCCGATGCGGCCTTGGCAAGTGGTGACTCTGATGCCGAGAGAAGAGCTCTCAAGCGCCAACTTCAGAATCTTACTGATAAGGTTCCTGAGCTTGCTTCGCAGGTGCGAAGGACTGAGAAGGCCATCATGGAGGCCCGATTGGAGCTGTTCCGTATCAAGGATGCTAAGGCTCATCCTGGCAGTGGTGCTCCTATCGTAGGAACTGGACCTGGGGGCGCTGTTACCGAGTCCGATCGTCTTAAGGCCAGAGCCAAGGCCATGATGCAGCAGCGAACCGCGGCACTGACCGGAAAGAAGGTTGATGTAGGCACTGAGGACCACGATGCGCCCAAACGACTTGAGGAGGAAAGTATCAAGGTCAAGAACGAAAAGGAGAGTAACGAGCGCATGGTCCGTGATGTTGAAGAAAGTGTTCGCGACTTTGCTCACGGTATTGAAGACAATCTTAAGGAAGGCGGTCGTGATAACACCAGTGAGCACGAGAAGCGCCGTTGGGAGGACGCGCTTGGAGTCGAAGATGAGGTTCGCGATTTCATTTTTGATCTTCAACGTGAAAGCCGCAGCGCTCGAGTTCGCGCTCAGGACAAGCGACCAGCCCGAGCCTCAGCACGTGTTGAAGAGACTCGACCTGAACGTGTCGTTAGTCCACGAATTGAGAGCCCCGTTTCAGTCTCTCGAACTGCAACCCCCCCTGCTGGAGGATCATATGCCTCGTACAAGACCCCCGAGGAGCGAGCTGCTTTCATCAAGCAACAGGCTGAACAGCGTATGGCTGAGAGGCTGGCTGCTCTAGGAATCAAGGCCCCTACAAAGTCGGGCGAAACAGCTGCGCAGCGCATGGAGCGTGAACGATCTGAGCGAGCCGCTAAGCTACGACAAGCTGAGGAAGAGGATGCCCGTCGGGAGGCTGATCGCCAGGCTCGTCTGGCTGAAGAGCAGGGTTTGCCACCTCCCGCGGCTGAACAGCCAAAGACAGAGGCAAAGAAACCTCCACCTCCTCCTACTCGACACCGTGGTAAGCCAGAGGCTGATCAGGAAGCCACGAAGAAGGCCGAGGAGGACGCTGCTGCTAAGCAAGCTGAAGAACAACGACTCTCTCGTGAACATGAGCAACAGCAGCGTGAGACGCAGCAGCTAGAGTAAGTGCCATGCCAGCAGCTTAGAAATATATTCACTGACCATTGTGTAGGGAAGATGCTAAGGAGCAGGAAGATGACCTCGCCAAGGAGCGCGAGGCCTCTGAAGCTCGTCTCAAGGCCCTTGAAGAGCAAGTGAAACAAGGCAAGCTTCGTAAGGAGGAAGAGAAGAAGCGAAAGAAGGCTGCCATGGCTGAGGCCAAGGACAAAGAGGCCAAGCTCGCCGCGCGACGCGCTGAGATCGAGGCTGCCCGCCAACGCGAACTTGAGCTTCAGCGACAGCTCGAGTCCATGGAGGATGATGATAGCTCATCATCCGACGAAGACGAAGGTCCTCAGCAAATCACACCTCAAGCTTCGACACCTACTAGGAGCGACAGCCAAGTAGCCAGCCAAGAATTGGACGCAAAGCCCTCGCTTGCCCCTGAGCCCGCTGCTGAGCCAGTCTCTTCTCCTCCACCTCCCCCGACAGTTATTACATCGCCCCCTAGTGAGACTGAGAGTAAGAACCCATTCTTCCGGATGATGTCTCAGTCGAACGAAGGTTCTTCCGCTGCTGCCCCTGCTGCGCCAGCACCTTCGGCCACGAACCCCTTCCACAGGATGACCCAAAACCAAGAGACAAAGGCTCCCTCTGGTCCTGTCTCACGCCGCCGTGCTGACACAGATGATTGGGGCTCTGACAATGATGATAAGGACGATGAGTCTGACGACGATCGACCTGGTGGTGGCAACGCTGCCCAGCTCGCCTCCATGCTGTTTGGTACGATGGCGCCTCCCCGTCCTCTGTCGGCAGCCGGTAGAGAGTCGTCAACAGCTAGCCCTGTTGCCGTGAGTGCTGCGTCCCCTATCGCACCTCCTCCTCCCCCTCCACCGATGCCTAATGTCGAAGCCCCGGCTCCGATGACTTCTCCGCCCCCTCCTCCTCCTATGCCCGGAAGTGGTGTCCCTTCGGCTCCGCCACCTCCCCCTCCACCGATGCCATTAGCTGGAGCACCTCCTCCACCTCCACCTCCGATGGGTGGTGCTCCTCCTCCTCCCCCTCCTCCACCTGCCGGCGGTGCACCTGCTGCTCCTTCCGGCGGTGGCCGACCTGCGGGTTTCTTGAGCGAGATCCAGTTAGGCAGATCCCTCAAGAAGACAACTACCAAAGATAGCAGTACATCTGCAGTAGCCGGACGAGTTTTGGAGTAATGCTTTGGAGTGCATAGCTTGGAGATAACGCGGAAAGGGAGGTGGAAGTAGACCATTGCCAAGTATGAGGTGGGACCCGAGACAGGTGCAACATGGAGAAAGGAATGGCCATTTGTGTGAGGTGTGTTGAGCTAGCTAAGTTAGTTGATAATGTGAGTCTGGGATACGATGGATCGTGGTTCTGATGAACCTTTTTGGATCGGTACTTAATTGTGAAGATATGTCACCGCTGTACAACTGTCTTGTTGGAGCGATGAGGTGTGTGGTATGCTTGTAGAGAAACGTTGCTTGGAGATGCTGTGAAGCCACTGATGAAGCACGATGCCGCTTTCACGATAATGGTGTACGTCGGCGGGAAGGTATTGTACTCCGATATGGATCTATTGCAGAATGGAACAAACTGTACCACGTTGGCATAGGAAAAGTCTCAGCCAGGTCTCAAGGCTATTTCATAAATTCACGAGGGGAGTATACTCGGTGTGCCGACTTATAGACCAATAAGGTGTATTTGCATTACGAAGAGAGGTTTCGGTTCTCGCCATGTTGTAAGCATAAAGCTACAATTTACATTCTTCATCTTGATGGAAGTTCCCGAGTCAAGCGAGTCAAACATTTCAGCATGTAGCAGATTTCTGAGGTATGCTTGTGCATGCTCTGAGGTACGTACGTGATACAGGCGGTAGAAGTGGGTAGTCAATCTAAATGAAACATGCAAAATCGGGATTAGACATTTGACGAGGATTGCATATGCATATTCAAGTGCATATCATATCCGCACATATCCGTACGGCCACGATAGGTATGTCAGAGAGCCGAGCCTTGTGTTTCTCATTCCTTGCGACTCGAGTCAATGTGCCTTGGAAAGTGTGCATAGAAGGGTATCATTAGAGGTATATCAGGGATATATGGCACGATAGTAGAGCATAGTTCAGGTGGTTTAATACTAATTAGCTCCGGAGATGGGGCCGTGATATGCCACAGGCATGGTCGAGAAAAGCCAGGCTTGATTGATTTTTCCAAGGGGGGCTAGAGAGCGGTTTATGTGCCGAAGACATGCCCGGGGCGTCCGATATAACGCAGGGATAAATGAGTATATGCGAAAAAGACTCCAGTCTCCGCGATAGAGAGGCAGGGTCAGAGTTCAGGCGGGTCTGATACCTGATACAAGACCTCGGCCCTTGATTGAGGGGAAGTAAAATGAATCGAACTAATTGAATAAGCTATTTTAAAAATATTACTAAAATGAAATAAGAAGAAAAAGAAAATCCAAGCAGAAAGAAAAAAGAACTGAGCGTCCGATCGGATGGAAAGCTTGGATCAAATGCTGTGCTGGGTCTTTGACGAACGGACCTGTGAGTCCCCCTCCCTCCTCTGCTAGCCTTGAGACTAGATGAGTTGTCAAAGTGTGAATCTCTTTAAGAAACCTGGCTGTGCAAGATTGGCAGTTTCTCTTTTTTCTCATGCGAAACGAGGGGAAGAGAGTCCGTCCTAATCACTACTAACGTTAGAAGAGACGGCAGATGGTACTCCTCCGTAGCACTCGCTGACACTCGCTGACTGACAAGGCACCCCGATATCAGAACCCATTTAAAGCCATTGGGTTGGAAGGTTTGCGGAGAAGAGGCCTGGGACCCCCCGGGAAGTATTGAACTGGGATGAGCATGTTGGAGCGAATGGCTTCATGGAGCGTGTTCGCTGTGGACACTAGTTTAATTGAGGACGGGGGCACGAGACTCATCAGCTTCTTTTTAAAGATCATATCCATGATGTCACAGTCACTGTCACTGTCGCTGTCGCTGTCGCTGTCACTATCAGGCCAGGTCAAGTCTGATACATACTAAAAGTGTTCAAGTTGGATTCTTGTTACGATGGGACGGGTATAAGCCGAAATAAGGGAGGGAGGAATTTTGGAAAAGCAAAAGAGCGGTCAAGTAATTAATTTACAACACAAGAGTCGATCAATCAATCATTGAATCAGTTGATCACGTCACGCCAGACTCAGCTCAGTCGTGTCAAGCCAGGCCTTGCCCATGAGCAGGTCGAATTTTGGGTTGCATATTCATTCCTGTGATGCGATCGACAGAGGTTGGATTTGAAGTAGAGTTTGTTGGTTACTTACCTAAAGAGGCAGTGTGTCAATAATGCAAGCGACCAAGGCGACCCAGAGACGCGTGAGGGAGACGCGTCGTAAGCTCCCCTCTCTTGATTGACTTTTTGACTTTTTTGGTGGTGTAATACGAGGACTGACGAGAAGAGGGGAAGCGATGCCAACATTCTGTGGCTTAGTGAGGCTTTTTTTCTTCTTCTCTTCTCTTTATTTTACGTGCACAGCCGGTTCATGGATGATTAATTGATCATTATGACGCCTCTGTAGATACCCCGCTTGCATGGAACATCCATGTTTTGCTCTTGGCTTCGAAGTGAAGTTGCTTTGAGCCGACGCCGAGAGGATGGGTGTGGTGGTGTTGCGCCATTGACTACGATGAACTGCAGGTAAGAAACCCATTGACAGCTGAAACCAGTTGATAATGGGGCAAAGATCATCGATCAACTTTACTATGTACGGATCCTAGGCAATTACTAGATTGAGAAACGTGTTGGCAATACCCTGATTATCCTCATTTCTAATAGTTGGAAGTAATTGCCGAGTCATGGGGTTTTGCTAACCATGCATTTCTTTAACAGCAGATCATGCATGTCCCTAGCATGGCCATGTCGACGATAATACCCTGACACTGATCCTCATCCATCTCACACGTAACAACAACGGTTGTGCTCTGGGGATTGTGGAGTTTGGACGATATTCCCACCCTATACTCTGCACAGGCGTCTAACTGTACAATCCGATTTTTTGTCGACGAAGTAAAGTCAGGACAGACGGACTTGTTCGAGGCCTTTAATTGAGTCCGGATCAAATGTTACTGACTCTCCCGTTTTTTTAACGACATACAATGGACCAAGATCAAGGGAGAGGAGGGGTTTAAGGCTTCAAGCCACTAGAGTCTTGAAGATACCAGACTAACTATCCGTACTCCGTAGACCATGGCTTGTCCTTGGCGCCCCTCGGACTTAGGCAGTCGGCCTATTCTTGGGTTTGTATGGCAATTCAAAACCTCAATGCAAACCTTAACTTAAACCGAAAAGGACCAGACGGCACGAGGAAAACCCGTGTCTTCACATGCAAGGGAGAGCACTATTGTTGAGCCCCTGTTACCCTTACCTTAGATGTACAACAGTGGATATTGGCGGCCTATCTTTGCGTGGATCCCATTGTTAAAGAGAACGACACCATGAGGACTCAATGACGATGAAAGAATGAATGAAAGAGATGAATAAAAGAAACAGTGCGGGGGGATTAGTTTAGGTACCTATTGTTGCTTGTTTCACCGGCGCCAGCGGCTGATGGTGCATGTTTAGCATGCAACGCACAGTAGATGCGATGGTGTGCACAAGTCTACAACACATCCATCATCTTGCAGCTCTTTCAGGCACCAAACTCAAGTCTGAGACGCACTCTTCTGTTCACTTAAGGGTCATTGGATGCGACCTTGAAGACCTTGGGGACCCTCGAGATTGACTTGACCATGCTTGATTGGCTCTCGACGACTACAATCCAAACAAAAGGAACAGTCCCTGAGAGACGCGCCGTGGCGACATTCAAACAGAGCTCCCCAAAACCTGTAATATTTCAAAGTCCAGCGCATTCATTAATTATTAATTATAGAGAAGCCATTCGCACATGAACCTTCGCTTCCATTCATTCCCACCCACACCTCTTTGTTCGGAAACAAAGACCTCGCCTTGCGCACTGACCCTCGGTCTTCTTCCTCTTGGCTGGGACGGCCGTTTTTCTACCAAAAGAGGCTGCTGAACGGTTTTATTACTTGGCTAGGGTGTTTTCTGACTGCCTTGATTCTGCTAAGCAAGCATTCCACCTTGTTAAGCTGCCTCGGCATGGCCAATCACCGTCTAAAGAACCCTGTACGGAACTCATGGGTTTGTGAGCGGGGGCAATCCTCTATGATGTGATTCTCTGCCCGTTATCCGTACATCCATACCGTGTTGCTGAGATGGGAGTTTATGTGCTGCAAAAGATTAAGTGAGAGAACGAAACCACGGACAAGGAAGACAACGGCGACACGACATATTCAGATGTAGACTAACAAAGAAAGAAACAAAGATAAAGACACGTTGGCTTGTTGAGAAGCAGGCGTTTTCATCCAACAGGTTTCGGCATCTTCAACGTTAGATCGAATCTGGTATTGATTGTGGCTGGCTGGCTGTTCTTGATCAGGTATAGCATGGCAGGTATGGGCACTCGTTTATCTGGCAGTGCAGTGCAGTCCTTGATCTTTTTTTTTCTTCTTTTTTTTTCCCTCGTGACTAATATATTAGCTGTCAAGATATCAGATTGATCGAGACCAGGTTGATAGGAAATTGGGTTGAAAAAAATAAAAAAGGGCAGTTTCAAATGTACATACGAGCTCCCATGCTGCCCGCACTCAAGTGAATGTCGATTCTAGGGTCCTGCCTTCATCTCAAAAGAATCTCGCATCCCAGGCAGGATCGACACCAAAGTACATACAATCCCAGCGTCTGATCCGGAAGCAGGAGGAGAATAATCCCACACAGCCACAACCACAGGCACGACATAATTCGCTTCGCTTTGGGTCCAACATGAGCATCTTTGGCCTAAGCCGCCCAACGGAGAAGGCGGAACGGAACAGACGGACAGACAGACAGACAGACACACACACTGCAGGTAAATTGTTATGTACTGTAGATTGTAGGCAAGGTACGCCTGTACTGTAGCCTGTACACAGACTCCGTAGCTTAACTCTACCGCACAAGATCGAGATCTGCTGGGTTCTCAATCTCCACTGCCTTACATACAGATCAAGTTTCGTCGGGGCGCCGTGGCCGTCTATCATTTAAATGTGGTGCCAACCGACAGGCTCAAACCTCAAACGCTTCATTGCACAGGGGGCCGAGAATAGCATGATCAACGGCCTGGTTAAACAAGTGGCCGCATAATTTGAGGAGGAGAGATTTAATTTCATGTGCTTCTTGCTGTCACCAGAGAGCTGTGATATGATCTGTACGGATATCCGATCCATGGCCCATTGCGTGACCCGGAGTCGCCTCATGACGAGAGAATGTCTCATCATGGAATTGGCTTGTGTGTGTTCGGATGATGAGAGGCAACTAATGAGTCTACTACCCGTGAAAAGGGAGGACTTTTTGGTCTCTGTCTCTGATTTTCTCTTGATAAAGCAACATCCAACATCCAATCCCCGCATCCAATCCAATCCCCGCATCCAATCCAACCAGTCCAATCCGCATGCGCATCCAATTGAAGCATCTCTTGGCTACAGCATTCTATAACTCTGACGTGTCCAATCACACCTGTGTATTCAACGCGCGCGTCCAGGTTCAAGGACGAGGGCGCTTGGTGATGCACGTTTTAAATCCAAGAGGGAAGAAGAGCGTTGGATCCGATTTACACACTCACATTCACATTCACATTCACATTCACGGTTTGGTAGCGTAGGTAAGGGAGGACCCCTGTAATTTTCACGCGCTGCACGCCCCTAGTATTCCATCGATTCACACCTTGTGCAGGTGAGCTCACTTGAAAGTCAACACCATCTTGGTCTCCCTTTGGTCAGTTCTCGCTTCTCGCTCTCTTTCAGTCCTGAATCGCCCAATTCCCGAAACACGCACGCCCTCGATCTTATTTACACCCTCTCCATTACATGCTGTCTGGTTGGTTATCGTACTGCACTGTACCGTGCCGTATCGTATCGTATCGTAGCATTGCGTTGTGCTGCGTTGTGCATCTTGAGTCTTGAGAGGTCTCTCTCTCTCTTTATCTCTCCTCTTCCCCTCTCGTTCTCTTGCCCTCTCTACGGCTCTTACGAAACAAAAGAGAAATTGCCTCCACAAGGTTTACACGATAAACTAAACTGCCAATGACATCAGTCTCGCGTTGTCCGAACTGATGGATTGATTGCCTGCCAATCCAATCTTATACTATACCGTCTATCAAGGCAGAAGCAGAGACAGTGCTCGCGCAAAGTCCCCTCTTTGGCTCTTCTCGCGCTCTTCCTGTCGTGTCGTGTCAGCCCGGACGCTCTCCATCCAATCCCTGCCGTCCTTGTCAATCATCCATTCATCCTCCCTGCGCCGAGTCTCCACTCGGCCTCACACACGGCGGCCAGACGTGCAGACCACACGCGGTACAGTGCAGACAAGACACAAGGACACCTCCATCCACTGCTGCGCTCAACAGAGAGCGAGCGGGCGGCCTAGGCTCTCTATCTCTCCCCAGCTCCAGCTATTACAGCAGGTCCCAACCCAACCCAACCTGGAGACGCCTCCACCTCCGCCCACCAGCTGCTACCTACTTATCTAGGTACCTACCTACTCTCACTGTTCACGCACTGCTAAAGCTGGCTAGCTGCTCCAGCTGCTGGGGCACTCTCGTCCTTTTTCTCTTCCCCGACTGCAGGGCGCGGCACCACACACGCACTACACCTTGGCTGCATCATTCAATCAACCGCTCACACACACCTCAACTTCCTCTCACTCACCACTCACCTGCACTTTTATCCTTACATGTCCACTCTTCCTCACTTTCTCAAACCCTACCTTTTCTCTACTTTTATTGTTTTCGAATAATCTTCACATTTGCTCGCTTATCTCCTAGAGAAAGTAATCAGTAAATCTACTTCCACCCATCCATCTATTCCACATCGCATTTGGCCGCTATTACTGTTCTTCGACTCGTTCCCGGTTGGTGCACGACTTGCTCTTTAACCAGCAACTTCCCCTCCTCTGTTGTGTGTCAGCATCGCCAGTTTCACACCCAATCTCGACTCTACTATCTACTGCCTTGACCTGCTCATAAATCTTGATCAACGCGACTTTGATCATCTCCCTCTATACCGCCTGAACTCGCTTCTATATTCGGACCAACTCTCGACGACCGTGAACCCCAGATACCGGCTGCTTGTCCTATTGAACGCCCCGACCAAGTCACGACAGCCCTGTCAAAGCAGGCCCCACACCTCATTACTACCTTGAGCGACACGGTCCATCCAAGTGAGTCGCAAGTTCTTTTCTTCCCTCTCTTTCTTCCTTACCGTCATGCACACTTGTCCCATTAGGCTCTGCCGGTGTCCACTCATTAATTCCCACCTTCGCCCTTATCTTACCGTCATTCCCTTCCACTTCCCGTCCCCGGCATCGACTGACTAACCGCCATTCAAAGTCCCACGTTTGGTACCACCGTTTCTTTCGACGCCGCCGCGACACTGACCCAATATCGAGCCTCAAGACTCGATCACCATGGGCAAGCAAACGCGTTTCCCCGGCTCTACTGGGCCTCTTCAGATATTCCAGGACGAGATGCACGAAAATATTACACCCATGACCAGTCACGCTCCCATGCCTTCAGTCTCGAAGCCATCTCGAAGGCCTCTGTCAAGTTCAACATCGAACTCCGTCTTTAACCCACCTGCCGCTCCTTTCAGCGCACACTCTCCGTTCAAGCAAAGACCAGCTTCCTCGTCACAAGTGCCATTGACAGCGGCGCACGGCAACAAGTTGAACACGGTTGCGATGGCGCCTCCGTCGAGGCGAGGCTACAGCACTGATTCACTGCAAAAGAAGCCTTACCTCAAGAACTTTAAGACTTTCCCTCAAAAGCAGACATTCGATATGGGCTGGGACTTTGGAAAGGAGAACGTCCACCCACAGATATTCCCGGCACCTCCCAGTAGTGAGCTGTCGATTGACAATTACTACCAGAAGCCCAACGGCAAGCGCGCCCTAATGGAGGCGGCTCCTATCAAGGATTCCAGATCAGCCAAAAAGATGAAATCCGAGCCAATGACAGCGACGCCACCAGGAACAGACACAACGACAATTATTCCTCCCCACGATAGTTTTCCTCCTATCTTCGACGACGGTAACAAGCCTGCACTCAGCTATGCCGATTTGATCGCTTCCGCCATCTTGCGCTCTCCTAGTCGAAGGCTCACACTCAGCCAGATTTATACCTGGATCAGCGAGAACTACTCCTTTTATAGCCTTACCGATGCCGGCTGGCAGAACAGCATTCGACATAACCTTAGTCTCCAAAAGGCCTTTAAGAAAATCAACCGACCCAAGGACGATCCTGGCAAGGGCCATTACTGGGTGATTGAAACTGGCTGCGAAGCACAGTTTTTGAACAAGAAGTCGACCCGCAAGTCTGCCTCCGCCTCCGATAGCCTTCACGTCATGTCTACTCGCCTCGAACCCTCGCGCCCGGCTTCAGCACCCGTCCAGGAGCCTACGCTACCTCCGCCTGTTCCCGTTGGCCAGTCCGCTCTGCCACCTCTTCCAACTTCGCAGGCTACGATGTCGATTCCTGTTGATCTGTCGTCGGATGCTACGATTCCTGTCTCTGATAACATTGGTCCTGAAGACGTTACCGACAAGATCGACCATGATATTTCCATCGACTCTTTCCTCTACTCGCCTCTTCCCGCTGCCATGCATTCATCACCGCCTGTGTCTCGGCACGTAGACCACCGAAGCAACACGCCTCCACCGGTGTCGCGAAACCTGGCTTCATCCGTCTCACGATCTCACAGGCGCAAGATTGCATCAATGGATGATAGCGGATATATCTCTTCTCTCGAGTCATCGGCCATAAGGCCCAGTCAGAAGTTTATGCTCACATCAGAGGCTGACCGCCCTCGTAACAAGGCAAGGGGCCGTGCTGAAGAGGAGATAGCACGACTTCGAAACTCGTCCCCTTTTAGTCCCACCAAGACACGATTTCACTCCGTCATGCCACCAGTGTCTTCATCTCCTCTGCGACAAGCCTACGAGAAGCAGATGCTACCGCCACTGACGCCTGCGGTCAAGCTCATCCCCCGTCCTCAGCCACCTCCCTCGGCCTCGCCTAATACCTATCTCCGACATCACCGCAATACAATTTCTAACCTGCTCCAATCACCTGGCCCCAAGGGCTCGGGCTTTCTTCAACACGTTGAGAATAGCCCAAATTTTTGGTTGAGTACGGATAACTGCCAAACAGGCTTCGGTGCTAGCATTCTGAGTGATGCAGAATTCCCAGTTCACTTTGATCTTGCCGAATTGGGTGGTATTGATGATGGTTCTTTTGGTACTATGAGCTCAGTTGAAGCTGGATCTCCTATCAAACGTACTGTAAAGCGAAACCGACTGGATCGAACCCTCTCTGCGTCGGCTTTGGGTGAAATCACCAACTCTACGACTAAGAAGCCCATCGCTTCTGCCCCGCTCAGACCACCCGAGCAGTTTCTGCAGTTCGATAGTCCAAGCAAAGCGTTCGAGGGTCTCAGCTCTCCAAGCAAAATGTTCCAGGAATCCCCCATCCGAAACCAGTCTCCCTCCAAGTTCGCCAACTTCCTGAACGTTTCGCTAGACGGCAACGACTGGGCATCAGCAGCAATGGTAGACTTTAACCCTCATAACCACGTCGACTTTTCAGACGTGTCCAACGTCGACATTTGCCAAGGCTTTACCAAAATTGGATCTACATCACAGACCAACAACAAGAATAATGCCCCGAGGAACAACAAACCTGGATTACCCCGAAGCTACTCAACTCAATTTTGAGAGGAAGATTACCTTGAAAACGATGGTTGCCAGACGACGAAATAAGCATAATTATTTATGACTTTACGATTTGACGAAAGAATATAAGAACACGACAATTCCTTGAGACATGACCAGGTCTTGCCGGTCATGTTTGGTATGGACTAGAACAGAGACTCGGTTTATGCCGAGTGCTCAGAGTGGCTTCACAGCTAGCGGTTGGCGATGATAATGACTTGGGGGCGCGCTATGTCCGCTCACAAGGCTTGAGATGCAGGGCAGCACTTTATTGTTGTAATCCGTGGCTGATTCGGCTGTCAGCTTTATGCTCTGCTTTCACTCTTTTTGCGTTACACGGTTTTGTCAGTGCCTGGAGTTTGGATGCCTCTCAGCGTGGTATGATGTTAGGGCTTCCGTACACTCGGTATTTGTGCGCGTTTTTGTACTTAGATGCTTTATGTTTGTGAAATTACGGGAAGCGAATGGACAGGGAAGGGAATGGTCTGGACATACGACCATACATGACTGCTACTATCTAGCGTTGGGACCGAATATGAAATTAGCGTTACTGTGCTTTGATAAACTTTGTGTCTCTGTTATTGCCTGTTCATGTTATCATTATTAAACTTAAACATATTCACATGAGCGTCTGGACCATTTGTTCTCCTTAGTGACTTGTCTTGCATGAGATGGAGTGGCTAAGACAACCAATTCAGCACACATTTTGCTGCTGACGCATCTCTTGCTCATTCTTTCGGTTGAACTGAACTGCTTGCAAGGGGTTAAGCATTCGAGCCATGTATGGTAAAGGGGTATCTATTGTGGTTTACCTATACTAGTTGTTGATCTCCAAACCGCAAACGCCGTTAATCGCTATATAACCGCTTGGTTGTCTATATTGCCTACCTGTTATCCTTCAACCAATCGAAACTTTCCCATGCAAGAGCACAACCCCGCTAGGGGGTTACATCTATTCTTTTATAGCAAGATGCAGCCAGTCTAAGTTTTGTAAACGTGGATCTCCCTCTTCCACCGGCGAGTGGTTCTCCTAGTATATACGCATCCGTGTTGCCCAACCTGCCGCCTCCTTCTGGTCAAGATTGATTTTGTAAGGGAAGGGGTTTGCTCCTTGCGTTGTGATGGGCGGTATGTGATCTTTATGAGTATTTGCGAATGTTACTATCTTCATCGCAGTCGCTAGGAGGGTTTGCTCCATTGCGCGTCGGACCTTCGCTCGTTCTATGTATTTGTTAGCGACGTCGTTGCAAGCAACTTGACAAGTTCAATGTCCATACCGCTTTCCGTCCTCGGCTCCGCGACAGTTACTTTTATGGTCCAGCATTCCCAACAAACCTCTTCGTCGCCACGAGACAACCAAGCCTTACGACGGCGCTTCTCGAAGAACTGAACCACAAGCTGCCCCCGTCCTCCAGTACCACTCCCACTGCCAGCGTTATTTGCGCCGCCGGAGGAACGTTGAGCATCAATTTGGCGCTCAAGGGCGGCGACGCGCTGTTCTATCATGGTTTCGAGCTCATCGTCGTCGACATAAGGAAGCGTAAGGTCGAGGAACTCCCGAGTTTGAGGGACAAGTGAAGGGAAGAACCGATGAAAGAATATCGTATGTAGTATCCCTAAAGATAGGCCCGTCAGAGAGTCCATTTTTCATCACCCATTCATCGTCGCGATTGTCGCAAGGATGGCGGGGTGTCCGTACAGGGTAGGCCGAGGATCAGGAGATGAGATGAGATGAGAACTTACCTTTAACAACGTCGTGAACAGAACGCGGATCAGCGAACACGTCCAGTATAAACTCAGGGGGCTCCTGTTGGTCCATGTTGCTTGTGCTATCGTGTAAGCGGTTGTGGGCTAAAATCATGGTTGATGAGAGGTTGAATAGAAGGCGCTGAATGAGAGAAAGAGAGAGTTAAGGTACTGGGATAGTGACTTTCTAAACAACGTCACTGAGCCGTAAGGGAGGGGCATCTGATCGATGAGTTCCACTTACCCCGTGCTTTTATCTTGCACAGCCACAGCCACAGCCACAGTTGCATCAGTAGTCACATCGGCCATGCATCCCGAAGCCGACCACGGGCACGGGGGCACGGGGGCACGCCAATCCCATCTTACACTTGACTTGATCAAGCTTCCAGATTCGGGGCCGAGGCTCACATTGAGATTGACACTGACATCGACTGAACCTTTTTTTCCCCTTCCTTCCTTACCCCAACGAGAAAGTCTACAGTCACCAACCGAATACCCAACGGCTTTTTACCGTCCACATGTTCCCATAGTACGGCATCTAACTACCCTTTACCTCGGTGAACGTGGATACACATAACACATACAACTACATCTCCAACTTCCCATGAGCAATTGATCTCCATTTCCTCGTCGCGCAATCTTCCAAAATCATGTTCACATCCGCTCGGCGCTGGCTGCGCAATAACCGGACGCCCATTGCTGTAGGCGTGGGCGTCATCGGTGCTGGTTACGTCGCGACCCAGTATGTCATTGGCAAGCTCAATGATGCTCGTGAGCGCATGAGTAGCGATCGTATCGCGAAGGAGAAGTAAGCAACCATCCCATCTGATAAGGGTCAGAGGCAACATGTACACTAACAGTACATCATTTAGCTTGCGACGTCGCTTCGAACAGAACCAGGAGGACTGTACGTTCACCGTCCTGGCTCTCCTGCCATCCGCAACGACCGCCATTCTCGAGGCCATGAACACAGAGCAGATCACATTCGAGATCCAACAGATGAAGGCCACCAAAGCCATAAAGAACGGCGGCTCTGAGTCGGCCGCGCCGCCTAGCATCGCCGATACTACAATGACAGAAGAGGATGGAAAAAGTATGGCAGGTCAGAGCGAGAGCGGTGTGCAAACAAGCCAGCCTCCCACATCGTCACCATTCAACGCTGGAGGCGAGGCGAATAAGGAAGCTCCAAAGCCACGTAAGACGAAGCGACAATTATGGGATGATGTGACTATTAGCGGTAAGTGACATTCTCTACTATCAGTGCTGCAGATAACTGATACGCTCTACAGCTGTGACGCGGTCCTTTACTTTGATATATACCCTTGCGTTGCTGACAATGCTCACTCGGGTACAACTTAATCTCCTTGGTCGACGGAGCTATCTATCGAGTGTAGTGGCCCTCGCCACTGGCGGTCAACAGGGCACCATCAGCCTCGAGAACAACGATGACGATAATACGGAACAGACATATGGCAGTGACTTCGACATAAACCGCAAGTACCTGACCTTTAGCTGGTGGTTGCTCAACAAGGGCTGGGTGGACCTGATGCACCGAGTTGAAAGTGCCGTGCGTACTGTCTTTGGTAGTTTGAGCCCCAGGGATATCTTGAGCTTCGAGAGATTCTCTGAGTTGACGACCGAGGTCAGGAAGCTTGTCGAGGGCTCCACGAAGGAGGAGCGCTCGAAGTCTGACTGGCTCAACTTCCTACTTCCACCCAGAGATATGGAGGATGAGGTGATCCGAGAGTCAGGCATCCTTGATGAGACAGCCAACCGAGAAGGCGAGCACTCAACAGCTGCGTCGCAGGCAATCTTGAGACGGCTTCTCGACGAGACGGCCGATCTCATCGAGTCACCCAGTTTTACACACGTCCTTACTCTTCTTCTTGATACTGGCTTCTCATATCTCATTGACAATAAGCTTGCAACGGCCGCGTTTGAGCTCCCAGCCTCGGATGGCATCGTCACCCCTGAACTCAAAGACCAGCAACGCTCCAAGGTGATTCTACTGCCCAAGATCTTGTCGGTATTGACGCGCCAGGCTCATGCCATTGGTGATGGAATGCCCAACGAGTATCTCCAGAAGATGGAGACAGTTCGCGATCTCGAGGCATTTGCCGCAGTCGTGTACTCCAGCAACTGGGAGCAGGAAATTCGTGCAGATGATGACCTCATGGCCAGCGCCGTTGACCTTGGTGCTTCACAGACTAGTGGTATAGTGTCGCAAGCACAGGCTCAGACTCAAACACAGACACAAACACAGACACAAGCACAAGGTGAATCAAGTCTAGTTGTGGTAGATCCGCAAGGAGGCTTTGAGAGCGCATGGGGCCGGGCAGTAGAGGATAAGTCGTAAGGTGTCTTTTGGTTGTATTGCTGCATAGGATATGAGGGAGTCATGGTGGGAGTCTCACGGGAATCATCAGGTTATAGGGGTATAAACGAGCAGCGTAATATTGGGATGCATTTGAATCACCGAGACACAAAACCATATCAAGTTATTTAGAGGCGAGTGCACGGTATTGGCATAGTATAGTCGAGTCTGAGGGATTGCCCTCGTGTAAAATTAATGCCGGAATCGGCGTTGGGTATAGTCTTTTCTCTCTGCCTCCTGGTGTCTTCTCTGAGACTGAGGTTTGTCTTTCTCGTTCTGACGGACTCGTGATCCATGGTGAATCATTGACCTTGCTTGATGTCATGTAACACAGCTACGATGATCTCGGGCCAGGCTGTCCCTCCTTGTTCTTAAGGCTGCGTTAGAGGAAGCTTTATCCTCATATATACCCTACGAGGACGATTCTCAAGAGCGTATTGTCCTTGAAGAGAAAGGATCTACCCTCGAGCTGCCCGGTGGTATTGCTGATGATTGAAAGACTCTGCTTTCGACGATACTCTAAACCTTAATTCGCGGCTCACATTAGACCTCTAATGAACTGATCAAGACCGAGCTCAAAGAGCTCATTCTTGACACCGTCGCCACCCTTATGTTCCACTGGAGCCAGGGGATTCTTGACCACTAAATACAAAGATTAGTTATAGATTTGGCACTGCTGTAGCCAGTAGAACATACCATATTCCACCCATAGGTTGATATATATCTGGTGCAGCACATTACGCATGCTTAACGTCGCTGTGTCTGTGAGGATAACAAATCGTAGATTGGCAGGCGTCTCGTAGAAATGCAGCTTGTACTGGGATGTGCGGTAGCTGATAAATGCGTCGTCATCGCCGCCGAGCTTGCGAACCATGTTGCGGAGGGAGAAGACAGTGCCGAATAGGAGCTTTGCGTCGTCGGAGGATGTCACGGGGGCTGCGGTTTCGGGGCCTGCAGATGATGGCAGCCATGACTTCGAGTAGACACACTCAGCTAAAGTAGGGAAGATATGTTGTTAGTTACAGGGCTTTGAACATACGATTAGAAGGGAGGGTGTTATTTACTGTGTCTGTCAAAGATATGGAATGAGTAGACGACCATGATGGCGGTTCAAGGGGCTCGACTTATGGTTGACGTGTAGGGGCTGTTGGATAGTAGGAACTGAAGTGAAGAGCGCAGAATTCGTAGGCGTGTTTGGTTATGACCGGAGTGTGATATAGTCGATATGCGATTCCAAGCTGAGTAGAGCTCGATTTGGGTGATATGAGGTGGATGGAATGCGATGCGATGCGCCGCGATGGATATGTGTAGGTATGTACCTTAGGTTGTCTGGTGGAGAGTTCAAGCCCACCTCATCATGGGCTGGGTTGAACTGTGTCATCCACTGAGGCTCAATTAACTGTGGCGGGTTAGGGGTCCATGTACAGTATGGAAAGCTTGGGCGCCCGGGGCTGCCCTGGAGTTGGAGCTTTGGCTACCCGTCCTCAGCGCCTCATTTGCCCATTCATATTTAGTCCAGCTGGAGCTGGAAGGCTGAGCTGACTTGACTGTAAGCGGCGGGGGTAGCCAAGGCTCACTCACTTCCATGAGGTGCCTTAGTACTTCCAGGTACCTACCTACCTACCTTGTATTCAAAGGACCCCAAGCCTCCACCATTGAAAACCACCTGGCATCCTTCTTCTACACTAACAGTGATTTGACCTCGTCGCGTCTGCCACATTCATTCTTCACCGGGCTCTTTTCTAGGTTCTCTTTCTTCCCTGAAGCGTCCCCAATTGTTAAGTCGAAAGCCTCTTTGACTATCCCATCGCGGGGTGCGGGGCAGCTGACCTTTTGCGACTATCTATCTAACCTCCATTTCCACCTAATCTTTGCTTGACTGGGCGCATCTATCTCATCACTCACAATGGACACCTCGGAGACAGCGACACCTCCAGAGATGAGGCCTGCATTCACTTTCCCTTCGATTCAAGTCAAGGTCGATCAACATGACGATCCATCGGACAATAAGCCTCCCCTGACCCATCACTTGTAAGTCAATGCCAATGCCAATGCCAATGTCAACCCAAAACCCCAATTCATTTAGCTGATGGCGTTTTTAATAAAGGACCGAGCCAGCAGAGGTCCTCCACTTCGCAAGTCCTCTTAGGCATCACAAGAGAACTCCAAGCACTCATCGACAAGTCAAGGTGCGACTACAATGTCAACCCAGGACCTTGCTCATGCTCGGCTAACCACCTCCGTAGGAAACTCTTGATGCGCAGACGCAGTATGGAGACGAGAATGATGACGGATGCTCTCATCACCGAGTCAACCAGTACACAATCCATGAAGAGATTGGAAGAGGTTCCTACGGCGCTGTCCATCTTGCGAGAGACCAGTTCGGCCACGAATATGTGAGTGTCAAACCAAGTCTAGCTCACCCCAGACGCTGTCCTCTGACTTACACAACTTCAGGCTGTCAAAGAGTTCTCCAAAGCTCGTCTTCGAAAACGGCTTCAATCCAACATTCTTAGACAAGGTCCAAGAGGCCCAAGGCGCATGGGTCCTGGTGTCGGTGGCCAATTCAACGCTGCGCCTCGAGTCAACAACACAAATGATGCACTGCACCTTATTCGAGAGGAAATCGCCATCATGAAGAAACTCAACCACCCAAATCTAGTACAGCTTTACGAAGTTCTTGATGATCCCGAAGAAGACTCTATCTACATGGTACTCGAGATGTGTAGAAAAGGTGTCGTCATGCAGGTCGGCTTAGACGAGCAGGCCAAACCATACCCAGAGGAGAATTGTCGCTACTGGTTCCGAGATCTGATACTGGCAATTGAGTATCGTAAGTAAACCCACTTCCCATCTCAATTTCCCATGGAGCTGACTTAATGTCGCCACAGTTCATGCTCAAGGTGTCATCCATCGAGATATCAAACCAGATAACCTGCTCTTGTCCGACGACGATGTGCTCAAGGTTGTTGACTTTGGAGTTTCTGAGATGTTCGAGAAACCGGAGAACATGAGAACAGCAAAGTCCGCAGGGTCGCCGGCCTTCTTGCCTCCCGAACTATGCGGCAAGCATGGTGATGTGTCGGGCACCGCGGCTGACATCTGGTCCATGGGAGTCTCGCTTTATTGTCTCAAGTACGGGAGCATCCCTTTCAACCGTGACGGAGTCATGGACATGTACGACGCCATCAGGTCCGATGAGCCTTCTCTTCCCCAAGATGAGAATCCAGCCTTTGTCGATCTGATGCAGAAGGTTCTTAACAAGGACCCGGAACAGCGTATTACCATGGATAAGCTTCGAGTAAGACAATCGAACCTGTCGAGCACGTGCATTGTTGACGCTGACATTCAAACAGGTACATCCTTGGGTCACCAAGGAAGGCACGGATGATCTACTTTCTGCTGAGGAGAACTGCATCCACATGGTCGAACCCCCAAACGAGCTTGAAGTCAACCGCGCTTTTACTCGCAAGATGAACCACCTTCTCTGTGTTATGAAAGCTATACATCGTTTCAAGAGTATCCTGGCCAAGCATCGCGCCGCTTCCAACAGCAGCACCCCTAAGCAGAGTCAGAACAGGTCGGGCACATTCGATGCGTCTCAGGAGAGGGCCAAGGCCGAAGTTATTGAGGCGTTGCTCTATCAGAGGCGCAAATTCCAGAACGACAAGTCTGACAATGGCAATACGCCATTGCCAGTGTATGAAAACACAACGCCGTTCTTAGGTATCGGGACAGGAACTAGAGACGAGTTTGCTTCTAACGAAGCCACTCCAGATATGGTGTCTGATTCGCCCACAGCTGTTGACTTTAACGTTTATGATCGAGCGTACGAAACCGCTATAGAAAACATCACATCCAGTCAGAACGATCATTCGCGGAGACCAACCGTGTACCTGACAAAATTTGTCAAGGATATGCATAAGCTAAAGGAGGCCCTGCCTGGGCACGAAGACAACCCTGGAACTTCTGATGATCAACAGGGCCAGGCATCGGGTTCAGCAGATCCAGCAGCCACTATGGCAAACCTTGCTGCAAAGCTAGGCCTCAAAGACAAGAAATAGGACAAATACGACCCAGTTCAGGATAATCCGTTATATCTGAAGTGAGGCTGCAGGATTGGAAAGTACATGCGGGATATTGGCGTTCAGGAGGGACTGGATCGGCAATGCGAGATACAAGGCGTTGTATTCTTACAAGAACTCAGAGACAACGATACCACAATAACATATATGTGAAAATGGCGAATACAATGTATACTCACAGATGGGTGCAACTGAGTCTACTATCGAGTCGATCGGCATGTTCTTATATTGCAAGCGGGCAATAAGACGCATTGGATGACAATTGCGCATGACGTTGAATTGAATGTATCACGACAAAAAGGATAATGATTAGCAGCCAGCTGACTCTTGGTATGCGCTGGGCCACTCGACCCTTGATGTGATGGGCACCTTCCACGCATGTGATCTGCCTCCACTCGGAGGCCAGAGTAGAGTTGTTGTCGTGATGACAGTAGAAGTGAGTTAGTACTCCTTTTGGCCTCGAGACCTCACCTCTGTGGTCTGCAACGCCTGTCATACGGGTCCAAGACAGCGAGTACGGCTCTGACCAGGCGTGGCCAGTAGGTAGCTTATCCATCTGGAAGGAGAGGCATGATATGCTTTCAAGATACCGACTAGGATGAGAACAAACCAAAGATTGTTCAAATGGACGCCCCATTAAGCCCGCTATCTTGGTAAAACACAACAACCGAGATGGTTAAAATTAGTCGCGGCAACGGGAGGCTCTCCCGAAGACGGGATGTAAAATTTCCTCATGCATAAGTGGGTGCCACTGTACAGAAAGGCGCCAGGAACACCCGACGCCACGTGGAAACTGCTGTCCAAGGTGTCACTGTACTTCGAGTGTACTATCAAGGCTCAACCGCCGATCCCCAAAGGTAGCGATTAACGGCCACCAAAGAAAGGTGTTGTGAGACAGAATTGGGCCTGCAACATGGGCCGGGCTGCTGTTTGGCAGGGTCGAGATGAAAGCTTCGATAAGCATAAGCTTGTGTGGGCCGCAGGGGTGGTTTTCGGGAGCAGAACCGGGGTTGAGATGATGGGTTGATTGGGCGTAAGGAACCAGTGAGCTGTCGACGATAGGCCACGAGCAGACAAAGCGAGGATACTTTGCTGTCGGTGTATAAGATCTGTATACGAAGTAAATAGACCCTTCTTCGGTGAAATGGAAACGGTGTGACGTTAGTCCAAGTTAGGATATAAGTCTCGAAAAACTCAAGATATTAAAAAAAAAAATCGGTGGTCTGATTCTGTACTTTGCAACTTGTCTTTTGACCAGCTAGCATAACATGGACTGGAAAATGGTATTGATGTATGGGAGTGCGAGATACTGTTGTCACGCTCCCTTTACGGCGTATTGTGTCCTGGACCATGAGTGCTTCTTGGTTACGCAAGAATGTTGATATATGATGGATTATCAGGCGGTGAAGGCTTCTGTTTCGAGCAAGTTTTTTCTTGAACTGGCCCGAGCCCAACAAAGAGCACTTCTATTGCCTCTTCTGGTCCGGATTGTGTAGCATCCACCCCGTCTTGAACCATTCATGTTCGATAATCAAATTCATGGGATAGAGCAATCCTTATATGTGATAAGGTTTGTTTCAAGAGCCAACAGGGATGCTCAACTTCCCACCCCTGCGACTAGTGTCGTGTATTAGAACAACCCCCATATGCTTGTTCGTAGATTAGAAGCTGCGTTGTTCTTGATGATGGTTGCATACAAGGAACTGGCATCTGAGCTCGACATAGAAACATTAGTGATGGGCTAGAAGCAAGCCTGGTGGCTGCAGCACATGCATACGCAACCAACAGTGTCGAGCTCAAGTCAGAGTTTAGCGAACGATATACAGTACCAACATCATTCAGTAGAGGCTGGCTTGACCAAATGGTACTGCATGAGGTGTCGGACAATCGGCTATGAAGGTCGACGTCGGAACAAGCACTCGGGAAATCTGGTCTCTCTTCCGCAACACAACCCTTGACTCTTGTTGGACAGGGAACGGGGATCAACTCCAGGGCCTGGAGGCCTCTACGGACACCGTATACCGTTGTCCCCGACTCTCTACGGAAGAAGAAGTCAAAAGTCGCTTGTTGTCAGAACTAGCTCAATCCAGTGTTGGCGGGGTCCTGGCAGAGCTCCTGACCGCACTGCAGTCATGCCATGCACGGGAGGTTCCATAGCGTAATTTCGGGGGAGGGGGCTGTGCATGTGCGTGTACATGTCCAGTAGGAAAGATGTGCGAGTATCGTATTTCGAGGCATTGGAGCCATAGTCCAAACAAGAGAAAAGCAGCGACATCAGCAGGACATGCCACTTCATCGCGCTTCGTGCGGATGCGAGGAAATACCTCATAGTGTGTATTCTCGTTCGTCTCATTTCGTGTGTGCGGCAATGCATGTTCCATCTCGATCATGTCGCTATTACTTGACACCATTTGGTTGCAGTGTCGTTTATACCCGTGTGTGTTCGCCGGCAAAGGACTGAAGCAGTTGCCGAACCGCAACCCTGATATATCTGTTGCCATTTGTCAGAGACAGTCACCATTGAATCAACTCTAGGTTGTTGCTTCGCCATCAAATATATGTTGTAGTGCAATCGTGAATTGGAACCTTTTCCAGTCCTCATCATACCTACAAATCGTTGTCCCCTCTATACAAGATATGTATAGGCTTGTGGCTAGGTACTGTTGGCCTACTGTTATGTCGTTGGTTGTATTACGTACCCAGCAAGGAAGTGAATTGATACAGAATTACGGAAACTGGTGCAAGCCCTGATGGTTCCAGTTGGTCTTCTCATGGAAATCATCGTTGGATACCTAGGTACCTACGTTGGAGGCTGAAGGAGAAGATGTAGAGTGAGGGCATGGATCTGTTCATCTGCTGTAGAAGGCAGGAGGCATTAGAGACATCCACACCCATTGATAAATCTTGGCAGGAGCCATGAGCCCATCTGGATCTATGAGCTAGACCCTTCCTTCCGTTCTATGAGAGGGGTGCAACCCATGCATTTTCAATATTGGAAGTTGTTGCAACAGAAAGAGCTCCCGGCCCGGTAGCTACTTCTACAAACCATGAGCTAAACCTGTGCATTTCTGGCAAAAGGCCAAGAGTTCAAGTGGCTTTTGCTACGTAAATGTTCTTGATTGTGTGGTATTTGTAAGTTCAGTATTTAAATGGCAATTGATTTCATGATTGTCATGATGAATTCCACGCTTTTCTTCTTACACGCGAGGGCAAGTGCAGGGTTCCCGGAGACGCTGATGCCAATGCTGTAGGGCCAGCCAATGGCGATTCACCAATTCTGAAGGTGTCGGGTGCTTTGAGCGCCTAGCGGCCAGAACGCAAAGGGTTCACACTTCACAGTCTCGCCATCAACTTCAATGCTTGGCTGGGAGATTGTGGCCAACGACTTTCCGGTCCATGCAGTAGAAAATGCGAGGTGGTATTATTATCATCGCCATCAAAACGATACTTAATGTACCTATTACTAGATGCTGACGCACGATCCGTCGATGCTAATGTTGGTGTACCACAGAACAAATTTGATTTCATGAACACCTGTCTTGGCAATATGACTGGTAAACATTTCTCCCCTAACGATCCGGATGTATCCAACGGTGAATGTCTTCTTCAACCGGCTATTCCCTCAAGCTTAACCCTAACTAACGACCTCTTGCTAGACGATACATGTTCCTTTCTCGACCAGGATTGTCTTCAACCCAGAAGAATCCATCTCATACACACTCCTCCTAGCGTGCGGGCTCCTCCACAATTGAGATCCCTGTCTAGCCAGATCTCTCCCTCACCATGCGCCATTTCTTGGCACTTCTGTCAGTGGAGCTTACTGGGGATGGCACGAGGTCAAGGATATTATTCAACCCATCAAAGACCAGTCCAGCCCTCACCTCGCGTAACCAGGAGGAATATATCCTGATTCTAGTCGTTACAGAGAACGTTTGCTGACATATGTCACATTAACTTCGGCTTGTGTAAAGACACAGGCGAGCCTCGAACAAGCTGGAAATTACGACAAGTTACAGACACTCGTCTTGGTCAGACAAATAATGGCACATGTCAATGGGCAGTGGTAGCCTTCCGAGCCAGGTAGTCCAAACCGCTACTGCGTCCACACCCACTGTCCGAAATCTCATAACCTGCCGTACAACTGATGCGTCTGTGGTCAGGGTGTCCAGGCAAGTCTTGAGAGGCCAGCCTCGAGTTGCACATATCAACGGTATGGACGTTGAAGGCCTCCGCCTTGATTGTATTATTTTGCTATTAGGCTCACTAACCAAGTTACAAACCAGGTAATTCTCAACCAAGTCACCTCCGAAACGTCCCGGGCAATTTAAAGAGACAAAGCAGTCTGTTCAACCAACGTCTTAGGGTATCCACAGAGATGTACCACACCGCATTGACCGCTGAGGTGCACCGGCTCTGCTTTGAGCTGGAGCTCCTAGCGCTAACGTTCGAGCCCGCGATGCGGATAGGAATGCGGTAACTGTTCCAGTGCCGCTTCCACATGCCTGAAGAATGAATCGGAGGAATGAGCCATGAGCCCTGTGTCCTCTCCAGCGCCGCCCCGTCATATTGCAAGGAGAACCGTACCGCGCGGTTGGGGACAAGAACTTTGTCTAGTGCCTCGCCTTTGTCATGCAAGGTAAGGGCAATGCTGTGCAGTGCTTTAGTTTGCCCTGATGCCGAAAGACTAAACATATTGCATCGTGTGGTTTATCCCGCACTACGCACAGCGTCGCGAATTTCTATTGATCGCGTCGTAACTTCAGTCTTCAATAATTATTGCATGGGACCGGATCGATCCTTGCCGGTGCGTTTCTCACAGATCTGCCGTCATACACTCAGATGCTCCCCTCGGTATTCCGGATTGGCTCTTTGCTCTACGTCACCGCCTTTGGGTTGATGTGCTACACAAGATGCAATTCGTGCTGATGCGATAATGAATATGAGAGAAGGGTCCTGTTGAAAAGCAACTGAAGCACGTTCGTTCGTTACAGGGGTTTCTTCGCCGCAAAGCTTGGCTGGACACTTTGGAGGTATGATCCTTTTCCGCGTTGGATGGAAAGGTACGGAGTAGATGAGGTTCAACGATAGGTACTGGAGGGTACCCCATACTAAATCATACATCATGTATGCCCCTGCTGGATGACAGGCGGGGCTTGACGGTTCCCAGTCTGAGGTACCACGCCGTCTTGGCTGAACCCAAAAGAGACCTCGACGAGTGGGTCTAGTTGTCGCTCAGATTGGCATTGAGCTCAGGAGGGAGTTCCCTCTCCGGTACCTGGACCTTAAAGCACTGCATCATGACTGCTCCCTTTTGAGGAGTAGTGCTGTGTGGCCCCTCCTTTCATGATGGGCTTTTGATGAGGGCCAGGGCTCACACAGACGCCAAATCAAAAACCTTTACTCTTGTGGAAGAGGTTTGGTCGCCCGCATCGAGAAGAAAAAACCCAGCGGATTGGATGATCAATCATGAGAATTGATGTGGTTAGTACGGAAATATGGCCTTCTGACCAGCGCCAATGCAGCATACAACCCTCCTTGCTTGATGTAAAGTATGGTACTGTACCTAACAGAAGAGAAAAGGGCTTTTGTTTCTGTTCCCCTCGGTGCCGGGGATCTCCACCTGGCATGCTGCAGGTAGTCGGTGCATGATGATATTGACAGGCAGCAAGATACTGATTGAGGTAGCAATTGACCGGTGATGAACCTGATAAACCTGATGTAGGCTGAGAAGGGTAAAATAATATGGAAAACATTATCAATGCGACCCATACAAAGGCTTTTGATATCGGCGCAGCCCCGGCTCTACGGTTCGTATCTGTTGATGTTGATGTAATCGTTGACGAGCGTGAATTGGAGAAATGCTGTTTTCGGGCAATGAATTACCTGGCAAAGTAGGTGTGCAGCCGCTCGTCCTTGTATATTTGCTCCATTTCTCCAGTAGCAAGTGCTTGTAAGTGAAGGTGTAGGTACTAACTAGGAGGTAGTTCGCAGTTAGTAATAGTTGGGTAAAATTACAGATGACAGCCCCGACCTTTTTATTCCCCCCCCCTACACCGGTAGGGCAAGGTAGGTAGGTACATTCTAATTAACCTCGTAGGTACCTGCCTCTTGATGGTTGATGTTCTAGCTAGTAAAGTACTCGGCTGTACTCACCTTGCAACCCGTCAGTCACTTATAACTTACCTACTAACCTTTACTCACTGTAATTGATTAATTGTGATTGCTCTGCTCTAAACAAGACGGGACCAGGCCTTGCTTTATTCGCAGTGCTTAAGTTAGCCTTACCTGACCTTACCTAGGTAGAGCCTGGGTACTCCCCAAAACCCTTATTCACTTTTTCTTGCCGTCTTAAATTCCCGCTTCCCTTTTTTCTTTCTTTTACCGTTGCATCTTTTCACCCTTTACTTCCTTTCTCTTTACTCTGTCTCCCGTCCTTGGTTCCTCCTTTAATATTGTTCTGTTTATCCGGAGCAGTCACGACAAAGGCAGACCAACTCCCTCATCTTCTGTTTTTGGTACAGCTGCAACAGGGCGCCAGAGCCCATTGACCACCCCCCGCAGGCGACTCTTGTATAGCGAGCGCTGCCACTAAGACAGACGGAGGGCATTTTCCTGTATTCGGGCATTTTCACCAGTCGAATCGAAATTTCTTGGCGAATACCTACTCTGTACCTCTTTTCTTGTCTCGTCTCGTTTCGTCTGTCTCGTCATCGTGACCCAAGCTACCTACCTATCTATCGGCAGCACAGCGCAGTACAGCAGAAAACAGCAGAAAACAGAGAACAGAACCGGGCAGAGAAGAACAAGTAGGGTGCCTTCCATACTTACTTCACGATAATAGCGGTCCCTTGCAACTTTCAACTTGCAAGCCGACATTCGTCCGTGACCTGCATCCGCCTTTGTCTTGGCGCTCGGCATCATCATCATCGGCCAAGAGTCCACAGGCAGAATCAGACGCTCCCCAAGCGTCCTGTTCTTGCACTTTTTTGTTCTATTCTTCTGGCTTTTTTCCCCCAAGGGTGGCCTAGAATAGACAACTTGACCTCGGGAATAGAATCTTTGTCGGTACTGTTCGGCACATATCGCATCAGCATCCCACCAACAACAAGTTGCAACCCGCCACTCGCGAGGTACCAGTATTGTTCTGGCTTTTTAGCCACTATCACCACCTCCAATCCGATAAAGTGCCTACAGCAGTACGCTTCATCCAATACGTATTGTCGCTTGCCTTCTGCTTCGCCTCATCCCCACTCCCCGCCAAGATCGGATCCCAAAGACAGCTCAGAGATCCCCCACTGCACTGTTTTTGCTCGCTCGTCAATCTTGTTCTGCGCTGCGTTGCGCCTTTTCAGCGAAACCCAAACCTGGCTCTGCTGCGTTCGGCATTTCTCTCGTCACCTGGCTTACTGTCGCACGCTGGCTTCGGTCGCACGCCCACCGCCGTCCGTTGCTTCCAGACTGATCCGCTGCGCGACAATCCCTTGCTCGAGTCGTGCTCACTCACACCTGTCCGCCTTGTGCTTGTGCTTGTGCTACTGACCCTTTCTATTGTCGCACAAAGCCGTCGCAAATTCTACTGTCACCTGCATTTTCTCAAATTTTTACCTCATTTACTCTCTTCAATACCCGAGACACTGACGCTTGTCTCTTCATCGTTCACCAAAATGCCTACCGCATCGGGTTCCTCAAAACCACCCTCTGCAGCGAGCTCCAAACCATCCTCGCTCAAGTCTCAGGATGGCGTCAAGAAATCCCCCGGCCTAACACCACAGAATGGTGCAACCGCTATCAATGGAAATCCTTCATCAGACACGCACCTGAAGCCTACCACGTCTGTGAAAACCCGCCTTACTCGCATGTTCTCGTCCAAAGAAACATCGAGACTTCCAACTCCTGCGCCTTCGACTATCGATTTGCCAACCCGCCCGCGGGCTTCCTCAACGAACGGCACCTCTACGCCTGCAGGGAAGACTTCGTCCACCGAGAAGGGCAGTGACAAATCAGTACAAAAGCCGACCGATAAGACCACAACTCCCGCCAAACCAGCCACAAAATCAGCCAGTGGCAAAGAACCCTCGACACGGTTCGTCTTGGATCCAGAATTGCAAGGCGGCCATGAACACCATTTGAGATCTAGCCGACGCCAGGAAAAGCTCTCGGATATGTGGAGAGCGATCATCGGTAAGAAGCAGGAAGCCGCCGCCGAACATGACTTGTCACTCGTCTCAAATTGGGTGGATACATTACAGCAAGAGAAAGACGAAGCTGGAGACAAAAAGAATGGACCCAATGCGACAACGACTCTGGTTGAGAAATACGGTAAATGTCAGGAGGTCGTTGGACGCGGCGCTTTCGGTATCGTTCGAATTTCCCACAAGAAGATCGGCGGCAGCAACGAAAAGCTCTTTGCTGTCAAGGAGTTCCGACGCAGACCTGAGGAAACAGAGAAGAAGTATAGCAAACGTCTTACCGCCGAGTTCTGTATATCGTCATCTCTCCGACATCCCAATGTCATCCACACCCTCGATCTGCTTCAAGACGCCAAGGGTGACTACTGCGAAGTTATGGAGTTCTGTGCCGGAGGAGACCTGTACACTTTGGTTCTCTCGAGCGGGAAGCTTGAGGTGCAAGAAGCCGACTGTTTCTTCAAACAGATGATGCGCGGTGTTGAGTATCTGCACGAGATGGGCGTTGCTCACCGCGATCTCAAACCCGAGAACCTGCTCTTGACTACACGCGGCGCCCTTAAAATCACAGATTTCGGCAACGGAGAGTGTTTCCGAATGGCCTGGGAGACAGACGCACATATGGTATCTGGCCTGTGCGGTTCAGCCCCCTACATCGCTCCAGAGGAGTACACGGATAAGGAATTCGACGCTAGAGCTGTAGATGTTTGGGCTTGCGGTGTCATCTTTATGGCAATGCGCACAGGCCGACACCTCTGGCGACTGGCTAAGAAGGACGATGACGAGTTCTACGCCCGCTATCTTGAGGGCCGTCGAGATGAGGAAGGCTACGGCCCTATTGAGTCTCTTCATCGGGTAAGTTCATGACAATATCATCACGTTATTGACCTCGGGCTAACAATGATTTCAGGCGCGCTGTCGTAACGTCATCTACTCGGTCCTCGATCCTCATCCCACTCGCCGCTTGACTGCTGCTCAGGTCCTTAAGTCTGAATGGGTACGCGAGATTAAGCTATGCAAGGCTGGTGAGGAAGGTCTGTGATGACTGCACAAGGCTTTGGCAACTTTCCCCTCTGTTTTTCTTCCGGCTCGAGCGACCCAAACTCAATGAGTGGTCAACTTGAGCAGGGCCTCATACACATATCAAGTTTGCAAGGAGGCCTTTTTGGAGGGACGAGGAATGATGACCAGTCTTGAGAGGATGGAAGTGGCAGGTTGGCGTTGACGTTTGTGCTGCTGAGCCAAGCGACTGATGATTCGACGACCTATCCTTACGGTTATTTCCTTTGTCATTTGATACCGAGCAATGGTGTTGGGCGCATTGTAAACAGAAATATTTTTCTTTCATCAACTTCTTTCTAAGCGTATCATGCATATCCAGGCGGGAAGCTGTTTTTTTTGCACTTACGAGAGGCGGCAGGGTTTGATTATGCCTAGGGACCAGGCACCATGGAGGCACACTGTTAAATCTTGAGAGAGCCTCTTTTTTTTCTTCTTTTTTTTTTTGTTACAGGAGGTTGCATTTTTAAGACAAGGCAAGGCAAAGGCAGCACAGGACAGTGCAAAGAAACACGGATGGATATGAATCATGGGAACTGGATATATGATCTGATCAAGAGGCCTTTTACGTCCAAGGTCTGAAGAGTCAAACAGGCAGAGAAGGGGAGCACAAGGCGGATCCAAGTTCAAGCCTCGAGTGATTAGGTCTTGGATTTGTCTATCTATGAAGCCAAGGAAGAGATAGTGACGAAGACCAATGTGGAGTTGAGGATGATGGAAATGATAGTAACTCCTGTCAACGCCCCAAGATATCCAACATCAAATGAAGCAGAATAGGCAAGACGTTGTTCATGTCAACGCAAATGATGTCATACATCGTATACTTCCATATAATTACCCATGACTATTAACCCTCTCTTACACCTGGGGTCAGCCCAGGCCTCGCGTAGGTCGGCCAAGCCAGGTATCGCAGTACATCATGCCGTCTTATGAGCACTATCGTCATGTGAACATCACGTAAGATATATGAATATGTGTGTGTATGCATTTTATTAATGTACGGCATGCACAAGATGTGCTTATGAAAAGAGATGTTGATTGAATGGGCCTACTGCCCTTGTCTTAGTTGTAGCAAGCAATCAGGTCACAAAAGAAACTGTTGAAGCTTGTGATACAATATCCCTTTAGTAGATATGTTAACCCCATTTGAATTTCACCCCATTCCGAAAAATCCATACACCAAACGAGGCCTATCAAGGCCATCGCCATCGATAAATAAACCCAAGTAAATCCAGACCAATCTTGGTCGAAACGACGTAAACACGCAAAAGCAACATGACTGCCACCGTTCGTCTTGCTCATACCCGGGTTTGACACAGCAGTCCAACCCAGACCAATCTCTCCCGTCGTGGCCTTTTCTATCTACCAGGTCAAAGGACCATATATGGATATTAGTTTGTCTCCACCCCTAAGTTGCGAGACACCCATGGTGAGTGCCTCATAAGTAGTATATAACCGGCACACAGTGGCCACGGTCAAGTCAATCGACGGCGCCACATTGTATACCTAGGGGCCGAGGATGTTCGAGTAATAGAAGGCTCTCCATCACAACCAGAATATCGACGCACAGTACTCATAGCGTCATCAAGGCCAAAAACATTATGTCCACCCGGTGGACCTCCGTTCCGTGAACCGCCATATCACCCAGCTTTTTCGAACCATTCGGATACAAGCCAAGCGAAGCCACACAATAATATTGTCCAAGTAATAAACAAGAATAACGCCTTCGATATTAGGCTAAAGTGGACCAAAAGAGAGCCCCGTCGTGGAAGAGAAAATTATTGTTGGTTACTGACTGCGGTTCCTATGAATGGAACAGATCCCAAGCCCGGTCACATAATCGGATGAACTCCTCCTTCTTGGCTCGCTGAGTTTCTGGGCTGTCGCGTCCAGCACCAAAAGGTCCACGGCGTTGGGCAGCGGGGCCGTAGCCTAAAGGTGGGCTACCGTCCTCATATTCAGCTCGGGTCCTTCGCCTGCTAGTACTTCGCGATGCGTCGACAGGTCGACTGCCAGGAGCTGGAGAGGGAGGCGTTGGGGGCTGGTGTCCACCATAGTGAACCAGCTTAGGAAGAAGCTCCGGTCGACCACCAGCAAGTTCCTGCTGTGCTTCTTCGGCAGACCTGTACTCACGACCACGACCAGGAGTTGGGGCCTGGGGAGGCGGAGGGTGACCAGGAGAGGCCATGGGTCCTCGAGAATTATGGCCACTAGGATAAAGAGACTGAGGAGCATTGTCAGGGTGCGCTGATAGGCCTTGACCAAAAACATCACTGATGGGTGGCAATCGGTTGGCGGTCTGGTTAGCAGGAATGTGGTGGATATGTGAAGTACTCGACAGGTTAGATGGCTGGTTGGCGATGTGACGGGTCATGGGAGCTGGGTTTTGTCGTCCAGTGAAGCTGTGGCCGAGGGGGGCAGACTGGATTACTCTCTCGTTGGCAAATTGCTCATGGGAGGGAGCGACGATAGAGAGGCCGGGAGGGGCCTTGTTTCGTCTCGACATGCCAGGCGTCTTTGCGGCAAATTGGTCCAAAGAATCTTTGTCAGGCCCGTCTCCTTTAGCGGATTGTTGGTGAAGTCTTGCTTCAATAATGTGTCGCTGTTGTTCTCGAACTGACAGGCTGCGCTGCAACTGCTCCTTCATAACAGGATCTTGGGTGACAAAGCCAGGGGACAGGCAGGCGATACCAACTTCTTGGATAGCAAGGCCGTCGCGCGCAGTCATAGGTCGTGCCGAGGCCGGCTGGTTAGATTTGGGTGTGTTCTTGGACAAGTCGAGTTTGCGTGGTCGAGGTCGTGTGTTGGTCATACTGGGAGAGGCAGGCTCCTTCTTGACAATAATTCTAGGGGGTGCGCCAGCTGAACGAGAGCTGCAAGGGCAAGTTAGCAAGGGACAAATCAATTGAGAAGAGTGAAGATGATGAACTTACGCGCTGGAGGGTGATGACTTGGCACCCTGGCCAGTAGCTTTAGGACTGCTACTGGTTGACGATTGATTTGTCGCATGCGATGTTGAAAGGTTGAGGGCGGAGCGCTGTGCTGATGGAGAAGTGCCTACGGCAGCAGCCGATGTGGAAGAAGTGGGCAGTTCGGGATTAGAGAACCTTTCGTGAGGAGCGGGAGAGGGAGCCATTGCAATTGCAGCACTCATAATGAAAAAGTGAGAGTGCAGGGTTGTGGGAATTGGCGACAGGTGGTTAGTGTTGCAAGGAGACGGGAGAGCTGCAAGGAGAATCCAAAAGGTAGGTAGTCAAAGCCAGTCAGCGAGCCAGAGTGAGCCGGACAGCTGGATTTTTTCTGGGTCTCGCAAGGCCGAGGCTTGCTGTCCTAGCAGACAAAAAAAATCGAATCGGTCGGCAAGGACCGTGAAGTGCAGTGAGACAGGAATGAAAACGATCGTGAACGTGGCCGACTCGAGTCAGCTCACAATTTGGTTTGACTTGGTGCGAGTCTTGTCGCGGGAAAGACGGAGGAAAAGAAGAAAGGCGTCCAGAACCTCGAAGGGGAGGCTGGGCTGGGCTTGACGAGATAATACCAATAGCTCAGCTCAGGTGAGAAAGTCTGAAGACAGAATCTGGTTGGTTGGTTGGTGGATGGTTCGACGACGGCTCTTCTTTTGCCCTGCGCTCTGACTTGGGTCCAAGCTCAAAGCGGGCGGTTCAGCTCTGTACGAGATGTGACAGGGCAATAAATGAAGATCCTCCAAATACTCTGATTGGAATACTTCTATTTCTGGTAGAAGAATCGGGGTGGTCGAGAAGAAAAGAAGGAAAAGCGAATCAAGCAGAATGAAGTAAGAGATAACGGACTTATTAGTCTCTCCTCTTCTTACCAATAACCGAATAAAAGAATCAAAGCCAGGGGCGTCAAGGTGGCTCGGCCGATCGACTGGCGACTTGTTTTAACAAATTCGGTACGGGGCGTGGGTTTGGGTTGGGCTAGGTTGTTGGCTCCAGCTCGGCAGGCCCGTGTTTCGCGTGGTTTCGCTCAACTCAGTTGGTTTTAGTTGGCTTCCAAATCAGTTGTAGTGGTATTCAACCGCAGAATTGCTTGATCCGTCAATTAAGATACAGTAGCGCGGCGTCTCGATGGCGGTCTTCCTGGAGGATCGGTATACCAGTTCCCTGCCAAAGAGGTAAAGCGAAAGAAGTCTTGATTGTCAACCGAGAAGGGTTCTCTCTTTTGCTGGTGGGATAAACAAGGAGGGCCTGCAAGTACTCCGTACTTGACAGTACAATACAGATCGAGCGGCTAACCAACAGTGCAAAGATGCAAGACTGTGGACCACAGGCGATGGATCAGCGAATGATGAGATTCCCGCAGCCAATTGTAAATGTGACAAGGCGAAGAGGCGTCGGTATCGGCGGTAGGAACAGTGCAGTAGTGACAGCAGGTAGGTAGGTAGTCACAGACAGTTGCAGCTCTGGTTGTACGTATTAGACAAGCCTGCGGAAAGATGTAATGAAGAAGAGAAACCGAGAGACCAGGACAACCAGAAAGAAAAATAACAGTAGAAAGATTCACCAGCTGACAATGAGGGGTCGGTTGGGTACTTGGCGATGTTTTATTTGGTGCCATGTATTTTATGAAGGGGTATACGGGGAAAAGTGACACAAAGGCACGGCGCCTGGTTCGTATCTTGAAGCAATGGATCCAACCTGGCGAGACGAGCCAAGGAACATGGATAGGATCGAGAGAAAAGAAAACCGCTAGGGTGCCCCTGGTTGGCTACATGCCTGCGGAGTCAGGGGGTGAAGCTATTGATCTAAACGTCGAGAGATGGAGGATGAACTTCCAAACTACCTGCGTTAGGCATAATAACAAGGAGCGGTGCAAAGACCCCTCTCCAAGTGTTGCGTATGTCCTCTTTGCATATGTTCGTACAAGACAAGCCAGACAAGACGAGACGGTCGAATCCAGCCAAGCCATAATGGATTGGCGAATTGACAGGTAGACAAACGTCCTTCAAGAAAACGGTAGGCGAGGCATGGCGAACCAGGATCCAGGGTGGTCCTCACCTGAATCCTGCTGCTGGCTGCACGCGACCCAAGCCAACCGTCGGCCACTCGTTATTGACCTCGTCGACATGAATTTTGTTCTCACCGTTGCTGGTGGTTTGCTATCGATATCAAGAAACTATTCAACGTGGCCCCAGTTGCTGTTGGATGGGTAAACTACCCCTGCTGGGACTGTCGACCTACAAAACCGCATGCGTATGAGTTGTGTCTACAGATTGCTCATGATGTGCTACGATTTTCAGTGCACTCAACAGCAGACACATGTGATGCCGTTGGATTGCAGCAACGATCTGGTCGGCCGCTCATTAATCGCATATGTTGATCCTGTAATCCACCATGATGATGATACCAATAGCCCTTTTTTTTGTGCGGATTCCATATGAAGATCCGTATTCAAGTTGACCGCTCATCAGTCCTGATATCTTCCTCATGTAGATCTCAGACACGCAAGCAAGCAAACCGCTGTTGAGAAGCAGCGCGTGTTGTACTCCCAACGCAGGTCTCAGATCATGGATGAGGACGAATTCGCAATGAGCCGCACCACAGCCGTCCACCGTACCGTGTTTCCGGTCGCAAGCCCAGGACCCTACCGGGACGGGGGGAGTGATTCGGAGGAACAAACAGGGTTGTCTAGAATCTGGAAACCATTCCATCCCATTCCTGTGGTGAAGCTTTCAAGCTTCTGTAACCTGTAACAGCCAGTGTCAGCGTGTGATTTGGAGGGCCTAAGGGCTTCTTGGTGCTCGCCGCTAGTGCACCCCATGGCGCTGGTACGCTAGCGGTCTCAAGGTCGCTGGTTGGTGGCTCGGGATGGGCCAGAGCCGTCCATCTGAAGAACGATGCAACTTGTTTCGTCAGCGGTCCACGGCGTAGTCGACTACCACGTAGTAAATAGAGTCCATGCGGATAGAGATTGGCAGCATGTGCGGCCTGGTTCAAGAGGTAGCCAATGACATATTGTTATTTATCTGTCACCAACGAACCGATACCACTAAAGGAAAAGGGGATAGGGGGCTCCAGTGGATGATTCGATGCAGTTGTAGATGTAAAGTTTTGATGGTCATGTTCTCTGGTCAAGCGATAGGTAAGTGTCATCGTAGCTGCCGAATCGAACCTCGCATCCCGACCCAACACTTTACACTACCTACCTAGGGGACCAAAGCGAAAAGATGCCATGCATGTATCGTAGGCAGGTGAGATCGGGGGCCTTCCCGTTGGGGTCAGTTTGCATGGGTAGCCCTTGCCTCTTCGCATGTTGGTGCTGTTGAAGCGCACCAGGTTCGATATATCCCACCACAGAAGGAGAGTCTGGCGAGGGCATTCCGAAGCAAAACAACGATCTTGGCATGCACAATGGCCTGAGACAGGGTCATCTCCTCGTAGCTGCCTCGTGGCTATTGACCCTGAAGCATCTAGCATCTAGCATCTAACATCAATCAATTAATATTGTACCTAATTAAGCCTTGGTGCGTCCCCCCAAAAGAACCCACTTTCATTGATACATCCTGTCGTTTCCCCACCATCTCATCCAGGCTCATCTTGTCACTTTCTCACAAGCTGAAACTTGCCCCTCACACACCCAAATTGAACCCCCAAACAGCCTAGGGCCCTGACGATCCTTTGACGGACACCTAAACTTTCGAGAAGAAGAAAACATTTATGGCATATTCATCCCGCACAGGCTTTGGGAGAATATCGATTTGAGCATATTGTTTTCATGAGTGCTCTTGGCTGTGGAGGCCAACCGAGCTGACGGGGGAAACCAAGAAACAAAGGATTTGACACTCGCCTCTGTGTTTGCGAGTCGGATCCCCTACTCGACTTAATTGTCACGCACCGTCGTTTATAGCTGTGCCCCTCTTGATTTTGATCCCCGCTTATTTTGCAACAGATATCAATGGTTTCTGCTTGTAAGTCATCAGATGAAGACTTCCAATGCAATAGGATGTGAATAATGAGACTATTATTCCTGCCTTTCGCTGTGTGTTTAGCGCCATCTATACTACCTACTCAAATGACACTACTAGTTGCCTTAGTGTGTGACAAGTCGTCTTATGTCTGCCTCAGTGCATAGTATGTTCTTTAAGGACATCATGATCTTCACTCTGCCCACTCCCTTCTCAAATCTCTTTTTACTTTTTAAGAAGATCTACGCTTATGCCCATCACTCATGTCTCGTTCCTAAACGACTAACAGTGACAATCATTTGTCCAATAACTCAAAGTTTGTCATTCAACAGGCTTAGTTGTAACCCTTTGCTGCTGTCAAAAAGTACCGGCTGCTGGGCTACGTCAAGGATATTGGATATCATATTGATGGTTTGATAAAGACATATTTCTATATCACAAAATCCGATATCTAATTCCCGTCACATCCACATCCACATCCACATCAGGGTGATGAACAAAGAGTCTCACCTGCATGGACAATTGACAGCGCTCCAGTTCCGCCTCAAGCCTTCAGGCGATCCTTGTGGACTCTCCCCTGTCTCTGATCGGACCTCTCTTCGTTCGTCCTGGCCAACCATTTGTGACAGGCTTGTCATCTAATGGTCCACCTTCATCTGATCTGCCACACTGGTGCATGACGGTACTGTACCAACAATATGCAACCCCCAAACTTCGCTTCGCACACGGTACGATGTCTATCACTAGAGGACCAGAAGAGTCGCTAATCAAAAGTGGAAGTTGGCTCACGATAGCAGGCCCTCAGGTACGCGTACCGCGCGATTCATTGCAACCGCCAAAACAGGGTGATACAGAAAAGTTCAACGCCACGAAATGATCCATGCGAAAGGAAGAAAAGCGCCGCACATCTCCCGCCGCCAGATGGCTTTCTAATTGTTTTAGCCAGAAGTTGGTAACCACAGACTAACTTTAGTTAGCTTCTCGACCCATCCCCCATAATAACGATTCTAATTATCACTGGAGTGTCCTCCCACGCTCGCTTCTGCCTCACCTCGAGCGTGAGCGTCAGAAGAGGTTTCCGTTCATGTTTCCGGAGGGGGCATCTACCGTATTACAGTAGGTGCTGTAGGTATTCTAGGTACTGACTGTACCGTAATTCCAGGTAATTCATTCGAGGTTGGGGTCGTTCGTTGTACTTCACCTCACCTGAGACGCCGTCTCAGGTTAGCACCTCCACCTGTGCTGACACCACCAGACACTACCTTACCTTTACCCTGCACTGCGCTACTGCAACACAACACCGCACAAGTGCCCAATTTGTGCTGCAGCCACCCTCTTCTGGGCCGCCGTCGTTTGCACATGTTTCGAAATGGCTGTGGGATGAGTTTTGATTGGCTTACTGCTTTTACCCTCAAACATGATCAGAGCTACAGGGCAAAGATAATCCGTGTCAACGCCATATACGGCTTAGCAGTCGTCTTAACTGACCTCTCCACTTTGTTATTTGATACTCACCGTTCACTGCCTCATGTCAAGCAGCTGCGCAGGTTAGATAGCTTTCCAGTGAAGATATTCCAGCATTGGAGATCATGTGCTAACATTGCTTCTTTTTTTGTTTTGCTTTTTTCCCCTTCTTTTCTTCGGCGGTGAGACCGTGAAGTCAAAGCGAATCGTGGAATATGCTTGATATCTTGTCATGTAAAACATAATCGCCTGAGATATATTAACAGTTGCCACGGCTTCGCTAGGTGGACCCTTGAAGTCTTGGTAAACAGTTTGCCGATATCAATTTACCAACATCACAAGGCTCGTCAGCTATATCCGCTGCCATCTGAGCACAGACAATATCAACGTGAGACGGATAATTTATAAAGTGGTGGTCAAAGACGCTGAAAAGGTGGTTGCCCAAACCCTTGCACACATCTACTTCTATGTGTCTTGTGAGTTGCTCAGCTTCATGCGGTCTCTTTTTCAAGCCGCGCACGTACAGAGAGCTGTGAGCTTTGCGACGCTGCTAATGCTCTTGAGGCCTTTCATATTGTTGCATGAGTGTGTCCTACACCACACCTTTGTCTTGCATGTACTCCAATCTAAGGTGAACTATATTTGGCATGCCACCCCTCCAGTAATTTCTCGTCTGTCGCCTCGTCGCACCACTTTATGTTTGATTGATGAAGCAATTGCGGGTAGAGTTACGTGCATAACAAACTAATTGATGATTGTCCATGCTGAATGGAGGTGGGAGATCGTTGTATTCGGCATGAAGATATTCTCTCTAATTTTCGAAACCCGACTTCATTCCTTCTAACCAGCACTTTAATATAACGTCCCGCAAGCTGATTAACCCAACAAATTTGTTGTATTTTCTTTATCGGCAAAATAAACTATTCAACTATTGCTCCATACATAATCCATGACACAGCTCACAGTTCTAGACTAACAACAGAATGTGGCCGCAGTGAGTTAATGCTTGAATCTGGGCGTAACCACATGTACTGGCGCATGGATCAATCCTGGTATCGACTGCAATTAAGCATGTATAGCTGCATTACTATCTAACAGATGCTTGGGATTTCCAGGATCATGCAAGTCATTATGATCGATGGTTGATGAAAGATCAACATGACATTGCGAGAGAGTATTGGCACAGTACAACCACATGAACACTTATTAGCATGAGAACATATTAGCTTTCTCCCAATACATAGAGCGATTCGCTTGCATCATGAATTATTTCTCCATTCGAGCATAGTTCGCATATACAAACAGTGCATCAAAATCACAAAATCATGACTGCCTACCTCGTCGAGCTTGTCATAGTAAGATCAGTATACCAGACCATGTTGTCGCGGGCATCCGTCTCAGTTCAAGGCTTGACACAATCATATGTATCTGATTCTGCGACGTATTCTTTTCCCAAACTCCCATGTCCTTGATACTGAGCTTTTTCTGGTCTCTTATTGTTTTGTAAGGCAGATACGGTTATGTACTACATTATAAAAGTTTCATTGCAGCTCACACATTCAGATTACTAAGTTTGTATCTTCAAGTTCTTCTAGAACTTTATAATTTCCCTTTGGGGAATACGTTGCCAATGATACAAGTGAAGTCTTTCCAAGTCATGGAAAACGCCAACTGACGAGGTGCCATGACTCGTCTGCTGCAAGTTTGATACAAGCCAATCAGCAGGCATGAGTTTGTTCAAGAACCATTCGCCCCACAGCCATGGACTGTGCGCCACACTTCAGCCTCACCAAAAATTTCAATCGACATTTTGAGAGTCAAAGAAAGATACGGCTTAATATCTTGCTTTCGCGACAAAACCAAATATTCACCGCATCACGCCAAATAAAACAGAATAAGGAAGATATTTCATCATCTACACCAGATCTCTTTATAAAACTCAAGATGCCTTCGCGAACCAAGGACGAGCAGCCTCAGGCTGAGGATACCAACATGGAGGATGCCCCAGCCTCTGCGCAGCCCGAGGCGAATGACGAGGAAAATGAGGATGAGGAAGAGGAGGAGGAGAAGATTGACCCTCAGCGAGTCCGAATTGTGAGTCAAATTCAAGACTTTCATGCCGTGTAAACCCCATGTACTGATACTTTCTCTAGCTGCCTGGCTCAACAGACACTGCTGCCTCTTTCGAGTTCACTGATGAAGGTCACACTCTTGGAAATGCCTTGAGATATATTGTCATGAAGAAGTCAGTTAACTCTTTAAGTTCTTTTGCCAGTGAAAACTAACATGAAATAGCCCTGATGTCGAGTTCTGCGCTTACTCCATTCCCCATCCATCAGAGCCTAAGATGAACATCCGCATCCAGACCTACAGTATGTATGCATCGTTTCCTGTTTCACTCCATCGACTAACTCTTAATGAGGCGGAACTGCGGTTGATGCTCTCAAGAAGGGACTGAGCGATATCCAAGAAGTCTGTGATGTTGTTGCCGATGAGTTTTGGACTAAGAGACAGGCGTACAACGCCGAGCAGGGTATTGATCGATGAGTCTCGATCCGGCCACTCAGGGACTTTTAAAAGTGTTTGCATTCACATGGAGCATGATGGTAATAGAGGCGTTTTGAGGAATTCCTTTCAATAAGATATATACACAAGCCATTGTTGCCTTCAAGTCTAGTTGCGACCCTGAGTAATATGTTAGCCGTAATCTTTGGGGGAGGCATGAACACCTAATGCTCACCTCAAGGAAGCCAGTCATGAAGCTGCCCGGTAGTCGCTTATCGCCTCGGAAATTCTCCTCCTTGAAGTAGGCCATAATGTGGTTGGTCTGCTTCCAGAAGTTCATGGTCTCCTACAATCATGAGGTTAGTAAAACAACCCTTTGTTGTATCAGCTCATTGTAGCCGGGGGGGTCGATCGCACCTGGTACTCGGCGTGGGACTTGAACAGGAGGACATCAACAACTGAAAGCTTGTTCACAAATCGTTGTCGCTCGAATTCTTGTCGCATACGGGTTCGGATGGCGGAGACAGGCATGGGCATGTTGTACATGGTTTGGACTTCGGGGGCCTATTTTCTGCTTGTCAGCACTGTCCGATCGCAATTCCGACCATCAGAACTTCCGGGGGAAGTAGGAGAGGCTACAAGCGCATCGTAACGACGGCGATGGTATCTTGGGGTTCATGGAACATACAGCTCGAATCCATTCTCGGTAGGAGGACAACACTCGACGCTTGGCGTCGGACCAATTGGCCGCTATTCAGAGTATCAGCAATGCCAATAACTCAGCTGACAACGGGTGAACTCACACTGCGCCGTCTTCTTAGCAAACTGGGTCGGCGTAATGGCCATGGTGGGCAATCAATGCTCTTTAAACGTCGGAAACCTCGCTGCTCTAACGTTTCCTAGATTCCCGAAACCGAGATGCACGAAAGCACCGCGGTAATCGTGGTCACGTGGCGAATGAAGCCACATATTTTGCACCGCCACAATGTTTTCTTCCACTAACAACTCTGCTTCTCGTCAGCGAACAGTTTAGGTACAATAAAACATACACCTCGAATAAATACAAGAAAATCATGATGCTTCAGTTTAGTATGCATCACAGTAATTTGAGACTCCATCTTGTGAAATAGCTCCTACCTAACTGGTAGTGTTTAAATTAATGCCGTCTGTGAAACAATGCCCACTAATAGTGTAGGCGCGGTTTGTGACTCACGTCGAACGTGAATTATCAGATATTGCAGCTTGAGTACTCAAAGTTTCTTGACTGAAGAGAACATGGAGCGAGAAACCAGGGAAATAAGGCATATGATAGCACATATACATAGAAAACAATTTTGGACAATATTAATTGACATTTTTCGAAGTTCCATCAAATACTCCCAGGCCAGACATATAGCTTTCACATGGACAACCAGGGTCCAGGGTAGCCACTAATATTCTACTGCCTTCACGTCATTTTCCACCGTCGCAACCCAGAACAAACAAACAAACATCACATCAACCAACAACAACAGCCAAAATGCCCGCGATCCGACACTCATCGAAGCGCAAGCCTCCGCCCGATGGCTTTGAAGATATTGAGAATGACCTGCTCATTTTCTCCAATAAGATGAAGGATGCCCAGAACAAACCGGCTCCAGCAGGCCCCAGGCATCAAGCGCAATGGGAAATCTTCCAGATCTCGCATCAACGCAGTCGATACGTCTATGAGTTATACTACGAGAAGGAAGCGATCAGCAAGAAGTTATACGACTTTCTGTTAAAGAACGGATATGCGGATGCTATGCTGATTGCGAAATGGAAGAAACAGGGCTACGAGAAGGTTAGTACTCCGATTTTCTGCTAGTCACGACTATATACTAACACTATCTCTATCTAGCTGTGCTGCTTGCGCTGTATCCAAACAAAGGAGACGAACTTCAACAGTACGTGCATCTGCCGCGTACCACGATCCGAGATGAAGGGCGACGCAGAAATCGAGTGTGTTAGCTGTGGCTGCAGAGGTTGCGCATCAAGCGATTAGACACGGTATGCTTGACTGCTCGAGGCCGACCAAAAGAGAATATGGAACTGCAGAGGAAGAGATGGCGTCTGGCGCATTAATAAATCATCAACACACATTATCTACGACTCGGAGGAATGAGCTTTTCATATCAACGCGATGAGGTAGAAAATCCTTTCATTGACCATATCATATCTTCATAACATCGTGCTGATCCTCTCACCCAGCTTGGACCTCCCCTCGTTATTTAATTCTTGGCGAAGCCGGCTCTTCCTCGTCCAAATCGGACGCTTGGTGGGACAAAGGACAGCGAGGACATGGCACCTGCAAGGTCCGCCATGTCCGTGTCCACTGGCTTGACTTTCTCCTCCTTCCTCTCCACCCTTTGGGCCGTTGGCGACTTGGGCTCCTGCTGTGATTTGGGTTCATGCTGTGAAGGAGAGGTTTCGCCCTCCTTGAGACTGGCACGACGTCGAGAGCTCTTGGTAGCTTGTGAATTGGTTGATGATCGGCGGCGATGATGACTGCTGTCATTTAGCAGAGACCGCCTACCGTCAATGCCGTCCCTTGTAACGGCAAAGAAGAAGTTCTTGGGGTACATGTGCTTGTCAATGAGATGCATCCGTCGTTTCTGATGTGTCATGCACTTGCGTTCACATCCTTCAACAAAGCACGAGTACTGCAGCATATAAGTCAGTTGCACTTCCATCCGAACGAAGCAGTGTTACTAGGGAACCCACAGTATGCTCGCCCTGTTCTTTCTTGACGGTTACTAGCGGATCATGGCATTCTTCAATATGTACGTTGAGCAAATGCTCGCTGGGAAAGTTCTTGCGGCACTCAAGACATCGGTTAGTGTGAGTCTTGTTATAGTGCACCTCGTATTCGTCGTAGGATCTGAAGGCCAGGGGCTCCCGGTGGGGAGGCAAATTGCATCTCATGGCTACTATATCTTCCTCGTCGTCGATGGCGGAGTCAAGCTGGGTGAGCTTTGACACTTGACGTAGGGACGGTTCCGTTTGTGTATGTTCAGAATCTGAATCTAGCTCTTCTTCGATCTCTCGTGAGCGCTTCATCCTCTGCGGTGAGCTTAATGGAATGGTGGATTTACTTGAGAGCAAACGTTTAAAGGATGCGAAGCGGTGAGTGCAGGGTAGTGAGTGCTAGGCTGCTAAGGAAGTCACTGGCAAGTTGTTGAACGGAGTCGATGCGTGTGCTGTCGTTGAGCAGATGTGATGAGTTGAGATATCAAGTGTGAAAACTCATGTGAGGAGTTGCCCAGGGCTAATATCAGACAATCTTCTATATAGGTACTGGAGTTGGGAGTAATATGGTGGGGTTTCCCTACCACAACTAGACGCTAAAGCACAATGTGATGAACGGGCCGGGTGAGGGGCACAAAAGACGTGGACAGGCTTGACGGGTTCTGAGCTGACTGCTAAGGTAGGGTAGCTAGGTAGGCGGCAGGCCTGAGGGAAGGCTGCGGCTACCTGAGCACGGGCCATACATCTGATAGATTCCATGGATTGAATAATGGAACGGAGGAACCAAGGTGACATTGGCGAGGTACTTATCCGTAGCCAGTGCTGAAGTGTTGATCTCATGGTTTGATAAACGCCTTTGAGTGAGTACCTGGTGAGACAAAGTTAGTTGCAATATCTGCTCACGTGTGACTCAAACAGAAAATAAATTAATGAAACAAACTTTTAACAGTGGAAGCTTCATATAGGTTGTTGTGACTACCTTAGTAGTTAGTACATAGCATGTCATCGATAGTCATTGTGAAGTACAAAAAATTACGGATTAGATATTTGACGGATGCTTGGGACTGATGTAGTAATGATGCGTTCAAGCGCACGATATTCCAGGGTCCATGTCACTTTTTCTTATTTTAGGTACCTACGAACAGTAAACTTTGCACCCGAAGAAAACCCACGGGGCAGTCAACCAACTATGACACAGCTGGTGTGACTTGAGTCGGCCACCAAACCTTCTATTGTGCCTAGAAAAGTCCACCCAGAGCCTGACCTGACCTGAATTGACTTGACCCTGCCTGACGCCCTGACCTTGAGGGTTCAACTCCATTCTATCAAGTCAGAGTTGAATGGGCGCAGCACCAACAACGTAACTTTTTTTACCTTACACTCACTTTTACCCTTAAGTTTGGTCTGCGGCGCAATTAAACGACAGACCTGCCTGCAGTTTTACTCGGTGAATTATCGACTGCGTGTCTTTTATTTTAAACTTTGCTTTGCTTTGCGTTTTGTTTTTATTATATTCCTCTTCGCCCTTCCCCCTCTCTCTTCGCCAATGTGTGTCTTCTCGGCCGACGATTCCATTTTCGCGAGCCGAGTCTGGTGCCAATCCTCAACCCAACAGCCCGACCTGCGAATGAGCTATGAACCGACGTCCTCTCCATGATCACCACCCAGAGAAAGCATGAACGAAAAGATATATAGTTCGATACCGACGCTCTAGAATTGTGCCGCGACACCTTTCGTCTTGCCTCCCACCACTCTCTACGACTGCTTCCGCGCGCCCGCCAACTATCCCTCCCGATCCCGCCGAGTTTGCACAATGGAGACCGAGACTGAGACACAGACTGCGACGGCTACCGTCCAGGTCGCAACGCCTGAGCACGCGGATCTCTCTGGTAAGGCCAGACAAACGTGGCGGTAAGTTGGAAACATCCTCGTATCATTCGAGCCCATCGCCCTCGTGCGAACATACCCCGCCAAAATTGCGTGAAATCAGGGCTTGCGCAAATAACCCGGATTATACCAGCAAGAAAAGAGAAGCTGACATTGCATAGTGCTGCACTTAAGCTGCGGAAGATCTTGACAAAGCACCTGGAAAAGCTTCCTAAGGAGAGCAACTCCGGCGTTGATATCTCTCAATTTGAAGCAATAGATTCGGTCCTGGAAAAGTGAGGATGATCGCATACAATTTGCTGTGTCTCCGAAGCTAATAGTCATGAACAGATTCCGACTCGCCTGCGTACAGACCATATACCTCGACTATGAGTATGCTGTCGCCGAGCATACCGACCAGATCATGTGGACAGTACACACTAGTATCAACAACGAATACCGACGAGCCCTGGGCCGCCTCCGACACCTGGCGCACAACTCGGACAAGCAGAAGGCCGATAAGACGACCAACGACAAGCGCAATGGTGACAAATCCAAGGGTGAGAAACAAGCTGCCCCGAAGCAGAAGAATGACAAGCGCAATGTCGAGAAGAGGAAGTTCGGAGATAAGTACCAGGGCTTTCTGCATGTTGCTCAGGAGTTCTACAAGGGTTATGTGCAGCGCCTTTCTGCACGATACGATATTCCTGAGCTAAAGCGTATTGCCAAGGGAATCGAGGTCGACGGATCCCCAACCAGCGACGCCATCAGTCCTGTCCCCGGTTCGATTTATTCACTGGTCATCAACTCTTGCCATTTCACCCTAATCTGCCTTGGCGATCTGGCACGCTACCTGGTCCAGTCAGGACTGAAGAAGTCGAGCTACAGAATCGCATTGGCTTACTACAGTCTCGCCCACGACCTTAAACCCGTCTCTGGCTTTCCTTTCCACCAGATGGGTATCATCAGCCTTGAGGAGGGCAAAGATCTAGACATCCTCTACTACTTCTACAGGAGCATTGCAACAGCCGATCCTCACCCAAACGCGAAGCAAAGTCTTGAGTCCAAGTTCAAGAACATTTTCCAGCCGGATAAGAATCCGCCTAAGAAGCTAGCCCGTGTGCCGACTGATGCATTTGTCACTTGGTTCGCAAAGCTTCATGCTTCATACTACAGGGATGAGACCATGGCAGGCAGTTCCGAGCTCGAGAGAGAAGTCTTGCACCGACTTGATATGGCCTCCAAGAACCCGGAACAAGCTAATGTTCTGTTCAAAATGGCCTTGATTAATATGGCAAGCTTTTACGTTGCTTCTCAGAAATATACTGGTAAGTATATTCGCTGACTCTTGTCATGTCATTGAAGCAACTTTACTAACATAAAGCAGAGGCTCAAACACCCGCAGCATCACGATTCTGCCACCATACCCTGCGCATCAACGCACAGTTTATTCTTGCCTTTTGCTCGGCTCTTGCTTCAGAACTCACTGACATTGTTGGCCGTGAGAGCCCACCATCTGAGGACCCAGCCACGGCTAAATCGTCTCCTGTCATTGAGGCGCTTCTACCTCTGCTGCGCATCTACGGTATGTGGCTTGCCGCACGTCGCCAGGAAATATTTGCCGCTGGTCAGGCTCTTGGTGCGGTGCTGCCAGAGATGATGAAGGCTATTTCTAAAGTGTTCTCGTTGTTGTGCAGCAACACGTACACCAATGAAGACCTGGCATCCTGCCCGTATCTTCTCACCGAAGATGTCGAAACTCAGGGACTGCTTCCTCTTGCAGAGGACCAAGTGCCAGAGGCTTGTCGATCATACTTTTCCGAAAATGGTGTCTTGAAATCAAGGCTGTTGTCCCAAGCACACCGACTTCCCCTATTCCAAGAGATGCTGGCAAGAATTTTGGACATTCTTCGATGTGCCTACTTTCTGGCTGAAGAAAGCTTGTGCCCTCTTGGCTACCATGTTACTGAACAGGGTCTTGTATTTGAATACCAGCAGGTATCGGTCCAGATCGAACCTGTTCCTCAGCCAATGTCAATTGTGAACTCACCTGTACGGGAGATCAAGAGCAAAACCAAGACTGCAAGCCGTCAGCGCAACGTGGCTGACACCCGGCAGGTACAGAGTCACCCAGCAGTCAAGAGTGCCGCGAGAAGGTCCTTTGTTGCATCTCCTGAGACTCAGAGCCCCCAGGAGGAGCCTCTACCCGATGATGCTGACACTACTGTCATCAATATGCTTGCCCCTTTCTTGAGACCACCTACACCCGAGCAGGGTCAAGCTGGCCACCGATCGACTGACGAAACCTCCTATGGAATGAACAGCGCTACGGCAAACGAGGTCTTTGGTTTGCTCCATGCTGAGCCCAGCCATGCAGGCTCTACCCCCTCGGGCAAGTTTGAACCCCTGCCCTGGGACTGGGTCTACACGCCTACACCTCACAAAGGTAGCGACCCTTCGGCCTCTGCATACAAAGATGCTTTCGATGCTAAGCTCAGCCCTAACCTCTCATCCCGGGAGATGTCACGAAATGTTAGCACATTTGAGGATCCCTTTTCCAACTCCACACCTCAGCCCTTACCTGTGCAGATCCCCCGGGCTACTAGTGGTATGATGGCCAGTCCTCGCATCGCCTCTACCGCCGAGGAGGCTCACCGTAACAATCTACTTCAGACCTTTGGCAGCTCCAGCGCCCCTCGCACTTCCGCCTTCAGCCAATGGGGCCAGAACATGAACCGCGGGCTTAAAGAGGCTGTCCCACAATCCTATGGCCATCAGGCCATGAACGGTTACCCCATGTCCTCTACCGTATCCGGTTTCTCCCATCCAAGCAGCCTTTATCAAGGTACGCCTGCCAATGAAGCCAACTGTGGTATGCCAACTGGTGGTTACATGGACATGAACCGATATGAGCGCAATCGCACTCAGGATTCCGCGCCCCCTTCGTCGGGACGACGCTTTCAGATGGATGAGACGACATCTAGCTACGATGCTGCCATTTTACAGGCTGCTTTTTACGGCAATAAGTGAGAAGTAAAGCTTTCAACGTAACCGAACCGAACTTGCCTCCTCAATATAGAATTGAGATACGTCAATTGCTCAGTCTGTTTCCGACTGCTGCAATCTCGAACCACTCGGAATCGCACAGAACCAGTCGGACGACAACATACTGTACAGCAAATACGCATGTCCCAGCATGTGGCCCTAGTCTTTTGGAGTCATCAGTCTACTGAAAGATACGAAGACAGCATAATCGATGAACTTGCAGGTGCTGTCCATTCTGTTTTAAGCAGTTTGCCAATCGTTGGCATCTAGTACCCAAGCGAAAGCTGGTTGAGATTACTGCGACGCAACTCGGTTCAAGCTTGACAAGTTTACATTAGGTGCGCCGGTTTAGATGCCGTTTATCGGTGCAAGATCTTGGCTTATTAAGCAAGAAGTCATTCATTTTATATTCCCTCAGATAATATAAATACTCGATATCGTGGAGGATACCATGCCGCTTTGTGCGCTTGGGAGCCCTCTTGGGGTATTGTCTCCCTTTGGATGCAAACGCCGTTGTTGAAACCGTTCCCTTTTCCCTAGCAACGCCGAACCACATTCAATCCCTTAAAAGGGATGTGCAAAATGAGTTGTCATGTCAATACATTTAAGCAGCCTGGTAGGTCTGCTTGGGGAAGGGGTATCTGAAGAAGAGTTAGCCCAGAGTTACCATGATTGTTTGGGATTGGTGCCTTGTCAAGGAATTGTGCTATTGATAGGGAGAATAGGTAGAGGAATGAAGCAGTGATATTTGGGAACACAATGTGAAAGTGACAATGCTTGTGGGTGAACTTACGAAGGTCCGAGCTCCTGGATGCTCAAACGAGCGAGCCACTGGCCCATGTCGATGCTGGTCTCAAGAGGCTTGCCCTGGAGGATACCAGCCAGGAGACCACCGGCGAAGGCGTCACCAGCGCCGTTGGTGTCGTTGATCTTCTCCGTCTCAATGGCGTGGACGGGGAACTCCTTGATGTCGTCCTCACCCTGGATAGCAACCAGTGTAGGGTCGGTGCCTTGGGTGATGATGGCGATTCGCTTTCTCTGCTTGTTCTCCTTAGGGAGGTTGGCAAGGTGCTTGGCAACATCCTTTGGCTCCTTGCTGGGGAGATCGTGGGACTCGGCGTAAGCGGCGGCCTCAGTCTCGTTGCCAATGATGTAGTCCCAGTAAGGGGCGCTGGCATCGACAGGATCCTTGAAGAACTGGGGAATGAACGGAGCAGACAGCGAGAGAACAAAAGGCTTGTTGTTCTTAGCAGCCTGCTTGGCGAGTTCCATAATGGCAGGAGGGCAGACTAATATCGGTCAGCTTGGGGAATATCAAGTGCATCCTGAACTCTACATACCAGTGAAGTGGAAACCACCAACGTAGTAGACCTCGGCGTTCTCAACGAGCTTCCAGATCTCAGGCTTCTTCAGGTGGTCAAGATCGTAGTGGTTGGCAGCACCGAGATCAGTGCACAAGCTTCGGTTGTGGCCGGTGATGATGGCACCACAGCGGCCAGTCTTCTCCTTAGGGTCGACTCGGTACTCGACACGGAGACCAGCAGCCTTGACAGCATCGTGGAGGATAGCAGAGTACTTGTCGTCACCAGCGCCACCAACGTAGACAACGCTGTTAGGAGGGAGGATGTACTGAGCACCTCGGGCGCTGTTCTGGGCGGCACCGCCAGCAATGAGCTTGGCATCGTAGTTGTTGAGGAGATCTTCGTAGAGAGGGATGTGCTTTTCCTCAGCAAGAATAGCGTCATTGGGCTTCAGGCCATACTTGTCAAGAAGAGCCTGGTCACCCTGAGCCTGGATGTCTGTTGGAGGCAAAGAAATAACTTGTCAGCAGGTGGTCAAGACAGAGAGGTTGGTGTAAGCGAGTAATATATAGCTTTGTAATGGGCGAGACATTGAGAGCTATCTATCTGTTAAATAGTAGAAGCTTACCGAGGAGAGGGTTCTCCAGACAGAAGAGAGAGTATTCTTTGACGGAAGACATTGTATTCAATTGTCTTGTTTGATGCACAAGATATGGTAAGATACGAGTTGATGAATATGGAGATGTAAATGGAGATGTAGCTTTGGAGGGGAAGAATTTGAGACGAATGGAGGGGTCAAGCGCTTTAGTGGGGTTCAAGCGTGGAGCCAGTTTTTTCGGCAACCGAGTGCTGGCAATTGGGCTTGAGATGGAGAAGTTGCAAGTCCGAGTCCACGTGCGGGAGGCGGGAAGTAGGAGGGACGAAGATGACGATCTTGCCAGCATTTTGGAGTTGATTACGTGCTATACCAGTTGAGGGTGTAATTAAAGTAGTGATTTGGAGGTTGAAATTCAATTGTTGACAGAAGGGGTCTAGCAATGAGAAGTTGTTTTGTCAAAGTTATAATTCCCTGATCGACGGCCTAAGCTTCTCATATGAGTTCAAACTACCATCATACGATCAGAATCTGGCTAATCCATCCCCGATATGCATTTTGATCTGGTGACCTCACTCGTGTTACAATGCTGCCAACGATAAAATAACATAGACACAACAATGACGATATTAATAGCAGAATTCCAAAATATTCGTATATTTCGGCACGAATACGATCACACAGCACTTGGGGGACTCCTGACGGGCCACATACATTTTGGAGACGTATGCAAGACACACAGCACAATCGCTTAACGAGGACATTATTTTACCAAGCATGCTTCTCTCATGGAAGCCTTTTTTTTGGCATTTGTGGTATCTCACTTCTTCGCTCACATCTTTCACAGAGAAACGGCCTTCAGATTTTTTTGCGCCAAATGCCATAGTACCTGCCCTCTGAGCTACCAGCCATCTGCTCTCGGCAGTACCTTCAATAGATGCAAGCCAGTAAACACCTTCCCAATGACACCATGAACCCAGCCAACAATTTAATCCTTTGTCTTCTGGGTACCACGGAGCAGACCCGTTCTTCGGGCAGCGATAAGACCGGCCTTTTGACCCTGGACGGCGTATCGGGAGATGGTAGAAGCCTTACCAATATGTTGATGGTTACCCTGTATCGACTGTCAGCTTTCCTGTTTATACAAATCATATCTCTGGAAATACGTACACCACCGTGAGGATGGTCGACGGGGTTCATGGCAACACCACGAGTCTTGGGCCAGCTGTTACGCTTGACAGCGAACTTGTGCTTAGCACGAGAAGCCTCTGTTTTGATTGTCAGCTGTCTGTTCTCGCTCGATATCACTCTCCGGATAACATACTCATGAGAGGCTTGTCGGTACGGCCACCACCAGCGACGATTCCGATCATTCCTCGGGCACCAGAGTGGACAACCTTCTTGGCACCGGAGGGGAGCTTGATGCGGGTCTTGCCCTCATCAGGGTTGTGGCCGACAATGGTGATGTAGTTGCCGGAGGTACGGCCAAGAGTACCACGGTCACCAATCTTCTCCTCGACGTTGGAGACGACGGTACCTTCGGGCATCTCACCGAGGGGAAGGACGTTGCCGACGGTCAGGGCAGCCTTCTTTCCGGCGTAGATGAACTGGCCAGTGTACATGCCCTCGTTGGCGATGAAGGTCTCGGTAACCTGCTTGAATCGGTAGGGGTGACGGAAGACGACCTTGGCCAGAGGGGCACCACGACCTGCACAGACAATCATCGTTAGTTGTCGTTCCTCCGTAGTATTGCAAATGTTTGTATGATTCCGTCAAAAGTTCTCGGGGAGCGCATCGGGGAACTTGCCAGCATCGTGGACGATCTCACGGACGATACCTCGAAGGTAACCGTGTCGCTCGGCATAATCGAGGTTTCTGAACTTGGCGGGAGCCTTGTTCAGGCGCGTGTTGGCCGCTATCCTGAGCGTCAGTATTCCAATGTTTTCGATATCGCGGAGAGGCTCGTTCGGTACTGACTGAAGATGGATCCACGACCCTTACGCTGGTTGCGAATAACTCTACCCATGGCTGCTGTGTGTCACGGTGTAAAGAGGGTGATGCTCTGGGCAGGTGAAGATTGAAATGCGAGAACAACTTGTGCGGCAGCTTTGCTGAGCTAGCCGTTCTGGCATTTGGTCACGTGGCAGGAGGGTTGATAGCCGGATCAACCATTTGCCGGTACCTAGGTAGCTATACCTAAGGCCTACCTATCAAATGGAGTGCTCAAGGTTTGGGCTTCCATGAGATGGAAAATAATCTGAAGACTTCGGGTTTGATCAGGTTCTTTTTTGAAGATTCTCTCTGTCTAATAAGACACTGGGACTACAAGGTGCCGTGGCCTCAATCTCGGAATTACTGCCAAAATGAAAGATATGGCTCAACAGGTTGACGACTTAATCGCCAACTCGAATCATATCTCAAAATGGGTCGAGGATCAACCGAGTGAAGACCAGGCAAGGTGCGCAATTCTTCCGAGACCATTTTGATGTAAATATTCTAAGATATTTCTCTGTAGTTGGGCCCAGTCCATTTTCACAAAACTCCTTGAAGGTGCTTCTCAGCCTAGGGGAGCTTCAGGCAACTCATGCGTAAAACTCTGCGGTTTCATCGAACAGTCGTCAAAATCGCACTCTCAGAATCTCAGACTCTGGGCCTATTCCAAAGATGTTACCATCAAGCTTTTCAACTTTTATGTTGAGTGGAACGAGTCAGACAACCATCGATCCATGAAGCTGGTTCTTGATCTTCTTCCTCAGCTTATCAGGAGAAACCCAGACGAGCAGGCAGGCCAAGCGACCAAAGCAGCAATTCTTGACAATCTTGTGTCGATTGTAACTGGAAAATCTTCAAAGCCTCTAGCCAAGTCTGCTATCAAGGCGTTGGACTATTTGCTTACCAAGGACATTGTTACCCTAGACGAGATACGGTCCAGTTATGTTACTCTCCAGCCAAAGGGTGCCTCTACCGATCACCTGGGTTTGTGGAAGTCTTTTATTTTTGAGCTGTTTCACTGGATGACACTTCACTTTGTCTGTCCAACTGCGGGAAGGTTCATTGTCACCTTGTATCGTGGTCTGAGGAGTCAAGACCAGCAAGAAACTTCAGTACAGCTGAGTATTGAGGCATGGCACAAGTGGCTTCTCGAAGCCGTCAATGAGGAACCATCCATTCTAGAATCAGTCAAGAACTATATCTTCCTACCCCTATTCAAAGCCGATAAAGCAGAAGCCCTGGGTTTCCTGAAGAGGATGAACGAAAATGAAGCTGTCTCTGCAGGTGATGAGATTGACCTCAACCTCCCAGCTCTACTACAGCTGGCAGCACTCGAAATTGGCAAGAAGGTTGGCTTGGTGGAAGAGCCTGGTAAGTTTACAAGTTCGCATCCTTCGATATTTACTAACTATAATAGCACTGGGCGATGACAAGTCTGCAGATAGCGATTCATCGATAGTGCTTGATGAAAAGGTGCTGGAAAGTGTCCTGGCTCATCCGTCGCATGAAGTTCGATCTCTTGCACTCTCACTACTAATGAGCTCACCCTCAACCACGAGACCATACTCATCTACGGCACTGGACTTGTTGCGCAAACATCTGGCGACATACTTTGCCGACTCAGATGCTAAGTTCCGAAATGAAGTGGCTGGGAAGGTTAGAGATATGTTTAAGAGAGTTCGAGGTGCCATATTTGTGCTTAAAAAGAGTATCCCAAGAGCCGCTGCTCGCAAGCAAAAGGAGCAACCGGGACAGACTCAAGAGTCACAGCATATCCTGTATCGAACTAACTTGATCTCGCTCCCAGAAGCCCAGCTTGTGCACTGCCTGGAATATCACGAGAAGTTCCTGTTCTGGTATATCGGCTTCCTGTGCAGCGAGTTGACACCGACTGCGTCTTACCAACGGCATAGCGCTTCCCTCAAGGCAGTTACATTCATTCTCAGAATGGAGGGAGAGAAGTCAAAAACATGGGAGACCGCGGATGACCAGACACTCTTCTTCGACCGATTCGGTGGCTCATGGCTACGAGCGTTGTCTGACCTGATCATGGATCCCTTTGACGACATTCGAAGCCATGCAGCTACAGTGCTGAAATGTATATTCTCGGATAGTCGCTACAAAAACTTTCACCTCATGGCCCAACAGGGCAAGATGAACCCCGCCGAAGAACTTGCAGAACTTTTGAGGCGATCTGAAGAACTCGCCCGCAAGACTGCCCGAGCTGATCATTCGGACGGTGTTGCTAGAGTGTCTCAGCTGCTATATAGATTCTCTGAAAATGAGCAACAGCGACTAGCAGTTCTTTCAAAGTTGGTTGGTGGTCTCGAAGAGAGACTAGCGGTAGCCGAGAAGGACCTTGGCAGGGCAGTTCTAGATGCACCACTCCACGGTGATTTTGCCTCTCTTTGTTACATGTGGCAGGTGGTTTCGGAGCTTCAGTTCTCTGAGAGCGAGTTGCAGGCTGTACAAACTCTGCAGGACACCCTTGTGACATGTTGTGAGCGAGTGTGGGCAGCGGTCCGTGAAATTCTCTGCGATGACTCGCCGGAAGGTCATCTACCACAAGAACTGGAGGAAGTTGATGGACTTGACACGAAGGATGTACTAAGTTACAGTTTCCGATCGGTTCACGAAGCAAGGTAAGTACGGTTTTATCATTAAAAAGATTTTAGCTAACATGTTTTTAGCAATCTTATGCGTATCTTGATTGTCCCTGTCAAGCAACGACATCCTCAAGGCAGAATCTATCCTTCAAGGGAGGTCTACGAGAGAATAGGAAACCTTTCCTTCACCCAGCTCGCCAGTCTTAGACATCGTGGCGCTTTCACTACTGTCGCACTGACTTTCTCAACATGCTGCCAACTGGTAAAGCATCTGAACCAGGGTCAAGACGGCGATGAAAGCGGCACAACTCTGCTTGAACAGTGGTATACTGTAAGTTGATTATTACTTCTGGATACACTGGGCCCCAAAACAGTAGCTCAGTGGTTATATGACCCAAAACACAGAAACTAACTCATAACAGGGCACACTGGAAGCCATTAACGCCCAGGTATCAACAACCCGGCGTTCTGCGGGTATTCCTGCCATGATGACTGGTGCTCTATCTGCCAACGCGAATAATCCCTCCTTTGAGCAAGTCATGTCTAAACTTATGGAGATTGCTAGCCAGGAAGCCCGTGTCACTGAGACAGATGGCTCAAACCTACCCCAGGTCCACGCTTATAACTGCTTGAAGGAAATCTTCAAGAGCTCCTACTTGACAGCCATAGGAAATAAGTCTGAGAAATTCCTACCTCAATGCCTTGAACTAGCAGCGAATGGCCTCAAATCTGAGCTATGGGCTATCCGTAACTGTGGTTTGATTCTACTCCGTAGTCTCATTGACTGCCTCTTTGGCTCTCACCAGAGCAAAGCTACCATGGAAGCTGGCTGGGACGGCAAAGCCAACCGCATCGCTTACCACCGCTACTCTTCGCTGCCAACGACTTTGCTTCACCTTCTCAAGTCTGGCCACCAGATGATGGCCTCCATCGCTGCAAGCTCAGCAGCAGCCGAGTCGGTCTTCCCAGCCCTTGACATCATTCGAAGAGCCGGACCCCCTGAAGTTCTCCGCGAAGAGCTCCAGATACATATTGCCAAGTACTTAGCCAGTCCTGTGTGGCACGTCCGTGAGATCGCCGCTCGAACTCTTTGCTCGTGTCTCTTGCACGCCCAGTGGCTTGATACCATTACTAGCCTGGCTGCCGAGTCTGTTCGTTCTCAGGTTGGGAAGGTCCAGAACCATGTCCATGGCGTTCTGCTGGCACTGAAGTATATCATTGAGCGGTTGAACGAGGTTATGCCAGAACAGTTACAGCGTAAGGCTCACCACACCAACGAACTAGACATAAATGCTAACGAAAACGCAGAGGATATCCCCAAGCTATCAGGGTTTCTTATCGAATACTGGCGCGCGATCCAAAATCTAGACTCCCCCGAGATTCCTGCGGCCTATCTTGAAGTTGCGAACATAGTACGAGTTCTCCCTAGACCCGGAGCTGTTGACCGTCTCCAGCTCGAGTTCCCTGCCTTCAACAAGCGAGAAGGTGCTCTCCTCAGGGCCCAGCGTATTATTCATGAGGTGCATTCCACCGCTGAGGGTAGCGGCCAGATCGAGGACCTCAACACCCTACTCCTGGCTAAGACTATGGGTGTCAACACGATAGTCGCTGGCCTTGAGACTATACCTAAGCTCTGGGATACTTCCCGCCTCTCAGGACAAGACGTGAACCACTTCTGTAACCTTTACCGGGATGTTTGTCTTAAGATTGGCCCTGCAGAGCCTCGCGTCATTGCTCTGCAGAATCTTACTGACATCCTGGACCAAATTCTCAAGAGTGGGAACCTCGACCTGATTTCGCCGGATTTACTGTCTCAGATCTGGAACAGCCTGCCACTGAGCTCTCTAAATCCAGCACTCGCCAACGCCATCATCAGGATTAGCGGTTGTATAACAGGTATACTCAGCAAGTCAAAGGCTATCACTGCAGAGGGTATCAAGAACTGGGGACACATGGTGGCCGATGCTGGTTTAGACGACAAGGTAAGACTGTCAAAGAAGCATCTGTTCATAATCTCTGTCTGCTAACACATCTGAAGGATTTCGATACCCGCCTGGCTACCGTCGAGTCTCTCTGCTCATTCTTTACCAGCATCCAGCTAGACCAAGCCTGGGCTCAGGAGGAACACCTGCCAGCTATCCTCACCCTCTACGACTCCCTGAATGACGACGACGACGACATCCGAGACGCTGGATCTGCGGCTGTCAAGAGCATTCTAGGCCAAGCCCTCGTCCCCATCGAAGCCGCTAATCGTCTTATCTCTTGGCTTGCCCAGGTCTATGCAGATAACTCCACGTTCCGCCAAATCATCGTGCACCGCATTATGGGCGACTCAAGATACCCAACCCCCGAGTCAAATGCTGTCTCTACCAAGGATCAGCTACAAGAGGCCATGAAATTTGACGACTCTCTCTTTGTCATCGAGGAGCAGAACCTCTTCGTCGATGAGGTCAGAGAAACACAGCGCTGGATTTCTGTCTACGAAAATCTGGCTTGGGAGTCGAACGACCCCTGCCTTGAGGCACTGACATCCTGGACGAGTGAAGGCTTGGAAGCCATGCAGAGTCTCGTAATCCAAGAAGATGGGCCCCTTGGATATGGATCGAAGCCCGAGGTTTTCGCTATTTTGTCGCGGGTTATTCGCGCATCTGCTGCGTTAGCGAGACATCATCCCGATGCCAAGCTTCGCGAGACCATCGACAAGTCAAGCAGTGCATTGCATCAACAACAGGGACACATCTCCGGTCTTTTGCTGCAGCCTCTTAAGAAGACCACCCAGCTTTAGAAAATAGAAACGCAAGTAAAAGCAGTAAAAGCAGTAAAAGCAGTAAAAGAAAAAAGTAATGATATGATGCTATTTATGTTTCATGAAACAAATGCCCCAACGCCTCGCATTGAAACCGGCCGTTAGTTACACGTGTCTTGTATGTGAATAGTAGATGGTAGGTTGTTTATGAGTTCCTTTCCTCCCCGTTTCTCCCACGCCCTCAACATCATCCGTTTGTGATGTCTCAAACTTCAGTGCTGGCCCTCTTAATGCTCTTTATGGACGACGACGGAGAACCAGGACCGTCCAGCAGTCCATTCTTACCCAGCTTGCGAACAAGCAACGTGTTCTGCGCCTGCAGCTCGCCAACCTGCCCCTCAAGAAGTTCGATCTGACGACGAGCAACATCTCGCTCTGCACGGACACGCTCAAGCTCAAGTGAGAGGTTGTTCTTCTCCTCTTGCTCGGCTGCTTTGCGTCGCCGTTCCTCGGCCTTGCGCTGATCTCGCTCACGCTTCTCCTCAAGCTTGCGCATCTCACGGCGATACTTCTCCTCTTGCTTGGCCACTTCTTTTTCATGCTTCTCGCGCAACTTGGCTAGTGTAGCAGCGTCCTTCTCTTTGTCGCCCACAAGTTTGCTTTGTCGACGTTCTTCGAGTTTAGCTAGCTTTTCATCTAGTTTCTTCTTCTTGTGTTCAAGCTTCTTAAGTTCCTTATCGGCTAGTGATTGCTGCGCATTGCGGGATGTTTCGGATTGCGACTCGGCAAGACTGTCGGGAGACTTGTTCTCGGCGGTCATACTTTTTTCCAAAGCAGACGCGAAGCTTCGGATTGAAGAAGTATCGCTCTCATCATCTTGCTGGTCCTCACCAACGACATGCCCATCTGATGCGCTATCGTCGGTAGATCCAAGATCAGAGCCGGTCCCCCAGGTCTTCAGCAGGCTGGCAGGAATATATGCACTGGCGGCGCCTATGGCACCAGCTATGACTCCGTAAAGACCGTTGCTGCCAGGGAATGGGTCATCTCGGTTCGAAGATGGAACGATAGGTTCGACTTTTCTTTTCTCGATATTAGTAGTTGGGACCGGCGCAGCTGAGGACTTCATATTGTTCGATGTAGATGCTTCAGCGCCCTCGACAGCGTTCTTTGTCTCGGCATTCTCTTCTGGCTCTGCGAATCCGTGCATAGCTTTAGCAGTCACCCACTTTAGGAACTTGCCAGCGTCTCCCACAATGCCAGGCGGTGTTCCCTTTTCGATGAGGAAGCGCGGGACGCTACCACCAGGATCACTACGAGTGACCATGAGCCATTCGACAGCCGTAGCAGGTTCGTCTGTCGGGTTTGAACCGTGGCCCTCGCTACCAGGCTTCGGGCCTGCTATTCTACCTTCGTCTCGCTCTGTTAGATCTGCCGACGACAAGGATCTCTTTGACGCAAAGTTATCGATTGGAACTTCACGAATAACTTCAACAGACTCGTAATAGCCACGGATAATGCCCGAGCGGGGAGGACATTCGGGGTGCTCGCATGGTTTTGAAACAATCATGTACTGTCGGAGTGGCCGGGATCCTTCGCCGGACTTCACGGAGGTCTCGCAGGTCAAGAGCAGGGTTACAAAGTCTCGGGGAGCGGTCGGCCCGGGAAACTGGGCAGAAAGTTGGAAGACTATTGGCAGTTTGTTAGCATTATCCCATGATGAGATAGGAATCGTGTGACTCGACTTACCTTGCAGTTGACCGTCATCCCCAATCTGCTTATCCTCCACACGCTTATCAGCACCGATTCCACGAATGTTGCCACTGCCTGGTGCGCCCTGGACCTTCATGGTCTCTGAGAACTCGACAGAAAGACCCTTCTTCCAATCGTCAAAAGACAGCCCCTCGTGTACACTCCGCCTGGCGAACCATGCGCCGCGTCCATCTTTTGAGCCCAGCTTGTAGACGTTGATTCCGAGAGGGTTCTCTTTGGCATTAACTTTGATCTCCTTCCACTCCTTCTGCAGATCTTGAGCCTGGCTGATTGCTTCGGCCTTCTGTCGCAGTATCAACGCTCTCTTGATATCCGGAGCCGAAGCTGCCGACTCAGTCTTGGACCGAGCACGTCCTCCAGAGCTTGAGCTGTCAGTCTTTGCCGGAGCGGGGATAGATTCTATGACTGTTTGCGTCTCGGTGATCACGTCGGCGAGGAATTCGTCGAGGTTGTCTTGGGGCACCTGCTCCCACTCAACAGGGCCCATAGCCCCGAGAGGTTCGTGGTGAGTGGCCCCCATAGCTTTTGTCGATGAATGTGAATTTGTAGTGGTTTCAGTGTATGTAAGTGTAACAAGGAGATGCCTACGTTCGTGTGTGTAGGTGTTCGTGACTTTAGATTATAGAGGTGATGACATAAAAACAAGGAAGCAAGAAGGCTGGGCTAAGTTTCAAGATGAAGACGTCAGAAGTAGAACAGAATGAGATAAAGCCAAGAAGACCAAGCCAGGAATAGTAGAGCCTTTCTGCTTTGTTTGGCCGCGATGGGTCATGATCAACAGCCGTCACTCCCGCGTATTGACGTCACCCGACGACACTTACTTTAGGTTAGCTACAGAGCCCTACGCTACCACTATAATTTAGCGGCCGCTGACCCACAGATCGCCACGTTGATCGCTGGAAATACGCGGATACGTGTAACCACAGTACACGAATCGCCTAGAAGCCCCCAAGGTCCGAGGTTGAGACGCTGGGACTCGTCCGAACACCCCAGGTTTTCTTCCCCCGTAAATACGAAAGCAGAAAAAGAGAAGTAATTATGCATAACATAAGACTATTTCTAGAATACTCCAGTATTATAAATGCCTTGCTTAAGTGACAGCCTTCGGCATACGTGCAAAGTCCGCTCTATTCCAATTTGCTTACAGATGAAATTCGCCAGGCGATGGCGTGCCTAAGAGTCAATTCCACCTCTCGTGATGCTAATGAATACTTTGTAAAAACATGTAAATAACGCTCTATCATCCAGTGCAATATTGTTACACACTACACAGCCGACAACTTCCGCCCCTTCACCACAACCTGATAATCCCGCTTGCAGCTACCACAGTAACTATCACGCCACTGCTCAAGAGCCTGTCTTCGTTTCGCTGGTAAAGGCTCCATGACTTTCTGGGAGCCCTTATCTCCCTTGTCTTTCTTTCCGCCTTCTGGCCCCTTCTTCTGCCCCTTTGTCTCGTCTTGCTGTTGGAGCATAGTGTCCAGCTCATCACAGAGGAACCTCTCATCCACTAGCCAGTTCTCCCACTCCGACTGCAGCATCTCCCGCTCAATACTGTTGACAACCCTCATGGCAACCAACAAATCATGTCGGTAGGTTCCTAGCCGCTGTCGTGTTCGTCGTAGTCTTCGCGCTGTGGAACGGCTGGTAGGTGTAGTCAGACTGGCTCCAGCATCCTCCCAGGGGGTATCCATGTCTGTTGTATCCAAAAGACTCTTGAACGTCGAGAAGCATGTGCTGTTTTCGGGGAAAGACAATGCCTCGTTGGTTCCAGATGCTGTATCCAGATCGGAAAAGTAAATGGCCTTGCTCATCATTGAGTTGGGTCGAATTCCAATATTTTGCATAAATCCGGCTGCTCTTCGTTCACTCCACCATGTTGAAGTCTCACTTGATGTCAAAAGCACATTGGTAAGAGTGCTGAATGCAAGTAGTGCGAGGATGATCCACTGAGCAGTAATTAAGTTGAACAAGTTACGAAGCGCAGCGATAGCCCACATAATGAGTGACGAGACTGCACTTTCTCCAAAAGATCGGATTGTTTCAAAGACCATGGTCGTCAGTGTTCGAGGCTTGATAGCCTGCTTCTTTGTCGAGTCAGTCGCAGCAGGTGAAAAGACAACAACTTCTGTCTGCTGGCCGATCTGACCATACACTTGAATCGCTCTGTTTGTTCGGCTTCGAGTTCCAAGCTTACGGACTTGGTCCGTGGCCACCTCGGCCAATTCTTCCGCGTCACTTGCAGCATCACGCACTGCTTGACGGTCAATCAGATTCTTGGACAATGCAGGATTTTTAGACCAGTCCGTTTTCGTGTAAATAGCCAGCTTACACTTGGACTTGGCCACATGCGTAATGACAATCTTGGTTATTACTTTGAACCAGGTTGAGTGAGGTAAATGCCAGGCCGTCTTGGCATGAGTTACCACGTATGTGACATGGTCACTAAAGACTTCAATGATCTGGTAGTCATTGACATCGGCCGTCTTGGACCGACCTAGGACATCCGTATAATCGACCTTGAACTGGAAGTCACGTCTCATCCTGCCCTGGTCCACCAACACCCAGGGTCCTTGAGCGATCTGCTGGGCCCGCCGCTCAAAGTACAGCTTCGGGAACACAAAGCTCTTGTCGCCAAACAGAACATGGAAACAAGATTTGGCGCTGATTTCAAAGTGTCGCTCAGCGGCCATCTCCTTCATACCTTCCGGCTCGTAAATGACAGGACGAGCTGGCAGTTGTAGTTTCTGGTTATGTCGTGCCCGCGACCTTGAAGGACGTAGCGGAGGGCTGAATTCCATACGTCGAGCCACCGGCCGCCCCGTTGATGTTCCGTCGTCCATAGGGGTGTTTGCAGAGACCTCTTCCCAACTTTCCACGCTCGGACTCGGTCGGTCATACTCTTCCTTTTCGAGATTGATCAATGTAGTGACGATGGTTTGAACATCCATGGGCTCTTCAGCCTGGATGTCATCGATCAGTAAGTTGAGACGAGTGTGAAGGAGACCAAGATCTTCCAAAAACACCTTGATGGTGATCCTGGTGTATCCTGTCTCGTTGGCGTTCTCATTAAGGTGCAGGAAGATGAAATCGCAGTCCCGGCCCGGGGCCGCGGTCACTTCACTGATGATGTCGAGGCTGATGTTGTAGGCCGTAACAAGACCTATCTGCTGTCCGTAGAAATACATGTTATCGGGTGTAACATAGATACGACCGTCACCAGCCATGTCCGGCTTTCCGGGTCCTCGCTCAGGGGAACCCGTCCAGGCAGCCCGGAAGACAAGAACGAGCTTCTCCTCCAAGGGTGCATCTGGGAACAGTAGTCGGAATTGGGCGTGTTGGGCTCTCAGCTCTGCAGGGTAGTTTCGAGGGAAATATTCACCCCCTTCCTTCTGCTGAGCGCTCTGGCCTATGGTACTTCCAGGAACAACAACCCCAATAGGGTCGTCTTCATCAAGCCTAGGAAGCACAGGCTGGGATGGTGCATTCATGGCCCCCCAGGGGTTAGTTCCCCAGTAATTCGCAACCACGGCCGCTGGGAGTTTTCTATTGTTACCCACAGGTTGGCGATCTCCCGACGCCAAAACAGCAATGCGGCTCAACCCAGTCATGGATGGAGGCTTTGCTAGAGTTGCCGGCGCCAAACTACCAGCCTGAGTGTCTATCGTCGGCAGCATGCTGGTGGTTTGCCTAAAGGTGGATGGTGCGGCCCCTATATTGCCCGGGAAGCCTGGTGGAAGGGTATGGCTCGTAGCCATCATGCTAGCTAGTCCAGCAGCAGAAGCAGACGAACCTGTCTGTGTTGCCTCGGGGCCCTGATTGCTAAACGTTGCTTTGCGGTGCAGGTCAAGTTTTTGAATAATTCTGGCAGCATGCTCACGGCCACTCTCACCCTCTTCTCGAGCTAGATCTCGTCCCAAAGCAGTAATGGTACGTCGAGAGATGCTGCCATTAACATCAAAGCTCTGTCGCGTGCTGAGGTTGCCGTCTGGACCGGGGACAGGCAGTGTCGCCGTTCGGTCAGTAGTAGGGACTGTTTCATCGTAGATACCGGCTTGTGCATCAAGGGTCTTGGCAGAAAACTCGGGAATGCTTGGAGGTGTGATCGAGAAGGCGGGATCGACAGATCCGGGAAGAGAAGCGCTCGTTCTGTTCATGGTCGTCTCAAAGGCACGCTTCTTGGTGACCTCGAAGACCTCCAACCACTCCGTAAGCTCTCCTTGAGTTTCAGCTTGGAGGAGGATTGTCTGGCTCTTGGTTTTGACTTCGAAGCAAAATCGTCTATCCTCGGCCACGGCTGGCTTCGCGTTACAAAGGAGGACTCCAATCTCATCGCCCTGGAGAACTCCTAGAGGTCCAGGTGTCAACCAGCCGAAGATACCATCACGGCAATAATACCACCTCCTGATCCAGGTGTGTCTTGCTGGCTTTCCGGAGAGTACTCGAAGGAACAGCCATCCTTGCTTTTCAGAAATAACGGCAGCACCCTCCTCGAGCCGGACGGTAATGGGGCCACGAGTGCCAAGGAATGGAACCGTTGAAGTGCTGTAATCCTCGATCTCTCGGGATGGCTTAAATACTGTGAGGGTGTTCTCTCCGATTTCTCTCCTGGCGGATTGCAACTCCCGTCTAAAGACCATCTCAGATGCTCCCATTTCATTTGACCAACCCTGGATGCGCTCCATCTCCTGGTTCCAGCGGCCGGTATCGCCTGCAGCCTCTTTCGTACGCCTCAACTGATGCCAGCGTTCAGTGCTGATCTTGACCAGAAGCTTGTCCATGCTAAAGCGCAGCTGTGGTGCGAGCTGGCAGTAATCCATCGATGCTTTAAGGTATGCCTTTCGTGTCTCGAAAACAGCAAAGGCGTCTTCGCGCAGGGCTGATGGCTCCTTTGTCTTCGACTGACTGACATATCGGGCTAGGGTCGAGTCGAAAGTCCTCTGCGCCTGTTCCATAGCCCTCCTGCACTCTTTGAAGTTCCTTAGATCACCGACAATAAATTGCCGTATAGGGTCAACGACTACGCCTTCCATCTTCTTCATGGTGCTTATCATCTGTATCCAATAGTCTCTCCAGCCATCACCCACCCTCTTCAAAGCTAGAAACGTATAATCATTGTCGACAACGCCGTCAGCCGCCGAGGGCATCGTCTTAATGAGGAAGGTATTGATCGTTTCCTCGAGGGCGAGTATATCGTGCAGAAGTTTCGAAGTCGACTGGGCGTATCCGTTGAGCCATTTTTCAATAGCATCGACTTGATCGCCAAAGTTGGCAGAGGTTACACGAAAGGTCGGAGAGTCGAGAGCTGCTTCATTGAGGCCAACGGGGATGGCGCGGCCTGCCTGGTTCGCTGCAGCAGCCGGCGGGGAGTCGGGCTGTGGTTCAGGCATTATGAAGATATAATTATGTTTGAACGCCTGACGGCAGCTTCAGTTGAACACTGAGCTGTAGTCTTGTATGGCGCAAAGAGTATTAAAATTTATGACGATGTGAAGATGGCATGGAATGATGTTGTGGTCGATGAGAGGCCGCTATTCTAGGTACAGCGTCCAGGTCAGGTCAGGTACCTTGTGTTGACGTAGCGCACCCATGCCCGCCAACTCCCATCCGCGGATCCCCACAGCAGCCTGGGGCCAGAAACACCGGAAATGGGTATGGAACCATCTCGGATACGCGGTCTTAATACGATGCGCAAAACGGAGTATTAGCAAGCCTCAATTTCGTTAAGTACAGTAAAATTATCCTGAAATGCGAAGTTACCTCTTTAACCGAAGGAAGGAGCCAGCCCAAGACTCTCTTACAAATGCACGCCATAAGAAATCACGTTTCAAGTTGATGTTCATATCACATTGTTCAGCTGAGATGGCCATGCAAACGACTAGTATTTTATTGACTCGACGTGTCGTGCCTGCTCATGACTATATAACCTTGAAAAGGAAGAAGCCTTGCAGCCAGCTTACACCGACTCAACTCAAATAATAACAATCTTCAGACCGGACATTATGCTGCCCATGCTGGCCTTCACGATCCTCTAGCCGCCGTGCCGCCGCTATCCTTCAATTTTAATGGTTGGGCCTACCAGCTGTTAGACCTGACTTTTGGGTTTCTTGAGGTGCAGGAATTGGAGGGCGTGATGTACCTCTATCCCCGTCGATCATAACTCAAGCCGTCATCATTGTGCGAAGCGGACTGGGTCGTGATGCCAGGCTGGAAGAATGGAGAGGCGCGAGACTGTCCCTCTCCACCAAGCGCTGCTGGGCGATTGACCTCGGCGCGGCATCGGTCGACCTCTGCGCCTCGGGGCGCATGGCACTGTTGTCGTACGTGGACGGATGAACTTGAGTCGATCCCTCGCTGGTCACGAGGGGATCTGCTGGTCAATCTGTTTATGAGTTAGAATCATGAGGTCTGTTCCGTCAGGAATTATGTCGCTAACTTACCGTCGTAGTACTCGTCGTCGTCACTCAAATCAGCAAGCTGCTCGAAGTTGACCTTGTAGCGGAGAAGACCGCCGATACCACCAAAGCCCTTGACGAACTGGTTGCCCTCAGTAGATCGGTCAGACACAAACTCAAGCGTGGTACCAAAGTCCTTGTAGTGCTCCGCAATCCATTCAAGGAAGGACTCCTGGGCAACAATGTCCATCTCTTGGCCAGTCTCCTTGTCGAGGAACTTGTCTCGGTTGGTCTGCTCCTGCTGCTTGGTGGTGTGGAGGATAGTCTCACTGCCGTTGCTGTCCTTGAGGACCCAGCGGGTGATCTCAAGGTTCTCGAAGACAATCAGAGTCTCGACGGCACCGAGCTCAAGGGCCTTGAGGGTATCCTCAATACTGTAGCAAACCTTGCCGGTATCTTGGCTAATCTCCTCGAAGTACTTTCCAATAAGCTTCTTCTCCTGGATGAACTTGACGTTACCGAGGGTCTCGGAAGACAGCTCGATGGCCTGGTTGAAGCCGTTCTCACCACCGTAAGAAACGTCAACAACTTTGATAACCTTGGTCGCGAGACGGTTGTCAAACATATCGGAGGCGTTGAGGTCGTTCTTGAAGTCGGCAGAACCAGCAAGGATGATACCAGCGACGTTGACCTTGTCAGCAGTGATGAAGTTCTGAACAGCCAACTCGGCAACCTTTCGGACGTAGTTGTGACGCTTCTCCTCTCGCAGACGGGCGAAACGGAGAGCGGACTGACCACCACGACCGTGCTTCTTGGGAAGATCGACGGAGAACTTGTGGACGACCTCACGGGTGTTTCCGCTCAGTGTTCCGAAGAGAGCACCGTTACCATCCATGATGATGAAGCCGAACTTCTGGTCGGACTCGAGCAGCTCGGCCAGAGCCTCGGTATGGAACTTGTTGTCACATAGGTAGAGGGAGGTGTTGATGGGCTTGAAGGGCTCGAAATCGATGTTGACCTTTCGCTCCTTGCCTTCCTGGGTCAAGATTTCACCACAGTAGACGACCAGACCATTCGGGGGGACCTTGTTGTACAGCTTGAGACGCTGCTGGGTCGAGGTAATAGCAGACAGGACGGACTGTCGGTTGACTCGAGACTTGATGTTGGAGGCGGTACCCTAAGAGACTGTCAGTGCTGCTGTGGCAGAGTGTCGAGGCGTGATGGAACCGTACGTATTCTTCAGCCAACATCTTGGCAGCTCGAGAGACTTGATCCTTGGGAGCTGAGAGGACACCCGAGTTAGTGCGCGGACTGGATAAGAGACGGGGAAGAGCGAGAGTGGCTTACGGATAATGAGGGAAATCATGGAGGTTCCATTTCCTCTGGCGGCTTCAAGACGCTTGATCAGCTTCTTGACCTTCCAGATCTCAATCTGTAGCAGAAGGTGTCAGCCATGATCACCGTCGTAGTGATTGAGTATTGCACTCGTAGAGCGATGGGAGTCTCCTTAATTCCTCCATCGCGGGGCAATGCAGGCGACACAAAGAGAGAAGAGGGGCACTAAACGAAGATTTGTTTAGAACAAGAGCCAACTTACGTTTTTCTCAGCCTCGTTCGCCTGAGCGTCACTCATCTTGGCGGTTGGACGTGGATTTCTGTTTGGGAGAGGGTTCTTCTGGCGAGCCTGGGGAGTTATTGAAATATGAAGTTGACTCTGGGACTCTGGAGCCTGAAGATCCCAAAAGTTGGATGTTATGTTAGTGCCAGATTTTTTCGTGCAACGAGCGATGACCTAGACACCCGCACCCGCCCACAACTTTAAAACCCACTCTGATTTGTTACTCGCCTTAACCAATCTACTGCACTTCGTACTCTTGGCTACGTAACGTGGACTTTTCCTTTTGCTTGATTCACCTCACTATTCGAGGTACCCAGCATGAAATCATCGGTACCCGAGTGGGTCTCACGTATAATAACCGTACTGCTGACTGCTGACTACTGAATCATGAGGCGATGGTTTCCATTTCCATTTGCCTCGGAAGTAAACATGGAAACCCCCGGTTCGGTTCAGTGACTAACACCGCGTGTGCCCTATGACCGAATCTCCCCAAACAAGGTGTAGGTGCCTAAAGATCATTACAATATGCTTCGCAGGTTGGTTCGTTTTAACAGCTTGTTGTTAGTATAAAGGTGTTGTTGTCTCTTTTGCTTTATCTCACAGTTAAAGTAAACGATCGTAGAGAGGTTCCTTTACGTATTCCACAAGATCACATATTACTCCCATGATGAATACAAACAATACATCTGAATCAACAAATCGTATAGCTCTGTACTAAGCGTGGGCAGATATATCTGATAATCTATATGAATCTCAACTGTAAAGCTACCTAGCCAAACAACTCATAGGCAGGTAGGTAATCTTGCTCTTGAACAAGTATTCGCCAACTAAAGTTTCTTAGCCAATCCCACCTCACAGTGGTTTGCACGTAAGCACATCACGTAAACTTACATCATAAACAAAGCATTCTACTTTTACAATTCAGTATTTATTCTTACCATTTGGGCTTTCCATATGCCTCTACCGTTATATCTGCCTTCCTCGCTGATTTCTCTCATGCTTTGCCTTACTGACCCCTCTTGCCCCCAAAACAACGTCAAAGATGAAGCCAAGAACCAGTGTCCCTGAGACAATCGGCACCACGATTTGGTAAAAGAAAAAGCACGCCACGAAAAAACCGGCCAGAAGGCAAAGAACAACAGCTATCACAGTGTACGTGGCCCCTTTGGCATTTCGAAGGCCAATATCAAGGCTGTCCATGGCAGGTTGTTGAGAAGGAAAAAGTGACTAATAGGTTGTAAGTCAAAACGGCCTTTGGCCAAGCGAAGGAAATGTGAATAGGGACAGGAAAGCTCACCTTTTTACCTTCTTCCAGTTCCATTGTGTTTGCTCTTCGTGGCGTCATCCATCTCGTCCTTGAATCAACTCTTGTGCCAAAGCCTGCGTTGCCCGAGAGGTCAGGCTGACTGTAAGATGCAGCAGCTAAAGGCAATAACGAGTTCCCATAAGCACATGTCGAATCATTGAACGATCTTTCATCTACTATCCTGGTGCGGCTTTGGGATAACCCAGAAGTCATCTCTTGGCTTGAAGAGGGTGCGTAGCCTTCCAACGTTGGGACCCTGCTTGCTGTGTTGGGCATTGAGACAGGATGTTTTTTCACCTCAATTTCGATCTCAATCCCTCGGAAGTTCTTGATGGCTATGAGACATTCCGAATTAATACTACTGTTGGTAGACTTCAGTTGATAGACTTACTACCGATCTCAACAGCAGTGAGAGCAATGACGAGAAGAAGAAGCATTGGCATGATTTGGCCAAAACTCGTCATTAGGAGTGGTTTGGTGTCGACTCCTTGGTAGAAGAGACCTATAACCAGCGTGTATATTGCAATTGCGAATGAGAAGATCGCAATCAAAAGTTCGAATAGGACTGAGCCAGATACCTCACCTATAATTGGTACTGTGATAATCCTGAAGGCTTTCCAGAACCCAGGTTGACGCTCCATTATGGCCACATTCTTTTGGGTTCTACGTCGTCTTTCATCCTCGTCCTTATTCAGAAAGGTCTGGAGATCTGCCCGTCCCTTCTCGCTTGAATAAATTCGACGCAAAATCGCATTTCTTGAGACGTTGTGCCCTTGCTCGTATCTCAGGGAATTGTCTAGCTTGATCGATCGGAACGCATTCCAGTAAACAAATGCTAGCATCACAGATATGGAAAAACACCTAACGCCCATTGTCTTTACGCGAGGTAAAATTGGGTGGTGAAGACCACAAAGAAAGAGTCGGTCGCGTGGCTCAGATAGTGTAATGAACTCGAGTATTAGAGCCGACATGAGAAGTCCAAGAAATAAGACCATCAACCCACTTCGCAGTAGGGCTTGTTTTGGGTGTTTCCTGAAGTAGGACTTCAAGACCAAGAGGGTACATAGATGAACGGTCGATGATAAATAACCCAACTGGGCGCCGATGAAGAAGGAATACAACGATACCCGGCAGACTTGAGCATACATGGCTGTGAGATAACACAGGCCTACAGCTAGCATCTGGTCGCTCAGCGCGAGTAGAAGCGACTGATAACCAAGGTTACTAGGCGAGTCGCTGGCTGGTCTCCTGACTCCGATCCAGTACAGGACTTTCTCATCAAGACGCAGGTATTGCTGCTTAGGGATTGCACGCTTAATGACGGCCATGATGGCCACAATGACGGATATGGCAGCTGTGATAACAAATGACAAGACAACCTGTGCCGAATGTAAGTTCTCAAACCAAATTTAATGGAGCGCAGTGCCTTACGCCAATTCCATTCATATCAGCGTCCACCACATTTTCAGCGGGAGTGCCGCACTTAATCCCACCATTGCAGAATCCCATATTCAGCAAGTTAGTATCATGGAGGTGATGAGAGTAAATTCATGCCATCAGAGGTAAAGTTTCAATCAAGAGGGAATGGTAGACTACCTACGATGGGGTCCAATGCCGATCATCACTTAACAGTCTTTGGCCTGTCCTTGATTTATGTCATAGACGCATGCTGATAAGCCACTGCTTCTGCGGAAACATAATTGTGTCACACTGCAACCCTCCAGAAAAGCACGTTAGCCTCTTCATACTCCCAATTGGTTTGACCCAGAAAGTTTGGCATGCCCGAGACAACCGTAAACAACTGCAGTTCAGCTGCAACACTGGTCGCTGCTTAGATTGTGGTCTCCCGATCATGATTCCGCCATTGATGGGTGCAAATGAGGTGCTGGATATAACGTTCTGCGTCGCTATGTCTCCTGCATTGTCGACGTAGGTCTTTACAGGGCTGGTTTAAGCTTAACTTGACCATGCAATTAAACCCCCGCTATATATTTGCTTCGACTCACCAATGTATTATTAAGAGGCTACAGATATATATTAAACGCATTCTGCTTTGCCGCCTTGGTTTATCTTTTGGGCTCCGGTCTACAGCGGGTGTGCAAAAGGTCCGACAACTTCGTCTCATCTAAAGTTTACATAAAATGATATAAATTAAAATAAGCCTTTTTATCATATCTAATTCTTCATAATCTTAGGATGCTATTATTTATAAGTTTATATAAGATTATATAAACTAGAATAAACCTTTTATTTATATAATTCTATATAATTTTAAGATATAATTATATATGAAATATTATAATTATGACCTCTTTTATATGTCTGTCTTATGTCTCATTTTCCTACCTAGTTCGCCCATCATCGGAAGTTTTGTACGGGACTGTGCTATTAAGAACGTATACAGTCATATCTTTCACATGTGGGAACTAATCACTTATCCATGCTCCTCTGTCCAAACACTATGTACTTCTGAAGTATCGATGTATAGACCAGAAACTGATTATAACAGCCATGAGCTCCCTCTTATTGGAAGATAAGTGTTTGTCAACTGATATACGTATGTCTACTCCTTACGTGGTACTAACTAGACATACCTACGTATCATGAGGATAAATGCAGGTTCGCTTGAAAGCCACCAATCATGCCTAATAGATTGAAGGAAGCAAACAACATTCGTCAGATTGAATGAGTATTTTATTAGTCGCAACCTTTGCGACTCATTAAAAACGAAGGTTGATGTGCTCCGTTGGCAGGTAAGTTAATATCAAAGTTCATGGATATCTATCGTTGGCTTCCATTGTACGGATGTACACCCACCCCCACCTCCACACGCTAATCTACCGCCCGGCAGTATCGTTCCGTAGCTCGGCCATGCGACGTCAATCAATCACTACCCGTCAAACAGCGACATATTCAACGTCTCTCGAAAAGCCCAAACGACTACCATATCCTATCAGATAAACTTCATTTTTGCACAAGATGGAATCGGGACCTACAGAGCTTGCGAGCACCCTTCAGGCCGCGAGCATTGAACATCACCCCGACCCAAAGCTCGACTCCAACCCACCCACAGCCGCTGGTAGAAGTCAACGCGTAACGCTCGAGCACGCCAAACACGGACACGACGACGGTATTGACGAGGATGATGAAGATGAGGAGGATATCCCCTATAGTGTCCTTCGGCCTGCTCCCAGACACTCTAACCTACCTCCCCTACCAGACCTGCGCTTCGAGCAGAGCTATCTCCGAAGCATCTCCAATGCGGATACGTGGTGGAAGGTGGCGCTCATAACGACGAGGGATCAGGTATATATATGCGAATCGAAACTGTACTGAAGGGTGTCAGATTGCTAATGTAGTTTTAGATCTTGATGCCCTTAACCCAGGGTCTGGTCTACAACCTATTCCTCTGCGGCTGGCAACAGTGGAACAGAAATGCTCGACTACATGGCAATACATTAGGTGCGCGAGTAAGGCGCTGGTGGTGGGGAGTCAACAACTGTAAGTCACGGATCACTGCATCATACATATGCATGGTCATAGCTAACATTGATGTGTTAGGGAAGATACCTACCCACAGTAAGAGAGCCTGATAAAGGAACTGTCGGGATATGAATAGAATGTACATAATAGCTAGGACGCAAAAATCCTCTTCCTTATTGTTCAGTTTCCATTGAAGCTCGGTTCGTTGAAACTCCATGACTCATAACTTGATCATATTTTGATCATAACGTCATTACTGAGCCACTGAGTCTATCCTGCGTATACTCATATGTCCTTACTCAAATTATAAGTATATGACTACTGGTATTCAATCAAATATAGCTAGTTTCATCGAATACGCCACCAGCCAGGTTACAGTTGAATCCGCATCAAACATTGCGTTAACCGAATAACAGCCAAGTAGACCTTTTCATAGTCGGTAGCTTATAGTGAAGCTTGGGGGATTGGGCACACAAGTTTGAGGGCATTACTGTCAATTAGACAAATTACGTTGGCCATACTAGATATGTAGATTGCCATTGGTATGATAACTAATATGCTATCGCTATGCCGATACTGCCCATATCCGTACCTATAACAAGTTGAGAAAGAGCCTGGATATGCTTTTTGCTTTTGGGTATTCTTGGAATCCTCGCTCGCTCTTGGGTTGTGTATTATTAACCATTGATGCTCTCGATGTTTTGTCTCCTTTAGTGCCACAGTTCTATTCCGCCATGGTTGCCAGCCTTCAGCTTTACTGGCTCTATGCCATATAAACCCTTTGTACCAAAACTCCAACAAAAAAAACCATAATCTGCGGCTTCAACAACTCTTACTCGTCTTTTGCACCAGCATCAAGAGGCCGGGAAGCCGGCTGTGCATGCGTCTTTTCTGGACTCCCTCTAAAAGCCAAGGATGTAGCATGAATAACTGCTGATGTCTTCTCCTGGTGATCAACAGAGTCGGGGTCTGGGATAGGAGATTGCTGAGTTGTAGCTTGCGGTTCCTTGCTGGGAGTAGCCGCTGGTGCATCTTCCATCTCGACATTAGGCGCCTCTGAACGCCGACGTTCTTCGTTCCCCATGTCAGAGCTCGGCGTTGGTAGTTTGTTTCCAGCTTGAGGATTAGATCCCAGGACATTCCGCAGTTTCGGAGGTGTGACTGAAAGCTTGACAACCAGACTTCGGTTCTGGACTTCCTCATCGTCATCGGCCATTGGATCGTCTTCGTCAAACTCTTCTTCGTCTTCTGATTCCTCGGGTACGTGTTCGTCGACATCTTCCTCATCGTCCCCAAACTGAGTCTCACTCTCCTCATCAGAATCATCAGTCGCCTTGCGTCTGGGAGCTTTGTTGTTTTCGGACCAACCACTTGTGCCATGGTTCACTGCTGCTGTTCGTCGCGGCCGTCCCGTTGGGCCAACAGAGCTCTCCTTCTCAACATCAGATGTGTCTCCCTGTACACTACCAGGGGCACTGCTTCCAGTTGTGGGGTTCAGTCGGGTTGGCGCCTTGATCTGACGGCCGCTGGCGGTGGTGACCGGGCCAGTCTCGACTGGGGTGTGGGTTCCTGTATTGCGAGTAGAGCGTCGAGTTGTCGAATCGGTGGTAAAGATGTCCTCGTCGTCGGAATATGTATATTTCATTTTCTTGCCTCTGGTACGGCCTTCGTAAAGCGAAAACCCAGGCTCAGGTCGCTTGAACTGTTCTTTACGCTGTTGACGATAATCACGGCGCTTTCGTTTCTGTTGTGTATCAGTAAAATGCATAAAAGATGGACTCGCCAAAAGCAATATTGGCAGCCAAAGGAGGCTATGGATAGGCAACTAACCTCCTCGCCAGCTTCGAACCGGGGAACGGCTGTGAACATCTTTTGGGCCAGCTTTGTAGCTTTTGGGCCACCGTCCTTGATCTCGAGTTTCTCAGCCAAAGCCTTTAGCTCATCGATAGTGCCCGCCACGCTCCACCATGTTCGGTTCGATCCAGCGGGGTTGCTTTCTCGATATACACGGAAAGCTGTATCGTCTTGTCCTTCGACCAGAAAATAACGACGCTTGTCGCCGTCCGATCCCCAAGGCTGTACCGCTCGAGGTTGATTGAGGTCGTCTTCGTGGCGGTTCTGCTTATAAGACTGGTTGATAAGTGCTTTGACGGTTTCGGAGGATGAAAGGGACCAGAGAATGAGGTATCGCAGCAGTGTGAGCTATAAGATGATTAGCACCATGGAGTGCGCAAAAGAACTTGGCGTAGCGCACCCTTTGTGTAGGATTCATCGAGGTAAAAGTTGCACCACCAGACAGAGGACTTTTGTCCTCCCAAGCAGGCGCCCATTGGCTCTTGTGGGAGCTGACGGCATCCTCCAATGCGCGACCATAATGACCAGGCCTGAAGAAAAATTCATTAGCATGTTGTGCTTTGCTGATTAGGGTCTTGCCGTACTTGACATCTTGCTTGCGATTCAATAGTAACCCTAGCAACGCGCAAAGGAAGTGTTCGGCTCGCTCGCCAGGAATAGGTTCGACAACATCGCGCTCGAGTTCTTGGGGGCCGAAATGGGCAAGCGATTTCGGAAATGCATCGTGGAATCGGCTCCTGAACATTACAATAAACTGCAGTTGTTAGCATGTGCCCATGACGTCCAATACGCGACTACGGCGCGTCGCAAGGCTTGCAACACGCGCCGAAGGCTTGACTTGTAAGACAAGAGGATAGATATGTAAAGTAACATGGCACATACTGCAATATCAGGATTGTCGGCCAATACATATTCATGAGGTGGTGAGGGTGACCGTTTTCGAGGCGGAGGCGAAGCCTCCTTTGGCGGTTGATTTCTAGCTTTGGAGAAGTATTTCTGGATGCCCTTCTTCGGTTTGGACTCAACAGCTGGCTCATCCAGCTCGATATCAAAAGGTGCAGGCGAAAGTGAAGACAAGGAAGAGAGGTCAGAGGAGTCGTCTTCGGCCGACATTTCTGCAGATTTGTTAGTGTTTTGTTTATGTGAGGTTGAGACGGAGACAAAGATGGAGACTTACCCAAAAAGAGTGGGTCGACTGGATTACCAGTCGTTACTTCCACCGGGCGGCGGCTCGGAGCCCCAGCGACGCCGGGATGGAGCCCACCAATCCCCCCGCAGATCCATCGGATCACGGTGCGACAGCGCATAGCTGGAAGCGCTGTCGCCGCCGATGGTAGAGCTGTCGTCGCCGTCGTTGTTGGTAGGGCTGCCGCCGCCATTGTTGGTAGAGCTGCCACCGCCGTTGTTGGTAGAGCTGCCGCCGCCATTGTTGGTAGAGCTGCCACCGCCGTTGTTGGTAGAGCTGCCGCCGCCATTGTTGGTAGAGCTGCCACCGCCGTTGTTGGTAGAGCTGCCGCCGCCGTTGTTGGTAGAGCTGCCGCCGTCGTTGCTGGTACGGCCACCAGGGCCGACGACAAGGCCAGCACGCCGGGCAATGCTAACTGCCCGGCGCACTGCCCTCTTGGCTTGACGCCGAGACTGCAATGTGTTAGGTTGGATGATCGAGTATAATAGGTAAAAGCATATGGCTGTGACTTACAGGAGGCCCCCAACGACCACCTCGTCCACGCCCACGGCCCCCGCGCCGCCCTCCACCGGCACCACCACCACCGTAGTTGTTGATGGTGTTGGTGCCACCACTGATGGTTACTGGTTGGCTCATTTCTACTTCTATATTAGTCTCTGATTCACTGTGTTTCAATTGTGTGGCTAAGAATAGGAAATAGAAGAACTATTAAGATAACAGAATCCACCTTGGTGTATGAAAAGCCATGTGAAGTCTGTCATGAATATGTCTCGAACAAGACAAAACACTCCCATGCACTTGCATAGCAATGTGTTCTTCTCCAGTGCAATCTTGTTGATCACAGAGCCGGAGAGTGCTTCATCCTGCCAACTGAATCCAACCTTGACTATCGAAAAGGAGCAGATCACACTCAAAAGCAACTCGAGTAAACTCTCTCTCCCTGGGCCTGAGCTATCGCAAGGGCTCCCATCTCAGTGCGTCAGGATAAGCTCAAGTTCGCACTTGCGCTCCAGGAAAATAGAGGTGATGAGAACATATAGGCTGGCAAGAACCAGCCATGAGAAAGAGCGAGGTAGGAAAAAGGGGTAGGTACTTACTGCTGTTGGTATGAATGTGCTTGGAGAAAAAAAAAAGGAGGAGAAGGCGGAGGGAAAGGGAAGGAGCTCTTATGCGCTGCTGCCTGCCTCAGGCCCTCGCGTTTTCGCGACGCGCCTGCCATCTTCACTGCCGTCAACAGTCTGTGGCTGCGACCTCCAGCATGGAAGGCTCTACATCAAGTAACCCAGTCTAACCCGAGAGTATCTTTGCTCCGCTTAGACGGCCCAACGGTTTAGAGCAATGATAGGTATTATTGCTTACACAATGGAACATGAGGTATGTTTTGCAATCAACTGCATGCAGTACTATCCAATACCCTCACTGTGATGCGGTCGAACCTTTCCCCTTTCTATGTTATTGAATGCCTAGTTGTCTGGGCTCTGATTAAGATAGATACCTCACTCTCAACACTAACTGTGCCTTATTTGTGATATTTGTATATGAAAAGGGGCTAAATAGCGTGAACGTCTCAATATGATATCGAACAGCAACACTCAAACTTTCCATATTAAAGTAGTATATTACCTTAAGAAGACTCCAAATTTCTCATAACTCCTTTTATGACATTGCTTGAACAGAACTGCGTCGCTTGTTGACGAGTGTTCAAGCTGTAGATTGCTAGCCCCTGAGCCTGTGTTGACTAGAGGACTGGTGCAAGCGAATTGCCCTATCTTTAAACTTGGACCTGCGACTTGCTTTCAGAGCCTCAACTAAAATACTGTGATATTTTGGTCCTATTATTTCTGTTTGTGGTGACAAACCCGTAAATACCCCTATTTCGTGTTTCGTTGCAGTGGGCAGTATCTGGTCTGGCCTTGCACTTGTGATTTGGATGATAACTCTTCGTGTACATTCTCGTGCTCAATGAATACTAAGACAAAAACAAAATAGTGAAATACTACCATCTTCACAAGAGTATTTTTCATTGTTGTGTTCTGGCTTCCACCTTGCGGTGCTGGTCACATTTGCGGTCGATCACTGTTTGTCATGAATCAAATAATTCTCTTGACATGAACACGAACTCTGAGTTGCCTACCTAGATCTAGAGCTTCTGGATTTTTGTCCATAGAAGGTAATAGAAAAACAAACTCCGTTTATTTTTAGCCGGCTTGTCAAACTAATGTGAGTTGCAAGAGCGGTTTTATCCCATGACAAATGCAATCGCCCAGCCCATCCCTTTGCATACTCAGCACGAAAATCTGTTAAACCGATTGAATTGGCAGCGAGCCCATCAAAAACTGACATTTAAGAGAAACTATAATCCACCTACTGTTATTAATATCGGATTTTATACGCTTTAGTGCTCCCATAGTCCTGACAGCGGAGGGATAATAATAGAAAAGAAGAGCCAAACAGACATATACAAGTAAATAGACACAGAGGAGGACGACTAGAGCTCTTCCAAGTAGTGTGATAACCCCCAGACTTTATTAATCAAATGAAAATATCTAATCCTGGCTCCTATCTTACGAGACAACTAGGTTTTCCAATGACTGATACATAAATGGAACTCAAAAAGCTTGCGATAAGCAAGATTCAGCTTGAGAGTAAGCCATGGTTCGTATCCCAACTTTAGATCTAGAGAGAAATGGCAGGTTCCGGTACATACATCAGCCATGTCTTTTCCACATAAATTCCTAGTATCACTGTGCCTCTGGAAGTCTATGGCTTTGCAGCAATGAGCAGGTTGAGAAATACTAATATATACAAATCCATGGCATTTTGCCTTGTTCTTTATAGCCTAGGTACTTTACAGTGGGTAAACAACTCGATCCAACTGAGCATTTCATATTGCAAATTAGCTAACTCGTAATCGATTCGACTGTGCATCTGCCTCGCCTCCTACTGTAGATGCAGGATTGGTATGTTCTCTATGTATGGCGAGTTTAACCCCTGAGCCAAGCAAATATGGACAAAAGGTTGTCTACAAACGCGGTTTAACAAAGACGAACCCCTCCATATCGATTCAATAAAAAGAAAGAAAAGGCAAAAGAATTGTGTATGGCGATACCCGGGTTCGAACCGGGGATCTCTTCTATTGGTAGGGTTCCCTGTTGCCAGGGGGGGAGACATCGCCGCCGTTGTTGGTAGAGCTGCCGCCGCCGTTGCCAGATAGAAACGCTTTAACCACTGAGCCACATCGCCTTTTTTGTTGATAACCAAGCCCGCGCTTATGACTTATAAAGCTATCGGGCAGGCACCGGTGTTACTTGGTGAAGCTCCTTTGGTGGCTACTGCTGCGACGTTCAGCCGGCAGTGCACTGCCAGTTCCCTAGACCCCGACGAGTGCCACTTCCTCTTTAGTTCCTTTCTTGCAATTCTCGATCTAACTGAGTTGAAATTTCTGGCGAGACTCTATCTGTTCGATTGGTGTTGATAAAGCCCCTCTCGTGGTGGTATAGGTCGAACTCAGGGGGTGTTGTTCAGAGAGTGATTGCACGACCATGTCAACAAGAAATTGTGAAATCAACAAGACTTAGCCAGCCATCAATTAATGAATATTGACGATCACTACTACTGGAATATGCTCAGCCTATTGATGCTCAGCACGTGTTTTATCAACCCATCTTGCTGTGAGTGGGTGTCCTTGCTATTTCTCCTGGCCTGTTTACACCTCTTTATGTTTCCTCAAATCCTTCAAATATCCCCATTCAACACAAACCCAATTATGAACCTCTTCAATCCACCTAGGACAAATCTCCTAAATACCATAACATTACAGACCTATCGTCGACCGATTCCGAGCAGTAGTATGGTTTTGATTATTCCCAAGTTCCTTTGTCCGCATACGTAAAATGTCAATTCTGGTACCAATATTCCTTAGGAAGTTTTCCCTGTTCATTCCAGTCAAGACCCCCTTGGAAGCACGCTTAGTTGAAAGAAGATCTCAGCTTGAGTGAAGACGTGCCGCTGACACAGCGAGACAGAAGTTCAAATATATTCACAGCTGATGATCCAAAATGTTGGCGTGAAGTAAGCCGGCTGTGGCGTGACCTCCACAGCTTCATATTGGTCAACATCTGGGATGATTGGTCCTTATTCATGCTGTATAGGCTTTTTGGTAGGGTTCGGATAGAAGATGTCGAGGAAAGCAACTACCAGCGGGTACCATTCTTTGTCTCTTTTGTGAGAGACAAGAGTCGAGGGGTGGTTTTTGTCGTACCATGCGTCTGTCTGTGTCGTGTTCTTTATTTGGTCTCGAAGTTCCACTCACCCTTTGAGGCCATAGTAGCCTATGATGGCGAGCTTAGACTCTTTGCAAGCCCTCAAAAGGCCGGCGTCCCAAAGGCAGGCCTATGCTTTGGGGCGACTGGGTGACCTTTGCACGCCGGCGGGTTTGTTCCCAGGGCGTTTTGGAACTGTCCCAGGAACTCATGGTTCCAAAGTCAATGATTTATCTCGTGACTGGGCGGAATTGTGTTCATGAAGCAGTGTAGTCTGAGTCCTTTGTATTGTTGAGTAACAGGGTGATGCGAAAGCCTGATTTGATTTGTAAACTGAGAGATGCTGGTTCTGCGCTGTCGATTGATAGTTGTATGTTCATAACGGTGTCTTAAACCAAGGTGAATATGAAGGACATATGTGGTGTCGAGAGAGTAACGTATTAGTCAGACTGAAGTGAGTGGAGTAGTCACATTTAACGTCTCCGGGCAGTAGGCTTTGAGTATACTGGGCCTTTTGAGTGGCAAGTAGGGGAGATTCTCAGTATAAGAAAATTGGATAAAATGGTTGACATGAGAGAGGGGACCGAATCTGTGGGTTGCTGGCGGGTGTGGTGCATGAAACGAATAAAGTCAAGGTTGCTCGCAAGGCAGATGAGTAGAAACAAATTTTGCCTTTGTCCCCTTTCATCTTGTTGTAAGGTTGATGGCTTTCAAGATAGAAGTGAGAGCAGATTGTTTGTCACGCTAGATGAAGATGAAATATTATCGAATAGAAGCGTAGGATACTTGATCGTATTGAGAAGCAGCAAGTTGAGCGGAGTATGGGCGGCGACAAACAGAAGCTAGGACTGTGACAAGGGTGTTGAAGGTAGTAGTGGTAACCGTAGGATATGATATGGTAAGGAAAGTCGGACTAGCTGGCAATAAACAGGTTGAAATGGTTCGACTGAGGATACTGAAAGGAAACGGATTTGTGGAATTGGAGATACTTTATGAAGGAATTCAAGTCCTCAAATAGTGCATGGTTGGCTGAGGAGTGTCCTAGATGCAGGAAGATGTTGATCTAACAGAACAAGCTCATGTTAGTTTGCGGCCCCACGGACTGAAAGTTCATTCCTCACCGTGTGACTGGGACTTTTTCGGTCGGAATAGTAATGGATGTCAGGTTTGATTTTGGTTAGCGGACGAGCTTTTTAGTGATAGTATATAAATTGGTTGTGATGGTGGTTATGGTAGTTGGATATGAATGGCTGGACATGATATTTGATTATGATAGTTAGGTGTGATAATAGTTGGGTGTGATGATAGTTGGTGGTGATAATAGTTGGTGGTGATGATAGTTGGTGGTGATGATAGTTGGTGGTGATGATAGTTAGGTGTGATAATAGTTGGGTGTGATGATAGTTAGTTGTGATGATTGGTTGTGATGGTTAGATATGATGGTTGGTTGTGAAGCTGTGATAGTTGGATATGATAACTGTAATGATGGTTTGTAGATGTGCGGATGGTGAAGCTACTGTAGCTGGTTCCGTAGAAACATGCTTGATAATGATGTTCCGGTGTACATGAATGTATTGATGAAGTTTCCAGCTGGAGAGATTTCAATAAGAGGATAATTGAGCGATGGCGTGAGTTGACTTACAGCTCTGGAAGAAGCGGTGGGCTCCTGGTCCTCGAAAGATTTGGGTTGGAATAGATGTGAGACCATACGTCGTTGATTTCAACATGTTTGAGGCTGATATAGGAGCACAACGGGTCCTGGTCTTCCAATTGAAACCGATACATCGGGTAACACATTTTGACTCGTCGAGGTTCTTCTGGGGTCTTGAAGAATGAGAGGTGGCATAAGTCCAAAAGGGAATGCTACCCCTCGGCGACCGCGGACGATAACTCTGCAATTCAAGAGAGGGAGACGAAGTCGAAACTTCCCTGTAGAACAGTTGTGATCTGAACTGTGCAAGCATTGGCGTTGCTCTGCCAGTTGCGGCTGTAGCTGGTGTGCTTAGGACAAGAACTGCTGTTGATGCCAACAGCGGAACAACCGGAGTACCTTTAAGGAGACACGGGTCGAATACACTCCAGATGGAGGCTGAGATGCTGCATTGCATTCAACCCTTAAAGATTTGGCACAGGTATCCTCTTTAATATCCGAGTAGTGAAGTCTGGCATAGATGTGATGGTGAGCTTGGTGAGAATATGGGTATGAACTGCCTTTATCCTGGCAAGCGGCCTTTGTGTATGAAAGCTCTTTGGATAGCCGATGGGTGATCGCTTTTGTTGAAGTGCGAAGTGTATTGTGTTGTCTGAATATGTCTGCACAAAGGAAAGTTGCGGGTAGCTTTCGCTTTGCACAACTTGGCGACAATGACCACAGGCGAAGGGTTTTGTTGTTATTGATGCGTGCTTGTTGACTTGACCGGCTCCGCGGCATATCTTATGGAACTGGTCATAAGTTGTTTCTAAAATGTCGTTTCAGGGGTGGTATGCGAAGGATGTATGCTTTCGTGGTAGCGAGGAGCTAACTGGCCGCGAATCGATCGGATGTCTTGTCGACAAGTATTATCAAAGTTAATCGAAGGTTCTTGAAGATTGGGTTTAGTTGGACGTAGGAAGGAAACTCTGATGTGTGCTGCGTGGGTCTGAAAGCCGAGGGCGGTAGAGAGCGATCGTTGGCAACGACAAGCCATAAACGAGTCGGCATCCTCAACTACAAATGTAAGCAATGTAAGCAGGTAGCAACACCACCTACCCCGCTTCGTATCAATTTTCTTACCTTTCAGGTGCGCTTGGCCGCTCTTTACCCCGTCAACCCCGGTATACCAGCAAATCTGGCGCCCGAGAAAGACCTTCCCTTCCTTATCTTCTTTCCACGTCAGCAGTTTCCTGAGTTCAGAAGCTTAGATCACCTCACCTTCCTCGACCTCCTCACCCTCCTTCCTCGACCTCCTCACCCTCCTTCCTCGCCCTCCTCACCCTCCTCCCTATAGCACTTACACTGGTAAGTGTACCAGATACCGCATATCAAGTATCCGATCCCTCGCCCTCCTCGCCCTCCTCGCCCTCCTCGCCCTCCTCGCCCTCCTCGCCCTCCTCGCCCTCCTCGCCCTCCTCGCCCTCCTCGCCCTCCTCGCCCTCCTCCCTATAGCACTTACACTGGTAAGTGTACCAGATACCGCATATCAAGTATCCGATCCCTCGCCCTCCTCGCCCTCCTCGCCCTCCTCGCCCTCCTCCCTATAGCACTTACACTGGTAAGTGTACCAGATACCGCATATCAAGCATCCGATCCTGATCGTTTCGATGTCGCATATCAAACATCCGATCCTGATCGTTTCGATGTCGTATATCAAACATCCGATCCTGATCGTTTCGATGTCGCATATCAAACATCCGATCCTGATCGTTTCGATGTCGCATATCAAACATCCGATCATCAGTTCACATGGCAATTGGTAAACACCAACTCCTCATGACAGGCTCATTGTCGACGCACCTTCTCGAGCAGTTCATTAGTGCTCTGCGCTTTTCGACGTGCTTCCTCCAGAAGTTCTCTGAGTCTTTCGGTTGCTCGAGACCCCTCTTCTTCTATAGGCTTCCGTGGTCTCTGACTTGCCATGTCTTCATCATCAGAACCTACATATATGGGGTTCTTGGAACCTCCCATATGGCTTTTGTCCACTTGTTGGTTCGCGGTATTCTTCACAGGACCCAAACGACTTGGATCAATATAGTTGGGGTTCTTGTCGCCCCCTTTTTCCAAGATTGCATCAATCTCCTCTATTGCAAAGTCTCCCAAATTGCGTATACGTTCCAGTTCAACGTATAACTCTTCTTCTGCCTTCTCTTCGGCGGCCTTCTCTTCGGCGGCCTTCTCATCGGCGGCTCTCTCCCTTGCGGCAATTTCTTTTTGTCGGCGGATCTGCCGTCTCTTCCGGTGGTACTCTCTCATTTCTTCTCTCTGTTCTTCTGAGAGGTTTTGCCGTCTCTTCCGGCGGTTCTCTCTCATTTCTTCTCTCTGTTCTTCTGAGAGCTCATGCCATCTCTTCTGGTGGTACTCTCTTCTTTCTTCTTTCTTTTCTGCTGAGAGATTTTGCCATCTCTTCCGGAAGTACTTTCTTCTTTCTTCTTTCCTTTCTTCTGGGAGATTTTGTCGTGTATTCCGCTCCCGCTTTCTCATTTCTTCTTTCTTTTCTTCTGGGAGGTTTTGCCACCATTTCCTCCTGTACTCATTTATTTCTTCTTTCTTTTCTTCTGGGAGGTTTTGCCGCCATTCCCTCATGTACTCCCTTATTTTCTCTTTCTCTTCCTCCGACAGATTTCGGTATTTCTCTCGATTGTGCTTATTGATTTGGATCTTCTTGCACTCTCCGCAGATCCCTGCGTCCCAAAGAGTGTTGCTGAAGAACAGGCGCACATTTGTCGCTTCATTTTCGCAAATCGGATTGGCGCATTTCCCATATATCCTTGTGCTCGCACCTTGCTTGAGTGGCCATGCACGGTTCAGGGTGTGTGCATGGAAATCAGGGAGTGGTAGGTCCATGCGAAGTTCCCTAACTACTTCGTACGATGCATCTGAGAAGAGACCTTGTCTGTCACTAACAGGTCTTGCAGCTGTATGGTATGTTCCAAAGTAAACCATCAAGAGGCCTTCTAGAAATACGGGCATCCATCTCAAGGTATCCTGTTGATCTTCACCCAGGGTAGACGGGTTATCCCAAAGACCAGCGACTCGAAAATGCGGGACGACATCTTCTTGACGAGTAAAATTGTAATGCATACTCGTTTCCCCATCGGTTTTGTTGGACTGAAGCTCATGGTGTCGCAGACGGGCAAATCCGCCACGCTTATCCACACTCGAACCAAGATATACGTCCGTGTCCATTGCGGGATCATATGTCGAAGAAGCCTTGACTGGTGCAGCTCGGACACCAACAGTTTTTGAACTCTGTAAAACAATGTTCGCATCTCCTACTCGTACAGGTATATCGAAATAGGTAATGCGGTAAGGACACCGAATTGGAAACTCTGGCAAGCTTAAGAGATCGAATGGATGTAGGTTCGGCTTTCCAAATATCTGCTGTGTTTTTCGAGGGATATGGGAAAGAATTGCCTCGACTAGGTAATCAGGATCGATCCTGATTAGTATATTTCTGAATGAACGAGTCATCTCTCGCTCTTTCGCTGGCAACTTGAACCAATTGGTGATGTCTCCTGATCGAGCATGTTGGCAAATTCGTCTGATTATAATACCGATGAGTTCCTGGAATCGCTGCAAGTCTGGATCGGTATCAGGAACAGGGTGTTCTTCGTTGAATCTCTGGATCCACGCCTCGGCAGTCTCGATAGACTCAGTCTTCTGTCGTTTAGTTGGCCTCGATGAGCCAGGTTCGTCTTCACCTAGCTCCAGATCGTTCGTTTCGTCTTCTTCTCCCTCGTCGTCAGAAGAGAAATCGTCACTAGACAACTCGTCCAGGTGAATGGTGACGTCTTCGGGGAAGAGTTCACCCAAATCGGACAGGTCTGCGATTGACGAGTCGTCTTCGACTTCGTTTGTATGGAACTGGCTTGGAGCTCCCTGGTCTGTGATATCCTCAGTAGTCACCGAGGAATTGTTCAACTTACTAGAATACGGGTCGGATCCCGTTCCATTGGTACTTGGCGAAGGCCCCACGATGACCTTGCCAGCTGCTTCGTCTCGAACTGAAAATGAAGAGATGGTGCTCATTTTGAATTGTTTTGTGAATTGTCGAATTGTCGTATTTCATATCGTGGCTATTATTCAATTGACTCTGAAAAAAGTTGGCTACCATTGTGTGTCTAGACTCTTTCCCAACTTGAGGCAGGCACCGTACCCAGCTCCTTCCCAACTTGAGGCAGGCACCGCACCCAGCTCCTTCCCAACTTGAGGCAAGCATCGTACCCAACTTCTTCTCTTCACGTTTTATTCTAGGTGCTCTGGGTGATAAGATGGTAGTCAGGAACAGTTTAATGGTTTTGCCCCTTTTCGTCCTCCATCGTCACCCCAACCTACACATTTGTCGCATCTGTTTCCTTCACACTCTTTCGTTTTAGAAAGACTAGCTTGCAAATTCAATGGAAACTTCTTGTTATGCTGCTGTTATTGGCAAACTGACCCAATAGGTTCCTATCCAGTCAGTGATCTAGCTGTGGATGTTTATGTAAGTGCATCTCGTTGAGCAATATGACATCTACTCTTCCGAGTATCCATACTGCACGGCAGCAATATTATGTGCGAATCTTATTGAGGTTACTGAATTAGCCAGGAAGGCACACAAACAGAATACGCATCTAGTTACGCCTCATACCTTGACCATATTTTGAGCGCTATCTAATTGCTTTGAACCTTGCCTGCAATGCATTTGCGTGTGAACCAGCAACATATTAGCCTACTATCTCATCCAAAACTCCAGCATGGGAAGTTTTATTTAAAGACTTTAGATCTCTTCCCATCAGCATTTCGCTTGGCACATTTGAACTTGTGTTTTCTGGATGCTAATCAAGTACCCATCCAAGGATAGCACTCAACAAAATCATTCAACAAAACACTGGATCGTAGGCCGGCTTTCATGGGGATGCAACAGTTAGTTTTTCCAGGCTTTCGGGTAGCTGAACACAGTCCGACAAACTGTCTTGGAGCAAGAAGGTCGGTTAGTGTTGAGAACAATGTCAGTAAGACTGCAATAGACACGACACAGCACGCGTCACGACTATGTAATATGTCTAAGCTCTCGAGACCACGACGCGTATATTCTGAGATAAATGAGAGAGATTGAAAGTGGATTTCCGCAACTGATGATTTGGTGTTCGTGTTTTTTATGAGTTTTACCTCCAAACCACTCGACTATAACTTGTCACAATCCTGAAATCTCAAAGATTATCGAGAGTAGGGAACGCTCTGGACGCCCTTCTTCGCCTTCTTCTCAGACCACTGCTCTACTGAGCTCTAATAATGCACACATTGTAGATAGGTAGTAACTGTAATTCTTACTGTTAAGCCTCATTGAGGTCAGTTGTGACATACCTATCGATTAGCCTGATTGACTTAGATTCTATTCCGCCCAATACAAACCTTAAGCTCCCCCATGCTAGGTAGTCTCCAGAGATCAGTCACGTGAGTGCTCCTGCCCTCTATGGCCGAGGTGTGGGGCGCACCTCACACATTTGCATTTCCAAAATTCAAGAAATTGCTTCGCTCTGTTTTCAACTTGCTCTCTTCAAAAACGGATTTACCATTAGATCACCTATTGGGAGACTGCCAAGATGTCGAAAATCACAGTCGGTACGATACACCTTGATGGAGGCTGAACTCTCAATCGATCGAGTTTTCATGCGCCTGCCGCCGAATACTGGGGAAATCAACAAAATACTAACTGCGATGCAGCTAATGTCCGTACGCAAGTCGGTGAGCTCTTGGAGTACTCCAACGAGACCAAGAAGCGCAACTTCCTCGAGACCGTTGAGCTTCAGATCGGCCTGAAGAACTATGACCCTCAGCGTGATAAGCGTTTCTCTGGCACCATCCGCCTGCCTTCCATCCCCCGCCCCAACATGTCCATCTGGTACGACTCCGAAAAAAAGCGAGCGAAGAGGAACAGCATAACTAACAGTTTGGCAGCATTCTCGGTGACCAGCACGATATCGATCGTGCCAAGCACGGTGGTGTCGACGCCATGTCCGCTGATGATTTGAAGAAGCTCAACAAGAACAAGAAGCTCATCAAGAAGCTTGCCCGCAAGTACGATGCCTTCGTCGCTTCCGAGGCTCTCATCAAGCAGATCCCTCGTCTCTTGGGTCCTGGTCTGTCCAAGGCCGGCAAGTTCCCCACCCCCGTCTCTCACGCCGACGACCTGACAGGCCGCATCAACGAGGTCAAGTCCACCATCAAGTTCCAGCTCAAGAAGGTTCTCTGCATGGGTGTCGCCGTCGGTAACGTCGAGATGACTCAGGAGCAGCTCATCGCCAACATCATGTTGGCCATCAACTACCTCGTCTCTCTTCTCAAGAAGGGCTGGCAGAACGTTGGAAGCCTTACCATCAAGGCTTCCATGTCTCCCCCCAAGCGCCTGTACTAAGCGTGTTTCTTTGGCCCTTGCCTGAGATGACTCGGCAATCTTGTTCACTGGAACGTGGACGATGCAGCTTAGACTAGGACGGCAGGAAAAATAAATACAATGAGACAAACAATACTTGTTCAGCGTGATTTGCAACCAAACTGTGACTGTCTGATAATGAAACTGTGACCTCGAACTAGGGGTGGTGTGTTACACTGCTCAAAGTTGATACGGAATCAATCTAGGCATCAAACCCTACCAAGGCGGAAATATTGTAGAAGCCGAGAAACTCTAGATCGCAAAGAGGCCAATTCATTAGCTTCTTGACCCCTACAAGCTCAACTCAATGACGTGACTGGCTTTTCTTCATGTCAGGTCAATCTCCCGTTCATTAATTGCGGGGAGATGTGAACAAGGGTTCTATTATAAGCGAAGCATTTGGTGGGGGAAGAAATGAACATTTCGAATGAAGAATAATTTCAGCAGCGGAAAGGTGGAATCATACTCCGTAGAGATGGAATCATGAAAGGATGGACGCCCCATGCACCTGAAAAAATGGATCGTCATTATTGATTTTTTTATTCATACGGGACAAAGAAAAACTCGGCAAAAAAAAAATGACATGCCCCCTTTTTTAACTTGGGCAGCTTTTTGTTACCCTCCAAGCGACGAGGCCTCGTCGCCCAATGACCCTGGCCAGGGTGTCCCAAACGCCGTCGTCGCCAAATTCCATGTCATCTAGGTTCAGGTGTTTTCTGTAACGCCAGACCTCTCTAAATCGTAACCCCTCCAAGCCCTTGTTTGGCAGGTAGGGGTCTAGCCATGTCGCTGATGCTGGGGCGATCAGATATGTTCCATTCTTCTCCTTCAGAAACTCCTGGTTTCGTCTGTCGGCTGGAGTGTCGCATGTAGCGAGCTGACTGAGTTGCTCAAGAAGTAGTTCACCCTTGAGACCCATAACGTCTCGCGTTGTCAAGAATTCATTCTTGCCATTGAGGAGCCAGATTGGCGGTGTATAAGTCTTCCACCAAATGGCCTGAGTCGCATCTGGTTGCTGACTCAGGAAGACTTGCCCTGGCACCACACCTCCTTGATGGTAGATGCCCATCAAGGAGCCGAGCACAAGGTTGAACCCAATCCAAACTGCTGTAAAGATGTAGGATATTGTTTGGTTTCGCGGCATGCGAATCGATGACAGAAACAGTGGTACCGTCGGTAGCAGGAACCTTGCCTCTTGGTGCTGAAACACCGACAATACGACCAACCCAGACACTGCAGACCAGAGTCGGATAGATAATTTGGGCCTGAATATCAGCAAAGCTGCAGCCGGGCCCAAAAGCAACGGCAAGTTCCCCACCAAGTGTTGATACCAAGGGTGAAGGCCATGCTGGGCCAGATTCTCGGTCGCCGAGTTGTACTTGAAGTTGTTAAGAGGGGTGATTACGGGCTTATGGATCAAGTCGGTCCATGTGATAGGGCTTGGTAGGTAAAATGCGGTGTCCAGACCGATTGCAATGACAGTTGTCACTGCTGCAGCTAGAGTTAAGCATACGAGAGATGTAGGCCTGTAAATTTGTTAGCTTGTGCATACGTTTCCACGCCAAGCGTAAATAAGGTGACTCACCTTTTCCAGAATACTGGAAGCAGTCGAAGCCCAGGAACAGCCAGAAATGCTGGGAATGTGATGCGGTTGAATACACCAAACACTGCGACTATTCCGAGTACTGTCGCAGATAACACACATGATCGTTGCTGTATGTTGATTTTTGTCAGCTGATTTCCCAGTTTAGTGGTAATGGTGTGGGAGCAACAAACCCGTGGGTCAGCGACTCGCTGGATGAGCACAAGACTCCACGCAACAACAAGTGTTTCTACCGAGTTGGAGAATGTGTGTGTCTGATATGTCCAGGTCACATAGGACGAGGCGACAAGAAGGACGGCAACACGGCGGTGCTTCGGTGACGGGATCAACTCATGTAACGCCCAGTCTTCAAGCACAAAACTTATGGCAAACATGAGGACGCGCAAAGTCCAGAAAACTGCAATAGGTGGAATTTCGCCATCTTTTCCATTGCCGATCCATAGCCACCGTAGGAGGAGCATGGGAAGACCATAAACGGGCCATAGTGGAAAGACACTTCGAACTGGATTCTCGCTGGTAAATTCCCAAGTATGGCGAACGGGGTAGCTAAAAATTTGGCCTATTAGGATAATTAGCACCTGTACTTGAGTGGCACGAATACAAAGGCCAGTTTATTATGTCGCGAGCGCAACCGGACGCCGTGCCCTCACGACTCAGGCACTCTTCGTTTGCGCCATCCGAACAGAGGAGCTGGTGGAAAGAAGCAAGCATGTAAACTTACCGGCAATAACCTCTGGGCCTTGGAAGTTCTCGTCTGGGTGAAGATAACTAGGTGATAGCGCAAACCACAGCCTGATCAGGACGAGGGTGAGATATGTGCGCCGCCACATATTCGGTCTTAGCAATATGAAGTTGTGAGAGCAAGCATGGGTTTAGTATCAAGACGCAAAGGCATCAAGCGTTTGCAGAAGCAAATAGCAAGGGCAAGGGCGTTGATTCGAGGTGTATTGGATTTGTTCGATCTGGGGCGCCAGTGTCACGATCGCAAAGGTGGGGGGGACCAGGCAAAGAAGTCGAGTTACTTCGAGGGACGGAAGAATCGAATCGAGGTTAAATTATTCGTATCGTAATGCGCCGTAGAAAGTGCTGTTCCGACAGCTTCGAGAATGACAGGTCGAAAGTGGAAGGATTATGATTTACTGTGGTCTATAAGGTCAAAAGAATATTCAAGACAAAACCTATGGTCATAAGAAGGTATATGATAAGAATAGAGGGGGTAAAGGAGAATCTAAACAAGAATGGGAGAGGAAAATGGGAGGATGATGTAGGTGTAGGTAACAGGTGTATGTGTAAGTGCAGGTGAGGTATGGAGATCTCAAGTTTAAGTCATGGAACCTCTAAATGAGTGACGCCCACCCCCCACTGTTCCAATGAGAGGGACACCCACTGCCACTGGCCTCGAAGCGAAGGGACGGGACCTGGCTCGCATCAAGTCAATGCCCAGGATAAGGGTCAATCATCACATCAATCTCATTATGGATCAGCACAGAAGCTGGCACTGGTAGCTTCCTCTAGCTTGACGCACAGAGAGGGATAGAGGGCCCAGGGGGGAAACATATCACGCCAAGAGCCAGCGGCCAGCACCAGCACCAGCACCAGCTCACAACGTGGCCAGTGGGAGTAGACGCCGCGTCCCGGGATGGATACAACCTTGGAAGATAAAATGGGCGCCGGGCGGGTGCTTACTCACTGGTAGAATGGAAGAGTTGAGTCCCACAGCGTCAATCCGCTAGAAGCTTTTTTTCTTTTAGGCTCCCTGACGGGCTGACGGGCAGGACGGGACAGGGGGAGGCGATTTTCTGGGGGCCTCCTGAAATTGTGAATGAGGTGGCTTTAGGGTGGGTTGGTTATCTAGGAGTTGCAGTTGGATTGTTTGTCTTGTGTTAATGCTGGCAATAAACCGTTGAGTTGATAAAAGTGAGACTTGTCCAGAGACATGCATTATCCTTATTAGTTAGTTGTGTCCCAAACAAAATAAGAATCGGTATCACGGCAACCTAAAAGCAAAAAACAATAAGGGATGTGAGAGGCTTTGGGAAATAGCATGGAGCTTCCATCCAAATCATCCATGTTATTTAACGCTAAGCCCTTTGCAGTCAATATCTTAAGAGCCGTGATCACTGATACGTCACTCACCAGCCACTAAGTTGGACGAACACCAAGACGATGGTAATCTGCAATTAAAGAAGGGGACTTGATTATACGACGCCCCCTCCACCCATCCATTAACACTCGAAGTGGCCAATTTTCTTCATTACCGCTACAAGCCTCCGTGTAACCACGTGTTGATATTCAATCTTCCCGCCCCGCGAATCGCTCTACGTCAATGTAGGGTAATCAAAGTCGCACGATTTCTTAGATTTACAAGACAACATCCATGGGTCCTCCCGGCTACAGAAGCGAGCTCGAGTACGGATACTAAGTATCGTCTTGTCTGCTAGTGCCTTGAACGCGTCTCAAACTGTCGATATGCTAGTTAATATCATCTTATCGATGTGCTGGAAATCACATGTGCATTCAGTACCTATCACATTGTCTACCCTTCGAAGTATTCCTTGGTGGGATGATGAAGAAGGCGGGTTCGACTTTGCGGTATGCGCCGTTTTTTATACTCTCTCTGCATACCATTCATGTCTCGGATAGGCTTCTGTTCAAGTCTCCGGACATAGAAATCCATCACCGCCTTTGTTGCACGATGTGACCCTGAATATCGCTATCTCACTTGCAGCATCATCTCGTTTCTTTGTGGAAGTCGACACATTCATTGTCTTGGTTGTCCCGCATCAACCGACCACCAGCTTTACAGTTACCTGAGCATCACGCAAAGATTCCGCGTGCAGGGAAACCCAGCCCTGCCGGCCCTGAAAGCCGTTAGAGAATCTTGCAAGGGCAGCATGAGCAACTCAAGGGTTGTTTGGTCTGGAGTGTGGCAGGGTTTGATTGCCAGGTTGTTTATTTCTCTTGCTTCCTCTCAACAAAAGAAGACTGTAAACAACATAACGCCACATGATAAGGGATACAAACTCGAGCTCAATGAGTCGAACTGTTGGGTTGATCTTTACGATTGCATTGACGGTGTCTTGAAATCATTTGGCGCATAGGCCTCGTCGGCTTTCCCTTGCGATTGTTGGGAGATCCTTGCCATACGCCCGTTCGACAGCTGCTATCACTCTGATACTGGTTGGCACACTGTCTTTGATGTTGTGGGAGTAGGTCTGCTAGCCTGTTATTATCAGAGTTACTTTGACACGTACCGTAGCACCAATGGCACGTCGGCGCATAGTCCTGAGACTTGGCTTGTTGCAATGTCTGTGCCATTGCTGACCATGAACAAGGCAATTCCATGAACTCGAGGTGAGTGTCAAAGAACGACTTGGGATCGAGATCTCTTTTATGTTTGTGGCGTTGTTGGAAGTGCAATTCGCTACCCCGGATTTTAGATGTAACATGAGGCTCTTATTATCTAGTACAGACACCAATTCAATGTGGCTGGCTTGAAACCGTACCTACCTTAGGTAGTTTGTACTTATGTAGCCAGCCTTGTGCGCTGACGTTTATGCGCTCTGCCCGGGCAGCCTCCACTTTCGTTTATACTGATCGAGCAATGGCGAACACTGAATCTCAGACAAGCTGCATGTCATCGCCTAACTAAAGGCCTGTATCTACTGGAGCGCCAAATGTGCAAGTGGCAAAAAGTATTTGTTAGACAAAGCATATATCGATAGACTGGAAAATTTGTTGGTTTATATGCTCTCTCCCTATTGCCTTGAAAACACCTGGTGTTTCTTTGTTACCCAGGTACCTAGGTTATTACTTCCAGCCTTCGAGTGAATTAATTCTTGTGAATATTGGCCCTGAGGTGCGTGCCAACCTAAATTTGGCTCGTTTTAGGTAGCCACCGGGTCTGGCTCCTTCCTAAGGTTCCTTTGAGGCGGTGATTATCGGAAGGCAGCAGCACCTTCGAACCCCACTGACTGGCCAGGTCTGGAGCTTCATATAAAGTGACTTCATCATCTTCTCTCCAACCATCGACTTCCTTTCTTCCAAACAACAAACCAGTACACTTTCAATTATCAGAACCACTCTTCCAGTGTCAGGTTCATTTACTTATTCCTTACACTCGTGTCGCAACAGAACACATCTCATAAACGCTCACCCATCCACGAATACCCATCAACGCTTATCTTACTAAGCCCCAATTAAAAGAAAGGGTCCTCGACTCCGATTCACAGCCCTGCGCCTCACGGTACGTCGTTGGTTGAAGCACTTCAGGCTTCCAGACACATCAAAGCCCCACGCTCAGCCGACCCCGCAGAAATTGGCTGGTTACCTTACCTGACTTCCTCCAACTTCCATCATCACCCAAAACAATCACGAACCTCTCTTTTCCCTCTCTTCGCCACCAACTCCGCCAACGACTGAATAATATACTCACGTCGCTACTCATTCAGAAGAAAAAACCCCAAACAATATTCACAATGTCTGAAAACAACGGTGCCCAGAAGGTCTGGCTCGCCTCCAACGACAGCGCCATCATTGAAGTCGGTAAGTTAGCGCCACTTTGTGACGTTTTTGCTCATCAGTGCTGACAACAACAATAGACCGTGCTGTCTCCGAGCGATCAATGTTGATCAAGAACATGCTTGAGGATATTGGTGATGAGCTGATCACCCAGGCCAACCCTATTCCCATCCCTAACGTTTGTTGTCCCCATCATCTTCCACTTTTTACCATATCTGACATGTCATTATCTAGGTCAACGAGGCCGTCCTCCGCAAGGTCATAGAGTGGTGCGACCACCACCGTAACGATCCTCCCCAAGCCCAGGACGACGAGGCCGACGCTCGTAAGAAGACCACCGATATTGAGGAGTGGGATCAGAAGTTCATGCAGGTCGACCAGGAGATGCTCTTTGAGATCATCCTCGTACGTTTTCGCTACCAACCTTTCGACCATGCTGTACCATGCTAACATAATACAATAGGCTAGCAACTACCTTGACATCAAGCCCCTCCTTGATGTTGGCTGCAAAACCGTTGCCAACATGATCAAGGGCAAGTCTCCTGAGGAAATTCGCAAGACGTTCAACATCACGAACGATTTCACACCCGAGGAGGAGGAGCAGATCCGTCGTGAGAACGAGTGGGCCGAGGATCGTTAAACACTTGAGCGTTCAGTGCTGGAGAGGGAGATTAAGAGGATGTAAAGGTCATTCTGGTTGACTTGATTCTCGGATCATCGGTTGCAGGAACCATCCCGTTGCAGCCTCTCGACGCTAGATCGCATGAATCTTATGAGTCACAAGGAACCGCATTTGGCGTTAAGTTTTGTTTTTCGGATTGCCAGGGCCACGATTTGGGCGCGCATGGAGCAACAAGAAGACTTGTCTCGACAGCACTTTGCTGCTCGAGATAGGCTGTCTTGGTGGTAAAGCCTGGGTGCAGTTTCACTTGAACATGGATCTTAATGGCTTCTCGTTGGGCGTACCGGTAGATTGTCCGCTACGACTTAGCTTAGGACTTCAATACATGTTTGTGTTGAAACCCCTTTGGTTCTGCATGTGGTCACAAGTAATACGCGATGAGAAACAACCATACAGAGAAGCGAATTCAAGACTGTTGATATTTCATATTGTAGATGCATTTGCAGCTTAGAACAACATCTTTTCCAAGACACATTGAAAAGAGAAGCACGATTTAGGGCGTGACGTGAGTTGATTGACTACTCGAAGACTGGCATCTTGGGCGTATGGTCAGCCGCTAGGTAAGACGGCACAAGAGCAACACTTCGTGTTGCCGTTCACAGATAAGTAGACTGCATCCATGTAGTTAAGGCCCATTTCTTTTTTGGGGCATCAGAGTCTTTGCATTCCTTTTTCCCTATGACCGTCCGTGACATGCAGTAACCGCAATAATCGATAATCCAGGCAACCGGCCCATCCCCTGTGCGCCTACGCTGACGACAAGGCCTCGTAGTTCACGCCATAACAAATCCTTCCCCTTATCCGTTCATCATCGTGATACCATGCCCAAGAGAGAAAAAGTCGCGTGCTGGATGCACAGGCTCGGGGGGCGGACAACGGTTGAGAATGAGTTGCTTAGATACCGATACGGGTCTTGCGCCAATGCCTTCTCTTGGCGTTGTAGCTGCGAAAGGATGTTAGTAAAGGTACTTTATTGCTCGTGGGCGATTTTGGTGAAAGATCGTGAGTCGTCGTCGGAGAGGAAGGGGGTTAAACGCACCGGATGGTGTTGCCAGTTCGGAGGCGAATCCACTGAGGCACAGGGCGGTTCTGCTTCTGCGCCTTGGCAAGCTTCTGCTTGGTTCGGAAAGACTTGTGGCTCTGTAGGAGAAGAAAGCGTTAGCGATCGGGCATCGTGGGAGCAAAGGCCTCGAAGCATCGCATCTTCTTCATCATTATCGACGGTGGCGAGGCTGGGAGAAATCCTTCATTCGATGCAGATATTCATCGTCGATAATGAAGAGAGCGTGCGTGCGTGCTTCGAGGGCGCCAGGTAGGGGGTGTCATACCGGCATGGTGACGGCGTTGATAATCGAGTCGGTTCAAGTCGTTGCCAGTTGGTGATTCCCAAGTTTAGATGCAGATGTGAATTTTGGGCCGCACCTTCTTCTAGGGCTTTTACACCCTCTCGTTTGTGGGTGTGGCTGGTTGGCGGTGGTGTGGCGTGACACCGTGCCTCAGGCTACAATATTCGGGAAGATAGACACAAGTTTTGGTGGCTGTGCTGTGGCGTGTGGCGGCGCTCTTGTAACTTAAGGCCATACGCTAAGGTTTGCTCGTGACTTTGTATGACAAAATTAGCTCTCATGAACAGGGATAATGGCACAAGGGACGACTTTACAGAGAGAGGTCAGTTTGATAGCGATCTTTCATGAGATACTGCACCTTGGTAGTTACTAGAACATATTGATATAAATACTTGTTTGGCTGTGTTGAGGCAGTTATAAGGGCACGTCTAAGAAAGCTTGCTTAATCAATAGTTGTTATTAATAACCCAAATCAACGCCTCTGTCTCAAGAGTCCTACTAACATTGATCCCGAGAGCATTTCAATCATGGGTAGGGGTTGCCTTTCGATCCTGTGGCTTGACATCTCAACAGCTGTCATATATACTGTTAATGAAAATGTTGTTGTTAGTAAATATTGCTGTGAGTGTCGTATATAGAAGCTGGTGACAGTTCCATATATCTTTCTTTACCTTAGTACTAACTTGGACAGGTAGTCATGACATACTTAGGTAGTATGGAACAACATAGACAAACTAGTTCTTCCTACCTAGGTAATTACTACTAATATAATTGATACATATTGCCTTTTAATACAAGTTCACAAAGCATCGTACAGCGGAAACTCTTGTATCCCCAGGGTTCAAGGCTGAGGTGGATCGGGTTATTTTGTCAGACGCTTGGACCAACCCCATGCCGCCAAAAAGAGCAACTTGTCCATCAAAGAGGCGGATGCATTAACTTAGAGGTCCAGAAAAGGGGATCTCTAAATCACGTATCCCGTACTTTCTACTCACTTACCAAACATAACTTAAACTTCCCTCTGATCACGAGACGCGTGCCAGACGAGCAACAAACAAATCTGTTTTGTACCGAGACCCGACGGCCTAAACAACTTCCTTTACGTTTCCTTCTTTGTCTAGACAGAACGAGTACAAGGCGAGACGATCTCGAACCGTACAGAGTCGCAAGACAGGCCCAACAGCATATTATACCCCGGAGCATAAAGCGAGCGAAACGTCACAACTTATCCATCATGGGCAACTCAATGTCATGGTTTTCCAACCTACTCTTTTCGAAAAAGGAGATCAGAATATTGATCCTCGGCCTGGTAGGATGACGTCTATTCGGCGGCTATCTGGCCCAAGAGGCTAACGAGACGGCACAATAGGATAACGCTGGAAAGACAACATTGCTGTATCGCCTCAAGGTTTGACCACCTGTCTCTTATATGCGCGCAGTATATATACTAACCGCCCATTCCAGGTCGGAGAGGTTGTCACAACGATACCCACGATCGGTTTCAACGTCGAATCTGTTACATACAAGAACCTCAACTTTAACGTTTGGGTACGAACTCTCGATCACTCCAGCTCCGAAAACCGAAGCAAACACTAATACGGACAAATTTGTAGGATCTCGGTGGTCAAACAAGCATCCGACCGTACTGGCGGTGCTACTATGCCAACACAGCAGCCGTCATCTTTGTCGTCGACTCTACCGATATCGAGCGATTACACACTGCTTCAGAAGAACTTTCGGCCATGCTGAACGAGGAAGAGCTCAAGGATGCGGCACTGCTGGTATTTGCCAACAAGCAGGATCAGCCTGGTGCTAAGGGCGCGGGCGAGATTTCAGAGGCGCTGCGTCTGGGCGAGCTCCGTGATCGCAACTGGAGCATCATGGCTTGCTCGGCCGTCGATGGCAGCGGCGTGAACGAGGGCATGGATTGGCTTGTGGTGAGTTTCTGTGATGTACGCAAACACAAGAAGGAAGCTAACGTGTGCGTCTTTCTAGCAAACTGTCAACCAAGACTAAACCTGATGACCATTTCTTCTTGTGCCTTGATTTGGCATTGTACAACAGACGACATGAAATGATAGCACCACCTCACGACTTCGTCACACACCTTGGTAGGCAGTGCGTTTGGGGGAGCAGACATGGAGCAAGTATCGCGGCGTCCTGGGAGAGAAGCTAGAACCCCGTTTTTGAAAATAAGAGGGAAACTGACGGCATGGGTTGTGTTCTGTGGAGAGGTTGAGGGAGGGTATATGATAGTATAATTTTATAATGCTACAATCCGGGTCCGATTGAGTCCTGGTTATGATTCTAGATGATACCTGCTTGAGCGGTTGCTGCGTCGCGGGTTATGTGTGATGGATGGACCAAGACGAGGTGTGAGAAGAAAAGGAGAGAACACAGGGACGTATTGCCGAGTGCCACAAAGTGAGTCAACTGCCTGAGCACTTAACAAAAGGCCTAGTAGGTGCTGTTTTATATGCTATCAATCCCAAGGTAAGTCCAGGGAACATAGATGAAGACCCTTGAGATTTCGGGTGAGCATGACTATCTTTCTGACTCAGCACTATCAAAGTGCTTCACAGCATCTCAATTTCCTCTCTTACTCTTAAGCTTCCATTGGTAGCTTTTTGCCAGTGAGTAGTGGTTCTGCAGAATTGGAGTTGCAACCTGTTTTGCTTTGGCGGCTTTGAGTGGTTCACCAAGAAGATTCTCAAATTCGATGTACTGTTCCTGGAGAAAAAAAGTTAGTGACAAGGCTGAAGATAGAAGTCGTTTTAAGATTGTATGGCTAAACCAAGAACTGAGCATAGCCCATCGTGGAATGACTAGGGCTTGAGAAGACCAGATTGATAGAGAGACAGGCTTTGACAGAGTTGATGAGCACTCACCTTTCGAACATCGATCAGCATACTGGGTGAGACATGATCCTCGATGGGTTCTGTGATAATTGTTGCCTCGATCATCTCGTCTGTAAGGTCTTGGCCATAAGCAGCTGCAGCAGCTTGTATCTCTTTCATGGCAGGCCGCACAACATCGTCAACGAAGCCTGGGCAGAGCTGAATATCACCCGTGTCGAGTTTTGTCAAAGCCGCGACTGGATTGTATACAGCATTGTATAGAAGCTTCTTCCATCGTGAGAAGGCGACATTGGAATCGAACCGGCAGGTACAGCGTCCAGAAGCACTGTAGCGAGCCACGATATCCTTTGCTCGATCGGCAGCGTCGCCTGTATTGCGGAAAGGTCCAATGAGTAGCTCGTCATGCACATTATGCTCAATAGTTCCGGATTCAGGCTCCGACGAGCCACACATGCTTATCCCTGATAGGATAACATTATCGGGGAATGCCTTCAAGAGAGGAGCCTCGATGTTGAGTCCGTTTTGAAGAAGCAAAATGGTGGAGTGCCCAGGGGTTACAGCAGGACGTATCAGATCTGCTACAGGCGAAGATACATCTGGAGTGTTCTTTGTGGAACAAATGATGTAGTCAAAATGAGAGATGTCAGACTGGCAGACATTAGGAACAGATGTCAAGACTGCAGCTTATGGTCAGCAGGAGAAGTAGAGTGTATCGTGTATCGTGCTGTACTGGGAGGAGGAATACGGTGCAACCTACTTTCAGTTGGCCTGAAACCACGAACTTGGCCGTGATCGACAGAGTTGATGGTGAAGCCACGCTCTTTGACTATATCATAGCTTGAGCGCAACACGGCCGTAACTTGTGCTCGTCCCCCAGACTCGAGATTAAGAGCCGCAATGCAGCCAATTCCTCCGCAGCCAACGAGTAGAATTCTTGCATTTTCCATTTTTCCCGTGTGTGATTATACTACGTGTAAGTTTAGATTCTCTCATGAATCCGTATCTTGGTTGGCATGATGATCGTCGAGAGGGCGCACATATGCTGTACTAGGGCGGGGCCGGCTCCGGACCGGCAGTTCCAATAGCAGTGTGCCATAGGATCAACCATGATTGGGCGAATACACAGAATAGATGGAGTAATGCATAAGCAGAGGTCGTTTACATAGAACTAGTTGTAGTTGGTTGGCTGGTTGGCTGGTTGGCTGGTTGGCTGGCTGATTTTATTGAATGATATATGAGCAAATGAACAATAGGATACTTGAGAAAATAAGATGGTGTGTGTTCATGTCTATGGAATGGCATATAATCCAAGTGTTTCATTGTCTTGACCTGCTGGCGATGATGTATGATATAATCCTTGTGATCTTGACCTCTCGCAAACTAAACCTCCCCAGGCCAGCCAGGATCGATTATCACAAGATTCATGTTTGCTGCCGAGGAACGCTCTGCTTTGACCTCACTTTACTGAGCTTGCCTTGTCCAGCCCTTTCCTCTTTGGGGAGCTTCCCCTCATTTTGTCGTCCAAAACTCTTGGAGGAATGGATGTTGAGTTTATATCCGTGTTGGGTCGTCATTGCTAATTGACTACCTGTAACCTGGACCTAGCTCCTGTCTAGCCCCTGTCTAGCCCCCTAAACCACCTGAGCTTTGGGACTAGCCTGTGCTGTCTTCTCCAGTTGTAGTGGCACAGACCAAACGTTCTCCAGGTTGTTCCCATCACAGCAAATGCCTACATAAGTAAATGTCTTGGGCTTGTGTCAAGCGAATGTGAGACAGAAGCGTCTCAAACTCTTTCCTCGTCCAACTGCTCCCCTCGTATTTGACCATCATTCATATCATGACCGTTCCACAACCTCAAGCTCCAGTTGCCACGGCTTTACCGGATGCTCCACCGCAAGATTTCTTCACTCCCATTCAATGGGACGTTCTCTTTGCTATTGTTGATGGTGTTTTGCCCTCCATCACCTCGGAATCTGCCGTAACAGATGAGCACGCCCAGATTCAACTTCCTGACCATGAGCTTGACGATATCCTCCAACGCAGTGTCAAGTCTGTAGCTTCTCCCGCCACTAAAGACAACATCCGTGCCTTTCTCCAAGACAGGCCAGTTGACGATGCTCGTTTCAGAGATAACCTCGTGAGAACCTTGGCTCTCAGCCCACCAGCGCAAAAAAAACGTCTCGCTAGTTTGTTGAGTTTAATGTCGTGAGTTTAGATCCCCTTATATGTCTGTTATCTTCCTAAAGCTAAGCTATCTTTTTGATAAAAAAAGCACACGTCCTGGCAGTTACTTCATCACTGGTTACTGGCAGCCCATATATAACCAACCTGCCCACGTCCGTGAAGCCATCCTCAAATCATGGGCTATGTCTCACGAGCGCTGGTCAGCATTGGCCAAGATGATGGCTTCGATGGCTACCAAGTCATATGCCCAAACCAGCACAATCTTCCCTCAGCTCTCGGGCTACTCAGACACACCCGAGGGTTGGCAGCCAAAGGAGATGTTCGACTACGACTTTCTCCAAATCAAAGCGGGCGACGACGCACACACCATCGAGACCGACGTTGTCATCGTGGGTTCTGGCTGTGGTGGAGGCGTGTCGGCCAGAAACCTCGCAGAGGCCGGTCACAAAGTCCTTGTCGTCGACAAAGCCTACCACTATCCTCCTACCCGCCTCCCCATGGCCCAGGATGCAGGCGCCACCCATCTGTTCGACAACGGAGGGTTCTTCGTGACAGAAGATTCCGGATGTACGGTGACTGCTGGCAGCGCCTGGGGTGGAGGAGGTACTGTCAACTGGAGTGTGTGCCTTAAGCCCCAGGACTTCGTACGTAAGGAGTGGGCTGATGAAGGACTTACGTTGTTCACCTCAACCGCGTTCGACGAGTGTCTAGACCGTGTGTGGGAGTTTCAGGGGGCTGGTACTGACAAGATACGCCATAATCATCGCAATAAGGTCCTTCTCAATGGCTCAGCCAAGCTCGGCTGGACGGCACGTCCTGCTCCTGTTAACACAGGCGGCAGGGAACACTTCTGCGGCCAGTGCCACATGGGCTGTGGCCTGGCCGAGAAGAGAGGGCCAGCCACAAGCTGGCTGCCGGATGCTGCTAGAGCCGGTGCACAGTTCATGGAAGGATTTGAGGTGAATAAGGTCATATTTGATTCTGACGGAGAGACAGTCATTGGCGTCGAGGGGGAATGGGCGTCGCGAGATAGTGAAGGAGGCGTGAGCGATTTGGTTGGCGGGAGAATCAAAAGACGGGTTGTGATCAAAGCCAAGAAGGTGATCCTTTCGGCCGGCTCATTATGGAGTCCGGTCGTCCTCAAGAAGAGCGGTATTACTGTACGTCTCCTTGTCAGCATTAAATCGTGGCTATTGGCTAATTTTACCAGAACCAACATGTGGGAGCTAATCTGCACCTCCATCCTTGCAACTTTGTCACAGCAGTATACAAGGAAGAAACGAAGCCCTGGGAGGGAGGCATCATCACCAGCTACTCTTCTGAGTTCGACAATGTCGACGGTAGTGGATACGGAACCAAGTTGGAGACGACGTGCATGGTAGTAAGTAGCAAGTCCAGCCGTGTCGTCGAATCATTCCTAACCAAGTCTCAGCCGTTCACAATCATGCCCCAGACGTCATGGACAGGCGGCTTAGGAACAAAACTCCATATGACAAAATATCGTCACATGGACGCCTGGATCTCTTTAACAAGAGACCGCGATGGAGGCAACATCTTTGTAGACCCTACGACTGGCCGACCTCGCATTGACTACACCCCGTCAGACTACGATCGAGTACACACTATCCAGGGCGTAGAAGCTCTGGCCAAGATCTGCTATGTCACGGGAGCAGTCGAGATACGCCCTCTCCTGCCCGGTCTGGAGTCCTTCACCCGCAGCAGAGAGACCTCGTCGGAGCATTCCCTCGACTCTCAAGGCTCAGTGGCCGACCCAGAGACCGAGGACCCAGCCTTTGCCGCCTGGCTCGGCCGTCTCCGTGAAGTGGGCAACAAACCACCAACGACGGCTTGGAGCTCAGCCCATCAGATGGGCACGTGCCGTATGAGCGCGAGCAGGGACGAGGGCGTGGTGGATGAGAAGGGAAGGGTCTGGGACACGGAGAATCTGTACGTTGCAGACGCGAGCGTGTTTCCCAGTGCAAGTGGCGTGAATCCCATGATCACCATTATGGCCATTGCGGATTGGATATCCCGCGGCGTGGACGCAGACCTGAGGGCGTGAGCAAGAATGCAAAAATGCAAAGGGCAGGTATGTATCCGTACTGCAGTGTACTTGTTGTTCTGTACTTTACAAGCGAGTTGCTATAGCTGTGTGCAATATTATGGTTATCCTATCAACGACTGGGCGTTATCTCTCGAGAGACAGGAGAGGCATGCAAGGGGTTGGATAGTGCCGTGGCCCCATGGTACCTTGGCTGGTTGTCCGAAGAGTACGGGTCAAGAGGCCCCTGAGCACGGCATTTCTTAGAAATGAAGTAACATTGAGTCGTATAGGAGGATTTGTTGCAGGCAATGCTGTCCTCGGCAACATTTGGATTCGCTGGACTTCTCCACGCCATAGCTCGGGAGTAAAACAGGTCCGAAACGTATCCCACTTGGATACAACTGATGATACTTTCCCAGGGGTGCATTGATAAAACTCGTCATGTGGTCGGTTAGATAGACGTACGTAGATAGACGGAGCTGTGGGTGTGAGCGGGTGAGTGAGTGTACAACCAGACAAGTTGAGCGAGGCAAAATACCCTACACTAGCTTATCCTATACCATTTAGCTATAGTAAAAGTGTCAGGGAATAGTGCACTAAGGTTGAAGATTTTGATACTAGAGTCTAGGCATTCTACATTCTCCTTTTTCAAACCTGGAAAAAGCAACTATCGACGTTTCAAAGGGCTCCATCTCGTACCCGAGGGAGCGGTTGCTGGTGCCACGTTTTGCTTGAGGCTTCAAGTGAGGCTCTCTCAACGGTCATGACCGATTTAGCGTAGGCCTCCTACAGATCACAGCACTGAGCAGTGGCAGAGTGGGCACCTCCGAATGCGGGGTTTTCAGTGCACTCAGGCACTGTAAGGTTTCCGCCACAAGCGAATGGAACAGAGCACAGCACAGCCACCCGGAGATCTGCAAGCCACGTCCGAGAGTATATACTCTAATCCACTACCGAGCTGGGATCAGTGGCATTAGTGAGTGAGTTGTTCAGTTTGTGACTTCAGCTGTTCAGGGACAATTGGCATTAGGCATTGCCGGATTCCGATGTCACGTCCGTAAGGGTTGGGGGGCTTTGAATCAAAATGACGATTTGTTTGAAGATTCGATGTGAGATTTGGAGATCGACGTCATGATTAAAGTGTGTTCCTAGGCTACCAGATAACTGGAATTCAACACGGAGTGACACAAGATAGGACACAGCTAGCATGATGTCCTTCAACTCAAAATGATAGAGTAAATGTCATTGATCCAAACATTTATTATTAGAATGTAAACCTTATGCGTTTACTAGCTGGCTTTACTATGGACATAACGTGGGTTTGTATTCCGAACAGTATGTCGAAATGTGACTTGGATGACCAACTTAGCAGCCCTGTTCAAGCCATGATCAACTCAAACTCTATCCACAAGCACTTAGGCCACTGTTTGGGCGTGTTTGTAGTATTAACATAGACAGCGAAAGACAGCGAAAGACAGCAATACTATACTAGACTTTTCCGCAGCCACGTAGCCACGGTCAGGATGCGAAAATACGATTTCCTTACCGACTTTGTTAGTCACTGTCACTCACTGACAAGTGCTGGCGCATCATTCAAGCCAGCCCCGGGCGCATTTCCTAATTAGGAATCAGATCCCTGGGAGTATCAGCCACACCCACGGACTTGTCCGTGATGTGGCCGGTCGGCTTTTGTGGGCCTGTCTCGCCGTCCGACCTCGGGTCCGTGCCGCTCCGGCCTTTCAATATTGGCAATCCCGTCCTATTCTAGCAATTCCATCATTGATTTTTGAATTCCATGTTATTTTTGGTAACAGTGATCGTCCTACCAACAAAGACAAAATGTGAGCCGAGGCTACTACGTTAGGAAAAATACCACTACGTTGCAGAAGCGCATCCTAGTCGCGCTATCTTGGCATCTCGCCTACCCTAGAAACACGCACAATGAGGGCGATAATACTCCTTTACAACCGGATGGCAGTGTCCACAATTGCAATAGCTGGGGCCATGACCGTGCAGTCGCATTGCAGAAGTTACTCAGCTTGACAAGCAGTGGGTAGTGGTATCCATTAGGCAGATAGATAATACTCGGGCGCACTTACAATTGAATGGTAAGCAACTAAGTTTTGATTGCATGTAACCGTACAACGGCTCATCTGACCGTGCATCATTATCACCACAACTCAAAAAACCCTGAAACTTTTTGCAAAACCACGAAGAGGACCGTGTCCTATGATCCCGTGATTAGGAAGCGACGTCACCGCGACATGATGGCTCCGAGGGCGGCTACAGAGACGTTGTGAAACCTGGGGTTCCTGGCAGCCACACACCTTGGATGATACTACACCATGCACCATGCACCATACACCATAGTGACCATACATGGCCCATGAAACAGAATGCGACCTGACATTTCCCATGTGACTTATGACGAATACGTATAAGAAAAAATCCTGCGGGCTACGAGTGAGCGGCCGTGACTGACGAACGGATACGCCTTCTCCGCTTCGCTTGCAGCTTTTTTCGTGTGCCTGCGTGCATTGCATATTCATGCAGTATCAGGTGTCAGGTTTGGTAAAAGGGAAAGGCAGAATCGCAAAACTGTAGATCTCTAGTCTAGGAGATCTGCTCGGCATGTTGAAGTGAAGGGTAAAATCTGGCGTATCATGCACCAAGAAGAATTAATATGGATCCGTCCGTTCTTGGATAGCGGCAAATATTCATAGACCCAAGAATAGAAATAAAAAAACTTTAGTACATGTACTCCGTACTCTGCGTTGCGAAGTGGAGGTCTGCGCCACAACATATCGACTATCAGGTTAGTGGCACACCCACTAATTCTTTACTGTACCGTTCCTGGACCCAGCCAGGCCTGTCTTTGTCTCTTTTACCCAGTACAACCAGTACAACCGTCTTGTACAGCCATCGGTATCGGTACATCCAAGACACTGCACGTGCAACTGTCGAGCCTTTTCTTTGCCTCGAGTCGAGTCGAGTGAGTCTTGGGCCCCAGCGAGCGGCCGAGCGATCGATCAGTGGATCCAGCCATCCATCCAACTTGGAGCTTGAGATTCGGTGCCGTTGACCAGCAGAACGACCTCTCTTGACTACGCGTCGTCGAGCGCGTCGCACATATTGTCAGTCATTTCATTATCATTGACGCTTCTGGCCTGAGGCAAGACCATTGGCCGCGCGGTCATGCAAGGGTAGATTAAACCTGATATCGTGATGCTTCTAGAACCGTACCACGAGGTCCAACAAGAGGTCGGAAAAGGTCGACTGACCTGACAACACGCATGCGGAGACCCCCTACCTATTTCTCCAAGAGAGTAACAGGGATCGTCTCGATGCTGGGCCCCAGTGCCCGTTCTCTGGAATGCATTCAGTCCCTATTCCCCAAAAAGTCCGAAGCGGATCGAGCCAAGACGACACTGATGGAGATGGAGCTTTGACTTCAAGACAAAGAATCCTCGCTCCTCACAAACTCCAAACCCACAAGCGCCTCCTGAAGAGCCTGGAAATTCCTCTTTCGGATTGGCTTTTCCGTCTACTCCATGAACCTTTGCCTGGTCTTCCCAGCTCTCTTGGTCTTGAGCCATCTATGAGTAATGATTGGACAGGACTACTGAAGCCGAGAAGTGCCCCTCACTCTAATTGGTCCATATCATTCTTTGACAGGCCAATCACGGACTGTAGGGGCACTTTCACGAGAGCCTCACATCACGTCTGACACTAGCATGGATGGCTCTTCTTCGTACCAGTTCAATCGACGGGCTCTCGTTCCTCTCCAGTCTTTTGGGATCCCCCCCTTGGCCCTGATCTAACCTCCTTGCCCTTCCCTTTGCTCCCGTCTGGATAAGTGTCCTCTCCTTTTCTGGCATCTGGGTCTTGACGATGCATGGATCATGTCCCTTCAAGCTGTAGCCTTGGATCGATGAAATGAACTCTCATGGCCAACCACGTTGTGAGAAGCCTGTTTTCCCCTTAAAGACGAGACGGGAGCGACGGGAGCGACCGCTATTGTATGGGACCCAAGCCGTTGAGGGTGAAGATGCCCCTTAGAATTCTGTGAACCCCTTGAATACTGATAATAGGGCGGAGAACGGGGATCAGGGCTCATCCACCGGTCCCAGAACCACAGGGTTACTTTGATATCCGCGACGGCACAATTCTCTCACTTCTTTCGGCATGGTCTGTCAGGGAAAAAACATGATAATATTCACGGCGGGGACATGGCGGCTCACATCGCCGAAGTGGGCGTGATATTGGGAACTAAAGCAACTAGAGAAGGCATGCCACTCCTTCGACAAGCCGAGCATTCGTGCGTCTGGTAGTGGAAGTGGTAGTGCAAGTGCTATCTTGTGCGTCTGCGTCTGCGTATGCAGGTCATCCCATAGAATGCTCCTGGACAAAGCGTCCGTTGCATCCTATTGACAGGACGGGGCTGACATTGTTATTACCATCATTTTACCAGCTGAAGATCCTAGCTACCTAGGGCATCAGCTTGCCCCGAGCGCAATATTGACGTTTGATCTCACCAAGCGTCGATAAGGGTGTGACGGACGAGTCGTGCGTGCCCCCGGGGTTTGCGGGACACGGAACAATAGAGCGCATGAATGTCTCTGCTTGCTCCATCCGTAGTGAGGGCACGAATGAGCAGGACCACAAGTGTCTCTTGTGGAAACAGAGACGGCGGCCAGATCCGCCCTGAAGGCTTTGCTAGATTCTGAAGCATGCATAAGCGGCGCTTCAAAGTTCCCCTCCAGTCAATAGGCTCTGATACAAGTGAGGTGCGGCATGAGAGATATGATATGCCGAGAGAGCGCGAGCTTACAGAATGGGAATGAAACAAGGTTGGAAGGCTCATCAGCCATGGATCGATCCAGGAGGTCGCATAATATCGTCAGGAAGCGGACCAACCTCAATGAGAGTAGGATGATTAGCCCGTGTTCTGGGATATGTGAGGGTGAGAGTGGCCTGTTGGTGAGGGAGAGAGGGATAGAGAGGACTAGGGGTTGGAGACTAGAGGCTAAAGGCAAGCTACAGGAACATAACTTGTCACTTTTCAAGTTTTCCTGCTAAATCTTCAAGTGTGGTTGCGTTGAAGGTCTATATCAACTTGGAGGTATACTTCACATGGGCCATGTCAACAACTCCTTGATGGGACTACACACTAAGTCCGTTTGAAAAAAAAGGACGGCACTGATAAGAGACTAGGGTCAAGACAGGGAATATGAAGAAGCGCCGGCGGTTGTTTCGTTTCTTGTTTCCTGACAAGGAGAGCGGTTAGGGCAGGGCACGGTCTAGGCGTTGAAGGTTGAAGTGTGGTAAGACGTCAAATGGTGAGATTTCTCCGGGGGGAAAATGTGATATTGATTGATTAATTGAGTAGGGGTCTCGGATAGTGAGTGATTGATGGTCATTGCGCAACTGTAAGGGAAATTATGATGCAGTGACGAGAGAGTGTCAATGTCTTTGTTGAATTCTTAGGGACAAGCGATTGAGAGGCTGGCTGGTTTACAACTACCTACTAACCTAGGTGCAGACCTACAGCACGTTACAGAGGATAGGTAGGTGCCTCTGGGAGCGGGTACCTCAGGCCGATGCAACCCAAAGTACCGGTACTTGGCAGAAAGGAGCAACGCCACACCCTTTTCCAAGTTTCTGCCCTAGACTGACTGGGATGGAATCTAGGTATTGAGGGTTTTGTGAGTCAACGCCAACGTCAATGCCAGCAATGCCCTAGTAATAGTTTATCACCATCGGTGTACGGAGCACAAACAACACAAAAGAGGAGTTTTTCTATTATTACTATTCCTTATCCTTTGATGTCGTCCTTGTGTGCATGAGTATAGAGTATCCCTCAGCTGTCAAGGTATATACGCAAGGTACGTTAATTGCCTCCCGGCCCTTGGCCACTACCTGGGTCCTTGGGTCAGCCAGCATATGCAGGTCAACACAGCCGCACGCCTCCTCCGAAGGAAAAGAAACACACAACACCTTACTCCCTAGTCTCTACTCCGTAGTGTACAGTTGAAAATAAAATAAAAAAGAGACACCCTCCGAAAAATACACCCCGGAAGTGGTCAGTGCCGTGCATCTGCATCTGCATCTGCAAGTCGCATCAGTAGCTCCAAAAAGGCGAGTACGCAGTAAGTACCTCCTACGTAGACGTAGGTGTAGGCGTCCATAGGTACTAAGTGAAGTGAGGTGGCTTGGCTCCCTCCAGCAGTGGGCCAGCCGCCCTATACAGTACGTCTATAGCCACCTCACTCTCACTACAAAACCACTGCGAAATACGGATACAGGGCTGCTTTTTTAGCTCACTAGTCCCCGCTCCGACTACCTAAACAAGAATCCATCTACAATAGCAGCCGACACTACGGATACCACCTTAGTCTTAGTACCTACCAGAGGCACCCACTACCACCCACCCACCTACAACACCCCCAACTATATCATCTCCCCACACCACCCGTTTCCCCTTCCCTCCTCTTCTTCTTCTTCTCTACGAGCAATTCGTCCTACATTCACTTCCTTCTTACTCGGTTACGGCAGCTTAGCAGGCGATTTCACCCAACAAGACAAGACAAGACAAGACAAGACCAGACAAGATAATACCCATAGTACCGTCGACATCCGTTACTATCCCACCCAATCTACAACCTCTCCTCGAATCCCTGCTCTGCTCCGTCTTCCGACGTTTTCCTTTTTTATATATATTCTTGTTCGATATCCCCCGCGCCGTATTCCGCTTTATATCAATCAGCGATAAACGCGAACGTTCCGACGTTTATTACAACGTCCCCCGTTGACCGTTCTACGATATCCCTCCCGCCTATCCCTGCGCTCCGCTCCGCCTCGCTTCACTAACATGCCCGTCCAATTACTTCCGGCGTCGGCCGCCGCCTTCGCTCCCCGGGCTTCATCCGTCAACGTCGTCTTGGGTTCAAAAATCGAGCCTTGGCTTACACAGACCCTCAAGCGCATCAACCGAGTCAAGCGTCCTCTCAACTCTGTCCCTCAGCACCACCGATGTCTCACCGAGACTCTCTCATCACCAAACGCCATCTGGACCTTGACCTCGCTTATGCTGCCCAAGACGCCCGAGTCTGACTTTAAGCGGGATGCCGGCAACCCTCTCGTGGAGGCCATCATGAACTATGAGCTCGTCCACGTCGAGGCTTACATCGTCCATGTCGACATGGTTCTGCGAAATGAGGTCGCCTTTAAGCTCACAAAGGACACCATCGAGGCTCTCGTCGATTACCACAAGGAGATTCACTGTGTCGATGCCAAGGCTAGCACATACGACTGGACGGATAAGGAACAGCAGTGCAAGAAGCTACATGAGGACTTTGTTCAGGACATCAACAAGTTCGTCTTCCGCACCCACGTCTCTGCCCTCGAGGGTCTTGAGGAGGAGGGTGCTGGCGAACTTCTCTGCGGCAAGAGCGAGGAGGTTAAGAACTGCATTAGTGCTCTCATGAAGCCTCTGCTGCCCCCTCCTCCCCCTCGCGTCGTCGAAGTCGTCCGACAACCTACACTTCTGCCCAGCTCTCCTGTCAACAACATGTGGTCGCAACCTGGATTTCACAACCTTGCCGCTGTCGACTCTTGGAGAGTGCTTCCTTCCAGCCCCAGCGTCACATCATCGGCAGACTCAAACACAAGTCCGATCTGGGCGCCCATGACCATGAGCGATCTTTCCCCTACTCCCGCCTTCACGCAGCCTCACTCTACTGCTGGTTACTTTTGGAGCTCGCCCCAAGTAACAGCACCCATCCCCGCTCTCCCTCTCCCTAGCATGTTTGCTCCCCAATGCGGAGTTGGCATGGGCATGGGAGGAATGGGAGGCATGGGAGGCATGGGCGGCTTTGGCTGGGATCGATACCAAGAGTACGCAACCATCATGTGACAACCAGGGCCCCAGGACAGCTATCCAGTGGTGACGACCTCCTCGAGCTACTAATTCTGCAACAATCCCTTCCTCGTTTCCCGGAGAAAAGTTGAAGCTTTTAAATTTCGCAGCGGTATAGAACTATCATCCATCATGGGCACGGCATATCGGCGTTTATTGCATCAGGAACGGTGTTTCGAACAAGTCTTTTAAGAATATCCCCTATCGCATTGTTTTATATCGTTTTTTTATATATGTTTCCTTTGTTTTCATAGCCAGCGTTCTTTTGGTTTCGGGGAATCTGGTCTCTTATTCCTCTCCGGGAAACACTCTTCAACGGTCGTTCACACCAAACTCACTATCGTCTCTGGACTTTTCTTTCATCTACCACAACACCACATGGCTGGATCCGGGGGCGGGTATTTGGACGCATTTACAACTGGGCAGGGACTCGATACAGGCGGCTTGTTTTCTTTTGGCCTTTTTCCTTCCGTCATCTTTGGTTCTCAAGAAAAAGACGTACACGCAGCAATGCACGACGCTCGGCTCTAGTCCGAGACAGAAATTCTCTACGGATTCTTCGATGATATCCCCGGAACTTTCTCTTTCCTTCTTTTTTTCTTTTCTTTTCACCTGTTCGGCTTAGAGAGGCTTCTTGGAAGATACCCCCCAACAAGGACGACAATACGAGTTCGAGATACTCAAACCGACACAATCACTTCGCTTCTTTCCATGGCTTTGTTTCCCGACTTACGACGATACTATTTTAATGACGACCCTTTCTACGACTCGATGACGAATGACGACTACTTTTTCAGACATGATACGACTTACGAACAGAATCACGAATAATCGGCTTGATGTCGAAACATGACTTCTTTTCGAAAGCATATCCAACGCTGAGCCTCACACTTCATTCGACACGATGACTAGCCTCACGGATGGTGACTGGACTGGTTTCAGGACATCAAATCTGATCGCAAGGCCGTCTCAACTACAAATCGCGTAGCCGCCGTGGAAATATCTGGGATATGCCCACAAAGGCTTGACACTGGCTGTCAAACGGGATCATCGCTCTGCGCCGTAGACCCAACATCGATCGGACGCATGAGCATGGAAAGGCGGGGTGGAATCATGGGATTCTTCCGATGGGCTGTGTACTGTATCTTTGCTGCGCGGAGCCAGTTGCACGGTCTCTAGCCGGTCCACCGTAGCTAATCATCCTCGGGACTCAAAACCCCCTACTCTCAGGTACTTCCGGCGCCCCGAATGTGAATGACCACAGATCACCAAGTTGAGGTGACAACCACTGTGCCGTTTGAGCCTGCCAGACGGGCCTCTCAGCCAGTGGAGGACGCCGATTCGAGGATGGATTTGCGGGTATCTACATTCGGAGCGATGGATTACCGAGAGTCAGGTTGAGGATGTGCTAGGGTAGAATGTAGGATCATCTCCCTACAACCTCCTTTGCGCCTGGCGGGTTAATGAGCAGCTCGGCCTGCTAAGACTCGTCATGGCATTCAGGGGTAGCCGCAAGAGAGGAGGGAATGGTGATTGCTGAGCAATCTATGCCACCCTCTTTGGACCTTGATTGAGTTCTGCGGTTGAAGATGCTGGTTTCTAAATAGTGTGTGAGGGCAACAGGATACGCCCTGGAGGCGGTTCCCTCGCACAAGGACAAGTCTGCCTTGCTACAACGTCTCCCTGCTCGTTGTCTTCGTTGCAGTATTAGTTAATTCGAACAAATAAATTAAAAAAACATGTTCAATTAAAATATGATGTTTACTGTGATGTAATGTTCCCCAGTGTCAAAAGTGTACGTCATAGTCTTATGCGGTTACGCATAAAGAAGTAACTCAATAGTGAATATCTTATAGGCCAAGATTAAATATTATTCCTGTATCTTGCTATAACTTGTAAATATATGTTCCCATCTATGTAAACTCCATAATGATTTGAGTCTGTTGAAACGCCATATAATAATGTGCCACGCCATACGGTGTATGTAATCCTGTAAGCCCCTTTCCCCGTATCTTTGTTTAGTTCTGGACAGCAAACGCCTCCCTAGCCGTCTTGCTACTGCGTGCCAAACGCTCACCATATCTGATGAAGACGAATGGAATCACGCCCATAGCCAGCGCAATGAAGGCGAGCACAGATGGAGCCCAGTGAATGCCCAAGTTGGTGTACATGCTGTCTGCAGCAAGGGGCAGAGTAGTGGCACCAATGGAACGTAGCATGGCTGCAGCACCGAGGGCCGAGGCAGAGTGGCTTCGAAATACGTCGGTAAGATAGTTGGTCATTCCCATAAAGAGGAGCTGGAAACCAAGGCCAAAGAAGATGCCGCCGAGGGTGGGGACAACAGGGGACACAGAGGGCCAGACAGTCCAACCAAGCCAGAATAGCGAGACGACCATGCTGTCGTTGAGTCAGTATGAGGTCGCATGAGTGTGTCGTGGGGTATGACATACCAAGGAGAAGCAATGCATGCAAGTGGAAGTCGTCGATAGATATGGTTCTTTGTCCACTCGGCACCAGCAGCCGTCTGCCTGTCATGGTACCGAGTATATAGGGCAAAGGCACCCAGAGACAGTAGAACACCAACACAGACTAGGATATCATGTTAGTGGATGAACAGTATCTTATGCGTAGTAGATCAAACTCACAAGGGATATAGGCAAGCCCCGCCATGCCAGGGGATAACCTATAGAATCCTACACAACAGTCAGATCAATTATATTACTCCAAAGGATAAAGATTCTCTTACCTTGGAACACACGGGGATATGCTTGAAACATGAGGTAAAAGACTGAATACGCCAAGGTGAGATATGCCGACGTAGAAGCAAGGATAGGCTCAGTAAACAGCAACTTCATAGGCCGAAAGAAGATCTTTCGAACATTGAAAGGCTTTAACTCCAGGGGCTCTTCGTCATTAGACTCGCTCTTGTTCTTCTTGTTCTCCTTCTGTCTTCGCTTGATATGCTCCTTAACCATCTTGTTGTGAAGAACCGGGGCATATGTCTCTGGGAGCGTGAGAACGAGAGGCAGACCTGCAACTGCCATCATTCCAGCGATCCAAAAAGGCCACCGCCAGGATACAGGAGATGAGAAGCCCGAGACAATGGGCCCGATCAGAGGACCTATAGTGGTGACAGTCATGTACAGAGCCATAGCGTTACCCCGAGTTGATGGATCGTCAAGAATATCCGCGTACAATCCTCCGATGACTGTTGTAGGAGCAGCAGCGTTGATCCCGCATATGAATCGGAAGACGAGAAGTGCGGCATAGTTGGGAGACACAGAACCAAGGAACATGAAGATGATGTAGCCAAGATATGTGCCGATCAAAACAGGTCGACGGCCGATGTATTCGCTCAGAGGACCGAAAAGAAGAGGACCTAGGACGTATCCCACCATGTATAGCGAGTTGAGGAGGATGAGATGGACAGGGTTGCTGACGTTGAACCGCTCAGCGATGACATCGAGAGCCCCCGAGGGCATAGAAGAGCCAAAATTGCCATTGAACGTGCACGTAAACCCAGCGACGACGATGTGTAGTTTTCTCATGGAGGAGAATCTGAGAGGATTCCAAGACTCCGTGTCAGACCAGCCAGACTCGTCTGAAGAATCTTGGTTTTGCCTGTCTTCGATATCAACAGTGGCATCTTGCCCGAACAGTTGAGTTTCGTTTACACCCATGACTTGTTAGATCAGAGATTATCGTTAAGAAGAAGACTTGGGCTTGGGACCTGAGGCTGGTCGGCCCATCTATATAGTAGAATAGTAGTATCCATCTCCACGATCAAGTTCCACTGTGGGCCATGTGTATAAAAATGAGTTTCAATATGGGAAAATCCTTTTGACGTATTTTTTCTCACGTCATCTGATTTTTCACGCTGTGATTGCTTGACTCACAAAAGAAGGGCGCAACCTTTGAACGTTGGCGTGTAAGTCAGGATTTTCCATGATTGGTTAAGATCGACCGATGGTGTCGCTTAATAAGAACTCGCTGGGAGTAAATCCCGAAAGACTGAGAAGCGTGAAAGTTGATTTGTTGCAATTTCCGAGCGCCTTCGTTAAGCCATTCTCTTTTCTCCGCGCCCTAGGGCGTATACTGGGTCCAAAGTGCTTAGTTTGTCAGGGAGAAAAATCTAGAATGGTCATGGAGTTTATGGAAGGAAAGAGCTTTTCTTAAGTCCATGTCCATGTGGAGAGTTTTTGTTTTGCGTGGTCAGTAATTAATCATATAGAGGTGAAGAGTGGAGGCTGTGTAGAGCTTATAGTGTGCCCGAGTTTGGGATTATATCATGCCAAATTAAGTAGATAGTCGATATAGATCATGATAAGAAACACCACAGCTCGGAGGGGTCTTCAGAAATTCTTGTATAGTTCATATATAGTTCATATATCTTGCCAAACTGTCACATATTTTGAACATCAAAAGTCATATTGATTATCAACACCCGCCAAGAGGAATTCCAGCACCGATGGCACAGGCAGCAGGTTCATGCCCCCTCCATTCCCAGTCATATCGAGGCCACCCTCGACAAACCCGTCACCGTACGGAAGACTTGGCTGCATGCTCCCTCCAAAGTCGAAATTGAAACCATATGCAGGTTCTCCAGATATTTGTGTGGATGAAGGCTGCATATCGGCAGCAGGTTCTCCCATTGTATTGTTGTGAATCCCAGTATGACCTCTAAGTGTACTGGCCCGTGATGAAAATCCCGAACTGGAAGGGTCATTGCCGTTTTGTTGAGATGTTCGCTCTTGCAAGGACCCATGTGTGTGACTCCTCTGCCTCATGTTCCACATTGTCCTCTCCTCAAATAGACGGAGAAGACTCTTGGCATATATCCAATATTGCGAGATATCGCGCAGAATATCAAGAAGAGAATCAAACGCACGTGATGCTTTTGCTACGACGAGAGGGTTGGGGGAGTTCAACTCGCTAGCAACATGAAGTAGGCACGTGAATAAGACGTGAACCGAAGGTAACCATAGGTCGCATAGAGTGTTTCTTGCACGGAGAGACTCTAGGATGGAGTTTACCGCTACGACTGCGTCGCCACAAATGCTTAGATCCGTGGCGGCTTGAGGAGAGAATTGACTTGGATCCTGGTGGGGCCGAGGTCGATGGAGTAATATGAGGAAGTTGTTGTACGAAAGATGAAGAATGGCTTGCCAGGTATCTGGGTTGGGTTGTGATAATTGGAGGCTCTGTGGTAGTTGCGTGATGAACTCAGCAAGTTCTTGGTCAGCTTGTTCAGTTGCTGCAGCTCGATCGGCTTCTGTAGCTCGTATTGCCACACGACGTCTCATGGCTTTGGAGAATATGATGCAGAGTCTTGTGTGCTCGATGGCAAAAAAAGCATTCCCCTGTGGTATGCCTTCAAAGTGAGCTTCCTCGAGCATAGGAGTGTCAGACTCTTCAAGGTTGCTTTCCCAAGTTAGTTGATAGGTATATCCGGGTGTGTAAGGAGTGCTTACATGGCCTGTGGTCGACCGAACGAGGCCGAGACCATCACATCAAACTGGAAGAGACACCACCAAAGCCTGACCCATTGGCGCTTGTCTACGGTATTGAGAGTGGACGAGGTTGCATCCCTATGCATTCCCATTCCAAAACTTGTCCGGGCAGCAACGCCTACCCAGTACCATGTGTTACTTACTATGTCTTCGAGATTGTCACATTGCCAGGTCAAGAGCAGAGCGACTTGCAAGTATGTTTCGCGGTGCTGTTCAAAGCGATAGTCGAATAGGATCTTGGCTCTCCGGAAGAAGACGTATGTGCTTGCCCTACAATCTTCTCGACTTGAAGACAGAACATGAGCGCCGACGAGGAATATAGCATTCAACAAGGGCAACGATACCAGTTTTGACACGTCGGATCCATTATAGGTCTCCATAAACTCATCCTCGTCGACAATAGGAAACCCTCGGTTGACATGGACAAAATATGCCCTGACGAGTTCGTCGGCCAACGCTTTGGGAGGCAACTTTAGAGCCTCCTCGGGAACCGAAGGAACCTTGCGAGCAAGTCGACGGGTCCCGAAATGCAATACGTCCTTCTGCTCCATCCTCAAGGCTCGGTGGCGCACCAGATAGTTCAAGTTGGAGAACTCAGTGCCGATGAAATAGAGACGCTCAGACCGTGAAATCTCGCCCACTTTGGGAAGATCCTGACCGATGAAGTCTGCAAGATTGCGCGTCTCGTATGTCTCTTCGTTCTCGGCAGAATCCTGTAGAGTTGAAGGGGAGCCATGGTGATAGTGTCCGGTACTGGAACTGGGACGAGCGATTGGATCAATGGTGTCTTCTGGCCAGAGACTCGCTCTTGGAGTTGCAGGGGCTGTTAGACATTGTTGCCCTGTCTGCTGACGTTGACGGGGCTGGAGGGGGACATTGCTATGCCGAGATGGCTGCACACGAGAGAATCTGGTCTTTTTCTTCTCGTATATTAAGCAGCTGCTGGCTTTGTTTTGATCTTGGCAGCGGGAGCACGGAATACCTTTCTCGAGGATATCGCAGCGGACTTTGCGTTGGTGACATGTTACGCAAGCTCTCCCGTCTACAGTAATAGAGACTGTTAGTTTCAAGGTGTATATATTGAACTTCAGCAAGATAGAAGTATTGCAGTATCACAACGTTACAAGATTGATACTCTGCGCATTTCATCAAGGAAATACTAGCATTGATAAAAGCGTGAGTGTTGGATGTACATACTGGTCCTTCGTCTGCCAACAACTGTCCGAGACGGCTCTGGAATCTGATGTGCAGCGGTCCCGGGCCTTTCAGTAGACATCAGACGATTAGTGCTTTGATACCCACAGACGAAGAAACAAAAGCGAAACTAAGCTTCCGATGAGGCTTGGAAGTTGAGAATAAGTTAGAGAGTTGTCTTGGGAACTTCCGAGTATCAATCAACAAGGCCCACAGCTCGGAAGTTTGAACTTGTGGGTCCAATGTGGGTTATCTGCCATGCCCCAGTTAGTAAGGAACAGTAAACGCATCAAAGTGAAAGAGGTACCTGGGTATTATCAACAGCCGATTTGTAGCAAATCAAGATTGGATGAAGTTCTAACATTATTGTCCTCGATGCATGTTTCTAGAGATGCCATTAATCAAGGACAATAACTTTCCGGACCCCTCAAACACAGAATGATGTATAGATCGATATGTATGCTTAAAGGCGCGGAAGCCAGCAAGGGTCCTCGGAAATTTAGACCAATTGGCTACTCTTAATTTAGACTGCTCGGCAATTATTGATAAGATTTTGCAAATGCACCACCATATGTGGATATTCATCTCATCATCAAGTCCGTAACGTACTTTGCTATTTTGGACAAAATGCGGTGTGTTTATTCGTAACTGTTAATATCTCCGAGGTCCCTAAATTGAAAGTTGCAATCGACTTCAAATCTATCACAGACGTGAGCCACAAACCATTAACTTCGTTCTTAATATGCACCGTGCCATATGTACATGGCGATATTTGATCCAGTGACATGTGGCCATCACCGTTAATGGCATACTCCAAATACACACAGAAAATCCAATTGGCTGCTTCAGAATGCCTTCATCATTTAACAAGATATCTCATGACGGGCATGTGCTTTAAGCTTAATTTGAGCTTGAACTTGTGCGCAATCGGAGTCTTGCAGCTGCGTAACCCACTCGACCAACACCGCGTTCCATCATCCATCCTATAACGTATACCCAAACCAAGACAGCTAAACAAATCATTCCATTCCATTTCCTTTCCTTTCCTTGCCCGTCCCGCCATGTTTGATTTTGATACATTCCCTTCGTCACCGTCCTAACCTTACGCCAACGCCAGTAGCCCTTCCTGCTTCACCCTTTCCATAGGCATGCCTCTTTAATCCTCCATTCCCTGGACTTCCGAGTCAACCTTGCCAGCAGGTAGTAGCAAATCAACCTGCTCGCCCAGGCCCCGTCCGTCACTAGGTATTGTACATGTATATACCGCGATCATTAGGGCAGCCGAGACCGACACGCCCCTCAAAAACAAAACCTATATTCCACACAATATCCGATCGTAGTGGTCCCTACAGCTCCAGCTTCCAGAGGTGTTTCTCAGCCTCCAGTACACTTCGTGGCAGTGAACTTGTTCATTGCTTCTCTTTCGCTCCTGGCTGACGAGTCCTGTAGTACCTCCTTCATCCAGTCGCGTCTGTGGCAGAGGGAGAATTGGTGCCCTTATGTCTCCTGAAAAAGGGGAAGTCCTTCATCCTAAACCTACTCGTCTTCTTTCGCAGCGACTTGCCTTCGGCCCTGCCAATACTTCCGCCTGTTGTACTTGCATCGGACCTTGTCTCGTCGTCAATAGGTGAACTGTCCTGACGAAGCGTCCCCGAGCTTTCTTTCAAGCTCGCCGAGTCGACATTGATCTTGGGAATTCCAACCGCATGTTCAGTTGAGTCGCCGCTCACGATACTGGTACCCCGTGTGCTTGGCGACATCGGCATCTTGCCCGTTGTCGCGCTTGTCGCTTGGGATGCCCAATCTCCCGAGCAAGCCCCAGATACGCTTCCTTCCGTCGTCTCGCTTGATCGTTGTTTTGCAGAATCCCGTCTTGTTTGCGCCTGAAATGGATCGCTATTCGCTAGCTCTCTGACGGCGTCAAAGGTCGACGCTGAGCCGTTGGATTCTAGAGTATCCATCCCTGTGCCGTTTGTGGACGATGGCCCCATGGTTCTCTGACTATCGGCCGGCGATAAGTCGTCTCTTTCTGGGCGTGGCATCGGTAGCTCACCATTTCCAACCGGTGTCGTGTCTGAGGCTCGATCCAGTGCCTCAAATAATGGTGCCATGTCTCTCTTCTCCTCCTTCTCCTCCTCTTGCGGCACTGCAAAACTCATAGTCCTCGGCGAAAATGTGCCCTCTTTGAGAAGACGCCTTCGTACTGGGTCATCTAGCGGCTGCTTTTCCTTTTCTTGTTGAAGCTTGAGCTCGAAAAGACTCTTATTCATCTCAAGCTCGTCGACAGTGTACTGCATAGCGGGCATAATGTCGGCGACGCCCTGAAACAACGGAGTGGCAAAGAGATTCATAAAGCCGAGTTGGCCTTTAGCCAGTGAAATCATGTCTTGTTTTGGTGGTGTCATGAGCGACGATGGAATGCTGAGCTCGCTTTCCATTGACGCTTGTCGGGAGAATTCTTCCGAGAGAATGTATGTCCACTTCAATGCGATTTCATGATTTCGCGCCTAAATTGCCAGTGTTAGCACCTAACCTCATCAATTCAACGATAGCAAGTTCACATACCACGTTGCTGATGTCGGCACATTTGATAAGTAGTGAACAGGCCAGAGACTTGTTCTCTTCTGTCTGCCGACCATTCCAGCCGTCGGTGCTATTGCTAACCTGCAATCGATCTTGAACATCTCCAAGCCTTTTCATGTAATCGAAATGCAGGCCCATATCTGTGGCCAAGATAGAGCTGATCATAAGATTGCGCATTTTTGTGTCTTCAAAGGCGGAGGGCCAGTATCGTCGAAGAATCTGCGAATATGCTGCACAATGGAACGATTCCAAAACCGATCGATCATTGTACAGCTGAGCCAGGGGAGCATTGAGTGTCACAAGAAAGCCGTTGTTCACACCTGGATGTCCAACGTCGTGTCCGATAGCTGTGATGAGGAGCGTCAGGGCTTCAAAAGGAGTGATGAGAGACGCCATTGGTGACTTTTCTGGCATGGGTCGGGATTCGGTACCCGAGGGATAGGGGGCAAGAGAGCCAATATGTACCAGGAAATTAAAGGTAGCCTGCAGTACATCTACCACATGACGGAAATTGTGGTACGGAACAAAGTTGTTGTATGCAGCGCGACAAGCAACAAGGAAGCTGATTAGTTGGTCTGCAGCTAAGTCAGTATGTCGCCAGCCGACACCAAACCAAAACAGTGAAACATACCTGCATGTATCCGCCAGCGCTCAAGCTCGGGCATGGCCAGGGCATGTCTGAACATGTCCATGGCGGCCACCAACAACTCATCGTCAGTGAAAGAGTGAGCACAGAAACGCCAGCTCCCTATCGCTTCGGCAATCACGGACTGCCGTTCCGAAGAAACAGCCACATGGGCATTGTTGATTTGATCGTCGCTAGTGCCTAGGCGGCAGATCCCCTTCATCAGTCCAGAGACCATCGCTTCACGGAGATATGCGAATGGTTTCTCCTCGTTGACGCCCACCCATGACCGTTTCCGTCCTTGTCTAATCTCTAACAAAGTCGATTGTTCCTTGGCGGCATCTCTGTGGGCTCGATAAGCACAAATTTCCAAACTCGTAATGCACTTGGTGCTCATTGGACAAATTATGACGTCGACGGCTCCCAGATCTAGGCACCTTCTTATAAGTTGGCGATTCGTATCAAGCGACCCCAATGGCACAGCCTTCTGCTCAATAGTGCCGTCGGTCATCTGGCCATTGGTAGGTGGATCCTCTGTATCGTTGTTGCTGATAACCGGGATCGGAACGACCAGCTTAGACATGCCACGCAAGTGTGCTTCAGTAATAATCTTCTGTAGCAAGCCCAACCCGTAAAGGTCCTCGTCGGGAGTGTGGATGTCGAGATTTTCTGCGGAGGAATTGCAAGACGGAGAAGGCGATGATGCCCTCCTCCGCGAATCGGGAACTGGATCATCACTTGGCGTATCAAGGAGAACCAGAGTTGGCTTCAGGTCAAGCATGGATCCCTCTTGGAGCTCAAATAATTTTGCTAAACATGAACCACCAGATGCGCAAATGTGAACTAGACCACATGTTAGTAAGTGGAGAAATGACTCATGCCGACATCATAACGAAAGAACGAACCATCACCAAAGGCATCTAGTAGAGGCTGTACAACCTGACGAGCCTCATCTGTTGCCCAATCAGATGCGCGATCGCCAGAGTTATTGCGAATCAATCCATCTTCGCTCACGTTACGATTGACATAGATAACGTGGCAGGCGGCGCGTTCCATGGTGCTCATGGAGAGCTACCAGTCTCGCGACTGGAGCACCGTAGCCCTTCAGGCAGTAGAGAATTTGTGCCAAGATAAGGCGATTTACGTCGACGAAGGAGCCTCGCGAAACCGGAGACCAATTTATCTCGTAGGTCAATCCGAGCAGTGACCAAGTGTTGAGACGGAGGAGATGAAATAGAATTACAAGAGGCTGTAATAGAAATATGCAACGATCGCGAAACAGCCCAGCGAGATTGACTCAGCAGCTGCCCGACATTCGAACCGGGTGTGAAAGCAGTAGCGAAAGATGAGAAATGGGAGTCCAAATATTGAGCCGTCTTGAAGTGATCGTATGCGACGTTCGTCGAGTTAATCGAGTTGATTCAATGAACCCAGTCCGGTGGTACAGGCGAGTGGTGTTTTCCGCCCAGGAGGGTCGGACAGGCTGTCAGACTGGCGTCGCGGCGGCGGCGGGAGCTGTCGGCTGGCGACAGGGTTCGTACAATTCGAAAATTCAATCGAAGCTGAGAGGCGAGGAGCGGTTGTTAGCTGGCGAGTCGGGGAATGGCGTCGCGAAAGACGTGGTAAACGCAGCGATGCGCAAATGGGACGAGAGAGGGATTTGAAAAATGATGGCGTGGGAGAAAGAAGCGCGATGGATTGTGAAATAGAGGGGATTGGACTCGAAATCTGGATTTAGGACTGAGCTAAGATGGAAAGGGCCAGCAAGGAATGAGCAGGGGATGGAAAGAAGAAGGGGAAAAAGGGAGGAGAGGGTCGTTGTTGGAGTGAGGGTTGGAATTGCAGGTAGAATTGGAAGGTACGAACAGAGGACAAGACAAGACAAGGCAAGGCAAGGACAAGGACAGCGCTGTAAGTAGATTGGAGTACGCGTGCGCTGGAACAATGGATGGTGTCAGGACGATGAGGTGAAAGGTACCTAGTGTCCATGGATGGGATGGTAGGTACTAGAGGTATGTATGGTATGGTATCAGCCCGGGCTTTGGCATTGGCTTACCTTGGTAGGTGCTACTGTGCAGCAGTACGAGACCTGCTTAGCGGCAAGCAGAAGGTGTCTGACCCCGGTCGGAGAATGGAAGGACTAGGGAAGGATAAGGGAAGACCCAAAGACAGGGCAAGGGCACCGAACAAGTCGCGGTAACCGGGTCCGGGGAGGAGGGAGAAGATCTGCGAAGCGTGGCTGCAAGCGGAGGCAGCGATTGCAGTGTACAGTAGTTTAATAGGTGGCCCAGTGCAGCGCAGCGCAGTTGATAGTAGGGCACAGCAGGGTATAGTACAGTATAATAACAGCGTAGGTACCTAGGTAGCGTAACGCAGCCCGTGTAGCTCGGGCGGGATGATGGTGCGACGTGACGAAGATGAACTGGGAGAGGGTGAGATAAGGAAGAGAGGCTATTGGTACATGTGTTCCGGGCGAAGTAAGACGAAGAACAGAGAGTAACAATATGAAAGGACTGGATGGTCGACTTGGGGACCCTGACTTGACTACCTCAGTAATCTGAATTGAATTGAGTTGAGTTGAATTGAATTGAGGAGCACTGAAATGTGACGCAGCAGCCCGCGAAGAGTTCTAACCTTTACGGTACCCGGCCAGCGTCGGTAGGTACTTACCTGAAGTTAGGTGGTTCAGCGCACTTTAATAGGCGGCGGTTACGTTTGGGACTTGAAGGTGGAGCAACTGGAGGGCGATGGCGATGGCGATGGCGAGAGAAGATGACAACCTAAGGCAAGGTAAAGCAAACCAAGCACGGAGGCGGGAACCAACCCTGGCGCCGGCAGTCAAGTTACTCGAATCTTAGTGGACTGATTTGCCGTGATGACAGTAGATATAGGTTGAGAAGGAGATTTTCAACGGGCAAGTCAAATGCGAGCCGGCCGGATCGAGGGTCAACTTCACGAGTTGTGTCGATTCGAGGAACGGATTTGGTTAAGAGTACTAAGGTAGGTAATCAAGGTATCCGTAGACTCAGGTACGTTAACGTTGGAGGGTTCTCAACCTTGCAAAAAAGCAGGACAGGATTGTAGAGTAAATTAGAGTACGTAGAGAGAAGGGGCCAGGAGTAAAAAGAACCACTTCATCCCCTTCAAAAGCAAGCATTATATCTTAGTGCCTACCTACCTATCTAGCCGCAAATATTTGGGCCACTTCACAGGGCTCTTTTTAGGGTCAGATGGACTACCTAATAAGGAATCCTTTTACCTACTGCTTACTGAAAAAAGAAAAGAAATCAAAAACGAGAACAAAGGGAGGCGGAAGCTGAATGCTCCGAATGAATGCTAAACAGGAGAACCGGACTCCTTCCATTGTTTAATCGCATGCGAATGCACAGAAGCTGAAACCTTCTAGATGTGTACCAAAGTTGATGACGCAGCTCTTACAAAGTAGCAGAGACGGCACAACACATCTGTTGTGTTGAAGGATGAAAAGTTCCCATTCCAGGACAATAACTGACACATATGCTCCGTAGATTCATTCAAACCATGATGCTGCAGCCAGAATACATCACTAGCCCAGATATTGCCAACGGAGTTCAGTTTACGAAGAGGCACGAGAGTTTGTACAAGTGCCGTCTGGGCTGGCGGGGAAGGCTTCTGGGCTTGTAAGCGTAAACTAAACAATGCAACTCCTGGGCCTATGGCCTTGTTTCTAATAGTTTTCAGTGGCGAGCAACTGATCAGCAGGCGACACGACATCATCGTCAACTTAAACACATAACGGTTCTTATAGGCCATCATAGGGTTGCTGCGCTCTGCTGTGCCGCCTGCATCAGGGTTCCTTGGGCCTCCATCGTGAGTGAGGTTGGAGATCAGCACCTCATTCTTGGATGTGGTCGAAGATCGTCGTTACAGGCAGGGGGATGTACTTGTAGCACGACGCGAGGCACCAAGGCCTCACTCAGGGTATCAGAAAACCTAGTCGCTGGAGCTCAGGAGACAGAATTCCTCAGACAGTTTTATCGATGGATACGCCTACGCTTTGCTCTACTTTTTGTGTGCTAACAAACAGACGATCAAGTTTTTTAATGCCTCCTAGCCGAGGCACCTACCTAGGCAGCTTGAAGTCTAGAACAAGCACACTAGAGCCCACATCGTGGTCCACACGCTCCAGCCGGGATCAGGGTTACCTTGTCTCTGCCACAGCCAATTACGTCGTGTCAGGAGTGTCAGCCAGCAGGGTCAACAAAGGAGGGCCCAAGCGGGCTTGATTTGAATTCTTCTGGCCGTCTTCGAGAATCTGAAATGGATTATCTTCTCCATAATAAACGGACAGGGAAGTGTTTGACGCTGTGAGCTGCAGTGCAAAGGGGCCAAGAATTATTCTCGAAGGAAGCACAGTCACAACTCTGAACACACACAGTGCACTCTACCAAGCGCCAAGCACGTGCTTGTAATGCTTGTCGTGGAGGTTTTGGAGGCGGGCAGTCAAGCTACTCAGGTACTATACGTTATGTGTAAATCAATTAGACGTCCATTATATCAACAGAACTAGAAGCGATACTGGCAAGCTTTTGTTTTGAGAAACAAATCTTACAGACATAGCCGTTTCTCTGAAAATCCCGCCCCGGTCCGCATTTCACATTTCGTCATTTTTGGTCTGATGCGTAGTAACCAATAAGAACTCTGAATTGGTTCGTCAAGCTGGAGCATGGAAGTCTTTTGACGTGAGAACCACCCCATATCTCCACAGTCGAGGCACTAAAACAATAGCTACTATCTACGGAGTAGATGAATGGATAACATCTCAGCTTTCTGTGGCTCAAGTACCAAGGTAGGAACCCGACAGTTGTAGCCATCATGGCGGGAGCACTGAAAACAGAACATGGGGCGGTCTCGCCTGACTCCTACATCATACCTGCAGGTACTCGCTAAACAATAATTACATGCGTTTTCTTCTACTAGAAACCGCCCTGCCTGCCCGGGTAGCTACTGCATTAGGAACCTCAGGCTAGGTGCATCCTAATGGCTACAGGAAGGTCTTTCTCAGCCAGGTACCTAGTACCTATTATAGGTAGTCAGTCACCTACAGAGGGCAGGTATGCACCAGGGATGGGCTTCCATGCAGGCGCAACTGCAGTATTAATCACAGCACTGGGTACTATATGTAAGCAGGTAAGTTAATGCCTAGGTACGGTAGGTAGGTACTAGAGGTAGGTAGGTAGGTACGCAGGTACGCAGCATGAAGCCTTCCTAGGCTTTCGTCGACTCTTGCTACAGTAGATGCCCGCCTAACACCACAATAACGCCAACCTCCTCCGCCTTCATTCTTCCCAATTCTCTTGTCTTGCTCGTTCATTCCCATCTCCGTCTCCCCATTCCATCGTCATTCACATTCGCCATAGGTCATAGGCTCGCTGCCCCGCACTACACCAGCTCGAAACTCTCCCCGACCACTAGGTGAAGCTACTGGCGGGCAAGGTACGCAACAACTACGCTTTGGGCATAGAATGGCTACCAACAGTCTTCGAAAGCCATCGCGACGAGAAGAATGAAGCCAGCTCTACGGAGTACGGAGTATTCGATCCTTCACTGCCATCTCGCGGAGCCCAACCTTTGTCCCACCTTCATAATAAAGGAAGAAATGCAGTAGCTGCGACAGATGACTCCCGCAACCTATTTGCATAAGCTTTTGATTCTTAGTCAACTCGTACGGAGTTTATTAGAGAACACCACAGGGGCAAGGTGCTGCAGTGCTTCAGTACTCCCTCCCACTACTGAACTAGCTGGATGTTGATGGCTCTAGCTGGCTTACAGTCAACTCTGAAGAAAGAAGGGAACTCGGCCTTTACTGTTGTTTTGATATGCGCATTGTAATGTGTCCAGCCTTTCCGATCCCACGTCGCCAGAGAAAGCAGTTGCAAGAACACCACGCGCGCCTCGCCTGCTAACTAAGTGGTATCTCAAATGTCAAATTCATGACCCAGCTTTGCTGCCATTACAAATATCCCGCTTCGAGCCTCAATGTGAAGAAAGCAATTACTCCCGAGTCCTCGACCATAACGCAACTCTACCCCACAAACCCCGAGCCGAGGTACTTAGACTTTGAGGACACCCCACAGACTCACCGAGAGCCCTAGAGGTTGCCCTGTCCCGCACGGGAGTTCACTCCTTTCTTGGTCTCGACTCTCAGGGCATATCTCGTTCCTGGCTGTTCCTTAGCCAGGTTCGGGCCTATCTTTGACTCGATTTTTACTCCTCGCCAGTTAATAACTACTTGGTGTCTTGTATTGTGTCCATCAAAAGAGGCCCATACCTAGGCCCCGCAAAGTTTGCTGTAGTCGCTCTAGCGGCCGGATCTTTTCCGTGTTTCCGGGCCGGTAATGATGGAATCCTATTACCTATCATTGATCGGTTTATCAATGGATTTGTCCTTTCTGTGTATTGCTGCTGCTATCAATCACAAGAACAGGGTTGATAGTATCCAAATTTATGTTTACACAAATGCTATCCGATTCAGTGGCTCTCAACCTTACTGGCATGTTCATAGCGTTGTCTACAACATCTCAGTCCATATGGTACGGCTCCTGATATCGAACATGAACCGGCCAATTGCCTTGTGCATTCCTTCGCCAATACTTCAATCTAAGTGCCCAAAATGCTTGCAAACATGTCAAGGCGAACTGGCTACACACGAACTCCCCCAGGTTTACTCATCAAGGTGTGCTAGTAAGTTGAACCCCAAACAGTTTGCCTATTTGTTGTGCCATAACCTACCGGTACTTTCACTTCTCAAAAGTACATACTGCTCGTGTGTTTCGTAGGTTACGTACTGAACGCGGAGCGCCCTCAATTTCGCGGCCGTTTTCTTACCTTTCAACTTCAGCCCGCTCAGGTGGAGCAAGAATTGATAGAAAGCAGTTCTTACACTACGCAGATAGTAAGTTGGTTGGTCATCGAAAACCTGCCCCAAGCTTGAAGAAGAAAGACCCTTGGGCCCTGTCCCATGCGCCTCATTATTGCCGCCAGATTATACTGCATTTCATCAGTTACCTAAGTGGGTGACAAGACATACCGATTGCTGCTTATCTACAGATCTCTATCTTGAACCCCAGACGATACTCTTCAATTGCAGTCGTTTTCTACAAGGTTGCCCGTCTCCTGGAACGCGGGGTTTACTTACTGTTCATTAATAATCATCCTGGTCTCTTATCACTAAATGGAGTAAGCGTCACGCAAGTGGATGCTCTGTACGGATGTCAGGGATCTTGAACCGGGGAAACCATGCTACCAAGCCATGGCGCGGAGATGGCGATGCAAATTGTTCCAGCCTTCACCTTTTACAAGAATCATCTGTCAAGACTCGTGGGTCTGAACTTGGCTGAGATTATGATATCTAATACGTAAATTTCTAGCATCATCCCAGATTTCCCCAGCATGAGGAACATCAATCAATTCATTACCTCTACCGCTCTTCAGACGAGCAGCTTCACACATATCGAAAGCGTTGCTTTATTTCATGCAGCAATCTCGTAACGACACTCAGCTGCCGCAACTTGATGGCAATATCCATTGTCTAGCCATTCAGGCTTAAACTACTTGTATAGCTAGCAAGACGCCTTTGGGTCTTCTCAGACCAGTTCAACTGAACATGCTCGATGCGGAACATAAACATACCAAACGCCGTATTCTACCCTTCATCCCGGTGCGAGTTGCGCTGGATAGTAAAGATGTACCATCTATTCCATTCGTTGCCTCTTTATGTTTCTATCTACAACTCCCCGACATGTCTCCCACATGTTTGTTTGTACCAGTTCATCGACTCATCATTCTCGTTCTCGTGTAGCCATTTTCTCTCATGCATCGTCGTCTACCATATGTCGTTGTGAGCCTAGGCCGCTTGTTCTTCGACTTTGGACAGCCGTCCTACTCGGCCTTGGTTCCCTTCTCGGTTTCAAGATGGATTTCGGCCACTTCGTTGGAGTGACGGTCGATCGCTGCTGTAGCTGGCACATCGATCACTTCCTTAGGAGACCACGTAGCCTGTTTGATATCAATGGATGTTGGCGCAGAAAGGGTGGCAGGCTCAGACTCGTCCTCAATGGGATCGTGTCCTGTCATGACAGTATCTGGGTCATCGAACTGGCCGAAGCCACGCTCATCCGCTGAGGAGTCCAGCTGGACATCATCGGACGCAATGTCCGCACCTGTAGAATCCTCGGCGCCACTATCTGCCAGGCCTTCAAAGTTCCAACCCTGAATCAAGTTCAGTGACTTTCCATGGTCGAGTGGTTGATAGCCCCCCTTGACGTCCACGCCTTCGTCCTCAACGCTGTCACGAAGGTTCTCAATGCGTGGGGCGGTCTCATACGGGGGAAGATCCTCGTCATCTGGGCCAGCCAGGGAGGTAACGGTGACTCTATCCGAACCACGCTCGGTCAGACGGTGAGTTGCTGCGGCTCCGGTCCCAGCGCTCGACAATCCAGTCAGGGAGGAACCCTCGGCGAGACGCTGGCCTTCCCCCGCCTCAAAATCTTCGTCTTCTGAATTATCTGCGCTATTCTTGTACTTCTCAGAAATGGTTCTGAAGCGTGATCCACCCAAAGGGGTGCTAGAGCGGCGGCGGTAGAAGAGTAGATATGCAGCCGATGTGATACAAGATGAAGGATCTGAAACAGGAGTAGCGGATGAATCTGTCGTTTTGTTAATTCCAGATATTCAATAAGCCAGGAAACATGTGTGTAACGTCACTCACCATTATAATTGTACCAACGCCCATCACAAAAGTTCTTGGCGTATGCAGTGTAATGACCTCCGCCAAGACCACCGTAGTGATCATCGACAGCAATCAAATCATAGATCTCTTTCTTGCCATCCTCTTTCTGAATAACTCTAGAGGTAAGGTCGAGACCCTCAATGGGGAAGTCCACCATAACGTCGAGCTTGTCACGACGATATCCGGAGCTGCTGAATCGTTTGAGGTGAGCTACAAGAATATCTGGCGACTTCCAAAGATCAAATTTCTTGCTTGCTCTTCGATGCTCTTTACAGCGAGGGCAGTACCACATATCTTGCTCGGAGAGGACTTCGGCTCTCTCGAACTCATCCAAGCACTCTTCCAGGCTAATGCCGCGTGTATGGCGATGCTGCCTCCGTCTTTGTACAATCTTGAGGGCAGTGTCGTTAAGAGTATCAAGCAATAGAAATGTGGGTACTCCTTGTTCATTAGAGGGGGTAGTCGAAGAACCACCGAAGACTTTGTCAAAGGCATCCTCGTTCCAGTCCACGACGAGGCCTTCACCAAGGCGAATGAGAGGACCACCATCAGCAACAGCAGGGGGCTGAGGCTGAGGCTTGACAGAAGAAACCTTGTGCTTTTTGTTCTGCAAATTGCGTTCACGGCGTTTGTTACCTTTCTTGCCATACTTCTGGCCCTTGAGTTTGCGTCGTCCTGCGGGACCAACCTTGGAGGGGCGGCCATTAAATTTCTGTTTTGTATGAGTGGCTGAGCCGCTGAAGGAATAATGAGAACAACTTACCCGCGGTGCTTCTTGGGCCTCTTCCTCGCTGGACTCGTCTACCATTCGAGTCTGTGTTATTTCAACCTTGGTGCTCTCATCGTTGCTGCTTGCGTCGTCATTGCCCGAAGGTGTACTGCTTTCATCATCGCGGCTCGCGGCATCTTCGTCATCAGGTGTTGACTGGGGAATGCGATCTGACACTTTGGGCAAAAGTTGATGGTGATCAACGCTGGACCAGCCTGTTGGTACATGGCCAGAGCAAGATTTGTCTGTGAAATAGCAAAGTTCAAAAAGGTTTTGGAGCTCGGGGTCCAGGAAACTATCTGGGTTGATGTACTTAGGTCGATTTGTGTTGAATCGCTTCAAGATCTGGGGTTGGTTAGGTAGGGTGTTGTTATCATCGTTCATATGGACATCCACAATGTCATCTTCACTTTCAACTGACTTGGCAACAACCTTGCTGTCGCCAGACGAATCAGCGTCCGAAGCAGAAGTAACCACCTCTCCGTCGGCATTGTCCGAGTTCTCCTCCGGACTATCCCTTAGCTTGGTCCAGGTCGAAAAAGTAGCAACCTTTTCCAAAACCTTGCGTCGAATTAGATCAATATCCGATGCTTCCTCCTTAGTAAAGCATATGAAGCTCGGAGGAGCCACGCCGTCTCGACCACGACCGTAGTTTGATGGAATTCGATGAAACACTGGAACTACGATTCGCTCGTAACGCGGGTCATTCCAATTTTGAGTCTCAAGGGGAGTGTCGACATCTAGCATGGAGCGAAGTTTCTTGGTTTTGTGCGGCCAGTTGGTAGGAACAGTTTCCAACTCGTGGAAGGTAGCAAGATCGTTCTTGGCTATCTCTTCACTAACATCCAGGTCATTGTCATAAAGCTTGAAAAAGCGATCCTTATACTCTTCTCCGCCTATCAGGCGTTCTGCTGGTACTCCTGTTCGGACCGAGAGGAACTGTTTGAGTTGCTCAATGGCGCTGTGTTTCGGTAATTCGACCTCAAGAATGACAGGCACATCGTTGAGGGGTAAGAACTTGATCTTGGCCATCCATACATCCTCAACGGGAATTGGCAGTGTCAGGTTATTGAAAGGATCAAACGTGATGCTGATCTTGCCACATTCAGGGCACTTGAGCGTTGACTTGTACAAGCCGGTGAAAAGATCGGCAATGACAGAGTCGTCTCGGAGTCGAGTGATATCCCACACCTTATCCGCCATTGCCTTGATAGCCTCGGGATTGTTGATCATGTCGTCGGTAGAGTCGGGCTTTTCGATATAAGGCTTCTTCTTTACGCGGCTCAGATCTTCTTGGAGAGCATCCAAGAGAAAGCCAAGGAATTCCTGTGAGTCCTGTTGGCCATATCCAGAGAAAGTTGAACGGCAACGTCCAATTGTATTCTTAAAGTCCCGTGGGGTCACCGAGCCCCGGCTTTCCGAATAGATGTCCTTGAGGAGATTTCCGTATGTCATGGCAACCTTTCCGCTGTATCCAAGGGGGTTGGTCTTATTAACTTCATCGGCGTACTCGCCAGTGAGGAAATACTTGGTCAATTCCTCCACACTTCGAACGCATTGGAGTGCAGAGTTCATATAGCAGGTATTTCCGAGATTTTGCAGACCAACAACACCCAAGCTGCGACCAGACTTCCTTCCCATTCGGCCTCGTGTTAGCGAACCACCGGGGGCAGGGCTGCTTCGACCGCTGGCGTTGGACGAGGCCAAGCCACTTCTGGTAGGAATGGCTAGTCCGTTCGGCGGGGTCTTCCCAGTGTAGTTGCTGACCCAGAATCTATCCTCGATTGACTCATCAATAATAAGGGTTGTGTCCATGACAAGGTGGTATATGGATAAGCATGAGCTACCATTGAATTTCTCGTCTCCAGTCATGTCTTTCAAAGGACACTGGATTCTTTGCTCGCTAACTTGGCTGAATGAAGCGGTATCAAGCAGGAGTTTTGACCAAGTGTTTGTAGAATCATCTCCTGCTTCGGTTCGACCTGGAGAATCCGGTGGCGTAAGAGCTCGAGATGGATCCAAGGGGGGGGTGACCTGCTGGACTTGAGGCACAATGAACAGCCGGATTTTACGATCCAGCGGTACGCCGGTGACTGTCTTGATCTCTTTGATGAACGTCTGAGCATGGTACTTTCGACTTCTGGCAAACTTGTAAGGAGGAGGGTTTTCCGCTTTAAGGGCCTGCTCAATAGGCAATGGGCTAATGGTGGACCACAAGCGGTGAAGAGTAAAAACTGGAGGATGAAACTCGACCATAATACTGGGTTCTTGACCAATCTCGGCCGTATTGATAGCAGTGCGAACGATGGGCTCTTGGCCGTCTTTGATGCCATACCATTCCACGACCATCTTCCATGCGTCCTCGGGGAAAAGTGTGAACTCATTTTGGTTGGTTCCCTGCTTCAGTCGAATAAATTCCTTGCCACCGGGCTCCTTAATGATTTCTTCAATAATGTCCGAGTTGTCTACAGGACCAAGAGGCTCCGATGAAGAAACGTCATCCTTACCGTCTTTGGTACCACCACGCAATGAAAGTGCTTTCTGGACCCAGGTGTTAGAGACAAGATACGCTTTGTCTCCTTCCTTCAATTCAGCTTCTTCGTATGCTTTTAAGAGAGTTTCAATAATCTTAACTTGCTCTTGCAGCGAAGGGATCGCTGTGACATCAGAATTAGCTACGGATTCGGTTCCCTGCAAGATGGGTTTATGAGCCTTACGCTGAGCAGGGGAGGCATCGCTGGCCGACACGGCAGTGGGCTCAGGTGTATCAACGCTCATGGCTCGAGGCAGCGTGCTTATGGATAGCTGGGAGGGGCCGTCAACAGGAGCAGAATTGTTGGCCTGTGTTGAACCCATGTCGACATCGCGGGTCTTATCCGCTTCGTTCTCGGGATCCATACTGGAAGCTCGTCGTTTCAAAGGTGATGAGGAGCGGTGGGGCAGATCTGCATCGCCATTCATGATAACCCGGTGAGTATGAGGGTGAGAGAGGCGCAAGGGAGACTGGCTTCTGGCCAAGGTTCGGGCCGTGCCAGTCTCGTCGCCGCCACGGTCACTTTCGATGGAGAGGTCGGCGTATGCGGAAGCACAAGGGCTCGAGGCAGCTGATGAAGCGTAGTCGGCCGAGACGAGAGAGCTTGGCTGGTGCTGAAGCCGCGGGGGAAGACTCGAGGCGGGTTGCGAGTCAGCCCGGAGGTAGGAGGGAGTGTCGGGGCGCGAGGCCACGGAGGCGGAGAAGGAGAGGGCGGGATCGTCGTCGACTTCGCAGGAGGGCAGGACCGAGTCGGGAGATGGCGATGACGACTCAATCGAGTCTAGAGGTGCTTCGTTGCGCAAGATCTTTCTCTTCTTTGAGGACGACGTCTTGAAGGCGAGCTGCCACGGGCAGCTCGGGGGTCGGTGGAGGGGCGGAGGGGAATGGACGGAGAATAAGTTATCGGCTCTTTTGCTGATGTCTTCGTCTTTGTTGGTTTCTTTGAGCGAAGTAAAATTCGGGGCTGGAATGACGGGTTATAGCTCGAGTAAGAACATAAGTCTTGCTGCATTTGCTTTGAGTCAGGACCGATAGAGCCTGTGAAGTCAGTCTATCTTGATTTTTTTCCCCTTCACAGTAAAGGTGGCAGGCGGGGGGCTTAAAGCAGTTCTATATTTTTTTTTATCATGGATGGATCACAGCGGTGGCATCGGGGCTGTGGCCGCTGGGAATGACGGTGTGGGGCGCTGTAAGTATCTGCCCTGACAGTGCAAGGTTCGGGCAAGTTAAGTCAAGCGTTAAAGATGACGGGATGGATGGATGATGAAAAGGTACAGTTTCAGTGGGCTTGTTAATAAGGTTTAGGGATATCTCCGACAACCAGGGAAATGTCGATATATATAGATATATAACCTAGATCTTGAGAACAAAGAAATACTTGCCTTTTTCTTCGCCAAAGGCCTTCGTACAGTACAATATTTTGGGCTCAGAGTGGGCTGCCATTGCAAACTAAAATCTCTGACTGGTTAAGGACAAAGGCGCGTTAAGGAGTTGCTTGCTTTTAGGCTCTATGCACTGCGTGATCGATTCCATTCCCCCGCTTGCCCGCTAAACAGGGTTGACCGCTTCGTGAGCCAAGCATTGACCATGTGCCTGGAAAGATGTGCCTTATAAAAAATGTCCCCATATCTGCGACATTTGGTGATTGTATATATCTGAATACCTAACTCATAACTCCCTCGATACCTTATCAGCTTCAATAAGTCTAACTGTTGAGATTTTATTAAACTTGACTTCAATATTGTTGTTTAAAGAGTAAAGAATGAATATATAAAAGGCACCAGAGTTATATACATCGTTCATACATCACAGTTGTAATGTACGTATATAGGTAAACTTCCAGGTGGTGCACATTGGCATAGTAGCCATGTTCCGTTTCACAAACCAACATTGTAGTTCTCTCCCTTTTTGGACTGATTATCCGTTGCACCATCTGTGTGCGCCCCCTACCTCTTGTGGAAACCTACGTTCGGATTTGAGGACTAGTTAATCGATCTACATGGAGTATCTTCACAGTTTTTGTACAACACCAATGTATGGGTATAGGGTAACATCTCAACAACGAGAATGGACTTGGCATAAATCTCCCATGTCTTTGTGCGCATTCTGCCATGACAGAGGGGGACAGTAGATGACTGGAGGCCATCTCAGCTCATTGCCATCGTGTGCGAAATTGATAGACCAAAAACAATCCATTTAATCCCTAGCACCAGCTATCTACTAACCACAAAGCGGCTTCTCCAAAGCCAAAAGTACGAAACCGACTCACTTAAACGAGTTCATTTTGAAAATCCCAGGGCCCTGCTTTAGTAGCGTCATGATTTCTCCCTTGACCACCCCCAACCAATGTATCGCACCTCTATCTAAATGCACCTATGGATCATTTTTTCTGGCCACGTCAAAGTCGTTATTCTTGGAAACCCAATGCGTAAAACACAGCTTTCAAAGCTTTGCATCGGTATCTTCATACTCGCTGATATCCTTAACAGGCATTGCTCCAGAACTGGCAGTGAGGCAGGCTTTGTGAAGTCTGACATCGGTAATCTCCTCAGCTGTCTTGACAGCATCTCCAGAAGATGGCTCCTCGTCAGCCTTCTTCTGGGCTTCCTCTTGTCTTTTGTCGACCCCCTCAGCCTTGCCTTGAGCCTCAAGGTGAATCGACAAACGAGCTCTCTGTATCGAAGTGGGGTTAAGATGCCGGTTAAAGAACTCCGCAACCTCAGGCTTGGTTAGCAGCTTAATCTGTACTGCATCAGATTGGGCTATTACCAGTTAGTAGATATTCGTAACTGAATTGTCTATACCTTTGTCTTGACTTACCAAGCTCAAAATCGTAGTACTCATTTGTGATCTGGTTCCAGTGGCGGGTGGATTCCTGATCCAAGTTCCTGAGCTTTTCTAACCGTCGTACAATCAAGCTTCGCTTGTGACCTTCAAACTCTGTGTCGCTCATCTTGTCCAGCGTGTCTGCATATCTCTGGAGGAAGGCTTCAACACGAGCGTCCAGGAACTCTGGCGTCATTTCGCTTTGAATGAGGAAACGGAAACCATATGTTGTTGAGAAAGCTCGTGGCCCACTGAAGACAATGTAGCCTAGTTGCTCCTTAGTTCGTAGCTGGTCGAAGGCCGGCTCATGGAGCATTTGGTCCAAGAGCAGTGTCTTGGTGCGAACCTCACGGTCCTCCCTGCTACCAACATAGAACCAAGTCTCAACACAGTGATTCACATTAGCTGGGTCCTTAAGGGTCTTCTTGAAGACGTGGTTGGAGCCTTGGGGCAAGATGAGAGACCGCAAAATAGGCCACTGAGCCTTGGGGAGAACCCGAGGTTTCAAGATGGACTCTACCATATCGGTTGCTTTTAGTGCATCCTCCTTGTACATGTTGCCATGTACATACACCTCAATGAAGTTTTGGCCAAGCATTTGCTTTTGGAATAACCTAACACCCTCCAATGTAACGCACGAAAGTTCCGTTGCGAGCTCTTCTACTATGAAGTCCCGTTCCGGTGCGTTGAGCCAGTTGGTGTAGTCACCAACCTGATGGTAAGATGACTGCAGCTGCCAGTTGTTATAGCCTCTGGTGAGGCGCTCCCTGACAATCTCAAAGCGGTCTTCCTTAATATCAAGGTCCCGCATCGTTGTCACAACCTGTTCCAATAGCACGGGGAGCTTGTCGTTGTAGCCGCTGACATCTAAGAACAAACCGCGCGAATCGAGACTGACGTTGTACTGCAATCCAGCCAGTTCTGCATCGTACGAGTACTCCTCGAGGGCATCCCGCACCAGATCGGTGAATAAGCGAGCCTTGACGTTGTTCTCCGCAGAAGCGTAAATGAGGGGCGTCTTCAGACTCACAATCACGTTGGCGCGAGGAACCCAGAAGGTGTCATCCTTCTTCCACCAAGTCCTGGCAATGTTGTCATTGCGAAGGACTCGTGGGTTAAGTGCCGGCTCATCCACCTCCTTCTTCTCAACCTCGAGTTTGTTGGGAATGAACTGGTTCTTATGCGGCAGATGAAGAGCAGACAAGCGTTCCTTGGGAGAGACTGCGGCGGCCTTCTTGATATCTTCCATAAGGTCGTCAGGTATCTTTTCATGGCGATACTCTGTTCCATACCACTTCTCCTTCTGGTCCCAGTTGCCAGGGTGGTTTCGTGATACAATAACCATGCGAAAATTATCAGGTCGGATGGTGGAGAGAGCTTCCTCAATCTGGTCGGGGGCAAATTCTCGAAGACGGCTATGGCCACTGAGTAACCATTCCCGAGGAAGAGGCTTCTGCATAACTGAACTGATCCGGCTGGTGAAGCGGCTGGCGGGTGTCTTCTGCTTGAACTTGAAATCGACATCTGCCATTCCCTTCTGCTCTTGGAAAATCCACTCCTGAGGAGGGTTCTCGCGAAGTAGAGTGATGTACTGGAAGAAGATCTTGACAATCTCGGGGTAGTTCTTAAGACCCTGTTACACAGAGTTAGCATTGAATTTGTATTCTTTAGTCTCATCACCTTACCTCTTCTGTCAAGCGAACCTGAACATCGAAGATACCAGGAGTGCCAGGGCAGACGGGATAAGCACCTGCGCTGAGACCGTTTGCCCAGCCCTTGGACTTGATATAAGACATGATACTTCCAGGACCTTCGTGCCCGATAAGATGGCTGATGTACCGACTAGGTTGAGTAGCAAACATGAACTCCTCGTCAATAAAGGGGAAGTATAGATTGAGCTCTCTCGAGTCCATGACGGGCTTGGCGAAGCATTGCATACCAAGGTCAGAATCTCTGAAAGGAATCTCACCAGGCCACCTGTTAGGGGGAAGTTTCTTGTTGACTACAGGGGAGAAGAGCTCGACAACCCATTTCTGGAGTAAGTCGAGTGGCTCTCTGCCCAGAACAACCAGCTTCATGCGGTTTGCCGAGTAGTGCTTTCCATGGAACTCGATGAACTTGTCCCGCACGTTAATCCCACGTGCTTCGGGAAGGGTCTTGAGAACCTCAAAGTTGCCGGTAGAGAAGTGGCAGAATGGGTGTTTAGGGTTGGATAGAGACTTTTCAAGCTGATGCAGCCTCCATGTGTCATTCTGTAGGTTCTTCTTGTTCTCCGAATCTACGGCCTTCAGTTCTCTGTCGAGAGTCTCGGGAAGGAAAAGAGGCTCGATGAAGAACTGGGCGAACCGGTCCAGAGCCTCCTTCAAAGGTGAAGGGTTGGTATCTGAAGGATCTTGATCATTATCTGGCTTGGCAGAAATGTCGAAGAAATAGTTTGTTGACGTTGGCCCGGTATAAGCATTGGAGCTTCCTGAATTGGCGGAGAGGTATTGGCCGTACTCGTTCTCAATTGGGAATTTCTTGGTACCCATGAAAAGCAGCTGGCGAGAGGTAGAAATGTTAGTCTATTGTCCAAGTGCATGATATCACAGGCTTTGAAGGCATTGGGGAGCTCTTACATGTTCGACCGCATGGGCCATACCAGGAATATCAGACTCATCACTGAAATTTCCAACATTAACGTCAAGGGCTGCGCTGGCCTTGTCCGTATCAGGATCATGGACCAAGAGCGCCTCGAGCTCATTGTCGAGGCGAATAACTCGATAATCGCGATCGTCGAGCGAAGGCTTTTCGAGAGAATCGGTAACAAGTGTCACCGTTGTGGGATTACCACCCGCCGTTGCGGAGGCATCTTCGTCAAGTTGAGAGTGAGGCATTGTGTATGATGCAAGCTCAAGACCAGAAAATAAATCGACACCGACTCCGACACCGACTTAGACTGAGACTGAGACACCGACACCGACACGGCAAAGAAAGATCCGGAAACCGGAGGAAGAAAGCGGCCGTGGTAAAGGAAAGGGTTTTGCGGTTGGTCGCAAGGGTTCGACCGAGATGGCGGTGTTGCGTGCGCAGGTAGAGAAGGCGATTGGATGATATAGGCGCGGACAGGATAAAAGATGTTGGGAGCAGGATGGATATAGCCCAATTGACGTCGAGAACAGAGAAATATGCTGATACCGATACTGATACAGCGTTATACTGTAGGTATGGTAATGGCAGAGTAAGGTACGAGTGTTGTACCAATCCGTAGGTATGGTTACAGGGCAGGGCAGGGTAGGGCCGCCGCAGGGGAGGCTGCAAGCTAACTAGAGGCTGGAGGCCAGGACCCGAAAAGAGATGGAGGGGCGAGCTGCGAGGATGAGGACGAGGACGAGGGGCAACGAGGTACGAGCTGTTAGCTACTAAGGTACCCAGGTAGGTATGTATGGCTCAGCTGATGCGTATGTCACGTAAAGGTACTTTGTATCCGTACGCTCCGTACCTATAGAGGGTATAATAAGTTAGTTACAAGCCCAGCTACCCCTCGCCTCATTGAACTTGCAGGGTCCTGGACATGGACATGGGAGTTACCTTGGCTTAGTTCTTGCACTACCAGAATATGGAGTCTTCTCTGTTGTAGCAGACCAAAGGTACAGTATCCTCGAGTCAGGGCTATGAACTTCTGTCCTTCTATGACCGAACCACTTTGAAATTGAAGCCGAGAACGTCAAGCTTGTGGGGTGCGCCACTGAGCAATGAGCATGCGCACAGCAGATCAGACAGCAGAAGCCAAGGGTCTGGTCTGTGCGAAACAAGCGATCTACTGATATCTGTGGAGTAGTGTTACCAGGGAGGTGGGTGATGTGGGTGGACAAGGTGGACGAGGCGAAGAGAGATGCTGCACAGTCCAGGGCCGAGGCTAAGGCTAAGGCTAACCTTGGGTGATTTTGTACGAATACAGCGATGATGGGTTATTAGTATGTATCCTATTTCGGAACGAGATCAGGTGTCCAATATTCAGTTCAAAATCTTCAGGATCGAGCCCTTTTCTGTTGCTGATACTGAGAAATGAAGATCCAGAACAACCTTGTTGGACTACTTAGTATGCGTACGTCGGTAGATACCTTAGTGGAGTAGTGGTACCGGAACTTTCTGGAACCCTGGCCTAGTTCAGTAGGCTAAGTAAAAGTACACGACAGTTTATAGTTGCCTTGTCTCGGTATAATTAGTAGGTTGTCAAATTCTGGGGTTATGATGAAGAAGAAGAAGAAGAAGATGAAGAAGAAGAAGAAGAAGAAGAAGAAGAAGAAAGACAGCTGTTGCGAAACGCTGCAATGTCTCCTTATTCGTCCGTCACTCCAGAGACCTAGAGGTAGGTAATTAGTAGGTAACGTACTACCTTAGTACTGTAAAGCGTTCAAAGAGAGGTGGCGTTGCAGCAACCTAATAATTCGTCAGCAATTCTGCAAGTGACGTACGTTAATATGTAAGCTTGGTATTAGGCAGGAATTCTCTGCATACATAATGTCCATGTCTATTGTCAAGTCTCCTTGGATGCTAAGGCGGATATAGTAATTATTCCTACCACAAAGAAGTAGGGTGCAGTGACAACAACAAACAGTTCAAGATAATCATACCAATATTGCTTTGTTGTTCTTTTCTCACCACTTCAGGAGCGGAGGCGAAGGATTACACTCGTGTTGTAAGTGCTTAATAGGTTGGCTACGGAGTACCTTAACAGTTGATTAGTTCTGCCATCTTTCTTGAACTGATATTAATGAATAACTGAAGGGCTTGTGCAGATAAAGCAAACTGCGAGATAGACATGGCTTGTTGTCTGTAACTACTCCATTCTTAAGCAAGTCAAGCTTCTTGCATAGTGTGCTCTCATGCTGGCTAACTAGCGGAATCAATGATAACATGTTCGGAAAACCGACCCTGGTCCGCGGGACATTGTCAGGCGTCCGACACATGGCTGCCAGAGCTAGGTCCAAAGGCATCCCTGTCATTGACGAGAGTGAAGCGGAAGCGAAAACATTGGTATACGAAAACAGTATCATAATCTCAAAAGAGAAAGGATTTGACTGTCAAAACAATAGACAAAGTAGAGTAGGAACTCACAGGGATTGCATATATGCTTGAGACAAGATAGAAGCACTTATCCAGTTAAGTCCATTTGTACCATTCTGTACCTGCGGTAATATCGTTACTTACACTGAGTGAGGCGAGCGAGTACCTTGCTGGTCAAATGTCTTATTGATTGCAGATTCCCATAATACCTTGCTTAGTGTTTTGTCAAGGTAATGTCGGTGTGTTAAGGTGGATATTTCTTACTGTTTAGGAGAGGGAGACGATATCAATATGATGTGTAATAATTGAGATGGTGCTGGGCAGATGGAGATATATATACTTCTCCGAGGTCAACTAATCACAGTATTAAATGCTGCACAATACAACCACTAAACTTTTGAGTTTCCTGAATAACAGTAACTTGTTGTTCACTAAAAGCTTCATTGCTTTAGCAGAAGATGGGAAGTGAAGCGACGTCAAATGGAAACCGAATGCTTCTTTACACTGTCGTTGCGTTGCCCTCCCTCAATAATAAGTATGAGAATAAACCCTGCCTCTAGTCATAGTCATAATTGACTGCTACAGCGATGCGCATAGGCTGCGTGTTACGAGGACATAATCACCAGGGGAAGACTGGGCCAATATTGGTATAGTGCTAGATAAATATTAAGCCGGAGTCTGCATGACAACATTGGCAAGTGGTATGAATTAGAACTTCTTTCTTTTACCACTTTCGCTGTCATTCACTTCTCACTTTTCCTGCCCGGCCTGCGATTTCGAGGCATGTCCACCACCTGCGTACTCGATCAAAAGTACATAACCTATGAGGGTTGCACCGTAGGATCGAGCATATGGCGAGCAACCCCTCAGATGAGCCGATAGGCTGCAGATATAGGAAAGGAAACAATTATCAAGGCCATACCTTGTAGCAGGATACGCCTCACATCCAGCGATGGAGGCACTGCCAGGGGCAGCATACAGTCTAGTACATATGCGCCATCTGACCCCTCTTGGGACAGTCTACGGCTTTGTGGCCGGTTTGATGGCACTTGTAGCAAGTCATGCCCTTCCCACCGGATGGTGAGAACTGGCTACCTCCTCCAGCAGAGATGCCACCTCCAGAGATCGAGGTTGGCTTGGTCAACTTCACTTCCTTCTTTTTCCTCTTTTCACGGAACTCTTTGGCCTTTAGACTTTCGGCATTTGGCCGTGACTGTGATCTTGAGCGCGAACGGCTTGGGCTATCACTGGATGGCTTCCGCTTTCGTCCATGCACTGGCGTATCTGCGCCGTCCGAGTCTTCATCTTCACTGTCTTCCTCATTGTCTCCATTCTTTTGTGGTTCTGGTTTCTGTAAACATCTGTCAGTTATTGGGATCATCGGCAAAAGCAGTACATGGTGGTCGACATGCCTGGTTAATCGCCTTCTTGAAACTATTTGTCGAAGTACGTCCATTGCTCGGCGCATCCTCATTATCGCCTGAATCATTAGATGAGTCAATATCACCATATCCAACATAAACAACATTGAGAGGTGTCTTTGACTGGCTGGTAGCCTTTGAGCTGGTAATGTTGCTGTCCAAAACCCAACGTGTGTCGGCACCAACATGCTGCTCGAGAGCTGTTTGACGTGTTGTTTCCTGAGCGTCGAGGGCAGCCCGAATAGCGGCCTGGTCAATATTTAGATCGAGGCGGCCTGCCACTGGAGAGTGCGCAGTCTTTCTCTTCTTTGAAGAATGTGTTTCTGAAGCAGGAGAAGAATTTTCTGAGGCTACTGCTCGCTGCATGAACTTCATAGTGAGAAGTCTCGATGAGACTCCTCTCGGTGTTTCGGGTGCCATGGCGAAGGTTATGTATTGATCGATGCTGGAGATATTCTCGAAGAGGTACCGTAGGTAGTGATTTTGAAGTTTAAATCGGGCGGCACAAAGACCTAGTGTTGCAAACACGTGGGGCGACAGCTATAATGAAGGAAATGATGATCGTATAGCGAGTCGAGTTCTCAAACAGCCGTTTTGCCAATTCTTCTCGTAATCTGCTCACAGAAATGTACCAAAATTGTATTTGTCGCAAACGCGTTGCCCAAACCTGGGCGCATTTGCTCTCGAAATCCAAAAATATTTCGGTTTACGGATAAACCGAGGTTCCGAGGCTTCAACCATCAATGGGCAAGTTCGATGCCTCACAACCACCAGCAGACCATTCAGCGCCGACACCGTCGAATCGATCCGCACACCCGGGAACCGACGAATTCACGATGGCTACATCTCAATTGAGGGCAATTGGCGTCTTTGCGCGCAGTGCGCGCCTCTCCCAGCGTGCCTTCACCACCTCTGCTCGACAATTCGAGGCCGCTGTCTCGACCAAGACCAACGAGACCTCCCCCGCCTCCGTCAACGAGAACAAGCCTGCCGAGATCAGCCAGGCTCCTAACCGTGTTGGTGTCTGGTCTCGTAGCCAGAAGCCTCGTGCTCAGGCTATGACCGGTCCCAGATTTGAGCAGACCGACTTCGACCTCCAGGTACAACCGATATTTGGCACCTACGATGGGATACCCAAATCGACTAACTGTGTGATAGCCTCAACCCAAGGCTGCCATTGAGATGATCCACAAGCAGCCCGTTACATGGACCCACGAGCGAATTGTTGCCTGTAATGGTGGTGGTGGTCCCGAGGGTCACCCCAGGGTCTTCATCAACACCGACAAGCCTGAGATTGCTACCTGCGGTTACTGCGGTCTACCTTTCGTACGAAACTCACCTCGAAAACCCAAGTTATGCTCAATACTTACATTACAATAGGCCCATGAACACCACCGCACCCACCTCGAATCCCTCCCTCAGACTTCTTACCCTCTGTCATAATCAGTTTCGAATGATGGGATTGGAATGGACAAGGAGGTTTGCTAGATCGCTAGATGCTTGGGAATGGGAGAAAGACACCCGTGTGATGAGGGAAATCGAGCGTTTGTACATACTACTCGAATACAACCAAAAAAGATAACCAGACGCAGCAATGTTCTCAACATGAACTTGTGTTCACTCCAGCGAGTATCCGGACGGCCAAGTATATTTGCGGCGTATTTAATGGTCAAATCTCACATTGCCCAACGCATATATGGTATTATACTATGGTTCTCACGTTCTATTAGCCTATATCCTATAATACTGCTGTCGGCGATTATAAATGGTGGGCTGTGATTGGTCGAAGGGAGCTTGATAGTCACATATAGAAAAGCCCCGTTCAGACTCCAACTAGAGCCCCACTATGACGGCTGCTGGACCAGGTTATCAACCAAGCACGATTCATTCTAAGCTATGCCTCAACCTCAAACTTCACGTCTAAACTCTGCAACTACACCACTTCTTCTCTGTCTACTGCTTGTCGTAGCTCTGTTCCCTGGCTTATTTCACTTCCTTTGGACACTGCCATTTGGTCTACTTGGACTGTCAGGATCCTCATCTCAGCCCCGCCCAACTTCACTTCCAGTGATAGATCACTCGAAAGCAACAACTATGAGCTGGTTCCAGAAGCAATTCACTCTCCCCGCCAAGTCGCGGGGATCATACCTCATTACTGACCAGGTTGTGTCTTCATTGCCTGAAATCAGAGACTACAAAGTCGGTCTTCTGAACCTTTTCGTCCAACATACTAGCTGTGCTCTAAGCCTGAATGAGAACTGTAAGCCCATGCGTCCTCTCTTAACTTGGACCAATTTCTTGTTGCTTATACGACCAACTTAGGGGACTCTGATGTTCGGGAAGACATGAGCGATGCTCTTGACAGAATCGCCCCTGCTGAAGGGCCCAAGGGAGAGGCCCTCTACCGACATGAGTGAGTGTATCATGTATAAGTCGTGTAAAGATGGATATTAACAACTACTAGTGCCGAAGGACCAGATGATATGCCCGCTCATATCAAGTCTGCACTTATTGGAGCAAGTGTCACAATCCCTATCAAGGATGGGAAGCTGGTAAGTGCCAAACGGTAGTAAACATAACCGAAAGTGACTAACATTCACGCAGGCTACGGGAACATGGCAGGGAATCTGGTATCTTGAATTCCGTGCCGCTCGACATCAGCGACGAGTTGTTGCAACTATCCAGGGAGAGAAGGCTTAGACGCAATGAACAGAAACGAAACGACGTATAAAAATAGACTAGTTAAGCCTTTAAGCTGTCCTTCCTGTAGGCGCAAAAATCAACAACGCCAAACACCATCGCCATGTCTCGACATCTATACATCGGAGATCAGCTCGTCCCATTTTCCTCCTTCATGTCTGTGTCATCGCCTGCCAAAACCTTTGTGTGTGGGACATAACCCTCTGGTGCGGCGGATCCTGGTGTGGCAGCAACCACGTTGCCGTTCTCGTCGACGAACTCGAAGTTGTATCGGCTCAGCAGATGAGGGATCGCAGAGAGCTGTGGGCCATATCGGGCAGTATTATCGTAGAGCTCGAATAGAGGGACGGCAAGGAGCTTCATGTTCTTAGGGACGCTAAGAACCTCTGCGAGGAGTATTAGCATCATGGCCCATGACCGAGATCGGCTAACCTACTTTGCTTTGGCAGTTGAATGAAGTACAGTTTCTTGCACTCTTTAGGCCGCGTCACATGCGCCGGGATGAAAGGATACATGAATGTTTCGAAGTTGGGCCTCCACCACTGGGCCAGGCAGTCGCCAACTTGCCAGTCCCCAGCTTCCTCGCCCTCTCCTATGCGACCGACAGGTGCTAGCCTCTCGTCCAGTCGCGATTTAAAGCCCTCAAGCTCGTCATCTTCCGGGCGCAAGTAGTCTCCAGGAAGCTTAAAGAAGGCATTGGCGATCTGAAGCATAAGAATATGCGGGTGGTTATGTTCGTGACAGACGAGAATGCCTTCGCACGTGCGGCGCATGCCATGTTCCGTGTAGTGCTCTTCGAGGCGCTTGAGTCGGGCGATAACCGATGGGTCCTCTTCAGGTTGTGTCTCTTTGACGCCAAATGTGTAGTTAGACAGCGGGTAGAGTGTCACCTTTTCGGGTTGGTTGCCGTTGAAGGACATGGGAATGATGGGAGGTTGTCCCGACTGGAGCGCGTCGGGTGTTATTGTCGACATAACTGCTGGTAGATCTGTGCTGCTCACTAGGAAGCAATACTGGGTAGAAATATCTAGAAACTGAAGAATCGAACGCCAAGATGTTGTTTTCGATGTGACTTATGTTGAGGATGTCTCTCGTGGAGAGTAAAGGTTAGTGCTGTTAGAGCTCCAGGATATTCACGGCAGAATGAGCCCCGGATTCCAGAAGAAGAAGGCGGTGTAAGCTAGGTAGCTGCTATCAGTCGACACCCATAAGTTCTAGCACTTATTTCTATTCACTACCTTAGATAAAGCAAATGGGAGTGCAGAGAAATCGCTGATAATATCCCCTATATACTCTTGTTTTATGATCGGCCTCACACCAATTCCAAAAAGCGTCAACTAGCATATAGCATAGTTGGCTAAATGGTAGCTGGCTGCAATATGTTCGTGATAATCGTACTAGGCAGTTGGTGTTGTGCAAGAGGAGATTTTACACCAAGCAATGTTCTAGAAGAAAGAAATCGTTAAAATGGTTAGACGTGATATTTATGAGGTCATTGAGGCGTAGTTATTGGACAGGCTCCAAGCATGAGAATCTGGCATATCTAAGAATGCTTCCATCATGGTGTCTCAGCTAATCGTCATGAAACAAATGACAGGCAGAAGATACAAAGTAAGTTAAGGCTTCCAGAAGCTATTGCCCCAACTGTTCACAAGTGGATGCCATGCCATTGAATTTTGTTCGTCACAATGTCCTGCTCAACTAATGATGCAACTGGGCTAAATGCACTAGGTAGGTGCTTCGAAGTTGTCCGGATTTTGTTTCGGCGTATTTGTGCACAAGACAGATTGCTATAACAGTGCTCCAATCAACTGATAATAAACGAGGTGTTTAAATATGGAATGTACCTATCCATAGAACAAGGTCTTATGAACTGCCTGCCTGGCTAATGGGGCCAACCGGCGGGGTTCGCTAAATCACGGTATCCAATTGAAGTGCTATTCATGGATCAGATTGTTGGAAACTGATCGCTGTAGTCTGCAACCGGCCAGTCAGGATCAAGAGTTGAGACTTGGCCGAGATGTTACCTGTAGAGTTGAGGGCTGATGAGATCAGATCAGTCAGGGCAATCAGTCATGCAGCCAATCCACTTGCCATGAACAGCAATTAATCAGACAATCAATTGCAACATAGTATGTGTATTATCAATATGTAGCAGAATCAGTATCCAAGCAAGATGCTCGCTCTGAATGGGATACTGAACAAGATGCAGAATGGTCGAGCCCCATTGTCACTGTAGAGTTTTAGAACGGTCTAGCCACACTTAGAACAAGGGCCGCTGTTAGTGTTAGGCGGTATTGTACTCGCACTACCTGTATGGACCAGACTTCAATTTGTGTCTGCCCACGGCAACCATCTCCATCTTTGCTCATAATTTCGCCAACCAAAAAAAAAAACCCTTCGCGTGTCGTCACTCGTATAACTCTTCTTTGAGCAATCGCCTTTTCGAGCTTGTTGCGTCATGCGCATACAGAGACATCCAGTCTTAGCTCGCCCGGAGGAACCTGTTGATAACTAAGCGCTATGGACGAGTCAAGCCTTGTCAATAGCCTCTCCCAGAGGCTTTCAGAGCTCGAGCACAAGGTTCACACCTTTCGCCACGAGGTGGCAGCTGATTTTCTGCGCTATTACCACGATCTGCTCCGAGACACGCAGCCTGACATCACTTCCAATGTTGCCCAATCCCTCGCCAAGTCACTCTCCAACTATCCAGACCTCAGTTCCGTCCTCACCAGTCTGGATCTGGACCTCACCAAAGACGCAGCTGACTCACGAACACTCACCCGCCCTGAATCGGATCAACGCCACTTTTCCCCGCCGACCACTGTCGCTACCTCCGGATCGGGAGCCGCAGAGCCTCCAGGCAGCCCCCGCGATCGACATCACGAATTGCTCTTTTTCCTTCCCCTGCTAGAGGGCTCTCCTCCTAGGACGCCAACCTCTCCTCCCCAGGCTTTCCTCACAAACAACCACACTCCAATCGACATGTTGTTACCTGAACCAAGCATCCAGGCAGAGGAGAAGCAAGGCGCAGCTACCGTAAAGGACCAGCAATCCGAACAGCCTGGCATTGACCAAGCTCAGAATGCCTTGCCGGCCGCGCCTCACTCGCCTGGAAGGCCGGGCCACGTTCGTCGCTCAACCAATGATACAGTGTCATCATTCCATTCAGATCGAAGCGAGTCAAAAACACCACGGAGCGCCCTAAGACGTTCTTCAAGCGGATCCAAACCTCCACAGAGCCCGAGACGTGTGCGTTTCGACGTCATGGGCGCAGAGGTCTTGCCTACAGCATCACCACAGCCCAACGACTCTATGCTCCCCCCAGCAGCTCCCGCTCCGCCGGCCGACCAACCTCGTACGGAATCCATGCTTGGTGATGACTTGGATTATCTACCACCACCTCGCAAAATCTCATCTTCTGAGGCATTGAGAGCGTTATCCAGAGAACCTTTGGAGGATGGCGTTTGGACCGAGGTCAACTCAACACCAGATCAAACCTCGAGTGTGGAGGAAAAGTCACATGCAGTTACGGCCAGTTTTTCTCCCGAAGAACGGAGCAGCCCGATGATCATTGCCCCAGAACCTCCGTTATCACGATATGTTCCCGAGTCTGTTCGAATAGAACGTACTTTGGGAAGTGTAAGTGAAGAACCGAATGAAGATCAGGATTCATCAGACGACGACTTCCTCTCAATGGCGAAACCCAAGTCCTTTTCTACCAAGAAACCACCTGGATCGCCGTCTTTAAACAAGATTCCGGAGGAGATCCGTGATATGGAGCTCGCGGAAAGCCCAGAATCGCCTACAAAGTTCCAAAGTTCTGGAACAGAAAAGAAAGCAGAATCCGTTGAAAATGATGACGAAGACGTGGACGAAGACGATGAATTGTTTCACTTCGAAGAGTCTGGAGGATCATTTGCCACACCCAAATCGAAATCGAAACCAAAACCAAAACCTCTTCCATTGGAAGAAGAGGCCGAAGTTGACTTGCCGGATGTGCCAGAGTCTGAGCAGTCACTATATGCCACTTCACCGGCAGTCCAGATAACCAGACGGCCTGGTTCATCAGGACCGACAACGCCAGCCGCCGCCCGATTCCAAGCCGGTTCCGTAGGCTCATATAAAGGAAGACCGGTTGTTATGCATGTCGTCCGTAACCCCGAGGTGCATGCACAGGCTGCTTCCTTGGGGCACTTCAATACGTTTGTGGGAGGACTAGATGGACGCAGCGGCATGGATGAGGGCGACCTCAGTAGTTTCCGTGCCAGCGTCGCCAATACTGGCTTTTCCGGCACTCCCCGCAGCTTCACAGAACGCCTAATGATGGAGGAGGCCCAAAAGGCGAGGGCTGGCGGTTCGAGGCTAAGCTAGGAGTGCACTGCGGGTACTACCAAGGAGTTCGGGGATCTTGTGCATACGGGAAGGCTTGAAGCCTAGGATTCTGGGTAACTCGTTGGCGTTGAACATGTTGTGATAAGGAGTTTATATATACACTGGTGGTGGGTTGCGGATTCAGGGCGATCTACGATGAGAAAACATTATACATGCCTCTTCAGAGGGGGAACGATCGGCCACGATATTCAAGAAAACAGAAGCAGCATCTCACGATAATAACCTAACATAATATGAAATTGTTCTCAAAATGCCCGATTTTATTATGACATCTCAAAGATATCAACTCACTTAAATGTCACCAATCATTGTGGCCCGATTTCTTAGATGTGGGGTTATCAGCTAACGTTCTACCGGGGCTAGCTGTCTAGAGGCATCATCACGTCGTACAAGCAAACATTTTGCCTCCATTGATCCAACATCAATTTAATTGTACAGGCCCAAGCGCTGCAGACAAGAATATTCAAAATGGGTGGTCTCAATCTCGAAGTGTTCAAGGTACGCCCCAATGCCCAGCCCGGCGAAGGCCTTTCATGCTGTGAATGTTCATCGTGATCGCTATGAACCGCTACTGATATCGCATGTCGCACAGTTCGGCACGTATGTCATGTTTCCCATTGGGATCATGTTCTACTTCGGAACCAACCTCGATAACCGTTTCGCTGTCCCTGGTTTCTGGCCCAAGCCTGAGGAATGCAACAAGATCCCTAAGGACCGAGATGAGATCAAGGCCGAGTACGAGCGCATTGTGGCACGACAAAAGCTGCGACAGGCCAAGAAGCTTGAGGAGGAGCGCCGACGAGCAGCACAGCAGCCTGATAACAACAATAACAACGATTCTTAAGAACTCAAACGACTCTGAGATTCGAGATTCGAGCTTGTACACTATAAGTCAGGGGGGGTTCTGCGACGGCATTTACGATGTATTCACGGCGTTTGGAAGGCATTGGAGATATCACTTCTCAATTATGTGGGTAAAATACAGCATTGTACAAAATTGTCACAAAATGGAACGCTGTTCTACATGTTATACATCCAGGTTTCTTTCAACCTTGTCCCACTCTTCGTCCTCGACAGCTCCTTGGCGCACATTGGCGTAAATAGCCTTGACCTCTGGATACTCCTTGAGGCCGTTGAAGAGAAGATCAAGAGAATCAGCCTGCTCAGAGGCGTCGATACTGACCTTTGTGTCTTCATTTGGTGCCCAGACAATATCCGACTCCAGAATCTCAAGCTCGAATTTCTTGGATAGCGCCTCAGTGATGGCTGAAAGGGCGTTTGGCTGGGTCCAGGCTAAGAAATCGCCTTCTGTTAGTTCCTCGACGTCTTCCAGTCCCTCATGCTCAATCGCCTCATCCAAAACCTCTGAGAGTGTGGGACCGCCTTCTTTAGCTTTGAAAACGGCTCGGCCACGTCTCGTGAAGTAGAATGTGGTGGATCCAACTACACCGCCGGCCTTCTTCACAACATGGCGAAGATCGTGAAGGGTGCGTGTCTTGTTGTCTGTTTCAGCATCGATGACCATTGCTATGTCAGGGGGCAGGAGAGCCTCAAGGGACATGGACTCAAGCTGGGCGCCTGTGGCTGAGCGGCCTTGGCCTCGTGCAATTGCAGCCTCGATCAAGTTCTTTGGAATACTTGCTGCGATTCATAATTAGATAGAGTTCCAAATACAGACTATATCCAGCTCGCACCTTTTGTTGCACCAGCTATTGCAGTGGCTAGTTGGGGGTTGAACTTAATATCATCTCCATACACTATTGAATATCAGAACTAATGTCGCACCATGCAACTCAAATCACCTGCATACTTCTCGAGTACATGGTAATCATCTTGACAAAACCATGTCGCTCAGTCATCTTCTTCTTGTCCGTCACAGCTTTGATATGTTTTGTCTTGGACCATTTATTATGCCCAGCCCATGCAGCCTGTGTCGTCACGAAAGATCGTGAACATTGTCGGCAGATTATCGAACTTGGTTGCTGGATAGAAGTGACAGATTGTGTTGTTCTTAGCAACGAATTGAAGCATTGGCGAGCAGCCATTGTTGATTAAGGGCGAGGAGACAACTCCTGAACCCTCAAGTTTATCCTTGAATTTCCTCAATGAATAGATATACAAGCATCATATCTCAATACCTACCTAGTGTCAAGTCTTGATCTTCAAGGTTAAGCTTAGAGAAATGCGACGGGCAAACTCCGGAGACTGAAGCTGCCCCACCTTGACTGCTCCATATGTATAGGGAGTGCCTGTCCTCCCCTGGAGAGCACCCTAAGTTACCTAGTATTAAGTGGCATGTGGCATGGGGAACCTCAAGGTTACCAGTCTTACCTCTTGAAACACAACAAGGACCAACAAATTCTCTAATACTACGACATATATAAACCTCCTTCGAACTCGGAAAGTGTCGACGGTGTCGACCTTCGTGCGCCATGTCGTCAACACAGGAGCTCGAAGCTCCAGCTCCCACCAGCGAGGTGCAAGCTTCCCTCGACACCGCGACTGCGAATCCAGAGCTCGATCTCCCCAAGCTTCAATCCCTTCCCGCCGAACAACAGGATCTATTCCTCCTTACGTTTGTATCTAGTCTGACCAAGCATGTGCTGGAATTGGAAGCAGACGACTGTACGGCGCAACAGTTCTATCTCAAAAAGGAAATCTTTCAAATCATCAACCTATCATCGCCGCAACCTTCTCGAGTCATACGGAACAACTTGGGGAAATGCTTGGCGCACATCTTTGGAATTGGAGACAGGAAGCTTTTGTTTGAAACGATCAACGACTTAATCACACTTGTATCGAGCGGAAAGTCGAAAACCGATGCCGAGTTGCGTACCAAGCATGCTGCTGTTGTCTGCTTAGGCGATGTGTTCGCTTCTGCTGGCGATAGCGCAATTGGTCTGCACCCCCTTGCTTGCTCAACATTAATCAAGCTTCTGAAGGCTTCGTCCAACAATGCTGGAATACGTGCAGCATGCCTTAATGCACTTGCGAAGATTGTTGGTATGGTGGAAGGCAGTATGGACGAAGTGGCTGCGCGGGATATCTGGAAACAAGGGCGAAACCATGCTTCGTCAGACAAGGGACACCTTGTTGTTGCTTCTGCGTGTCGGGCTCTCAGAACATTATTCAAACATACCCCTTACTTCCTAAACTCGAGCGACTTTGACAAACTCGAGACCGCGGTTTCCAAAGCCTTTGACTCTCCTTCAGCCCATGTTCGACAGGCTGCAGCGGAATGTTATGCTGAAGCCTTATTCCAGGGCCACTCAGAGGGCGGTCTACCGGAAGTTGCATCCCCGAAGGGCAAGAAATCTAAAAAGGCGCTGAAACGCCAATCTACCATTCCTAACATCGCCGACGATGAGCTTGAGATTCCCTCTAGGTCTTCGAGCCCAGCTCCATCAGGCAAGCGAAGTCAAGTGCTGGCTTTATCTCTGACAGATATCTTGAAGAACCTGTCTTCACAATATGTTAAATCATCAGCCTCCAACAGAACCCGAGCAGCCATAGGCGTATGCTATGGCAAGCTTTTCCGACGACTTGGAGAGAAGCTTGTGGAAACAAACTACCTCAAAATCGTTGAGAGTCTTGCAATAGACGTGCTGGGGTACCCTACAATCATCAATAATCGGTATCGGCTTCTGATTTCCAGAAAGATTGTAGATGTCGTCATTCAAGATGTTATTGGGCGTAAGATTCTAGGAGAGTCTGGTCAGATATCGGCCGCCAAAGCTCTTATTAACAATATCTTCAAGAACTATCCCCAGGCATTAGCCGAGAAGCCAGAGCCTTCTAAGCATACTCTGATTGCAACGCTGAGTGCTGTCTCTTCGCTCATACAATCCTTGGGCTCTGCTGCAAACAGTTTCGCGGAGTCGTGCAGGGATGGCCTTTTGCAGGTTTTGCAACATTCTAGTTATACTGTTCAGGTTTTTGCATCGCACTGCATGAAGACCCTGGTCCTCGCTTGCCCTCAACAGCTTCTCCCTTGCCTGTCGGTCTGCATGAACAGTCTGAACCGAGAACTCTCCCTCCTTGGGTCTGGACGAAACTCTCCCAGAAGATGCATCGGATTTGCTCACGGACTGGCTGCGACCTTGAGCGCGAGCCCTGCTCGTCCCCTTCATGGATCGGTCGAAATCAACAGTCGCGTATTGACCATTGCGACCAACATGCTAAAATCAAGCAGTCAAGCGCAACTCCGCGTTGCGAGCACACAGATTCAAGTCGCCTGGGTTCTCATTGGAGGCTTGATGTCTCTGGGACCAAACTTTGTCAAAATTCATTTGTCACAACTCCTTTTGCTTTGGAAGAATGCACTCCCGAAACCTCTTGCCAAAGATAATACGTCAGCCCGGAGCTTCCTAGAGGTGTCATTCCTTACCCATGTTAGAGAGTGCGCAATGGGATCGATTCTGGCCTTCCTGGAATTCAATAGCCGTCTCTTAACCGTGGATGTGTCAAAAAGAATTGCGGCCATGCTTCAGAACACGACGGCTTTCTTGCGCACTCTACCGTCTAAAAAGACTTCCGACGATGTCAACCAGAGGCTGGCCCCTGCATTACAGCTCCAAGATCTTGAGATGATGGTTCAACGCAGAGTCTTGCAGTGCTATGTCAAGCTGGTCAATCTTAGTCCAGCCGGCGGGAGCGAGTCTTTACTGCAATCAAACTTGCTAACTCTTGCAATCTCGCTCTTTGCTGATCCGGAAAACTACGCACCAAACACCCTAAGTGCATCGATCGCCAATGCAGCTGCTACCTTCGAATCTATCTGGGATGTAGGTGACAACTCCGGTTTTGGCATCACCGGCCTTGTTGCCGGATCCCGTGTGAGAAAGCTCCCCGGGCAGCAGGAGAATTCTGTTGATGATAAAGATGAACTTGATAGCCCAGATGATATGATAAACAAAATCCTTCGCTCGCCAATCTGTGGCAGCTTGGAACACGATGCTTCCGTGTTGTACATTGGCAGTGCAGAATCTTCAGCCACTCCAGACCCCCCTGCCACAGAGGTCATCAATGCAGCAATTCAGCTGTTTGCATTTGCGTTTCCACTCACTCCCGGCAAAGTTCAGGAGAGTATTTTGGAACAGATTCGAACTTTTGCATCTGCCGGCACACTCATCAGAGATCCAGGTCGCAAGGCTGCTATCAATGTCAACCTTGCTGCAGCCATTCTTGCCACGATGAGGGTGGCTGTAAAAGAGACCAAGTCACCTGCTGGTAACGTTTCGAATCCAGCAGTTGAGGCACTGTTACAAGACATTGTTCGTGATTTTGTTCTGGATCCAGACGAGCATGTCAGAAGTTTGGGCTATGCTGCCACGGCTCGCCTGTGCAATGTTTATGGAAACGGCTTCACAAATAATGAAATTAAGTACCTAGTCGATACCATTGTTGGGAACCGCGAACCTAGTGCGAGAGCGGGCTGTGCAATGGCGCTTGGCTCGATTCAAACCCAGGTTGGTGGTATGGCTGCTGGATACCATCTCAAGACTATCCTCGGTATTCTAATGTCCCTCTGCAATGATCCCCATCCAGTGGTTCATTTCTGGGCGCTTGAAGCGCTATCACTCGCTTCAGACGCTTCAGGGCTCAGCTTTGCTGGCTATGTGCCAAGCACTTTGGGAATGCTTGTTCAGCTCTACGTTTCCGAAACTCACCATGCTGAAATTTCATCTGCGATTACCATGAATCTGGAACTGGAACTTTCTACAACTTCTGCTATCGCTCGATGCGTTGATTCTCTCATTAACGTTTTGGGCCCTGATCTACAGGATGCCATCAAGTCAAGAGAACTTATATTCACACTTGTGAACCGTTTCCGCGAGGAAGACGATTTGACGGTGCAAAGGGCAGCTCTGGGTTGCCTTGAGCATCTATCTCTTTACGCCCCAGGACATATGCATTTCGGTGACTATGTCAAACTCCTCCAGAAGTACCTCATGTCTGAATCCATCACTCTCCGGGATGTGTCGGTAGATGGAATACACAATATGATGAAGCGAAACCCTCAAGATGTCCTGCGGGAAGCAGAAAAGGGGTTCGAAGAGCAACTATGGCTTGTCCTTGATACAGCACCGTCTCACGATGGAATCCGCAACATCATCCGAAACTGGATGCATCACACGTGTCTCACAGAGACAAACGCTTGGCTACAGCGGTTCCAGGCAGTACTAAAAATGACAAGAGCACGGCCTAAGACTGAGGACACACAATCCAGCTCTAAAGGGGGTGGACTGCCTGACTTGCAAGACGAGGAGGTCGCTGGTTTCGCTTCCGCGGGTGGTGCTGCTAAGGACGAAAAAGAGACGAAAGCCACTTCCGAAGTTGAACCTCTGCGTTGGCAAGTCACTACTTTTGCGCTGAGCTGCATCGATGAGATGTTCATGATAATTGCCAAGGACGTAACTGCCAATGGAGAGTCCAAAGCCCAGGGCGACCTTCAAGGTAGAGTTGCAGACGTTGTTCGTATGGCGTTCTCTGCTTCAACTTCGAGTGTCTCGGAGCTTCGAATCTGGGGGTTGAAGATAATAGGAGATGTTTTGAAGATGTTTGGCAAAACACCTGATCCGGACTTTGAAGAGGCGATGTTGCTAGAGCAATACCAGGCTCAAATCAGCTCAGCTCTTACCCCAGCATTTGCTGCCGATTCGTCGCCTGAGCTTGCCTCTGAAGCTGTCAACGTTTGCGCTAGCTTCATCTCTATCGGTATAGTCACCGATGTAGATCGCATGGGCAGGATTCTCAAGACCCTTGTCAGTGCGCTAGAGAACTTCTCCAAGGACAGCGAGAGTGCTGCGATTGGTGACTTGAAAAGCCTGAGCTCGAATGCACAGGTCATGGTAAAGATATCCGTATTCTCCGCCTGGGCGGAGCTGCAGGTTGCAAGCTCCGAGCAACACTATCTCTTGGATGTGCTCAGGCCTCACATCGGCACCTTGACCCCCTTGTGGCTGGAGTCCCTGCGCGAATTCGCACGTCTCCGATTCGAGCCCGATATTTCCATGACTCTGGGACCCCCTTCACTTTCTGGAAGCCTCGACACTATCTATGCAGCTCTTAATCGTGAGACGCTGTTACGCTTCTACCAGGATGCTTGGTTGAAGCTGGTAGATGCAATCGCTAGCCTGATTGAACAGGATAGCGAGTTTGTGTTCGATGCTCTTGATGGGAAAGAATCGGATGGTCCTTCTGCCAGCGGCAAAGGCAAGAATTCCGACATCAATTATCGAGACGAACCAGTGGCGTTCTTCTTCGTTCTTTTTGGTCTTGCCTTTGAAGCCCTTGCCACACGTTCCGGTCAGAGTGATTCTTTAGCTACACACGAACAAACACTGGCCATCCTGAAAGCGCTCAAGAAGATATTACACCCAAGCGTGTCTGGCCATGCCATCTACAGACCGGATGTATTTTCCGAGACCATGGACTTGCTGGATCGCCTAGTGCTAACAGAGAGTCTGGATGTGCAAGGTGTTATCGTGGAGATCGCAAGCGTTCTCTGTGTCGCACACCCTTCTGCAAGGCGACACGTTACTGAAGAGGGCGACCTGTCTGAGGATATCGACCAACTCTTCGAGCTTACACGCATCATCGTACTGGTCCTTACGGGGCTTTTGCCAAGCCTTGCAGAGGGGAGTCAACCGGCAAGGCACCAGATGAACGAGGAAGCTATCCTGCTGATAAGGTCGTCTCTGAACGCCCTTGTGGATGCTGCAGAGGTCTTCCCGGCTATCATCAAGACTGATCTCCATGCGTGCATCATTCACATCTTTGCCACAATTTTATCAACGCCCGGTTGCCAAGAGTTGATAGCTCCGCAGTCACTACCAACGTTGAAGCGTTTTGTCGGTAGCATGTCCAAGTCACGGAAGAGTCGCAGCGATGGTGAGCCATCGTCTACAGATATCCAATTGCAGGGATGTCTACGTCGCTTCCTGTCCATCTACCTCAATGCGCAGAAGCGTGAAGTACCTCAATCCCTGATCTGTGTCAAAAACTGTCTGCTGGCCACAACCATCCTGTTCACCGGCGGCCAAAATCATCTGCCAGCTTCTGAAGCTCCTGTAGCACGTTATCTGGATGAGTTAGTGGACTGCCTCACGGATCGAATGGTAAGTTTCTGTCCCAACAACCCCAAGTATTGAAAAGCACAGCAGACGACTAACTATGTATGTTTCACTTTAGACTGCCAAGATTGCGGCCAACTGCATCAGGTCCTTGCTTCTACAGCCATCTTCGACCAGTGCTGATCTCAGCATTGCTCGGTACCTTTTCCCTAGGCTGACAGCCTTCGTAACTGATACAGACCCTGAAGATCCTGAAAACGCCAGGGCCTTGGTTGCGCACACGCTATGCCAGTATGCGGTTACAATCGACAAGGGTCGACGTCTGGCGGCTATCACAGTGGTGATTCCCACATTGATGGCCCGAGCCACAGCTGAAGGGGAGGATGTGTACCATGAAACCAGTGCACGATTACTGGAGCTTGCAGCGATAGACCAGGACATGTTTAGAGCAGTAGTCGGCGGCATGAGTGATGGACAGAAGTCTTTCCTCGAGGAGGTGATTCGCTTTGGCCGACAAAACACGGGCCAAACGAGCAAGGCGGTCGCTGGAGAGTCTGGGCAGCCGAGTATTGCATTAAAGATGGACTTTGGCGGTTAGACCAGCAATGTTCAAGCATCGGTCCTATCAGGAGAGCGAAACATAAGACCGATACACATTATGAGCGAGGTGCAGTTTACAGGCTTTATGCCACATGTCTTTTGTTGGCAAGCATAGTCTGTGCCTACGCTGCAGTTTAGCATGCATACCCACCAAATATAATGACGAAGACGAGACCACGCAACGAAACAAGCATTCATAAGAAAACCTCAGGGGCGTGTGGCACAGAGCCACCACTTGACAAGTTGACAGGGTTGACAGCGGACAATTGCTGTACGTAGTGCGTGCTCTACAGACACCAGCCTGCAGCCACGATATGAGACAAATGATTCGATTCGATAAAATCAAGATGGCCTAACAGCCGGCGTCTCCACGATGGATTAAGTGCGGAGTCACTTGTCAGGTTACACAAGGATCGCCGCAGCCCATTCGCACAAATCTGCTGGGACCAACATGCGCAGCATGGCATGGCATGGCATTATAGCGCGGCGCCAGTCATAGTTATGTCCGGGGCTACCGGACCGGCAATGTGCTGTGCTATATCAAGCGTGTGGAATACATGAGATAGCATCATGCGCATGCACGTCTCGAGGCTCTCAGTTCTATCTTTGTGCTTGGGCTTCAAGGAGACAAATGGGTGCGTATGATGGGAGGCTTTTATAGACGTTCAGGAATAGTGTTAATTGGCAATACTGCTAAGGCGATGCAGCGCCTAAGCCCTATAGATCTCCATCATCGATCTGCTGATAGTAAACGCTCGCTATCTCGATCATGGCGCCTGTGACATACAATGCTTCTCTTTTTGCCCGCCAGAATTCTCAGCCCCTTGCTAGCGGCGATTTAAGACTCTCCTACTCCTTGGCCAGTAGCCTTATGGAGTAACTAGCAGGTAGTTAGTTGACTGATCTGCATGGTTCGTAACAGGAGATATTCTCTCCCCATAGAAAGGCACCGCAAATGATGAGAAGTTACACAGGCCAACGCCTTGAATCTAACAGTATGCGTGAGCTATATTCGGAATTTAGACAAGCAAAAGAGGTAACCTCATCGCGAGACCCCACCAACCAGGAAGGTAGTTACCCAGCTCCTCCGTAACATGACCAACGATCAAGACGGACGATTAACATGGGGATGATTCATTTTCGTTTCTTTTTGTTTCGCCAAGCAACGTAAGAGTAAGAGAACGGTTGGTGCAAATGCGAACAGGGTTGCTGTAGTTGGTCAATTGGCCGTCTTGTGTAACTGTGGCTGTGGGAAAAAACAACACTCTTGCATACCTTCTTCGTACATACGCATTGTGGCCCTGAGGCAATCTGACCTTTGGGGATACACAGCGTGCTAAACACTCTGGGTCTGCAGGATCGGTGTCATTTAAGAGAACTGATTTGTGACGTGAATACCTGAAACCCTCTATGCATAGTTCATTGTTTTCGTGGACTCAATAGGTACGACATGCCTCGCACGTATTTCATCCGCTCTCAGCCATCGGTGTAGTGAAGCAGACAGATATCAGAATTAAACACAGGGGCAGTAAAATTTTGCTTTTGTATCATTGTTCTTTAGTGTAGAGGCCTAGTACCTGATTTCAGTGCTTGTCGTGGCGGTGGCATGTCCCGTCGACAATGACTGGGCCTTGGTCCTTTCTGGGGATCTTCTCGTCAACGGATGCTTTCTTCGGCGAGGACTTCCTATCTGTATGTGATCCCGATGTCTTCTTGCTTGAGGACGACTTTTTTTCTGAAACTCTCTTCTTTTCAGAATCCGTCGACTTCGTTTCTTTGTTCTTTGATCGTTGAGGTTTCTCGTTCTTACGGTCATCGTGACTCCTATTGCGAGAAGGACCTGTGGGTATATGCCCCTCGTCTGACTTGAGGTTGACCTGACTAGACGCTTGACACGAACCACTTGGCTCTTCCACCACCGCGCCCTCACTAGTGGGTCGCGCTATCACTCTCCGACCTTGGAAGCGTGCTTTGTTGAGTTGATCTATCGCCGTATTCGCCGACGCGACGCTGTCAAAAACGACCAGGACGTAACCCCTGAGATACCTGCTGTTGCTGTTCTTTGGGATCTCCATCGATTCGATCTTGTTCTTGTCCACTTTACGTCGAACCCAAGACTTGACTTCATCGGCACGCGCTTGTTGCGGGAACGGAGACACATGTAACTTACGCGGCTCCGTTACGACGTATTCCGACCTATAGGACAGTTCGTTGCTGGCAAGGCTGCAGTCGGCGTAGTATGCTGGGTACCTATCACGGCCACAATAGGGCAGAGCGAACTGGGCCTCCTGATGTTGGTATTGAGGCGAATAAGTAATTGCATTAGCTTTCACAGGAAACGCCAGAGTGGTTCCCTCATCATAGGTGTAGTGTCTTCTTGGGGCTGTGGGCCCATATGTTGCTGGCACCGTCGTTACGATTGTGATCGGTAGGGGCTGAGTGTAATCTTGGATAGGAACAGACTGTGCATTGAATCCGGGACCATTGGCTTGCGGGTAGTTAATGCTGTAATACTAAATCACAACAACCATCGTCAGAATCTTGTTGTACCTGGTCATAAATTTCAGGGTTAGGAGGGGCTTTCTTACTTGTCCAGATGATGTAGAATACTGTGAGGGTGCAACCACTGGTATCGGCGACGTATATTGACTTGGGGGAGTCTGCAGATAATGCGGTGTCTGTGATTGAATCCCTTGTGGTGGTATGGCAAGTTCCCTAATCTTGATGGACTGGAAACGGTTCTTGTCAGACGCAATAATCGAACGTCCATTAAAGACTCCGCCATTGAGGAGACCTGCTACCATATCAACATCTCAGGATACTGTGCTTGCCAATATTTACTCACCCCAAGCTCTCTCAAAGTTCTCCCTGCCTCTAACTCGGACCCATCCCGAAGTACTGCTCTGGAAGACTTCGATGTGGTCCACCACGCACGCAGTACGTGTCCAATCTTTCAATTGTTGCCAGGAGGTCCCAAATGGTAACTGCAGGAGCCATTAGTGTTTGCTCGCGTCTGACTGTTTTCAGGTTTGTGAGTAATAACGTACATTGCAGATAGTAATGTAGTAGATGCCGGTCTCGTCTCCCGGACCAACGTCCGCTTGAACGGTGTTTTCGGTAGGCATGGAATGGCAAAGTCTGCACGAGGCCGAGACTTCTAAATTTATAAGCGGGTTCTTGTGCAATGTTGCAAATAATCGGAAGAAAAATTGCCAGTTGTGTGACAAAATGGATAGTACAATGCAAGCGAGTTGTGGTACGCACTATAAGAAGGCGGTCTTGGACATATACTCGATACAATGACCTCGTCGTTAAAATTCGTTGATCTCCACGGTCGGAAAGCGAGCCCTTGATTTCTTTAAATCAAGCATCGAACACACTATGATTTGCTGTCGTAGTGTGTCATATAAACAGCCGCAGGTAAGCTTTATATCTGGCATCTCGCTGCAGCTGATATACAGTGACAAGGAAGAGGTAAAAGAGACAACAACTTGTCTACAACATTCTCAACATTGCTTTTAAACCGTTCTTTACCTCCTCGGGACTTACCTGCATTTGATCCCAGTCTTCGAGTTTTTCTTCAGGCCCCCGGGGGTCTGGGAAAGTTGCATTCTGTGAGAGCGGGCGTTCTACATGAGCAGATATCGTCTCAGGACTGAGAAAAGACCAGGAAACGTTGAGACTAGTTGACGCGTCCGGATCTGGCAAGCTCGTCTCCTCCTGAATGATTAACGGTGCAGTGTAACCCGAGATCCCTGTTGCCGTTTCGACATGCACCTTGAACCCTCAGCTGCGGGATGTGGGGGCTCAAACTGCTCAAGACCACTAGAAACCGTCAAGCCTGACTAATGGGGGACAGGGTACGATTCAATAAGGTCCAAAGATAGGTTCCGGTTGGGTGCTGTGTAAGGCATTACACGGAAGAGGTGCATTCTGTGCAAACGTTGATCTTCAATTGGGCTCTCGGCTCCATACGAGAAAGCAGATCTGCCAAGCCACAGGCCCCAGTGTTCAATGTCCAATGTCCAAGCATGTCTCGCCCTGGTCGATATGCATATTGCTAGGTTGTGTCCCGCCTCACATTGTGACGCATCATATCGCGATCAGTACTCCACCTTTGAACAAAATGTGTCTTTGGCGTTGGTTGTGACAGATCCCATCGAGAAACAAGGCCGGGATCGAATATAGGACGCCAAGTAGGTAGTCTACCATGGCGTTGCCTTTTTATTCTGGTGAAGAGAGTAGAGACGACACATGGTTGTCTCACGTTGCCTCTTGTCTCAGCCCAATCTTCATGTTGGTGCTGTGGCGCCAACGCTACATGGTTTCTTTGCTTATTGGAGGTCTGGAGAAAAGAGGAAACTATTCCTTTTTACGTCAGGCTCGTTATGCGGTCATGCCCTTGACACCAGAAAGCAACGCTATTTGTGTAACAATGGCCGTCACCTCCAGCGCAAATCGACTTCATCATTTCGTCTCCAGAGGACTCCTAGCTTTGTTCTTGTATCTGTGGTAGTCTTCCACATGCCAAGCTGTAACCTTTTCCCAGTGTGGTGCTCTAGCCAGGCATATGGGAAGGCAGCCCCTAGCGTTTAGTCTTCACGTGTGCTTGAAGGAGAAAGTGTCGTCCAATGTGGATGTGTCGTCTGGCATCAGAGCAGATACGTCGATCGTATCTCCGATATCATGTATCGATCCCAGGGTTCTGTCGCCAACCGCCCCCTCACGCCATGGAGTCGGGCACTGCGCCGAATCTGCATATGTTACCAAGACGCCGTTTTGTGCATCTGAGAGTAGCAGAACCGGGAACTCGGGTTCCCCATTAATCCAGGCGGCTCGAGTTTTCCCCACGATTTTGCTATTTGGCAGCTGAGCTTCTAGCGAGATGGGCTTAGGTCCTTCAGACAAAGGGTCCCACACGAAGGACACGCCGCGGTACTTGTCGTCCTGGCATGTTATCAAAAGGAGCTCGCGAGTTGTCGAGTGCCATTGGAAATCAACGGCCGAATGAAACATCAGTACCGCCCGGAGTTCGGCTGCAGTGACATCCCATATCCAGAGAGTAGTAGGAGCATCGTCAAGCCTAGTGACTAAAAGGGTCGAAGATGCATCAAATGCTAGTGAGGAGCATCCTGTCTTTACGTCGGTTGGGGGTTTACCATCGACCAATCGGCTTGGAGGTGAAACCACCTGATTTGCGCGGAGGAATGTGTAAGAAGTCCCTCCATCGGACGAATCATTCAGCTGTTCCTGCCAGACCTAATGCACTATGTGAGAATCGGAGCAATTCGCAGATAAAATGACCTCACCTGAAGGGTGTCCTTTGGAACAACGGTGGCGGGGTGAACAAGTTTTAGGCCATCTCTCCATGTCTGCGTGTTGAGGACAGCCACTGTTTTGCTACCATCGCCTATAGCACAGAATGACGCATCAGGGCTGAGGCCGCAAGACTTGATCCCAGTCTCGAGGTCCGCATCCTGGCCACTGACAATGCTGGATGCCCCAATGGAACGAAAAGGTTGACCGTCAGGTGCGTACAGGAGAAGCTTATGCCCATGTGCTGGAGCTTCCCACAGTAAAAGCCATTGACCGTCAGGGGTCCATGCCAAGCCATGTACATCGACTGTTTCTGGATACCATGACCGCAGGACCTGTCTAGTCTTAGGATGATGGATACTGACAAGATCTCGGCCACCTGTCCGTGTCAAAATGGCAAGATGTGACGTTCTTGGCCGAACAGAGTAGCCTCTCTGGGCAGAGACAGGAAGGTAGAACTTTGGATTGTTGATCTCGATAGCTTTAGAAGTAGAAAGGTCAAAAATGGAAAATTTGAGGCCGAGCCCAGCACAAGCAAAGACCTCATCGTCGTGGGCCCCGAAGCGCACCAGGGACTGCTTCCCACCACCTGGTGCAGGATTCCTGATCGTGGCACGAAATGACGAGTCAACTACTGAGAAGACATGAATCTGGTCGGCACTTGCAGCAAGGATTCGAGATGATGAGGGTGCCCATGCCAACGTGGACACAGGGTTTGTGAGATCTGTTGGTAGCTTCACCACATGCGCGATCGAGAGCGAGAGAGTCAAGCGCACTGTAATACTCTGAGAAGACAAAGTAGCAATGAAGTTGCCATCAGGGCTGGCGACGCAGTAAGGCGATGCTGAGAATATGGACAAAGACTGGTTAGTTGTTTGTTATTTGAAAAGCGAAGAAAGAGAGAGGAGTTTTGGGCTCAGGCACCTGATATCTACCTTTAAAAACACGTGAGGTGCGCATCGCAACTGCCCTGCCTCTCCTTCGGGAGATACCGTTAGGCCGTTAGGAAGTCGCCTGAAAGGTTCAGATGGAAGGTGAGACGAAGAAGAAGAAGAAGAAGAAATGGTAATCGCAGCGGTGGGAATTATGAGATGATTTGACTTGAAAAGCGAAATAAACGATAGTTCCAAGGTAAAGTTAGGACTCACTACCTAGGTATCCTTCGGGCCGTGTTTGCTGTGGCTTACAGTTGTAAGGTCTTGAAAATCAGTTTGGAAGTCCAGTTGTTCAACTTGATAATGCCATATTGAGAGGTGGGGAACTTTTATTTACATACTACCATAAATGGCTTAGCGCTTTGGAACGTCAACAGTCCCTGAGCATGATGCCTTTTAATTAAGTACGAGGACAAGGTGAGTGCATCAACAAACCCAATGGAGTTCATATACATGATTCGACCTTTTCCAGTTAACCATTTTTTTTTCTTTCGTATTAATAGCTCAAATGATTTTTGGGCCAAGGAGCCGTGCTATGTGCAAGTTCGAGATGAGTAGTTGGGTGTCTGCCTACCGGGTAGTTGACCCCAAACTTGATATATGGATATTTATACCTGAGCATGTATATAATTTCTCTTTATAATGATTATTGTTTGGTACATTTCTGGTCGTTCTTACTAATCAAATGTACAGTCTATAAGTTCCCATCGTTTCTGATTCCAGACGTCACTTGGTTCTTTCTTTAAACAACGAGGAAAATAGTGCCGTTACGATCACGTTTAAACGTGAAGAAGACGAACAAGTTGGACGAAGGTATTTTACAAGTTTACTTGCTCCCCATCTGATTGGCTCCTATCTTGTAGAACTTGACAAGGTAGTCCACAAATATAGTTGTTATTATTTCCGTATACCTACCTAGTCAAAAACTCCACGCGAATGGCCAATGCGTGACAGATATATCGGCAATCACATCACGTTATATCGACAATCATGCCGTTCACATGGCCCTCCCTGGCTCTTCAATAGTGGCTGTTACCGAGTGGATAAATATACGGAGGATGGTCTTATGTATCATGACAAGTTGGTTATTCATGAATGAGTCAGCTGTTATTTATGACTTGGTCATCAAACTAGGGGGTCCAATGTAGAAATGCCCATGAAGTGCGAATAGTTTTTTTTTTGGGGGGGGGGGGGTCTGCGAAAGGATTCAAACAGCACAAATTGTCGTTTTTAATTAAGAGAATTATGTCGTTAGAGAGTAATTACACAAATCAATATATCATGACCGAATAAAAAGGACATAATATGGATCTTATCATGTCACTTCAGAACCAACGTTGTAACTCCGCGGCTTAGACGGGAGGTTGTTTCCATTACTCAGCGCGGGGCAATAGTAACGGTTTGTGGCGAGCGTGCGGGCACCACCGACGATAAGATTATAGTCCACATACTCATAGTTGCGTAACGGCAGGCTCATGATAGGGTTGGAACTATTGTTAAACGAAAGGCGCCGAAGGCCGCTGAGCTTACTTCCATTATTTATCCATTGCATGAACCTCTTTTTCTTCCTAACCGCATTGTGATGTGATAACCATATGTATTCTGGAAATCATGGCTACATAGCGGGCCTTTTAATACTTCTTTCTCATCTTACCCTACTGTCGTCTCGTGTCTACTTCCCACCATTATACTAAAGATGTCGTCTCTTCGCATTCTAAGATCGAGAGTTTTGGCCTCAGCTTCAAATCCCCTGCAACGGCAACGGGCTATCAAAAACCCGTCTGGTCTGCGCGCACTTGTTTATACCTCAAGAACCGTTGCGACAGCAGCTCAACCGTCGCCGCAAGAAAGACCCTGCGAACCACCATCTTCAACGACAGGAATAGACCTTCTACAACCTCGTGGCCGGCGCATCCGCGACCCGAAGCCCTTCTCCGATTTCCTCACCGATAACTTCCACCGACAACATGATTACCTGCGCATTTCCGTCTCGGAGCGGTGCAACCTGCGATGCGTCTACTGCATGCCCGAAGAAGGCGTGCCATTGTCGCCAGATCGCGAACTATTGACAACGCCCGAGATCGTCCTCTTGTCGTCCGTTTTTGTTTCCCAGGGTGTATCGAAGATCAGGTTGACAGGAGGAGAACCGACCGTGCGGCGCGATATTCTTCCATTGATGCGGCAGATTGGAGACCTGCGACGGCACGGCCTCAAGGAAATTTGTATCACCACAAATGGTATATCTCTACACAGGAAGCTCGACAGTATGATTGAGAGCGGACTTACAGGAGTCAACCTGAGTCTCGACACTCTAGATCCTTGGCAATTCCAGATCATGACAAGGAGGAAAGGCTACGAAGCAGTGCAGAAGAGCATCGACCGAATCCTCGAACTTAACAGGCTTGGCGCTGGTATCAAACTCAAAATCAACTGCGTTGTTATGCGGGGCGTCAATGACAGAGAGGTGCTGCCTTTTGTAGACCTCACACAAGAGAAGGATATCGAGGTTCGTTTCATCGAATACATGCCATTCGACGGCAACAAATGGAGCAAGAACAAGATGTTCAGCTACCAGGAAATGCTAGACCTCATCAGAACAAAGTACCCTACCCTACAAAAGGTGCAGGACCACAAGAACGACACGAGCAAAACATGGCACGTCCCAGGCTTTACCGGGAAAATAGGTTTCATCACAAGCATGACACATAACTTCTGCGGGACCTGCAATCGGCTGCGAATAACAGGCGATGGCAACCTCAAGGTGTGTCTGTTTGGCAATGCTGAGGTATCCCTGAGGGACATCCTACGCAAGTCGAACAGCGGCGACCCCATCGATGATCAGGCCTTTGAAGCAATGAAGCAGATCGAGATGGACAGACGGAGGGATCTGTTGACATCAGGCCAAACACCGCTCGGTTTGGCACCCAACGAAGAAGAACTGCTAGAAGTTATCGGCGCCGCTGTCAAGAGGAAGAAGGCAAAACACGCGGGAATTGGCGAGCTGGAACATATGAAGAACCGGCCCATGATCTTGATAGGTGGGTGATAATGCTCTTATTATCATTCTTTTCTTGATTTCCTGTACATGATGCATGTGGTTGGAGAGACATTATTTTGAAGATTGTTCGCTGGACAACTATCTTGGATTATGGGGCGGCGTTGAGGGGCCGGACGTTTGGTTTATCTCATGAGGCTTGGATACCCTCCCTCCATAACGAATTGAATGTAATGCTGAGTTCAGTTTTTGCTGTAGATACCCTTGGCCCGTTCTCATCAACTCGCACCATGCCTCCCAGAGTACAATCTCTCCTCCGTGACGGTCCCTTGTTCACAGGAGGCCGATCTTTGTTCTCTCAACAGAGATTCTTTTCCCAAACTCGCCATACCAGAGGTAAGGACGGTGCCAACAGCAGCAACAGCAACAGCAACAAGGCAAAGCTGACCCACGTCTCGTCATCTGGAGAAGCACGAATGGTTTCCATATCAGACAAGACGGTGACATCACGCATCGCCAAAGCCGCATGCACAGTCCGATTTTCCAATGCTACGGCCATCGGACTCATCAGGGATAGTCAGATGAAAAAGGGCGATGTCCTAGGCGTCGCGCGGATCGCTGGCATCATGGCGTCAAAACGAACGCCGGACCTGATCCCGCTATGCCATCCGATAGCGCTCTCCAAGGCCACGGTTGATCTCGACGTCACGGGTGACGACAGAGTCGAGATCGCTGCTACGGTCACGTGCGACGGGAAGACTGGTGTGGAGATGGAGGCGCTGACCGCGGCGTCTACGGCGGCATTAACGGTCTACGATATGTGCAAGGCCGTGGATAAGGGCATGGTCATTGAGGGGCTGAGAGTTGTGCTCAAGGATGGGGGGAAGAGTGGGAGATGGGAGATGGAGTGAGTGTCTGTCGTTGTTGTTGTTGTTGTTGTTGTTGTTGTTGATGAGCCCGCAGCCACTCGCTCGGGGCCTCAGACACAACCAACCAAATAACACAAATAGATCCATCGCACTGTCAATTTGCGGTGTGATACAAAGATTGAGGCCCCTTACAGAACTGTCTCGCCCAGGCTACTAACTGTGACAGATTGTGACAACGGACGAGCTGTAGATGCTAGATATCAGATAGTGTCTCCAACAACAATCCACCTATGCGCCCCACGAACCCTCATTTCAAAACGCATAGCCCACTTCGACAGAGGTAGGGCTCTCTGCTACCCAAGCTCATTGACACTTGGAGGTTGGAGGTTGGGGTTGGTGTAATAGACGCACACAGGCACACTAGGCATACATCACTGGGCTATTGATTGGTCTTGTTCTCTCATGAGAGAAGAACCTATTTGCTCTGTAGCTTACGGATACTTCATGGACCTAAGATTGTCTACCCTTTCACAAGGCGGAGATTATTGATTGGTCACGTTATCCGTAGACACTATCCATCCATCCATCTCACATGGCTCGTTTAGCCACCTCTCATCTGTGAGTGATATGCATGTTTAGTCGAGTCCCGAGATACCAGCGGGCGGAAATCGTGAGATTGATTAATCGACAGCCGCGCAAGCCACCTGCGATAGATACACTGTAGGTCCGATCGAGTACAACTCTGCGAGTATATCCGTAAAGCCACCCGAATACACTGAAACCTAGTGTCGACCTTTCACCATTGCCAGGTTGAACGTTTAATTCAAGATCAACGAGCCACCTCCCTCAACTCACGCCTCAACACCTCTGCAGTCTATCCGTCCACCGCGCCTGAGGCTGGGCGGGAGATGTAAACTTCCTAATCAAGATGAGGGAGAAACACACAATAATGCGGCAGGGTTCGAAATTGTCTCAAGAGAGTCGAAATGTTTGCGCAATGTGTTGCACATGACCCCTTGTGAGGCGCTGGCTAGGCTGGCGATGCGCAGTGAAATGGGGAAACAAAAAGGCGGTGGAGGATACATATGCATGTCAATGTCAATCTATACCCTCGTTCTCTGTTGTGCATTCGTTGAAACCCCCCTTGATTGACTGTTGATCAACACCAAGCGGCAATTGGTCCAGACGTTGCAGCCAATTCGACCCAACCTTTCAAGAAATCACTCATGCCTCAGGCAGTCTGTTACTAAGTCCATCTGTCAAAAGCAGAGGGACAAGACAGCAGCCAATCAACGCTGGGTGATAAGAATGCCGAGGAGCCGCAACTGACAGGGGCTTGTTGAACGTGGACTTCCGATATAAGTAAAGTGCAAAATCCACTCCGTGTCTTGGCATGCCGGCCGCTAATAACAAATTAGAAAACGGCGAACGGACATCTTCAGGTCCAGACCAGGAACTCATTAACGACCGAGCTTTCTAAAAACAAGCACTTTTCTCACTGCCATGCCCCACAATTCGAGACATATCAATCGCAGTATGTATTTCCGTGAATTTGACTGGGGTTCCCGGATCTTTTATTACGTACTCTGAGGCGAACCTGGTCAAAGCTGAGCCGAAGCTAGAGTTGTCCAATCCCCAGATGAAGATGGTCCAAGGTCGCGTGCCAGCCAGTTACGGAGCACTGCAACCGTAAAGACAACCGTGTAAGCTAAGAGGCTGAAGCATGCCAGATAAAAGGGCCCGTATAATGGGGCATATCATGGACGTCCACTGTCGCAGATGTCTGTGCTTCTGGGTCAACAGTGTCCAGAGTGTCAAATCAACTGATAGAATGTGACACAAGCCTCATCCTCTCAGCCAGTCACTGAGGAGCGAGCAATATGCACAATACCCATCTGAACACCTGTTGGCTGTTTGGGTAATTAGTTAGTATGCATCTCACGGAACCCAACAACGAGTGGCGAGCATGACGGTTTGGCGGCCCTAAAATTATTAGATATGCGGCGACTGGAGCTCGGATTTCCCCTTAGCATCAAGTACAGTACGATTTCTTATGAGACAAGTAGATCAGCCCTTGACCACACATCCATCTTGATGCAAATCATGTAGCATTGCCTTGGCTATTGCAATAAGATTTGCCACAAACATGCACATCTCCGCATATTCTCACCCTCAATTGATTGCACTTCATTCGTTTCGGCGTTTCATCTCCCTTCTCCAAAAGTTCGTCGTGTTCATGCGTAAATTCATGCTCGTGAGACCCTGTATGGACACGGACGACGTACGTAACTTCTCCTCGGCCTGGGTATAACCTAGTTGCATCTTATAGCTTACAGCTTGGACCACTTAGTTTGGACCCTGAATTTCAAGATGAGATATGCGAATGCCGGTTAGCCTTGATTGGATGATGAAAGGAAGGACGATCTCTGTGTCTCGAACGCGCCGATCAAAGCCGCGTCCTTGTGTCCTCTTGCCGGAACCATCTCATCTCGAGTGGCATCGCCGTCGGCGTCTCAAACGCTTTAGGCAAAGAGACGGTTACGGAGCCATCACCGAATTTGCAGATGCAATTGGCTGGAAAGATCAATCTAGAATAGACCCTGGTTCCACTCCCCACGTTGACGGAAAAGGCTTGTGAGCAACGCCACGAATTGAGGGCTCCAAGTTGAAGGAAACGTGGCTGCAACGAGCCTCGGTGGAGCCCCGGGATAAAAGTCCCATAAGTAGTCTCGGCAACGCCTAGTGGAAATAACTGGGCAAGGGTCTGCCGGCGGAGCGCGCTTTGGTACGTAGAGGCAAGCCTGGCAAGCCAGCTGGCCAGTAGCCAGTCAGTCCCCAGTTCAAGCTTAACCGCCCACCGTGGAGATGAAAAAACCTGCACAGGCCACCCATGGTGGGACTTTCAGGTGGTGGGAACAAATCCCTCCATCTCCAGTCTCAATGGCTTCCAAGATTCGAGAAGCCAGCGACAACAGCCTAGTTGGACAAGCCATGACGAAGCGCCGAGGTACCGCAGCTCATCCCATTCAACCGCACAATCAGCGATGTTCCGTCCTGTTGGCGGTCCGATAAAACCGCCCAGAGAAGGCAATGAACGTGAAGCGAACGAATTGGCCATTGAACCAGACTGCAAGTGCACACCAGCTGGAGCAATGACCGGCAAGGGCATGCCGTTGATGATAGGGTGGTCTTTCGCTTAGCACTCCAACAACGTTGCCAGTTTGCGAGTCCTACTTTGATCCCGTTTCAGCAGAGATTCGGAGGGGTCCGTTTTGCAAAGTCCAGGGGTCCAAACTCCAAACTGGTCAAGTTACCGCCAAAGTACCATGGTCGTCTTCCGGCCGAGGACTTCGGAGCAGTTAGAACTTGGGCTTGGCTCGAGATCAAGCGAGACATGAAGGCAGTGGAAGCCGTGACTAGTCAGGAAGGTCACGAGACTCTCTAACGGCGGTTGACCAATTTGAGAAGTTCGACAGAACAAAAAGAATAAGACCAGGGGTGCTGGCAAGACGCGCAACAAACGAACCTGGCTCGATAAGTGGAGGATTTGAGCTTGTCTGTACTCCGTAATATTTTCATATCTCCATTCTCCAGTCGTCCATGAGATGCCCTGTCGCTTTCCTCGCACTTGCCCGTGACGATCCTCTAAGAATACCGCCCATGTGGAGCGGCGAGAAACTTTGTGAGTGAGAGGTGCATGAGGGTGGGCTCTGTGAGGATCCCTCATCGCTCAGATAGACCAATCAATTATCTGATATAGACGATAGAGGGTGGCAGACTAGGCGAACTGCTAGTCATGGTGACGAGACTAAGCCCGAATCGCGAGTGACGGGTGTCTTTGGAGCTATGGCCGAAAGGTAAAAACACGTAGAGGAGGGGCGGGATGATGCTGTCGTGAAGTATTTCTTCGTAGCTAAGGGTGATATTACCTTTTGGAGAGAGGTGCAATACGCTATCGCAATGCTGCTGTTGGTAGACGGGAAAGGGGGTTGAGTGTCCGGTTGGCGATCATCTGCATCATGGTGTTGCTGAGAGAAGATCATGACGAAGCAATCAATGCTACACGGCCGAAGATAAAATAAAATGTTATAGATCGTGATGTTTGAAGTGCAGTCGGGTTTTATTGCATGCGATCTGATCGGGATAAGAGATACTAGAAAGGGGAGCATCGTCAACCCATGTCCATCCGACTCTGGATTTGCTGTGCCATCGTTTGTACAGTCTCGGATGCTGTCGAATCAAAGTTCAGAAGAGGGAAATACGACAACGGCTGTCTCTACCGACAAGGCCAGTCAGTAATATTATAGCGCTCGACAAGGGCATAACCTAAGCATGCAATGCATGATGATACTGCTAGAGAAACAGCTGGCCATGCTGGGCACTGATTGAGAAAGCGTGTGCGTGGTATTGCAGAATTCTAAGATACCGGTGAGGAGTTGAGACTACCTTCCTTACAACGTGCCTTCCTTAATCCGTACCTTTGGGTGACCCTGGGTAAAGACGGGATGGATGCTGCTTCTCAATCTGTCGAACTGCACCTGCTCCATGAAACTGGATATAATTCCCAGGCAGGAGTCCAGGACCCATAATCTACTTGCCATTGAGTTGTGTTTGACCCTCTCCCCTGTTTTCCCCAACTACAGGTTGCAACGTATGAAATATAACATTGAATTATTATGGAGTAGAATTAGTCTTCTGTAAATCCGAATCTATAACACTATATTAGCAGATCTTTTATTCTAAAGTTTTATCTTACATATTTCAGATAATCAACACCTAAAGTGAAGTAAACCATGGCCCAGTTTTATATGTACTTCCAACCCTTGCAACCTGTAGACAGTTCTCCGCCAAAACATATTCTATCATAAGCTTGTTCGAGGCATGGGTCTCCTAGCCTTGACTGCTTTGTACGTAACAGTTGGCTCATTCTCAAACTTGATCAAAACAACCTGCGATATCTAAGATACGACTACCAAAGTGTATAGTTGATTGATATTGCCTTCCGTATTAGGAGACCTGATCAACCGTAACTAACGTCGGTCATGCCGCCTTCCGTTTCTCGCATCCAGCCCGACGGTTGTCACCGGCTTCACACAGGTGGCCTGCTTGGTGCATCAACTCCGCTGCCGGTCAGAAGGAGGCCAAGAAGCCCAGAACACCAACACACAATATCGTGGAAGCGTTGTACAGGAGCCAAAGCTCCCAGCTGCGAGACCGGTACCCACAGCTGCCCAATCAAACAACACACATCAGTAAAGTGCCCTAGCGTTTTCGTTGACCCTTGAACCTTGCAGAGCGCTTTGGCTAACCGGCGGGGACTGTTCGGATTAAACAGGGCGCCTGTCCAATTGCCGCCCTACGAAAGTCAGCCCGCGGACCGAAGAAATTGGCCACATCGTGTACAGTTGCAGCTGCAGTTGCTGGACGTACAGTATTGGGCAGCTTAGATAGCTGTTGGATTGGAAGATACTGTACAGCATCAAATGTGGCCCAAAAAGTCGAAAAGAAAGATTGAGAAGTTGTTGGCGCAATACCACAAGGATTTGCCTGATTCGTTATCCCTTTAGCCGAGATCATTTCGTCGAGGCAGCCTGGAAGTCGGGACCGGAACTGCAGGACAAGCACAGTACCCAAATATCACCAACAACCGGCAGCATCGCAAGCTTCGGCATTCAACATTACTTACCATCACTCGACCCCTGGCATCGTTACAACTAACAAGACAGCCTGTTCATCATAATTCGACACGGACCATCGGTGCTACTCGTCATTCGTAACAACACCTCATTCTACGTACGTAGTAAATGGTCGCCAGGCAGGGGAACATCTCCTCGATCGACCTGGTGTCAACCCACCGGATTGGATCTGTCTCCAGCGAACTCGGGCTCCATCCAACCGGAGCATCGAGATAGGAAATAGTTTAATACCCACAGTTACGCACAGGTGTTGAGCAACCGTTCCGTTTCTCTCTCGAGACTCGTTGCCGTATCCGGATGCTTCGAACATTTGACTGAGTCGCAACGAATCCTGAATGATATCACGCCCCGAAAACCGCGAGACATCGTCTTAAGTTGAATTGCATTTGATACTGGTGGATCTGCATCTGTGGAGGGAGACTCGAGAGCAAGGGATTCTTGACTACCCCATTCTAGACAGCTACTGAGACATGAACAACCGTGAGCCGTTGAGACTCACAGTGAAGGAGAGACGCAAAGAAAGCGCAACAAGGGATACCCCAGTCATCACCTCAAGACACTTTGCTCCAAAAGATTTGCCAAGAGCAAACACAAGCCACGCCCACTCCATCAGCAACTCCACCGCCTCTATCTCCACCTGCAACTGCAAGAGAGTGCACACCCCGGTCTCGCGCTAGACTAGAAAGTTAGGTTAGGATTCCCAGTCGCTGCTGCAGACAAGAGGTACGTACCTCATCCGCCCCCGGTCTCCTCCACGCGACGGCGTTGCCCGCTGCGTTCCCAAGATCTACTCCCTCCTTGAGCCGGTTCGCTTTGGTTTAAACTCTTGCCATGACCCGCCCTTGACTCGTTCGTCTAACTTTCTGTTTAACTACAGTTGTAGTATCTCAAACCATATCGACCATATCCAAGGATACCTATCCGCCACCTTCCTCTTTATCTGTCCACCCATTCCCCGGACTCTCGTCATAACAACCTAGCAGCTCCCTCCTGCTTCCCATAGCGAACACACATCTTTTACGATTTAGAACATTCCGAGCCATCACACAAGCTCCCACAAACATCAACATATATATACATACTATCGAAATGGCTGCCGACCTCATTATGCCCACTCTTCCAGGGGATCAGCACTCGCGTCACTTCTTCCCTCAGCAGCGCCCTACGCATTCACGCAATCAGTCGTATCAGATCTCAGTTGGTCCTCAAATCTCTCCAATCAACACCAATACGTCTACCAGTCCCGATTCCATCTCATCGGATCCCACATCTCCCAGAGCGTATCAGGGACGGCAAAATCGGCCCATGTATATGCCTGCGGCTCTGCGCCCCAACTTGTTCCCTTCCAAGACCAGCAGGATGCCTATGGACGATGCTGCTTCTGCCTCCAGCACCGAGTCTGAGAACACTCTAAGACGCACCAACAGCAGCTTGATAAATATTCCTGGCATGTCTGTCTTTAGTAACAAGCTTGCGCGTGTTTCTACCGGCGACAGCGCCCAGAGCAGCATCGATGGTGACTTCGACCTCGATATGTTCCCCGAGGTCAAGGACCAGCCTACTCGCAAGCACTGGAAGGTATGTAAAACAAACAGACAAACATCCCTTGATTTCCCTCGCACAGCATATGCCTGAATGCGCCATTGTCTCAGGTGTATTCAACGCTCCCGTCTCGTACATCTTGAGAACCCTGATTTGTCTCACATCCATGTTGCTGCATCACAGCCCGCTAACATGAGTCTTCTGCAGCCCGATTCTGAATCCACCGTCTGTGACGACCCGACTTGCAAGCGAACTTTCAGCTACTTTACTCGCCGCCACCACTGCCGAAAGTGCGGTCACATCTTCTGCGACTCTCATTCCACATACGCCGCTCCTCTCGACCATGATGCTAAGTTCAACCCTCGTGCACCTCTTTCCCGAACTTGTCGCCACTGTTGCGAGGAGTTCAAGAGCTGGTACACCCGCAACAGCAGCCGTGCCTCTAGCGCTGCATCCTCGGATGCCCCCAACCCTACCCCTTCGACTCCCATTACTGCCGGCTTTGGAGATGCCTCCGATCTACCTCGCGGCCCTGAACTTGCTGCCAGTGTCCCTAGGGATTGGAACTGGAGCACTTTCTAGGCGAACACGAGACCACCAGCTGTCACGGCCAGTTGCCGTGATCGGAAAACTGCAGAACGTGGACTAGCTTGCCCGGTTATCGAGATCATCGGGTAGCTACCTGCATGAAGCCGTGTCATCTTTGCTACACAACATACCACTATCCACTACATTCACTACTACACCTGCCTAAGCGGCAGTATGAGATACCCGAAGCACGTCAGCTTCACGAAGCTATGACAGAATCACGATAGATTGATAGAAATCATCCGACAAGTGACTCCAGGTCCTTGTTTAATCCCTCCAATCACCTCGCTCCCCAATCCACCCCTTCACACACTATCGCTTTTGTCTCAACCAGACGAACACCAGTCGACCTTTCATCCTGCGAATAGTCGTATTTATTTTTAATTGGTTGCTCTTATTTACAGCGAGGCGTCTTGGAAAGCAGAGTCGGCCAGACCTGCCATACTGCGGTTATTAGTTCTGATATGAACGTCTCGGCAACCAGCCCTTCAAGAGAGTACTAAAGAAATGCTCCGCTGGCTATGTCGTTTAATGTTTTTTTTTTTTTTGTTTTATCTTCGAAGGCGCATCATGAGCTATTGCAGCTCGATCTACTCATAGATGATCAGGGGGATTTGCATCGCCATACGTGGCACGGGAAGGGAACTGATGATGTTCATGAGAATAGGTAGCAATTCGGCCAAAATGGACTGATAATGCCTCGCGCAGACACGTCTTTGTAGACAGCTACTGCTTTTAGAATACACATTAAAATGTTTTCCAACTTGTTTTCTCTCCGCCTACGCCTGGTCCATGTGAATATGAGAAATGTTGTGTTGAGCACACACCTTTGAGCTAGAGTTTTCATCAATATTGGCAAGCCGTTGCTCAAGTCACTACAATTCGCTAACTATACTGCAAATGACCTATGACGAGGGCTATATCAAGAGCCATGAATTTCAAACAACCTTCCTTCCCGGTTGTGTACTCCTATGCTTCCAGAAGATGAGGATAAGCACAGACATGCAAATGACTGTCTACAGCACGAGTTTCAACCTTGGGATATCGCCTGTTCTTCTCTATATATATGTTTAGGGGCACTTGCCCAGTATATATCATGAGACGTAGCATGAGATTATCGAATCCAATTTATCGGTCTTCTGCCATTCTTCCCTTGGCCGTTTGTTCCATTGTTGCTAATATCAGGGATAAGAGCGCAGATACGTACTGTTGACGTGAAATGTTAACATCTGATAGTTATGTTAATAGAGTCTAAGCAAGAAGCTTGCCCCATGATACTCATGATTGCAGTACAACTACGTATAAGCTGATAGTCAAATGACCGATAGTATTGAAAATCGGGCACATCTTGAAACAACAGCCTTGACTCATTTAGTAGAACTTCTTTGATTCAATGACTAAATATGATGTTGGTTCGCTTTTCCTGATTCTGCGCTACCAGCCGAAATGGAGCATAATACACAAACGCTTTCTATGATTTGCCGAGATCAACGAACAAAAAGATGACCTCAAAGTCAGGCGAGAGATACTGTCGTATCTACCTCCCTGTTTGTTTAATTTTGTTTCTTTTCTTACTCCTTATTCTTCCTTTAGGCCTTTCGTCGCGACTTGCCGTTAGCCTTCTTAGGAGTAGAAGCCCGCGATGCCTCGTCTGCTGATGAACCGTTGGCCATGTTCGCACCATCGTAAATCTCCTTCTCGATGCCCTTAGCCGCATCCCAACCAGCCTTCTCAGCGAGAGCGATGTTGGCATTAACGTCATGGGATCCCTTGTGAGAGGCCTTGCCAGCAGCATTGCTGCGCTTGATATAGCTGGCAATGAAGAAGCTAACAAAAAGGTATGTCAAAGGAGCAAGATACAAGACGTTGAGCCAGATAGCGAAGGTCTCGCCAGTGGTCATGATGCAGGGCTGGGTAACGTATTGTGTCTCAGCGGTGAAGGCCTCAGCACTAACAGCCTGCGATGCAACAGGGGCGGCACCAGGAGCAGCAGCACCCTCAGCGGCACCCCAGATAAACTTCTTGAGAGAGTCGACAGCGCCGTCAACAACAGTTTCTTGGCTTGCGTCGGTAGCAGCTGCGGTGGTGCCCGCAACGGTAGAGAGCTTCTGAAAGATGGTGACAGGGACCTTATAAGACATGAAAGAATACGAAATGGTGTTGCTTGCGCCGATGATGAACTGGGTGATTTGCATCGTGGTGAGAGATCGCTTGATGGCAGTGGGAACTCGGATGGAGAAGGCAGTCAGTGTGTAATAGAAGTACTAGAACTATGTGAGCTGATGTTATCAAAAGGTTGAGCATGTGTACTTACCATCAAAGAGTGAATGAACGAGTTGATAAGAACAAACTGCCAGATAGGTGCAGCCATGTAACGCATGCCAGCCCACATGCACAGCATGGCTCCAGCATGGTGATAAGTTTGGAGAGTAGAGCTAAGCTTGCCCTTGGCGAGGATGATAAAAGTATCGAGAACCTCGTAGAATTTGCTGAGATAAAAGATCCAACCATAATAAGCCAAACCCTCGTTCCACATGCGGCCAGGAACTGTTCCACTGGGGAGAGCGTTGACAATTGGGGCGTTCTCGGCATTAGAGACAAATGAGCTTGAGGTCTCGTTGTAGTAAATGGAGTTTCCAAGACCAGCAGAACCATGTAGACGACAGAAGCTGTCAGCCATACCAGCGAGACCCTGGGAACCCGTTGGGTTGAGAATACTCCTTCTCATGCCACTGAGCATGCCCCAAAATGTCCAAGCAGAGTAGACACAGAGAAAGACATTGTGGAGAACGACGAAGGCGAAGAATGGCCGGGTTTTAGCTATAGCCCATGGCTTCTTGCCGTTGGACTTGTTGTAAATGTTGAGGCTCTTGACGGTAACGGCATAGAGGATAGCGATGGTCAATGGGACCCTGGCGTCGAGAGCAGCAGTGAAGATGTGCTCAGGGATGTTGAACGGGCGCAATATCGAGGTAGGAACATCAAGGGGCGCAATGGGAGCAGGCGCATTCGTAGGAGGGAAGCTGAAGAGACTCGAATCCGGCATCGAGCGCAGCAGCTGGAAGCTCTCGGCCATGATGGCGGTTGATGTGAGTTGATTGAGATTTGACGAGTGAAGGGATGAAGTTGGCGACTGTAGTTGATCAATGAGCCGTGATAGCTGTCTACCAATTGATGATGCTGGGCCTGGAGTTGAGCCTGTGGAAGTGGTGAAGTATAAGACACAAGTGGAATAAGGCTTTTGGGTATATAGAGGAAGTGAGGCTGGTGATAAAGAATAAGAAGAGACCAGTATAAGGGGAAAAGAGACAAAACAAGAGAGAAGGCAAGAGGCTCAGGTGTAGTTCTTAAAGATGAAGGGGACGTGACGGGAGTCGTTGGCTTTAACTTCCCTTTTTTTCCTTTCCTTCCTTTTCAAAGTCCACCCCGGCCCAAGCTGGAGCAGACCGGAACTTGTAAGTAAGGTAAGGCAGGTTAGGGGATCAATTGAGGGTCCTGCTTTCCTAGAGCGGCCGGGGATGGGGACGGATGGAGACCCATTGGGTCCCGAGCCTTTTGTTCTAGAGGCAGGTATGATCAAAGCTCCAGTTGCAGATTGTTTGGAAACTCGCACCTGCCTGCCAAGCGTGGTACCCGTTGCCGCCGGACTATGCGCTTGTGTTGGCCTATCAATTGGAGCTTGCACACTTGGCGGGTGTTTCTGAATCACTGTAGCTGCGTACGTAGGTAGTAGATGTTGTGCTCGGAGTACGGAGCACGGAGTAGGAGAGAGGGAGAGAGTACAGGGGTCCGTCTGGTGCACGAAGCTGAAACTTTTGGATATATTGAGCCATCATGAACACTTTACCAGCGTGATTGTACGTTTTGGGCAATTATTCATTGACTTCTTGTCTAAGAACAGGTTTGAAATATGCAGCTCGTACATTGTGTTTTCCCTCCCTTAGCGTGGTGACGGTAATAAGTTGTCATCATGATTGCGAGCTGTGCCTTTGACGTTGAAGCATTGATGTGTCAGTATGAGTGCGTCCCAGATATCGTGGCAATGTGGGGCCCAAGCCGAGGCAGATATGCCGCCGTCCTTACTACAACGTCCTCTTTACTACAGACACAGCCTAAAACAGCACTACCTACCTACCTATCATCTTCAGGTGACGGTAACTGCGCATTAACTAACAAAAAGGGGATTACGAATAATAGATTGTCTAATTGCTCTCCTTGCAAAGTACCGCCGACAAAACTGAACCTGCCTGTTTCTGATGCTCTGCAAGGGTCCTCGTGGATCTGTGGTCGACGTCGACACCAGCTCCGGTCAATGACGGGTATTGAGACTGGGGTTCTAGACTAAAAACTGCCATGGATCAGGGAGAAATCTTTTATCGGAGCACATTAGCGATGTCGGTACTTTTGAATGTTAGTCTCTTCGGTCGTTTTCCCACCTCTCAACTATCTGACATCTGGTATTGGCGCACGCGGGGAATTGCTCCAAATCTGCAAACAAAGTGCGGCTGCTGCTCTTCGCTCAAGGCTGGTTTTTTTGTTGGGGATACGCTAATGCAACGGCCGAGTGGGACCCGTACACTTAAGTCAAAATTGACTATTTTTTTTTATTGTTGTGTGAAGCTATCAAATGTTGTCGTGTAAGTCACTGTCGTGTGAGCACCTCAAGTCTTTCTACTCCGTAGGTAGTTGAGAACCTTTGTGGTGTGAAGATAAGCATTGAGTTTTATTGATCTTGATTTATATTCTGATGGCATAATAATACAATCTTGAGTTAAACCCTTTCCAGATCATATAACATTATTACAGTTATCTTACGCTTCACTCCAACTCTACCACAACGTCCTTCATGTTAGCATCAACTGGCACTCAATCTACATTCACCTGTCAAACTTGCAGGGGACAGTATAGGGGGGGTAAAGAACACAATAAAGAAAACCCCTTCTCTCCACTGTCGTACCGCGGCATACCGAAGTAGCAAAGCCAAAAAAGATCCCCAGAATCCTCAACAAATCTACGACATCGCATCGGGCCTTGTCTTTCGCCTCTTGGCCCGCGCATCTTTGCCCTCTTCCCGGCGCCTCCTCCGTTGTTCGACGTCTTCTTCTTCACCTGCACAGACCGTATCCGCCCCCGTCGGCTTTGACTTGTATTTCTCACACTTGCTTCGTGGGTTATTTGTACCTGGTGGAAACTTGACTCCATCCCCATCCCCGGCCACCCGGAGCTGAGGTCAACAACAAATCGTCGCTTCACCAATTAAAATGAGAGGAAAGCTAATGAACGTTCCGGGCTTTTGTTTTACACGTTCTCGGATATATCTATCACATGTCTTGACTCTCTCCCACAACGTCTTTCTAGGCAAAAAGATTCAATCTGTGAGCGGTAGAAGCCGGATCATGTTTGTTCAACTGTGGATACTCCTTCCGTCACTCGGCCGGGAGTGGAGACCCGATCTGGTCCGTCGGGCCTGTTTGTCTTTTAATGTGACATAATATCTATCTTACCTTGATGCAATTCTGTCAGGTACAACACGCACTTTATATGTAAACATGCAGCTCACCCTTCACAGCGGAAAAAAACATAAATAACGCAGACACATAATTTCATGTAAACTTGGTAAATTCGTATCTGTCTGTGGCTAATAACCATTCTTGTAATCATGCAATGCCATCCATACTCGTGTATACAAAAATCACAATCTTGACAATCTCCCTTATAGTGTACATTTCTACACCTCAAACACTAGGACTAAGAGCGGTCCAGTTTAGAACCACTCACCACTGAGCCAGCGGTTGAAGAAGTTGGAAGAAGCCGCGGGCTGATCCATGGGAACCATGTGGCCAGCACCGTAGATCTGCATGAAAGTGAAGTTACCGCTGGACTTGACCTTGCCGTACTCCTTGTCCTCGAGGGTAAGGCTCTTCAGATCGGCGTGGCTGAAGTCCTTCTGGCCAGACCACTGGAGCTTGTGGGTCCAGGCCTGGTTACCGAGCCAGTTGCAGATAAAATCGGCATCACCGGCATAGATGAGAACGGGGATCTTGTCAAGAACGTTGGGGATGAGCTCGTGGAAAGGCTGCATCCAGTCACCGGCAAAGAGGAAGTTTCGGTTGATGTCCATGTTGCAGCTGTCGTAGCTGCTGACCTCAGCACCAAGAGCCTCCTTGACCTCCTCACGGTTCAGGTAATCGGAGATATAGCCAAGACCAGAGTAGCAAAGGTTGGAGCTGTCCTCACACTTGCCTCGGATGTCGTAGACATTCTGGCCGGTGCGCTGGTAGGGGCCCATCATGGCGTTGTTGCAGTAGATGCTGGCGGGGACACAGGACCAGGCGCTGCCGGACTCGTAACAGCCCTTGATCAAGGACTGGCAACGGGGCAGAGCGTTGTCCATAGACTGGCACTCGCTCTCGCTCAGGACGGAGGGGTAACCACCCTCACCACAAGCCATGGGGCGGTAGTAGGCGTACTGGGTGTAGCCATCGGTAAGACCGTTACCGATCAGGACACTCTTGAGGTTGATGTTGCGGTCCTCGTGAGAGAGGATCTCGTTGGCAAAGACGGGGATGTAGTGACCGGCATACGACTCTCCAGCAATGTGGAAATCCTGCTTAGCATACTCGGGGAACTGATGGAAGAAGAGGGTCATAAGGGCGTAGACGTCCTTGCCGGCAGCAACAGTGTTGCTCACGGAGCCGCCGCTGTAAGAGTAACCAACGTTGACGGGCTGATCGAGGAAGATAACGGAAGCGTTGTTGTTCCATGACTCGGGGTTGCCGACAAGTTCAATCTTCTTGTTGATGGAAGCAGGTCCAAGCTCGAGGAAGAGACCGGTCAAGGAAGAGCAGCCAGGGCCACCGTTGAGCCAGAGGACCACAGGGTCGTTCTTGGGGTCATTGCGGGACTCGAAGAACCCTGCAAGATGTTAGTCCAGTTCAATTGGTCTGAATAATGTTTTCAACTTACAGTAGAAGAGGTGCTTGTCTTCCTCCTCGTCGTCAAGGTAACCACTGTACTGCTTGACCTTGTCAACACCGAGCTTTGAAGGATCAACCTTCTTGGTACGGAGGTTGTAGTTATCGAGCTTGCCGCCGACCTGGCGGTGCTTCTCGCCGTTCTTCTCAACCCAGAGGGACTGGACATCGGCACCCTTGACGTGGTGGTCCCAGTGGGAATCGGGTCGACGGTTGGCCTTCTTGGGCTTGGTCAGGACCTGTTTCTTGAAAGCCTCGACAGCGTCGGGGGCAAGAAGGGTGACCTCGTCCCAGACAGCCTTGGCCTCTGATGAGATCTCGCCAAAGAACTTCTCGAGGGGCTTGGTCCAGGCATTGACGTCGATGTCGACAAGAGGATTGGAGTCGCCGCCGCCGAGAATCTGCTGCTCTTGTAGGCCGACAGCCGAAGAGGCAGCGCTCAGCACGAGCGCGGAAGTTGACAAACGCATTGTGTGCTGTTTAAGTCGACTTCAGTGATACTTGTGCTAAAGATGGCGATAGTAAGTAGAGATGGTTAATATGTTATCAACCAAGAAGTGTGATGTTGATGGAGGAAAGAGAAGTAAACGCGCAATTGAGGCGACGGCGACGTAATTATGGCTGGGAAGCTCCCCCCGGTCTTTGGACGCCAGCACCTGCGGACGCCCAGACAACCTGCAGCTGATCAATTCCACAACACCCCGCGTAGCGGCTAAGCTTCCTAGCGGCAGGGGCGATTCAGGATCCAGGCAGTTGCCATGGAGCCCACTATCTGACTTCCACATAGTTTATACGTGTATCTGTTAGTGCGGTGTTGCGTGTCACTCCATGCGCAGGTACCAAGCTAAGCTAGGAAGGCGGCTTGAGCCAGCAACTCAAATATCCACTAAAGCTCCAGCACGATAACGTGACTCGACTACAGATACGCTATCTCACCTTGATGAGCCGTCGATAAGAAGCGCAGCGGACGTTGATTTCCATGACTCTAGACAGCCCCGTGATGTTGTCTATGTCTTTATGACTTGAGGAAATGGGTTCGATAGCCAATCATGTCTGATTTGTGCCATGTCTTCCACCCTCAGCTCTCTGATGCTCTGCAACCGGGGCAAACGAGTTGTAAGCCCGTGTTGGTTGAGTGACGTAGATGATACCAGGGTCGTTTGTTACCCTACGCGTCTGACAATGCATGCACTAAAACACGGTCAGAGACTGATTACGATCTTGGATGTTCCAGACTCAAAGGTGTCTCACTCTCACTTGGGGTAGTCTTAATGGCAAGCATGATATCCTTAAGAATCAGTGGACATTCATTTTCACTTGTCCATTCACCGTGGAATTTCCATCCGCAGTTGGCTTCCCAAGCATTGGACTGTTTGAGTTGTAGCCTCACTTTGGCCCTGACAAAACAAACATTGAAGATCAGGCAACACGACCCTTGTGTGAAACATGGGTGAGGCGGTCAGTAACTGATTACCGTAGACCCAGGATGCGTGGCACAGTTCAGAAATAACTTAGGCATAGCCGGATGTTTATCCGTCCGAAACCTACCCTGGGGAACTCAATGCAGCTTTGAACGATGCATTAGCCATTGTGTATTATGGCTGCTGAATCTCAAATACAGAACCCATGTTTCTTGTTTTCGTTCCTTTTCTTTTCTATTTGACTAGTGGCGTTAGGTTGTGGCAATACTATAACAGCTTTGGGATACATAACAGGTGAAGACTATATTTAAGTATAAATATTGGCCAAGCTCTTGTCAACCAAACAAACGCCGGAAAGAGAGGAAATTACCATGCAGTCTAAAAAGACTAGAGGAGTGATATGACCACGAGAGCTCAGCGTAAATCAACGAATCTACTAGGAGAATCCGTCCATACTGATGCGGTTGTGTGAGCACATACCATTTGTAGGGGGCGTATAAGCCGGAGTAGTCACGTTTAAGAGTCATACCGAATCAAGTGTGAGGGGATCAATGTGTAGGAGAGTCGGATTGACTGTTTAAACCAGTAAATGAGAGGCTATTTGACATCGTTGGTTTTTCCATGTATTCATAATTGGTCATGAATATTGGTGATGAACACCTTTAAGAACCATGAGCCAAAGAAGTGAATTACATGCTGGTCAGCTTGTTGTCGAATACCAAACTCAACACTACCAATCAAAAGAGAGAAAATCGAAATTTAACTGTGAGTGAATGTCTACTTAAAGTCAAATCCTCATGCTATAGCTTGGCACTCCAATTACTCCATCTTACATGAGTCTGGCACTACCTACTAAGGTAGTATCATATACAGTCAACTCACCACTTCAGTGTATTACAAACCAGTATAAGATTAAATAGAGTCATCGGCTTAGGTACTATGACTATATCCTCAAACAAAAAAGTTAATAGGTACGACGCTCGATGATTAAAGCGTGCTACTGACGTGACTCAATATGACGATGGCACGTCCTTCTCCCCGTTGCGGGGCATTACGCAGTAAGAAATCCAATCCTGGCTGATGGCGGGGTCAGGGAAAAAAAGTTCTGGTAAATCAAGAAGTTACCTACTTTAACTACCTCATCTGTCAACTTCTCAGCAACTTTACGCAGCGTCTTTTATTTCGACACTTCCTCAAACCTCTGTCCTTATTACTCTTCACAAATTCGCCCACCATGTCTCGCCAAATTCAACAACCCTCCAACCAGATCAAACTCACAAACGTCTCTCTCGTGCGCCTCAAGAAGGGGAAGAAGCGCTTCGAACTCGCCTGCTACAAGAACAAGGTCCTCGAGTGGCGATCCGGCATCGAGACTGACCTTGACAATGTCCTTCAGATCCCAAACGTCTTCCTCAACGTCTCAAAGGGCCAGACAGCGCCCCGCGAGGACCTCGACAAGGCCTTTGGCAAGGGCAAGTCCACAGACGACATCATCCTTGAGATTCTGAAGAAGGGCGAGATGCAGGTCGGCGAGAAGGAGCGCGCGGCGCAGACGGAGCGAGTGCACAATGAGGTCGTCAGCATAGTCGCGAGTAAACTGGTCGATCCGAGGACCAAGCGAGTCTACACGTCTGGCATGATCGAGAAGGCTCTTGACATGCTCAGCTCACAGGCCCATACTGCCACACCCGACAGGAGTGCTGCTGGAAGTGCTACCGGAACACCTGCGACGGGTGAGGCTGGTGAGGCTAAGCCCCGACCCCTCCACCACTGGACTGGTGTGAGTACGACAAAGAGCGCAAAGAGTCAAGCTCTCGAAGCCATGAAGGCTCTCATTGCCCACCAGCCCATTCCGGTTGCGAGGGCACGCATGAGGCTCCGTATCGCCTGTACTACCAATGTTCTCAAACAGGCTGTTAAAGGAGCAAAGGCTGCCAGCAAGGAGGAGGACAGCGAGCAAAAGGCTATTGGTACAGTCAAGGACAAGATCCTGAGCTACGTTGAACAAGTAGAGAGCCAAGATGTCGTTGGCTCAGAATGGGAAGTTGTGGGCTTTGTCGAGCCCGGAGCCTTCAAGCCATTGTCTGATTTCATCGCCAACGAGACCAAGGGACAAGGACGAGTTGAGGTTTTGGATATGGCTGTAACACACGAGGACTGAATCACATAAAGACACGAAAGACACATGCTCAAGTAGTTGAGAGAGAAATTATGATACCCTTTCCCAGAACCATTATGCATCCTTTCCATTTCCGTGGCCGACGCCATTTTTTAAATTTCAAACCAGTCGTGGACTTCGTTTGACCATAAACTTCACATGCTTGTGCCATAGACATCGTCTCCATGCTGTGCACATCTGTACTTGAATGCTTTTGATTCGTGACCTTGATCTAGAGTACAGCCCCAGCTGCATATGCCGGAAAGCAATCTTCTCGAGATGCCCAAAAAGATGGAAACACCAGCCGTCACGCCTGTCCACCCAAAACCAACACGCATAAAATGTTTAACCACCCTTCTTCTTGGAGACACCGACGGTCCTGCCACGGCGACCGGTGGTCTTTGTGTGCTGACCACGGACACGGAGACCCCAGTAGTGTCGGAGACCACGGTGAGCGCGGATCTTCTTGAGGCGCTCGAGATCCTCACGGAGCTTGGAGTCGACACCGTTGGCGAGGATGTGGGAGTCCTTGCCATCGACGATATCGCGCTGTCGGTTGATGAACCAGGTAGGGATCTTGTACTGGGTGGGGTTCTGGAGGATGGTGACGATTCGCTCGAGCTCTTCGGAGGTGAGCTCACCAGCGCTGTGAGAATGTCAGTATTTTCTTCTTCGTTTTGTCGTGTGCCTAGAAGAATTATCGTACCGCTTGTTCAGATCGACATCGGCCTTCTTGCAGACCAAGTTAGAGTATCGGCGACCGACACCCTTGATCTTGGTCAAGGCGTACATGACCTTTTGCTTTCCGTCAACATTGGTGTTGAGGAGACGGAGAATCTACCCGCTGTTAGCAAATCTGCCTGATGCATTTGCTCGTCAAAATCGATTTCGGGGCACCAAGCGCCAGGCGCGTGGCGAGAGCGCATTCGAGCGCAGCGGCGACGGTGTTGAATTCGATTTCGGCATTGTAGTACTGGAGAGGATGACTTACGAACTGGAAGTTCGACTTCTCTCCCGACACGAGCGACATGATGGGCAAGCTTGAGAGTTAGTTACCTATGCTTCTCGTTGTGAGTTTCGGAGAAGAGGGAGACGAACGTGTGTACCTATCTAGGGCATACCCGCAAGAGGGAAGGTGCAACCCTCCTTAACACGTGATTAAACGGAAGGTTCGACCCAGAAAAGCGGGGCTGTCCCGGAAGTTACCAATGGGAATTGTCAAATTTATGAACAGGCAGGAGTTAGAGATTTCTTCTCCTTCTACCCAACCTACCTACCTACCTTCCTAGGTAGTAGGTAAATCACCCCTTTACATGCGTGCCCATCAATACTGCGCATCTCGAGGCACTCTATCCGTATCATCAACGAATAAGCTGTGGAGTGCCTTCAAGGTAGGTTATTGCTCGTTATACATTATTATATGCTGTCTCTACAGCCGAATACTTTGCCGTCTTTTCCCATCGCTCGGTCAGCCCAGTCTCTCGACTGATCTTGAGCCGGATGCCTTCACTTCGGTTTAGGTACAAGACAAGACCAATTCAGCAACGCTTTTTGAGTACGGAATCTTTAGTGTTTTCACCAAATAGAGCCTTCCGTAATTTATCAGTTGTTACATCCTTACATAATCCTTATTCATTATTTTGTCAAGCTCCATCCTCGTGCGCGTTTGTCTCGTGCTCCGCATGCTAAATCATGCTGTCCGTGAGGACATGCCTTGGTATCTATGTTTCACTTCCTCCAAACTCCAACCGGAACTGGTTCCTATTCATGATGCGTAGCAGGTCGTGGTATTGCCTTTGCCGAATTTCTCAAGACTGAGTTCAGTCAGCTAGAAGTCGTCAAGCAAATTATAGCCCTACCGATGTCAGTACCCGAGAACAGTCACCAATACCATACCGACCTTATCTTTCTTGAGTTGATGAGCCAGTAACTCTGAGAGGTTGGCTCTGTCTGTTTCTACCGTGAGGTTGGTGCCCTTGGATTGGACATGGACAACCGCCACTTCTTTCAGACCCCGAATGGTCAATAGCTCATCCAAGCCAAGAACATCCGTTATTCTCACATGTCGATAAGTGAGAGGGAAGAACGTTTTCATCAAATCGTTTCTAGGACTGAGGTGCGCAAGGGTGGACTTCGAAATGCTGACAGTCAATCCCTCAAGCCTGTCGCATTCGGCCAGCTTCTTGAAAGTGATTGCCGACTTTGGTCCACACCAGTGAACCTTGATATTGCGAACATTCTGTACGAGCAGTGGGTTGCTATCGAGATGGGATAGAAGTTCACAACAGCAGCGGAATCGAACAGTCTTCTTTCGAAAGAAGATACGAAAGAATTCGTGGTTGAGTGCTGGACCCATAACAGATGGCAAGGCCTTCATCTGGGCCTTCATCTGAGAGGTCTGGTAGGGCTCAAACTCCCGCTCGAGCTGCGGACAATTGCAGGTAACTTTTCGTATACCAGGTTTGATAACCTTCGATCGGAAGACGGTATCGACCATCAAGTCGACAATGTGCTCGCGAATCTCGGCAGGTAATCTCATGAAAGGAAAGCCCTCGATAGGTGGCGGTCGATCTGAACAGTCACTTAGTGCTCTATTTTCCTTGCAAGATATATCTATTGGCTGGTTGATGATCACCTACCAGCAATCTCGAGGATCTCGGTGCACATCTCAATGATGTCGACACATGTCTTAGATTCTTGGGGGTCTTTTTTGATCATACGCGCGCACTTGGCTATTGTTCCAGCCACCGATTCTCGACGTCGAGGGCTTAGTCGAACCATGCTTCCTAGTTCCCTTGCATCGATGTGTCCTGCGTGAAAGCTCTCCAAGCCTTGAAGAAGCACCTGGATATTCTTGGTCAAGCCATATCGGGTAGGTATGGCCTTTGACTTGAGGGCATACCAAGACTTGCTCGACATGATGGCGGCAGAGAGAGGATTCGGTTCTACTGATAGAGACGAAGGCGGTTTGTTGACGCGAAGAGCCGATTTAGTGAGAGGGTGATGATGTCGAGGAGACAAATAAAGTAAGTGAAGAGAAAGAAAGCGAAGGAGGCTTCGTATTGACTCCGCCTGCACCTCAGGCAGTAATTCAACGAATGGAGTTAATCACGGTTTCGATCTTGACGGCAGGAATCCACGCATCGTCAAATCGCTCCTTCCCGCGCTAGGTCGCAAAAAAGTCACCGTCCCGAGTGAATGGCAGGTACCAACACTGGCAAAACCTGGGATTGATTGGAGCTAAGACCCATGTTGCACAAAGTCAATGAAAAGTCTATAATCTTCATCAAGTAAAGCAACTGGTTCACTTCTCGCAGTGCTGAAGTACGGATATGTCAAAGTTGTTTCTATATACGAATGACGGTGACCGCCAGGTAAATACCTTGCGCAGTGCAAACAACAGACGGCGATGTTGCCGGCTGAGTGCATAATATAGGTCCGTCAACCATTGTGACACATCAACGGTCGATACATATTGATCGTATTACCTTATATTGTATGAGGTCGGAAAACTCGACCCGAAATGCTTCACTCATAAACACTTCCTGAGTTCAGTGGCATGCATTATACCTAACCTAGTTACACAAGTCAGCACCAAGATTACATAGTTCGATGTTGAGTTGTAAACGGAGCATAGTCACGGTAAAGTTGAGAACCAAGTGGCATTTGTGCTGTAGTCAAGTGTTGAATAATCTTTCATTCTATTTCGTCTACGTAGCAGTTATACCTCTCACATGATATTGGCTAAGACGTGAAGTGTCACTGAGTTATATCAGTAATGCTGCGAATACTCCTCAAAACAGCGACAGTGTCTTGCCGCACCATAGGCTCAACGAGAATTGTAGTAGAGAAACAACCTCACTCTTACTATTACACTGATACTTACCGAAATACTAATACTCATAATATCACAGATGCCAATGGAAACCAAGCTGTAAGGTAAATGTAGACTTTTGTGTCTAGTCAATTGAACGCCTATTTTTTGGTCTATCTGCCCTTTTGCATGACCGCAATACTATGCTCCGTGGTTCCAATCGCTAAATCCAATATGCTAATCATACCACATATCGTGGCGTTTCAAATAATTTCATGGGGTTTTTTTCTTCGGTGCCCGAGACACCGTCGTCGGGTGAGCCCATCGTCCCTGACGATAGAAGGACAGCCAATGCGCACTGCTTTTGTTTTGGTTGTCTATGTTGTCTTGCTCTCATTTGCCAGAATTATAAGGGAATAGAGGTTGAGGCGGAAGTGTTGTGTGTTGTGTTGTTTAGATCGACAGCTGCTGTTCCTGTTTAGGTTGGGACAGGCGCTGATCTAGAGGTGGTTGCATCACCCAATCGGTGAAAAAAGGAGTGATAAGACACCGGATCCATTGGATGTAATTAGATGGGGAAATGCGAAGATCATCCAAATGAGACTCGGTGTGGTCGCTGAACTTTTGGTGTCGGGTGCTGAAACTGGGGTTCTAGAACTCTTCCAGTTTCGCCCCTATCGACAATCGGCGTGCCCGCATGCCCGCCCATCCATCAACATCGACCTTGCCAATTCAGGAAATTGACTAAGATGATTTAACGGAGGATGAAGAAGATGAGGTCTGATCGTCGCTTTCGCTGTCACCTTCCAGAGAGAAGTTGACAACACTATGAGCTCGAGTACAGCAAGGGCTGATGCCAGCAAAGTCATCTCCCTCGATCTGCTCGGGAGAAGAGGCACCAAAGGTGAAGTCGAAGTGAGAGAGCATCTCCTGGTGTTGGAGATTCTGGGCAGTCAAGGGCTTCTCGCTGGGGTGTGTAATCTTCTTTCCCTTCTTGTTCTTGGGTTTGCGCTCCTTGGTGGAGTCTTTATCCTTGGACCCCCACGTCCAGGTACGGGAGAGCTTGTTGACGAGAGATGATGTTGTTGATGTGTCGGACTTGTCACTGTTCTGGCTCGACTTGGTCATGGTAGCTGTGATCTTGCCTGGAGTGTTGGCGTCGATGATATTTGATGAGCTGGAGGCGTCAGAGCGCATAGCTCGGCGGAAGTGTTCTCGGATAGCCATTTTGAATATGTGTGTGGTTGTAGTAGTGACTGGGTGTTGTTATTGTCGTAGAGAGAGGAAGGCTTGAAGTGCTGTTGACTTGATGATGATTCAAGGCAATCGAGATAGGTAGAGATTGACAAGATTACAACTTGGGAAGTAAACAAGATGGGCGATCGTTTATCTAAATGTACACGAAGAGATAAGAGCAGCAGCCAGGGCATTTAAAGGCAATCCCTGAGATTAGAAAACCCCTCAGAGTCTTCGGTCGTTTCGGCCTGTATGGGGGCATCCTTGCGTTCTCGTTCTCCGGCGGCGCCTTGGAACTGGGCTTGGGTGTGGAGGTGGAACCTCGTCGAGGTCCCTGATCCCGGGTACAAGAGGTACATCCAATGGACTCTCGGTGGTGTCTGGGCCCGCTAGCCCCTGGCTCTGGGGAACACAATGAGCAAAACGGCTTGTGATTAGCCCACGAAAGGCTGGGGAGCGGAGAATAGCGGAGGACTCGGCGGCTTATACGGGGGACCGACCCTCAATGAGGTCAGCGCTGGGTTGGCTTGGTATGGCGACTGTATGGAGAAACCCTGCAATGTCGGTCCGGGACCACAGATAGGTACACAAATGTACTCTGCCTGCTTGCTGCGGCTTTGCAGCCCTCTCGCAATGCCCATGCAGTGGAGGGTGGGATGGATCGGAATTGCGAGTTTTTAGCAACAGGCTTACAGGTCCAGGAGACGCAGACCTCAACGCCACCATTGGTAAACCATCAGCCTCAAAGGGGCAGGCCGCAGGAAGAACGAAAGGTTGTTTTCCATTTTGATTTTAGCCGGGGATCATTTCTACGATCGTTTTGACAGGGTGGGTGTCCACCTGGTTAGTGAGATTATTGCAACTTTGCAAGCTTGCAGGCACCAGAATTTCGTGCATGTATCCGTAGAATGGCCTAACTCACAACGACTGGGTCCAATGGGAGCCTTGCTCATTTCCATCAGAGCCGAATGTGTCCGGCAGTGAACGTCAATGTGGGAATCAGCAAAAGCATGGCCACCAGGAATTGGTGAATCCTGCGTGAAGCGCCTCGTGTATCAGCCGTTAGGATCTGTCTCACAACGTCTACGCCTCACAAGAAACAGACTTTTCATGCTCCCGCAGCTCTAAATCTGAATGTTTTAGACCCGGCAATCAGCCTCGACCATGGTGTGTAACATTGGCCGTTTTCGACTGTCACTTGAAATCTCCAAACACGGGGTCGGCGATAAATTCGAAGCCGTGGAGGCCCCGCAACCTGCTGCCCACTTCTCCCCCTCTTTTTTCACTAGCATTGTTGGGGGTTCTTGGGGTTCAGACGGGGATGTGAGCAGGCTAACGAGCTAGACTCTGCCAGGCAAGTCCTCCATGTAGCGTCATTGCTGGAAGGTAACGCCGAGCTGGGTCCGTTAAACTCAGTTGAAGTTGTTGTTTTCAGGTTTCCGTATTGGCCACTCTGTGAACATACGTTCTGTTTGATGGTGACATTCGACGATTGCCTAGGTACCGGGCAATCTCTGCTTCCTTCTGTGTCTGGCCTGCCACATTCTGCCAAGCCTGGGTTCGGTAAACGTGTATAATCCCTGTTCGAAGATCCTCCTTCACAACTTGGCCAGTTTCGGCGAATCGGTGTTGCTGTGCCCGTCAGGGGAGCGTCTGGTCTGTGGTCTCGTGCACATTACGTACGAGGACCAGTCGGCCCTTGTTCGGTTGATACTTAGACTTGTGGATGAGGTCAATCAGACCCATCAATTGTTTGAGCAGAGTCGCGCGAAGTATCGACACTCTGACCGTTGAAGACGATGGAGTGCGAAATGCCGTTGAACAGATCCGCCCGACTAACAAGTATGGCTGAACTTTGGCCCTCAGGATAAACTCAACCGTTTTCTCTCCCTTGTTGTTCCGTTTCTGCAACCATTACAAAAACCACACAGACTATGGCGGACGTCGGCAGACCCCGGGCCGGTGTTTATTACGGTCTTCACTTCAAGAAGCGTATCGCCGTTCCCGTTGGTTCCCGTTGCAGCCCACACCTGGCCTCATTCGCCACTGTTTCTCGGCGCCGGTCTTGGCGTCCGTTAGCAGCCCGGACATTGCTTGACAAACTCTGAGCTTATCGAGCATGACACTTTTTATGGTGGTTGGCTGTAAGATCTGATTCAGGCGGCTATACTTGCCTCTGGTGAAAATTCTTCTCTTTTCTTTATCTCTCCCTTTTTGTCCCTTGTCTTGTCGGTTCACTTCTTGGCGGTCGGAGTTGGCGATGATAAGGAAGATAATGGGATATGCGCTTGGCGTGTGGTGATAAGATCAACATGGAGGCCCGCCGACAGCCGTTCAGTCTGACAGGCTGACAGACGAACAAACTGTTCTGACTGTTATTCGCTGGTGATAGTCCAAGTGGACCATCCTCGCCTTGCGTCTTGAGACTGCCCCTCTGGTCCACTTCTCGCTTGTGTCTCTCGGGGGAAGTCCGTTGCGGCGAGGCGACTGCATCTTGGCCTGGTATGGGGGAAGACATCGTGAGCAGTCCATCTGGAAAGATCTGGTTGCATCATGGTGGTTTTCGTCGGAGACCGGGGTCTATTCAGGGTTCGCTTCGTCATGTGGTTCTGTAGGCATGATGCAGCCTGAGGCATGTACGGATTTCGGTTTGCTACGGGTTTCAATGGGTCTGCCTCGGTATAATATATCGCCGGAGGCTCATGGACCGTTAACTCACGAAAACAATCTTGCACCTCGAGATAAGATATGATAAGGTCTGTTGAGGCTCTTAGGAACAGGACCACTAAATATCGAAAACTAGTGTCCATCGATCGTGATTTTCTTAGCTTGATGCTCTTTACAAGACGTCATACATGCGTGCAAGCGTTGTTTGAATCTGCTTGTTTAAAGGTTTCTGGCCTATTAGGCTGAGTTCGCCATGAGTATTTCACTGACCGCCTCGAAGTTTGCAGCTATTCTCACCACGTGCAGTTCAGATCGAGGTTGAGACACGGGCAAAAAGCTCCTCGATATAGAAACCTCTGCATATTCTGCTGTATGTTGTTGATATTACCCGTCAGTTTTGATGCAGCTACGATGTAGTTTGATGCAGCGCAATCTACGTACAGGGTAAGTCCCACTGGAGAAGCAGTTCAGGAGGCCCCAGCGTAGGAGGGTTTTACAGGCCTGTCAGTGGTCAGCAGCACGAGACAGGCACAGTGCAGCCAATGAAACACGACGCTGCAAGCCCCGGAGTTAAATCAGGAACAGCGGGCCTCGATCAGTATGATGATTCACGTCACGATCTATTGGAGGCGGGGGGCCCAGTGACTTGAGTGACGCAGTTATTCTAAGAAAGTCACCTTTTTGCTGGGCCTCTCTTTACCTGCCACGCCTGCCTTGCCTACGCGCCTAACAAAAGGTGCGTCGCGTGAGTTTTGATTTGACCAGACCACATGACCCTCCTTAACTTTCACCTCGTTATTAGGCGGACATTTATTGATCCAGGCTCAGTCAACGTACGCAAAAATAAGACACTCTAACTCAACTACACTAGACTACTCCCGCCCGTTTCCTTTTTTGCTTTTTGCTCTTTGTTTATCCTGCAGTCTCTTCTTGTTTTGTCTTGCCCTGCGCACGGCATGATCTAGATTCCTCAACACACTTGCTTGTGATAACCATTCGCAGCGACTCACCGTCTGCGTCTCTCCCTATACCGGACTGCAGCTGCCGTCTGTCTGTGGCTGTCTGCGTCTCCCCGCATTCGGACTCTGCCTATATCGGATCAACGACCACTTCTTTAAATAACACCAAGCGTCTGCCTTGGATTTGACATTGCCAAGTCCTCCAACCTACAACAACCTACGAAATACAGTCGCAATGGGTGTGCCTTCGGAGCGCACTGGAGGTGACGGGTCATCATCTAACCCTCGAAGAACTGGCGGCAGTCAATCTATCGCTCGAGTTGCTAATCCTCAAGGCCACGACGAGCAATCGCCTCTTCTAAGCAATAATGCCGATGTCGCCAATACCCATGGAGAAGAAGATGATTCACAGACTACTAAGAGTATATGGTATATGCTCCTGTTGACCATCAGCATTGGTGGTCTTCAGATTGCATGGTCCGTTGAACTTTCCAACGGTTCACCATACCTCTTGTCCCTAGGACTGAGCAAGTCCCTCATGGCTCTTGTTTGGATTGCAGGTCCCTTGACAGGTACGCTCGTTCAGCCATACGTCGGTATGCTGAGTGACAACTGCCGCTTGCCTATGGGAAAGAGAAAGCCATTCATGATTGGAGGATCTATCGCAACAATCCTTTCCCTTTTGTTCCTTGCTTGGGCCAAGGAGATCGTCGCCAGTGCATCCAACATCCTTGGTTTTGATCCCCTCTCTCAAGGTGTCAAGACCACAACCATTGTGGTTGCAGTCATTGGCGTTTATGTTCTCGACTTTGCCATCAACACTGTTCAAGCATCAATTCGAGCCTTTATTGTCGACTGCGCCCCGGCTCATCAACAAGAGTCTGCCAATGCCATGGCTAGTCGAATCACCGGATTCGGCAACATCGTAGGATACATCGCTGGATACGTCGACCTGACTCGACACCTCGGGTTCCTTGGGAAGACACAGTTCCAGATCCTATGTGCTATCGCATGTGTTGCCCTTGCTTTGACTGTTTTTGTGAGCACGGCCATCATCAAGGAGCGAGACCCCCGCCTCGACGGACCTGCCAGCAAAGAGAACCACAGCGTTTTCTCTTTCTTTTTCACCATCTTCAAGTCGATCAAGCGCCTTCCACCCCAGATCAAGAGGGTGTGCGAGGTGCAGTTCTGTGCCTGGGTTGGTTTCTTCCCTCTGCTGTTCTACACGTCCTCCTACATCGGAGAAATCTACGTCGAACCATACCTCGAGGCGAACCCCCACATGTCCCCGGAGCAACTCAACAAATTGTACGAGCAAGCGACCCGAATCGGTACATTTGCACTCCTCATCAACTCCGTCGTGAGCTTACTCACCAATGTCTTCTTACCTTTTTTCATTGCCCCGACGTACGACAGCCAGCCTGCCATAGGCGCCCCAGGGGAAACCCCAGCTGCAGGCTATTACGATGAGGAGGAGGACGAGAAGCCCTCGTGGCTTGATAGATTGGCAATTCCCGGCCTTACCCTCAAGCGCGCTTGGTTCCTCTCGCTTCTTCTCTTCGCCGGATGTATGTTTGCTACACTCTTCGTACGAACTGTAAAGGCGGCTACTGTGCTGATTGGTCTCGTTGGTGTTACTTGGGCTATGACATTGTGGGCTCCCTGGGCCATCATCAGTGCTGAGATCAGCCAGAGAGATGCTCTGATCCGTGCCCAGAAGATACGACAAGCGGCTGCCAGAGCAAACAACAACGGAGTTGCGGATGAGGAAGAGGAAGAAATTGACCAGGCTGGAGTCATTCTTGGCATCCACAACATGGCGATCGCGGCTCCCCAGATCATAGCTACTGTTGGCTCCAGCATCATTTTCAAGCTTTGGCAGAAGCCACGAGGTACACCAGGAGATCACAGTATCTCCATTGTGTTCGCTCTCGGTGGAATCTGCGTTTTGGTTGCTTCGTTCTTTGTGGCCAAGATCAAGGATGACTCCACCACGCCACCCGATGCCGTGGCTGATGCCGAGCAGGGCCAGAGCGGAACTGGTGCTGATCCAGCGCGCCGACCTCTGAACAGACGCAAGTCCACCAAGGAGCAGCTCCCCAGAGCAACCCAGGCCCGGGCCGGACTCATACGACACAAGAGTTTCGGGGGTGCTGAGATGCACTAAAGAAACACAAACACACCTACACAAACAAATACAACTCAACGAAGCATGGATAGGCGCAGGGTTAGGAATCATGGAATCATGGAACGGCATTTTGGCTCTTTCCCAGAGCCTTGGAGCATATGGTTGGGATTTGGTCTTTCTTTTTCTGCAGATTGGACGAGGAATGTTAGGGCGCCTAGGTATCATGTTGGGCTTTCAATTGGAAATTAGAACCACAGTTTTATGTTTATGCTTAGACAGAGATATCTCGTATTCGCTCATTAGGTCGCATTTATATCGAAATACAGCGGTTTCAGATGCCCTCAGACCTGGTTATCCATCATTTGAGACACATTTGTTAAGAAGAGGCCCTGTACCACTGACTTAATACGCTGGTGCTGGTGCTGGTGCTGGTGCTGGTGCTGGTGCTGGTGCTACACTCGCTGGCCCGCATGTCCCAATAGAAACCCTTGTTTCGCCGGGCATAGGACCCAGCGTTGGGTTGATGGTGGTGAAGGGGACAAAGTGGAAGCACCACGAGATTCTGCTCTCGTCGCAGTAGCTGTAGTCACAGTCGAAGGTCTGTTCAGGCGTGGGTGTAGTGGCGGGTGGTTCTGTGACGCAGCCTGCCTGGTTGCCAGGGAGGGCGAATGCAGACGCTGCAAACAGAATGACGAGGTGATTTATAGGGAACATGATGAGAGTTCCGGGCCAAAGGTTTAGGTGTTTTATTTTCGAGTCTTTTGAGCACTGCTGGTAAGGACTCTAACAGGAACAGTAAATGCTCTTATATAACAACCATTGTTAGACGAGTACGACGTTCGAGAAGATTTCCCCTGCACTCAAGTAACAGCCAAGCAGTGTTTGCGTTGCAGCATGACGGTGTATATTTTCCCACATGACTTATTCGGACTGGTTTTTCTGTTCAATATAGTAGAGAACAAATAAGGCAAACATATTAAGCGAGACGTCGCGTATGGAATCGGCAGATGGGACCTCTGACTCTTATATCTGAGGCAAAGAGTTGCACAGGACGGATAAAATCGCCGAGAATTGTTGGGGATGGAGTGTTACACTTTGTTAGAAAGTATTGGTTTTCTTAGAGCCACAGCTACATATGCGTTTTCATCTCTCAATACTCGTACACAAACCGCACATGGCCTCTCCTTACAGCGAGAGCATCTTGTTTCCAGCCTTTACCCACAATGAGACAATAAACGCAATGCTCGTCACCCACACCAGGCTACGTACTCTCGCCAACCTGGGGTCCATCTGCAGCCACAGGTAGGCGACGTTGTACGCGACACGGCTCGCAAGGTAGCCGAAGCCCAATGCGTTGACGGTAGGCGTAGGAACACCTGCGAAGTTTGCGGCTGCAAGACCAGATGCATAGAGACCGAGGGTCTCGAAGCCGTTCTCTGTAGCTGCTTTTGCTCGCAGGAGGAATTGCTTGTTCTGGAGGATGTTAGTAAAAGGAGGAATATAAGGAGAACAGGGGATAAAGGCAACCTACAGCCTTGTCAAGGTGGGAGCAGTTTTCGATGTTGCTCTTGTGAGAACGGGGACTGCATCTGTCGAATGTTCCTTTTGCGCCTACGGTGATGGTGTAGGCATGAGGAAGAGATATGACGAGGAACGCAGCTGGGACCTGTAGAGTGTAAGCTTGAAGGTTTATGGTAGAATGATGGAGATGTACTGTGAAGAAGGAATAGTTCCTTGTTAGATCAAGACCTAGAAAAGACTCCATGATGTGATTAATTTGGGTGTTATTATGGTGTAAAGCTGAGTTGAGTTGAGTTGAGTTAAGTTAAGTTAAGTTGAGTTGAGTTAAGTTAAGTTAAGTTAAGTTAAGTTAAGTTAAGTTAAGTTAAGTTAAGTTAAGTTAAGTTGAGTTAAGTTGAGTTAAGTTAAGTTGAGTTAAGTTGAGTTAAGTTAAGTTGAGTTAAGTTAAGTTAAGTTGAGTTAAGTTATGTATTTGATAGACGATATGGGTAGGTATAGTAATTTGTATATGTATTTTAAGTAATAAGACTATAAATCTGTTGAGAATAATAACTCTGGAATATGATTGAACAATCGTAAATATCTGGAAAAATTATCAATTCCTCCCGAGGGATCAGTCGGTTTAATAATCATGTCCAAGTGTTGGTTGAAGGACCCGCTTTGGAGTAAAGGCATGAGTAAGGGCGTGAGCATGTTGGGCTAGCATAACGGGCATAACCAAGAGGATGACTCTGACTCAAAATTGGACATGTCATTATGTTTTACATTGAAATAATAGAGTAAAGGTCTCGTCATTTGTTTATATTCGAGATCTCACATATAGAAGAACATAATATATGGTGTAAAGACTTCATTGTCAACCACATTTAGTATAGTCTCTTCTATGGATCCAATCTGTAGATCCATTCATCCCTCCCAACACTAACGTCCACCAAGATGACTAAGATACAGGGGCCTTCTCAACGTCCCTTCAACACTCTCCCCTCTGCAAATTCACACTCAACAGCATCAAACAATTGGCAAGTTCACTAATCACCACTGTCCTCGGGGAAACTCGATATATGATCATAAAACTTGAATTGCTAAGTATAGGCAGTTACTTTGCAGAGGCTTCTCATGGCGCTCAACCACTCGCAGCTAAGATGACTATATATATATATGTACGGAGAAGGGTAAAAAGGGTTTGACATAGAAAACCTAACCGATAAATGCAATGACCAGATATTTCGTATATCGTCTTCAAATGGACTTCTAAAAAACGCCGACCTCAACCACCTTTTTTGTAACGTCGTTTTTCTTTCATTCTTCTGGTGGGGGTATCTCATGCCTTGACAAAGAAAGGAGAGAGGAAAGGGGAAGTTGATCAAGCAAATAATCGCTTGTGTCTGGTAGAACGCTTGGAACCGACTTTCCACCCATGGCCATCCCAGCTTGTGCTGCTGCTGTGGGATTCAGCGTGGCTGCTTTTGCTTTTGCTGTATGCATCTGGGCCGTGGTATTGGCCGTTGTCGTAGCTTTGGCTGTTGCTTGAGCCATCATATTGACCCTGGCCTTGGTTCTGATCTTGACCTTGTTGACCGCTAGGTGTGTTACCATCGCCATTCTGTCCCTGCTGGCTACCAGGGGTATAGTAGACATCACCGCCTTGGTTTGGTTGAGAGTCGGGAACGTAATGTTGAGTTCCACCGCTTTGGTTTCCGCTTCCGCTTCCACTTCCACCATCACCGTTGCCGCTTTGGCCGTCACCACTGTTACCGTTTCCACTGTTGCCGTTGCCGCTGTTGTTGTTGCCACTGTTACCATTTCCTGAGTTTCCATTACCCGAGTTGCCGTTGCCAGAATTTCCGTTACCGGAGTTTCCACTGCCCGAGTTACCCTCACCAGAGTTTCCATCGCCGGAATTCCCACCGTTGTTTCCGCCGTTGTTACCACCGCCATAAGATCCGCCCTGGGTGTAAACCTTGATACTGTTCACAAGCCAGTAGGCGTTCTTGAAGGCAGCGGGGTTGGAAGCGACATAGTCCTCGCACTCTCCCAGTGACGAGGTCTCAGGGTTCTTGCCCCAGACATCAGGGGATCCAGCCCAGTCGCCGCAGAATGTAGTGTCGAAGATGATGTTGTGCTCCTTGAAGTGGTCATCGATGTTGCAGCCGTGGCCTCCGTTGAACTTGGCAGTGGCAGGGCCCCAGGATGAAGGATCAGGGTTGCCAGACTGAATGTCCTCGGGGATGCGGCCGCGCTTGAAGAACCACACAGCAATGAACTCGGAGGTCCACTCGGTAGCGTAGACGCCACCGCCAATGTCGTTGAAGCCATCGCCGTAGTTCTGGTTGTCGGCTGTGCACTGGCCGCAGCCCTCGGAGGCGCCACCGGCGTTGCAGTTTTTGTTGACGAGGGAGGTGCTCTGGTCTGAGCCGTCGTTGGTAATGGAGCAACCAGGTCCCGTGTGGAGGGTGATCTTGTTCTCAGTCTGTGTGTTGACGCCCTCGAGGATATCGATCTCGCCAGAGGTTGGCCAGGAGGGGCCGAACATCCAGTACGCAGGCCAGACACCGGGGATGCTGCCAGGCATGTGTGCAATGTCGGCGATGAAGAGGCCGTGGGTGAAGGAGTCGTGAGAAGTGACACGGACAGACTTGCGGCCGTTGGAAGGGTTCTTTGTCTGGTAGTCTACGCCCATGTAGACAGCTCCGTCGACAAAGCCAGCCAGACCCGCGGAGTTAGCGGAGTCGGCGTCGATGTACTCGACGAAGCCATTCGTAGGATCCTTCTCGTTGAAGAACTCAAAGGCCTCGAAGAAGTTGGATGTGTCGTAGGTTGTCTTGAGGCTGTATCCAGCTTTGGAGCTGTTTTGTGCGGTGGCACCTTGGAGGAAGGCTGTGAGGCCTAGAGCCAGGATAGAGGTATGCATTGCTTCTGTTGTCTTTTGGAGATCAAGACGAGAAGAGAGGGGTGTACTTGTATATAACGTCGATCCTGGTTTAGAGTTGTTCTCTTGAGTGAAAAAGAGAAAAAGCAATGAGACTGTGTGGTTCACAGAGTTGAGTGGCTTGATGTGTGTAAGTGTGAGTGAGTGTTGATCCCTAAAACCAAAAGCACACTCTGCAAACGATATATAACAATAGAACCACGAGCTATTGTCTAGTCTATAACCAAGAATTGTAGTCCGAATGAGGAAATTCCCAACCTAAAGCGGAGGGTTGGAGAGAGAGAGAGAAAAGGGAGGGGGCTTATTGAAGTTGCTTGACGCGCAACGAAACAATAGTTCTGGGCACTGCCAAGGAGGGAGGCAAGCGATATAGGTATTGGTTCCTAGTCAATAGGAAACAATAGAGAGTGGATCAGAGAGAATACAATAAAATCAAACGGCCAGCCAGCTACCGAAAGGATTGAACGGGTAGATGAATGCAGCCGATAAAAAGAATGAATGAAATGAGTGAGACGTTTCGCCCAAGAACAGCACCAGCCAAGCCTAGCCTTTAAAGCCTATGCAGAGTAACCAGACACTGAAGACGGAAAAGGCAAAAAGAAGGCAAGGAGAGAGACTGAGAAAGATGAAGAGAAAGAGAGAGAAAAAAGAGTGAGAGAGAGTGGTTCAGGTTTAGTGAATGGCCTCGCAAGGGAATGCGGGAGCTATCTATATGCCCATGTCTCTGATATTGTCTCTGCAGTGCCACTCCCTATGTTATGCTAAGCGTGAGCTAGACTGTTCTGAGAACCAGACTTAAGTCATTTTGTTTCTTTGTTGCCGGTACTTGACTTGGGCTGGGCTGGCCCTCTCCCTCCCTTGTCCCTTTCTTGGCTGTTGTTTCTATCAGTTCATGCTCTTTTCCTTCACGTTTAGATCAAGATGCTAGCTAGCCTTGGCTTGGTATAGACTATAGGCCACATGCTAAAGTTTCCGAAACAGTTTAGTCAAGGGGTCACCCTGGGAAAAAAAGATAAAAAGAGAGGCTCGGTATAATAACAGAACCACAGCCAATCACAGACCCCAGGCGACTTTACACATCGAGGCTCTGAAGCGTAGCTCATCAGTCCATTAAACACCAAAGATTTGTGAGTGGGCTCATCAAGACGAGACTTGACATGTTCCCCGCCAGATCCAATCAACCCCCCCAAGGACCCCCCAAGGAAAAGCTTAGCGCAACAGTCTGGGCTCTTGGCGTGCCTGGAGTTGGCCGGTTCAGGCAGGGAGATGGCGCCTCTGTGGATCATGATAGGCTGCAGGGGGCGGGTTCAGGGGTTCGCACCCACTAGATTGACGCTATTCTTGCAGTGGAGCAAGACCTGGCAGAGTTGGGATGGAGGGGCTTTGTTCTGAGTAGGTAAGGGCTTCCGGATGAGAGAGGGAGACGTCAGCTTGGTTATTGTCCCTATGATTCATCTGCTACAAGAATGATATTGTTGATTATTGGATTCTACCGGAAGCAGCTATATGCACAGGACTTATATTTCACATGTCTTGGCTAAATAAAAACGATTATGGATCTCTCCATGCTCTGGGGTCTCGCTCCACGACCCACGACAGCGCTTCTATAGCCGCGCGCTCGTCTAGACATATGCTCTTATCCTTGACGCTCAACTTAGAAACAAAGACCATTCAACAAAGCACTCAAGCATGAATAACACAGCCCCCATTGACCTTTTCCCTTCCAGACGGGACCCAAACACTTGGCATCTCTACTTTTAGTCACGAATCTTGAATCGTTCATGGCCAAACTAGGCTGGAACCATTCCTCTTCCAAGACATTTCTCTCTCTCTCTCTCTTAGCCTTCCCCTCCCCTAGTTAGGTCTTCTCCCCCTTCTTGACGCGCGTTATCTCTCCAACCGCCCACGCTTGAAAGTCCCAAGCTTTAAACAATGACCACTTCTGAAACATAGTCTCAGGAATGGGGAACCCGGGCTAGACCTTTCTAATGCTTTGCTTTCCCTTCCCTGCCTGCTTCGGGCATCGCCATGACGCTGGCAACTCTCACTTGACCCCAAAAGGAAGAAAAAGAAAAAAACCAGAAAAAGAGAGTAAAGAAAGTCTTTCTGCCACCTCCTTTTCTTCTTTATCCTGATTTAGACCTTTGAAGCTCTGGGGACTTTTCTCTTTCTGGCTTTATGATCTGCAGACCCGTATCGTATCGTATCGTATCGTCTTTCTCTCACCCTTCCTCCTGACCAACTTAAACGAGGTCAACGGTTCTTAGAGCCACCTTCGTAATCTATCTTCCGATTTGCCGGCAGAAGGTTCCGTTCCCGTGCCGTGATCCCAGCATCCTGGACTGGACGGACTCTTCGGCACGTCAACCCATCTCAAGGTCCCTTGAAAGACGATAAAGATTAACCTTGTCATAAACGGCGAAACGCTTTGGAGTGCGTGCCGATACTCTCCTTAATCTATTAAGCTTTCGTATGTCGATGTTTCCCACAAGTTCGCAGTCTCGATACAATTCTTGTATCAGCTTCATCTCTGGCCAGGATAATCCTCACTTTTAATTACACAGCACTTGAGAAACTCCCTTCATAGGATCTTATTCGACACAAACCAGGTAGTTTCACATCTTGGGTTCGCAGGATCTCATTTGACATAAACCAGTTTCACCTCTTGGGTTTTCAACATTACATCTTCATTCATAGTAAAACATTTCTTTCCGACCAGCTTCAATCCCAGCTGATACCAGCTTACCCCAGGCTCTTAATAGGCCATATACATGAAACCATACATCCTCTTTCGACTCCCCTTCATGTCTAAAATATCCTTTCATCTCATCTCGTCCGAGCTTGAAAGCAAGGAACTGGGATATGGCCCATATTCCCAAAAGTCTAAACCTCCCCGTTTTTGCAGCTGGCAGTCAGAGACACCCACACCCCCCCTCTATCTCCGAACTGTCGCATTATTCTTTCTAAATGCTTCGTCTAAGTGGGTATATGCAGTTGAGGAAAAAGTAAATCATGTACAAAACTCCATGCATGGCAAGCATCAACGCAGTCGTGGTGTTGACTGCTTTCGTGTCCTTATTATCCGTGCGTCGTGTCAATGAGTTCATACGTCTATATCCGAATAGTCGCGTTGTTTGTCGTGTCCTTCGCCCCACAGGCTTATTCAAGTGCTCTTCACAACTTGACCTTCTTGCCGGTGAGCTTGAACCAGATGACCGCAATGAGATCCTCCTTGAACCGCTCCCAAGGGTTTCGGTTGAGCCAGTAACTGAACTCGCGGTAGTAGTACATCTCACCCCAACAGTCGCGACCCCATTCGCAGCCTGCCAGGCTGACCATGAAATCACGCTGGCTCTCCTCATAGTGGATGTGCTTGTCCTTGGGACCGCCGTCAGGGTTGCAAGCTCCAGGTGGGAAACTGTTAATCTTCCGCTGATGCAGGAAGCCCATGTGCTTGCGAATCCACGGCTGCGTCTGGTAAAGCTGATCCAGCGCATCTTGCTCCTTGTGCTCCCACTGCATATGCTTCTGCTCGTACGTGACCGGGTCCCACCACACGTCGAGGAGTCGGTCGGTCCAGTCGCTACGTCGCATGAAGAATGATCCCAGGTTGAAGCCGGCGCAGTCTTGTGTCATGAGCATGTTGATCGAGTTGGCCTTACCATCTCCTACAGGGCTTCGCGAGACATCGTCCAGGTAGTTTTCGGTGAAAGGGTGCGAGATGTTTCGGGGGTTGAAGTAGTTGATGTCGCGCTCAACTTCTTGCTCCAGATTATTGAAAATGTGGTCTTGAAGCGACACAGAGGGTTCCATGACAAAAGTGTTCAGGTCCAGCCACCAAACCCTGGTATCGCGTTAGTTTCTTCTCCCAGATTTATTTGTCTGACCATCTTACCATTCAGCTTTTGGGTACTTCCTCAGGGTTGAACGAACGAAGTCAACCTTTTCCCAACTCTCTCGCCATTCGTGCGCATACTTCTTCTTGGTACTCATGTCGACGATTTCCAAGTCGTAGCCCCATCGGTTGGCGTATTTTCGCTTATTCCGCACGCTGTCTCGCTCGACAGCCCATTCTCTGGCACCCTTCCACTCCATAACGCCTCCTCCAACATTTGCGCCCAGAATAATCACGAACTTGTTACCGCCGCCAAACGATCTTCGCCAGTAGTACACAAGGGCTGCAAGAATTAGTATCATGCATTGCACCATTCAAAACAAGATTGGTGCAACTTACGAGTTGTGTAAAAGATGGTGTAGCAGATGGCCGCTACTAGCATGAGGAGTAAAATCATCTTGAGCCTTCTGCCCATTCGTCCATAGATCGATCTTATTCTACCGGCGAGCGGCACTTTTCGAATCCATCGCGGCCCTCGTCCATTCTTCTCCTTCCAAGTATCGCGCTGCCCGTTGAACTGAGGAAGGCTGCTCGATAGTCGTCGCATATGCCTGCTGAAGAAGCCTTTGTTCTCGCTCGAAAACGAAGAGAATGTGTTGGGGTTGTGAGGTCGCATCTTAGCCGATTCCCATGCAACTGGTCCACTGCTCACGTTTATAGGAGTCGATTTTCCGCTGTCAAGGCCCAAGCCTGGGCTAGACCAGCCGCCGCCGCCGCTGCCAGGGACAGGTGAAGGGCTTCTCGAAAGGGGCATGGAAGGCCCTGGGGTACCTGGAGGAGGCGAGCTCAGCGATTAGCCCGCGAACAATGTCGGTATGTGCGAATGTCCATGGAAGTCAAAGACAAGCAACGTATATCTACAGAGGGTAGAAAGAAAACAACAGAGCGTGAAGTGGATGAGTAGACGATGACGTGAATACAGCTCAGCTCAGCTCAAGACTGAGGCCACGCACAAGATAAGACGGGATGGCTGATATAAAGAGAGACAGGCAGTGGGGAAAGCAAGGATGGAAAACATATGAGGGAAACCGCCAAGAAGCCACGAGGTATGATGACTGAGACATTAACTAGACAACCGGGAACGTTACTATACGTACCTGGAATGGGGGAGAGAGGACTGTTGTGAGGGTTCAGCGGCCTCTGCGGGTCGTTTGGAAGCAAACCCGGGTTGATCACGATATGGCTGACAGAAGAGCGCTGTCTGCTGTGATGTGAGCGGGCAGGGCGATCGCTAAACGAGCTCGAAGAGCCGAAAGGTGAGCGTGAGGAAGCCAGCTTGGGCAACGTCGCAACCGGCGACTTGTAAACGAAAGATAAGGCTTATGCCGGCCTGGATCGCGAAGTGGAGGGGCAGAAGCTCGTAAAGAGTCGCAACCACGAGGCGTAGATTGCAGGAGGTAGTGTATCTTTTTTTTTTTTGCTCTCTCTTTTCTTGGCCCAAGGTTACAGCAACAAGTTCGTCTTGAAGAATAGCGTAAAAGAGCGCCACACGGTCCCGACTTTTCCACCTTGGCAAGGGAGAGACACAAAATGTTCTCGAAATTGTCACGGTGATTGACCAACCACGGCAGTAATTGTTCACCTCGAATTGTGGCGCCGAGTCAGAATGTTGTAGGCGGTATGGGGATCGTGGATAGCGCTGGGTCGATTCGGGGGGGAGGGCAGCACCGTATACGGGAGTTGGACAATGCAGGTGTACAGACGGTGCGGTACGGTACGCAGGGAATCGATGAGGCTGAGGAGGTGCACGATACGTTACAATGTAAGCAATCGGTGGTGACGGACGGAAATAGGTAGGTGGATGGGTGGTGAGAATCCGCAGCAGAGATGGCGCAGCGCAAAACAGAATAGCTCTGGCTTTGCTCGTATCGAGACTATTCTAGTTTGGTAGGTAGCCTTCGGTGATGGAGCTTCGAGAATTCGGTGTAATTTTGGATTCTTAACGGTCGATCTCGATGAGGTGCTGCAGGTGCTGGCAGTGAAGAAGAGGAATAAAACGAGGGTGATGCAATGCAATTGTCGAGTTGTGATGGATATAATGCAATGCGATGCGATGCGATGGACGCGATGCGACAGCGGGAGCAACAGTGAACAGCAGTGCACAGCAGTGCGATCGAGTGCTGTTGCGATCTGAGATGCGGTGACAGTTGGATGCACTAGCAAATTAGCCGAGCGTGTACTCCGAGGATATTCTACGAGAACCTCGCCTCGTCTCGTCTGTGAGAATGAGAAGAGTTGAAGAATGATTAAAAAGTGCAATCAGGCAAATAATTCCTGCACGAGCCAAGACCAGAGCTAGAAACCCTGAATCAAAGATCAAATGAGTCAGTGGATGGACGGCCATTTCCCCGTCAGGGGCATCTTTTCTTCTGCCTCAAAGCTGTCCTTGGAGGATTAGGGGTGATCCTGGGCCTTACAAGCCAAGAGAAGAACTATGCTGAACTTGGTCTGAAGGGATCCAGAGAATCTCCTTTCTCACCACAGACCAGGAAAAAAAAAAAAACCCAACATCTCATCTCATCTATAGGTCTCTGTGCAACAAAAGGCCCATGCAGGTACGAGCACAGGCACAGGCACAGGTACAGATGCTTTATTTGTCTATCTCAAAGTGGTGACAAGCTGCAGTCAGCCTCTTGATTATCTAGGTAGGTACTGTTGCATCTTGAGCTACCCGACAGAAGCGATATCTTTCGAAAAAGGAACCAATCCTCAGTTTGTCTAGCTCCCTAAGCTGATTCGGGCTGGACCCCTATATTCGAAGGTAGCAGCCATAAAAATTGTCAAATTACGTCAGAGTCTATTTATCGACTTGTACGGATACCGAGACAATCAATCTGTAACATGCGCATCGGGGAGCATTTTCCAACCTCGGTACTTGTCTTGTAGGGTAAAAATGTCTTGGTTTGTTGCTTGTTCCTGGGAAGAATTGTCTTCTAAGGTCTTCTTCTTTTTATCTGCAGCGTACAGTACAGTATCCGTATCCTCATGGCATTCTGACATGCCCCCACATTCCTCATGCAATTCGCTTTTTGGCCATTGAATTCTTAGATCAGGGGTGCAGTTGTCAACGCAAAGCTAAAGAAGGATTAAACCTCCGCTCAGGATGTTAGTGAATTGAGTTGATAAAATTTGTGGAAAGATTAGCCTGACCGAGCAGGTCGAACACAGAGCACCACCTAAAGTTGCATTGTGTATGATTGGGGTTTCTCTCTTTAAATATCCATGTCCATCTGCCAATTGCGTATTATATCGGTGGTTATGGTGGGTTGCACCAAATTTGAGCCAAGTCTGCATCTGTCACTGACAACTTGAATATCCAATCAGCATCCATTTTGCTGTCATCGCCATTTACCAAATGGAAGGTACGAATATCCGTAAACATGTATGATTCTTGCCGAAAAACATGTAACTACTCCCTAGGTACCTACCTACCTACTTCCATGATGCAAAAAGTGGGAAGGCCCGGTTCTGCACGTGATACTTACTCAAGCTCCCTTTCAGTGCTTCAGTTAGACACAACTTACACATCTGTGAAAAAGTGACATCTCCAGACAACTGTCTGAATCCAGACGGCCTCCCAAAAACAAGCTCGGAAACCGAATAATGAACCACCGGCAGGACGTGCAACACGGGGAGGGTCGTTGCTGGCCATCACAGGATCGTCGACCTCGATATGACCAGGGCCACTTCAGAGGCCAGCTCGACGCAGAGAACTCTACAAGAATCTTCACCGTATTGACTTACGCGTCTTCTGCTGCGAGATGACTTCGCTTCTGTACTTGACGAACCAGGAACCTTTACAGTATGTTGTGACGGAGGCCCAGCTTGAACCAGTCGTTCTATCTACAATTTCCACAGAGTCACTATTGAAGGAACTCATTTGACCGAACCATATTCGCCTCATTAACCTGTGCGACTGCAGTACCAGGCAGGCATCGAATGTGGCTTAGTTAACGAGCACTGCAAACCAGGCCAAGTGGCCGCGTTCGAGAAGGAAAGCCAACACTCTTATATCCAGTGTAAGGGCTCCGTCAACAGACTAGCAGCTGGCGGATACCGGACACTTCCACCCGGATATCTTTTGCATCGCGACGTGAGCCAATCGAGCGTTTTCCCGCCTCCCCATCAGAAGCGTTTGCTCTGCTTTCGCTTTATGAGTAATCTGCCTGGTCCTTGTCAATTTGCTTCTGGTTCGATGCTGCAGTTGCAGTTGCATGTTCCAGACGCGGTCGCCAATCCAATGGCCTACTAATCACACACACTTCGATGTCGGCGCCTAGAGCTGGCCAATCACAACCTCGATCCCCAGAATGAAGGCGGCTATTCCACACTCCTGGTTGCGCCAGGTCATTCAATTAACAGCCTATGAGCTATTGTTCAGCGTTTGGACCTCGAGGGCTTTATTTAGCCATGCAGCGAATCGATGCACGTTTCCTTATTGAGGTCCAATCATGATGCTTCGCGCCCTTGGCTCTGCTCAATCCTGGTGGATTTACTACTAACTGCAGCTCTACCAGCAACAACACTGCAGCTGCAGTTGTAACTGCGGGAGGTGGTATTATCGGCCGCATCCTCACTCTCTATTGACTGCTCATTCATGTGGTTTTATCTATTCTTCTCGCCTGTGATTCAATCTTTCACCTTTTCCCATTCTCTCTCTGCATTTTTTCTTATTGATTTTGCCAGTTCTTGACTGTGGATCGGCTTTTGTCATATCCCATTGTTCGGATTACTTTCCTTTGTTATAGTAACATTCATAACCAACTGGCTTGTTAATCTGTTCGTCTCATCGTTCGTTTTCAGAGAGACCGTCACCATCAATCAATCAACATCTCACATTCACTCATCATCTAAACAATCACTGTGTTTTCTTCATCTTCAAACCACAAACAGAAAGCTACCATCAACGGTATTCGAACCTAGCTCTATATGTCTGAACGCTAGTTACCGTTGCTCTACTTCCATTTCTTTCACTTTGACTCACTATTTCTATTCAAAAGAACTCAAAATCACAAAATGAGTAATGCAACTCAACCTCATGTGCCGGTGCACCCACCACCATACTCAGAAACGAACCCCCGACGCCGAGAGGAATGGGAAGAATGGGAGGACGATGAGCCTGTCACACCGATCGATGCCGGCGAGCAAGTCTTTCCTTCCCCTTTGAATGTATCATCTCGAAACTCGAAGCATTCGGCACGACGATCATCGAAGGCCTCCACTTCTAGAGCCAACCGGGTCAAGTCGCGACAAAGACAAAAAGCCCAAAACGCTAGGGCTGGTATCAAGCTTATCACGGACATGTCATCATTTCGGCGCCAAAACTACATGCCAACTCCAGTGGGGCGCACTGGCAAGTTCGTGGACGCTGCTGCGTTGAAGGCTTTGGAAGGAGAACCAACTTCGGCCTCAGTAGGAAACTGGAATTGGTTCAAGAAGAACAAAGACCAAAGCCCAGCAACAGCTTCGCCCCAGTCATCTGCCCAGCCAGCTCGTACTCCGGACAACAAGTTGTCACCGAATGATAGACCTATCGTCATTGGGCTGGCCTTTTCATCTGAAGATGCCGCCAGCTCTTCTCGGTATGATACCACCCCAACGCCCATTGAACCACCAACACACCAATACCTACCTCGGAACCCTGCTCTGAACCTGTCTCCCGCTCCTGTTCAGCAGAAGTCTGTTTGGTCACCCGACACGCCTGATACTGTGTCTTCATTCAGTACTATCCGCCACACCTCGAGTATCTACTCTCAGTTCCCAGCCCCTGGCACGACAACGATAGGCAACGTCCCGCCTGTACCAGCAGTTCCAGCAAACTTCAAGAAATCAGCTCATCAGAGACTCATCAGCCTGGAACTGGGTAGCAGAACCCCAGATGACTCTGATGGTGGTACTCCATGCACACTTTTTGAAGAAGACGGCACTTCGAGCCCACACAAGCAACCAAAGGGCAAGGCATCAGCACTGACGCCCGATAGTGCCGCTTCGAAGTCCCGTGGCTGGTGGGATCATCATGTTGTCACTCCCTTCATGGATAGCAGACTCACATTCACTACCAGCCCAAAGGGGTATACTGATTCACCAAAGAGTATTCGAGGGGACGAATGGTGGAACAAACAGGAGATAAAGGCTTCACATGGGGAATATCTAACACCGAAGTTGATTTCTGGTCCCTTTCAAACTCCCATCGTAAGAGCACCAACACCACGCCGGACCCCATCACCACGTATCGAACATACTCAAGAGAGTGAGTCTGGCCCTTCTACGGCGAGAGGATCTCCCATTCTTGAGGCGACACCCATCTCCGAGAAACCAAAAATTCTTATAACAGAGGAAGAAGACGGCGTTGGGGAACAACTGCCTGCGTACTCGCCTCAAGAGAAGAAGACTCAAACAGCTCCAGTCAAATACAAACCCGTCTTCCCACCTGGACATCCTCTTCAAAGCCAGTTCCCGCCATCGCCTGGTCCTATATCACCAGGACTCTCTTCTACCATGTCCTCCCAGCGAGCTGACCAAATGACCGATATCCCGCTCACACCTGCCCCTCGAGACAACTTGCGTCTTTCACAGATGCCACTTCCAACACGGCCGCTGGGTACCTCAGTACCTCGTGAGTACTCGCATGGTGATGCAGACCATGCGACCAAGGCCGAGCGTCAAAGGCGTCGTAATGAGAAAGAAGAGGCAGTTGCTCGCCGCTTTGGTGGGGCTTGGAGAGGCAGAGGATGTATTCCCAAGAGTGGCTGCTTTGGCCGAACAGGACGTGAGGGTCGTCAGCGCCGCCGAGTTTGGATGATTGTTCTAGGGGTTCTTCTCGCCATCATCGTTCTGTCAATCACATTGGGTGTTGTTCTGACCCGTCCCAAACATTCGGAAGAGGCGCCATCAATCTGGGTGAACTTGACAGATTTCCCACCCATGCCAACAGGAGAACTGTCGGTCGTTGGGCCGGACAATGTTATGGCCAGGAGCGGCTGCACTGAACCATCAACTTTGTGGAGCTGCTCTTTGCCGAAGGAACAGCACGACTCGGTGAAGCCTTATAAACCAGACCAGCCCACCATCCTCATGCAGATCCAGTGGGATAACAGCACCCGCGAGAACTGGAAGGTACCTAATGAGGACCCGCCTGCTCTGAAGAGCCGTCGAAGTATGGGGAGTGCGGCATATGCTGGAAGCACAATTCGAGCACGGCAGACGCCCGACTTTGAGCCTAGCCCTGATCCACCCAAGTTCCAAGAGATGTGGTTTCTAGGAAATACTTCGGATGGCATCAAGTCTGATGATAAGGCTGGTGAAGCAACACCCTTCTACATCAGCTTGATCGACTCGATCGACTCGATCGATCGCAAGGAGCTTACCAAGCGGCAAGATACAACAAACGAGAATATCAGTCTCCCTGAAGTTCTTCCATCGCCTGAACTCACAGAGGATGGTAAGCCTAAACCTGCTGTCTTGCTTCCCCAACCGACGCAACAGCCAGTGCGGCTCTATGACCGTGGACTACCAACCGAGCACTATGGCTTTTACACTTACTTTAAGCGAAGCCTTTTTGTCAAGTCAATAACGGTTGTTCGTAACGAGAGTCAAAAGGTTCCCTTGGACGAATCTGGCGGCAGCAGGGAGACAGAGGCTGACTATGTTGTAACATGGAGCGAGACACGATTGCTTGTTCAAATTTGGACTCAGTCTTTGGCCACGAACACATCAAAGCTGGTTGATCCTAAGGGGCAAGGCAGCATAGATGGTTCAGCGGAGCTCATTCGACCGGGGACAATGCCATACCCAGTAACAGTGACCATGGACACGCACGGGGGAGACCCAGGAAAGAAGTTCGTCTGGGCCTGGCCGATTGATGACAAACAGAATATTGATGAGGATAACCCCAAACTGCTGGCCAACAACATGGCAACCAGTGGCACGTGGATCAACAAGCGATCCCGCGGCGATGAAAAATTTGGCGGATTCGACGGCGGGACCGGAGGATGTCAATGCCAATGGGTGAATTGGGTATGAGGATATTTACTATTAACCTAATCTGATTAATGAATGATGGAGATGCATATGGCATCAGGAATGGAAGCATTGGAAGGGTATCGTGGTATATTCGAGCCCAAGGGCGTCTTATGTTGCTAGCTATCAAAATTTAAACAATTCAAATCTACGTCCCAATCTACATGTATATTAATATCGTTTGCTTGTTTTCCAATGTCTTACAATTCACTTATACTCCGATCGTCGAGGCTCCGGCCGGGGTGGGGGCCGGATAGCGGGGCCGTGTATCATATAATTTCCTACTTCACCTCATGATCTCAGAGAGTTGTCATGCTAACAATGCCACTCAACGTCGCGCAGATGCGCCCTCTTGCGCGTCAAGTTCATAAGAGAGCGCTTCTACGTCCCAGAATCAGCCGTAGCCGCCTTCTTACGACTCTTGCTATCGAAACATCTTGTGACGATACAGGCGTTGCTGTCCTCCGCCATACACCAAAATCCACAGAACTCCTCTTCAATGAACGCATATCTTCTGATAACCGTGCATTCAAGGGTATACACCCCCTTGTAGCGGCAAAGGGTCACAGTGCCGCTTTGGCGCCCCTTGTTCGTCGTGCGCTTGACGCTTTGCCAGTTGCTGAGGACGTGGATGGCAAAAGGTCCTGCTATGCTGGTGGAGTGAGAAAACAGATCCCGGATTTTGTGTCTGTGACCCGTGGTCCAGGAATGCGTTCAAATTTAGGGATTGGCCTGGATATGGCAAAGGGACTAGCCGTTGCTTGGGGCGTGCCGTTGGTGGGAGTTCATCATATGCAGGCTCATGCTTTGACGCCACGACTGGCGAGGGCCTTGGGGATGAGTATGGGCGAGACAGAAGAGTGTACGCAAGGACCAGAGTTTCCCTTCATTTCTCTTCTCGTTTCGGGCGGGCATACACAGCTTGTCCACTCGACGGGCCTCACTGATCACTCTATCATTGCTACAAGTGGTGATATTGCTATAGGGAACCTTCTCGACCAGACAGCTCGTGACATATTACCCGCTGAGATATTTGAAGCGAGCGAGCATGTCATGTATGGTCGACTTCTAGAGGCATTTGCCTTCCCACCTAATAGCGATATGACACCTGCCTACGAAGCTGTCTTTACACCACCAGCTTCTCGCTCCGCAGAGATGACTCCTCCGTCCACGGGCTACGAATGGGATGTTCCAACACCATTTAAACAAACTCGCAAGCTTGCATTGTCTTTCAGCAGCATCTACACACACGTCCACGACATTGCAGTCTCTAATCCATCCATGTCCATCGCCGAACGTCGCGCTCTGGCACAGCACACAATGATGGCAGCCTTCACACACCTCGCAGGCCGACTGTGCATCGCTCTAGACGACAAACCGGAGCTTCGCGCTGCAAAAACTCTTGTAGTAGCAGGCGGCGTGGCAAGCAATAAGTTCCTTATGCATGTTCTGCGATCCATGTTGGCTGTCAGAGGCTATGAGGGAATGCAGATTGTTGCGCCGCCTGTCGAGCTGTGCACAGATAATGCGGCCATGATCGCGTGGACAGGCATGGAGATGTTTCAGGCTGGATACGAGTCTGAGTTGAATATCACGGGGATTGGGAAATGGCCTATGGATCCTGAGATTGGAGAGGGGATATTGGGTGTTGACGGCTGGGTAAAAAGAGAGCCGAAGGGCTCGACGACATAGGATTCATAAACTTGTATCATCATCATGTATTGTATATAATACCCACAGGCATGGGCGGTTTGGACTGGATACTTGATTTAATATTGTAATTTTTGTTTCACTTTATGTAGATACCATCACCAGGCGTCAAGTCAAGTTAAGAGTTCTAGACGTTTTGTCTTTCAAGACAAAAAGCCATTGTTGTACATATTACACGGCCCATCTGGAGCTTCACGCCCTGTACTGAGCGAGTGCAAGCAACCCTCTCTATCATCCACGCTACGTTTGTCCGCAGGTTTCATCTCCTAGGTGGACAAGATGCCTCTGGATGTCAAGCCCCCGAGCCCTCTAATTCAACTCGCTTGTCACGTTAGTGAACTCGCCCTTCTCAAGCTTGGTCTTCCAGAAGATGGGGTTGGTGTCGTTGAAGCCGTGCTTGACCCAGCCATCCTCCTTAACGTGGTACAGGTTGATGTAACCACCAGAGTAGGCGTCTCTGTGGGTGGCAGCCAGGATACTTCGCCTTCCAAGCTCGAGAGCATCCTCATCCGACAGTTCGTACTTGTACTCGGCGTCAAGCACACCGTAGGCGAATGTCTGACCGGAACCGACACAGAAGAGGTTGCCCGCCAGACGAGTGCCATCGCTATCGACGTAGTAGAGGGCGGGACCCTCCTCCTTAGTGACACCAGCGCACATGGTACCCATGCTGAGGCCCATGCCCTTGTAGCTGTAGACGAGGTTGGCGAGGATCTTGCTGGCGGCGGCAACGCTGATGCGGCGCTTGTGTCGAAGCTCGTGCAGGCGGCACTGCATGCCGAGCCAGGCGAGCCAATACTGGCAATCTGCGGCACCACCAGCCAGAGTACCTAGCAGGACGCTGTTGATCTCAATGACCTTCTTGACGGTTTGCGAGGCGATCCAGTTGCCAGCCGTGGCTCGGGAGTCGGTCGCAACGATGATGCCGCCTTGGAAGCGGAAAGCGAGCGTGGTCGTTCCGTGGGCGATCTTGATAGGGCAGTTGGGGTTGGATCGGTCATCCGTGGCAGCGCGAAGCCATGATGAGGGCTGGAAGTAAAAATACAATCAGTATAACCGTTCAGAATACGAGGCCAGACCCTAGAAGTAAGAGCTCTGTGCTGGATAACCAACCTGAGCAACGGGAGGCATGGCAAACTTGAGCGAGAGATCACCCATGGAGCTTAGCAGCTCATCCTGATCCTCAAAGGGCTCATTCTGCTCGTACGACGGCCGGCTGTATTTCGAGACAAGGGAGTCCATAATGGCTGTATCGGAGAAGGAAGCAATATCAAGTTTTATCGACTTGTGGTTATTCGCCCTGGAGCTGGTGCTCTAGGAGTGCCTCAAATCGTAGAAGCTTTCGGTGGCGTTGGGAGAGGACGGAGGGGAGCCTTTCTCTGGTAGGAGAATATCGAGGCTGTCGAATCGTGATGGTTTCGTTATATCGTGATCAAGATTGGCGTTGTTGAGGTGGAGTTGATCGATGGATGATTAAGGCGGAGGTGGGAATAGAAGCTCTAGACAAGGAAGCTGAGGCTCAGGCAGCTTCCATTGCGCGCGTCAACTGAACCTCCAAATTCGGTACGTACCTCATTATGTGACGCTGTCTGGGGGCCTTGATTTGTGCCTGAAAATCGAGGCACCAAGTCCAACCACAGCGCACTGTGGTGCAGCACTGCAGTCCAAGTATCACTCACATCCAAATCACATCAACTCGTTGTTAAGACTATTTAACTTATTCATTGATCGCTTCTTAGGTCTCGTACTAAAGTTTCCCAAGTTTCTTGCTCCCACATCCAATTTACGCCAAAAAAAAAACCCATCATCCCAAGGATATCACTCACGCAATCCTTCCAGCCATCTGCTACAAGAAGCATATACGGCCAAGGTAGCAAAGGTAGGCATCCATCCTTAGAGGCCTCTTCGATTCATGAAAGAGCCCATTTCCTCGATCCTCCAAGGACAACCCACATATTACTTTAGATTTGCATCCGAATCAAGACAAAAGAAGAAAAGAGAGCGACTTGGAAAAATAACAGCAGGTATAGCGAGCATCAAACTTGAAGACTCGTGTGAAATAAAAACTCTCCTTTACCACCCAAACTACGAGAACATTATCTTGTTTAAGGGTTTGGTGTCGGTTCCCGGCTGTTTCGTCCCTCCCGCTTGCTCATGAAACTTCGGCGCATGTTGGCCTTTGGGCTATCAGGGGCCAAAGTTGACTCAGCTGGTTGGAAGCTGCTCTTAAGCATAACAGTTCCGCTGCCCACGGATAGTTCCTTGGCGACGGAAGAGCCTGACTCATCAACAAAATAGATGTGCTCGCCCAGGTCATCATCGCTACGCAATGTGTGCTGTCCCTTGGCCTCAATCTTGAACTGCGAGTCTGGCGAGCATGGGAATTTGAATGTGTCGCCAAAGGTCCATTGTCCACTGTTGGACTTGAAGTGCTTGGTCTTACCCACTGTCTTCTCCTTGGGACTGATCTGTGTGATGATGACGTACAGGTCAGAAGCAGGAGGGAATCCTGACGCTTCGACAACAGTAAACGAAGCAGTGCCGCTTGGCGCAGCTGCTGGGTTGCCGCTGTGGGAAGATGCCTGTCCAACACTCTTCGCTCGAGCATGACCGTTGCTGGTAGAGGGCCGAGCACGGGGCGGGCTGTCTTCCTCGTTAATAGCGGGTGATCGGCGAAGACCTCCATTGGTACCAGCAGTGCCGTTAGAGGTAAGAGCTTGGGGCTCAAAAGCCTCGCCGTCTTCCTCCATAATGTCACCGTTGTTGTCCTTCTTGTTGAAGATGCCACGACGGAGGAACGAAGCTCCTCTGCCAACACCATGGCCGACAACTCCTGCCACAGCAGCACCACCCTTGAGAGGGGCGCCAGCAACACCAGTGACGATACGTCCAGGAGTTGAGGCGAAAGTGCCGCCGAATGTGGAGGTGCCTTGTCGTGCTCGCTGAACATAGCTAGGCCGGAACAAGAGCCGGATGCGAACGCTTCCTGACTTGCCATCGAGGAGATACTTGGTCTCTGATGGTCGGAATGGATCCAGAGATTCAAGGTTGATATCGGCGCCACCCAGAAAGTCAGGCTTGTCGGCGAAATCATAATCCCACACAGTAAGTTTGAAATGCGCGGCGGTTCTTGAGGGGACATTGACCTCGAAGTATTCGTTCCATGTGGGACTCAATGTCTTCTTCTGCACCTTGGTCTTGTGAATCTCCTGGTCATTAAGCTCAAACTTGCAGTAAGGATCACTCTTGCCATTGCGATCAGCCGAAGGTAAGTCAACAGCATCGAGAACATCAACACGCAGTGTGCCCATGTTATTAATGCTCTCACTTGGGTCAAGCTGCATCTTCACTGGGATATACTTCAAGCTGACCTTGACGCTCGCAGGGCGCCCGTCCTCGCTCTTGAGCTTCAGAATTGTCGGGTTGTTCTAGTTAGAAGAGTTAGTCTATTTGACTTTTATCAGGAGATTCAAATTAAGCCTTACCAAACATTGCTTGAGCGTCTCCAACGTGTTGCCCGCGAGCGAGGCCATGAGATCGTCCTCATCATCGCCCTTCTTGCGAGCCCGAAGCGTCAAGCGAGAGAAGTCAAGCTCACGGATGAAGCAGTCGCCAATCTCCTCGAACTTGTGATGCTTGCTACGAGCAGTTGAGGAGATGTAGGACGGGTATGCCATGTCGTCTACAAGGACCTCCAGAAGTCCGTGGCTTTCAGGCATCTCGGCCTCCATGAGCCTGAAAATGAGTAGACCACTCTCGTACTTGAGAAGCTCCTCGGGGGAGAGCCGGACCTTGCGAGGACCTTTGGGCATATCGATGGAGGGGCGGCCCACTGTTGTAGGTGTAGGGGGCTCCAGATAATTCTCAGCGGGCTTGCCCAAGCTGGCGTTGAACTTGCCAGCTTCGCTAGATCTTTGCTGGTTGAGGGAAGGCTCCTCTTCGGATGAAGAATCTTTGTCCTTCTGTGATTCTCTCTCCTTCTCCTTCTCCCGCTCCTTCTCTTCCTCCTCCTCCTCTTCAGGATCAGCTACATTGAGACAAGGGTAGAAGGCCACGGTGTAATGCAGAGTTCCCTTGGCAATGCCCTTGCCATGTAGACGCAGACCATCTTCACGAAGCTCCTTCTTGTCGTGAACAAGGTACTCGCCAGTCTCGTCTTGCGCAACATAATCGGCAGAGAACACCTCAACCATTCCCAGGCTCCGGTCCTTGCCAACCTTTTCTGTATCCATCACTTCCAACGCAAGTCTGTCACGAGCTGAATGGATGGGCACATAAAGAACCTCGTCCCACTCAGGGTTGAGATCGTTTCGGAAAGTGACAGTTCGCGCCTTTTCGATACCAGAGAGCAGGATTCGTGTGTACGGATCTGACTTGCCGAACGCCTCAAAGTTTCGGAGATCAGTGGCTTTCTTGAAGTGAAGACGCATAACACCAATTGGTGTGACATAGCCACCGGTGCTGGCCACACCAGAAATGGCAACTGGCCTCCACTGAGCCATCATCTTTACGCGGCCAGTATGGGCACCGTGCAAGTTGTACCACTCCTTGCCCTGTTCCATGCACTCGAGTATCTCGTCAAGCTTGATTTGGTATTTTCCAAGAACTTGATCACCTGCAAGATCGCGGTCATCCTTGATTGTGAGTCCAAGTTTGGCCTTCTTTCGGTCCGTGATGAGAATCTCCTTTGAGCCATTGTCCCAGATAGGGTTATTGGTACGTTTCAACTTCTTGGTCTGATGCACCTCTTTACCGTTCAAGAACATGACCGCGTATGGGTTGAGCGACCCTACAAGGCTCTTCGTGCCATCCAAATCCTTGGCCTGCTCCACAGTGAATCGGAGAATACCCTGGTTGGAAGGAGGCGGAGGCTCGTCTTGTCCCTCGGCATTCTTGACAGTTTCGAGGACGGGGAAGAAACGAATATCACAGGTGACAACACCACGAGCCTTGCCGTTGGAAACGACCTCCAATCTTTGGTTCTCGTGGACATTGAGCTCTTCAATGCTTTCCAAGGGGAAAGAGGCAACACCCAGCTCCTTGGACTTGCGGAAATCATTATGGTCGAAGACCTGCATATCCAAGGAATCATTGAAGGAAGTAACGATGATGTAGTGAGTCTCGTTCCATCTGGGGTTGGAGTTATCCGGAACGACCTTGGTTCGAGCAAGCTCCTGGCGTCGGTTTAAACTCAATGAGGCATAAGGATCGATAGTTCCGCCGAAATTGTCACTGTTCTTCAAGCCCTGTGCACCATGGAGAGTCACCGCGATAACACCAATGGCCTGGTCAACGGGAGAACCAGCCAACATCTTTGCGACTTCAATAGGGAAGATGTTAGGGGCGTACATCATCGGGGCCAAGTTGCCATGAATTTGCTCCTGAATGAACTTCTCCAAACCGGGAATGAAGTTGATGTCGAAACCAAAACTATCACCACCAAGAGGTTTGCAGACGTAGTCGATGGTCGGTCGCTCCAAGAAGCACATTTCAACACGGTCGATGTGAGGGAAAGGAATCTGCAACTTGATCTTGAGGCGCATGATGCCAGAGAAAGCCATATCTTCGACAATAACGTCGAGACCCTTGCTGATCATGGCTTTGCCGATTCGGATCTCGAGTACGACCTTGGGGTTGATTTTGTTTTCCTTCTGGCGAACAGTCATATCAGCGGTATCGTTGGGGGTGAAGCTAAATTTCCAGTCCATCATGACAACGTCGTCCTCGGTCTTGGGATAAGTCTTCACATGCTCCATACGAGGAGGCTTACTGCCCAAAGTAAAAGTCTTGAGCTTGAGACTGTCGAGGAACGAAGGAGTGGCAGAGCTTAGAACCTGGTCAACAGAGTTGACGATTGTCTGGGCAAGCACAGGCTGGTAAATGGGCCAGAACTTGACCATGAACGAGTTGATCCATTCAAGTGACTCGTTGTCGCTATCGAGTCTCTTCATAGCCAATTCGCGAGTGATATCGTCTCGGAAGTTACGTCGTACCCTTCGAAGAGATGTTCGGTAGTAGGTCGAGCAGAATGCCATAACGATGATGATCCAGCCAAGACCGCCGCCCAAGACGGCAACAAGCCAGGAGCAAATGCATGCGAAGATGATTATGCCGGTGTTGTGGTACCAGTCTGCCTCCGTCAGTGATTTGTATGCGCATACTTTGCCAATTTGAACGTACCGCCGTATAGAGTATCCGGAAGCTTTCCCTCAACCCATGTCGCGTGATCTAGGAGACTATCCTGTTCGGTAGCATCGTCGGCTGGCCATCCCATTCGTGGTGACCATCCCGTACGTGAGTAAGGGACCTCCTCGGCCTCAGGGTCGGCGCCATCTGCGAGCGGCTTGCCTTGTTCGTCGCGGGCGACATCCAAGACTCCCTCTTTGGTGGGTTCTGGCAGGTCTTCGACGGGACCAGTGCCATCGTCGACGTCAGTGATAATCGCAGCGCCCTTGGGCCGTCTGCTTTGCTGAAGCTCCACCGGAATGGCCTGCGCACAAATCGCGTTAGTTCAAGGTGGCGGTTGCAAGAGTAGAGGGGCATACAGCTTGAGCTTGAGCTTTCTTCTCCTCGGGACTCGCATCGGGATCGAAAGTGAAGGCAGCAACACCAGCGTTCCGGGATGACTCTACGATCTTCCTCTGGGCATCGTCTGCGGTGACAGAAGACTCAGGATCCGCGGCAGCTTCAACAACACCTTGCTGCTTCAGCTCATTCACTTCCTTTGCGGTTGACATGATGTCTCGTTCTAGCAGCGTTGCTGCGGTTGCGGTTGGAACGTGCTGCTACGAGGAATTTCGATGGTTGGCAGCTTTCAATTGATTGTAATTCAAACTCTATGATGCGTCGCGAAGCATGCAAGCTGCAAGATCGATTTCGAACGGCCGTTGTGATCGTGGAGGTTGACTGAGGCAGCAAGGTTATGAGGCCTCGGTAGCTGGAAACTGAAAGCTGGTAGCTCGCAGCTTGGACAGGACCTGAGCTAACGTTTGGGTTAGGTTGCCTTTTAGTTTGTTTACGTGCCGAGCTGGGAGCACCAGCAAGACGAAGGCAGGGAGGTGTAAGTTTGAGGATAAAGGAAATGGAGAAGAAGAAATGAAGAGGGAAGAAAAGGGAAAGGAAGAGAAAGGTAACGGGATGCGAAGTAAAAAGAGGGAAAGGCTAAATTCAAGACAAGACAAGTAAAGTAGAGCAAAAGGATGTAAGAAACCGAGCCAAGGGATTGGAAGGTGGAGGAAAGCCTGGCACAGGCAGAATGACAAGAGTCAAGACGAGCAGTCTAGGTCTAGACATGGAAGACCAGGTTGTGCAACTGCATGCAACTGCAACTACAAGCCCAAGCACAAGCACAACCACTGTCCCGCAGCTTCAGCTTGTGCAGATCGTGAAGCACAGGGGAGCTGATGAAGTGCAGGTACTGATAGAGTACTGTGTCTCTGGATATTTATGACGCTAATATTGATGTAACTTTCAAGTAGCTCTCGCTAGTGGGAGGGAGCTAATTTGTGGCTTCCAAGGGAAATTGAATTGAGGCAGTCGAGAGTTCGATAGACAGCCTGGCGTCTGGGCACCCACTGATCGGATAGTGGAGCTGAGCTCACTGAGGTGCCTGAGCTTGAAGGTGATTGCGGGCCGAGAAATGGGTGGATCATCATCGGGCGCTCCTGTAAAGGGCTCGAATTTTACGAGATGGAGTTTGGATATTTGGCCTCAACTTCTCAATCATTATTTTGATAAGAATATGAAACTCTTGACATTCTATATGAGGCAATCGCCACTTTATTTGCTTGTCCAGTAACCCATTGCAGTCGTGTCACAGACAAAGAGCATTGCTCCATAGCTCATCCTTTATCACGTCCATTTGTTGGTTACCTGATAGTATGATCCTACCTGATTACCCTGCTCCTCCTCTCCAGATAAGGGAGAGAGGTAATTGTTTACAGTGCTAGTCAGAGCGAATTATTACTTGTTTCTGCACCCAAGAAACATGCAATTATTCCGAATCACCCTATCCCAATTAAGTTTTGACGAATCCCCCTCTCCCCTCCAATCCCTGGCCTTCTGGCTTCTGGTTTAGACCCCTGCCGCGCTGAGAAGCTACCTACCTACGTAATTGATGGGATCCAGGTCTGGGGGAGCTCGGCTTTGCTTGTGACGGAAGAATACAGTGGGCCAAGCCCTTGAAGCGACCCTGGCTCGTGGGCTTTCCAAGATCGGAGCTCCCTGAAACCCCTGCTCCTTCTATCGCTAGCTCGGCTGAGATTACGTAGCCACTGAAGGTTGGTGAATTTCTTGTTAGACGCTCAGTGCTTGTTTGTTTAGTGTTTTTGTCTTGGAGTTTTGAATTCATGGCTCCTGTTCCATACCTACCTAGGCAACATAGTTGATATGTGGCCAGTGTGAAACACTTTGCTGGCACAACTCGATGCTTGAGACGGCATTTTTGTCATTTGACTGGCTCATCTCGAACAAATAGCGTTCCCTTGCGTGCAATCTCGCCTCTACAGTCCACGTCTGTCATACCGACTGATCGTTGCGTGTCTACACTCTATAGTAGGCCACGATATCCATGAAAAGGAGTACGAAATACAAGCAGTCACACACAACATGCCTGTTAGCTCACACTGTCTTTTACTGATTGTCTGATCAATATCGCCTTCACTTGCATTTGAAGCCTTCCCCATTCTCTCACTCACCTGCATATGTGTTTGCACAGCCACACTGGTCGACCTGAACACTACCTTAGCTTGAACTAGTTCAGACCAGGGGATCCCGATAATGTTTTGGTCTGAATTCTTAGTTGTTTCTGTTCTGAAGTACTTTCCTTGTTTCCATTATTGGTCAATTCGGTAAACGCCGTCTTGTACATTATTGCCTCAAGAATGAAGCCTAACAGTTCCGATCCCGTCTCAAGAAATCAAACATCATATTTATTTGCTTTCCGGAATTGCTTCGTAGGAATTTGCAGTATGAAGACTCAAAGCACTTTTAGAAAGCAGCGATTGGTGGCTAGTGCGAATAACGGTTCTACGATATTCCCTTCCTTACGGATATTCACTACCCTATTGCTCTGTTGGACAAACAAAATTCATCAACAACAAAATATCATGACTCATCCAGATAAAGCAAGTGTTTCGTCTATGGATTCTCATACATACAACTTCCAAACCTGTTGAGTTCTGGCTTCATGAGCTTCTTTCCCGTCTCCCAGAACATGGAGGTATTATCAATAATCTTGAGTACGAGCTAACATGATACGCCCATGGCTTTTGACCTGGCGTCAACAATCACCAGTGAGTTATAATGATTCTCTACCATCAAACGGATGCTAAAAAGTCACAGACCCGGTTTTTTTATCAACTCAACTCCCGTCGTTTTCTGACCAAAAGTTATGGTCCAAGTCAATTTGTTGGCAGAAGGTCCTCGTTCACTCCATCGCCCCAACAACTAGAGATTGCAAAACTCTGTGCAGTACAGAACGTCGTGGTATCAGCAAGGCCTGGCTCAGGAAAAACAGCCACGATAGAAGCCATTGCGGCTGCCCACCTTGACAAACGGATTGGTAGTATTCTCTTCTCCAAGAGACTTCAGAGTGAAACATCTCATCGTCTCAAAAAGTACACCAACAGCGATGTATTCACCTTCCATGGCATGGCTGGTGTCCTTTTTGATAAAACCATACGGAATGATGAAGAACTCATCAGACGACTAGAAAAGGTCGAGCGTGACGGAGTGCTTCCTTTCTGGAACACTGATCCCTTCGACATAATTGTGCTGGATGAATTTCAAGACTGCAACCCGGAAACCTTTTGGCTGGTTGAGTGTTTCATTCGAGCGAACAACGTCAAAAAAGGGGGCAAACCTGCACGTATCGTCGTGCTTGGTGATGAGCGTCAATCCATTTACCGCTTCCGCGGTGCCGACCCCCGTTACCTTACTCTGGCTCCCGAGCTGCTGGGCCCAATAAGCCCATATCCATTCACCGAAGTTCAGCTAGGTAAAAGTTTTCGGTTATCTACGTCGACAGTCCAGTTCATCAACCAAGGTTTCCTCAATGGCGAGCAGTACATCACAAGCTCCAAGAGTGGCCCCAAACCCATTGTCCTGAGATGCAACATTTGGGACGACATTTCTGCGTTAGCCAAACAACTGTCACCTCTGATTTCTCGTTACGGCCCTGAGAACTGTGTCATCATAGCACCCTCAATCCGAACCAAAGGGCCACTGCAGCCTCTAACAAACATGCTGGCTCAGACATATCGCATCCCAATATCTGTGCCTACCGACGATGAGACCCCTTTGGATGATCAGGTGATCAAAGGAAAGATGTGCATTTCTACCATCCATCAATTCAAAGGCCGTGAGCGTGCACTGGTCATTCTTCTCTCCATCGACTCTTCTTATTTCAGGTATTTTGGTCGTGACTTGCCAGACGACAAATGTCCCAATGAAGTGTTTGTGGCCTTAACCCGCGCCCTAGAACAACTTGTTTTGATTCACAACGAAGACAACAAGATGATGCCTTGTGTATCTGTTGATTCTCTGTACAAGACAGGCAAAGTTCTGAACATGACAAATATTCAATCAGAAATCCCACTGCCTGACTTACCTGGTCGAGCTTTGGAGCTTGGGCTTCTGCTTCCGATGACTTGTGGAGCCCGTGAAATGACACGATATATCCAAGGAGATGCTCTCGACAAGGCGGTCAAACGTCATGTCTCTGTCCGGAGGCTCCCACCGCGCCTCTCCGGTCAGAGACTAATCGACATACAAAGCGTGGTACCCTCGAACAGGGAAAAGAAGTTATACGAATCGGTAAGCGACATAAATGGCCTTGTTATTGCCGCGGCTTTGGAGCTTGAGGTTGCAGGAACATTAAATTCGTTGGGAGTGAGCCAGGAGAAAGTCGATAAGAAGTCCTCAAGCACTCTGGAGCAGCTTATTCCCTGGCTTTGTCGGCTTGCTTGCGAATACGAGGCTAAACTCTCTGGCTATCAACCGCGCGTAATTCAGATGGAAAACCACAGGTACGACTGGATCAAGCCAGAAGACTTTGACCTTGCTCGAAGGCGGCTCGGTGAAGAGTTGACACAATCCGTCGAAAAACTTGATTTCGAAGTGGAGATGAAGGAACCCTTTCATGTTAAAGGTCAAAAAACACAACTCATGGGTCGAGCAGATATCGTCGCCACTTCCCCTTCTGACAATGACAACGAAGACGAGGGTGACAAAACGATATGGGAGATCAAGTTTGTCTCGAAACTCTCCAACGAACACATCGTACAGGCGTGCGTCTATGCCTACTTGTTAGGTTCAACATCTGGGAAGCTGCCACGAATCATATTGTACAATGTGCGAGATGGAGATAAACGTGAGATCACACCACGAAATGGACTCGAGGGGCTTCGACAATTGATCATAAGTGTTCTTAGACTTCGATATACGAATACTGGAGAGCTCAGCCACGAAGAGTTCATCGAACGTTGCGCAGAAACAACGCGGAAAGTCATGAGCCTGAGTGGCGGGTCATGATGAGTCTTGAACATGTTCAAGTAATGCATTATCATGGTGACACTTATGGGAGCAGAGTATGGTCGGGGATTACACAGATAACACATAGCGATTTAACATAGATGTCAGCTATTCTGGCATAGCCATAGGAACCACTTAGGTTAAAGAGAGGTTTGTACAATATTTAGAGAATACGTGGCTGAGGTTAGATGAATTATCCATAACATTTAACAAAAAACTAGTGACTTATTTACTAACCATATTAATACCTATCGTCTGTCCATGTTTACTTTTTTGGTCGCCTACGGCTGTTTCTCGACATAATTAGAAAACATAGTCAAACAAGTATGTGAGCAACTTCATGGCGCATGCGATCCATCTTTCATGTTCATCTAATATCCTTGCCATCAAGTCAAGAGAAAAGGGTGGGCAGTTTAGCCTCATTCTAGGCTTCTGACTTTCCTCTCTTTAGCTGGGAACAAGGATCTAAATCTTGGATTTTGATACAGACAAGGATCCCGTCATGTCATGTTGAATGCAACCCCACGCGACAACGAGAACAAGTTTGTCACCGGAAAAGCTGGCGAGTCTGGTAATAGAAATCCAACGACATTGGTATTCTCATCTCATGGCGCTGAAGGACCTCTGGTTCCTACTTTATTTGTTCAAACATCCTTATCCAGAATCCCAACTCTAATGAATGAAGGTACAAGTGGCCTTGTCAGGCGCTCGCCCAACTCTAACAGCATGAAAGACAGTATCAGCCAGACCCAGAATCCGTAACGCCGTTCCCATATGCAATTCTCCTCATCAACTCATGCCTTCTGAACCCATGACTATTCTAGCTTAATACCCAAACCCGTCATGTTGGTGCACAGGACATCGTCCTGGGTGCTTGACAAACCATGACGAGATGCACGCTCGATGGAAACGACACAAACATTCCAACCGCGCCATGGCAACTCCTACAGTGAACTCCTCGAGACAAATGGTGCACTCCGCATCGTCGATGCAATCCTTCTCCGTGGCTATGTACGTATACATGCCAGTCCGCCGGGGTGCAACTGGTGCTCCACCTTCCCCGCCGCGGGGTGTGCCATACGTGCTGTGCGTCTGGATGCACGTCGTGATGTGAGCCTCGCGAAGATCTTCAGCGTTTGGTAAACTCTGTGAAGGTAACTCTCGATGACAAATAGGACACTCGTCTTCCTCGGCAATCTGAGGAGTGGGCGGCAATGCCCGTTGTCTTGATGACTCTCCCAATGAGCTATATCGCTCTGGATAAGAAGATGGTGAGGCAGCTTGTGCCCCTGAGAGAAGACGCTCAACAGGTGTCTGATGAGTACTAGTACGTCTTCTTTGTGAAATTCCGGGAGAAGAACCACCTGAGGTTGATCCCTGAGTGATTGTTAGTTATCTTGAAGCAGATCAAAAGACTGGGGAAATTACCATTGTTACGCTCCTCATCCTTGGAGTGAGGTATCGATATGGATCACCACTGGTGCCTGGAGCAAAAACTGCACCATGCCTATTGGACGACTGTAATGTCCCATAGGCATTCCCAATACTGCTCCGTGATCTATGATGAGAAGATCTTGGCGATAGGGTCGCTTGCTGACTCGGACTCTGCGGTGGCGCTGTGTTCGGGTCGGGAACGCATGGGTTACAAAGCCTCACCCGTTCACCTCCTGACATATCGTTTATGTCGAAGTATCCAGCTCCCAGTGCGTCGACGAGCAGATCATGGTTGACCATCATCTCGGTGCCAGGTGGTCGGACGATATACTGGTGTGGAATGATGATCCTATGCGGCGAACAGGCATTGCATACGACTCTTCCGCATTTCCTAGTCTGATCAGCATATGGTCAATGTTTAAGAGATACCTGACTTACCTGCAGTGATGCTTTCGTACGAAGAAGCTAAATTGTGTATGGCAGATAGGGCAGTATGTGACTTCATTGTCGGGCTGCCACCTAGGTCGTTGCGGGTCTAGAGATATCGAGGGATGAGCAGAACGTGGGAGTGGAGGAAGGGCCTCCTCCAAGGGTCTGAGCGATGGCAAAGGTGCATCCATCCTTTCACGAGACGGGGTCGCGTGTGTTCGTTGAGGTCTTTGCGAAGATGTTGGGCTTGTGCCGCTTGTGCCGCGACTAGGCCTGTGTCTATGCTGCGGGCGGTCGGAAGTAGCACTTGGTGACTCGGGTTCAGACCGCCTATTGTGTGAGCTGCTCCTAATGTCGGTTGAGTTTGCGGCCTGTGGTGTGTCTGGCGAAGACTCCGGGTCCTGAGCCAGTGGTGAGCCTGAAACATCGTCTACATTTGTCGAAGGGTCGCTTGTAGCAGAGGCGGCATCTCTGTCATCGTCCGTTTCGTTGGTGGATGTCGTTTGCGCATTTTCTCTGTTGATGCCGACTTGCGCAAGCTCTTGATCTGAGAAGCGAGCCGTTGGTTCACTAGGCTGGTCCTGTTCGTTATTGGGGTGAAGTCTCTCGTGCGAACGGGAACTGTGGATGGATTCTTGATCTACTGAGCCGTTTTCCGATAAGCTCCGCTCTATGGAGTGTGATGGACAGTCGAAATATCGCGAGCATTCTTGGTGATGAAATCGAGAGGTTCGCCAGGGGCATATCGGATGGTGTTGGTCATCTTCGTCCTGGCCGCTGAGGTCGTTCTGGTCGGATTCGTGTTGGTTGTCATCACTGTGGAACGACTGTGAACTCTCGGAACTGCTCAAGATGAGGGCGTCGTTGTAGTCTCTTGCAGACTCAGAGGCGAACTGGCCTGAAGCACCCAAGGGGCTGGCCATAGTAGCTCATCAGGGCTTGGCTGTTGAATAGGAAGTGGTTGGACAAAAAGTGTAGCTTTTCTCTAACGGAACGTGGAGCTTCGGATTTGATTTATATGTGGGAGGTTCGACCGTAGGTTTGCGGGTAGATAAAGAAGCGAGAAAGTAATTTCAGGGTTGAAAGCGGTCTGTACTTGTATTATTGCCTATATAGCTTTGCGATTAGAAATTGGTTGGTTTAAAGGTAGGCTCGCATGATGCATGGTAGCCAGGATGTTGAACGTCTCGGAGATGCAGCAGAAATGTACGCACCGAGTTGAGGGGAGCAAGAGTAAGAGGTGATATGACGTGAAGATGATGTATCTGCGGTGGGAGAGAGAGAAGAAGAAGAAGAAGAAGAAGAGAAGCTCTCTGTAGAAGAGATTCGAGCCAAGTGGAATTATTTGCCTGTCGAGTCAGGTTAATTACTCGATAGATGCCTTAGTCAAGATTTAATAAGTTAAGTTAAGTTAGGTAAGTACCTAGGTAGTTGTTGGTTCCGAGTTGGAGAAACGTCCAGGCTTCGTTCGTCCTTCAATCCTTCCAAGGGACCACCTGAACCTGGACTTGGACCTGGACCTAGGCCTTGGCTTGAACTGGGCTGGGCTGGGCTGGCTACTGGGCTGAGGATGAGCCAGAGCTGCCCGCCCCGTGCCCGCCCGCCAAAATAGTGGGGGCCGCTACTGATTCGCCCACGCGATCACCCTTGCATCATCCATCACCTATCACCTATCAGCTATCGCCCTCTAGAAACCCTTGAACCTCTAACGTTGAAGTAGGCTAAAGCAGCAGGTTATCAGGTGCCACTTTATATTAGATCTAGACTGTCAACCGGACCCTTTATAATTATTCTTATTATCGTCGCTTTCTTAGTCAATGCAATCTCATCTTGTGGTCTAACGGAGTAATTACCCCAGGATAATACTTCCTACGCCCCTTTCTCGGTATTACATATACCGATACCCCAGACAAAGTGTCTTTAGCAACCTTGCTGTTCATACCAAATCGACAACTTGGTCTATATCCTTGAGGGACTCAGTTCATCACTCAAACTGCCCGCATCCTCCCTTATAGTACCCTCATTCCCCATTCAAGGCTCACTCACCTGAGGAACAAACATCATCCAAGGTCATCCCATGTCATCCATATTGATCTGTTAATACGTTGCACCACGCTTAACTGCCACATTCACCCGCTTCTTCACACCACTTTCTTTCAATTGAAGCACCAGTTGCATATCGTCTTCGACTACAGTACCATGATCCATACTGGCGGTCGATGTATATCCGATAGTCTATGCGGAAAATCAACAAAATGAAAGACTGAATCACCAAAGACGAAGAAAACTTGAGAGCTACCAACCAAGTTCCGATATCGGCATTGTTCAAGGTAACCTCCTGAGTGATGTAACCGAGTTGAAGGTGCAGTTGGCGAGAGGAGTCAAGTGCCGATTATGGCTTGTTCAACATCGTAGTGTCCAGTAATGAATAAATTTACCTAGGAGTAAGTTAAAAAGTGAAAGTTATGTTTTTATAGATGAGTTGGCCTCATACATATGAATTGTGATGGCCAACTCAAGACTGGAACATTTTTAAGGGGCAAGTTCAAACGTTTACAACCTTCATCAAGTCAGCATGTCACTTACATCTTACGTATGCGATAAGTTTATTCTTATGACGTTCTTGTATCTCTTTCGATCACTTACCCAAGCCTGGTCTCCCTGTGACATGTAGGTCTGTTGTATCAAATGGTACAGGTTAACGCAGAGTCAACTTGCTCCATTCCACCTCAATCAGAGGACATAATACGTACCGTCTCGGCCAAATCTAAACTCGATCTTCTGTGTTGGTCGATATTCCCCTGTGTAGAAATGGTATCAACCTTCATAGGTGGATATCGGTCGATATTGCATACACTCATTCCTACTTTTGTAGGGACTCGCTCATAGGGCTGCCTTCTCAAACATGTTAGCACAAAGTGCGACAGCTGTCTATATCACCTCCGTCACCGGGCCAGGGGCCAGGTTATTGAAATGCATATTTGTGGATGGCTTGACGTGTCCAGCGAGATCAGATCCATCTATACGCGCTTTCTTGATGAATGAACCCGACGCTCTCCTCTTAGCCCTTGGGTGTAGCATGTTAAATTGGTGAGTAGCTAGTTGGCGCAAGGGGAGAAACCACTGCCATTGCGTAAATGTCAAGGATTCTGTTTTACTCGTTGGACCAAACTGCCCCTTGATCAGCCCCCAGAAGCACAAGAATGTTTCGACAATAGAGTCACGACGGAGAGGATTTTCTTTAGGTAATTCTTATGACCGGCTGTTTCTATTAGCTGACATTCCTCTGTATTTGTGTATACAAGTTGAATGGATGTGATGATAGAGTGAGCATTCGTTGGACTAAACCATGTTTCTTTTCAGGTTTTGTGTTGTTTTTTAGGTATGTTGAATCGGATAACCCTACGCGAAACTTAAGCTTATTAGACTTACTACCAAGCATAAGTTTCCACTATGCAGTTTGGTGCCCTCACCGTGCCCTCACCACGAGCCGCTTCTCTCATCAGGTTTCCTATTGAGCCCCTTGAGTGAGCCATTCAGAAACACTACGGGTGAGAGTGGTTTTGTCTCTCTCACTCTAAGAGCGCAGGATAACAATAGCCACCTTCACTCCGCACATGGTGAGATGTGCAGTGTTTAATAGAACTCATGATCGTCTGTGAAACCAAGAAGGTTACACAAACCCAAGGACCATCTTATAGTCATGAACTAGTATAGACAATGCTAAGCACCAACAACTTCACATTCACCTTCACCGCTGAGATAATCCAATTCCATCCCTTCAAGCCTCATCAGGTGACGGCAAACGCCGCTACTGCATGCATTACGTGGACTTGTAAAATGAGGCATTCGCGGCTCGCCATGGTTGATCGTTTCTACACCAATAGCACCAAAGCTGTTGACGCCATCAGACGTTGACGGACTGGTTAGCTTGCTATGTTATGCAGGTCCAAATCACCATAAAGAAGCATCACGATATTGGGGGGATGGATTGTCTTGGCACGGCTGAGTCGGCTTGGAGGACAGTGTGGTGTTTCAGACGATGGTGAATCTTACGAGGCCTTGCTCTCCATATAGCAATCAGATAAGGAAAAAATAGTGCAACAAGACAAGCCACAATTAATCATGAAAGAAGTAGACGTACGCAGGTACGCAGGTACAGCCAGACGTAATAGTTAGTTTCATGGACGGATCCCTCGAATATGGAGACTGAGTACGTACGCAGCTGATGGTGCTAACAAGCTGCTAAGGTTTAGCTGCGGACATTTCCTTGTCCTCGCTCGCTGTTAGACCCTGGCCTTGCGAGCCATGGCCACTCTAACGGTGCGTCTGCTTACGACGACAATGTGAGTTTTGAGTATCGAAGCCCGTTGATGGTGGTTTTGGAGAGTAGAGCTTTGACTACTGACGCGGTTGGCTAATTGGGCTCCAATATCGACGCCGGAGTATGATCAGAAAAGGGAATAGAGGTTTTTTTTCCGTTTCTCTCAGCTTTGAGGCTGTAGGATGTAGACCCATTAAAAACGTCGTGAAAAGTCGCCTTTTTTCCCTCCTACGTACTATTTCCCTTTGCGATTGCGTCTGGCTTGTCACTAATCCTTGCTGGTTCTAGTTCCTTTAAACCTTTTATACTTCTAATACTCTCTCTACCACGGCCAATCATCGTTTTTGCGACTCAAACCCCGTCTGGTAATATATTATCCATCACTATACCCGGCACTTAAATTGATCAACAGCCCTACAGCAACTATCTACTATTATTCCTATATCTACGGATACACTTTTGGTCAAAACATTGCTCACACTGCATTGTTTTCCCCATTCACAACTCAACACTCATCAAATCAATGTCATAGTCGATATAATTACAGGCTCTGTCAGGCCTGCAATTGATCTTTAGCTGCGCAATGGCTGGTCCTTTGCCCTCTTCGTCAAATCTTTCTCACAATATCGACCCTTCTCCCTCAGACTCAACCCCAGCGTATGCCTCTCAGTCATACCCTCCCCCTCCTCCCGTACCCTCTTCATCCTCAACAGACGCAGCGAGTGACGCTACCTCCAAACTTGATCCAGAAAAGGGACCTCCGCTCTATGTCTGTGGCCACTGTGGACGACGTTACTCAAGACCGGAGCACCTCCAACGCCATGTTCAAACGCACACCCTAGGCCGACGCTTTGCCTGCGGGATCTGTGGAAAGACATTTGCACGTGCCGATCTCAAGAAACGTCATGAGACAAACCACGAGAATGACGACTCCAAGAAGCGACGACGTACCACCACTTCTCTCAACGCGGGCCGGGTCACCCATGCTTGTAAGGCTTGCGCCACTGCAAGGGTCAAATGTCAGGAGGAGAAGCCTTGTCAAAGATGTGTTCGTCGCGGCTTGACTTGCGTCTCGGCCGAGGCCGGCTCCGCGGCAGCTATGAACCTGGTCCATCTGTCTGCGAGCGCACGCTCTCTTACCCCTGGTGACGATGAGCACGATAGCAGCAATGCGTCATCTGAGTATGTACCCGTCAATGTCCCTAATCCGACGTCCTATCCTGCCGATCAAGCATCTCTGTATGGACAAAATCCCAAGTTACAGCTGCAGTCCCGATCAGTTACACCCAACCTGGGTGATCTCGCCAACTCTGAAGCTGGCTCTTCCAATCATGCCGGCGCAGATCAACTCCCCTTTTGCGACTTTCTTCAAAATGTCTTGTACGAACAGCAATATGACCAACCGAACAAGATGCCAGAGAACCAAGGTCTCGCTGTTCTGGACTTTTGCAACGATAACGATACCAACATGGAGCTTTCAGATATGGACTTTGGCTTATTGGATCATTGGAATACCGACGGAATGTCCAACACTATTCCAGCCCAGCAAGAGACGCCTAACTCAGATAAATCTGTCGACATAGCGAACATACAGCAGAACCTCGTCACAGCTTGGGACGTGTCCCCGTGGCGATGGGATCCGGTCGCAAAGGACAATGCATTCGACGAACAAGGGAATCTCCCAGTATCTCAAAGAGATGTAGCGAGTATACGAGCTCATACTTCCAAGGGGGCTCTTAGGAGGGTGATTGACCAAAAGCTAGACTTTGCTGCTCGTGATGGCGTGTTAGCACTAGTATTGGGTGCATGCCAGCCTGATACCATGTCGAGTCGCATCTCGGGATCCTTCCCCTCGGCAGATCTCTTGGATACTATGCTCCATGTCTTTCTCAACTCACATACCAACCAGGTTTCGGATTTCATACACTTCCCGACCTTCAAGCTCAATGAACAAGAGCCAGAATTCATCGCTAATGCGGCGGCTGCTGGTGCTGTGCTGACTCCGATACCGACCCTACGGAAATTTGGCTATGCTCTTCAGGAATCTATCCGTACGTTCAACCAATCCTAGACTCCACTGTGAGGTCGCTAACGTTGCGTAGGAATCGTGATGCCTAAACGAGTATGTATATATGTATAAAAATATAAGAAAATATCTAACTTTTGCAGTTTGAGGAGAACAACGAATCAATTCTCAACATAGGCATGATACAAGCCATCGTCATCGGCCAAGATACTGGACTCTGGAGTGGAAATCGACGGAAGATGGAAATTGCAGAGTGCCATGTCAACATTCCCGTCACGGTATGAATGCAAACACGTCAATGCATGATGGGTTTCGGCTAACGAGACGTAGATGATGCGATATCGCGGCAAGTTTCAACGATCCTCGTACTCCATGATTTCAGTGACACCCAATGACGAGGGTGCCAATCTCGAGCAGAAATGGCGTACATGGGTTGATATGGAGAAATGGAAACGGTGAGCACTACTATTGGAACTACCGTTACAACTTGTGCTAACTCCTCGGCAGTTTTGTCTTTCATCTTTTCCTCCGAGATAGTCAACAGTCCATGACAGCCCTTACGAACCCCGTCATGTCGTACGCCGAGCTCACACTTCCTCTACCTGCTTCCAAAGAGCTCTGGTATGCCAAAACGGCAAAAGATTGGAAGCACGCGTATTTGAGACGAGAAGCCGGACACATCAAGCGAGCACCGTCAGTCGGTGACCTCTTCCGCGACTTGAACCTCCTTGCAGAGAACCGCCATCGAATGGACATGCAGTTCTCGGCAGCGATCTATCTCCAAGCCTTTTGGATGTTGATTTTGGAGTACCGAAATTTGTGCTCATCTTGCAGAATACGATCTTATACCCAAGATGCTTATGGTGGCACCAGTTCGTTGTTAGATGCACGACGGCATCAACTTATCCAGGACCTGCAGACCTTTAAGACCACGACGATGAACTGGCCAGAGATCACAGCGCAGGAGCGTCTACTCCTCAACCAGCTTCTGATGGGATTGCATATATCCATGGATGACCTACAACTCTTTGCCGGCAAGGAAGGCGACGAGCAGGCGCATAGAGCCTTTCCTATTCTCCAGCAGTGGGTTGAAAGCGCCGACTCTCGCGCAGCTATATGGCACGCTGGCCAAGTTCTCCGATTCGCAAAGCTGTTCCCGTCAGCTCAGCTGAAGAACTTCTACGCTGTAGGGGTGCACCACGCAGCACTGGCACTATGGACTTACGGGGTGATCACTCGAGCTGGAAACCGGCCAGACTTGTCTGCACAGCAAGAGAAGATTTATTTTGATGGTCCGGAATCGATGAGTGTGCAGCAGTTCATAACTCTAGGGCAGGGTGTGCCTTTTGTTCGAGGGCCAAGCAGTCGTAATGGGACATCTGAGGCGTCGATTGAGAACCCCAAGGCGAGTATGGAGGCTGCTCATGAGATTCTGCAAGCCAACTTTGGAGGCGTCAACGTAATGGCTCCAGCGATTGTGGAAAATCTGTGTGTCTTGATTCGACAGCTGGGAAACGTTGCTTGGGCAGTAGGTCTGGGTTAACAGGTCTTATCATTGAAAACATGGCATTATATTATCTAACTAGTTTGTCTGGTTAACCCCTTGAACTTCATCGTGTGACTGTGGGTACAGCAATCGACGCAAACGTAGCTCCTTCTCACATAGCTTTCTCTCACGTACCTCCTCCGAGTCAAAAGGGCTTTCAAATAACCACCAATTCCCCATCTCAAGCAGTGCCTCTTCCATTGCTTCTCTCTCTTCGCCTTCAGAACCAACGACAGCTCCCCCATTGATCAGCAACTGCACGATTATATACAGCCATAAAAATCGGCCTTTCCCGGTAGGAGTCTGGAGTGTTGATGCACGCCCCTCTCTCAAGCAAGAGCTGCACCATAGCAACATGTCCCCGTTCAACTGCCAGCATGAGTGGCGTGCGGCCAGATTCATCTCTAGATTCTATCTTCATCCCTTGATTTAGTAGCAGCTGCAAGGAATCTTCCCTTCCATATTTTGCAATTGCCAACAACAGTGATTGGTCAGTCCCATTCAGATCAACCTTCGCTCCTCGATCAAGTAGCTTCTGCGATATATCTACAACACCTCTCGCAGAGCTCCAATCTAATAGCGTGTGGCCTAGACTGTCTTTGGTTTCGACGGGTGCACCCTCATCGACCAACCACCTTACCACCTCGACATGGCCATTGTCCATAGCCCCTACCAAGCATCTCCGGCTTTCTCCGCTTGTCTCATCTATGTGAACACCTTTTTGTGAGAGTAACTTGGCTATGGTGAGGTTCCCTTTTTCACACGCCCATGACAAAGGAGTGTGGTTGTTCAGTATCGTCTCCAATTTACAATCAAGATCATCCGTAATGTCAGTGCCATCGTGGATTTCCGAAGATACGCCCAAAAGAGCTACTATGCTCGCTTTGTCGCGTTTAGCTATGGCAGCAAGGAGCGGATATCTAAATCTCCCTCCTTCGATGTTGATATCGGGATGATCTATAAGCCTTGCACGAATGAGGCGAGAAAGCCCTCTGTCAGCAAGTATGTAAAGAATGTCTACATCCTGGCCGTATTTTCGCGTGCTGACTCTCTCAACGGTGTTGTAACTATGAATCCAGCCAGGCGTATGAAAGTCGTCCAGAAACTGTAACTGCGGAATTGCATCGGCAGCAGCATTGGCGTGGTTTAGAACAAATAGGCTGGCGTACTCTAGAAGCGGGTACTTTTTCACCATGTACTTTCGGCTGTTTGATGTACACTTGGGTCCCTCTGCTTGTTGGCGTAGGATGTATGCGTTACAGCACGACTTGAGTCTATCATGGCTTTGGCTTTCCCAGTCTTGTCCCAAATCTGGCCATAATTCATGGAGACCTTTATCTCTGATGAGGAAATCTCGCACAGACTCGTGGATGAATTGCACAGTAGGCTTCTTAGACTGGGTTGTTTCCGCCAAACCCTTGGAAGAGCTTGTGACATATCTTTCGAAGAGACCATTTGCTTCTGAAACGTTGAGTTTCCGCGTCTCGAGACTCGCCAGATCCTCCGGTGATAAATCAGACCAAAGAGCGTGATAGTACTCTTCAGGCTCCAATGGTCGTTGGGCGAAGAGAATCCAGAGAATAGAGAGACGAAGTTCTTCCATATTGTCTTGGTCCCTTGTCAAAAGATCCCTGGAAAGGTCGCTCAAGCCGCTGGGCAATTCCTTTAATCTTTTTTGAAGTGCTGGGTTGCCACGCCGGTGATCAGCATTGAGAATTTGGACGACGAGAGCAACCTAAAGGAAAATGCCGGCTGCTTTATCTAGTATGGTCGATTTCAAGCTGTCAAAGAGAACCGGATTCTCAATTCGTAAATAGTTTTCAATGTAGCTTTCCATGTCTTTATTGTGGCCAGGTTGACCCTCTAGTGTTAACTGGATCCCTGAGCGGATAGTGATATAGGGGTAATGGCGACTAGAGAAACAAACCCGTAGTTTGATTCCCTCCCCTCTGCAGTATTCAGAAAGTTCCTCGAAGAATTCTACCATGTCCCTGATCTGTTGCTCGTCACACTCATCTAGTGCATCGATATAGCAAGCGCAAGATCGATTACCCAAGCATAAGATCGCAGCACGGAACAGATCTTTGAGAGAATTTAGAGATGGACACGTTTTCTGATTCCGAGGAACCAGATCTTGGTCATCTAGAACCCCCTGTAGGTCAGGAAAGCCCTCAAAGAGCTGCAGGAGTAAAGACCTATACATGCCCACAACTGATTTCTCCATATCGTCGCCTCGAGCGTTGAAGAAGAAGGACGTGGTGAGGACCTGTCGATCCTGGTCTTACTTTCTCATTCTTGTGTAGCTAAACTTCATAATGATCGATTTCCCCACGCCTGGCTTGCCTCTGATCCATAAAAAGCGACAGTGATGTTGCCGCTGATCAAGCCAACTTAGATAATCAGAATGGGTGAGAAGCCACTGACAGGTCTGTGTGTGGGCAGCTTTTATGTCGGCTTTTCGGGCGTCCATTTGTTGGAAATCGAGGGACTTCAACAATACTTTTCGCCTATCAGAAGAAACAGGCCGGTTCGCTAAGATGTCGTGAGTAATGTTCCTCTCATGATCGAATCAACCAGGACTCACTTGAACTTGGGAGGCGATGGAACTTTCTAACAGTACCAATTTCTTGCGGCATTCCTTCTAACAGTTCTCTTGCATAAGCGGCTGCGGTTCCAGCTGCGTATCTTTGCCATTCTTTGGCCTTGTGCGAGTCTGAGTAATCGCATATGCCACGAATTGGCAGGCAAGGGAGGATATCCATCAATCCGGCAGCCTCCATTTCGAAACAGATAACACCGAGTTCTTTGGCAATATAATCTCTAAAAACGGCATCCTTTACGGCCCTGTTACCTGATGCAATCTCGCCATAGTGAATTATTGGGTCAAGGTGTGGTCGCATTCTCCGTTGCTTCAGAAACGATTGGTCGCAACCGAGGCAGTCCAACTCTGGGTCGCCGTGGGTATATGATGCTTCAAAGAGCCGATCAGGGGTGTTCGGGCGAGTGTAAGCTGTGTGGTGCAGCATCCTCTCTTGGAGGATAGCAGGAACCCGGCTGGGCTGTGACTCATGCCTGGCCCGCACATCCATCACAGCAGCTAGAAGAGAAGACTTGGGGATTCTGGGTATTGCTACCCGTTGTATCACACCATAGGGCATGACCTTTTCAAGGTCATACTGCATGACCCTCGTTCCAACAACGACGTCTCCGAGTCTGATATCAACCTTGGAAGGTATTCCACCTCCAATCCCGACGATCAAGCCAAATTGGATAGATGGGAAGGTACGCTTCAGATTGGTCAGTAGACTTGCTGCGTTATTTGTTCCATACTGGGGTGGGCAAGAGATGACGATGTTGTGGTCTTTGATACTGCCCAGCGTGTAGGTATTATCGTCATTTGCACACCTAGGCGGGATTTGATGAATCTCATCAAGCATAGCTTGAGCTGCAGCCAATTCAATAGGAAGAGCGCAGATCCATGCAACATTGTAGCTTTCGTATGATAGAGAACTCTTGATGTGTTGATACTGCGCCTCAGTGTCATTACTGTCCGATGAGTGCCCAAAAACCATAGTTGCGGAACAGAAACAGGTGGCCTGGTTAATCAAGTCGCCATAGGTGTAGGAGAAAGTAGACCCTTTTGCCGAGCTGGATATACAGCACGAGTGCTATAATGCTACAGTAGGTAAGGTGAGTTTCGTTAGGTAAAGGTAAGAAGAGGAAGGAAATGGAAATGGAAAAAGAAATCAGGCTGCGGCAAGCGCTTGCCCATCTCAAGTGGCGTTCTCGCAGCTGCACCCAGCATCCAATCAATCCAAACGACTTGCATGGGTTGTTAGGCAGATCGCTAAAATCTTAACTGCTTCATAGAAAATATTCTGCTACATGACTGGCAATTAATTAGTGGAACAGGCTACCACGTAGACAGTGATTCAATGGTAGATGATGGTCTGTCTGGGCCAACACTGGCATTCTGCCGGACACTCTGTTATCCAGTGTAAGTAAATAACTAGTAGAGAGGGGATAAAATCCTCTGTTTACCCAGCTTCTATGTCGTCTTCTAGCAGCTAACGGGAATCAGACTCGGAGGAGCTGAGCTGGCCGAGAACTTGTGAAGTTCTCTCTCTGGCGGGCATTCTTCTTGTTCTTTGAGGGTATTACTGACTAGTATTCTGTCTTGATATTAAGCAACTGTGAATTGAAATGAATGGAATGGTTTATGTAATTGCTTCATATTTCTTGGTATAGCCGAAACGAAGTTGCTGCTTGGATTCCTTATCCGCCATTTCAGTGTATGAGGCTCTACGAATCTCGATGATTGTCACCTGGCAGGTGTCAATTGTTTGTATTAACTCAATCCTAGGGTTAGGATATAGTTTATTTTTCATAATGAGATGACACGAGTCAATGTACTTATCAGAAAAGAAGGGTGTCATTCAGTCCCTATACGCCATCTATAATATATCGTCTTGACTAGTCTAGTCTATCCAGCCACCGCTTCATCTCTTGTCTTAATATCCTCCTCATTTCCCTTCTCCTCCCGCTTCTCCTCTTCATTCTTCTCTAGTGTCTTCCCCTGCGTCATCTCCTGTGTCTTCCCTCTACCCTTCTTGCTTAACGTGATAGCTCCATTCTTCAGTGCTTCGGTGGGCAGCGGTCTGATAATTGGCTGAACGCAGAACCATGGCAGTCGACAGCGTCTTTGTGTGCCTACTGAGCTCTCATCCTCGGGGGGATCTTGTTCACCTTCAACCAGCGGTGGCTCGGCAACACTCTCGCCGTTGGTACGCTCATATTCGATAAGACCTTCTGCGACCTTGCACTCCACGGCGGCGAGGACACGCTCGTAGGCTTCCAAGTCACCTGAGCGGCTCTTGGCTAGCATATCTCGCACATCGGTATGTTTGGAGACAAAATGTCGGAGGAGGTGGAACAGGTGAGGCTGCATGGCAGACATATTGGGACCTTGCTCTCCCTTCTTACCGAGATCCTTTCTTCGCTTCTTTGGTGCTGGCTCTTCCTCATCACGCTCGCCCTCGTTCATCCACTCTGTATCGTCACCAGGCATGAAGAGGGGTCGCCTCTCGGGGGCTTTTTCTCCAAAGACGTGTTCGTGAAGGATATTCATGTACCGTCTGAAAACAGCGTCGACTCTGTATCCTCCCTTGCCGTCTTTCCGTCTCCAGTATTCTCGACCCTCTTTTCCAACAGGTGGTGGTTTTGTAAAAATGGCTGGGTCACTGAGGTTACCCTCGGCACTCATAACACCATCAGCTCCAGTGGCCTCGAGACATTTCTCGATATCTTGCTCTTGGAGAATGTTTCCATTCGCAAAAATGACTGTCTCCTTTGGCAGGCTGTCCCTTAGGAAACGAATCATCTTCCACTCAGCCAAGCCTGTCAAATGACCCTTTTGCTCTCTCTTTCGTCCGTGGACTGTGAGAATGGATGCGCCAGCCTTGAGCACATTCTGCGCATATGCCAATGTCTCCTCCTTGGTGTCCAAGATTCGGATCTTGGCTGTAACGGGCACAGACAGCTCCTTGTGCAGAATATTGATCAGGCGGAAGATAAGATCCTGATCTTCCTGGAGGAAAGCACCATATTTCCCCTTCCGCGCAATACCCTGAGGACATCCGAGGTTCAGGTCGACAGCATCGCAGTAAGGTGCAACCTGCTGAGCGGCAGAGAGGAGCGCATCGGGATCATTTGCGCAGAACTGCACAAATAGCGGGCGGTCTATAGAAGGATTTCCATCGAGCCAGGGAGTTTTGCCGTCAGGTCGAACAGCCTGGAAGTGCGCCTTGCGGTATTTCTCGTCCTGCGAAAATAGTCGGGCGTGTAACATGGGTGTATAGGCAAGCAGACTCGATTGTTCACTAGGTGCAAGAAAGCTTCGAGAAAGCATTCTCCAAGCCTGCTACTTGTCAGTATTAATAATACATCATAGAGCGAACGACTTACAAATTCAGACTGATCCACCATAGGAGCAACAATAAATTTCGGGGATCCGATGGACTCATAAAAGGCTCTCCCAAAGAGCTTAGCTGGGCGCTCCGCCGCGGGGCTCTCGTCCTTAGACGTCATTGTAGACATGCGCTGTGTAAAGCAAATAAATTGACGATTTGGAGCAGAAAGTGCCAAAGATCCCTGACTCTTCCAGAGCCAGGCTCGTCGTGTAAGTCTCTCCAGAGTGTCTTATGTGGTGCGGCGCAAATGGCTTGTCGCAAAAACCGTAGGTCGTTGGTATAAGGGGAAAAAAAGAAAATGTTTCTGGACCCTCACACCCTCATATCTAATCCCCCACCTTCTCCGGACGGAAGGTGGGGGAAGGCTGTCAGCTATCAGCTAGGTATGCTATCAGGCCCAAGCCACATAAAATTAAGCTCTCTAGGCTCTCACAGCCTTGCCGATGAAATGGAAGTCACAGCTAGAGTGGAACTGTGTGCTCCAACTATTACGTACATCTTTGCTTAGCTTCGATTACCAAGGATTTCGATCCTTCTAATCGTCGCGCAGTTCAAACACGATCTAATGAAATGAACACGCAATCAAGATCCATTTCTCCAGTGAGCATTCGGTCACCTTCGAGGGTATGTATCAAGCCATTGTGTCATTCATTCACTGTAAAAAGGGCCTCATAGCAAAGGGTCTCACGGCTTAACTCGGAAAGCTTGTCTCGTATAATACGTCTCTTGTTATGTCCATTCCATTGTTTTTTTTGTCATGTCGCTAAGACTACTAAATGATGTTCTGTGATAAAAGGTGGCGTCCCAGGTTCAACGGTGATCGACGAAAGCCACGCGTTGATGATCCTTGAACTTGCAAACACACAAGATTCCGCTGCTGCTCCGTCCCTTCTTGGTCCCAAAAAATAGAAGAGAAAAGAAAAGAGAGATGATAAAGGCAAGATTAAAGAAATGTATGACTCGTTGGTCTAAATTCCACATGACATGTAGAGACTGGTCAGAGTGATGAACTGAACGCCTTGACACCGTACTATGCTGTTCCAAACGCCCAAAACGGTCAATATGGTTGGTTGCAATACAAGATTGCGAGTCTTACGACCCGGCATCAGTCAAAGGAAACAAAACACTGCGCTTGACAAGCTTCGCTCCTCGTGGTGGACATTGCCATCATTAGAAAAAGTGCGTGTAAATCTTTGAGTTTTCGTGAACCTCCATCTCCTAAAATCATGTTAGCAACTAGTATATAAAGTCATGCATGCATGTATCAAGATTAAGACTTACCATCTTGAAGGTGTTTAGCTCCTCCTTGATCTGCTGTGCGAGCATGGGAGTCAATCGGTTGCAGGTGGCAACCTCGCCGCGACGGTCGTACTCCTGGGGAGGCCAGGTGTCGTGGAAGACAATGCGAGGCGAGAATGTCGCGTTGCGCTTGGTAGATCCGTGTGGGGTGTTGGGTGCACTCTTGCTGTCCTGTCGAAGTCTCAAAGCCGACATGAAATAGTCCTCGCCACCCAGAGCAATGGAGCCAGTTCGACGATGACCCTGAGACTCATCGTTGGGCGTGCTAGGGGCACTAGAGTTGGGCGAGTCGTTGACAGCAGGAACACTGGGAAGGTCCAATCCAGGTGAAGAATCGGCAGGTCGAATGGAAGGGCTGGCAGAACCTGGGCCTAATATTTATGTTAGCTTGGAAGTCTGACATGGGATGTTGATACATACGCTTGAGAATACCCTTGCGGACGGCAGCAAGTACCTCCGCACGCTCTCGGTCGCCTCCAACGATGCTCTTACGCGGGTTGGAGTTGTCGGTGCCAGAGCTTCCCAAACGCTCAGCAATATCGATGCCCAGGCTGGTATCGATAGAGTTACGTTCCAGATGGGGGAAGGTATCTGTCTGTCGAGGGTCTGCCGACACGTTGACTCGCTGTGTTTCAGCTTCGACAGTAACCATCGAGACAGCAGCGTGGCTAGCTTCGGGCTTCACAGGTCCATCAGCTGGAGCAACTCCAATCACTGATTTGGGTCGGAAAATTCCAACAAACGATCGGCCACCCTTCTTCATACCTCGGCCCATCTTGCGGATCATGATGGAAGCAGAGGATGCTGTCGACGAGATGGAAAGATTGTCTGTCGAGCCACCAAAGAATCTGCCGCCATAGATGCTGTGTCCAAGGCCCGCAGCCTCCTGCGCCTCCGCAATACGTGCTTGTTCGGCATCGTAAGCTTCGTCGGTCGTTGGGTCCTTGTGAAGCTTGGACGGCTCTGTCTTATCAGGTGTCTCGGCATCGCGGAAATCAGCAGCGCTTCCGAATGAAAAGGCGCGACGCAGCCTGGAGGTCTTGCTCTTGGCCTTGCGCCCTTTGTTAATGGCCGCAAGCTGTTTAGCCGCGGGCGATTCCATATTACCCGCACTTTGCGCATTTGATGATCCGTCCTCGGCGACCTCGCTAGCCATGGTGGCTGGTCTAGAAAGAGGAGAAGGGTTTGTCGAACGCTTGATGGCATCGGAAGATGACCCTCGAGGAGGAACGTTGACCTTGGCCTGATCTTGCTTAGAAGTGGTTTCGTTATTTGCCTGGGATGAGGGGTTTCCAGTGGGGGCAGGCACATTGCGGTTGGCAGACTACATGACGATCCCTGTTAGCATACAAGTTTTACCATCGATTGCTGATTGGACATGAAATTCAAGGATCATCAACTTACCGAGGATGGACGAGAGTTACTGCTGCGGCTGGAATCAACACTCTCGGAACTGCCATTACGTGAATGTGTAGTCCTTTTGCCGACGACACGAAGGTTTTGAGAACCTCCATCGGTTTTGCTCTTGTCTTGCGCAACAGGTTTAGAGAGATCAGAATCAGCACGAATGCTGCGCCGGCGTGATCGGTTCGAATCATCCATGGGCGATTGGAGAAGCTGCATATCATCCATGGATGTGCCAGGCACGGCATTATAGAAACTGTTTGGCCGATTAGGGACAGCCGCGCGCGAAGGATTAGGTCCGTTGTATAGCTGGTTCGCCGTGGGAATTCCAGCAGTTACGGCATTGCTGTGAGAGCGACCATGCTGATTTTGTTGAGGGGTGAGTGACGACCGTCTATATCTGTCTGGTGCGGCTTTGCTCTGCGAAGTTGGAGAAACTGGTTGCGTAGGGCCAGCAAGGAAGGCGGAATGGGGTCGAGGAGCAGGTACGATGTTTCGTCGTTGAGGAATGGCGGAATCATCACGAGCCCCAGTTTGACCAATACCCATAGCATTGTATTGCATGTTGGCCCCTGAAGAGCTGAATTGGCGTCCACCATAGTTGACATTGTGATTATAGGTTCGTGTAGGCTGACCTTGCGGTTGCCATGTTTGCGAATGGTGCAGGGTCGGTGTGCTAGTAAAGGCGTATTGCTGAACAGGAGTTGCACTACCGCGGTATCCGGTGGGAGAGGGAACCGCATATCTTGGGGTCTGGGCCGATGTTGCGTACTGGTGGCCGTTCTGGCCTTGGGCGTTGGGTATCATGCTTGTCGATGAAGCCGGTCGAGTCTGGAGCATTGTAACCGTTGTAGTTTGCTGGGGATATGTTTGAACCAGTGCAGCCATAATTTGTGTTGACGTATTGCGAGCAGTAAAGCTGCCGTTCAACAACAAGCGTAGCACGAGAGTTATGCCTGCTTACTGCTGTCGGTGGTAATTCAAAAGGGATAGCTGGAGATGACGATTCGCAACGACGTCTCTTTGCGGCTCAACAAAAGAGTAACTAAGCACGCAGTCAATATTAGCACAGCTTTCACACGAAGCACCGAGGTTCAACAAGGCTGAGATATAAACAATTCGCCAGAAGGAAAAGGTAAGTTCCCGTGGAGTGACAGGAGATGTTTTGCGTAACCAACCTACTTTTTTTTTCCTGTTTTAATCTTTATGACAAACGAGAAGAGTTCAGGCGGTGTATTAGGACGCCAGCGACCCGGAACAAAAGGAATCGATCGTGCTGAGAAAGTAGTTCACTATTACCGTGAGCAGAACTTTGACTCTGCTACGAAATGGGATATGCTAGTAGTGGATTTGGGGCAAGATCAAGAGTCGTATGACAGCTTGAATCTCAGCCTAGTTGTAACGGAACATGAGAGGTCGTCGGCAGTTCGAGGTAAGGGAACGTGAAGCAGACGAGTAAGGCGAGAGAACGAAGTATTACGGAGTTCGCTCGCGAGGAGATGAGGGTTATTCAGGTGCAAGATTTCCCGTCGTCCAAGATTCGTCACGGGTCTGGAAGGAGCAAAGGCAGATGATGAGGCAAATGCAGATGCGCAGTGTGAGAATACTACAAGTGTCGAGGTCTAGAGCCAAACGATCACAGGAGACGAGTATAGTAGATGGGAAAAGGTGCAAAGGTCGAAGGCGTTCGAAGGGTTTCTGTGGTGTTTTTTTCGGGGAGAAGCGACGGCCGAGAGAAAGGGGTACGGCTCCAGTTGTATGGGTGTTGTGCAGACGATGGGCTGAGGAAGGCCAAACAGGCGATGAGTGACGGTAATGGCGATGATGGGGAGTTGGGAAGAAAAGGAAAAAGAAAAAGAAGAGAAAAAAGAAGACACCAGAACAAGGAGAAACAACGAGACAAGATGTTGATGAGATGGTAATAGAAAAAAGAAGCCAAGGCGTGAGGTGTGGTTGAGGGAGGAAACGGCTGCGCTTCTTCCTCTGGCAGCCCCGGAGCACCTCGAGGTACGTACCGCCTGCCTACCGGGGGGTCCATGGAATTCGTAATCCACTATTTTTCCACCCGCAGAACCCAGGGCCCAGCAGTCTAGGTGCTAATAAAGGATGGGATGGTCTTAGTGGAGAGTTCCATGAGAACGGGCATCCACAGGGCCCCCCGGCCGGGATCGATTGAGCGGGCGAGATTCAGTGAAGATGACCGCTACGTTTTAGCGATTCAGGGCGGCTACAGTAGCTGAACGGGAGTGGCACCCTCTATAACTGAGCGGGTTAGTCACTAAAGCTTACAGCTCCCTACCTACCGAGGAAGGTACGCACAAGGTAAGTACGCTGGACGCCTGGCTGGTCCCCCCACACCCTTTCGGGTTGAGCGTGACAGCAGTGTGGTTGCAATTCAACGCCTGTTCCAAATGATAGGTAGCCTCGAATGAGAGTTGACTATTGTGGAGGAAGAGGCAAGTGACAGCCACGCAATATTCCTCCCACCCAGGCACTCGATCTTTCTCTCTCACACATACCGTACTCACCCTTCAAACTTGATTATAACAACACTACACGCAAAAAACGTGCTGCCATGAGATCGTATCAGCCTGGTGGAGATAATTGTCCTGGAGATAAAGTACTGTAAGCATGCAGGGGACAAGGGGGCAAGAACGTCGTAAGCCAATTCTCTCTCTCCATCTGTCTGTTTGTATGACTATGACTACGGAGTACAGACACCTAGGTATGTTGGCATTCTAGGTAGACTTATTCACACATGCCCCCATCTATATATTCTCAGATTCTCACCATCGCACCTTACACCTCGCACCTCGCACCTCGCACCTCGCACCTCGAGCACAACACGAGGTGGAGCCATCCCAAGGGTTCCCCAAGGACCAAATCCTACAAATCCCACGGGTCCCAGGAGAGTTGGGCGGGTCTTGTTGATGCCAGAAGAGTCAACACGCCCACCATTGGCCACCGCTCTCCTGTGCATTGAACCCATCCTGCGCTAGACAGGGAGCCCTGACCAGGTAGAGTGACCACGTTGAATGCCCTCATCTCTCTCTCTGTGGTGTCTGGTGTCTGGTGTTGTTCTGAGAGCAGCAGAGACTCAGAGGCCATATTCAGCATTGATCCAGGAACAAATCTCCTGTCCGTGCTGATGGTTTTTACTTGTGCTGCCTTTGCTGCATTGCCCAGCGACCTGCTGACGGGACCGGGACCGGGAAGGGCTCAAACAATGGTGGTGCTGTCCTGTGCGAGGCCATCGTCGTGCTTGAGTTGAAGTCCCTGAATTTCCTTCCCGTCGTTTCTTGACAGATGATATGTTGGTCGCCGTCCCATACTACACCAAGCCGAAACCCACGTCCAAAAAAATTCGGGGTCTTTGAAAGTCAGGGGTTGAACCATTTTCCACCTGCACAAAATACTTGCCTTGAAAGTACTGGACGTCTACGATACATTTGCTTCAAGCAAGGGACAATCAGGGGATGGCCTGGCTGATTAACTGACGTGCCAATGAGCACTCCAGACGTTGGAGCCGATCATCCATCATCCTCGCGCGAGATACGATTGATTGTCAACACTCTAACTACTTTGAGGTTTCGCGCCTGTGTGTCTCGTCTGGAAAGGGTCATGGCTTTTTTTCGGGCTGTTTCTTTCAGTTCACGACTTGAGCCGGACAATATTGTATGGCTACTAACGTTTAGATCGAGGAGACGCAGTCTGGCCTTGCTTGGCATCGCTCTTCAAGATAACCAGCAGCTCAGGAAGCTGTTGTTGGTTAATGGGAGACCAGGCCTACACTGACTCGCTGAGCGCTTCAAGAGAAATAAATGATAAATGTTTCCTTGTGTTGGTAAACAAGGCTAGGATGGTATTGTACTGGCCCAGACCAGAACGTGTGGGTGAACAATAAAGGTCTCCATCTCATCCACCCAGTTGGTTCGTATCTGACGCTGTAACTAATAAGTGTTGTACCGCTACTTTTTACTCGGCCGTTTTCCTGAAGCTCGGTTATTGGAACAACATCTCTTATATTTAACTTGGTACACACTCACCAATTACTGGCTCAGCTGCGGTGATTGTCTTCATGCACGCGCAGCCCTTGAATTCCTCTGGCATCTGGTTGAGGTCAGTTGGTTCGATGTCGGCACAGAGAAGCATTGGACATGGCTTGCAGTAGTCTTGCTGCGAGCCCGCAGCGTGGATCTCAGACAAAACAATAACATCCGATAAGTACTGTACATCCAACGGCGACCGACACAAAGAGCCCCATGGAGGCATGGACATGCACCGAAGACGCGACGCCCAGTGGATCTTGGAGCCAAAAAGGAACCAAACTTATGCACGATGAAAAGGTAAACGAGGCGTCGGCCGCTAATAGGAGGGTATTTGGCAGTCATGCTTTAAAAGACGACACCATCTTTCGTATCTTTGACCCTGAGAGACATTCCTATGCTCTCCTCCAAAATCCATCTATTTCACCACCGTTGACCCTTACATGAACCATCTGCCTTGGCTTTCTCTCCCCCTGGACATGGAGCATCACAACGATTATCGTGCAAAATGATCTGGGATTTTTTTCTTTCTCATGACGAGATCACATGGGTCTGCTCGCCTCTTCCAAGTCTGAACAGCTACGTATCCGCGTATTTTTAGAAGAGTGGTGGAGGGGGCCGAGCACCCACTGTCTTTCTCCATCAATCGTAAATCCCCCCACTGAAGAGCGTACTATGCGCGGAGTTTTACTTTCTGGATGAGTGGCGAATGAGGATTGTCGTAAAGCTTCGTGAACTGTATTTAATAGAATATATACCTTTAAAAAGGTCATTGAAAGCAAAAGTTTGCGCACCGTCATGGAACAGTGAGCGGGGGAAAAGATGAAGGACTGATATCGATGAGGATCATGATAAGGGAGTGCAGTAGATTTTAGTTTATCCGTAAAGTAGACTCGATCACTAACATGCGGCACTTATTAACAGAGCCTCCTAACAATCATGCTCACCGACAAAACATCATCACTTACATGCCAGTCGCTCACTATTATTCTCACTCAGTATCTAGGTCTGGGGTAGGCAGACAATGATCGCAATTGGACATCCCTGTACGTACTTGCAAAATTGAAACCAGGGTCTCAATTTGATCTCCAGCACTTGAGACAAGACACGTTAAAATATTAAAATACTTTTAGATTGCTTCGTCATGCTAAGTTACTTTGTAAAAAGTCAAGCGTCATGGACAACGCTGCCACACAAGAGAGTCTGTATCAAAGCACTCTTACCTGAAAACATGCACACGATGCGAGATAGTAGAACAGAAATGAAGCCAAATTTCGGCTCTGCATCAAACCAGATTGAGAGCTTGGCTGTCGGAGCATGTACTGTACTCTGGATGATGCCCCTACAGAGAACATTTTTCAGCCTCATGAATAGCGTGCTAAAGATAATTTACACACCAAGTTACCACTCCAGATCTACACTCATATGTCCCGTGGTTGGCGCGGCATATCCTTCACCAACCGCCATTGCCGTTAAATCAATCAACACATCGATCCCTTGGGGCACTTGGACCGAAGTGATTCGGCGGTCGGCCAATCGATTAATAGTTAACTTCACTGTTAGTCTGGACTATTTACTCCTCAATCCGAGGCGTGTTGCACTGTTGGTCTTTAGCTCGACATACGCAGTCCCTTCCTACTCGCACAGGCTCATCCGTGAACCGTCCGTCGGTGCTCCAAGAAAGAACCCAGGTATCTACGGAGAATGGTCACTTAATGGATGCTCTTCTGGGCAATGCAGATCAATCTCTCTTCCGAGGCTTAATTACACTGCGCATGCAGTAAAATGTCTCGTCTCTTGGCCCGAGCGGCCAACTGCGTCGAGGTTTGTGGCCCCTATATTCAGATATATTAATTAATTGAGTGCTCATTTCATTTCAGTTCATTAATTCATTTCATATCTCCAAAAGGCTAAGCTGGATATAACACCGGGGGGGCCTCTGATTTTAACCTCCTAGCGTTACTTCATAAGAGTAATTCCCGCAGCTAATAGCCGGCGAGTATGGATGCTGAGTGTTTATTGGATGTTGTTTACAGATATATGACTCAAATCTCGGTATGTTGTCCCATATAGGCTTCTTTGAGAGGCATCAGTGAATGAAGTGCTATATCTGTTACCTTGCCCTGCTTGCTTCACTGTTACAGAAGCTTATCTTATTCCACAATGGTTGCGACTTTTTAACATGATCTACATGGAGTCGACATATGGGGGATCTAACTCAATTGGTCCTTTCTAGCGTCTGGCCTGAAGGACAATTTCGATCCTGGTTTTCCCCGGATATTTGAAAGTTAATTATTGACAGGTTGAATGGGACTCGATCCTGCAACATTATATGATATGCGTGTTTTATCCGTAGATATGCGAGTCGTGTCTTTTAGGGGGCTGCCTATAGGATTGAGATCCTGGGTATAGAGAGAGGTGGCCTGGCAAATAAGAAGCACATAAGCCCTTGCCTTGACCAAACTGTAACTCAACCTCTACAACTCCTCTACAGCAAACAAACAAACCATTCATCCGTCCTCTGCAGGAAGAACGAAAAGAGAATCCCCGCTATCGACGCTATCGACAGAGGAGCTCTAAAGGGCCGAAGCGCGCATCATCTCTTTTCTCTTCCCCGCCAATACAGGCATCTCGACGTCGCCGCCCGCTTCGGGAAATTGAGCCGCTTGTGGTGGGAGGGGTTCATTTCGATTTCTCGATCTGATAGCGGCACAGATGATTAAGAACCGGCGGTGAGCGCCTATCGAACAAGGGCTTCCCTAGGCCTGCGACCTGCCTTTGCTTGCTTGACTATGGTTGGCATACCGAGGAGCAAAGGATGTAAGCTTTGCAGAACCAGGAAGGTCAAGTGTGACGGCATCAAGCCGTCCTGCGGGAACTGTACTAGGTACGGCTCTCCTTGTCCAGGCTACGATCGGGATATCAAGTTTGTTACAATAAAGCATTCGATTCGTCAACGCGGCAGACATTCAGATACAGCCAGTTCATCAACTATCAGCTCTTCTTCCAGCACAGCTGGCTCTAGCAACCATGAGAGCGTCGGTATAGCCAGCCCGATATCATGGTCGCTGGTCAATACCTCGCCGACCCTGCTGAGGTTGGAGTTACCAAGAGGGCCACTTATACTTAACATGGTAGAATCATCCGCTCACTACTCAAAATCTACCGATGTCTTTACACTCTTATCATGGTTGAACATTGATCGTCTAGGTAAACGGGCTCTTCTCGATGGAGCTATCTGTTCCTTTGCTCTGCATCTCACTGGTAAAACAACCTCCAACCCGGACTTGATCGCACAGAGCAGAACTGTATACGGGTTGGCTCTCAACGAGCTACAGGCTGCTTTACGACATCCCGCGGAGTGGAAAGCGTCCGAGACGCTGTGCGCTGCTATACTCCTGTGCTACTATGAGGTATTCCTACTGACCTTTATTACGGGTTCAAAGCTCATAATTTCTTAGTTATTCGCAGGGAGTATGTGTTAAAAGCTGCCTCCCCGAATCTTCGCTAACTTATCTGTAAGCTGCTGCTCCCGATACCTGGCTTCAACATGCCAAAGGCATTGGCGCTTTGATCGAACAAAGGGGACCAGAAGCTCACGCCGAAGGCTGGGATGCAGCTATGCTTCTTTCGTGCCGTGCCATTCTTGTACGTTCCATGTCTCTTATCGACAACAAAAGCAATGCGAAGATCAAGAACCTCGCATTATCTCCCAGTCAAGTGACTGGGAGGTTTGAGCACCGAGCTTGGAGACTTCCTTATCAGGCATAACCAATGGACAGGCCATTGAGCGCAATGCGTTGAATCATATCTCTTTGTTTCGTCACCGGCAGGGTTACTCTGCATTGCTGCATTGAGATGGCGCGATATAGCATCTCACATATCACCCGTCCAGTCCAAGTGGACTAAACACCCCTGGTCGTTTAACCTGGGTGGATCTTTTCGTCCCTTTGCAACGGCTTCGGCAATGTCACCCTAGCGGGCCACGACTAACACGATCCCTTGTAGATTGTAGGCGACATATTCTGGCCTGGAAAGGACCAATTGTTCCTGTCGCGGCCAGCGTGGAAGCAGGTCATGTCTGATGGCGGAAGGCATCTCATTTATGCTGCTGACGCCCCGACATCGCATATTCGTGTCGGCGATGGCTTCCTCTCGAACCTCGCACAGCTCTCGCCCGTCTTGCACTCGGGCTATCTCCTCCGCGAAGCTCACAAGGCTGGCATCTCCGTCGAGTCCGATAAAGTCTCCGCCCTGTCCCACCTCGCTGCGGTGAATCATGCGAGATGGACGCAATGGTACGACGATTTCACAGCGCTTGATTTCCCACCACCGATCGAGGTCATGCCTACAGACCCAGAAACTTCGCTATTCCAGACCGTGCTGGTGTTCCAGTCACCGGCGGCCGGGTCGTTGCTAATGGGGTACTGGGCCAGCATGCTTGTTCTAGAAGAGACGCTGGTCCAGTGCGGAACACCCCGAGTGGACTCTCACTCAACCACTCGGTATTTCGTGGAGCAGATACTACGTTCGCTAGAGTCTGTAGGGCAAGGCACCATGGGGCCGTACCGGGTTGGGTTTGCGGTGCGTATTGTGTACGAGTTTGCTACTGGTGAAGAACAGCGATGGATTGCTTCTATGCTGGATAGGTTCTCACAGGGTTACGCTGCTATTGACAAGAAAACATACCCTGAGCCAAAGGATGATGTTATCCAGCCAGTACAGACGAGCGTTCAGCCTGGTGTTATAGGGTAGGATAGTGGGCTGGAGATTTCCTGACCATGCAAACGGTGTTATGGTTGATATTATTGGAAGCTGTGTATAAGGATACAGGCTTGCGTTTGTTTGATGCAGCTTGGGTTGGTTGTAAAGTTAGCCAAGTGTCTACATCATACGTATTTGGTAAGAACATGAGTCCGCCTGATCAAAGTCTGACTGATCATCTATCTTGGCTCGTTTCACACTTTCTTCGACTCCATGAAGGCGATCGTTTCTAATTCATGGGGAAAGGAGCACGCATGGCAGTTTTAAACCCGAAACTTGAAGAATTTTCTTTTTAGAGAAAAAAGGAAGCTTCAAAAGAGTGCAAGTGGTAAAACACCAGTCAAGGGCTCAGGACAACAGCGTTGAAATCAACCATGTGCGGCAAACTCTTTTCATGCCTCAGGCCTCCCCATCCTACTTTATAAGTCAAATAACTTCAGTACCCTTCAGCGAAGAGTGGTGTAGTGGTATCCGTACCTAAAACCTATAAACCTTCTCAAATCCGAACCTAAAATCCTAAAACTCTCTCCCGCTCCCACTCTTCGTTTTTTGGAAGTCATGGGTTCGAAAATAGCATCAGTGTATATCGATGAAGCAGGAGCGAGGTTATTGCTCTCGTTTAAGACTCATATGAGGTAGGATGTTCTGTAGAAATGATATATATATCGATTTAGTATTTAGTGTCCTGTTAAGAAGTAGCATAACTGCCGCCTTTCACATGGGTAAGCTCAGTGTGACATGATGAAGTATTGCTGAATGTGCTTGACCAAGTAGTCTAGTGTGAATGTAAAAGCCAGTGGGCTTGTCAGGAAGGGTTTACTGTTGGTAGTTTTAGTTACCATACAAAAATGAATGGTAGTATTGTCTGCCTAAGGCCTAACATATAGGAGTCTCTATCTAGAGACTTGATGCTATAATTCAAGTTGTAATTATCAGTGAGCGTTATATCTGGGTCATCTCCTATGCCGCTCTCCGCCATAATATTCGAAGTTCCAATACTAGCGATTGTGTATGAGGAGGACCTTGTAGTTATGAAGTAGCGATCTACCCTTGAGGAGAGGGAAAAGATATTAGAGAAAATTGTACTTCTATCAATCCTTGAAGCTGAAGAGGTATGATAGAATGATATGTAGGATCTTTTTAACTGTAGTCGCTAGGAGTTGGGCGAACCTCAGTTATATTTGACAGCTGTCCTGATGAGCAAACCAAGTATCGAAACACACAACTTAAAGTTACATGCATAAAATAAGTGATTCTTAATAGATTCTATGGTTGCATACATATATCCTTCCCTCTCTACGGCTGGCATCCCTTTCGTCTAACACGTTATGACTCGCAAGCCAAACAGTTGATCAGATAATACACGTGCTTCTTATTGATGCATCACGAACACGCTCTATAACACGTCGGATTTGAAGTTTTCGGACCAAGTATCTTCCTTTGTCGGTTCCCAACACTCTACAAATCAGACTATCCTAGTTGTGCATGTCGTTGGATACATAAAGAGGATTAAGAGTAGACACTGGTTAGACATGTACTTAAAATTGTAATACTATCTACTCATCGGTCAACGAATGTAATCGTAAGGACACGCGTGTGCAACCTTCGTTCCGGCCAGTCCTAGGGGTTATCCGTCATCAATACTGGCAACTGAGGAACTCAACCATTTATTCTACTTATGATCTAATGTTTCTTAGTCTTAAGCGCTATTCAATATTGCGAGAGAACACTAATGAAATCCGAGTCTCCTCATATGCCCCCGAGTTGACTACATGGCGTAAACCCAGGATCGCCAGTACGTCCTCAGGCCTAGTATAGTATGTTACTCGCAAGTATCGACTTGAGTGTCAGGATTTATAATTTCAGGTGACTCCAATATCTTGCTGATGGGCTGAGTGACCATTTATGGCGCAGTATTCGGCAATCGATGTAGCTTTACTTGGGCCACATCTCTACGGCTTCTCACAAGCAGCTTCACATTCGAACTACTTCTCTGCCCCAATACCTTAAAAGTGGCAATGATACATCAATGCAATTCTTTTTATGTAAATAGCAGCCAAGATTGAGCAGATTATTCGGAGAGAATTGAATCATACTATGAAAGCAGTGGTGGTTTTTGTGGACGCGGAACTTTCCTTCGGGGTTTGAATAGAACACCTACTTGTTACCTGGAGATGGAAGCTGTACTCGGCATCACTTTTATGACAAAGAAAAACGACATATGACTGGTCTAGATTTAGAATATCGGCCGGTCTACAATTCAAAGGTCATGAAGCAGGTATGAACTAGACTATGGGACAAAAGTCTGACCTCGAAACGACCGCAGATGCCCCAACAGGGCAATAATTGTCAATCTACGATAGGGCAGAGCCAAGACGCAACCGGCAACTTGCTATCAAAATTAGGTCCGGCCTCTTGTTGACGAACCCTTCTTAGTAGCGATGGTCGAGAATCTCTTTCTCCTGCTCCAATCACAAAGCACTGTAGCCATGGAGGTTAGAATACCACATCACAACGTTGTGTGTTTGTTGACGGCGTGGCCGTTAGATCCAACAGCAACCGTCCAAATCTCTACGCTGTTCAATTTCCCCTGATAAGAGTCATCACTAGTCTGAGACTACGTCAGTGTGCAGACCAGTCAGATTGATGGTCTAGACTCTGTGAGGCTGTCCTGGTTTGTATTAAGGTTCTTAGATACATATGGGAGATGCCGCAATGCAACGTTCCTCGACACTATTTCTCGCTTAGAGGGAGAGATCTCGCATAGCTATTTGGAGAGCAATTGTGTGTGGTTTCTGTTTTACATGCATCACCGGTCTGTCGCACAGGTCTCGTAGAATAAATTAAAGTTCATGTAGTAGGGGGTCAGATCAACGGTAAGGCTGACATGAGTGAGTGCTGGAGAGGCCGAAAGCAGTATGCACCCAATTCTACAGATCTCAAGTCGAATTGAAGTTAAGCATCTGACGTAGATCATCAATTGGATGCGACTGGCATACAAACTCTCGCCAGGCAACAGAAATACCTGCATACGCTAAGCAATAATGCCAATTCCCATTGACCAACAGAAACTCGTCACGCGTATCTTGTGATATCCCCATGGTTTGGCCAAGCAAGAACAAGGTTGCATTGGCCAAGGCTGAGAGAACGCCCGAGTTCGGTGTGACAGTCTTGATCTTATCTCAACTGACATCGGAGGTACGCACCAGCGAATCACTTCTCGGGGAGCGAATCTGGCATGCAAGGGTCTGCTTCTAGCGACCTTCTAGAAATGGGGTCGCGGTGGAGATGCTGACATCCTCGTGACTTGTCCTCTGGTCTTGGGAGTTCTTGGCGATGACTGCATGTGCCGTATGCCGTACTGTACGCCGTACGCCGTGGGTACGGTTACGGTTGAGGGGGCCCTGGGCCGTGGTGTTTTCGCTGGCTCGGCCGCTCCGGAAATGCGGAGCCCCGTAGAACTCGGCAACGCGGCGCTGCAGTCATCCTTCGGATCCGAGTGCCGATCGGTTGGGTCACTGGAATCTGATTGACAGAAGGAGTTCAAGGCCAAGGGTGTCCAAGGGATGAACGCACACAAATGTGATCAGCAGTTGCAAAACATTTTAATTCGATGTCTGATGTTGACAAGTCTCTCTGTGAAACGAACACAATAATTCGTGTATACCCCTTGTACGGATACTAAGTGAGCATTGCTCAATACCTTCTTGTCGACTTGTGAATGGCTGTAGCGTAGACAATCGCATTGCTTCCCGTTTTGAATAGCTTCCTATAAGCACAACGTCGCATCCGTATCCTAACAGATGTACATTTGGAGGCTGCGTCATGGGCCAAGACCCCAAGCCAAAAGGCGGGCCAGCTGGCTAATTCCAAGCCTTGCCCGTCTGACTACAGACATGCTAGCGTCGCTCCATAGGGCTCGGTATGGTAACATCCAAGGGTTGGCATTTCTTGGGTTAGTTGGGGTAGCCTAGGTAGCGTCTTGGGTGTGGAGAAGATGGATTGTTTAGACCACCATCACACTTCAGCCAACATACCATGGGGATGTTTATTTAAGGGTCTCGTCCCCCCGCTGGTTTCTATTGTTTTGATCTCACTATCAAACTATCTCTTCATCCCAAACAAACATCCATTCCTTGAACATCTTTTAGATTGCACCAGGAGTGCCTTGAACTGAACCACCTACGAAGACTTATAGACAACGATACCCATTCATCTACTATCAACAACAACAACAACAACAAAGACTTTACTGTTGAGCAATCAATCACTTCTACCATACAGCAAACCACTACTTCTCAACCTTTCTACATCACCCAACTTCACAATGACTTTCACATCTACCCGCAACAGCTCCTCTTCTGAAGAGCAGAGAGGACGCAGCAGAGAACCCGTACTTCTCAACCACAACGTAAGTTATGCATCTGGAACTTAAAACCCCGATCTAGACCCTCGGCTAACAAAGTCATTTTTAGCAACGTACCAACTCGTACTCCAGCGAGTTCTCTACCAACACTACTGCATCTTCTACCAAGACGTCCCGCTCTTGGTTCAAGACTGCACCACAGCCAGCCAACAAGAACGTTCACACATACTGTGGACGACACTCCAGCCAGTTCCTATTCGGCGGCCCTTCCCTGGTTGATCTCGCCAAGGCTTTGTTGTCCAAGGACTAAACATGAGCTGCAAAGCATACGAAGAATACCAGAAAACAAGAAAGCAAAAAAAAACATATACAACACCCAAGCGTGGCCGCTCAATCACGCAACGACTTTGTTTACACTGTTCCACATTCATTCAACGTCACTGGCTGGTACGGGACGGAAGCTCTTATTGGAAGCGTGGCGTCTTTGGCTGTGATTAAAGACAGGCGCATTTATTAGAGAAGGATTGGTGGGAAGACTGTACCACAAGAGACATATGATACCGTTTTGTGTAGCAATATTCGTAATGAGTTTATGAAATACAATGTACAACAATTAACTTTTCAACACTTCTGACACTGTTTCTAATATTAAACTGTGATTCCATAAAAATAGAAAACCTGCTTTCCTCTTGTGTACGAAAAATACGGAGTACTCGTAATGCTGTGTCATGAGTAACTGAAGATCCTCGGCTTAGGAGTTATTCTTGGCTGGTCTTGGCCGAGTAATCGCCAAGAGCATGCCGCGTAATGTCTGCCGTGTATCCGTATCAGTGATGGTTTTTACGGTGCCGAGATGCGAGAATGATTATTCAGGGTCCGGAAATAACCTGGAGATGTTTTGTGGTGTTTAGTGGACTGTGGTTGTAGTTGTGGTAGGCCGGAATAGGGTAAGCTGGGTGAGTTGGGTTGGGATCTAACACATGAATATGGAGGAGTATTGGTTCGACGGCATGCTTGGAATTTGCTTGTAACTATTGCTTGTTTTTATTCTGTTCTTAGTATTAGGTGGCTGGAGTGTAAGGTTTGTTGGGCTGTTGTCTATTTGGGCCGTAACTTTCCAACATTTCTCATATAGTGAGGCAAGTAGCTTGACTCACGTGAAGTGGTCGAGGGCAACCCTGTCAAAAGCAGAGGTATAGGCAAAACACATTAATCATGAGCATTCCTGCCAGAATGATACGGAAACATACGACATCGTATCCAAAGTGACTGCTGATAGACATTCACGCTCGAGTAAAATATCTGCCTGAAATATCAGGCCAAAGTCAAACAACGTGAAAAGTGGACCTCCATACAACCCAGCCCTACGAGCTTAAGGACCAGCATCGAGCTTTTGGAACCGCAGATATGGATTTGGGAAAACGTGGGGAGAGCTAGGAACATGTCGAATTTCATATCATCGCATATGCAGAGGAGATCAGGAATTGGCGTTGCAGCTGCGCTCGATGCGGGTTAAAGACGCGAAAAAAACGAAGTTGAGTATGAGATTTACTTCAAAATGCATCAAACGAACGTTATAACATACCTGACAAGTCGTGTTGCCTATTCGTCGTTCGTTTCGCAACTCATTCAAGCTCTTAAAATACTGCACGATTGAAATGAATCGTCATGTTTCCCTGGCATTATTCACCAATCAGGATTCTGAAGTGGGTCCGCTGCGGCTCGAAGTCTTAACACGCTTGTTTTCAAACCCGCGCTGGACGCAACGTGCAAATCTTTGGACTTCAACAGACGCGAGACTTTCTGACTTCATCAAAATACGATCTTTCTTTTGACCGCGTTTGCGTCGAATCTGCCATCAACCCCAGCGAAAGCACTCGTCGACAGTGCATCCGCTGGCTGTTTGGTTGTCTTCTTTCCCCCTTTTGACGCTTTTGCGCCGATCTTGCGCGCGCTGTAAGCCACGAGCTTGAGTGCGATCACGCCGCCCATGCACGCCGCAACCTGATATCGTGCACTGGACGCCCCTGTAAACGGTAAGTTTCTACTCAAAAATTGTCAACGCAAACGCGACGATTTAAATCAAAATCGATGCATCGTCTGTGTTTACAGCGACGACTCCTGCGATCGCGCGAAGGAACCCCCCCTGTTGACATCCCTTTGTTCACAGAACCGCAAAGCTCGATTGCACCCCCATCGTCTACACCGAACCACAGCATCCACCCGCTTAACGGCTAGACGACCATGGTCAGCAAGCGTAAGAGAGTCCTCGAGGACTTCGACCCTAATCAGTCCGACCCCGAAGACGAAAACTTCAACCCTGCCGAAGCTGGACCACCCCGGAAGACCACGAAGAAGGTCAGCCGTTCTCGCAGCGGAAGGCCGAGTCGCCGACACCGAGATGGATATGGAGGATCGGACATCGATGATGATGACGATGAAGTGTCCGATAGCGACGAACAAGACTTCCTCGAAGAAGACGACGACGAAGAGGACGAGGAGAAAGCCCCCGTCAACGCTGCCGGTCGTCGCGCCAGAAAAGCTGCCACCAAACATGCCAGCTATCTAGAAAGCAGCCCTGACTCATCAGTCGCCGGCGACTTGTCTGACAAGGCTGATAACGACGATATCAAGGCCGACGCAGATGACGAAGACATCAAAGAAGATGACGCCGAGGGCGAACCAGTCGATGAGCCTGTCAGGTCAACTAGGTCGAGAGTTGTCAAACTGAAGCTCACCAGCAAGACGCTGCCTGCCCCTCGTAGGACTACTCGGGCTCACACAGAAGATGCTGAGGAATTTCTCGAGCTTTCCAATTCCGGAAAGCACGCTGTTCCATCACGGGATTCACGAAGTAGAAGTCCAGAGACGTTCGCACGTGCTACGAGAGCCACCCGTGGTTTCAAGGGCCTTAAAAGCGCTCCCGAGACGATTCAAGAAGCTACACAGGAGAGCAGCTTTAAGGAAGTTGCAGACCTTGATGAGCCGGATGAACTGTCCCAAGACATCGAGGATGTTCAAAAGAAAGAGGTTGTCGACGAGGATATGCAAGACGCTGCCGATGTAGATGCACCCGGGGAAGATGCACCTGTGCAAACGGTCGAAGAGGATGACGACGAGGACGATGTCCCCATCACCCGCAGAACCCGAGGATCTCGCGCCGTCGCTTCTGCACAACCAGAAGAAGTCGAATCCGATGCCAACCCCAGAAAGTCACGCCGTCTGACACGCAAATCGAGCAAGAAATCTCAAGAACATAGTAGTGATTTTGACCCCGGCGACGATTCCGACCATTCAGAGGCTTCTGGTGGAGAGAAGGCTCGCCCTCAGGAGGTTGAGGATGTCGATAGCCCGGTCCCCCGTGGCAGACGATCCCGACCCGCCAGATCTCGCCGAGGCGGAGACTCTGGAGACGAGGAGCCCGAATTCGATCTGGACGAACTAAACGAAGAGGCTCGCGAGCTTAGGCAGGATTCGCGCTCTCGTCGACGTCGTCCAAGGAAAGAGTCACCCATCGTCTACCAAGAAAACACCCGACGAGCTAGAACACGCGTTAACTACTACATGCCTCCTCTTACATCCGCCAACATCGAAGAGGAAGAGGCCGAGGCTCCCACAACACAGTCTCGTGCACGACGAGGACGTGGAGGCGCGAGCCAAGGTTGGGAACGCAGTCTCAACACTACATTCGGACCCTTTGGAGGCGGCGGTGCCGGTGCCCTTCTTAACGGGCCTTGGGGTACTGGCGCAGCAGGCGGCGTGGATTCGGACAGCAGTGACGACGAGATGGTCCACCGCTCTAGTGTAGTTGGTAACGTCGGCATGACACCAACGTCTGCGGCTCCCGGTGGTTTGCTTCCTGGTGTGCCCGGCCATAACCTAGAGGGTGCTGGCGCAGCACCAAATGTCGGAAAGATTAAGGACCGCAAAGCTCTGGCGGACGCTGACCCTCTTGGTGTTGACCTGAACGTAGACTTCAGCAAGGTTGGTGGGTTGGAGGGCCACATTGACCAGTTGAAGGAGATGGTTCAGCTGCCTCTGCTCTACCCCGAACTCTTCACTCGATTCCATGTCACCCCGCCACGTGGTGTTTTGTTCCATGGTCCTCCCGGAACAGGCAAAACACTGCTCGCTCGTGCTTTGGCCAACTCGGTTGGCTCTGGTGGCCGGAAGATCTCGTTCTACATGCGTAAGGGTGCCGATGCCCTGAGCAAGTGGGTGGGCGAAGCAGAGAAACAGCTTCGCTTGCTGTTCGAAGAGGCGCGAAGAACTCAACCAAGTATCATTTTCTTCGATGAGATTGATGGACTTGCTCCGGTCCGATCGAGCAAGCAAGAGCAGATTCATGCTTCCATTGTATCAACACTTTTGGCTTTGATGGATGGCATGGACGGTCGTGGTCAGGTTATTGTCATCGGAGCCACCAATCGCCCAGACAACATTGATCCTGCTCTTCGTCGACCCGGTCGATTTGACCGAGAGTTCTACTTCCCCTTACCTGATATCGAAGGACGAAAGGCTATCCTCGACATCCACACAGCAGACTGGGGGCTTTCAGACCTATTCAAAGACTCCTTGGCTGAGAACACAAAAGGCTATGGTGGTGCTGATTTGAGAGCTCTGTGCACAGAAGCTTCTCTCAACGCCATCCAACGAACGTACCCTCAGATCTACGCCTCCACAGAAAAGCTGGTGGTTGACCCTGAAAAGATCAATGTTCATGCAACCGATTTCATGCTGTCAATCAAGAAGCTCATTCCCTCGTCTGAGCGATCAGCGACATCAGGCGCCAAACCTCTCCCTAAGTCGATAAAACCGCTCCTACAAAAGCAACTTGCAGAAGCCAAGATGGCTCTTGATGGTCTTTTGCCACGCAAGAAGAAACTGACTGCTCTCCAAGAAGCTATGTACGAGCAGTTTGATGATGAGGATCATGGGTTTGGCAGAGAAGCCATGCAGCAAGAATTTGAGCGATCTCGCATATTCCGTCCTCGCTTCATCATCTATGGCGCTGGCGGAATGGGCCACAGCTACATTGCTTCTGCTATCCTTCACTATTTCGAAGGCGTTCACGTCCAGAACTTTGATCTTCCAAGCATTCTGGCTGATGGAAGGGTAAGTTGAATTCCGTAACAAAAGCTGCCGCATACTAACATCCAGCAGTCTATGGAACAAGTTATTGTAGGCCTTTTCACAGAGGTCAGACGACACAAACCTAGCGTTATCTATATTCCCAACATGGAAGCTTGGTATATGGCGTTGCGGGATACCCTTGCTTTCACGACGTTCAAGACTATGCTACGATCAATTCCTCCTACGGATCCAGTGCTCCTTTTGGCTACGGCAGAGGGCGAGAGAAATGAACTTCCCAACGACCTCTTCCGCGACCTTTTTGGATTTTCAAGAAAGAATCAAATGGTGATCGCGAAACCTGATGAAGTAAGTAAGACACATTCATCAACATTTCGAAATGCTGACTTGATTAGCTCTCCCGTATGGAATACTTTAGCATGACATCACAGTACGCCAAGAAGAAACCGCGCGACTTTCCTGACCCTGAGAACCGCAAGAAGAGAGTGCTCGAGGAGCTTCCTGTTGCACCTCCAGTCGTGCCCCCTCCTCCCACCAAGGCCGACATCAAGGCCGCGCAGAAGAAGGACCACCAACTTCTCAATACCCTCAAGATTTCGCTCCAGCCCATCATGGATCAGATCAACAGGAGGTACAAGAAGTTCAGACAACCTGTCATTCCTCCGGCTCAGATCGAGTATCTGTTCATCGAATCAGATCCGAACTACGTACGACCAGATGTTGCAGCTGACCGACCATACGAGATTGTCAAGGACAAGTATGACAATGATGTCCTTAGAGATACCGTAAGCGGCAAGTGTTATTATAACCTCGAGACTACTACTATTGAGGAGCGCTTGTCAAACGGTTTCTATGCCCGGCCAAAGGATTTCCTTTTCGATATTAAGGCTCTCGCAAAGGATGCCAAGAATATCGGAGACAAGGAACGAACTCTCAAAGCCAACGAGCTTCTCAGCAACGTTGAGGTTGATGTCGCTAGTATTGAGATGCAAACTGCTCAAGTTGACTGGGAAGCCCTATACCAACGCCAAATTCAACGGGCCAAGGCAGCCACCGAGAAAGAGAGGAAGAGAAAGGCGATGCAATCGCTTGTGGACCGTGTACAGTCTGACCTGGGCGGCAATGACAGCGATTCTCAGGGTCCTGTTACTCTGGGAGAGGCTGTGCCGGGTTCAAGGACCATGGCCAGATTCCAAGTGAGAAGCCCACTGTCTAATGGCCATGGTGCCTCAGGTCAAGATTCGCACCCCTTGAGCAATGGCTTCACTGGCCCTGAAGATGTTGAGATGAGTGGCTTCGACAATACTCAGGCTATTTCTGAGATGGGACCTCCACCAAAGTCCCAAGATCAGACCAGTGCAGCACATACGGGGATGACACAGATCTCTCAGAAGTCAGTAGTGACAACTCTTCCACCAGGAGTTTCGCCATCAGCTGTTATCAACGAGGCCTCAACGACCAAAACCTCAGATCCTTCAACTCACCACTCATCAAACTTTAGCCAGTTGACGAATGGGGGCCATGTTGAGAACCGAGGCATGGAGGACGATAGCCAGGGCGATATCCCAGACACCCTACTTGTAGCGGGACACAACACCTCTGGGGAAGACTCTTGGCTGCACTCCCAGGCTCAGGCCGCGGCAGGGGGCAACCTCATGCCAGGATCTCATAATTCGGGCAGCCCGTCGTCGCAGCGAACATCATCACAGTTCAAGGCTCAAAGTGTAGGCGGTATGGCAAACATACTCAATGAGCACAACTCTGATGAGCACCCCTCTGTCCGCAACTCAGGCTCGTCCACGTCTGCTTCACAACCGCTCACAGCAGGCGAGGTGGAGGGCTTTTTGCAGACCGTGACAGAACAGACAAGAGGCTGCACTATTGAGCAACTCGAGCAGATCAACCGCGAGCTCATGGACGAGATTTGGCGCACAAGAAACGAGTGGAACCGCAGCAGAGTCATAGACCAGATGTTTGAAGTATTCAACAAAACGATGGAGGACATCGAAACGCTCCAAGGAATGGAGCAACCTAGTCAGATGCGCAACTATTAGTACTCGGCAACGACATTCTTAGGACATAAATGGTTTTTTTTGTAAATGTTGAAGGAAAGGAAAGCAAAGGGATATCTGTTTAAGAGTCGGGTGTACGTCCGTAATCATGTCAAGGAGTTTGGGGGTATGCGGCCTCTGATGGCCCGAGGAGGTTTTAGAAGTGTCTGTCCTAGAGGATATCATGGCCACGCAGGTTGATTTTTATTTCCGTATCAATTAGCTACCTGTATGACGGTCTCTTTTTCCTACATATACAACCTCATTGCGATTGTGAACTATTTTACAGCTTGGATTTACTCTTGGTGCTGTCGTATCTCTTGCCCTCGTCTGCCTGCTCGGCCACCGTCAAGTCTGGGAGAGTCTGTGGCATGATCCTCCGCGGTGAAGTGCCTGGGATGACGTTGTATTTGGAAAAATCTTTTACGCCCGCGTGTTCACGGAGGAAATCTTCATCCAGGAGAAGCTCGCCATTTACCGCGGTGGGAGGAGCCTGGAGAATTGCAAGAATGGCGTCGGAGAAGACGGTTGCTTTGCGTAAGTCATTGGCTTCTTCTGGGTTCTTGCGCGTGAACTTTTCTGTAGCAGCAGACTCGATGGCCTAGCATTAATGTTAGTTTCTGCAAGATGAATCTAAGTTGGGTCACATACAACAGCTGGCCATATACTCGTGATGGCCATGTTCTTCTTCCCTTCGCGCTCAAAGTCCATGGCTAGACCTTTGGTCAAGACGCTCATACCAATCTTACCCATGGCATATGCAGTCTTGCCCCGGAAGAAGCGGCTATAGATGGGTGGGCTTACAACAACGATTCGGCCCATGGGAGGGAGATGAGGGAGCGTAGCTTGGATTGTTGCGTAGAGTCCCTCTGGGTTGACGCGTTGCATGAGCTGGAAGCGTTTGACGGGTGTAGATGAGACGGGGGCCCAGAAGATGGCGCCTGAGTTGTAGACGAGGACATCTAGACGGCCGTAGGTCTGAGAAGGTTAGTATTGTGAGACAAAGGAGACAGTGGTTGAGTGGGTGGTCTTACAGAGATGGTCTGCGATATAAGAGAGTCAATACTGTCTGGATACCGAACGTCGACTTGAATAGCTGTAGCATCACCTCCGGCAGATGTGATCTCACGAGCAACAGTAGTGATGGTAGAAGCGGACGAGTTTGGATTTGGAGGGAAAGGATTTGGTAAGTTAGAAGGGTCGCTGATGGTCTTTGCGGCGACAACGACTTTGTATGAATGTGTTAGTTGATATAAATGTCATATGTAAGTTGGACGAACCGGCATAGCCATTGCGGGCGAGATCAACGGCGACTTGACGACCGATGCCTCTAGAGGCGCCGACGATAAGAGCAACAGGCTTATTGGACATGATGATAATTATTATGCGTATTTGATTTATGTTGTTTTTGTTCTTGATGTTGATAGTTGAAGAATGTGCTTATATATCAAATGATAAACCCATGTTGTGCTAGGAGATAAAGTCCGGGGAGATCGGCTGGGGGTGGATTCGAGCCTCGGCAACCCCACACATTAACACGGGGTTGTTATATAAATCTACTCGGTACAAGTAACTTAGACTGGGCTATTTGTTTATGTTTACTCATCTTGGTCACTCAAAATAAGCAGAACGAGTATTCTCAAAATGGGCGGACGAATTGATTGCTACTTGGACATTGGTGAGTTGTCAAATAGCCTTTATTTCGAGTGACAACTGACACGCTCAAGTGTCTTTCTTCAGCTATGTTGGCTATGTAGAGTTGAGGTCCAACATGGACAAACTGGCTGCTCATGGAATTGAAGTAAAGTGAGTATCGTTTCCTATCTCTTCACGCGATCTGACCTGACCCGTTACTAATCAATAAACAGCTTTATCCCCATCTTCTTGGGCGCCATCATGAACTCATCTGGTAAACCACACTGAATCTCCTCGCAGAACAATCATCTCACACAGACTAGGAAACACACCTCCCTGGACTCTACCCGCCAAGGGCAAATACCTCAACCAAGACTCACGTCGCTCTGCAGAGCGCCTGTCAGTTCCCTACCAAGGCTCACCCCCAAACCTCTTCGCCATCGCAAAGACCGTCTCTCCGCTCCGCGCGCTTCACTTCATAAAGGAAAACTACCCCGAGACGACTTTTCTAGCTGCAATTAGGTTTTTGTTCCACAAGATCTGGCTGCCTCCTCACGTCAACCTCGCCGAGGACGAGAACCTCATCGCTGCGCTGAAGGAAGCGACTGATGAGCTTGACGGGGGCAGTGGTAAGAAGCTGTTTTCCGATGAGGATGTGGAGAGAGTTATGAACGGGCGGGAAAGTATGAAAGAGAGGGTTAAGGTGACGACTGGTGAAGCCCTAAAACTGGGAGCATTCGGCGCGCCTTGGCTTATTGCGACTCGCGCGGATGGCAAGTCTGAGGCTTTCTTTGGAAGCGACAGGTGAGTTTCTCCAAGGCGATATATACCATGTGTTGAAATGACTGACGTTGTAGGTACCACCATATATATCGCTTTTTGGGTGTCCCATTCAAGGACATTGAGATCCTGCCGCCATCATCTAAGCTGTAAAGCATGAGGTGAATACGGTCGATGATGAGAGGAACATGTAAAAGATATTTTGAGAAAATACATAGGGAAAATTGTTTCATAGTAATCAATCATGTACATCACATGTATATAGCCTATCGCGATGCAAAATCTCGGGTGTTATTCGCAGCTTGTGTCACTGAACCATCACACAAACCCACTCATTCAGCTTGAACCTCCCTTAAACCTCCACCAAACACATCTCAACTCCATCACCACAAACTCTTAGCAATGCAGTCTCTGGAACTCACTCTTATAGTCGCTGCGACACGCAACATGGGCATTGGCGCCCACGGGACAATGCCCTGGCAAGGTCTTCGCAAAGAGATGAAATATTTTGCGCGTGTGACTACGAGACTGCCACCACAGGTACATATCAGACTCAATTTTCAGATACATCACCAGCACATCAATACTTGATAAGCCAAGTTTCTAATAATTGAAATAATGCATTGAGAGAATAAACATATACTAACACTTTCCAGACCTCTTCACCATCTCTCAACGCCGTCATCATGGGCCGCAAAACCTGGGACTCAATCCCCAACAAATTCCGCCCTCTCAAAGACCGTCTCAACATCGTGATAAGCCGCTCCGCGCCCTCAACGCTCCCCGAAACCGTCGAGCCCTCTGAGCCCGTCAGGGTGCGGTCCCTTGAGCTTGCCCTGCAGTATGCCCGCACCCGCAACGACATCAGCCGCGTCTTCGTCATCGGCGGCGCCCAGATCTATGACGCTGCCCTCAAGCTGCCCGAGGCGCGACGCATTCTGCTCACGAGCATTGAGCGGGACTTTGACTGCGATACTTTCTTTCCCGTGGACTTGAAGGGTGGCGTGTGGAGGAGGAGGTCTAGAGAGGAGCTGCAGCAGTGGACGGGTGAGGAGGTTGAGGAGGGTGGCCAAGAGGAGGCCGGGACGAAGTACGAGTTTCAGATGTGGGAGAAGGTTGAATAGCTGAACATTTAGACATATACCAAAATAGGTCTTAAACTACATAATTTGCAAATGAGATGGATATCATCAATGCACTTATTCATAATACACCAGTCATGCCTCAGAACATACACAGCCGACCCCCCATCCTAATGCCCTATTCATACAGCCCAGCCCATTCTATTCTTTTTTTGTGCCAAGCAACCCATACATACAGCTCATAATACAGATATTCGTCTTCACCTTTAGTTTGTTAACACCTTGGGTGTTTCCCCTGTTGGTACAGCAGCCGCTTCCTTCACTGGCTCTACCGCAGGAACATCCTCCTCCTGCTGTCCGCCCAGCTGCTTCTCCAACCTTGTCCAGAACACATCCACCGGCTTAGCCATGATGGCTGGTAATTGCGCGGGGAGGTTGTTGTCCGACACAGCCTCGAACTGCTGCAGTGTCGACCGCACCCACCCAACAATAGCAAGCAGAGCCCTGGGGTCCGCATCGGGAGAACCCTTGAACAGGTTTCGCCAGATGGCGCTCGCGAGCATGGCGTCGCCCTTGATGAGACCCTCGTCGTACGCCAGCAGGAGGCCGCGCCACTGGACGAAGATGTCCTTGAGATATCGCTGTCGCAGGGCGCTCGATGTGATGTGGTGATCGATGTGCATCTTCTTCTCGCACTCGAAGAAGAAGTGGTCGGTGAGCTGGTGCTGCCAGTTCTGGAAGCCCTCGCGGTCGAAGCAGCGTATTCGGGTGTTGATTAGGTAGAGGTGAAGCATAGTAACGTGGGACCAGGTACTGAATGTGGGAGGGAGTTTGAAGGCTGTTGTTGGAAAGGCAAGAATTAGTATTTAATAGAAATATCTGGGGGGGGGGGGGACATTTTGGGTGTTGACGTACTGTGATGCCACACACTATCAGGATATAGAGACTCTCCAACTTCTTCGCCATCCTTCGCAAGCTCTACATGATCGTTCTTGCGCGCCTCCTCCGTGATATGGTAGTCAGCCGCCTTGGACGAAGCCTTGAACAACTGCTCCGTAGCACCCAACACACGATACGGCTCAGCCATAGACTTGCCAATGCCCTTGAGGAGGCTCCTCTGGCCCGTGCTGCTGAAGTGTCTTCGAGGAGAAGCAGCCACAGCCACCGGCGGCAGAAAGTTTCTGGTGTTTGACGCCGCAGCTCGTGATGCGCCGGCTCGCATTGCGGCCCGGAGGACGGTCCGAGCCTGGGTTCGACATGTCTCGCAGGCGATACTCATGGTGTTTTCTTTTTTGTATGGGTGTTTTTGTTCGAAGGGAATTGGGGACCCTGGACACGCCCTGGAATTAGAGTTACAGCGAGGAAATGGGAGAAGCTGTTTGGGGAGAGAGAGTCTTCACGTCATGCACCTGGTCATGACGGCGTTGATCTTTTTGTTTAACTACTCTGTACCTAGAGAAATTGAATGGCGTGTGAGTGGCTCGCGGATATATCTCGGGTGGACCCTTGATGCATTTCAGTTTCAACGTTAACTACCTACCCGAATGATGATTAAATAAAATAAAATACATTCAAATTAATTTTACATATATATATTTCTATCGTCAATCATTGATATTTGGCGAATACTAGCGAACTATTTGTGCCGCCAAATCCAAAGCTGTTGGACACTGCTACACCAACCGCCTTCTCTTGTGCCTCATTTGGTACAAAGTTAAAGGCAGCACCAACGTCTGGCTTCTCCAGATTTAATGTTGGCGGCACAACTCCCTAGAACAGTTAATAAGAAACAGACAATTGTCCTCTTACGGAGTGTAAATACCTCGTGAATGGCCATAATAGAAAATAGAGCCTCAATGGCACCAGCAGCACCCAGCAAATGTCCTACTGCGCCTTTGGTGCTACTAACAGTAACATCCGACTCTTTCTGGTGCCCCTCTTCACCCAGCATAAGTCGTCGTATAGCAGATGTTTCTGCTGTGTCTCCCACGTTGGTTGCTGTGGCGTGGGCGTTCACATAGTCGACCTGGTGAGGCTTGACCCCAGCGCTCTTGAGAGCCTTCTTCATGGCAAGAAATGCACCATGTCCATCCTTGCGCGGTGCTGTCATGTGGTGAGCGTCGCCGCTGCAGCCGTAGCCTTTGATCTCGGCGTAGATACGAACTCCTCGTGCTTTGGCGTGCTCTAGCTCTTCCAAGACCAGCACTGCGGCGCCCTCAGAAATGACGAACCCATTGCGAGCGGCGTCGAAGGGGCGGCAACTTGCTGTGGGGTTGTCGTTGTAGGCCGTCGATAGGGATCTTGCCCTGCCGAACCCAGCGAATGCTAGAGGATGGATGCACGACTCTGAACCCCCTGCGATCATGACATCGGCGTCTCCCATTGCGATAAACCGTGATGCGTCCCCTATTGAGTGTGAGCCGGTCGTGCAAGCTGTTGTAGCAGCATGGTTAGGGCCCTGGAAGCCGTATTTCATGGCGATGTGTCCAGCAGCCATGTTGATCAGGATCTTGGGCACAAACAGTGGCGATACCTTTTTATAGCCCTGTCACATATTTAGCAGAGAATAAACCTAGAATTGAACAAACAAATCTTACATCTTTGTGATGCACTAAGCTGGTCTCATAAATCTCATCCAGATTCCCAATACCACTTCCAATACACACGCCAGTTGCCTCCTGCTGCTCTGCGCCCTTGGGCTCCCATCCTGCGTCTTTAAGAGCCATGTCACTCGCAGCGACGGCATATTGTGTAAATTTGGACATTCGTCTCTGCTCATTCGCACTGAACCAGTCCGACGCCCTCCATTGCCCTACTCCCTCTCCTTTGCCCCTGGGCACTAACCCAGAGACTGTGCTCGTCAACTCTTTCCATCGTGCTTGAGGCTCAAGATCTGCGACGCTGACGATGCCGCATTCGCTGTTGAGTAGACGAGTCCATGTTCGTCTTACGCCGACTCCCAGAGGCGTGATGGCTCCGAGGCCGGTCACTACTACACGGCGCATTATAGACCCATGCCGAGTGTTGACCCTGTAAGTTAAAGAAGACCCTTTTTACTGGATTTGTTGGTTGTAAATATGGAAAGAATAATAAAGCATTCGTAGAGTTGCAAGTTGGTTTTGGTAAGGATATAAAAAGAATAGATGCATACTGTTCGGCCTAATCAGGTTTAGCGCCATCTTGATACCGATACAAGTGTCAAGGGGAAGGAGGTACCTCGCTTCATGTACCATTCTCATTCTCACACTCAGACTCACAATAGACTAAGCCTTCAACAACATTCCAAGTGTAATCTCAACCTATTTTAAATATTTGAAAGATTTATCTTCCAATTTGTCGACAAATTCAACCAATAGCCTGTACTATTTACTTTCATCATTCATTCAACAGCGATGTGGTTGACTCCCAAGTCTGAATAGACGCCACAGATAACAAAGAGCTGTCCTCAACTCGGAGCTCTGTGTACCATTACCAATTGGAGTACAAGTTTCTCTCGAACTATACAGCTCATAGAGTGAGACGTCTTATATATCAAACCCTCGAGCCATTGTGTGTTCCGGGAACCTTCAGCTCACGTCAACTCAGTACGCGTCACCTCCAAGACCTACCAACAACAGAGCGTCCTCCAATGCCTCCAAGTCGCAAGCCGGGCTCGGCCTTGCCAGCCGAAGCTATCGGCCAAAGCATAGGAGGTCCCAGCGGAAGGCTCTCAACATCACTCGAGATCGAGGACTCGTCAAATGAGAACCTCAAGCATCGTCTCAATGAATGGGCAGCCTCTGGGGCACGCAACGATGACGAGGACGACCAAGGCTCGGAATACGAGCTTCTTATGGACCCGAATCTTCCTCAAGAGTATGAGACGAGACGTAAGAGTTCAGGAGAATCAGGCGATGACGCCGCGTTGATCAACCAGGATGAAGACGACGAGGAAGAAGAGAACTCTCCCTATCCTGAAGTTCGAGCTGCAGTACGAAATTTCGACGAGGATCTTCCATGCAACACTGTAAGAGCATGGACTATAGGAATGCTGCTAGTCATCGTGGGTGCTTCCACGAACACCCTCTTCTCTCTCCGCCAACCATCCATCAGCATTGGGCCTCTCATCGCGCAAATTGTTGCGTGGCCGATGGGCCATGGCTGGGCGAGATTTGTGCCAGATAGGGAGTTTAATACCTTTGGCATGAGATGGACTCTTAACCCTGGACCATTCAACGCCAAAGAGCACGCTATTATCGTTGTAATGGCGAGTGTGTCGTTCTCGGTCGCATATGCCACGGATATCATCCTAGCACAGGTGGTCTTTTATAAGCAGGACTTTGGCCTGATGTTCCAACTCCTGTTGACTATATCGACGCAATCAGTTGGTTATGGAATTGCAGGCATGCTACGAAAGTTCTTAGGTAAGTCATAATACCTCACCATGTGCATCATCTTCTGATCGATCAAAGTATATCCTGCATCCATGATTTGGCCCGAGAATCTCGTGGGTGTCACGCTCATGAACGCCATGTACGAAGTAAACGATGCTCCTGATCCCAGTATCCTTGGAGGCACTATGCACCGGTATAAATGGTTCACTATCGTGACCGGATGCTCTTTTGTCTACTACTTCATCCCGGGCTTCCTAGCCCAGTTCCTCAGCATCTTCGCCGTAGCTACTTGGATGGCCCCTCAGAACCCTGTTATGAACCAATTATTCGGAGGCCAGACAGGTCTATCTTTTCTTCCTATCACCTTCGACTGGACGCAGATTGCAGGATACGTTGGCTCTCCGCTGATTCCACCGTGGTATGTATGATAACTAACCTCTGAAGGACAGAATTGACCGTGACTAGGCACGCCATCGCCAATACTACCATTGGAGTTTTTCTCTTTTTTGTCGTAGGAGCATCGTTTCTGCATTTTGGAGGGGCATGGTATGCAGAGTATCTACCCATGAGCGACTCTGGCACCTATGACAATACAGGAGCTCGCTACAACACCACGCGGATTCTCACCAAAGACTTCACACTGAACGAAGAGGAGTATAAGAACTACTCGCCCCTTTTCATCAGGTACGTCCAGGGGATGAAATTCCAACTCCATTGATATAAACTCACAATTAAAGTACCACTTTCGCCATGTCTTACGGCTTGTCTTTTGCTGCCATATCCGCACTTGTAGTATACACTTATCTCCACAACGGTAAACAAATCTGGCAGCAATGGAGGAATAGTACAAACGAAAAGCCCGATATCCATATGAAACTCATGAGAAAGTACAAAGAAGCCCCCACTTGGTGGTACATGTCGCTTTTTGCCGCTGTAAGCCACTAGCTTCACTTCTATTTACCTCAACTGACAGCACTTTAGATGCTTCTCATCGGCTTCTATACAGTACTTGCATACCCAACGAACCTGTCATGGTGGGCTTTTCTGCTAGCCATTGCCATCTCATTTGGCTTTGCTCTACCTATAGGCATTATCCAAGCCGTGACAAACACCCAGATTGGCTTGAATGTCCTGACAGAGTTCATCTATGGATATCTACAGCCAGGGCGACCCCTAGCACTGATGATGTATGCTTCACAACACATTCCAATACTCTTCTAGACTAACGTTCACGCTCCTGTAGCTTCAAGACATATGGGTACATCACAATGTAGGCAGCCCCTGAAACAACACAAACCGCTCAATGGCTAACTCAATATCCATCGCAGGGCGCAGTCTCTTCGCTTTGTCTCGGACTTGAAGTTCGGACATTACATGAAGATACCCCCTCGGACAATGTTTCTGTCTCAGGTCGTCGCCACAACATTCTCATGCTTTATCCAGATCGTCGTTCTGAACCTGTCTCTGAATAATATCCCCAACGTCTGCGAGCAGCACCAGGTTGATCACTTTACGTGTCCTGGCGGCCGCGTCTTCTTCGCCGGTGAGTCTGACTCCGAGACTGGACGTGCTCTTCATTGTATTCTAACACAGGAGATACAGCCTCAATCATATGGGGCCTCCTCGGCCCTGCTCGCATGTTCTCGCCCGGCCAGGTCTACTCCGGCCTTTTCTTCTTCTTCATCTTGGGCGCCATCACACCCATTGTCATCTATGTCTTAGCCAAGCGCTGGCCCAAGTCTCCCGTGCGGTATCTCATGGCGCCGCTCATCTTTGGGGGTGCAGGGGCGATCCCACCGGCGACGCCCCTCAACTATCTCTCATGGGGTATCGTCGGCTTCGTCTTTCAGTACTGGATCAAGAAGCGTCACTTCAGATGGTGGACCAGACTCAACTTTCTTACGTCGTCTGCACTTGACCTTGGCCTCGCCCTCGCGACACTGGTCATCTTCTTTGCCTTTACACTGCATGATGTAGATCCGCCCAGCTGGTGGGGAAACGATATTGTCTCTTCGACGATGGATGTCCAGGGTACCGCGATACAGGCCCGCCCAGCCGAAGGGGAGCGGTTTGGACCAAAGACTTGGTGATGCAAGAGGCAAGAGGCAAGAGGTGCATATGATTATTGAGCACTTTTGCATGCTCAATTTCTTTTTAAAGTCTGTTGGTGGCTGATGCACTGCAAGCCATGAAATGCAACTTTTCTGCCAGAGACAGATCTGCTCCTCAATAGCTGAATATAGGACCATGATCCATCGTAGCCAGTCAAACGCAACGTGGCGTATGTCATGCACATGGATAATAAGCCGGCCGGCCGCAAGTCTGAGACCGCCATCCACAAGCGATATGATTGTGTGGTATGTAAGAAGCGGCATTGCTTTTTAGTCCACCGCGACAATCTCTACCCTCTGGTTCGTAGATTATACAGCTCATCCCGCAATTTACCATAGGGGAAGACCACGTACCGGGAACCAGAACCACCCTCCTTGTTTTAGTATTGCATGAGCTTTGCGAATAGTAACCAAGCAAACCTGCATTTTGCACAACGCATGTATGACAGTTCTAGTCTCAGATAGCGCTCCGATAATGGCCAGTAGCTTCTGAAGGAATGTGGCATCTCAAGCAAATATTTTGGGACTTGCTGTGCAATGTGATACATCTCGACCCTTCCTCACGCTGTAGAACACGGAGAAAGGCATAGCCGAACTAGCGTCTTGGTTGCTGCTTGTATATTGGCCCTGGTTATCAAGATGCTTTGCGATGAGCTGCATATGTACTAGGTTTGAAGCCGAATAAAGAGGCCCAACCTCTTTCAGTTCACCGAGTTTCATATATACAGTTGTTGCCGGGATATACAACAAATGACATGCAGTTGTTTTTGACCCTTGTTTATACTTGTTTATTGCTCAACTTCCAGTTGCCAATTGGGCCAACAAAAGAGAACCTCGCCAATGCATAGCGCAATATCATCCCCCTGGGACACTATCCAGACTCCTCAACCGCAAGACCATATGGCATTGCTCATACAGACCGCGAGATTATGACAGGTCTAAAAGTCGATGGATTATCATTTTTTATTTGCTCGATCGTCTGTGGCTGGTTGATTACACAAAAGATGATGAGTAGGAAATGAGAAGTGGACATTTGACGGCCTAGTTACCATCTTTCAATCGAAACTACCACCAGCTCAGCCTTGATGCTCCCTGTCTAAATCCATGAAGCTGCCATGGTGGCTGTATCGTGGACTCTTTTGTTCAGTCAAGGATCGGGACCGAAATGTGCTAAGCAAAGGTCTCGATACCAAAGTTTCTGAATGCACGCCTTCTTCTTGTTTGACCTTAGCATGGGCCGTGGCTGCTGGTCCACGACGACTGTTGTATGGGGGATTTGAACTGTTGTAAGGGACTGGATTAAAGGGGGACCGATACTGGCTGGGGTCGTACGATGTGGCCGGCTCAGGTTGGAGTCGATATACTGGTCTTCTGGATGTTTTGACGACCTTCGCCTGCACTTCGCGTTCAACGTCAAGCCGAAATAATTCCAATCTTGAAGCAAAGTGTCCTGCATAGAGGCTTGATTTGGACCATGTCTCCAATATGGATATCACGTTTGCCACCAACGGCAGATGTTCCTTACTGGCGTAGATGTCTGCATAGGTGCTACTGAGCAGAATGAGGGATGCGTCAAATAACACATAACTATGATTCCGTAAGTGGTAGACTCAGATGGAGAAGTAGCTGATACTTACAGGGCAATGGGGTCAAGACGGTAAGACGAGATCGAACGAAGGTTGTTCACCATCCTGATTACTTCAAGCGACTGAGAAACGCATCTTTGAGATAACTTGTTGATCTCAGCCTCGGTACCGTCAAGTGTTTTGCATTCCACTGTGTCCTTGAAACGCAGCAGGAAGAAAGGCCGGCAGACAACGATATTGGCGTAGAAACCGATCAGTTGGATATTGATCTGTGTCATCATGTGAGACGAGTTCGCCATACCATTTTCAAACAAGCCATCATTGTTGAAATCCGGATGATGTTCCAGGTAGTTCATCATCTGGTTCGGTACCTCAAACGCGACTCTACGGCGAGGGTATATGCTGTTGAGTGTTTGGCCAATGATCTGGCATGCTTCTACAATAGGATCAAGTATGTCTCTTATCGAGGATCCGCAGGGGCTGGCGAGTGATGAATCAGAGTATTCGTTGTCGGAAATAGCCACGGGTCTTCCTAGCGAGGAAGCCAGAAATCTGTCGAGGATGAACAAACTCCGCCAGATATTCCGTGTCAAGACTCTCTGGTTCTGGGGGGCAGCAAAGTTATCAACCTCCGTTTCATTACCTCGATGAATCCCGAGTGTATATGCGCGCCGAACTGCCCTACCTGAATTTGAATGAGCTTCGTTTTCCGAACAGGTTATAGTATTGAGCTTACCACAGTATTCGTAGGCTAGGTTTCTTCTCGATGTGGCTAGCATGTAGTAAGCCATCAACACGAGAATTTGAAGAAACCATGAGGCATCATAGTGACCCCTTGGTCTTTCATATAAATCGTAGGGGCGGGACAATGCTTCGGCTTCGGCAAAAAGCTGGTCTTTCAAACCAAGGCTATATGTATCATTGTCTTGTGGATCGCCAAGAGCAAGACCAATCGAGAGGGTGAGATAAAGAAGGCATTTATCGGGAACCCCTACCCGACTTGGTTCATCGTAGAATTGGTTCATTATCGATTCGATCAACTCTTGGTCCAGAACATCAATAAAACCTGAAGTCTTATTACATCATTAGTACGTAGACTGCTTGAAAGTCTAGAAGAGGATGGCTTACTTTGGTGAAATATAGCTTGGCTAAGGTCACCGCACTATCTTTGCAAGGTAGATCATATGGGCCCAATGGCTGAGGAGCCATAAACGGTGCCTCCGGCAGCTGTGACCAATTCCGATCTTCAGTAAAATCCGAAGGTCCTGACCTATCTCTCACGGTATCTTTGATCCAGGCCATAAAAGATTGGATGGCGGAATTCCCAACGAATGCTGGAAGCGTTAATGGGCCATGTTAAGCTGTTGCTTCGGTTTGGTCATTTACTCACCGAATCGCTTCTGATAATCCAGAAGCATACAGGAGTATCCATGTATCTTCAGCCTTTCGGTGTCTGATACTGACGTAAGGGAGAACTTATAGTCGAACTCGGGCGTAGTCGATCTCGTCATTCTGTCCTGATTCAGGTGAAGTGCATTTTCGATTTTGTCCACTGAATCTGATTCTTCAGGGGTTTCTGTTGATTTCGTGCTCAGACTCTCTACTGAATGAGAACCAGGTGTGGTTGAGTAGGTTGGCGATTTCGAGGCTTTCCGAAGTCTATACTGGCAGTCCACGTTTCGTTTTCGACAGACTTTGCAAGGCTGAAGACCATCACACTGTAAGGAAGTCATGTTAGTAACGTATGATGCAGGGGCATATTATTTCGGAAGTTGCGCTCGTATCTCTTTGTTGAAGATGCGAGTTGGTATTCTGATGTTCCAGGAAATCAAGGGTTGACGAGTGCTGCAACAAAATACAGCAATCAACAAAGGACAGAACCGTGAAGGTTGAAAATGAGGTAACAGAGTGTTAAGTGCATCGTGAGAAAGGACAAGTGGTAGAGTGAGAATGCATCAAGAAACATCTGCAGAATAAAACTGGTAATGGTTGAATAATATGAGCTTTGCCTTGTTTCACCTTTTGTTTGCGTTTCCTGCAGGTGTTGCAGGCCTGCGGGACCCTTTTGCGATTCTCCATCATGACCTTGGATCGTGCCATTATGGATACAATATGTATAGTGTCTGCCTTTCCCCTAGTATCTTTGACCAGGTATAAGAGGGGGGATCTCCACGATTAGGTGATTCTTCAGTTTCGAAGTATGCTGGTAGACTTCGACAAAGCCAACCGAAGGCTAACGACCCTATATTTATGAGTGTTGTAGTTCTGTAGAGAAGCAAGAAATCGCCTGTATTTTGCAGCTGACTCGTGCAATACCAGATAGGAAACTTCCAGGCACTGTTAACAAGATGGGTCGAAGTTTGACCTTAAAATGACACAGTGCAGCGCTTAGGATACGAGCAAGGCCAGCTCTTGGTGGTATTGAGAAATCTGTGTTTCGACAGAGGAGAATTCCGATTATAGTGTCTTATATCGAGAGGTCATCCGGTTAATATGCTTGAATCTTATGAATAAGAAGTGTGTGTAATGAAGCGGAGTGATGCTGAGTGTCCAAGAGAGTACACAGCGGGAACTCGGGCTCTTTCTATCCATCTTGCTAACCATGGCGACTCAGAGTGTCCAACTAGAAGCCGTACCGACACTACGGAACGGGCTTTGTGATGCTATGTGCCCAGATCAGAGCAGCCTTGCTTGCAGAGGTTGAGAGAACATCTGTGGCGTCCAGAAGGCGCACCATCGGGCATGGGTTGCAGTAGCTGATGATCGCAAGATGGGAAGTCGGAGAAATGGAGCTTCTGGGGGGCACTCCTTGTCTTAGGAGTCATCGCGTAATCCTTGAATATGAAGTTCCTCTTGGCCTCAGAAGGGGGTCTTGCAATTGGTCGTTTTCCAGGGCAGGCAGATCTGAGACCTGAAGAAGCAAACATATGCCGTTGCGAGTGTTTAGTGGAATGATGTGGGTCCTTCTGTATGAGTTTAATGCCAGTATTCAACATCTTTACTCTTCTAGACTCTTTTGCGAAGCACTCTTGGTCATAGTTGGGGGGTCCAATCGCTGTAGACTGAATAACAGTAAAGTGTTGGGGGTGCGAGTTGGTCGATCAGATCTCAGAACGACAAGGGTTTTTGTTTGTTGGCTCATGACTGCTCGCATATCAAGTACCATCTTTGAATTGTGACTTGTACAGCTTTTGCGGTGGCCTCTACAGGTAGAGTTTATGGGTTAGAGAGAAGTACCTAAGCTCTTGGCCGTGATAGAGGATGGAAAGAGCGAAGTCTAATACACGTGACACCCAGCAACTGCGAACGATGTTAGGTTGTGTAACCTCCTTCTCAACTTACATCGCATCTATCATTAGTCATCTCATCACCACAGCCTCATCTACGACTACGAGCACTCATTCCATACAACAGCGCCCCGCGTTTGATCTTCTTCTCCTCTTGTCTCTTACCACCACATGTCTTAGTCCAGGTTTCTGAAATTGCAGGGATGGTATGTCGACCACATGAATAGCTCTGCTAACGACCAACTATGCAGATTTTACCCGGGATTTCTTTCTTTTTTCTCAAACTCCCTAGCCTTCACCGGTAATTATTGGGGATACATGCCGTTCCACGTCACCCTTGGAACGAACTACCCAACGCGATGTATTAGTCTTGCTATTGTCCATCGACCGGGTTCTTGGATTCTTCCCTATGCCCCGAGACATTTTCAAGCCACCTTCCTATCGACCAATTCAAACCTCCTAACCCTGGTCTTGTCTCCTTGTCCGCGCAATGCAATCAAAGGCACTACACCCAACTTCGATACCTTCTCTCTGTAATGCAAGGTAAGACGCGGGGTCAGCCTTCTTAGGAAGGGATGCTTGTTGTTTCATTCTCCTGCATGAAGGAATGATCTTGATTAATTCCGATATCTGGCATGAGAAACATCCACGCACACCATCTGTGGCTAATAGCTTAGTACGCAGTCGCCAACTGATACATACATCCATAGTACTGTATTCATATTTCAGCTCGGCACTTGGCATTCAGGCATTGCCCGTTTAAGTCCGCAATAAAGTTGTACCATGCTAGGTTCGCTTCTCGCGCAATTCTGTTGTTTGTGCCGAGTTGTGGATGCTTGGGAATCTAGTTTGATAGCTTAGTATACTTGGTCTTGCAGGTGAAGACTCCCTACCAGTTCCAGTTTAGAGCCTTGAGGGTTTTCAATGACATAGAATGAGGTCTTGATTATGTCTGGCTTGTTGATACGGACCCCTGAAGTCCTGCGTGGCTGTCCCATTATAGTTGATATGTGCGTGAGTGCTTTAGCTACATGATCGATATCATATGGGCGCCCACTCAGCCATACCTAGCAAGTATTGTGTATGGTAGATTCTCCAGACACAACCATAATCTGACATAGTATATGGTATTGCTTCAATATCTTACATTTCCGTAATTCTTCTGTACTAATTGTGCAAAGCCAAATTCCGCATCAACCAATTGTTCATGAATACAAAACACGATCACCGGTCTCGGCAGAACATATGCTTCTCGGCTGGACATGAGAAAATTAGACAAAATTTATGTTATCAGAACATTTCAAGTTTCGAAGTCAAACATCTTCTCGACATCAAACTTAATTCATCATTGGGTTTGTCGTTCTAGCTATCTGGCAAAACCACCACTGAAGAGGCGTAGACATATCATACCAAGGTGTGCGTCCAAGCGCAATTACTAGCCATTGTCTATAGCAAAAAAAAAAAGAAACATCGATATATTACAGGGAATCTTCATGAGCTCACAGCACCAGGCGTCCTGGCTCCTCCTCGAGAATCACCTTGCAGCGTTCAAGGAAAAGCTGTGCCCGCTCCTCCTCGGCCTTGGGGACCACCAGGCTGAACACGTTGGCACCGCTGGACAGGCCGGGGACGGCGCGGACGGTAGCGGGCTTGGGAGCGGACTTCTTGCTGGGGGCGGCGAGAATGTCGATGATGTCGGTCTGCTTGCGGGCGGGGGCTCGGGGAGAAAGGAGGGATGTAGGAGAGATGGCAGAGATCTGAGGCAGGTAGACACCGCGGGATCCCTTGACAGCCTTGACCTTGTCGAGGCCGAGGACCTGATCGAAGAGCTCGTCGGCGGTAGGGGCGCGCTTGGTAGGAGGGAGGTCATCGTTGGCAACCTCAGCGGCACGGCCAACAAAGGTAGAGAGGGGCAGGAAGACACCAAGGGTCTCGTGGATTCGGTTCTGGACCTCAATGACCTTAGTGAGAGTGATTGGGATAGAAACCTCAAGGTCCTCAACCACGGGGGCCCTGGGAGCCTTGGCCTTGATGTCCTCGACAGGCTTGGAAGGAGGTGCGGGCTTAGTAGCAACCTTGATGTTGCTAAGGTCTAGGTGGAACAGGTTGTTGAAGTTGAGCTCGTTGGCAGCAGGGGTCTCGGGGTTGATGCTTCCAAGATGAGCGAGAATATCGCCCTTGACCAATCGACCGTGGGGACCGGTACCCTTGATCTTAGCAACATCGGCCTCGCTGAGGCCCTTCTCCTTGATGAGGTGACCAACTGAAGGCAGCAGAGGGTACTTGTGCTCGTAGGTGTCGTTACCAGCGGGCTTTGTGGCCTTCTCGGCTGGCTTCGACTGGGAGGGTGCGGTGCTCTCTCTAGAAGCTTGGGCGCTAGACTGTTCCTTGGGTTGCTCCTTGGCCTGCTCGTCGGCGGGGACCTCGAGAGAGTTGACATCGTCGCCAGCCTCAGCAATAACACCAATGCGCGATCCAACCTGCACGGCCTTGCTGCCATCTGCAACCATGATCTTGAACATGATACCGTCGTCCTGGGCCTCAACATCCATGCTGGCCTTGTCGGTCTCGATCTCGAGCAGCACATCACCGGCGCTGAAAGACTCCCCCTCCTTGACCTTCCACGTAGCAATGTTACCCTCGGTCATGGTGGGCGAGAGGGCCGGCATGGTGAAGTTCTGGGCGGCGAGGCATCGCGTCGAGGTGGTAAAGCCTGCATCAAAGAGAATATGTTAGTCGGTGCGCGACAAAAGGGTCCGAGGGGTGTATATCAGCAGAATAGAACTTACCACGAGCGATAGCGGACCGAGAAGCGACAGCTCGGGCAGTTGCCCTGCATGCTGTTGAAAGGGAAGCCATTGCACTGCTCGATTGAAGGCGAAGATGGCGAGATGAGGCGGTTGAGGGAGGATTTTCGGTGCACGTAAGAGCGGCCTCGGGGTGTTGAGAGGTAGATTTCTTGACCTGAGCTGTTGGGCTGGTGGGTCGAACGGTAAATTTTTGGCGCCATAAGACGTGAACTTTACGGGACAAAAACGCTCAAGGTCCCTGGATTTTGGGTCTGCTACAGTTGGTCGATCAAACAGAAATTCATTACTTAGTAGATAAAGTCACTCTTCTTGTTTTCTGGTACTTCTTCCTACAGAAAAGTTGATCTTCTTAAAACGTTCATAATTCAATCAACGCTAATTAGACAATACCTCAACTGTTGGACTGGGCTTCTTCTCGGGTGGCGGCGAAAAGTTGTCCGACCAGGTAGCACTATCGCCGGCTTATTGCCGCCTCGGCTTTCTAAATAGCTTCAATTTCTATTAAAAGTTCAACCCACTAACATTGAGCGACAGCGATTGGATGGCAACCCTCCACAGACCATAGTAATCCAACCGTCTGCCAGTTTGAACTATAATCTTTTTCTTAAGTCCACCTTCGATCAGCATCAATCCTACAATGGCGAGCCTCTCGAGGGGCTTCTGTCTCCCCGGGTTAAGACCCCTCCTCGTTCCACGCGCCGAGTCCGTCCTCCTCCGATCCCGCTTCTTTACCACATCCCTCCTTCGAGCTGCCGAACCTGCTGTGAAAGCAAAGCGATCTCCCACGGCTTCAAGGGCCGCTGCTGCTGCAGCTGCTGCGTCGCAAATGGCCCCTAGTCGATATGCCTTCATCAAAGGTCTTGCTTCAAAGACTACTCCGACAGTCCTCTACGAAGGCCCCTCACACTTTTGGTTCTACTTTGGTTGCTGGACTAGCGGAATCTCGCTACTCGCTTGGACAGGTCTCACTGCGCAGTATACTGTAGAGCAACCCGAGGGCGTTCCGAAATGGATTGGTGTGGTGTTTGGTGTAGCTTATCTCCTTCTCGCTTCTATGGGAACCTTCATGATCACGAAAACTCCCAACATTGTCAGCAAGATTCGCATTCTTCCTCAACAAGCAGCAAAGGCCGCTGCAGCTACGCCCGTACAGATGGAGGTCACTGTCAACAGGATGGTTCCCATGCTCAAGCCCAAGGTCGTTGTTGCTCCCTTGAATGATGTCACTCTCAAGTCGCGCTTCTCACTACCGGACGAGTATGTGCCTCAGCTGAGGCGCATAGAGCTAGAGCAAAAGGCTCAAGAGAAGCGTAAAGAACTGCACAAGTACGATATGCAACACCTTTTCACAATGCCGTTCCGAAGGATGGGTCGAACTCTGGCTGCCATGTTCAACGGCGTGAAGTCTGCCTGGACTGATATGGGCTTCGGTATCATCAAAGTTGACGGAAAGAGTTACAAAGTGGATGTAACGAAGGGCTTTGCTCACGATGGATTCAGGACGTTGGAAAAGCTTGTGGAAATCAAGCCTTAAGTTGCCTACCCTAGAGTAACGAGGGATAAGTACGGCACCAAGACGATAGGACCAGGGGTACCATCCGAGAGCTCGAGTGCCCTATCGGCCTGTAATTTTACTGTATACAACGTGTACCAAGAATTTTGATGTCCGGAAAAGGGCGTGTAGTAACACTACGTACGATTAATGGCCCATTATCTTGTGTTGAGTGGGATTGGGTCGAGTCACAGATCACGATGTAAGCGAAAGACTCACAAATTCCAAGCACCTGTGTCAGAGAAAGTCTCCTACCGCGTGATTGCATCGACCGATCTATCAGGCATACGAGTAACTGCCATGCTATCATATTCATATGGGGCTGCTGTGGACGAGCATTGTTACCCAAACACCTTAAGGTGTTGCCTTATACAAATCGCTCAACTCGACACTACTCGGCTGAGACCGAGGCGGACAAGCACTCCACCACGAACAATCAAGTTTAGTTACTGCATCCCATCTCCACAGGTTCAAGTGTTTCCCTAAAGACGGGTACGAGATGCACCGCGCAGCAAAAAGTACCCGATACCAGACTTGTTCCATTGCAGTGAATACGTGGTTGAAGATCTCCACATATATCAACTTAGAAGGTCCATGGAAGGGCCCATGTAAATAGAAATGTGTGACACTTTGATGTTCTCGCGACTTATTCCTCGTGATCTCCAGGAGCAGCAGATCCTGATTTACACGAGTCTTGGCCAGACACCGCTAAAATGCACATGTTGGTTGGAATTCCTATGTCAAGGAAACCCAAAAATGTCAAGGAGACATGCCAAACTTAGCGTCGGCGTAGAAGTTTGACGGTAAACGTCTTCAACGCCAGGAACTGGCCAGCACGTAATCCACGGACCATGCACGATCGTCGGGGCGTTGAAGCGTAGATTGGAATGCCCTCGGATCGAATATTCCGCGTAGACTAGAGAGTCGTCTGCCAGGAACATGTATGTAAGTTGTGCGTATGCACAGCAGCGCAGAACCAAGTGAGTTGAAAGAGGGTCTCCAGGCCCAAGCCGAGCAAATACAAACCAGTTCGAGAGAAAGCCGTGGAGTTGAGAGATGCCTAGGAGTCTACAAACTTGGAACAAGGCAAGAAATTGCCCCTCCAAACCAATGTCGTCCGGTGTCACGGACTCATGGTAAGCGGTCAGCCAGCCTCAGCTTTAAAGAAACGAGGCTATCCTTGACAAAGACTGGCTGAAAACCATAAGCGCCAGATGTGCCAGAATCGTGATCCACCGACGTGCGCTGGTGGGTTTCTTTAGCGTGGTCAGGTTTCTTTCTTTGCCTTGTCTCAAGCACGCACTTCTAAGTCGAACGAACGGACGATGGATGTCGCTCGATCTCAACGTCCCGAAATCATGCCATGAAACCATAACGGTTCTTTGCCTGCCCGCACTTGGATTTAACGTTGATCCAACGCATTATGGGATCAGCAGAAAGCCCCCTTGTACATCAGGGTCCAACCCGTCAATAGTTGGAGTCAAAATTGGAGTTGCACTCGGGCTCCTAATCCTCGCCTTGGACCCTGAAGAAGAGAGCCGACGGACGTCCAACTGCCGATGCAGCAGTCCAGTATCATCATGCCTGTCCACAGACGTCATAACGCCTAGAATCCTCTGGTTGGTTCAGCTTGCGGTGAGCTTGGAGCTTGAAGCGTCCTTGACGTCCCACCAAAATTGAGACGAGGGACCCTTGGCTTTGTGATGGAGTTATGTATTAGCGCGAAGAAACGATGCGGGCAATAATAAACTTGGAACTTTTTGGGCCAAGATGAAGATCAACCCCAAACTTGGACTCCAAGCTGGAGGCTTTGTTCTCCTCATGAAGGGTCCATTTGGCGCCCGCCACCAAAAATCTGACAGATCTGACTAACATGGGATTCCATGGACTAAGAGGAACCACATAAGGGCCGTGCCATGACAGCCAGCCAGTCATCCATCTCGTCAATGTGAAAGCTCGGTGTAAGCGGTTTCTAGTCCAACAATGCCTTGTGTCGAGGTTCAATATGTAAAAGCCCGGGAGAAGTCGCGGATGTACGGAGTACCGTCAGGATCCTTATCAACCCATCTCAACCTAACCCGGCACAGCCATGTGATGAAGATCAATGGATCACGTTTTGGACACGCCTTGCTCGCTTCCTTCCAAGGCTGCCGGCGTCATCTTCAATAGAAATGACCCCGTAGTATCCGTAGATAGGCAATGTAACATGCTCACCCGTCTTCTTCGTCTTTTCGGGAATATTTCCATTTAGACAATGGTTACAAGAGCTGGTGAAACGTGGTCACACGCAATCACCTCCCTCCATCGAAACATTTACGGAGGATTCGTTAACTAAGAATCAAAGTCATGATACATTATGTGCGCAAGCAGCCGCGCCAGCGGGGTGGCTCGGTAGCAAAAGGTATTGCGAGTTGAACTTGTGGTATGCAGACAACCAATTATCCACGAGTCTGCAACCCTTATAATCCCAAATCTCCTCAATGGATTACTCCCCATCATTTGGCTGGTAACTCATTCGTCATTGACGCCGCGACTCTTCCATTGAGATGCAAAGGTGGCATGTTACCAAAGGAGATTGGGCAATTCCCCACCAGATCGAGGGGTATTCTGCAGATTGTTCTCATGGAGGGGCCCAGCCTTTGTCCGCTTTCAAGCGGCATCGTCGGTTGATCACTGACAATGCTGCAGACGTTCAAACAAACTGAGACAGTACAAGGCATGTTATTGACACATCCTCCGTACAGGTTCCCCAATGTGGCCTAGAGTTGGACGCAAGAAATCGATGAAGGAACAACTCGATATGGTAGCGAAAGGTAAAAGTCATTGTGCTGAAGCATCATGTATGTCATCTTCGGGTTCTGGGGTTTGGACGCTGACCCTAGGTATCTTAACATCGTGGGGGTGATAAGCAGCGGTGAGAGGATGTGATGGGTTGAACAGAGATATACATCGTTCTAGCACGGTCGTCGACCGAGCTGCTACTCGCCCAGCCTCAAATCATGAGGGAGGAATGCGAGTTCGTGCGTCATGTGCTCTATGTTTCAATCTGGGCAAGGTGCTATCATCTTCATCATTGGCTGGCTCCTGTGTCTTGATTTCTAGAATACCCGCCGGTAGCGCAGAGTCGAACGAGGTTGAGGGTGCAAAGTCGCTGATCCAATGACATGGCAAAGAGCGCCATCTAATTGATGGCACGTTGGAGGGGCAGATGTGATTGTGATTTGCTAGGTAGAGGATTCTTCCAGACTACCACACACCCTAGATCCTCACATCTAGATCGCCCCCGAGCGAGTATAGCGCAGACGTCTATATCACGACATCAGAGGCAGGTGATAAACGTGCTCTAAAGGCGGCTATGTTTCACCTGTTGATCCCTTCTGACAAACGAGTCGTGACAAAAAGATCCAAAGATGTGAAACCACTGGTGGTCTGCTGAATTCCAGGCGCGCGTGAAACAACACAAGGCGCCAGTAAGTTCAAAACAATTACTTCTTTAGCTTCACTAGACCGCAGTATTTGACGCGGGGCATAGTATGCTAAGTGATCCAAGGAATTTATATTCGACTCACGGGTTCAACTGTTTCCCCAGACTGAGGTTGGAACATGGTTGTTCAGGAATGTCTATCATCGGGGAAAATACTCTCGAGACAGCATGACTCGGACCAACAGAAGACGTGCATCATCGCCATGCGGAGGCCAGTGCACGATAACACATCCCCTGCACTTTGAAGTTTGAGCGTTGGACCCTGACTGAAGTTGCTGTACCACCGTTGGGGTGCACTCTTGACCAGAATCACAGATGCAATTTGAGGCTTTGATCAGTCGCAACTCTTTCGAAAATATAACTGAGCATGGTTGCGGGGGTTGCATTTGACGGCTGTATGTTTCTCGAGCCGCGTCTGTGACCATGACTGCAGTTGTTATAAGTCGAACGTCCTATGTCCCAGACATATTGCCAGATTTGGCATGAAGGCTGATGTCCGCGCCGGCTTCAATGGTCTAGACCTTGTCTCACGGAAATCTGAGATGAGTGCAAACACATCGTCAGAATGAAGCACTGTAATAAATCACGATCCCAGAATTGTCTTTACTTAAATCCGCCTTGTGAATAACGTCATATCAACTCTTTCTCCGTACTGAGAAGGTCGCACTTGAATAATTACCTGGTTCTGGACCAGAAAAAAAAAGGACACTGTGAGTGTTGTAAGCGGCGCAGCGTTTTTCGTGGTTCAGCGAAACACAGTCGTGCCACATCCATGTCCCACAACGTCTTGGCTTGCTCTTCGTGTAGCAACACCATGCACTGATGGAAGTTTTACCACCTTTTGGCATCGTAGGGTGCCGCGCCTATCGACTATCGGTCATCAACGACCAGATTAGGTATGCCGAAAGAACATACATTGGTGAAGATGAACACGATCAGCTGGTAGGGTCGAGTCAGTGTATGGGATTCTGCCAATCCGATACGATAAGAAGCAAACCGACATAGCGATAGCCCAATATCGATCATCTGTTATCGCAGGGTGATGGACTGTAGTACAGTCGATTTATTAGATTCGTCTTGGCAGGTGCTGAAAATGTTTGAAGATCATCGTGAGTCTGAGCATTTCAAAATCATTCAGCGGGATGAGCATCCACTAAGGAGCAGGGGTAGCAAGATAGTACAGGTTGGAAGTACCTGCTACCTAGCATCAGGAGTGGGACTACGACCAGGGACCATCGAAGCCCTTGAAGCAAGATGACATTCGACTCTCCCAATCATGTACGATACTCTTTTGATTTCAGTGGAGGTATGACATAGGTGCTCTGAAAACGCCAAGAGACAGGACTCAGAGGCTCCGCTTGGGGCGGCGCACGACAAGGTCAAAGGCGCAGTAGAGATGCAGACGTGAGGATGAAAGATGAACATGGCCTTGATAGATCGGACCTGAGTAAACGTAAGAAGAGCAAGGGGTATTTTCACAGAAGGGGTCCTTTCCACATGCTCTACCCTCATGACGGGAATGCGCGTGGTGTAAGCATAAGATAGTAGAAGCGCACGGAACGAAGTGGTAGGTCTCGTGGTAGCGAGTACTAAGCTGTGCTGCGTGACGGGAATGTCTTAGATTTGCGATAGATAGTCGTGACAGCCATCTGAGCCGTGACGCGTTGGGTTACAGGTGGGATCAGTGTTGCGAATTCGCGTGTGATGGAGCTGCTGATTTCTCTTGCATCAAGAAATGGTGTAGCAGACGGATGGTTGACCCAGAGTGTGATAGTTGGTGTGGGTGGTTAACGTTGATCATGGTGCTATTTCGGTGCTTGAAGTTGTCAACATCATACATGCACCGGTTAGCCAGTCATTATGTATGAGTGATATGCTGTATGCGTTTGCATCGGCGGTATCGTGTAATGTGAGCCATCGCCATCGACAAAATCATATATGAAAACAGCTGCGACAGTTTTCTGTTTGAGGACTGCCTTGGTTGATAAGGAGGATTGCTGGACTCAATGGTCAACATGGAGATTTAATATGATGTGTGATGTCTTGTATCGCTTCAACATCGGCATTGATCTGAAAAGAGAAGCATAAAAGTCAATACATGGGATAAATAACTGCAAGTCATCGTTTTCCCGCTGCTAGATGCGTCACCTTTAAATGCCGTCACTCTCCACTAGTTAGTAGAAGATTTGTAGCCTTTGGTTATCTTCGAGAAATACATCGCGAAGAACACGAAACCGAGCATTCGTCTGTTGTACACAGTGACCTCTTCATGCATTATTTGCTCCCTATATTCGTTGTGTTAAGCATTAGGGGTTCCCCCCTTCGGTAGAATACCATACCGGGATGCCTTGAGAAGTTTTAGCGGTGATAAAGAACGGCATCTCCGGTAAGTAAACAAACAAGAACAACACCACACAAAGATTTGGTGTTGATGGCCTTTTGTTACCAATGGTCATGATCTTGGTCCGTGAGACATTCCTCATCGGCCTGGAACACTGAGCACAGACGCTGGCTGAGGCGCGCGCACAAGCACACTGGATCTTCGCTCTGAGCTCCTCAGTCAACATCTTTCTTTTTATCGTGGAAATCGTCGTTGTCGTTGTTTATTTACTGTGAACAGTAGTCAAGCCTGGACTGGTCCTGGCGGGTAGCTGGAAATGAAGGTCCATCACTACGAACCCATCAGGGACTGGATTCCCGACAGTGTAACGTCTAAACCCCCCTAGAGAAATAAGCGGCTTGCGCCCACTGCTAAAATGGCGATTTGAGCGGAACGTTATCACCAATCTCGTGCCCAGCACTCGAATTCTCGCTTGTGACTCGTCCGAGACTCTGTGCCTCTAGTCCCCTCTGGCCCTTGTCGTCCTTCTCTACCCTGGTTCAACACCAAGCATACCCCCACCAAGCGAGCGAGTCGAGCATGGTCCCATTCCAATACCCCACTCGAGACCTCTTTCTGGTGGTGCGTGCTTAATCATAGCAGTTATCATGGCTGGTGAGTCTGGTTGAAGTAATCAACCGCGAACACTTCAATAATCTTCTCCAGCCTCCAGCCATTATCTGGACTCTATGAGGGCAGAGGAAGTGATTAACGACTTTGTAGAGGAGACTTTGATCGTAATGTTTCGGCCAACTCTTTCGACCATTTGTCCCCAGACACGAAAGTGGCGGGGAGCTCATTTAACAACGCTCGCCTGGACTGAACACAGTCACATTTCGGCAACTAAGTCATATATTCCAGTGTTGCTCTCGAAGGTGGCCGTCTTGGTACACGCGGTCCCTAGGCCCTGAGGGTCTCAAGCAATGGAAACAGTCAACTCGGGATTGTGGGAAAAAGGTGAAGTTGAGGTGATTAGGGTAGGAAAGTCCCTAAGATAAATGACAGACTCAAGATGTGGTGGTACAGGGATAAATTATTGAAGGGGAAGCATTGATAGACGACAGGCTAGATACTCTGTAGATGAGGGTTGATGCGAGTAATGCTAAGCAGGGTAAAAAGCCAGGACCGTTTGGCGGCCGATGTCGTTATCGTCGTTGTCGTTGGAAACCGGTGTTATTAGCAGCAGTTGAACCGGTGCAGTAAATTGCAATTGTTAATGCGCAAACTCTTGGACGATTGTCGAAACAGTGACCTCACAACGAGCGCTTGCTGCAACCTCAACTGCGAAGAATTCATCTCTGCCGCAAACCTGCAAGAGAATGAGGTGCCAAGAGCTGCAGTGAAGAAACAGTTCAGAAGCCATTACTGGGTGATTCTTTTTCTGAGTAGGAATACCCTCGTCCTCGACTGGGATTTGGAGGACCCCTCGCTACCTTGCTGGGGTGCGGCAGACCACGCCAACCGAGGGAGGCTCCGCTCGTGAGTGGGCACGCGGGTCACAGGTATCAGTGACTTGGGTTGTGAAATGGATGCGTGCCCCAATCAGCCGCCCGTGCGACCGCTGATGAACCAGCCAGTGTGCCGGGGTGTGGGTGGTGGTTCAGTGCTGGGAGAAGAGGGTGTGGTGTGCCGAGAGGCTGCATGAGTCCAAGATGCGCTGCCTGCCTGTCCGTCGCCTGCTGGCTGTCCGCTCCGCTACTGCCCAGAGGGTACTGTAGGTGAGCTGAGTATCCCACTGAGATGGAAATTCAAGAAACCCGACCCCGTTGGGTGAGGAAAGGATTCACATCTGGATCCCAGTGGTAAAACTACACCCCCAGTTGTTAGCTCAGTTATCGTCCATCTGAAATGGGTCTCTACCGCCCACTTCATGGTTGGTACTTAGTATAGGAACTCCCTAGTCCCCTCTACCTGGGACCCCTTTGCTTCCTCCTCATACTCCTCGGGCTCGACATCCTCCTCCTCCCCTCGACCTCGACCCCGACCATTTCATCAGTCCTTCGCATCTGTGAGGATACTGTGCTTTCATTCGACTTTCGCGAGCCGAGATAGTCATCTTCTGGCTTTAGGCGGACAGATTTGAAAGCAACTGCTGCTGCTGCTGTGCTTGCAGCCGGTTTCCCATATACACCATTCGAGGTGAGTTCGTGATGCATCTGTGCTGTTTTTTCTCTTCTTCTTTATCTTATCGCATGCTTTTTGTGTCCAATATCGCCTCTTGAAATCGCCTATGCTGCTTCATGTTTACCCATTATGTCTGTTGTTCTGCGACGGTGAAAAGAAAGAGGGCGGTCGTGATGGAAACGACGGGCTTCTCTTCTCGTCTTGTCTATGGCGCCTGCCTGCTTCACGTTCATCCAACTTGTGGCTGCCTGAGGATTTAGGGAACCATTGCATTCTTCCACCTGTTTATTCCTGTCTGCTCGCTTGCATCCGCATCGATTCGCGCTCTTTTCAGTGCCTCGCTGCAAAATTAGCGACAGAAATTCCGTGTCTCCAGCCAAATCATTTGTGATCGCTCTTTTGGCCGCCTCCGCCTTAATTGCGTGACTGCTGCCATTATCGATCTCCGACATGCGTGTGACTACCCAGGAAAACGATTGCGATCAAACCTCACATTATCCCAGCGGCGAGTGAACCAGGCTATGCCGCGACAATCGAAAAATTGATTACATTTATGCAAACTGCAGTTCCGCTCCATATACCTGTGTCTTTTGCTTCTCCCCCGCTTGCAGTTCACTGATGCCGAGAACGGTTGGAACCAAGGGATATTGTGTCACTAATGCACTTGCTTCGCACTTTGTACTTGATCAACACTTTTTCAAGCATGGCGTATCATGTTACTGACTCAATTGTGAAATAGGTTGACACTACAGTCCCTCGATCTTTAATTCATCAGCGATACCTCCCCCCCCCCCCCCCCGCATCGCTGCTTCCGCTCCTTCAAACCACGAACGCTATATTTTACTTCATGTTCACTGAGCAATAATCATGGATTCAGAAGACGGAGAACTGTTCATAAAGGTATGTATATGATTTACTCAGTTTTCTTGCCGATCATATTTGCTAACTCCTGTAGCAACTTGCTGGCTTTGTACGGACACACGAAAAGGCCTTGGCCAACGCTCTCCAATTGCGACGCCAGGTCCGCCATAAGCCGTCCCAGAGCACCGGCTCCGCGGCTCTTCTATCTCAAGCATCGACATCCCTTCCAGAAAGACCTTCTACATCCGCTTCTACATCAAGTTCGCTTGCAGCCGCCTTGTCGCTCGGTGCGCTCAGCTTTACGTCTCACAATGTCAAATCTACGAAGTTGGCACTTACACCGCACCACCTATTTTACCTCCTTTCCCGCTTCGAAGAGCTCAGCATCAATGTCGGTCCTATGAAGGTTCGCCTCGAGAATCTCCACGACAGCTCATCCTCCGCCAACTATGTCTCGTTCCTTAGTAACACTCAGCGATCAAGGAGCAAAGGTTCCGACATCGATTCGATACATTCTGTCTCAAGTATGCGAAGTGTGATGTCAGGCATGTCCGCATTGTGGTCGAGTTTCGGTATTGGTGCCAGTATTTCTGCTGCCAGAACAGAGCGTCAAAAGGCTGCTCTGGAATTGGACATGAAATACCTCTATTCTGCCTTCACCAAAATCCCTTGCTTGAAACTGGCACCTGACTGGCGCGCTCGCCTTATCCGCGGCTATGAGGAGTTCCCCTTTGACTCGGCTGTTCCCCTCTACGTTTTCAAGAATTTGCAGGCTCTCGAGGTTAGCAGCATCGACTTTCGACAGTTCTTCGGTTGGGATCGTCTGGCCGATCAGTTGCGCTCACTCACCCTCAAACGGGCCGGTATCGAAGATCCTGCAGACATCCTGATCGACATTGTACTTGACGATATGGACAAGCGTCGTCGACGTGTTTCCAAATCCCAGTCTTCTCCCACGTCTGCCTGGACGGGTAGTGGCAGCCCACGTCGCAACGTTGCTCACCCCGACTTCCACCGTGCTCTTTCCGCACCTAGCTCTCCCGGTCCTCATGCTGACATGCGAGTTGGTTCGTTGACTCCCAGTGAACATGCTGTTGAGGAGAACAGCCGGAGGCAGTCTTTGAGTAAAGATGAGGAGCAGGATGATATGACACATGGTTTGCAGAAGTCTGCTCGTCCTAGGAGCAACTCTCCACCACGACCTACCAGTTCTCGAACGCAGTCTCATCCTATTCGAGGGAACCATCACCGTATGAGGCGATCTGGATCCGGTAGCTCCCACTCCAGCCTTTCTGATTCCTGGACTGGACATCATCACACCCGTGGTAGCTCTGGCAATTTACTCTCCATGGGCGTCCTTCCCGCCTCCAAGTGGCGCTTCCTGAGACATTTGAGCTTGGCCGATAACTCGATGACCTCCATTCCGCAAAATAGTCTTGCACCCCTTTCCAACACGCTTTACTCGCTCGATATATCGTCTAATCTTTTTAGCCAGGTCCCAGACAGCCTGGCTACCCTGACTGCCCTCCGCGCCCTGAACTTGTCTCACTGCATGATCGATTCGCTCCAGTCTTTGACTCGCAATCCTCTTCCTGCTATCACCGCCCTCAACCTTCGGGCGAACAGGCTTCAAGGTCTTGCTGGTGTCGAGAAGCTGGTCCCTCTTGAGCGACTTGACTTGAGAGATAACCGCTTGGTTGATCCAATGGAACTTGCAAGATTGACAGGTATTCCTGACATCCATGAGATTTGGGTCGAGGGCAATCCTTTCACCCGTACTCACAAAGATTATCGAATCACCATCTTCAACCTTTTCCGGAAAACCCCCGGTTACACTGAGGATGTGGTCATTGATGGTAGTGGCCCAAGTTACGTCGAAAGACGTTCGCTTGTTGAACGCCCCCCTATGCCTGAGACCATCCCTGTTGTAAAGCCGCAGGTTCCCGAGGTGCCTACGGTTGACGTGAGCAAGCCTGCCGTCGTTTTCAATCCTCCCAAGGAACCGGTTGTTCTTCGAAAAGAGCGACCCACGCCCAAGGCTGTCATGAGCGAAATCAACACCAGCTCGACACGGCGGCGAAAGACACCAAAGAGGCGAATCGTCGATTTAGCCACGTCTGACGCCCCATCTTTTCCAAGTCCTGTTGAGGTTCATGTCGCGAGACCGAGTGGGAATCTGATCAATGTCCCAATCATGAACGATGGCAACTATAGAATATCTCAACAGCCGGAGGCCCAATTCTTACCCTCATCTGTTCTTTCCACCAACTCGCAAGTGATCAGTTCCCCTGAAGTGCCACGGATAGACACCAACGCCTTCGGTAGCATCCCTTCCATTTACTCACCCGACGACGATGCTTCCAACTGGAAGGAACCTCAGGATTGGGACGCTGGCGGTGAGATTTATCGACAAAAGATCGAGGCACTTCGAAATACTGTCGGCAACAGCTACCTCTCCGTTCTAAGTGAAGAGAGTTGGGGCCCGAACCGCCCGGCAGACTTTTCCACACCCAACGGTCCACCAAGTGCAGTCATGCGCACATCACACTCTCCCATACATGCTTCGCAGGCCCAAGCCATCCACAGTGGCCGAACCTTGGGCTAAGTTGAAGATGAGACGCCAGCGAAGCTACACCTGGATGGAGGAGACATCTAAACGATACCCATATACCCTCTCTGCCGTAGGAGTTTTGCTGGACTCCTCGGTATGATTCTATTCACCTTGTCTTGCTGGGTCTGAAGACTCAAGCTTGACTGACTACATTTGTGTTTTACATTTTACTGGCATTTGCAATGATATCATGGAGCATAGCGAGGCGGCGTTTTTTGGCAGAAGGCACATCTGCATTTGTTTGAGCATTCCGAATCATCGTAACCTTCATGGCAATCTCTCTTCATTTCGGGAGTATGCAGGTTCTTAGATATATCAGATTTTCCGAAAGCCTCGGTAGAAGAGAGGGTTTCGATCTGAAGCATGCCTGTTCTTCTTTCCTGGAAGGAGGAAGGGCTTTATTGTTTTGTCTTTTTTGCTTGCAAAGTGGGAGTCTGGACATGGCGCTGGCAAGATGAGGGCATCTTCTCATTTGCGTTTTTGATTTCGTGGCATGGCTGGAAGAGAAAAAAGCTTCACCCTTGATTTTAAGGCGTATGATTTGTTATAGTGAAGTGTTGGAGGTTGTTATAATACACGAAAATCATTGACCTGTTCAACCGTATCGCCAATCTCGCCTTTGAACTGTGATGGTATTAAAATCATATTGTGATCTTATGAGTACTATCTTAGTAACAAGAGGTAAGAAAATGTACAAGATCAACACCCCTTTCATGGGTTTAAAAGGTCACCACTCGTGGCTTCATAGCCCCTTCAAGGGAATGAATGACCTTTCATGTTCCGATGATGCCGTTGTGGATGAGTCTAGAAAATGAGAAGCTGTTAGTTTAGCTGACGTGACCATGAAGGTCAGCCTTCACGAGTCTCGCATGACCCGTGTTGAGTCTGGCTCCCCGGATTGGAGAACAAATCTGGGGAGGCTTAGGCCTAAATTGGGTGTAATGCGAGACTCAGGAGGATGTTTTTGGATAGACTTTGTGCTTGACACAGCTAGGCGATTGAGGTGGTGGGCTGGTGGTAGAAGGTACTTGGTGTTGTTGAAGCCTTGGAGGGGCGGGCTGATGAGAGACCGAGGAGGTGGGAGGTGGTGTAAGTTCAGGGCTTGGGCCAATGTGTGAGCTGTAGAGGCGTCAGCATTCCAGGGCCGCGACAACAGTAGCACAGCGTGTGTATTGGTGGTGTCTGGGGCTTTGAACGAGATTTGGGTGAGTCTTATGTTAGATGGCTGAGTCAGTCCCCCAGATTTGAGGTCATTCGGAATTATAGTTGCCATTATTACAATGGTTAAAGACCAGTTTACCAGGATAGAAAAGGCTATGATTGTTTATACCCCTCCAGAATATGTTGTAACGATTGTCCTGTTCATAAGAATGGTAGGTGTATGACCTCGCCATAGAGCCTAACTTCTGCAAAAAGTAGTAGGTAACAATTAGATGAGTTTCATGTCGGCCGGATATGCGGTCCTTTTAGAGTGCTGGTCTTGGGTTTTCTTGGTAGTATCACTCTACCCAAAACACAAGACTGTCACATGCGAGTGAACAGAGCAGAAGAGTAGAGAGGCCATAGTTGATCGCCTCTCGTAATTGAACCAATAGACTAGGCTCAGACATCGCATTCAAGTATCGCAGCCCATCCATGCAGAGTAACACCACTGCTATGCATTGTTGACCTGCAATTCACAGTCTCCCCTAGTTCAGGATACCATTTCCTACCAAAAGTACCTGAAGACATCGTCAACCTTGCTGGGCGTGAATCCGTCCACTATTTCCGATGGAACCAAGCAGCGAACGTCATAGTCGATAGCTAGCTCCTCCATAAACTGACAACGCATACTCTAAGAAAGGCCTTGATACTCGCTGACCGCTTGCACGAAACCCCAGCAGGATCCGCTCGGAAGTTCGTGCCCGTTCTGGGGCCACCGGGTGGATCATGGCGGACGGTCCCGTGGCCGTGGACTGTGCCGACAGGTACTAGGGTCGCTAGATCTGAGGCCATCGTGAATATGGACAAGTTCTCATGCACCTAAGACTGACGAGTAGGGAGGTAGTTGGGTGGGTGTAAAGTCCTGCTTGGCGCTTGTAGGTCATTGGCACAGCTTCAATAATAGAGCAAATGAATCAGCATAAAGCTAAGATAATGCAACATATTATCGCAAGTCCACAAAGATGTTGTGCTTGACAATAACTTGAACGGAAACTTTGAGAAGTTGTATGTATATTGTGGTTAATGTTATGGCCCGGTTCGCTTATACAGGTGTCAAAGTGTGGTGCACGAACAAAGCCTCTAATGGGTCCCCAATCAAACCCCAGATCTGGTGATCAACTCCCTGAAGAGATCTTCAGACCTTACCCCAGTAGCGATAATGACTTGCGGAGCCAAGATTTAAAGAGTTGTCAATTGTCATGTATGTGCTTGTCATTTTTAGATGCCGCTCTCTAATACCACAGATCTACTACATATGTACGTATATAAGCTGGCGAAATGGATCTTGGAGACGGCATGAACCAAATTACATTGCTTCAGAGGAAAATAATACGTCACTTTAATGTATATAAAGCCAGGTACGATGAGTCGTGTCAGACCCGATCCAACAATTGCTCTTAATTGCTAAACTAGATCGACTTCCCCACGTTGCAGATGCCATGCAGCTGATGAGGTTAAGCCTGAAAGAGACGAACCGGCAGATGAGCTGCCTCAAAAGTCACACACCAAAAGTTTGGCAGAAATTAAACCAAACAGCCTCAGGCGATTTTGTGTGTAGAACTTGCTGTCTTAATTTTGTCAGGTTTGAGGTTCTTCAGAGCTGACTAACCCTACAAAGCCCCCCTGATCGCTTAGAGTGGGGCAGGCCAACTTCACGCGTCTGGATCAACCAAAGCCGCCAGCCGAACCCGACGTCAGTCTCCTGAACCGCGATTTATCCCATCAAACTACTCATCAACAGATCTCTATTTCGATACCTGAACCTGCGATATTCGATAAAGGACCATCTTCGGCGTGTATGGCGCCCTTCGGATGATCGGTGACCCCGCCAAGCCTCAGACAGAGCCCGCGCGCCACCTCCTCCCTGACGCGGTTATTCATTCTCATCTTGCGCCAGCGAGATCTTGGATTCTGCAGACTCCTCGCTCTTCGTCTCGTCCGCGATGACTCCGGCGTCTCCGACTCCCAGGAGACCTCTCACGGGTAGGCGCCGGGGGCGTCCACCGGGATCAACCAATGCAGCTCGCGCCGCCGCAAGGGCAGCAGCTCTCGCTGCGGCCTCGGCAACCGAACCACCACCTAAACGACGTCGATATGTTCCAAAGGGTAGTCGATATGATTCCGACTCAATGGCTACGCCAAGTACTGTCAGGCCTTCAACGTCTTCGAGATCACGAGCTGCCGTGCGCGAGGCCATCAATGGCCCTTCACCATCTATTATGCCCAGACGTGAACGAGGGGCTCGCACAAGAGCTACTGGAAATGACGATTTGGAAGAAATGCATTGGGGATCTGCCGCGGCTATGGCCACCGCGGTCAAGCAGGCCGAAGATTACAAACCTCGCGAGGAACGCAGCTGGGAGGATTTCCACCCCAACCTAGATATTGAAGCTACCTTTTTGATCCTTCGGTCCGAACAAGTTGATGGAATTCCCCAAGATCAGCCTGACACATCAGCTGTCCAGACGCTTGGAGCACCTTTGGACGACACGAGAACACCTTCGAGACAACCAAATCCCGCATCAACAGACAATACCCCGAATCCACAAGCTTGCTCAGATCCGACTGCTGCAGATGCTCCCTCTGAAACTCCATTACGTCGTCCCCGTCGGCCGACGCGGGAAGCTGTCAGCTTCTACAACAGCCGGCCTATGGACCTCCTTGTGACTCCAAAGACACCAAAGATTTTGCCCATCCAAAATCAGACACCGAAAGAGAAACTCGATCTCAAGCTTCCATCTTATAGAAGAACCAACCGTATCGAATTATTCGAGAGCAAAACGTTTGGTCAGGCTCGCTATGTCGACAAGGCCATGAGCAACGTTGGTTACCAGGAAAGCGACCATTACACCCGTCCTGATCAAACTCTGATCAAATCTTCTGATCTCAATGCTGAAGATGAGGCAGAGTTGGCCGATGGTACAGCCTCCGAAGAGCTGGTTCATCACACGCGTATCGGTCGTGTGGAGTATGATATGGACGAGCAGGACGACATGTGGCTTGAGCACTACAACGCTCACCGTAAGCAGAACGAACTGGAAGAGATAACGCGAGAAATATTCGAAATCACCATGACAAAGATCGAAAAGGAGTGGCATGCGTTGGAGAAGCGGATACCAAAACCGAACCCGAAACCACCTCAAACTCATCGTCCGCGATCAAGTTCAGCAGCAGCCGTCAACGGCGAACCGCAAGGTGGCGAAGAGCCTGATTCCAAATGTGTCATCTGTGATGATGGTGACTGTGAAAACACAAACGCGATTGTGTTCTGCGATGGCTGTAATCTTGCAGTTCACCAAGAATGCTATGGTGTGCCGTTTATTCCAGAAGGTCAATGGCTTTGCCGTAAATGCATGCTTTGTGGCCGTGGAGTTCCCGTAAGTACATTCCAAGATATCCTCAACATCCTGTGCTAATTAGAAAACAGACTTGCATTTTCTGTCCAAACAGCGACGGAGCTTTCAAGCAAACGAGTTCCCAAACATGGGCCCATCTCCTGTGCGCGATGTGGATTCCTGAGGTTTCTTTGGGGAACCATACGTTCATGGAACCTATTATGGACGTAGAAAAGGTACCCAAAAACCGATGGAAATTGACGTGCTACATATGTCGACAGCGAATGGGTGCCTGTATCCAGTGTGGGAACAAGAACTGCTACCAGGCGTTCCATGTGACTTGTGCACGGAGATCCCGGCTGTTCCTTAAGATGAAGACTAGCCAAGGTGCCCTCGCCGTATTGGATGGCGGTATGGTTCTCAAGGCTTTCTGCGACAAGCATTGCCCACCCGACTATGTACAGGAGCATAGCGTCCACCAGGCTACAAAGGCAGCCAAGAAGTTCTACAAGAGGACCATGAGAGGACGTATTTGGGCTGACAACGCCGCTGTTGCGAATGCCATTGCTGCGCAACAGCGCAACGCCCTCAACGGACAGCCCTCAGACGAATCACAGTCTGGAAACAAGAACTCTACTCTTGGCGACAAAGGTCAAAGTCCCAAATGGAAGCTGCCTTCAGGCGCGCCCATCATACCACAAGCAGTCTTTGAAGTTGTTGAGGCTTCGATACAAAGATTTCCTTTCCGAAAACGTAAGGACTACCTCGGAGAGGCATGTCGTTATTGGACCCTAAAGCGAGAAGCCCGTCGTGGAGCAGCACTATTGAAGCGTCTCCAGCTCCAGATGGAGTCGTTCTCCTCAATGGAGCTTACTCGACGAGATTTTGCAGCGATGGGACCTAGTGGAAAGACTAGATTGGTCAGGCGCATCGAATTCGCCGAGGGCTTGATCAAAGAACTCGAACAACTCAAGGATCTTGCAGGTGATTTGGTGATGCGAGAGCAAATCAAAGTTGACGCCGGTGAGCTTGAACAAGAGTTCGTCGACGAGTGTTATTTCCCTGTAGCAAAACTCATCAGTCCTGCTGTCGATAGGGCGATATCGTAAGTGCAACCCATCACCTTCTAGGATATCGCAGCAGCTAACCGTTCTAGACTGGACAAGGATCTCTTCAACGACGGTTTGAGCAAACTTCAAACTCGTATCAATACCCGGTTCTACGTGACAGTGATGTCCTTTGCTGTGGATCTCTGCGAGGTCATCAGTGTTGGCATTGCCAGGACACCTGGACCTGACCCATCTATGGACCAGAGTCAGACCGAAACTGTTAATGCTTCACCTGACAAATCCACTTTCTCTGACATCCGAGAACGACGCAAGCTTGGAAAGCGCATCTTGAAAGCAGTGCAGCCATTTCTCGAGGCAGCCTTACGAGTCGAGTCAGAGATCTCACAGAAACCATTTGAAGGCTTGCAGAAGGAGTTGGAGACTCTTATCGACAGAAGCGTAGAAGCTCGACGTCCCACGACTGCTACAAGCCAGGATCAGCCAAACGAACTTTCGGATGAGGCCAACGATACTATCATGGTAGATGCCGAGCTTCAAATCACGGTCAAGGCGAGCTCCACCGAGGGAGGAGATGCAATGGATACCACGTCGGATGGTGGAAACATAGAAGTCAGCACCAATATTGATGTTGACACTTCAGATCTTGCAGAGACTGAGAAGAAGCAGGAGTCTCTACCCAATACTGTCCAATCATCTGACACGCCTCCGGGCACTGATGGATATGTGTCAAAGCCCGAGCCTTCACAATCAGGACTTTCACAATCAGGGCCTCCTACACCGCCTCAATCCAACGGCAGCGTCGGGTTAGAGCCTGCGGACCCTCTTACAGATGGAGGGATCTTTTGGTATCTCAAGGGTCATGAGCCTAAGGGAACCTCGGTTCTTGAGGAACGGTGGGCTGGCAGGGATGCCGTCCGTATGCTCAGCGAGGATCTTACAGATCTGGACGACGAAGAGTTGAAGGGCTTGGGCATGGATGTTGACCAGGCAGTAGCATCTGCTGCCCCAGAGATGGAGGTGAAGGATGAAGAAGAACCTGTGGGCGGTAAGACTCGAGCGAGTAAGGCAAAGAAGCGGAGGACGTCAACCAGAAGAAGATGAGCTCCGACGTAATGAGGTAGCTGGAGCAAAGGACTTCACGAAGGGTGTGTGCATTTCGATTGCTTGCGATTTTTGCTGTACGGGTTCAATTCTTGGGACTATAAAGGGCCATACAGATGCACTGTTGAGCTTGGCGTTCAAGGGCAGGATGGGAAATAATCACTATATGGTTAATTCTTCCTTGGTAAGGAATTATGGAAGGGAAAGGCGTTGGCGAAGGACGGAATTTGGGAATGAACGGGCTTAAACTTAGCCATGGATTCTCGGTTGCGGACTCAGGGGTAAGATGATACGATATAAATGTATGAGATGAATGATCGTCAGCTCCTTGGAAGTGGCATTGAGGCCCTATTCTCTGCGCGGTCTTCTACCATATGCCTTTTCTTAACCTATACTACATCTTTAGGCTAGGGATTGAAAAGGTTATTTTTAATATCACTACGATTCATAAAAAAAGTTAAAATACAACAACGTGAGCCGATAGTGAAAAATGGGTATCGACTATTAACAACATACTATACTGTTGTCTGTATATGATGAAGAATGTCTCTTATTGCGTGGAAAAGTATTCCCTTGCTCTGCTAGTGCAGTGGGGTTTTAATATGAAGCTTTGGGAAGCAAAATGATGACATGTTGGCCGATAATGAATGACGATATGCCACACTCGTCCGTTCCAGATAATTGCATTACCCGCAGCATGCTACGTACTGTCTGTACACCGGCTTCTGCACGTCCAAGCGGGGCATGGCCATAGTCACAGGCGTAGAAATGCTGCTCTGACGCAATATGGGTGAGAGAGGTTAATGGTCGGTGAAGGATATGGGGTTTGTTTTCTTTCCAAGAGATGGGTTGGGTAACACAGAAAGCGACGTCTTACTGTCTATTTTGATATCTGACGTGTCTGACAGCCAGAGCAATAAGGCTGTGATACGCAGATGGTTAGACGATATACTCATCGAGCTGACGTGGGATTGATTTGAGGTGATGGCTAAAAAGGAATCGGGATGGACTGAGCTTAATTTAGCTTAGCCTGGATTTGAAGAGCTAGTAGCTGTGCGTAACATATGCCTGGTGTTTTCAGTTCGTCCAAAAAGAGAGGCACTAGAAGGGATCTGCGCTTTGCAGATGGGGATATGTTGTGTGCCATAATTAACGTGCTGTTTACTGCCCAGCATCAAGTGGCAACACTCTTGCCCATCCATCGGGATCGAGAAATTCATATCCCATGGGGTTTATGGTTTATGGAGATGTTGGGTTTTGTTGTCGAAGAGTTGACAGGGCTAGTTTTTTTGAGTATGGAGCCGCAACAAGTTCTGTACGGAGTACCGTAGCGCTATCAACCCAATCAATTGTTGGAATTGGATGTTACGTACTCGATCGCGATACGACCTTGCGATTCATCCTAGTAAAAGATCCCCTGTTGTCGATGCGCTTCACATCGAATCAGCTCTTGATTACCAAAAGAAAGAAACTGCACGCGACAGCTTCTTCTTGCTCGTATTTTCCCCAAGAAAACGGACTGACTAATGAGGGGGAAGGACTCTCTCGTCGGGACTGACGGATCAAGGCTAAGAAAAGCCGAGGGAGGCTGAGCCAGATGAAACTGCAGTCTAATTCACTGCTACTATTATAAAGCGCCAGCGAATCCGGCCGCTAAAGTTACACAGGAGGCTCTAGACTTGAGACGCCCCTTTTTTTGTCTAGCGATGAAAGAATAATAATGCTTCCCCTGACGAAGCTTGCTTGTCAAATGGGTCAAGGCTTTTCTTCTTCTTGTTATTCGTTTATTTCCTTATTTTGTTAGGCTTTGCTCGACGACGAGGAGCCAAAAAAAGAGGTGAAGGTATCCATAACTGGGCACCAACCAAATGAGACTTTCTTATTATTAGACAAACGGAAATGAGACGTGAATCTCGGCCAAGGAAGCGAGACAAGTAGCCCAGGACGACGCGCAATATGTAGCAGATGGTAATTAACGGAAAACAGTTGAAGGTTAAAAAAAAAGTAGAGGGTAGCTTGGCCGGACGGAAGCTAGACTCCGAAGTCTCAAGATGAGTTGCGTTCCAGTCTCCTGTTGTTGTTGTATCTGTATCTACGTGGTACATTTATATCCATCTATAAAGTACATGTCGGTACTTGGCAACTAACATAGAGCCAAGCTTTGAAGTAGACCTCCAGTGGCAGCCCGAGGACCGTATGTAAGGATGGATGCCATGGAATATCGACTTTTAGCGGCCTCCCACTAAAAGTTAGCTATAGCTCAGTGGTCCCAGCAGTGTGACCATCCTTGTAACCGCATCCCCAGAGTGCCACTGGGGGAAAGCAAGGTCCCAGTTTCTGCGCTCCAATTCGTTGGTCCCATTCCAACCGGGCTCGAGCGTCTCTCCAGAGCAAGGCAGGTACCGACCGTCCAGGTACAGGTGGTAGCTGGTCTAGCCCAAGCGTCCAGGTCAGCTCTCGTCTGGCTTTTAGTGGTCATAGTCGTGACGGGCAGGAGTAAAAAAAAAACCTCCCCCCCTTCCGCTCTGAGAGAAACCTTCAACCCTTCAACTCAATCCGACGACGACCGAGACGAAGACTTCATCCACGTGTTTGCCTATCGCCAACACCCTCCGCGAATATACTCAAGCTGCCCATCTTAGTGACGAGCTGTTTTGACTTATCCTGATCTGCCATTTTATCTGGCTCCAGACGACGACCGACGAACCACCGTCTCCGTCCAAAACCCGACTCCAAATTCCCTGATCGCGCGCTCGCTTGGTTGCTTGCCCCAATTCAAATACGGGTTTGCTCAGAGACGACGATAACGACGACGAGAACATCGCTTCTCATCTCGAAACCGACGACCTAGAGGCCTATTCACTGTCCTCTACTTCTACAACCAATAAAGGCGACGAAGCGTCACATATTTGTTGACGCAATATCTATTCTAGCTCGACCCAAAGGACGAGGATAACAAAAACTCGCGCTGACGGTGTTTTGTCCCCCGCCTCCGGCTCGCCCCCCCATTTCTGACGCCCTGTACCTACCTCGACCTGCGCTGCACGTCTCTTTCTGGTACAGCTATCAACAACCAAAGTCGGTGGCCCACTGCGGCAACCACGACGACGACTGTTTTCTCCCCACAAGACACTTAAGCGTGATCTGATTGCTCCCTTGCAATTCAATCTCCGACGATTTTCTCTTCTCTTTTCGATCAACTTGATTGAATCCCGTCGTTCCATCTGCTTTTGAACCACAAAAGCCCAATCCTCTCTTTTTTAATTTTTTTAAGAGGACGTGATCCCTTCACGGGTAAGTCTCTATTTGGTGTGCGCCCCATCGCCCATTGCCCATTGCTCTCGCCCGCGCGGCGCCGTGTCGTCTCCCCTCTTGTTCCCCTCCCACACGCACTACACACTACACACGCTACACTACGCATTTCGCACTGCAACCCGCTTCTATCCATTGTTTGTCCGGCTTCTCCCCTCCAAATTTTCCGACTCCCCTCGTTGTTTCCACCATCGCAACTCAACGCAACGCAACCCATCTTTTGCCTCATATTCGCCGTCAAATTTTCACACACTTCCTTCTGTCGGTTGCGGCGTTAGCGAGTTTGGAGATTATTTTTTCACCTTCGCTTTTCCAACGTCTCTTTTTATCTTGCTTGTGTCTTATTACCCAGTTTCACCGGCTGACTCGGCCAGGTTTTGTGCAGTGCATCGATCTGGTATCATATTCCACCCAACAAGTCCCCGCAGTTGGTCTGATTAGCGATCTCGTCTGCCGCTCTTCTCCTCCCCCACGCGACCCTCCCTTGTTTCTCTTGCGGGCACGCTCTCGCCAGCAAATTCTCTTAAAATGGCAGACCAACACGAGGTCGACCTCGACTCTATAATCGACAGGCTACTCGAGGTGCGAGGCAGCCGACCTGGAAAGCAAGTTCAGCTTCTTGAGGCGGAGATCCGTTATCTTTGCACCAAGGCTCGTGAGATCTTCATCTCTCAGCCCATTCTCCTCGAACTCGAGGCTCCTATTAAGGTATGTTCCTAGCCATCGATCTGGCCGCCTCAGTTTGAGAAGTGGTGCTTGGATCTAGATGCTTCTGCTCCGGATCTCATACAACGAAAGGATTACATAGCTAACTTACTTGCGTGTGCCCTCTAGATCTGCGGTGATATCCACGGACAGTACTACGATCTACTCCGACTCTTCGAGTACGGCGGCTTCCCTCCCGAGGCCAACTACCTCTTCCTCGGTGACTACGTCGATCGAGGCAAGCAGTCCCTTGAGACCATCTGCTTGCTCCTTGCCTACAAGATCAAGTACCCCGAAAACTTCTTCATCCTCCGAGGTAACCACGAGTGCGCCTCTATCAACCGTATCTATGGCTTTTACGATGAGTGCAAGCGTCGCTACAACATCAAGCTGTGGAAGACTTTTACCGATTGTTTCAACTGCCTTCCTATCGCCGCTATCATCGACGAGAAGATCTTCACCATGCATGGTGGCCTCAGTCCTGATCTCAACTCTATGGAGCAGATTCGCCGCGTGATGCGTCCTACTGATGTGAGCATATTCTGATTTGCGCCAAAGATGAGGCGCAAACTGTTTCAAAGGAGGCTTGTACTGACAAACTTCCAGATTCCTGACTGCGGTCTTCTCTGCGATCTCTTGTGGTCTGATCCCGACAAGGACATTACTGGCTGGAGCGAAAACGATCGTGGTGTTTCTTTCACATTCGGTCCTGATGTTGTCTCACGCTTCCTTCAGAAGCACGATATGGATCTCATTTGCCGAGCCCATCAAGTTGTTGAGGATGGCTACGAATTTTTCTCCAAGCGACAACTGGTCACACTATTCAGTGCGCCCAACTACTGTGGTGAATTTGATAACGCTGGTGCGATGATGAGCGTCGACGAGAGCTTGCTGTGTTCTTTCCAGGTGAGGATTGGTAACGAGTCATTGCACTGAAAACAAGATTACTGACTTTTCTTCCTCCACAGATCTTGAAACCCGCTGAAAAGAAGCAAAAGTATGTTCCAACCACCTCTAGCAGCACAAGCACTCCAATCTACTCCCCTCGCAAGATGATGAAATGAAGAATTTATACCAACAATTTGCTTTCAACAGGTTCGGACGACGTTAGATAATCGCATCCACGAGCGACGTGGATGACCACCGTGACGAAGAACGAACGACTCGACTCGAGATTGTCTCGATCGAAGCGCACCCCCAATCTCCGCCGTCTCGCAGCTAGCCTTGCCACCAGCGGGTGGTAGGGAATGTTGGTTCACTGGGAGGGTGACGGAACTCAAGAGGCGCCGGACCGCGACGCTGACTTTTGCGAAACCCGAATCGTCTCTAATGCCTATATGCGAACTTGATAACGACAAACGGCTGTTTCTTAGCTCCACAGATAAAACATTGACAAAACTTGTTTTTTGAGTTGCACACAGTTCTCGGATTCCATGCATGATCCACGGGACAGACGATCTGATGCTATATGTCTGCTCCGCGTAGGCTGGCCCGTGGAAATACGCAGTTCGAGAGGCTGATTTTTCTCTCACTTTGTTTCTTGTGATGACGAGGATAATCCATCGACGGCTAATCTGGCTCGGAGCGTTTTAACGGTCATGTTGCATTTCATGGACGAGGTTTGTATGGTCTTATTCGTTGCTCAAGGGCAACCTCTGTGTACGTTTTGTGCTTTTTAGCTGGGTTCGGTTGGGGAGGACAGCGTTGCTTGATTTTGTGAATGGGGACGTCAGAGGTGGTGGGAGTGGATTAGGATGCTAGAAGGAATGTTAATTGCTGTACGAGTTGTGGTGAAGCCATCTGGTCTTTGTGTCTTGACTCCGAGTCCTTGCTGCAAGAGGCCTGTGAGGCCTGTGAGGCCAATATTGATAAACGTCTTCGAGATTCAGATCCGAGGATATGTGAAATATTGACTATAACCATGACGCGTAGGAATAGACAGTTACCTAGCCACCAAGTTGGTAAGCGTTCAACTTTGAGTATATATTTATACCTGGTTAAGTCGAATTTTGTTTGAATGTTACCTACTCGGTGGCGTTTCCCGTTGCAATGCTGTAAGTATACAGCATGTGCCAAACCTTCAGGCAAGCCACGTATCTCATGAACCTGAGGTACAGAATCCTCACTGACTCACTCTACTGACAATCCTCACATTTCTTATCCACAGCCTCAGCTGGCTTATCTTCCGCCGGCTTTTCCTTCTTTGCCTCCTCGTCCTTCTTCTTACCATGATCTCTGTCTACATGTCCCAAATCTCTTTCAGGCTCAATGACATCCCTCACCCGTCTCTTGAGCTCCTTCGTCTCGGGAAACCCACCGTCTTCGCGACGGTCCCAGAGGGTCTTTGTCGAGGCTGTCTCTGCGCCGGGAGCTTGGTGGGTGATGGACACGATGAAAGTCCCGCCTGTGGAGGGCTGGAGAGCGACTTCACCGAGACCTGTTGAGAATGTGGAGAGAAGTTCTTGAGCGTACTGAGATAGGCGTATTAGCCCAGTTCCTTTTTCACCAAACAGTACCCCCAGTCTCTTGAAAGCATGTCCTCTGGGTTGACTTACATAGGCAGCTCTTAGCATCCATTTGCACTGGGTGCAGAACTGGATAGAAACGCGGGGAAGAGGCGTTTGCGTTGACATCTGGCTGGCTTTACTTTTGATATGGTTCTGAGTTATAAGTGAGTTTTGTTTTTAGTGGTAGTGCGACGCCTTGTGCAGTTGTTTCCGGGAACGTCGTGGTCTATTCTCGGTTTTGGGGCTTAGGCTGGGCCTTGATTGATTTGACTTTTTCCGTCGCGGCGTTGGGATTCCCAGGCTTGAGAGTTCCGACTGTGGCAGCAACTCAATGCTTCTCCTTAGCGGCGATCTTGAGGTTGGCTTTGAGGATGAGGATCGAGGAAGAAGAGTGTTTGGAATATGAAGCTTGAGACTGTTGTATATACACGTAGTTATTAACTGTTTATACCTTGTAGATGGTGTAGTTATGATATTAGGAATCGTTTGCCTCTCTTTAACTGGTGCTTGGCCGAGAACATGATTTCCATCACATCAAATGGCTGAGTCATCAGACTCCGACTCAGGACCGGGCTAGACCTGAAGATGATCAGGTGGGGTCGGACAAGCGCAGAATGGGCAGACGCAGATTTGGGTTAGTGAATAGAAATTGAGATAGGACGGCGGAAATGGAATATTATATGTATATATTAAGAAAACTATTATCTGGTCATTTGGTTGAATTGGATCGAGACACGGGAAGCAATAGAACGGCAATATGAAGGATAGGATGAGGCTCAAAGTCGAATTCTGATAAACCTTCGCTTGTCTCGCGAGTCAAGGTAGGCTAATGGAAATTAAAAAGTCGTGGAATCATAGACAAAAACTATATTGGCTTGGGGAACGTACACGACATGGAAATGATACCTAGATGATAACTGAAAAATGATAATAATAGAAAAGGGAATTATTACATTCGCGCGAGAGCCCGATCCATAACCGTGTCTTTAGACCCAGACCCAGACCCGTGGTGTGCTTCAACCTCTCCTATCCGTGCTTGATCTCATGGCAGCATTCATGTCCCATCCCAGAAGCAGGAAGGAACATAGCATGCGCCGAGACAAAAATTAATATCGCCGTCACCCAGCCTCCCGTCAACTATGACTCCCCTGTTCTCGCTGTTGGCTTTTGTGACCCTCTCAATTGGTATCTCGGGGTATCTCGATCTGGGTCCCTGATGCACAGCTGGATCCTGTGGGTATGGGCTTTCTCCCTCTTCCTCGCGCTGCGCCTCGCTTCGTCAATGGGAAAAATTATCCCTGACACCTTCCCAAGTGACCGTCGTGGGTGTCGTGGTGGTATTGCTAGCAGGCGCGTTGGTATCCAGGGCCTATTTCGCCTCTGCCATCCGAGTATCCCATACCCGGATCTCCTTAATTTACTCCCCCTAAATGCGTCACAAACATATCAAAAGACTGCGGCCCTCCTTTCAATCGCTGAATCATCGTCGACATTGCGTAGTTGCTGATTTTTGGTAACCGGTAATAAGAAAAGAATATCACGAATGGTATTACATGACCACACAGCAGCCGCCGGATTGTTGTGGCGCATAGGGGTCCTCGCCCTTAGGAACAGCGCCCCAGACGGAAGGAACCATGTAGTCCCGGGTACCGTTGCAGTAGGCGATAATGCTGTTGCGATGTTAATAACTATACAACACGCGTTGTTTCAATGTGGCACGATCTACTCACCTTTTGGATGCTGTGCTGACAGGAATGCGTTCTCGCTCAAGATCCTCGCGCAAGCGGTTGTTAAGCTCAGTTAGCCGACGAAGCTTTAGATCAGCCATCGACTGCTTGTTCTTCTTAATTTGCGAAGGGTCGCCGACATCGCGAGAAGTGTACTGAGGCATCTTGGAACGGGGTGCCGAGGTGGATTAAGTGAGAGGATTCGGTGGTGAGTCGCGGCGTTTAGGCGCGCGAACACGTTGAGAACTGCCATTGTTCCATGTTAGCAAGCTGGAAGAGTATTTGGTCGAATATGAGACGTGATCCGAGCATCGCGAGATGGGTGCGAAGCAAGATCAAGGAACGGGATGAGCGTATTTCGCGTCAATCGAACGTCTCGCAGCCAATGCCAAAATAAGATGCCTGTCAAAGGGGGTATCGTCGATGTTTTTGTTGTTTCTGCTCAACCCCATTTCCTTGCTGCTGTAGAGCCCAGACGGCATTGTCGCTTGCCCCTGGCTGATGTTTCCGCGATGGATTCGATCGCTGATAGAAAGTGACTTACGGAGAGTCGGGCTCAAGTCAAATGACTGACACCAAGAGCTTGTGAAGCGGTTGAGGACGCGGACGAGAATGAGAGGATCGACGGTCGAGACGGTATTCGGAAGACTATGGTTGAAACGGGTATGTGAAGGACGAAGAAAAAAAGGGTCCGTCGAGGAGGCCTGGGAAAGTGCAGGTGGAAGTGGAAGGGTAAAAGGTAAGGAAGGTAACGCTTGGTGAAGTTGGTGGTAGAGTAGGAGTAGGAGTAGAGTAGGAGCGAGAATGTGATGGGAAGGAGCCGGGGGATGGTAGGGGGGGAAACTGCGCTGCTGCACTGCAGAAGGTGGAAACCCCCGAGCTACCTACCTTCCGCTCGATGGTCTTTCTACCGTACCAGGTAGGACCTAACCCAAAGCCAACAGCAGAGCAACAGCAACAGGTCCAAGTTGCGGGAAGCACCAGAACCAGCACGATCTAGGCTTAGAGCGAACAGTGGAGTCACTCTAGTGATGATTTGAGCCAGTGACCGACAGTCTTTTGTTCGTCCGGGGGGTTGCTTAGACGGATTTTCTCAGTGGCTCGTGCACTTGAAGCTGTGGCTCTGTACTGCGGGAGCCCTGGCATGGAAATTGGGGGGTAGGGGGCAGCTGCTGGGGGCCCCCGTCTAGGTACCTTGCTAGGGGCTGAGGTGATCAAGGGGATAAGGAGTTGAGTAGACGAGACGAGACTGCTGGGACAGATGGGAACTGTTTGTCACTTTTGATATTCAAAGGGACCCAATTGTTCGAGTAAGCACAGCAGAGTTGCATTACAATTCTTTCTTTTTCTGGTTCCAGCCTCATTCATTCACGGTAGCCCGTTTGGCGGTGTCGAATAAGGCCCCTGATTCGCCGTGTATGGCGTTGCCTTTCTGATGGTGACGGGCCTGACATTGTAATAACGAACGGTACCTACAGATAGACCAGCATCCATCGCAAAAGGCCTCTTAACTGAGCCGAATAACTCGCGCCATTGGCCACTGGCGGGGCTGCGGAGCTGTGTCTAATCCCCTTGGCCCCGAAGCCAACTCCGTTTACGTCTAGGCTTGACATTTTAGCTGCAAAACTACAGGCACTTGATATTGCCTCTCAAATTATGAGGAGAGGGACCTGAATCAGCAACCCTCCCAGCCAAGAGTCCGGAGCGACGGCTGGTTGAACGAGAGGAGGTATTCGTAATTATCTTTGGTGGTGTTGATAAGGAGGTTTCTAATGGCCCATCGGTAATTCCCTGTTGACAGCAAACTCCAGAAATGACACTGTCACCCAACCAATCTCATGCGTCAATTAGGTACGCGCTATAGCCAGGTATGCAAACGATACAAAGCTACGAATATACAACCTCTTCAAGCATGGTCCAAGTCGGCAAAAGCAAAAGTGGAAAGATCTACCGCCAAAGCGCGATGGTGGAAAACAATACGCGCAGCAGAACAGAAAGACGTTGATCAAGTCCAAGCGTTTGCAGCACTGATAACGAACTACTACTGTGTAGTACGAGAAAACCAACAAAGGCATAATAAGATGGAATTCTCCTATTGCATAGACCACCTACTGCATTGTGGTTGAGTACCTAGAAGGAATATGTTCTCTCAACTCCGATGGAGACTCTACATCTCGAAATTTCTTCTTCCACACTCCAGATTAATTGTTTTAGTTCGTGTGCTGATTATATTGCTACCCGTTTTACCATCCGCAAAAAGGAAAGAAAAGGCCGAGCTTTTGTTCTCCATGAACTCGTCTATTAAGCCTCCATAGTACTCCGTACCACAGATCGACCGTTTGCAGCCTTGCTATAAACCCCCATCTATGAGCCCATTCCCGCATGTTTTCCTTTAGCTAGCTCTCTTGTCACGATCGAGTTCGAGACGCTCAGGGCTCCTGTTGCTGTCACTTCCCGCTCTCGGAACGCTGCAGTAGCGGCCTGCATATATAAAGGGGCTGCTTTTGCTTGTGGGTTGGAGATCTTTAATTCTTGGAGTCCCTGACAAGTGCAGCATTACCACCCCTGCATCCGTCTTCAGAAACATGAATCGCATAGAAACTGATGTTGTTTGCAGAAACAGAACATCATCAAGGACGTGTTCGGTTGTTGGTTGTGCATTTACACATAACACTCTTGCTTTTATGAAATACGCACGCAGACATTAAACGACCTGCTGATAAAGGCAGCTAATTAAATCCAGGTCCGCCAACAAGATCCACCAATGCTGCTTAGGCTCGCGTCTGCAATTAAGATGAGACCCGTCTTGGCAATACAAAACCAGTCCTTCAAATGCTCTCTGTCCGTAAACGGGCTGGTCAATGGCACAACAGTCACGATACCTTGCTCACCTTCGGGGTCGTAGTCTCTAAAAGGGCTGTGTAACCCTGCACAACGATTGTGTTCCGTTTCGAATTGCTGTGAACTGTTGCATTGGACCTGGATTCACCAGATGACGAAACATATTCGTATAATGAACGCGCTTTCACTCTTCTGCCGATACTGCTTGGTCACAACCTCCCTCGTTCTCTAGCTTCTAATCAATCCGCATAATTATCAAAGAGCCAGTTCCGCTTGTGGGCTGATCACTACTGTACAGTGAGCCGGTGCATTTGGCATTTTGCGCACGATCCGCGGCCCAGGTACGGAGTGGTCTACTGAGCCTGTACCTGCTTTTACCCCTGGTCAGATTACCATCTCGTCTCCCCTTGTGTGCGTCCGTACCATTTACGACAGTTATTAACTGGCGAGAAACTAGAGTCTCGTGATATTAGGTATTAATTGACACCATCTGGCTGGGGACAACTGACGCCATTCGCAAGGGTAATAGGATTAGAACTATGTAACGAAATGTTGATGTTCTTGACACGCAGTTGGCCACTTCTGCCCAAAATTGACCTTTCTGCTCTATAGAAGATTCAGCTTCTCATGATGATTCAGATACTCCAGAAATTACACTTGGACGCTGGCCTTGAAGCTCCAAGTCATTTACAGACTGGATGCTTTCTGTTCCCTCGGAACAAATTTGCGGTTCAGGCTAAGATCAGGGCTGCTGCGTGGTTATCATGAGTATCTTTTTCAGCTGTAGCATGGCTTATCTTGATGCTTAATGCAACTTGATGTGCATGATGATTACTATATAATACGTGTTCTACCTACAAGGTTATTCATTTACCATTGACCGTCTGCCTATTGATAGGTTAGTACGGATAGTTCGTAACTGAAATGGCTTATAAGTGAAACCAACCAGGTGGGTTAAAAACTAATAGGGAATTTTGATAAAGATGACTAGAATACTATAAAGATTAGACTATCCTTAGGGTATGATCGGCAAGCCCGGGCAATTAACCAGGAGGATAAATTTACTTATATAAATAGGCTATAAGACTAACCTTTCTACTTTAAGCACCGTTTCTAGCCTATAATCTTATATAATTAATAAATTAATAAGTAATTAATACTTTTATAAGTAGATTTAAGTAACTTAATATACTAAACTAGTAGGGAGGCCTATAAATTATTAAATAAGGGTAAGATATTAAGTAAGATCCCTATTTTTTAGTATTTTCTACCGTTTTTCCCCCTAGGTATAAATATACCTAAATAATTACTTATAGTAACTATAAAAAATAGCTTTAAAATAACCTTAATATTATATTTAGTATATATTCCTTATAGCTAGGTATTAATAATAACTTTATCTATTAAATTATTATTAATAACTTTAATAACTTTTAGCTATACCGTATAGTTATTATTTTAATATTTCTATAAGCCTATAAATATTAATATTATTATTAACCTTAATATATAAATAATTCTCTTACCTAGTAATTATATATTAATAGACTAGCTAACTTTTAAAAGTATATAAAGTAACTCCTTATAGTACCTAATATAATATTTAGTAATCTATTTTATATATAAAAAGTATAGTTTTTTAAGCTTTTTTATTAATTAAGGATTAATATAAAGGTAATAAATAGCCAGTATTAATTACTTAAGCTAAAATTAATAATCTTCCTATAGATATTAACCTACGGTAAGTTATAAAGGAATATTATATACTATTTTAAAGTTAGTTAAAGTACTATATTAATAATCTTTACCTATCTTATTAATTTTATATAGTAATTATATATAAAATTTATTTATATACTAAAGGAAACCTATATTAATCCTTAGGTTAAATTATAAAGTAAATTTATATAGTTTAATAGTACTATTAAAGTAATAAATAGAATATATATATTAATATTTATTTCCTTTATTAAGTAATAAAGATTTTAATTAAAAAAGTTAATAGTATTATAAAATATACTTACTATAGTTAACTTTAAAGGTTACTTCTTATATATATTTATAGGTATTAAAGGCTTTATTAATAATATAATATTAATAGGATATATCTATAATAATAACTTTAATATACTATTAGGTTATTTCTATTTAATTAATACTGGCTTTAAGCTACGGTAAGGTATTCTAATTCTATATTTATAAATACGATATTACCTATAAGACTAAGGTAATATTAATAAGTAACTAAATAATAAAAAAGAGCTATATAATCTTTATTATACCTAGCTTTATATAATTATAAAGTAAGTATTTAATTATTATAAAAAGAAATAAAAGATTATAAAAAATAATATATTTAAGTATTTATTTAATAATTAAATTAAAATTATATATATTATAACTAGGCTTTATAACTTCTTTATATTATAAGGTAAGGAATTAAAACTAATAATTAAAAAAAAGGAGCTTATAAAGAGAGAATACTATACTTTAGTAAGGGTTTATAACTATATTAATACTATTATAATAGGGAAATCTAATTTAATAATAAGAAATCTAATTATAAAATAGCTTTAATTAACTTATTAAGATTATCTTTAGCTTTCTAGTAAATTTAAAGATAATAATTTTAATAAAGAAATAAGTAAGTAAGAAAAGAAAGATTTTAATAATATTAAGGGGGAAGATAATATTAAGGAATAAGCTATTATAGTAATATAGTTATAAGGTTATAAAGTAAAAAGCTAGATCTATATAAAATATTTTAAATTAATTATAGGCTTTAAAAATTTAGGATTACCCCTTACTATATTAAATTAGGTAAAAAACTTCTATAGATTATACCCTATAATAACTCTAGCTAGATTAACTTCTTCCTAATCTTTATAATATTATAAAATTATATATAATATAGCTTCTTTAACCTTATATATAATAATATATATTTATATTAATATATCTATAAATATCTCTTTTATTTCCTTATTATTAAAAGAGTTTTATATTAATATATTTTTTATATCTTACTATAGCTAGTTTATTACCTTAATTATAAATTATATACTTTATTTCTTTATAAAAAGCTAAATATAATCCTAGATTATACCCTATAGATTTTCTACTTTAATAGGCCTTATAGTTAATATATAATTATAAATAGCTAACTAACTAGCTATAAATAATACCTTTAAGTTATTAAAATTATTATTACCTCTCTTTATAGTTTTTATTTTTTTTTATTAAAGGAAAAAAATTAAACTATTAAGTAATATAAATATATTTAAGGCCTATTTTACTTTATTTATTATAGATATAGTTAATACCCTTAAAAAATTTAAAGGAAATAACTTAACTTTATTATCTTTCTTTATAGTAAGTTTTATTAATATTATAGCTATATATAATATAGCTACCTTAATAAAATTATTATTATTTTCTTTATAGTTAATAGCTTACTTATTTAGTAAAGGTATTTTCTTAATATATAACTATAATATAGCTTTATAAATAATAAAAGCTATTTTATTACCGGCCTTAATAATAAATTAACCTACTAGAAGGTTATTAAAAAATATCTTAAAATATATATTAATTATAATAACCTTATTTACCTATAAACTATTTTTTATTATTTTTATACCTATCCTTAGGTAAGAGTTCTTTATATCTTTCTTTTATAACTTATTAATTATTATTTTTCTTTATAAGTTATTATAACCTCTTTTAATATATTTATTAAGGTTATATTATATATAATATTTATCCTTAATACCGGTTTATTAATTCTTAAGTTATTAAAAATCCTATATAATCTTTAGGAATATAACTTAAAAGTTAATAATAAAGGATTTAAATATAGGCTTAATAATAGCCTTTTTCTTACTATTTAATTTCTAAGATTACCTTATTACTAATAACTTATTTATAAAAAGGAAGTATTAATCTTAAGTTTATTAATTTAAAAAGGTTTATAAAGAGGGGGCCTATAATATAGTATTAAGTTATAATAATAATAATAATAGCCTTAATTAAATTAGTAAAAAGGTTTAAATTAAAAGCTATAATATTATAATTAATAGTATTATTAAAAGCTTTAAATTAATAACTAAAATTAATATTAATAAAAAGACTTTAATTTTAGGATTATAACTTATTATTATACTAATCTCCCTGCCTGGAAAGTTACGTTAAATTTATCTCTAAAGGCGGTAAGGGCCTCCTATAGAATAGAAAAAGTACCCCTTAGGTATAACCTCGCCGACCTATATATATAAATATAGCCCTTAAATTTAATTATTAATTTTACCGGGCTTGCCGATTAGGCCCTTAGGCTTGCAGATCTAATCGAGCTTTTATGTCTCCTGCTTCAATAAGTGCTTGGATTCCCTATTATTTTCTGACCCGCCTGCCAACATGATCTCATACCGGCAGACTTAAAAAGAGAAACGTGGCTGATCGGCCGAGCACAGCCACACACGCAGCAGCCACACCGTTGCCAGAGTCAACTGCTGAGGTAAGCGCGTGAGTAGCCCCTCCTCGCATCTGTAGCGGCCACACACGAAAATCGAAAAATTCAACCCAAAGTGCCTGCCTCGCAAACACCATCACGAGTGCCGGTCGATATCTCAGCTTACCTCCCCACTGGCTGATCGATCTCGGATCACCTATATCAAACCTTCCTCTCTTAGTCAAGTTATATCTAGAGGAGGTTGCCCAGCATGGTATGTAAATACCTTCCTTTGTCCCCTCGGCCGCCAGTCGAGCCCTATCTATATCGCAACTTTACCCCTCCTCCACGCTATATCCGTCATGATGTTAACTTGAAGTTTCTTATAGCCTCCTCCGCCGCATCAAAAGCCCGAAAATGTCCTAAAGAGGGCTCACGAACTCATCGGCGTCGGTCAGGCCTCCGCGGCCTTGACCTTGCTGCATGAGCACATCACCAACAAGCGCTCCCGAAATGTCCCCATCATGTCGCTGGAGCCCGTGATGCTCCTCCTCGTTGAGCTTTCCGTCGAGCAAAAGAAGGGCAAGCTTGCCAAGGATGCTCTTTACCAATATAAGAATATTTCTCAAAACACAAATATTGCTACCATCGAGGTGCGTGCATTCGTCCCGGTTTCGACCGGGCCGCATATTGTCTTTGAGATATTTCGATACTAACATATTCATTACAGTTGGTCTTGAAGAAGTTCATCGAGCTCGCTGTTGAGAAGGTCACCGCTGCCCAGCAAAAGGCCGACGAAGTTCAGGAGAGCATTGACGCTACTGCCGGCACCTCCAACGTTGACGATCTTGAGGCCACCGAGACCCCAGAGTCCATCCTTCTCGCTACTGTCTCCGGTGAGCAGTCCCGAGACCGTACCGACCGAGCTATTGTCACCCCTTGGCTCAAGTTCCTCTGGGAGGCCTACCGAACTGTTCTCGACATTCTCCGAAACAATGCTCGCCTCGAGATCCTCTACCAGAGCACCGCTACTCAGGCTTTCGACTTCTGCCTCAAGTACACTCGCAAGACCGAGTTCCGCCGTCTCTGTGAGCTGCTCCGCAACCATGTCCAGACCGCCGCCAAGTACTCTTCTCAGATGCACGCCATCAACCTGAGCGACCCTGATACTCTTCAGCGACATCTTGAGACCCGCTTCCAGCAGCTTAACGTCGCTGTCGAGCTCGAGCTCTGGCAGGAGGCTTTCCGAAGTGTTGAGGACGTCCACACTCTCCTTAACCTTAGCAAGCGACCTCCCAAGAATGTCATGATGGCCAACTACTACGAGAAGCTTACCCGGATTTTCCTTGTCGGCGAGAACTACCTCTTCCATGCTGCTGCTTGGTCCAAGTACTACACTCTTCTCCGCCAGTCCTCCGTGCTGGTTGCCAGTGGCCAGAGCAAGAAGTCCGATAACCCACCCGCGTCTGATGCCGAGCTCCAGAAGGCCGCATCTTTCGTCGTGCTTTCTGCTCTTGCCATCCCCGTCATCAGCACCTCCCGATCGCGTGGTGCTATGGTCGACTTCGATGAGGCCAGAAAGAACAAGAACTCCCGCCTGACTCACCTCCTTGGCATGTCTCAGGCTCCTACTCGCTCCAAGCTCTTCCGGGATGCCCTTTCCAAGTCTCTCCTTCAGCGCGCCCGTCCTGAGATTCGAGAGCTTTACGAGATCCTTGAGGTTGATTTCCACCCTCTGTCCATTTGCCAGAAGATCTCTCCTATCCTGACCAAGATTGGCGCCGATGCTGAGATGGAGAAGTACATTCTCCCTCTCCAGCAGGTTATCCTTACTCGTCTATTCCAGCAGCTTTCTCAGGTCTACGAAACAGTCGACCTGTCCTTCGTCGAGAGCCTGGCGCAGTTCCCTGAGCCTTACCAGGTTACCCGTGGAACTATTGAGAAGTTCATCATGAACGGTAACAAGAAGGGTGACCTTTCTGTCCGTATGGCTCACGCCACTGGTGTCTTGAGTTTCGACAACGACGTGTTTTCATCGTCCAAGGCTAGCCACAGCGGATCCTCAGCCGGCTCTGCCGAGTCTGAGACTGGCACCGTCCAACGACTTCAGAGCACTCCCTCCGAGATTGTTCGCTCGCAGCTCACTCGCCTTGCCAAGTCTCTTTACACTACCTGCCACTATGTTGACCCCGGCTTCAACAAGGGCCGCATCGAGGCTCGTGAGGCTGCTCTCGCTCGTGCCAAGGCTGGCGCTGAGCAAGAGCATCTGGATGTTCTTTCACGAAAGGACCTTATCCAGAAGCGCAAGGAGGTTGCCTCTGAAATCCAGGCCAAGAAGGAGAAAGAGAATGCTCGCCAGAAGAGACTTCGTGAGCAAGCTCTTCAAGAGGCTGAGGATATGCGACTTGCAAATGAGCAAAAGGAACGCGAAGCCAAGCGCCTCAAGGCTGAGCGTGACCGCGTCCGTAAGGAGGAACTCAAGAAGCAGATCGCAGAACTCAACATTGGTGACAAGGCTATCGACGTCGATCTGGAGGATCTTGACAACCTTGATAGCAACCGACTGCGTGCTATGAAGCTGGCTCAGCTAGAACGTGAGAAGAACGACGTTAATGAGCGCCTTCGCATAACAGGAAAGCGTCTCGATCATCTTGAACGTGCCTTCCGCCAGGAGGAAGCCAAGAAGTTGTCGGATGACTACGCCAAGCAGGTCGAAGAAGACCGCAAGATCTACGACACTGTTAAGGCTCAGAAACTTAAGGATGCTGAGATCAAGCACAAGGAGAGTGTGGAGCTCAAGCACCGACTTAGCCGCCTGGTGCCTCAATACGAGGAGTTCCGTGACTCCCTGCACGAGCGTCGTCGTGATGAGTTTGAGAAGCGCCGTCGTGATGCCGAGCGAGAGCTTGAGAAGCAGATTACCCAGCGCAAGAAGGAGGTCCGCGATCGACGTCTTCGTGAGAAGCGTGAGCGTGAAGAAAAGGAGCGTGAACTTCGCCAAGCCGAAGAGGCTGCAGCCCGTGAGAAGGAGGAGCAGCGCATTCGCGACGAGGCTCGTAAGGAGGAGCTCGCCAAGCTCAAGGAGCAGCGAGAGAAGGAGCGCCAAGAGATGTTGGAGAAGGCTGCCCTTCAGCAGCGACGCGAAGAGGAAGCCCTGGCCCGCCGCAAGGCAGAAAAGGCCCAACCTGCCAGCTCGTCTCGTGGACCGGAGCGCACAGAGTCATCCGAGGCCCGGAGACCAGTCTTTGGTGCTGGCAAGTGGCGAGAACGTGAGGCTAACCGCGAGGGTGGTGATACTCCTCCTCCCTCTTCCCGGGCAGCCCCTCCCGAGAGGTCCGATTCCAACGATCGACCTTCCTCTGGTGGTCCTCCCCGACTTGCCCTCTCTGGTGGCAAGCCCAGCTGGCGAGAGCGTGAGGCTGCCAGGCAATCCGGTGGCAGCGGAGCCGATACTGGTTCTTCGACTCCTCCTCCTCTTCGCTTTGCGCCTCGTGGCGGTGCGCCGCCCATGGACCGAAGTGGTTCTGGCACTGAGGAGGATCGAAAGCAGTCTCCTGCTCCCTCTGGGGAGGCTCAGCCCCCGGCACGAACAGCCGGCAAGTGGGTTCCTCCTCACATGAGGAAGTAAGCGAGCGGATAGGTACGGCATTTGCGATTCATGGCGTTATGGGTTTGCTTGCTTGTAGGAAAAGTAGTAGTAGTCCTTATGAATCAACACAAGATGGCTCAGCGCATACAAGCACCATGTTACAACCGTTTTTTTCGTTAGTCCGGCTCATTGGTTATCTGAGTGCACAAGATAGATAATGAGGTAGACGAATGATGACTTCTTACAGTATTGATCAGAGAATTCAAGTGCCGCGAATGCCTAGTGCAGTTATCTATTAGTTTGCATTCCTCGTACCTGGGCATGTTTTTCTTAGATGTGGCTATCAAGTTTGAATGTTGACGGGTAGTGCAAACGATTTTGATCTGGCTAGTGAGTCGAGTCACTAACTGATCATGTTGCAATGTTGCATCGATCGTCATAGGTTTTGGATGGATGCAGTAAATGAATTCAAATGCTTTATTCATGAGTCAGCTGTCAACTCGGCTCCGTCATGGCTGTTAAATCAAAATGCGAGCTTGAGGCGAAGGATAGCGAGGAAGTATGAAGAGAGACAACTTTGCCAACTACTTGTCATTGATTAACTCCACCGGTCTCGTTGCCAAATCGCGTCAGAAATAGACTTGTCATCATGGGCCGAAACTTAGGATGCGTTACATATTCAGAGTTTGGTTCCTGGATCACCAATATCGTTTAGTAAACCTCAACGGTTCATTCTGAAACTGTGAGGCTATGGACGAGACCGGTCTTGCGAAGAGATCAGCAGCCTTTAAAAAGTGGTCATGGAGACTGAGTTTGGAGGTTATCAACACAGTTGATACGATCATAGTGAGGACGGGCAAGCGGTAGTGGCGATTCGGTGAGGCGTTTTACTTTGTTTGCCTGTTGTAACCGTGGAATGCTGATCACCCGCCAGCTCAATATGTAGAACAATCGGATTGGACCGTTAACGAAGTATTTTGTTTTGGAAGTAAATAACCAATAACCCCATTGAATGAATGAGTTATCTGATGCACTTGCAGACGGCTCATTGCATTGTTTGGTGATGTTGAAATCGCAAGTACAGTTACCCTGAAGTCCGTGTAAGTGAGTGGTCACGTGCATTTGAGCCTCCAAAGCAACCTCACCTCTTCGCCTGCAACGACCACACAACAATTACCTTAAGCTTTGATTTTCAGAACAGGAAAATCCATGCTGAAAAATTCCCCTTGTGGCTGATGGACTAAACAGGTTTGTGCACAGAAAATGCCAAACTAAGTCTATTCGATATGCTTCAATCTTGACCAGATCCGGCGATCAGGAATACCGGCCAAGCCGGACCTCAGCCATCTAGATCTCCACGGGATGGGCCTTGGGGCGATGGATTATGGATCAGTGCCCAGTACAATGTTTGTCAGGGCAAGAATGGTAATACTGGCGGAGGTTCATTGGACTATTGTGTCAACAACCAATAGGACCTGGCAAGTGCTGAGTCTACAATGAAAGATCTCACTAACCAAAGACATACCAGTATAGAGTCATGATGGAACTAACATGGTGTTGCTAGTTCGTTGCGGATCCAGCACAGAGATGGTTGCCCGTTTGGGGAATTTGTAATATGGTCATGTTGCAGATCCGAGTTTGTGTTCCAGGAAGTCGCAGGAAGTCGGCATCGTTTACAGGAACTGGCAAAGATCTTCTCTTCTCGAAGCTATCAAGAGATCTTGCCACTGTTCTGTGGATTTTTGGACATGCCTCTTCTATGGCATTTTCTCTTTGCCTCTTTACCGCGGTTAATGCGGAACAAACCAATCTAGTCCTGGGTTTATTCAATTCACATCACTTACACAGATGATAGAGAAGTGGATTCAGATACTAACGTCGGTCCGTTCGGCCTCGCCTTACGTTCCTCATCGCTCGGTATATTGCAGAGGTCTTTTGTTGTACCTGCGTCAGCTGCTGCAGGTACAGCTGGGACCCTGCAGGAACCCAGCGACGCCTCTGAAGCCATTCCCAAAGCCGACAGCCTTCGGGCACGTCTGGACCCTTGGCGTCTCCACGTGCTTCGAGCTTCACATCTGAACTTTGTTCATCTTTCACACTCGTATCAGCATCATCCTCACAAGCCTCCCCACCTCTCGCTTGTTTGGTTAGTACTGGTAACTCGAACCACCATACCGAACTGATCTCGCCCACTTGCTGGCCTCCACCTGACTTGACTAAAAGGCACTCACCTAGCCATAGCTTTCAGGATAGCCTCTCACCTGGTGGAGCTGACCCGGAGGCTGCGATCCTTGAGTTTGGAGTGCGTTGTAAGTTAGTCACTTCGTGGCGTCTGTCTACAGCCCCTGGCTTGGAAAAAGGCGATTCTAGTTCTATCATGCAGCGGGTTCATCGGCCTCCAGAGGCGTTCGTCGGTCACCACGATGCTATTCGGGATATTGCGCTGTGGTATTGTGGATGAGGACGGGGCTTCCGGTGCCCTGGGTCTATGGTGGTATGGCTGTATGTTGGTGACTTACTTGAGGGGTAGAGAGGATTTGCGTTGGTGGTGATGGAATCGACATGAAGAATAAATACCTTCGCTCTCCCCATCCTCAAGTCTCTTTTTTTCTCATCATCCAACAACAGCTTCTCAGCAATCAGATCACTCTCACACTCTCTTCTTTCAAATCACACTCTCTTTACTTGCCCTTGGGCATCACTCTCTTTAAACACCAAAGACAGCTTGCAACGTCATCGAGACGCCTGATACCGGATATCACCAACAACAATCTCGACAACTAACTGCAACTCTCGATCCCTTCGTTTGATAACAAAACCATGCTCTCCCTCCGTAACATTGTCGCTGGAGCGGCTCTTGCCTTTGCTGGCATCGCGCAGGCCACTCACATCGACTACCCACCCTGCCTTGATCCCTTCCAACCGTACGTCGCCTCAGGTTGCTACCAGGATGGTGTTGCGGGCAGCAATAGAGGCGCACTCATCTATCGCTCCGGTCAGAACCAGTACAACATGACTGTCGAGAAGTGTGTTGCCGAGTGCAAGGGCAACGGCTTCCGATACGCTGGTCTGAAGTACTACGGTGTCTGCTACTGCGGCTCTACTGTCTCTGGTGCCCAGCTTCCTGATGATCAGTGCAGCTACAAGTGCACTGGCGATAGCACTGAGCTTTGTGGTAGCGACAACGCCTTGAACATCTGGCAGGATCCCACCTTCAAGACCGTCAACCTCGGCGGAGTTGTCACCAACCTCCCAGGAACCGTCCAGCCCATCGCCGGTTACAAGCCCAACGGCTGCTACACTGACAACTCCAACAAGGGTCGTGCTCTGACCTGGCCCATGGATGTCGATGGCTCCAAGATGACTCCCACTACATGCTTGACTGCTTGCGCCGACCAGGGTTTCCCTCTCGCTGGCCTTGAGTACGGTGGTGAGTGCTACTGTGGCAATGTCCTGGCCAACGACACTGTGAAGGCCGATCCTGGTGACTGCAACGTCCCCTGCAACGGTGACAATACCTTGTTGTGTGGTGGAGCTAGCCGTCTGAGCGTTTACATCTCTATGGACTTGCTATCTCTTCAGCCTTGTGGTTGGTCGCCAAGCAACTCTGCGTCCTCCTCTCTGCTGTCTTCTACTTCCACCACTTCTGTTTCCACCTCTTCTACCTCAGGTGCCGATAGCTCTACCACTACTTCAAGCGTCTCCTTTTCCAGCTCCATCTCTAGCTCAACCAGCTCAACCAGCTCAACCAGCTCTTCAAGCTCTTCAAGCTCTTCAAGCTCTACCACCACCTTGAGTACTGCAACCAGCAACACAAACTACCCCCCTCCTGGCCCTTCTAACCCTTCCTCCACCGGTGGAAACGGTCAGTCTACTACAAACAACCCTCCTGGCCCTTCCAACCCTTCCACCACTATGACAACTTCTTGCACCACCACCAGCAGTGCTCCTATGTGTACTTCTACCGTTGTTGTCCCCAACACCTGCGAGTACAAGTGCGGTAACTGGTGTGCTCCCTCTGTCCCCGACTTCCAGGACCAGAACAGCTGCCAGACCGCCTACAACAACTGTGCCAAGAACATCGCCTCTTGCTTCCAGAACGCTGGCTGGCCCGGTGCTCTCAACTGCTTCGACTTCTCCAAGTGGTGTGACGGTGTTCAGGGATACTGCGCCTCTTCTTGCTCTCGTGGACGCAGCTGCAGCAAGGCCGACTGCTTCAAGGGTAACAACCCCTCTGGCGGTAGCAATGTCAAGACAACCACCAGCGTCTACCCCTGTGCGGCTACCAGCACTTCCAGCACTGCTACTGTTCCTTCCACCTCTTGTGCTCCTCAGCCTACCAACATCTGCCAGCAGCCTAGCTCCGGCATCTGGGGTTACGGTCCTGGCAACCCCGTTGGTGGTATTGAGCTGCCTCTTGTTGCCTGCAACGACTTGAAGAACGACTTCTCTCAGAACCCCTTCAAGCTCTACACTGACACCAACTCCAACTCTTGCTCTTCTTACCGCCGCAACCAGCAGTCCGGCGCCTGTGCCGACGCTTGTAAGGCCCAGTACAACTCCTGCCTCGGCACCTACGTCCAGAGCTGCAAGAAGCTCAACACCCGCAGTGACAGCAGCAACTACTTCGACAAGCGTTCGCACTCTCACTTCCACAAGCGCGCTCTCGAGAAGTCCGGCATCGAACCCCGATTCTTCAACTTCTTCGGTAACGACCAGTGGCAGACTGCTCAGAACAAGTGCTCCATCCAGTACGCCGACTGTCTCTACGAGAACAAGAACGTCTACTTCAGCAACCGCTGCCAGAACTTCGGCAGTGGTATCTAAAGGACGCGCGCATAAGGAAACGGAGTTTTGGGGATTGGTGGTCAAAATGGAGGTGTTGTTGGGATTCGGTCATGGGATGTATTCGGAGGATTTGGATTTAGGTTTGGGTTTGGGTTTGGGTTAGGGTCTCGGCTTATATTTGGATTTGGATTGTCTGTATTCTTTAGGATGGTTTGGTGTTTCTTGTTTCCATACACACTCGTTTAGTTACCTCAGACTATCATTCGCTATATAGAAGCTGTATTGTTTTGATACTTCCTTGTCCTCCATGACTGCAAGATGTGAACATATTGGCCATTAACACCGGATTAGCATCTGATATGTATATTCTTGAATAACTGACTTGGTAGACAATACAATATCCCCATGATCGCGATCAAGGCAGCTCTGCAGGAATGAGAGTAGGCTTTTTCTTCTTGAACATGGCGATGCATTATATGAATTTCCAAACAACAAGATGGGCTGTATATATACGTAAAAAAGCAAGCAGGTTGTTTGCATGACTGATTCCCAGATTGTACTCTGATCCCTGGTTACGTCTGAGGTTCGCTGCGGTGTAAAGGAAGCAGCAGGATAAATATGTTTACTGACTGGATATTGGACAAGGGTGGAAGTTTTTCAAATATTTGCTACTGCCACTATCAAAATAGCTCCTCATAGACTTAACTGTTCAAGGCATGATATGTAGTATTATCCTGTCATTTCTTATCATGTCATAAGCTGCATGTCGGTACGGCTCTAGGTAAGTCGGACGACCTACGTCTTACACGTCTTGAATCCTTTGTCTACTTCCATTGTTGTGGTATCCAATGAGTGATGTCTCCAAGGAATAACGAATTTATATGCTCAGGTATGAGTTATATCTAAATATTTATTAGTAAGAATCGTTAAAAGGAAGTGAATTCTCCTTCTGAATCACAGTGCAAATGACCACTATAATAACTGCAAAAAGCCCGCTAACACTGTGCAAAAACACGCCAGCCTCAGGAGTCAACGTATTTATATAACACATCCTTATTAACATCAACCTCTACCCTTCTCTCAACTCTCAAGAGCAAAAGGTGCAAAACCTGCAAAAGTCATGAAGGAATTACTCTCCGATTCAATTGAAATTGTGTCAACTTTGACGCCAGCCCAATGGTGTCAAGCCTTCTTCGCCCTTTCGACGACTGTCGTTCTTGTTATCCAGGCTCTTCCGCAAGATGTCCGCAGTGCTTTGATGGACTACGGCGCACGAAGGCCCAATGACGGAACGCGCGGAAAGAAGCAGGAAGACGAAAAGAAACAAAGCCTTCCAGGGTTAAGATCGTTTCTGAAGAACCTGACAGAGTATGGGCAAGTGCCTCATTCGTGGTTTTTGCACTTCTACATCATCTCGGTCTTCTTGTCTGGCTTTTGGGCGTGGCAGTATGTTACAAGGGGGGCAGTGTTGAGAACAATCGCTACGTGGCAGGATCGGAATGGCGGCCCATCGATGAGTCTGGAGCAAGTCTTTGTCGCCTGGCTGTTGATGGCACTGCAAGGTTCAAGACGGCTTTATGAGAGTTTATATGTGTTCAAGCCCGGGTCGTCACCTATGTGGTTTGTTCATTGGGCATTGGGTGTTGCATTTTACATTACGATAAGCTTCGCTGTCTGGATTGAGGGTTCTGGTATGTTATAAGCACACAGCGTCTGACCACGGTAGAAACTGACAAGTCTCAGGCGCAATATTGGCATCTTGGGACTTTCATAACCAGTCTCTTCGGATCCCTCCCAGGCTGTCATCAGCTCTAGCGTTATACGCTGTGGGATATCTCAAGCAAAACCAGTGCCATAGACACCTGGCGAGTCTCAAAAAGTACACCCTGCCCAGCGAGGGGTGGTTTAGATACCTCGTCTGCCCACACTATACTGCCGAATGCCTCGTATATTTGGCTATTGCCTGGATAGCTGCGTCCCCAGGTCAACTCCTCAACAAAAGTGTCTTAAGCGCCGTTGTATTTGTAGCCATGAACCTGGGCGCTACGGCAAAGGGTACCAAGGCTTGGTATGCCAATAAGTTTGGCGCAGATAAGGTGGCCGACAGGTGGATCATGATCCCGCCTGTCTACTAGCTGGGAGCGAAATCCCGGTATTCATCGCTTGAGAAACATGCCGAGCTTGTTTGCAGCCTTTGATACCTGAAGAACATCTCGATATGTCAGACTTGTGCGGGTTTGGCGAACATTGCGGCCACTCGTGTATGCATCGGGGGAGCGGAGCAGATCCCAGTTAGCAACAGTATCTGCACTCAAATCGACGTCCTCTTCTATGTCGGAAATACCGTGAAGATAGTCGGTGTACAGCTGGTCAGTCGTGATGAGCAAACTACGGGGCTCCTGGAGAATCCTCCAAGCAGGTTCAGGGTCGAGGGCACCATCGTCCTTGCTACGATGTAGATTCAGGCACAAGCTGGCTCCGAGGCTCACGGTGCACACAACGGGCCAGTACGCAGCACCATCCTATGTACGATGAGCATTCAGTAGAAGAAAAAACGCCTCGCATGATGTGCACTCAACTTATGCGGCATGATGCCGATACCAGGTGGATACTCGTTGATGAGAACATGGTTGGGTTTCTTGTGAGGGCTCTTGTCAAATACATTTCCGGTTTCAGAGTCTTGCGTTTGAAGTGACAGTAGACGAGATATGACGGGCTCTTGAAGCCATGCAGGCAGAGGGGCGTCAAGGAGTTTGTTGTTGACAAGATCTGAAGGCCAGGTTTGAAGACGTCGTTTTGTAAGCCGTTTCCATCTCGGTTTAGGTGCACTGGATATCTAGAAGGAAAAGGTGAGTGAGGAATCAAGCGTGTTGTGTTTTATAAGCACACACTTTGCCCAGAATCATCTGCTCTTCTTCCGCGGTTATGAAGTTTGGGATATAGTATGCCGTTTGAGGGAGAGTAGCAATTCTAGCATGTTCCAGTGAGGATGGAAGTAAGATGCCTTTCTCGATGCCAGGCAAGGCAGAATCTGTTGCCTCTGTCATGATGTTGTCGTTACCGTCAATAAGTCAATGGAACACACACAGGTGCAGTGTCGACCTTGGCAGTTTGTGACCAGCTGCTTGCTTGTCTTGTCTTGTCTCTCACACGTCGGGAGTTTGAAGTTTGATAATGGGCAGTGCTTGGGCCAAGATCAGCAAATAGATGGAATTGTGAAGTACGGATACTGGGAGTGGAGATGCTCAGAAATTGTTAGTGGCTGGGTGGTAAGGTACTTGGAGTTAAATATGGGGAGAGGGGGAAATTGACTAGGACTTTGCATGGCATGAGGTACCTACCTAGAGCTCACGTACTGCAGTACCTAGAACTACCTACCTCTAGTAGTACCTACTAGGTACCTGGTATGGAAGTGAGCCTCGTAAAGCAGTGAGTACAGTGCAGACTGGGCTGAGACATGTGTAATCCCTGCAGGAAGAGAGACATCCGTGGCAGTTTCAGCGAGCTTCGGTATTGAATAACGATTTAGATATCGAGGGCAATTGTCGTGTAATGTAATTTATCTAATCATGGAATCGTATTATAGTGTCCTGGTCATCTCCAGCTTCAACAACGGGCCTAGGGGAGGGTGCAGGTGGCCACCAAAGCCCACTATGGGTAGCACTAATCCTAGCTTGGGTTTCATTTGGGTACTGGAGGTTTGTCTTCAGTGGACAGATATATGCATGAGAAATGGAAGAAAGCCCTGCGGGGGGTTCAGTGGAAATATAGAGATGAATATAAATATGAAAATGTTGACCAACATTAACATGAGCACGCACAGACTCAGTAGACATGTCACACGCTATAAAACAAAAACAACCTGTCTTTTTCCTTTCATGCTCAAATTGAAACCCATCGTCTCTCGTCGTTGATTCGTCCAAAATTACGGTCAAACTGTTTATGTGCGACCGTATCGCAATCGCCCTAGCCTAGGTAGCCTTCACACCCGTGCAGACTAAAAGACAGTACGAATCAAGGACATTACCGCCCAATTAGATCATCGCTTCGAGCCTGGGGGCCTTGCCCGAATTGAGTAGAGCCTTGGTGGTTGGCTTTCTTCCTTTCTTCTCTCACGCTACCTTGATCTTCTTACCTTGTTCTTTCTGTTCTCCATCGCCTTTTGCTATTGCTCTCGCTCTCGCTCTCCCTCCTCCTACGTCTCTCTCATCTCGACTTGGGTAAAGGCCCGCAGACGATTCTCCATCCTCAATTAGCAATAACCACACCCCCAAACCTAAACCTAAAACAAGGTTCACGCATACAATTTCAGACCCGGACTCAATCTCCAACCGGCCGCGATTATCGATTCTCCGTTGTCACTTATTCTCTTTCCCTTCCTTAACATTAAGTCAACCTTCAACATCGTTAACGCCTCCGACCATCCGCCCGCTTTCTTGACATCGACTTTGCACCCTCTCCAATCAACCCAATCTTCTGTCCTTTCGCGTAGCCTTGGGGTTTTTCGCCCCCATTTCGACCCTCATTCGGCTTGCTTCATTGCCTCCTGCGATCCCGCTGTCTTTGTCGCGCCCGCCGCGTTGCTTTCCCCTTTCAGCTCAGGACACAGACATCACCCACCCACCCGCGCGACTTCATCGCCCTGTCAACTCCCGTTTTTAACATCATCACCAGAATGGTGGTAGTCGCTAGTCGTCCTCGCAGGTAAATGTCATGGATGCGCAGAATGCTGCCCAGTCCGACCAGACGAGGCCTGCTGGCGACTCCCTTCAGCGGCCTGACTCAAAACCCGAACTCTCAAAGTCGACACCGCCGCCAGCAGTAAGCCCTGAGCCATCTGAGCCTGAGCCCCTTAACAAGGACAAGAATAAGGACAAAGATGCTCGTCGAAACCCGAATTCTTCATCCGTAATTGATCAAGATGCTTCTGAAGGTCGCGATTCTGATGCCGAAACCATCGTATTGCCAGGCAAAGATGGCCACTCCCCGTCAAAGGCTCGAAAGGTGAGACAGGAGGACAAAAGCGACGGCGATGCTGAAGTCGACAACGATGGCGACGATGGACCCAAATCATCGATTAAAGCTGCTGGGTATCGCCCTCCCGAGTTTGAAAAGCAGGCATCATCAATCCATGCCCGTGGCGACCCTATTAAGAAGAAACGCATATCAGCTCACCTCGATCGCGAAAGGTTGTCACGCGGTAAAGATGCGGCAGCCTCGAGCGGTTTAAGCTCTGCGCCCACGTCCCCGCCCCATCACAGGCAACAGCACCGCCGCCGCTTTGCCGACGACGCTCATTCGTCTTCTGACTCTGAACATTCTCACCCTCGAACAATAAAGCCACTGCGCGAGAAGTTAAAGTCGAGTGAAAATGCAGTGCTGCACAAGCGAAAGAGTCTCAGAGCTGAGTCCGACGACGAAGGCGAGGGTCGCAAGGTCAGGCGGCAACGAACAACGAGTGCTAGCATCGATTCAACTCGCTTGCAGAGGGAAAACAAGCCTCTCTCGGCAACTTCACATTATGACTCTCAAAACCGATCCATCTCCCCACAGTCTCGATCTCACAGAAGGAGTGCTTCCTCCCAGCTACCTTCTTACTCTTCTAACGGCCTCGGCTTAAAAAAGAGGCGACTACCGCCGCCACTACACTCAACCGATTACCACTCTGACGATTCGTCTGCCAGTGGCAGTCCTCACCCTCGAAGCTCTAAACTCCGAAGCTTGGCAACGCCTGCCGCCGACACAAATGCCTCTCCCGCAAGAATGGCCCCTCACAAAAAGCACCTCGACGCCCACGGTCAAACCTTCCTAGCCCGTGCCTGTGCACGAGGTGAGTATGAGGGGGCTAAAACGCGCCTGACCGAGAGACCCGAGGACTTGAATGTGGCCGACTACGCCGGAAACACGCCACTTCAAATCGCAGCTATTAATGGTAAAGAAGACATCGTTAAACTCCTAATCGATGCTGGATGCAATTTGGACTGTGTCAATTACGATAAAGATACGCCACTGCTCGATGCAGTCGACAACGGTCATCTGGGAGTCGTCAAACTATTGCTAGACGCCGGTGTAAATCCTCGAAAAGCCAACGTGAATGGCGAAGAGCCCGTCGACCGGGTGAGTGACGACACGGACAACGCAGAAGAGATCCGCGCTGCTCTTTTGGCTGCCAGGAAGCGAGCAGGGGACCGAAGACGTACCTCAGAAGAACACCACTCGCACCAAGATCAAGATCCTAGGGACTCCCACGCGCCAGATAGCCCACGTCGGTCACCGGCTACCAATTCTGGATCCGGGCGAAGAACAGGAACTGTACGTGCAACCAAGACGCGCAACGACTTGTTATATATGCCTCTTGACGAGAAAACGCTTCGCCAGGCTGCTGGCCGAGGAGATGAAGAAACTGTCGCTCGCATCCTACAGGTAAAGGAGGGATATAATGACCCCGAATCCATGGTAGCAGCGGCAAGAGGTGGCCATGATTTGGTCATCCAGTTACTGCTTGGTTTAGGAGGCGCCAATCCTGATCCGCGACCTATAGTAAGCACTCAACCTGAGTTTGCCACTCCAATCTTGGCTGCTATTGGGCAAGAGAATATCAAGGTGGTTGAGTTACTTTTGGAACAGGCTGGTTTCGATCCCACTCGGAGATACAGAGGCGAAACATACTACGAGATCGCCCGACATCGGGCCGGCCCAAATTGGAAGGATGAGGAGCACATGTTGAAGAACGCCTACGACGAGTACAAGAGAAGCCATAAGGACTCGGCCAAAACGAAATCACCCAACCGGCGTGAACGAGACCAAGAACGTGGCGATCGGGAGGATCGAGAAACCAAACGCCCATTCCGAACCAAGTTGAAGGATAAGGACGAAGCTCGTCAACACAAACGGAATATTTCCAGCCCCGAGCCGAAGAAGAAAGCGACCAATTCGAAGCTCACAAGCCCCGGAGAGAAGCGGAGATCTGGCTCTTTCACGAACCTTAACGATGATGGCATAAAGCGTGGCCCTGGAAGACCCCGAAAAGAAGACCGCGTCCCATCTATCAACATTTCAGATAGAGAATTATCCCCAACTATGTCTCATAAGCAACTCAAGGTCAAGCACGTAGACTCAGACGCTGCCGGTGTCTCTTCTGAAGGAGAAACTGTCAAGCCTCGCAGGAAGCTTGTTTCCAAGGGCGAACTTCGAGGAGAACGAGAGCGGCAACGACGCACCAGTATGGTATCGAACGCTTCCTCTCTCAAAGATCCCCCGAATAGCCCCCATGAGTCAAGGCATGAGGAGTCAGGTGATAAGCATGACAAGCACGACAAGCACCGGGTCGAGAAACTTTCCGAAAAGTACCATGACCGAACCAAAGCTATCAGAAGGGATGAATCTCGGGACCGCTTGTCAGTAGCTGGCGACGGAGCAACTAAAAGGCATCGTGCTAGCATCACACCCGATCGACCTAGTAATGGCGACAAGGATGACAGCGAGGTTCCGCCGAAACGACGACGACTTGAAAGTGAAGCGAAAGAAAAACGCTCAAAACAGCCATTGTCTTCCGATGAAAGGCCTCGCAAGTCCAGTAGCCTCCAAGATCCTTCCAAAATACTGTCCAAATCGAACCACAAGAAGCACGATGACGACAAGCGTGAAAAGCGTGCCAATTCCCATCGCGCCGATGCTGAACGAGCCAGCAGTATTGAGAAACAGATCCACGTTAAGTCAGAGGAGACCGATGTGGAAATGAGAGACGCCGACTCTATCAAGGTCGTATCTGAGCCGGAACCACAAGCGACTCGAGCCAAGGACTCCAGAGAGGCTAAGGAAGCCGAACAAGAGAAGCAGCGGCAAGCCGAAATTGAGGATGCTAAGAAAAAGGACGAGTTGCGGAAGAAGGAGGAAGCGCGCAAGAAAGAAGAGGAGCGTAAGCGGGTTGAAGCCGAAGCAGTAAAAAAGCGCGAAGAGGAAGAAGCCCGGAGGAGAGCAGAGGAAGAAGAGAAGAAGCGTCAGGAGCATGCAGCTGAGAAGGACCGAATCCGAAAGGAGCAAGAAGAGCGTGAAGCCCAACGCAAACGCAAGGAGCAAGAAGAACGTCAATGGCGAGAGGAAGAGAAACAGCGACGTGAAGCTGAAGAAAAAGTGCGCCGGGAGGAGGAAGAGAAGCAGCGGGTCGAAGCAGAGAGGAAGAAGCAGCTTGAGGAAGAAGAAGAGCAGAGACAGCGCGAGGAAGAGGAGAGGCTGCGCCGCGAGCAACTCGAGCGGGAGGCAGCCGAGCAAATTCGACGTCAACGTGAAGAAGAGGAGCGGAAAGAGCGCGAGCGCCGAGAACGTGCACACCGCGAGGATCAAGAACGCAAACGAGCTGCACGCGAAGCCGAACAGCGACGATTACGCGAGGAGCAGGAACGTAACCGCCTCGACAAACTACCACCTCTTCTACGATGGTTCGACGCATGTCCAAACCCCAAGCTTCCTTTCCTTGCAGAGAAATTCAAGCAGATGCAGGGCTGCCGATATGATACGATCCGGCAAGAGGCCAATGGCACGCCTGAGGGCCGTGAGCTGTGGGTGCTCAACACTCATGCAGCCATACTCCTCGGCGAAAAAGACTTTGAACTTTCTAGATGTAAGTCTCCTAGGCATACTGCCAAGATAACTGTTCACTAACTGTTCTGTAGACACGGCTTGGGAACGGGCTCCTGTCAGTCAACTGGCCAAGTTGACCCTTTGGCGCGTAGAGTGGCCGCTGTACACTCTCCTTGGAGATAAGGTTCGGGATCTCGGCCGTCAACTACCTGGATGTTACGGCGATGAGGAGGACCACTCGAACTTGGAATTCCAGACAAAGGTCCGACTCAGACAGGAGGCTTGGGAGAAATTCCGCAGCCTGGACATGTTCTTCGTCAAGGTAAATACTACAACATGTTACAACAGATGACGGACTTCAAGCTAACGAATTACAAGGTGTCGGATCTAATGTATACGGTCCCCAACATCCCACATCTGCGCAATATCAAGCTCTCAGTCGAATATCGTGAACTCCTGGAGACAGAAGCAGAAAGCATGCGGGTGGGGGCAGGTTCGTCAAAGTGGAAGCAAGATCCAGGTGCTGCTCGCTACCACGGATTCTCCCCCCGATGCAAGGATTATGTTAACGGAGCTTTCGTGGGAGAAGAGATGCCCCAAACTGCGCGAACAAGTAAAACGCCATTTCCAGAGAGGAGAGTGCCTCGGCGTGGGCTGGTACGGGTGTACCCAGACAATCCGGAGTATACTCGAATCTGCATGGAACAGGGACTGGAACACCTTGTCAATGGACATCTCAGCCCACCTCTGGTTAATGGCATTCATTCATCTCCAATCAGCCAGAAGTCAATGACTTCAGGAGGGCCTCGTACAAATGGGACCATCAAGGTCTCGACACCCGGGTCGACGACCGAGAGCTTTGCGCCATCAGTTGCCGGACTAGAGACACTCACAAATGGCATCAATGGAAATACGAATGGGAACTCCAACCACTAATACGATTGAGTCTTCAACATACGGCCGGACATACCTTGTTACATCATTGCGTTGAGTTTTCTTTGTTAGCATCATGATCATGGACGGCGCAGGTGCAAATCAGGGCTATGCTATATGGTATGGTTTACCACTTTTATTGACAACGGGGGGCTGGTGGCTAGTAGACGGCATGGGGAGTTTATTCACGACAATTGGATCGGAACACAACATAGGCCTCATCAAGTAGATATGTTCACGAAGTAGAAGGTTGATTGGATGAGTACTTTAAGATTAGCGGACGACGTTGGAAGCTACGCAAGGTGTTTTGCGTGATTGATGTTATGAGGAAGCATGACTGATGTCTCTAGACAAGCAAGAGAGGCTGATGGCAGCCTTGCTCATATGAGGTGGGCAAACCAAGCCGTGCTCACTATATTTGAGTATAACAATTACGAATCAAATCACCAAAAACAACAAAACAAAACCCTTGGGGTCGTTGCGCAATATGATCTGAATTCCACCTGTTCCGAGTTGTTGTGCCTCAGAATAAAGCGGTCTGATTGGCCGTAAAAGAATTAAACTGGCTGACGTCAAAGTCTTGTGGGGCGCTGTAAAAAATTGCCCCGCCATCTTGACGACTTCAACCCACGCATCCGCGCTTTCTTTGCAATTTATCACCAAAAGTGCCTTTGACCACGAATTGGGCCACGAACCCCGAGATCTGAGGCCAGACATACCCGAAATTTGACCCGAAACCGCTGCTGCAACTGCAAGCGAAACCGCAATCATGGCGACCACAGTGGACAAGGTTTGCAGTTGCTCCCACCATCAGATCGTTCCCCAGAACAAGTTTGCTAACCCCAGTCACCCACCAGATCAAAGATATTGAGGCCGAAGTACGTGATATCCCAGCCAAGCCTTCCCTCCCTCCCTCCCTCGACATACCATATTCGGAGATGACGATGACGATGATGATATCCGGCAATCGACGATGGAGGGATTCTTTGCTGTACGAATAAAACGGATGCGGTTCTAACTTGTGTTACCAGATGGCCAAAACCCAAAAGAACAAGGCGACGTCGTTCCATTTGGGTCAGCTCAAGGCCAAGTTGGCCAAGCTCAAGCGCGAGCTCTTGACTCCCACAGGCGGAGGTGGCGGTGGTGCCGGTGCTGGCTTCGATGTGGCCAGGACGGGTGTCGCCAGTATTGGCTTCATCGGCTTCCCCTCAGTGGGCAAGAGTACGCTCATGAGCCATCTGACGGGGCAGCACTCGGAGGCTGCCGCGTACGAATTCACCACCCTGACATCTGTGCCTGGTCAAGTTGTCTATAACGGTTAGTGTTCTGTGATATCCTTTTCTCCTCTACCTTGTCCAGTGGGTGCGACCGCTTTGGTTCATGTTCATGTTCACGTTCACGGCGGCTTGATGCCCAATCCCACCGGCGGGCGGCTCCCTTGTGCGCCAAACATCAAGGCTGACCTGCATTTCTCTAGGTGCCCCCTTGCAGATGATTGACCTTCCCGGTATTATTGAGGGTGCCAAGGATGGTCGCGGTAGAGGTCGACAGGTTATCGCGGTCGCGAAGACGTGCCATCTGATCTTCATTGTGCTCGACGTGAATAAGCCTCTGACGGATAAGCGGGTGATCGAGTCGGAACTCGAGGGTTTCGGAATCCGCATCAACAAGTCACCCCCCAACATCACTTTCAGGAAGAAGGACAAGGGTGGCCTCAATATCACCAGCACAGTACCCCTGACCCATATCGACCATGGCGAGATCAAGGCCGTAATGAGCGAATACCGCATCAACTCTGCGGATATCACTATCCGATGCGACGCTACTGTGGATGACCTGATTGACGTTCTCGAGGCAAAAAGCCGAAGGTAAGGCTGTTGAAACTGTGGCAAACAGGTGTACTTTTGAAGTCCAAAAAGGCCCCATTTGCTAATGCATCGACTTTCTAGTTACATTCCCGTGGTGTACTGCCTAAACAAGATCGATTCAATCAGCATTGAGGAGCTTGATCTCCTCTATCGAATCCCCAATGCGGTTCCTATCAGCTCTGAGCACGGATGGAACATTGACGAGTTGATGGAACTCATGTGGGAGAAGCTTAACCTTGTCCGAGTATACACAAAGCCCAAGGGCAAGCAGCCTGATTACTCTCAGCCTGTCGTGCTCCGATCCACGCGCTGCACTGTTGAAGATTTCGTAAGTTAAACCGTTCCTATGTAGCGCTGTTTTTGCTTCTTCCAGCGGAGCCTCATCTCCAAAACGATACCAACCTGGGAACGCTGGATTGCTGACTGAATTGACATGTAGTGTAACGCCATTCACCGAAGTATCACGGAGGTTTTCAAGACAGCTATCGTGTATGGCAAGTCTGTCAAGCATCAGCCTCAACGCGTTGGCTTGTCTCATGAACTATGTGACGAGGATGTTGGTAGGTTGCCCCGGAGGCCCCGACGACGACCCTGAGCCCTAGCAGTAGCCTAAAGACGGATTGAGAGGGAAGGATGAACAACCCAGGCCGTGCTTGAGCTTGATCTACCCGATGCAGTCGGGATCTTGCTTCGCTGACCGGCCAGGGCGCTCAATCCCCCAATCCCAGTATCATCCGTTGGGGCTAAGCTGCCAGGGTTACGTTGTACTAAGCTCACGGCAACGCTAACTATTGTAACAGTAACCATTGTCAAGCGATGAAGAGAAACTTTGCGGAGATTGAAGGGGACGATCCCGCGGCAATGCCAGAGGCTTGGTAAGCTGGATGGCTTGGATTGCTACTTCACATCAGATTGTTACCACAAGCTATTGCCACCCAACAACTTGCGACTCTGGCCTAGCTCCGAGTGGCGGGGGAGGATAAAGAGGAGGAAACCACGCATGTGATGGATGGGATGGGCTGTCGATTGCAGAGTACAGCATGGTCACCAAGGACAGGGCTGACACTGGATGATGCACGGCTACGAGTACGTCTGGCTGACAAGAAGTAACGATTTGGCTCGACCAGGCACATCAAACGATCGGCGCAATAGTTTCCGGGGAAAGTCAGAAAGTGGCGCGCACACTGCACACTCACAGAGCAGGCTCATGGGTCTAGAGCAGGGGGAAGAAAATTTTATGTCAACGGCAGACGATGATGTGCAAGGGGCGGGCAGGATTTTAAGATGAAGATGGAGAGTCTACACGGGAGCCTGTGTCCGGGCTGGCTTCCGAGATGAAGAAAAAGCAACGCAGCGTAGCATAGCGGTAACGTAACGCATCATCAGTCAGGAGGGACAAACTCGGCAGTTTAGCATAGTCGACTGACTCTTTCTCTGTGCGGGAAGAATTGCATTCAATCAATTTGTTAAAAGTTCAAGCCCTGAGATGCAACTTATAAAATGACGATTTAGATTCGGATACATATCTTGAATGCACACACTCACACTCACACTGGTCGGAGTAACGTCATGACGGATACAACATCTTGGCACACTGAAATTCTTCCGGGCGTCTGAAAGAAGTGTTGGCCGAGCGGAGATATTACCAAGAAGAAGTCCCAAGTCCAGGTGTGTAAGGAATGCACTATTACCAGTTGAGAGAGCTCTTTGTAGGTAGGTGTACTCTGTACTCTGTATTATGATAGATAACATTGTACTGGGGTTTATTTTACTAGTGAGCCTGCGAGTTTGATCGGAAACGAATTGCAGACAGATACTCCGTATACTCCATGCATATGCTATGCTACAGACGGGTAAAACATTGCATACATCCAGAGGGCAAAGCAACATTGACAAAAGATCAAGACGCCACCATCTGATGTCGACATGGGAAGCATTATTAATTAGGTAGTTAGCATTAAGCAGCGCGCAACGGCATGCAGTGGTAGAGTGGTTCGACCTGCATAAAGTAGCCGAGGGCCTCTAGGGCCTCTTGATCAGCGACCGACTCGTGGGATGCAGGGCCAGGGCCAGGGCCCAGAGGGCACAGACAGGGATTGCAATTTACGAATCAGGTTGTGCATTGGATCTTGGCCTTGCATCGGGGCGCTTAAAGAGACGAGAGAGAGAGAGAGAGCACATTTGGCTTTTAACCTGGGGTGATTGATTTATTAGGGCTTTTCCAGTTTTGATCAATCGTACCATGATGAAAAGGGTACTTACTCTACTTGGTTAATGATATCTGCATCTAGAGACAGAGGCTTACTTTGGTGAATATGAAACAATTGTTGGACAAGCCAAGGGAATAAGTACAAACTCTTAGAAGATTCAAGGAAGCGATGTGCTTCTTGAAGGAGGAGGAGGAGGAGGAGGAGGAGGACCGTGTATTGAGCTGTATCGGTATTGCATTGGATGTTGTAGCCTCTATGCTACAGTAGTATTACCGACCAACCTACGTAGGAGGTAGATTATCTCACCTATTGGTGCTGGTGCTGGTGCTCTACTGTACATGGTTATGTTCAACATCCATCGCTAGATCCCGTTCCGTCCACACCCCGGGCTAACTAAGTCATGTACAGTACAGTAGGTGCATGAGTAGGTATCCACCCCGACCCTTCTGATGATGGATGATGGATGATGAATGATGGCGACCGGGCGGCAACAGACGCATCGTGAAAGGCGGAGAGCGCAAGCCTCTTTGGCGAGAAAAACGTCCCGAAGCCCACGTTAAGCTCGAACGAGGTTAGCGAGAAGCGTATGGACAGGGGTGGTAAAGTCATCAGCAGCAGGGAAGACAGAGTGAGTTCAGAGTGACGGGAGTGACCAACAGCATTCAATTAGTTGTAGGAGAATAGTTGATCTCCACAGGATAACCACAGGATACAGCATACAACATACATGATGCATGGTGTTGGTTAGGTACTGCCTAGTATACGAGAACGGCAGTAGGTAGAGTGGCCGCAGGCAAGGAAAAGGAAGGGCTCTTTGTCATTGCAGTTGCTGTGCTTTTTCCCAACCAAGATGCGGCAAAACATGTTGCAAATAACAGGGTTCACTTATATCAAAGCTGAATATTCGTACCTACTGCGTACTCCGTACTCTATACCTTATGTTAATTTACTTTGTGCATCAACGGCACGGCTCGTCGGAAGACGGGACAAGGACCAACAACCCCTAGATAAGGTTGATCCCGCTAGAACAGAACAAAATAGCAAAAAAAATAAAACATTAATAATAACTCTAACATGTCGTAATTATCAACACTAAGGTAGGTAAGTAAAGCATATGTCCGCCATTATCAGTGATCACTATGGATGGGATAGGGATACAGTAGCGAGTAGCTGCAGCGCTGACGAGATCTCAATCGGGAGGCAGCGCAAGGGGTAGATGGCGCCTAAAAACACGGGAGAACAGCAAGGAAACCCCTTGTTCACTGGCATCGACCCTGGCAGCGCTTGATTAGCAACCATTGACCAAACGCAGGCCTCTCCTTGCTCATCGAGGAGGAGGCGGAGGAGAAGAGATATCGAAGCAAACTTGAGAGCGATTGGACAATCTCGGCCACTTATATGCAGTTTCCTACACTGGGCGTTTAGGATACGATACGATCCCCAATTACAAGCTCTACTTTATTGCACGTAGTAGTAGGCTCTTCTTTCTCTAACGCACCGGCATGATATCGCTGTCATGAGATAGATCGTGCCCGCGCGCACCCGCAATCCTCCTCGTCATGATCTTCCCACTTGGAAGGCCTCGTTTTTTTTCTGTCTCGTCTGTTTATGGTTAAGCTCTGTACAGGGGCATATGAGGCCTAGAATTAATTTCCATCTTTGCGAACCCGAGCCTAGATCTACCTTAGTAGTCCCCGACTCCCAAGCAAGTAAGTACCTACCGCCAGTACCTTGAGTTGTACCTGCCCGGTCTCAGGTAAGCTTTCGCACCTACCTTACTTACCTGACTGCTTCAATATCGGGACGATCCTCCTTCAGGTACAGCAACAAGTGCCGTGAAGAGCTCCTTCTTCTACTTCTTAATATTCAAGTCCCATACTAATCAGGCTTGGGTGGACGACTAAAATATAGGGTCTATAATCAATTCTTCTTTTTACATCGTCAACCTACCATTGCCATATCTCAATGTGCCAAAGACGGACCGCCCCAAAGCAACGCGGAGCAAAGCGAAGCAAACATATAGACACCATCAAAATTGCATTCAACCTAATGAAGTCGGCGCCAGGGATCCGATAATCTGGCCAACTGGATCAACATCCGGACGACGGATTGGACCGTCTATGGCGCGCCACAACTTGTCCCCCTCACTTCTCTTCCTCTGTCCGCGGTCTGCAGTCTGCAGTCTACAGTCTGCCCATCATCCATGTACCCATTCGTCGCATTGCACTCTTCTACCTACTGTACAGTGTACAGGTTCAATGAAGACAGACAAACATTGACATACTATGGGTGCTTGCTGCCCAATGGCAAATACTCTGGCAAGTCTGGGCAAAGCCATGATGGTGGCTGCATGTCCATTGATTGAACCCTCCGGAAATTGCGCTAATCATCCAGCCACGGGAATGATCCCCCATCCCGACTCTGATGCTTAGACACCAAAGATGGAGAAATGAAAATACTACTTGAGCAACAACCATCCAATTTGCAACCTACCATCGGTCGCTCGGAAAAGAAACACCATGTAGGAAAGGAAAGAAAAAAATATGCCCAAGCAAGCCCAAGCCCAAGCCTAAGCTGCGACATGGGGAGACATATCAAGGATGTCAGACATGGATGCTGATGGGATGGACTAGGGGCGGAATGGCAACTGGCCATGCTGCCATGGGCGGCAGGGCGGCGGCTGTCAAACTGGCTCCAGAAAGGGCCGTCCCACTAGCCTGCCTCTTTGTCGATATGCCCTGGCAAGCCCCAGTTCTACCTTGCTCAGAGTAGCGGTAGATCTCCGTCTCTCATCCACAGACGAGCCATGGCAAGCACGACAAGGCACCGAGATGTTACTGGGCGCGGTACCCGTGCGCGCTGCATCAATGTCCCTTCATGATCAGGATGCATGGCTTCGAATCTTCGACCCACCGCCATTCCAGTTGCGGCATCCCGAGCACCATGTCATCATGGTGCTGAGAAGGTGTGAGCGAGGGCGGGGGTCGATAATAATGGTGGTAGCCTTTTGATATGATGGCTTCTCCTTCGCATAAAGCACAGCAATACTGAAACTGCCATCAGCATGAACTAAACTACAACCAATACGATAAAACGAGGAAGGAACATCACCGATGGACTTCACAATGACCATCACACCCGATCAAAGATGAGCTGCACATGCATCTCACCATCTTCCATTGATCTGTCGCACATCAGATAACTCAAAAAGTTTACCATGAGACGTACCACGTGCGCCGGTCTGTTAAATACTGAGATAGCCACCACATTCTTCGTCTTGATCGGGCCTGTGGCTGTAAGCTATGGAGTACATTGTGCCATATCTCAATGGGCTACGACACTGGTTTGCACAACACTCTGCCTAGGTAGTAAATCAGTCTGCCAGCATCGCTCAATGGCCTCGGCCTCACGAACAATTCAATAGACAAGGATGCGTGTATGAAACTTCGGGCGCTCAATCATGTCGCTTTTCGTCAATAAAAAAGACCCTTTATTAGCGACCTGAGGCACTTGCTCCACGCGAGCTATGGCTGTGACATCCTGGGACCACGAGGCAAGCAAGCAAGACGAGGCGAAGAGGCACGACAGGCAAGGGAGAAGCCATGGCTAGTTGGGGCATGGTAGATGAGGAACAAGGCTGAGCGAATCAAACCGCCAAAGCCTTGTTCATCGGTCCCTCCCTTCTCTCACCCCATCTCCGCCTACCTTCCCGTTGAGACAGGTCTGAGCTCCGGATCTTGCCTTCCGGTCGGGCTTTGACCTAGCAGTGCGCCGTGTATCATAACATGATGCTCAACAAGGAAAGAAGAAGGAGCATCAATAAGAGAGGGAGGGAGAGGGAGAGAGAGAGATCAGACCGCGGGCTAGGCCGTCCGAGGCTGAAGCTGAATGACTGTTGTGTCTAGGGCAACAAGCTGAATTGACCTTCTCATAACCACCCATGCTTCGGTGTCATTTTCACCTTTCGGCTATGGAGTAAATTCCAAGGTTAAAATATCGACTTACTCGTGGTTGGTGATAGTCATCCTTGATCACTGGAGGCTTCTTTCCCTCGGACACCAGGGTCTCCAGGATCCCTGTCTTGAAAAGTGGCCGGGCATACCGTTACCAGTGCCATTGCTGCACACTCTGTATCTCATCCGTGACCCATCAGTCGATCTTACTTTTGGGCCATATCAAGTCCCTGCTGCCGATGTCCCGTCCCGGATTGGGCATTACATTGAAGGCAGCATCTTTAATATTACTTTACCATTAAAATTTTGGGCTCCTAGGCCAAGGCCTGGCCGGGTTTCGTCTCGTCTGGGGAGAATCTGGGTCAACAGGTGACCAGTCCACCATCGAGTGGACTCCTTTCGGGAGAACTGGCTGGCCTATGGTAGCTCTCATTTGACCATCTCCAGTTTAAACCCAGCCTAGTCAGCCTTTGCCCATCGAATCGCATGGGTTTTGGCGCGCCGCGCTTTCCAGATTAGAGAGAGATACCCTATGAAAGCTGCAAGTTGACGATTTCCAGATGGACTATCTTCCTAGCCTGGGCGCGACATTTTCTTCCTTCTCCTCTTACCAAAAGTCAACAGTGGGCACTTCTATGGCACACCTCATCTTCTGACCTCATTCTCATGGGCTTTGAGCCATGCTGTTGCACGACCATTTCAAGTGAAGGTCCGGTCTCCTAGGAGGGGAATGAGGGAGTGCCAGGTCCGAATGCAAGATCAGCCATCAAAGGTGGTTCTTCCGGAAAGGTAACCTAAGCAGCAAAATCAGGAATACGAAGAAACCCTATTGCTAGGGTAGGGACGACCCGACGGGAGATGAGTCTTTTTGTCTTATCCGCAGTTTCCTTTGCCTGTCGTGTTGCTTCCTCCGCTTCTCCTACCGCTGATCAGAAGCTTGTGTCTGTGGGATACCTAGTGGTTTGAACCATGATGCGCTCCTTTCTTGAGACAGCTCGCACCTATCAGATGGCCGCGGGCCAGGGGGTTTGTGCCTACCCACGCCTTCTTCTAACGGCTGACGATTCTCTTGCTTTTCCCAACCCGGCGATGACTTGGCCAGGATCAACGACAAGAAGAAGACTCGGCTGAGAGCTCCATAGCACGGCACCCTAGCTCACCGGTCTATCTCCGAACCCGAAGGCGTCCATCCTATTACCTCATGAGCTTGTCCTCTATCGTTCTCTGACCCTGATCTACCTGCCGCGCTTGTTGGCGGGTGAGTACGGAGTATGCGTGCCTGTGATGAATGTGTGAGTGACCCTTTGTCTTGTCTACTCGCGTGCAAGATGTTGCACAGAGCGTTGAAGGTCTTGCCATACCCAATCCGAGCCACGCTCCGTCTTTATCAGCTTCATCCACACCTAGACACATTTGTACACACACTTAGACGACCTTTTAAGGATTCATCAGTTGTCTAGGAGAGCACTCTGGCTTTTACCCACTACCCTCCCACACCCACACCACTTTGATCGCTCATGATTACAGTGCACACCCCTCCCCCCTAGTGAGAAACCCCCCACACCCTCGCCGGTATTCCTCGTGCGTGCTGCATATGTATATGGAGAAGGTCGACCTCTGGGGGCTCACCTCTACATATGTAGCGATGGGAATGGCTTTAGGTCTCGCTTGTTTGCACTACACTACACTACACTGCACTGCACATCTTCAAAAACGATATACTCCTCAACGGTCTGGCCTCGTGTTGGAACGTCCGCCTCAAGTCTGTGGTCCACCTTCGAAACTCTGTCTTAACACTTCTCTCCGGATCTAGCTACTGGCGGTCCTATCTGGGCGCTGTTACTGTCCTCCCGCCCGTCCGCCCTCCACCAACGCAATCCGTTCCTGTCTTGCTCTGCCTCGTTTGCCCTGAGACGGATTTACAGTCTCGGCAATTTCCACGAGCTCAATAAGGAAAAAGCAAGTAAAAGAAACTTCCGCCGTGTCTCAGTTTGGCGAGCTTGCGCGTTGAAAGACAAGTTGTTTCCCCTCATCGAGAAACGGTTCACAGACAGTGGAACTGGCTCGAGGCTCAAAGACCAACTTCTCTACGGCCTAACAAGCTCTAAGCTCCACTGCCCCGTTGTTGAGTTCTTACGTTACTTGTGTTTCTGTGTTGGATTGTGTAAAAGGTTTGCTGCAAGACACTTAACATCGTCTAAGGAAGTACTAAGTGCTCTCAGCTGGTGCGAGGACTTTGAAGATCAACAGCAAAGCGAGCGTGGATCACCTCCGTTTTGCACTTTTAGGAACCAGTTCGGATAAGACCATGCATCTCTTCATCTACCGGTGTCAAACGTGAGGACAATCACACCAACCTATTTTGTTCCCCAGCTTCGTTTCCAACTCCCGGGAACTCAACCTGGCCACGCCCACCGCACCGATATACGTCTCAGCCTCCAACAATTCTTGAAGGCGAGGCTCTGTTGGCTGTCAACTGTCAGCCAAATTCTAACGTTCTTGCTCCCTAATCCAGTGTTAGCTGGACGATACACGCAGTCATGAATAACGTCAACGGGACATCCACAATGGGACAGGATAACACCATGACCCAAAGTAATGGATACGGGAGCGATGCTTGGACGAGCATGAGTCCTTACAGCCAGAGCCCATATAGTGCCAGCCCATTGACTGAATATCCATCATTTGGTGCCTTTGTCAATCACGGATTACCATCGGAATCAATGAATCGAATGCCTCCCCCACAAACACATCAAATGATACAACCTGCACCTCCAATGGCACATCATCAACTACCTCTGCTGAATACGACTTGGCCGAGCCAATTGACGAATCCAGCCCCTGCACAGAGCTATTCGGCACCACCGCTATCAATGACACCTGCTGCCAGCGCACCGCCCGTGGAACCCCCTAGGTTGCCGCCACAGCACGAGAAATCGAGGAAGACCCTTACTACGGAACAGAAGAGAGCCATGTGTCAGTTCCATGAGGATAACCCTGGTACTCGACAAGCCGATATTGGAGCCCGGTTCGGCGTTGAGAGAAGGTAGGCACTTTGGAACCGAAGTCATATTTCGCCATTGGAAATCTGACATTATCATAACAGTACGGTTTCAAAGGTTTTAAGACACAAAGACCAGTATTTGAAACGGGACCAAGAGCCCGAAAATGCTGCGGTAAAGCGTGGTAAGGGTAAGCATCCTGATTTCGACCGGACACTTAGCAATTACGTCAGGAGACAACAACAACGAGGGTTCCAAGTTAGCGACGAGGAAATCATGGAACAAGCAAGACTATTTGCTCATGCTAGCGGAAACCAGGAAGGCGTGCTCAATAACCTAAACAGCAGCTGGTTGCAGAAATTTAAGCAAAAGCATGGCATTGGTGCAGGCAAGCTGATGCGAAGGGCTTCCGAAGCCAATATTCCTGATAGCGCAAGATTATCGACACTCGTCACCAAGTCGAGCGACATGTCACCGTCACCAACAGGACAGCTTTCGCCGCTTTCTGGAAGTCGGAGCGATGAGGACGCCCCTCTTGATGGCATCGACTTTGACTTTGGCTACAAACACCCGGAATCGCAATCCACTACATCCCTTTCCAGTGACTTCCGAGATAACACGGGGTCTTCTTTCTCGGCTGGTACAATGAGTCCAACAGGCACATTCACTTTCTCCCCTGACCCCAATGTGGGAGGTTTTCCCATGGATCAACTTCGAGGTACCGATTTTCAACACCGGGAGAAAAGAAGTAACACATTCCCGTCTCTCAATATCGACTATGTAAATCAAGTATCGTCGTCGACGGAGCCTATGACCCCTCGTCATCCTTCTTCATCAACCGCACCGTCCTCAGCTTTGGAATCGCCTCAGCATGAACTACAAGCGCCCTTTGGCATCGATACCAACGTCAACTCGCCGCCCCCGATGCTGCGCCGTAGCAGCAGCAACTCAAGTTTAAACCGTGCTACGGCAGCAACGGGTGCATCTTCATCAACACCCGTTGATTCGTCTCCAGTCTCGCCGTCTCAGGAGGACGCTCGTCGAGCAGCACAAACGCTGCTCAATTACATCCAGACAGCGGGCACCTTTGATTCCAACGATTACTTGTCAATTGTTCAGCTGACTAAAAAGCTCAAGATCCATCAAGGTCGATCTTCGATTGGGGGGCTATCACGTATTCCCGAAGGCGACGTTGAAGCACCTGTTCTCCTATCAGCCAAGATGGAATCGGCCTGAAACACTGCTCTACCAATATCGTTTTTTTCTTGTATTTCTTTTTCTTATCTGTGTCTTAGCATCTGAGTTTGTTCCCCAAGGGGGATTTTGAGAACATACGTGGGAGCATATAGTGCTTGGATCGAGACCAACAGGGTCACAAACCTGCTCACGCGGGGGGGAATCCCAAGCATTCACACCTGACGGCATTGGCCGCAAGCTAAACTGCCTGTTGGATGTTCATACAATCTTCAACAGCGCTTTGGTTGGCATTATAAAAACAGAAAACCCATATTACAGGAACGGACCTTTTCTATACTCGATACCACAACCGAAGACTTTATCTTCCGCTCACGCGAACGCGAACACTTACATATAACAATCGTCCACACGAACCTACGAGTACAAAATTGCTCGCCTGGAGCACGGGTTTAAAAGGAAGCGGCAAAGGACTGGAAAGAGGTGGAAAAGACGGAGGCCTAAGTACAGCACAGCGGATGCACTGCACATCAAGGCGAAACCCTCAGCAACAGCTTGAGGAGTAACGCAATATTTTGCGTTGTCAATGTTTGTTTCCTTTTCTGAGCATGTTCTTTATTTTCCAAACATATGTTTGATTTCTTTTGACTGCATTACGTGGCATTGACGCGGAGGGATTAATTATCTGCGCACACGCTCTTTTCATTTCCATTCTTATCATTTCTTCTCTGCATTTCTGTTCAAAGATGAGAGGGTATCTGCTGCAAGGCACGGCACGGCATGACATGGTACGGGGCATGAAGTGGAATATGGTTTACGAAGCGTCTTTCTTAAGTCGCTATATTTTGGGGGAATGCAAGGAGGCTCGTCGAGGCTTTTCTTGAGTTATGAGAGAGGTGCTGGATTGAGTGAGAGTGGCCTACGGGCAGCTCAGGGGTTGCTGTGATAGTCATATGTCTGGCAGACGAGGGCATCCCTGCTTTAGTTGAATGGGCGGCATTTGTGCAATTAGGAATGTCCTTGCTCTTTAACGACTTGCTCTAGTTCCATGTGAAATGGCTTTATTGGTGATTATATTAATGCATTAACAAAGGGGGTATCTTCAATTTAAAAGAGTGTCTACAGATCTTAATCAACCTAGTCTTTCCTCCCACAACTCTGTCACGCCTTTCTCGGTAAGTTCAGGCATTAGCCTGGCAAGCACCAGCTCAAGAATGCTGTACATCAGATGCTTGTTGCAGTACTCATCGTCTAGCACGAACAGGAGCCGCTCCATCTCATCGACAAGGTCCTCATCATCCGATGACTCGCCTTCGGCCTTCGTACTTCGCCGCCACAAGCGACCGCCAAAGTATAGCCTTCCCACACCCTTCGGTAGCAACCCCCAAAGAGAACTAGCGGCTCTACGACGCAGGGCTTGCAACTCGGCTTCAGAAGATGGTGGGAACAGGGACGCCTTACCAGGGGCGTTATTGGGGAAGAGAACGCCGCGAAGGGTACAAAGGAGAGGGGGCAGATTTGAAGGAGAGAAGAGAGAATTAATATGATGCGAAAGGAGCCTGTGAGAGAAAAGAATGGGTTAGCACATATTAGCCTTACTATGCGTTTGAGGTAGTGCAGCGTGGGGGGGGGTTGTGATCGAAAACATCATATGCAGCAAGGGGCACATCAAGTGTAGGTAGGTCGGTATAGCCGATGGGATGCGCTGCAATGCAGTATGAGGAGCAAAGCACAAGGCGAGACAAGCGACAAGGCTGCTGATGGCCCATTGGATGTCAACCTCTTTTGTACTGGTGCATCAAGTGTGTGTGTGCATGTTGATCCTCCCATGTTGAATGCGGTAGATCAACTTGGGGCCAGGGGAAAGTCAGGCAAGTAGGGCTTGCAAGGTGCGGGGAAATACGTCGAGAGGCACATTTGCAGCCCATGTATCATCTCATGCAGAAAGGAATGTGAGATTCCGCATTACACAACAGACGAGCGGGTGGACCAGGGAATGAGGCGGTGGTTGAGTGTTGGTAGTGTATCGTCACCAGGTGCTTTCTGCTTTTACCCCCCAGCTTCAAGAATCGTGTAACAGCCCCGCATAGAGGGTGCAGGTGCAAAACCAAGAAGCAAGAACACTCGCCGGATGGCAGCATGTCTTGGTTCTTTAGGAAGACGAGGCCGACCGGTGAATCCATCCCAACCCGACCCAACCCAGTCTGAAAAATTCAAGGGTGTAAAGGACGGTGCCCTGTTGAAACTAGAATTCGAGTCTTCCCACTCCAAGCCAACATAACCTCTCGGGAATGGCTAGAGTAGTCGATGACAGGTGGCGCGGCACGGGGCGAGAGTCAGTTCAATCTCAGTGGTGCATCTTCAAAGGCGGGTGGTCCCTTCGGAGAAGCTGACATGGGCTGGGCGCGTAATCTCGACATTTTGCTGGATGAAAAGGTCTAGCTTGACGCAGCCTGTCAGGCAATCGGATGTCAGAGGCAGCGTTATGCTTTTTCATTGGCCAAGTTCGCAACTCCCGGGGACCCATATCGATCAGGATCGAGACGCAAGAAAGTTGAAGATAAAAAGGCGTTGCCTTGGTTTTGATTATGTTGGTGTCGTAATTGTGGGTTGCGAGGGCGTGTATCGAGAACGGCTTGTAATTCAACAACAAAGGATATAGACGGCATGGGCCGCTCCCAAGACGAAGCGGGCCGATTTATCATACCGTGCCGTTTGAAGATGTCATGTTCTGAAAGCTCACTGGAGCATCAGGAGGTCCAGTGACTCCGGACTCATGCGAGTTGCATGATGTCTGGTGACGCTGTAGGTGTGAGGAGGTAAAAAAAAAAGACGCTCATATCTTACCTGTCAACAGGGCCATCATGGCCAGCGATTCGTCCAGGACCATTGACCGCGCCGTATTGTAAAAGTGACAGGAATCCATCGAGCCAAGGCATGCGCAAGCTCAGCTCGAGCACATTTCCAAGGCATGTCCATACTCGACACGATAGGATCGGCGCTTTCGTATAGTTGAGTGACCTCGAGCTTGGTGAGCTGCTCGAGGGCATGTCGTGATCCAGCAATGCTTCCTTTTCGTCTACGGGCGTGGTTCTAGCGGGAAGAGACGATGCCATAACTAGAGCAGTAGTGATGAAACGAAGTGATGCAACTACTAGCATCCCAAGCTGGATCACGCCGAGGAACATGGACCTTACGGACCAGGCGCGGCGGCCCTTGACATCAAGCTTAGGTTCAGAAGATTCGTCTTGCTTTGCTGATGCACCTGCCCCTTGCTCTTTCTTCTGTTGCAAAACCCTGGCCGTGATGCAGATTCCTTCGTATAACATCCATGGCTGTGAGGCTTTATTGGCTATAACATTGCCTATGATAAGCTCGGAAAAGATTTGTTGGACCAGAGCCGTAAGACATGGATTCTCGAGATCTTCTGTGGGCAAGAGGATAGCGAGAACGCCCTGGACGAGTAATTGACGGTATAGAGCCTCGTTCTCCTTCTGGTCTGATATTGTGGCCGGGTCATCTGGGTGAGGGACTGGCGCAAGGTGTGGAAGGGGGCACAGGGCGTGGTACGCTTCTCGTGGATCTACCTCCACAGGTGGTCTCGTGATAGTGCTGTGAGATATTCGGTAGGCTAACCACTGTTAGGAAGGGCCAACGTAACAGACTCGAGAAATCTTACAAGTGATGTGCTTGTCCAGCAAGTCAGGTATCTCATCCAAAACCAAGCTTTCCAGATCAACTTTGCGAAAGCGCTGTTCTAATGCTCGTGTACAGTGAGCGATGATATGCAGAATTTCCGCTATAAAGTGCTCGTCTGTGGTAATTTTGTTATACCAGCTCTGAACGAACTCTCTCAGCACGATAGCAAGAATGGCATACAACTGAAGGTCAACATCGTTGCGACTAGTCAAAGGCGGAAGCAGCTCGTCAATGGGCACTTGCGCATCCCGGCTCTTATCCACCAACTGAGAAGCGCACAGCGTACGACGTATCAGAATTGAAGTCGCTCGGTCGGACAAGGGGTCCGTGGCAGTAGGGCGTATAGGACGTCGCGAAGGTGATGCGGCAGCGGGAGCGGCAGAGGATGGTGGCTCAGTATCAAAGGCGACCGCCTTGCGTGGGGCCGGCGGACGGGGAGGAGGAACGGACGGGGCCACAGGGGAAGTGGCGGTCATGGCGGTCATGGCCGGAGTGATCGGCGAGTCTCCGCTATCATGACCTGATCTCGGTCCTGGTATCGGGGACGGAAGAAGCTGGTGATGGCGAGTTGAAGTGAGGTTCGGTCTTGGGCTTTGAGGTTGGTTGAAGTCAAGTTAACAACAGGTCGCAGGGAAGGCCGCATGGTTAAGCTCCTGCCCGCGCATGGCACGGGTTGGCCCGTTGCCTGAACCGTGCGCTGCAGACGCTGCAGGCGCGGGGGGAAGGCTGCATGCATGAGCTACCCACCCATGACATGTACTGTACCTTCCTTGCCGAGTAACGCCAAACACATTCCTCGCCTACCTATCTACAGATACAAAAGCATTGTCTCGGTTTTAATAGAGTTCACGCCACAATTACTCCCTACAATTAATTACGAAGACGTACAAATGCTGTTTCGGGAGATGTTCTTTTTATGCTACCGATGCTCCTCAGACAGCTCAACAGGCAGGATGCTTCCGGTTTTGATCTATCCATATACACAGCTAGCTACTATACTACAGATTCTGTACAATATAGGTACAAGGACCTCCTCTCTTTCTCTTGATTTATCCAATATTTCCTCTACTCAGCAGCATTCCTGGTAGCCGTCTCATATCTGTAGTGCAAAGTTAGCTTACTGTAGTTGCCACAGAAAATTGATTGGCAATAACATACCTCTTTCCACGGAACGCCCACACGCCCCAGTTGCCACAGCTGACATCCTGGGGGTCCATGTCGTTCAAGTCCCATCGAAGACTTCTGAAGACATTCTCACCAGGCTGCAAAAGGATATCAAACTCTCCCTTCGACTTCTTGTTGACCCACTCAACATCACGTTCCATATCAAACTGGGTGTAGCCAGTGCTAATAATAGGAACTTTGGTCTCCAAGAGCAGGGGAAGAGTTTCCTCCCACTCATGACTGCTGGCGGGGTGACCCAGACCTGGGTGGAAGAGTACAAAGCAGTCGAAGTAAGGATCGTATGGTGCAAAGTGCTGGGTCTGGTGAATTGTATGGTAGTAATCCACGATGGTACTGATCTTCATCTTGTACCAAACACGGTCCTCTACCACGGCTCCAAAGGGGTTTGAGGGGGTCCTCTCCGGCAGTGGGAACTCGTCGTCACGGTTGGCCATGCTCTCGGGTCCAACAAAGATGAGGTGAAGTCGGGCCTCGGGAAACATGTGCGCCAACTGTACCCAAGCAGGTCGTGGGAGAGACGACTCGGCGCGAGCTCCTAGAATAAAAACTCTAACGGCCGGAGCCTCGGGCTTCAGCTCACCAACACCGATTCCACGACCGGACTTGGGAGGGTGTAAGTTATATCGCAATGCTGGTATCATAAATCAGCTCATATGCTTTTCTTCGGGTCAGTCATCAAAACTAACCGCTGATACTCTTCAGTCCTTCTGTGGTCATACGCTCTCCTGCTTTGATACTGTACGGACTGAGTTCATGTAGAACACTGCCGATGGTTACAGGGTATGTCAGAAGACGAGTGATCTGTCTCATCTGTCGATCCGAGTTAACAGCATCAAACTCTCGGGTATACATGAAAGTGTCCCAATTTGTCATGTTGATAGCTGCGTGTTCCATTTGAAGATCAGGCAGGTTGCCCTCTTCAAAAACTCGACCAGAACGCAAATCGTGATCATCCTCATTAATCTGTCGGAGAGTATCGCAAACTTCCAAATGCTTTTCGTAATCATCCATCCAGTGTTCCTCACAGCAGTAAACGGGCAGGCCACAATCTGGGCACTCAAAGTTCACATGTTCAGGAGGCTGTGTCCCTTTCGCAGCCTCCGTATCCTCGGCCTTCGGGGAAATGGTAGGGAGCTTCGTTTGCTGGTGATCGGGGTGAGGGCAGTAAGCGTGCTGTCGCATGAATGCGGCTCGTTGTCGAAACTCAGGAACAGGCGACTTCGAAAACGGATGGAAGAGGTCATCTTGACTTAGGCGTAGCGATGACGGAGATGACTTGTTCGTGGCAGCAGCGGTAGCTTCAGACTTTTTGTTAACAGTAGTGGAAAAGTCTCGAGTCTTCGGCGTAGGGGCAGCTCGCTTCTGGTCCTTGACATTCGAGTGAACGCTTCGGACATGATGGGGTGATATCCTCATCCATGGCTTAGCTGCTGCTCCAGTTGCCAATTGCCTCCGGACAGTGGCAGAGCATTGCCCGCAAATGCTTGAGGCCGCTCTCCTCAGAGTTGGCTCCATCTTATCAACAAAAAGAGCCAAATTCGGGACATAAACTGATTGTCCTGGCTTGTTCGGAAGGTCTGATGTCGCTGAAGTGGGATAATTCGAAGAAGCTCGGGCCACAATTCCTCTGCGCCGCAAAATAATTCCTCCGATGCGCGCCAAACTTTTGACATGAAAGCTCGCTCGAGTTTCAAAAGCTCCAACCATCAGCTTCGACGCGACACAATCTGACCTGTATTTGTCTTTGAAGCCGCGCAGGCTCATCTGCGCTTAGCCGCAAACATGGCGACCACGTCGAACATGTTCTTGTACTCGCTGACGGTCCAACCGCCGACCAATGTCACGCAAGCGGTGCTTGGCCAGTTCGCAGGCACTCGAGAGCAGCTCATCATCACCGCTGCTGGCTCGCAGCTTTCATTGCTGCGGCCTGATCCTTCTCAGGGAAAGGTGATTACCCTCCTATCTCACGATGTCTTTGGCATCATCCGTTCTCTCGCCGCCTTCCGGTTAGCTGGTAGCAACAAGGGTAAGTCAATCCAAACCCCTTCTCAGGAAAATCACTTAGTGATATTCGAAAGCGATGCTATAGACGCGTCGACTATAGCGCCACCGAGAACTCGATGCCCTGTTGTTAGGAACCCAAGGCTAACAAACATATCACAGACTACTTGATTATTGCTTCTGACTCCGGTCGGATCACAATTATTGAGTATATCCCCGCTGAAAATCGCTTCCAGCGATTGCACCTCGAAACCTTTGGCAAGTCTGGTGTTCGCAGAGTCATCCCTGGTGAATATCTGGCTTGTGATCCCAAGGGCAGAGCATGCTTAATTGCCTCGACGGAGAAGAACAAGCTTGTTTATGTTCTCAACCGCAATTCACAAGCCGAGCTCACAATCTCATCGCCTCTGGAGGCTCACAAACCAGGTGTCCTTGTCATCTCCATGGTCGCGCTTGATGTCGGCTACTCAAATCCCGTATTCGCTGCGCTCGAGATTGACTATTCCGAGGTTGATCAAGACTCAACTGGACAAGCGATGGAAGAGCTAGACACACAGCTGGTGTATTACGAGCTTGATTTGGGACTCAACCATGTGGTTCGAAAGTGGTCAGATCCAGTCGACCCCACTGCCTCGATTCTATTTCAGGTTCCTGGCGGTAACGATGGGCCGAGCGGTGTGCTAGTGTGCGGTGAGGAAAACATCACATACCGGCACTCTAATCAAGAGGCATTCCGCGTTGCTATTCCACGTCGACGAGGCGCCACCGAGGATCCCAATCGCAAACGCACAATTGTGTCTGGTATCATGCACAAGCTGAAAGGTAGTGCAGGTGCCTTCTTCTTCCTATTACAAACAGATGATGGCGATCTCTTCAAGCTCTCGATAGATATGATTGAAGATGACGACGGCAATCCCACAGGGGAAGTCAAGAGGCTCAAGATTAAGTATTTCGACACCGTTCCGGTCGCGTCCAGTCTTTGCATTTTAAAGAGTGGATTCCTATACCTAGCCACCCAGTTCGGCAACTACTCATTCTACCAGTTTGAGAAGCTTGGTGATGACGATGAAGAGCTTGAGTTTTACAGCGATGACTTCCCTGCGGACCCCAAGGCTGCCTACGAACCTGTTTACTTCCACCCTCGACCAACAGAAAACTTGGCCTTGGTTGAGAGCATCCCAGCTATGAATCCCCTTTTGGATTGCAAGGTCGCGAATCTTACTGGCGAGGATGCACCCCAGATTTACACAATATGCGGCAATGGCCCTCGAAGTAGCTTCAGGATGCTCAAGCACGGCTTGGAAGTTAATGAAATCGTTGCCTCTGAGTTGCCTGGAATTCCATCTGCTGTCTGGACCCTGAAGCTAAATCGCTCTGAACAATACGACGCCTACATCGTCCTCTCGTTCACCAACGGTACGCTGGTTCTCAGTATCGGAGAGACTGTTGAGGAAGTCAGCGACTCTGGCTTCCTTACAAGCGTCCCTACGTTAGCAGCCCAGCTTCTTGGTGACGATGGTCTGATTCAGGTTCATCCCAAGGGTATTCGACACGTCAGAAATGGACATGTCAATGAATGGGCGGCGCCGCAACATCGATCCATCGTTGCTGCCACGGCTAATGCTCACCAAGTTGCCGTTGCTCTTAGCTCTGGAGAGATAGTCTACTTTGAGATGGACGCTGATGGCTCGCTGGCCGAGTACGATGAGAAGAAGGAAATGTTCGGTACTGTCACATGCTTGAGCTTGGGCGATGTTCCTGAGGGACGATTGAGGAGTTCATTCCTGGCTGTCGGTTGCGATGATTGCACTGTCCGCATTCTGAGTCTAGATCCCGAATCAACCTTGGAAAACAAGTCGGTGCAAGCTCTCACTGCTGCCCCAACATCGCTAGCAATTATTGCTATGGAAGACTCATCATCTGGTGGCTCTACACTCTATCTCCATATCGGGCTACACTCCGGTGTCTATCTAAGGACAGTTCTTGATGAGGTTACTGGCGAGCTGACAGACACACGTCAAAAGTTCCTTGGGCCAAAGGAAGTCAGACTATTTCAAGTTACTGTTCAAGGTAAGACCTGTGTCCTTGCTCTGAGCTCTAGGCCATGGCTTGGCTACGCAGATCCGATCACAAAAGGATTTGTTGTGACGCCTCTGAATTACGTTGACCTTGAATGGGGCTGGAACTTCAGCAGCGAGCAATGCGAAGAAGGTATAGTTGGCATTCAAGGTCAATCATTACGGTACGTCACTTCTTTCTATACCCCTCCCATTTTTTAGTTGCATATGATGAGAAAAGGAATCCTATGCCATGAGCAATGAGGCCTTATTACGCATTTTTTCCAATTGTTCCTACTGAAGCAACACATTTCTACAATATTCCTGTAGCATCACAAAGCGAGTCAAAAGCTAACACTCGCAGTATCTTTAATATCGATCGGCTCGGCGAGACATTGATTCAAAAATCAATTCCCTTGACTTACACTCCGAAGAAGCTTGTGAAGCACCCAGATCAGCCTCTCTTCTACACTATCGAGGCAGATAATAACACCCTGCCACCCGAACTACGGGCCCAGCTTCTAGCAGACCCTGGAGTTGTCAATGGCGATTCCAGAGTTCTGCCACCAGAAGACTTCGGCTATCCCAAAGGTACGCGTCGTTGGGCATCTTGCATTAATGTAATTGATCCTCTGTCCGATGAAGGACAAGTCCTACAAACAATCGACTTGGAGAACAACGAGGCAGCTGTCAGCGCGGCTATCGTATCATTTGCCAGTCAGGACAATGAGAACTTCTTGGTTGTTGGCACTGGTAAAGACATGGTTGTGAACCCTCGAAGCTATTCCGAAGGATACCTCCATATTTATCGATTCCAAGACGGAGGCCGAGAGCTTGAGTTTATCCACAAAACAAAGGTTGAAGAACCGCCTCTGGCCCTGCTGCCCTTCCAAGGCAGAGTGGCTGTTGCTGTCGGCACACAACTGCGTATATATGACCTGGGTATGCGGCAGATGCTTCGCAAATCCCAGGCCGAGGTGACAACACAACAGATCGTGTCATTAAATACACAGGGCAGTCGTATCATTGTAGGTGACGTCCAACAGGGCGTTACCTACGTTGTATATAAGCCTGCTACCAACAAGCTCATCCCGTTTGTCGACGATACGATCGCAAGGTGGACCACATGCACAACCATGGTGGATTACGAGTCGGTAGCAGGTGGCGACAAGTTTGGAAACATGTTCATTGTCCGCTGTCCCGAGAAGGCCAGTGAAGAGGCTGACGAAGAGCAATCTGGTCTACATCTCATCAATGCGCGGGACTACCTCCATGGCACACCACACAGAGTGAGCTTGATGTGCCACTTTTATACACAGGACATACCCACGAGTATCACCAAGACGAGTCTGGTGGTCGGTGGACAAGAGATCCTGCTTTGGAGCGGCCTCATGGGCACCATCGGAGTTTTCATCCCATTTGTTAGTCGTGAAGATACCGATTTCTTCCAGAGCCTCGAGCAACACTTAAGGACCGAGGATCCTCCACTCGCCGGCCGAGATCATCTCATGTATAGAGGTTATTACGCTCCTGTCAAGGGAGTTATTGATGGCGATCTATGCGAGAGATTCAATCTTTTGCCCAACGACAAGAAGCAGATGATTGCAGGCGAGTTGGACCGATCGGTCCGAGAAATTGAGAGGAAGATTTCTGTAAGTTGTTTCACCAGTATACCATCTGAAAATATTGCTAACAAATTTACAGGATATCCGCACACGGTCAGCGTTCTAATCACAGAAAGGTGGTATCATTGATATCTCATGGAAGCTATTGTACAAAACTTGAAATGTTTAGGGATCTAGCGGCGTTAACGTACAGGGTCATAAAAGCCCCTGGCTTGGGAGAAGATAGGTAGTCAGCGAACTGAATAGCGTGTTGAGAACCCCCCGCTAGGCGGTATGAACCATGAATATAATATCCAATTCAAAGCTCAGTCAGAGTCCTCTCCAAAAAGGTCCCCGGTTCTTGTATTTGTCGACCTTCTTCCCCTTGCCAGGGGCTGAATGTTCCTGCTCCCATTTCTCATCATCTAAGTATGCTGTGACGGCATGCTCAATATCATAGCCGGACTGTTCCAAGTACAGCACCGCAACGTCGTAATCGGAGACCTTGCAGGATGTCATAAAGCGTCGAATCTTTCCCTTTCTCAGCTCTTCCTCTTCACCCTCGACAGGTCGTGGGGAGAGGCTGACACCGCCCTTGTAGTATTCGCCCGGAATCAGAACTGTTCGTCTTCCGGGAAGCAAGTGGTCACTGGTAAGGTTGTTGCTTCGTCGCAAAGCATGGGCTGGTACACCGTATCTGAGAGATAAGGAGCTGACGCTGTCATAGCGATGGTCGAGAAAATGTAGAATATCAGGAGCATCCTCTTTCACATCGTTCTGCGCCAAAGCTGCCTTCTCGTTTTGAGCATTTTGGGTGGTTGAAGCTGCTGAATATGGTGGCGGCGCCCCCGAGATATGCGAGCTTGACGATGGCAACGATGTATAAGCCGGCGGCTCTCTTAGACCCTGTGGAAGAGAAGAGGGTACCGTAGAGACTTGGCAGTATGGACAATAGTCTGCAAATCGTTCGTTTTTCTACCCATGAAAGAGCATCAGCCTCAACCGCAGTCACACCAGAGATAACGACGCACATGGATGCATTTGCCACAGATGATTCTCGCACAGCACGCTACTCGACGGTCTTGCGGAAGATACTGTTCCTCTTTTGTATATTCGGGCGCTGAAGAGAGGATGGTTGCGCACGTAGAGCAGGATTCCATGATTTCTTGGATATTTGCAGGTCAATAAATGCCAAATGTAAATTGTTTATGTAGAGGTTTGGGAAACGTATTCCCAGGCAAATATTCAAGCACTTGGTGGTGGTTGCGTGCCGATTGTGTCAAAGCCGCGGCTGTCCAATCACGTCATGATCATGGTTAGCGGCCTGTGGAAACGGATCATGGACGCTGCAACGCATGACAGGATGCGATCATGGGAAGTTAAAAAGTGCACTTTTTGAGAAATCAGTTCCTCAAGATATTAATTACAAATAATCTCATCAGCGTTTTATGATATTTATAGTATTTATGATCGTTTCTTTTGAAGATTTCACAGCTGAGCTTGATTCAAGGTCGTTTTGTCCAACTAAATAGTTCAATTCGCTTTATGTACCTGGAACACATGCCTGCGACCCTCAGTCTCAAATCTTCAACTCTAACTTTCAACCATTCATCAAAACAGTCGATTCTCCCATTCCCAACGTCGCACAACGCCCACACATACCTAAATACACCTTTCAACTCCAATTCGACAAGCCAAGCCAATATACTCACATCATGGGTAAACCAGGCTTAGCCTTTGGCCTCAACATCACCAAAAAGCCAGGCGCGTCAAAACCCGCTCCGCCAAAGCGAAGGCCCATGTTCGGTGACGACGATGACGATTCGGATAACGATGGCGCCGGTGGTGAGGGAAAAGCAGAGGAAATTGGCGAGTTTGATGACTTCGGCAGCGTTCCAAAGCCAAAAACTACTACCTCGAAACCGACCAAATCGAAGAATGGCCTACCGATCCAACCCCCGAAGCTTAAGTCAAAGGGCCAACTAAACATGATGTTTGGCGATCTCTCCAGCTCTCTAAGTTCTCGGAAAAATGCCGAAGCTGCCGCCGAAGTTGATGCCAGCGTCTACGAGTACGATTCCGTCTACGATTCGCTCAAGCCCAAGAAACAGGCTACGAAAGAGGACCTAGAAAAACGACCAAAGTACATGAAGAACATCTTGCAAGCGGCTGATATACGGAAACGCGATGCACTTATTGCGGAGGAGAAAAAGATTGCGCGCGAGCGAGAGGCCGAAGGAGAGGAGTATGACGACAAGGAAAAATTCGTCACTGAAGCCTACCGGAAACAACAGGAGGAGAATAAGCGGTTAGAAGAGGAAGAGAAGAAGAGGGAAGAGGCAGAGGCAAAGAAGAACAAGACTGGCGGCATGTCTGCGTTTTACCGGAAACTTCTGGATAAGGACGAGCAACGCCATTCAGACGCTGTCAAGGCAGCTGAGGAAAATGCCAAGAACAGCGCTTCCAAGGAACCCATGGCAGAGGATGGCGAGAAAGTGAATGAAAGGTCAGAGGCTGATCTAGCCAAGGAGCTTAACGAGAAGGGCGCAGCGGTTGCCATCAACGAAGACGGCCAAGTCGTCGACAAGCGCCAGCTACTCAGGAGCGGCCTAAACGTGGGCGCCAAGAAGAAGGAATCCGCACAGCGCGAATCTGAGCGACAAGCTGAGCAGCCACGAAAGGAGCCCGCCAACCAACAGTTTGGAAGAAAGCAAGCTCAACGAGAGCGACAAACTCGCATGATGGAGGAGCAGCTGGAGCAATCGATGAAGCGATCACGCGATGAAGAAGCAGCGCAGCGAGAAGAGGTCGAGCGGGCGGCAAAGAGTCGCAAGACAGAAGGCGAAATCTCGAGCGCAAAAGAGCGATACCTTGCGCGTAAACGGGCTGCTGAGGAAGAAAAGAAGAAGGCTGCTGGGGGAGCTTAGATACCCAAGATCATCAAGAAAAGAAGAGTTTGTATATAATGGCGTAGCATGGCTCTTGATTCATTACCCCTGCCGTTTTTGCCCCAGCACGTTTACCCCGATTCTATTCTTAATTCAGATTCTCGTACATGGTGCTTTCTTCTTAAGACGTCATCCGGTCCATCCCAGACTTGTTGTCACAATATGATACATCCTGCGCTTTTTATTTTCTTTCAAAGTGTCGCAGGCCGTTGGTTCTCATTCTTAGTTCATAACTTGCTGAGATTCCTGCCTTAGTCGAGTGATGTAGGCAGAGTTGACCATGTTCCAGGCAGCCATGTACTTCTCCATGCAGCTGGTCATACAAGTTGACTCGCCGCTCGACAGGGAAGTTCCGGGCTTGGGGACGCACTTCTCGAAGCAAGTCTCTTGGAGTTTCTATTACAAGGCCGTTGTTAGTCTCTCGTTGGTGGCTAAAAGAGCAATTGTGACATGGACCTACCTCAATCAAAGTGCGGGCATTGACAAGGTTAGCCTCCTGCTGGACCTGCTTGATGACAGCAGCCTTGACTTGTGTGGAATCCATGGTTGCGGTTTGTATTGGATTATTAGAGAGTCGTGACGTTGCTTCGGGTTGTCGGCCGTAGAATGAAAGCTTGATCGCCTATCGCAAAAAGATTGTCGGTGATGGAAAAAGCAAAGGTCCGGGGTATTACTCAGCAGCACGATTCAATTCAAGCCCGACAGCTTGGACATGCAGTGGCGACTGAGTCATGATCAGAACAGTTACTTGTATATCGTGTGTATAAATCTTATTAGCCATTATATGGTCAATTGCCGGCTCCTCAATATATCGAGTCAATCAGAATACGAACGTCAGGCTTCACATTATCAATCATAGTAGGTTTGTCAGGTCAACGTATCTTATAACGTTAGGTGCCTCAAAAGGGCCCCCCAATGATGTGACCATTATGTATATATTTACTAATGCATCCATGAGTGAAAGCCGTCATACATTCTTGTAGATCTGAGTATTAAAATTGACTCAAGCTGAGTTGAAAGGCAACTTGCACTATCTCATTTTGGCTTCCATTCTCTACAGTGATCAATACTAGTCTTGTCAAAATGGTTCTTAGTACAATGAATGCCTTGGTGGTGGAGGTGCCAGAGGGGCCAGAGAACGCCAAGCCTGAGTTGATCAAGAAAGAGATCTCGCCTCCAATGCTGGAGGCTCATGAGGTTCTCGTCAAGGTTTCGACGGTAGCACAGAACCCAACTGATGGTAAGATTCTCCCTTGAATTCTCACAGAATTTATAATAGTAACTATCTCACAGTCCAAGCGTTCGATCTCAACCTCTTTGGAAACGGCGCTGTCCTAGGCTGTGACTTTGCAGGAACAGTTGAACGTCTAGGCAAGGATGTATCGAAAGTTGCTGAAGGCGACACGATTGCTGGTCTTCTCTGGGGTGGTAGGTTTTGTGACACCACGGTACTCACAAGCTGCGACTAATCTCATATGATTATATAGGTGAGATCAAAGGCCTAGGAGCATACAGCGAGTACACGAAAGCCCATGAAAGCATCTGCTTCCGGGTACCCAAGAGTATTTCTCTCCAGGAGGCTGCTACTGTTCCGCTGGCATCTTTGACTGCTTGGCTTGCTTTGTTTTCAAAGGACAGTTTGAACATCGATCGTAACGAATCGGATACGACTGTGTTGATCTGGGGCGGAAGCTGTAAGTACACTGATGCTTCATATTTGTGAATGGCCGACTGACACTGGAAAGCGAGCGTTGGACAATTTGCAATTCAGATCGCAGCAATTTCTGGTTTCAAAATCATCACAACCTGCAGTCCTCGCAGTTTCGACCTCGTCAAGTCATTTGGAGCAACTCATGTTTTCGACTACAACGACGCCGATGTGGTGAAATCGATCAAGGATGCAGCACCCAATTTGCGATACGTGTTCGACACCATTGGCAAGCAGACATCTTCTACGACTGCATCTCAAGCCATCGATGAGAACGGCGGTACCCTTTGCACCGTCAGGCCTGATAAGAGCTTCACAGAAAATGTGACAAAGCAGACCAAGGTCACGCCTGTGCTTGTGTGGACAGCCTTCAACCGAGTGATCCAGTACAAGAAGGCTTCATTCCCGGTAAGTGATTATATATTTACACTGACGAACTTAATACTGATGATATCGTAGGCGAGCGAAGAGGATCACAAGCTGGGCGTCGAGTTCAACGAGAGGCTCCCTAGCTGGATTGATGAGGGCAAGATCAAGCCCAACAAGCCCAAGGTCATCCCTGGCGGACTAGATGCCGTTAAGAAAGGGTTTCAGGAGCACCGAGATGGCAAGATCTCAGGCTACAAGCTTGTGTATGAGCTATGATTAAGCTTCGGTACCCTTATTCAGGGTATCTCTATAAGTGCAGTCGATTTAATATTCGCATTAAATAGTTTATAAGAACCATTGATAAATAATGAACAATGATACAAGTCTGGATTGTAGTCTGTAAAGGCCCATGTAAAGGCAATTGTGGCTCTTTCACGTGGCTTTTAAAAGTCCCCTCAAAGGGTCAAGCGGCAGGGGTTCTCCTGGTAGAGTCCCCAAGCGGGAAAGTACAGTACCTGCAGTGGGGTGTTTGACCAGTAACTCGCCAGAGGCCAGCGGCCAGCCCTGCCCCGAGGATCTGAAGAGGACACTTTTGCTAGCTGGAGGCCGGAGCTCCTGTCCCCGATTAACATCCCCCTACCTTGACATTACCCACAACGTCACGGCGACTTTGAGTAACGACCACTGTGGTCAATTTCTTCCTTTTCAAATCCCGCGATCTTTAACACGATCCTGTATCTACTGCCATATCCAAGAGCGGTGTGCGCCCTCCCCCATCTCGAGCCAGTTTGGAATTGGCCCCTTTAGAGAGCAAACTTAGGATATAGCTTCATCATGTGGTTGCCATCACTATCAGCGGCGCTCCTCGGTGCGTTCGCATGGACTGCCAACGCTGCCGAGTTTGATGATGAGAACATCAGAAGTATCTCGGTATTTCTTCCTTCACTCTGGTCTTCATGGCCAATTCTTGGAGCCCCCCTAATAACTTTGTTCACTATCTAGCTCAGGACACATTCTCTGACCCAGGTTAGTTGCGGCGCACGCGAGCAGAATATCGCAGATCGATGCAGGCACTAACTCGTGTCCTCCAACAGCCTTACCTTGACTCTGACATGCAAAGCCGCTGGTACGACTTTGGCGGAGATACTATTGTTCGAACCGACTCGTACGCTTCCTCGATTCGCTGATAACGACAACACTTGGGACATGGGTTGACTTGTTACAGGTACATCCGACTTACTTCGGATCGCCCGTCGCAATCAGGATGGATGTACTCACGGGTGCCCCTCACCGCGACGAACTGGCAGGTTGAGGTCGAGTTCAAGATCTCGGGCAAGAACCAGCTCTACGGCGACGGTTTTGCCATGTGGATCACCCGCCAGCGCGCTCAGCAGGGAGCTGTCTTTGGCGGACCCGACAACTTCGAAGGCCTCGGTATCTTCATCGATACCTACAAGAACAACCGACCTGGTGTTGTCTTCCCCTATGTCATGGCCATGTACGGCGATGGCAAGACCTCGTACGACAAGTCCAATGACGGAAAGCACACCGAGCTCGCTGGCTGCTCGGCACGTGGCATCCGACACTCGAGCGTTCCTACCAAGATGCGCCTCACTTACTTCCAGGACAAGCAACTCAAGCTAGAGCTCCAGTACAAGGTTGAGGACGAATGGCAGACATGCTTCGATCTTGAGGAGCCCCCGGCTGTTCCTAACATCGCCTACGTCGGCTTCACTGCTGAGACTGGTGAGCTCAGCGACAACCACGATATCATCTCCGTCTCAGCCAAGAACCTGTACACTCAGCCTGGCTCCGGTGGAAACACCGGCGGCAAGTCATCCGGTGGTAAGAGTAAGTCGCGCAAGGGCACTGGCAAGGTTACCGGCAACAACAACAAGCAGGGCGGCAGCTGGACATGGTTCTTCACTAAGATCATCCTGTTCATCATCGTCGCTGGTGGTGCTTACGTTGGCTACACGGCCTACCGAGCCAAGGCCAAGTCGCACAGGTTCTAAGCCGGTGAAAACAATTGTATACGAACGGCGCCTGCGCCGGAAAAAATGAATGGACGGGAATGAGTTGATGAGACATAGGTCTCTGCTTAGACAGCATCATCTAGCTTTCCCTGAATTTTTTATATCTGTGTTTCTTTTTAGTACCCAGGGAAGGGTTGACGGAAAGGGTACAGGCTGGTGAAGCATTGTGACATACCTCTGATACGAAAAATTAAATTATTCCTTTGTTGTGTTATGAAACTCATGTCATCATCATACTCGCCATTGACATGTTGTTATGTAAAGTTTTATTGATAAACAATGAACAATGAAAAGGAGTGTCCAACCTTATGCCTGGGAGGATGTTTCTGAACATTGAGACTTATCCATGTCTCGCTGATAGCTTGTTGAATTGGAGTATTTTGTTATTGAACTTGTGGCGTAAGTCATAACTTACAGCAGTAACAGAATATTGATCTGTCAAATCAAGTCTACCTAGCTTTGCCCTGGAAATACATAATACCTTTGGTAGTATCTGGAAACGGTGGTCTACAGGGTAAGGAGGTTATTGCAGGGGCAGATAGAAGGTAAAGGTCAACGACAGCACGGCGATTGAAAGGACTGAGGAAGTTAAAAGGACGGCGTTATTAATATATATCGAGAGATGTATAGATTGCACGATAGTTTAAGCTTCTTATTATCCAACCACTGATGGGGCAAACCAGCTCATTCATATTTAATGGGTGCCATGATATTTAAGATTGACGATACACGACAATGCCTAACCGTCAATATGTCAAAGCTAAAGATAGGTACCTACCGTATCGTTACCCTCAACTTAAATTATGTGACGCACGGTGTAACACATCTACAGCATACTTAGATGTCTTGCTCGAATTATCAAATTAGTGATCACATTTATTCCGAACTCTGAACACACATGAAAAGAGATGAGACATTCCACTGCATCGGGATGCTCAGACGTCTCATCAATACACGTTCCAGCAGACGCACTAATCCTGAGCCGGGAGGTTCTGTTGAGTTGCTTTTATATATGATTTCAATGGAAGCTTCCTTGGAGTCGGTGTTGGCTTAGTTGATGTTGATCATATGGAAGCTCTCGTCATAAGCTCATTGAACATTACAGCTCAGAACTGAACCCCGCCCTAGGTTGGCCACAGCCCACTCCTTATATCTGCAACTAACAATAGATTGGTCAACTCTCTCGAGATACGAAACTGTAGCTCCTCTTTCAGCTTCAGGCGTCAGCTTCTGATGTTCCCCGCAAGAGCCGGATCTTGCTCTGCCTCCTGTGTTTGGCTGTGCAGTACACGAAGAGTAGAGGAAGCTTTCTCCCTTCCATTCCAACCTGACCCAATCCAGGCCAATGTAGTCCATAGTCCAGTCTAATTCAGGGTGAACTCTCCCGTACAGGGCCCCAACCCTCAGCTGTATTTGTGTCGTGACTTTATCTCAGCTCATCTTATTCCGATCAATTCAATCAATTTATTTTATTTCAGCCCAGTTTAACATTCTACTCTTTCTCCAAGATCGAGTTATCTACAGGCTTTGACTCTTATCATTGTCGCCATTACCAAGCTTCCGTTACTCACCCACCAATTGTCGTCACTCGTGGGTTCCTATACCACAGGTATCGCCGTGGACTTGCTATTTGTTCCCACTTGTACCCAAAACGACATCATCGCATCGTTCGTCGTCCCTCTCGACCAGCCCATCTACTACTGTAGACGTACAGCAAGCCACTCCTAGTAGACTTGCAGATCCTCCATCGACCGATCGCCGCTAGCAGAGGGAATATCTTATTATCACAACTCGAACGGGCAGAAAGCACCGGAAGCGAAAAGGTCTGCAACGAGTTGCGACATCATCTTGCGCCTAATCATCAACACAGTCGACAACATTAGACTGCGCTGCGCTGCACAATCGCTGATCCGATCATAAAAGAGGGGCAAGTTCTGTTTGGCCCGAAGCTCCAGCTACCTACACTGCACTACATCATCACCCCGTAGTGTGGGAAACCTTGTGCTGCTGCTAGTTCAACTCAAAGGCACTGGATCTTATCTTGACCTCACCTTGCCTTGCCTTGTGTTGCATTGCAGTGAATTGTACCACACAGCTATCAATTGTCAATCACCTTGGGATGAGCTTTTATCTTTCTCACGGTCGATAAACGGATTCAGCTTGAATCAGTTTGGCTGTTAAACGGTCAAAACGCAGAACCGAAACCGTCTTTCAGTAATTAACTCTAGTAGGGACCTACTCCGTATCCGTACCCCGGCCCAGGCAGAGTCTCTGAACTTCCCCTCCACCCTTTTCCCAGCCACCACAACTTGTCAACACGGGCCAAGTTATAGCATCGCCCTATCCAATTGCCGGCTTTGGTGGAATGCGCCAAGCTTCTGAATCCTTTTTTCACATCAACAACTCGATAAAACAGACAAAACCGACCCTGGCATCTCATCAGAAGCCATTGTCCTTGCTCTCCCTGTTCACGCGTGCTACTTAAGTTCAGAGCCCTACCTAGCGAGGTAGTTGTTGCTACTGGTCATATTTGGATCTGAAGCTCAAGCTAGCTTTAGAGAGCAAGTGAGTGAGAGGGTGAGAGCTTTCACCCCACAGAACGACACAGCCTAGCCTGGCACCTGGACAGACAGCACGTCAGATTCCGGCGCCCTCTCCACTATTACGTTGTTGTACCTGAACTGAACTAACTTGAAAAGAGCTCCAATTGCAAGGTACCTTAGCAAGCTTAGCAAGGTTGGGTTAGCCTGCGTTAGGTTAGGTTGCACCAGACTGAGCTCACTGACCTCTTGCTGGCTCGAACCATTCCAACTTTCTCGTCCGTTTGTCTCTGTCCTGTTGTTGTCTTTGCCTCTATCTCCGTCTCTCTACCTTTTCCGTACTATCTTGCTCTCACCTAGAGCAACAGCAGAAACAGCAGCGTTTACCTCTAGTGCGTAACATTTACTAGGTGCAGCTTAGCCCTACCATCTCAATCGCTGAATCCCAATTCATTCCATCCCAAACATCGATCGATCTGCAGAGAGTACATACTACTCTGTCCTTCTCATCTTTGGGGCCCATTCTACCGTAACCACCACCGCCGCACCTACCAGTATCTCTTGACCCCTCCCCGCTTCTCTTGCACTTGCTCTTACATTTGCAATCGCACTTGCAATTGCAATCGCTCCCCCTCCCCTCTCTTTCTTTCGTCACACTACCTCCTACTACCCTATGCCTTCACTGGGGTTTCTCAAGAAAAAGCGGACCAGAGAGGGCAACTCTGATCCTTCAGCCTCAAGTCCAACCAGTCCAGTCACTCCTACTACTTCCAGGTCCAAGTCCATTTCCAAAGCTTTTCACCTGCCTCGAAACAGCCGGCATTCCACCTCAGCCCCAACTGCCCAGCCAACCAACGCCCAGCAGCAGCAGCAGCAACAACAGCAACAACAACAGCAACAGCAACCCGACCATACTCAAGAAGGCACAACCTCTCTAACCAATCAATCTTCTGCGCCGAACCAGCAGACAGCAGGAGCTGCCGACAACCAGCCACCGGGAGACATGAGCGCGATCAACCTCCATCAGCCGTCGTACGGCAGTCACGATCACCAAAATCTACCAAGCATCAATAATCTCATTAACCAGCCGCAACAACAGCTGCAAAACGCTCAGGGCAGTTCCTACAACAACGCTCAAGCCAATCCGCAATTCCTAGCTGCTACGATAGACAACCACCGACCTCAAACCGTTAGTCCTGGAACTGATCCTGCAGCTCTCCAACAGCAACAGCAGCAAGCTCTGCCGCAGCCGAGTATGTCTCCTCAGCAGCAGTCCGATTACCAGCAGCAGCAACAACAACAGCAACCACAGGCGCAGCAACAACAGCAACAACCGCCTCAGCAGTTCCAACAACAGCAGCAGCACCAGGTCCAAGACCAGATCCAGAATCAACCACAACAGCAACAGCCCGAACAGCCTCAATACCAAGGGCATCATCAGAACACGGCCAGTACAAGCTCAGTCATGCGCGTCACGAAGGGCAAGTACTCACTGGGTGACTTCGATATCTTGAGAACGCTTGGCACGGGTAGCTTCGGCCGAGTGCATCTAGTCCAATCGAAGCACAACCAGCGTTTCTATGCGGTCAAGGTGCTCAAGAAGGCCCAGGTGGTCAAGATGAAGCAAGTTGAGCACACTAACGACGAGCGACGTATGTTGGCCGATGTCAAACATCCATTCCTGATCACTCTCTGGGGTACATTCCAAGACTCAAAGAACTTGTACATGGTGATGGACTTTGTTGAAGGTGGAGAGCTCTTCTCGCTTCTGAGAAAGTCGGGTGTAAGTTTGAACTTAACCCGCCCTACCAAAAACGTCAATCGATTAACACGTTGCAGCGTTTCCCCAACCCTGTAGCCAAATTTTACGCCGCGGAGGTTACTTTAGCGTTGGAGTACCTTCATTCTAAGAACATTATCTATCGTGACCTCAAGCCAGAAAACCTGCTTCTTGACCGACATGGACACCTCAAGATCACCGACTTCGGCTTCGCGAAGCGAGTACCGGACAAGACCTGGACTCTCTGTGGCACACCCGATTACTTAGCCCCCGAGGTGGTCTCTAACAAGGGTTACAATAAATCCGTGGATTGGTAAGCCATAGCCGAGAGTAATAAGAAAGAAATCATTTACTAACATGTATGGCGTGTTTAGGTGGTCGTTGGGTATCCTCATATACGAAATGCTTTGCGGGTATACGCCTTTCTGGGATAGCGGATCACCTATGAAGATATACGAAAACATTCTCAAGGGCAAGGTCAAATACCCAGCTTACGTTAACGCCGACGCTCAGAACCTCCTGGAGCGTTTAATCACGGCCGACTTGACGAAGCGATTGGGTAACCTGTACGGGGGCCCAGGAGATGTGAAGAACCACCCTTGGTTCGCTGAAGTCACCTGGGATCGACTGGCTAGGAAGGACATCGATGCTCCATACACACCCCCAGTCAAGGCAGGCGCTGGTGATGCCAGCCAGTTCGACCGCTACCCTGAGGATCCCGAGAAATACGGCATGACTGGAGGATCTGATGAGTGAGTGAAGATTGCTTCCCCGAGTGAAGACCCTTGCTAATCCTTTTCCAGATACGGACACATGTTTACGGAGTTCTAATGATGTGTTTGATGGAGTACATGATGAAAGGGTTTTGTTTTTGTATGACTAGGTTGAAGACAGACCTCGCTTGATGCGATCAACTGTGGATGGGGTGTCAATGATAAGTGGAATGCTGGTACGCTGTGCTCTTGGAAGGAATATGAAAAATAAGAACTCTTCGGACATGCCCACGGTTGGAAACTTGAAAAAGGCTGGCGATGAGTGTTGGGTGACCTTGTGCGAACAAGGAAGGTGAACATATTTATCCTATACAAGTAGGCCACAGAGATAGCTTTATCGAGTATGACTACATACATCCACTCCCTTCACTACCTACGATGTGCTCTTTGTAAATTGAGTATTATAGCCAATGATGCTTTGCGTGAAAGTTGTACTCCCCACAAGTTCAATTGACTGAACAGCTGTTCAAAATATCTCAATTATTGGGTGAATGGTTTGTTGTAGAAGCCGCCTATGACGTTTCTTGATCCGTTTGGAGGGGCTGTTGTGTTTTCTCCACGCTCGGGTTCCTCTTTTTAGCGGCACGGATGCTAAAACAAGGCCGGGGTTGGGATAGCTTTTAGGGCGGCCGCTCCATTAATTCAGAGGGACGGACCGCGGTAGACGGGAGGAAGGAGCAAGCAGCAAGGGAATGGCCGTTGCTGCTGACTTCAAAGTGAATAAAGTCACGAGGTTGGGGATGATACCTTCCTCGATGCTTGTTTCTGTTGAGCGACTTGATTATTGGACAGTTCTTGTCCGTAATCAATCAATCCCTTCTCTGACTGTCTGTTTCTCTTTTTAACACTTTCTAACAGCAAAGGGTCTTTCTCAGAGGCCAATGTCACTCTGACATTTGGTTCAGCCTCCTTCAGCCCCAGGTTCATCTCCAATCCCTGCCGTATTCAGGTTGCTTTATAGCACTTTAAACTCACCGATACTTATCCTTCTTCTTCCCTTCTCTTTTCCTCGTCACGTCGAATATCGAATATCGATTATCGATACTTCGACCAAGTCCTCCTCCCAAAAAAGAAAAAGCCCGTCGCCAAGCTTTGACTAGCGAGCTGCAAGACCCAAGGCGACGAATCCAGTGGAGGTGGCTTTTTTAAGGACGCGTCTGAGATCCAATTCATTCAATCAAGCTTTGTCTGCGGATACGGGCGGATAAGTACATAATTGCATATCTATCTAACTTAGCATCTACCGCAAGCACAGTATCTGACTTTGACCTTGGACTCTTACATCACAGTCGCAATGGACGATTACTTGTTTCGATATTATGTTGAACAATGTCGCGTTGTTAAAGAAGATACCAGCTATGTAGAGATTTTCAACTACTCGGTATGAGCTCTGATTCTTCCAAATCAAAACCACACCCACCTTGTCTTGCTAATACGCTCACCAGGACCCGTTCTATAATATCTGCGAGGAGCATCCTTTACCAGACGATGAGTTTGACAACTTCATCCATCAGAGGGTGAGTAGAACAAGACTTGCCCAGTATTTTTAATCGCCGAACTCAATTGACAAGAACAGGGCGCCTTTTCACCACCTCACAATATGAGGTCTGACACTAAGCTGCTTAGTGGTGTTAGATTAATGTGAGTTTTCCAGAGAATATTCCAACCTATGAGATAGACCGACTGACATCGCTGCCAAGAGTCCAAAAGAATGCCAAGAATCCTGATACTTTTCTTACAAAGGTCATCTCACTGCCGGCGGAAAAGTACAAATCCATGGTTCGTGCCATGAACTTGCCATATCGAGGAATCGAAACCACCTCCACAGTTGGTCCCTTTTTCTGGTGTGCTCATGATCAAGACGACGACGATCCACATCTGCGTGAGTTCACTTTGCTGCTGAACCCTTGAATCATATTCGTCTCTCAGTTACTTACAAATCTTTTACAGAAATCGTTCATCGCAAGTCAGATGTCCTCAAGAAAGGCAGAACCAGAGGCTGGGAAGTGCTCTTGTCCTATTCTTTCAAGACCGGCATCACGACTGGCTTCATCAAAGGCACTCCAAGTTCAGAAGTTGAAAAGTCCTTACTTCACCTCAAAGCTTGTGCCGACCAAGTTGGACATCCCATGCTGCTTCCCATCATCATCCTCACATACGATCTGTCTCCAGAAAATGACGAGAAACAGCGCAAAGCTCGACACTGGCTACGCCGACTCGAGAATGCCGTTAGTCTACGCAATGAAGTCGAGGAACAGGAGCAGTATTTCCAAAACGGTCTGATTGATATCGATGGATTAAATCGCGACCTGGTAGAGTGTCATGGCAATGTTATGTGGAAACGGCCTCAGGCTTACGAAGCACTTGTCAAGGAGATGGAGAAGGCCATGGAAAACTTTCGATTTGCGTGGCTGACACTGGCTCCTGCTGCTGAGAAACAAGATGAAGCTGAACGCAAGCATCGAAAGGATCTCGAGAAACTGCATCGAAGCATGGTATCCCGCTTGGACTTTTATAAAGTTAAGCTCAAGGGTTTGGAGAACTATATTCACACCACCCTCGAGAGACTCAAGGTTCAACGCGAGGCGGTAAGCTATCCTGACTATTCTTGTGGAATACTACTAAAATATGGGGACAGCTCTACAACATCATATCGCAGCGGGAGGCAAGACTGAACCTCGAGATTGCAGGAGAGCAGAGGCGAATAGCTCACGCTAGCAAGCGAGACAGTACGGCTATGAAGACATTGTCGCTTATGGGTGCATTGTTTCTGCCAGGAACATATCTTGCTTCCGTCTTCAGCATGACCTTCTTTGACTTTGGCAAAGGTTCGCTATCAACCTTCGGTTATTTAGGCTGCTTCATTCGCTAACATGTTCACTTAGATGCTGACCCTGTCATTTCTGTTGAACTCTGGGTTTACTTTGCCATAACGGTTCCTGTTACAGCCCTGATCGTTGGCTGTTGGATGTTTATTGACAGACGCCGTCAAGAGCAGCACAAGAAGGATGACGCAGACCTGGAGAAGAACATCGACCAGATGGAGAAAGAAATCATGTTTGCACTACGGAAGCGGACGATGAGCAAGGCTAATACCTGGAACACTGTCAGTCCGCCTCCGAAACCTTAGGTGCTGAGAGAATGGGTGAGCGAACGGTATTTGGACGATTCTTTGGATAAAATTCTTGGTTACGACACATCTTATGACTCATGAACACATTTTGATGCCATGTGTTACGATATATACGATTATCTTTATAGACAGAACTTAGCTTTACGAACATGATGAACGAGGAATTTCTTATGCTTATAAAATATGTTTGTAATAGTATCATACAATGAAATCTGAACATCTTCCAACATTGCAAGTAGCTGCCTGCTTGTCTTCCGAGAAGCAGCCACCACGTTTTCGCATGCCAATCTTCTAATAAGAAGTGACCCGGACATGAGTACATTAATAAATCCTAATTAGTCCCTTTCAACTCCATCGTGGGTTACCCATACCCGGCTCTATAAAATCAGAAGCATAAAGGCGTCAAAACGAAAGAACCTCTGCTTTTCCCCATAAAAAAGACCCTGCGCCGGCCCATGTAAAAGAAAACATGGTTAAATACGAATTTGGCCTTCGCTAGAACCGCCAAACCACCTGCGGAAATCTGGCCCAGAGCTAGATGATCCAGCACCCGCAGCAGGGCCCTCATCGTCACCACCCATCCACTTCGGCTTCTTGATGTCGCTGAACCACTTGGGAGTTTCGATGCCGTCCATGGTGTTCTTCATGCGGTGACCAATGATTTGGAAGAGGTTGTCATCTTCTGGCGTTTCGTCGTTCCAGTTCGGACCGTAACGATGCTCAGGGCCACGACGGGGGTTTGTAGCTGAAGGTCGAATAGGGGATCGAGCAGGCGATGTTGAAGCACCTCGGGAAGAGGGAATTGAAAGGACAGGGGCTGATCTGCTGCCTGCTCCCGAAGCTCCTATTCTCGAGAGAGCGTCTTCCCTGCGATGGAAGAGGGTGTTTCCACCAAGTTCACGAGAGATAAGGTCTCGGCCTTCACGCCAAGAGCCAGTGCCGTAGGTGGTACCATTCTCCTCCTCGTCATCCATCACATCCATACCAACAAAGATTCGCTTGACTCTGCCGTAAATGCCGAATAGGGTAGCAAAGACCGGAAAGAGCACGACGACAGGGAAGAGATCATCAAACCAGTGACCGAGAGGTGTAAAGTTGATGAGTTGACCAAGAAAGTGATAGAAGACTGTCTTCTTGTAAACCTGACTTGACAGGAAGGTGATATAATTGTAAGAGATGGGAATGGTCAGCTTAGCCACCTGCATGGCGTACCAGAAAGCTGATTCATGGGCTGTGTTGCGGCGAACGAGCGCTCGGCCACGCCAGACCTTGACTTCCGTCATGGATGTAAGTGCGGCTGCACACATGTAGCAAATCCAGAACGATGAGATTGCCTGACCAGCGAAACCGACTTCGGGCTTGTCGCCGACCCAATGATGTACCACTGTCAGTCTGATGACCGAAAGCTTGGGGAATGCAACCTTGACAACCTCGGACCATACAATACAAGCGGAGGCTGCCGCCAAGAACAAGCCAAGAAGGACTTGGGCATAAGGTAACACCTGGTAGTAGTACACATATCGGGTGTATGGTGTCAAAATAACGGTCTTTTCCCAAAAGGTAGCATGGGGCGATACATCGTTAAATTCAAGCTTTTTCGACGCCGCAGAGTCCAGGATCGCCTGCGTTTCGGCCGCTTCTTGGACGAGGTCGCTCCAGGCGTTCACATATCGAGATCGAGCGTGTTTCGCGCGCACGTACTTTCTAGTGAGATCGGCGAGATACTTTTGAGTGATGACATGTGGAATGATGTTGTTGTCGGAGCTTGGACCAAATCGCGTGCTTTGGGTTTGGGACTCGGGGATGTTGGCCATTTCTTGTAGTTCTTCGATCCAGTCCCGGTATGCGTTTGCGCTTCCTGTCTTGCGGCGTCCCAGCTCAGCAACATGAGCCTCTATATCCTCGAGTTTCGTGATCGAATCCTCCATCTCTTCGTAAACCTTGGGCGCCTTGCTCTGGAGTCGTCGCAATCGTCCGCTAATGCTTGCGCCGCGCATGAGGCGTCGGGGTATCGATACCAGGCCGTGACCCATGAGATAAATCGCGAGTATCAATCCCCAACAGTATGCGAGGGCCATGATGGTGCCTTTGAAGGCGTTGACCTTGAAACTGAACCCGGAGGAGACGTAGAAATAGACGAGTCCGATGGATGAAAAGCCCAAGACAATGGCGTGGAACTGCGCATTACTGCGAACTGAGTACATAAATTTGTCATATGGTTCTCGGTATCCAGAGTCGGAGTATTCGGCAAGAAGTGGGAGTATAAACCTGCGGCGCACTTGTTAGCATAAAGCGCAATACAAACCACCAAGAGTTCATACCAAGTCAAAGCGAAAGTCAACCAGTATGAAATGCGCCATGAAACCAAGATGACCCGCTCAGGGAGCCATATCCCCCGTGTAGCCTCATCGCCAGTTACTGCGCTCGAGGCAAGATCGACGGGAACGAGGATTACGACGATGGTAGGTAGCCAGAGGGCGAAGAAGATGGGGATGAGATAAAAAGCCGGGGTTGTTCGGAGAGGGAGGTAGTATCGTAGAATTAGGAGAACGACGAGAGATATGATGACGAGAGCGATACATGAGAACACCGCGGAGCCAACCGGCGACGAACTGCTTGTTATGTGTAACATTTCGAATAGTCGAGGCGCATGGCGCACAAATTTGTGAGGGTAAGAATGAAGCGAATTCTCAGTGTAATTAACCAAATCTAGGCACCTTAGAGTGAGTTAAAAGGTTGGCTGACTGACATGCGATAAGTTAGCCAGGGGCACGGGCCGTTCGGCGTTGCCTACGAGAGTACGTATATGTCTTACGTCATTTTACTTCTGATCCTTCCCGTCTTTGGGTTTCAGTGTCTAGAGTGTGTACAGGCGGTTGGTGCCTGGAAAAATGGGCACACAGTGAGATCGATGTGGTTGGTTGGCTCGTTTCTAGGTGAATGTGCCTTAATTGAATCGCGTAAGACGCGCTGCTCTTACTGAACGCGTTTTGGTTTTGGTGTAACTTTCAGCCGAGCAACGACGACCATCCAACCACAAGCTGAGCGCATCACCACTTCTCTGTTTTCTTCAGAATCTTTGTTGCATTAGGCCGTGTTGTACCCAAAAATCAAAATCTTTAATACTGTTGACTGCAAAGAAGACTGACAACATGGCAAATATCGAAGAGTGTAAGTTTTCCCTTTGTCGCAAATCGATTTACTATACACCACGAATGCAATACTGATTGATATTTCTCAAAGGGCTGGCGAGCGCCAACGATGCGATTCACATCAGTCTTCTGTCCCCCTCCGAGTCCGGTCTTCAACACATTGCGACCTTCAATCCTCGACACACCTATTCCATATTTGGTGAGGACGAACAGATCTTTGGCTACAAGGACCTCAAGATCAACCTGCGATATCGCGCCAACGATATGCGACCGCACTTGAAGACATCTTACAGCAAGAAGTTCAAGGCGGTTGGAGGGCCCGAGCCAACAGAGGTGGCCGCTATCCTCGAGGATGGCAATCATCTGCCTAAGAGTATGTACTAATCTTGTTTGTGCACAAGGGAGGAAGTACTAATTGTGCGCAGTTGCTTTCGCCAAATCAAGCGACTTCGAGGACAGCTCCAAGCAAATGGGTGACAACTGGACACCCCCTGGCAAACTTCACACAACCTTCGATAGTCCCGATGGTCAGTACGAGATCTGGCGCGGAAACCTCGCCGATCCAGCTATCAAGCAACTCAACAGCCGTCTGCAACTATTCGTACCTCTCTTTATCGAAGGCGGCACCTACATCGGCCAAGACCCTGACGAGGACTCAACCGAGCTCGACTTGTCCGATGCTGATCGATGGACGTTCTTCGCCCTTTACCAGAAGCGAAAAGTGCAAGACAAGACCGCATATGTGTTTGTAGGCTACTCGACCATCTATCGCTTTTGGTACTTCCAGTCACCCACGCCCCCAGCATCACCACAAAACGGCGATTGGGAATTGCCAACCGGCAGCGTCGACCTTGGGGAGCTCCCCTCCAGAACAAGACTATCGCAGTTTGTGATTCTGCCTCCCTTCCAAGGCAAGGGTAACGGAGCGCGACTCTACAAGACCATTTTCGAATACTACCACAAAATCCCACAGACTTATGAATTTACTGTGGAGGATCCCAACGAAGCATTCGATGACTTGCGAGACATCTGCGACTTGCAGTTTCTGCGCACTATGCCCGAGTTCAACAAACTGCGGGTTGACACCAAGGTCGCCATACCCAAGAAGGGAACACTCCCAAAGCTCATTGTTGGCAGCGAAAAGCTCGAGGCCATTCGTCTCGAGGCCAAGATTGCCCCTCGCCAGTTTGGACGAGTCCTTGAGATGCACCTCATGTCCCAGCTTCCTGAAACAGTGCGACCAACCATGGCGATTGGCGAGGATAAACTAGCTGCGACAAGTGCCGACAAGCACCAACAGAAGGTCTGGAGCCTGACTGTGAAGCAGCGACTCTACCGCCACAACAAGGATCTACTTTCCCAAATTGAACCTGCTGAGCGTGTCGAGAAGCTTGAAGATACTCTGCAAGGCGTTGGGCTGGAGTATGCGCGTATTCTGGCCGCCCTTGAGCGCTCAGAGAAGTATTCTCATGGCCAATCAACGGCAAATGGCAAGCGAAAGCTGGATGCGGAGGAGGATGGGCAAGGTTCCAGCAGCAAGAAGGCTCGAGTGGACGATGCCTAGACAGATACTCAAGGACTACTTTATTTTAATGGACTACTCGAGGGAACGATCTCGTTAGGCGTTCGGAGATGTACCAGTTGGGCGAAGAAATCTGTATGAACACTTTTGTAAAATTCAAACCATTGCACCTATATCCCCGTCTACCTATGACCATGCAATGCAATGCTAACTATTCGTAAACCAATCATCTTAACAAAAGTAAGAATCACTCTTGACACGTTGCTGTAAGGTCTGCCAGGTGTTATTCTACACAAGATAAAAGAACTTTCGAGGATGTTTCTTCATTATGACTCAAGTTCAGGATCAAGATCATAGTCGTAAAACCGTGCTGATAGAGAGGCCCGTCGACTAGTTCCTGAGGTGGTATTCCTGAGCCTGGCCATGAACGAAACTCCAAGGAAATTCCTTCTCGGTCGTCCTCGTTATTGTTCGTTTACTCATAAGGTGCTGCAGGAAACCTCGTTCCATTCACTCCCTTGGTTCCCTTTCCAATCTCACCAGCGACGACGGCGGCCTCACGCACAGCTCTTGAGACAGAACCGCGGACCCCATTCTCTTCAAGGACCAGAATACCGCCAATGGTACAGCCTCCAGACGTGCAGACCTTCTCACGGAGAAGGGCAGGGTGCTCACCGCTCTGGACAAGCCCGGCGGTACCCCTCATGGACTGCGTGGCCATACGCTGGGCATCGGGGCGGGGAATGCCCATTGCGACGGCACCGTCGATGGCAGCTTCTAGCACAAGGGCGAAGAAGGCCGGACCTGAAGCACACAGAGCTGTTGAGGCATCCATGTGTCGAGTTGGCAGGTACACGACGTCGCCAATACGCTTGAAGATCCAGGTGACAAGACTCTCGGTGGCGTGATCGAGAGGAGAGCTGGGAGAAGCAATGACGGTCATGGATTCGCGGATAACAGCAGCTGTGTTGCACATGGCACGGACAATGCGGCATCGGCCATCCTCCTCGGGGTCCTTGCAGGGCACGGAGCCGTGCAGGGCGATCTCGATGTCCTCAACAGTGATACCAGCGCAGACGCTGATGAGAAGCTTTCCGTGGAGAGCCTTTGAAATACCAGGCTCAGTGAGGATCTCCTTGACCATCCAGGGCTTGCAAGTCAGAAGAACAACCTCAGCCTGCTGAACGGCACCGATGTTGTCGTTGTGGACAACCTTGAGAATGGAAGAGTGCTCCCAGAGCGCGCTCTTGACGCGCTTGGCACCAACCGCAGTAGCTACGCTGGCAACGAAGCGTGAAGGGAGACGCGAGGGCACCTCATCACCAGGTGTTGAAGTTCCTGATCTAGTAGGAAGGGATTGTAAGGGCTTGGGTCCTTGCATCTCGGCGAGCGAGTTTAGGATACCACTGAGGATTGCAACTCCCATAGTTCCTGGGCGGTTGTTAGCAGGGAAACTTGGAGGTCGAGATACATCTAGCAGAACAGAATATCATGCTGTGGAGTTATACAAGTGTGTATATACCGTGCAGTCACGCTATATGTTCTGCCAGGCTATCTATTGAGTCGGTCACTTACCACAGCCAAGAACAGCCATGGTGAGGTCTGTACTTCCATGTGAGCCGTAAGGCGTGAGAGCCATTGTGTTAGGCATGATGTCTGTCGCGTAGCAAAAACTGCTTGAAAAGAAGAAGGTTCCGTAGAGAAAAGAGGTGAAAACTTTTGATAGAGAGGCCTTTGGAGGAGGAGAAGCTAAGGTAGTAGTGAGTTGGTTGAACCTAGAGTGGTTTTGGTGGAGGCAAAGCCAAAAAGAACGAACCAAGACGGGGAATTTGAGAACTAAAAGTGAAAAAAAGCTGGGGAAATCAAAGGGCGAGAGAAGAAAAGAAGAGACGAGATGAGACGAGACTTATATACAAGAATTCCACATTTAAAGATGGGAATAAGACCCAAGTAGACTCCTTGTTTACATCGGATGCTACTACTACTATTGCTACTACTAGGTACGCATAGGATAATATCGTACAAAGTTGCCAGGTAAACGTAAAGTAAAGTGCCTTTGCTGCCCAATGCTCATGCAGACCCCCGGGTATTCCAGACCAGAAGACAACAGAAATAAGGGGTAAAAAGAGACTCGTACCTAAATGGATGTATACGTATTGTTTCTTGCTGCTGTTTCCTCACCGAGAAAAGAGACGAGGCAAATTGCAGACGGACAAAGTCTCACCATGTCAGGAGATGAGATGGACCAAAACTGTCAGTGCCCTCCCGTTGTGTTCCGACTTTTTCCAGCTCTTCAAAATAACCTGTCAGCCTGTGTAAGACTGACTGTAGTAGGTAGTAGTTAGTGTAAGTCTTTCCCCCCTGCATCGTTGAGGTAATTCGTGAGCCTGAGAAAGCCCCTGACATGCTATGGCCCCCCAAGTTTTCTGGGGTTGCTTCAGCGCAAAAGACCACTCGGGATACAGTTCACTCTCACCGGTGACCTTTTGTGGTTAGGGCCATGCGATACACCTTCGGCTATTCCGATCCGCTCACCTCGAGTCATTTTTCGTGAAGTATCTGGAAGAAGAAGAGAACCAAAATTTGAAAAGTAATTAATGCGGGATGTGAGACTTTGCTATCCCCGGTCGCTGCAAAGGTGAGAAAATGTCTTAGAATTCGCTCAGGTACGGATATACTATCCAATTAGGTAGTTAGTTCCTTCAGAGTATCTGCACATAGGTAGTGGTTTCGGGTTCCAGCAGCCAGGTTCTGGGGTTCAGCGTTAATAGCAGCCCAATGAGTAGTGATCTACAGATTATTAAGGATCAAAATACTTGTAATCAATCATTTTGATAAATCAAACAACATTTATTCATGTTTGTGTAAATAAGTACTTGCCTGTAGGCATGGAGCATGCTCATATGCATGTATGTTATCTGGTACTACGCCTGTGAGGCCGAAACAGACTATCTGGATGTGAAACTACCAAGACAAATATATAAAACGTATTTCATCTTTACAACACGAGTAAAAACTAGTACCATGTCGATTTGAGGAATTGCTAGATTAGAACTGACCAAGTGTTTCACAACATGACATCACCTGAAGTTACTGAACTTGAACTGCCTCTCCTTCACACACCATATACCTTATTTTAAAACGTGACCAATCAATTCATTCCGTCGTATCCTTCATGTAAAACAATACTCTATATGTTGTTTCTCTTGACTTCTCCCCTCCAACGCCAGGATATCATCACCTAGGTATCTTCCATGCTATCCCTAGATGTCTCTTTCGAACGAAATGCACGAGCCTCTCATCACTCGTCAAACAAGTAACATACCGCTCCAAAGCAGACACAACAAGTATCCAATCCAAAAATAGCGCGGCTTATTCACCCTCAACAATCTCCGCCGTCCAGTCCCTGCGGATCTCCAGCTCCGACAAACCGGGCGTATTGTCAATCACCAAGCCCTTCTCGTTGGCCAAATGTAAAAGGCAGATGAAGCAGTATGATGTTGAAATATCATCCATAACCGGCTTGGGATATACTGTTTGCAAGTTGTTCATGACTTCTGTAAACTTGAGCACTTCCTCCTGCTTAGGCTTGTCGCCGTCTGGTGCAGGTTCAGGTTGTTTCTAAAAGTCTAGCATTAGCATCCTCTTCATTACTCGCGTCGATATCGTGGTTTCGAAACTTACCTCAAGAATGTCAATATCCATGCCCTTCCACAGCTCTTCCTTGAGCCTTCGAACATCCACCTTTTTGGCTACTCTTGCGTATTGAACATATTCTGGTCGCACTCGTCTTGTCTGAGTTACCAATGTCGTTCCGAAAGCTCCAGTGTTAGTCACTGTTTCACCATTGAGCAAGGCTGTAAGACCACCACCCTCGGTCAATCCAGCTTGGCCGTCGACTCCTGGCGAGAAATGTTCTCTTGCGTCCGCAAACTCGAGATCATCATCCTCGTCTAAATCGCCGCCACCAGGGAATGGCATGCCATCGTCTTGAAAGAAGTTTGCATCATAATCACCCTCCGGCAATGCTGTTTCGTCGGTGTTCTGTGGTGCCTTTTGCTTGGCCCAGAATGCTTCGTCCATTTCTCCCTCGGGCTGATTGTCTGCACCATTGTTGCCAAAACCGACGCCGCCACGTGAGCTGAACCCTGTGCGGCGCTTGCCCATCCGTGCCTTTGGCTTAAGGAAAAGACTCAACAAAGACTTGGAGTTAAAGTGCTTGTCGTCGGGGAGGAGGTTGCGTGACTTAGACTTCCAGTCCTTCTTGGGCATGCATATAGCAGTATTGTTCGTAGCTTGTGTGTAGATAACATCCGAAGCATGGGAATCAAGAGGTGCTGCAAAGTCAATTTCGAACGGTTCCTTTTCCTTGCGCTTCTTCGTTTCCGTTGCCGGCTTGTTGACGTCCTTGATCTTCCTGATTCTCCAGTGCTCAGCACTTGCCCAATTCTTCTGTAGGGCGTGGTCGAAAAACCCGAGAATATCCTCGTGCATCTTGTCTGACTTCTGTGCACTTGTCATGGAAACGACGTACTCGCCGTTTCCATCAATCTCATCTCCGTCACCACCCTCCTCGCCAAGACCAGCGTCGTACACTCGCATCTGTGGTTCCAGGGCGGCTTCTCGAGCCCAGGCCTCACCACCCTCACCAAAAGCGACATCATCAACCACATCGAAAGTTCCCAGGCCGAGGTCGTCATCGTCGAATCCTGCTGGCGAATCACCATCGATGACGAGACCAGAGATATCGCCTAGAGCCCCTGGTGTCTTTTCCTTATCTTGATCTTGTCTCCAGTCTTCAGGTGCCTTCAAGAAAGGGATATCCATTGACCCGGAAGGATCACCGAGGTCAAATGTCTTGAGAGAAGGACAGACATCGAGCTCATCGAGTCTGTACAAGTCGGGAATGAACTTAGCACCGAGAGCTCCAACGTCAATCTCGACATCATCAGCTTCCTCTTCGTCGTCCAACTGCTCTTCCTCCGGGTCTTCCGCACGCTCATTCTCTTCCTCATCCTCGCCCTCTTCGTCAAAGTTCTTTTTCCCGAGAGTGGCTGCATCACCCGTGTCGTCGCTGCTGTCGAAGACAATGCGTCCTTGAGAGTCGATCATAAGATGGTTCAGAAGCAGTCCCTTTGCGCCTCCCTCGTCGAAATCTGCAGATGCTTTTTTGAATAGGGGGTCCACTGCGAATTCTAATTCAAACTTCTTGAGCTGCAGTGAGTTGAAGGAGGGAGCGAGCGTCGCCTCGGATGATCGTTGCGTCTAGTGAATGTTTGTTAGTTTGGAACATATGAAGAGCACAAGTCTCTGCTATACCTTCTTCTTAGGCTTCTTCTTGACATTGCCGTTCTCATCCAATTCTTCATCGTCGCTTTCATCAACGTCTTCGCCATCCTTGTCTTTCTTCTTGGTGCTGTTGCTGTCGGCAAGACCACTCAATAGCTTGCCTGTCTCGGTTGCGACACTATCGACTCGGTTTGTATAAATCTTGACACACCCGTCTAATGTGCAACTGGCCTTCTGAAAGTTGACTCCATCACCTTCCTTGAGGAGCGACATGTCGTGAAAATAGTCGATAAGGGCGAAATTCCATGAATTCGTGGCATTGATCTTGTTGTCGGTTGCCATCTTCATCCATTCCTCGAAGTTTGCCAGGAGGGGTACACGCTTCATAGGCGTAACTGCAGAGCCTCCGACCACAAACCCCTCATCGTCTTCGATATAGTTGGCGCGGCCGGCGCGGGGCGTTTGGGGATCACCATTTTCCATGTCGTCGAGGCGGAGGCCAGCCTTACGAGGGGTTGCCGCCTTTTTGATCTCGTTAAATTGTCGTTCGTGCAGAGCCCTCCTAGAGTTCATGCGCTTCCCTTTTTCTGACACATCGTCGTTGAGCGGGATTCTGGGCAGCCGTATTAGCACCTCATCGTGTGTAGTGGTTACCATGAATAATGTTGGATACTCTACTCACTTGACTGGTGATGGATTTTTGTATGGCGTAGCTGTTCCGGAGGCTGAGCTTGTTCGAACACTCCCTGCTCGAGGAACTTGAGCAACACGAGGCATTTTGAATATGTTTGTGTGGATTATTGAGATAGATTGGGCGTAGTTGGACGAGGCCTGTCGCGTCGTCGTGGTGGTGTTGCGGGCCCCCTTTGGCCAAAGTAAACAAAATAAACCACCTGCTATGGGATGGGGTGACCACCGGTGGGCGGTTTGTGGGGTAAGGTTTGGACACCTGAGGCGTCAAGTGTGGCGGATAGTACTTGGACTGGCTGACAGCCACAAGTACCGTTGATCATGCAGAAGGTACCTATTCTCCGTTTGAAACGGAACATCACACCACATTCTAAGACAAGAGTTGCCAAGGCAGGAAGATGAATCACCCCTGTTCATGCATCCGCAAGCTTCCTCCAGTCAGCACGTGGTGGATACTGGAATCTATCCGTCAAGCAGCTTAAGCACCTTAATTATCCGTACCTAGTGACCTCATCTTGGGATTTAGAGATGAGAAGCTTAAGCCGCAAATGATGTACGGCACAGATCGCGGTGCCTAATCTCAATAAGGAAGGAAATAACCTTGGCCTTTGTCCGTCTGTCTGTCACTGCAAGCTCTGAACTGGATCAGATCTGCCTGGAGCCTTTGGAGTCTAGACTCTGAGTTTGGGACGTTCCTGCCAATCTCTCAACGTGAGCCACACTCACACGCCAACTGTGGCAAGTAGGTACTCTAGGTACCTAGGTAGTAGGTACGGATACGTACAGAGTACGGGCACCTACCTAGTACCACGTATTAGTGCCCTTTACGCATCAATAGCAGGCGGCCTCTTCCTCTTTTCGTCACCATCTCCCCCCAAAACTTGTAACAGACCCGTCGCAGATGGGACGCTATAACGCGAAACTGGATTCCGGTTCGCTTTAGAGGATAAAGTGATACCGAGGATCTGCTTTTAGAATCGAGATTCTGCCCCCGGTTAATTACGAGACACCCGACGACGTGGACACGGGCTACAGGTACAGATTACAGAGTACGCAGTACGCAGTACCCCAGGCCTAGGTAGACGTCAGGATCCGGACAAGGATACTCTTATCTAGCACTGAATCCAATTCCATTTCCCTGATATTAAACCTCCCCCTCACCTCCATCTCTTCTCATAAATCGTATCTTTCTATACCTATTACTTCTTACTCGTCTTGCTTTCAGTTGAATACCTAACAATGGCATTTACATTCACAGCAATCACCTCATGACATGACTATACCTATACCAGAATGACGATTACCACCCCTCGCAGGCTTGTCCGCCCAAGCGACAGCGATGCGACCTCGAAACAATTCCTTAGAGGCAGTCGCCTGAAATCTCGCCCTTTCTATGCTACGATCCTTCTTCTATCGGTTTTAACCGCTTATTCTTTCCTATCGCATACCACCTTTGCACGGTCCATCTCCACTCACGCGACCGACCCCGATCAACTCTTCAAGCGCAGCTCCTCGACCGAAACTCCAGAGTGCAACGAAGTTCATGATGCACAGGATAAATGCGCCTTTGTGCGCAAATACTGTACCGACGACGATGCCGGGCTTATACACTACATCGACCTATACTATTGCACGTTTGGCAATGTCCGACCTATTGCGTTTACCTTCATCGTTCTCTGGCTCGGCCTCCTCTTCACCACAATCGGCATTGCCGCCAGTGATTTCTTCAGTGTCAATCTTAGTACAATCGCCACGGTTCTCGGGCTCAGCGAGAGCTTAGCAGGTGTCACATTCCTGGCATTCGGCAATGGATCTCCCGATGTCTTCAGTACCTTTGCTGCTATGGGCTCTAACAGCGCCAGTATGGCCGTTGGTGAGCTTATCGGCGCCGCAAGCTTTATCACTGGTGTCGTTGCTGGCTCTATGGCCCTGGTCAGGGAGTTTCGTGTCGATCGAAAAACGTACACTCGCGATATTTGCTTCTTCATAATCGCTATCGTATTCACGATGATTTTCTTGGCCGACGGCCACCTACATCTTTGGGAGTGCTGGGCCATGATTGGGTACTATTGCATTTACGTCGTTACTGTTGTAACATGGCACTGGTACTCAACGAGGCGCAAAGCTAAACAACGCAGGGAAGGCGAAGCCCGCAGTCATGTTTATGCGGGTTTGGGCCACTCGGGGGATGAGTTGGCCGGTGAGCCATACCGAGATGACCCAGATGATGTCGGATCAAGATCTAGCACGGCCCATTCTACTCCGCCTGATATTTCGCTCCTTGAGGCGGGACCCAGGATCGAGGTTGATGGTACGTCGCAGCTAGATGGAAGCGACACGTCGAGTGAGGACCATGAGCGCATGGTCGCAGCTGAGGTTGCCAGCAGCATGCGAGTTCTCCGCGGTCGCGGAACCAGAAGAAACACACTGACGCCTATTCGACCCAGTCTTGTAGGTGCACTCGAGTTCCGATCTGCCTTGGCGCAGCTGCAACGTGAGGGCAACCTACAATTATCCACGATTCCCGGAAGAAGCTATTCGGATTATCATGTGCACAGACGCAGGCAAACTGCCATAACAGTGTCGGATTCAACTCGTTCTGATGGTCGACCGGTTTCAAGCTACGATGCGCATGCGCCAAGACGGAACAGAGCACTTTCTTCAGGAGATGAACCCGTGGGGGCACCAGCTCACCCGGATCTACTTATTCCAAGTCGAAATGGGTCCGATGCGAACTTATCAGTTCCCGGCACTCCAGCCAGCGGAACTAGAGCATCAAGCCCGAGCCCGTCATACACTGTAGGAGGTAATCTGGCCGCACCTCCTGTTGGTCCTAGTGGGACCACTCATGATGCTCCTGTCGAAGCCCAGCAAGTACAAATACCAGTTCCTGAGCTTCACCTACATATCCCCTCCAGTCGCCGCAGTAGCTACAGCGACCGATCATCGCCTAACACGCCTTTCCCGCTGTACACCGATTCGCCAGCCTTGCTTACGCCTAACTATCATAACGACCCAATCGAGTTCGTGTCACCAGGAGGAGTATCGCCTAGTACCGTTGTGCCGGGTCCAGCAAGTCGTGAGACACCATTTACAGACTTGCAGCTGACTGTTGAGGCTCCATCGCGCCCTGTCAGGTGGTGGCCATATGCTGTGCTACCACCTCCCCACGTCCTCTTGTCAACGTTATTCCCTACATTGCAGGGCTGGAAAGAGAAAACGGCATGGGACAAATTCGTTAGTGCCATCTCTGTTCCGAGCATTTTTCTCTTGGTGGTGACTCTGCCTGTGGTCGACTCGGAAACAACAGAGGGCGAGTCGTCTATCCTTGACACGATCGCCGAGTATACTAGTCATTATCAAGACCATCACAGTGGTGTCCACCTTGCCCCGCCCATTTCGGTTGAGCATGCATCAATTGAACAAGAGGGAGAATCTGAGTGGGAGCGGTACCGCAGACATACTCTTTGCAGCCGCGGCAACAGTCATGTAGGATCTGCTGTTCCGTCTTCGGCGCGTGCTCTGGAGGGAGAGAACCTGGCTGCCTCTCAGTTTTCTCTTGGACCACCAGCGATTGTAACAAAGCCTGCTTCGGATTTCCCCTCTTCAAGCAGTGTCAGAAATGACTCTACAGGCTGGAGTCGATGGCTCGTGGCACTGCAGCTCTTCACCGGCCCTCAGTTTGCGGTTCTGGTTCTTTGGGCAAATACTATGGACGACTGGGACAACCCTCGGATGACGTTGGTCAGAATGATGCTATACAGTCTGCTTGCATCGTTGATTCTTCTGGCTGTTCTGGTCATCTTTACTTCAGAAGATAGACCCCCCCGTTACCACTATATGCTATGCTTTATGGGATTCATCATTAGCATTGCTTGGATCTCTACAATCGCAGGCGAAGTGGTTGGGGTCCTCAAAACAGTCGGTGTTATTCTGAATATTTCCGAAGCATTATTGGGTCTCACCATCTTTGCTGCTGGCAATAGCGTGGGAGACTTGGTCGCTGATATTACGGTGGCACGACTTGGATATCCCGTTATGGCTTTGTAAGTGTTTTCTTTGAGACTATCAACGGATATTTAGCTAACCAACTACCTAGGTCCGCCTGCTTCGGAGGCCCTATGCTGAATATCCTCCTGGGCATTGGCATTGGTGGTGTCATGATGATGATGAAGAAAGCAAATAAGAAACACCAAAAGAACCCCAGCCAGCCGATCAAGTATAAGCCTTACCGAATCCAAGTCAACGGAACCTTGATGATCTCAGCCATCACGTTACTGGTAATGCTGGTGGGGTTGTTGATCGTGGTGCCCATGAACAAATGGATTTTGAGTCGTAAGATTGGATGGGGATTGATTACACTTTGGGCAGTGAGCACGGTTGTAAACGTGATTATCGAGCTCGCTGGAGTTTGGGGAGAAATGGCATAGCCTACGTGCGACTGGACTTCTATAAACGTGTTGTTTTCGTTGCATATGTACATGTTTGGTTTTAATCTAGACTACGTAGCAACATGATTCTTCCTTATCCATGCTTCCTTTGACACGCAGGGTTATAATATATTATATAATGATATCTTGAATCTCGTCTCAATCCTTACTCTGCAAGCATTTCCCTAATTCTATTAGCAAAACTCTCGTATAAAACCATCGTATTCAGTCCTCACCGAACTCGCCTGGATGATCCACTCTGCCGCGAACTGTTTAGCGGTCTGACTCGGACAGAGAACCTTCAGGGGGTCCACTAAAAAGTCGGTCGCTTCCATGTAATGGGGAGGAAGATCCATCTCATGAGAGGGGGGTAGAGGGGTTAAAACAGAGGATGAAAAGGGATAAGCTTAGGGCATATGCTACCATAGGAGATTCATATAGTCACGTACGACAAAGTATTGTTTCTTTTTCATTTCTTTCTCAAGAGAGGTATAATGCATTTACGGATCTCTTTTGGGCTATTAGTGATCAATTCTCCTTGTCAACAATAGACGGACCCCTGAATCTTTAGCGGTAAACGTGGCTCTAGTTTGGATGCTAAAGCATGTGGTTGAGATTGCATCTATTGCCATGGACTTTGAAGCATGAGACAGAATTTACCAATTGACAGATATAAACTACAATTTGAGACAGTGTTGAATATACTATCTATAAATAGCTACCAAATACAGTGAAACATATTCGTATCGTGGCTCTCAAGTAAAGAGACCCCTCCAACACAGCTCAATATAGGTAGCTTTGAATCTGCCCCGCACTCATCCATCGCAGCGCATCTTTCTGCCCCACTCCCTCCCGTGGTCCCCTCCTCAACACCAAGAACTCCTCTACTTTATACTATCGTAGTCTCCGTTTCTCTCTCCCTCTCTCTTTTCTTCCACAACCATTCATCGCTCACCACAAGATATCACAATGGCTCTTCCCACGCCCCCTTCTTACACTCCTCTCCAGGACCGTCCTCTCAAGGACACCATCTGCCTCTTCGATGTCGATGGCACCCTCACCCCCGCGCGCCTGGTACGCCAATTCTCTATTCTCCCCTGAAATTCTTCCAATCGCTAATGTCCTTTGTCTTTGTAGGAAGCCTCCCCCGAGGTCCTCTCCATCCTCCAGAAGCTTCGCTCAAAGTGCGCCATCGGCTATGTTGGCGGCTCCGACTTCTCCAAGCAGCAGGAGCAGCTAGGCAAGCCCGCTGGCCAGCCCGTCACCGCCCTCTTCGACTTCTGCTTCTCCGAGAACGGCCTGACTGCCTTCAAGCTTGGCGAGCCCCTCGACTCAAACACCTTCATCAAGTACATCGGCGAGGAGCAGTACAAGGAGCTCGCCAACTTTGTCCTGCACTACGTCGCCGATCTCGACATCCCCGTCAAGCGCGGTACCTTTATCGAGTTCCGCAACGGCATGATCAATATCAGCCCCGTCGGCCGTAACGCCAGCACCCAGGAGCGAAACGACTTCGAGAAGTTCGACAAGGACGCAAAGGTCCGCGAGAAGTTCGTCGCTGTTCTCAAAGAGCGATTCGGCCACCTCGGCCTTACGTACGTCGCAAAGCCCCTCCCTTCATCATGACATGTCTTTTCGTAGCTGATGTTTTCTCATATAGCTTCTCCATTGGCGGCCAGATCTCTTTCGATGTCTTCCCCACTGGCTGGGACAAGACATACTGCCTCAAGCACCTCGAGAACGAGGCCAAGAAGCCCGATGGTATCGCCTACAAGACCATCCACTTCTTCGGTGACAAGACCTTCGAGGGCGGCAACGACTACGAGATCTACACTGACTCCAGAACTACTGGCCACTCCGTTACTGGACCTGAGGACACCTTGCGCATCCTCAAGGAGCTCTTCGATCTCTAAATGCATGACCAGGGGTTGGGATGAGAATCAAAAAGCAATATACACCATAGAAATGAGACCAAGAAAGATATAATGTTCGTCCATATTCTCTCAAGAGTTTATTTGAACAGGAATGCTCAACTTCAATGCATCAGGCTAAGGTGCTTAGCAAAACCACAAACAACAAGGTATCTTCGATGTATAAGTCTTCGTAATATCGTAGAAACGCTACATGTGCAGGATAAATCGCAAAAATCACTTCGACACTATTTCTCCTTCCCCTTCTTATCCAAATTCAACTATAATATTTCCAGTAGCTTTAACGTCCATATTCCAGGTGAGGGATAATGACAGGACCGTATTTAGTTGGCGCGGTGAATGCGCCGTCGCCCTGAACCACAAAATCGACAGCTAGGCTGACCTTGGACAATCCTTGCTGTGAACCGTTGAGACTGGGGTTGGGACTGAAGGGTGTTTGAGGTACTGCTGCTGCGGCATCTTGATCGTACGATACGAAGGCGACGTAGTTGCGGCGACCCATGAGCTTCTTGAGCTCTCGCGCAGCACCACTGGCATCTGAGTGGAAAATCTCCATCATGTCTTCCTTTGTGTCTGACACCTCATGCGATGACTTCTTGCCGTTCTGTGGCACGTAGAGCGTCTTTTGATTGTGAAGCATCTTGAGCACATAGTTGCTCTGAGGCGCCGCCACGATAGGGGATGAGATGATCTGGTACATGGTCTTGTGGTCTCCAGGATGTGTTGGGTCGTGAACTAAACCAGCCCCCGAGGCATTGACGTCTGTAATAATGTTAGCTTATGTATTGCGCAGTTCTTTACGTCAGCTTCAACGTACCTCCAGAAAGGAATGTCATTCGAATTCCCTTCTGTTGCGAGATGCCCTGCAGGGTTCGGATCAGGTAGGTTCTCTCGAGGTCCTTGGTGTCATGAGTCCACATATCCTTCAGCACCTCCTGAATGTCAAGCTCGCCAAACTGGTTCAGAACGTTGCCCATAAGACCGGTCTTTCCAACAGCCTTCTTGACCTGCGAGAAGCCCTGTGCAACAACATCTTTACCACCAACCACACCGGCGACTGAACTTGTGACCTTGCCCAGAATGTTGTAGGTTGTGTTGACCGCCTTCTTTCCTGCTGCCATCGTATTTGCAAGACTCTCTACGGTGTCCAAACGCGGGTATACAAGCGGCACTGAAACCATCCAGATACAGTGCTGCACACTCGGAGGTAGAGTGGCAACCTTGGGGAAGATACCCTGATATGTTGGGCCTGCCATAACCTGGGCTTGGGTGCGCTCCGATCGACAATCGGGGCCAACGGCCACAACAGCCGGTCCCAGGAACTTGACGAAATGCCAGCCAGTTCCTGTGATGGTGAAGATATCGTGGTCGGTACTGACGTTTCGCAGCATCTCGACAGTGGTATGATGCTGGAACAATAGGTACATGTCTGTCGCAATGCGGCCAATGTTCTTGAACATGGGAGATGATTGCATATAATCTGGATAAGAACCATATCCGTCGAATCTAGTGACGTTAGTATATGCGATTGGTGGTATCTGGAAGACGAGACTTACATGTCGTGATCGTCAATCTGCAGGACATGGGGGATCTGAGCAAAGGCCTCCCGAAGGAATGGCTGGTCAAAGTGACTGGTATAGTAATGGAAGTAGGCGTGTGCCACATCCTCCTCGTGTCGTGCTGTCCATTGAACGTTCTTCTTGTTTTCTCGTCCACTCATGGCAAGCCACTGCTTGAGCAGTGGCACTTCTTTCCATAATCGATCACCATAAATCTGATCTCCCAGGCCGAGCTGGACGTGAAAGCCACCGCAGTCGACATTCTTTTGAAGAACGTCCTTCCACATGAAACCAACTCCACCAAGCTTAGCCCGCTCATTCTGAGTAGTACCCGAAGCAAAATCGTTTCCAGAGTGAGCAATGAAGCGCCAGCTGGTCTCTTGACGGCCAGCTACAACAAATTCGTAGCGTGTGCAGCCAAGGTGCGATGTAACAGCATAAGTCCAACGCTCAGTACCAGCCTCGGACATAGGTAGTTCCAGGTCATATTTGTAGAATTTCCATCGTTGATGTGTGAAGATCGGCCGAGGTTCGGCTTGTCGCGGGTTCGGTGCTAGATCATGGCTTAGATGGATATGGATAGTTGGTGGTTGAGGAGCATCTGTAACAATCAGGATACTGCCAAGCCAAAGACCCTTCTCAATATCCATGTTGACATATCGCAGATAAGGTCCAAAGTAGACACCATTTGTTGGTTGGATTCTATACATATCCACCCCAGCGCTCGGTGGAGGACCCGAAAATCCAGCCGCTGTGGGCGTTGCTGAAGCTGCTACACTCATGATGCTCTCTGCATAACCCGGTGTATGGGGAGGAAACATTGGGGAGGCTAAAGATTGCTTGCCAAACATAGGTGACGCCAGAGGATTTCCGTATGTTGAAGCCGTTGGCGAGAGGGGAGCTTGTTCGTGCGTCATTGGATTTGGGCCCTTTGGGAAATCCCACTGTGTAGCTTGAGAAGCCAAGTGAATATAGTAGTATTGCCCGGAGTTCTGATCCAGATGGGCGATCCATCCCTCAGGCAGAGGTGGAGGGGAAGCAGGGTTCTGAGACTCAAAGGGCTGAGCAGGGGCAATGACTTGCTGTTGAGAAGTTTGCCCATTTTGTTCAGGATAGGGTTCGTTGGAAAACGCCGGGTGAGGATCGTTAGCAAATGCCGGGTGGCCTGGGTGTTGTAGAGCCGGTGAAGCAAGACCTCCAGCGGCAGTTGCAACCGCTGCAGCCGCAGCCACCTTTGTAGGTGGTGTTGATGTAGCGGCCTGCTGCTGTGGTTGAGCGGAAGAGGAACTTGAAGCAACAGCCTGTTGAGGGCGTTGTTTCTCATTGGGGTATGATGGGTTTCCACCAGTGCCGAGGCTCGAGTATGCAGGAGGGGGCGAGTTGGTCTGGATACGTTGGAAGTCTTGCTCTAACACACTGACTTGAGCTTGGCCTTGATCCTGACCTTGGCCTTGTGCTTGCTGTGGCTTCTGTTGCTGCTGGTGTTCGGACTGAGGAGGAGGACTGAATGATGGTTGCGACTGCGCCGGACTCGAGATGGCATTCATGCCCTGGTAAACTGTGGGAGGGCCAGAGGGTGCCTGATCCGGAGTCTCGGTTGGTGTCCATGGTCTTTGAGGAGGCGGTTGGTTGCCATAGTGAGCAAGTCTCTGTGAAGCAGCAGCGCTGGGGGCACCCAGACTGTTGAGGGTAGCAGTGCCGGAGATACCGGCGGCGGCATACCGGGCCTCGAGAGAATCGGCCGGCGCCTGCCCAGGCTCCACAATCGGGGTCTCGGGAGGGGGAGGAGAGCCACGGCTTGCACGAGTAGTAGAAGTAGAGGCGGTTGATGCGAAGCGATTTACTCCTTGGTCGTTCATCTTAAGTTGCTGTACTGCAGCGGACTGCGCAGGAACATTATGTGAAGAACCGGAAGCAGCGCCAGGTGGCGGGTAGTATGTCTTTTGATAACTAGGATAGTTGGCGTTGGACGAACCCGGACGGTGATTATCGGCCAGAGGACGTTGAAAAAGATCGTGGTCACCGTCGGGGCTGGTAGGAGAGCTGATAGGCTTTGGAGCAGCACCTCTTCGTTCAGCAAGACCTGGCTTCTTTCCAGGAGGGCTATTCTCTAGTCGAGGACTAGTGTCATTGTAGGCAGAGCCATACGGTCTGGCAGGAGCTGGTCTGCGAACGTCGTCGTCGTCGGGGAACGGCAGAGGAGCGGCAGAGCTGGAGGCGCCGGGAGGTAGAGGAAACGAATGCTGGGACGCAGGAGAGGTCGACGACGGAGGCGCAGGATATCTAAAGGCAGAAGATCTACCGTCCTTGGCGGGTTGAGGGCTCTGGGGCTTGAATATGCGAAGAGGTTCAATGGTTGGACTGTCGCAGTCTTCAGGGGCAGGCTTGTTGAGGAACATCTCCTCATCCGGAATACCACGACTGCGCTCCATCTTGAGCTATGAGGGCGCCTATGATAGGCGACGGAGGAGGCGGAGGTGGGATATGCGACAGTATGCGATATGAGAGCTGCCCAACGATGGCGGGGCAAGTGAGCGTGCAGCGTAACAAGAGGCCGCGCTTGAGCTTGCTGAGGATGATTTGTTTCAAGTTTCAGAAGAGGAATATGACGAAGCGTAGGCCGTAGTTGTAGGCCTGTCCTTGATCAACAAGTACAAGCTTGGGGGAGGAAGAAGGTCGCAGGATGTGAGGGTGCGGCCAAATTATCTTGTCTTGTTGGTTGAGCGGGGTTTGGCTGAAGTGACGTGGGCTTGTACCTTTCCCGCTAACGTTACCCGTTAAGTTAACGGCTCCAGTAGGTCGCAGAAACGGCCGCGTCAGGGACAAAAAGCTGTGTTGGTTTTACGACAAGGAAGGTCTAGAAAGCTTTGAAGAAAGAGAAGGCAAGAAAAGTGAATGAAACCTGGAGTTTCAAGGGAAAATGGAAATGGGAAGGGAAAGGGGGGAAGGTAAGGAGAATCAATAGTGAAAGAGGGTCTGTCTGCCTGACTTTGACTACCTTATTCTGCTCTGCTCTACTCTACTCTTTAGTCTCTACTCAAGCGCCGCGCCCTGCTGGACCATTCAGATAATAGTATGAGGCAGCTCGTCTAAGTGGCGTGGCGTGGGGATAGGTAAGGCACCAAATGCTAATGCACCAGATGCTCTGTAGAACTATAGGCATTACAGGGATTGTACCGAATTCCAACTATGAATCTACAGCGTACTAGGGCTAAATTGAACCTCTGCCTCTAAGGTACCTCTATCAAATATCACCAGAGCTTGAACCCTGATTTACCTTAGTAGTTAATGCCCGAATGCCAACCGCCGAATTCACCCCAGGATGAAGCACATTATTATCCGGCGGCAACAGCTCCAAAGTCACAAAATGGATGCGTCACCCTAATAAAATATCATGATATCAAAGTCAAGACTGTTGAGTGAGAACTTGTGTTTCAAAGACACCATCACAAAATACAAGCCCTGATTGGCTCCCTCAGCAAACCTGTAAGCGCCCGGGAGCTTGAGCTAAAGCTTGGGAGCCATCAAAAACGGGGCTTCGGGAGGGCCCTTTCAGGGTTTGAGCGCCAAAGGATAGCGGGAGGGTGGGGCTATCAGAGGGAAATCATGGATCCATTCATGAGAGCTCTCATCATGGGCAGCCATAGCCTCGATGCAAGCGCCCGTCTCTGAAAGCCAAGAAATGCATGTGACCACTAAAAAGAACTTACCTTTATGGCGACCGCTTAATGAAAATTAATCTCAAGACATCCTCGCTTGCATGGCTGATCCAGTTATGATGGTGATAATAATCAACGGAGTACGGAGTACGGATACCTACCTAGGTTATCATGAAGCGAAGGATCATCAAATCGTGCATAGACGCATGCACTTTGATTTTGAGTAACAGTCAAGCTACCCCATGTTCATAAAGGGGAAACAGAGTCCATCAAAATCACACCTCACATCTGCCATAGCTGTACCTATCCAAGCCAACAACGTACCTAACGTTAGTATACATCGTCCAATTGAACTAACATGGTACACAACAATTACAATAGCGATACAGAGCACATATTACATTTTCCATTTTCCATATCGAGTAAGTACCTGTGGAACACGAAATCTCTCTAATATTCCCATATATACTACTATTGTTAAACTCTATATCATGCCGTCTTCTCAGCGAAATAGCTACTGTAATTAACCTTGACTCTCATATAAGAAATAGTGGGCCATGGTCAGCCACTCAACGCGTCTGCATTTACCAAGACGCGCTTCTCCAACGTCACCACCTCGAAATCCAAGGGCTCTAATTTAAAGATATCGAGAGTGAACATCCCATACCAACAAAACCATTGACAGCGTCAACCAACGTCGGCTTTCAACATGGCTCCCGCTCCTAATTCAGCCCAAAAGAAACAACAATCTCTTACATCCTTCTTCACACCAAAGACAGTCAATGGTTTAGCCGCAGTCTTTGAAAAGCAGAGCCGGGCACAAGCAGCCAAATCACAATCACCCAGCAAAGATGCCAAGTCACCGTCGCGAAAACGAACACTAGAGGACACAGAAAAGGAGAACGAGGAGCCAGAAAAGACATCAAAGAGAGCTCGCGCCAGTGATGCTGCCAAGGACGAGGAGACAAGCACTTTCTTCCCCAAATCAAAACCTGGCGAACAAGAAACTACAGGGGCACGCACAGAACGATACCGATATGACGGTTCAAGCGCAGCGAATGCCCAGGATGGCGATAGGAACGCAGGATCAACCCAGAATGAGGATGAAGATACAGAAGAGAGACGGGAGCATCAAGAGTTACACAGGAGATTTGTCAAAAAACTAGGTCACCCAGATGCGCTGGCCTCCCGTCGCAATCTTAGAGATGCTGCCCCTGCAGGTGAAGATGAGGATGCCGATGTCGATGTTGACGAGGAGGAGACTCCTGCGCCAGCAAAGACGAAGAAAAAGGGGGCCAAAACAGGCAAACTCACGCCAATGGAGATGCAGTTCCTGGAAATCAAGAGAAAACATATGGACACTGTCCTTATTGTAGAGGTCGGCTACAAGTTTCGGTTCTTTGGAGAAGATGCCCGTATTGCGGCCAAGGAATTGAGCATCGTCTGTATCCCAGGAAAGATGCGTTTTGATGAGCGTAAGTTTTCTTGGACGCATACTATGTGGCAAGTGATTCTAACTTGAACAGATCCTTCAGAGGCCCATATGGATCGCTTCGCCTCAGCAAGTATTCCGGTCCATCGCCTTCCTGTACATGCAAAGCGTCTGGTGGCTGCCGGACACAAGGTTGGTGTCGTGCGCCAGATCGAGACCGCTGCGCTGAAGAAGGCTGGAGATAACCGCAATACACCATTTGTTCGCCAACTCACCAATCTTTACACAAAAGGTACATATATCGATGAAAACGGAGAACTTGACCAAGGCAGCGGCTCCGGCGCACCTTCGGGCGGCTATCTGCTGTGCATCACTGAGTCCAAGGCCAAGGGGTGGGGTACTGATGAGAAAGTCGATGTGGGCATTATTGCTGTTCAACCGGCGACAGGAGACATCATCTATGACCATTTTGAGGATGGGTTCATGCGGAGCGAGATCGAGACTCGGCTGCTGCACATCTCTCCTTGTGAGTTTCTACTTGTTGGGGATCTAACGAAAGGCACCGATAAGCTTGTGCAACATCTCTCAGGCAGCAGTACCAATGTCTTTGGTGACCGGAGTCGAGTCGAACGCGTTCCCAAGGGTAAGACCATGGCAGCTGAGGCTTACTCACATGTTACCCAATTCTACGCCGATAAACTCAAGGACAATGCTCAAGACGAGACCGCTGCAACACTTCTCGACAAGGTTTTAAAGCTCCCTGAGCCTGTCACCATCTGTCTGTCGGCTATGATAAACCATCTCCAAGAGTACGGCCTGGAACACATCTTCGACCTCACCAAGTACTTCCAGAGCTTCAGCACGAGATCGCACATGCTCATCAACGGTACTACACTCGAAAGTCTTGAGGTGTACCGCAACTCTACAGACCACTCTGAGAAGGGCAGTTTGTTCTGGGCACTCGACAAGACACTGACACGTCCAGGACATCGTCTGTTGCGAAAATGGGTGGGACGTCCTTTGCTAGATCAGCAGCTTCTCGAGGTCCGTCTCAATGCTGTGGAGGAGCTACTGGAGAAGCAATCAACACACCCGGTCTCCCAATTGGAGACACTCTTGGCGAATACGAAAACCGACCTTGAACGTAGTCTCATCCGCATATACTATGGAAAATGCACACGACCCGAACTCCTCTCGGTCCTTCAGGCCCTTCAAAGAGTTGCAGGCTACTATTCTACCGTCAAGGGTCCCTCTGATGTCCCCTTTACTTCTCCTCTCCTCCGCGATGCCATCTGCGCCCTTCCACAAATCCTCGATACTGTCGTCTCATATCTCGAGCGCATCAACCTCGTCGCTGCGCGCAAGGACGACAAATATGGTTTCTTCCGCGATGAGTTTCAGACAGAGGATATGCAAGATCACCAGCTTGGCATCGCTCACGTTGAGCACGAGTTGGATGGCCATCGTGCTGTTGCTGCAGAAAAGATTAAGAAGAAGACTGTCGACTTTGTCACTGTTGCTGGTATCGAATACCTCATCGAAGTGCCAAACACTGATATTAAACATGTTCCTGCTTCGTGGGCCAAGATCTCGGGAACAAAGAAGGTCTCACGTTTCCACACACCTGAAGTCCTCCGCTTTATCACTGAGCGCGATCAACACCGCGAAGCCCTAGCCGCGGCTTGCGACAAAGCTTTCAAGGATCTTCTTGCCTCTATCGCCGCAGACTACCAACCTTTGCGTGATGCTGTCTCCGCCCTCGCAACCCTTGACTGCATTCTCTCACTCTCCAAAGTTGCCGCCCAACCAGGCTACTCCCGTCCAGCCTTCCTCCCCTCCACAGCTGACCCAACTATCTCCATCACCAATGGTCGTCATGCTATCGCCGAGCATACCCTTGAAGGCGCTTACATCCCATTCTCCACCACCCTCGCCAATCCTTCACCTCTTGCTCACCTCATCACTGGTCCTAATATGGGCGGCAAATCCTCTTTTGTCCGCGCCCTAGCTCTTATTGTGCTTCTTTCTCAAGTTGGCTCATATGTACCAGCTGACTCTTTATCCCTAACCCTATGTGATGCCATCCACACACGAACTGGAGCTCGCGATAATCTATTCGCCGGTGAATCTACCTTCATGGTCGAGGTCTCCGAAACAGCTCGTATCTTACGCTCCGCCGGCCCTCGAAGTCTCGTCATCCTCGACGAACTAGGCCGCGGTACCAGTACCCACGATGGTGCCGCCATCGCTCAAGCGGTCTTGCAGCACGTTGTTACGGAGACCCGCTGCTTGACGCTCTTCATTACACACTATCAAAACCTGGCGCGGGTCGCTGAGGGTCTAGAGGGTGTCAAGAACGTTCATATGAAGTTCAAGGCAGAGAAGGGTGAGGATGGCGAGGACGAGGTCACCTTCTTGTACGAAGTTGGTGAGGGTGTCGCTCATCGCTCCTATGGTTTAAACGTTGCGAGACTCGCACGTATTCCCAAAAAGGTCATCGATGTTGCTTCTCTCAAGTCCAGTCAAATGGAGCAAGAGATGAAAATGCGACGTTTGAAAGGTGTCTGTCGTGCCTTGTCGGATGTAATGGATAGTGGGCCGGATCATATTGACCAGCTTGTGTCAAGTATTGAGCAACTGTAGTTAATTTGTAATTGTACTGTATCACGATCAAAGGTCTCGATAGAAAATGGGGCCCAATGTCCGGACGAGTAGCTTCCCATAAAATGCTAGCTTAACATGTCTTCCCATCGCACCCACGACTCCAATGTCAAATAAGATGCCCATCTCCCCAGACGCCAAAACTCCCACTAGTTATTCCTTACTCATAACACCGTTGTAAATGTAAATGCCACCCTCAACTCCCAGATTTTGCATGCTAGTCATCTGAGCGCCGTTATAACTTGTCCCAAATTAACGAAACTCCTAATTGTTTTCCCACCCAGAGTCCCATTGTGCTAAAAGTTCAAAAGAATGAGTAAAACATCAAAATCGTGAATCGGTTGATATAGTGGCCCAGAGTCTTATGTAATATGTGCGCCGTTGGAAGTCCTATGCTGGATTAGTGAATTGTTCCTTGGAGTGGTAAAAAAAGGGATACTTACATGGAAACTCAACAGCTACCATGTGCACTAAGAAGTTGAATAAGATGTTTCGTTGTCGTATGTAATGTATTGGTTTCCCTTTAAGTGTATTGGTGTGACGATTGACGTTGGAAGAGTGTCTGCCGAATGTTTCCCATACTTTTCACCCTTCACGCAGACTGGTAAGGGTCAGGCTGGTGGTTGGGTTTGTCGTGTTTAACTCTTATCCTGTCAACTTTTCTGCTAGATCTGTGATTCTTCCATTGGTAGTCCGTGGGGAAATTCTAAGTCGTTATTCGTGGCGTGCAGACTCCAAGATCCGTCGAGGCCCAGCTCATGTTCGTCAAGGCCATTGTTCTCAATTCCCTCACACATTTGGCTTTCCGATTTGACATCATGGTTGTTATGTGAGAGTTCTTGCTGCTGATTGATGGGTGAGAATGACAACGGTGAGAATGTTGTGTTCGGCGTTCCTTGGTCATACGGGTTCAGAAACGACCGGTCTTGAGAAAACAAAGGATTGGCTCCGGGCATCCCAATGAAAGGGCTGTTATTGGCTCCTTGAGTCGAGCCTCCAGTGATTGATCCCGGATAGTCTCCTTGTCTCAACTGGAATCCATAGTCTGCTGCCAGTCGGATATGCTCTGGAGCCAGCCCTCGGAATTGATTGTAGTTTTCTGGAACGAATGGAAGCCTGGACGAAGCATTGTAGATCGTCGCGTCTTTCATTGCATACGAAGTCTCAACATGGCCGAAGGAACCTATCCGTATGTAAGTACGTTTTCGCAACGCTTGCATCTTTCCAACTAGCTGTTGGGTTATTCATTTCTAAAGCATACCTGGTGGGAATGATTCCGGTCGGAGTGAGCTGGTGCCTTCCCTTGCTGGAAGGTGCTGAGATGCCAGATCTCTCGATTGTGGCGTAGGAGAAACGAGGTTCGAATGAAGGAATTCGAGATTCCTTGCACCATATCTATTGCGAAGGTCGAATCTAATTTGATCTTAATACTGAAAGGGGGTACTCATCATACAATCTTACCTGCGATCACTGCGGGTGGGAGGATGCGGAGGTTCGCTAATCGAAGCTGGTGTTCATTGTCAGTAAACTTCGAGACTTGTATATGCAATACTCACCTAGCCTGTTGATATCATCGCGAAAAACATCTTGTGTTTGTTTCTGTTGGTCTGGCGAAGGCCAAGTTTCAGGTTCCTCCTGGTGGCTCTGTTGCTTTTTGGTGCTGGCCTTCTTTCCTGTGGCCGGTTTCGAACCACGGGTAGTGACTCGCCGCCTGGGGACGTTTCCAGACACCTCTGCAAGAGGAGTGGGCTTCTTGCGCTTGGTCTTTGGAGCCTTTCGTGGTGGTGTCTGATCCAGTTAGCATGCAACAAATCCAGGCTAGCTATACATACCGAATCCTCCTGGCCAGGGACGGGGGACGAGGCATCATCATAGACATCCTTTGTCCTCTTAACCTCTAACTCGGATGACATGATGACTTGAGTAGGCTCAATTCGTTCAGATGCCCTCTTCATTCTATCAATTACGCACTTGGGCTTCTTTTGGTTTCGATTTCGTCTCATAGCTTCATCGGCAAGATCCATCTTTCCCATTCCAGGCCACACTTGACCCTTCAAAGCCAATGAATCTGTGTCAAGAACAAACTCTTCTTGTAAATCGTTCTCCTTTTCGGCGTCAAAAAATCCCGGGAAGAGTGGGAAATCGTCCATTAGTTCGTCTCCTTCAAGCTTGATGGCAGGGCTCATCAATGCCTCCTCTTTAACCTTGCGCTTGCTTTGCTATTGCTTGTCAGAAATAGAATCAGAGGTTTCGACAGGGTAGTACAACCTTTGTCGGGGGTGCGGATTGATTGATCCGATTGCGTCTACCACGAGCCTCCTCCTTCAGCTGCTTCGCTCTCATCCGCTCAACCAGCAGTGCCTCGATGCCGTTATAGGAGTACTACTCCTCGTAACTTTGAAGTTTTACCGCAGCCCCAATGTCTTGGTGAGCCTTGAGCTTCGTTTGGGTCTCATGATGAAGGTGGCCTTTTGAGGCGATGTGGGTGAGGAGATGGGATACGTCTGAGAAACGGGGTGCTTCCGGACAAACGGTACAAACGAGTGGGATTTGTCGATTGCTGGTGCTGACCGCATTACCAATTGTCGTTGTCGGACTAGCCATGGCCTGTATTAGAGATACGGTGGTCAGTAAAGTTTGACCAGTAACGACTGAACGTGAGGTTTCGCCAAATGGGGGGATACAAGTAAAGCAAGTGTCAACTCCACACGCAACTTCGCAGTCTGCCTCTCGTTTCTCAGGAACAAATTGGGTAGTACTGCTGGCCAACAAAGCGAAGGCAATACCTAGGTAGTCAAGGTAATGGGTCGAGTCCGAGATGGAAGCAGAAACGGTGTATCGAAAAAGTGCAGGTCGTGTGCAAGTCAAGATGAGATTTGGGTTGAAGAAGGGAGGACAAACTCCAAGGTAGCTCGCCAGACAACTCACCATGGTCTGTTTGGTGGGCTTCCTTCCTCGAGCCATGACTTTGTCCCTCGGCAATAGTGAGCTGAATTTCTCTACCTGTTTGTCGATGATGCAGGTCCGAGTGTGGAGGATTCTGTTGCTGGATAGATAATTGGAATAGAGGATGAGTGAAGAGGAGCTCGGTTCGATCTCCCGCTGGATGGAAGGTGTTTTGTGACAGAATGTTTCCTGAGGAAATGGCGATGGTAGCTAAACCTCGTGTTCATTCCCTCTAATTTGTAACTGACGTCCTCGTTGGTTCAAAAACCGCCTACCTTGACCGTCGTCAATTCCAGGTATTCCTGCGAGTCAGTTGTTTCCAGGGTCAGTGAGATATAGAGCATCTAATCTTGCTGTTGACGAAGCACAGGATGTATAGAAAGGACTGTGAAATTTCCTCTGCCGCCTGCAGATTGGCAAGAGGTAGGTCTGTTCAGAGGGAAACCACGACCAGGTTTAGTCTCATGGGTGCTTATTGGTAGGTAGTTTTGAGTACTAAGTCAAGCATGAACTTTGAGTCGAAGGTTGGTCAAAATGAATGTGTTTGCCTGGTAATCGAAACTGAAGGAGGTCTCGACAAGCGAAAATGAAAGTGGAATCAGAACCAATGCCGACACTATGTTGGAACATGATTAGCTTTGTGTTCGTTGGTTGTATCCCTCAAAGCCTTCTGGTTGTGCCTATATTCGTATCCCAAGAGTGGCCCTGGAAGATGCTTGGACTACATCGTTGGGAAAGAAACAACGTTTGCAACTTACCAGTCTCGGTTGGGAATCGTCCTCTCAACAGCAAGAGCTCCCGAAACAAAGCTGTGAGGCCGAGCTCCCTTCCAGTAAAGACCAGAGGTGCAGAAGTGTCAGACACTGAATCTAGTGTTAAGAGCGGGAGCTTTAAGGGGAACCCCAAAGGCGTGCTCACGTATGGAGCAAGTACGCGGAGTGTGAGACAAGATGATTCTGTTAAAGGGGACGATGTCTTGAGAAGAGGGGGGGTATTTCAGATGAAGACTTAAAGTCTGGGGAAAGCTGAGGGGGAAAGAGGGGGCGTCGTCCAGACTTGTCGTCCAGAAGGAAGGAACCCCATCTAATGAGGCAGGCGCCCCGATGGCCCTATGAGCCTCAGGACAGCATACCTAGTACCTGCCTAGGTACCCAGACGCGCACCCAGCTGTGTAGGACTACCTACTTCTGGCAAGGATATATGAAGGAAAAAATGGCTTTAGGAGATACCTAATCAAGAGTGCTTTGCTTCAGTGCCTACAATAGATTTGACGTGGTGTGTCCTCGTAATAAAAGAGAAAACGGGATTTCAAGATTCCCATGGACACGCATAGTAATGACACTACTGACAGCCCACAGCATACATACGCTTCAAACAAGAAAATCGCCGCAATGAGCTTCAGTGCCATCGTTTATATTTGGTGGGAAGTGAACTAGCCGTCAGTCTGTGAACGAGCTTTAAATATATGTGATATGAGCATGCAAAGGGACAGTGTTTGTCGCATACATGAGATGAACGATTACACTGAGCGACAAGGTTTGTGATTGATGTGTGTATTTATCATAAAAGACACGGTAACGTGTCGTAGTAAGGCTCTATCAATGTGATATACAATACTAAACAGCCCAGACGACTCTTGCCTTGTAGACACAGGTATTGGGAAGTATTATCTCCACCCTACTCAGGTATAGATGTCTGAAGGATCTTACGGGACGAACACCACGGGGTACAAGCGATGTCCCTGAAAAACCAACAAGTTCTTCTTCCCTCAGCCATATACACATGCTATCACTGAGCAATGTCGTAAGCATGTGCTATAAATGGCCAGAGGGTGGTGTCTAGCACCATGTGTAACCAGGTTAAAGAAGAGCAGACGTGAGGGTATCCTCGCGATCAGCCAAGAAGCTTCTTCGTTATCACCTTTGGCATGCAATAGACTGGGTCAACGGCCTCAAGATCCGGATAACCCAGAAGACTCAGACCGCACAGACCAAATTGCGTGTGCCAAACATCAACCATGTTACCAGGTCGATCAGAAATGCCACCCATTTCAGTATCTTGACATTTCAGGATGAAGGCAATCAGTGCATCGCGGTCGATCCAGTGAGTGCGTTCGATGATCGCGAGGCTACTCAAGACCCACCAACTGTAGCAAACGTCTTCATCCTTTTCAGGACGACCATTTAGTCCACCACAAGGGACTTGCCTCTCGCTCAACCACCGACCAAGTTTCTCTTTGTCGACAAGATCAAGACGGCCAACGATCGCCAGCGCTGCAACGCAGGTAAATATTTGACCCGAATGCGACTCCGCACCGGGACTGGTCCCATAACCACCATCAAAGTTGGCGCAGGCAGTGATGTGGGCAACAGCTTTGTCGACGTCAATCAGAGACATAAGGCCGAGAAGTGAGAGAGCATTTAAAGCGCCATACAGGAAGCGAGTGTCTTCCTCGCCCCATTCATCTCCAGTAAATGTACCAGTCTCTCGGTTCTGCAGGCCTGCGATAACTGTGTGTGATCAGTGGGTGCATTGGAAGCACTACGGGCCTTTCAAAATACCTACACTTGCCAACCTGATCCTTGCCATTGCCCTTGCCTTTGGTTTCCAGCTGGTCGAAAGCATCCGTCATGGCGAGAATCTGCACAGCACTTACTGTGGATAGCATATGGGCATCGTGACCGGGAGCTGCACCGAATCCGCCGCTTTCATGCTGACAAGAGAGAATAAAATCGATAACATCCTGTCGTGGGAGTGCATCTGGTCGGCGAAGCAGGTAGAGCGCATTCAAACCCCAGTACAGACCGTTAAGTCGCAAGTGCTCGGTAAGCCAGTAGTCTAGCTCATCCTTTCTTGTGTCCAGACTTTGAACATACTTCACGTGGGCGTCGACGACGAGCTCCGGACCTTCCTGGCTTGTTGCTTGAGCCATGTTGTTGGAAGATAAAGTGAGTTTGATGAGAGGTTGGGGTTGACAAGAATTTTCAACGTGCGGGTCGTTACGTAAGCGTTGCCGGGCCAGACCAACAGCGATTCAATTACCCTAGACCACCGGCAGTGATATAATTTGGAGTATCAGGATTTGATGCTAAGGTTGTAACATTCATTCTTTCGGCATGCGAAGTCCTTGATGCGTTGAGATGGATAAACCCTAGAAGTCACGGCGTAGTACGTGAGGTCTAGCGATGTATGAATGATTCGGATGTTGTTGGTAGCGATTCTTCACGCTGTCAACACCCGCAAATTCCTTTTATATTCATCGTCAAACTCCCTCATATGCCAATCCAGTAAAAACGTAATGCACTATTGATTTGATTAGATTGGGAGGTAATTTTCAATGTGGAGGGTAAGTGTTACAATCTCTGTGTAAGTATCATGTCTCATAATCCATTACCAGCTGTGATGAACTCCACCATAACTCAAACATTTCACACCACTCTTCATTTTAAGTCGCAAAAAGATTTACAAACACCCAATAAATAAAGATGCACAATGAATCTTTCATTACCAACGATGGCTGTAAAATCGCCTTCCAATCCTCTCTGCCACTAAGTGCTATTGTGGGGGCAGCACCAAAGAAATGTGTAATGCTCATGCATGGCTTCAGCGGCTCTAGCGACTATTTTGTCCGCAACTTTGGGCCCCTGAGCGAACATCTTTGGGTAGTTGCCCCGGATATGCGCGGCCACGGAGACTCTGACCGAACGCGTGGTGGTTATCATGTTGCTCGCCTAGCAGCCGACCTCGCAGATCTTGTTACCCATCTTCGCAGGACGGCACCTGAGGTCATCATCGTGCCTGTCGGATGTTCCATCGGAGCTGCAGTTCTCTGGACCTACGTCGAGCTGTTTAAGAACGACTTTGCAGGACTTGTCTTTGTTGATCAGGCACCCTTGCAGGATCGATCGCCGTTCGATGGATGGGATGAATCGAAGGCACACACTGGATGTTACGACGAGAAAACGTTGCTTGCAGCGCAACACAGTTGGATTCACGACTCAAAGGCAGCACATGTGGATCTAGCAATAGGATGTCTGGGCTACCGACACGCCCCGAAGCATGAAGACAGAGTTCCAGCAGAGGAGCAGGCGAAGGACGAAGCCCTTTTCACGGAGATCAGTGCCCGCTGCGACCAAAGTTGGCTTGCAAGATTGCTAGCAGATCACACTCGCTACGATCATCGAGAAGCTATCGAAACCATCACAGTTCCCACGTTGGTTATGGCTGGTCGACGATCAAGCTGCTTCCCGCTCGAGGGAATGCTCGAGACCGTGAAACGCGTCGAGAAGTCGAGGCCAGATCTAGCAAGATCATCAGTTTTCGAGTCCGGACACTGGCTGTTTTACGAAGAGCCCGAGAAGTTCAACAAGGAAATTATTGACTTCGTTGACTCATGTTAGCGGTAGAGACGAACGTTGGAATTTGAACGACATGGGAATGTCTATATGAGGATGGTAAAGATTAACTGTTTATCGATTCGAATATAACATAAACCATTGTTAAATCAAGCGGCACACCATAAGTGATGTTCTCAAAGGTTACTAACTGTGCAACACTCTATTTTGAGAAATACATGGTATGGAATTATTCCTAGCCCTAGAAGCTTGCAGCCGATTTTCGATATACCACGGTGCTCATACGCGATCAGTACTCCGAATCATCCTCCTCCTCGAGAATTGTCTGTGAAAGTAAACCACTAGCTGGTCGCCGTCTTTGACTGGATGAATCAAGCCATTGCCAGTCAAGCTCGGTGCCCGATGACTGCGAGTCTCGTCGACTGCTAGGCTCGAGCAAGTTCTCCTTAGAAACCGGGCCTCTCGAGGCCGGGTCGTCATTCTGCATTCCCAGGTAGGATGTAATGAGAGATGAGAAGATGGCCAAGGTGATGCCAGCTAAGATGCCAACACCAGCTGCGGCGCCAAACTAAAACAATGTTAGAGAAGAAGTCATACAGATGGGCGATGGCCTTACAAAGGTGTAAAGTGGCTATGATGATCAGCTTAGTTATCCTATCTTGACTTTGGGTTGGGTTGGGCCATACCTCTAAACTAGCGAAAAACGCCCATATAGAACGCACACTAGAAATAGTGTACGAGAAAAGGTATATAGCTGGTGCAAACACAGTGAGAAGCACATTTGCAAAAAAAGACAGCGGTAAGAGAATAAGGCGAAAGGGAAGCCTGATAACGGTCAAGAGTCGTGAGAAGAGGCCGGACCAATTGAATGAGAAGAACCAGCTGAAGACGGCGACGACAATGTTGAAGGCGAGAATAAAGGGAGATATTGTCGGTGAAGGTTGGTCGGAGGATGTCGCTGCCACGATAGTAGATGTTGGCAGTGATGGTTCAGACATTTTTCGTGGTGGTAAAAGAGGATGTTGATATTGATATTGGATTGGGTTGAGTGAAGTTGTCTAGGAAGCTCAAGGGAGGATTACATCATTAGGGAGGAAGATCAGAGATAAAACGTGACCGGCTCAACAAAGAGGAAGATCAAATGGTCACTAGTCGAGGCTTGAAATAATTGAGATTATATATATGTGTGTTGTTTTGTGATACAAGTGAAGCGCATATGGAGGTAAAGTTATGGAGTACTCATCTAATAACTACCTCTACTAACCTAAGAGCTCCCTTGAGCTGTTGTCAAGAGCTCATGAGATGTCCCTGGATTGAGATTGGGTGGCTGGAGCTCTCAGTGGGCCTTAAACCAAGTAGCTTGTCCGTTAATTACGGTGCAGATGTTAGTGTCGACGGCTGAGAGACCTTGCTGTACCCCAAGGTGATTAGTGATTGAACAAGTACCGAAAGCCTGTCACTTATCAGACTCTCCCCACTACGACCCAACATCCCACCCGTTCTCTTCCCTTCATCCACATCATCAGTCTCTCCATCTCCACCCCCGCGACCAACGACGAACGAACAGAAGCCAAACGACAAAAGGCCGCAGACTCCTGATCATAGCGTATGAAATAGCGACGATATTTTGGTACAACATAGCCTCGCATCATACATTAACCCACGGCGATAACTGTCCTCCTGAAGACCAAACCCCAGCCCACTTCTCGCGCCTAAATCATCGTCACGCTACACAAAGGCCCTGTCTTGTCCCCCGGATTTCACGCCAACCCTGCTGTGTCAGGCCGTTTCTCGCTCGTCCGCCTCTTCTGACTGTGACGTCCCGATTGGCGCTCAGAGCGCATGCGAAAGGCCCTCTACGATCTCAGTTTATAGAGAAGCTCTGCGTCATTGATCCTGACATGCCTGTGTCAGTATTCCGATAAGATACCGACAATCCGACGTTCCTCCCAACACCATTACTCGCATTTCCCAACACAGCGATCGCCCACCCAAGAGCCAAAGGACATCCCTTCGAGGGAATAGGAGGTAGTAAATATGGGTAACAACGCGTCTTCGTCCTCCAAACCGACCACGCCGACGACTTCGGCTCCTGGATCGGCTCATGGTCATCACCACGGCCATGAATCCCCCCGCCATCATATCCGAAAGGATGCCCGCAACATCATCACCGGACACACGCATCGCTCTGCAGCGCCGCCCGAACCGTCCATGGCGCAGGCTCAGGGCTCGACTGTCATCAACCGACCCAAGAGCTTGCCTCCCACCGCTGTGTCGTCTCTGAGCGGATCTCCCCACAGCAACTTCGCCGCTGTTCATAAGACCGCTTCGTCCTCGGATGCTAAGGCCATCGCTGGAAGTAAAGCGGCTGCCGTTCCAGAGTCAAAGTCTACCGAACCCAAACCGCACGTGCGTGATGAACCTACCAAGCCTCTCGATGTCCCTATGGAATCGTCATCTCTTCGATCGCATCAATCTGCTCACGTCAATGACCCGGTTCTTATCCCCAACAGCAGTATCACAGATATGTATCTGACTCGTCCCCCACGCTTACCCCTACCCATCGACGAGGAGGTTCACACTCCAGGGTCTCCTATTACTGCACCGCAGACAGATCAGGAGGGCTCTTATATCGAGCCGATGGACAGCTTGGATGGAATCACTCGCAAGAGCTCTGCTCTCAGCGCTACGACTGTGGATGAGGAGGATGGTGAGGAGTTGCGGGTTGACAAGACCAGACCTGTTGTTCAGACCAAGCTAGAATGGCTGAGCGGAGGTGAAAAGGTTTATGTGACAGGTACCATCTTTCAATGGAACCGCAAGCAACGATTGCATCCAATGTAAGTTTCACGGCGCAGTTTACTTGTTTTTCTTTTCTTTCCCATATTTGAGACATGAAGCGATCACTACGTCGTCTGTGTTTCCGTGGCTGCTTGACGGTCTCAGTTGACTGTGGCACACGATTGGTTCAACGCACGAAACCATGTGCTTGGAATTGATGGCTGACAGATCCTACAGTGAGGGCCGCCCTGGTTGCTTCTTGACGACAGTTTATGTCCAGCCAGGAACACACCATGTCCGCTTCCTTGTGGATGGTATCATGCAGACATCTCCTCACCTGCCTACTACCGTCGATTTTGGCAACAATCTCGTCAACTACATCGAAGTCAGCCCTGATGATGCCCATAAGAAGCAGGTTCCTGCGCTCCCTGCCGCTACTCATGCGGAGTTTCAAACCGCAGTTGCTGCTCAGGCGCTTCCACAGGCCCAGGATGATGCCTCTCAAGCCTTAAAACCCCCTGCGCAGCCAAGAGTCAAGTCCGTCCCGCCTCCAGAAGCTTATCGGAACCAGATTCCACAGTACCTCATCGACTTTGATCAAGCTGAGGACTCTCAAGCGTATCAATACGCCGTCAACGCCATTGAGAGGCTACCGAATCCACCTACGCTGCCAGGTTTTTTGAGCAAACCGATACTTAATGCAGCGACGCTCATGAAAGACGATAATAGTGTGCTCAACATGCCTAACCACACGATTCTAAATCATCTTGCCACCAGCAGCATCAAGAACAACATTCTTGCTGTTTCAGCTACGACTCGGTATAGAAATAAGGTACGTGTGCCATCACCAGTGCAAAACAATGATGCTTACTTGATACAGTACGTGACAACAATCGTCTATAAGCCCACATCTTCAGATGAAGGTTAAGATAGGATGAATGAGAATATGACGAACATTTATGAAACGGGAACTTTTGTGCCTTGAGTCGCTGCATTTGAAGCTATTGGCTCGGGCTACGATGTGATGTTGAAACGCTTGCTATGTATTCGAGGTTCACAAGGGGGTGAAAGACGAGTGAGAATAGGCATTTTTATTGTTACTTACATGTGGATTGGGAGAAGAGAGATGGCTAGCGACATACGAGCGGCGATATGAAGTGAGAATAGCCAGGCATGCCACGACTTTGATGGGACGATAAAGGAGGACATGAGATAGTTCATGACTCGACTCCAGTAAACACACAAGACATATACCCTCATGACTCCTTTTATTTACTTATTTGTTTATCTAGTGAGATAGTCTCAAGCTCTCCATTTAATAAACACTTCATCAGTTCTGAACCGCTGCGTACATGTACTCTCCTCCAAAGACGTTCTGAACCCCGTCTCATACGCTAACAGTCCAGCATGCGCAATCATGATTCCATTATCAATGCAGAATCTCTCGTCAGTCGCGTACACAGACCCTCCTCGCTCACGCGCCATGTGTCCCATCATTTCCTGCAACCTTTCATTGCAGCCAACACCACCCACAATGAGAACCTGTGATGAGCCCACGTGTGCCATGGCTCGCTCTGTGATCTCCACTAACATAGCGAATACCGTTTCTTGCAGTGAGAAGCACAAATCTTCGGGCGTGAAGTCTGCACCGGACTTCATTTGTGCGGCGAGAGCGTCTGCGGAGGCTAGAATGCCGGAGAAAGAACAGTCCATGCCCTTGACGGCATAGGGAATATCGAGTAGTTTGCTTCCCTTTTTGGCAAGCTGTTCGATATTGTAGCCTGGCGCAGGGTCGTTGCTAATCTCGAGCGTGCGGGCGAAGCGATCGAGGCAGTTTCCAACAGCTATATCGAGCGTCTCGCCGAATATCCTGTATCGCTGCTCCGCATACGCAATGACCTGGGAGTTACCACCCGAAACATATAGCACGACCGGGTTCTCTGCACCGGTGATGTATCTTCCCATTTCGATATGTCCGACACAGTGATTCACACCCACCAGCGGTCTATCCCAAAGCAAACTCAATGCTCTAGCCGCAACAGCGACAGAATTCAACGGGGCACCCATCCCCGGCCCTTTTGTGTAGCAGATACAGTCGACATCAGAAGGTGTGATGCGCGCTTCGGCGAGGGCTTCGCGGGCGAGACGGACGAAGTGGGCGCGGTGATGGGCGGCAGTGTCCTTGGGGAGAAAGCCAGTACCGGGAGGTGAGACGAAGGTGTCGCGAAGGTTGGAGAGGATCTTAGTGTCGGTGGGTGTGTGAAGAATGACGCCAATGCCGAGCTTGTTGGCGGAGCCTTCGCAGCCTAGGGCGATATATGAGGATTTGTTTTTGAAGGCCATTATGGGAGGGAGGTTGAGGTTGAGGTTGATGTCGAAGTTGAAGATGGGAGAATGCAAGGTGGGGGTATAAAGTGGTGATGGTGTTGATATTGGGTATCTGATATTAGTAGCGTCCTGGCCAGTTGCATATCAACGGTATATTATATACCAGAAGAAGATGTGATATAGGAAAACAAACTAAATTTCATAAGGAACATTCTCAACTCTCATGAGTTTTACATTATATTACTTCTATTGGTGATGTCAAGAAAGACGATAAGCCTAATCGATAGAGGGGCAGATCTCTATCCTCTCAGCAGCAGGTTTGTTAAGCCCCTCGCTTAGTACCTGAGCCTGTCTGTCTCCCACATCCCACAGTGTCCACTACCCAGGCGTCATCACCAGCCACACTTCACTTCATTCAAAGACGGGAGGTTCCGAGTTGATAATTTTCAGGGTCCAGCTAACCATGATGGGAACAGTAGCAGAGGAGTGGAAACCATGAGATCTGTGCCTTTGAGTGCAGTGCAGTGATTATAGTCATGATATAGGACTTGTACACTTTCTAAACAAATAACTCGGCGATACCATCGCAAGCCGTTGCAAAGAGAGCTAAAATAATAATATCATACTCCTTTGCTATATGCGTTGCTGTAATCTCCAAGCCATTAAAACGCATCATGCAGAAATGTAAGCTTTTTGGTCTTTTCATTTTCATTTTTTTAGCGGGCATCAGCTTCACACCAGCCACACCGAAAGCTTCTGTTGTGGCTGCTAAGTGTAAATCCACAACGTCCGGTTCGCCGGCCACTTTTCCTTCACCCGCAGCACACCCTCCACTCTAAAGCCTCCTCCATCACTCGCATTTGGCCCTCAGTATCTATTTGCACCTACTTCGTGATGCTGAAAATCATACCCTACAAGACACGCGCTCGGTTTATGTTCATGCCGACAGGTCTAATGCTTTTTCGTCATGTTTCTTTTTTGCTTACACTCTAAAGACGCCCCTGCTAACATGTCATATCAGCCAGGTCCCCTCTAAGCTTGGTCACCTTTTACAACCTTGGGCCTTGATTCTGCAGCGCCTCCTCTTCTGCGCCTCGAATACTACGATCGTATACTCGTCTTCTTCCATTTGGAAGACTATCGGCACTTGTATATCGTCAAAAGTTTATATTCGCTGCTGTCGGCACATCTGCTGCCGATACTAGAGAGCTTCCCCTCAGCCTCAAGACATACGCATGATCACCTCACGAGACCACTACAACGACCTCTACAACGACCTCTACAACCTCCTCAACCAGAATCACAAGGATGTGTATACTTTACGACATTTGGATATGAGGAACGTCTTGTTGCGGTCTTGACTTGACCATTCTTCTTTTTTCAATTTTCTCGACCTGGGCCACTAAATATGATGGGCTCTCCACGTCTAAGCCCGAATACTGACCACTCGCTCCAAAACTCCTTGCAATGCCCTGGTCAACGACTAAATAATACGTACACGACGCCTTCTTTTCACCGCCGAACCGTTGTCAGCACTGAGCAACGGTCGGAACGGCTCGACGTCTCTGTTATTTCAATGCTGGGTATAAAACACATCCGCCATATTCATACAACTCCCTTCCCCGCAGTGCGCTCATGATACTGCCTGGGCAGCCTGGGCCTGAGAATTCGCTACCGCTTGCGCTTTGGCCTGTGCTTGTGCTGCTAGATGCGCTTGAGCCGCTGCTTGAGCATGTGCCTGGGCGTGGGCATGCGCCGCCGCCGCAGCCGGTGATGGCAGTACTCTGTTGCCCGCCTGTGCTTGTGCTGCTGCTACGGCTTCTGGTGGCACTGCTGGGCGTCCTCTGAACATGTACGGGTTCAGCGGAATTGTCGCTCGGAACTTGAGTGCCCGAGTATCGAACGGATCCACCTCATACACTGGTGGTTCATCTTCAGAGTCCGAGTCGTATTTCCACCGATCCGACTTATTCTCACCAAGGTCTCTCGGCGGCGTCACCATACCCCTTCGATCAATCCACAACCGGTTCAATCGACCTATGCGCCGACGGAAGGATGGTTGACTACCCTTGGCCGGTTCACTGGATCCAGCATTGAAATGGAAGACAGGTGGCTCACGTTTGTCCACTTGCATAGCATCAGGTGAGTGGTCATCCACTTCCATATCTGATGATATGGAGGCCGGAGGCGTCATCAGGTACTGAGTCTTGGCCTGTCGGAACTTGAGCTCTGTGCCCTGTTCCTTAACTGGTGAGAGTGGCTCTCGAGTGAGGTCAATGTGGTTCTGGTTCCACTTTCTGTGGTTCTGAACCTTCATTTCTATATCAAGTCGGAGTTCAGTCTCCTTCTCCACCAACTTGTCTGACAATAAGACAAGATCGGCATCAAGCGTTCTGCCATCAGACCGTACGGGTTGCCGCAGATGGGCACCGCCAGGAGGCTGTCGGGCAACTGGGGGCTCTGCAGGCTTGCGTTTCTGGGGCTACGATTTGAGTTAGCATTCCGAGCTACATGATCTTGCCTATGACGACCATTGAGATAACATACCTTTTGGTTGACGAGATCTTCGTCCTCGCCTTTGATCCCCAGTCGAAGCTTGATGTTTTTGAGTCTTGCCCTTTCCTCAAACACAGCGCGGTCCATAGTCATGAGTTCCCGCTTTACCATTTCACGTTCATACGCCACAAGAACCAGCTGTCGACCATCCTCAAGCTCGCGCCGCAATTTCTTGAGCGTTTCTGCTATTTTGTTGTCACGAGCTCTGGTCTTTCGAGTTTGGCGGGCCTCGCGTCGTCTAAAGCAGACAAAGGGGTCTGTATCATCAGTTTCTTGATGAGTCTCAAATTTGAGACTTGGATGCAACGGCTTGTTGCCAGCTTCTTGACGTTTCGTCTTCCAGTATTCGTACACAGGCTTAGCATGTCGAAGAATAGCGGGTGAGGCTAAGTGGTTAAGAGCAGGCACCATCATGTCATAGGCGGCAACAGTATTGTCGACTGCGGCAAATGGAGTCTGTTCAGCAGCGGTTTCCTCAAAGACCTCCATGATGCGTTCGAAGTCATCTTCAGAGAGGGCGCCAGCGGCAAGCGGTTTACTATTGTACTGTTTCAGGAACTCATCGTCCTCAGTGTTCATGTCATAGAGGCATGTAATGCACTCTTCGACTGTTTGTGAGAAGCGGATATATGTGGAGGGTTTGTGGAAAGGAACAGGATAGAGCTCATCGTAGTTGATGGCGCTCTCCTGGGGAGGCGGAACAGGAATTTCTTGGTCATTGCTGGTTCCTGCTTCCTTGAGAATAGTTTGGAGATGGTATTCCTATCAACAATGGTAAGTATAAGGCTTGGAACGGGCATCACTGGCGTATTGGTGGTTGCGGATATCACCCCAATCAGACCAAGCCCGAAGGGGAGTGCCAAGCCATATCACGTGTTTCTTCACGTGATATCATAACATGTGGCAGAGGGACAAAGGACTCACGTTTTCCTCGGCCTGTTCGACACCGGTCGCAATTTGATTATCGGTTGTAAGGGCTTCGTACTCGTTGGGATCGATCTGGTCTTCGCGAAGAACTGGAAGCGTCGTCTTGACGTTCAACTTCTTGACGCGAACTTTGCGTGATGACATGTTGGCAGGGGGTAAAAGGGAGGTCGGAAGAAAGGCGGTCAGGCGGCGGAAAACCCGCGAAAAAAAGCGATCAAGTCATAAAACGAGGTCTTTGGAGTCGAAATAGGTCCAAAACTCGATGCAAAGGGTGCTGTTGTAGCTTGTTTTCGATGGCAGCGTGGTCGGGCTCGATGGGGTGACGTTGGGGATTTGTTTTGGCGCGCAAAGTTTTTTTCACTGCATGGAGTTTTTGGCAAGGGAAAATGGCCTTTGGTTGCAAGAGCGGGATGGTAAGGTTTGATGACGGTGTGCTCTTGAGAGGGGTCAAGGTCACTTTGCACTGTATCTTTGCATGAAAGATACTTGCAGCGCTTGGACCACTGCCTCCTTTTTTTGGTGGCATTCGATAGCTACTGTACAATACGGGTGGGACTGGTTTGTGCCGCTGGGCTCGTGTTGTTTAGTGGTGCAAGCTACCTAAGAGCGCTAGCTTTTAGTGAGGGCAAGCGCTGGAAGCTCAAGAATGCTTGTTGCTGGCCAGACGACCACGTAATAAACGGACTCGAGCAAAGGTAATGCAAGTCCTATAATTATTCTGCGGGTGTAGTAATATTTTAACTTCTCATAAGTTTCAAGTTGAAGTCAATTTCCCGAATGATAATTCTAAAATGACTTTTATTCCCCGAGTGTATCACCTACTTTCTATGGTCAATATCAGTTCAAGATGATTGCTCACCGTAATGCCATTAACAAACGGCAGATGCACCGTAAATGTGCTAACATCTTGCCCCGCAAAGCAGTTACCCCTCTGCGCACCTGCCCCTTTGCGCAGAGGATCGGTCTAGAATTACTAAACTTAGCGACAGCTCAGACAGTGACAGTGAGACTCAATTCAGCCTTATCACCAAACATTTGGACAACAGAACAATTACAGCCTCTTTATACCCTTTCAAACCTTCCACGAAAGTCTATCCAGTTTGAACATAAACAGACTCCTTCTACGTTAGCCGATATCGCTTCGACGTTGCCAACATGGGCAACACCACCAGTGCAGTCCTGGACAACCTCGTCCAAGGATCCAACTGTGAGCCTCGGCCCCCTTCGAAAGCCCTGACCTCACCTCACCTCAACGCACGGTTGCGAGGAGGGGGAGGGGTAATGGAGTGATTACTTGTGCTGAGATGTACGATTTCTAGTCGACAGAGATGAGGTTGATCGTCTGCGAAAGCGTTTCATGAAACTGGACAAGGTGCGCAAGCTTCCCGACTTTTTGGCTGTGGCGGAGCCTAGCGATGGTGGTGGTTGCGCGAGGCTGAAGCATATCATCGACATCGTCACAATGGGATTGATAAACTAACTGGCTGTGCACTCTAGGACAACTCCGGGACGATCGAGCGCGATGAATTCCTCAGCCTTCCTCAGATTTCGTCCAACCCTCTCGCAACACGGTCCGTCGGCCATTTCCCCCTCCGAGATACAACGAACTAACCCGGGTCCCCCTTAGAATGATTGCCATCTTCGATGAGGATGGTGGTGGTGATGTCGATTTCCAAGAGTTCGTGACAGGCCTCTCTGCGTTCAGTAGCAAGGGCAACAAGGAACAGAAGCTTCGGTTCGCCTTCAAGGTCTACGACATTGACCGTGATGGTTACATCAGCAATGGAGAGCTTTTCATTGTCCTCAAGATGATGGTTGGCAGCAACCTTAAGGACCAGCAGCTGCAGCAGATCGTGGACAAGACTATCATGGAGGCCGATCTCGACAAGGACGGCAAGATCAGCTTCGAGGAGTTCACCAAGATGGTTGAGGGAACTGATATCAGCATGAGCATGACTGTTGGTAAGTTTCTCTACGGGGATATCTTGGTATTATTGGTGATGGTGGCATTTGCTTGCCATACAATGACGACGAATACTTTGGTAATGAACAAGTGCTGACATGATACCACAGACCAGTTTTAAGCCAACATGCACAAAAGATTTCACGGAAAGTTTAGGAATAAGGATTCAACATTGCTATGGACTAGAGAGATCCAATGTCCTCATAAGGACTGTATATGGGCATGGATAGGGATGGGGAGGATGGTATCACAACACCTGGCGAATTTACACACCATTACGATCACGAATTCACGCATTCTCTTACAGCTCTCCAAAATTGTAGATATCCTCGGGCTCTTGCTGCGATTTGGCAAGTGGTCATGGACTGTAAGCGACCTTGATCCTTCCGAGTGTCATTCTTGACATTTGGTATCTTGCCCGACAGGGGAAGTGGTATTACATTGCGCTGCTAAGCGGTACTTCCTGGGCGTTCTACAGGTAGTTATCACCAGATACTTCTGCTCATGGTTGATTTCTGTAAGATCATCCTGAGTGCTCAGCGCAGGCTTTGGAGATTCAAGTTTTTGTGTAGAGAGGCTATTGCCTATATGGTCTCAGAGATTGACGAATGCCAAGGACCAAATCACTTCTTCCATTGACCAGTAACTGTGTTGCGACTTGTAGACACTTCGAGCTATTCAACAATGCTCTGGTCTTCACGCAGGTTATCAGTAAGCTCTGGGACCCCATGGTAAGAAAGCTAGCCTCACCTATCTACACCAGAATGTCGTAAGAATCGTAGGCTCCGGCGTCCGAGCTATACACTCTCTGTTGAGTCCTCTAATACCCGCTTCGTGTATGTTTATGTATCATAGTGTAGCTTGGTCACTTATAATCAATGCGAGCACAATACGATACTCAAGATCCAGGAACATTTCAGTCTACCAACAACCAATACAGCAACTTTACTACGTGATGGATAAAGCTAACGACATCCTGAGATTTTATCTTACTCTACAGGATATATAAAAGTGATGTAAGCCCCTGCTACAAAACATGGAATCTCTTATGTGTAACCCAAGTCAAAGGAGTACGTGACTGTCGAATACTATGGAAGGACAATAAGACTATCACTGCGAGGACCACGGGCAAATCGAGGCTACCAGTACCACCAATTCTGCCTCTCTGGACTTTCTTGCGACACGATATCCGAAGCATATTCACTTGGGGGTATTTCCACGCGATTCTCCACGTGGAGGCCCAACGACACTCACGTAACCAGATTTCATCACTACACGAAACTTCAAAGAATTGAATTCATTGATTACCAGGCCAAGCCGGGTTGCTGAGGTGTCACGGCAATGTCGTATCGTATCGTGGTCGTTTAACGTTACGAGGCGCGTGGCTGTGGCTGCTTAACTTGTCCGTTTCCTCCATACAACCTGATATGTTCCACGTAGGTGTTGCGCTTCACAAAGCCTACGTGTTGTGAAACTTAAAACATGCGCTTCACAGCCATCGAGAGATAGCGAGGTTGGTGTTCACGCGCATGAGTAGGACAGGGCTTGCGGTGGCAACAATGTATCATAGACGATGCGACGTCAAGAAGGAGAAACAATATGTAAGGAAACGTACAGATTTCATGCGACAGTTGTCCTCGGACTGAACAGGGACTGAACAGACATATAGTAAGACAAGGCGCATTGTATGACATACCATAAACCCTTCCACGTAACATAGAACTGCGTCATGCTTGAGACCGGGACGTGAAGCGGGCGCTGCCGGTCAATTTTCCGGCTCCGGGTTCGGAGTTAGGTCCATAAACCGGCGCAGTGCCCCCGCAGTCTCGGGGCCGGATGAAAAGTAATACAGCCTCCCGATGGTCGTCGGGTCTCACTTGGAGATACGTGTATGGTCTCAAAAAGGCCGAAAATGCTAATGATGGGATTGGGACATGGGCCCAGCGGAAGCAAAGGGTTCCATGTCTCACCACGCCCCAGACATCAAATATCCCGGGAGAAATCAAGCCGGGACCAGGGTTTCCGAAGGATCGGTACCGTACTACGTTGATGATGATCCGGTCGGTATACTGGGATTGCATGTCTGAAGCCTTGCTCTCACCTAGGACAGCCCTAGCAGGCCTCGAGACACAATCGATCGGCGGCAGACTCGACGTTACACAAGACATCGGTTGCACTACTGTACCTATGTTTCGTACTCGATTGACTTTAAGTGTGAAGCGTACGAGAATCGTGTCATGGACTCGTAAGTAGGGGCCACGATGGTGAGGCTACTAAAACGAGATTGTTTGGCTGGGCATTAGCCTCACTTGTCGATCAGGATGTAACCCTATTTCTGTAGGGACATGGATGAATCTCAGTTGTTCAAAAAGGCTTAGTTTACTTTATCGTGGGCTGTTTTGTTCCGTTTCGTCCTGTCCCCGTTCCCTCTCCCTTCGTTGTCTCTGGGTATCAAAGGAGGGGTGTGTGTGTTGTAGTTTGTTTTTAAAATGACTTGTCATATCTGGGGCTTGGTGTCGTCGATATTCCGGCAAGCTGGGACAGCGAACAGACGTTCAGGGTTGTGCTAGGGGCGTTAATAATCCGATAGACGAATGGCGGGAGCCGGATACCAGGATTTGATTCGTGGTTAGTGTATCCGTACAGAGTACAGAGTACGGGTATGGGGTGTAGATATCTACGTCGATCAGATCTGACACCGCAAGTTAGTGACGAAACTTGAGCCACATTGAGCAACACTATTGGTATAATACATTAGAGATCTTAGACATTTTTCGACAATCTTGCGGTTCCATTCCTAGAACATGTCGTACACCAGGATTGTGTATGGCGTACGGCGTATGCACAATCCAGTCTATGTTTCAGGGGTGAAGATGAAGACAAAACCAAGACTGTGGAATCATTGATTTGGGGCTGGACAATTGACAGTCTGTCAAATTCGCCTATTGGTTACCAGAATCACCTCAGCTGGAACACCAGACATGAGCCATCTCCACAAATTGCGGCACAGTCAATAAATTGCATGGGCAGCAGCGGCGGCGATAGCGGTGCAGTCAGTAGTGGCTGTGGTGTTTTCCTTTTGTTCACCAATGGCTCAGCTGATGTTGGCTTCAGATGCAATCAACCAAGGAACCTTGCTGGAGGGATCGAGAGGGCGGGCTGATGCCCAACAATTCAGCGGTCAGGTGGTTGTATTGTGGAGTTGAGTCGGCTTGACGACATGTAGGATGTCACCTACGCTTTGATCCGCTATCTGCAGGTTTGCGGTGCGGAAAAGACGGGACAGGAAGACCTTGACAGCTAGAACACGAGGCGAGAGGTGTAAGCGCTGAGAGTCCAAGGGAGTAATTGGGTTAGACTCGGCCAATCGCTGCTACTACGGGAATTGATGTAGCCTCGGGGAGTAAGATGATGGCGGCGAGTTGATGCCCGATGCATGACAATCGACATGTTGAACACACTTGGTTTTGAGCGATGTACCCAAAGCATGGCAGGCACAACCGGATCCCAATAACTCAAAAGAGGAGGTAGCATCTGCAAGAGTATACTTTCAACGTCAGAATGGCGGAGTTTGTCGGTTGGGCGTCGATATTGTTAGGCTGTAATGTGAGGGTATTCATGATTCTGCCAGCCGCCGTTGGCAATTTTTTTGGTGGTTATAATCTGGTTTCTGTTTTAGGACGTTGCGGTATCAAAGCATCAGCTGCTATTCGACAGTTCTGTTTCAGCCTCATTTGGTTGCGTTGCATCGCATCAGCGAGGGGCAACGTGATCGGCGTTAGGGCGTTCACAGGCGTTGGACCTCAGCCCCCGGATCTTCACACGGATGTGGCGAGTGTGTGAGAGCGTTCCGTCGATCAGGTAATTGGGCTGATATTGGGTAGGACGACATGAGCCTTTCGTTTCTGTTGGGCTTTCGGCCAAGGACGGAATACTGAACCAAGAGATGTTTTTGAGGGGAGGGAGGGTCATTTCGGTGGTGGTTCATGCGCAAGGCGGGGTGCTGTAGTTAGAGAGACTTGGGAGAAGTAACGACGAGATGCAGGTAAAGACTGACCATTGGTGATAAAAAGAACCAATCACTCCCGGCCATGGCGGATGTGTCAGTCCCATTTGTTTCCATGTTTTGACAGACTAAAACCGATTAACGCTGGGAAGGGGAAAGAAAAAAAGACTAACAAAAAGTTGGATGTAAAGAAGCAAAGCCCCAAGTTGACAAGAGAAGCAGGCGAGGGTATCCCGGGCTATAAAACACCAGATATAGGAGTGGCCCAATTGGAGTCCGCCTCGCTCTTTCCTAACTAAACCTGGCTGAGTTTGGTTGTCGACGAATACAATCACGGTACGATATAGGGAGGAACCTGAGGGTCTGAGAGCCTGAAGTTCAAGGTCTGTCCGTTAATAGTTACCTAATATTGAATGAATCTAAGAAAGTTTATCCGTACTTCGTATCATCATCAAGAACACGTCAGTTCGAGGCTGTGAATAATCAGAGAGTTTACCCTTAACACTGGACTCAACTCAATCAACTCCTTAGTAACTAACTAAATCCTGTACTACAATACGAAGGACGCTGTGGCACCTTTTGCCGCTGTGAAACACAACACAACACACAACTGCCGAAAGTGAAGGTTTGAAAAAGTGAAAAGTAAAAAGTAAAAAGTAAAAAGTAAAACGTATCCCACATGAGCTAATAATCTGCATCTGCAGCTGCAAATTGCTGTAATTAAAAAAAAATTCGCTCGCTACAGCTCCAGTTGCACAGCAGCCGCATCATATATGTAAGCCCCCTTGGAGCGTTTCAACAAATGCTACTCTGTAGTCTGTATCCGTATTGCCAATGGTTTACCTTTGACATGCCCAAAACGAAACTTCAGTGTGTCCATTTATGGATCTGTTGAAGCAAAAACAAGGATATGCCTGGTAGCTGGACTGCAATATGTGCTAAACTACTACCTAACAGCAACAACTCCAAGTCCCCATGACTTGAAGAGTCAATTGTATCTCCACTGTAACAAAAGCCTAAAACATAAGCCACATCTCCGGAAATCACCCGGATGTAACTGAGCAAAAGCTTTGGGCATTCCAATAATTACCATTATAAGTTGCTTCTTTTTTTGTCTTGTTTACTTTTTATCTCCTCGTCTGTCATGCATGCTATGCTGACTTGGTTGATTCTTCCAGTTGGGGATAGGCCCCTCACTTGACTCGCGTGCTCTTTTCAACTCACACGCCCTCAAGCCACACGCGATTCATTGGCCCAGAGTGACTCGGGTAGGGCAGAGGCTTTCGCTTTGATGTGCGCTTTGATGTGCTTTTGTACCTGCATGAAAGCCACTTTTTGGGCAGGAAAGCAACCGACTCGACTCTTGTACCTGTACGTACTGCACTAAGTGTATGTATACTTTAGTACTCACTTACTGCCCGTCATCTATGGGACCATGCAGATGCAGATGCTAATGCTAATGCGCCTCTCTCATGCAGTTCAGCTCAGCGTAGCAAGGCGCCCAACTTTGACAGGCCGCGGTGGCAGCACCTACTGTACAGTAGCATAAGATAGTCTCCGCAGTTGGCCATTATTACTTTTGGCTGCTGAGTCCTATTAAGTTTCAAAAGACTGAATACGAAATGGGAAAGGAAGTCGTTCTAATCAATTGCTATTCCTGGGTGTCTGTGTCTGTGAGCTGCATAATGCGGCCTCCTGTCAACTGCCATGTCACCTCAGGTCACCGTAGGTCAAGTCGGTGAACTGAATAAAGTCACCGACACTAACATTTGTCGGTGAGTTCACTCCGACTAATATTATGTGCTGTCTGTTGTCTCCAGCTACTGTTGTCCAGTGTCAAATTCCATCTACACAAGAGCCGAGGCGAATTTAGGCGTACCACGGTACTCGCGGCCTTATTATTTTCTATCCTCTTATACCCATTCCAAGGGCATGTCTCCATCATGGGCTGTCAAGTCGATTAGCGTATTTCATACCACGTATCCGTACGCCATACGCGAACAGCCACACCCGCCATGTAGAAAGAAATACAGTCATAGCCAATAACATCAGAGAAATTAATTATTAACTGATGAAGCGTAAATGTGTCAATTGTAATTGTTTGACTTATCCTTAACCCACTCTTGAAGCTCAAGCTCAGATACTAAAACATTCGCCTACACGCCCAGCCTCAACCTCAGCCATGGGTCTGTCTACCGTATTCCATAGTCTTGGTAAGCTATCGTAAGCTTGCCGCTGTAGAATGCTTAACCAGATTACATTACCCAGCTAGGTAGCCGAGAATAGTAGCCGAGGGGACAGGGTCAAGAAGTGACTTTTTCAGCCCGCTTTCTTTCGCAAGCAATCCCCCCCAAGGGTAACTCCCGTCCATCATCCCCCCCTGGTCATTCGTCTTTTTATTGTTGTTTTTCTCGGCTTATAGGTCAAGGGTAAAGTGAGCTTAAGACGGCCCCTCTTTTATATACTCCGTACATCCTAATACATGGGTTGGATCACATCCATGTCATGGTCACTTTTTTCTAAACAAGGCGTCCATAACATCACATCTGAATGATCTGCTGTCCCTCTTAGCCTTACTTTGGTTAGCTCTGTTACATCAGGTACGTAGCTTGGTCAGGTCGCTAAAAACTATTCATTGCGGGGGCCAAGCCCCGGGCAACTACCTTACTCTGCAACTGGCAGACTGGGTACTAATGAATAAGTAGTGAGTTAGTAGTTAGTAGCTAGAACTACCTATACATGCTCCGTCCAATTGTAAGCTGGTCCCGTTGGGCACAAACAACCACACACCGTCAATTCAACTGTCCATAGCAACTCGACACAATCGCCGTCCATGTCATGATCATGTCAATCCACTCATTGATCCTATGCTAACAGTAGTTGTACACTTCTATCTGCTTCTAAGAATATTCCCATCTAAATAACATGCCCGCGAGGACTTCCAGCTCCACTCTTTCCATCCAACCTCCCAATATGCTGTGAACCATCCATAACCAAAATCCCTTCCAACTCAAACAAACCTCGGTATAATAATACAGTACAACCAACCCTGTGTTGGGAGCCTGACAAGAAAAGAAAAGAATAAACCCGATCCAACCCAACCCAACCATGCCCTCCCTACCCTGCCCAACCAGAATCCAAGCCTGAACCTGAACCTCAACCCCAACCTGGCCTTCGTTCCATCCACAGGAAGGCGAGTTCGATGCAAGTATGAACGCCTTAACCGCAAAATCATCATCAATGCTTGTTCCACATCCAATCCTTCCTGCCGTAGCAAATCCATATATCCCAAATCATAACACAGAGAAGTAAAAAAAATACACCCATCCCATTAAACCCCGCCATGCAATCATGATTGTAGTTGTCCTATGCCTTGAAACCTTGCTGCACCACTAGCTGATGCGGTGGGAACTGGCGGCAAAAACAAACCAAAATAGTCGTAAAACAGCCCAATGGGCTAACCAGGCATGACATTAAGCCACATCATATTCCTTTTCTCGATAGTTCCAAGGAAGGGGTAGGCGCAATGCACAGTAAGATCTATCCGAGTGCAACAAAAGCAACATAACCCGGCGAAAGGGTCACAGCCCTCTCAGCATTGTCTTTCTTCGGCTTCTGTGCCGTTAAGTCGCTGTAGAATAGCCTTATCATGGCAGTCGTCCAACGGATGGGTGGAGCTGCAGCCATCAGGCCGCGATATTTGTTATGGCAAGGCTCAGATCGGTATCAACGATACTACATGTGATTTGTATGTATGCTGATCTTCATGCCTGGACAGGAATCTCTATCGATTGCCACTGTCACTGTCTTCTTCTGAAGCTTCATATAGGTCCAGGCAGTCTTCGAGGACTATGCACTTGTGTTAGCAACTCTGAACAAGGGCCTTGGGTGGAGATGCATATTCTCATACCAGCAGTTATTTGGTCTTCCCACACTCCGTACTGATAGTCTACCAACCCGTGGCGCTCGATACCGTCACATAGTCGTATTAATTCGTTACCTAGTTTTGTAATCATATCTTTTGACACAAGGCTTTGTGATCTCGAAAGTTGTTGGTTCGAAACCATAAGGTCGATTTGCCGCTGGCCTAAACCTAACCAAGCGTGGTTAAAGTCGTTCCACAACTGAATACGATCAGCATGAAGGTTGGTATCATCTAGATTGAGTCCTGAGTAAACTAGTTAGTCCTGTTTCCAGAGAATGCTGGCAAATCTGCATACCCAAGTCCGCCACCTGAGACAACAGCCAACTAGTCACGCTGAGCAATGTTTCAGATGCACTTTCGAGAGATCCATTGACGATCTCCTGAAATATGCTCCCTAATTGCCTCTGGTAACTGACCCATTTCTCCTCAAGGGCGCCCTCTCCGTACTCGTGCTCCTCCGTCATAGAGACATCGGCGCTCGCTGTCGCTTGTGGTATTGCGCTCACGCTTGACATACTGTTACTCGCATAATTCATGGCATTGCTTTGTTGGTAAACGTTGGCAGATCCGCTCGAGCCATGTGTTGATTGCTGCATACTCGGGCCGCCCGAGTTCCCCGTCTCAGACCCAAAGTAGGTTGAGGCGACATCTGGTGTCATCATTTGCATAGCTGCAGGTTGCCGTGAACTGAATTGTTGCGTGTCGTATACTGGGTTATGCGCGCCCGGTTGGCCAACGTTGTACATCATCGTACCTGCAGTGCCATAACCGCCAAAGCTTTGCTGCTGCTGGCGGGAGTCTTGCCCATAGTCAGAGCCGTAGGCAATGGCTGTCCCAGCCATGTTTGCTGTAGGGAATGATGCACTGGGTTCTTGATAATAGCCACTGTAGTTACCCGCACCTCCCATGCCTCTCCCTGACGATGACGGGGTAGCAAGAGACGCAGGGCGATATCTGTCGTTGGAGACTCCAGTGAGTGAGCGGCGCTGCTGGGATTGATCGTGAAGTGGATATCTCTGGTTGGGGTTCGAATGAACGGGCGGTTCATTCTGCCTCCTCATTCGGTTCGAGTCGTCCATGCCCCGAAGGCTTTCAATACCACACGACCCTACCGTGGCTCCCAGTCGAGGGGTGGTGGTCGGTAGTGCCGACGACTGTAGTGTAGCCAGTTTAAAGGGTCCGGAATGGACGCACGATGCTAGGGCCTATAGATTGGCGGGAAGAAACAAAGTAAAAGCTTGCAGATGTGCAGTAGGTGAGGCACAACTGAGCTGTTGGTAATGCTGGAGGGGTTACCGCGGGGTTGTTGATTGTGTAAAGCCCATTCAGTTGGAGGAGTTGCGATGATCGATAGTCGGGGGGTGTCCTAAGGCAGGGAACGGGCAGCTAGGCGAGATAGTAATCGAGTTGAAAGAGAACAAACGGCTTCACAAGCAGGGTGCCGCTGGCCTATTATTCGCAAACAAAGTCCACGCTGTTTACTGATCAGGCAAGAGAGCTGATGGCTCAGCCGGGGACCTGGGTGTAAGGTAGTTTATCAAGTGAATCGCAATCGCAAGCTAGAGCCTAGTGTGTTTATGCCCGGTAAAGGCTGGACGTCGAAAGGATGACGAAGAGCAAGGCGTTGGGCCTAAGTAGCTTGGTCTGGGGCTTTGGGGCTTTGGGGCCCAGGGCTGATTGCGGATGAGTTGTCAAACGGTCGTCTCGTTGTCTACTAGGAGGATCCCAGCGAAGTCCCATGTAAGAGACCTTGAGCATAACAAGCTCGAGCCAACCGCGATCTGCTGGGGCCCGGTACAACGCACCAGGGTCTCAATTGGGGACCAAGACGATACTCTAAGGAAAAAGCTTTCACTAAGCTGGTACGGGCGTCCAAATCCGCCGAGTCGGTGTGGTGACAGCTTTCTGGTCACGCTGAGGCAGATGTGACGGACGAGCTAGTGGGAAACGAGGACGGATGTATAATAGAAGGCTCGACTGTGGGGCATAGGAATAGAAGTAAACCACGGTGATGACGAAACTCACAAATAATAGACAAAGGATAGCTGAGGGATCTATATAGCGTACTCGTAGGAGAAGCATTGCACTCACTGTAATGCACTATGATATACTTAGGGTCCACCATTAAAAACAGGGGCCATATGACTGATGAGACTATGGACTGAGAAGGGGTCGCTCTTGAGAGAAGGGAGGGGTGTGGAGGTGAAAAGCAGAGGCAGCGGAGGGTGAGGCGCATCGTTTTAGACTACCAGCTAAAGACGCTGTGTGAATGGCGTCAGGGCAGCCGGTGTACATAATGGACTTCGAAGAATGCTGTATAAAGGCATGAATAAAAGGCCCTGCATACTTCAACATTCTTTACAGAGGGACCGAATCGAGCATTGTGCTAGAGGTGAGGCAAAGGGAAAGATGAGTCTGAGTGGCCCAGAACATCCTATGGGCAATCCAACAAGAAACAAGGACAAGAATTGCGGCGACCGTAGTACAGCAAAAGAATTGTCATTCAGCAAGCAGGCTCATGCCAACGGCTCTGGAAATTGTAAAAGGATCGGCGTCGTCCTCTTCTCCACCACGTAACCGACACCCCTGGCCCAGTACCTTGGTAAAAAGGCGCCAGGAAGATTAGAGGGGAATGACAGCCATCGACGTGGCTTGCCTGGGGTGGATTGAGCAATTCAGGGGTGTGCGGCTTCGGAACCTGGGGCGTCATGGGTCGCTCTGCGCAAGTACCGGGACTGTGCCGTGTGCGTAGTAAATAACCGGTAGTCGAACACCACCAATTGCTTGGGCGCTGAACAGCGGCTTCTCTGGTTTTCCTTTTCCAGTTCAGGTGTTTCGATCATATTCTGCTTTTTATTTGCCGTCAATAGCTGGGTACCAATGCATTCGATATGAAAAGTTCTTGCCCAAGGATCGATGGACATTTGCAGCCATAGCTGACTCTATCAGACCTTTGTTGCATTGCTCGCCGCTCAAGAGCTGACCTTCATATCGCTCTCGCCGAGTTATGGTCCTTAATGCAATGCCCAGGCGCCCAAATACTGCATCTGTGCATTGCAATCTTCTACAACATGTGCTGGAGGAACAAGCAGGCTCGATTAGAGATTTTGGGCTTATTTTGTGGTAATGGCGTCAAGTGGGTTATGGTCAAGGAAAAACTTGAGACAAGACCCGCCATGCTGAACTGTAACTGGCACGTTGCTGCATGTGCACACACCGCGAGATTCTTATTTTATTGGTATTGTATCGCTCATTACTCTTGAGAGCTTATCATCATTGTTATGAAGATGCCAAACATATTTGCAGATGCTTCGGACGTGAAGAGACCACAACCACACCCAATAATGGCCTTATCGGGGCGTGTTAGTAGGGCTCTTGCAGGCGACACATACCGATAAGCTAAGCTGCTTTGTTAGCTGGGCAAGGGAGATGTTCCAAACACCTTTGATCGTGTGAAAAATGACAACGGGTAGTCAAGCGGTTTTAGACCAACCCGCTTGTCAAACATCAAGCCCTGCTCCCAGCGCAATACGGGGAAAGTCACCACTGTCAATTCAAATTGGTTCGATCGTGGTCTCGGAGAGTGTCAAATATGATCGCACTGCAGGGGACAGTCCGCAAAAATCGTCGGGGAAAAGCAAATGCAACCTCTTTCGATCCTGTGCCACAGGCACCATCAATTGTCTGGAAGGATTTCCTTCCGCTTCTTCCTCCCGTCCGAATCAAGAGAGGTCTGTGGACTTGTTGTCTCTCGGGCGTCCGTGGTTGCCGAGTGCTGGGAGCCAGGCTCCAGGGAAGAATCCAAGGGTGGTGACAAAAGCAACGGCAGAACAAAAGCCAAGTCGCAAGAAAAGCAAAAAAAGGGAAAAGCAGCGCTGAACTAAATCGAGGCATGGCGTTGGTCCACAATCCACATATGGAGGTAGTTCAAGTGAACACAAGCCGAAAATAGTCGCTGGCCAATCGATGGAGGAGGGCGATGTCAACTAGGATCCTTGCTGGAGTTGTGAAGCTCGTGCTCTGGATTACAGCACGTCCTTATTGCTAGATTGGAGGCACATTGATGTTCGAGTTTACCGGCGAGGGCGATATTGGTATGGAGCGTGCTAACAATGCTGGAGTGAAGCTCGCTCGATTTCAAATTGATGCTTCAGGTTGCTGCGGTATATACGTAAACTCTTTAGGGAGATATTGTTAACAAGGGACCGTGGGTCAATCGTATTGAATAGATGGCTACAACGGGGTCAATGGCCGTCGGGAAAGCATCTGAATGGTCAAACATGTTCTTGATCCTCAATAAGACGGAGGTAGGCCGGGTTTTCGATGGCACGTCGTGGAGAATTGATCGAACCTGAATCCTGGTTGGCTTAGGTGAGAAGGTTAGCAAAACAAAACCCCCAACGATGTTGATTCACTGAGGGGGAAAAAGGTCAAGGTGGTTGGTCATCGCCTTAGGCGGGAATTTCTGGTCGGGCAACTGCTAGGCGGGCAGCTAGGGTAAGTTAACAAGTGCTAACTAACTGCTAGTCAGGGCACCTGCCAGTGGCAGGTACATATGACACAGTGGATACGAGTCCGTTGCAGCTGTCAACCAGCTTAAGACAAAAATAACCATCAGAATAATTAATCAAAGGTTTCGATTACAAAACTGCCACTCATCATCAACTGTATGAGGAAGATTGCAATGCATTAAGACATGTGATTGCATCTTTTCTCAGTGGTTGAATCATCTTTGACGAGTGGCAAGTCTTATTACATGTACGTGAAACGTGGCAGCGAAAGCGCCTATAATCATTACTCGACAATTTATTAACGTGATAACGTTTACGACCGAGTCCAGCCTTACTTAAGATCTGGCAGATAGTGATTTCATGGCTTGTTAACGTTGTGTCTTGAATTAGCAGCCACTAATATAAATAGGTACAGCAAGACAAGTTAAGGCTGCTTTACGCCACACCATAGAGCCCAATCCAGCGTTCAAAACCACACACGTACCAAAACTCGCCACAGGTTCGTGGCCATCGGCATCGTGTATTATGGGACGCACTGTTCTCCAATGGTTAGGAATTACGATTATTGCATAAACAAAATCTTATTATATCGCTGAGACTTGAGCCCTGAGTCTAGCTCATAGGCCATAGCCCAACTCTACACCTTTACCATCAACACCAAGACAATGGTGGTTGGCTACCCTGCATCAACATCTTCAGCGGCTACAGTGCTCTGATAAAACTGTCACCCAGGGGTTGTTGTCACCGAGATCTCCCACCCGATATCTCAATACCCATATCAAGTACCGGTACCTGAGCGACCAGGATTATTGCTGAAGCGCACTAGCTGACGCGCATATCGGATCATGTTTCACGCGTCTAGCACTGCAAAGGGCAACGCGCAACAGCTATGCATGAGAAGTTTGCTGGGGGTTGAGGGGCGAGCTTAGCAATGTCCTGTTCTGCTCAGTTGGAGGCCCAATCATCATTCTACCCACAGCGAAAGCCATTGACGAACAGAGGTTCAGCAATTATGTTCGCCTTGCATGTCCGACCTTGGCGAGCACAACCACCAACGGCTGTGGAGAGGAGTCTTTGTGCGGGGGCTTTCATATGAATGTTGTGCATGTACTCTATGCTGCTGCTGCTGCTACTACTACTACTACGCGGGTATGCTCGATTAACACGCATATATGCACCCCATCTCAGTTGCATCGAGGGGTTAATGACGATCTCAGCCTCGCCTAAAGCCGTTGGCCGTGGTTTTACTCACCTTGAACAATGGAAAATATCCAGATGCACCGCATGTATCCAGTACAGAGTGCCGCAGCCGCAACAGCACCGGTTCTTGCAGGGATCTTTATCCACTCGTGGATGCGTCCGCCCTAATAAAAGCCTCCGACCTCAAACCGCCGTCTGTCCATGCTCGACGCTCCACCTCCGCTATGATCAAAGAGTCGCCTGGAAGTCCTTTGCCAGGGCTAGATCTAGTCTCTAGCTGGGCCCGCGTTGGCACGGTCAACGTGGGAAGAGACGGCCTCAATATTGAGTCCTCAAGCATCCCGCGTGATGCGAGCAACCACAGCGGATTTTTATGTTGTCATTGTGTCAATGTGCTGAGGCATAATCCAGTCAGTGAGTATTCTAGCACCGATATAAGTTAAATTTAGCATTAACTTCAACGCGGGTGGGTTTGTACGGCAGGCTAATAAAAGCACAAAAAATAAACATAAATCTTACCTGTGAATAAGCTCTTATTTTATGTTTAGCATTTGCTCTATCCGGGACTTACGTCTATCGCCAACGTCTATCTGAGCTCAATCGCCTGTCGTGGCGTGAAACTCCCATTTAACGATCTCTCAGGGGTTTGATTTCGGGAGATTTCTCCATCCCGCCACACCGTTGCGCCGTTGGGAATCTCGAAAATTTAGACCAACCGCTTCTCTTCCTGAGCACCCATACCTGAGCTGAAACACTTCAAGCCACCCCACTGAAACCGTTCTAGAAACCTTCTTCAACTCTGTAGCAAATCCACTCTACAGCTGAAGCAAACGGCCTTTGCTATGATGGTTTAATGTCGGTTTGCCCGCATATCGATGCCTGCGAGTTACATACCCCAAGAGTTATTAGCTCTGCAGATTATATGGACGAATGATTGATCGTCCCGTTATACGCGCGAAACCTAATGAACATCGCTCAAAAAGTTACGCTGCTACCACCGCGACGCGGAGGAGTTAACCACAACTGTAACATACTACGGATACAGCTGAATACGAAGCTCTTCACCGCTTGGTCGACTGGAGTTCATATTCTCCAGCATTAATTGATATGATATTACCAAGGATATGCGCCAATCTCCCGGTAGATGTCGGCTCAGTTCCGATTCATTGTCAACAAACGCGCCAACAGTCAGGGTCGGGGATTGAGACTATCGCAACCTTCCTCCCGCACCTCGAACTCCAACTTGCCAACACGGCTTCATACCCATTTGTGGTATAAAATCGTGATATGACCTGATAATGGAAGCTGCCAGCTCCGTAGTGGCTTGCTAATTACCGGGGAGGAGCTCTATACAGGGCCTTGATGGAGTGGTTTACGCATTCGCTTCAATCCGGTTCGTTCGGTAAGCAATTGACTTCCTTAGTATGTTGGAAAATGTCTTACAACGCGCACATGCAAGGCTGGGTAACTGGGATTATACTATCCTCTAAACCCTGCGTGCCGTTACTAGCCCTAGTCCATCCCGTCTAGTGACGCGACCGAAGCGGTTTGGCATCTTGCGTCAATCGTTTCCGCGCCGTGCCTGGAATAGGATTTCCGAAGGATCTTGGGGCCGTGATACCGAGGGTTGTGTGTCATCGGAGATCTGTGATTGTAGTACTGGCGTGTCCCGAGTCAACGGTTACCCTGGACACGACCTTGCCTATATCATATGAACCATTACCAACACTGGTTTGATACACGACAGGTACAGTCACAATGGCTTTCGAGAGGACCAGCTGTCAGAGACTTCAACGCCTGGCCTCATCTCTGAAGCCCAGACGTGGGATTCTAAAACTACAAAAGTGCTGTTTATACATAAAGGTCGAATGAGAGAGAGGCCTCTCACCATCCTTCTCATCATCGTTTCCGCAAACACAGACTCAACCCAAGGTATTGCAACATCAGAGTTTCGCAAACTCCGTTTATCGCTTGACCCAGGCAGGCATCTTGCGAGCCTTGACATGGCCGTGCTTCTTTCTCTCCACAGTTCTTGGATCTCTCGTAATACAGCCAGCTGGACACGAAGGTCAGTTATTGCTTGACGATTCGCCATCATGGGAAAAATCAAACACGTACCTTTTCGAAGAGCAGTCTTGAGCGCAGGCTCGTGAACGATCAAAGCTTTGGCAACCGCCAACGTAAGGGCTTCGGCTTGACCGGTTGTTCCACCGCCTTCCACCAACGCCCAGACATTGTATTTGTCTAACCGCTCAGTGGCCTGCAGAGCCCACACCGCGCTCTCGCGATCATGAATACGGCCAAAAGCCTGGCTAAGGGTTTTCCCGTTGATCAAGACCTCTCCCGTACCTTCCACAACCCAAGCCCGAGCCGTAGATTCCTTTCGCTTGCCAACACCGACAGCCCGGCCGTACTTATCGATTGTCACCTCGTGAGGTACGTTCATAAAAGGGTTGATGTCTCGCTTGAACTCATCAAGAGCCACCTGAACCTCCTGGGGGAAAAGTGAGGGCTCGATGAGGTTCAGACGCTTGGCAACTCGGATAACCTTGGCGTAGTGGGAGGCTTTAATCGGTTCACCAAGCTTCGAACGCATTTCCTGGAGCTTGACCCAAGCTGTTGGGGGAGCGGCACTCGGGGGTAAAGTTGGGAGGGCGTGGTATTTGGTAAGAAGACGAGCGACTCGGAGGTACATTTCGTTGAATTGCGGCTCTCGTGAGAAGTACGAGGCCGAAAACGGAACGGCTCGCGCATGCTCAACGCCCTGGAAAGGAAGCGAGATTTTGGTCTTGGAGTCTATCACGGAGAATTCATCGGGCTTGGGTCCGACGACTGTTGTTGATGTTTCGGTGGTGATGCATCGCACAGCGAGGGGAAAAGTCGAACGTTGCGAGGCTGGTTGAGGCCATGGTGCTCGGAAAGCCTTGCCGTGGCACCGTAGTTGCCGTAGGCTATGTGTAAATGTCGACATGATGGCCAATTCGGAGGAGAGCCCCGTCGGTTTCGCGTATCGGACCTCGAGGTTCACTGTCTGTCCAGAAAAACTTCATGGGAATTCAAGATCCATTCAGCGTCTAGCTCTGCAGGTTAGGTCACGTGGAGTGGTTGTTCGATTAGACTTGGACACAGCCACATGTTCGACTTCGAATCAGCCACTCCAATCCACACAGCCACCGTTCCCACCGTTCGCGTTGCTCGTTGCTCGGGCAGTCAGGCAGGCATGACCCCACCAGCGCGGGGCATGCAATTTGACACACTTTAAAAAAACTTCCCCCTCCTTCTTTTTCTTCTCCTCATCCTCCCTCTCACTCTTTGTCTGTCAACTTATTCTAGCTGCCTCAGCAAAGCATTCAAGATGGCTTTCGGAACTCTCTTCACCCGCGAGGTACATACTCTCGAGCCCTGAATTTGATTCTGAATATGCTGCAAATGGTCGTCGTTACTGACTGGTCCTGGGTTCTTCCAGAACAACTGCCGTTCTACAGCCATCCGCGCTGTCGCCAAGGCGAACGACATCGAGCTCAACATCGTCGAGGCCGAGAAGGGCAACGCCACCGCTGAGCACCTCAAGGCCAACGGTCTTGGCAAGATCCCGGCCTTCGTTGGCGAGGACGGCTTCACTCTCTCCGAGTCCATTGCCATTGCCATCTACAGTAAGCGAAGCTGTGCGCGATGCGAAAAACTCGCACCATTTTTTCCAAAATTTCTTGCCCCTCTCCCCGCGAATGATGATATAGCCTTTTTATACAGTTATCCCTATCTGAAATGTCTCATTTCAAGAGTTATTGTGTTGATACCGTCTAACTTCTGACCTTGCAACCCAACCATTCTTTCATATTGCCATATTTTGTCGGGAATCTCGCTAACCCCGCTTCAGTCACCTCCCAGAACGAGAAGACCACTCTCCTCGGCAAGACCAAGCAGGAGTAAGTTCATACCCTGACTTCCAAGTGACTCATATACTGACTTCTCCAAGCTATGCTTCTATCCTGAAGTGGATGTCCTTCTTCAACTCTGAGATCCTTCCCAGCCTCATCGGTTGGTTCGGTCCCCTCAAGGGCGACGCTCCCTACAACAAGAAGAGCGTCGACGATGCTTCCAAGGCTGCCCTGAAGGCTTTCTCCGTTGTTGAGCAGCACCTCATCCGCAACACCTTCCTCGTCGGCGAGCGCATCACCCTTGCTGATCTCTTCGCTGTTGGTATCGCCACCCGCGGCTTCCAGTACTTCTTTGACAAGCAGTGGCGCGAGGAGAACCCCGCCGTCACCCGATGGTTCGAGACTGTCCGCGCCCAGCCTATCTTCTCTGAGGTTGCTGAGAAGGTCGAGCTCCTCGAGACCCCCGCTCTTACCAACACTCCCCCCAAGAAGCCCGAGCAGCCCAAGAAGGAGGCCAAGAAGGAGGCTAAGAAGGAGGCCGCTCCCGCTGCCGCCGCTGACCCTGCTTCTGACGAGGCCCCTGCTGCCCCCAAGGTCAAGCACCCTCTCGAGGCTCTCGGCAAGCCCTCTTTCCCTCTTGACGAGTGGAAGCGCCAGTACTCCAACATCAAGGACCACAACGAGGCCATGAAGTTCTTCTGGGAGAACTTCAACTTCGAGGAGTGGTCCATCTGGAAGGTTGACTACAAGTACAACGAGGAGCTTACCCTCACCTTCATGTCCAACAACCTGATTGGCGGCTTCAACAACCGTCTTGAGGGTTCCCGCAAGTACATCTTCGGATGTGCTGCCGTCTACGGCGAGAACAACGACTCTGTCATCCAGGGTGCTTTCGTCATCCGAGGCCAGGAGCACGTCCCCGCCTTCGATGTCGCCCCCGACTGGGAGAGCTACGAGTTCGTCAAGCTCGATCCCACCAAGCCTGAGGACCGACAGTTCGTTGAGGACGCCTGGGGCTGGGAGAAGAACATTACCGTTAACGGCAAGGAGTACAAGCTTGCTGACGGTAAGGTCTTCAAGTAAATAATTAAAAAAAAGGAAAAAGAAAACAAGAGCGATGATGATAATGGCTTACGGTTAAATGGTTTCGGGAGGGTAAATGAGTTTATGATATCTGTATGCCTCATGAAGGCCCTGCCGGCTGGCAAATTCACTATGCAGTGACCAAAAGAGAACAAAGAGGTGTCTATCTTGATATAGACTAGACAGTTGACATAACACATTACTGTGCACAAAAGACAAAATTTTTGATGATGACTTTCCTGACAATTTTCTATCTGTGTATACAACTCCTTAAAGTCACAAGTCTTCGCATTTATCTATGAGGCCTAATACCTCGGGTATCTCTGGACATGAAACTCAATCCTTCGCGACAGCGAGCGACTCAATCTGGAATGCGAGTTGCTTTACACAACGACGCGTGTCCCTCCCTAATCGAGGGTTGAGTAGGCAGGCTGCTCTGGCAATACATAGTTTGGGTCAGGCTTGAAAGGTGACTGTCGGACGAAGCGGCTGATATCTGCCTGTTGGGCCAGCTCGTTGATGTAGTCGTGCACCTGAGGTAGAACATTGGGCGTTTCCTTAGCCAGCCCAGTGAATTCAGGCAATGTGAGCATGTTGAACGGCTCACTCCGGCCCTTCTCAAAGGAGTCGTCGACGAGAATAGTGTTAGTCTGATCCCATAGACCGCCCTTATGGGCCTGGGGATGAGCAGCCATTACGCGTGGGTTGGTCCATATGGTTGTCAGGCGCTTGTAGACCTGGACTTTCGAGTTGTAATCTTCTCCGGAGAGACCAAAAGAATCGCGACCCCAGACAACAAGGCATTGCTTGACCTGCTCGGGTGTGAGGAGTTGCTCGACCATCTTGTTGACGTTCTCAGGACGGGCCGAGGACCAGATGGCAACGTGGAAGGTATCGAGGAGGTAGTTGAGAAATGTCGTCGCGTGGGGTCGTTCGACAAAGTGGAAGGGACGGCGCTTATTTGGACGATGGAGAAGTGTACCGTTAAGGTCCATAACAATGAGTATACGGCGTGGTTGAGCTAGTCGTTCCGGACTAAGGTTCGCCTGGGCAAGGTATTGACTTGTTGGATCTGGGACGCCTCCGGATGCTTTGCTGGGTGTTTTTGGAGGGGATTGGGAGCGGTTGGGCTGTTGCTGTTGCTGTTGAATAGGGGCCTTTTTCATAGACTTGGGACCTGTGGGAATGCTATTGACATGGTCAGTATGGAGGAACTGATTGTTGGTCTTGCTAGACGTACTTTGGTCGAGGAGGAAGCGAGCTTGGTGTAGGCTGGCCTTTCCGGGGGCCCTTGGGGGCATTCTTAGGCGCACCACCTGGCTTCACCAGTGTGAGACCCGGTATATTCATCGATGCTGGTTGCTGAGATGCGGTGGAAGTTGAATATCGTGTTATTGTGGCTGGATAGAGCAAAGGGGCATGTTGCGACGACGTGGTTTTCTTCGAATCTCGCGGTGTTGTAGAGCAAAATCTTAACGAAGTGAAAGCTTGTAGATGTCTGGCTAGACTCTGCGTAAAAAATATGTCAGGAGTATAAATGCCGAGCAAGCGACCTTTAAACAAAGAGCGGACCCGAGACAACATGGAGATGAGCAAAACAACAGCATCAAGCACGTTGCGATTCGCGACAGTTTTGCATTAAGCAATTGGCCTTTTGAGCTTTAGCGTCCGACATCGCGGGGCAGATCGACGAGATTATTCAGTTATCGGGGGCTTAAGATAAGACCACCTCGTGGGGCTTATCGGCCACCCAAAAAAAAGTTCCAAAGCGTCGCATCATGAAAGACTACTGCGGATTGTTTATTTCACTTTATCATACTCACACAGCAACACAACATGGGATTTAAGCGAAAACCGTCGTCCTCGCTAGGGCTGGAGAGAAGGGTGCGACCGCGCAAGGAGGATGAGTGGGTGGAGGACCCAGAGACTCAGGGCTCTTCAAGTGAGGACGATGATGAGGTTGAGGAGGAGGGTATTCGAGGCGCATATGATGATGACGAAGACGAGGATGAAGATGGGGAAGATCAGCAATCTGAAGATGGCTCAGAAGATGAGTCTGAGGTATGGTTGGCCCTTTTCTTTCATAAATGTCAGTGCTAACTGATACAGTCCGACCATGACGCACCAAAGATAGACCTTTCGTCAGTCTCATTCGGCGCCCTTGCAAAAGCACAAGAAACACTACCCTCTGTTGGCCGCAAATCGAAATCAAAGAAATCTACCGACGAAGAGACACCTAAGACAGAAACACCGGCGCCAAGGAAATCCACTAGATCAAAGGACGACCCCAAACCCAAGCGGTCCTCCAAACATGCGCCCCAAGAGCAAACCTCCAAGAAACCAGTATCCCGCCGTCGCGAAATCCTCCCCGATAATAAGCGCCAATACCGCGACCCACGCTTCGATCCCCTAGTCGGCCGCGTGGACGAAGAGAAAGCCAGCAAAGCCTATGCCTTCTTGGACGAGTACCGCGACAAGGAGATGGCCGACCTGCGCGTCAAGATCAAGAAGTCCAAGGACTTTTACGAAAAAGAGGACCTCAAGCGCCAGCTTCAGTCCATGGAGTCTCGCAAGAAGTCCAATCTGCGTAGACAGGAGGAGGAGAACTTGCTGAAGGAGCATCGCCAGAAGGAGAAGGAGCTTGTGGCGCAGGGCAAGACGCCGTTCTACCTGAAGAAGAGCGAGCAGAAGAAGCAGTTGCTTGTGAACAGATACGAGGGTATGAGCAAGGGACAGGTCGACAGGGCGATTGAGAGGAAGAGGAAGAAGGTTGCGGGTAAGGAGAAGAAGGAGTTGGATTTTTTGCAAAGACGAGGATGAGAGTTGTCTTATCATTGAGGTTATATATCGGAGTGAGGATTGATTTAGCGGTCGGAATCATAATTAGATTCGGGATCGGGAAGACCATCTTTTTGACGACATCGAAACAGTGAACTTTATATCATCTTCTACTGCAGGTGTAAGACGAACCAACCAAATAGACAAAAGGGAAGTGCTCGCCAAGAACAAGCAATTGAATCATTGTTCTGCGTCCCAACAGCTTCGCCCGTCCCTACCCTTCTGGTAGCTTTCCATACAGCAGTCCCTGAAGAGTAAAAGCTACCAGATATTTAAAGAGACAAAAGACAAAAACATACTACAGCGAGGATTCGCTGGTCGTCACCGACCCAACTACTGATTCGCCCCTTATCAGCTTATCCATGGGAGAGCGGACGGGATCCCAAGTTCTCTGATAGGTATGGTCATATGTGGTTGTGAAGCTTGCAGCTTTCGCTTATAGTGGGTTCACCAGGAGGATATTTTGCAGACATGCAACAAAGACCACCCAAAGACAACAACCTATCGATACATAGCTAATATATAAAGAATGACAGTAAGAAGAGGAAACCATGTGAGGAAAGTGGATAAAAATACAAGCAGTAGCTTTGGTCGCCAGATATCACAAAACTCATTCATGATTAGCTCAAAACACCAAAAAAACATACAACAGCGGGGATTCGCTGGTCGTCACCGACCCAACTACTAATCCGCCGGTTAGTGGCTTGACTATGGGAGAGCGGACGGGATCCCGTACTTTCCACTACCTTTGGTCGTATGTGATTATCATGGTTGTGAATTTGGATCATATAGACAGTACAGAATGAACACTGTTAACCCTCAGGCCAACTCACTCGTCAGATATAAGTGCCACAGAATAGAAATCTATACGCCATTAGGATTCGATGAAAACCGACTCTTTAAGAAGTATGATTTACTCTATAGCGGCCATTATTATTGTATAGAAGTCCTCGCCAGGATGTCCAGCAGACAACGAACAGAATCTTCCACAGAACCGCTTACATCAAGCTTCCCAAAGGCCAGTTTCACACTACTATCTCCTCTGCTGATAACGTCAGGCTCTATAAGTTTGTGCGCGTCCATTATCAGCCGAAGGAGATGTACGTCGGTGAGTTTCCCCTTGCTGTCCTGTTGACGCTCAGGGGTAGACACCCGTTGTTCGTGAATATCACGACGGCATTCAACGTTGATCCAGTAAATCGTGGTGTCGCTTCTGTGAGAGTTTTCGAGGTGCTCTTGGTAGAAAACTTCATCTATCGGAACGCCAGCGGCTAGACATGCTGTCATGAGTATAGTATGACCTTTTCTCGCCTGGTTGCTCAATTCTTCAAAAATAGGGCCTCGGACCAGACGACGCAACTCATGGTGTCTATCGGTTCGATTAGGAATCACTGCGGTAACTGGATCGATAAGTAGATGGTTGTCGAGCAGGCATGTTGTGAATTCAGGGAGAAGTTCTTTCAGGCGTTTGAGGATGGTGAGCTTTCCTGTGCCTGGGAGGCCATTCAAAACAACGATCTTGCCGCTGGGACTTAATCGAAGGGCTCTGAGATGCTGGATATTATCTTGTCGTGATATTGTGAGGTTTTCGAGCGCCTTTTCAATAGGTGTGTTTGAGGGTTTGGGGAGAGACATGGCGAGAGTGGATGGTGGAGGAGAGAATATTTCGAGGAGAAAAGAGACCGCAACATATTTATGTAGAGAAACACAGCTTTGGCTTTTCGTGTGACTCATTGATATACTATGGTAAATAGAACACCTACTAAAGTACACGTGTTTATTTGCTAATATCGTAGTTCGGATAGGAGAAGCTTAACTTAATTTCAAGCCATCTCAACCAAAGCTCAAGTCATCCGCGTGACTGAGATTTCGTTATGCAGTTTGGCTCGTAGGATCTTGACGGCGATGCGTGGGCTGCAGTGTATAGATATCTGCTTCACATGAACAGGAATGAAAATTGCTAAGTAAATATTAAGTTGAAGTAGCCCATAGTGGCGCCGTATTTAGAAGATTTTGAAGTCTTGATAGAAACAGTTTTCCCAAATAGCCCGTTTATGTTGTTCCGGTCTTTCAATACCGAAAAATACCGAAGACACTCCTATTCCTCTAAACCCTATCCTATCGCACGGACAATCCCATTAATCGCTCGTCAAATCAATGACTGCCACTTCTGTCTGGCTGATCCTGCGCTTATCTCCAACCACTGGCCGCGACGGAAGATTCGCTTGAATTGCCTGTCCACGTCTAAGCAGATCGACCTTCTCGTAACCCTCCCCTAAGAATGTCCTGAGGTGGTCTATCTGGATCCGATTCAGATGGCCAAGAACAGTGTCCTTACGCATTATCCAGCGCTGTGACTTGACCTCCTCTTGCTGGGTTTGCTTGGTCACTACCAAAGTTTCTGGGTGGGTTGTCCGCACCATTTGGTGAGTGCAGCGAACGCCTGCGCCATCGAGGCTTTGGTGCATGTGGTGACGACGTGGTTTACTCAGGGGAAACCCTTGTGACTTGAGTGACGAGTGGCTCAGAAATGCGTTCAGGGCTGTGCAGTCACCACAGCTGCAGTATACACCAGCCATGGAATAGTTGGCCGTTTCCGTGGGCTTGGGGCCGACGTATCCATCGATGACACCTGTGATGATGGCAGAGAAGAATTCGCGGTAGACGGGTGTATCGAGAGGGGTGTTCTTCGCCTCAAGCTTTTGAATCATAGGGGCTAGAAGTGGCAACCAAATGGTAATGCGCTCAAGATGTGGAAGTTTATCGGATTGCGAAGTGACCTTGGCTACAAACTGACTTGCGAGATTATCCAAATCAGTGCTTTCCTCGAGGATGCAAGTGAAGAACAGAAGTAGCATCTTATAGTCCACAGTATTTTTGGTCGCGTTAGGATTGCTTATGGGAGTCTCGTTGGGTCGCGTCTGACGCAGTCTTCTGTTTTCGAGAGCCTCGATATATCTTTGATCAAGTATACAAGTGAAGTCTTGAGAAGTAACGAAAACTCGGACCAAAGTTCGGTAGAGATTCATGGCCTCTTCTTTGGGAAGTGTTCCGTTTCTGCCAAGTTCCTTCAGGCGGTTCAGAAGACTCAAGCGGAACGCAGGGGCCGCAAGACGCTTCTCAAAGATGGGTACCACGCTTCAGTATTTATTAGCATGATGCCCACATCAGGAAGAAGGGACATACCTTTGAGTCAGAACAAGTATCGGATCCTCAAAGTAGATAGCTTGATCAACCAAGGCTGAGCCATCACTCTGGCCAACATCTGTAGGTTCTTCACCCTCAAGGAGCTTGCGCAATGATGAGCGAGCCCATTCCAGCATTGGCCCAGGTACAGGGGTGAGGTCAGGGTTGAGGGCTTTCGGAAGAGGCGCCAGGCTCTTGATGTTCTGAAACTGGGGACCGAAGCTACCGGATGGTGATACTGCGGGCTGGAGTCTATCAGATTGGTTAGTCACACTATCGGACACCGACGGGGTTGCGGAACCATACGCAGTTTTTATCTTTTCGAAACGCTCTAGACGTTTGTCGTCTTCATCTTCTTCCTCGATTATCCAGTCTCTCACCCACTCAAAAAGGTCTGGGGTCAAGGCATGGTAAAACTTAGACATGGCCATCTCGAAGAACTGGTACTCGTGCTGTTGCAAAGCCGCCTTGATAACTGTCTGCACGATGGTTACATCTCCCATCGACTTCCACATATCGTTTGGGCTTTTGCTCTCACTGAGCGCTCGGTTAAAAAGCTGCTTCATAGCTGTAACCAGATATTCTGGCGCATCATAGACCATGCATTGGTGAGCAAGCCAGTCTATCTGGAATCGAAGAGGTGTGGTCGAGGACCCATAAAACTGTCTACAATTACCAAGATAATTGACGATCGAGTCGTGAGGGACGACTGTGATGGCCTATTTTAGAGAGTAAGCGTAATGATCTTTATCAATACCTGAGTGAAACCTACCCCGACGCGATACCAGTGTGTAGCAGTCGGACCCTAAGAAAGAGTTACAGACAACCCAGCCATGTCTCTGATTATTTTGGGCGTATAAGACACTTCGAAGACATCTTCGAGTTCATGATAGGCCCCTGGATCTTCGCCGTAGTCAATTTCGTCCTCATACCATTTACGCTTCTTCCCTTTCAACCAAGGGTCCATGTATACACTTCCGAACTCCTTTTTTTCGAGGAGTGCAAGGAACAGACTGACTGGCAGCCCATCGCAAGCTTCTTGAAGGGCTGTGATGCGGGTCAAGTCGTCACCCTTCAGTGAGCGGAAGGATACGTTCGCCTCGGTATATTCGTGGTCCAGCACATGATACACGTACTTGTTCTGGCGAGTCTGCTTCTCGAGAGCGAGCCATCGCTCAAGGCAGCGGCGAATTGGAAGCATTTGAGAAGGACTGTACCCGGCAGAAGGGGGTGGTAGTGATTGATCGATGGCGAGGTTAAAAGCGAGGATCCATCGGTAGCCCGAAGTAACGGGCAGGACTTCGTGGGACACGTCCGAGTACCAGCTGGCGCAGGACATGTCGTGTTTTGACGAGGAATAGGTAATAGTCTCGCCACAATGCTTGAGAATAACATCGCCTCCAGTGTGAATAGATGGTAAACTGATGACAAGCGTACCAAACATGCCAGGGATCTTTTCAGTGCTTTATCGCCGATATTAATGACTTTCTTTCTGATTGGGAATAGTATGGTCCTACTCTGTGTGCGCTTTGAACATAGCACCCTTCTCATAGACCAACATCTTGTAGATCTCAGCGTGAACAGCCGTGTTAATGCCTAGGCTTGCAGCAACATGTTGGCAAAGTTGTTGGACAAGCCCGGCCCAACCTGGCGATCCGATGTCGAATTGCGAGGGATCAAGTTCCCACGTATTCCGCACGGCAGTATCGACAATGGTATCGCTCCCCTTACCATAAGGCGCCTGATGAGCCTGTGCTATAATCTGCCGCGCTTGAGACTCGCCAAGAGGCAGCGCTATTTCCCCCACTCCGTTTACAGAAATGGGAAGAGGACCTATTCTACCGATTGGTACCGAGGATGCGAATGTTCCAACGGATTGGATGTCGGTGATGGCATCGAGCAGGTCCTCTTTGAAGCGGCCATTGGAAGCATCTGCGCTCAGGTCGCTGGCATCACCATGATCCAGTGGTTCTTGGGCATAAGCTTCAACCTCTGGGGCCATTTTGAACGAAATGAGCTTGGACGCTCAAAATTCAGAATGAAGCTATCGCGAAGGTTGAGTTGGGTTGAAGGGGTTGAAGCGCGACTGCGTTTGATCTGCAGGAAAGCAATTAGATAGAGTTTCGCAGTGAGCTAGTCACAGGAACTCCACCAATAGCGTAAGAGTATTCTCGGTGTAAGTCCTAGTGGGATGCTCACCTTTATGCTGTATAAATTTGGTAAAGCAGAAAAGAAAAACGAATTTAGTTAGTTAAATGAACTGCTACCTAGTCCTGAAAACATGTAGAAATATCAAATAAGGCTCGAGGCACTGTTCCATACGAGTTCCGGCGTGGCGTAGAGTAGCCACCATTAAAAAGTTGAATATTTATGGTTAAAATTCTATGCCTAAATTCCACGATGATTATAAGTAATCCAACCTGCAAACGAGAACCTCCGAATACATGAGAATCGAAATTAAATAAATTTGACAATAGCGACACTGCTTATTCACCTCCTCCGCCTCCTCCATCACCACCTCCACCACCACCGCTATCACCACCGCTTCCCCCGCCACTATCACCACCATGGTCTCCTCCTCCACTGCCACCATGGTCTCCTCCTCCACTGCCACCATGGTCTCCCCCTCCTCCACTGCCACCATGGTCTCCTCCTCCTCCACTACTGCTCCCCATATGACCACCTCCAACCTCGCTAATAGCACCGCCTCCCATTCCATCTTCTACTCCTGTCCAGCCCCAATGACCTCTGTCTTTATGTCCTGCATCATGACCAGCCCCTTGAACTGAGGATCCTCCGTAGATATTTCCCACATGATAGCTTCCACCATCAGTGGCAGACGCATCATAGGTCTTATCCCGTGAGGTCCTAGTGAGATCTTCTTGGCTCATAGACGACCTGCGGAAAGTTGATGGCGTGGTAGGAATGCTGCTCATAGCAGGCTTGATAGGCCCCAGGTTCGACTTTTCATTGTCTTTTTTCTGTTTCCGATGCGGAACGTGGATGTATTTTGTAACGAAGCTTTTTAACGACATTATGTATGTGGTGTTTTGACAGATGTTGAGAGCAGGAATATTAGACGACCTCTCAAATGAGATCTGGGGTTTTATATATCGAAATTCGCTCGTATTTAATGCCTCGGCTTAAACGAGTCAATCTAGAACAGTCGCTGATTGCTTTCGTAGCTACCTATGGTACGATAGGAGTGTTGGTTGGACCAACACAGCCATTCTCCTATCCCAGCTGACTCGGGCCAAACCGAAGCGCCTCATACTTGATACTTGATTTCGATCTCGTAACCGAAAAGGAACAAGGGTCAGAATAGGCTCTGAAATCTAAATTAGCGCTGTATTCTCACTGTGTAGAATTTCCCGAAGTATGCCTAAAAATTATTGGAGAAACGCCAGTTCACATCGTGTAAGTGAGGATATCGTCAGTTGTGCAGTTCGGAATTGAACAACATACTTCGCGGCCTGTTTCTTGGCTATGACCCTCGGCACTTGGGAATGAACTACCTATTGTTTGCAGAACACGTCAGACTCCACCGCAGTCACTGCAATTGGTGACGTCTCATTTTATTGCTTAGCCCCAGGCTTCCAGATATCAACCAAACTCCGTGTTAGTGCGACACCTGATAACAAGGCGGAATTTCTAGGCTACAGCTCATGTGAACATTTAATTAGCGTAAATAATCACGATGAAGTAATGCTAAGTTAGGTGGTTTAGGGTGTTTCTGACCCCCCTAGAAACCGATCCCCCCTGCGATTTTAAATAGACGATTTGCCTATATCTAATCACCACACATGACCTATATAAATACCCTAATATAAGCCAATTGTCTATTGGATTTTTATCATAGGGTTAGTTTCTCGGAGAGGTCGTTTTCCCCTGAGGTAACTTATCTTGCACTATACACATTAGGTCCCTAATAGTCTGCCATTTTAATAAACATATTGCATTATCCTTGGTTTCTTTCAATGCGAGTCACTTATAAACCTTTACATTACCCTCCATGAGAGCCCGTTTATCCAATGGCGAACATCCTGCAATAAACCACAGAACGATGCACTCTCTGATCTCGTCGTATTTAGTTACTGGTGACTTTAGTAGGACTTGTTGGAGAGACTCGGTGAGATTTAATCATAGCTGGCTCGGAATGGGAAACTTGCACTCTAAGTTAATGGATATATTTGTTGGACTCGTCACTGGTTGTGGTGAGTTGGGCCTGATTGGGTGTCTTATTTAGAATACCTACGCCTTTCTACAGGTACCTAGGTAAACAGAACAAAATCGGCATGCCATGGCTCATTCCTATTTCCGCGTTCAAATCTATAGCTTAGCCATGATTTGCCTGGGGAAAGTGCCTTGCGTAGCCTGACGACGTGGTTGCATATTGGGCTGAGCAAGGATTCATTCAGCTGAAAGGCAAGAAGGAACTTCCCCACCCGCTTCTCAACTTCACACCTACATATGCATCTCTTCCTACTACCGTATCCCTACTCTGGCATACAATCTTGTAGCTAGCCATGGAGTTATTACCAGCGCTTCAGCTATCCAGCATCATCGTTCGCTACTTCAACTTTGTTGGAAATCTCGCAACTGCCGCTTCACTCGCCAAGATCCAGCCACAAGATTTCCGGCTCCAACATGTTCACGACCAGTTCTCCAAAATCATGTCAGAATTCCAAGATGTCTTTACCAAGTTGAATAAGGAGCATCGTAGAGCCACAGAATCAAAGTTTGCTGCAATATATAGTTGTGCGGTTTTCTGCGCTCGCGACTGCAATACTATACTTGGGGGCATCGAAGCATCAATTCAAAAAACGGCCACTTGCCCTGAAACTGGGATACAGTATGCGGCAATGGTCGTCCGTGTATTCGCATCAGGTTCTCAGCAGGGCCTTAGGGTTAGGGTTAAGGAACATGTTCTTCCTGAAGCTTTTCGTTTGGCTAAGTAAATTAGACTTGGGCTGGTTCTCACCCTTCCAACTTCTGTTACTAACACGGGCAGCGATATCCTGCAGCATGCACTAAGCCAACTTCAAGACACCAGGCAACGGTTTGGTACTTCTCTTACCGCAGAATCCGCAGATTTTCAAAAATTGCAGAGCTCTGCTAGCCTTCTTCAGGTTCAGGTTGGCGGACTCAGCATAGTCTCCCGTGGAACAGAGACTTGTGACGACTTCTTCGATAAGCTAACGCAACTGTTATCCGATCTTGAGCGTGTTCAGAAAACGATGCAAGTGCTGCACGAGCTCGACTATCGTGAGAGGCTACAACGTCATGATAGAATCTCGGAAGCCCACAAAGGAACTCTTGCATGGGCCTTGAACCAAGGCCATGAGGACGATCCCAACAACTCATCGACATCGCTCAGTAGTTGGCTTACTTGTGAAAAAAGCCTTGCTTGGGTTACGGGAAACCCTGGCTCCGGTAAATCTGTATTGATGAAGTTTGTTGCCGATCATCAAGATACCCGAAAACTCCTCAAGACGTGGGCCGGAGAGAGAGAAGTACTAGTCATCAGTCACTATTTCGATGCCCTGGGTACACCATATCAAAGATCACTCGAAGGGCTTCTAAGATCACTCGTATATGGCATCATAAGTGCAAAACCAACATTGGGTAGTGAGCTACTACCAAATGTATGGGAGCCTTCATCGATTGCCTCTCTGCCGACTACGTTCGATTTTGCATCCATCATGGATCGGATAGCAAACAATGCCTTCCCGGTCAATGTATGTTTCTTCATTGATGGCTTAGACGAGTATGGTGGCGAGGATACATATCTGTGTCAACTGATAGCGAACATCGCTCGCTTGCCTTTCGTCAAGATATGCGTCTCTAGCAACACCCTTCCTGTATTTGAAAACAAATTAGGCAACTTGTGTGAAACGAAACTGGCACTACACAAAGTCAACCGCGACGACATTTACCACTACATCAAAGATCAGATATATCAACGCAGGACTCCCTCTTCAGGTCCTAGCTACCAACAATCTGGGGCTATTGCTGATAAATCACAAGGGATATTTCTTTGGGCGGTGTTGGCAATTCGTCTCCCCCTTGATATTTTCAGCCATGTCCAGAGTTACAAAGACATCCCCTGTGATTTGAGTGAGTTGGTGAGGCTTACTATGGAGTCTGTGGACTTTCGTCGACATGAAGCAATGGCGGGAAGTCTCATAATGGCTCGTGATGAGCAATTCTTACCGGCAGAGATTATTTTCTTTCACCAAACAGGATATAATATCGAAGACTTGAGGTTCTCGCTCTCAAGAGACAAAGAGCCACTTACATCTGGGGGCGAAAGTTCACGAAATCAAATTTTCGCTGCAAAAATACGCCTCCGTCTCAAACAGACGTGCAATGATCTATTGGAAGTCCGCGATGGGGGAGTGGTATTCATGCATCGTGTGATTCTTGATTTAATGTATAATCACAACATCTCTGACTCCTTGCTCACGAAGGCTGGGAGAAACTTTGACTCCGACTTTTCGATATTCAAGGCATCGATATCTTGGTTCAAACAACGGCGTTATCAAAGTGGCAAACTTCAAGGCTCAAAAGCAGCTCCTCAAGCCATCAGTCTGGCATATATGGAAAGCCTCATGAAGTTCCTTGCTACTCATAGCGACGACGTATCAAGCTTCCGTAACCTACAGCTTAAACCATCCGAGGTTTACGCTTTGAGTAGAGCTGTCAACTTTAGAGGTGGATGTGATAGCGTTTGTAGGGATGCAGCATGGCCCAGTATTGCCCGAGACTTGGGGTACACGGACGAGACTGCACTATCAACTGCTGAAACCTTCAAGTATACCTACAAGACCTGGATCCGTCTGTACGAAAATCACATGTACCGCCAGAGGTTGGGAGAACGCGATCCAATGGAAGATATATTAGATCTTGCTGACAGTTTGAAACTGAGTTTGAAATTCGCACGTCGTTGTGATCAAAAGGAGACGCAGGTTGCGTCCGTGATGTGGGAAATTCTTGATAATGCCGAGGAAAGCCTGTTGGCCATGGCTGCCAGAGGGCAATACAACACAATCGATCTCTCTATGATGAGGGGCATATACCGGCATCTGGTCATTGAAGCTGGCATCGAGGGTTACCTTAGGAATAAGGTTTTAGAAGACCCAGGATACTTCGACAACGAGTATTCAAAGGCTTATCGATCGCCCTTGTACTCAGCGCTTGGAGTGACACCTCGTTTCCTCTGCGGTGGAAAGCCGAGAGCAAGGCATTACAACAAGTGGCTAATTGAGGACCTTCTTATCCTTGGACATGACCCCAACAAGACCTACAGGGGAGGAGAGACACCATTCTCAGCATTTGTTGATCATTGTATCCCTGTTACACTATCTGATCCTCCTTTGCAGTTTGACGCCCGCAATCTCATTATGGATATCGAGATGCTCAGCCTTATGCTTCTTCATGGGGCAAACTCGGAAACTTACACTGAAGTACGCGACCAAAAGTCTAGAAAGTGGCGCGTTCCAGTTTGGTTCAAGGTCCTGAAACTGGCACCATGTATAGAAACTCCTTATCAAGATATGTTCGAACGCGTGTTCGACATGATACTGGAGCACTCTTCTACTCTGCCACATGCCCAAGCACTACTGGAACTCAAATCTGGAGGCGAGACATTTCAATGGATTCCCTATCCTATTTGGAAAATCTGCAAAGATAACTTCGAGCTACATACAATCACAGAGGATTCTAGTCCATCTGATGCTTATTTCGTATTCAGGATCTTTTCGAAAGTTTGCGAAAGAACTGCGAAGGACTTGGAAACATCACATTGCACTAAGCAGTATCTTTCTCACTGCTTTTGGCCTAATCATCCAGAACTCGCTCACCAGATGTCATATTCGACCCCTATAAATGAGTTGAGAACAGTAGGTCACACAACCAACAGTTCATTCACGCCTGGGGGGAGTGCAGAGAGCTTGAGTTACCGGATATCTACATCCGCAACTTCGATCGAGCTTCCCGGGACAGGGGTCGACTCGGGACACCAAAAGGGTGGTGATACAGATGGCAGTAACATCGGTCTTTTTATGGAGGATAGTAATATCGACGATGTCTGCTCAATCCAGTCAATCGACGATGACATTCAGTCGAAAATTAGTAGTATTGCAAGAACACCTCACACCATAGCTGCGGAACGTCAGGTTGGTGATCTTCTGTCTCGTCACCCAGAAATTCGCTTCATCCTTGACGCATCTGGGGATATCATGCCAAAGGATAGACTCAAACGCAACATTCGGAGATCACTCAAGCTTTTGTACCTGGAGCTCAGAAAAGAGGCTCAAGACAACGTCCAGGTGCAGGTCCTGACAGCACGAATGCTTAAAGGACGGGGATCCCGCACAAGAATATCAGAACGAGCTGTCAACGACGAACTCACAGTGGCTCCTCTTGAAAATGAAGATCAAGATCATAGTAATCGCCTAGACTTTCGCAAGGACAGAGAGTTCCTGGATACCTGGCTTTCGCAAGTACAATTATCCCAAAGATTGGAAGATGACTCTCTAAAAGCCCAGCTAAAAGACGATACTATGAGAGATACTGCCACAGAAAGTGACTATGGCACAAGTGAGGACAGTTTAAGTGACTCAGAAGAATTTCAAGCAGTTCAGCTCGCCCAAGATTTTCTAATGAACGGCGCTCCCTTTCTTGCTTTTCTTACGCATCTTGGTCTTTCTTTATTGCCTGATCATCTAAGACAGGTCATGCAACTGGCATCCTGGGACAATATAGAGCTTATCGACACCCCGTTCGAGATCTCGACTATTGACCAAATCAAGTCGTTCGCCGAGAATTTGACTGGTAGTCCTTGGAACTGGTGGCCAATGAATACACCTAAGGTCCCGCTACAGAGAGGCTATATACGAATGAACTGGCATTGTGTAAGTTGACCTACTAACTCATAAGAAATCGGCCGCCACACACTGACAATATGTAGCATTGCGGCAAGCTATTCTGGGTTGATGTCACCCCTACCCAGGCTCGAATAATTGGGAGAATAGTCAATGACCCTACTTCTTTCGTCAATGACTATTGCAAGGTTATTCACAGCGGACAAACTATCTTTCAAAAGTTAAGGGGTTGGTTCAGCTGGAATTCGGATACGATTTTACCTGTTTCGGTGCCCTCTTCTCAAGCCAACCAGCCATCTATATTCAATAGGGGGATCAAGGATCAAGATCAAGGAGAAGCAACCACTACCGCACACTCTCACAGTCCGCCTAAAACCGTCGAAGGCTTGAGAATCTTGTTCGGGGTCCCCATGGGGCTTAAGACACTTCATGTAATCCCAATCCCAGTAAAACCGCAACCGGGGGAAAAGGTTTTTCCATTGTTACAAGAACAATACCGAAGAATACGAGGGCGTTGGAGAGCTTGGTTCTCTTTTTGGCAGCTTAGCCACTGCGACTTTGTCAAGGTATGCATTTTTGTGCTTCTGTACTTGCTACACCTACCATTGATGCCACTTGTTAATACATGGCTTAGTTTGAGAGCATTGCGCGCAATGTTGTTGTTGCTTGCGGTCAGGATTTACCAAAAGCCAACGATCTAGACTACGAATATGCACCAAAGCCACCGCAGGCATCGATACCTCCTGTTCATCCACATGTTTTTGAGGCTGCGTTTAACAGCTGTGCCGGGGGCAAATGTCGTTACCCCTTTCCTTTCCACGACTGTTACGAGTTTGAAGAGACCGCTTACATACAACGTATCCCGAAGAAGAAGACGCCGCTTTCTTCTGAAGTCAACGATGTCCCTATTTGGGGGCTTGAGGCCCGGCACTGTATTTCTTGCATTCATGTTATTCTGTATCATTTGCTTATTCTAATACCTCCCTTTGCCCTATGGGGATGGTGGTTGAGTTTGCATCCTGATGATATCCAGAGTGCATCAGTTCCCATGACTGTTGTATTGGCCATGATTTCTATGTTCTGGAGTGCTACTGGGATTGTGAAGCAGTTTCGAGGTGAGCTATGAGTTGATCTGGAGATAGGTTTATAAGGTAAAACGTGTGCTGGGCTCGAGATTATGATGATTGATAAGCATGAGACAAACGATTTTATGACACTGAATGAGATATTCTATATATATAATGACAATACTCAATCTCAAGGACTTCTATTTCTGTGAGACTTATATAAGATTGGGTGTACTTGCTTACCTAGTGTATTGCTATCCTCGGACGCTAATTAAGAGTCTAATATCTCACATGAAGTACTATAAGAACACAAACCAAACCAAACCATGAAATTGATCCTCACAGCACCAAGCATGTCATGAAGCAAACGATTTTGTCAACGAGTTGAGGCCGCGCAATGAGGACCGCAACACAAACTCGTCCTTCATCAACAAGATCAGGCCGCGTGGCCTAATGGCTAAGGCGCTAGATTTCGGTCCTCAGCAACTGATCCCTCTAGAGATTCCAGGTTCGACTCCTGGCGTGGTCGATTGACACAGCTGATTTATCTTTTTGCGTTTTGGGATAATGATGCTTAGTTTTGAAAGTGGTAGTCATATGGCGGTTCATAGTGTATATCCGTTTCCCTTCTTGGTAGACTTAGAGATGGGTTGGGGTTATGCTCTTCATGCTCAAGTTGGAAAGACTATTATAAAAAGCCGAGCTATTATTTCTCTTGTAAATAGATCTGGAATGCTCGAGTAACATCTTACTTGTGTTATCCATTGACAACCCTCTGGGTGCTTCTTACACATAAATGCTTATATCCACACCATCTTACTACTTATCAACTGCACCAATAACAGAGCATATCCAGCCCTAACTCGAAAGTAGTACAGGAAAATAGTAGAGAGCTTCTTCAGAGGCATAATGTGCAAAAATGGAGGTTCCGCCCGGGATTGCCCGGGGGGGTACTCGGTGTTAACGAGATGCCATAACTAACTAGACCACGGAACCGATACTTTCGAGATGTGATTATCTCGACGCTTGGTGGTCGGCTCGTGGCTACCCCTGAACAGGTTGTTGTTATTGTTGTTGTATTGTTTAACGCCGGTGAACAGGTTCTTGTCCCTCAGAAGCCATTAGAACAGACTTTGGACTCATTCTCGCTATCTATAAGAGGGCAACGATTAAACTAGTGCACTGAAGAAGTCATGCCGTTCATATACCTGTGCAACCAGACGCCGTCTAATCCATAATGCAAGACGCCATCCATTCTCAACTTTATCTCCCCGATCAAAACGAATTCCCAATGTCCCAGTTGAAGTTGTCGATATCCTGTGTGTCAAATCCGTCAAACATGTCGCCATCGCCTGATGCATTCAAGCTCCCTCCATCATTGGCCGATCCAAGTCCCAGGTCAGAGGGCACACCACCCATGCTGACATCGAGAGTCAGGTTGTCAACCGACATGCTATCGCCCTGGACCCCTAAAGCCGCTGCGGCCATAGCGTCTCCGAGCGCAGCAGTGTCGCTGTCGAGATTGAGTGTCGTATCCGCTGCTTGAAGCATTCCTTGCGCTTGGGGAATGACCATCTGAGCCTCGACGCGGCGGTGTAGGCGGACCACGATCTCGGCAAGTTCTGGGTCTTTCTTCTGAAGCTTCCTGCAACCCTCCGCTTCTACCTTGAGGAGGTCTCGGAGTGTGCGCTGGCGCTGTACTGGTGGGAGCATGTTGCCATTTGCGTCGAGCATGTTCACCGCAGGTGCGTCTTTCACAGCATCAGGCGCGCATATCAACGACGTAGCCACGTCATAAACGATGTTGGCACTTCCGGATGCTGTGTGCTGTCGGATTTCCTCCAATATGACATGCAATAGTCGTTTGGGGCCCAATATTTTCAATCCAGCTAAAATCTGCCTGTGGGTGTAGGAGGTAGGCATGCTGTTCATGGCAGGATGAATACTCCAGTGATTGAGGCCTTGGATAGTAAGTTTGACAGCACTGGAGAGGCCACTAGGAGGCGTAGCAGTCCACGATTCAAGCTCATTTAGATCCGTGCCCCCTGTTCGGCGTGAAAGCGGGATACTGTCCTTGAGTGTCCGGAGGAGAGGCTCAATGTCTTGGTTCTTTGGATCCCGGCGCTGGTATGTACGTAGGGCGTGCTCCAGAGGTTTTGCAATGAGATTTTTGACAGATGAAAGCATTGAGCTTGCTTCCCCAGAGATAGAACTTGGAAGGAGGATTAGCTGCAAGATTTTGATAATCGACTTTTGCTCCTTCTGATCAATCCAGAGGTATTCTGCCAGGAACCGGATTGCTGGTACGAGGGATGGCAGTAGGAAGGTATCTACGAGGTCTAGTCCAAGTTAGTACGTAAGAAAATAATCAGTATATGAAACTCACATTCTATGCCTCCCTTGAGGCTTTCATCATTGAGGTAGCCGTGCGTGTAGGCAACCACAATGCTCTGGAATAGGGGCGCCACAACAAGGTAGAACTCTTGTGGTGGGCAAGAGGACATCAACTCGTCGCCAAGACCACCAGCTTCGGTGTCGAAGAGTCCGTGAACCCAACCGTTGAGATGGTCGTTCTCTCGTTGCGTAAGCTCATCGCCTTGTCGTCCAATATGGCCTCTGCCGATGATCTTGGCTACCCATGAGTCGGGAGTTGTGATACCAATGTCCACTGCGTTCAGGTTATATCGATAGGTGAAGGCCAAAACCAGCAGTAACATGGCGCCAAACTCCTCATACACGGGTTGGTACTCTTCCTGATCCTCTTCATACCTCCAATTGTCAAGCAGCTGGCATAGGGGTTCCAGTATTGTTGGTAACTTCTCGAACAAAAGAATGATATCTAATGACTGAGGTTTCGCAGCGAGTTGACTGCATAGTAGTTTGAGGGACATTGTCTCTTTGCTATGACATGACTGACGCAACACCTATAGCATGGTTAGACTCTGAAACTAGATGTACCCCAGTTTACTTACCTCGACAAGAGCCTGGCAAACGGCACCAACATTGCCATCCATCTTATCAAGCTCCCGGACCAAACCCTGAATTTTATCTGTATCTGACAAACAATCCTGAACCAATTTATCCTTGGAGTGTTTCTGCAGAGATGGCTCGTAAGAAAGAGAAATCTCTCCCAGGATCCTCTCAACATGCTCTCTCTGCACAAGACCATGCAGGACGCAAGCGGCGCAGAATTCTTCCCGGATACTTTCAGTGTAAGGATTATTATTCCTAGATTCGTCGAACATGAGCGAGGCGGTAGGGAACAGGCTGGTGTCCACATGGGTTAAAGCCTCTGTGATACAGAATTCAGCTGATGTGCCTGGGAAGCCGGGAGGCAAGAGCTGGTAGAGAAGCAATGGGACTTTGTTGATCAAAAAGGAGCGTAGAAGGTGGGCATCTTTCTGCCCTTCGTTTCGGAACACAGCGTTCGCAAGGATATCAAAGGACGCCAGGATAAGGTCAATGGCGCTTGATTGCACATCGCCTTGATACTTGTTGCTCATGTAGGAAAAGAGAGCATGGTCGTCCAAAAGAGGGCGTGCAATAAGCTAAACAAGTCAGTACATACTGGGGCTCTGGAAGATATTAACACTTACTGCAGCATTCAGATAGATGTATAATCCAGCTCGGGTGTTACTGATGTTAATCAACGCTACTGGAAAGTTGTTAAGCCCAACCGTAGAGTCAAGAAGCTCATCCATAGCGGCATTAGCAACCTGCTTCTTCTTATCGGCAGCATCAGAGTTGGCATGAAGAATCTCGGTTCGAAACAGTTCGAGCCTGTCTGTAATCTGTGGCACAAGCTGTAACGTTGGGACAAAACTTGCCAAGCTGGTAGATAGCTCCTTTCGGACATCTATGGTTGGTCAGTACAGTGTATTTCCAATGGGGTAATGAAGTTATAGATACCTTTGGCAAAAGGTTTGCTTACGGCTACTACAAGAATATCATTCTCGTACAATCGCAGCATCAATGCGACTAGAGCTGCTCGTGACGACTCCATCTCGTCCTTAACCTGGGCTGTGTGCAGCTGCGCAAGCATATCGGTCGCAAAGGCGGTTGATGCGGTGGTGAACAACTCCATCCATTTAGATATGATCATGGCAACGTCCAATGCCGTCTTTGAATCTCGTATCGCTCTGCCTTCAACCACAGCCTTGGTAAGGCCGTAGAAGAGTACCTCCTCAGCCCAGTAGGAGTTCTTCCATCGCGTGATCTTCTTCTCAGGTTGGGAGTTTTCCTTCTCTTGTCCCTTGTCCTTTTCACCATCTTTCTCCCCTTCCTTTCCAGTGTTGCCACTGAGTTGCTGCTGTTGCAATTGCACATGCGCATGAGAAGAGGAGTACTTGTACAGGGCTCTTAGTATTGATGGAGTATCGGCATAGCCCAGTTTTGTCAGGATTTGTAGGTACGGCGGGATTCGAGGGTCGAGACTGTTGTCATTTGTTGGCTGAGGACGAAGGAAGAAGTCGGCGACGAGAGCGGGCGGTAGAGGGTGCTGATCGTGGACGAGTCGAGCGAAGGCTTCGAATTTGTCTGTCTCAAGTCGTTGCGAGATACATCGTGCGACGAACTGTGCCCAGTACTCAAGCGCCGCTCGCATAGAATCCCCAGCTACGGCAGAGTTATCCATTATGGGTAAAGAGAACCGATATCGATTGTTTTCGTCAAGGGAAGGTAGTCGTTGTCGCGATGGATTAAAGGTGGACAAAGAAGCTCTGAAACGCGTCCATAGAGCGATCCCCCAGGGAAGATGCTAACTTGTGGCTTCGTGCCTTTTGTGCAAACTTCAAAAGAACCAATGATTGCAAAATTAAAGTGTTAGGGTGACATAGAATTACTTTCCCGGCGTGGGCGCATAACTGATGTGAGTGTGAAGATTGAGCTGTCGCGCATTTGAGATGGCCTTTGGGTTGAAGATGGTGGGACCTTTGAGTTGTGGTGCGGATTAATTCCGCGACATATACGCCGATGCATATGGTAAGAACCACCATCATCGTCACTACCAATAGAATGCAATAGAATCAAGATTAAATATCACGCTCATATTCTACCAAAAGCCATCAGTTATAGGTCTTTTGTAGCAGATATACGTAATGTGATGCACTTTCTATCGATTTTGGGAAAGTAAGGAGTGTGGCCTAACGAGGCACTTTCAATTACAATGCGTGGTTACAGTTGCGAATTAATAGGTTTGTTGAGTCGAAGACAAAAGCCCATACACACTTTATTAAGATGTCAATTTGGGGTTTGTTGATAAATGATAATTAATTATTAACAATAAAAATCTAGCCAAATCTTAAAACACAGGGAATCATCAGAAACGCCACCAGCTCAAACCGGGATATCTCAAAACCTCTAAACAGGCCAAAAGGGAAATAAACAAGACCCTACTTCTCGAGAACAGTCATCATGGTTCTCTTCCCAGCAGCCCAAGGGCCAGCCTTCTCAACACCCAGAGTCCGGCCCTTGGCCAGCCAGATCAAGAAGCTGAGCAGCTTCCAGGTACCCATCTGGCCCGTCGCCCTACTTCGACCAAGAGATACCGCAAACATAGTCTTTCCAGCGGGGACGTACTCTGCAGTTTCGCCGCCGTCGATGCGGGTGGGAAGGCTCTTGATGAGGTGTAATGCCTGGGTGTCTACGCGGCCAAGGAGTGACTCCTCGAGATTGCCGGCGTCGCCAATGACGAAGATGTTTTTATGGCCTTCAACTTGCAGGTGTGTGGTCTGCTTAACGAAGCCGTTGCTATCGAGGAGAGATTTGGGGACGAATTCGGTGTTGGGCACGACACCTGTGGCGGGGAGATATGCCTGGGTGGTGATCTTCTTGACTGTGCCGTCGGAGGAGCGGACTTCGAGGACAATATCGGAGGACCCAGGTGTAGGTATCGCGCTGATAACGGTTGACTTGGGCATGGCCTTGACCTTGAGCTTCTCGAGTTCCTTTAAAGCCTGCTTGCGGACTGCGTCGGTGGCAGGGGGTGCCAAGGGAAGATCGCCGGAGTAGATAAAGATAACCTCCTTGGTTCCGTGCTGAGAATACTCGAAGCCCAGCTCGCCAGCTGTCTCGGAACCGGTCATTCCGCCACCAGCTACAACAACAGTCTTGGCCTTGCTAACCTGGTCCTGAACCTCATGAAGCTTCGCCTTGGTCTCTTCGGTCGTGCCAATGCCCTTCCACATCAAACCGTCCCTCGTTCTTGAACCAGTAGCGATGACAAGAGTGTGGTAGCTGACCTCCCGAACAGCAGCAGTGTTGTTCATCTCGATACTGACAACATTGGCGTTGGTATCAAGAGCCACGGCCTTGCCCTGGATCCACTCGAACTTATCAGAGGAATAGGTGCTGAAGATGGGCTCGAAGGGAATCAAGACCTTGTCATCGGAGATCTGGCCGGGGATAACGACACGGGGCATGGCGACGGGCCATTGGAAGTGAGTATTGGGAGCGACAACGACCATCTTGAGGTCGTTGCGCTTGAGAACGTGGTTGACCATTGTCTGGCGGATGACAGGCAGAGCGGCTGGGCCTGCGCCGAGGACTACTATGGTCTTGGAGTCGGTCATTGTGGTTTTTGGTGTAAGTGTAAGTTGAATATCGATGGTGTTATATCACCTATTGGAAGTGAACAAAGTTGTCAATGATCCAATTATTGGCCCTCTCTGTATTGCTGTTATTGTTGTAGTGTGTGATGAGTTGAGAGAATTCATCCAGAGCACGATCCCACAAGCTCTATATACAAATTTCAACACGTCCCCATCCCCTACCTACTCCAGACCCGGTATCAGATTGGAAATCCATCGGTTGCAATGCCTTCCCGCGCGCTCGAGCAAGGGCGAACAATATTCAAGTCTCCGTGTATGAATTAGCTTCGACATTAGCGACATCAAAAACCCGCGCGCGCGGGCGGATTTCCTATGCGGAGTTTGGTTTGGCTTAGCGGCCCGTAGTTTGACGGCGCTGGCCAATTACATTGCTTAACGCTGGATGTCACCCCTTCTCGCGCGCTGGCTCGGAAAGTTTAGTCTTTGGGTGGCATTGGCTTTGTAAGGAAATTAGAAAGCGGTCACAAGCTTTGCACTAAGAATGTTTTATAATTGAATCTAATGAGTGGGAATTGAATTGCTGACTTAATATACTTAGACATAGTTGCAATTGTTTCACGTGTTACAAGAGTTATATGGTTAATTAATGAAGTTATCTTGCACATTTTCAGAAAGTCATCAACTGGAATGATTAGCATGTAGTCGTGTGTCCCATTACTGCTTCGATTTGTCTAGACCAATGGCCTCATTCATTTATTCCCTGCCTCAGAATTATCCTTATTTATCTAGAGCCTCAGACGAATTCTTCTTAGTCCCGGCAGTTTTAAATGCAAGTGCCGGGTAGCATCGAGTTTGTTAGCAGTTGAGTATGTGAACCAATGAGCAGCTGGTTGAAAAGGGTGGAACCTACTGACTGCTAGGATCAAGGCCCGCTCTAGGCCGACGACTCCAAACAACATTATCGTGGGATATCATCCAGGAAATATGATTGATTTCCATAACAGAACCATCAATTGAATTTGCTGATATTTGTCATGATAGAATGATTTTCTTCAGTTGTTGCAAATAATAATTTTCTGTTCTCATTCTTGTTCTTATCTTAGACACTCTAGGTTAGGCGGCGAAATATCATTTGTTTATAGTCTCAACTATCCGCCTAAACACAAAGTGTGTTGAAAACCATGGTCCAATACCCTTGCACAACAGCTGAAATCTAGGAAATATCGTGATTACTAGGTAAGAACTATCAAGTGACACCCCTTCTGTGACCATCATAAGCTCTTTATTAGCTTGCAAGTCTTCCTTGTTTTTGTTTTGTTTTGTGTACATGGTCCAATTCTCATTGACAACAATAACCACTTTATGTAAATGAATATCACTCTATGAAGACCGACACAATATATGGTATCAACAGGAATAACTTCCTCTTAATGGGGCCCCCGAAAATAAGCTGATGATATCATCGAAAAACACCCAACTGGGAATTTCAATCGTGATCGCAACTACTGTCAACATCATAAGGTTATCCAACTCTTTGAACATAATTACACACCACATAGTCTTGACGATTATGCTAGGCAATTACGATAGTACCTAGATACTGCTGGATACTTTACTCCATAATTCCTCATCGAGATTGTTTCCCACTATTATCAACCCCCTATGACAGCAGACAACAGCTCTTCCTTCCATAGTACGTCGACGGCACACGTGAATCTCGATCCCGAGCCGTTACTTGTCATACCCTGCAGCGTCACCACAAACATGCCATGACATCTCCAACAAGCAGCGGCCCGAGACCATGTGCGAACGTATGCATTCAAGGATTGTTATCAAGATCACGCACAGCAAGCTCTGGACGCGGTGACGATGGGGGAGAGTTCCTAGGTTAGGTTGCTGACTATCTTATCTGGAACGAGCTGGGCGTGGTAATTACTGTAACTTCTAGACACCTCTAGACGTAACGCACACAACCCAGGGACGACGTAACAGACGGGAGAGCCTGAGAGGACAGTCGAGATCACCGCGCACTGACGGTGACATCCCCGACGCTCATCAACCGTCATGCACAAGGGAAGTGCTGAAGCTTTTGCTGCCTATCAAAGGACGGAAGCCTCAGGTGGTGGTGGTGCGGCTCAAACGTCATATCCATGAGCGGCGCTGTAATATGATGCAAATCTCGCCGCAAGGCAACCCTCCACCGTCGCTTATTACAAGGTACGGCCCAGCTAGTCTCCTCCCCCGAGGTAAGAAGAGTTAATACGCAGGGTGGGATATTGAATCATTGCTTCTGTAATTGCTTAGATAAGCGATTAGGTTTTGATAGAGACGCAGAAAACCCCCGGCTAACTGTATGTCATCCTCCTGAGACGACGTCAAAACAAACATCATAAGCAAGGACATGCTCGATGGGGGAGCTGTGGGCTACGGACGAGGGTATGTGGACCCCCGAGTCAAGGCCAAGCAATGGAGAATACTACGTATAGATGGGGTCACCGTCTGGAAAGGTTAGCTAGACTCAGAGAAGGTGAATGATGCAGTTTCGTAGGTGGCATTTGTGATGTTCAGATTTTCGTATAGACAAACCCAACTTGGACATATACAATGTCGTCATCACGTGTTACGACAGCTGATCTGGAGGCGACGGCAATAACAGAAAAATATGTCCTTTTTCCTTTAGTTCTAGTACTCTCAGGTGCCAAGGTTTTGCTGCAAGGGGCTCAGAAAGGCTGAGATGGTGAGGATGCCTACCAGACCTCGAGATCACAGGCCTCTGCTTGGCTGAGAACGGGGCCCGGAAACCGTTTAGGAAGGCTACTGTCGTGAACCGTAGGGATAGTAAAGCTTTATGGGGCACATTGCTTAACAAGATGCGGCTCTAGGAGACTTTTTTGTTTTTATTTTGGCGCCTGTCATTAGTGACAGCTGGAGGTAGTTAGATCCAGTACTCAAACACAGGGAGCTACCAGGAGGTTGACGACGATCGTGTGAAACCCGTAGGCTTGCCCCTGGTTGGTCAATGACGCAGACGGAATGTTTGAAAGCACAACCTCGCCGGCCACTCTAGCCTTGTGGGTTAATGATGTGTGCTTCTGGCTACTGCAAGCGGCCTCGCTCATGACGCTGTTTTTCTTCTACCTCCCTAGACGTGCAGCGAGCAGCAGCAGCGAGCGTGCATACAGTGCAATTGGAAATAAGAGGCAAAAAGGGCGAAACGGTGGTGAGGCGAGATATGACGGTGTACGGTAGCATCTGCCCTCTCACAGTAGAGCAATGCACTACGAAATTCGTCGAATCCTCCGTTTGCCAGCTATGGAAGATGACATCAGCAAATAGGGGGCCTCTTAGCGTGGCGGCTGAGTGACCTCATTGGCGCACCCTGTTCTCCGAGTAGAGGTCCGTGAATGCCGTCATTGGCCCACCTGCGCACCGACTACCATTTCCCTTTCTCTTTACTTGCTGAGAGGCACAGTCTCGTCTTTGGGAGTGATAGGCACTGTGATGCTATCCGACGTAATAGTCTTATTTCCCCTCCGTTTTCTAGTCGAGTTTAGTCCGTTTCCGTGGCGTTTGTTGATGAAAGAACGCAACAGGGGGAGCTGTGCTATGTTGTAAGTCGCTCGGGTTTCGAGCGTCGACGTCAATAGATGAGTTCATTCTGGGGCGTGTTTATCGGGGGTCCTGATAGACCATCACATCTCATGAGAGCTCAGTATCAAATCCACCGAGGATTCTGAATATGAGGTAAGTGAGAATAGCCTCGTCTGTGGAAGTTTGTTCCAACGTAGAATAGCATCAGTCCAATTTTTGAAAGTAAAGCATGAGCATGAACCTTTGGGCTGCGTGATCAACCAGGACATGGGGAAATCGGGCGCCAAGAGGAAATTAGGTTCGGAACCATGGGAAACTCGCAAAAATCCCATCGTGCTGGTGCCGAGATTTCCCCCTCAGGACCCTCCACCGAAATTCCCTCACGCGGGTCCAGTGATGTGCGCCCTCCCGAGAAGTATATCGGATTCTCCCCACGCTGATGTTACGTTTGAGCCGCAAAGAGATTGCTCTTTTGACATGATCCTATGGAAATATGAAACCTGTGGACTCTCGATATACGCCAAAGGATGTCGACTTCAAGATCGTGAAGAACTTTGTTCCCCTTGCTAGCAAAACCCGGGGCTAAACAACCGCACCAAAGCCGGGAGAATGCCAATCCGAGAGCTCTTGTGTAGCTTCTCAGCGATGATCCTTCCGAATGTTGAACCTGTCTTGGACAATCACTGCCCCCTCTTTTTCTTAAGGGTCCTGCTCTTGGTAAAAGAGTCTAGACCTTAACGAACCGTTGTGCTCTCAAAACAACCGCGTGACCCGCCCAAAGGTGAGGCTCGTGGTCCCTCAACTGGGACGGCATGATTACAGAGCAGGGTGACGCGGGCGCAGTTTGCGGGAAGTCTCTTTTTCCCGTTGCCAAAACGCCATGCATTCTCATTATTTGTCGTAAAAACGCATGTTTTCTCAGGCCACGAATGCCTCCACATGCATCATTGCCCCGTCTTTTGGCTTGAGCTCCAGGACCTGACTCCCAATCGCCAACCACCATAGGAAGCGCAATGATGCACGAGATGACTTCAATGCCGGACCCGGATCAGCAGGGTCTTTCTGTGTTTGTCTAGAAACTCCATACCGCTGCAGTTAAGCTCTTGTGTGCATGACTGCAGGGTGTATGTATTGGTTTCTTGTTGATCAACAAATACAGTCTAACAGTGAATGGAAACGGTTGTACTGTAAATTATCTCATCAATTCCGTAGCCGTGCCAAACAAATAAAAGTGGTGGCAACCTGATGGAGAAAAAGGACCCTGAACAACGAGCAACTGGGGGTTGTTGGGGCTGTAGCAAATGAGACAGGACAGCGCGCGTCAGGGTGCAGGGGTATACCGACGATCTCTCCGAAGCTTACTGCGTAACCGCACCGACAGAGGCCCTGTGGCAGCACAAGCTTCAGACGCGACTCGTCAAGCTACGCCATATGCGTGCGCTAGACGACGACAATCTTTGCCGATCAGTCCTTCATGATGGCATAGCATAGGCCTGAACTAGGTGTTGAGCCCCAGTCTTTTTTCCTTTCTCTCTCTCTACCTGCTCCAGGGGAGAGAAACCTGTGTTTTGTCTGTGTGAGTGTGTGAGGGAGAAGAAAAAAAAAGAAGGGTCCATCCATGACAATGATGCGCTATTCACCACCCACACCTCCTCACCTCTCGCTCTCACACACACCCCCATTACACAACGCAGCAGCGCAGCAAATCGTCGAATCCACTCTGACTACATTTTCAAGGGACCTGGGGGTTGGGATTTTGGTATAATAAGACCCTGAGATTCCCCCCTCAATCCTCGATTCTCATCATCAAACAACAAACAATCAAGCAAGCAACTCCCTTCAGCCTCGTTTTTCAAGCCTCTCACATTAAGCCCGGCGTTTTATATCAAGCCTCTACATTCCTCTATCCATCTATTCATCCACTCAAATCAATCTCGACTCTTTTTATCTGCTCTAACAAGCCGATAACTTCAACACAACTTCACCACCTCAACTTACTCACCAAACCACACAATCACCTTCATCATGCCCGGTCGATCTGATTACGGTTCCGCCTCTCTCTCCATGTCTCCTCCTCCTCCCACCAACCTGTCAAGCTACGCTCGCTTCATGCACGAGCACACCAAGCGCCAGATGGAGGCTTCCGGTGCTAGCTCTTCCCCCTCCAACGCTACTGTTCAGCGCGCTGGACGTTCATCTGCCATGACAAACGGCCACACCAGCCCCAGCTACCAATAAATCATGATAAGAATGCGACATGACTAGAACTCCCATCATCACCATCATGAGTTCTATTTCCATACCTTTTTGTCGCACTGCCTTGGCTGAAGGTGCTGAGGGTTTCCATGTCATCTAAATACGACGTCAATGGTGGCGAAGACCCGCCCCAGCCCCCCTACTCAGTCAAGGCTTTATCAATCACATCATCACTTTCCACTCATGAGACAAGATATTGTTCACGGCGTCAGGGTGATCAAAAAGTTCACTCTTTCATGACGATATGGCAAGATTTCTTTACAGAGCTCATTTCTTTTACGAACACGATATGCAAGGCGTTTTTGGTGGGGTTTTAAGTCTGCATTAGCAGCATTGTACTACAAGATTAGCGAGAACAAGGAAACATACCATCAGAGGAGCAATTAAGGGCATAGCTTTTGGCCGTCTGCTGCATTAGCAGAATGATAAATGATAAAAACTTCAAACAAACTTTTGCAACCTTCTTTGTAATGATTATGACATTCGACTTATTTAAAATCAATATTGGAACGAGTAGACAAAAATTGTGACATTTTTCTGATCCAAGCGTGACGAAGTCTCGTAACGTCATTACCAAACAATTTTAGTACATCTTGCCCCATGTGAACTAGTTATCAGTAAATATTTATATTTAATTTGTGCTAAATGACGGTATCGTCGATGTTGGGGAAAGTTTCTACGTCGTGCAATTTTATTTTCTTCTTGTTCACGTTCTCAAAGCATCATTCCATGGAAGCCTAACTCCAAGATCTGTTATTTACCGCTCATGAAAATCATTACATAATGCCCGAACTCCATCTCCCACGTTTGATATCATAATCGCTATGATTTCTTCTTAAGTCCCAGCGCTGCAGCGTGATTCTTTTTCTTCTTAACAACTCTTTTGAAAGTAGGAGCTGGGATATCGGGCTCCGGGATGGTAGATGCCTGCTCTGGCGTCACATCCTCAACGATGGTATCCATCCGCGACCGCGCTGCCGCAAACGCCTTCTGAGCAGCCTCCTGATCTTCTCTCTCCTGCTTCTCTCTCTCCTGATCCTCGGATCTTATGATGTTGTCGGCAAAGTCGACGCCTTCCTTTTCGGATCTGTTGATTCTGGCGTTTCTGTGCCGTATCTCATCCAGCGCATCGGCCGCGGCCATCTCTCGCTGAGCATCCAGGTTCTTGGCTTCCAGTTCCTCCATGGCGTTCTTTTCTTCCTCGCCTGCAGCTTCTGCTTCCTCCCTCTCTAATCGGTCGAGTCTTTCGTCATCGCCTTCGTTCTCCGTCTCGCGGTTGCGCCATGGTTCGTTGTTTCTCACAGCGCCGCTAACCACAGCGTAGTCGTTGTTCTTGGGGTCGGTCTTGAGTATGATCTCTGAACTGCAACCGGTACAACGGATATGTAACTAGAAAATGATTAGCGCAAGTCCTCATAGCGACATGAATGAATTTACCATAATGATCTGAATGCCCAAGTACTTCTCGTCCGGCGGTGTTATCTTTCTGGAATTAAACTTACGCCCCTGAGAACTGTTAGTAATCGAGTCTTAAAGATGCAAGGCTTTCGATGAAGCGGCAGACAAGAGGGAAACCTACTTTGTAGATGAAGCAACCACAACGAGTGCAGCGCATTGAGAATGGTGCCATGATACGAACTGCCTGGACGCGAGGCCCAGAGGCCTTGGGCCCGCGACGGCGCTCGAGAGCGCTCGGATCGAAATCCGGGGGGTAGTATTTCTGTAGGACCTTTCGTTCGGACATGTCGCTGGATTTACGATGTTGGAGATGTCAAGTTTGGTGTTGACGCAGCGGTACCTGGAGAGCTTTAGCGTATGAGCGCGGAAAAAAGCCGGCGAAGTGGATCGGCCCACCTTAGTCAGCAGTCTTGGTTTTGCTTTTGTCAACGTCGTAGTGATATACATTGTATCCATAAAAGTAACTGAAACGGAGCGGAATAGGAAAGGGAAAAAGTTTAAAAATGAGGGGACAAGTTTGAATTCACATGCTTAGTGCTAGGGTCCAACTGTCTCAAAACTTCTTGTGCTATATGGCTGAGAAAGTTCGATCGTCCTTGCATGTACATGCTTTGCAGTTCATGACCAACTCTGATGGAAATGCTACATGCCAGACATCACTCATGTATGAACGTGAGATGGGCAAGTTGAAGACTTTCAGAAATAATTTTACAGTATTTTTGGACTATTTTCCACTTGATATGCCGATTTATCAACATACCTAACCTGGAGTGCTTATTCAGCGAGTGCATCAAACGTGTGCATCGTAGCCAATGAGCTTATACTAACCCATGTGCCGACGGCCCCACACACTTAAACATCTATCCACCTGCATCCCTAACGTCAGAATCAGAAACTCCAAATCTCAGACGAAGCAACATCGCGAAAATGGGTAAAGCTGAGGTTGGATCAACAAAGTACGTCGCCAACCGCATGAAGTCCAAGGGTCTTCAGCGGTTGAGATGGTACTGTCAAGTTTGCGGTAAGCCCATCTTACCCCTGGTTTTACGAAATAAAAGCTGATTGTTCTATCAGAGAAGCAATGCAGAGATGCCAACGGTTTCAAGCAGCACACGATGTCCGAATCTCATGTTCGCCAAATGCTTGTCGTTGGCGAAGATCCCAAGAAGTTCATCAACCAATTCAGTAACGAGTTCAAGAGCGATTTCCTACAGCTTCTCAGGACCGGTCACGGAGAGAAGCAAGTCCATATTAACCATTTCTATCAAGAGTATATTGCCAATAAAGTAAGTCTTCACGCTCTTAAGAGGCCCCTAAATCCTTATAGAGCAACATACGATACCCTTGGCTTCCTGCAAACCATCTTTGTTCAACAAACTAACACAATACAGAATGCAGTCCATATGAGTGCCACGACTTGGCCTAGTCTGACCGAATTCGCCAAGCATCTTGGCCGCGAAGGCATTTGCCGTGTAGAGGAGAACGAGAAGGGTATACATATTTCTTGGATCGACAAATCACCCGAGGCTCTGAGAAGAACAGAAGCATTAAGGCGCAAAGAAGCGCAAGATCAGGGTAATGAGGAGGTGGAACAACGGATGATTCGAGAGCAAATTAAACGAGCGCAAGCTACCGCCGGCACCCGTGACGAAGATAAAGAAGAAGATCCCGAGGCGCGAGAATTGAAGCGAGAGGAGGGCGAAAAGATTACGCTATCATTTGGTGCGAAACCGGCTGCCCCCGAAACGAAGATATCGGAAAGTCCTGCACCAGATACAGCAACCCCAGAAGGCGAGTCTTCAAAGGCGCCAGAGACGACTATGGAGAAAGGGAAGGAACCAGAAGCAGCACCCGCAAAGCCGAGCGGATTTGGTGGGATATCGATGAAGCTTGGCGGAAAGCCTCAGACCAAGAACGTATTTGCTCAGGCCAAGAAGAACGCCTTTGCTTCAGGGTCAAAGAAGCCAGCCAAGATTGAACAACCCAAGAAAATGAGCGAGGCAGAGCGCATTATGAAGGAAGAAATGGAGAAAAAGCGATCAAGAGAATCTGCCGACTTTAGCTTCGGTATGGGCTCTGGTAAGAAACAGAGAAATAACTAAAGGCCAGTAGTCTGTTTCGAACGCGCAGCGTCGCAAAAATTGTTCATGGAAGACAAGTATGTATTTATATAAAGCACAGGAAATGGCCGGGGCGTTTAGCTTGATTGTCTACCATAGATACCACAACGATTCTTTTTTTAAATGATACACAGTTTTCTGTAACCTCTACATAATCACTGCTGTTCCAATCCCTCCAACGCCAGTTTCGCCAGAAACAGTAGAAGAAACAATTTCGAGTCGATCGAACGCTATGTAGTCTAAGCATCGTTGTCGGCCTCTGTGCCGTCGCGCCTAAGAACCCAATATGTTAGCACCATCCTATGCAACCAGTGTTAAACGCCCGACTTACGGAATGTACTGTATTCTATACTCATCCTCCAGCGTCGATCGGATCTCGTCGGGCAGCTGTCCTGATACTTTGATGGCGTACATGCCGGGAACGTAGCTGTCGAGACGCTGGTACTTTGCGATCCACGATTTGGTAGGGTTTGCGAGCGTGATCACGCCCTCGAAGACCTGGGATGTACAGCTTTCGATCTGGTCCTGGGAGTGCTGGAGGTGCAGGAACTCTTCGCAGTTGGGGCAGCCTTCGTCACGGAAGCGCTATATATAACAATGTGTTAGCTTGGCTGGGTTTGCTTGAGATTTGGTGATGGGAGAGGACGTACGGCAAAGGTCATAACGATGGAACAGACCATGCAGGCTCGCAGGTAGCGCGCTTGGCCGGTTGAGACGAAATTTGAAGATGACATGGTTTCGTTTGTCGTAGGAGGTATGGCAGAACGGCGGACTTGGCTTCGGGGAGTGATGTTGGTCGTGGATAGTGGTTGTTTAATGTAGACCAAGTTCGCGACGACAAAGGCGGCGACGAAGAGCTATCATGCATTTAAGCGGGGTATGCAACAAGTGCAATATCCACATAAACTTCAATCTCTAATTGAAGATGGATGGATCTCAACTTGAACCACCAATTAGCCATTATTTGTTAATCAAAATGACTCAAAATCCAAGCCAAGGAAGCCAAAAGAATATCTTTCAGCAGAAGGATCTTGAAAAGTCCCACGATATTCTTACATGCACCATCAAGGAACCGCCATTCTCATTCGCTCACCTGGAGCTTATCACAAACGCTCTGAGCAGCTCATCTGTCACCCTTGATGATCTCTCACTAAAAAGCTACTGCACCGCTGCTTGCCGCCAGTTCCTAGGGACTACGGGTGCAGCTATTTCGACCGATATTCTCAAAGTCGAAAACAACCATGCATGGGTCCGCGTCCCCAGACCAGACCTAGGCTCTTTCGCTGCCGCCATTACAGCATGGCGAGGCACAAGCGACAATGGCGAACAGGTTAGCCTGCAATTACGACAATGTTCAGACTGGCTAGGCGCCATGGTTGGCGCAGACGGGCAACATCGGCTGTGGAATTCTTGAAGAGTGGCAATTTTGTCATATTTATCGTCGTTCAACCGGATCCTCATTTTATCATCTCATCTAGATGGGGTATAAATGTATGAATGTACATCGCCCATCGGCCTACCCTGCAAATGCACCGTCTCCAGACGCCCGGAACCTGAATATACCCTGAAATCGCCGCCAGCACCGCTTTCTAAAGACTCTCCACAGTTTTTACATCAGAGAAGACATGAGAGAGCTCTGCGCATATGCCTGGTAGTTGGTCAGTATTAGGAGCTTCGAACTAGACATTATGTGTCAACTTACCATGGGCTTGATATCGGGATGGGGCACAGCCTCGAATTGCTCGTACTGCAGCTTGTAGTCGGGGCCGATGTTGATGTAAGCACCCTTGTTCTCTGTCGAGTCACAGTATCGAGGGGCAGAGAAGACTAGAGAAGAAGTTAGCAACAAAGTTAAACAAGGATACCCTATTCACTTACCCGTAATACAACGGCCATCGTGCTGGACTTCATAACCGTCCATGCGAACCTCGTGACTTCGAATAACAGCCTCAAGGCCGTTCTTCTCACAGAACCTCTTGGTGATATCAGGACCGAACTGCATACCGACACCACGCTTGCTGGGTCCTCGGCCCTCCTCCTCCTGGGGGTCGGTCCAGAGCATCTCCATCATCAGACCAGCCTGACCGGGTTGTCGCTGGTTATGTCGGTTCAGTTTTCGGATGTCGTCAAGAGTGACGCTATCATCGGAGAAAAGACCTCCGTGAAGGACAAGGTACTTCTTGCCAATAAGAGTGGCCAGTGCCAGAGCAGAGAAACTCTCGGAGAACAGCTTGAAGGTTCTGCGTTTCTGGTCAGTAATGCGTCAATGAATAACCTGCGAGTTCTTACCTCTCGTTGTACTTGGCCTTGCATTCGCCCTCGAAACCATAAACTCGGTTCATGTCATCAGTCTCGTGGTTTCCACGGTTCAGGAAGAACTGCTTAGGTCGCAGCCACTTGTAAGCATACAGGAGCAGAGCGATCTCAGTCGACCAAGAACCTCGGTCAACGAAGTCACCGTTGAAAAGATACCAGTGCTTCTCATCAGGGACACCGTTACGGCGGAACAGCTCCATGAGATCGAAGTATTGACCTGCAAAGGTTGATTAGCTGGGGCAAAAATCATGACTTGTGGGTTTCTTACCGTGAGTGTCACCACAGACAGTAAGCTTGACATCACTAGGGATCTCAACCTCGACCATGGTGGGTTCATCATATACAATCTGCTTGACGGCAAGGACGATCTGGTAGACGTATTTTCGGTGAATCTTCTTGCCGGTCTTGAATCGTTCCATCATGTCGTCAATGAACTCTTGTGTCATCTCCTTGCCAAGCCGTACACCATCGTATCCTGGCTCAACAGCCATAGAGTCCAGATCGAGACCTTCAGCCGCGGAGGGTTCATCGCCGACCTCGATCGCATCAAAGAAAGCCATCTGTCGAACAATCTTTTTGCACTCTTCCAGCTTGAGTCGAGCATCCTTGTTGCTGGGGTCGAGGGAGACACATGTCTTGAAGTCGTCAATGGCATCCTTGGGTCGTAGAATCGCAGTCTTGGCTAGACCTCTTCGGTAGTATGCCTGGTAGGGTTAGAATTGCAACTTTTCCTTTATTCGACCCGTTCGTGGATGTGGCGAACCTTGACAAGTTTGGGGTTGAGCTCGATAGCCTTTCCAGCATCGGCAATAGCATAACCATACGCCTCGGTCTTGATATGTGCCTAATTCTCGTAGTTAGAAAAGATTCGAGTGTCATGGTATTAATTATAGTGGTAGTTACGCACCTGAGCTCGGTTGGTAAAGAAAGTAGGCTCTTTGTCGTTCAGGTTGATAGCCTGACTATAGAAGTCAACGGCGCCAATGTAATCGCCTGACGTGAAGGCCTTATTGCCCTTGTTCTTGAGCTCGACAGCCATTTTGCAGTATCGACGGTTCGTTCGGCGGAAGAATAGACGTCACAGAAAAGAGGTCGAAGATGAAGGCGGGGGAGGAGGATTTGGTAGGTAGTTTTGCGCCGAGCGCAGTTGCAACCACTCAAGTCAGTCGCAAAAAAGACGACGCTGTTTTCCAGATGCAGAATGCAACAATAAACTTATGGAATGCTAAAGAAGCAAGGCTGACTGCTACCAACAAGACTCGGTTCCACAATGCGAGGGAGAGCAGAGAAGTTTTGGAGGTTGATGGCGGCTTTTGGGTGGAGTTGCCCCCCGCTGCCGGCCCGCGTCATGAAGACGATGGAAGAGCCCTGAGGATGGGTGTTTCAACGGACGAGGCTTCAGGGCTTTCAACCATTGTGATAGGCTTAGAGGCCCCTGTAAGCTGCTGTGGCCTATATGCAAATCAGTAATCTCTAGCGTGAGCAGGCTCCAAAGTCGGGGAACCTTCTATCAATCGCCACTGGACCAGACCGTTCATTAACGGTAGGTACCTACTCAAGCACCGTTGGAGCCTAGTTGGGTCGAATATTCGTTAATTGCATATGGCAGATCTCGGCCCCACTTGTCGATTGTTTGAACATCCAGATAATGCTATCATAATCAACAGTTACAAACTATACTCACTTTTATAGCAATCGAATATTGCTATTGTCAACAAACTCAGCACCACATCATAGATCGACACCACAAAGGCACCGCCAAGAGCGAAGACTATTCGGTGGCGCGTCTTGCGCTTCCGCTTGGCCCATCATGGACTCATCAGGGTCGACCTCAAATGCGCTGGTTCGCAAGCGGACAGACATGGATTTGATGCCTCCGCCTCCTGCAGCCAAAAAGATCAAACGTCCGAAGAAAGTCCTCGATGAGGATACTTACACAGAAACACTATCTCAAATTATTGCTCGAGATTTCTTCCCTGGGCTTCTACAGACTGAGACACAGCAAGAGTATCTCGATGCGCTGGAGTCAAAGGATGCTGCCTGGATCTCAAGTGCAGGTCGGAGACTACAACATGTCATGACGCCCGGACGGCAAAACACACCTCTACCATCACGGTCAGCTTCTTTTGCTGCAGGAGACCGCACACCCTCGGCCTATGGAGGAGATACGCCGGCTTCAGTAATCTCAAATGTCCCGGCAACACAACCACGGCTGAAAACCAATATGAGTCTGTCAAAGTTCCAGGAAACGTACACAAGCGAGGATAATGAAAGCTTTTATAAGCTTGTCGACAAACAGAACCAGAAGAAGGCTGAAAAATATGCCTGGCTTTGGCGCGGCAACAAACTACCCTCAAAGCAGATGATCAAACAGAAAGAAGTTGAGGATCGGCTTGGCCAAACACGAAGCCTTATAGATGATGGCTTTAAACGCGATCTACTTGCTATCAAGGACAGAGATGACCGACCAGCGCGTCCAGATACTTGGAAGGCAGATCCTCGAAACAATCTGATGTTTGGACCAGACGGAGTAGAGGATGGAGTTGTCACTGTTTCTCAAAAGTCTGAGGAATCTTCAAGGATGGCGCCCAAGTCAATAGTCTACGCGAATACGAGAATGCCAGAGCCACGTATTGTGCAGCGACCGCCTTCCCCGACCATGTCTGCAGTGCGAGATGCTATTGCAGGGAAGCCCCGGAAGGGCGACCAGGACTCGAGTGTCGTTGGTGGAGGGGAGACACCAAGGGTGAACGGATACGCGTTCGTCGACGATGAAGATGATGAGGACGAGCCGATCCTTCCTGCTCCTATCATCAACCTGGGACCAGGAGATGCGACACCGAATCCCTTTCGGTTGCAAGAGCAGCGCGACAGAGAAACCTTGCACGAGCGCATGGTGGATAGAATATCACAATCGAAAAAGGAATCCACGAGGAATGGACTTACCGGGAGGGTTGACAAAACACCCGTTCCAAAGTTTCCAAGCAGTCCTCGAGTTAACGGAGGCCTAACACCCGCAGCGCAGAGGCTTTGGAGTAAGATAGGCACACCTGGACGCGGGTCGAGCGGCAACTCATTTGGACAGTCCAAACCCATGACTCCTAGAGGTTCGCTTTTGAGATCGGTCAAGAGACCTGGCTCAACATCAGGATCCAAGTAAAGATTCGCGGGGATAAGTGAGTTTTCAGTCGTGGTGAAAGGGTGCGTTTGGTTGCCCAAGTCACGCATTATTTTATTATCGACTTGTGGAAAATGATGATTTTAAAGCTTTGATACGCTCATCATGGTTAATACTCTTTGCATTTTTCTTTATAGCATGGTGTTGGTGCAGGGCACTTACTGTAGCTCAAATAGAGAGCGCAGCTGTTTTCGAATTTATTCATAATATGAAGTAAAATAGAGCTTCCGGCAATAGAAGAGACAGTCAATGATTGATAAACTACTTTTTCTTGGTAGCTAATCTATCATATAATCTGCGAGTTGAAGCCATGATACGACCAACTCGCTTAGTTGCATGACCCATCGATTAGATCATGGACTTTTTTTGCTGAACCTTGGAAGAAGCAACCCACCAAATCGAGCTGGCAGCCAACGCCAGCAAGCCAGACAACATCAACTCCCCTTTTTCAATGTGCTTCTGGTCCCGTGAGGCCGTATAAGCCCGATGAGGTTCGTCGACTTCGCAATCGACCTCGCCGCAGTGCTCAATGCCTCGAGAGGCATTGCTTCAAAGCATGTCGCGCTCCGAGGTCGCCAACTCGAAACCTATAGCCGAACGTCAAGCGTTGCGGCGGCGTTGAGGAAACGAAATGCTCAGAGGAACTCCCCGGCTCAAGAGGCGGCACAGAATGCTACGTGGGCAGGTGATGAGGGCGCATACGAGCAGGCTACACCATCAGCACGACACACAGAACCTATAGTCGAGACGCTGAAGGACCAACGAGATGCTCGGCCTGAACCCACCAGCACCGAGCAAGCGCCTTTCAATAGCCCAATTCCTAATCTCAGACCTAGCCCGCAGCAACAGGTCACGGCGGGCCCAGCGAAGACGGACGATATTGATCTCCCGCCTGGTATCGATGTCAACGTCTTCCATACAGCACGAGGCTCCAAGGTTTTAGATTCTCTACGGAAGCAAGGGCCGCCTGGTGCACCACCTGTACGTCCTGAAGTTGGAGGACCCGTGAAAGAGCATCCTATGCGGAATTGGCCTCCGCGCCCGTCACCACCCGGGGAGAGCTTTGAGGCGGCGACCGAGAAACCTCAGGATCCCGTACGAAGGCAAAAATTCCGGCCTGCACACCCCGGAGTCGGGGGGCCTGCGAAAGAACACCCTATGCGGAATTGGCCTCCACGCCCATCGCCGCTTGAGGGCTTTGAAGCGGCGCCTGAGAAAACCCAGGATCCTTTGCCAAAAACCGCGGGATCTGCGGAGCCTGCAAAGATTGTGGAGGATAAGCCTACGTCTAATATCGAAACGCCACAGGAGCCCATGAAACCCGTGGAAGAGACACGAGTGCCAGAGCCAGAAAAGGTTGCTCCTATAGTTCCTGAAGCTGATAAGAAGATTGACCAAGATGTCATCCAAGCGGCAAAGGAGATCGCTGGAGATGCAGTGGTGCCGTCAGACACCCCATACGCCCTAAGAGAGTCCAAGGTCCCTTCATCACGTATCAGCCGAATTTGGAACTACAGTGGTCTGGCAGCAGGTATGTTGGGAGGTGCTATGACCGAAGGCTTCAGCCGAGCTTTCGGTGGTGGCGGAGAGGGATCTGTTCTTTTGAGCGAGAAGAACATGGAGCGTCTAGTCGCAAAACTCTCACGTATGCGTGGTGCTGCTCTGAAGCTCGGTCAGATGATGAGTTTTCAGGACACCAAGATGCTTCCTGCTCCTATTCAACAGGTTCTTCAGCGCGTCCAGGACCGTGCTGATTACATGCCCGCTTGGCAGCGTGATCGAGTTCTTGTCGCAAACCTCGGCGCTGAATGGAGAGAGCTGTTTAGTGATTTCGAAGAGAAGCCCATTGCTGCAGCTTCTATCGGACAAGTTCACAAGGCCACCCTGAAGAACGGCAAGCGGGTAGCTGTCAAGATCCAGTTCCCTGGTGTCGCCGACTCAATCAACTCTGATCTTGACAACCTCAGCATTCTGCTCACAGCAACCAAGCTTCTCCCCAGAGGCCTGTACCTCAACAAGACTATTGACAATGCACGATTGGAACTTGGCTGGGAATGTGACTATGAGCGCGAGCTCCAGTGCGCACAACGCTACAAGGAGCTCCTTGGTTCAAGCGAGAAAGATGTCTTCATGGTACCAACCGTTTATCCCGAGGCATCGGGCAAGCAGGTTCTTACCATGGACTTTATGGACGGCATTGGCGTGACTCGCATCACCTCTTTTACTCAGGAGCAGCGCGATTGGATTGGCACGCAGATTCTGCGACTGTGTCTCCGCGAGATCACTGAGTTTCGTTTCATGCAGACAGATCCCAACTGGACGAACTTCCTCTACAATACAGACCTCAACATGCTCGAGTTGCTCGACTTTGGAGCTTCTCGCGAGTATCCCGATAAGTTCGTTACGCAATACGTGCAGCTTCTCGCTGCGGCGTCGCGCTCTGACAAGGCTGCCGTAAAGGAGCTGTCCGAGAGCCTCGGATACTTGACAGGCCACGAGAGCCGCACCATGGTCGAAGCACACACAAAATCCGTTCTCACACTCGCCGAGCCTTTCCTCGCCAGCGCACCGGACGTCTACGATTTCAAGGACCAGACCATTACAGAGCGAGTCAAGGCTCTTATTCCCGTGATGCTTCATGAGCGTCTGGCGCCTCCACCTGAGGAGACATATAGTCTGCATCGCAAGCTCAGCGGTGCGTTCCTTTTGTGTGCGAAGTTGGGTAGCAAGGTGCCTTGCAAGGTGATGTTTGAAGAGGCTCTTGCCAAGGGAGGATACAGTAGATGAGACGGCAATGTAATGTATCTTGTAAGATAATCTCATGTGTAATACTATATAGGTCATAAAATGGTCGACGAATGTAAAATAGAAAAGAGAGATCTTATGATGCCAATACTGATGATGATTAAGCTGTAAGCTCTTCGGACGATCGGAGTAAACTTGGTGTTTGTAAGACAAATGGTGGGGCAGAAGGTCGCTGCGTGATACTGCAATCATTCAATACAATATTCAATTATAAGGCATTAGGTTGGCCTGGACTATAAAAGTGTCATTAAGATTACAGGAGAAATATACCATTATTTCAATTGATATTCAGAGGAGCCACAGGTTCAGTATCATAAGGCATCGCTGAACTTATAGTATGCCGCTATCGCAAGCTTCTACCCCGCGCGAATACATAAGGCCCACCTCGATCTCGTTACAGTCATCAACTCAAACCTCCCTCCAAGAACATCTTCCTCGACGACATCTTCACTTCAAGATGACGGATCTAATCACTCTAGCAACATGTTCTCTCAATCAGTGGGTGTTGGATTGGGCGGGAAATCTCAAGAGAATCCGCAAGAGTATCATCTTGGCCAAGGAAGCTGGAGCTACGCTGAGAACAGGCCCGGAGCTTGAGATTACAGGCTATGGATGGTATGCGATAACTTGAACTTATAATTTGCATTCCAAGATATACTAACAGTTGTTTAATAGCCTTGATCACTTTCTCGAGGCTGATGTCTATGAGCATTCCTTGGAGTCCCTCCTCGCAATCTTGACTGACACAGAACTCCACGGCATTCTGATCGATGTTGGTCTTCCCATCATGCACAGAGGTTGTCGATACAACTGTCGTGCTATCATCCTAGATGGAAAGCTCCTGTGTCTTCGACCCAAGATTTTCCTCGCCAACGATGGGTGTGTATCATTGCTCTTGGCCAAGCTCTACATACTGACTTTTGCGGACAGAAACTTCAGAGAGAACCGATTCTTCACCCCTTGGATGACGCCGCGATATGTAGAGCAGTACAATCTTCCTCCTGCTCTCCAGAAGCACCAAGGTGTTCGTCAGGTTCCTATCGGTGATGTTGTTCTGTCGCTCAACGACACTACCGTTGCTGCTGAGACTTGCGAGGAGCTCTTTACTCCTCAGGCGCCTCACATCAACATGTTAGTTCCCCTGGTCGAATCTCCATACTACTTTTCGATGAGTATAGTGACTGACTATTGATCAGGGCTCTCAACGGCGTCGAGATTTTTACCAACTCATCTGGCTCTCATCACACACTAAGAAAGCTGGACGAGCGCATTGCCTTGATTTCCGAAGCAACTCGCAAGAGTGGCGGAGTGTACCTGTACGCCAATCAGTGCGGTAACTACGAGTCCATTCCTTCAAACAGGATTTCCTTCTAACTCTTTCCAGGCTCTGATGGAGACAGACTTCTTTACGATGGCTCATCCCTCATCATGGTCAACGGCTCAATTGTGGCTCAGGGCTCTCAATTCAGCATGGATGATGTCGAAGTCGTGACTGCGACTGTTGATCTTGAGGAAGTTCGCGCTTATCGATTTGCTCCATCTCGAAATTTCCAGGCCAGGCAAGCGCCTGTTTACGAGAGAATTGAGGTTGACTTCAGCTTGGGTCATGAAGATATTGATCTTCTCCGAGCCCCAACACTCCCTAGGGCTCCCAAGTATCACGTTCCTGAGGAAGAAATCGTATGTGTTAACCAACTCGCCCGGGCGTCTCTGTCTGGGGGGTATATAACCCTTCTTCTTCTTCTCTTGAGCCAGTGCTGACTTCGTGTGTTATTTAGGCTCTTGGCCCAGCCTGCTGGCTTTGGGATTACCGTGAGTTTCTTCAGTGCTGCGATTTACACCGAAGTTGGCCCCTATTCAAACTGGCATGATACTAACAATGCAAAGTGCGACGAAGCAAGACATCTGGATACTTGGTGCCACTCTCCGGAGGTATTGACTCATGTGCGACAGCAACTATTGTGTTCAGCATGTGCCGACTTGTCGTTGAAGCAATCAAGTCTGGCAACGAGGAAGTGATTGCCGATGTGAAGCGGATTGCTGTGTACTCAGACAAGCTACCAGAAACCCCTGAGGAGTTCTGTAACCAGATATTCCACACTGTGTATATGGGTATGGAGAAGCAGAGCAGCAAAGAAACCCGGCAGCGTGCCAAGGACCTTGCGGAGCGTATTGGCAGTTACCACACTGACATGAACATTGATGATACATTCCATGCCACAAAGAACTTGCTCACTCAAGGCACAGGGTTTGAGCCCAAGTTCAAGGTTCATGGAGGTTCTGCTACTGAGAACTGTATGTCAATTCGAATTCCCAACAACGCTGGACATTACGGCCGCAGATAGCTTTGGATTGGTATGCTGACTTCCTTAGTGGCCCTACAAAACATCCAAGCTCGTAGCCGTATGGTAATTGCCTATTACTATGCCCAGATGTTACCAACGGTGCGACAGAGACCAGGAGGAGGAAGTCTACTGGTTCTTGGATCTAGCAACGTTGACGAGTGCCTTCGAGGATGTAAGTACCTTGAAAAGAGATGCTGAGACCTCAACTGACATATCGCAGACCTCACAAAGTACGACTGCAGCTCTGCTGATGTCAACCCCATTGGATCCGTTAGTAAGACAGACTTGAAGCGCTTCATCGCTTGGTCTGCCAAGAACTTTGACATGCCTATCTTGGAAGAGTTCATTCATGCTATTCGTACGTCAGATTATTGAGACTTGTCGCAATTGGTTTGCTAACAAATGCAGCTACCGCTGAGCTCGAGCCCATCACTGAAAACTATGTTCAAAGTGACGAAGGTGAGTAGTGCTTTCTAAAGTAGAATACAACATACTGACAAACAAACAGCTGATATGGGCATGACATACGACGAGCTATCTCGCTTCGGAGTAAGCAAAATAACTACAGCCCGATATTTGTGGCAATCAAACTGACAATCGTTATAGCGTCTGCGCAAAGAGAGCAAACTTGGCCCATACGGAATGTTCCTTCGACTTCTTGAGGAATGGGGCGGCGAGGGCAAACTGACCCCGCGGGAAGTCGCCACCAAAGTGAAGAGATTCCACGGATTCCATGTATGTTTCACCATTGCCAGATATTATGAGCTTGTCCACTAACTGTGTCTCAGTATATCAACAGACACAAGCAAGCGGTGGCAACCCCAGCTGTTCATGTGGAAAACTATTCCCCAGATGATCACAGATTTGATCTCCGACCTCTGGTCTATCCCTCGCCGTGGGATGGCTGGTCGTTCCAGAAGATCGACAAGAGGGTTGAGGCTTTGGAGAAGAAGGCTGCGAGTGCTTCGAAATAGAATCTTGGCACAAAGTGTTGGCATAGAGACCCATAAGACAATAGCACAGATTAGATCGTTGGACAATGACCAAGTTCAAGCGGGCTCGTCCTACCGTGAGAATTCATTTACCTGCATTGACACTATTGATGCTAGTTTGTGATTATCCCATAGGTCAAGCTCAAGTTTGTATACAAATGATATACAATTGTCTGAATGGTCGAGTTTGTTGGTGATGCCGTGTGGTTTTGTAGTTGCCAACACAGAGCAACAGCTACACACACTACACAACAAGCAAAGCCATAATATAGGCATACATACAAGTAGAAGAGTTGTTAGTATAAGTACCAGACTATATCTATCCTTATTTCCTTGCCTCAACCACCACGACCTCAACTACATCATTATAGATATTTTGGTAGGATACTCTACCTAACATTACCAAATCTCGACCCTGCGACCGTATACTTGTACCTCAACCCCGAACGAAGTTATCTACAAACAAGCTTCAATTGAACAGGTCCTGTCGAGATCTATCATCACAGAGAGCAAGATTACACTATAACAACCCTATATTCTGCTGAATCCGTATGGATATTTCATATCGTCTGTTAGACTCTGGCGACACACCTCTCTATAGTCTTCTGCCCAAATAGTGGCATCTGGAGAGGAAAAGAGTATTTGCTATAGATACCCGCGTTTCAGAAAGCTTTTCTGATTCTGGACTTGAAAGCGGATGTAACAATTTCTCAGCTCGTTGTCTGTCTACAACACATGATATGTGATAATTTGGAGACATCCTCACCATTTTCATCGCCAGCGCGATCACACGCAGGATATGAAAGATGAATGAAGAAAGAGAGAGCTCATCACTATACCAGATCTCGTTCTGTTTGTAATTACTTACTTTTACGATATCACTTTACCACGACTACTTGAGCTTCCTTGCCCGGCTCATCTCCGAAGATATCCAACGGTGATATACCATCGAACCATCGAAATGAGTGAATTATTCAGCAACACCAACACTCGCAAGGGTGAAAGCCATGAACTATGAGTATACGCGGTATTCGAGTCATTACAAATTCGCTAAACCCCCATAACCAACGCCAACATCATGCTTTTCGTCCTTCATTCTGTATATATACGACCTCTGGGGAACACAATGAATTACACGCACTGGTTACGACCCAAGTTCTGGGGTGCAATGCTGTCTTGGAGCAGGAAACTTCCAATAAAGAGACCCAGCGGAGCCAAAAACGAAGAGGTATTCGACTACCAAGGCTTAGCTCTAGTTAAAGAAATCCCAGTCGAAAAACGCTGGTGGGTGTGTTTCAACAGTAGCCCTGACCCAGCAATAACATCTGAAGAACATACATACCATGAGTGGAAAACGGCATATGAAGAATGGCAGAGGATTGGGTATCCGCAAAGTATTCACTTTATAATGGTATTTCCTGTCGCCGCGAACAATATTGGGGTTATTGCCTGGTATTGTCACTTCTTAAACACTCAGTCATTTATGGCATGGAACCGGGCACTGCTGAGCTACAGGCGTTGACCGGTTATGATTTAATAGGAATGAGAACGTTAAGACAATAGTGTATATAGTAGTAGCATAAAATTCAAGGTCTGTTCATACATATTAAATGCCATCGCAACAAGGGGATCATCAAATCCGTCTCTAATCAATAAAAAAAACTCGCTAATTAAATAACACACTTCCCTCCATAAAGTCCCTTCATAAGCAATCAAGCCACGGCTGCTGCTGCTGCTGCCGCACTCGAAGACGAAGACGAAGACGCACCAGCAGTTGCATTATCCCTCTGAACTTTCTGCCAGATGGACATGCAGCTCATGACAGCCATCAACGCCCACATGTTGCCCAACTCGCCAGTTGCGCCGCTTCCTCTGAACTGAAACTCTCCAACACCGGACATGGTCTTCCAGCAGCTAGCGTTGCCCCATACACCTACGATCTCCTTGCCATCGCTAGTGTAACCCTCTCCACTGTTGCTGCTGCTACTGCTGCCCTCGGGGAGTTCCTCTTCACTAGAGGTGTAGTCCTCCTCCTTGGTGTGGGTGGTGTCGGTGCTGCCAAGGCGCACGAGCTTGTAACCACCCCAGCTGGACTGGCCAACGCTTCTGACCTCTGCACCGCGAGAGCGTCGCCATTCAAAACGCTCAACTCGCTGCTCGGTACCATCGCCAACCAAACAACCGAACCAGAAACGGCCCTTGAGGCCCTTGGGACGGCGCAGTGTCTCCTCGTGAACGCCATGTCCCGAGAAGGAAGGCAGAGTAATTTGGTAGTCGTCGCGGTACTGTTTGAGTCTGGAAGATGTTGCCAGAGGAGTTGATTCATTGCTGGTGCCGCTGTGGAGGGTGATGTCGCCGTACAAGCCCTTGGGTAGGCTGATGATGTACATGGGCTCAGCGTTGGGGGCGCCGGCCTCGAGGTTCACGCGAGCAAAGCAGGCGAGTTTCTTCCATGAGCTTTGATAGGAGAAGCGGATGACGGGAGGGATGCCCTTTTCAATTCCCTCGGAGGAGAGTTGAGTGGTGTGTAGTTTTGAGTCTGAGTTGCCCATTGTGTTGGTGTGTGTAGGTGTGTGTAGGTGTATGTGGTGATAGATTGCGTGGTCACGTGGTAGTTATGTATTCAAGAGTGAGTGAGTGTCTCTGTGTTGAATTGCTTTGACTGCTGATTATAATCTTCATCTCAAGACTTGGCAAATCATTCAATCTTATATACTCCAAAGCCATGAATCCCTTGAGTATTGAGAGCGCTGCATTCATACTGTTTTGGGTAATGATCAGCCCCGATCTGCGGCGCCGCTGAGACACTGCCGCAGTCTAAGCTCCCTGGACGATAGGTCATGACGTCGCTAGGTGCCCTGTAAGGCTGGTCAATTTCCCCTCCTGGACGATTTCTTCGTGCAGGGTATGCGACCTACCTGCTGCGCATTTTCAAGTTGTTATGGGGCTAATTGGTCACGTTGATTCATCTACGAAAAAGGAAATTCAGGTTGATCTCTAGAGTATTAGTTGCATTTTCCGTCTTTGCTGCGCCTGTACTAGACGGCGAGTGCATAGCCTCAGATGGCGATAGAAGCTGGAGCTGTAAGGAAGATTATACTCGGGTTAGCCGACATCAAGCACTGGAGAGCGACACAAAGAACCAGATATGGATGGCAACTACTTTCTTATACTTTACCAAAAGAGACGAGTACATACGGTAGTCCCGATTTCAAAGTTGATCAATAGTATCATTAATACAGAAAATGGTTTACAAGTGAGCTTCGATAACCATTCACAATAACAACTTAACAACCCAGCAGCATGAACTCCTCCAAATGGCAAAAAGAACATAATCAGATCTTCAACATCAAAAATATATCTTAGCGATTAATGACTTCGATCCAGTGACCTTCGGGTTATGAGCCCGGCTTTAAGTTGTGTCATTACGGATTTAGGTGTAGGTGAGTAAACATACCGTGCTGTCGCTGCGTCAAACTGCACTTGTTTAGTGGCATATAGAAGTGTAATTTCAGTATACAATAAGCGCTATGAGGGGCTTCCTCCAACCAAATGCTGAGTCTAAAAAGAATTATTGTGATTATCGTGGAATAAACCATCTCTGTATCTCATCAAATACACTTCTATATGCAAGTATCCGTAGATGCCTGCGATAGCAAGGTGCGCTAACAGATGCCCCGCCCCCGCTGCCATGACGCACAGCCTAGGGTATATAAATGCAAAATAGCACAAACATCTCAACCAAGAAAGCAGCTTGGCGCAGTGGAAGCGCGGTAAGTTTAGCAGACAATCTGTATCACAGACATTGTACTAACTTACCTTAGCCGGGCTCATAACCCGGAGGTCACTGGATCGAAACCAGTAGCTGCTATGTTACAATCTTTTTTTGCTGACTTTGACAATGGTCAGACGTAAAACATCACCAACTTTCTTTTTATTTCTGTGTTTCTTTATGTTGTTTGTGTGATTTTTAGGCCTGTAGTAGTATCATACTCTTTCGCAAGGCTACATTTGCTAACTAGCAAGGACACAGGCTGATGAGTGTATGTGACAAGATATCTGCACATAAAGAATACAACATCTTGCACATCAACCTGTGATAATCAACTTGTGATACTGCTTCCATCAAAACTCCTCACCAACCATGAACCGCGCTCCCGCCCTCGTGATACCCTCAACAACCTCAAGCTCCTCCTCATTCCTCGGCGCATACACCATCACGTTCCCCAGATACAAAATCGTGCCCGCCAGAGGATGGCGCTGACCCCAGCCCCTCTCCAGAACAAGCTTCGCATCCTTGGGTGCTAGATTAACATGGCTCGAGCCGTCGCTTGCGTGCATGTGCGCAATCTCTCCCTTTGTGCCCCGGGCAACGGGGTGGAGTCCCCCTTCAGAGATTGCAAAGAGAGCTGGGCCTCGTCGCTCGACGATGGATGTGGCTATCTTGAGCTTGGAGGGCGACTCTGAGGCGAGAGATCGGAGGAATTCTTGATAACGCTGTAGTTGTTAAATAACTACTTAGTTAAAGAGATGGTCCATGGCCGATACATACCTCAATGATGGACTCATCTGCAAAATCCGACACCTGACGACTCGGAGCCGTATAACTCGCTATTGCAGGCCTCGGTCCTTCACGAACAGGGACATCCTTCTCACTCAAAAAAGCAACATGGCCATTCGGACCAGCCTTTCCAAACGCTGTCTCGTCGTAGCAACCCGTCCCGAAAGGCTCTTTGCACAACGGCTTCAGGAGCATCTGTCCGAGCCATCCGACGACGTTGTGGGGTAGACCACCGGGCCCGAGAGCTAGATAACCACGGTAGTCCCGGGCCGCGATGCGGAAGACCGGGATCCCGAGAGCGGCGCCGAGAACGGCCGCGATGGCGACGCGTTGGTTCTGCGGGGTCAGGGTCAGGTCACGGAGGAATTGGGTGAATGAGGTGAGTTGAGATGCCATTTTGTGAGTGTTCGGTCTTGCTTGTGGATGAATGGTTATAAAATGAGATTTAGGAAGAATGATAGGTGGTCTGGTTTGATGTCAGCAGGCTCTCATCGCTTGAATACATTATGTAAGTGGAGCCAGCATATTTCACCAGCCGGGTTCAATCAATTTTGATCTACTCTGTACACATTAAAACAAAGATCAGGCTCTGTGCTATATTTTATAATCCAAGTCCGGTAAGTATATGCCCTGCAATCAACCCTTAGTTGAGGCTGCGAATGAAGGTGTAGTTGACATAACTCGTATGATATGTCTCTTGCAGGAAGCGATTTCACCCGCGTCAGTTGCACCTCTGCGATTACTTGGTCTGAAATGACGTGACTTGTATGCAATACGATAATTGCTGTTGTAGTGTGGATTTCGTAGTGATTTGGAGTAGTTGCATCCGTACTCTGCTGTGGTTTGTTGCAAATCCCTTTGGTCAGTGCTACTTAGACGTTGTTATACAACCTTTAGATCATGTCATGAACTCAAAATACTCAAATAAAAATATCAAACGCATGCAGGCGCGTTGTTTGTGTCTTCCATTCGTTTGTATCACCATTCGATGTAAGTACTATATCTTAAATACATGGCGGTCAACCCAGTCAACTCAACAATAATGGCGATCATCTCCCTGTACACTCACGTCACCTTCATACCACTTCTAACCACATGGTTGTCTTTGAAATATTTCTTCCGTTACTTGTTCGCTATGCGATTCAGGGGATAGATGGCATTACGATTGTAGTGCGTATATGTCCGTCCTTATCTACTATACAGGTGCTACCTACACGGCACCCACTGGTTTTACTTATTTTAAATACTACATTTAGGAGGCTAATCGTCAAACATACTATTAGGTTTGCGCCTTGTGTCGGGATATGAAATAAATATGCAGGTTACGTTGAGTGTTACACATGGGCCGGCCCAATCTCCAGGCACGACTGGTTTTACTCAGATCTACCGCCATAAGCCTTGCGATGGTGAATTACCTTATTGTGTTACTTGAGATCTGAGATATTATGCTTGTATGGAACGTATTGTAGGTCAACGGCACTATGCACAGGCACAAGCACAGTTTGGTAAAACCATGGAGCACATGTGCCCAGTTAACCTCGGCGGTAGCCTTCATACAAACAACAAGGCGAAAACAATATACTATACGTCTTATTAATTTCTGCCTTTCATTATTCAGCACTGTTTTGTTGTGTTTATGTATGAGAGAGAGAGGATTCACTAAACAGCGACTTGCATCATGAGTCACGGCATCGACTGTAACTCTCTTATAGCTTTACAGTTAGTCTATTTGTACGGCTAACCTAGATGTTGGTGCTTTCCCAGATATTAGTTATTAGTATAGTGGTCGAATATTCTGACTCTGTATGTATGTTCGATAATTATATTGAATCAGTTGAGTTGTCAAATGAAGTGAGCATCAGTCACCCCCTGGAGATTTGGCTTGCACGCTACGAACACTAAATACTTTATCAGAGACTTTTAATCTACAAGAATCTCTTTTTCAATTCTATGATAGACCTGTTACGATTGAGATGTCTGAGTGTCGGCAACCCATATGGTCTATAGTTCTCTGTTTGGGGGTATCTCTTTAGGTGCATTCCTTCTCCTAGACTCAAGTCATCGTCCAATTCTGCATATGCATACAACATAGTAAACAGGGTTGTCCTCATATAAATGGTCTGCATCATATGAGTCGATGGGACGTTAGATTTCGGGCGTCCTGTTGTACGTTACATAAAGAATGTTTTGCTACGCTTATGTGTTAACAAGCACACTCGTCAGACGCAGACTTCAACGACAATGCGAACTTCTTCTCAAATCATAGTATTATATTTCCCAGATGAAGGCAGACAATCTTTGGAGTAGTTTTTCTCCATGGAGTGCTTCCATTCTTCTTCTCGTCGTGATTCTGTGTGTATAATGGGCTGCACAACCACGTTCACTCGTGGACCAACCATAAACAGCTTGAAATACTTCGTCCTTGAATACATCCAGCTCTGTATAACTCTTTCTTGTATTTAGGAGGATAATTATGAGAAAGACCTTTTCGAGCTGATACTGGATACAGTGATACTATTGACATGATCTTGTCCACGCACTCCATCCGGGTTCGTGTATCACAACTCTCAATATGTTCGTTCTATCAGGTACATTGACAAATATTGTTGTCAGTTACCATATCGCACAGTCATCCATGGCCAGCCTGCTGAGTTTGGCTTGTTAATATTCGGTTTCTTTTCCTTTGTCTTTTGCTTGTCATTTGCTTGTATGCTTACATGTCGATGCCATTTTACTCGCAAAAGAGGAAACAACGAGATTCAACGCAATGTAAGCGCATAGGCTTTTTTCTTGGGAAATAAACTACAAAAATAATAAGTCAAACAAAAGCTCATACTTGCTGATTATTATTTGTATAGTGTAGAATTCGCCTGCAGGGTATTCAACATATCTCAACACCCTATATAAAACATTCACCACAAGTCACCTAACCTATAGCCATCAGTTCTGACGCGCCCTGGCATACGTAGTAAGCTTATTTACTGTAGGTCTTCCGCTGTAAGACTGGGAATGACATTGCCGTTGTCGCATCAGTATCTGCCATGCCCAAGGTCTTGTCATCCACCATGACACGCCCCCCCTATCCCAGTCACCGGTGTAAGAAATCTGACGGGGGCAGTCCCGAATGGAAGGCCGGATTTACCCCCTGCCTAACCTGATATTTGTGCTTGTTGGTTACTGATTGTGTCTCGCCACATCTTTGTCGACGATTTGGGATACCTGCTCGCAGGTCTCATACCATAGTGGCCCAATAAAGCGAGCAACAGTGGTTACCGGTTTGGTTTCAATAAGATGGGTAATTGCGGGCTGTGTGTAACGCTCTCCATGGGCCATGGGCTAGAACCCAGGGCATCGGAATCACAGCAACAATGGGTTTGGTGTCAGAAGTGCCGGTGGAGCTGAGTCGTATACTGTCGAACCACCACTGATGGTTGGTTAACGAAGGAGGCATGTTTCCCCTCAAAGGGTTATTGTGCCATTAATGCTCACGGCAAAGGTTTCCCGTAGTACGATACCTGTGGGAGCTAAGCAAGCAAGCAAGCAACAGGAGGCGACATAAGCAATTGACATCAGTGTCAACATGCCAAGAAAAGTCAGGGGCCATGTCGTGCTGGACCAGTATCAATTGTTGGACAGCTTCCGTTTAAGGGCCACTCTGAGAGCGGCACAGGGCACACACAGACTGGGCATCATCACGTCTTGACTCGAGCTTCATTTCTTGAAGCCACCCTGAGAGACAAAGTCAAATAAGTTATACAGTACGGAGTACCTAATGTGAGAAGTGGTTAATAATAACCGTTAACATACTTTTCATCTTGGAAATCGTTACCCGCACAGGCCGGACTTTCACGAAATGCCGAGCGCGGTTATAGAAACACACTAGGTTATTTTGGGTATTGGGTCCGGCACCTCAACATCTTGACAGTTTTGATAGCGCGCCGGTAGCTGTTTTAGCAGAGTCAGTTTCAATTAGAATGTCTCGCACGCCTGCGCCACAGATCTCTCTAGCGCTGGCTCTGGAGCAGTGCAGTGCCTGGCCTGGCCTAGCCTAGCCTAGATCCTCAAGTATAGTCCGTGGTTTCGTAGTCTCGGCCGCCCGACCCCAGAAGTCGCAAACCTTGTTGCTCGCCTATTGCCTGGGCATAGCGGAATATAAGCCGGACCAGCCGCCAAACATCGAAAAGGAAGTGGTGATCGTCAAGACCTAGAAACAACGTTATATAATATCGTTTACCAATGTGCGGTACAGGTACAGTACGGAACTTCATAATAACTTTCGGTTGGTAAAGGGGTCAAGTGACGTACATACTGCGCCATATCCTACCTAACAACAGTTGGCCAGTTGGTCGTAGACAGTAACTAGGCAGAAGTGGCCAAGACCCCTGAGTCCTTTGGCTCATTGAATGGGGTCGGAGGGTCGGATGAGCCGCACATCACGGCGTGATTCTCGGCCGCGTTCAGTGTGTTATTGCATCTCACTACACCAACAGAGCACGCCAACTGGAAACGAAGGATTGAAAGGACAGTATTGTACCCGTACGGAGTACTCTGTACGGCAGGCAATTTGGTAGTGCCTTTGTGCTGCCCTCGGGGTGCAACTGCAACTGCAACAATCGGCGGATATGCCACGTACCCGTGTTATTGAACCGGTCATGCACCAATCTTGGGTGGATCTTCCACTTTGTTTCTTTCCTTTGCTTCGACACTAAACCCTAGCCTGCCAGACAATGCCGTGGATGTAAGTTAATTAAGTTGGGCGATGCGATATGCCGATAGCGATGGAGATTCGCCGAGTCAATGCACATATCTAGCCCACTGCAAACATGACTCAGCTTCAAATACCACACGGCATAGTAGCCGGGTACAGTACCGTCAAAGCACCAACGAAATGGAGGGGGAAGACTGTAATCCAATCAATGCATCAATGTTGGATAATCTATGGAGAATATAGAGAGTCTCCAGCGCCCGGAGTGTCGCATTAGGATGCCGGTACTTGCTGCCTTTTGCTTTGTATCTGATCCAGATCGGGTCAATGAGCCGGCGCCAGAGCCGAATCTGTCATAAAATGACCCAGGGTAGGGCGGGCTATCACATGTTCATGCGCTTAGGCGTGGATTTGCAGTCTATGTGCAACACTTCCTGAGGATGACGCGCTAAAAGGTACGGACATCTACGTAGCTGTCGATCAAACAAAGGGTTTTGTTGATCTGATGGTAGAAAGCAAGTCCAGGATTTGTCATGACACAACTGCAGGCACGGAGGCGTTTACGTACCGGCGTATCCAATTCTGCAGGTTATCAAACAACCGTCTGAGTAATACGTATCCATGCTTTCGTCTCGCTCAACAACCTTGGAGGAGTTGCATAAACGATACAGGGCGCAGTAATGAGGATGGA